TGGTAACGACAAGCAAGGTTTCCCCATGAAGCAAGGTGTTTTGTTGCCTCACCGTGTCCGTTTGTTGTTGTCCAAGGGTCACTCTTGCTATCGTCCTCGCCGTACTGGTGAACGCAAGAGAAAGTCTGTCCGTGGTTGTATCGTGTCCTCTGACTTGGCTGTCCTCTCCCTTGTGGTTGTCAAGCAAGGTGAACAAGATATTCCTGGTTTGACTGATACTGCCGTTCCCAAGCGTCTTGGTCCCAAGCGTGCATCCAAGATCCGTAAGTTCTTCAACTTGTCTTATGCTGATGATGTTCGCAAGTATGTGATCCGTCGTGAAATCCAACCCAAGAACCCTGAAAAGAAGCCTTTCACCAAGGCTCCCAAGATTCAACGTTTGGTCACTCCTGCTACTTTGCAACGTAAGCGTCATCGTCGTGCCATCAAGCGCAGACGATGCGAAGCCTCCAAGGAAGCCGAAGCCGAATACAAGCAATTGCTCGCCAAGCGTGTCAAGGAAACCAAGGAAAAGAAGTTGGAACGCCGTCGTACTTCCTCCATGCAAAAGTCTTCTTCTGCTTAGTTTATTATTTTTTATGTCATTCATAATAAAAAAAAATAAGGATTATTACTTTGTATATTTTGATATTTTTTACGGATTCTCTTTATATCTATATATAATAATGATTTGATGACTTGGTATGATGATTTCATGTGATGATTTGATATGATGCATTGGTTTAATGTGAACGTCAAATATGACGATTTGATACAGTATGATGATTTGATAATGATTTGATCATATAATTCCATGTATCTGTGAAACATTGCTCGATAGATTTTTGTTTTCATCTGTTGAGACTTTATACATTTCTCTTTTGTATCTAGAGAGCTTGCAGAAATAATTCATGAGTGGGAAAGAACGGGAAGTGAATATTTGCTCTCAGCATCCGAGGAACAGATAAAAAAAAAGGCACAGACTTCCTTTTTTTTCTTCTTCTTCTCCCTCTTTACCGCCACTTGTATACATATCCCCTTCCAGTTTTATTTATATTTTATCCTTATTTCTAGATAGAAATACTTCAGCATATATTTATAATACTATAATTCTCCATGGAACATAATACAAACGAACCATCCGAGCATTACAAACATTACAACGATGACAACTCACCACAGTCTGAATCCAGTCCCTCTTTTCATCCTACTTTTGACTTCGATGTAGAAGTAAGATCACGAAACACTTCTCATTATATAAGCAATATTGACAAGTTAGCTCATACGTACATACTCCTTTTTTTCCTTCTTTCTATTATAGTTCAATGCTCATCGACTTGCTGTCAGTTATGGCAATATGGAACAAGCAACTCATAGTTTTATTTTTTTGTAGGTCAATACAATATTGACTTTTTCAAGCACTTTTCATCTTCTATCAACTTATTCTCGGTTTTATATTTATAGACAAAGCAACGCAAATGATAATGAGAAGTACAGAGACTACCTCATTGAATTATCAAGTCATATTGAACCTATTCAAGACTCTGCCCTTAGTCGTAAGTCAAAAAAAAAAAAAAAAAATTACTATAATCTTTGATTTTTTATGGATGTTCTCATTTATATACAATTATAGGATTCTTTCAGTCTTTACCAGCACTTATACAATCTACAATTGTGAACACAGCATCAGGTAAAATGAAAATGATCATAATTTTTGAATAAGGTGATTTACCTTCTATTCTATTTTAGATCATGTAGAGAAATCAAATTATTTGCAAGCATACCGGATCTTATTTGATTATATACAATCCTATCCTCGTCATGCTTACAAATACCTGGTGAGTAGGAAAAAAAAAGTTCATATTGAATTAATAATTATAATCAGAATGATATCTAATATTTTGACTATATTAGATACGTGCTATGAAATTATTGATATTAGGTGCCCAAGGTGATGACAAAGACAAATGTATCGAAATTCTAGGTAAGTGGATATATCAAAATAGGCTCACAAAAGAAAGATCTATTGAACTTTTTTTTTTTTTTTTTTGATCCATTAATACAGTGACAAATCTTTTCCCAAGACTGTGGAAGCAACGTATCTTATTGACGCATAGTGGATGTTTACCGAGTATCAAATCAACTGATGGAAAACACTATATCATCATCCCATGTAACCTATTTGAAGAATTCTTACGACTAGGACAACGTTACTATATCGACAACCGACAGTGGAATGATGTTATCAAGTTTACATGCTCTATGTTGGAATGTTGTGGATATGATGGGTTAGCTCGATTAGCATTTTTATCTCACACCAACCGATATCAATATTTAAAGGAAAATCGACATACACTATCCGTTGTTCAAAGCGACACTATGCAACCACAATCTACCCCACGTGAGGAATTGGTATCATCTTCGACTTCAAATGGATACTTAAGAAACAAGTCTATACATTCATCAACATCAACTTCTGCAACTTCTGTACTTGGACAAGATGCTGATAATGATGCATTATCAGTAATGGTTGCTTTTATGTGCGAATATATGGCAGTGGCTTCTCAATTTACTCAATTTGCCTATGATTATTACTGTGCGGTCTGTGTACTGAACCAAGAAAAAGACGGCGATGATGATAGTCAGTACGAAGAAAAGGCATGTTTGATTCCTATATGTGCTATCAATAACAAGAACAGCAACAACGACAACAATTTTGATGGTGATGTCGATCGATCGCAAAAAGTGTCATCTACAATTTCATCAACTACAAAACCTAAGCAACAATCCGATCCAAATGGTAGAGATAGTGATAAAGGATCATCATCAGCATGTAATGAAATAATCCAGGAGGAAAATGAGTATAGAATTCATCATCAGCAGCTTCAACATCAAAGCAAAAAAATGCGACTGGACGATACGGTGGGACAATCTTTTGGCGTAGGAGATGGACTAAATTCTTCATGTATGGAAGGTGTGGATCAGACATTGCAAGTGCTCAGTATGGCGGCAGACTGTTTACGACATTTGGTTAACCTTTGGGATTGGGCTACTCACACTGTTCCAAGTTTCGACTGGTTAGGTGAATTTGGAGGATGGGAACAAGAATTGACACGAGTTATAGATGCCTATCAACTTCCTTTTGACATTTTTAATGCCGTACTACTAGTTCGAAGTGATTTGGCTTTATCTACGGTAAATAGAAAAGTAGACTGGATGATAGTTACTGACTTATTTTCTCTTTTTTTTTTTAAAAAAAAATATTTGTTTGTATTTATAATTAGCCATCCATTCCTGGGAACCTATCCAAAGCTCTCAAATTATCTCAATCTATATGTGATCGAATCGAAGCTCAAAGGCGTCAAAGAAAAGGAAAATCTCATTTAATTGAATACAATATACCTTTTATGTTTGCATTCCGTGTGTTATATACCATTGGTGTTATCTATTTATTGGTTGGAAGTCTACAGGTAAAATGAAACAAACAAAAATATCATGCATTTAAATGCACCAAACAAACAAAATATATAAACACATATTTTGCCATTCTTTATCAACGTCAATAGCAGTCAACATTGGAAATAGCCATCATCTTATCCGTCTTTCCGATACCACTAGAACTCAATGACAAGGATTTTATTAGAGATGAAATAGATTGTCACACAGCAGCTACAGTATTTCGTGATCATGAATATGGATTGATGCATGTTACGCAAAAAGGATTAACAGTCAGGTGTATCAAACATCTTATTGTCAGTCTGGGTAGTGAAACAAGACAACAAGGGGGAATGGCATCTTTGGACTCTGCTTTACGATGGGATGAAAAGGCTGGAAGTATGATGGTGTTAATGCAATACGGTTGGCCGTACTGGTTGACTCGAACCGATTTTTGGGACAAAGTCATCCACCAAATGAAAGAACGACGGATTTTCAGGAACAGAGGCGTGCTGGAATACATTTTTGGTAAGTGGGAAATAAAAGACAAAGTTTTATTATTAAAAAAAAATGACCTTTTTTTTTTTTACTATTATTTGATATATTGTATTAAATTAGTACCTCAAATACTTCAAGCACTACAAGATCTTCATGAGTCTCGACAGGTATTTATGGATATTCTATCAGCAGAATTTGTTATACGAAATGGGCATAATCATTTGGAAACACAATCATCCTCATCATCACCAAGATTATTATCAAGTACAAACGATATGACGACAAATAGTGAAGATCGGATATTACCATCTTTAAGTTCATTACCAATCTCCTCCAAATCTGTGATACGACCACCACCGCCATTATATGAACCCATCATGACAAATACAATATTACCCAGCATGGAAATGTCCCCTTCTTGGTATTCAGCATCAACACAAAGCACAGCTCAGGTCAATTGGATGTCGCCTTCTTTTTATTACAGTCGACCCGCAACAGCAGTAGTATTACCAAGAAAACAAAAGCGACAACAAAAAAGCTACAATGATGATGACGATGATGATGATGGTAATACCAACCAAGGTGAAGATGACAGCAAAGATGATAATAATGACAATGATGAAATGAAGACTAGCATGAAATACAACAATATTTCCAATGAAATGGTATCAAGGTGTTTGGATCAACGCATTAAACGATATAGTAGAAATCAACTACCAGCTCATCGTACACGACATATACTACAATTATTTTTGAAGAACATGGTTGTCAAGAGTAGTGAAGATGAATAAGAAACAAGCTTTTTTGGCCTCCGCGGAGTTTCGAGTGAACAGGTAAGATTGTAGGATCAACTAAAAATAGAACTTCGAAACTTTATTGTGCTCACCCAGGATTTTGGTTTTTTTGAATAAAGACTTGAATTTTCCTCTCTCTCTCTCTTTTTCTTGTTCGGCGCTCTCGGATTTGTCTGCCTTAACTCATACCTTTCTCACTCTCTCTCTCTCTCCTTTCCTTCAATACTTTTTTTTTTCTTTCTTCTTCTTCTTCCTTTTCTTTTTCTTTTTCTTTTCTTTTTTTTTCTTCCTCTTTTATATCTCACTCTCCATTCCTTTATACATTATATATAAACCACCTCATTTTATTTTATTTAGTTTCTCATCTTTATCTTTGTTTACTATACATTCAATAATACTATGGTAGATAAAAGTCGGATGACCCTTCAAAAATTGGCACGTTGGCATCCTTCTCAGTCCAATACAGTACAAGATCGTAAAGGCTCAGCGGCTCTTTGGGAAGGAACTTTACAACCTCTTGACCATGAAGACTTGAAGCAAGGGGCTTTATATATTATCAAAATCCATCATGTCTCTGTTGGATTATTTCAAGGTTAAAAAAAAGCTATAAAATGATATAAACTTTTGATCTGATTTAAGTTATTATTTTAGGTTGGAACGATGATATGTGCTGCTTTGCCGTTCTTCGTAAGTAATCATAGAATAAATTTATATATTCAGGCACGTGTTGATTTGCCACAAACGATATTTGTGATGATGGAGACGATTCTGATTGATTTTATTTTCATTCTCATTTTATTTTTTTATTTTTCTTATTTTATTTCTTCACAGGATCTGACAATATACCAATGCGATGGTCACAAGCTCGTTATCTTCCTGGTGATTTTGATGCTTATGATGCATTTGATGAAGCTGGCAATCCTCCTGTGCATCTATGGACACGATATTTACGCGTTGAAGTACCGATCAATTGGTTTTCTATCTTTGAAGAAGCTAGACGCAAACAAAGAGAATGGACTACTCATGTACTTGGACATCAACATCATCATCATCATCATATTCCACCAACAACACTTCATGATCCTCCTATGACCACGTCTACTGCACCTATCACTGGAATGATGGAAGGCGGTGATGGAACTGGTGGGTTTCCTTCAGTGACAACAATGCATCAGCAACAACAACAACAACAACAGCGACATGTAAATGAAGACTATAGTGACCATGGTACTTTTTCTGCAGCTCCATCACAATCTATTCGATCTGAAAGACTCTCCTCCATTTCTAGTTTACCTTTAGAATCAAGACCTGAAGTCATGGTACCACCAATAGCAACAACAGCAGCATCAACAACAGTAACGGCGGCTAATTCTCCACCTCAATCACCAACCCCATCTATTACATCTCACAATCCTCAAGCGACTCTTACGGAGGAAACACAATCTTCTTTAAACCGAGCCAACATTAATTCTGTACAACCTGCCACAATAGCGCCCAATGATGAACTTGACAAAAACAAAAACAACAACAACGTTACAAACCAATCACAACAAAATGCTGCACCAAAAATAATTGCATCATCAACTTCTATAGTATCATCCCCTACCACAATCACTACAACTACCCAGGTGCCAACATTACCCATCACATCTACCACACCAATCAAAACAACCAAACGAAGATCAACAGTTGGTGCTACTCCATCTCAACAATTAGAACTTGCTTTGGGTGATCTGTCATTCCCGCATGATGATGACCGGTTTTCTATCCATTCTGATTATCAGTCCAATCATAGCAATAATCGCCTTGCCGATCCTTATGTTACTCCCGCTGCCGGTGCTCCTTCTTCATCATCATCATCGTCTTTGGCTCAACACTATCCTGATACCAACCATACTTGGAAGAAACGTTCCATTAAGAGAATGTTACGACGCTCATCAAATGGTACAAAATAGATCTCCCCTCCTTTTGTTTTTATTACATACATATCTTGATTTCTCTCTCTCTATATATATTATATTTATCACTGATTTTTCCCTTATTTATTTTATCCTCATCTATTTTCACAATAACCCACTTATTTTTATTTTATTTTATTTTTTCATCTTGTCTGATCATCCCTCCCTACAAACCGTTCTCTATCTAGTTTCTAGCCTTTTGATACACTTTATTATTATTCTATATACAATACTAATAAACAAAAACATTCACAAAAAAAAAAAATAAGACTATTCACCAGAAGAAAAAAAAAGAGTGTATACTGTCCGTTTTTTGATCTTTGATACATTTTATTTTTCTTGTAATTGACTATAATAAATAAAAGTTTTTCCACAAATAAAAAGAGGGGTATAAATGATAATGGATAATGATCGTGTCAATGGAAAATAATGATAGTGATGATAGATAATGATGATGGATGATCAAAAGCACACGACCTGCAGGAAGCGCTCTTTTTTTTTTTTTTTTTTATCAGGTTTGGCAACTACGAGTGGAGGAAAAAAAAAAAAGGAGATCAGATCCAGTTTTTTTTTTTTTTTTTTTGGGGGGGGGGAATGGATCGACAAATGTCTACTATTACCTTATATGATCAAAACTTGACGGAATGAATTTGCCACTGTCCAACGACGCATGGAGCAAGCCACTGGTAAAAGATATCTTGCCATGTGCTGAATTTCTTTCTTTGTACTTTGATATTGAAATTTTTGCCAAAGTGTCATGATTTCATTTTCCTTGTACTCTATCCCAAAAAAAAAAAAAAAGGTAACAAAGGTAAGTTCACTGATGATTCCTTTTATATATATATATATAGTGTTACCTTGATGATTAGATCGTAATTGATGGAAAAGTTGATACTTGATGGTCCATAAATCCATTGGGATAGATGATGATGAATCTAAAAGAGTAGTATGATCATCCACTCTCTTGGCCATATCTGATGCATAGGTAGGTTCAGGTAGCAATGGTCTTGGAGGAGAAGGTGGAGGGGATGGCGAAGTGGGTTGATCATAATCCTTGTCAAGCTGTGTAGATGCTGCTGACATGAGTCGAGCTCGTTTACGACTCTGATCTTTTATGCCTTGTTCATAGTAATAGTGTGATTCTTTCCGGCTTATTGGCATCAAGGAGGTTGATGGTGGTTGCGTTGGCGCTGAATGGTCAATATCGGATGAATGTGCACGTGATGATGGTAGCGGTGGAGTCAAAGAAATATCAGGCTCATCACTCCAAAAGGCTTCTTGTAAAGTCTCTAAAACATCAAGGAGTTCTGATCTTGGAACATCAAATATGTTTTCGCATAACGATTGAAACTATATTTTATTAAGACAAAGTATGTATAAGCATATGTATTGTCATGATATTTTCATTATGAAAGATTTACCTTTGGTTTTGGAGTTTCATTAACGAGAAGATCAGTAAGCTAAAATAGGACAAGTTAGTGAATCAAGTGGAAGAATGATGTGAGATGTAACTTCACCTTTATTGAGTAGTGTTTACCTCTGATAATGACGGTTGCATTAGTCTTTAAAGAAAAAAAAAAAAAAAAAAAAAAGGAAAGAATACCCACCAAAAATTGTTGTAAACGAAAACTAAACGGGATTTCAAATTCCCATTCTTTCAACTGAGAAATAGGCAGGGCAGATGAAGAAGTCATTATATTCTTTATTATTAATTCTTATTATTTATCATCATTCATGATTATAAATATTAATAGATGTGTTGATGCACTGGTAGAAGATGAAATAATAGTTGAGTAACTACTAATGACTACAGAACGATGATTTATTGGATGATGATTGATTTTTTGGGTGATAGATGATTGGTGGAAAATGACAGATGATGGATGGATGGTGTCATGATTAATGAATGATTGTTAAATTGGTAATGATGCAGTTCCGTATATGATCATGAAACATTATAATTCATGTGGTTCTACCATTTTCTTGGGTCATATAGGTGAAGTGATTGACAGAAGCATGTTTGTAAATGTATCTTGTATGAATTGTATATTTGTTTTGATCATTGTGTGTCTCTTGGTTTGGCATATGCATTATACTGTTTTTGGATAAACCAATTTCCTTTTAACCATATTCCATCACACATTCATTGCTTTGAAGGACTGGATTGATGATGCATGCAAGATTTTATCAACATCTATTACGAATTTCCATGACAATTTTTTTTTTTTAAAAAAAAAAAAAAAAAAAAAAAAAAACATTCTTTCCAAATTATACATATTATCTTGTGGTTACACTTACCATTCAAAGATGAGTTTCTATTGTGGATAGAGTTGATTGACACGGGATGACTCTATTGTTTTTTTTTATTATTTATTAATCTCAACATGAGACAAGCATGAAATGCATTATTAAATATGGCAACATAATGCCAAAAAGAATGGATCTAGTCCTCAATTCTCACAAGATTACGTATGATGTTTTAACTTCATAAAATCATATTATTACTTTTTTTGAAAGAGACATGATAAGTAAATAATACGTATAGAACAATAAACTAAATAAACCAAGTCAATAAAGCTGTAGTATTATTAAATTAATGTGTTAATGTTTATTTACAAGAAGGAGGTGGAGATCAAACCCCCCTTGAAAACGATGACTCCTTAGCGATCATATATGCTTTAAATTACCATCTATAATATAGGACATGGTTATATTTATTTTTTAAAATGACTGAATGATAGCTTACTAAGATATAGGTAATGTATCATCAGGTTTCAAAAGAAAAGTTTTTGATGGATGCGGGGTGATGTGTCGTTTTTTATGCAAAGTCATAGAAACAAGTGTCTTTTAATGAATTTGATTGGATCACAAATGTTGTGTTTAAAAAGGCATCAGTCAAATGATCAAAATATTTTTTTTTGTCCCTTTTCTCTTTATTTTTTTATTTTTTAATTTTTTATTTTTTTATTTTTTTCTCTCTTTTCAATTTTCTGTTTTTATTACTCAATGACACAAGTGGTGAATCAGAATTCTATCACTACTCCTATTACTACATCATCTACTCTTACTACTTCTCCGTCATCAACTTCATCAACATTACCACGTTGGCTGCCTCGATTCATGTACAAGTCATCCTCTTTAGTATGCCGGCAATCTTCTTCGCCATTCACAGTACCTTCTCTCACGAAAGTTCATACATTTGGAAAACTAAAACAACAAAGCAACAACAATAACAACAACAGCAAGTCTAACCTTGGAATGAGTGGATTCAATAATAATAGCAATACTAGTAGAAACAAATCTCAACAACGTCAACGCATCCTTCACCCAAAAGCTCAGAAACTTGACGAAACTTACAATGACAGTAGTAAGGAATCTATACTGTTTTTGTTGCCTATTGAATTGATCAATGATATTTGTAGCCGATTGGATTGTTTCACATTGTATCAACTTACTTTGACTTCTTCGTATTGTCGATATTTGTTACAAAGAACATCACGATATGCTTTTAGTTGGCGTACGTTAGTGATAGACCCTTCTTTACCGATACAAGATCATCCTCAAAAGACACTTTACAAGATGATATGCTTTCTGGTGACAAATGGATTACATACTCAAGTAGAGGCTGTGATTATGAATGGATGTCCCTTTTTGGATACATCGTTATTGGATACCATGACTCATGCTTTTCCTAACTTGGTTCGACTTTCTCTGACACATTGCCCTCAAATTGACTGTTGGAAAATCTTACATATGCTCAGATCTGTCTCCAAAAAGAATCATGAATTATTACATGCACGACAATCCGACTATAATAAACAACATCATCGACAATGTCAATCTTCACAGCAACAACAACAACAAGAAGAAGAAGATACGGATTTACTTTTGGCATCTCTGAAGAAAATCAAGCATCATCCTCAAAGATTAAATTTGTTTAGTAAGACGATCTCATCGGATACCAACGCTATGTCTTCATCAACATCGGATACAGATTCAACCTTCTCACCATCGCATGGTTTCTTCAGTCAAATGGGCAGTCATCTTCAACATCGATCGTCATCATCATCATCTTCATCAAGTACAACAAATAATCATGATGACAACTCCAATTATCTGTTTCCGTGTTTACAACATTTGACTCAACTGGATATCGAAGGGGCTTTTCCTAGTGAACGATCATACAAATCTTATGGTCATGAAATGTATTGTTTTGGTGAAATCAAAAAAGTGTTATTACAATTTGGGAAGAAGGAAAATAATGAATCCATCGACGCAGCAACTGCACAACAACAACAGCTTAGCGAGGGCCACTATGCACTCTATCAATTCTGGCTTTTACTTCGATCTCATATGTTACGTGGAGATGGTCTATTATTACAGCAAGATCAACCGCAAGATAATGATCATCGTGAACGTGTAGCTTCATTGGATCCACACCAACAACACTCAAGACAACAAATCGATCTACGACGTGATTTTCGACCTGCTTGGCTTCCGGATTCCTTGGTGCAATTTATCCAAATCACAGAACAAGATGATCCTTCCTCTTCTGTCAAAATTGATCTGATAGCATGTCCTCTTTGTAGTCGAAATGTGGCATCATCATCCTCTGGGCTGGCTTCCAGGTCAACAACAACAACAAAAACATGTATCGATCGCGTGCCATGTCATGTCTGTCAAAACCTTACACCAATGGTATGTGCTCAATGTCGATGTCATGCTTGTCATGCAGTCCTATGCCGCCGATGTCATCAACTTCATCAATCAAGATTACGTCAATCCCAACAACGACAACGACAGCAACAACAATTACAGCGACAACAAGGACAACGATCAGAAGGAAGGATTCATCAGCGACATCAAGATTCCATGAGAACAACAACATCACGATCAGTCAACTCTGTTTCTAGAACCGTGGTAACAGCAACAAGGATAGAAGAGTCATCATCAGCATCAACCAATCATGAAGCACATAAGGATGCATTATCATCATGGCATGTATTACGGTGTCATCAATGTCATCTCCTTAAACAAACATGTGGTCGGCCTTCTTGTGTGAATATGGAAAACAAATATCATCATCATCATCATCAAAAATGGATATGTGCCACTTGTCAACAACAGAAATGGATCAAACAACAACGAAAATCAACATCAAGGTTTTTTAAAAAATCAAGGCATTGGTCTCATTGGATTTAGTTTAGTCATCTGTCATATATATATATATATGTGTGTGTGTGTGTTAATAAACAAACTTTTTTGGATTTTTCAAAATATATTTTTTTTTTGTTTACCCATGGAAATATGGATTAAGTCTGTTGAAATTGACATTAGAATTTTTTACTATTATTGCCTTATCGATGATTATTGACATCAAATCAGAGGACACCTTACTTTGAAGCTTAATGGTTGATGATTTTGTTGGAAAGTACATATAGAGGTAAAACTTTCCTTTTTCATTTTTTTTTTCTTTTTTTTTGTTAGGGAATCTTGGATCATCACTACCATCACTAATCATTCCATTCTTCGTAATCTCATATCCTTCAACAATCACCATCAGGATTCCCTACAAAAACATAACAATATAGCTTGAAAATAGTGATCATCCTTTCTTATATTTTATTGAATAAAGAAAATGGATATAATAATAATACTAAAATATATACGAAACAAAGTAAGAGAAAAGGAGGAAGGGGGAGAGGGGTGGAGATGTTGAACATGAGGTCTAAAAAATAATAATTACAATAAAATAAAAAAAAAAAACTACACTATGATCTATCCGTTTGTTGATGATAATATTTCCATTCTATTCTACATTGATCCTTTTTCTTCTTTTGTTGTTTTGTTGATGAGAAATCCATCTATTGTTGTTGACCAGCAGAGGAGTTGCTATCAGCAGCAGCAGCACCACCATCATTTTGACTAGCACGCTATATAAAGAAATAAAAAAAAAAAATCAGTACCATTATCAATCCATTTTTTTCCAAAAAAAAAAAAAAAAAAAAAAAAAACAGTTACTTACGTTCTTGTAAACCATTTCGAAAAGTTTCAAGCTAGATTGTTGCAATTCGTCGATCTTGGCCTTGAGTTCTTCGGGCTTAACATCAGCATCACCAGATTGAGCCTTCAAAGCTTCACCACGGAGATTGGTAATTTGTTCACGGAGCTTATGGGCTTCAGCTTGATCCAATTGGTCCTTGAAGTCATCCATAGCTTTTTCGGTTTCACTCATAACAGAATCAGCACGGTTAGCCATTTCAATAGTATCACGACGAGCACGATCAGCTTCAGCGTTAGCTTCGGCTTGTTGAATCATGTTTTCAATTTCATCATTGGACAAACCAGAAGAGGCAGCAATGGTCATAGATTGATCACGGTTGGTAGCCTTATCCTTAGCACTGACGTTGACAATACCATCAGCATCAATATCGAATTCAACTTGGATTTGAGGAACACCCTTAGGAGCAGGAGGAATACCAGTCTAAAATCATAAAGGAAAAAAAAAAATTAGAAAAAAAAAAGGCATATAAAATCTACGTTTGTTCTTAATTTTTTTTTTTAATTACCAAGTTAAAGTCACCCAACAATTTGTTATCACGGCAAAGTTCACGTTCACCTTGGAAAACACGGACTTGAACTTGAGTTTGACCATCAGCAGCAGTGGAGAAAACTTGAGCCTTCTTGGTAGGAATAGTTGTGTTACGGTTGATCAAACGAGTGAAGACACCACCAAGAGTTTCAATACCCAAAGAAAGAGGAGTGACATCGAGTAACAAGATATCAGTGACGGAACCAGCCAATACACCACCTTGGATAGCAGCACCCATAGCAACAGCTTCATCAGGATTGACAGACTTGCTAGGTTCCTTACCAAAGACAGACTTGACAGTTTCAATAACCTTGGGCATACGAGACATACCACCGACCAAGATGACATCACCAACATCCTTGCTAGAAATACCAGCATCCTTCATGGCCTTTTCGCAAGGAGCAATAGTACGTTGAACAAGGTCACCAACCAAAGATTCGAACTTGGCACGAGTCAACTTGAGGTTGATATGCTTAGGACCACTGGCATCAGCAGTGATATAAGGCAAGTTGATATCGGTTTGTACAGTGGAGGAAAGTTCAATCTTAGCCTTTTCACAAGCTTCACGAATACGTTGAATGGCCATGTTGTCACCTTCCAAATTGACACCAGATTCTTTCTTGAAATCATCAACAACCCATCGGACTAAATGAGAATCGAAATCTTCACCACCAAGAGCAGTATCACCATTAGTAGACTTGACTTCGAATACACCAGATTGAATTTCGAGAACAGAGATATCAAAAGTACCACCACCCAAATCGTAGACAGCAATAGTCTTGTCACTAGATTTGTCAAGACCATAAGCCAAAGCAGCAGCAGTAGGTTCGTTGATGACACGCATAACATCTAAACCAGCGATCTTACCAGCATCCTTGGTAGCTTGACGTTGAGCATCATTGAAGTAAGCAGGAACAGTAATAACAGCATGCTTGGCCTTCTTGCCCAAAAATCCTTCAGCAGTTTCCTTCATCTTGCCCAATACGAAAGCACCAATTTGAGAAGGAGAATACTTTTTGCCTTGAGCTTCAACCCAAGCATCACCATTGTTGTGAGCCACAATCTTGTAAGACACAGCGGGAATGTCAGCTTGCACAGCAGGATCCTTATAGGTACGACCAATCAAACGCTTGGTGGCATAGACAGTATTTTCAGGGTTGACAACAGCCTAGACGGATGATAAAAGGAAATTGTTAAGACCTTTTTTTTTTCTTTTATCCTTTTCACTCTTATAAACTTTTTCTTTCTATATTTTCATCATAAAATTTACTTACTTGACGTTTAGCAGCTTGACCAACCAATAATTCACCATCCTTAGTAAAAGCAACAACAGAAGGAGTAGTACGAGCACCTTCAGCATTTTCAATCACACGAGGAGTCTTGCCTTCCATAACAGACACACAAGAGTTAGTAGTACCCAAATCAATACCGATCACAGGACCATTAACACCAGAACTATAAGAACGTAAAGGAGTAGAGAAAGCACCGACCTAAAAAGAAATTTAATTAGTACCCCTTATTCTTATGTCAAAAGAAAAACAGTAACAAAAAAAAAACAGATCTTGCTTGATTTCATGTATTTTACATTGCGAGTGACGGAAGGGAAAAGGCGAGCACGGGAAACCTTTGCCAAGTTGTACATTATTGAAGGAAAGTTTTAAGAAATAAAAGAAAGAAAGAAAGAAAAAAAAAAGTAAACAAGAAAAAGAGAAAAAAAAAAAAAAGGTTCAAGAAACAAATAACGTAAACCAACAGGAGCGGAGATAAAAAAGTTTTTTTTTTTTTCTTTAGAGTGTTCTGGCACTTTCACACAGGCCAGGGGGGGTAATGAATGGTTTTTTGATTTTAGGCATCATCCAATCAAATAGCTTCCCCTACTTTATCCAATGAAAATGAAAGAAAAAATGAAACACCTTTCTACAATTTCAATTGATTATTATTTTTATGATTAAAAGAAGAAACATGCTAAAAAAACCAACGAGATTTTTTTTTATTATAGAAAAGAAGGAGAAATTATAATAAAGATGTTATGTATAATATCATTTGTATTATAGCCTTGTCGTAAACACTTAATTGAATTCGGCAATTCAATCTTCGACCAATGAAATGATTTCACATAGTTGAGGGTATTTGGAATGGAAAATCGCATATATTGGTTGCTAGTTTCGAATTTTCTCCCTCTTTTTTTTTTTTTTTTTTTTCTCTTTAATCCAATATCATCCTCTTTCATTATGGTAAGTTCAGTTTAAATAATAATATTCAATGAAAATAATAATAATAATAATTATGTTATATTATTTAGTCATCTGTACCTACTCTTCGCAAAAAGAATGCTGTCTATCAAAATAACGTGAACAAAAGAGGTCATGTGAAAACTAGTCTAGTAAGTTTAATATGAAAAGAAGAAAAAAAAAAGTTATAAGTATATTCATCTTTCTTTCTTTTTTTTTTAATAGAAACCTACTCCTACTTTCAAGTTACCAGTATCTTATACAGTTCTTGGTATATTAGCGTTTGCTCTTTTAGGTGGAGGTAAGTTTAGAATGATTTTGTTATATAATTATTATTTAGTTTAAACTAATTTTATATATTCTTTGTATATTAGCTATTTTACAAATTATTGATTTATTATTTTGAACAATAAAAAAAAAAAACAAATTGTATATATTCTATTATAATATGATGATTTGTGTGATGAATTCGTATGGAAAAGTGTGATGAATGAGAGTGCAGTGTAGTACGATATTTCCTTTTCACCACATGTGCCTTCTTCTTTTGGATTTTTTTTAGCATTTCTCTCGCCGAGTAATTTGCTGTAGCTGGCTCAATTTTTTTTTTTTTTAAGTCTTGGTGCCTTTTTTCTTTTCTTCTTTTCTTTTCTTTTCTTTCTTTTTTTTTTTTTTTTTTGGTCCTGTTTAGTATAGTTTACCTTTAAATATTGTTTTCACATTACTCTTTATCCTCCTATTTTAACATACCCAGTCACTTCTCTCTTTTATTCAACTAATACATACCTTCTCTTTTATTACTCATCAAAACTCCATGACAAAGGTGAAAAAAAAAATAATAACTTTTTTAAAAACTTTTATAAAATGAAAACAAATTCAACTATAATAATATATCTTTTCTTTTTTTTAGATTCCTCGTAAGAAGCTTGTAGTAGTAGGTGATGGTCATTGTGGTAAATTAAAAAAAAATAAAAATGAAAAAATGAAAAAGAAATAATATATGATTATTGATTTGATATTTTCATTATTACTATGTTTATTATTATATTATTATTAATATTAATTATAGGCAAAACAAGTTTATTAGTGGTGTATCAGAAAGGGACTTTTCCGGAGGTATATTTATAAAAGTAACATGAGGATGATCATGCAACTCAGTTGTTTATTTTTATTTTATTTATATTGCATTGGCATGTAGAGATATGTACCTACCGTTTTTGAAAATTATATTGCCAATGTACAACTAGATAATCGTACAGTGGAATTAGCACTTTGGGATACAGCTGGTAATTTAATGATATTATATAACATTGGTATTTTTTTTATTCTTATATATATTTTATTTATTTGGATAGGTCAAGAAGAATATGATCGATTACGACCTTTATCTTATCCTGAAGCCAATGTGATTCTCATTTGTTTTGCTATTGATCAACCTACCTCCTTTGCAAATGTACAAGATCGAGTAAGTTAATATATATTTATTAAAACATAATCTCATTTGATATATACTTTTTTTTATTATTATTCTTGTAGTGGTTACCAGAAGTAACTCATTTTTGTGAAAATGTACCTAAATTGTTGGTTGGAACAAAAAGTGATCTTCGTGAAGATAATGTCCGTATTGCACAACTCAATGCTATGGGTCATCAACTGATTCCTTATGAAGAGGTACAATAAACAATTATCATATATCATTATACTTATTGGATTCTTTCCTATAATAGGGTGAACGACTAGGAAGGGAAATTGGGTCCAAGTATTACGAATGCAGTGCAAAGCTAAATCAAAACGTCAATGAAGTCATATCCGCAGCTACTAGATCAGCCATGAGTGGGGGAATCATGCGTCTACATCGCAAGTTTTGTAAAGTATTGTAGTTATTAGTACCCATCATTTCTTTTTTATTATTATTGGTCCACTTTTTTTTTCTTTTTTTTTTCCTTTCATCATTTATGACTTCCATAGTATTTTTTCCTCTTTATGATTTGATCTCTTACACATCTCCTTTTATACTCTCTCTCCAGTTTATGGGATACCCTCTTTGTCTCTCTCTTCTTTTTTTATTTTTCCTTTCATCCTTCTTGTTTCTTTATATTCTTCAAAATAAAATATATATATATATATATATATGTATATATATTTACTCTTCCATTTGATTGTCTTTTTTTTTTTTTTGATGATTCATTGTGGATGCAATAACGTGAGTAGTTTGGTAGTGGATCGCCACAGAAGGCTTTTTTCTGCGTGACCTGAACTTTATTTCCAATACAGAAACCATCTGACTATCTTTTATAATAGATATAGGATAAAAATATGATAATGATAGATTACCTTTCACTGTACAATACTGTATGTACAGTATGTATGATGTTGTATATGATCTTTGAAACAAGTAGGATGATCATTATTCATAGTCATACAAAACTATTTTTTTATTTCCACATGATCCAAGTAAGTCTCTTTTATCATCAATGAAAAGCATATCACACTATAGTTGATTCATCATTTAAAGACAAATTTAATAACAAAGAAATTTATTTGATTGTTATTCTTTTTTTTTTTTCTCAATGGGATTCAAAAAGGGGAAAAAAAGAAAATGTCTTGTATCAAAATACAATGTGCTGTACTGTTTTTGGAAATACATGCCCAAAATAGGAAATGACAATATAGAACAAGCCTTTTTGTTCCCTATCGTTAACAAAATATTTTTTTTTCTTTATAGTATGTATCTTTATAACTGATCGACGTCAACAATAAATCTATTATTATTACTATATTATGATAGTTTCATATTTTTTTTAAAATGATCATCCATCAAAATATGTATCAATTCAGATCAAAGACGATCATAGATCACTACAAGGTTTGTACAGTATCATTAAAAAAAAGAAAAAAGAGTTCAAAAGAAAACAAAGCAGGATGAAATTATTTATTTATTTTGAGAATAAATTATAATAATAATAATAATAATAATAATAATGATATTATATATGGATGATGATGATGAAGTATGAGGCTCAACCATGTGATTTTCAAACTCACTCCAACTTGGGGGTTCAAAAAGGTCAAACAATCAAAACACAAGGTAAAATTCTTCCTAGGTAGAAACGAAACAAATTCACTTCGCTGTTTGAATTGATCTGTTCATTCTTCTCCACCCGCGTGGTTTCTAAACGATGAAGATAGGAATAAAAATAAAAAAAAAAAAAAAAACAGTGGCAGTTTCACAATCTAATGACAGCAACTATTGATTGATCGCATTGTATATAAATCTCTCTTTCTTGTTCTTCAGTTCTCTCTCTCTCTCTCTCATTCTCAATATTTCTCTACTACTACTTATATTATTTGTCCTTATATATCATCAATATGCCAGCCGATCGTTCAGGGAAAAAACTAGCTTTACCTCGACCTTATCCTGCACCTCCTCCAATTCCATTGGCTCCTCAAAAACCATCTGCTTCAATCAATTCTTTTTCAAAGTTATAAACATATATTAGCCAACTTGACACTTTCATCTATCAATGTAATCCTTTTTCTTTTATCATGATTATTCATAGATCATTTACTATAAAATAAACAAATGTATGCTGGTCATACTAGAACTATATAATTACAAAGTATAAAGTTTGACTTACGGAGTGTCAATTGAACAGCGCCCCATTTTGAGTTGCATATAAAAAGGAAAAAATATCACTTCCCCGGTTTCCTTTTTTTTTCTCTCTTCTTCCGTCTTTTTTTCTTTTACTTTTCTTGTCTTTTCTTTTTTTTTTTTTTTCTTTTTTTATTTATTCGATTCATATAAATGTCATCCGAATATTTAATCAAGTTGGGTAAAGATATCATCCCAACAACTAGTACCAAGATTATTTTAGGAAATACTCTCAAAGTGCCTCCTCTCGGTAAGCAAAAAAAAAAAAAAAGGAATGTTAACAAAAACAAGAGACTTATGGGAACGCGTCATTACATGATCATAGTGATAACTCTATTACTAATCACAAAGAGAAAAAAAAAAAAAAAAAAAAAAAAAAAAACTAATCAACATGTTTTTCTTCTTTCTTATATATCTTACTAGCTATTGGTACTTGGCAATTTGGTGATACTTCTTGTAAGTCGCATAACCTTTGGGCGCGTTTCTTATCACATATTCTTATTAATTAAAATTAAACTTTATAGATTGGGGATGGACTCCAGCTGCTGTGAAAGAAGCAAAAGAAGCATTTGATTTAGCTTGTTCTAATGGTCTTACATTTTTTGATACTGGTAAAAAAAAAAAAAAAAAAAAGAAATCAAAATAAAATAGATGAACTAATAATAACATTTGATTTTTAGCTGAGGTATATGGAAAAGGTGAATCTGAACGAGAATTAGGTACCTTTCGAAAGGAATACACCAAAGAACAACAAGATGAACAAGTCATTGCTACCAAATATTTCCCCTATGATAACCGTACTCAATTTCCAGATGTTTTATTATCTGCTCTGAAAGATTCCTTGGATCGTCTTGGCATGGTGAAATCAGATCTTTATCAAATTCATGCTCCTATTCATCCTGCTTCTATAGAAGTTGTCGGTAATCATCATTTAATGAGTAATAAATATTTTGGTTTTGACTTTTTTTTTCTTTAGCCAACGCTTTAGCTGATGCTGTGGAAGCTGGTCTTGTCAAGGCAGTAGGTGTATCCAATTATGGTTTAGATGAAATCAAAACAATGCATGCAGCCTTGAAAAAACGTGGGATCCAATTGGCCTCTAATCAAGTCTCTTTCTCTTTGATTCGTACTATCCCTGAAAAATCTGGTTTGATTCAATTATGTCATGATCTTGGTATTTCTATCCTTGCCTATTCTCGTAAGTTGAATGAAGAAGAAAGGTGGATAGCTTGATATCTTTTTTTTTTTTACTCATTTTTTTTTTTTTATTATTCTGTTGCTGTCATGGATGATTCATTGAATGATGAAATTAGCAATGGGGATGGGTTTACTGACTGGTAAATTTGGATCCAAAGGACCTTGGCCAGAAGCTCGTAAACGACTTTTCAGCTCATTCGATCCTGAACAACTAGATAAATTGTTAACCACTTTGGCTTCTCTAGCTACTAAATACAATCGACCTCAATCTGCCATTGCTTTGAATTGGACTATCGCGAAAGGAACCATCCCATTGGCAGGTGTACGCACGCCTGAACATGTTAGTCAAAATGCTACGGCACTTGGCTTCCTTTTGTCCCAAGAAGATATCAAGACTTTGGATCAATTTGCTTTTGAAGGCTCTACCAACAAAGAATGGAACCATGGATAAAAAACGAAATATATAGGATCTTCCTTAGTTTATCTGTTCATTCTTAATTTAGTATTGATTTTTTGTTTCCTTATTTTATCATATGAATAAAACTCCATATTTTGTCAAAAAAAGAAAAAAATTACGATTGTAAAAAAGTTCATGTTCCTTGCACTGATAAGTTTCCTAAAATAAAATTCATTATATCAACTGTTCTTTTTTATTATCATCATACGAATCAAACATTGAACTAAAAATAAGAGAGATTTAGTACCGAGTCATAAAATACATACGTAGAAGCATGGTGTAGAAAAAATAAATAAATAAAACTAAAAGCAGAGGGTATGGTATCTAAACTACTCATACTAAGACTAAACTAAAAAAAAAAAAAAAAAAAAAAAGGTATAATCTATTCTAGAATTTAGTCCACTTCCAATCTTCCGTGTAGCGTACCATTGTTGGGAGCGGGTTTGATTTCTAAGAGACGAGAGAGAACTTGATATAATTCAATATTCCAAAATGGTTTCAATATATCACCTTTGTTCAAAGTGGGACCTTTAGCAACAAAGATGGCTCTGGATTCAGGAGACAAGTTGTCATAACCATGGGTACCTCTTGGATGGAAGACTGTATCATGATCAGGATCAAAGTCTTGTCGTGTCACCAAGTTCCAACCAGGATCAGGAAGTACCAACAGAGGGGCAATACGTGCATTGTCCTTGTCGTTGAAATGGAATCGAGCAGGAATATCTTGTTTCTTGAATACTTGGAACGGAGCCTTCTCTCCACCATGACGTTCTTGAAGTCTTGTGAATGCTTTATAAAGTCGATCAACCACTTCCGTTTCGGATTGTCCATTCTGTACTTTAGGTCGGATGCCAAGTGAAGGGTATAATTCTATTTTCCAAATCAAATCTAATTCTTCAGAGGTCAATTCATCATCGTAAAATACCAGTCTTGAAGTATCTGTTGCAGACATGCCATGGTCACTCACTACCATAATATGAACAATATCTGTCAAATTGCGTTGTTCAAGTCCTTGCATAAGTCGGCCAATACTACTATCAGCAAGTTGTAATTGTGTCAGCGTCTACCAAAAAAAAAAAAAGAAGGAATAAATACCTATGACCATGATTTTACTCATATATATATATAATACCTTGTTATGATAAGGACCATACTTGTGACCAGCTTGATCAATTTCAGGAACATAGAGACCAATGAATTGTGGACGATGTTCCGAAGGCAAATCCAACCATTCCAAAGCAATATCGGATTTTTCATCAAATGTCATTGCATCACTGTATGGTATCGTGAAAGTAGGTTGATAATCATCAAAAATAGTACTACATCCTGGCCACATGATTACACCAGCTTTTTTGCCTTGCTTGACTGCAGTAATCCAAATCTATATTGTCAAATAGAAAACCAATGAGAATGAATAAAAAAACTATCATCCATAGGTAATCCATTCAACTTACAGGTTCTCCACCCCACCATTTTTCATCCCAACTATGTGATGGATCCTTATAATTGAAGTAATCCTTGAAGTTCGGATCATAAAAATAATTGCCAACGATACCATGCGATTCGGGATATAGACCAGTGACTAAAGACCAATGGTTTGGAAACGTGATTGGCTAAAACGTATACTAAAAGTGAGTTGTTTATACTACCATACATCGTTTCTTTTTTTTTTTTTTTCTTTTTTTTACCGGGAAAGAAGGAGTCATCCATTGAGCGCGAATTCCAGTATCAGCTGATCAAATGAATTGAAAAAAAAAAAAGATTTAGAGATAAGGAATAGTCTTTTTTTTTTCTATTACCAATATCAGATAAATAAGGAGTCACTGAAAGATCAAGGTCATGGTTGACTACACCATCCAACGAGATAAAAATAACAGTAGGTTTGAATTCATGAGTACCGTTATTATATATCAAACCAGAGCCATGACTTCGATGGGTAGCTAGAGCATATGTAACCGAACCAAATAACGACAAAATGGTAATTGTGATTAATATGCCTATGCTCCAACGCTGTTTGTTATTTTTGTTTCCATGTTGCTTATCCAGAAGAAAAAATAATAAATAAAAAAAAAATAGTGAATACATTGCATAAAAAGTTAGTTCATGGAGTGTTTTTCTTTTTGAACTTACATGTGCTTCACTGGAAGGTAAAGAAGTATAATGAGGTTGGGAAGTAGAAAGAAGCTGACTTGACTCTTGGTCTTGTAAAGTCATCACGTCTGCAACTTTCTTCTTTAAAACTGGGAGAATAAAAAAAGGAGAGAGGGAATAGATAAAAAGGACAGAAAAGCAAAAGGTCTTGATTTTTTTGGGAATTAAAAAAAAAAAAAAAAATAAACGCGCTTTATTCATGGGAAAAACCAGTAATCTTTTCAAACCAAAAAAAAAGAACCAAACGGAGTTGAAAACTGTAACTTCCACAACCTGAATTTCTTCCCACTTTTTTTTTTTTTTTTTTTGTTTATTATTATTATTTTCTAATTCTTCTCAAACATGGACACCATTACCAACCGATTAGGTCTACAATCTTCCAAAGTCGATGAATCTCGAGAGAATCAAGCTGAGATTCTTGATGAACAAGGTAAGTTATCTTGATATAATATATAAGAACTGTCTCTAACAATTTTTTTTTGTTTTTGTTATTACTTACTATTCTATAGAACAAGAACAATTGTTACAGGACTTGCGAAAACAAAATGAAGAATCCAACTTGATGATTCAAGTAAGTTATATAACTTGTTTTTTCTTTCTTTTATCTTATAAAAATAGTTTCTAATCCATTCTTTCTTCCTTTATAGTCTGGTTTACTTTTTGTAGGTGTTCTTGTCTGTGCCATGTAAGTCAGTATTACCTTCATATAACAACTTTCTTTTTTTTTTAACTTTTTATTTTATTATTATTATTAAATTAGATTTATTGTCTATCTCTATGAAGTGTATACTCATGAAGATTTTACTAAAGGAGGTAGATTACCTTTTCCCTTCTTATCAACTCCGGTATCATCTCAAGTGGGGTTACCTTATCTTGGTGTCTTGCTTAGTATTGGTTCTCTATTAGCAACAATGGCAACGTTGATGTTGACCTGTCGGGTGACTTTTTCTGATCTAGTACATATGAGTCCTTCACAACGTGGTACGGGTCAACTTCATCTGACTGGAAGTATATCATCAATAGCTATGGGATCAGTGATGCCTTTGTTATGTCTCTTTAGTATCAAGGTAACCTGGGTAGAAGTGATTTTTTGGTTGTTACCATTGATGATGTTGGCTATGGATTTATTGGCGATATATATGATGGGACAAGTGAATGCTGACTTTACTGAATTGGAAAAATCAAGATACAAGTATAAGGGTGCCTGATATGTATTGATATTCTTGGATAGATAGATAGAAAATCTGTGATTGATATGTATATATATGTATATCTCTTTATATAGTGTAGTTTTACTTTGATACCTTTTTTTTTTTTTTTTTTATTTTTTAATTGAAGGATGTCGGTCTTAAAATTTGCATAATACTCTGTACAACAATCAATGAATTTATTATTCTTTAAATATGGGTTCTTGATTGAAAGTAATTTTGGTTTACATTATTATTAATGATTTTATTTTGGTTAATTATTATTTCCTATTCGGATTTACTTCTTTTGTCACAAGTTCATTTTATGTCATTGATGTAGATCGTTTTCGTGAATTGTGACTCTTAAAGCCTATTCAATTGCTTACACACACAAAAAAAAAAACTTTTCATCTCCCGCTTTGCCCAACACGCTTATTCTCCTCCCTATATTGATTTTTTTTTCTTTTTTTTCCCCATTTCTATCTTTTTTTTTTCTTTCTTTATTTACAAACCATGGCTGACAATATTGAGACCACATCAAACAAAAGAAAACAACCCGATGAAGAAAACAGATCTACTCTGAAAAGAACCAAATCTTCTATCAAGTAAGATCTATCCTCCTTTCTTGACGCGTTTTTTTTTATCTCAATTGTTTACTTATTCCCATTTTATTAGTGAACATCAAGACGACAAGAAAAACACAAAAGAAAAACAACGAGCACAAGGTAAAAAGGAAAAGGGATATAAAGGAAGAAAAGATTATTTTCTTAGTAACATGATAATGATTTACACGCTTTTATTCATTGTAGTTGAAGATGATCTAGAAAACGGAGACGAAGACTTGGAAGAAGAAGACGAAGAAGACTTGGAAGAAGAGGATGAAGAAGATTTGGAAGAAGAAGACGAAGAAGACTTGGAAGAAGAAGAAGAAGAAGAAGAAGAAGAGGAAGAAGAGGAAGAAGAAGAAGAAGAGGAAGAGGAAAAGGTGGAAAAAAAAGTGACACCTTCCAAGAAACGTGACAAGGGAGAATCATCTTCCAAAACGAAGACTTCTAAAGGAGGAGAGGAATTGGATGATGAAGATGAAGGCGGCATTTCAGGTAAATTGATTAAGGAAATTCCAAATTAGACAAAAACATCTCAACTTTTTTTTCATGATGGATTTTATAGAAAGTGAGCTAGAGGCTTTAGACACCAGCCTTATCATGAACACTGGTAGACGTACTCGGGGCAAGAAAATCGATTATACTCAATTTGGTGCGGATACTCCTGCGGATGAAGAATAGTGTTGATCAAATTCTCTAGTAAAATTAGTCATTACTTTTTATCTATTATTCGTGTTTTTATTCTTGTTATCCTTTTTATTCTTGTTATTCTTTTTACTTATTTTTTTTTTATTCAATAAAATATTTTCATAATTATCCTTTTTGTATATTCTTTATATATATATATATACATGTCATTTGAAATAAGGGAAGACAAGTGTATGACAAAAGATTATGTTTTGTGAAATCCTAAGTCAGATGAGCCAAAATAAAGAATGAAGATGTGTTTATTTATAAAACTATATTTATAACAAAAGGGTGAATGCCATAACAGGCTACTTGTACATGGTTGTCATGGGAATCATCAAGTAGTAACAAATAATAAACAAAATAATAAAAGGTACATACAATAAAGAAAAAAAAAAAAGAAGGTAAACTAAAATAAATACATAATAAAAGAGCGTGTGTGTGTGTGTGTGTGTGTGTGTGTGGGAGAAGATATACATAATCATATAGGATGAATAATTCAGTTTTGTTGGTTAGTATTGATTTGCTGTAAAATAGATTCCAATTCTTGAACTCGTTGTCGATAAAAAGTAAAATCTTGTTGTAATTGTTTGATTTGTTCAACACTTTTCTTGAGGATGGTGCCTTTATTCAATCGATTAACGCCATCATCAGGCACATCCAATAATAAAGTACCTAATTCTTGAATCCTTTCATTGATATTATCCCGCCGCCTTCGTTCCACTGTACGCAGTAAAAAAAAAAAAAAAAAATTAAAATAAATAAGAGTCAGTGCTATTGTTTTTGGGAATTGATATTGGGGGAAAACAAAACGAACTATATTTGATGTCAGACGATGTACAAATAGGGGGGGACCATGTGAATATACAAACAAAAAAAAAAAAAAAGAAAAACCATTCCGTCAATAGACCCCCTTCTTTACCTGCATTATGTGATTCTCTTCGTCTTCGTCGTTTTTCCATAATTATTTGTAAGCTAAAACAATAAAGAAAAGTAACTGATTTTTTAGTTTTAATTCTAAAAAAAAAAAGTAAATAACTTACTTGACTTGTGCGGCATAGTCATCATCATAATTTTCCAAAGACCTAGATTCAGATAGTTCTTTCCCAGGGTAACCAAAATTGCCACTACTATTGCTTGGAGAGGAAGAATTCATCATCATCAACTCAGCATCTTGTTGTACATATTCAGCATCAGTAAACGAAGAAGAAGGTCGTATATCCTTGTGAGCTGTTGTATCAGAATAAGTAATATTGACTGGAGCACTGACTTGTTTGCATGGTTGGTCCAAAGGATAAAACATAAAACCTTGAGGAGACACGGTTGATGCATGGTCAGACAGATGATCACCATCATTGGATTCAGTACGTTTCATTTGTTGAGTCATAGTTGTATTAAAAGAAAATGAACTATCAATGGATTGATCACCGTACATATAATAGTTTTGATTCATAGAATGTCGATCTTGGTTATGATGTTGAATTTGTTGTAATGATGAGATCATCCTGGTTCCTTGTTGCATTGTTGATGAATAATTCATATAATCTGCATGATGATGAAGAGAAACGGGTGAAGTCAATTCAGAATAACCGATATCAGATAAATGAGGTGATCTTTCATTTGGTTTTTGTTGATGTTGTTGCGAAAGAAATAATTGTGAATGATCAAGAGTAGGATCAATATCTTTATATTTCAATCGTTGTTGTTGTAAGTGATAAGCTGTTGGATTTGTTAATCGTAAGCCGCCTTTAGTTGTTGAATAGTAATCACTTTTTGTATTACTTGAATTCATTCTTTCTTTTTTTTTTTAAAAAAAAATAAAATGAAATAAAATAAAAAAAAAAAAAAAGAAAGAAAGAGAACGGGAAAATTAAAAAAAAAGAGGGAAAAAGAAAAAGTTCTGGGATCCACGTTTGTGGGCAGACCTTCTTTTTCATAAAAAAGGGTTAGACAGAAAAAAGACTCCGCCCATTCTTTTTAAGAAAAAAAAAAAAACTCAAAACTTATCATTGTTTGAAGAAATAATGAATGAAAACTATTGACTCAGATGATCATACAAATATATGATCATTTACATTTAAAACATATATGATTTTCGATTTAATGTAGCAGTAATGGATTTAATAAGAATGCTTTTATTATTATTATTATGACTATTTTTTTTTTTTATGATGTCGCAGCATCCATAATCATCTCTCTCTCTCTCACACACACACAAGCTTCTTATTTATCCAATAAGAAACAAATCACTATTTTTGTCACATAATATTGATGTTACTACCATCTCATTTTGCTTTTTTTTTTTTTTTTTTTTTTAAAAAAAAAGAGTGTAAACTTCTTAACAGCCTATTCATTTGAATTGACACTCCGTCATATTTTTCTTTGGAAAATGTCGCTCTTCCCCTTTTTTATTTTTTGCCAATCTGTCTTTTTTTTTTTCTTTCTTTCTTTTATTTTTCATCAGGAATCTTTTTCTTTCATTACGCGTTTTATATATTGTATTATTTACTAGATTCCTTATTGAAAACAAACCCATATATTTTTATACCTGTTTCTTTCTCTCTCTCTCTCCATTATTATTGATACCCTGTTATTATAATGTTGGAAGAAGAAACAACACTTCCTCCATCAGCAACTATTGCCACTGCTGGTCCAACTGCTGAAAATATGCTTACTTTTGACCATGGTTTGTTACAAAAATACTTTGAAAACCTTTTACCTCTTGTATTGGATGCTGATACCTCTGATTTGGACACTACTCTCTTTTGTTATCCTGATACCGTGGATAAATTCAACCGTTTTGCCAATGACCCTCAATCTCCTGTATTGTTTATTCTCAAGGAAAAAGAAGGTGGAAAGGAAGATGGTAAGTTTACATTCTATCTTTATTTCTTTATTTTTTTTTAAAAAAAAAAGAAAAAAAAAAACTAACAATTTTTTTTTTATATAGATGATGCTCCCATTACTTACAGTTATACTGCCTCTCATGAAATTACTTATCTACCTACTCATGTTGGCTCTTTGGCAGTTATCAAACGCGTTCCAACTTTAGACGCTACTCGACCACTTCAATCTCAACTTCAATTCATCAATCTTCCTGGTGCTGCTTCTGGTGAACCTGGTCAAACAAGTGCATACGAATTTTTACACTCCTATATTCATTTGGCAGTCAGTCCTTACTTCAATGCCTATGTCAATGCTCGTCATGGTTCTACTACTGATACTTCAAGCAAAAGCAAAAATGAAGATAACAAGATGGGTGTCCCTATGGCTAAGAAGAAGATGGCTGAATTGGAACTTTCCTTGTTACACTTACAACAAAATGTAGAAATCCCTGAAATTTCTTTGAATATTCATCCTGTGGTTCAAAAGGCTGTAGATAAGGTATGTTATTATTATTCTTTAAGTAAAAAAAAAAAAAAATTAATTGATATTTCTATTTTTATTTTTTTTAATGTTATAGTGCCGTGAACAAAATAAACGTGTTACTGTTGAAGCTGTAGACTCTACATTGTTTTCCGACTCAACCTTTTTGAACAAATTACAAGGTGACGTTAATGGTTGGATCAAAGAAATTCAAAAAGTCACTAAAATGTCAAGAGATCCTGCTAGTGGAACTGCTATTCAAGAAATCAACTTTTGGCTCAGTATGGAACGTGCTTTGGAGAAGATTGATGAACAATTGAAAAGCGATCAAATCAGTAAGTCTATTTTACATATACTTTATTCTTTTATTAACATTTTCTATTCTCTTAGCTTTAACTTTGGATATCTTGAAACATGCAAAACGTTTCCATGCTACTGTTAGTTTTATCGCTGATACCGGATTGAAGGAAGGAATGGAATTAGGTATATATTGAAAGACAAATAATTATATTTTGATATGAAAAACTGATTCATTCTTCTTTTTTTTTTATAAATAAATAATAATTATAGTGCACAAATACAATCAACTTATGAAAGATTTTCCACTCAATGAACTTCTATCGGCTACTGATGTCGACAAAATCCGTGAATCTCTTGTCTTGATTTTTGGTCATTTGAACAAGAAGCTCAAACTCTCGTAAGTTAACATATATATAAATATAAAAATCACTTGTACTAACATATTTATGATTTTGGAACGATTTTTAGACCTTATCCTATTCGACGTGCATTGCCATTGGTGGAAGCCATCTCCCGTGATTTGAATGATCAACTACTCAAAGTTTTGGGAAGTCGACGAATGATGTATATGGAATACGAAGACTTTGAACGTACAACTGCAGGTGCTGAAGCTGTATTTCATACTTGGGATGATCTTATCAAGGAATTCACTAATGTTGCTCGTGATGTTACTCGCAAAAGGTCAGAAAAGTTTTTACCCATCAAAATCAACCCTGCTCATGCCAAGTTACAAGAACGTGTTATCTTTGTCCGTGAATTTCGAAAGCAACATGAACAACTCCATCAAACAATTGTGCGTGTTATGACCAGTCCTCGTGCAAAAACTTCTACAGTGGTGGTTGATGGCCAAGTCAAAAGCGTCTTAGAAGAAGAAGAAAGTGTTAGCGTTAGTGACATAAATGCCGTGGAAGAGGTCAAATTAGCCTATGAAAGTGTCAAGAACATTGATATATTGGATGTATCTCCAGGTATGTTGTAGAATAAAAAAAAAAAAAGGAAATGTTATCTGGCTCATTTTTATTTTATTTTATTTTTTTTTTAATAGAGGGAACTGAAATCTGGGTGCAAGCTGAAAATGTTTACAATGAACGCGTCTCTCGGGTAGAAAATCAAATCATCGCTCGTCTTCGTGATCGCTTGGGTACTGCCAAAAATGCTAATGAAATGTTCCGTGTATTCTCCAAATTCAATGCTCTCTTTGTTAGACCCAAGGTAAAGAAAAGAAAGAGGATAAAAAAAAGTAAACAACAGCAACTTAATTGTATTCTGTTAATAAAATTAGATTCGTGGCGCTATTCAAGAATATCAAACTCAATTGATTGATAGTGTCAAGGAAGATATCAACAAGTTACATGACAAATTCAAAATGCAATATCGTTATTCTGAAGCATACCATATGGCTCAATTACGTGATCTTCCTCCTATTTCTGGTGCTATTATTTGGGCTCGTCAAATTGATCGTCAACTCTCCTTGTATATGAAACGGGTAGAAGATGTACTTGGAAAAGGATGGGAACTTTATGCTGAAGGTCAAAAATTACAAATTGAAAGTAGCAGTTTCAGAAAAAAGTTGGATACTCGTCTCATTTATGAAAACTGGTTACAAGAAATCACAAAACGAGATCTCTCTGTGTCTGGACGTATCTTTGAAATATCAAGAAATCGGGTTCAAAAGAATACGCTTATCCTTGGTGTTAACTTTGATGGTCAAATTATTACTCTTTTCAAAGAAGTACGAAATCTTCTATGGCTCAACTTCCAAGTCCCTCATACTATCTCCAATGTTGCTAAAGATGCCAAACGTGTTTATCCTTTTGCTGTCAGCTTGATGGAAACTGTCCGTACCTTCTCTCAAACTGTCCACAAAGTCAACAGGAACCCTGATGTATCTACTTTAGTAGCTGGTTATCGAAACGAAGTTCATGGAATGATTACAAAAGGTAAAAATAAAAGAAAATAAAAAAAAGAAGACATCCTTATATCGTTATATTATTTACTGGTATAGACGTTTCACTAATCCCTCTTTTGTTTTATATATATACACTTTAAAGGGATCAATTTACGTTGGGACTATTTCGTCAATACATATGATGCTCATCATCGTCCATTATCTTATCTTACTGGTACACCTCTTGATGCCCGGGAAAATCGTCATGTTATGTTTGTTCGTGAATTTGCTAATGTGGTCTCTGTATTCCAAGATAAAGTGGACTCTCTAATTGGTTATTATGAAGATATCAATAAGGGAATCGATGAAATGAAATCTTGTCCTTACCAAGTGGATCGATTTGAAGATATCTTGGGAAGAATCCAAAAAGTGGTAAGTCAGGAATACGAATCATTATAGTTTATTCTTTTTTTTTATTATTATTCTTATTTTCTTACTTTCATTTTCACTTTTTAGATCGACCGTCTGAATTTGGAAAACTACTCTAACCTTGATCAATGGGTTGCTGGATTGGACAAACGAATTGAAGCCGAATTAGTTAATCGGTTACAACAAGCTATCAAATCATGGATCAATGCATTCCAAGGTGTTACTGAAGAAATGGTTGTACCCGAAGTCAGTGCCTCCAAGAGCCGCCGCAAACGCAAAGCTGGAACTACTGGAATCGCATCATCCCGTGAAGGCTCAATTATGGTGGATGAAAAAGTGGTTGTGGAACCCAAAACGCCTGATGTCAAACCTGCTTTACAAACGCTGATTCATGAAATACGTATTCGCAATCAAGTCATGTATTTAGATCCTCCTATTGAACAAGCACGAACTAGCTGGTGGTCTCAACTTCATGACTGGCTCGCCATTATTTGCCATCTGCCTCGTATTCAAAGCTCTCGTTATGAAGGTGGTCTAAGCGTCAAGGACGATCCATCCGTCGAAAAAGATTATGCAAGTTTATTGACATGTATGGGTGATGGATCATTGGAACAAGCTTATCAAATCATTGAAAATAAGGTGCGTCAAGTGTCCGAATATGTCAATATCTGGCTTCAATATCAGTCATTATGGGATCTGGAATCAAGTCATGTGTTTTCTATTCTCGAAGATGATTTGATCAAATGGCAACAAATACTATTAGAAATCAAGAAAGCTCGTAGTACATTTGACAATTCGGAAACAGAACAATCTTTTGGTCCCTTGGTTGTGGATTATGAGCAAGTACAAAGTAAAGTGAACCAAAAGTATGATCAATGGCAGAAGGATATTCTCAACAAGTTTGGTAGCATGCTCGGCACATCTATGCGTGATTTCCATGCCTCAGTTTCAAAGGGTCGTTATGAATTGGAACAACAATCTATTGAAAGCAATTCCACTGGGGAAGCTGTTACATTTATTACCTTTGTACAAGATCTCAAACGTAAAGTAGCAAAATGGTCTCAAGATGTGGAACTCTTTCGTCAAGGTCAAAAGACATTGGAACGTCAACGTTTCCAATTTCCAAATGATTGGGTATACGTAGATCAAGTTGATGGGGAATGGAGTGCTTTCAATGAAATATTGGGACGAAAGAATAATGCTATCCAAGAACAAATCGGTAAGCTTATCAAAAAAAAAAAAAAAAAAAAAAAAAGGACAAAAGAAAACGTAAAGAAATTTATACCTCTTATTAACTTTTACATTTTTTTTTTTTTTTACCAATCAGCTGGTTTACAAATGAAGATCGTGGCCGAAGATAAGGTGGTGGAGCAAAAGATCCGTGATATTTGCACCGAATGGGAAAAGAGCAAGCCAGTACAAGGGGATATCAAACCAGATATCGCTACCAATACTCTCAGCATTTTTGAAGGTCGGGTTACTCGCTTGAAGGAAGAATATGACATGGTGTGTCGTGCAAAGGAAGCTCTTGATTTGGAACAGACATCTGAAGATCGACTTGATCCTGTCTTGGAAGAACTTCGTGATCTTAAATCTGTATGGACTGCTCTCGCCAAGGTATGGCAATCTGTTTATGAAATTCGTGATACTCCTTGGTCATCTGTGGTACCTCGCAAGGTTCGACAAAGCATTGATGAACTTGTCAACTCTACCAAGGAAATGCCCAACAGAATGCGTCAATATGCTGCATATGAATATGTTCAAGATACGTTACGTCAACTACTTCGTGTCAATCCATTGGTATCTGATCTAAAATCTGAAGCACTCCGGGATCGTCATTGGCGCCAAATCTTCAAAATGCTTCGTGTAGAAGGTAGATTTACGTTATCCGAAATGACGATTGGTCATCTATGGGATTTGGATCTTAAGCGAAATGAACAAGTCATCAAAGATGTTATTCTACAAGCACAAGGTGAAATGGCGTTGGAAGAATTTTTGAAGCAAGTCAAGGAAACTTGGGCCAACTATGTATTGGATCTTGTCAATTATCAAAATAGATGCCGTTTGATTCGTGGATGGGATGATCTTTTCAACAAATCAAGTGAACACATCAACTCTCTTACTGCTATGAAGCTCTCTCCTTATTACAAAGTATTTGAAGAAGATGCATCGGCTTGGGAAGATAAACTCAACAGAGTCCATGTTTTATTTGATGTATGGATTGATGTACAACGACAATGGGTATACTTGGAAGGTATCTTTAGTGGAAGTGTGGACATCAAACATCTTTTACCTGTAGAAACTTCTCGCTTCCAAAGTATCAATACTGAATTCCTGACGGTGATGAAGAAGGTATACAAATCTCCCTTTGTATTGGATGTGTTAAATATTCCCAATATTCAAAAATCTTTGGAACGTTTGGCGGATCTACTCAGCAAAATTCAAAAGGCTCTTGGTGAATACTTGGAACGTGAAAGAAGCTCTTTCCCTCGGTTCTACTTTGTCGGTGATGAAGATCTTTTGGAAATCATCGGTAACAGCAAGGATATCCTTCGTATTCAAAAACATTTCAAGAAAATGTTTGCTGGTATTGCTACTATTATGTTGGATGAAGAACAAACTGCTATCATAGGCATGGTCTCTAAGGAAGGTGAACAAGTAGCATTCAAAAATGCAGTTTCCATCAAGGATAATCCCAAAATCAATGTCTGGCTTACCATGTTACAAGAGGAAATGCGTGTATCCTTGGCTCTTCTTCTTTCTGATGCAGTAACGGAATTGGAAACTATTTATAATGCTGCTGAAATAGACTCTGATGCATTCATGACCTGGGTGGACCAATATCCTGCTCAATTGGTTGTTCTTGCTGCACAAATCATCTGGACTCAATCTGTAGACAAGGCTTTGGTGACATTAGGTGATGCTACTGACAAAACTGATCAAACACCTCTGCGCAACTCCCTTGATTTGGTAGAACGTAACCTGAATATCTTGGCTGATGCTGTTCTTTTGGATTTATCGACCATCAAACGACGAAAATGTGAACACTTGGTGACTGAACTTGTTCATCAAAGGGATGTGACTCGACAACTTTTGCATGACAATGTATCATCTTCCAAAGATTTCAACTGGCTTTATCAAATGCGATTCTACTTCAATCCTACTATTGAAAATCCTATCCATCGACTTTCCATCCATATGGCCAACGCCACTTTCCATTATGGTTACGAATATCTCGGTGTTGCTGATCGTTTGGTACAAACACCTCTGACTGATCGTTGTTACTTGACTTTAACACAGGCTCTTGAACAAAAACTTGGTGGTTCTCCATTTGGTCCTGCCGGTACAGGTAAAACAGAATCTGTCAAAGCTTTAGGTGTACAACTTGGTCGATTTGTGCTGGTATTCTGTTGTGATGAAACATTTGATTTCCAAGCTATGGGTCGTATTTTTATTGGTCTCTGTCAAGTTGGTGCCTGGGGTTGTTTCGATGAATTCAATCGATTGGAAGAACGTATCTTATCCGCTGTGTCTCAACAAGTTCAAACTATTCAATTGGGTCTTAAGGAAACTATGGCAAATCCAAATCATGAAGTAGAGCTTGTCGGTCGAAATGTCAAAGTTAATCTCGATACTGGAATCTTTATCACTATGAATCCTGGTTATGCTGGTCGTTCCAACTTGCCTGATAACTTGAAGAAACTTTTCCGAAGTATGGCTATGACTAAACCTGACCGTGAATTGATTGCACAAGTTATGTTGTATTCTCAAGGTTTCCGAAGTGCTGAAACTCTAGCTTCCAAGGTGGTACCGCTATTCAATCTCTGTGCTGAACAATTGTCTTCTCAATCTCATTATGATTTTGGTCTTCGTGCCCTCAAGAGTGTCTTGGTCAGTGCTGGTAATTTGAAACGTGATCGTTTGATTGATTTACGCAAAGATCTTGATGAAGGCAAGGTGGATGCTTCTGAATTTGCGTCATTCTCTGAACCTATACCTGAACAACAATTACTGATTTCAAGGTACAAAAAAAAAAAAAAAAAAAGGAGGGAAGTGAATATGAAAAGGTGATTTGATTTCTTCTTTTTTCTTTTATATATTATCATTTACTTTTATATAGTATTCGTGAAACAGTGGTACCCAAATTGGTTGCTGATGATATCTCTTTACTTACAAGGTAAAATATATACAAATCAAAAAAAAAAAAAGAAAAAAAAAGAAGACAAGTGCTCATTTCAAATATTATTTGTACTCTTTTTTTTTTTTTTTTTTTTTTTTTTTCTAGCTTGCTTGCTGATGTGTTCCCTGGCGTCCATTATGCTCCTGTCAATTTGGATCGTCTCAAAGAAGAACTTAAAAAGGTATGCGAAGAGCGTCGCCTGGTTGCTGGTGATGCCTGGATGGAAAAGGTGATTCAATTATATCAAATTCAGAACATTCATCATGGTTTGATGATGGTTGGTCCATCTGGTTCTGGCAAATCTATGGCTTGGAAAACACTTCTCACTGCATTGGAACGTGTTGAAAACGTTGAAGGTGTGGCATATACTATTGATCCCAAAGCAATTCCCAAGGATGCTCTCTATGGTACTTTGGATCCAACAACTCGTGAATGGACAGATGGTTTGTTTACTCATATTCTTCGCAAGATTGTGGACAATGTACGTGGTGAAAGTCAGAAACGACACTGGATTATTTTTGATGGTGATGTGGATCCCGAATGGGTTGAAAATTTGAACTCTGTATTGGACGACAATCGACTTCTCACTCTTCCTAATGGTGAACGTCTCAACTTGCCAACTAACGTTCGTATTATGTTTGAAGTCGAAACTCTCAAGTATGCAACTCTGGCTACAGTATCTCGTTGTGGTATGGTCTGGTTCAGTGAAGATGTTATTACTCTACCCATGATTTTCTCCAACTATTTAGAAACACTACGACAAGTACCTATGGATGAGATTGATGAAGAAGGTGCTAGTGGCATAGGTTCAGGTGGTGCATCTTCTCGAAGACAAGGCGAAAATGATGATCCATCATCCGTTTCTCCCAATTTGGCCGCTCAACGTGCTATTGCTGCTATCATGGCTCCTGATCTCACCGATGAATCTGGTTTGGTGGCGAAATCATTATCTTATGCTGCAACATTAGAACATATTATGGACTTCACTAGGATGCGTGTATTATCAACCTTCTTCTCTTTACTTAACAAGACAGTACGAAATGTTTTGGAATACAATGCTCAACATGTGGATTTCCCTATGACTGGTGATCATTTAGAAGGATACATTACAAAGCGGGTGATCTACTCTATTATTTGGAGTTTCTCAGGTGATGCGAAATTGGATCTTCGAACTGTATTGGGTGATTACGTGCGTGGTATTACAACTTATGAATTGCCTCCTGCTGCCAACGACCAAAGTATCATTGACTTTGATATTGCAACTAATACTGGTCAATGGGTCCCATGGGAATCTAAGGTACCAGTGGTAGAAATTGAAACACACAAGGTCTCTGAAGCTGATATGATTATTCCTACCGTGGATACTATTCGACATGAAGAAGTTCTTTACTCTTGGCTCTCCGAACACAAGCCTTTGATTCTATGTGGTCCTCCTGGTTCTGGTAAAACAATGACGTTGTTTAGTGCTCTTCGCAAATTGCCGGATATGGAAGTGGTTGGTCTCAATTTCTCAAGTGCTTCAACTCCTGAACTAATCCTCAAGACCTTTGAACAACATTGTGAATATCGAAAGACGACAAATGGTGTGATTCTTTCTCCTACCTTGATTGGACGTTGGCTTGTGGTGTTCTGTGATGAAATCAATTTACCAGCTACTGACAAATACAATACTCAACGAGTTATTTCCTTCCTTCGACAATTGGTGGAATACAATGGTTTCTGGAGAACAAGTGATAAAGCATGGGTTACTTTGGAGCGTATTCAATTTGTTGGTGCTTGTAATCCTCCTACTGATCCTGGTCGTGTACCGCTCTCTCACAGATTCTTGCGACATGCTCCTTTGGTGATGGTGGATTACGCTGGACATACATCTCTTATGCAGATCTATGGTACATTCTCTCGAGCAATGCTTAAAGTTGTACCCAATCTTCGTGGTTATGCCGAACCTTTGACTGCTGCCATGGTCGATCTTTACCTTGCATCTCAAAAACGGTTTACTCCTGATATTCAAGCTCATTATATCTATTCTCCTCGTGAATTGACACGTTGGGTACGTGGTATCTTTGAAGCAATCAAACCTTTAGAAACTCTGACTGTGGAAGGATTAGTACGCATCTGGGCTCATGAAGCTTTACGTCTTTTCCAAGATCGTTTGGTGAATGAAGAAGAACGTGAATGGACAGATAAGATGATCAACGATATTGCCATGCAACATTTCCCTGCTTTGAATCAAGAAGAAGCTTTGGAACGACCTATTCTCTTTTCCAATTGGTTATCCAAGTACTACGTGCCTGTGGAACGTGAACAACTACGTGATTTTGCAAAAGCTCGTCTCAAGGTATTTTACGAAGAAGAATTGGATGTTCCTTTGGTGCTTTTCAACGATGTGCTGGAACACGTACTTCGCATCGACCGTGTATTCCGTCAACCTCAAGGTCATTTACTACTAATTGGTGTTAGTGGCTCTGGGAAAACAACTCTTTCTCGATTTGTGGCATGGATGAATGGTCTCAGTCTATTCCAAATCAAGGCTCATAACAAGTATACTGGTGCTGACTTTGATGATGACTTGCGTACTGTACTTCGACGTGCTGGTTGTAAAGGTGAAAAAATTTGTTTTATTATGGACGAAAGCAACGTATTGGACTCTGGATTTTTGGAACGTATGAATACCTTGTTGGCGAACGCAGAAGTACCTGGTCTCTTTGAAGGGGATGAATATGCTGCTTTGATGACTGCTTGTAAAGAAGGAACGCAACGTGATGGATTGATGCTGGACTCCAATGATGAACTATACAAGTGGTTCACCCAACAAGTGATGCGCAACCTCCATGTGGTATTTACAATGAATCCTCCAGAAGGTGGCCTAGCTTCACGTGCTGCAACATCTCCTGCTTTGTTCAATCGTTGTGTATTAGACTGGTTTGGTGACTGGCCTGATCAAGCCTTTTATCAAGTGGGTACTGAATTTACAAAGGGATTGGATTTGGATCTTCAAACTTATGGTGCGCCTCTCAACTTCCCTATTGCTTATCGCAACCTGCCTATTCCACCCAATCATCGTGAAGCTGTGGTTAATGCTTTAGTCTATATTCATCAATCATTATACGATATCAACGCCAAGCTCAGCAAACGTCAAGGTCGTCATAATTATGCTACTCCTCGACACTTTTTGGACTTTATTTCTCACTATGTACGTCTATACAATGAAAAACGTGAAGATTTGGAAGAACAACAACGTCATTTGAATGTCGGTTTGGAAAAATTGAAGGATACTGTTATCAAGGTGGAAGAACTTCGAAAGAGTTTGGCTATCAAGAAAAATCAATTGGAATTGAAGAATGCTCAAGCAAATGACAAGATCAATCAAATGTTGGCAGATGAAAAGGAAGCAGAACAAAAGAAGGCAGCCTCCATTCAAATTCAAGAAGCTTTGGAAATTCAAAACAAGGTAAAAAAAAAAAAAAAAAAAAAAAAAAGGAAAGATTTATATCATTTACACGATTGTTTACTTTACATATCTCTTCGTTTTATAGGAAATTCAAGAACGTCGTGCTGTCGTACTAAATGATCTTGCCAATGCAGAACCAGCTGTGGCCGAAGCTAGAAAGAGCGTTAGCAACATCAAACGTCAACATCTTACTGAAGTGCGATCTATGGGTAATCCTCCTGAAGCTGTGAAACTTGCGATGGAATCTGTTTGTACTATGCTTGGACACAAGATTGAAAGTTGGAAAACGGTACAAAGTATTATTCGAAAGGATGATTTTATTGCAAGCATTGTCAACTACAACACTGAAAGTCAAATGACAAAGCAACTACGTGACTTTATGCGCCGCAATTACCTCAGCAATCCAAGTTTTGAATATGAAGCTGTCAATCGCGCTTCCAGGGCATGTGGACCTTTGGTGCAATGGGTAGGTGCACAAGTGACTTATAGTGATATATTGGACCGTGTTGGACCTCTTCGTGACGAAGTTAATCAATTGGAACAAAGTGCTGAAGATACCAAGAAGAAGGCTGCAGATATTGAACAAATGATTGTGGATTTGGAAACAAGTATTGGACGTTACAAGGAAGAATATGCTGCTCTTGTGGGTGAAACACAATTGATCAAGTCAGAAATGGATCGTGTCAAATTCAAGGTAGATCGTAGTTTGACGCTCTTGAGTAGTTTATCATCTGAACGTATACGTTGGGAAGCTGCCAGTCAAGCATTTGAAAGTCAAATGGGTACTATTGTGGGTGATGTTTTATTGGCTGCTGCCTTTTTAGCTTATGGTGGTTACTTTGATCAACAATATCGTGAAATTTTGATTCAACATTGGGCAGATCATCTTGTATCAGCTGGTGTACAATTCAAGCAAGAAGTCGCATTGACAGAATACCTCTCAACAGCAGATGATCGTCTATCTTGGCAAGCTAACTCTCTTCCTACCGACAGTTTATGTATTGAAAACGCCATCATGCTCAAACGTTTTGATCGATACCCCTTGGTGATTGATCCTTCTGGACAAGCAACAAACTTTTTAATCAATGAATACAAGGATCGCAAGATTACTGTGACAAGCTTTTTGGATGATGCATTTATTAAGAATTTGGAAAGTGCACTTCGATTTGGTAACCCTATTTTGATTCAAGATGTGGAACACCTGGATCCTATTCTCAATCCTGTGCTAAACAAAGAACTCCGTCGTACTGGTGGTCGGGTATTGATTCGCCTTGGAAATCAAGATATCGATTTCTCTCCTTCCTTTACTCTCTTCCTCTCCACACGTGATCCCTCTGTGAACTTCTCTCCTGATATTTGCTCTCGTGTTACATTTGTCAACTTTACTGTCACTCGTGGTAGTTTACAAAGTCAATGTTTGAACAAAGTACTCAAAGCTGAACGTCCTGATGTCGACCAACGTCGTACTGATTTGATCAAGTTACAAGGTGAATTCCAACTGAAGCTCCGTCATCTTGAAAAATCATTATTACAAGCATTGAACGAATCTAAAGGTAATATTCTGGATGATGACAAGGTGATTGAAACTTTGGAAACTCTCAAGAAAGAAGCTGCCGAAATTACTCGCAAGGTGGATGAAACGAATACAGTAATGCAAGAAGTAGAACAAACAACAGGGATTTATACACCACTCGCTCATGCTTGTAGTTCAATCTTCTTTGTTATGGAACAACTCAATCTGGTACATCACTTTTATCAATTCTCTTTGGACTTCTTCTATGAAATATTCCAATATGTTCTCCACTCAAATCCCAATCTCAAAGGCATTACTGATCCAAATGAACGTCTGGAAGTCCTCTCTCATGATTTGTTTTCTGCTACTTATAAACGTGCCTCTCGTACTTTGTTACACGAAGATCATACTATGTTTGCTGTCTTACTTTGTCAAATTCGTATGCGTGGCTCTTCTCAAAATCATCAAGATATGAATGATGATGCCGAGTTCGACTTTTTACTCAGTGGTGGTGATACAATTTCTGATTCTGGATCTGCTGCCTCCAAACTTGGTTTACCTAGCTTTATTACTGATGAAGTGGCTCAACGTATTGATGAATTCCAATCTCTTGAATGCTTCAAACAACTCTCTCAACATATCAACCAAAATCAAGATCAATGGCAACAATTTATGGATCACTCTCAACCTGAAACTGTGGTACCTATCTGTTGGAATACGACATCCGATGTTCGCCGTAAGTAGATTACGATCTTATTAAAATAATTAGAGGAATACAGTTCTTACTTTTTTTTTTTTTTTTTTTTTTTTGCTATGATATAGCCGCCATGTCCTCTTTGCGAAAGATGTTGGTTATCAAGTGTCTACGTCCTGATCGATTATTACCTGCTACTACTATTTTTGCCTCTGAAATATTTGATTCTGGATTTATCAACAATGGAGAACTCAACTTGCAACAAGTCGTCAATGATGAAGTGGGAAGTTGTACTCCTTTGGCTCTTTGCTCTGTACCTGGTTATGATGCTAGTTACCGTGTGGATAATCTTGTTGCCGAAACCAATTCTCGATGTACCTCTGTTGCTATGGGATCTGCTGAAGGATTTACTCTTGCTGATCAAGCCATCTCTCTTGCTATCAAGAATGGTAACTGGGTGATGCTGAAGAACGTCCATCTTGCTCCTTCTTGGTTGGGTCAATTAGAAAAGAAATTACATAGTATGAAGCCACATCGTAACTTCCGCCTATTTTTGACTATGGAAACCAATCCAAAGGTGCCTGTCAATCTTTTACGCATGTCTCGAATCCTTATGTTTGAACCTCCTCCAGGTATCAAGGCCAATCTCCAAGAATCTCTACGAAGCATTCCTCCTTCTCGTCTCTCACGTGGTCCGTCTGAACGTGCTCGATTGTATTTCATGTTAGCTTGGCTTCATGCTGTGGTTCAAGAACGTCTTCGTTATGTTCCTTTAGGTTGGACAAAGGTATATGAATTCAATGACTCTGATCAAGATTGTGCCTTTTCAACTATTGATAATTGGTTGGATATCGCTGCAGGTGGTCGTGCCAATATCTCACCAGAAAAGATTCCTTGGGATGCTATTCGATCTCTACTTCAACAATCCATTTATGGTGGTCGTATCGACAATGAATATGATCAACGCTTATTGGATTCCTTTGTCAATACTCTCTTTAGTCATCGCTGTTACGATTTGGACTTTGAAATTGTGAAGAGCACAGGTGAAAGTGAAAAGGCTTTAGTGGTTCCAGATGGTACCAAGATGGAACACTTTATGGAATGGGTGAACAAACTTCCTGATCGTGAACCTCCTACGTGGTTAGGCTTACCTGCAAATGCTGAACGTGTTTTATTGACTCTCAAGGGCAAGACAATGTTATCCAAGGTACGCAAGATGAAGAGTACCACTGATGATGACGAAATAGCATTTACTCCTGAAGCGGCAACATCAAATAGTGGTGGCAGTAGTGGTGACAATACTGGTCAATCTTCGACAACAGGTACCTCACAACAACCTGCTTGGATGCGCGCATTACACACATCTATTACCAACTGGCTTTCCCTTTTACCATCAACCCTTCCTCTTATGCAACGTGATGACAACAATGGTATTATGAATCCTCTTTTCCGATTCTTTGAACGTGAAAATCAAATAGGCCGTAGTTTACTCAACACTATCCGTGAAGATCTCCTCTCTTTACAAAAGGTGTGCACTGGCGAACTCAAACAAACCAATCACTTGCGTCAATTGATGAGCTGGCTTACCAAAGGTTTGATTCCTGAACATTGGAAACGATACAAGGCTCCCAAGGATATCTCTCTCAATATTTGGCTAGCAGATCTCAAGGCTCGTTTGGAACAAGTGGCATTGATATCTCAAGAAAAGGATTTCGGTCATGTAGAAGTATGGATGGGTGGATTGTTTATTCCAGAAGCCTATGTTACAGCTACTCGTCAAGCAACAGCTCAACATAATAAGTGGTCATTGGAAGAATTGGTGCTTGTTGTGGATATGGAATTGAAGTCAAGTGATAGAACTCAAGGCACTTATACTGTCCGTGGTATGAAGATGGAAGGTGGTGAATGGAATGATAAACAACTTTGTCTTACGTCAAATCCTTATACAAAATTACCTTCTATTGGATTACGATGGATACGTGGAACTGACAAGAATGATCTTTCTGATGGTAATGAAGGTGAAGTGGCCTTACCAGTGTATCTTAACTCTGACCGAAGTGATTTACTGTTTACTATCAATGTGGCTGTTGATCCTGAACAAAAAGACCGTATTCCTCAACGTGCTGTGGCTATGATTATTTCTTTTTAGTTAGTTAGATATATATATTATTATTATTCTCTTCTTAGTTTATCAAATAAAAATTGAAACTTGATTTTTTTTTTTTGTTTTACCCCTTACGGATTTTGAAAATTTAGTTCGCATAAGAAAAGGACACTAAAAAGAAAAAAGTTTGGTTCAAAACCTTTTTTTTTTTCTTTTCTTTTCTTTCTTCTTCTCCTTTTCTTCTCCTTTGAACAATAATTAAATATGACTCAAGTTGCACCTATTGATACCAATACTGAACAAAATATTGAAATTTGGAAGACAAAACGACTTATCAAACGGTTAGAAGCAGCTAGAGGGTAAGCCTTCAGAACTTATATACTATTATTAAAAATACTTTTTATATCATAGGAATGGGACATCAATGATTTCTCTTGTTATACGTAAGTTTGTTTAATCAACACGATTTATTTTTTACTATTTCTTTACTTTTGGTTTAATAGCACCCAAGGATCAAATTAACAAAGTGAATAGTATGTTGACAGTTGAATATGGTACAGCAAGTAATATCAAATCCCGCGTGAATCGACTTTCTGTCCTTTCAGCCATTACTTCTACTCAACAAAAACTCAAGCTTTATAACAAAGGTAGGTTTATTTTTTTATTTTAATTTTTTTTTTTTTTTTTTTTTTTTTGCCTTGACTTTTATTTTTTATTTTTTATCAAGTTCCTCCAAATGGTCTTGTCGTTTATTGTGGTACTATTGTTACAGATGAAGGCAAAGAAAAGAAGGTGAATTTTGATTTTGAACCTCACAAGCCAATCAATCGATCTCTTTACTTGTGCGACAATCGTTTCCATGTTGAATGTCTGACTGAACTTTTGGAAAATGATTCTATCTTTGGTTTTATCATTATGGATGGCAATGGTACTTTATTTGGTACTGTCTCTGGAAATACAAGAACCATCGTACACAAGATACAAGTGGATTTACCCAAAAAACATGGTCGTGGTGGACAATCTGCTCTTCGGTTTTCTCGTCTTCGTGAAGAAAAACGCCATAATTATGTTAGGAAAATCGCTGAATTGGCTGTACAATTCTTTATCACCAATGACAAGGTAAGTTGATTATTTGTTTATCTAATTATTTATTTATTCTCTAATGAACCCATTTTTATTCTTCTGTTATTTATTTTTTTTTTTCAAAGGTGAATGTCACTGGTTTGGTAATAGCAGGTTCAGCAGATTTCAAGACTGAATTGGCACAATCTGATCTCTTCGATCCTCGTCTTCATAACAAGCTAATCAAGTTACTGGATGTCTCGTATGGCGGTGAAAATGGGTTTAATCAAGCAATTGAACTATCAGCAGAAGCCTTATCTAATGTCAAATTTGTACAAGAAAAGAAACTCATTCAACAATATTTTAATGAAATCTCTCAAGACTCTGGCAAAGTATGTTATGGCATCAATGATACTCTCAAGGCACTGGAAATGGGTGCAGTAGATCGACTGATTGTTTGGGAAAACCTGGAAATGACTCGTTATGAGCTACAAGATGAATCGACAGCATCAAACCTTATAAAAAATGATCCTATTATGGACACAACGTTGGAAAAACGGGTAGTGTATCTTACCAAGGAAGAGGAACGTCAACGTCATGCCTTCAAGAAAAATACTGGCAACAATAGTGAAGAAATGGAAATCATCAATGCAACACCTTTTCTGGAATGGCTAACAGACAATTACAAAGATTATGGTGCCAATTTGGAATTCATCACTGACAGATCACCAGAAGGTTCACAATTTGTCAAAGGTTTTGGTGGTATTGGTGGACTTTTACGATTCAAAGTAGGCATGCATATACACAAACATATTGAAACTGACTTTTTATTCCTTTTTTTTTTGGAGGTGAATTTTGAACAACTTTATGACGATTCTGAAGATGAATACTTTTCTGATTGATTCCTATTTTCCAATGTTCAAGGTTGTGGGTGGATGCCATCTTGTTTGATGGTTGAACAACAAAATGATGATGCAACTAGAGCGATGTCTCGGGTTTCATATTTGATTTATCGCTTACTCATTTATAACATACTCAGGAAAATGATCAACTCGACAACACGGTATCACTTTGGACATTGGAAAGAAAAATGTATTAGTATTATCATCATTCGTACTAATATATGCCTATATATCGAACAATACCACTACTTGTTTATGCTTTGGAAGGACGCGGTAAAAAAAAAAAAAAAAAAAAAACCAAAATAGGAAATAAGTGACTCACCCTTTTTTTTTCTTCTATATTAGAGAAACAATATAGACAAACCATTATGAAAATGTAGAATGAATTGACTGATTACTTCCTTATCTAGAATATTTTTTTTTGTCTATCTTTATTTTTATCTTATTTGAAATAAATGTCTATCACCTTTACGGTATTTATCTTTGTGTCATCCAAGCTTGATGACTATTTGTTGATGGTGAATGATAAATAAAATCGTAAGATGGACAATTGATACGTGATATTGGATGATGGTTGGTGAAAAGGAGAAGCGTTCAAGGTAATGACAATGACGATAAACGGCATTGATTCTGATGATTCAAACATTAATCTGTCTTTATTAATGAATAAAATATAAAGCTATAATAAAAGAATTCAATACAAGAGCTAGATGAGAGGCACAAAGTCAACTCAAATCGGGTATATGACAGACTTAAGCTTAAAAATGGATTTGAAGGGGTGATTAGAGTTGTGGATTCAACTTTTTTTTTTTTTTTTTTTTTTTTTTTTTTTTGAAAATTTTGGATTTTACAGCCAAAATTTTCGAACTCCTCAGCCAAATTTTAGCTGTAAAAAATAATCGTCAGGGGGTTGCCAGGCAATTTTTCGAAAAATCGATGAAATGCTTTTGGTGATCATTATACGTGAGGTGACAAGATAAGCGATAAAATGAGATTAGATGATATTTGACTACTTTTTTGAGAGGAATCCAATGGTGGTCATTTTATTGAATGATGATCACTATTGGATGAGGGATGAGCATTCTTATTTTCCTTTTTTTTTTAATATATTCTATATATTGTGAGGCAATGTATAAATTGTTATTAAGACAAGTGGTAGAAAATGATTTCATCTATGTTCAGTAAAAATTTGGTGGCGTGATGATCATTTTCGATTGAGAAACGAAAAGACAGAATTTTGCTCTTCCTTCCGCATGAATGCAGGATTCTTCTGATTCTACAGCCAACTGATCAGCCAAATCTTGACTGTTAAAAAGTCCATCATCAGAGAGTTGCCTGAGGATTGTCTCTAATAACATGCCATTTTTCATCTTTTTTTTTTTTTAAGGCATAATTTGAACAATCAAAGTAATCATCGTCAGTCATCACAAAAGCATGCCATGAGCCAGGTGCCTTTGAAAAAGGTAACATTTAACCGCAATCTATGTCAGTATAGTCAATAAAATTATAAATCTCTCTTTCATTCCTGATGCTCAATAAAGATACGTAAATATATCATTTGTATAAGTACCTATTTTTTTTTTTTAATAAATTTATTGTTTATTGAGTCGAGCAATTTCCAATTCTAATTTTAGTTTTTCAATAGCTAATAAATCACGTTCTTTATCTATAAGAACTAATCTAATTTGTTCTTCTATCCTAAGGGTATCTTGCTTGGCCTTGATTGATTCCCATTTGGCTTGTTTTGTCCTGAAGCTAGCTTGTTCGAGCGCATATTGACTGAGTCGTAAGTGGATATGCTGATCCATGTCAGTGATGGATCGTGCCTTTTTTTCCCGTCTACCAAAGCCATCATCATCTTCCCCTTCATCAGATTTCTTTCTACGCTCTTCATCATTGTCGTCACCATCATCCATATCTTCATCATCATCCAAAGGTTCAGCATCAAGTGAATTTGTACTACGTTTTCCAAGTGCTGGCAATAATGATGTGTATCTTTGCAAAATCATACAGGTACATACATATAGGTATAAAAAAGGAAGAAGTATCAAATGAGACCGATGATTTGAATCTATGTGAGAGAATCAGTCTTACCTTAGATCAAAAGATAAAGGAGAAGCTGGAGGTGATAATGTAGTTGCGCTAGTACCAAAAATCAAACGGCATTGATGATAATATTTACAGGTATTGTAAATCCTTGCTGTACAATCAATGGTAAAAAAGAAAAAAAAATTGAGGACCTCTTCATTTTTTTTTTTAATTAGTTAATTACCATCAATCATATCGTTGTCCATTTCACCATCTTTACAACTATATTGCTTGAGCGTTTTATGGAGTTTCTGCGCCTTTCGATAGCATTTTTCCAAGTTATTGATCTTCGATCGGATAGAGGAGGCAAGTATTTCATCACCTTGGAATAATTCGCGTGCAGCTTGTCGGCATGTACTTGATTTGTTCAAGGAGAGTTGAAGTCGATTGTTTGGTATACAGAGCCAGCTTAGTAGGCGTTCCAATTCATCCTTGCTCCAGTACTTGTAGTTTCGATCCTTGTATTCACGCGAGATCGGAGGTGATGATGGTAGTGATAATGATGATGATGATGAAGGTAGTGATGATGACGAGGATAGAGAAGGTAAAGAGGATAGGGATGATGCTGGTAGTGATGGTAAATTGGGTAATGCCAACGACGATTGGTATTGCTGTTCCTGTCGATGATGATAATTTTTATGCCGATGTCGCTGTTGTGAGTAAATCGTAGTGGAGAAATTATCAGTCGTAGAATCCACCATAGTAACTAGAGTCGAATAAAGCAAGGACAAAAAAAAAAAAAAAAAAAAAAAAAAAGAAGAAAAAAAAAGAAAAAAGAGAAAAAAAAAGATAAAAAGAAGAGGAAATATATAAGAATACAACAAAGACTAATCAAGTCTTAAGAGTTTCCAAATCAATCAATATTAAAGTAAAGATAGGGGGGTAAAAAATCCAAATGGTTTTTATTTTATTTGAAAAAAAACAAAATCTACAAACTAAGAAAAAAACGATAAATATATAATTCTTTGTATTACTAATATACTAATTCCAACGATCATTGTCACCAAGGGTACTTGTTCAAGCAGATGCAGAGGATGCCAAGGACTTTTGGAAAGCGGCCATACGAGATTCAAGTTCTGGTCGGAAATGGCGAATCAAACCTTGCACGGGCCAAGCAGCAGCATCACCAAGAGCACAAATAGTATGTCCTTCAATTTGTTTAGTCAATTCCCAGATTTGATCAATTTCTTCAGGGCGACCACGACCATCTTCAAAGCGATCCATCATAGTTTCAAGCCATTTGGTACCTTCACGACAAGGAGTACATTGACCACAAGATTCATGACGGTAGAATTTAGCGAACCGAGAAATAGCACGAACAATATCAGTAGATTTATCCATCACAATCACAGCAGCAGTACCAAGACCAGAGTTCACATCACGAAGAGCATCAAAGTCCATCAACACATCAGAACAGATATCTTTAGGAATGACAGGAACGGAACAACCACCAGGGATAATACCGAGCAAGTTATCCCATCCACCACGGACACCACCACAATGTTTTTCAATCAATTCTCTCAAAGGAATTGACATTTCTTCTTCTACGGTACAGGGATTGTTGACATGACCAGAGATACAGAATAACTTGGTACCACTATTACGAGGACGACCGAAACTAGCAAACCAAGATCCACCACTGTAATAATAGTAATAAAATAAAAACAAAAAGAAGATGAATGAGGAGGATGATAAATATAGAGTCTTCACTTTTTTTTTTAAAAAAAAATAATTTACCGTCTAAGAATAGTAGGAGCTACAGCAACAGTTTCGACATTGGTAACAGTAGTAGGACAACCGAACAAACCAACATCAGCAGGGAATGGAGGCTTAAGTCTGGGCTTGCCTTGCTTGCCTTCGATGGATTCAATCAAACTAGTTTCTTCACCACAAATGTAAGCACCAGCACCACGATGAATATAAACGTCAAAATCATAACCAGAGCCGCAGGCATTCTTGCCAATCAAACCAGCAGCGTAAGCTTCGTTAATAGCTTCTTGAAGATGAGAAGCTTCTTGATAGAATTCACCACGGATATAAATGTAAGCTAAAGATACAAAAAAAAAAAAAAAAAAGATGAGATACATTGTATTTCTCTCTTCCTTTTAATTCATCATTATCTTACCAGCATTAGCCTTCATAGCAGAACCAGCCAACAAGCAACCTTCGATTAACTTGTGAGGATCACCACGCATGATTTCACGATCTTTACAAGTACCAGGTTCACCTTCATCAGCGTTGATAACCAAATAACGAGGACTATGAAATAATAAATGGATTAGTAAAAAAAAAAAAATGATAAGAGATATTCAAACAATGTAAAACATTTACCGGCCATCCAAAGGTTTGTTCATAAAACTCCATTTCAAACCTGAAGGGAAACCAGCACCACCACGACCACGAAGACCAGATTCTTTCATTTCTTTGATGATCCAATCATGACCCTTGAGGACAAGTTCCTTGGTCTTATACCAATCACCACGTTTCAAAGCACCCTTGAGTTTGTAATCATGCTTCAAATATAAGTTGGTGAAAATACGATCTTCATCAGATAAGTTACCGAATGTTGTCTTTCCAGTAATAGGATTGGCGTTAGGGTCAGCTTCAGTGGCGAAAGATCGAGTAACATTTGGCAACACACGCAAGTTTCGAGTGACAGTTGTGCTAACTATTTGAATAAATAAAAAGAAAGAAAAAAGAAAAGAGAATAATTGGTACATGTTCAAAGTCAGGTTGTTATAAAAAGGTATTTTATATTCTCTAAAGACGTTGTTTATAGTAGTTTGCTGTAATAGTTGGTGATATCATTTCGTTTTTAGATATTTACCTCGTTTGGTAGCAAGGGATCGTAACATGACTAGTTATTGTTCAACAAAATAATAAGAGAAAAATAAAAAAAGAGTAGGGAGAGTTTATAAATGACAGAGGAAGAAGTATAGGGAAAGCAAAAATTTCTTTCCAAAAGAATTGAAAGTTTTGCTTTTTTGTATTTGAAGTTGAACGAGGTTAAAGAGAAAGAGACCAAAACAATCTGTTTTTTTTTTATTTTGTTTTCCCTTCTTTCGCCGCAAAAAAAAAAAAAAAAAAATTGGCCTTGCTCAACAAATTGATATCCCACCTCAAAGATTAGAATATTAAAAATGACGTCCAGTTAAGAAAAAAAAAAGTCACTGTGAACTCCGTTTTTTTTTTTTTTTTTTTCTGACAAGAGTACAAAAAATGACACGCTCATTCCAAAAAAAAAAAAAAAAGTCGTGCATTTTCTTTTTTCTTTCTCCTTTTTCCTTTTTTTTTTTTTTATTCTTTTCTTAGTTTTTTTGCTACGGAGCAAAATGTATCCTTTTGATGATATATTTTCTCAAACTTCAGTTAGAAAACCTCCTCTCATTACATACAAACGAAAGCAACAAAAGCAAGTACAACACTACACACTCGATCAAACGCCCCTGAACCACGACTCTGACTTGGAAAACAACGCGACTTCACTTGTAACAGAAAAAACGCTAGAACCAACAACTCCAGAAAAGGCTCAACCAATAGACAATGTATTCGACGTGGCCTTTTTGAATAGAACTTCATTACAAACAACCGATATCTTTGATTTTCCTGACCAGGACATCGATGATGCTCAAGTTGAACTCAGAATAGCATCTTCACTACATATCAAACATAAACCTCAAGTCAAAAAGTCCACAACTACAGCTTCTACCAACAGCAAAAAGAAATCAAGGCCAACTTCTACAAAACGCGAACGTGTATCTTCTTTCTCCAGAACAGTATCAGCACCCTCATCCTCTACATTCATGACAGATAATTCGACGGCTTCACCTACACTTTCCACCACACCAGTGACGAACAAAAGGATTCATCGATTACCAGATATGAAGAAAAAAAAGCGGAACCTAGTATCTCAACTTAAAGGTGCTAATGGTGAATGTTTAGGCACCCATACTCAAACGACAGGACTCAGATTTTATGATATTTCTGACGATGAAGATGACACTACATTATCTACACCGGTATCTTTATCATTGCCAACACTTTTACCTTCAACATCGTCATCACTATCAAGTCCTTTAACAACTACAAATTCACCAACCAGTTTTCTCGATTATAAGGATCGCATGGAACAAGAACTTGCAGAATTAATGCGAACAGAATTTGGACAGGATGCGCCTCATATTTTATCATCATCATCTACCTCAACCGACATTGCGACTGTACCAACTACACAAGCCATGGCAGGAAAACAACAAACCTCTTATGTACCTGAAAATGCAATACGTACACCCATCACTTACAAAAAACGACAGACCAACAAATTATCACATTCATCCAACTTGTCACCTTGCTCAGAGACGGAAGGATTAGATCAACAAATGGAAAAGCAAATTCAATATTTACTATCTAGCGATTTTTAGTGTATTACCTTTTATTTACTTTTACTTTTATTGTATATACTTTTTACTTGATATTATTTATCACTGTGTACTATTGTATTATATTTTTATATCATCATCTTTTATTCTTATTTTTACATCATTGAATAATAAATATCCCTGTTTTACGATGCTTTCAACTTTGTACCACAGCGCTGTTTCAATCTCACAACCTTCAAAAAAAAAAAAAAAAAAAAGATATGTTTTCATACTTTCTTTTGTTTCCTTCTTCTTTTATACAGCGGCATGGCATTAAAGCGAATTCAACGGGTAATTATCCAAACAGAAATCTGATTTATATTTAATTTATTGAAAAAAAAATAGCAATAAAAAGGCTATAATGTCTGTTCTTTTACTCATCATTCTCTCTTTGTCTCTCTCTCTCTTTTATATATTTTATTTTTTACTACTGCCTGTCATGTAAAGGAATTAAATGACTTGGCAAAGAACCCACCACCTGGTATAACTGCTGGACCTGTTGACGAAGATATGTTCCATTGGAAAGGTAAGGATGAAAGAGAATTAAAAGTGGAAAGACTGGGGATCTGCATCTAGAAAAAAAGAAGGTGACGTATATAGTTACATTGTCCTGTCAACTCATTCTCCTTTTTTTATTTTCTTCTTTTCTGGATATATACGATATATATCTTGTCTATAGGTAGTGTTGCTGGTCCTGTAAGTAAATGAAGAGGTAGAATGTCACTTTTCATTGACATTAATACTCCTTTTTTTTTTGTTTGTCTTTAGGAAAACACTCCATATAAAGGAGGAACTTTTTACTTGGATATTGTATTTTCAGCTGACTATCCATTTAAACCTCCAAAGGTACAGAAGTATATCAAATATACAAAGGAGGATATACTTATTTTATCTTTTTTTTTTTTCATAGGTCAAGTTTATTACCAAGATTTATCATCCTAATATCGACGATGATGGTTCTATTTGTGTAGATTTGTTAAAATCAGACGTATGGAAACCTGCAACTAAAATACATCAAGGTAAAAAAAATGAATATGTAGAACGTGATAAAAAAGGATCCTATGAAATAGAGAGAGAGCTATTGATTCAAACTAAACTTATTATATATCTAGTATTGGACGCACTTGCCATGCTATTGGAACATCCCAATCCTGATGATGCCCTCGTATCCTCTATTGCTGAAGCTTACAATACCAACCGTGCAAAATATAACAAGACAGCGAAGGATTACGTAGAAAAGGTAAAGGAAGAAAAATTCATCATATAACACAATCTAATTATCTCCTTTTTTTATTATTATTCATGATCTTCAATAGTACGCAAAGTGAAACCCGATCTTTTATCTTTTTTAGTATATTCCCTTGTCAAACACACACACACCTTTTTTCTTAGCAAATTGAATATGATGACTACACTTTTTTTTTTTTTATCTGAAACACTTGTAAATAAAATAATATATTGATGTCTCTTTTTGCGATGATGGATGGTATCATGATGGTGGATAAGATTTATGGGTAGATGATATGGTGATGATGGATAGCAGTTGTTTTACCTAAAACTTTTTACAAATTCATGTCAGTGACTTTTATACAATTTCAGGTTTTTTTTTGCCAAAAGTAATTCAAGTAGACTTTCAATGGCTCCACAGCTTGGTCAGACAATAGCAATCTTATACCCGAAACGGAACTCTTCATCTAATCTTCTTTCGTTGAAGGTAGTTGCTAGTGGATGCTATCGATTAATTCTTATACTTTGTTACTTTCTCCTTTAGTAAAATCACATTTACATTTTCAAAGTGCTTTCATCACCGGTCTCCTATGTGACAAACGGTCATCATCATCCGATCATCTAATCATCTGATATATATATATATATATATCTGTTTCCTTTCTTTCAGAGAATCCTATCAGAGAATCCTATCGGTTTTCGCATTAATCAACTTTCCACTCTAGCCAAAATAATCAAGATTCCCATATTCCATATTTCTTTAGAAAGATCTCCAATACAATGTCAGAATATTTATTAGTAAATAATTAAAAGAATCATCCGACAATAAAATAATACTAAACTAATACAAGATTTTTCACCACTAAAACTAATACCAGCATATAATCCCCCAAGGTAATAACTACATTTTTTTTTTTTGTCTTTCCTTGTCCAAAATTTCCCCACCCAATCAAAACTTGTAAAGTCAGAATCATAAAGAAGAGGAAGAAGATCTGCTTGTAAAGAAGATGGTTGTTCCAATGGTCTCTTCCCTACCGAACCATGACCAGATACCACTTATTCTATGCACGCGATCCGTACTACCACCATGGAAGGAATAGGCTTGTACCAATTGAAGTATTAATACCTTGAGGAACTCTTCACTTATACGAGAGCCTTGACAAAGACGACGACTGACACCAAATGCTAGATGATCATGAGCTGGTAAGCGAGAAGGATTGTTGTCGAGAATGGAGACGGTCTTCCTCACCTGACCAGCAGCAGAGGATGGTAAAAAGCGATCAGGGTTGAAGATGGTAGGATCCACATAGTAATCAGAATTGAAATGAATCGTATCCAAGTTGACAACCAATTCGGAATCTTCGTCTACGCGATATTTCTTGCCATCGACATCCACATCTTGATCCACGCGAGAAGAATGAGAATAAGCACGAAGAGGTGGGTCATACCGTAAAGATTCCTTGACAAAAGCAGCCGCAAATTCAGGATCACCTCGTAATCGATCTTGCATTCCAGGTAAAGTGGCCAAACGTTGTATCATACTGAAAATGATGGTGGAGAGATACTTATAACTATGAAGAGTGATGTGCATAAGGTTAAGGATGATTTCATCTTGCTTGAGTTGTTCTGGTTCAGGGTCATTTTTAGAAGGCTTCACATCAGCTAACACCTTAGCCAATAAAGGACGTTTTTGTTCTTCCTTGTCATCATCCAAATCTGTAGTATTCAAAGTCCAATCAACAAAATATTTTAATAATTCGTTTCGAAGTCTGACAGCTGCATCACCAAATAAAATATTCTTGGCCGCTATGACCAATGGAATCACCGGGATACGGAACGTAAAGTATTGTACCAATGGCTTAGCTTGTTCTTCTTCCAGTATGGCTACCTTATCCAATAATCTGACCATATCCTCAGGATCCACTGAAGATTGATTCGTCACCATAATCAATGCTGTATCCAATGCAACCAAATCTACAAGTCCCCGAAGTTGATCCGCGTTCACCTTTCCACCATTCTCTTGTTGATTCCATGCTTGAGCAATGGCATGTACAAGTTTTTCACTTTGATTAGAAAATAATGTACTGAACCAAGTTGCAGGTGAATTATTGATAGTTGTAGCTACAGATCGTCGAATCCGAGACCAATAGAGACTAAAAGGAGCAGCATAAACAGTTTTCCCTATTCAAAAAAAAAAAAAAAAAGACAGAGAAAAGGTTAGAGCTCTTTCATCCTTCTTAACCTGAATATTTTTTTTTTTTTACCATTATCAGTCAAAGCCATTTCAAATCCACCATTTGGTATTTTTGATGAGTTGTATTGGTCTTTATCTACTAAAAGTTGGTTGACTAAAGGACCATCATTAAGTACCAAAATTCGTTTCTGACCTAATCGAACGGAGAAGAAGTGACCACATTCCATTGCCCATTTTGAGAGAATACTTGAACCTTTGAGTTGATAGTCTTCAAGACCATTCCATAACCAAGGTAAAGATGCAGGAGAAGGAGCCCAGGGACTTTTAGGTCTACCGTCAGCATGTTTATTGACCCACATATACTGACTTACCACCTGTGATAAAAGATAAGTAAATGCAACTGAAAGTAGAGTAGATACAACAGATCCCATATGAAATATATATATATATATTTATAAAAAGAAGTGGAGACAAATGAGAGAAAAAAAAAAAAGAAAGAAACAGAAAGAAGAGAAAAGAAAAAAATATATAAACTTTTTTTTTTCTTCTTCTTGGTTTCCAAAAAGGATAAAAGATCCAAAAAAGGTTATTCAAGCGCCGCATTGAACTCTATAAAGGAATGATAGATCAATATACGTTATGTGATTAAAGGAATAAATAATAATAAAAAAAACACACACACACACACGAAATTAATCTTTTTTGAATAAGATGAAGTGAAAAGTCATAAAGTTCTTCTTTTATATGTTGGCGTCATATGCATACCAGTCAACGTTATTTCAGTTACACCAACCAGTCAAGGTTCCTGGTGTTATCTATACAATCAAGAATCATGTCTAAAAATCAGAATAATACTTTTCAGTTCCCGATGTATACGCATGGATCCAAGGCAAAATGAATGAATGATGATAAGTGAATAATAAAAAGAAAAAGGAGTAATGATAAATACAAATCAAATCAAATAAATAAATAAAAAAAAAGGTATCTTTATTATTTATTAAAAAAGAAGAATAACTAAATCATACCAAACTACAAATCTATTTTGGATCATATTTCTTTTTCCAAATCCAAGAATTACCCATGATACCATGACCTTGTTTATCAGCTTTGCGATAATACTTTGCAGCAAGAGCCACATCCTTCTTGACACCTTGACCATTGTAATAACAATGTCCCAAATCATTTTGAGCATCTGCATCACCTAAATCCGCGGCAATCTTGAAAAAGTAAACAGCCGTTTCTTTATTCTTTCGACAGCCCCAACCATGACGGAAAGATACACCCATTTCATAAATGGCCATGATTAATTCACCTTTGGATACTGATGTATTGACTGTTTTGGATAAACTGTTGAGATCTAGTACTGCATGCTCTGCCGCCTTTTGAATATATTGGAATGCTACTTGTTCGTTCTTTTGACATCCCCAGCCATGTCTCAAAGAAACACCGTAAAAGAACATCGCCATAGGTAATTGCAATTGTGCTGCTTTTTGAAAATAATAGGTTGCTTGTTCCAACTTACCAGATTCATGATACTTGATACCTTCCAATAACAATGCCTCACCTTCTGATGTTGGTGCCTCCTTTTTCCTTTGTCCAATACTTGCTTGTTGTTGTTGTTGTTGTTGTTGTTGACGAGGAGTTGATGGATAAGGTTGCTGCTGTTGTTGATAAACAGGAGTGGATGGTTGTCTTCCTGGTGAAACTGGATAATGTTGCTTTTGTTGATATTCATGTGCAGATGGAGACATGGACGTTTGGAGATATTGTTTTGTCGATGAAGGGGTACCAGGAGAAACAGTCATTGGAGAATAACCGTAAGAACCAGGAGTCAATGATGGCGTCAATTGGGAAGGTAATGGTGATCGTTGAAGAGGAGAGATATGTTCATTATTCACTTTATTTGGTGAAGATACTGATCGATTCGGTGTAGGTGGAATAACAAGAGGAGGTAATGGTTGAGGATGTCTTGATGATTTACTTTGAGAGCTTGTTGAACTTGATGTACTGTGAGTAGATCGTGAAGGTACAGGCTGTAAGATAAAATCATTATAATCATCGCGTTGTCGATAAAAATGATCATGATTTGAAGCTTTTTCGATGATAGCATGAGAAGCTTGAGCATATGGAGCATTTACTTGTTCAATCTTGACAGGCATTTCCACATGTTGTACTCTAGGTTGAATAATGGTAGGGGGTCGTTTGATTTGAGCATCTGATTCAGCCATGGATGCCATATCACTTGTACTTTGAAAGAAGTCCATATTGCCAAAAGAGGAAGAACCTTGATACATACTTATAGGAGTGACAGAAGTTTGTACCATGGTCGATTTATTGGGTTCTATTGAAAATATTATCATCAGTAAAATATATATATATATATATAATTGTTTTTTTTTTTTTTTTTACCAATATATGTTTGACGAGAAGTACCAGAAGGTGGAGAGACATCTTTTTTAGGATCAATAAGAGATTCACGTCCATCACCATAAGTATCATAAAGAGAATCATAAGGTAAAGAGGATATCCTAGTAGAAGGTTGCTTATATTGAGAGCGGGGTTGATTACCCATTGGAATAGTCTATTTTGAAGAAGAGTAGTAATATAATAAGTACATGGTTTTCGGGTTACACATACTTTTTTTTTTCTACAAGAGTTGTTGATTTTTTTTTATAGTAATACTTACTTGATAGGTATCCTTTGATGGAGTAGTCGGAATGGTTCTATATAAATATATATATATAGATATAAGTAAAGTAATAATAATCAGTATTATGTTTGACATTATACATATTAATGGCATTGATTACCTTGAATTAGGAGTAACGAATTGAAAAGAAGGATTGCTTTGTTTGTGTTGTAGGTTTTTAAACATGATGGTAGAATAATAAGTAAAAATTAAATAAATAAGATGCTTGAAGGACAGAATACAAATGGAAGTAGTATTACAATTAATACATACTATGGGAAAAAGAAAGGGAAAAGGAAGGGAAAGGGATCAATCTTAACACTACAACGAAAAGAAAAAAAGAAATAATAGTAGTAGAGTAAGAATTGAATAAATATTAATAAAACAAACAAAGAAAAAAAAAATAAAGAGAAAAAGAAAAGAAAAAAAAAAAAGGTGGTGCCTTAACCCTACCTCCTTTTGATGCCACTTTCTCTCACTCTTTTAGTCTATTTCCTAGTCCGACTGTTTAATAATATATCAACTTTTTTTCTGATGCCTTTTTTTATCATCATTTAGTATACTTGATCAATGCAAACTAATATTCTATCATTCATTCAATTACTGCTTTTGTGTCTTTTCCAGTATGATTCCATATTGAAAATAACACCAAATCTTACTTCATATAAATTGATACATGTTACACTAAATCATCTCGCTAAAAATAGTAACTTCATCTCTCCCTTTCAGGGTCAATCAAATATATATATATGTATACCTTTTTTATTTCCAAAAAAAAAAATAAAATAACTATACTAATAAACTATACTACAGGTCCATTATTTAAATCATAGAATTGATTCAATAATCCAATCATACCAGGTACTTGATTTGGATCCGTAATTTCTTCTTCTTCTTCTTCTTCATTATTCATTGTAGGACTATCTGATCTTGTTCTTGCAAAAGAATCTCCGAGATTACTGGGTATTCGACCTTCTGGGACACCATATTGGTTCAATTGTGTTGTTTTTGTTGTGGATTGAGATATCATACGTGGTTCTGATAGTTCCATACTTGAGGGATGAATTGTTGGTACAAAATGAGTTCGTTGAAATGCAAATCCAGTGGGTGAATAGGCCTGTTCCATGAGATCTTCATCATCCGTTGATTGTTGTTGTATAGTATGATCTTCATGTTCTTGTTGTAATCCATGCTGATCTATGTCTTTATGATCCTCATTTCTACTATCTATATCATCGCCATCATTGTTCCATGATTTTGAAGATGATTCATTTGCAAATCGATTGGTTCTCGTTGATAATCGGTCTAACTTTTCCGTCTTTGTCTTTTGGAATGCTGCTAGTCTAGAAAGGTACATAGAGCCACCTAAATCCGTTGGTTCCCATTCAGGATTATTGGCCTGTTAATATTAAAAAAAAAATATTAGTACAGTATTTTCATTTTTTTTTGTCTTTTTTTTTCTTTTTTTCTTTTTTTCTTTTTCTTTTTCTGTTTCTGTTTCTGTTTCTGTTTCTTTTTTTTCTTTTTTTTTTTTCTTTTCTTTTTTTTTTTTTTTTTTACCTTAAAATTCAAAAAACTTTTTTCCATTTTTCCTTCTTTGCTGACATAGTAATCATCATCTATTTTGGTAGGAGCGCCATATTTCACATTACCATGTCTTTCAAAATCAAATTGAGCAAAGCTACACACATAACCTAGACCATCCACATGAACTGAGAATTCCCGGAAAAAATCCACAATCTGATCCGCGCTTGAAGGAAGTGAGAAACCCAAAATAACCGGAGTAAAGATAACGCTGATTAGCTCTTGTAAAAATAAAGATACCTTGTAATCAAAGAGTTGACAAAACTGGGATCGAACTTCATCACTGTGTAATTGACCATGCCATTCACTCGGGAAATAATGAGTATGTTCTACTACTTGTCGAAGTAATACTTCTGGTTCAAAGATTAAATGTTCATCCGGAATCATTCGTCTACTAACTTCAAAAATCGCACCAAATAATCCCATATAGAAGAAGACTGTCCTATTTGATGTGATTTCAAAGTTCACCAATGCTTCAGAATCAAATAATGTCAAGATAAGAAGAACGCCAGCAAGTGAACCAGTGATAAATGCAACAAATCTATTATAATAAAAAGTTAGTTGATTAGTCAAAGAAAATCATTCTTGATCTATATATATATATATACCTCGCCAGTAATGCTGTCTTCTCTTTGGGGAATTGATCAATATATTTGTTGGCGATGGGAACACTTGTACTAATACGATTGCGTACGAGATGTGGTAATTCATTGAATTCACGGAATTTCCATTTGGCAAAGGGAGAATAACCTCTTGATCCAATTTCACTTGGGTTTTTACGGAATTCCTATATAAAAATTCTTTCTTGTCAATCATAATATCTATATAACACACACACACACACATATATATATATATATATATAGACAGAATCATATACTCACCTCGAAATACCGAAAGAAGAAATGAACCACAAGATAAACCAGAATAAAAGGAGTAAACACCAAGTTCAAAAGGGCCATAAAGATAAAACGCCTACGTAATCTATAATTATTTTAATAATAATTAATATTCATTCAAAAAAGAAAAAAATGTTTATATTCATTCGCTTACCCTGCTACTAATAATGGACGATTCTTTTCTCGTAAAAATCGTTTTCGAAGTTGTCCACGTTCATCAAATACATAACTTAGTACACAAAAAGATAGGTTCCATTCAAGATCACGAGTAAACATGTATTTATGTCGAAAGTATGGTAAAGGAATGGTGATATTCAAGATGTCCTTGTTGAATAAAGCAATCAAGTAATTGTCCTTTCGCATAATTCGATTTGCTACATCATGCGCATTTAAACGAAGAGGAGAAGAACGAGCGGTGTTTGGATTCGTTTCACGGATGTCAACAATGCGACCCAAGATTTGTTGCCAGGAGACTGTTTGCATATCTTTCTAGAAAATGTATATACAGAAAAAAAAAAAAAAGAGTAAATATAATATGGTTTTTCATGTGATATATTTATACTCACGTCAGGTATTTCTAATAGATGGTGATAAAAATTATACATTTCTTTCAATGAGGGTATATCTCTTATAAATCGAATAGCTTGCCAAATCCACCAAATAATAAACATCAATAAAAAAAGAAATGTGGATGATGATAATCTATCAAACAATAAATAAAATAAAAAAAGATTAGAAGTATGTTTTTCATTATTATTATTATTATATTATTATTACCTTGAATAACAATGAGGTATAACAACTTCCGATAGAGAATGATGATTTGGTATTTCAGAATAATTGACACAGCCGACCAAAAAAGTAGAGAAGAAGATCAAAAAACCCAAAATCAAAAGATTCAATAATCGAGCTAGTAGTATACAGTATAATCCTTTTCCTTGATAATAGTTATACACCCTTTGAAAAAAGTCATCCATATTTTCCACATTAGTCCAACGCCACATTGTTCTGTCAAAAGTAGATACATGATGTCTAGTGGAACCTAAATGTTCTTGTGTATTTGCTGTTTGCTGTTGCTGTTGCCACGTAGTTCTTTTCCTCGGTAAAAGTTGAGTTGGTGACTTTCCTGCCGCCGCAGTCGCCGAAGATGGATAACCTCCTACTTGGTCTTGTTTTGAAGGTGAGGGTTTCTGTTCTACTAAAAGTGATGCTGGAGCTTCCAAGTCAGATTCTTCGTCATCTTCGTTATCGGATATATTAGGTGATTGTTGTTGTAATTGGTGATATCGATGTTCTGGTAAAAATTGAATTCGGTTGCCATTTGTTGCTGCTGGTCGTTTCCCCATTCTTTTTGTTGATATTGCATCCATATTTATTTCGTCATCATCAGATATATGTGACCGAAGAAGGTGTGAATCGGTCATGATTATAAAATAAAATAAGTAGATATATGTGTATATATAATATATATAAAAGATAAAAAGGAAAGGAGAGAAAGAAGAAGAAGAAAAAAAAATTCTGCAGTTGGCAATACGGAGAATGAAAAACCTCTTCCTCGTGATTGAAATTTTCAACTACAAATTAGCATCATATGTTTTTATTGACCATTGTATTGAACATACTAATAAAACTATTTTTAAAGAATAATGATGATGATGATGATGATGATGATGGCGATGATTGATATTGATGAGGAAATAATGCCTTTAGTAATTCTGACTTTGCGTTTTTCCAATCATTTTCTCCAAGATATATTTTTGTAACAATGTCATTCAGGGTCACTTCTGACTTTCCTATGACAAACATTTTTGCCACATGGTATTTCCAAATAGATGATGGATTGATATTACGAAGAATAAGTTGTTGATGTAATTGCTGCCAACGTCCTATAGATGTAGATTGATGATCCAAATTATTTCCATCACTACTACTACTACTATTACTCTGCAATATAGTTCCAGTGGATGAATCACATAGAACATAAGAATCCATACTGATTGAATTAAAAATCATTTGATGTTGATGATTTTTATCATTAAACTTAGATCGCCGGTAACCAGATAAAATCCATTCAATAGATACTCGTGCTTGCACAATTCGGACAATACCAAGATGAATATCAACCTTTTCAAGTAAAATGAATGCTCCAGAAGATACATCACCAATCCAGCAGTAACTATTAGATAGATGATTAAGGTGAGGAAGAAGATACATTCTTTGCTGTGATAATATATAATCATAATGAAATACATATTGGGCAGTGAGAGCAGGACTAAGTTGATCCAAACAAGTCTGTGGAATCACATCATTTGACTCATGTTGCCAGATATCCAATACCATTCGTAAACCTTGACATTCTCCGACGTTGAAACTTGTGGATGAACAAGTAGGTTTGAAATCCAAAAGACCAGTAGAATCATCATATGAAGAAATGGATAAATCAAAAGTGTTTTTTAAATGAAACTTGGGCGAAGTACATATAAGCAATTTCGATTGTTCAATATTATATACGATAGCCTTGTTTCGGTATTGCCTCCATAAACGACATACTTCACCAAGTTTATATATTTCTTGAATATTCATATGGGAAAAAATCTCGAACAGTATTTCATTGGGAAGTGAATTGATCATTTTAATAGAATTCAATAATAAAATATAAATGCAATATTTAAATTTGATCCCTTTTTTTATATCTTTTTTTTTTTTTTTTTTTTTTTTTCATTTGATTCCAAGCTCAACGTGCCATTGGTTGATTTGCTAGGGCTATCAAAATTTCCCAGAAAAAAAAAAAAAAAAAAAAAAAGAAATCAACTGCGCATTCAATTTTTTTTTTCTCACTTTTTTGTCCTTAATATTTCTTTCTCATTGATGATCATGTCATGTCAGCAAAAAAGACTCCTTGTGATGGTAAGTTATAATTATTTCTTTTATTTTTATATAGTCTTCTCTTAATTTTAAAACTTTTTTTTTAGAATGCCGTGAACGAAAACGACGCTGTAGCTATGAATCTCCTTGTCAAAGGTATGAAATATAATAAATAATAATAATAATAATAATATAAAAAAGAAGGTAGTAATTTCATTTTATTTTTTTATTTTTAATAGATGCATCAAGTTTGACGTTCCATGTGTTTATACTATCAAAAACTCACCAGCAGACGAAGAATATTTACGACAAATCAAACTACTCGAACAAGTAGATCAACTTCATGGCCAACTTGATTCTATGCAACAGGAAATGAGTACTCTTTATGTTACCAATGTGTCTTCACCTATGACAGAAGAAGTATCAAGTCCATCTTCAACTCTATCTCAATCTCAATCTACCTCGACAACTTTGTCTACTTTTTCTGATTTAACCTCATCTCCTTCTCTCTCTCATTCCGAAGAAGATTTACGGATTGTTAAACGACAACGGACTCAATGTGGTCTAGAGGCAACTTTATTTGAAAACACACAATTAAATCAAATAGGAGCAACGAAAAATTGGACATTATCTGTTAGTAAAGGCAATATTATTATTCGAACCGATATCAAAACACATTCTCAATTATTGGATTATCTATCAAAAAGTATTACGACTATAGAAATGAACGACGTTATTCCTTATTCTATCAATGATCTCAACAAAAAGGATGGTATATTATCAAGTGTACTTCAAGTCTTTGTTTGGAAACGTTATGGGAAATCTCGATACAAAAATATCACTCGTGGATTATCTCGAACTCTGACCAACCACGATATCACTAATATGAATTATTCTGTCATCTACAATGATTCAATTGAAACCATTACATTGAAGCTTCTCCAGTCTTATCTATGTTGTCAACATTTGAATCATCTCTCTATCCATGTACCTACATTTCTCAAACTTCTTGTTCGACCTGATATCATGAAGTCACCTGCTGTCCTTGCCCTATGTGCTTTGATTTGTACTTCTTCTTGTCGTCATGTTGCAGCTGTTCTTCCTATACATCAAGAAGTGGAATCCTATAGTCGGTATTACTTTGAACAAGCTCGGGAACTAGCCTCGGATATCTTTGATCACGCTGATTTGGAAACGTTTGCAACATATGTGTTTTTAGCCTCTTACAAATTACAAATTAACCAAATGGAAGATAGTCAACGATATGGCGATATGGCTGAAAGGATATCCATCATTCTAGAGGACGAACTTGGAGAATCGGGACACAATCAACAACAAATGAATTTTGATCCCATGACGACAGACAAACATCACACATTATCATCAATACCGGCATCATCAGTAACATCAGCATCGTCGACATCAACAGCATCAACATCAACAAGTACTACTGATATGACTGATATGGTTCATGGGAAAAAAATACTGTATCGACGGCTACAGCATGGATTGTTTGAAATATTATCAGTGATCTATATATCGAAACATAGACACAACGCTAAGAAACGTGATCATCATCCTCCAGTAGATCGACGGGTGGTGAATTTATTCCATGGCATTAGTGAACTATTGGAACCTGCGGCAGACGATTCGGAACAAGAAAAACGACACATTCAACTAAAAGCATATATCGCCAATCTCAACAACGAGTGTCATCATACAGCACATCGAGCACCTGCTGAAGATACTGCCAATTATGTGGGAATTATAAGTCATATGGTGGAAATGGCAATGCGACGTTGGTATGCAGCACTTCCTGAATCCTTCCGACTGGATCTTCCTATCTTTGATGCATTCTATAGTATGGATATGGAAAATGGACAACCAAAAGATCTCACTGCCACAAATCGATGGTTTCAAGCAGTGGAAAATATACCAGATGTGATTCCTTTACTTACAACACTAACAGTTTATAATGAATGTTTGATGATGGCCAAGGCTCATATATGCAAAACACCGGATGATATTGAAAAAAGAGCAAGTTTAGCAACATATTGGAAAGAAAACAAAGGCTACATTGATCTGGAATTTGTACGTGCTCAGTGGGGTGATAAATGGGTGATGAGACTACAGAGATTAGAGAAATTGTTGGAAATGAAGAAAGCAGCCAGATATTATGAAAACAAGGCGAATGGAATCAGTGACGATGATGATGATGATGATGATGATAAACAACATGACGATACGATAACTTCCAAAAAGAAATACGATGACAGCGTGATTGGTGCTCTTTTGAAATCTGGTTATACTGATTTTGACGATCCTGCAGCTCATACTGCGGTTACTGCAGGTTTGAATGCCATCCAACTACTCCAATATCTTCAGCTTCGTTATCCATGTCAATATGATCAACGTGTGGCCTTGAATGCATGGGATCTTCTTATGCGGGCGGTTCAATTCGATTTTGGTAATCAACGTTTGAAATCAATAATCCAAGCAAGTCTTTTAAGGTGTCTGAATATGATTCGTGAAGAATTTAAAAGAACTCCTTTCCAATCAAATATGTTAGATTATGTTTTTGTGATGGAACGGCAATACGATGAACTCTTTTTGTAGAGTAGTTTTTATTATTATTACTTGTACTACCCCTCCACCCCTTCTCTAAATTAATAAATCTGTTTTATATTGTTTCTTTTTATTCATTGTCTTTTATTATTACTATTTGTTCTTATCCTTATTATTATTAAGGTTATGCTAGATACACTTTATTCTATGGCTTAAACTGCTCATGTCATTGATCAGTTTGGCTTTACGTTCGAAACACCGCCAGTAAAAAAAAAAATTGATTTTGCTTCTTTTCCATTTCTTTTTTTTTTATTTTTTTTTCCACTTTCTTTTCCATTTCCCCTTTCCGAGGTTTAATCAATGACACCTGTACATACTTTACCTTATGACGTAAGTGAAAAAGAAAAAAAAAAACAAGTTAAAAAATGGAATCTTATAATATTAACTTTGTTATTGTTTTCTAATGACCCTTCCTTTCTCAAACAGCTGTCATCGTTGACTTGGAATGACGACCATACTAATAATGATCAGGACAAGTATTGCTATTGTGGAAAAGGATACAGTGAGTAAGTACCTACTATGAACAAATGACTCTTTATTTTATATATACAAATGGAAAAGATGGATTGTTGATTAAACTTGTTACTTTTTTTTTTTAAAAAAAAAAATTGATTAGACACAAAACAATGATGCAGTGTTCCACCTGTTTACAGTTCTTCCATAGTGGTAAGAAGAAAAACAATAATTTTTTATTATACAAATATATTTTACTGACTTTTCAATTAGCTTGTGTATCAAGTGTAAAAAGGCCTCTACTATACGGTGACATCTTTTACGAATTCCAATGCTCAGTGTGCACTCAGGCTGAAGAAAAATATACACGTGAAGTAATGAAATGGAAACAAGCAGTTCAATTGATCCTTTATCACCTTACGAAACAACGAAGACTATCCAAGGGAAAACAACCTGAACACTTTTATTTTAGGTTTACAGAAGAAATTTGCAAACTTGTTGAAGAGAACTGGGATGTATTACTATGGGATCGTGAAAGTAAGTCTTTTTTTTTATATACTTTGAAGTAGGCATTCATTATATAATGTTAATTGATTGTATGTAATTCTCATTCTTTTTCTTCTTTCTTCTAGTGAATAAGACGTGGAAAAATACAGTAGCAAGTTCATTATCTACACAACCTGATTTGTTTTTATCTGGCGTTACCAAATGGGACTCGGCTGGGAAAGGTAAATCTTATACAAGAAACAAGAGTTGGATTATATACTCATGCTCTCTCTCTCTATATATATATATTCTAGGATTATGGGCCTTAAGATCTGAAGAACCATTATCTAAACTTTCTTCTGCTAGTAAGTATTTTTCCCCCCATTTTGAGGTTGTACTAAATACCCCAATATAGTAGTACTTGTCAATCTATTTCATCAAAAAAAAAAAAAATATGAATCAATTTATTCACGTTATTTATCTATTTTATTGTTTCCATACAGGACAAGCACCCAAGACAGAAACGACAAAACGATTGAAAAAACGAAAGCCTGCTAAAGACGAACTCCAATCGAAGAAAAGAACGCGATCTTCAAGATATGACCATAGTCCTGTCACCTCTCCTGAACATAATCAGGAAACAACCAACAACGTAAGATGTACAAAATGGAGAATTTTTTTTTCTTTGGCTTTATGATCTAATCTTTTGTTTTTCCTTTCTCTTCTTTTTAAAATCTTTGTATTTAGGATGATTCTGGTTCAATCATGAAAGATACTCTTCCAACTATGGACAAAGAAAACACCAATGCTGCATTAGATGATGGTGCCTTGGGGACGACTACTAAAAGTGATGATTCAACCTCGGACAAAATGAAAACAGCTGATGAAGCCATTGTTACAACGAAGAGAACAATTGTATCTTCCGATGATCTTGAAAATGTAGCAGACGTAAGAAATATATACGACAAAATCGTATAAAATATGAAATAGATCTATTGTTTTAACCAACTGTCAAACTTTTAATATGATCTGTAGTCAACGACTGATTTTAAGGTGGATGATTCTACAGTGAACTTGATGAAAACCGATTCACAACCAAAAACACTCAAGGTACGCTCTCAATGTTTGTGTATGTGATGGAAAGGGGGGTTGGTCAAAGGGAAATAGAGTGGGTGATTACCAACGATATACTTGTCTTTTTTTTTTTTTTTGTTATTCCTTTTACGTTACCAAATAAATCTGTTTTTATTTATTTTGTTTTTCTTCAACTCATTGTCTTCCTTGTGTTTGTTTTTTTTTATTAGAATACACTTCCCAAAAATGAAGTTCCAACTCTTGCTCCCATGTCTCAGCACGATGAATGGCAAATTTATCAAACACTTGATCATGCTCACAAAAAGCTATCTAATATGGCAGCACGATTCCGACGAAAACTGGCAGTACGAAGGGTAAACATTATAAGTGTACAAGCATCAATCCCCTATTCATTTATCTATTATTTTATTATTATTATTATTATTATCTATATAGTTAAAACGAAATGTCAATTTGAAGCTCTTTGATATTGATCAGTATGTCGGACAACAATTACGATCAAAAATCAGTATGCAACCCATGACAAAACAAAAGCGATCACTCATTACACCATCAGAGCAATTGAGGAGTTCGGAAATCATAGCTGCTGCTGCTGCTGCTGAAGCATCAATACGACAACTAAAATTAACGAAATACGACCATTCTTTTGCATCAAGACTTTATGGACGACAACGACACTCTCATACATTAACTAGTGATGAATGCTGGTTATCTGCATGGAACGGGCGAAAACTACGACCTTACATTCGACGTGATTATGAAAACAAACCTGCACGTATGCGACTTTTGGAACAAATCAAGGAGATCAATGGCAAACCTAGCAATCGCCATTTGATCAATGCGAGAGAAGCACAACAAGACGATGATGAATCATCAAACAACAATAAAACTAGCATCGATTACGTATATTTTCAACGGGAACATCTGGAACAAGTCAATCAGCTTCTGGCTCGATGCTTTTGGGATGGGGTGGATGTATCTGAATCTTTACAGTTTCCTGAATTCAGTGTGGTTGCTCTTTACAAGCGTTGTGTTATTGGATGTGCCTTTATGACCCCGGAAGCATATATTACTTATTTTGCTGTTATGGCTGGATGGGAACGTGCTGGCATTGGACAGTAAGTTTTATTTTACTTATATGAATTTTTTTTTTTTTTTTTTTTTTGGTAATTGATGATACTTCATTATTTGATTGTTTTAGGTTCATGCTCTATCACTTGTTTCAGGTATGTCTATCAAATTGAAAAGGGGGATTATCCTTTTTTTTTTTCTTTTGCTCTATCAAAATTACTGTTTATATCTGATGATTTACTTTTTTTTTTATAATCTCTTCTCCTGTTTATAGACGGCTCTTAGTAAAGATGTGACACTTCATGTTTCCGCGAACAATAATGCTATGGTAAAAGGAGGATTTATTAATATAAGATATTTGTAGGTATGGACAATAAATGAATGATTCTTTTTTTTTTTTTTTCATGATAGATACTGTATCAAAAATTTGGTTTCAAACCCGAAGAATTTATTGTGAACTTTTATGACAAGTACCTACCTGCCGAAAGTAGTTTTAGCAAAAACGCTTTTTTCCTTCGTCTACGAAGATGATTTGGATCCTATACCCCTTTTATTGACCATCGTTGTTTAATTTATTTTATTTTACTTTATTTTTTTTTACTTGTTAGAAATGTAAAAATTTATATTTATCTATTTTATAATTTGATTATTATTCTTTTCTACATTTATCAATATTTTGGAAATAAAGCATCATTCAAATTTTCCCTCACTATGTATTTATTGGTACAATTGTGCGATCAGGTTGAAACCTGTCAGTATCTGCCAAAAAAAAAAAAAAAAAAATCTCGGGATTTCAAAAAAAAAAAAAAAGAAACCATGATACAGAAAAAGAGATGGTTGTTGTTTATTTAATTTTATTCAATTAGAGTTTATTATTTAAAATATATAATAACCAGAATGGATTCATCTTCCAGACGTTCTCACTCATCTTCTAGACGACACGAACGACGACGGTCTCCATCTGTAGAAAGATCAAGTCGTCAAAGATCTTCTGAAGAAAAAGAAGAAAGATCAAGACACAGACGACACCGACACGATTCACCTACTGAAAAACATCGTTCTTCAAGAAGTCATCGTCATTCTTCCCACAAGTAAAAAGTCTTTTCATATGACAAAAAAAATGATATCAACTGAACTTTTTTTTTCTTCTTTTTTTTTGGATATGAATAGAAAGAGGCACCGATCACCATCAACTGATTATACAAGTTCTTCAAGTTCTTCGGAAGATGAATCGCGTGAACGTAAACACAAGAAACATAAGAAGGAAAGAAAGCATAAAAAGTCAAAGGTAAGAAACGAATAAAAAAAAAAAAGGAATTATAATATTGATGGACTAACTATTATGATACAATATATCAATTATAGAAAAAGTCCAAGAAACACAAGAAATCTAAACTAGGGGCTGTTGGCGATGAATGGGGTAAATATGGTATTATTCATGAATCAGAGTAAGTGAGGATGAAAACACTTTGTTAACAAACTTTAGATCTGATTATCATCTTTTTTTTTTTTTTTCTCTGATAGTATATTTAGCAAGGAAGCTGTAAGTCCAATTATAGTTGAATGTTTATATAGGGATAAAACTAGATGATTTAGGCGATCTTTCTTTTTTTTTTTTTTTTTTTTTTTTTTTTGATAATAACCCTCTTTTTATATATTTTGTATTGAATCAAAAAAAAAAAAAAAAATAGGAATTCCAAGCATGGTTGATTGATATCAAGAAAGCTGATGTGGAAACCCTTAGTAATGTGAAACGAAAACAAATGTTTATTGACTTTATGGAAGGTAATGAAAGGAAAAGAAGAAGAATAAAAAAAAAAGATGTTTTATTGATTCTTTTATTTTGTATATAATAGATTATAATACTGCGACCATGCCTCATGAAAAGTAATTTTATTTGTTTGTTTGTTTGTTTTCTTAAAAAAAAAAAAAGGAAGAAAATCTTATGATGATAACTGATTTCCTTTTTTTTATTTATTTATTTTTTTTTTTTTTTAATTTTCGATAGATATTATAATTTGGAAAAATGGGAACAACGGGATAGAGCATTACGTATGGGTGAACCAGTACCAGCATCAAATACAGAATTTAATATTCAGAAGGATGAAGAAAGACTACGGTATATAGATCAGATAATAGGATTTAAATATATTGTACTAATCTTTTATTGATTGTAGTATGGAACATAAACGTGCAGCAAGTATGGCAGCAGCATCAAAGGTACCAAGGTTACAAATGTCTCGTGATCAATTAGAAGCTCTGACCAAAGTCAATCGGGAAAGAGTGGAACTGGATCGAATGCGAAAGATGGGATTGAAGACCAAACATAGTTTAGGTGTACGTTATGATGAACAATAAACAATGAATTACTTAGTTTAGATATATTGGTTTGATTATATTGTCTGTGCGTATGTGATTGAAGTTTTATGTTTGAATCAATAATAAAACAAATCATATATTTAAATATCAATGACTGTCAATGAATAATAATAATAATAACTCGAGAGTTTTCACATGACTATGATGACTGAATGATTTTACCTGTGAACTTCCTTTTTTTTTTAAAAAAGAAAAACCCAAGTCAGCTGCTATCTTCTATAATATATATTTTATTTTTCACTTTCTCTCTCTCCGTTTTCTTTGTTTCTTCTTCTTCTTCTTCTTCTTTATTTCTATTTTTTTGTCTTCTCCCAGTCCTTCCCTTTAGTTTTATCAAACTCATCAACCTTATCTTGTAGATTCATTCATCAGCAATTATCATTTCTATAACATACCCATTTTATATACCATCTTTTATTTTTTTTTTTTTGTATGGACGCGACGACGAAAATAAAACGCAACAAATTTCATTCAAAGTACCATCAAATTATACCATCCATATTTCATACCACCAATAAGAAGCAAAACAATGAAAAATCAATCATCACCACCCCATCAAACACTTTAGATATGCAAACTCCTGATATTGTCCTCAATTCATCTTCATCGTCATCAACAACCCCCACAGGAATAGTAACAGCATCATCGTCATCATCATCCTTAGCAGAAGCATCCACACCAGCAACAGCAGAAAGAAGAAGAAGAAGAAGACATCTTGATCATCCATTGACACATTCCCCACCGCCACCATCATCATCCGTACCATCAGCAGCTTCACAATTACTAGTGTCATCACATGTACCTTGTTGGGCCCGATCCAACCAATCCTTTTCTTCTTCTCTTTCCAGTATGGCCGATCATTCTGATTCGTTACAATCTGCCTATTCAAATGAACGTCAACCTTCCATCATTCGTTCAGATCGAGTATATCATTATCGTTTCGCCACTCCAACACATCCAGGAGAAGATGATGATGATGATGATGATTCATCTTCTCGATTTTCTTATCATGTCACCACTCCATCATCTCATCAACAAACAGGATCATCCTCACAACCACCAACAGAACAATTAAATAGATCTTCTTTTCCGTTTCTCCGACGATCTTATTTTTCAAGATTTAACTCACGTCATCGACAACAAAGTGTGATATCCAATGATTCAAGAAATAATCATACATCAATCATATCATCCAAGTCTAGTCGTCTTCATAGTAGATCTCATATATTATTTTTAGGCCGATCTTTACCTGATTTTGAAACTTTGGTATATTGTTCTGTTTGTGAAAAATGGATTCAATCTAGATTACGTTATCGATCTGGTGCAATGGTATGGTTAGCTTCTTTTGTACTGTAAGTTCTTTTTTAAGGGGTAGATTTCCAAAAAAAAAAAAATTAACTTATTTTTTTTTTTTCTCTTTTAGATTAATGTGTACAGTATTTTTATTTTGGATTCCTTTTTATATTAAATATTTCAAAGGTAAAAACATATATATATATATATATATATATATCTTGACTTTTGATGTTTTTTTTTTTTTTTATTAGATACTATTCATTATTGTCCTTCTTGTGGTTGTGAAATTGGTCGATCTTCAATCATCTGATAGGTGTTGATTTTTTTTTGTCTCCGCAACTTCATTAACTCTTTGGTTGGTCAGATTTGGTGGAAAACCAAAGAAGCATGAAGAAAAAAAAAAAGTCTCAGTCACAGTAATGTCTCTTACTGGCGCAGTTTTCATTCCCTTACTTCCTTCTTTACTTTTTTTGTTTTTTTTTTTTTTCTCCTTTTTTTTTTTTTTTTCTTCTTCTTCTTTGTACTATACTTTTTTTTTTATATTTATATTTAATAAATCTATATTATAAACATCATGTCTGGTAAAGAATTGAAATATTATTTTTTTTTCCTTTATTTATTATTATTATATTCAAATCTTTTTTTAACATGTTCTTTTTTTTTTTTGTATATTTCTATAGACTGGGATACCACTACTATTCTTCGCAAGCGTCCTGAAGACCGTGCTCGTGCTACTCGAAGTCAAAGTGAATTGAATGCTGCTAGACGGGTAAGAACATATATAAAAAAAAAAAAATGATGAAACTGAGATGAATTTATATTCACAAATATATATATATATAAATATGATATTTAGGCTGGTGCTACTATTACTACTGAAAAGAAATCTAGTAAGTTAAATAGATATATATATATATTTATATGTATAGACTAATAATGTATTTTTGTTTATTATGATATATATATAGCTTTAACCAATTCTAGTCAAGCCAACACTGATCATCGTCGTATTGCAAAGTTAGATCGTGAAAATGAGGTAGCACCTCCACCTAAAGTAGATGTTTCTGTTGGTAAAGCTCTTCAAAAAGGACGTCAAGATAAGGGTATGACACAAAAGGATTTGGCTCAACTTATCAATGAAAAACCTCAAGTGGTAAAAATGAAAAATGTTTTTCTATATTCGAATGAAATATTAAAAAATTATTTTATATATATACAAAATAGGTCAATGAATATGAATCTGGTAAAGCTATTCCTAATCAACAAGTTCTTGGAAAGATGGAACGTGCTCTTGGTGTCAAACTTCGAGGAAAAAATATTGGTGAACCTTTGACTTTTGGCAAGAAAAAGTAAAAAGATAAAAAAAAGTAAAGGATGATTTTGATATGTGGTTGATGTAGATATACAATTTTTTTTTTCTTTTTTTTCTTTTTCTTTTTTTTTTTTTTTTTTTTTTTACATTTTGTCGTATTAGATAATTTTTTTGTATACAAATTTATCATTTTAGTTTTATATATATCTATTTTGAATGAAACAAAAATAAAGAATAAAAAAAAAACAGAAATAGAAATGAAAATTAAAAAAGAAAAACAAGGAATTTTAACACTATTTATATATATGTCATATAATGGGAAGTGAAATAAAAAGAAACACACGAGCATATGAAATAATATTTCTATTGGATTGAAAAGTTTGACCACGTGCAGGGGTTATTTATCTTATTTCAACAAAAAAAAAAAAAAAAAAAAAAAAAGAAAAATTCTTAACAATTCTAAATTTAGAGAATCTATTTTTTTTTTTTCTTTTTTTCGTGTGGCGATCATTAAGAGATATCATCTCCGTTTTATTTGTAAAAGACCTTCTTTTCATTCTTTATTTGATTTATTTAGTCTATTTTTTTTTTTATTTTCTTTTTTTTCTTTTCTTCTTTTACTACTATTCCTTTTTCTCTCTTTTTCCCTTTTTTAAGTTCCATCTTACATACATATATATATTACAATGACTGTAGTTAAGAACGTTTGCTGTATTGGTGCTGGTTATGTTGGTAAATGATACATAATAAAATTATTTCATCTATTTATTTTTAACTTTTTTTATTTTTTGAATTAGGTGGACCTACTTGTGCTGTATTGGCATATAAGTGTCCTGATATCAAGGTGACTATTGTCGATCTTAGTGAAGCTCGTATTGCTGCTTGGAACTCTGATCATCTTCCCATCTATGAACCTGGTCTTGACGAAGTCGTATTTGCTTGTCGTGATAAGAACTTATTCTTCTCTACTAATGTCGATGCTGCTATTCAAGAAGCTGATCTTATCTTTGTTTCTGTCAATACTCCTACAAAGAAATCTGGTATGGGTGCTGGTATGGCTGCTGATCTTGCGTAAGTAATAAAGTATTATTTTATTTTTTTTGGATGAAGTAGTTGATGGAACAAGGTCATCTTAAAACTCTTTTTTTTTTTTTTTTTTTACTCCCTTTTTATCTATTTTTAGTTATGTTGAAAGTGCTACTCGTCGTATTGCTGAAGTGGCTAAAAGTTCCAAGATTGTGGTGGAAAAATCAACTGTTCCTTGTCGAACTGCTCAAAGTATGCGTACTATTTTGGAAGCCAATTCAACACCTGAAATTCAATTTGATATCTTATCCAATCCTGAATTCTTGGCTGAAGGTACTGCTATCAAAGATTTATTGAACCCTGATCGAGTCTTAATTGGTGCTCTTCAAACTGAAAGTGGTATTGAAGCTCAAAATGCTTTGGTGGATGTTTATACCCATTGGGTTCCCAAGGAACGTGTTATCACTACAAATCTCTGGTCATCCGAATTATCAAAACTTGTAAGTTTATCATCGGAAATTGATAATCAAAAAAAAAAAAAAGGATTTAACCTATATTTTCTTTTTATTTACTTTTTTGTCTTAGGCTGCCAATGCTATGCTTGCTCAACGTATCTCATCTATTAATGCCTTATCAGCCATTTGTGAAGCTACTGGTGCTGATGTGGATGAAGTGGCTTTCGCTTGTGGTAAGGATACCCGTCTTGGCTCTAAATTCTTGAAGGCTTCTGTTGGCTTTGGTGGTTCATGTTTCCAAAAAGATATCCTCAACTTGGTCTACCTCTCTAAACAACTCAACTTACCTGAAGTGGCTGCTTACTGGGAACAAGTTGTGATCATGAACGAATATCAAAAGAAACGATTTGTACGTAACATCATCTCCACCTTGTTTAACACCATCACCAACAAAAAGATTGCTGTACTTGGCTTTGCTTTCAAGAAGGATACTGGTGATACTCGTGAATCTGCTGCTATTACATTGATTAAGGACTTTATTCAAGAAAATGCTCGTGTCGCTATCTATGATCCCAAGGTCGAAGCACAACAAATTTACATGGATTTATCTGAACCTGGTGTCGTTGATACTCAAAAACAATTGGAAAAGAATGTACAAATTTGTCAATCTGCTTATGAAGCTGCTGATGGTGCTGATGCTGTTGTCATTGTGACTGAATGGGATGAATTCCGTGATGATCAATTGGATTACTCAAAAATCTATACTGGTATGAACAAACCTGCCTTTTTGTTTGATGGTCGTCTTTTGGTCAATGCTCAAAAGTTACGTCAAATTGGATTCAAGGTTAGTGTTATTGGCAAGAATGAATTGGCTGGTACTGCTTAGATTATCTTTTTTTTTGTTTCCGTATCATTTTGTGTTTTAGACCTATTTTACCCCCCTCCTTGCCTTTTTTTTTTTTATATATATACATACACTTACATACATCCTCTCATCTCTTGTTGAATACGAATAAAAAAAAAAAACAGCCTCCTTTAAAAAAAAAAGTGTAAAAAATAAATAAAAACCATTATGATCATGATGATCATCCATTCTTTTTAGGTAATCTGAACCTTTTTTTTTTTTTTTTTTTTTGGACAAGCCGGAATCCATTGCCTATTTTATGATAACAACTCGTTGTATTTGATGTCTCTACCAGGTTTTTGATACTGATTTCCTGATCTGGACCAATCCATACTAAGAAGCGCTGACTCTATAATTTCGCTTTGTCATACATCAACACACAGACAACTAACCTTACATGAAGCACACTTATCACAAAAAGGATCGTCTTATTTTTTTTCAATGTTGTACATACACACCCCATCCCCTTCCCCACTTCCACCAATCTACCAAGACAAAAAAAAAAAAAAAAAACAGATATACTTTTTCAAACACAGTAATTATTAAAATGAATATATCATTGAAAACAAAATTGGGGAATATCAAAAAAAAGCGTGTATGATTGAGGAGATAAGGACAATTCAAAAAAAAAAAAGGAACAATAAGTGATGGATTACTATAATTTAAGAGGAGCTACCAAAAAACACTTGAAAGAGAATAGGAGCGGGATAGACTGCAACCAAGCCAATACCTGATAACGAAAGTAGAAAATTAAGAAAAAGGATTAGATTAACCTTTTATAGTCCGTTTTGCCATAATCACTTACCAGCGTAAACAATCAGTTTGGTAACAATGTCCACATCATAACGTAAAGGAGCATCTTCCACTACCAACATGGAGGAAGGATCATCTAATGATGAAGGAGGAGGTGTTGATGGCAAGCTATTTCCTTTTTCATCCACAAATAAACCATCACGTCCTCTATACTTGCAATCAGCTACCCGTCGTTCATGCAAATCGATACCAGATTGAATACCCACATGTTCAGCAGCAGATACAGTGTGTGCTAACCCTCGAAGATCCAACACGGATGGAATAGGATGAATACTTTCTTTATTGAGACTTTTGTAGGTTCTAATTCATAAATAAAAAAAATAGTGAGTAAAAACATGATGATGAATCTCTCTATCTCTCTTACCTTGCACCAATTTCAAATTTACGATGTGGTAAGTTAAATGCCCGGTAGATAGGAGGAAGAAGAAAGTAACACACCTTTTTGCAAGCGATACGCCAGATAAATAACATAGCAACACCTATATATATAAATAATAAAGAAAAAAAATCGTCAGTAAAAAAAAAAAAAAAAAAAAGGAAGTTATCGATAAGGAAACACACTTAATTCCACTCACCAACAATAACTTTCATCAAGATGATACTTAATGAAATGAATCCAAAAGAGATACCACTACCAGAAGATTTGAGACCGAGTTGACATAGTTCAGTTTTATTGCACATCCAACTTCCAGGATAAACACCCATCAAGACACCCATGAAACAGACACTATATAAAAAAAAATAAAAATAAACCAATTTAGTCATGATCTTCCTACACCATTGTGATTGTGCTAATTACCTGTCTTCAAAACAAGGGCAACGTTCTATTGGATCAGGACTATAATAAAAATCAGCACACAAATGAATTTTTATCTTTGTGAAATTGATAACTTACTGTATACCGACTAAACCTAGACAAATAGGAATCGTAAGGAAAACTAGAATAAAAGATATATAAGCCAAATTGTAAAAAATCAGTAATATCTTTTCGTTCTTACCCCAATAGTTTTCACTTGTAACAATACTATCTAAACTATCACGAAAAGTCCATTGTACCCAATAAAGGATAAACGCTAAAATGGTTCCACCGATGACATCTTTATCAAAAGTAAATGAAAAAGAAAATAAGTAAGATACTTTTTCTTTTTTCTGGAAACAAATTGAATCTTACCTGTGACACTATGCATACCACAATAAATACGTCCAAATACCACACTGACAGCGTAAAATATGGCACCAAGGATACATAACATTCGAGCAGGAGATTCAGGAGATATCGAATCACAGATCACGGCAATAAGATAAAGTGCTACCGAGATCGAATTTGTTGAATGTGTTGAAGGAAACCCATATTCTAAAGCTACCCCTTGAGACATCGTCAATCGGTGTACTGGTGGTGATGCTGGTCGAGGTAAACACATGAAATCCTATTGTAATATTATTATCATTTAATATCAAATTATATATATATATATTTTCTTTTTCTTTTTTTTTTTTTTCTCTTTTACCTTGAGAAATCCAGACCAAAACACTCCAAATGCTGTCAAACATGCTATACTATTATCCATAATTTCAGTAACTATAAACAAATCCAATATCTTTATTACCTTCTACCAAGATGAGGATTACCAAACCAGATTAGAATAGGTAAAAATACCATAAAAAATGTATGTGTCCCAAGATTAGCAGTCCATAAGAAATAATGATCAAGAAGAGGTGTTCTAATACGTTTCTGTAATACCATGGAAGGGAAAGGGAGAGAGAGAGAGGGAAGTGAAATAAAATAACAAATAAGTATGTTATAACAGCCAGGTGCAATTTTTTTTTTTTGTATGTGTGTATGTTTTTGATTGTTTTACCTGCATAGCAGCCAACCAAGGAGTTTCTTGTCGAACAAAAGGTAACAATGATCTTCTTAACCAACTTCTCCAGGGATGAAGAGCAGCAGTATACAATCGATCGTCATGCGTGCCAGCGTCAATATCAATGATAGGTTTGAAGATCTTTCTTGCCATGTTGTCTAATATAAATGCATAAAGATGATTTTATACAAAAGAAGTTGGTATATATAAAGAGTAAATGAATGGTCCTGAGATGACTAAGAAAAAGAGACAAAGAAGAACAAAAAAAAAAAAGAAAAAAAAAAAGAAAACGAAAAAAACGAAAAAAAGAAAAAAAAATGATTGCTGGGTTGGAAAAAGATTCGATCAGATAGTGTGATTGGTTGATTTCAATCCCACATGAAAAAAAAAAAGACAAATTTATTGAATATCAAAAAAATCAAGGGGTAACATAATTCCCACCAACTAAAACATCAATGATACATCGATCATCACCTAAATTGATAAATTTTTCTACTAATAATTCTATAGGTTCATCCCAAAGAAGATCCAAAGGAGAGTTGTCCGTTTTCAAGTCGATCACTAAAGCATCTAATTGTTTTGATATCATGAAAGAACCAATAATATGAGAAAGTCCAATCAATTCTGCACCACCTATTGTTGCCATGTAAAGAGCCGTTTTCCAATCCACCTGACGTTGTTCATCTTGCCAAAAAGAGGATGAAATCACTGCTTGTCGCATACTATTCAACATCGAAGGACTGTAACCACCTGCCACATCTGTGCCTAATCCCATCTTTAGGTTCGAAGGATGTCGTTTAACCGGGAAGACACCATTTGCAAAGTAAGCATTGGAGAGAGGACATACAGCTACACCAGAGCCACGTTCTACCATCACTTGTACGTCTTTGTCAGATAAATGTACCCCATGAGCCATGATCGATCGTTCAGTAAGTAAGCCACAGGCATCAAATAAAGTCGTATCGCTTTCCACATCAGGATGGAGATGACGTACAAAAGCTACTTCATCCAATGATTCCGAGATATGAGATTGTACAGGTACATTGTATTTCTTGGCGAGTTGTCCGAGTCCTTCAAGTAAAGGAATGGTGCAAGTAGGTATAAAGCGAGGTGTTACCACAGGTGTCAAAATTTGACGAGAATCTCGTTCTTTACAATACTGGATAAATGTTTCTGCTTTATGAATAGCTGTTTCTGTCGTATCAATATAATCATCTGGTGCATTTCGGTCCATAGATACTGTAAAGTTAAAAGGAAGTCATTTTAATAATAGATTAACTCTTTCCTTTTTTTTTTTTTTTTTTTTTTTTTTTACCTAGTCCAACCAAAGCCCGTTGACCCATGGTTAATGTTGTATCAGCTAAAATTTTTGTTGCTTCTAAATGAATAGAAGCAAAGTAAACAGCTGTTGTAGTTCCATTTCGTAAAAGACGACGCACCAGTACTTGATAAATGGATTTAGCCCAGTCAGTATCTTGGTATCTTTTTTCACAAGGAAAGGTATATTTGTTCAACCTAATATTCGAAAAGGAGAGGAGGAAGAATAGTAGTAAGAAGCGGAAGATATAGGTAATATTTAGTTGTTTATTTACCATTCAGTGAGTGGTAAATCGGTGCAGGTTCCAGTAAAGGGGTATCTACAAGAAAGAGTAGAAAATAATGATTAATATATATCACCAAAGAGAAAAAAAAAAAAAAGAAAAGAGAAGATTTACTGTGGAGCATGAATGTGAGTATCAATAAAACCTGGTAAGATGAATTGGAAAGGAGAGAGGTAGCGTATATTGGTATCTTCAGGTAGATGTTGTTCTTTCAAAAACGTAGGAATTTCGGTTCTAGGTAAGTTCGATTGCAGTTGAGTAATAATACCAGTATGCTCGTCAGTGATAATAAGCGTGTTCAATAGTATATCCACTTTTCCTTTGACAGGTGTATGAACTAGAGTACCATAAATTGCGACCATGACGTTAAAAAGAGAAAAGAAAAAAGTAGGTGAGAATTTTCTTTGGAGGAAAAAAAAAAAAAAAGATATGCGGAGATACAAATGGCAAGAAACTGCATGGAATTATTACAGTTGAAATTGATCACTTTACGCCACCATCATCATCATCATCATCATCAACATAAAAAGATACTGTAAGGTGCTTTAATGAGGTTTAAGTAAGAGAAACAGTTCAATCAAAATTTTAAGAAAAGTTAAACTTTTTGTCCACACGTTGTCAAAGCATTGGTTATAAAAGATGATTGTCATGCATAAGAAAAGTACCTATCTGTATGCATTTGTCAAAAGCATGTTTGCTTAGAAATATAGGGATTTTCGATTTGTGTACCTTGATAAGAAAATTCTAAAGAACGATAATCAAACCAAATCGACTGGATCGGAGTCTTTGTTTTTCATTTTAAGACAAAAGAAAATTTTCATAGTTTTTTTTTTTTTTTTTTTTTTTTTTTTTTTTTTCCTTTATTTTTCTTGTGTCCAACTGATGAACGTGCGATCTAGGTTGGTACTGGTCTCCACTCCTTTACGACAAGTTCACAGTGTTGAATTATTACAGCATATACGATCTTTTGCTCACTCCAGTTCTCCATCAGCCGAGATCGCACCCTCTCCATCCTTTGATTATTCTTCCTTATCTCCCAAAACTTTACCTTTATATGATTTTTTTGCTAATGTGAAACCTAAGCCTTCTTATCGTTTTACTTCTGGAGCTTCTGGTTATGCCAAGCGTCGTGTTCAACAACCTACAACAACTGAAGCTTATTGTGGTCATCAAGTGGGTGAAGATGCTTATTTCTTACGACATGATTCTCTCTCTGTTGCCGATGGTGTTGGCGGTTGGATTAATACAAAAGGTAAAAATCATTCAAAAAAAAAAAAAAATCAAATCGTTATGACTTTTTTACTAATATTTAATTATATATAGGCGCTCAATCTTCTCTTTATTCACGAAAACTGATGCATCATGCCTATCTGGAACTAGAACGTTATGACAACATCGAAGATCCTTTATTTTGTGAATATGAAAAGGCAAATCCATTGACTATCCTACAAAAAAGTTACGATGAAACCAAGGAAGAAGCGATAAATGAAGGTGTCATTGGATCATCCACTGCTTGTTTAGCTCTTTTACGTGATGATGAACTTCGTGTGGCAAATCTTGGTGATTGTGGTATCTCTATTATTCGACATAACAGTTATGTATTCAGAAGCGAAGAACAACAACATGCATTCAACTTTCCTTATCAATTAGGTACTCAATCTAGGGATCAACCTCATCACGCCAATGTATTTAATGTCAAGGTAGAGAGAGGCGATATCATCATCATGGCATCCGATGGATTATTCGACAATGTATTTGATAGAGATATTCTACGTATGATCAATGAATACAACAATCACTATGGCAATAACATACCCTCATCACCCTTACGCCGTTTTGCTAATATTCAACCTCAAGGTATTGCCGATATGCTCGCTAGTCATGCCAAACATATTAGTGAATCAAGACAACCAGTAGATACCCCTTTCCAACGAAGAGCCATGTCCGAAGGAATCCCATTTCATGGTGGAAAATCAGATGATATCAGTGTTCTTGTTGCTATTGTCAATGACTGTGAGGATTCTCCCGATCGTCGTCTCTAGTTTTTTGGTTTTTTTTTTAGTTTACTTTTTTTACATTATATATTTGTTTATTTATATCATTATCATTCCTTCATTACTTTAATCATTCATTCATATTAGTTTAGTCTTTCCTATTATAAAAAAAATAAAGACTCATTTATATTTATTGACAGTTGAATCATCATCCTTCTATTTATGCGAAGTTAAGTTTGATAAAAAATTGTTCTATATTTACCTACTTTTAGAGCGAAAAATTATATAATATATAAAATAAAAGTCGTAGTTTGATTTTATTATACTTTTGAGTCGAGAACCTGGTTGAAAAGGAACAACGTGCGAGTTTCATTTGCTGGTATATCCTCTATCCATAAACACATGTGTATCATTCGAAAAGGACAATGAATATTGAACTAGTATTTTGAACTTACTTGACTTGTATTCATTATCCATTTCAAATAAAACAAAAATAAAGTTAAACGTTTACTGTATCTTTTTGGTCCATTTTCACTACCCAATCAAATCGAAAGTAATATCTTTTTCCATGTCCGGCGATTGAAAATAGATTTTCCTTTGGTTGCACTTTGTCCAGGTACCCTTTTTTTTTTTTTTTTTTTTTTTTTTTTTTTACTTTCTCTTTCTTTTCCTTGTTTTGTATAGTATTTTCTCATTACACCACGCTTTTATCTTATATCTATTCTAAACTGGTGTGTATTTTAAAAAAAAAGACCTCCTTTTATTATTATTATTACTATTATTATTATCATGACCGAGAATCCACAACAACAACAGCAACAGCAGCAGCAAGCCGATTTTGCTTCACTTCGACTTTCTCAGCAACAAGCTCAAGTTTTACCTTCGCCAGCGCCTTCAAAATCTATACAACGATCGAAAACAGTACGAAGTCTAGGCTCAGCTGGTAATAAAGTACGTGGACTATTCAAAAAACAGAATAAAGATGCACAACAACAAGACGATAATAGTAGAAATAGCATCATGTCCCGACCTCAGATGACTTCATCAACTTCTTATGGTTCAGCTCTTTCTGACAATAGATATATGGAACGACCAATATCCTATCCTGATACTCATATGATGGAGAAAAGTAAGTGAATTGAAAAGTTGGATATTATATATGTGCATATGCTGTGTGGATAACCTCCTAGGTAGATAGGGGGGATATATGGCGGGGAAATGGTCACTAATATCCTTTTTTTTTTATTATTATTATTATTTTTCCAACTCACCTCCTTTTTCTTCTTTCTCTTTTTCTCTTTTTCTTTTTATTACTTTTTTTTTTTTTTATACCATTCTATTTCTTCCTAGGTTTTTCATCTGGTGATAACAGATATTCTCATCTGTATTCATATACTGATAACAATAATAACAATAGTAATAACAACAATATCAGCAACAGCAACGACAACAGTAATAATAATAATATCAGTAATATCAACAATAACACCATGACAGCACAACAACAAGCTTCCACAGCAGCAGTAACATCATCTGGTAGTATGGATACTATCAACAAAGACCAACAAGATATTCCTGCAGAAGCTGAAGAATTAAAGCGACAATTGGATCAACTCAATCTCAACATCAACAAAGTACGAGAAGAAGTGACAATAGAAGCTGAAAAGAAACAACGTCTTCAACAGGAATTGGAAGAAGCAAGACGAGTATATCAAGAACGTGAAACGGAATACAATCAAATTGAACACAACTTTTTCCAACTAACACGGGCTGTACGTGCTACTGATGATGACTTGTCAACTATTCGCGATTCTCTAAAGTTACTCAAATACAATGTATCTCGTGTGGTGATGACTTTGAACAAGAAGGCAGATAAGACTAAGGCCAAGACCAAATTTGTTGCTACATGGCCTGAACTCTCATTATTGGATAGTCAAGGTGAATTCGTGGAACCTAGTCATATCAACTTTTTGGCTGAAAAGTTAATACATGATCATCTTGTGCGATGCGTATTCCGATGTCCTGTTTATCCTGGTTTGGACATCAATAACTCATATGCAGCTCTTAGTAGTTGGTTTACTGAACATGATTCCAATTTTTCTGTACGTTTACGACAACAATTGGCGTTGATTTTGGCGAAAAGCAAGACTGATAGCGAATTACATCAAGCAGTACAACAAGAAAAGAAACGGATAGCAGATCTTATCTATAAAGATCTAGCGGAAATTTATAGTCCTTTTATATTGGAAAATGATGCTCAAGTGAGTGAAGATAAATCGTATTATGCCAAGGTGACTGATATTTTGGATAAGGCATTCAAATTGGCTATTGCTATTCGTGGTCAAGAAGTGGAAATAACTACTTTGGATTTGGAAGAAGGCAAACAAGAAATTGATGAAGAAACAATGGTAGAAGTTCGTGGAAAAACATCTGGTATTGTACGATTCTCTATTTGTCCTGCTTTTATTGGTGGTGATGGTGAACATGGTTTCTTGGAAAAAGGAAAAGTAGTTGTAGTCTAGTCAATCCCCCCCTTTTCCCCTTAGTTTTTTTTTTTTTTTTTGAATCTCACAGTGTAACAATAAAATGCGCCTTTTCCTTTTTTTTTTTTTTTTATTTCATTTTTTTTCTTTCTTTCTTTTTTTTTTTTTGAAAGTTTTTACCATGCATCATAGACAACTTCTTCGAAATAATTCTACTTTATCCAATAGTACATATTATACAGCTCATAGTAATACTGAACATCAAGCTTCTAACCCACGTTATCATTCAACTCCATTACCTCATTCAACTTTAAAACGACAAGAAAGTAAACATCTCGCTGAAGACATACTACAACAAAATAAAACATACCCAATCTCTTTTGATCAACTTATACCTTTGACTGGGAACAAACCTAATATACGAAGGAATACAACTCCACTAGTCAAATCAACAAAAACCAACAACAACAACAACAATTATATTTGTACTGGAGTACCCAATGAAGATCCTTTACCTCATTATGTTTTGATACCTATTGGAAAGGTAATGTATGTTATGTATATTATTACTTTATGTAACGTATTATTTTGTTTGGAAAATAGACAGGTGATGGTAAATCTAGTTTACTTAATTCATTATTTGGATATCAAGAATTCAAAGCAGCTGCTGCAGCAAAGGTATATCATTTAAAGTATAATTTTAAAATAATTTAATGAATATTATTATTATTATTATTGTAATATTAGTCTGTGACGGATACTGTAGTGGAACGAACAGGTGTATGGACAGTGGATAGGATGAATGCTATAGTAACAGTGGCGGATACTCCTGGATTTGCTGATTCTGCTGGACGTGATTTTACAATAGCGATTCAAGATTATATTATGGATGTCAGTAATCGAATTGGTATTGATGCTTTCCTTTTAGTATTCCAACTAAAATCTCAACAGTAAGTATACTTTTGTCAAATAAAGTAAGGATTTAACATATATATATTTTTTTTAGGGTCATGTCGATTCTCAAAGCCTTTGCAGAGTTGATGAAAGATGTGGAACCGAAAAATTGGTGGGAGCATGTTATTTTAGTATTTACTCGGGTGGATTATACAACTGAACCTCAAAAATTGATTCAAACCAAACGGTATATTACTCAAACACTTCGTGAAGAAATCAAGACAACATTCGGTTTAGAAAATCCACCTCCAGCTGTATTTGTTAGTTCTAAAGTACACCATTGTCCCTTATTATCTGGCAAGGATTGTGATTGTGTAGAAGTCAAGTTTTATCAAAATGAACGTATGCGGATATTAAAGGAAGCCATTGTTACTTGTGGTGAACGTGGAAGATGGAGAGCAACCAAAGTTAGACAAACAGTTAGTGATATCGTTTCCCAACCCTTACAAAACGATGATAGAAATAGTCATCCCAATTTATACCAATCCCCTCCTGAACCACCTATTCATCAAAGTCAATAAAAAAAAAATTATCTAAGCTGTTGATTTTACCATTTTTATATAACTTTTTTTTATTTTTATTTTTTCTTTTTACGATCAAGGGGCATCTCTCAAACATGTTCATGAAACTCCGCTATAAAAAAATGTATCCCATTTTCTCTTCCTTAAACACTTTTCTTTTTTTTTTTCGTCTTTTTCCTTTTCATTATTATTATGAAATGGTAGGAAATAGTACGATACGCAAATTCCCTTTTGAATTCTGTCGTGGTATTTTTGCCTGTAAAGATTCACCGGGATTACCTACCTACAATGCCAAACAACCTACTGGGTTATTACTACAACTTGTCCTATGTAGTTCAGTCGGCTTCTTGTGTTTTGTATTATTTTGTTATCTTCGTGTTAGGTAAAATATTTATACTATAATAAAGTATTATTATATTCATATTATTATTATTATTATTATTATTATATAGATGGCCTTCCATGTATGCTCCTCGTCTCAATATGAAAAAGTAATGAAATAAATTGAAAAGATACGTCTTGGCATGATATATTCCTAACATTTGTTTATTGTAGACATGCACCAAAGCAATTATCTTCTTCTTTCTTTGGTTGGATTTTACCTGTATTGAAAACTCCCAATTCGGAAGTTCTGGAAAAAGTGGGTTTGGATGCTGTTGTGGTAAGTTGAACAGCTTTTCTTTTTTTTTTTTTTTTATGTATTTGAATTGATTAATGATATGGAATTATTTATATTAGATGCTTCAATTTTTGTTGATGGCTGCCAAACTTTTTGCTCTTTGTGGTTTCTTTGGTACTGTGGTTCTCTATCCTATTAGTCGTATGGGTGGTGATTTATTGAATTCGACAGATCCATCTAATAATCATACGGATACCAACTCAACATCTTTTCTATATTACGACTTGGCAACCCCAACAGCTCCTGAAACATCAAACTCCTTTTTATGGATTTATCTCTTCTTTACCTACTTCTTCTGTTTGGCCACATTTTATTTTACTTTCCTCAATTATCGTGATTATGTGCGTATCCGTCAAGAATTCATGCTCCGGATTGGAAGAACTATTCCTTCACGTACTGTGTTGGTCAGTGGTATTCCTCCTGCCCTTCGATCTGATCAAGCATTAGCTGACTATTTCGAGAAACTAGGTATTGGTGTTGTCGACTCGGTGCATATTATACGACATGTCAGTCGCTTATTGGATTTTATCAAAGAACGAGCTCTCTGTTTGCGACAATTGGAAACTGCCTATGCTCGATTTTGGGGAAATCCTTGTAATGATCCTGCATATGATCCAGACTTTTTATTATCTGAAGCAGAACAGGATCAACGTTTGAACGCTTTGAATTGGTCTACAACAAGTTCGATGCATCATCACAACAATGATATCAAGGGCAAGAAGAATTCTGCAATACGAACAAAACCAACTATTGGTGATGGTGTTTTGACTACCACTTCTTCTTCTTCTTCTGATTCCTTCTCTTCTGCTTATGGACGGCAATTTGGTGATCACCTCGAAGTGACCAATGTTGATGATGGCAACCATAACAACAACAATAACAACAGTGATAGTGAAAATGAGGAAGATATATATGGTGATGATGATGTTACTAAACCTTTATTACCAACTCATCGACGACGACCCAAGAAAAACAACAAAAATAGTATATTCACCAAACTCAAGAACAAAGTCAAGGAACCCACTAGACCTCTGGCAAAAGACGGATTCTTAGGTGTCGTTGGTAAACATGTGGACGCTATTGAATATTACACTGAAAGATTCAATGAATTGGATGCTACTGTGATCAAGGCAAGACGATATGGCAAGTTTTTACCTACTAGTGTTGGTTTTGTCACATTTGAAGATACCATGAGTGCTGTAAGTGAAATAGAATATTTATATATATATATATATATATATATATATGGCTAATGATTTTCTATCTATTCCTTTGTAGTCTATTGCTTCTCAAGTCTTGATCGACTCAACACCTTTTCGATTAAAAGCCCAACTCGCACCAGAACCTCGTGATGTACTTTGGGAAAACATTGCCATGCATGGAAGAGAAAGATGGATTCGCAAAGTTCTTATGTTTGGTGTTTTACTTCTTTTGGTCTTTTTTTGGGTGATTCCTATCTCTTACTTTTCTGCTCTTACCAATGAAAACTCTTTGCGATATTATTTCCCATGGCTGATGGACCTGGCATCAAAAAACAAGATTTTACAACAAATTATTCAATCCTTTTTACCTACTCTTGGTGTGGTGATATTTATGGCCATTTTACCCATGATCCTCAACGGTAAGAAGATACATAATAAGAGGAATACAAGTGCTATATTTATTTATTTATTTGTCTATTTATATGTTATATTTGGATATAGCTTTAAGTGTAGTGGAAGGATTCCCAACGAGAAGTGAAGCTGAAGAATCTACCTTTAGCAAGTAAGTTGATGAAAAAGAAATATTGAATAAATTAAGCCTTTTTAATAATTTTTTTTTATTTATTTTATATTTTAGATATTTTTTCTTTTTGTTATTTAATGTGTTACTTGTTTTCACTGCTTCAAGTGCATTATTCAAAACCCTCCGTGAAATACTGGAAGATCCATCCCAAATTGCAAATATCTTGGCCACTAAACTCCCCCAGGTTGCTCCTTTCTTTGTGAATTATACCGTCATTCATGGCATGATGCTGTAAGTTATTCAATTAAAAAAAAAAAAATCAAACTCATTATTTCCTTCTAGTCTTCCTATTCAGCTTTTACAAATTGGACCTGTCATCACCCAAACCTTCCATCGTACCTTTATATCAAAGACACCTCGTGATTATGCAGAAGTACTTGCACCTCGAATGTATAACTATGGTTGGGGTTATCCAATGCCGGTCTTTCTTTTTGTGGTTCTCTTGGTATATTCAACTATCACTCCACTTATCTTGGTATTTGGTACTTTTTACTATTGTATGTCCTACCTTGTAGTCAAATATCAACTATTATATGGTAAACCAAAAAAAAAAAAAAAATCGTATTGAAAGAGCAGTGCAGCTCACGTCCTTTTTTTTTTTTTTTTTTTTTTTTTTTTTTTTTTTTTTGTAGTCTATTTCCATCCTTATGAAGTTGCAGGACGTATGTGGCCATTGGTTTTTTCAAGAATCATTGTCGGATTGCTTTTATTCGAAACATTGGCAGCTGGTTTATTTGTATTGAATAAAGCATATACTTTGGCTCTATTGTGTACACCTTTGGTATTTTTAACTCTTCTATTCAACTTTGGTATGGATCGCGCTTATCAAAAAAGTACTCAATACCTACCTTTACAGTTATTATCGCAACGTTTTGGCCCTCTCACAACCACTATCACAACTCCATCATCACCTAGATCTGCACCTGTGACTCCCAAACCACAAGAACAACAACAGCAACAACTTATTACAATGAATAATGGAAGTAATGCAAATCTAGTGAATTTACGACGTCGTCGAACTGTGCTAGATGAAGATGATTACGAAGCAGAAACTCGGAAATATACCAACTTCAAGGAACCACCTATGACTTTACTCAATGGTATTTTGAACACTGGCATGAAAAAGTATGCACATCCAGCCTTTCTTGGTGTTCTTCCTCAGTTATGGTTACCAATCAAGGCACGCCCTCGACATCAACGACGACAACAACAGTATAGTAATAATACTGAACAAACCGAACAACAACCATTGATAGCGGATGATAGTGGAAATATTCAACCTACTGGTGATCACAATGATGATGATCAGCCTACACATGCAACAAATGGAGTTATAGTGTCAACAAGTAGTAGTAATAATATATACCAATCATTACCATCCCCATCATCATCACCACAACAACAACAGCAGCAACAACAACAACCTGATTCCTCTGAAAATGATCGTGCTGATTCTGCACCAATACTGACGACAACAAGCAACTCGATGGTGACAGGACAAGAACGGGATACCACAGAACTTTCAACTGATATACCCTCAGATGAAGAAGACAGTATGGAAGACGAAGTGGATACGAATAATGGAACATATTATCATCACCCTGAACGAAAAGTATCCAAAACATTACTCAGCCGATCGTATGGTGCTACTGGTTAAATGAATTGATATGACTCTATTTATTAGTATTAAAATTAATATTATTACTTGTACTGATATATACATATATATATATTTTGGTTACGACAATAAAACTGATTTGATTTTACTCCTTATTTTGTTACTCGTGTTTGACTGTCAATATCGAACTTTATTGACGCCTTGATTTTCCTTTTTCACAAGGACTTCCATCCTTTTTTGATTAGAACTTTCATCCCCTTGTCCTATACATTTGGTTCATCTCTCCCACACCTATTTCTATGTCTCCTTTTTTCTTTTCATTGCTATCAAATCAAATAAATAAAAGGGAAAAATAAAAAATAAAAAAAAAAAAAAATACAAAAAAAAGAGGAAGTTTTAGAAATCCGTTTCTATCATCCATGATCGAAAACGTACATCCATGCACATGCTCCCATTCTCATTCTCTGACAACTGATTTCGACGACAACGACGATGATGATAATAATCAATTCTATCAATACCAACAACAACAACAACAACAACAACAACAACAATATTATCCATTAGATGATGATGAAGATGATAATGAAATTATTCTAGGTAGTGGAATGGAAGACGAGGAAGAGGACGAGGACGAAGATGATGATGGAGCAAGTACATCATCCTCTGTTTCATCTCCGCCGAGCATTCCAGATGAAGATATCAATTTTGATCTTGTGTATGCGTTACATTCCTTTGCAGCTGTAGTAGCTGGTCAAGCATCTGTCATCAAAGGTGATGCTCTGATTCTAATGGATGATTCAAATTCTTATTGGTGGCTCGTTGAAGTATTGAAAACAAGAGAAATGGGTTTTATTCCTGCTTCAAGTACAGAGTAAGTTCTTGATTATTTATGTCGGTCTTTTTTTTTTGGCATTTTTTCTTTCTCTTTTACATTTTTATTTTTTATTTTTATTTTTTTTTTTTTATTTATTTATTTCTTCTTTCTCTCATTGATACAACTCCTCTTTTTTTTTTTTTTTTTGTCTTAATTATACAACAGATCACCCTATGAACGACTAGCTCGATTGAACAAACATCGTAATGTTGATATTACTGCCCCTACTTACGATGATTTACGACCTCCTATTCCAACACAAAAGAATTCGACCAAGAAAGTGACTTTGGGTTCAGAAGACAACTACGTGGTGTTTACATTTGAAAGGGACGATGAAGAAGATGACGAAGAGAACTATGACGATGACTATCACAATGATTATATTGAAGATTTGGATGATGACTTTGATAAAAATAACGATACTATTGCAATAGTTGAACATACTGACGTCTATATGGATGCCGTGACGACTGACACTCATATGGAAGTCAATAACAGCGACATAATAACTACCAATATGGATGGAATAGAGGAAGAAGAAGAAGAAGAAGAAGAAGATACCGAGGATGACGATGCCTTTGAAGATGCTCAACAAGAGATAGTCGACTGTCGCTATTCACCTATACCTGACGAGAAAAATCAATTAGATCAAGTGGACTCTTCTCCAAATATGAATACGCTAAATATAACGTCCACATCTGATTTGCAAAATAATAGTAACAACAACAGCAACAGCAACAACAAAGACAATATCAGAAACAACAACGACAATATCAGCAACATCAACAACAATATCAGCAACATCAACAACAATATCAGCAACATCAACAACAATATCAACAGCAACAACAACAATATCAACAGCAACAACAACAACGACAACAACAACAACAGCAACAACAACAGCAACAACAGCAACAACGATGACAACACTATTGAACAGGTCCATCAACAAGGCAAATCAAGCAAGGGACAATCTTTACCAGAACAAGGCGGTCGAATGGAAACTCTTCGTGTCTTTGGCGGCAATATATGTCAAGGTCTTGTATTTCATACCTTCACCATTGGTATGTCAACTACAGCACGTGAATTACTGGAAATGGCAATTACTAGATTTGATTTGGAAACTGGATCTCGTTCTATGGATTACTATCTTACGGTTCAAAGTTCAGATGGAGGTAAAGTTGAACCATTATACTTGTATAAAGTTAATTTCTTTTTTTTTATTCTTTTTGTTGTGATATGTATATGAAATATCTGACCTTTTTTTTTCTTTCTTTCTTGCAGATGATTATATCCTGTTGGGTCAAGATAAACCACTACCAATTCTTCGAACTTTAACCGCATCGTTGACTACACCCCTACCACGATCGTCAATGGAACAGTTACAGCAAATCGCAAAGACGAAAAAGCGATTATCATTCAACGACGGCAACAATATTAATAACAACAATAATAGCAACGAAAACCTTAATAACCGTCATCGTCCTAGTAGTTTCAACAATTTAGAACAAACCTATTACGACGAAGATTCAGTAATCCGATTCTACTTACATCAGCGAATGAAACGAGGACGTGAAGATTTACTTTATATTAAAGTATGTCTATATCATAGCGGCTTACCACAAAGGAATTCTAAAAGCAAGAAGAAGAAAAACGCAGAAATTGATCGGGTGGACAAGATTATGGCTGTTCAAGTGGATTCTCAAGTCGGCATGGTGATCAATGAAGCTTTAGCCAACGTTCCAAATGCTACTGCTGAAAATTTTTTGGGTGGACTAGGTGATGTACGACTGTTTACAAAGTATCGAATGAATGTGCGTACAAATGACGGTCTAGGTAAAAGAAGAAAAAAGAAAAAAAAAAAAGAAATGTTCATTTTGATTTCGAGGGTTGGACTCACTCTTTATTATTATTCTCTAATAGAAATGACACTACAACCTACTCAAGATATGGCCGCCTTACTGACAATGTTAGGACTGAAATGGAATATTGGAGGAAGAACGCTTTTGACTAGTGAACTTTTATTTTTGATCTATCCTGCAAACGGCAACAAGAAAAAATCACGCCAAAAACGACCTGTCAGTTTATCAAAGGATCATTTACAACAATCAGATCAACAATGTATACAACAAGAACGACGACCTAGTATTTTGGATATTTTGATGGATGCTCCAAGCATGAAAGAACCTCCTTCTCCTTTACAAGGTACTACCAAATAATATTAAATTCCATATCCATGATGTATACATAAAGATACTAACCCCCTTTGTTTGATGATCATTTTTAACGCATATCCATTTTTTATAGAACAAGGGGAACTAGGAGACCACAACACCGCTATGGATCCCCTAGCTTTGCGCAAGAAAAGTCTATCTGGATGCAACTTGGACACTTATCCTCCTTCTTCTTCTTCAACTACTTCCTCTCACCAGCAGCTCATTCCTCTCAACGATTCAACTATTACAGTAGACAATCCTGACAACACAATGGTTTTTGGTATAAATAATGACAAGAAATCAACACCAACAACGATCAAGTCGAATTCACTTAAACAACAATTGAAACGATGGGTGGGATGGGGACCAAAGAAGAACCAACAACAACAGCAACAGCAACAGCAACAACAACAACAACAACAAGGTTGGTTATCGCCACCAGCTTATTCACCTTTAGATCCAAATCCTGTTGATGAAGCTATATACAACGATTCGCCTGTTGCGCCCACTGAAATTACAAAAGAATCTACTTTGTTTCAAGATAACGTGATGGTGACACCGTACGATTCTGGTTTGAGAAAACCTTCTGATTCTACTATTATTGTCCCTATGGCTTCCAGTTCCTCTCAACAATGTCTTTCAAATACCGCCATGGAAATGAATGGAAATGCAACATCTGACCGGGTATCACCGAATATGGTCATGATGAATACTACCCCTTCAACCCCTATGATGATCTCGACTTCCAATTATACTCTTTCCGCTCATTTAACAACAGCAGATCCCCACAGCAACAGCAACAGCAACAGCAACAGCAATATCAGTATCAATAACAGCAACGATAACACTACTCCAACAACTACTTTGACACCAACAGCTCCCACTCAGTCTGACACAAATCCATTACCAATATCAAACTCCAGTAACTGTATCAACACTTCTGCTATCACCACTATATCATCATCATCATCATTACCATTATCATTAACATCGTCATCATTGTCTTCATCATCACCTGTATTAGCAACGGAACAATTAACAACAGAAATTATGACAAGCACAAGAACTAGACTGGATTCTCCTTTACCACCAACTCCTTGGCATCAACAAGAGACACAACCTGATCGTTCTGCTTCTTTAATCGACTCTGATATATCATCTTTATCAAATTCAACTTGTTCTTTCGACTCGACTGTGGAATTACAATACTCACAACGTGGTGAAGAAATCAACAAGCAACATTCTGTATATGAATGGCTATCTGACTCTGATTCAGAAAACTCTCAAGTTGAGCAACCAGCGTCCTCCTCACTTTATGAAAACTCTACACATCAAGTACAAAATGACGGCAATGACGATGTATTGGCTCAGTATTCTTCCTGGATGAAGCGTGAGTCTTTGTCTGCGACAAAGGCAATCGATCAACCTCAAACAAGCAACGACAATACAACAGGTTCTATTCAATCATCTTCAATATCTTCGTCATCATCATCATCATTATCAGCATCTACATCCATGGAAAAACATATCAATACCGACCTTACTTTGAATTCTCCTACATCGTATTGCCCTCCTGCAGCCAATAGTCCAAATGGATTATGTAGCAACAGTAGTACCATCACCTCTAATACGTCGACTAGTACACAATCGAATATGCGTTCAACATCACTCTTGTCCTCGAACTTAGATACAGACGCTTTATTATTAGTGACACATGGTGTGGATTTTCTCATGCATCGTGAAAGCTCCAATTGGGAAGATGATGACAATAGCAACTCGATGAAAAATAAGACCACAGGCAATGATGATGATCGATATGCGCTTCATCCTTGGAACGGAATGAAAAAACCTGAAAGTGGCGACAACTATATTGATTTGATGTCCTCTCCTTCTTCTGTAAAAACAACAAGATCTATTAATGATTTATCGACAGCAAGACCATCAATAGCAAGACCAAGATCATTATCAACGAAAGCCATCTCAAATAAAACTATTTTACCCTCCATGCCTAGTTCAGCATCACTTACAACCAATGGTTCTTCTCTCTCTATCATCGGACAATCAACAACAGCAACCATACATGATAAAGATGGAAAACAGCACTCCCAAAGAGAAAAAGAAGTCGTGGATGAAGTAAGAATATGAACATAGGGTATACGAATAAGATGATTAATTCATCTCTCTTTTTTTTTTTTTTTGTGTGTATATATATAGGAACTTCAAAGAATAGTTAGTATGCATGTCCTCTTCTAGTAATGATTATAGTTTAGTGAGTGGTGATAGTATTTTTATTGATATATCTTAAAATAAAGCAAAAAAAAAAAGTTTGATTTTGATCCAAAATGCATATAGTTCAACTATAAATAGAGATGTGGTTTTATTAAAAAGATATTATAAAAATAAATAAAAAAAAAAAAAGAGGGAAATGTGGGTATAGTAACTAACTACATGATCGAAAAGGTAGATGACGAGTTTTCAAACCATTCTATGTAGATCTTCATCATCCAAATCGTCCATCATCAAAGCTTGCTGTTCCAGTGCGATCTGTTTGCCTCCTGACCTGCCTAGTTGTGCCTTCCTCGCTGTCCACAGATAATCCATCAAAAACGCAAGCATTAAGCCGCAGAAACTACCTAATATATTGGCCAAAATATCATACCAATCAAATGAGCGATACTAAAAAAAAAAAAAAAAAAAAAGGAAGAGAGAGAGAGAGACGGTCAGATTACGTTATTACGTTCTCCATATATTTTATCTAACTTTCTTTATCCTATTCTTACCGGTAACAGTCCTTGAATGAATTCGCTGCCAATAGTCAAAGCAAAAAGAATAATAGTTGTCAAGATAAGGTTTCGTCGAAATGAGAGATTCCAAAGATAATACAGAAACACACTTAGGATACAAAAGGTACCAAAATGGAGCACCTTGTCATTGATGCGTTCATGAAGATGGATAGGAGCAAAACCAAGAATGCCCATAATGAGTAAAAGGAAAAAAAGTATCACCAAGACATAGAATCGCATATATTTATATAGAATCTATCTATTAATTGAAACCAAAAAAAAAAAAAAAAAAAAAAAGAGGAACAACACCCTTTTTTTTTTTCAGAGCAATATTCGTCCAAGCTATGTTTTAAGCTCCGGTTTCATTTCTTGTTTTCTTTTTTTTCTCTCTCTTTTTTTGCTTTTTTTTTTTTTCTTCCTCCTCACTTTTTTTTATTGTTGTTCGTTTTGCGACTTTTCATTGAATACTATGGTCAAAACAACTATTATTGCTCGGGTATCGGATGGTTTACCGTTAGCAGCGAGTATGGATGATGAACAGGTAAGAAATTGAAAACAGGATGGAATATAATGATATAGCTAAATACGTGTTTGATTTTCATAGGTGGAAATGGAATTGGCCGAATACAAAGGACAAGCTAAATCTATTTTTAAACGACTCAATACGAACTCTGAACCAAGATGTTCTATTGAATCTGGGAATTATATCTTTCAGTAAGCAAAAAAAAGAAAAGAAAAAAAAAGGGTTCATTGTCATATTTGAACTAAGTGTCTCAACTTTTTTTTAAACTTATAGTTATATCATAGAAGGTAGTGTTTGTTATCTTTGTATATGCGATAAATCATACCCACGCAAACTGGCCTTTAGCTACTTGGAGGAACTTGCTAAAGAATTCAATATGAGTTATGGCAATGAAGTGGATAGACCTGGATTACGACCTTATGCTTTTGTCAAATTTGGTAAAAGATGAAATAGAGTTACATTTAATAATTTATCAACTACATTATTCACCTCTCTTTTTTTTTTTTTTTTTGTTAGATACATTCATGCAAAAAACGAAAAAGATATACCAAGATACTCGAACCCAAAGCAATTTGACAAAACTGAATGAAGACTTACAAGATGTGACCCGTATTATGACCAAAAATATGGAAGATCTTTTATGGAGAGGCGATAGTTTGGATAGTAAGTTGAATCAAATCGTCATATATAATAAATTTTCATCATCTTTTTTTTTCTTTGATAGAAATGAGCCATATTTCTGGTGAATTGAAAGACAGCGCCAAAATGTTCAAGGATAAGGCTCGTCATCTCAATCTTCAAGCATTGTATCGAAAGTATGGACCACCTGTTATTATTGGTTTAGTTATTTTAACTGTTATCTTAGTACGTTATTATTACTTCTAATCTTTTATATATAAATATATAAATATGAATAAAAAACAAACATGATTTTTTTTTCTTTAAAAAGTGATAATGACTATTGTGTGATTATAACCGTATGTCAAAAGTTAAATGTACCTTGGTAGAAAGATTTGATGGATTTTTTATGACAGGGGATAAGGTGTAAGTGGGGACAAAAATGAACTGACCAATAGAAAATGAAGAAATATGCATTAAAATCAAAAATTTCAATATATCAAAAGTGAAGAGAAAAAAAAAAAAAGAAAAGAAAAAGACTCAATCAGTTACTATTCTAACTATAATAATCAGAAAAAGAAGGATCAAATGAAAATTATATATTCGGATGAAAAAAAAAAAAAAAAAAAAAAAAGAAAGCATTTTAAATATGGTGTACACGGGTTTCAGACAAATCAAACGGCGTGACTCCAAAAATCATGCATTCATTTTTTTGGGGGGAACAGAAAAAGGAAAAAAGAGCTTCTTTTTTTTTTCTCACTCTCTTTCTTTTTGTTAATTTTTTAATCTTCTCATGGACTTCGAAATAGATCATTACTTGGAACAACGAAATTCTTCAAGCGATGATAGCTTCTCCATAGACGAAGATAATACTTCTAATAAACACAATATATATCCTAGTTTACAACGATTCAAATCTCTTTTTCGACATGAACAAAAAGTCAAACAACGAGAACCTACCATGTCTTCAAATTCTTGTTCACCAAAACCAAGTTTAGATCCTCGACAAAGAAGATATTCACAACTACCTTTGACTCCACCAAAACCTGAAATATTATCTACTCCTCAACCTCAAGTAAAGAAATATATATATATAATATATATAAACTTTATTCATTCATTTTTATATATTTAGATAATAAAAAAATTGACAATAGATATATGCAAAACGTATAAAAAATGTGATCCTTCTTTTCGATATGATCCAAAACATAATCCAAGAAGAGTTTTAACAAAACCTGGTACACCTTATAGGAATAATGGATTTGATAATCGCAATTCTGATTATATTCTTTATGTCAATGGAGGATTAGGGGGAAAGTAATTCAACATATATATATATATATACTTAAATATATAAATATAAAGAAAGATTGATTATTATTATTATTATTATTATTATTAGATATGTTGTATTGGAATTATTGGGATTTGGTACTTTTGGTCAAGTAGCAAAATGTCGAAATACATTAACAGGTGAAATTGTAGCTATCAAGGTTATCAAGAATAAACCAGCCTATTTTAGACAAAGTACTGTTGAAGTCGAAATTCTCAAACTAGTAAGAAAAACAAATAATATATATATGAATTTCTTTTGGATGCTTATTTTTTTTTTTTTTTATTTAGTTGAATCGAAAATATGATCCAAATGATCAACATCATATTTTAAGATTATTGGAACATTTTATGTATAAACATCATCTTTGTCTTGTATTTGAATTACTCTCTGTCAACTTATATGATCTCATCAAACAAAACTCATTCAAAGGATTATCAACAAAATTGATACGATCATTTACAGCCCAATTATTAGATGCTTTGGTGATATTGAAAGAAGCAAAAATTATTCACTGTGATTTAAAACCAGAAAATATATTACTAAAAACGTAAGTGTATATCATGTGAACTTTTTTTTTCTTCTTCTTTTAATTTTAATTTTTATTTTTATTTTTTTTTTTTTTTACCTAGTATGGAATCTCCTGTCATTAAGGTGATTGATTTTGGTTCAGCTTGTCAAGAAACAAATCAAATGTACTCTTATATCCAATCAAGATTTTATCGTTCTCCAGAAGTATTACTTGGATTGGATTATACCTCGGCTATTGATATGTGGTCTTTTGGTTGTATTGTAACTGAACTATTTCTTGGTTTACCCTTATTTCCTGGTACTTCTGAATATAATCAACTATCAAGAATCATCGATACTTTTGGGTAAATAAAATAAAAAAAAAAAAAGATTTGATATCGTGTCTCATCATCATATTATTATCATTATTATTATTATTATTATTATTATTGTAGATTACCACCAAATCATATGATAGAACAAGGAAAACATGGTGGAAAATACTTTAATATATCAAGAGACACTAATGGTCAAGTACATTACACATTCAAATCAAGGAAAGTTTATTCAGCAGAACAAAACAAACATGAAAAACAAAGTAAGCAATACTTCGGTACAAGTCAACTAGATTCTCTTATTTTGGATTTCCCATGGCCAAAAAAGGAAATGAGTCAGTCTGCTATTGATCATGGTAAGGAACATGAAATCATGACAATGACTTACAAATTAATATATATTTTTTTTAGAATTATCAAGTAGAGTACTTTTATTAGATTTTATTAAACGTGTGATGTGCTATGACCCTGATTTACGAATGACACCTCAAGAAGCATTACAACATCCTTTTATTTTACATCAATCATTATCACCAACACCATCTGAACGTTTGATATCATCATCACCATCACCGCCACTATCAATCAAAAGTGATACTAGTCATTCTCCCAATGATATGGAATGTATATGCAGTGTATCCAAACAATTCAACAACCACTGTCCCAACCTTTAGAATGATATGTCTTCGGTGAATCAAATAAAATATATTCTCTATAGAGCACGGACCTTGGAACCAATCATTCTCCACTTACCTACCTTGGATTTCCCTTTTTGTACACAGGATTATACAATTTATTTTTATCTCTTGTATTAATAAAAAAAAAAGTAGTATTTATGAATATCAATATTGTTGTTACGGATGTTGTTATTGTTGTTGTTGTTTTTTTTAAAGAAAAAAGAAAGTACCTTTTTTTTTTGGCGATCGCAAAAAATCTTCTATTTTAGTTGTCAACTTTTAGTCAAAAAGATTTTTTTTTTTTAAAAAAAAAATGTCTTACCCCACAGGAGTTCCCTGCCCAATGATGTGTAATTAGATGAAGTCCCGAAGAAAGGAGAGATGTGCTTTAAAGTGGAGAAGAAAAAAAAAAACTGGGGCAAAGCAGGAATTCCACGGAATAACTTTCCTCATTAACTGTACATGCTTCTCCCTCTCTCTCTGTGTGTGTGTGTGGATGATGCGGCTTAATATAGTGTGGAGTGAAAACCCGAGCGGGAACTCGATTTGGTTAGTCATGGTTAGAGTAACCAACAGAATCACTACTATTTGACACTTGAAACTTTATTACAATTATCCCTTCATTGGTTGAAAATTCTGGCCAATTGTTCTCCCTTTCACTTCAATCTACTTGGTCAAAGAGAAAGAAGAATGCAATCAAGATCTTTAAGATGATAAACATCACATCCGTACATTCGCTGTTAATACTTTTTTAGTTCGTAGAACGAAACCATCATCATATTTTGCGCCATTTTACTACTACTATACTCTATGCGTTTCCCGGCGCCCAAATTTTCAGCGTCCGAGTTCTCACGGGCCCAGCCAATCAGAAAAGATTCTATTTACGGAGTTTTGCATACCCTGTATATAATATCCCATTCAATCGATCGATTTTTTTTTGTTCTTTTTCTTCTCTTTACTTTTTTTTTTTTTTTTTTTTTTTACCCCACACATACACACACTCCCTTCAATGGAATCCACTATGGAAGACAATACTATCACTAGTGAATATGGTTACAAGACCAATGTCTATGCTGAAAAGAATGAACAAATGATCAAGGTTTGTACTTATCTCGAACAACTTGGTTTCCTTCCCAAGGAATTGGTCAAGAATGAAGTTCAATGGTTTTATAGGTAAGAAATAATTAATTCAACTTGGGGTGACAAAAGAGAATAAAAAAGTGCTCATCTTTTTTTTTTTTATGTTCATTAGCAATTTGAACATTGATGACTATTATTTTGCTCTTGAAACCGTGGAAACCATTGCTAACCATATCATGTCTCTTTATGGTGCCAAGATTACTGCCTACACAAACAAGGATGATATGCTTGATATCAATCTTCAAAAGGAAACTGATGAATCATCAGTATATATTCATACTTCTCTTCCTGGTGTATCTCAAGTACATGGACCTGAAAATGAACGAAGGTAAGAGAAAAAAAAAAAAAAGGAGAAAGGGAAATATGAAACAGTGGGTAACAACTGCTCTTTTTTTTTTTTTTTTTTTTTTTTTTTTTTTTTTTTTTACATAGAATTGATGACCTCTACTTGGATGTTTCTACTCCTGCCAAGGCTTATCGTGTTGAATCATACCGCTCCAGTGCTGCTGTATCCTCAGATCAAGCTCATTCTCCTCCTCTTCGTAGTTACTTTGTCACCAAGTGTCAATTTGCCAATCCTGAACCTACTACTGCTCAAGAAACTGATATCCACCAAGTTGCTGATCAAACTTTCTTAAAGAAGGCTACTGAACATACTCTCAAGATCTATTCTGGTGTGATGTGTGATGTTCTTCAACGAACAGGTCCTGTCATCAAGATGTTTGAAGTACAAGGTAGTCGTGAACGTCGTATCATCATTGGTTACCGTCAACGTTCCACCAAAGGTTTCTTCTCTGCCATGTCTGATTTGTATCATTACTATGATTTGTATTCTACCAGAAAATATGTCGGTATGTCGTTATCAATATGTGTTTTATTTAATAATTCAATCTAATTAATTTTTTTTTATTAGAACAATTCTCCAATGGTGTTACTATTATGGGATTGTACTTGAACCCTCTTCCTAATACCAAGTCTGTTCCCATTGAACAATCTATCTATCAAGTCATGAAAGAAACTTCCCTTTTGTATTGTTTACCCAAGTCTCCTTTACAAGAATTTTTCCAAACTGGCAAGCTCTCTGTACAAGAAACTGTTTATGGTTATGTCATCTGGATCTTCTCTCAACACTTTTTGAATCGACTTGGCAAGGAATATCTTTCTTTGACTCGTATTTTAGATGCTAACAATCCTCTCCATGAAGAAGTTTTGTCAAAAATGAAGAAACGTCTCCGTCAAGATACTTTTACTCGTGAATATATTTTGGAAATCATCAAGCGATACCCTGAACTTATCAAGTTGTTGTATACTCACTTTGCCAATGTCCACTATGTTAATCAACGTGAACAATCTCTACAACCAACCATCTCCTACCAACGTATGACTACTCAAGAATCTTTGAATGATGAACAGTTGATCAAGAAGATTGCTAATACTACTCTTAATGCACATGAACAACTTGTATTTGAATCTTTCTTGACCTTCAACAAGAATGTCCTCAAGACTAACTTTTATCAATCTACGAAGGTGGCTCTTTCTTTCCGTATGGATCCCAGCTTTTTGCCTGAAATTGAATATCCCAACAAGCTTTATGGTATGTTCTTAGTCGTCGGTTCTGAATTCCGTGGTTTCCATTTGCGATTCCGTGATGTTGCTCGTGGTGGTATTCGTATCATCCGTTCTCGTAATCGTGAAGCCTACTCTATCAATCAACGTACCTTGTTTGACGAAAACTATGCTTTGGCTGCTACTCAACAACGTAAGAACAAGGATATTCCTGAAGGTGGTTCAAAAGGTACTATTTTATTGGACATTGATCAACAAGACAAACCTCTTGTTGCATTCGAAAAGTATGTGGATTCTATTTTGGATTTATTGATTGTTGGTCAATCTCCTGGTATCAAGGAAAAGTTGGTGGATTTGACTGGTAGACCTGAAATCTTATTCTTTGGTCCTGATGAAGGTACTGCTGATTATATGGATTGGGCTTCTCAACATGCTCGTCGTCGTGGAGCTAGCTTCTGGAAGGCTTTCACTACTGGTAAGAGTCAATCTCTTGGTGGTATTCCTCACGATACTTATGGTATGACTACTCGATCTGTACATCAATACGTTCTTGGCATCTATCGTACTTTTGGATTGAAAGAAGAAGAATGTACTAAATTACAAACTGGTGGCCCTGATGGTGATCTTGGTTCCAATGAAGTCAAGATTTCTAAGGACAAGACTGTGGCTGTTGTGGATGGATCTGGTGTGCTTTATGATCCCACTGGTATCAATCGTACTGAATTGTCTCGTTTGGCTAATCAACGTCTAATGATCAGTAATTTTGATGTATCTCTTTTGTCTGAAAATGGTTTCCGTGTTTTGGTGGATGAAAATGGTGTACAATTGCCTAATGGTTTGGTGGTTGAAAATGGCTTACAATTCCGTAATACTTTCCATACTAACAGTCTTGCTTCTGCTACTGTGTTTGTACCATGTGGTGGTCGTCCTGAATCCGTTGATCTTTCCAATGTCAACAAACTTATTCAAGAAGATGGTACTCCCTTATTCCAATACATTGTGGAAGGTGCCAATTTATTCTTTACTCAAGAAGCTCGTTTACGTTTGGAAAAACAAGGTATTGTGATCTTTAAGGATGCTTCAGCAAACAAGGGTGGTGTGACCTCATCTTCTTTGGAAGTGTTGGCTGCTTTGGCTTTCAATGATGCTGAATTTGAAGAACATATGTCTGTCAAGAATGGTCAAGTGCCTGCTTTCTATGAAGCTTATGTGAAAGAAGTACAAGAAATCATTGAACGTAATGCTCGTATTGAATTTGAAGCTTTATGGCGTGAACACAAGAAGACGAAGCAACCCATCTCCATCTTGTCTGATGAACTCTCTGTCGCCATCGTTCAACTTCAAGAACAATTACAAGAAGCTGGTTTATGGTCTAATGTTTCTTTACGTGAATCTGTCTTGTTACGTGCATTCCCCAAATTACTTTTGGAAAAGGTCGGTTTGGAAACTTTGTTGAAGCGTGTACCTGAAAACTATGTAAAGGCTATCTTTGGTGCTTATTTGGCCTCTCAATTTGTTTACAAGTATGGTGCTCAACCTGATCATTTCGCCTTCTTTGAATTCATGCGTACAAACTACTACCAAGGTGTCGATGAATAGATTTCTCCTTATTTAGCACCATCATCATCATTATTATCATTATCATCATTAGTATTTTTTAGAATTTCATTTCGTTTTTCCATTATCACTTAATATTATTCACTGATTATTCTATATATTTTTTTTCTTTTCCTTTTTCTTTTCTTTTCTTTTTTTTGTGTGTGTATATGTGTGTGTGTGTGTGTGTGTTTTTTTTTTTTTTTGATCACTCAACATATCTCTCTTTTTCATGCTTTAGTTTTTTATTTTTATTTTTCTTTTATTAACAACTCTCTTGTACATTTATACAAATAAAGTCATCCTACATAAAAAAAAAAGTTCCTGTACAAATCATCATGTAATTGTCATTAAATGTATGAATAATATAATTCATTATACAAGGTTTATCAATCTCCAATAAAATGGCAACTAATGTGCTAGTCTGAAGGCGACCATTTTTACCATCTCGCCAATCAAAATAATTTCAGGGCTTGAATTTTTTTTTTTTTCTTTCGGGCATTCAGATATTTTTCTCTTTTCTTTTTTCTTCTTACTTTCTTTTTTTTATATTAAACTCCCATTATGTTTTCTCTATATGATGATCTTCCTGCTCCCAAATCGAAGACTGATGAAGAGTCAAATTCAAATGCAACACAACAAACGACTTCACAGAATGGCAGCAATACAGCGTCATCGTCAACAACAGCAACAACAAAATCTGCTCCAACCGGTAAAATTGAAAATGATATATATTACATTGAATTTTTAAAATAATAACTCAACTGAATTATTATTATTTCATGTAGGTTGGTCCAATATACAACAATTTAGACCAGTGATGCGAAAACCAACTATTCAAGCCAAACCAAAACTCTTCAAACCGGTTATTCCGTCTGGTGCCACGATTGTATCCACTACCACCGTCAGCAAAGAAACGCCTTCCTCAACATCTAATATACCTTCAAATTCATCAACCTCAAAACCAACTACTTCCAACAATACAAAATCTTCTACCATTCTTCCATTACATACTAAATCGTATGTATCCACAGCTGACGATGTTAATGGTTTTCGCCAAAACAAGGTAAACAAACAAAAAAAAAAAAAAAAGAAAGGAAGTATCAAACTTTATATATATATTCAACATGACTACTTTGTCATCGTACCATATTTTAGAAAAAGGGCAAACAAGGTAAATCAAACCAACAGAATCAAGGTCCTCCACCAATTGATCTTTTTGAAGATTATGATCCAATGCGACCAACTGACTATGAACAATACAAAGAAGAACAAGAAATTATCAGACAGCAAGAAGAAAGACAACGAAGATCAAGACGTTCAAGTTATTCCTCAGATGAATCCTCCCGATCTCGTTCACCAAGTCCTAGACGACCTACACGTAAAGAACATATTTTCGATTCATTTTATTTTTTATTTATTTTTATTTTATTAATATGAATCAATCATTTCTTAGGTGGATATGCTCCACCACCAGATTTGTATACTACTACATCCTCAACATCACCAACACGTAGTCGATCTAGACATCACTCACGGTCTCCATCACCAACATCAAAATATGGGCCAAGATATATTCACCGTTCACCATCACCTCAATCAATTTCAACAAATACTCACGATACACCAACTGTCCATGAATCTGGCGATGATGCCTACAACAGAAGAGTAATGCTTGCTCAACAACAACAGCAACAACAACAACAACAACAACAACAACAAAATCCAAGGTAAAACATCCACTTTTTAGGTTTTAAGATAACAGGAAATTCAGCTCCTTTGATATGATTATATAGATCAATGGATGGAAGTACGGCATGGAAAATGATGAACAAGTATGGTTGGCAAGAAGGACAAGGTAAATGAAGGAAAAAAAAACACATAATAGTAAAATAATCTTTTTGGATTCATCGTTTTCATTTTTTTTTTTTTCATTAGGATTAGGCAGAGATGAAGATGGGATTCGGGAAGCCTTACAAGTTCAAGCTCGTGGAGATGGTAGTGGTGTGATCTTACCTATGCAACAACAGCAACAACAACAACAGAGGCAACAGCAACGTCAACTTAATAATAGCCGAGTGATTGTTTTAAAGAATATGGTGGGCCCTGGTGAAGTGGATGATTTGCTAGAACAGGAAACAGCAGATGAATGTGCCAAGTATGGACAAGTGGAACAGTGTCTTATCTATGAAGTACCTGATGGTCGAGTTAGGGACGATGAAGCCGTTCGAATCTTTATCAAGTTCTCCAATCCTCAATCGGCCATGACTGCCATTGGTGATATGCATGGACGGTATTTTGGTGGTCGTGTGGTCTCAGCAGAAATCTATGATCAAGATCGTTTTGACAAGTTAGATCTAGCTCCATGAACATTTTAACAAATAGTCATTGTAGTTATTATTAAATAAATGTGGTGATGATATAATGATGATAGAACCTTTTTTTTTTGAAGGTATCTTGTTTTTATTATGTATGTCAAATCTAACATTAAAAAGACAAATGATTCTATCTATACTTGAAAAAAAAGGAACTTTGTTTTTGATAAACATGGTTTTGACAATGATTCTTTATTATAGTTTTTATTAAGATAATGGTATTTGGCTATAATTAATGAGACAATAAATTTAGGAAGAGTGTTCATCTTGTTTTTCTTCAGCAGCAGCGGCCTTGAGACGTTCCAAACGTTGACGATTCCTTTTCAGTAATATTCTATTCACATTGGCCTTTTCAATATCGGTCATATCCTTCCAATTGTTTATGCGACTAAGAGTACCATCTTCATTCACAACTGTTATGGTCATATGTAAAAAAAAAAAAGATATGAGTATAGATCGATCTAACCAAAAAGATAAATGTTTCTTTTATAACTTACCAACAGGGCCAAGTTCCTTGAGTTTGTAAGTATCATCAATACCTACTTGCTGGACTGTTTCCTCAGCATTAGCTGGCAACGCAAGAAGAGGTTTTGCTTGGCTAGACATGACGGAACTTTTGGTATAGAAGAATCTTTTCGAGAGTTGTCGTAGCATGTACCAAAAAAAAAAAAAAAAAAAAAAAAAAAAGAATCTGATGGAACATTTTTTTTTTTTTGAAAAAAAAAAAAAAAAAAGCGGGAATCAAAATCATTCGAGGAACTCCAGGGCTGCCACTCCAGTTTTCAGGAAGAGAATACAACCCAAAGTTGCATTGACGATGAATAATTAATTACTATTTTTTTTTTCATGTGAAGCGCGTTCATTTCTTTCTTTCTTTCTTTTTTTTGCGTTTGATTAGAGATTTGTTTGCATTGGTTTTTGAATATATTTGCGGTGATCCTTGTTTTATACTTTTTATCACCTACAAACCATATTATTCAATTACGCAAAGTATCTATTCTTCTCCGCTATGAAAAAAACAATAGTAGTTACACAGTTGATGATGATATATGGATGATGATGATGATGACAGAATGGATAATGAGTAATCAGTAAAAGATGATAGATGATCGATATTGGATGAATGAAATGAAACATACTCTTTTTTTTTTTTCCTTTGAAAGTGACTTGAACGTCAGGTTAGCTTTTTTTTTGTAAATCATTCATCTTCCAATAAAAAGCGCCAAGCCCATTAGAAAATGATCAGTGATTGGATGAAAAAAAAACTTTACCAGAAATCAGATAAATATATATATAATACTTCTCCCGTTTGATCCGTTGATCCTTTTACATTATATTTCATTCTAAAAAAGAAACAATCATTTTGATTTCATATTCTCAAAAATGATAATTAATATGTTAGGATATGTTTTTTGAGTTTCGCATTATGTTCATGAGACAAACTAGACGAAAATCAACTCAAGAGGTGTTACTTACTATCTCCGCTACGTTGAATTTCGGAAAAGTTAAATTTTTAGACATTTCGTATTATTTTTTTCTCCTTTTTTCTTTCTGTTGTTAAACAATGTCTTGGGGTAAAAAAATATATATATATAAAAAGGATATGTAAACTTTGTACTAACTCTTTAGTTATTCTTATCTAATTTTTTTTTAGTGGCTTCTCTTCTTCTTACCTTGACTTATTTATTTACTTTGGTGTTGATTGTTTCTATAAAACTTTACGACGCGACATAACTTTTTAATGATCTGCTTGGATTGACCTACTTCAAGTAAATTTTAAAAAAAAAAAAAAAGCTTTGTATCTTATTCCATTTACTGATTATAGTTAACCCCAGGATGTGGATCCAATCGTCCTTCTTTAGTAGGCATCATCAACAACACCTCATCAAGTGGATCTGGAATGAATGCTAAGATTCTTCTTCTGATTCGTATTATGGCATCATTTTATTGGTTCTATTGCAACTGTATGACTTCGATATTTGCCTACAATATGATATTCTCTTTGTCTCAGCCTCCTTTTCTTCCTTAACTGTAAGTTTGATGTGCTCCTTTGGAACCTTCGGTACTGGATGTCAGGCTGAGCTCCGCCTACTTACTTCGGATGGTTCATAAGTTTAAATGAATTTTTGACGTCATTTGGATGAATATCCCTTTTGCTTTTGGTATATTATTGGATGGTCCCTGGATTGTTTTTCCTTTTTTTTTTTTCCTTCCGATGTGGCCTTTTTTTCCCGTTCCTTGGTTTGTATGGATTCGGTTGTAGAGGAAGAAACATCCATCGATAGAATGGGATGACTTACTGGCAAGAAGCGGTCAAGAACATTGGATGAACCTATGAAAAGGATGGCCTCTTGATGATGAATAGGAAATCATGATGATACTCCTGATTGGAACATCCTCTGATTTCCGCTGGTGTATTCTCTTGGTCAGAAAAAAGGAAGGAAGGTTATGGTCGAATGGTACACAAGATCTAGCAACAACTACAAATTGGCATCGGATGAAGTTCCTCTTTCAAATCGTGGGGACGTTCCTTGGATGGGAGAAACCGGTCTTTTTTGTATCGGGTTGGGTTTCTTTCGACTGGATGATCTATTATCAACGTCGCCTCAGCCTGTTACCTAACCGTTGGCAAAAAGGATCATCATATGCATGGTCTCGTCCTCCTTCCTTCCTTCATAAATCATTAGTTTAGGTTATATTACCTATAAAAAAAAATATCAATAAAAATTATATCAAAAAATATTCCTTTTTTTTTTGTCTTCGATTGATTTCTTTTTTTTTTTCTATCGGCTCTTTTTTTCCTTTTTCTTATTTTTGTACTACATCTACAGCGAAGAATAAATGTTTACCTTGTTTGTAAATCACTCACTTTTAGGTATGAATTTTTGGTCGGCGGTAAGGGATGATTTTGTGATACCTAAATTATGTTTCTTTTTTCATTTTTTCCCCCGATGAATGAGTGACCTCACGCTGCCATGCTTGTTCATGGTTATATTACATACAAAAAAAAAAAAAAAAAAAAAAAAAAAAAAAAAAAAAAAAAAAACTAAGTCCAGAAACAATCCCTAAAACATCAATTGTTTTTTCTTTGAACATACGTCTATTAAAAAAGAAAGATAACAAAGCTTCTTCATGGTTATGATGCCCAAAGTTGGATGATGGTGAGTGAATCCCAGCCAAAACAGTGTCAGTTGTATCCTTTTGTAACTCACGCAAAGTGATCATCACTATACCAAATTTGAATCAAATATAATTAAAGATACTCTCTTTCAATTGGATTAATAAAATTTATATCTCACCTTTATAAACTAAATTAAAAATGAAATGTCAATATCATCATCCCTCATCCAACAATAATCATCATCCAATAAAATTACCATCATTAGATTCTTCTCAAAAAAAGTAGTTTAACATCATCTAATCTCGTTTTATCCTGACACATAGCGTGCAATGATCACTAAAACATCTCGTCGATCTTTCGAAAAATTGCCTGGCAACCCCCTGACGATTTATTTTTACAGCCAAAGTTTGGCTGAGGAGTCCGAAAATTTTGGCTGTAAAATTCCAAAATTTTCAAAAAAAAAAAAAAAAAAAAAAAGATGTATATTTTATCTATGATTACTTCTTTTGTTAGTGGATCAAAAAGACAGCTTGTCGATATTGTAGTATAAAATACCAAAAAATAGTTTTGATGGCTCTTTTCCGTTTGCATTGATTTCTCTCTCTCTTTCATCTGGCTTTTATTGTGGTGACGCTTTGATTGATAGTTAGTTTTAGTTAATACTTGCTTTATTTTTTAGATTCTTCTTTAAAAAAATCATATTCATGTTTGATTATCATTATCTTTATCGTGTCCTCCAATAGCAGTCTTCAATCATTGGTATCCTACGTATTTACGATCATCATCATCATCAACCTTTGTCAATGCTGATCAGTACAAAAATATTATGGTAGTAAATCAAACAAATCAGCTTCCAGATTAGACAATAAAATCAATCTTCTATACAGAGTACAAAACAAATAAATGCACATATCATTGATTTCAGAATTTAATGAAATGTCAGAACATTTATTCCTGTATCAAAGGTAAAATATAAATCATGGATGATATCATGGAAATCTGATGAATAAATAGGGAAATAATCAAGGATGCCTATTGTATGGAAAGGGAAGTAGACAAAAAAAAATAGAAAGTAAGGGTAATATGTGTAGACATGAAGAAACTATTCTAAAGTCCTTGTTGAGATAGATAGGTATGTAGTAGACTAACAACAGGTACCATTTTGAGTTTCTTCGCTCAAGGAACTATTTTGAACAGGGCCCAACCGGATACCGGATGTCTAATCAAAAGTATGTATGTAATGATAGAATTTGAGTCACTTGATAAATACCTTTTTTTTTTTTTTATTTTTTATTTTTTTTATTTTTTCTATTTGACTTTACCTCATTGCTTGTAAATACACCAGCTTTGATTTTTTCATAAACATCCTCAGCGGTCTTGACAAATACTTCTTCTACGTTACTAGAAGATTTAGCCGATGTTTCCAAAAAGAGAGAGATACCATTTTCTTTTGCAAAACGTTCTGCCTCTTCAGTTGAAACTTGTCTCTGACTTTCTTCCAAATCTGATTTATTGCCGACTAAAACCACGGTAGTTTGAGGATTGGCATGTCGTTGAACATCTAAGGAGATAATAATATTTTTTTTAAAAAAAAAAAGATATCGATTAGGATAATCCACTAAAAAAATATCCATTTTTTCTTCTTTCATTCATTTACCAGCCAACCAGGTAGAGATATGTTCAAAACTTTCACGCCTATGAGAAAAGAGACAAAGAGGGAAAGAGAGAATAAGAAATGATATTAATAAAAAAAGAGAAATATAAATCTTCTCCTTATTTTCATCATTCTTATTACCTTGAAATGTCATACACTTGCACAAAAAGGAAATCAAAAAGTAAAGAACGAGGTTAGTAAAATGATATAAGGGAAATCAACCTAAATGATATTCTAATACCTAACAGAGCACCAGCAGCACCACGATAATAGCTCTATAAGAAGGAATATATGTTGATGAATATAGAATACCCTTTCATGACTATACCTACCTGTGTGATACTTCTAAAGCTTTCTTGTCCAGCCTAACAGAGAAAGGGAAAAAAAAAAAAAACGAGTTGAATATAGTAACCATATCGTATTATTTTTGAACCACTTCCAATTCCTTTTTTTTTTTTTTTCTATGAATATTACCGTATCCCATATTTGTAACTTGATTTGTTTGCCATCCACCGTAATGAATCTTGTACCGAATTCGACACTTTAAAAATAATAAAAAAATTAAGTAATAAAGACTATTTGTTCTTTTATGAGGTAACTTTACCCGATAGTAAGTTCACGACCAGCATAAAAACGTTTATCTGTGAATTGTAACAATAGACAAGACTATCATCCCCAAGGATGAAAAGGCGAAACAAAAAAGAAATAATGAGGAAAAGAGTATCAGATCCAAACCATAGTCTAGAATAACTAAATTTACCTTGCCGACGCCTATAAATAAATAAAATCGTTCATGATATAGAACACATAAGACATACAAATAGTAAGATGGCTAGTTTTTTGTTTTTTTCTTTTTTTCAATTCTTTACCCGAGTCACCAACGATGATATACTATTTTATTTTGTTTCAGTTTTGGTTTAGATTAAATTAATAAATATATCTAGTCACTTATAATAATATAAAGAATACTTACTTTAATGATATAGCTGTAATTTGACATGATATTGGTTTTTATAGATAAAGCACACAAACAGTAGAGAAGAAGAAAAAGAAAGAGAAAAATTGAGGGAAGCGGCATGAGTAAGATTTTTTTTTTAACATCTGCAAACGGGACTTGAAATCATGAGGAAGGGGAATGAAGGGAGTGTGACATTGGCGTAGGCACGAATCATATTGCAATCGTAAAATCTAACTACATCAATGTATCACAGATTGTTTTTATCATTATATATAAACCCAAGCTCTATCTATAATACAAATGTAAATAAAGCCTTTTCTTTTTTTCATAAATCAAAAAAAAAAAAAAAATAAATTAAAGATTAAATTACTAGAACTGAAATATATCTTTCGCTAGTAAAAGTAAAAAGGTTTCTAGTTATAGCTATACATTTTAAAAAAAACAAACTTAATTTACGTTTTATCTTTCAAGCGTGGTTGCATGAAATTGTATAACAAATATCCATTCTATATACAATGTCAAAATATAATAGTAGAAACTTTTCTTTTATTCATAAATTAAATCAAATATAAATAAAACTGAACTAAAACTAAACTAAAACTAAAATCAAATCATATCAGTCACTAATAAAAGACAAAAAGATATCATATTTAGTAACCAACATATAATATTTCATCTTTCTCACTTACCGTTCATGGGCATTTCGTCAATTTGAGTACTATAATATTGTTCAATATCACGAAGAATCTTTAAATCATCGTTCTTGACAAAGTTGATGGCAACACCTTTACGACCGAAACGACCTGATCGACCAATTCTATGGATGTAATTTTCCCGGTTGGTTGGCAAATCGTAACTAGCAACAAAAAAAAAAAAAAAAAAAAAAAAGGAATAAGTGAATCATCCAATCACTACATATATTGATTTTCTGTCTTACTTGATAACCAATGATACTTGTTGAACATCAATACCACGAGCCCATACATCCGTAGTGATTAAGACACGACTAACAAAAGAGAATGATATGGTAAGTTCCTTTTTTTTCTTCTTCTAAAAAAAAAAGGAAAACTTTATCTTTCCTAACTTACCTTGCACCTTGACGGAATTCATTCATAATAGCATCCCGTTCCTTTTGAGGCATTTCTCCATGCATAGCTGATACTGTAAAGTTAGCTTCTCGCATTTTTTCTGTCAACCAATCAACCTATTCATAAATCTTGTTAGTCCATTTCTATAGAATATTATAAAAAAAAACACTTTTTTTTTAAATTCAATTTTACCTTTCGTCGAGTGTTGCAAAAGATAACAGCTTGAGTAATAGTAAGGGTGTCATAAAGATCACATAAAGTATCGAATTTCCATTCTTCTTGTTCTACAGCGACAAAGAATTGTTTGATACCTTCCAAAGTCAATTCATCACGTTTCACCAAGATACGAATAGGGTCGGTCATAAAGTTTTGAGTCATTTGAAGTACATCGTGAGGTAATGTTGCTGATAACAAGACCACTTGTGTTGATGGAGGCAAATGTCTATAGATATCGTATATTTGATCTTTGAATCCCAAGTTAAGTAGTTCATCCGCTTCATCCAAAACAAGCATCTTGATATTACGTGTGCGCATGCTTCGTCGTCGAATCATATCATAAACACGACCAGGGGTACCAGAGACAACATGTACACCATTTTCCAATCGACGCATATCTTCACCAACGTTGGTTCCACCAATGCAAGCATGACATTGTACATTCATATAATCCCCTAATGCCAGTACTACACTTTGAATTTGTGTTGCTAGTTCACGTGTAGGTGACAAAATCAAAGCTTGTGTTTCGCGTACTGTTGTATCGATTGTTTGTAAAACTGAGATGGAGAACGTTGCTGTTTTACCAGTACCAGACTGTGCCTGAGCAATCACGTCACGTCCTCGAGTAATGGGTACAATTGCTATAATATAATAATGTTAATGATAATTTAGATTGGTCAGTCATATTAAAATAAAAATGAATCCATCCCGTTGTCATCTTACCTCGTTGTTGAATAGCTGAAGGTTTTTCGAAATTGTAAGCATAGATACCACGAAGTAAGTCTTCTTTCAAGCCAATGGAATCAAATGTAGGAACTACCTTGACCTGTATGATAATAAGTATCGTCGCACAGCATAGGTACATATATGTATAGGTTCGTATTGAAAAGATGAATATACATAAAAAAAAAAAAAAAAAAAAGAAGAGAATCATCCATTAGTATATTTACAATAACCTAGATGAATAATATTAGAATGACTTACATTTTCAGAGGTTTCGAAAGCAAGCTTGTCATCTTTTGAGTGATCGAAGGACATTTTGGAAGATGATATATATATAAAAGAAAAAAAAAAGTTAAGGAGCGAAAGAAGAAAAAAAAAAAAAAAAAAGAGAGACAAAGAAAGCTACCAAGAGGCTTATAACAAGTATTTCATATTCCGCAGCGATAAAAGTATAGATTTTATTGGTCAGTTTTCGTATCATTGAGAGAAGAGGTAAAGGTAACAGGATGATGACAGTAGCGACTAAAAGGTTGATTAGGGTCAAGGGAAAGAAGCTGGTTTTCATTGGAAGAAGTGGAAGTAGATAAAGGTAATGAGGAATGACTTGGGAGAAAAACAGAAGAGAAACCAAAATAAGTATTGGGTAATATGGAAGTATAAGGTGGAGCTTCACCCCAACCATCGTCGTCGTCATTGCTTTTAGAATAGGTTGTTCCTGTAGAATTTATTGTTGTTTTTGTATTTAGCCATGATGGTGCTTGTTCTTCATTCTGGGTTGTAGGTATAGTTGGCCATTGTTTCAAGGATTCATTCTTTGTATCAGTTATTGGAGTTGAATTGGTAATGTGTGTTTTATTTAGTTGTTTTGATAAAGAATCGTCAATAGTTCCAATACTGAAATGAGATAGTTGTGTTATCAGATTATCTTCATCGGTATTCATTTGATAATATATACATATATAAAAAGCATAAGAGAGAGAGAGAGAAGAAGAAAAGAGTTTTTTTTTTTTTTTTGCAGAGAAAAAGAGAGAGGGGTTTCAAATACTTAGTTTTTTTTGTTCTTTTTGCTTGGATCATTGTGTATCTTACGAAGATTAGATTTTCCAAGAAAAATAATAATAATAATAATAAAAAATCCATAATATACTGTTTATAGATGAAAGATCTAATGAATGAGAAGGAGAGAACAAACTTCCAATTGCCTTATATGGTGATAGAATATGAAAATCTTACTTTGGAAAGTTATTCATGGAGCAGCTTCTCTTGTGCATTCTTTTTTTTTTTTTAATGTCAGTCGGCATTCACATAGAAATATAGAATTTATTTTCCCATTGGTCAAAAAAGTCATCAAGTATCAAGGTTTAATTGATTAAGCTAATAAGCTAATGCTCAACACAAAAAAAAAAAAAAAAAAAAAAGGGAGACAATATACTACAAATATTTTCCAAGAAAAAAAAAAAAAAAGGAGTAAAAAGATAAGACGAAATGGGAACGCCGAGAACACCCCGCATCATGATGATTTCTCTAACCAATCATTGAAAATAGTTCCATCCACGGAGTACCAAGCATAGACCTCGTTTGTATCTTGGTCAATGGAATGATATGAAAAAAGTCTCTCTCTCTTTCTCTCTTCCCCCAACTTATTTCAATATCCGCAATTATTCCTTGGACGAGACATTTTTTTTTTTCAGTTCCTTTTTTCTTTCCCCTCGTTCCACTTTACAAAACCTGCTTTTTTTTTTCTTGTCTTTTTTTTCTTTTTTCTTTCATCCTTTTCTTTTACGATCAAGGTAAAAACAACAACAACAACAAGACTGTGCTATGCTACCAACAAGGCATGCCTCTATTACTGACCGTCATCGTCCATCTTCAAGTAATCCTATTCCTGTGCAGTCAAAGTCAACTTCTAAGCAAGATGACAATTATTATCACCAGCACTCCTCTGATTATACCCTTGAGCCTACTTACGCTGAATTTTTATCCACTCATCATGATTGGTTAGATCCATATGCTATTAGTCCATCAGAAGATACCTCATCTCAACGACACAAACGATCAACTACTTGTGGCATAAACAGTGACTCTTCGACCATGGTATATGCGACTGCTTTACGACCTAGAGCGAAGTCACTTCGGGATACGACAAGAACAGGTTCAGTTACTACGTCAAACAACAATAGAGATAACTCTTGTATACAATCAAGTTTTTCTACAGACAAAAAATGGATGGACAAAACAACAAAACATTCACACCCGCCACGCGCAAGATCTCGTATTTTGAAATCACCTCCTCCACCACCTTCTTTGGACGTCGATAAACAACCTCCTAGTTTACCTAATGTTGATGTGCAACAAATCAAGAATGAACTATCAGTTTCGGACTCATCACCGTGCCATTATATTGGAGAAGACAATAAGTATCCAAATCATCATCATCATCATCATCATCAACAACGACAAAAAAGCGATCCACAACCAAGGCGACAAAAATCTATACAGTATCATCATCAACATAATTTATCAGCAACCTCAAAGGAAACAGCTTCTGTGATTAGTAACGTCAAAAGGAAACTTAGCTTAAAGGATCGTGTTCATCGGGATACTACACCTGATCAGATCAATGCTCTATCTATTGCAAATCATCAACTTTCCTCTTCATCAGTGGCAAATGGAAACGACAATATCCCTGGACGTAGATCTCAAGTTTCTTCTCGAAATACATTATCTGATTACCAAGGTACAAGATCTTCTTCAGCTCGCCGCCGCTCAGTCTATTCTCCACCACCAAAGCCAAATGGTACTCACAATAAGCATTCAAATAAGGACGATGGATGGACTACTAGTGATGAAGATAGTTTCGTACTTGTTTCCAGTTCATCATCAACCACAATATCATCAACTGATCTATACAACTCTGGGTTTATTCCACCTGTACCTCCAGTACCAAAACACCATTCTATCAGAACACCAACAAATATCAATAGTGGCAGTAACACTCCATATATGGGTGGAAGTGGGGATGATATTTTATCTACAAAGTTATCTCATCAAAAAAGCAAATCTAGTAGGGGCACTTTTGGATCTCTAGAAGAAATCACACAGAAAACACTCCAACGTGAATCAAGTCATGGATCATTAGCTGATGCAGAAGGAAGTGGGAAAAGTTGTGACGAAATGGGTGATATGGATATGCGAACTCATCAGATAAGAAAATCGAAATCACGTCAACATTATCATCAACAACAACAACAACAATTAAATGGATCTATATCAAGTCATACAATCAAATCGGGAAATGCTGGCGGATATCCTACCTCTGGCAAACCAACGTCTCCAGTATCACGATCTATTAGAACTAGCAGCAGGAAGAATATGTACAATACTTCACCAAAATTATCAACTGCAACACAAAAGACAGAGGATGGAAAGAAAGTAGTCAATCGAAAAAGAGGACGAGTAAGTTAGATTATTTCAAAAAAAAAAAAAAAAAAAAAGGATGCGAATAATTTAATTCATTTGATTTATTTATTTATATAGACATTACCTGGAAGTTTGGCCACCCCACCACCTATCCCATCTATGCCTTTACCACCAATGAAGTTGGAACCACTCCATGTTACTCTACCAGAAATTTCTAGTAAACGATCATCAAAAGAATCAACAAGTACAACGCCTACTCGTATTCCCATACCAAAACCCTCATCAGTTTTGGCAACTAGAGCGGGATCAACAACAACAGGATATACAGTTGGATACACTAGCAGTGAGGATGAATCATCTCTATCTCATCGATCAAGACAGAACACCAAATCTACAGGAAATGCATTGTATAGAACGACACTGACACCACCAGTAGCACCAGAAAGAAGAAGATCTTTGAAAGTATCAGGAACGGCCAGCTCAACCTCTCCCAAGGTTTCACCCAAAATATCACCCAAGATGAAACATTCACGATCAGTTAGCACCAGTAGTAGCAACACTAGTAGTAGTATATCTGGATCACCATTATCATCCATGTCAGCGTCTTATCACTTACAAAGGAAGTTATCAAGAAATGGAAGAACACCTACGGAGCCTTTACCCAAGTTGCCAACGACTATTACTACCCCTACTGCTAGTATTAGCACCTCCAACAGTGAATTTCTGAATGGATTGACTCCCCCACCATTTTCATCAAAAACGCGACTCTCAAGCAACGCTAGTAGCAGCAATCATGGGAATAGTGGAATGTCAACGACAACTACCAATTCTGGAACAAGCTCTTTGGGTCGCACCACTTCATTACATTCAACTCGAAATAGAATTACAAATGGATCAAATGATGGAACTGATAAAAAAAGTAAGTGATTATATACAAAAAAAAAAAAAAAAAAAAAAAAAAGAAAGGACACATATGATTTCATACGTCATTGATATTAATATTTTATTTCTACTTCGGGAATAGGGCGACCGCGAACATTCAGTCTTCATGATAAGATACATCGGATACAAGAGCCAGAATTTATAATGATGGATTCTTCTATGATATCACAAAAAACTCCAGCATCATCACAATCTACTCAACTGACAAACTCGAGTGTATCCACCATATCCAACAATGCTACGAAAAGCACAACACCTCCGCTACCAAAAAGTACGACACCCTTGATGGCGATGGCAATTACGAGTGATGATCGTGACTCTTCAACACCAGCCGGAACATCCATACGAACACCTAAAAGTCCACAGACAGCACTGAAATACTATTCTCAATATCTGACCCAATATGAACAATCTGAAATTTTGGATTTCCCTCATATTTATTTTATTGGTCCGCATGCCAGGAAACACCAAGCTATTGTAACAATACCGGATCATCATTATCAACAACAATATCAACCACGTCCACAACCGGCCGTCCCCAACTATGGTTACGATGACGAGAATGGCGATTATAAGATTATAAGACAAGATCATCTGATTTATCGATATGAGATAATGGAATTACTAGGACAAGGGTCATTTGGACAAGTGGTCAAGTGCTATGATCATAGAACTGGTGCAACTGTGGCTATCAAATTGATCAGGAACAAGAAGCGATTCCATGCGCAAGCATTGACAGAAATTAAGATCTTACAAAATCTGGTGGACTGGGATCCGGAAGACAAACATCATAACATTCGAATGACGGATTACTTTTATTTTAGACATCATCTCTGTATTGCTTTTGAATGCATGAGCATGAATCTATATGAATTTATCAAGAAGAATAACTTTCAAGGATTTAGTGTTGGATTGATTAGAAAGTAAGTTTGCAAATAGTGTCAAAAAAAAAGTTCCCTTTTTTTTTTAATCATCATTTCCTTTTTTTTTATTCCTTAGATTCACAAAGCAAATTCTACAATCTCTCATTCTACTCTACAAGCATCGGGTGGTTCATTGTGATTTAAAGCCAGAGGTAAATTAAAATAAGAAAGGGGAATATATGAGTTATAGTTACAATTACATTGAACCATGGTATTTAACAATGTTATTCCTTATTCTTATAGAACATTTTGTTGAAACATCCTGGAAAGAATACTATCAAGGTGATTGATTTTGGTAGTAGTTGCCTAGAAACTGAACGGGGTAAAAAAAAAAAAAAAAAAAAAAGGAAACCAAATGTGGAGAGATCTGCAGTTAACAAAACGTCTATTTTTTTTTTTTGATATTTAGTCTATACTTATATTCAAAGTCGATTTTATCGATCTCCTGAAGTGATCTTGGGTATATCTTACAATATGGCTATTGATATGTGGAGTGTTGGCTGTATTTTGGCCGAATTACATACTGGTAATAACAGAAAAGGACAAAAGGAAAAAAAAATATGAAATGATCCTGATTTTCATCTTGAAATTAGGTATTCCGATTTTCCCTGGTGAAAGCGAACAAGAACAACTTGGATGTATTATGGAAGTCATGGGATTGCCGGAACGTTACCTTATTGAACAAAGCTCTAGAAGGAAACTCTTCTTTGGTAATAAACCAGAAATACATATCTAGATTTTGTTTATTTATTTTTTTTATTTTTTGATATTATGCAAAGATACACAAGGTAATGCTCGTATGGTTGTTAACTCTAAAGGAAAACGACGTCGACCTGGAACCAAATCGTTGGCACAAGCAATTGGAAGCAATGATGAACTCTTTTTAGATTTTATTCTGGGTTGTCTTCAATGGGATCCTGCTAATCGTATGACACCTATGGAGGCAATGGAACATGAATGGATTCAACAACGTACAAACAATATATCATCATCAAATATAGCATCATCATCATCATCATATCGATTCCCAAGGTAAGAAAAATAAAAAGTGACAAATATAAATCAAATCGAGAAAAATTGAATCATTTTTATGTCCCTTTATTTAGTAACAACAATTACCATAAGCTAGACGAATTCAAAGCAAAGAACCATCATCAACATCATCAACCTCCAAAAACTCCCAAAATGACCGCTACTTCATACTATCAATCATTTAGAAAACATTCTGTAGGATAACCATCACTTTTTATTTCATGCATAGATCCCTTTTTTACTTATTTATTTACTATTTTTATTTGCTATTCCCCCCCTCTTCATATTTTATCATCTATTTCCTTCAACCCTCATTTATTTGTGTGTGTTTTTTTTTATACTTCTCGATTGAAATAAAACAAACAAAATTTCTTTTTTGTGTATCTTTTTTTTATTTCTTTATTTTGATTCGGAACACGGAACCGACTCCTCTTTTTTTTTTTTTTTTTTTTTTTTTTTTTTTTTTTTGTTCAAACCATTCTGACTTACTTCCTGTCTAGGTACGTTAGCAATCAAAAAAGAAGAAAAAAATCTTTCAGTCATCATCGTTTTTGGTATATGCCACAAAAAGATTGATGATGATCACTTGTATAGTTATCATTCTATTGGGATATTTTCAGAAACACTTCCTTTGATCATATTATTCTTTTTTTTTTCCTTAAACGTAGATTAATTAGGTCCTTTTTCTTGTACAATTATCAACTGCATGATCCATCATGACTTTAATAACACGAATTTACTCATAAGATCTATCATAACAATGATGACGATAAAAAAAAATAATTTAACACTATATTTTATAAATATTTAGCCATGTATCTTTTTTTTTTTTTTTTTTTTACTTTTTGTTCTCATGACAATGGCTGTGTACCATGTCTTCATTTAGACTCAGTCCACATGGTTGCATTTTTATTACATTCTCGTACTCCGTGTCATTCCCACTCTTTTAGTTATTTGTGTTTGTATTTGTGTTTTTTTTATGGGAGGCACTTGTCTTTTTAGGTTGTTGATGACATGTTTTTATAAACTTTTTCAAGTGACAAGGTATGAAGTGGTTGGATTGTTCTGATTAGTAAAAGAAGATTGATAATAAAGCATTAAAAAGATCAATGAGATCCTTTTTTTTTCTTGAGTATTATGCACTGAGTTGGAAAGTGCACAGACAATTTTCTTTTTTTGGGGGGGAAGAAGAATCATTGCTTCCTTTCATAATAACAAAAGGAGGAGAGCAATACATATATATTAGATGGATATAATGTACACACACTTTTTACACAAATTCACACTATCAAAAAAAAAAATACAAATACAACCATAAGGTTCATTCCGGATCACGGGTTTTTGTACAACGATTACCATTTCGTTTTGTTTTTAAAAGAGAAAAAGAAAAAAAAAAGACAGTTCTCCGGTTCCGTACTTCCAAAAATGATTGATTATTTGTTACCGCCACGTATTTTATTGTTGATGTTTTTTTTAAAAAAAAAAAACGGTAATGCTTCATGATGGACATTTTTAAGTTAAGAATTGATATTGTATTGATAGGAAATATTGTTCCTGTTGATCTTCTTCTTTTCTTACGGATACTTCGATCCGTTTCTTTCAAATACCGCAGTGTAACCTTGCAAAAAAGGGCATTTGGCCACTCGGGTTCTTGCTGTCCCACTGATGACCTTTTTTTTTTTTTTTTTGGTTCCGCCTTTTTTTTTTCGCTTTCTCTTTTACCTTTTTTTCCCTCTTTTTCTTCTTCCTTTTTCTTTCTTTCTTTGGAAACTTAACTCTTTGATTCTTCTTTGGATTCAACATCACCATTATATATACTCCAACCTCATGTCACCACCAAACACTGCCAACAGAAAACAAGTACAACAACAGCGACATTCTTTAGTGGACAGATGTTCTACCATTCGGGCATGTGAACCTTGCCGTGGACGCAAAAGAATATGTAATGGAGAAGCTCCAGGGTGTATTTACAATATGATTTCCGATCATGCACGCAGCGTTTTCACCACAAGCACCGCGCGACGTCTTAGTTCTGGATCTGCCTGTGAAACTTGCCGTCGTAGGAAGACAAAATGTGATGCCGGACAACCTTGTAGCTATTGTGCAGCCAACAACTTGAAATGTGTCAATAATGCCGAACGTAGAAAACGATCCAGTATGTCAGTCGTATCAACATCATTATCATCACCATCATCCACCTCAACGTCTCCTTCATCAGCTATGAACTTACCGGCTTCATTTTCATCACCGTCATCAAATACGTTCCTGGGAAACACTAACTCTGATCACGAGGCTATGGATCGCATTGAAGATCGGCTTAGGCGCATCGAACAACTCATGACCGTTTTCACCCCAAGCCCTCTCTCACAAAGTACTCTGTATCCCGATGATGTCTATAGAACTTGCCGAACCAAAGACAACAGCAACAATATTTCTCCTCACTTTGTTCGCCAACAACGTCATTCAGTACAAGGAATTACCGTTGCGAAGGAACAATTGGAATTACAAATTGCTAGAAGGGGTAATGAAAAAAAAATAATATTCAATCTATATTCTCATCTTTTTTTTTTTTGTTATTATTATTTTATTACTATTATTATTATTATTATTATTATTATTATTATTATTATTATTATTATTATTTTATTTGTGTATTTTATTTTGTTTTAGCCATGTCATTAACACCACCTCAGTTCGGTAATTCATCATCAACTTCCTCAGATCTTTTACATGCAGGGGCATATATCACACCTCCAAATAGTGGTGGGAAAAAACAACAACAACATCAACATCATCAACAATCATCATCGTCATCATCATCATCGTCATCACCATTATCATCACCATTATCAGCATCACCTCCATTATCACCCGAAGCTTCCACTAACATGATCAGGCAAACTTCGAATACTTCTCAACCATTAACTTCTTCCATTCTTAATTTGACTTTATCACCATCATCTTCTACTTCGTCATCTTCCAATACTTCTTCTATGCATGTACCTCAATCATCTTTATCAACACCTCTTAATGATCAACAACAACAACAACAACAATCTTATCATCAGCATCAATATGGATCTTTGGGATCATCTTCACAACAACAACAACAACAACAACGGGATTTCCATTCACTTGGGTCAACAGTCTTACCAATGCCAAGTCTCATGGGTAAGTCATTTGAAATATCATAATGATATGTTTGGCGTTGTCAATTTTACTAAACTTTCCTTCTTTTATTATTGTTTTGTTTGTTTATTTTTTTTTTTCACATCACTTGATTTAGATCAATTATCAAAAAGAACCTTTACTGCCAATCATTTCGATCATCCGATTCGAAGTTCTTACCCGATCTATCCTCTTACTCCTTCACCACCTGCTCCACCCGCTACTACTTATGCTGAAGCTTCTTTTTCCCCATGATCAACAACTCATAAAAAAAAAAAAAAACTTACACAGTCATATACCAAAACTACCACTTTTTCTATATATCTATATTTTTGTCCAATTTATTAATAAAAAAAAAAAAAGACATTTTTGTTTCGTTTGTGTAAAAGATTAGTTGTATTCAGACACTTGATTCGACTTTGAGAAACATCCAATTTATTAATTCATTTCTTTTTGTCAAGCTTGATACACTTGACGACATTAATGATGTTGTATTAATCATTGTTGTATGAATTCCAATGTAACATTTCTTGTCATATCACTTTCACAAAGAATAGGTCAATTTTACATTTTCTTAAAAAGGAAGAGCTGTTCAACCTCCGTCATCTGCTGCTCACACTGCTTTTTATTTTTTTTTTTTTATTTTTGTGTTCAACTGCGGATTTTCTCTTCCTCATTTTTTTTTCTTCTTCTTTTCCTTTTTGTATATATAAAATACAAAATTGTCATGAATATACCATCATTCAATTTAGACTGGGAGGAACAAGATCATAAAGTCATTACCTCGTTATATACACATGAAAAGGAAAAACCCAAGGAACTACGACACAAAGTATTCCAGGTGAACGGTACAGATTGGACAAGTTGGACAATGCGTGACAGTTTGTATAAGAAGCACCGATATCCAACTCAGGCACGTGGACTCTTTACTTCTCGTCGATCCAATGGAAAATATACAGTCAATGTTCGTGGTTACGACAAATTCTTCAATATAAACGAAACAGATGCAACTCAGGTAAAAATAACTATAGAAAAAGGTATGAGTTACTTGAACCATTCAAAAACTTTCTTTTTTCTTTTTTGTGGAATGTAGTGGCATGCTTTGGAAAAGGATACAAAAGGACCATATGAAATCACTGCGAAAGAAAATGGATGTATCATCTTTATTGCTGCGATCTCAAATACTGAAATAGTGGCAACTTCGAAACATATGATACCTGATCCTTTGACAGGTGGAACTAGTCACGGTGGTATTGGATACCGATGGGCCCTGGAACATCTCGACTCAGTTGGACGTACGCCTGAAGAATTAGCGGCATGGCTGTTCAAATATCGCGTAACAATGGTGGCCGAACTATGTGATGATGAATTCGAAGAACATATAGTACCTTATCGAACCTTGGAGGAACGTGGATTATATTTGCATGGAATCAATTACAATACGACCACTTTACATACATTGCCTATGCAAACAGTACGGTCAGTGGCACATTATTTTGGCTTACGCACTGTAGATACCAAAATGATGGATGATTTAGGTTCTGTGAGACAATTGGCAGATTCAATACAACAAAATACAACTGGTATTTTTGATTGGATGGATAACAACAATTCGCGTGAATCTGAAGGGATCGTGGTTCGATGTCAACAACAACAACATGACTTTTTTTTCAAGGTGAAGAATGATACTTATCTGATGTACAGAGAGTACAGAGAAGTGACCAAGGCATTGGTACAAGTCAACGTTGATCATCATTCTACTCTTTCCGTATCGATCAAGCAACCCAAAAGCAATACCAAGAAACCAAAAGTACGATTTGAAAAAACTCTATACTATGTTCATTGGCTTGAACAACGTGTCAAGGATCATCCCGAATGGTTCAAGGATTATTTACATAACAAAGGAATTGTGGCTGTACGTCAAGCTTTTGAACAAGATTGGCAAGATGGAAAAATCACGCATTTGGATGATAGAGATTTGAATAGATTAGTGGAAAGAGATACGAAATAGTAGGATTTTTTTTTTTATGATGGACGGAGAATGTATAATAATATATCATATCATGTAGAAAATAAATTGATCTCTTTCATTTTTTTTTTTATCCGTTCTTCCTTTTTTTTTTTTTTTTTTTTTTTGGGAATACATGTCTATAGATTCTATCAAAACGCAGAAAATAAACAAACTTAGATCTCGCATTCAAACTGAAGACTTTGCTTTTTCTTCCAATCTCTCTTCAGCCTTTGTCATGGGTGTCATGTCTTCTTCTACTGGTCAGTCCTATCAAATTCTAACCTTGAACTCACTCAATTGTCCTAATTGTTCTCTCTCTCTTTTTTTTTTTTTTTTTATTTGGTGATAGGCACTTTAATAAAGACATTGGAAGAAAAGAATGAACAAACGTCTGACAAACTCAAACCAATCATGGTATCCTTTTTATATATGTATATGCCATTACATTATATGATATACATGCTCTCCTAGTTACTCTTTAGAAAAGAACGACAATATTATTCTTAATTTCTATATTTGTTTTATATGTAGATCAATTCACGACCAACATTACGACCACGTCCACCTAGGCTACCGAAGAGAGATCAACCACGCATGGATCTTGCTTCTCAATCTTCTCAAACTGGTAAAAAAAGAAAAAAAAAAAAAAGAAAATTGAGTTGTCCTTTCCGACTAACGTATTTTATTATGGCATTTGTTGATGAAATTAAAAATTTATATTCTATTTGATTAGAACCGACTCATATCATCGACACTGAAGCGATTCTACAACGACTGGAACCATTTCTCAACAAAATACATCAGTATTCAATACCACATGATTCTCAAAATATAGACCCTATACCTGATCGATCATCATTATTTCAAGAATTTCTATGTCTATCATTTGACGAGGTAAGAGAAAGATTTATGATATTCTTTTAACTCAATTTTATTCATATATATATATAAGGTGAAAACAGCATGTGAACATATTGATTTTACAAACTGGACAGATGATGCATTGGCGGATATGTACGATACTTTTGGATCTATGGATAATCTTGGACATCTTGTTGCCTGTACTGTTGTCCAGTCTTCTCTCTATCCTTATGTAAGTTTCTTTATTTGGTCTGATTTATATTGATTTTTTTGTCTTGTGACGCTATTTTTTTAGGTTATTAGATTGAAGACATCTTTGTCAAGGTTGTTGATGAATAGTGTTCTGCAATTGGGGAAAGTACATGGAAATGTGATATTAAATGGATTGATATTTCCTCTATTGAATACTACTGAGAGTATGGTGATCAAATCAAAAAAAAAAAAAAAAAAAAGGTGTCGCTGATATACATGTATTTATTCTCACTCATTTATATAGACAACAAAGAAGTAGGACAATCTCAAATGGAACTGATCTCGAAATTGATCACCAATTCACTCTCTCCTTCCTCTCGTTTGACATTATTGAAGTAAGCAAGAAAACAAAAAAAGTAAATACCAGCAATTCTTACATTTATTTTTTCCTCTATAATCATTTGATAGATTCATGATTGCGGGAAACAGTAGCATAGGTTTAACTCGTCACAACATTAAAGGTATTATATCGGATTATCCAATGTTATCATCATCAACGACAACAACAGTACCTTCAGATACAATCATGCAACTCCTGAATATAATATCAAGTTCTCAACCTCTTATATCATTGGATACTATGACAATACGACAGCTGATTCAAACTAGTCATCAAGTTGTCCAAGCGAGACCCAAGGACAAGGCATGTATGCAACTCTTATTGACTCTGACAAGTAAGCATGCGCAATCTTTGGTGGACGCAAATATATTAGACGACTTGGAGGCCGTGTGCAATGAAAGTAACATGTTTTTGAAACGATCTGTTCTTGGGCAAATCGCATCTATCCGAAAGAAGACGCAAGATTCACCCAGTGGATTATTATAGTATAGATCTTTTTTTTTTTTGTAGTTTTTTGACAACATATACCCTTACTATCAATAAAATATCTTATAAAAAAAAAGGCCAATCTTATTGAATTGTCGTTCGTTTGTGTTACATGTGGCGACAATATTGTCACGATTAAACTAACTATTTAATACAGCATGAATACATCAAAGTTCTAAATAAAAAAGTTTATTCAAGTGTACTGGTGATAATAATAAAATAATCTAGGACAATGGGTAGGGAGAAATAATGTGAATATGGAGGATGTAGGGATACAAGAGACAAAAAAAAAAAAAATATACAAAATGGTTAAAAATAAAATAAGAAAAAAAAAAAAAGAAGTGATCAATGAAGACGTATCATAGGACAAAGATAGAATTAGAATGGCATTGAAGTCTTTTGTTTAGCTAGTTCCTTCATCTTATCCTAAACAATGGAAAAATATATATATATAAAAAAGTGAGAAACGATTAAAAGTAAAAGCTTTTTTTTATTATTATTACCTCCTTCCAAGCTTGAATGGTTTGTGGCATCTTTTCAAGGTTTTTGCGAATAGTTTCTTGTCGTTCAGCACGCATACGTTCATGTTTTTCCAGTTTGTTGGGTTTGTATCGTAGAGGTTTAGCAGGAGTGGAGGCAGGTAAACCCAAGGTGAGAGGATCAATATTTTGTTGTAAACAGGCTTTGCGTAAATCATTCTGTACTCGTCGAGACACTTGTGCTGGACGCCAGAAACCTTTTTGTTTGTTTTCATTATAAACAAAGGTGGCTTTGACATCGCTTTCCTTTAATGGTTTCTTCAGACGTGCTAAGAATTTTGATGAGAATACACGATGTGTCGTCATGTTGGTTTTGATAAATATATATGTTTAAGAGAAGAGAAAAAAGTGAAAAACAATAATAGGAAAAAAAAAAAAAGACAAGCCCGCTCAAAAAAAAAAAAATGTGACTCCAAAAATCACAGTAAGTGGAGTGGAGAGAAAAAGATGTGGGAATTAAGTGCCCGCAATCTGCCCTGAATTCAATCACTGTTTTCAAAAGATTGGTGATGAATTGAGCCTTTTTAAAATATCCTTATAATGATTGATGATTTTTCCAGTTTGAATATTTCACATGGTATAAAGTATCTTTTTTTTTTTATTTATTTATTCACAATAATAATCAATCAAAACAATTTACTCCATACTATCAATACAATCAAAGCTACTAAAACTAAAATGATAATACCAATAATAATCTTATTGGTTGCCATACTAAACAAAAAAAAAAAAAATCAAAAAAAAATCAAAAAAAAAAATAAGTAGATATATATAAGACTTACCGACGAGCCATGACTTTTAAAGTTCTTGATGATTTGTCAATATAAGAATCAGCTTCACCCAAAGTATCTCTTGTTCGTAATAAAGTTTCACGTTGTCCTTTCAAAGTACTTAAAATATTGACACCAATATTTTCAGTTTCTAAAGCAAGACGATGACTTCCTTCCAAGCGTCGACTAGATTCACCCAATCTTTCGGTACCATTTAACAATCGTTGACGTTGATCAATTGTAGAAGCATCCAAATCTGATTCTGGGTTCATATTAAGTAATAAATCTTCCCGATCTTGATTTATCAAAGGAGAAAGTGATGCACGTCGCTAACAAAAAAAAATAATATATTATTATAATTTTTTTTTTGTTTATATCTATTTTTATTTATTTTCACTTCTTACCAAATCTCGTTTCATCTTTTCCCCTTCAGATTTTAATAACCGGAGTCTTGCTTGTAATCTTACACGAGATGGTGTTGGGGCGTTGATAAGTTCCCTTTCCATTTGACCAATCTATTTGTATAATAATAATAAATAAATAAAATAAAGAAATGATTCTTTTTCAACTTACAATATCATTAGCTTCACTTAGTTCTCTTTCAGCAGTATTGATAATAGTTTTTCTTTTGTCTATAAATAAGAAAGATTATATATATATATACTTTTTTTCTTGGCGTTTAGTTTACCTGCAGTTGAAGTAGTAGTAATGGTATCAATAGTTTTATTAAAATTAGTTTGTAAACTATAAAAGTCTTGTTCATAACCACTAAAATGGTCTTGTTCATTATTTTCAGCAACCATTAATATATAAATTGAATCTGTTAAAATAAAGTAAAAAAAAAAAAAAAAAAAAAAAGAAAAGAGATAAAGGTTTTTTTTTTCCCTTATGGTCTTTTTCTTTTACTTCGATGGTTTCAGTTTCCGCTAATAGATAACCAATCAAAAGAAAGACCTACTGTTTTCAGGGAAGAAAAGAAAAGAAAAAGAAAAAAAAAAAAGAATTGAAATCAGAACGGTGGTGGATCATATTATATGATACTATTTTTGTAGTTCAGATCAACTAATCATTAAAAAAAAAAAAAAAGAAAAAGAAAGATTGTCAAATCAACTATCAAATAGTCAAATCAAATTCCATCAACCCCTGGCTTCCCGTCACTGTCAAGATATATGTCGATAATAATCCTTAGTTCTTATTAAAATTAAATAAGGTCAATCCAAAAGTCGAAATTAGGTTTCCCATAGATGAATGATTCTTTCTATTTTTTTTTTTTTTGTTTAGTATAGAGTTTTCTTTTCTTTGTTTTTTAAAAGAAAAAAAAAAAAGAAAAAGTATCATTATTGCTTTGAAATGAATAACATCCCCCCCCTCTCTGTCTTTTTTTTTTCTTCTTTTTTCTTTTCTCTCCCCCCCCAGAAAAAAAAGGATAACTAAGAAATGTGAAAAAAAAGGGGGGGGGAAAGAAAAGGGCAGATCTAAAGTATATAATATGAAAATACACTATCATTTTGTTTTGACATAATCACAGACATTGAGAGCTGCACAACCTAACGATGGACAAAATTATAAGCACAGACGCATTAACATTTGTATAAGCGGGAAACTAAAATATATAAATTCAAAAAAGTGAAATATATTCATAATATATTTTTCTTTCTTTCTTTCTTTCTTTCTTTCTTTTCTTTTCTTTCTTTTCTTTTCTTTATCCATTCTTTTCTTTTTTTTTTTTCTTTTAATTATATTTGATTCTCCTCTCCTTTATCTATCTTACTTTTATATATATTATTTATATATGCCATGTTAGCTTGTGCTCAAGATATTTACTTCAATAATGAAAATTCTTTACCACGACAAGATTCCTTCCAGTCACTCAATTTACCTCATCCAACCAATACTATCACTGGGTCTTTTGAACACCAACAAAAAGAACAACAACGTCCAAAGGTTTCTAAAAAGACTCATATGATACCTCATCACCATTCTGAAAAAGACAAAGAAGAAGTAAGTTTTTATTTGTATCAAGTGATAAAATTCTATTATTTATCGTTTTAACCTCCACTATTCTTTTTTTTTTTTTTTTTTTTTTACATTCTAGCAGGTATGGCCTCCTGAAGTAGAATCTGCCTTTATTGAAGGTAAAAATAAAATCACATTGATTTTATTCTTTTTTTTTTTTCTAATATTATTCTTTTATATAGCTCTGGAAACTATTCCCAAATTAGGTCGGCGTAAAATCTTGGTCAATGGCAAGCCTTGTGGTAAGAAAAAGAAAAAAAAAATGAAAAAGAAACTGTGTTGAAAAGACTATCTTTATTTGGACTTATTAATTTTTTTTTTTTTTGGTTCTTCTTTTGTATAAAGGACGCAATGAATTGATCTCGGATTTTATTTTCCGCAAAACATCCAAAGTTCGAACAAGAAAACAAGTCTCATCTCATATCCAAGTACTAAAAAACACCCGAAAGAATGATCCTCACTGTAAGTACACGCGCACACCCTTTTTTTTTCCCCTGAAAAAAAAGTTATATTAATAATATATGTATGCTATCTTTTTTTTTTTCTGGACTGCATGACTTTCTTTTTTTATATAATAGTTATGCATCTATTGACAGACTCAGTAGACTTGGATGATGATTTCACTCACCGCAAAAACCAAAAAACAGCTGGAAAACGACCTCAACAAAAACTCAAGCATCATTCTCATCAACAAACCCCTTCTACTTGTTTTCTTAATCAAAATACTTCGTTACCCTTGGGGAAAGTGACAGCAATGACATCTACAGCTTCTATTTCATCAGATGAATCATCCATTCATTCTTCTCCATCACCAGCTGACTATGTATTCGATATGATGTACGGAGATGATCGAGCCCTTTCTTTATTGGATATCAAGGACCCTTTTTATGATTCAATGCATCACTCTCTATTTGATCCTAGTCTTGGTGTGACAGCTTCTACTCAAGCATCTTCATCTGCTCCACCTAACCCTTCCAACGATCTTCCTTCCTCTGCTACTCATTTACCTGTGACAACTCCAACTACAGCAGGAGATGCATTTATAAATGCTTCTACAACTGGCATATCAACTCCTTCCATTGTCAATTCGCCTTGTTTTGTCTTTCCTGGTTCAGATATGATGCCATCCACTTCTGATTCAATGTCTCATTTATTCCCTACCAATGCGATGTATGGGCTACAGATTGGTACCAATAATCATCCTACACAACAAGAACATCAACAACTTCAATCACAAGAACATCAACAACAATCACGACAAAATCAGCAACAGTTTCAGCAACAACAACAACAACAACAACAACAACAATATCATCCATCATATTATTCACATCAAAATCAACTTCATAACTCTTCCTCTATTCAAGACACACTATCAGAAATACCTGGTCGTTCTTCTTGTGGTCAACCTAAAAAATGGAAAAGAGGTCCAAAACGTCAAAAGTCATCAAAATCTCAACATCAAAGAAAAGGACACCAACATTTTGGTGGTTTCCGACCATCATCAGTATTGACTTCTTCATCATTATCTTTGGGACAACAAAAACAAAACAATTTATCATCATCTATACCAAGACCAGTGCCATCATCATCATCGACATTATCAACATCATCTACATCAACAACTTCATCCAATGAATCAAGTTTCGATTTTCGTATGCCATCAACATTAGATACCACACCAACTGAAATGCCAATGACAACTATACCTCCACCTTCATATGAAGCACCTTTATGGCCAAATTATCTTTGCTTATATCTGGAATATGCAACTGCAGGCAATCCTTCAATGACGACATCCCATACTTTGGCTCAACTACCTCATTGTTTTCCAATTCCCAAGTCAAGTATACCTTCAACTAGTGATGCTATGAAAGAACGATATCTATCTTTGGCTCAGCTCAACCCGTCACTTTCATTGATATCACCTGACGCGACATTATTTGCCAAGGTAAGCATTTTTTTTCTACATGAATTGATATGAACATTTATGGAAATCAAGGGGGTTCCTCAACAAGGAAGGGAAAATGACGAACTTTTTTTTTTTTTTTTATCTTTAGATGAAACTGGATTTGAATTTCAACATGAACGACTTTTTCTTCAATAACACGTGCTTCTTTGAATCCAAGGATCGGCGAATGATTGAATGCACAACGACGATCTATTCATTTGGTAAAGTGGTCTTGGAATCAAAAGAAATGCAACAAGCACTATGGGTCCCTGAAGGCAAGTATATGTATAGTTTCGTCTATGTCAATCAATTCTTCGATGCATTCATGAAAGGTGTCCAATCTTTACAATCTTGGGAAGAGGTCGATATCGCCATACATAATCTCTGTATTGTACAAGTCTTTGAAGATATGGAAGCCAAATGTCACTCATCTTATCTTGTGGATTCTAATCTTCCCACCAATACTTCGCCAACATCATCATCATCATCATCAGCAACAATCACCGAAACAACCGCTAACTTACAACCTCTTGAATCAGTCATAAATGAAAACAATAAGGATCAATACCAAATCATGATGAATTATCCTTGTAGTCCTCAAGAACCATCATCATCATCGTCATCATCCACTTCATCTAGTACATCATCCGCCACCACTCCTGCTTCCTCTACATCTTCATCTTCATCTCTTTCCACTTTATTCAATAGTACTGTCAAAAATTGCATTCATCCTTCTATAACAAAACATGGTGGCACTGGTAGTCACCTATTGGCTGTGGTATATGAATTCGAACGCGGACAAGGCACTATTGACATGACGACTATCCATGAAGATGTATCACAAAAAGCTCAACAACAACAACAACATCATCAAGATACCATTATGTCTTAGGATTAGAATATACTCCACCATAACAATCTGTTATTACATACAACTAGTTTGCTCTTTTTATTATTATTATTATTATTATTATTTAGCTTTATTTATTTACTTTTTTTTTTCTTAGTTTAAGTTTTTTTTTTTTTGATTTTACTATACTACATTTGAAATCTTACATTCGTGTCTTTCATTTCCGTTATATGCAAAAAGACAAATAAACAAGAAAAAGCACAAAGCATCGTTTTCTTTTGTTTTGACAATACAGATTTAGAGTGATTCAATTTATTTTTGAATGGATTGTTGTTATTGGAACCATCGTCATCCTAGAGATCGTCATCATAGGGTCAATCATCACCATCATTAAATCAACACCATAAACCACTATCACTAAACTAGCCTCACATCCTATGTTGCATTCCTCTCTTCCTACATAGGATATATATATATATATCGTAGCACTAATCTGAGGCAGCGCCTTTTTTTTTTTTTTTTTTTTTTGTCTAAATAAGTTTTCAACATTCTTCTACTCCTCCTTTTTCTAATTCTATTGACAAAATGGAAAAACACTATATCGTCATGCTTTTTCTTTTCTTTTTTGATATTATATTGATTGATATGGTTGTCATTGGAATTTTCAAACTAGAGATGTTTCTCGGAGGTTTTTCTTATATATATAGACATAATCTAACTTTTTTTTTCTAGGCTAAAAATAGTCATCCATCCATCCGGTTCATCTAGAAACACTTTATCCCTGCGATCAAATAATCGCTTTTTCAACCACTTTCGATGTCCATCATTCGTAATCAACTATATATATATATTTCAAATCAGATTAAATGTTTCAACATCGAGTATATAGAGTCAAAATTTATTGAGAGAAGAGAGATTAATAGATAAAAGGCAATGGTTGTGATTGTAATATTAGAATGAAAGATAAAAGAATAATACTAAAAAAAAAAAAAAAGTAAAATGGAATGGGAATCAAATGAAATATATATATATACAAAATCTATAAAGATGATAAACTAACTAATAGAGGTAAGATGAAAGAAAAATATACATGTGATAAAAAAAGAAGAGAGAATCTAAATGGGGGGATTTCTATCAGTATTAAGCTTGTATGCATTGGATAAAACATGTATCACACACACGACTCCATTGGCCTTTTCCAAAATCAGCTTGATCCATGGTAAAGAGAGGTAACCGATTACCACTGTGTCGTTGACAAATCACTTTTCCACATCTATATTCAAAAAAAAAAAAATTAAGGATCAATCATATAAAACACATATACTCCCCACCCCTTATATCCACTTCTATTATTGTACTATACCTGCGACAATGATGTTTCCGTTGAAAAAAAGTGAACTGTGTTGGACATCTTTCTGATTCTTCATGTTGGCATTGATCAGTACATATATCAGGTGTCCATTTATCTTTCGGTAACATCAAAAACCGTGTTTTCCGATCCTTGGGTGTCATATGTAAAACATATTGACGAAGAGTCAACTTACAATGAGAAATTGTCGATGAATTTGTTGATATCTATAGATACGTGAACAAGAAGAAGGAAAGAGGAAAAAAAAGAAAAACATCAATGATCCATCACTTTCATATATAAATAGTAAAGTTTCTTACTTGTTCCAAAAGAGGATCATCCATAATATCACCCTTCAAAAGTATTCCAAATCCGGCAACCACCAGTTTAATTCCATTAGAAGGACTATGTTGTATATGAATAATATCACCTGTACCAACATCTAAGCCAAGTAGCATACCAGTACACCATCTCGTCTTACAAGCAAAGCTTTCCTTTTCCACTGACGAAAAGATATTTTCAAGAGATTGACCAACATGTGTGTACCATTTTGATAATAATCCAGTCGATTCATTTTGTTCTAATTGTTGTTGTCCATGATAAGACGGAGTTGGTTGACCCGATATTTTCCCATTTGATTCCAATTGATGTAATTTCATGTCCATATCCGCTATAAGTTCCTCCAAAGCATCGAGCATAATCAATTGTTGTTGTCCTGCAACATCACATTCGCGTAATCGATCTTTATATTGCTTTTCCCGTTCATGAAATTGATCTTGTACAGTGGAAGCCAATGATAAAAGTGAGCGTACATGACTTTCTGCACTCAAAAGTTCGGTGGATAGATATTCCAAATGTTCAGCTTGTTTGACCAAAGATCCCATCAGCATCATAAATTGTCTACGCCACTGACCATCATCGTCGTCATTGTAATCGTTCAAATCATCGATGTCCAAAGCGGTATCTGAATCCAAATGGTTGCACAGGCGGTAGATCGACGCATCTTTTTCTGCAAATTCGGAAGACAATAACGTGGAGTGGTTGGATTTGATAAGCGAAGCAGAAGTAATATTGTTGTTTCCATCTTGTTTAGAATTCCATTCATTTTTCGAATGTTGCCAAGGATGATCAGGAAAGATGAAAAGAGAAGATGTTTTAAGATTGTCGTCCTCGTGGGTAAGAGATGTCCAAGAGTGATTGACCACGTGTTGATCAGGCGCTGTATGATGTCGTTTATGTTTCTTGATCTTCTTCATATTTGTTGCAGCTTCATCCCAAAATAATTCACGAACATGAAACGCTTGCATATCCCTTGTGATACAGGTAATGTTAGTACGAAGCATTTCAAAGTCATCGGTCAACGGATTAGGCCAGATAGTATTATCGTTTTCTTCACCAGTGCCAGCACCGGGCATAGTATCTTGAATATTACCATTTCGGTGTTCAATGTATTTGTTATTATTTGGGTACTCAATATTTGTTGAAGTAATATGTGATGGATGATGATGATCGTGGTGTGACGATAATGTTGGTAAAATTGTGATCGTATTGTATTCAATTGGTGGTTTTTTTGATCCATTATACTGATTATGAGGATGATGATCATCAGTATTAAAGATAGATTTGTATGCACTTTTTGGTGTGATAGGAGTTCTAGGTTCATCATCTGATAAAGAAGATCTTGTCAAGAAACTAAGTCGATTATTAATATTTCGTTTGTGTTGAGATAAAGCGGGTGAAGCAGGAGGGGTAGATTGTAAGGTAGAAGAGTGATTATCGGTTGAGATCTATAATGAACAAAAAAAAAAAAAAAAAGAAAATCAATAAAATAAAAATAGAAAAAAAAGTAATATTCTATGGTAAACTTACTTGATTTGTGCCAGTCGCTATGTCGGATAGTAAAGGATTGGTTGAAGAAAAGGTGTATAGATATTGTTGCATCGGTAAAAGGTATAAGTAGTATTATATATAAGTAGTAATAGTAAGTAGTGGATGGTATCAAATAAAAAAAAGTAATGAACTGCTTTATGACTGTATAAGAAGAAAGGGAAACATTACGAATGGGTGAAAGCAAAAAAAAAAAAAAAAAAAAAAAAAAAAAGAAAGAAAGAAAGGAAGAGAAAAAAAGAGATACACTTTGTCTCTTTTTTTTTTATTTGGGTCTCCTTTTTCCCTTTTTTTTTTCCTTCTTCCCTCTTTTGTGATGTAAAATTAAAATGGCGCCGCACACGCACGCAAAAAAAAAAAAGAAAGGTTTTGGGAGCCCTTTTTTGATTCCTTTCTTTCTCTTTTTTTACTTTTTCCTTTTTATTTCATTTTATTTCATTCATTTTCGATATTATATTATCAAGAAAAAGGATAATATATATATATATTTCAATCATCTTTTCTTCTTTCTTCTTCTTATTATACCTCTCTATTCTTTTTTTTATATATATATTTACCATAATATTTGATTTCATTAATATATACATCATAGTTTTTTTACCAGAATGACCTCTAGAAACGGAAGACAAACTGAAAAAGAAGTATATCAATACGATGCTCCTTGGCCAGTATATGCTATGGATTGGAGTAAAGCAACTACAGAAAAAGAAGGTTATCGTCTTGCTTTGGGTAGTTTTATGGAAGAACATACAAATAAGGTAAATACAAATCAATACTCTATAAAAAACTTGATAATAATGATTTTTTTTATTTTTATTTTATAGCTACAAGTGGTGACACGAGGGGATTTGGCTGCATTGGATGAAATGGAACGAACTAGACGTGATTACTATGATCCTGCAAAATATGAACAAGATTTTGTACCATTGGCTGAAGTAGATTCTTACTATCCTATCACAAAGATCCTATGGGAACCAAGAAAGGTAAAAAAAAAAAAAAAAAAAAGGAGATGAAATGACTGTATATATATATTGAAACCTTACTTTTATATATATATATGTATATATAATTAGAATGCAAGGGACTCTGACATATTGGTGTCATCGTCTGATTACCTTCGTGTATGGGAGTTATCCGATAGCCCATCAAGACATGACAATTCTATTTCTTCTAGACGTAGTTACAATGAACCTTTAAGACAGACATTGGTGAAACGATCTGAATTGGTAAATGTAAGTGGATAACTTTTTTTTATATAATTTGTATATTAAGGTTTTCATCTCTCTTTTAGGTCAAACAAAGTGACTTTTGTGCCCCTTTGACCTCCTTTGATTGGAATGAAGTAGACCCCTCTCTAATTGTTACTGCTAGCATTGATACTACCTGCACAGTCTGGAATGTAGAAACTGGTCAAGCTAAAACTCAATTGATTGCTCACGATCGAGATGTTTACGATGTGGCCTTTATGCATGGAACTGCTGATATATTTGCAAGTGTTGGTGCAGATGGTAGCGTACGATTATTTGACTTAAGGTAATATATATATATATATATATATATATATATATATATATATATTCTTATTGATTGCTGGTTTTAAAATTATATGTGTTTACTTTTTCCTTTTCTTCTTTCTTTTTTATTATTATTATTATCATTAGATCACTGGAACATTCAACAATTCTCTACGAGGCACCTCCAGCATCAACAAGTCCTTCAGCAACTAGCAACTTCGCCTCTGTGATTAGCGATGGATCTCAACCTTTACTTCGTTTACAATTCAACCGAATCAACCATGATTTACTAGCCACTTTTCGTATGGACTCTGATACAGTTCAAATTCTTGATATACGTTATCCAAGTGCACCTGTTGCCGAACTAACAAGAAGTCATCGAAGCAATGTCAACTGCTTCAGTTGGTCACCAACTCATCCTGGACATATATGCACTGGAGGTAAAAAAAAAAAAAACACATAATATGTGATATCACTAATAATTGATTTTCATTAGGGGACGATTCACAAGTACTTGTATGGGATATTAGCAACAAATCACAAGCACCAGGAAATGATACTACGTACAATGGAAGTACACGCCATGGTCGGCAACCTCATCAAAGAGATCGACAACAACAGCAAACAAATCATGGACCTATTTTACGATATGTAGCCGATTCAGAAATCAATTCTCTCAGTTGGAGTCAAAGTTTACCAAGATGGATTGCTGTAGGTTTTGGAAGGACAGTTCAAGCTCTTCGGGTGTGATCGTTTCTCTCTCTTTTTTTTATTATTATTATTATTATTATTATATGTATATCCGCAATTCATTCAACGTTTTGTTTATCCTTATGTCCTTAGTTATTAGCACTATAGTCTCGATTGTCATCATTTTCCAAAGGAAAAAAAAAATAAAGGGAATCCTTGTCATCATCAATTTTTAAAATATAATTTTTTTTTTGGTTTTTCCATAGGTATACTAAATTGGGAATCCCTGGTTCACGAACCCTCATCCCCTGAAGATGTTGTGCAACCAAAAAGTATCATCCTATCTCGGATGATGAATCTGTCAATGCTTTCCCTTAGACAACACTTATCTTATTTATTCGTGTCACCGATAATAATAAAAAAAAAAAGAGTTTAATATAAATCTGAAGTTAATCCTCGTGAATAAAGATATGAGTCCAAAAAAAAAGAAAAGTCTAAAGAATACAACAGTGTATTAGTTTATTATATCAATGAATAAAATAACAATGGAAGAGTAAAAGAAAAAAAATTGGTAGAACAATAAACTACTGTATGAAATCTACTAGTACTAATTAAAAAAGAGGGGAAGGGGGAGTAGGGGGTTTAAAGGAGTTTGAGAATAGCCTTTGCGCAAACCTTTGCATCCAAATCAGCACAGACCTTGGCAGCCAAATCAACACATGCCTTGACAGCCACATCGAGCTTGAAGCTGGAACTAATCTTGACGGACAAAAGTAAAGGAATGTTGATTTCCAAATCCTTGATGCAAGCGTCAACGGAAGCTTTGATGGTAGCCTTGAGATTAGCACAGATAGTGGGCAATTTGACCTTAAGCTTGGCAATCAACTTGGCTTCCAAATCAATCAAAATCTTCAACAAATCGGCTTCAGAGCACTTCTTGTGTTTCTTGAGAGCCTTGAGGAGATCAGCTTCGATAGATGCGTAGACTTGAGCATCCAATTCAGCTTGAATAGAAGCTTCGAGTTTGGCTAATCAAAAATGGAAAAAAGTAATGTCATCATTAGTGAAAAAATAATTTTATTAATATTACGAATCATCATTACACAAATCAACTTTGTTTTTTTTTTATGATAATTACCTTGGACTTTCTTAATAGCAGCAGATTGAATAGCACTGATCTTAGCATCACCAACGGAAATGATTCCACCAAGAGCCTTGAGCTTAATATCCAAAGAAGCCTTGACTTTTTCAGAAACCTTTGAAAAAGAGGTTAAAAAAAAAAAAAAAACGAATGAATATTAATTCTTTCTAATACGAGAATATAAATCAACTTACAGAAGCAGAAATCTTTGCAACAACATCAGCCTTAACCTTTGCCTTGACAGCAACCATGATCTTAGCAGCAAGCTTGGCATCACCGACAACAGGGAAATTAGTACGTTTGGTCAATTCACCAGAGAGATGTTCAGCAAAAGTAGCAGGTTCAAGATCCTTTTCGTTCAAAGAGACAGTTTCACCATTGATAGGGGAACCAGAGGGTAAAGCAGAGGCAGTGAACGTACACAATGCAAACACAAAGAATAGAAGAGAAGCAAGTCTAAATTGCATCTTGATGATAATGGTGATGATAAATTTGTATTAAATAAAAAGGAAAGGGTAGGTTTGTAATTAAAATATAAAAAGGAATGGGAAGAGGATGAAGATTACTTTTTTTTTTTCTGAATCGGTTGATCTTTTATATGCAAAAAAAAAAAAAAAAAAAAATATGAAACTCCGGTCATTATTTTTCATTGTGTGACAAAAATGAAAGGATTAAGGAGAGACAGGCAAATGGAAGAGGGGTAACCATGCAAAACATCCACGTTACAAAAAGAAAACAACCATAAAAAAGAAGGTCATCGGCTTTAAAATTTTAAAATAAGCATTTTCTGGTAAAGAAAAACGTGCTGAAGACTATCCAAAGGAATAAGGATCGTAAAGGAGAAGCAAAAAAATAAAAAATTTGTGGTCATGGTGACACTGCATTAACAACATTCACATATGACAAGAAATCGCCATTGGCATATGTATCATCTTTCATATAAAAAAAAAAAAAGAGAGAGATATTTTGTAAGAGATTAGATCAATGGGTCTAATATCTATTCGTGTTGTTATCATTATGTTAAAGAGTAAACAAGATGATATTTATAAGGGAATTGGATAAGACAATGACAGAATAAACAAAGAGAAATGATTATCATCATTTACTTACTCCTGGGTCTTAATGTTGGATTTTGCGCATCATGATCTATTAAAAGAACAAAATGACAGTATCACCATCATCACCATGAAATAGGAGAAAACAAATGGAAATCACCTAAAAATAAACCACCGTTCATCAAACTCTTGGTGCCTTTTTTTTTTTTGTCGCGTTGTTCATTTCCCGCTCGTCTCACCAATCAAATCCAATGAAGCAGGTGAATACAGTCATTGCTATGATGATTCCAGGCCATTGTGTCCTTTTCTTTTTTTTTTTTTTTTGATATGTGAATGTCAAATGGGAATCATCATTATAAGCGATTTTCCATTGACATTGACGTTTATTTTTTTTCTCTCTCTCTCTTTTTTTACAAGATGAACACAAGAGTTGTTAGGATGTAGGTCTTTTCTGACAGTACCTAAACTTCGTTCCTGTTTCGTACTCCGGAGACTCAATTCAATTGCTCTTGTTCACTCTTTTTTTTTTTTTTTAAAAAAGGCTAGAACCGACTCATCTGCAAAAGCTGTCAATGTCATTAGTCATTTTATCTTTCTGATGTTTCTCTATTGTGATGATTTATGCAGACATTCAATTAACGCATATATTGATTTCGATAAGAAAACACAGAAAATGAAAGCAATTCAATTTTTAATTGTAAGTAGTGAAACATTTCTTTCATTCCATGATTATCCTCATTCATATCTGAAAATGAATCTTTTCCTCTACCTACATTATTATTCTCCACCAGTTGCACAAATTTTTTTTTTCGATGCTCCGAGAATTCAATTGAGAAACAAAGAAAAAAAAATAAATCTGATGCATTAGTTAACAGTCTTGGATGAGTGATGACAGTAGCTCTTTTTTTCTTTTTTTGTCAGACAGTGGACAATCATCGAAAGACAGTCATCAACCTTTACCCTTTGACATCACTCAACCATCGTACCTTGATCATCGCGGCCATTCAATCAACATCATCATGTAACAAAGTATCATTTAATAATTATCATCATATAACATCAATCATCATCATTACCTTTCAGTCATCAGCGTCATCATCATTCAATCATCATCATTACCTTTCAATCATCAGCGTCATCATCATTCAATCATCATCATTACCATTCAATCATCATCATTGCCATTCAATCATCGTCATTACCATTCAGTTATCATCATCATTATTTAATCACCATTATCAGTCAATCAGTATTCAGTTATCATCTTCAAGTAACAAATCATCATTTCGATTAAGATCCCAATCTCCCGAAAAAAAAAAAAGTTGTACGACTTTTTTAAGGGTGATGTCTGTCCTTAGAACATCACCAGTAAGAGTTCAAAGATGAGCGGTATCCCAAACATCCTAGCCGGAGATTTTACTCGCCCTGCAGGTACCCATTTGTGTAAAAAAAAAAAATCAAAAAGAGTGAGAAACAAGAGTAATGAAAGAGAGACAGAGACAAACGTGTTCATGTGATCAGGTGGTTTGAGAGTCATCTGGTCTAGTTTTTTTTTTTTTTTTTTTTTTTTTTTTTGGGTTTTCGCCTTTTTTTTTTTTTAAGATTTCGATCTCTCTCCCCACTTTTAGCAAACCCTATATTGGGATTTAAAAAAAAAAGTGAGAATAGCATTACTGTCATCATTACTATCATCATCCTATAACTATTGAGTTTCTATTCATGCAATAAGAAGGAGGTGTAAAGTTGACATTTAAATTACTTTTATTTGCTTGGATGATGAAAAGCTAGTGATGCCTTTTATGGGCAGGATGGATTGGGAGATTGAAAAAAATGACATAGCAACCAAAAAAAAAAAGTGTAAGACAGTGGCCGCCCTCGTGATTTGCTGCTTTCTTGTCTTTTTTAATTTTTCAATTTCCCACCTTAACCTGACTTTGAAACGTTCTCTTTCCATTTTCTCTTTTTTCCTTTTTTTTTTTTTACTTTATTCTTTTCTCTTACTAGTCTCTTTTTTTTTCTCTTACCTGTTTTTATATACACATATATTATATTCTTCATTATTATTATGGGTGATGCTTTATGTATGGTAATGGTACCTCCTACTAGTCACGAATCCCATGGTCAAGAATCGAATGTAGGTACTCCCAATACTACAACAACAGCAACAACAGGATCAAGTTTTCGTCGATCTCTCAACTTATCACACGGTGCTTTTGGATTGAGAAGATTCTCAAGATCCATATCTCATGAACCAAGTGAAACTCCCGTTACAGAAAATAATAGCAGACGAAGATCAACAATCTCTACAATGACAGCTCAAGCAAATAATACTCTTCATGTCCGAATTGTACCTAGTATTGAAAACCCAAGTCGTAGCTTAATATTTGATATCTTTGAACGTGAATTGCAACCAGCAGTATACATCAAGATTGGACGCTTCACTGACCGATCTCAATCACCTACTCATATGTCTTTCAAGAGCAAAGTAGTATCAAGATCTCATTGTGAAATATGGATGGAAGATGGCAAGGTTAGTTTAGAAGAAAAAAAAAATATTGTATGATGATATATAATATATATATCTGGAAAAGGCCAGGGGGTGTATGGGCGGAGATGCCAATGTGCGTGTGTGTATATATGTATACATATATATATATATTTGTACATTTGTGTATGTGAGTCCCAAAAAAGTGATACGAACTAATTTTTATTTTTTTTTTTATTTATCTGGTTACTTTTTAGCTATTTGTTAGAGATACTAAGTCATCCTCTGGTACTTTTGTCAATCATATTCGTATCAGTCCTCCTAATCAAGAAAGTCGACCTTACGAAATCAAAGATGGTGATATTGTGCAATTAGGTGTAGATTATCAAGGTGGTGTAGAAGAAATATATCGGTCCGTCAAGATGCGATTTGAAGTCAATAGAACAAGAAGACAAAGACCTCTCTCATTCAATATGACAGCCTTTCAAAATATCCGGAATCTGACTGGTGTTGGTGGAAGCCTGATTCAAGAACAAACTGCATCCGAACCTCTTTCCACGACAAACAACTCTTCTTCACCTCTTTCGTCTACTTCTTGTTCCTCTTCTGTTCCAGTCTCTCCTCCTGTCGATGTCCCTGTGACTATGACTCAATCTAGACTCAATTTGGATACTTGCTCAGAACAGGAACAACAACAAAAACAACAACAGCTGATAACTAATGAACCATTATGTACTACAACCGATCAACCGACAACAGATTCAAATTATGAAGCATGCCAAGGAATGGATCAAGTGGAAGAGTGTTGCATTTGTTTGTAAGTGGCAAAAAAAAACAAGCTGTATATGGAAATTAAAAAAAAAAGGAAATAAGGGGTACAGCAGGAAATGGCGGGCAAAAGATAATGTGAAAACAAAGGAGAATATGAAAGTTTATGCTTGTAAATAATGCAAACTAACAATATTGTCTTGTTTATTATTTTTTTTTTTAGATATGCCTTGGCTCCATATCAAGCTCTTTTCGTTTCACCATGCGCCCACACGTATCATTACAAGTGCATTCGACCTTTACTTCAAAGCTATCCTGGATTTCAATGCCCAATTTGTCGAACCTATTCTGATTTGGATGCCAACATTAATATGGAATCTCATGAAGTCATAGAAAAGTATGGATTGCGACGACAATCTACTATTATCGATCCAACGGCAACCATGTCTTGCGTCACTACAACCAACGATACTCAACAGCAATCTGAACAAAATATATCTCAACAACTTCCAACTATTACTGATCAGCAAATTTCAAACACTTCAGCCTCATCTGCACCTCAGCCTATAAACGAATCTTACAACGTGGATGATGACATGGCTCCTTTGGCCAATTTGACCACTATGGACTATCAAAATCTATCAACCAATCATCATTGTAAGTAACGTCGGAAGAGGAATACTGCACGTCTTTTTCGATCGACAATGCACAGCGAAAAAAAAAAAAAATAGATGGATTAATTGGAATTTATGACCTGATTTTTTTTTTTTTTTTTTTTTTGTACATGATTTGATTTTTACGGACTTAGTGTCTCCAAGGGATCGTCAAACGGTCATTATAGAAAATTCAACGGACGAAACATTTCAACATACGACAACATCTGACACCAACGATCAGCAGCTATCAAGACAGAATACAAGATGTGTCACGACCAGCAATCAACATGATGATAATGCTATGGAAGGACCAGATACCACTCAATCACAAGATCCACATCGACGTCGCTCAGTTATTTTGGATGATAATGTGATGGTAATTCCTGATATGGACATGGCTACAAATGTTACTACCAATGAACAAAACGTTTCACAGCCACTTTCTTCAACTTCTTCTCCTCCTTCGACTGAACCCACTTCCCACCACCACCAACAACAACAACAACAACAACAACAACAACAACGACAAAGACGAGCTAATGCTTCTGGATTTGTGGAAAAGTTGAAGATGGCATTTTTTGAAAAAAGGAAATCATCCATTATTGTGGCACCACGAGAACGGAAACGAACCAATCGACCCCGGCCTTTGTCTTATCCCAACTTTTTACGCCCAAGTCATATTGATGATAGTCACACAGACGATGATGACTCTGACGATGATGACGATGATGTTCTACAACGATCCGATATTTCCAACGCATCATCTTCCTCACCTGCTTCCCCGACCATAACCCATCTACTTCAACAGCATCAACAACATCAACAACATCAACATCAACAACAACAACAACAACAGCAACAAAATAATAGTACTAGTATGGCATCTACGGCAAATCACAGTCTCTCTCGACAATCAACCGCTCATTTGGCAGAAATAGAAGAAGAAGATGAAGTTCCCTGGCATCAACATTTTAATCAATATCAACCTATGTCTGTCGATGGATGATCTGTTTTTTTTATTATTATTATTCCCGTGAATGATAGTTAGTTTAGTTACTTCTCATTATTCTTTATATTCCCCTCTTTTATATGTATACAAGCTATGATGTTCCCTCAGCTTTATAAGCCTAAAACACACACTCACACAAACAAACATCAACTATTTTTATTGTAATACTCTCTGTCGTTTTTTTTTCTTTTTTCTTTTTTATATTGTATTGCTATGTAATAAACTGGTTTTTTCCATGTTCGTTTATTTTTTTTTTCTGCGTTATGGTTAGAGACTTGTTTACGTTGGGGTTTGAATATATTTGGTGACTCTTTTTTTTTTTATTAAGGAAATGGATGATGGATGATTTAATGATATCAATAGAAACTTTCTTATTCTTTATTATAGTCTTCTTAATGATCATAATCAATACTTTAATCATTCTCAACTGCAAAACCTGTTTCTTTTTTTTGCATTGTTTATCATCATCTTTTCCCGTTTAGTAAATAAAAAATCAATCATCATCATCCGATAACTGATAAAAAAATAATCCACATCCCTTTCTATTCTTCTATAGAAAAGGCAGGCTCCTTTTTTTTCACTGTTTTTTTTCTCTATCATCAATGAAAGGTAAGCATCATCCGATGACTGATATACAGTAAAGGACACCCCTTTTATTCTTAGCATCCCATGGAAAAGAATCAACATACCGTAGAAGACAATCATCTTCGTCCAATGACTGATAAAAAAAAAAAAAGAAAGCGACTACTTACTTACTTACCATATTTCTCTTTCTATTCTTTTTTTATATTCTCTTTTTGACACAATCAATACAATGTAAATCACCCTTTTTATAACCTGCAAACCGTATTATTCAACTTAACGCAAATTATCTATTCTTCTCCGGTATACTTTTCATCAATTGGCTATAAATGGTAATACAAACAACACATCTCTTGATCTGTATGCATGTATGGTGATACGACGATGATCTATTTCATACAATATTATATGATAGAATGAAACAAGCCATCATCGCATTCTTTACATGGTTATGAACTTAAACAATACAATAGCGTCTCATCATATCATCGCGATAGGCCCCTTCTTTGTCATCGTAAAGTAACACCATGTCATATGATAATGGTCACTACACAAAATAAAATCGCCATCAAATGTTTTTCATCAAATTGTTTGTACTATATACAAAACAAATTCTCATTAATTCACACAACATCAGTACTTCTTAAGAGTCGAACAATACAAACAGTGATGAAAGCAAAAGTATAGAAGGTTGTTAAATAAAAAAGAAAAAGTTTTCAAAAGAGAATACTTTTATTGATTAGAGTTTCATTAGAGATTAAAATAAATCAAATAATAATACTACTGTCTATGATTCCATATTATATTCCTTAGTCACTTGCTCTATAAATAGTTGCATAAAATCATGACGCTGTTTTCCTAGCTCTTTCCCTTTTGGTGTTCGCAACATAGATGATAACTTTAATAGTTTTTCTAAAAAAAAAAAAAAAAACGAAAAAAAGAAAGAGTAAATAATCAACGTCCATAAAATAAATCAATACATTCGTTTCTCTTACCATGGAAATGATTGATAGCTGATCCATTTTTCGCCACTGTCTGTTCCTCATATTGATCTTTGGTCATGAAACGAATAGGATCTGAATAGGGATCATATAAAGGAACATTGATTTTGCCAGAATACGCTCCACATCGTAAAATGCCTATACAAAAAAAAAAAAAAAAAAAAAAAAAAAAAAGAAGAAGATTAGTATAACCATTATCTTCGTCTTCCTTTTAAAAAGGGGGATCCTTACCAAAAGCACCCATAGCATCCAGTTTATCAGCATCTTGCACCCTGTATCATCCGTCAAAAAAAAAAAAAAAAAAAAGTCAGCGGATAAAATCGAGTGAATACAGCACATACACATGAAGTTCAATACAATTATTGCGCCATTGAACAAAACAAGGATCGTCTATCTTGTCATTCCAACCAAGTTCTTTCCTAAATCCCACATTGTTCACTATACGAGACACCAATTCAGCCTTGAAGGAGTCATAACCTTTTTGAGTCAAAAACGATGATACAATGTCACCCCCAGTGATTACACCTTGATAATACTTGGGATCACCAACATCATGACATAAAGCGGCCAGTTCTACTATCTCCATATCAACCTTCTTGCCATGCGAAACACTATCATGAGCCAATTCCAATGCAAGTTTGCGTACACGTTCAATATGAAACATGTCATGAGAAGGATCAAATGATTTCATATAGTCCTTCACCATTTTTTCTGTGGCCATAATAATATTACTCATTGTTGAAAGAGTTTATTGGTCGTGTTGAAGCTGCGGTTCTACGTTAAAAAGAACAAAGAAAGAAAGAAAGAAAAGGATCAAACCATTGGGAAATTGTCATTCCAAAAAAGAAAGAATTCAATCGGTCTTTTAAAACCTACCCACACGTCTTTTTTTTTCTTTTTTTTTTTTTCTTCTTCCTTTCTCTTCTTTTTTTTCTATATCTTTTTTTTTTTTTTTTCTCATCATCCACCTTTTTCAGTTTTTTTCATTTTTAGACTTACTCTTTTATATATATATATCATTACATTTTCTTTCCCTCTCTTCATTTTTAACTGCAAATCAAATCAAAAGTATTGGTATTTTTTTTTTTTAGTTCCCTTCATATTCCTTCTTGTTCGTTATGGACTTCTTTTATCACAACAATAACAACAATCAACAAGAACAACAACAACAGCAACAATTACACCAACAACAACAACAACAACAACAACAACAACAACAACAACAACAACCACTTAATGCAGGTCAAGTGGATATGATGTCTTATACCTATCAACAACAAGCACAACAACAACCAGCTGAAGTCAACTATAATCGATCCACTGAAGGTTTTCCAAAAAGTGCATTGGATCGCGCTGCTGCTGCCAAATTGAAAGTGGAATACTACTATAAAACTGCATTGGATCAAGCCATTGAACGTAATCAAAGGTAAGCACCATAAAAAAAAAAAAAAAATAGAAAGATAGAAGAAAATACACTAAACTCATATGAATATACTTATAACAATAGACGAAAAGCTTTGGAACAGAAACTTTTGACAGAACATGGAAGTGATGAAAAAAAGCAACGTCAACTACAATCATTGGGTCGAAAAGAATCACAATATCTACGATTACGTCGAACTCGGTTGGGATTGGATGATTTCGTTACTGTCAAGGTCATTGGAAAAGGTGCTTTTGGCGAAGTACGTTTGGTCCAAGCTGGTGATACTGGGAAAATATATGCTATGAAGACTTTGAAAAAATCTGAAATGTTAAAAAAAGATCAAGTAATGTTGATTATTAATATCTATATATCATATACTAACTTTTTTTTTCTTAATAGCTTGCACATGTCAAAGCAGAACGAGATGTATTGGCAGAATCTGATTCACCTTGGGTTGTACAACTCTACTTCTCTTTTCAAGATGCTCAATACCTATATTTGATTATGGAATTCTTACCTGGTGGTGATTTGATGACGATGTTGATCAAATATGATACATTTAGTGAACCTGTCACTCGATTCTATATTGCAGAAATTGTTCTTGCCTTAGAAGCAATTCATAATCTTGGTTATATTCATCGGTAAAGAAAAAAAAAAAAGAGGGGAGAGAATAGAAAGGAGGTCTCAATACATTTCTCATTTTGGAACATACTTCTATAATATCATCCTTTTAGGGACATCAAACCTGATAATATTCTAATTGATCAAGGTGGACATGTTAAATTATCTGACTTTGGACTATCTACAGGATTCCGGAAAACGCACGATTCTCAATACTATCAACGTTTACTGGATGGATCTCATCAATCTGTTCCTGCTGGACAAGAAAGCATCAATCTTAATATTCTTAGTACAAAAGAAAAAATTGCCACATGGAAAAAGAATCGAAGAGCCTTGGTAAAGACACAGAAAAAAAAAATAGGAATTTATTTATATTATATTTTTTATTTTTCTATTCTATAGGCTTACAGTACTGTTGGTACCCCTGATTATTTGGGTAAGTTAAATAGAAGGATATAGAGGTATTTTATTTAACTTTTTTTTTTTTATTATCAACAGCTCCTGAAATCTTTTTACAGCGCGGTTACGGTCAAGAATGTGATTGGTGGTCTTTAGGTGCAATTATGTTTGAATGTCTTTGTGGTTATCCTCCATTCTGTTCAGAAAATCCTCATGAAACTTACCGCAAGATCATGAACTGGCGTGAATCCTTAGTCTTTCCTGATGATCAACCCATTAGCCGTGAAGCCGAAGATTTGATTAGAAGATTGATATGTGAACCCGAAAGTCGATTAGGTCGTAATGGTGTGGAAGAAATCAAGGCTCATCCTTTCTTTTATGGTGTCAACTGGCAAGGCATTCGTGAGGAACCTTCTCCACATGTACCTCAATTACGAAGTATTACTGATACAAGTTATTTCCCCACGGAAGAATTGGATTCTGTACCCGAAGCTGTGGATAGTACAAATCATGGTAAGACATAAAAAAAAAAGAAATCGAAGCGACGTTGAATTTAACATATTCCATCGTTTTTTTTTAGGTTATTCTGTAGATGGTGTCAATACTCAAAAGGATTTGGCTTTTGTTGGATATACATTCAAGAGATTTGACTATTTGACCAAGAAAAACATTCTATAGCTTTAGTTTTCTCTCTCTCTCTCTTTTTTTTACCATTCTCCTATTTAGTTATACCTTTATATTATTGCTGTTGCTCATGTGTGTCTCTTTATTATAAATGTCATCAAACATACCAAATAAAATAGGGATCGTGTTGAATTTAACGATCATCACGCAATATGATAGACAAGGCTTGTTAACAAATAATGCTTGACATTGGGGATATGATGCCCGAATATGGAGTATTAAAAAAAGGATGGCTCGCCCGAGAGAACATACATATCATTATGACACTTTGTTTTCAAAAATCTACAAAATCAATTATTCATCTTTTACTTTCATAGAGCCTAGCAAACTTTGATCTATCTAAACGTCATCTTTTTTTTTTCCTTCTTTATTGAAATTTGATAAAATAATAATAAAAAGGGATTATACTAGAGTTAGGGGTATATTATCATTTTGATAAAGAGAAGAAAAAAAAAGAGCAGGTGAATACAATACAAATATAGTGACAATAATATATATATATATATATATATGTAATATCAAATTAAACTTGGTGATCCAAAGAAGATTCCATGACAGTGTGTCCAGTCATCCTTGTTTTCTTCTTGTTTGGGATATCATACAGTGAGAACCATATAGGAGACGGCCTTGACCAGAAAGTTATACAATTGTTCCAACATCCTTCATCAAACGCATTGCCCCGCACCTTTCCTCGAAGACAGATACTATCGTTTTCATCATGATCAGTTGTTCTATCCATCTGCTGTGGTGATATATGACAACGAGATTGCTGGCGTTGGTGTAAGTAGGCATACCGTTGAGCATTTGCATTTTCATTTGTTGTCATTGAAACTGCGATTTGATAGAGCTGTACAATTGTCAGTAATGAAACCCATATCAATTGTATTGCTGACCATATAGCCAAAGAGAATGTAAATGCATCATAGGCAAAGAAACTACAAGCTGTTATACCCAATTTGCATGAGGTATAATCGATGATCAAATCTGTTGTCTTCTCATTCGATGCCTTTGAGTCGATATGAGTTTTAGGTTCACTGGGTTGAAGTAAAGGTGAGGAATTGTCGAGATCTATATATTACGTAATACAAAAGAAAGCGTAAGAGTCTGGGTACTTCCATTTTTTTTTTTTTTTTCTTCTTCTCCTTTCTTTTCTTCCCGGATACTTACACCGATAGCACAAAAATACAAAAGATGTGATACTAATCACCATATTGAGAAGAAACACAATAAAAAGTCGATGGTTTCGTACGCCGATGCAGTTAAATATCCAGGGACAATGACTATCAAAATAGATACGAGAAGGAATATCAAGTTAGTTACACTAGGAATAATATATATATAAAAAAAAAAAAGAAAAATAAATTACTTACTGATCAAATTTGGCCACACATCTGTTGCAACGTTTGCAGTGTTTTGATCGCAAAGGTTTCCTAATCTAAAAATAAATACATGAATAAATAAATAAAAAAGAAAAGAAATATACAATAAGATCAAATTCCCCCTTCTCATTTTCTTTTACCATGCATGTAATACAAAAATGACGCTGATCAAGATGTTGTTTATTTGCTAGTTCCAATATCACATCTCGTTGTTCATCAAAGGTAATGTTGTGATCGATAAACCCAGGATCCACTAAAACCGCCTTATAAAAGGATGACATGGCAACAAAATAGGAGGCAATGAATATAAAGTTGAGTACCAAAAGATGTGAAGTACCTTGATCACAAAAAAAAAAAAGAAAAATATGAGTTCATTATTCATGATTTTTTATTTTATTTTATTTTTATTTCACTTTCTATCTTACCTTTAGCAACTGTCCAAGCCCAGGTAAGGAGTACCCAGAGAGCTGAGGATTGAAATATACCAGTAAAGTAAGGAGATTTGATCAATTCTTCTGGTAAGGGTGCAGGTAATAAAATATGGACCACTGTCAAATGCATCAATAATACTTCTAATAGAGTCATCAATACAGAAATATGCCAAGGGAAATGATTCAAAGTCAATAGGGCCATAGGTAAGATCACAAAAGGTAAACCAAGGATGATCATAGCATTTCGTTTCTATTTATGTAAATAATTTGTCCATTCAGTATATGCTCTTACACGAATATATATATATATATATATATATATTACCTTTGTTTCAGGATAGAGGAGAGATTGAGCTTGACTGACGGCTTGATTCCATTTTTTTTCCACTTTCATATCTTTGACTAAATCAATGACCGTTTTCCCATGTTCATCCTTGACATCCAGTGCAGCACCACGAGATAATAACATACGCATACATGCCACATCACTTTTTGCCACTGCCCAATGCAAACTGGTCAATTGCGCACGGTCCGTTGCATGCACATCTGCGCCATATCGTAATAAAACATCCATACAAGTTTCATCTGCGTTGTATGCTGCCCACATCAATGCTGTATGTTGATCTCCATCCCTTGAATCCACGTCCAATTTGGTATCACCATAAAGTAAATACATGACTAAAATTGAGTTGCCTGAATGAACCGCCAAATGGAGTGAATTATATCCTTGACCATCTACCATGAGTGGATCTGCTCCTTCGTTCACAAGTTGATGAACAGCATCTATACAACCAGATCTATATATATATATCAAAAAGGTCATTAATAAAAAAAAAACAAAAGAAAAAGAAACTATTTCCTTTTTGTGCCTGAAAAAAAAATAACAAAATAAATTGTATTTTTTTATTTTTATTTTTATTTTTATTTTTTTTTTTTTTTACCTAGCAGCCCAATGTAAAGGAGTTGCAGGTACTTGACCACCCATAAAATTGATTTCAGCACCTCTATCAATTAAATACTTGATACAGGTAGAATGGTTTCCCAAAGCAGCGTAATGAAGAGCCGACACCCCGGTAGCATCGGTATCGTTGACCGAGACGTTTTTTGAATCCAAGATATTTCTAATTAATACTAAAGATCCTTGATGTGAAGCTTCAAATAAAGATATTTCTATTGAATAAAAACAAAAAAGAAGTTAACAATATTTATATATTTCTTCTTAGTTTAAATTACCTGAAGTTTGTATTATATTATCATTATCGTTTGAAGTTGATAGATTATCATCAATATCTTCTAGTAATAAAGGTTGAATATCCTGTTCGTTATATTTATACATTATATAAAATAAAGAGAGATAGAGAGAGAGATAGACAAGGAAAAAAAAAACAAAAAAAAAAAGGAAGAAAAGAAGAAAAGGAGGGGAAAATTTCATGCCGCCTCTATTTCTTTTTTTTTCTTCTTTGCCCCAATTTCCCTCCCCTTGATTTTCGTCGTCACCTAATAATAAAAAAAAAAAGGTCTATTTTTAAATTACTACTACAACATAACAAGTTAACTACAAATGAAAACAAAAAATAAAATGAATAGTATATTTATTATTAATGTCTTATTTCAAAATCAATAGGTACAACCAAACTATAATGCAAAAAAAAAAAAAAAAATAGACAAAAGGAAATAGGAGAAAAAAAAGTATAAATAATGAAAAAAGATATTAAAAAAAAACAAAAAGAAAAGATATGGCCTAGATCGTGTAACAGATTCCATCGGAGTACATGATTTGATTCATTTCTGACATTTTACGTAAAGCTTCATCTGCTTCTGATATAGAAAATCCATGTTGTGATGATAATCCGTCATTGATTGCTTCAAACATTTGATCAAATCCAATTTCACTTTCACCAGCAAATTGTCCTCTTGTCACTTGATGGACACGCGAACGGAATAGTGCCAATCTATTCATAATAATAATAATAATAATAAAAGAAATGAGAATTCATCTTTTTTTTTATTATTTTATTTTATTTTATTTTTATTTTTATTTTATTTTTTTTTTACCTTTCTTCTGATAATTCATTTTCTTCCATATCTACGTCTTCATCCATAGGTTCAGTCTCTGATCTTCTCGCTGCTCGTTCAGACCGTGTACTAGTCGTTGGTTTATCTTGTTCCATATCTTCATCACTTCCTTCATTGGATTCATCATCGGATTCTTCTTCAGATTCTTCTTCAGATTCTTCTTCATCATCCGATCCTTGAGTCACCCTTCTACGTTTCGTTTTCTTACTAGATTTGATCACTTCCTTAAACATCGCCACACGTAGAATTTCTGCTGCTGCCTTGGCATCCTTTTGATCCACTCGATTACTAAGTCTTGCCTTGGCGTGTGCTGTTGATAAACGAATAAGGGTTTCTAATGTACGAGCTGTCACTGGTGAGGTCTAATGAAAAAAATATATATATATATATATAATAGTCACAATAATGAAAAAAAAAGTGCGTAATCATTTTCCTTTCTTTAAATATATATGTACCTTTTTCCTTGAATCTTCGTCTTTATCGTTTCGTAATGAGGTATATTCGTTGATAATTGTATCAGTAGCACGTTTGGTCAGGACAGGATTGGTTTTGTGTTTGACATAGTATATATACTTCTTGAGGAAATTGGATTTGAGTACTTTAGTAGTAGATGATCTATCATGGGCCACACCAGAATGGAGGAATCGATTGAATTTTTCATAAATTTCGCCATCATCGGCCACTTCTTCATCGTCTTCTTCACCCATAGGATTTTCCATTTGTTCATTGATAGGAGCACCTAATAATACAATAGTAAATTAGTTTAACTTGAAAAATCTATGTGTGTGTCTATTTACCTTCTTCCAAACCAGTAGGAATATAGCGATGCATACTAAGTACATGTTCTGAAATCATTCGATCGCGAGTATCATCAATCGTATCCGTTACAACAAATAGTAAATCAAACCGAGATAACAAGGAATCAGGCAAGGCAATATTTTTACCAGGATCCTTGGTAATATCATATTGTCCATAAATAGGATTGGCAGCTGCAACAACACTACATCGAGCATTCAATGATGTATGGATCCCAGCCTTGGCAATCGTTACAGTTTGTTGTTCCATGACTTCATGAATCGCTACTCGGTCAACGTCGCTCATCTTGTCGAATTCATCAATACATACCACACCACGATCGGCAAGTACCATTGCACCAGCTTCTAAACGGCGTTCACCTATACAATATAAAACAATAATCAGACCCATTTTTTTCTCTTCTTTTTTTTTCTTTACTATTCTTGTTTTAGTCCTACCTGTTTCTTTGTCACTTGTCACAGCAGCTGTTAAACCAACACCAGAAGAACCACGACCAGTAGTAGCAATTGCTAAAGGTGCAGTGTTTAAAACATAACGAAGAATCTGAGATTTCGCTGTTGAAGGATCGCCCACCATGAGTAAATTAATGTCACTGATAAAAAAAAAATAATAAGACTATGCTCCTCATCTAACATTCTAAGGATATATATATTCATTTACCCTCTAATATGAGTTCCATTATCCAAATTCTTTTCCACACCACCCAATAACATCAACAAGACAGCTTTCTTGATATAATCATGTCCCCAAATAGATGGCGCTAGGGATTGGGAAAGAATATCAAAGACACCACGTTTTTTGGCCAATTGAGTAATGTTGCGAATATCCATATCAGTGATGATGGGGGAAGCAATACCACCACCGGATTTTGTACTAAGTAAGCTGATTTGATTGCAAAGAATGACAGTTCTATAATACAAAAGAAAAAAAAATGTATATATATACACATATCAAAAAGTGAGTCTATTTCCTTTATATTTCATTAATGGTACTTTACTTGAAAGTTGAACTTGTTTGTTTAGCATTTCGGTTACCCATGGATCGATAGATACCAACAATACTAACACGATCACCTGGTTTTGCTTGATCGACCAAATCATCATCCAAAATAACATCAATAGAACGAGGTAATTGACCAGCAGGAGCACGTTCTGGCATTTCTTGAATACTGATACTTTGATGATCACGATAAGTACTGTAACCAAATTCAGTTACCAAAGGATCCCCATTATCATCTTCAGTAGGATATACAGCTCCAGTAGGGATAGAATTTCCAGGAGTAGTAGAATCACGATATTCACGCATATAATGTCGTTTGGTTTTTTCAGCATAGTGTACAGATTGAACCACCTTGGGACGTACCAATGAACCTGTATTATGAAATAAAATAAAATAAAAAATTAGAATAATATATATAATATAAACTTTCCTAAATACTTACATCGAGTTACAATGCCTTCAATACAAACGAGCTTGCCTAGATACATTGCACGTAAAGTACGTGGATTCACATGGTTATCACCAAAACTACCTCGTAAACCAACATAAAAAGGAAGATTGGCAATATCATGTCTTGAAGGATCATGTTCTACCATAACTAATTCTTTGAGAGCCTTATCAAAAGCTGGAAGGTATTCATTTGGATTGTTGATAATGCTATGATTAAAAATAAAAAAAAAAAAATTAAAAAAAAAGATAATGTGAAATTGGATCAAATAGAAAACAAAAAAAAAAAATAACTTACTCTTTGGCATAAGATCTATCATATTGACGAATAGCATCAATACTGACTAATAAACGTCGTTGTTCACTGGAAAGTAATCCTGCAATTTGAGATCGATAACTTCCTTTTTCAGTTGTATGCTATAAAATAATACATATAGTTGAGTTCCTTTATATATTTTGAGTATCTTTTTTTTATTGATATTGTATTTACTTCGCTTTCCATAAATTCAGTAAACCATCGTACACGTTCCTCAAACTTTTCATCTACAAGTTGAGTAGTTGGTTGATTGGATTCGTCCATGATTGTAAAGAAAAAAAAAAAAAAGAAAACAAGGAACACGAAATAGAGAAAACACACAAGTTTAGTCGCGAAGAAAGTCCGTCGCGTTCTGCTCAGAGTCACAAAAATATTTTTTGTCGTACAGGAACAAAAAGATCCAAAATTCAAATTCAGTTGTTCCTTTTTCCTTTTTCCTTTCTTATCATATTTTCCTTCATCTTGTGTTTCCGTTTCTCTATTGTGTGTGCCATTATACCTAAACGTAGACAAGTTATATTATGGCTGTAGGGAGTGGTGTTAATGTATCCACTTATCAAGGCTCATTCCAAGATCAATATAATAAAATCTCTCCTCTATTATACAGTATTGATCAATGGCCTATTGATAGAGTTACTTTATGGTTAGAACGACAAGGTTGGCGTGCTTTAATTCCCTTCTTCAAAAGTAAGTATATCAATCTTTATTATTTTTTTAAAAAAGTAATAATAATAATAATCCCTTTTTTCTTTATAGAAAACGACATTCAAGGTGATAGGTTTATTGCTCTTACTGCTAACGACTTATTACTACTTATTCCAGAAACCGTTATGCCTCCTTCTGAATTGCAACGCCTTGTTATTGCCATTCAACAACTCAAGATACAATCAGAACAGCAAGTAAGTATCTATTTTATACGCTATAAATAGAAATACTCAAAAGAAGAACGTGTTTTTTTTTTATTATTATTATTATTAATAGACGCATACCAGAACACTCAGTTCCAACAAATTTAAAGAATATATATTATCATCTTCTTCCTCAGCTCAACATACACATGGATATCAAAAACTAGATCGACCTCATATATCTATACCATATTCCCGTACAAGTCATACCATACTGGAACATCCAACGCCATCCAATGACATCAACAATAATAATATAACCACTGAATACGATCGTATTCGACCATTTATTCCTGAACGTACAACTTCAACTACAAGCAATGTCTCTAAACTATTAGAATCTTACACCTACAGTAATCCTCCTTTATCTATTCGAGGTCGTGGAAGCAACAGTTCTCCCAAAGGTTCTTTGTCGTCCAGTAATCGATCTCAAGCAATTTTAGTATCTACTACGTCCAATTTACAGTTATCTTCTTCGCCTATGAATAGTCCTATTAATTTAACACCAAATACAAATATGGAATCTGGATGGAAACTCTCTGGAAAGCGCACACAAAACAAACTGGTTAGTATATTTTTTTTTCTCTGTCTCTCTCTCTTTATATATATATACATATACTCATAGTCTGATACTTATATTACTTGGAATAGGATTGTCATCAAGAGTATCATATACAAGTGACAACTGATGCTGAAACCTTTTTTGGATTGGTCTTGACAGATATAAGTGATCCTCAACGAGTCAAACTAGCCATTCTTGACAAGTTCAAACTCGGTAGTGATATTAGACAATATACATATCATCACGAAAATGGAAATTCTCCTGGTAAACCATATTTCGAAAACAAAAAGGAGGGAAAAAGGGTTTCTTTCCTAACTCAATTTTTTTTTTTTTTTTTTTTTTTTGGTTGCTGATAGATGCACCTCTAGATGATGATTCCTTGATCAATATTTGTCGAAATTCTGATCATAATATTACAAATCGATTAATGGTCAAGCCTGTTGATATTCATTATTCAACTTCCCCTCCTGGCGATTACATGATGTATAAATCACAACAGTAAGTAACAGAAAAGGGATTGAATGAATCAAATAGAAAAGAAGCTTTGGCCTAATATATCCAATATATCAATAGACAAATATACGCTAAACATGAATACCCTATACCGCAATTGGAAGATACCAATATGCCAATACCTTACCAACAACAATTGATTTCAACTTTGCATCACGAAAAGAAGTCAATTATCCAAAATGGTACGCCATCCGAAATGATCCAAAAATTACAAGGCTTACGATTGACCGATTCACCGTTATCAACCACTCCAACAACTTTAATAGATATGAAGATCAACGCCGATTCGAAACGAAAGATGGAAGGAATTGTATTGGAAGATCCTCCCTTATCTACGGTCCCATCATCAATAGCAACAACAACTTCTATTATGACTGAAAATAGTTACCACTTGGATTCAAAACAAAGAAAGGAAGGTATTAGATTGGAAGATCCACCTTTGATGACACCACCCTCGTCTTCGAGTAAATTAGAAGTATCGGAAAATCACCATCAACAACAATCATCACCTAATCGATGGACAAATACTTCATCACCGTCCTCTTCACCCAATCACCATCATCATCATGGATTATCTGGCAGCAACGACAACAACAACAACAATAATAATAATAATCCACGTAATCAAACTGACACTGGAGTGGATGGCAATGATGGCAATGTATGGCAAGAACGACCCTCCATCGAACAGCTTTACCGTGACATTGATAAATATTTACCGGATCATGATTTAGACAGGGAAATTGACGTGGACTCGTCTACTGCAGCACCTTTATCAGTCGAAACTCTTACCAAAATGAATAAACGTGTATCTATCCGTGCTGTGGCTAGCAATGCACACATCACTTGGCGACAATCACTCAATGGCCCTCAAATGAATCAGATATTACGGCGAAAAAGCACGAAACTATGGGGTCATGTTGTACGGCAGGTGAAACCGGGAACAAGATCTTCTGATGTATCATCACCTACTTTGTCGTCACCTTTGGCTCAACACCCATCTACTCGAGCTTTAGCACATCATCAACAACAGCGCCAGGATCAACATCAACTTCATTATCCATCATCAACAAAGTTATCTTATAATGATCAAGTAGATCGATATGGTAAGAAATAGGAAAAGAGATGTAAAAAAAAAAAAGACTTTTGAATGATGATCAATAAAAAAAATTAACCTCTACTTATTTCCTTTTTTTTTTTTTTTACTTCCGACTTAGGACCAACGAAAATGCAATGGGTACGAGGACGATTGATCGGTAAAGGATCCTATGGTCGGGTATATCACGCTTTGAATGTGGAAGCTGGAGAATGGATAGCAGTCAAACAAGTAGATATTCCAACAAGTAGTTCTGATCTTCAAAATGACAAACTAGTGGAATCGATGGAAGCACTGAATCAAGAAATTCGATTGCTGTCAGATCTAGAACATGAAAATGTGGTACAATATCTTGGTTATGATATTGACAAAGAAGAAGATCATTTATATATTTTTTTGGAATATGTACCTGGTGGAAGTTTGGCCAGTTCTCTTGGATCCAAAGGTGGTTTTGATGTTACTTTGGTCAAGTATTTTACTCGTCAAATCTTGGTGGGGTTGGAATATCTTCATGATCGTCATATTCTACATAGAGTAAGTTTCTATATTATGATGGCATACAAAAAAAAAAAAAAAAAAAAAACAGTAATAGAAATTATATATCTACTAATATTTTTTTTAAAAAAAATTTTATTGGTAAAAGGATATCAAAGGTGGTAATATATTGGTTGATGAAGATGGATGTTGCAAGATCAGTGATTTTGGGCTATCCAAGATCAGTAGTCAAGAAGAAGCATACAATCCGAATTCAAACAATTCTATGCGGGGATCAGTTTATTGGATGGCACCAGAAATTGTGATTGGACAAAAATATGGGGCCAAAGTAGATATTTGGAGTTTAGGTTGCACAGTGATTGAAATGCTGACAGGAACTCATCCTTGGGATTTGAATATGTTAGCGGTAGTCTACCATGTAAGTGTGTAAATAGAAAAACAAGAATTCTTACCCTTTTTTATATTATATTTTACTAACATAATACTTCTTTTAAGTTGGGCAAACTTCAAGCACCACCTATACCTGAATCCATTCCTGATGATGCAAGAGATTTTATTCAATGCTGTTTGGCTATGTAAGTAAGAAGATACAATTGATTTTTTTTTCTTTTCTGACACTTTTTATATATACTTGATGATAGTCAACCTGAAGATCGACCTACTGCTTCAGAATTGTTGACCAATCATCCTTTTGTACGACAAGACCCTTCGTTTCAATTCAAGGTAAGTTTTAAAGAAAATAAAAACAAGGGATAACTGATCTTCTTTTTTTCTTATTATTATTAAAGGAATTTATGTCAAGATTGAACTTAAATGAATAAAATGGATAGATAGTTACTTTGTAGTTGTAGTTATTTTTGTGTATTATTTGTTAGATTTCAATAAAGTATATTTTATAGTTCTATACAAGTTTTTTTTTTTTTATGAGTCACTGACTTCTTTTTGTGAAAGGGTCCAAAAAAGGGTTCTATTTTATTTTCATTGGCTCCCTTAACAAAGTTTTAAAGAATAGATGATTTGTTTTGTTCTCACGTAATAACCTTCCATTTTCCACCTGTTTCATATCCAGTTTTGATAGTTTATAGTTTGCCCACGTTGATGGTTGGATTACGTTATCATCATTTAAAGGAAAGCCCTATCTTACCTTTTGTTTTTTTTTTAAATAAAAACGGATCAAGTTTATATACAAAATAAAATCATTTACAGTGACAAAATGATAAAATATCAAATTTTTCTCTTTTTCTATCTATATAATATATGGATAAAGTAGGTTTTTGTAAAACTGGATTACATGATATATCAAATTTACATAGTGTAACAATAAAATGGTTTGACTCTCCGTTGTTTATATGTGGAGTAAGATACCAAAAGAACTAAAAAAAAAAAAAAAAAAAAAAAAAAAAAAAAAAATTCTTTGATATGAAAAAGATGGATTTCACTCTACCCAAGTATAAAGTTCCAATCTCTTTTTCTTGTCTTTTTTTGATTCTATACTTCTTATTGTATTCCAATTTGGAAACTCCGCCACAGATTATTTCCACTATAAAAAGAAAATCTTTCTATTTCTATTTCTCTTTCTCTTTTTTTTTTTTTTTATTATTATTCTTTATCTTATTCATTCCTTCTTCCTCCTTTTTTTTTTTTTTTTAATATAGCCACCTTCCTTCTTTTTAATATTTTCTCATGAAGATCTCTTTTGCCATTGCTTCAGCTGCATTACTGTTTTGTGCCGTTGACGCCGAAACTTTCCTTTTTCCTATTCCTCAAGAAGTCAATTGGACTGGTCATGGTGCTCCTCTTTCTAGTGACTTCAAAATCATTGGTGCTAAAAATAATCATGTCAAGGATGCTGCTACTCGTTACCAAAAACTGATTCACAAGGAAAAATGGTCTCCTGTTCAAGTTCCTTATGAAAAACAACCTCCGCTCAAGAAGGCCAATGCACTCACAAATTTAAAGATCAACGTCAAGAACGATAATATCAAACTTGATATTGATATAGATGAATCTTATACTCTCAATGTACCTTCCAATGGCGGTTCTGCTACTCTGAATGCTCCTACTTGGGTAGGTGCTCTTCGTGGTCTTGAAACATTCTCTCAATTGGTCACCAAATCTAGTCATGGTTCAGTCGTTCATACTGCCTCCATTTCTGATAGTCCATCCTATGGTCATCGTGGTATTTCTCTGGATACTTCTCGTAATTTTTATCCTGTCAAAGATATCCTTCGCACAATCGATGCTCTTGCCTTTAACAAGATGAATGTACTCCACTGGCATGCCACTGACTCTCAATCTTGGCCCCTTGAATTCAAATCGCATCCGGAGCTTTCTGCCAAAGCCGCTTATTCTTCTGAAGAAACTTACTCTCCCAAAGATGTACAAACAGTTATCAAGTATGGTCAATCTCGTGGTGTACGTGTGTATGTTGAAATTGATATGCCAGCTCATACTGCCTCTATTGGTGAATCTCATCCTGATGTTATGACATGTCTCAATCAATTTTGGGGTCCTTTGGCTGCTGAACCTCCTGCTGGTCAACTCAATCCTCTTAGCAACAAAGGTCTTAATTTGGTAAAAGACCTGATCAAGGAAGCTACTTCGATTTTCCCTGATACTCTCTATCATACTGGTGGTGATGAAATCAATGGCAAATGCTGGGAACAAGATACTCAAGTCGCTGCTTATCTCAAGAAACATAACATGACCACCGATCAACTTTGGGTACAATGGACAAAAAAGATCTTTGATTATGTCAAACAACACACCAAAAAACGCCCTGTCATCTGGGAAGATCCTATCAATGCCGACAAAGATGATACGTTTGACAAGAACACCATCGTACAAATCTGGAACACTCCTGCTGCTAACTATACTTCCAAGGGTTATGATGTAATTGTTTCTAGCAATGATTACTTTTATTTGGATTGTGGCAATGGCGGTAAGGGCAATAAATAAATAAATAAATAATGATATAGATTTACTGAACTCCTTTTTTATTATTATTATTATTATTATTATTATTTTCTCATTTTAGGTTGGGTTGGCAATGATACTCGTTATATTAGTCCTACTCAAATGCAAACTCCGGATGATACCTTCAATTATGGTGGTATTGGTGGTTCATGGTGTGCTCCTTACAAGGTAAATCATCAATGAAAAAAAAAAAAAAAAAGAGGTGATTGGAAGAAAAAAAGAGAAAGTCATATATTTATACATCTCTCTTTTTTATATTTTTTTTTTTTCATCGTAACATGATTATAGACCTGGCAACGTATTTATACCTTTGATCCTACTTATGGTATCAAGAAATCTCATAAGGGTAAGGTATTGGGCGTCGAACTTGCTCTTTGGTCTGAACAATCTGGTCCCACTGTACTTGATATGAAACTGTGGCCACGATCTGCTGCTGCTGCTGAAATCTTCTGGTCTGGTCCTTATGATACTAAGCAAAAACGTCGTACCTTGGCTACTGTCCAGCCTCGTTTCAATGATTGGGTCTATCGTCTTCAAGCTCGAGGCATTGCTGCTCAACCTAATCAACCCAAGTATTGTGCAAAACATCCCTATGCCTGCGATTTGTCTCCTCCACCTACTCAATAAGGTTTTTTTTTTTTTTTTTTGTCTCTTGTGTCGTCAATAGCTTAGTCTTCTAGTACTCCCTATTATTATTCTTTATACTCCTTTTTCTATTATTACCTCTTTTTTTTTATATACTTTTTATAATTTTTCTTTTTTGTAATAGTCCTTCTGTTTTGTTTGTTTTACTATGGCTCACTTTCTTTAGTATACAATAAAATTATTTGATGTTCTAAACTATTAATATTTTGTTTAATATTTTGTTTCTTCAATTTTTTTTTAAGTGATGATATTCTTTTTCTCTTTATCCTTTTTTTTTTTTTTTTTCCTAACAATCGATGTTCAGTATAAAAACTGGCTCATCTGTTTCAAACAATATACTGTCATCTGATGATAGATTAAAGTGATCCATGGTCTTATTTAAAAAAAAAAGTGAAAAATGATATGATTCACTGTTTGTATTCTATCATCTGATGACAGGTGAAAAGCAACAGTAGACTAGTGCTATATTGAGAACCAATGTTGATATAAAAGAAAAAAAATGAGGTCTTGTTATTCCATTAAAAAAAAAAAAAGATAAATGTGGATAAAGTATGTACCAAATCTAAAAACAGAATAACCAAAACTTGATTGAGTCTGGTTTCAGCATGATCATCCTCGATATTTTTCAAACCTATTCGGCATTTCTATCACCATCCATATAAAGCAAGAAGAAGTGGGAAACCGTGTTTTGTTTTCAAATGTCTTATTGCGTGAAGTCTTGACTTTTAGGATGAATGGATGATAGGGAATAATTCGATAATTGTGAATGACAATATAATAAATAATGATAAAAAATATATGATTTTATTTAAATGAGAATATATATATAAAAAAAAAAAAGATAAAATAGTAGACTAAAAGACTAAACTATTGAATAAAATAATTTTCACGATAAAGAGCTGGGTATGAGCAAATTTTGTGTACCCTGTAATATAGAGAATTTGGTTGCATAGGCAGACAAGAGGAAATAGAAGCAGTGGACGATAACTGCCAGAAAGTTGAATAATATATTATTAGATACAATCTACGTAAAACTGTGGCTTCCTTCTTGGCATTTCACCTTCCATTCTTGTTCAATCAAAAAACTTGTTGTATATCTATTGCCAGTTGAACCTATTGCATATCTTGCCATATTATACACAAGTTCATAGTATGAGAGACTAAGAAGAAAGAAAAAAAAAAAAAAGTAAAATAATGTTTAGAAAAACAGAAGTAAAAAAAAAAAAAAAAAAAAAAAAGTGAGAGCGTGCCAACTTTTTCTTTTTTTTTTTTTTTTTTTTTTTTGTCAGAGCTTCCATCCCCCCCAATCGTCTCCACAAAATTTCTCAATCTCCAATTTTCTTTTTTTTTTTTTTTTCCAACACCCTCACATTGATACCGGACTTTGAAAGTATACCATTTATGGAAACCCTTATGACTTTTTGCATTTGAATTATTATTAAGTGATAATACGTTATAAAGAGATGATAACTTTATTATATAACTACTATAATAAGATGAATATTAAATGTAAAGAAATGATAATTTTATAATATAACTATAGTAATAAGATGAATATTAACTACAATATCATTTCTCTTATCATACGTTGATGACAAGTGCAATACAAAAGAAATGAAAAAAAAAAAAACATTGACATACGCAATTATTATATATATATAGTACTGTAACTACATATTGAAAGATTTTCAATGGTTCAAAGTTTTTATGTATTATTATTATTATTATTTTATTTGTATTTTCAAAGGAATAACACTACCATCCATATCTTAAAAGAGTCTATTTGAGAATGTGTAAGATACGAAAAACTATATACAGAAGAAAGGGAAGGGTAATTGATAGTAGATGATGGATGGTAAAAAAAAAAAAAAAAAAAAAAAAAAAAAAAAAAAAAAAAAAAAAAAAAGATAAAAATAAATAAATATATGTATAAAGAGAGATGATGATAAATATGTAACTGTACAGTTCACCGACTGCAATTGTACTGTAAGGATGACACATTGAGAAGAAACCAGAAAATACACTTTACCGACCAAAATGTTTCTTGAAAAAAGGATGATGTTCACCTGACCCTGTTTTACCACCACCACGACCATGGCTTGTAAATTGTCCACCAGAATTACGTGAATATTCAAGATATGCCATATTGTCACCACCAGCCAATGTTTTTGTTGTTGTTACTTGCCGTCGTACCAATCCATTCTTGTTCTTAGCTGCAACACGTTTATCTGTAATCATGCCTACATCATCAGTAATATCCAAATCTTCATCTTTCATATCAGTCTAAAAAAAAAAAAAAAAAAAAGGCAAGATAGATCATTATCAAGTCAATAAACAATATCAGTATTGTTATTATATTTTTATTTTCTTATAACTTTACCTCATTAGCCAATAATACAGATTTGAGAAGATCCATTTGTTCTTGATGTGTTTTGAAAACTAGATCAGGTTCTTCCTCCATTCCTTCCAAATTGGTGATCACTTTGAACGCATAACCTTGATCAATCAAAAACTGTTGACGTTTTGTCGAGTAATACATTTCTTGGGTATCGCGAGAAACGAGTGAATAGAAGAATGCATTGAAACCTTCATCATTTCTTCTTTTGGCACGTAAGATTCTTCCAAGTCTTTGCGCTTCTTGTCGACGAGAGCCATAGTGTGATGAGATTTGAATTAGACATGTTGCTTCAGGTAGATCAATGCTGGTATCACCAACCTAAATGAAAAGGGAAAAAAAAATGATATAAAGAATAATTGTCAGATACGAATATCTGATATAAATCCAATCAAAAAACAAAAAAAAAAATCTACCTTGGATAAAAAGATTGTATTGACAGCAGGATTGTACTGGAAATTTTGGAGAATACGCATTCGTTCTTGTTGACCAGTACCACCATAAATATAAGGTTTCCCCAACTTCTTTGCATATTCCTAAAACCAATGAAAGAAAAGAACATAAAAAGGTTATATACGTTTTCCGTTCGATATTTTCTATTTTTAACATCAATTCTTACCACAAGAGCATAGACATTATCAGAAAAAACAATGATCTTGTCACCACGGCCTTCATGATATTGAATCAAATATTGGCATGCTTGGAACTTTTTGGGATTCATCACATATAAAAGTGTCCGTTTTCGAGTGTTTTCATAAAGGTACTCCTTGTAAAATTCTGGAGTCATGGAGCACCATACTTCTGCACACTATATATTCATCAATATATATATATATATATATATATAATCAGTTTCCAAAAGAAGAAAAAAAAAGGAAGATTGGTAATACATGTCACTAAACTTTACCTGTACGTTAGCAATATGACCTTTGTTTGCAAGATCCAACCAATTTGCTTCGTAAAGTTTGGGACCAATCAAAAAGTTCAAATCATCAATCTTTTCATCTTCACGTACCAAAGTAGCTGTAATGATTTCAACATATCAAGTATAAAAAAAGAAAAGAGTAAATACAAAGGTCGTTCCTTTTCTTCCTTTTTTCTTCCTTTTTTTTTTTTTTAATACCAGTAAGACCCAATTTGGCATGAGCAGCAATAGTTGTGACAACAGTTCGAAACATGTTTGCAGGTACCACATGGACTTCATCTAATAATAAGAAACCCCATTCACGAGATTCCAGGAAGTCCATCATTTTCTGAGCGTCGTACGATCTCTTACGTTTATTGGCCACCATAGAGTAAGTAGATATCACAATACCAGAAGCACCAGAAAACTAACAAAATATATTTAAGTAAGCGGGTATTAAAAAAAAATGGAGTTTCTATCTGATATTTGATCATTTTTTAAATTATTACCTTTTCCTTGCAATCAGATGTAAATACAGCAATCTGATTTTCTTTAATGTTACTCCATTGTAAAAATTGTTGTTTCCATTGCATAACAGAGACCCTATAAAAAGAGAATCATAAGTAATGTACCAAAATCATGATAATCAAACTTACGAAGAAGTACATAAAACGAGACAACTTTTCTTGATAGTGCATGCAGCAGTGATACCAACCAAGGTTTTCCCAGCACCACATGGCAAAACAATAATACCAGATCGAGCACGTCCGTTCCCAAACATTTTTGATAAACTCTTTTCTTGATAAGGTCGGATGACAGTGGTAGGCTTCAAGTCGATTTCCAAATTGGCATTGATGGTGTCATTTCTAAAGTCATATTCTTCTAGCATGGGGTAATCAATATCATTACATCGCTTCTTGACGGTCTAATGAATATTCATGGATTGTGAGCCATCAAAACATTCATACTCTAATATTATATATTTACCTCCACATGATCAGCAGCAATTTCAAAAGAATGTACCTTTTGACCTTCAATATCATCATCGTCTTCTTCATCTTCTTTGTCGATTCGAACCACAGCACCAAATAAGAGTTCATCTTCTTTTCTACGAGCTTCAGCTTCCTTTTCCTTTTCACTGAGTTCCTTGTCATCACCGTTTTCATTCTTGTTGGCTTCATCTTTGTTTTTGATGCCAGGAATAATAAGATCTTTGCCTGTAGGTTTGTTGTTGACAAGTAAAGCTGCTGATGAATTCATAAATCCATTGGTGGTATTGGTATTGTTGTTTATTGCTGCCATTACACTTGGTGGTCCACTAACAATTTGATCGGTATCATCTCGTATCACTCGTCCAGTACTGATCACAGCATCTTTCAAAAGCATTTGTAAAGTATCAGGATGAGATGATTCCACATAGTATCGATTATGCTTCAACACCAATTTAACCTTCCCATAAGATAATGTACATTGTCGAATGAATTGAATAATAGAATCTGGTACAGGCACCTTCGATAAACGATTCAATACTTCAATGATATCTTCAGTTTCTAACCCGACAGAGACTGCAGCGTATAATGAGTATGGTGTCAGTTTATATTCTTGAATATGAGCAGGTCTATTCCACAATAATAGTAATAATAATAATAAGCCAAAGAAAGATTTCAAAAATCTATTCTATCTTACCGACTAACAGGTTCACTTATGGCAACTAAGAAATCTTGTGCTTGTTCTGCAATAGGAGAGAATCCTTCCAAAATAATATGACCATCTTCAGGACTGATCCATAATGGTCTTGATAAATGATCAGGTTTCAATGAGAGATAAGTATAATCTTCTTTTCCAAATATATGAGAAATGAAATCAGGTTTGCCACCACTAATATCCGGATGAGTAGAATTGAGACTGGCGATATCAAGGTTTGCATTACGTGGTACTATATACAAAGTGTATATGTATTGAATAAATAAATAAACATAAACATCAGTCAAGGAAGATTCAATCTTTTTTCCCATTACCATGTAATTTCAGTTGTAGATTGGCATCTAACTGTATGTCGTCATCGTCATCGCTATGAGTTTCTATTTATACAAGTCAACAATGAAAAAAAAAAAAAAAAAAAAAGGAAACCACACCAAAACAAAATAAATCAAATACATTAGTAAGTGAATCAATCAAAACAAAACAAAACAAAAAAAAGAATAAGATAGTTAATTTTAAAATCGTTCTTTATTCAATACCTTCAATCTTTCTTTTACTCATCGTTTGTGGTAAAGGAAGAGAGAACAAACAGCAGAAAAAAAAGAAATTCTGATCAAAAAGCCATTTTTACCCTTTCGACTGCCGCAGTTCTTAGAAATGGCAATGCACGGACTTTGAAATGAGTCCCACTTTTGGATCAGGATCCAAAGACTGATGATTCCAAAAGAGTTGTAGCTAACAAGGAGTAGACAAATATGTAAAAAGAGTTTATCGATAGGAAGTACCTTCTTTTTTTTTATTATTATTCTCTATATAGAATGGGAATAAAATATAATGATGATGATAATAATAAAAATTGTAAACTAGTCTAAAGAGAAGAATAAAAATATAACTAACTAACTATCCTTATTACTTATTCTGTATCAACAAGCTGTTTTCCCTTGGCAGCAGCAAGTAATGTTTCGTATTCACCAGACTTGCGACACATCTTGTGGAAAGCCGAGTCAGAGTTATTGATGAGATTGATTGGGCTAAATAATAATAAAAAGATTAACATAAATTTTCATCATTTCATAATGCATCAATTTTTCTCTTCTATTGATTTACCTGTCATATTCCAAAATCTTGCCATGATGTAATACCAAGATACGATCATATTCCACGACAGTCTATATAAAATACAATAAAATGAGTAAGAATCATTTATAATAAAAAAATCCTCATTTAATATATTTAATTTTTTTTTTTTTTTACCAAAAGACGATGGGCAATACACAAGATGGTACAATCTGCGAATTCAGTTGCAATTGTTCTTTGAATTTTCTTATCAGTTTCAAAATCTACACTAGCAGTTGCTTCATCCATCAATACAATACGACTTCGTTTTAATAGGGCACGAGCGAGACATAATAATTGACGTTGACCTTGAGAGAAATTCTTGCCACCTTCAGATACATTAGTATCCAAATCTTTGAATACATTTGAGTTGACACCACCAATTTCAGTTTCATCAATAGTATCATCGTCAGAAGGAATCAAATGAACACGACGTAAAGCAATGAAAATATCATCATCACTGAATTGATCAAAAGGATCCATATTTGATCTGAGTGTACCACTAAACAAAGTAGGATCTATATAAAATATATATATATATATGTATATATAATCAGATGAGGTCCTTTTTTTTGTGAGTGTGTGTGTGTGTGTTTACCTTGTGGGATGATAGTCAAATTACTTCGCAAATCTTCAGTACCGAGATCACTGATATCAATATTGTCGATAACAATACTACCTTTGCTTGCTTCAACAAAGCGGAAGAAGGAAAGAGCAAGAGTTGATTTTCCAGAACCAGTTGTACCAACAACACCCACCTTTTCTTGTGGATTGACAGAAAAAGATAAATCATGGAGTACAGCAGGTAGATCGGGAGCATATCGTACTTCCAAGTTGCGAACATCAATAGCACCATGCTTAGGCCACTATTATCATCAAAAAAAAAAAAAAAAAAGGAACAAATCAATCTATCATCATCATCATCAAATTATAAAACCATATTATTTTCTTTCTTTGGTCCTTGTTTTTGTACCTCGGCAGGGGGTCGTAGCTGAGAGATAGCAGGAGGTTCTTGATCCATTTCCATAAATTCTACCACACGTTCAACAGCATTGAAACTCATTTCCAAACTTGTATAACGACGAATAGCCCAGAACATCTAATAAAACGGTATGATTAGTATTCTAATATCTCTTTTTATCTTTTTTTTTTTTTTAGTAGTCATACCTCATCACTATACAGAAGAATGAAACTAAGACAGAAACCAGCCAAAGAAGAATCAATATATTTCAAATTCATCAAGATGATAAGACTTGTTACTACATTGATGGCAGCACCCATAAAGGCATAACGGACACTGACCCAACGGTTCACCAACCATACATTATAATAAGGTCGGGCATTCACATCCACACGAGTAATCATATCTTGTAAAAAGCGACGAGTAGCACCAAAAGCACGAATAGTGGCAACACCAACAATGGTTTCAGTAAAATGACTGAATAGAGGTGAACGAGAAACAGAGTCCATGCGACGAAGTTCACGAGATGTCGAAACAAACATCACACCCAGAGCAATATTGATAGCTGCCACCATTATCATTGGAATGACAAATGCAGGTAAGACGAAGGATACAGCGATGATGCTGGAAAATACGACTATCCATTGGATGACGAAATTAAGTAAATCGTTAGGAATGGTGGAATCAATTGTTTCAATGTCTTTGGCGAACCGGTTCAAAATGCGACCAATAGGAGTAGTGTCGAAGAATCGTAGAGGGGCTCGAAGAACACGGTGGAGTAGTTCAGCATAAAGAATCCTGCTAGCACGAAGGATACCATAATAAATCACGGCAAAGCGGGAAGTCGCAACCAAGATATTGATAGACGTGATAAGCACATAAATTCCAAGGTAATAGTTCAGATCATCATCGGATTTTGATGAAATACGCATATCATTTGAGGTTGCCATAGGAAGACTTAGATAAGAAAAAGTAGGATGATTCTTCACTGATGTAACACTAGAGACATGGGCACCAGGACTTTCAACTTCATAAGATCGAGCCCAGTTCTTGATCCACCAACTTTCTGTCACATCCAAACCACGAGAGCCAAACAAGAGAATAGCAACCAAAAGCCAAAAGAATGGACTTCCAACCATTTTCAAATACATACTATATAGACGTAGCTTTACCATACCAGTAGCACGATCTGGAAAAAAAAAAGAAAACGAAAGAAAAATACGAATAATAAATAACTAAATTCATTATTGTTAAACTTGATTTTTTTTTTTACAACTTACTTTCTTCTTCAACTAACACACGGGGAGCTTTCTTCGTATCATCAGATGTATCGGCTTCAGTAGCATTAGTAGGTACACTGTTAGTTGTTTCGATAGCTTCTTCTTCTTGTTCAGCCAAATCTTGATTCTTTTCTTCTTCCAAAATAGTATTGAGTTCACCCGATCGACGTAAATCTGATGGAGAACCTACAAGATCTGTTCTTCCACTTCGAATATGGACAAGGTAAGTAGCACCACTAAGACATAATTTTACATGATGAGTGATGAGCACACGAGTACGATTATTCATCAAGGGTCCCATAAGACATTTGTCATAAAGATGTTTAGCAGTATGAGCTATTAAACAGAAGGTAAATATTGTGTGAGATATTAACGTTTTCTATATATATATATATATATATATATATATTTTTACCATCTACAGCACTGAGAACATCATCCATAAGGACATTTTTGGCACGAGAATAGACAGCTCTAGCTAGAGCAACGCGGGCTTTTTGACCACCAGAAAGAGTAATCTATTGTTCAAAAGATTGATTTTTTCGATTTAGTTTCAGACAATTATATTTAAAAAAAAAAAATAAATAAATAACATTGAGTATGCAGTTCTTACCCCTTTTTCACCGATTTCAGTCATGTCACCATCTTCTAGAATGCTGAGATCCTTGACCAAAGAGCAAGCTTCCAAAGTATCTTTGTAACGTTTTTCAATATAAGGTAAACCAAACAGAATATTATCACGAATGGAAGCATTTTGTAACCAAGCTAGAAAGAAGAAAAAGATAAGTTGTTGATATTTAATTCATTTTTGATTTTCTCTTACCAGTTTGTGCGACATATGCCACTGCATGATCCAAAATCCAATCGTTTTCATCAATTTCTGTTGTAGTCTTGAATTCATCAGTAACGGTATCGGCCACTTCAACACGGGGACAAGAGACTTGACCTTCCAATAAAACAGCTTCACCAAGAAGACTAAGCATCATCAAAGTTTTTCCACTACCTGTAGCACCACAGATCAGACTGAGTTCGTTGTTGGGGAATTCCAAATTTAAATCTTTCAATATAAAGCCATCAGATTCATCAGAAGGTGTAGCTGTTCCATCATCAGATTCAGTATTAGTGACAGAAATCGAAGGTATGGTTTGACGTTTGAAACCAACAGTTGCATCCTTGAATGAGAGTTTCACAGGTTCATTAGCATCAAGTTTTGGTGGTGGGACGATTTCAGGTTCATTTAAGTATTGATCAATACGACGAATACTATATACACACACAAAAAAAAAAAAAAGTATTGTATTAACAAAAATCATTCAACTTCTTTTTTTTTCACACTATACCTAATCAATGCTTGTAACCATTCGATAAAGACTTCAGGCAAAACGTTGAGAGCAAATCGCAATTCATTGAAGACAGTAATGGCAGTAAATGCAATAGGAGCTGTCAATTCCTTGCCTTCCAATTTGGTGAATGAGTAGAAAGATACAATGGTGACAAGAATAGGCGATCTATTTCCAATGAAAAGTAACAAAAAGGAAAAAAAAATAAATTTGACAAGAATAATAATAATATTAAAAAAAAAAAAAGAACTTACCCTTGCCATAAAAAGTTAAATCCAAGTTCGGCCAAGTAACCAGTACGTAAATGCTTCAATTCAATCTTTCTTGCATCCATGACACGTTTTTCCCAGTTAGCTTCCCAAGCAAAGAATTTGATTTGTCGGATCCCTTGAAGCACTTCGTTCATCAAATTCACACGTTTATCACGAGCTTCCATGAGACGATCTTGAGATTTTGCAAAGAGTTTAGCATTGTAATGATTGGCAGGTAGAGTGACAACCATAACGAGAAGTCCCAAGAAACAAGAAACGCCCAAAAGATGATACAAGAAATAGATACCAATACACAATTCGGTAGGAGCAGCCAACACAGAGAACCACCAAGTACTGAATTCAGAGATACGATTGGAATCAGTACTCATCAAGTTGACAATAGTACCAGTAGATGAACTAACATCTTCTTCTTCTTCACCACCATCATCTTCTTTTTTCTTGTTGTCGTCATTCTTTCCATTGTCATCATTTTTGTCTTGTTTACCATCTTTTTCTTTATTGCCAGAAGAAACAGCCATATCCATACGTCGGAGGGTTTTTCGATAGATTTCAATATTTAACATTGCCTTGACTCGTACTTGCACCGAGGAACCAGCTATCATCGAAGAGAACCCAAAAAAAAAAAAAAAAAAAAATAAGTAACATGAAAATAAAGATACTAGAATGTATATTATTATGCTTACCAAAGTACCATAATTGAGCTACAATAAGACTAACTACCACAACAGATGCACCTAAACCAGCAATAATCAAGATACCATGACTCATTGCATCATCACCAGCTTTTCCGGAACCAATATCTTGAATCAAAATCAATAATTGATTGACAAAATAGGCAGGAGCATAATAGAAGAAAGAGGAGACGAATGCCAGTACAATTTGAGCATGAATAGCAGTACGATTTGCAAGATAGATACGTAATAACAAGGAAGAATCACGATGTTCACCAAAAATATAGAAGAGATTTCGACCACGAAAGATGGGAGGAAGTGTGGGTAAATCATCATCAGTCAATTTCTGTTTACTGTAAGCCAAATGAACTAGAGGAGTAACCCAAGAAAAAGTCAAATAGCTCCAGATAGAAGATACATCAATAGCAGTAACAGATTTTCCATTTTCATCCACAAAAGGAGCACCACGATCAGTCGTTGCTGTAGTATATACCATGTCAGTCAATAATAAAAATTGTAATACCAAAGGTAGAGAGTTCAACCAAGGCATACCAGGGTTAGTGGTAAAGGCGGTCCATATATCATGAAGAGAAATAAACCAAGCAACAAAGTAAATGATACATAAATGAACATTGAGAACAAAACCCCATTGACTAGGGAATTGATATCGACGGGAGACAATAGTGAGAGCCAAAGCATACAACCATGTAATGAGAATAAAAGTAGAACTAAGGATACCATAAACTGATTGCTGATCATTCACGTGCTTGTCAAAAGTAAGAACTTGAGAGTAAAGACCATAAATAGAGAGAAGAGTTAACATTGAAGTACCAAAAAGAATGCGAGGTATTCTGTCGGTATCAGCAAATGGAACATTGGGATCACGGTCTTGATCATATTTGACAGTGACTTGATCATTACCATCTTCAAGAGGAAGTTGAATTTTATTATAAAACCCACGTTGTATAGATAAGATCAAAGCACTAAGGCAGGTAGTAATTGCTAGGCCAGAAGAGAGCCATAGTTTATCCGGTATCTCTAGCATAAATGAATATGTAGAAAGAAAGAGAAAAAAAAAAAAGAAAAAAAAAGAGAATAAAAGAATAAGAAAAAGAGATATCAATCAAAATCAAATAAAAAATATTCCAACCGCAGTAGACAAAAAAAAAACTACGACGTTGTGTATCAATCAACATTTTTGCTTAAAATCACTCATACATTCGCTGTCCGCTTTTGTCAATTTTAAACTATTGTAGCAAATATGCATACAAGTTAACTGAAAATCAAAAAAAAAAAAAAAGAAATGACTAGAAGCTTCATCATGTATGTTACAACACTTCAGACTTTTGATATTTTTATAAAGATAATCTAAATTTTTTTTTCTTCTCGATGGCGTAGTATTATTCATCCTGAGCTCAGCATCTACGCGTTAGAATGATTTCTATTTAGAGATATCAGAGGAGTTTATCATCATAAAAATTATCACCATAGAAGCCATTGTAAGAATTATCATTACCCATCATCGTCATCAATTGTAATAATCGTAGGAATCATGAATAACAACACAATTTCCAACAGTAGATTCATATGAATCCATAAGATCATTAATCCCATTAATATCATCATCTTCATTTTAATAAAAATCATTGTACCTATCATGTACTATTATTATCACTGTCCTTAATCTTTTTTTTTTTTTGTTAACTCATGGCATAGAAACAACAGCCAATCAATAGATACACAATTCAGAACCCGCTCCACCAAAATTGAGATTGTAAGGCCATACCGAAGATGCCGTCACGTCGCCATATCAGTGTCAATTTTTTTTCTCCTTTCCACACTTTTCTTTCTCGAAGACGCGGTTTACATTGTAAAAGACTTCCTGCGGTTCTTTATTTTATTGCCTTTGTTTTTTTTTCCTCTTTTTCTCTTTTTTTCATATATTTTCTTTATATCATCATCATGGATCCTAAAGATTTCGAAGTAAGTCACTATAAAAAGAAAACAGTCAAATAGAAATAATGTATATGAATGATTCTTTTGATTTTATGGGGGGGGGGATATATGTAGATTAAAAAAGGATCTATTCTTATGGTTCAACTTATTTTATTTTATATTGTTTATATCTAATAGGTTGCCAATGCTCCTACTGATGGTATTTCTGCCTTGGATTTTTCTCCTCAAGCCGATTATTTAGCAGCTTCCTCATGGGATAACCAAGTACATAAAAAAAAAAAGATCAAAATGAATATTGTTGACTAACTCTTATTATTTTACAATTATTCTTTTTTTTTGGTTTTTTTTTTTTTTTTTTTTTTTGTAGGTACGGATATATGAAGTGCAACCTTCTGGTAATACTATTCCCAAAGCAGCTTATTCTCATGAAGGTCCAGTATTAGATGTTACTTGGAGCAAGGTAAGGAAAACAGAGACGAAAAGGTGTTATAGTATAATATATTCTATGATACACATTTTTAATATTACTTTATCGTGTGACAGGATGGAACAAAATTAGTTTCTGGTGGCGCAGATAAGGCTGGACGATTATTTGATATAAGTACAGGACAGAGCAGTCAAATTGCAGAACATAGTGAACCTATCAAATGTGTCAAGTTTATCGATCAAGGACAAAATATTGTAGCAACAGGAAGTTGGGATAAGACATTGAAATATTGGGATTTAAGATCTCCTCAACCTATTGGCACAGTACAATTACCTGAACGTTGTTATAGTATGGATTCCTTTGGACCTCTATTAGTGGTTGGAACTGCGGAAAAACATATTGCTATTTTTGATTTGAACAACCCTACTACTATTTTCAAGGTATATCATATATAATTATATATAAATATGTTTTACTAATTTCTCTTATATATATATATAGCAAACTACTTCTCCTCTTAAATGGCAAACAAGATGTGTTACTTGCTTTACTCATGGCAAAGGTTATGCTGTTGGATCTATCGAAGGACGTGTTGGTATACAATATATTGACGATAAAGAACACTCGTAAGAAGAAAAACAAAAAACAGAAAAAAAAGAGAGAGAGAGAAGATAGATAAAAAAAAAAAGAAATGGGATTAAAATATACTGAACAATGTTCTTTTTTTGTTTATGTTTATATAGGAAAAACTTCTCCTTCAAATGTCATCGCGACGAAGCCAAGAATGTATTCTCTGTGAATGCTATCAGTTTTCATCCTACGTACGGTACTTTCTCTACGGCAGGTGGTGATGGTACAGTTAGTTTTTGGGACAAAGATTCGAAACAGCGTCTGAAAGCTTTCTCAAATGTGAATGGAACTATTCCCTGTACAGCATTTAATCGCAATGGAAATATTTTCGCTTATGCTGTTAGTTATGACTGGTCCAAGGTAAAAATATATATATAAAAAAAAAAAAGAGAAGTAAAGATGGAAATTATTGATCGCCATGTTTTCTTTTTTTGGATTCTTTAGGGATACAAATTTGCCAATCCATCAAGTCCTCACAAAATATTCCTACATGCTGTTCGTGATGAAGATATTAAGCCTAGGGGTACTAAGAAACGATAGATTCAACTTTATTTCTCATATTATACAAATCCTTATCATTTTTTCCTTCATTTTTTTTTTATTATCCTCTTTATCACACACTCATTTTTTTTTTCTTTAACTCAAATCATATCCAAATTTATTTTTTTTCTCCCTCCTCCTCCCCCCCTTGTTTACATTTGTTTGTGGAAAACAACTATTCAAAAATAAAACTTTATTATTTCTCATCATCATTTCATAGTTGTATCAGGGCATGATTTATAGTTTATTTGTGATTTGTTTTCAATGATGTCAGTGTTAAATAAACAATAGATGGTACATGATTACCTTTTTTGTGAAAATTGAGTAGGACGATCTCTTGTGATTCATATAAGATGTTTATCCTACAATAAGTTGAAACAAAAAGGATCTGAAGGGAGATTTTATATTACCAAATGAGTTTTTTTTTTTTTTTTTTTTTTTTTTTTTTTTTAATTGTTCCTCAGGGCAGGGCAAAAAAAGCAGGGCATTGATCGGAGACTTAATCATGTATATATAACTTACCCAATGAGAATTGATTCACTTCTTTGTTCTTCCCCACTTTTTCCTTTTTTTTTTTTTGTCTTTCTTCCTTTCTTTTTTTTTTCTTTACATATACAGTATGCCGGAAGATATGACGGAATGTACTTCATTACTCCATAAAAGAAGGTCAAGTTACAATGCAGCTGGTCATTACCATACTCTAAATTCACACACTCTTCCTTCAACATTATCCTTACCTCTTGGTGAATATGAAAATAACTCTGCTCCAGCTACTTTTTTGACTCCTTCTCAGCCGATAACAACAGTTACAAGTCCAAGATTCAATATATTTAACAAACGACATGGTGTTTACGATGAAGACCGACAAGACTTAGTAAATGAGTATACTGGTATTCGAGTTTGGAGTGATTCGTATTCAAGTATTGGTATGTCAAAAAAAAAAAAAAGAAAGAAAGAAAGAAACTAATACATTTTTTATTTAATTTAGACTGGATACATGATCGTATCAAAGAAGGTATACGTCTTCGCAAACTTCGAAATAGACCTGGTATTCGTGGTCAATGGATGAAGGCCAAAGATGCCTCACAAGCATGGATTTTAGTAATTCTTATTGGTACTGTAGTAGCAGGTATAGCTTGGTTTATTGATGTGGTTCAAGAATGGATGTCTGATTTGAAACAAGGTTACTGTTCAACAAATTGGAGGTACAATGAACAATTTTGTTGTTGGGATGCTCGATTACAAGGTAAAATTATATAGGGACCAATTATGTTGTACTTATATTTTTATTGGTGTACCTCTTTTTGACAAATAGGTCATCATACCTGTGATAACTGGATCACTTGGTCGGACTTTTTTGGCGCTGAAGGTGAATCATCCAGCTATTATATTGCTATGGCAGCTTATACAGCTTTTGGTGTAAGTAAAAATATATATATATGTTTTAAAGTAAATTATCAAAAGATGAATTCACACATTTTTCTTTTGATAGTTACTCTTTTCCTGGGTCGCTGCTCTTATGGTCAAATATTCTGCGGAAGAGGTCATTACCCGCGTGCCTATCAGTCCACAACCTTTTTTCAAATCTCCTTCAAGAACATCCTTCGCACATGACAACATTTCTTCAGCCATACCATTTAACGTACATCCTGAATTTCAAGAAAATTTACCCGCTTCTCGACAAGAACCACAACAAGAACGATACAATGAAAAAACAATTCAACAAAGAAAGAAGGCTTTCTATAGTGCTGGTTCCGGTATACCTGAAGTCAAAGTAATTCTAGGTGGATTTGTTATTAAAGGCTTTCTTGGTATCAAAACTCTTATTGTGAAGAGTATTGGCAATGTAAGAATGATATAATTTTTTTTTTTTACTAGATGTTACACATTGAAGTTCAACCTTTTTTTTTCCTTTTCCTTTTTTTTTTTTTTTTTTTTCTTTAGATTTTTTCTACATCTGCTGGTCTGACATGTGGAAAGGAAGGTCCCTTTGTGCATTTAGCATGTTCTGTTGGAAACATTTTTTGCAGATTGTTTCCCAAATTCAATAAAAATGAAAGTAAGTTTTTGAATAGAAATGACGCATATTCTTATTCTATCCCATGATCACAGTGATGAACTAAAAATGGTGTTTACTTTATTAGGCAAACGCAGAGAAATTTTATCTGCTGCTGCTGCTGCTGGTGTGTCTGTCGCATTTGGAGCCCCTATTGGTGGAGTATTATTTAGGTAGGTAACCCCACTTGACCGAATAAGGTGTAGTATATTCATTTCATCATTTCTATGCTAACCGACGTCATGCCTTTTTTTTTTTTTGTGATGATGATGATTTATAGTTTAGAAGAGGTCAGTTATTATTTCCCTATCAAGACAATGATTCGAAGTTATTGTTGTGCTATGGTGGCTGCTACCGTGTTGAAGGTAAACAGATGATTATTGAAATAAACTTGCATAATACTTATCTTCTTCGTTTCTTATAGATTAGCGATCCCTTTGGCACTGGAAAAATAGTTTTGTTTCAAGTGGTTTATGACAAGGAATATCATTTGTTTGAATTATTTCCATTCTTATTATGTGGTGTCTTTGCGGTATGATATCTATATGTATATATAAAAAAAAGAATGAAAAATTAAGTCATCTCTTATTTTTTTTTTTTTGACCTCTATTGACATCTTATGTTTTTATTATTATTACAATGATGATTATAGGGTAGTTTTGGTGCTTTTGTGACCTTTTACAATATCCGTTATCAACATTTCCGAAAATCATCTTTTATCAGCAAGTATCCTGTCATCGAAGTCTTATGTATCATGCTAATCACTGCCATTGCTTGTTACTGGAATCCTTTCGCGCGGTAAGTTAATTTTAATATGATCTCGTGAGAATCGGAAAAGAAAAAAGAAAGTGGCAACGATATTGATTATTTATTACCTATTGTTTGACCATTTAGATTAAGTCTTAGTGAATTTGTTGCCAATTTATTTTCAGAATGTTCATCTACTGATGACAATGCGGGTCTGTGTGCGTAAGTCATCTTTTTTATATTATATATTGACAAATATGTTTAGAAAACTTTATTTTGATATAACACTTATTTGTTGTTGTTTCTTTTCTAGACGAACGACTGCTGAAATTCCGCGCTTACTGTATCTTTTATTAACGGCTTTGGTTATCAAGATGGGTTTAACAGTGATTACATTTGGTTGTGCTGTACCTGGAGGTGTATTTTTACCAGCTTTGATCATCGGTGCAGCTACAGGTCGTATCATTGGATTGATTATGCAATACCTTACATTGACTTACCCTCATTTATGGCCATTTACGGTTTGTGCTGACGATCTTGAAACAACTGGCGAATGTGTGATTCCTGGAGTATATGCTATGGTCGGTGCTGCAGCATCTCTGGCCGGTGTAACTAGAACCACAGGTAAAAAAAAAAAAAAAAAAAAAAAAAAAAAAAAGAATATGAGTGTTTTCTAAAGAATGATATCATATGAATCCAAAACACTTATTTGTTTACTTTTATATATTATTAAATAGTATCTTTGGTGGTCATTATGTTTGAACTTACTTATTCTCTTACCTACGCAGTTGTAAGTAAAATAGGATAACCATATTTGGTAGTTGCCTGACAATCCATCTTACCCCTTTTTTTTTTTTTTTGTTTATATAGCCTATTATGATCGCTGTTATGGTAAGTAACTCAAAACCACAAAAAAAAAGTCCAACGAATATATTTACTAATAACTTGGTACTGCTCTTTTTGTTTTTTTGTTGTTGTTTTTTTTTTTTTTAAAAAAAAAAAAGGTTGCAAAATGGGTTGCTGATGCTTTATTTGTGGAAGGAATATATGACCTATTGATCGACATGAAAGGTTTACCTTACTTGGAATCACGTAAAGAATATATACATACTATGACGGTGCTTGATTTGACGGAATATCTCTCGACAATTGACTTGGATCATCCTCTGACAGTTGAAACCTTGAAAACCAAACTACAAAAGAATGCGGATTTGGGATATGGCGAAGATGGTGGATTCCCTATTATCAGTCAAGGAAATGTATTACATGGATATATTGCTAGTCATGAACTGACCCACGCTATTGATCAATTGACTAAAAGTTTTGAAGAAAGTCCATTCCCTATTACTGATCAAGATCTTGGTGACATCCCTTGTTACTTCAGGCGTATTGGACAACAACAACAAGAGATGACAAATCAATGGATTGCAAGACCTGATACCCCTAATGAATTTTCCTTGTATGCGTCCCTCCAAGAACAAGATGACAAACAAGCAACAAGCTCCGGACCATTAAATGACTTTTCCCAATATGTGGATCAGGTAAAAAGCATTTTTATTTTATTAAAAAAAAAAGCATTTTCCTTTTTTCACACTTTCTATGATATATTCATTCTCAATAGGCACCACTTACAATCAATCAAAATGCATCAATGGAACTTTTGATGGAAATGTTTATCAAATTGGGTGCACGATATATATGTGTTGTTCATTCAAATGGGCATTTCCTTGGCATTATTCATAAGCGACGTCTGTTAGCCTATTTGAAGGATATAGAAGAAAACGATGGATAGACGATTAGGGTTAGATACACGTATTAGATTTTGTATGTATGAAAGATTTATTTATTTATTTTTTTTTATGATTATCAAATAAATATATTCAATATTTTCTTGTGACCCAATATATTACATTAAAAAGATCCCATATATAACAATTTATCGTTCTAATAGAGAAAATCCGTTTTAGGAAATCTTTATGAGCCCCTTTAGAAAGATGTCTTGATTTTACTACTTCCACATATTTTCCCGCGGACGAGGAATTTCAATTTTCTTAATAATTAGTTTTGTATGGGATTTTGAAACCTCAGCAACTATTCATCCAATCATGATTTGCACTTGAATGTCAGTATAAATTGATGAACAAATAAATAATAATTATTTTCTTACATATGACTATTGCATATATATACATATATTTTTGTATATAAAGATGAAATAATAAAAATAAAAATAAAAATAAAAAACAATGGTGATGATTATTAAGGTTATTGAATATGTTGAACTTTACAAATACAATAATTTAGTTTTGTGTGACCAAAAACAATGATAATCATGGGTGAAGAAAAAAAAAAAAGATGAGGGCCATTGATGGTGGTACATTCACATACAAAAATAGAGTCAGGATAATGATAAACCATCGGGATGAAATCCGTCATACATATCAAATTAAAAAGTTGTTTTTATTATGACACATACAAAAAAGAAAAATAAGAAAAAGTGAATAAGAATAAAATAGTGAATGTAGACAAAAAAAAATACAACTAATAGGGAATCTAAAATAAGGATATTAAAGTACGATGATGATGATAATAATAATAATAATAATCTTAAGTGAATTGATCAGGTCCATATTTATGTGGTGTCACCATGACAACCCATAGGTAACTTGTCACCCAACAAATGTTCTTGTTCCAAACGAACCAAATCATCATAACCACCAAGAGATTCACCAAAAATAAAGAGATTGGGAAATGTGGATCTACCTGATATTTCCTTCAATACCTGTTTGATTTGTCCACCATCTTGTAATTGATCCACTTCTATAACATGTATTTGTGATTTGTTGCAATAGTTGCTCAAAATTTGTTTTGCTCCACGACAATAAGGACTAAAAAAAAAAAAAAATCAATAATGAATTTTCTCTTACTTTTTTCTATTCTTATTTTTCTTTCTGTACCAATATGTTTTGCTGTAAAGTACGATAGGATATTTACGTAATGTATGTTGAATCCATGATTGTTCAGGATGTGTTAGTTCCAAGGTATATAAACTAGGTTGAAAATCAATATCCAATGGTTGTAAAATTTTCGACCAGCGTCCATGTTTGATATCGTTCATATAGGTTGCGATTGAGCGGGGTTGAACGCGTTCCAATCCATAGGTGATACCGATGACAGAATAATCAGGAGCAAATGTATTTGGTGAAGCCGACGTGATAAGATAGGTATATCGAGCATCTAAAAAATCTTCCAAGGTAGTATGTGATTCATCCTTACTGTACGACCATTCTGAATTATAAAGTTCTCCAAAACGCGATGCCCCTGTCATTGCCGTTTTGACATCCATATGAACTTTCACTTTTTGGTTGTATTGTTGTTGATGATGGTGATGATGTAAATTCGCCAAAGCTTCTCCACCAGGGTAATTGAGTCTTGAAATAACCAATAAGAAGGTTGATAAAATAAAAGAAAGTAACAAACCACCAAAAAGAGAAATCATCATCAATGTGGTGAACATCCTAGAGTTATTGCGTTGAATTCTTGTTGAGATTTTCGAGAGTGTGACACCTGCAGCTGCTGTAAAAACAGGAATAGTATAAATGATGAATCGCCATTCCTTGTGAGGAAGTAAAGAGAAGATGGAAATATAAGTGATAAAAGGGAATAATAATCGCCTGATTCTTGTATCGAATATCAAACCAACGATCGCCAAAGGATAAGAAATCATAAGTAGTCTTGGTAAGAATTGTGTGACATAAGCGTGATAAGGAAGGGTACCCCATTCTGAGCTCTTGTTCAAAATCACATTGAAATAAAATACCATACCTTCAGGCCATAACCATTTCTGCCAAAACCAGGAATCGATGAGTACGGAAATAAATAAACTTGGTAAACCAGCCAAGGCAATACGATAAATAGCATCCAATATATCTAAATGACGATAGATCAAGACTTCAAAGCATAATAAAATCATCAAGAGAAGACCAGCTTCAAAACGAAAGATGACACCGGCTATGGAAAGATAATAGATCATGTGGTATAAATGATGGGTACGATCGGCAGTGGCGGCCATGCTTTTCAACCAATGGGAGAGACCAAGGAGGACAAGGGGTAAAGCAAAAGTATTGGGTAAAGTACGGGTAGACCAAAAGATAATATGAAATTGACAGCAAGTCAATAATAAAAAAGCAGTTCCAGTCAAACTACCAAACAAAGTATTGATAGCCTTTTGAAATTTGTTCAAAGAGAAACATACACAAGCACCAAGAAGAAGTCGTACTATACATTGTTCCGTAATGAGATTCCAAGAAAGAAGAAAAGAAAGTGGCCAGAGAATGAGTTTTGATAGACAAGCAATAAATAAAGCACCAAGAAAAGTACGAGGTACTACACCAGGAAATTCCAGATGATCATAAAGAGTAAGATTATTTGAATGATGTAATAAATCATGTATAGCTTGAATGTTGAAACTTTCTTCTACTTTTGTATATGGGCAATATAAACAATGAATAAGGAATAAAATATATAACACAAGCACAAGCTTCATAACAATAAGAATAAGTCGGATGATCTTAAAGAGGGTAAGAACCGCGTTGTAAGTAAAAAAAAAAAAAAAAAGAAATACACTTAATTTTTTTTTGGGGGGGAGAGAGAGAGGGAGTCGAGAAGGGGGGAGAGAGAGAGAGAGAGAGAGAGAGAGAGAGGAGGAGTACCAAAAATAGGAGTGGAAAAGAAAAAAAAAAAAAAAGTAAAATAAAAATTGAGCTGTTTTGCGTTTTTGGTGATTTTCCTTCTTTTCTTCCTTTTTTTTTTTTTTTTTTTCTCTTTCACTTTACTTGTTGTTTTTTTTTTATATATATATATATACACATATATATATTATCCCCCATTCCTCTCCTTTTTTCTTTCTTTCTTTCTTTCTTTCTTCTTCTTCTTCTTCTTCTTCTTCTTTTTCGTTTTATTATTATTATTATTATTATTATTTATCCCTTCTCTTTTCTTTTTTTTTTGTTTCTTTTTTGCTATCATACCCAGTTTATACCCTCCAGCATTTACAATGAAAGACGGATTTCGTCGGTTTGAAATAGAACCTTTGGAAGATACTCTTGAGTTTATGGGACCAGCACAATCTTCAGAAACAGTGAAATTATTGGAAGGAAATGTTAAACTTTCACTTACAAGACCAACCAAGATTCGAAGTATGTCAGTAAAATTCAAAGGGTTTGCGCGTGTCAACATTAAAGGCAAATATACCAATATTGTTGTCCTTACACCTATGTTACCAAAACTCAAATGTCCTATTGGAGGCAAGACATTATTACCAGCTGGAGATCATGTTATACCTTGGGATATTGAAATACCAAATATTTATCCACCTTCTCTTTTGATTAAAAGAGCAACTATTTTTTATAGGGTAGAAGTGGTTATTTCTTTTGCTTTGGCCAAATCCATCACTGCTGAACATCCTATTACTCTACGTAGACATTTATTACCTTGTATGGAATTGGCTCCTTTGGTTGAAACAAAGTTATATGAACGTACTGTACCTGCGAAATTCCATTATGAAATTGAAGCTCCTCAAATCATTTGCTTGGATCAGCTTTTACTTCCTTTTGCTGTGAAATATTTGTGTATCGCCAATCAAAAAGCAGTTCAAAGTATTCGGACACAGTTGACTCAAATTGAACTATATAGGTACACAAAACTTATTTTACTTTATAGTGCTACTTGGGGGGGGGGGAATTTATCGGAGAACTGTTACGATTTCTTTTTTGTTATTAATATTCTCACCGTTTAATTATTATTTTGAAATAGAATTCAGTCAGTCTCCAAAACAGATGCAAATCTTACTCAAGTACCTATGGATATTTACAATTTAGAAAAGAAAATGCTAGAATGTAAGGAACGTCGGGATTACGCCAAATTTGTCAAACGTACTATTCCAGCTTTGATACATTCTGTTGACCAAACTCGATCTTCAGCTTGGAAACAACCTATTGTATTACGACACAAACTACATCAATTTTTACACTCAACATACGATTCTCCTTTAGTATCCATACATCATCAACTTGAAATTACTTTCCAATTCGATCATCGCTTTGAAGATATCAAGGCAAAAATACCCATCATTATTGCATCCATTCCATCATCAGCAAAACCATCAGCATCAACTCAATCTGCAAAGGCCTCATCATCTCAACAACTTACACAACATCCATTTTTGTCCTCTGTCTCTAGTTCCGATTCAAAATATCCTTTTGAAACCATCACTCGATTTGAAAGTTTATCTGTAGTTCCCGAACAAAATGATCGGTCAGTTCCGCGTGCATCCGAAGATTCAAATTCTCATCGTGGTATTCAAAGTGTGGTAGTGGATCCTGCTATTTCTGGTCCTCTTAATAGTTCTTTGTCACCTCAACATATCCGTCATCAGCCGCAAAAACAACAACAACAATCACAGCAACAAGGACATCTTCAACGGCTTGCTTTACAACAAAAATCATCAAATACTTCAACAAATGATCAACCTATTTGGGAATCAGCTTTGCCTTTACCTCCTCCTGGATCAACAATGAAAAATACAACTAAAGCAAATGCTAGTATTTTAGATATTGGAAGAGCATCGGAAGATGTCAACGCTTATCGATATCATCAACAATCAATGGCATACAATAAGAACAACAACTATAACAATACTGATCTGTCTTCAGTATATCCCAACCAACAAAAGAAAACGGTGAAACGACACAATTCAGCTCAAGATTTGAATGATTACACTTTATCATTACCTATGTTACCTGAAGAACGACCTAGGACAACAACCCCTATGCAACGGCGACGGAATGATCTAAATGGTATAAACAATCATCGGCGAAGAAGACCCTTACCTCCTATCGATGTGGAATTGGCTAATGGAATCAAACCAAAATCATTACCCCGTTTGGCTGATCCTTCAACTCAAAAAACCAATTCAAGCTCGGAAGTATTACCTGAAGCAGATCGTAGTATTTTGCATTCATTATCCAATCAAGGTAAAAAAAAAAAAAAAAAAAAAAAAAAAAAAAAAAAAAAGCGCTTGTTGCTAGAATTCATTTGTAATTATTATTGATCATTATCTTCTTTTTTATATTTATGACATTAGATATTGTATTAGCTAGCAACAAAGACAATGATTCTAGTGAAGACAATGAATTTGACTTCCAATCTGTCTATTCTGATTTATCATTAGCAAGTCCCGAAGCACCTAGTCTCAGCTCATCCGCTACTGAAGCATCCAATGGAAGTCATCATACCTTACTAACACGTCCTCCTTCACCAGCATATCGACCAGCACCAGGATTACCAGCAAACACAGCTCTACGTTCACATGAAGAACAATCATCTGCACTTGTGGAAGAATCATTCTCATATAATACAATCACATCACCGGCCATTGCAACGGTTGCCTCTTCCGTTCTTTTATCACCATGTAGTAGCAATGCTTCCATCACCACGACATCAAGTACAGCACGACGTAGAATTGCCCTTTCTTCGGTTTCATCGATTATGAATGGTAGTGATGCCTTGTCCTTTCGATCTTTTGGAGGTCCATTTAATCAACAAAATCGTAGTTCTAATGGCAGCAGTATCGTACCACCGATCCCATCATCTGCATCAACAACAAGTAATACCAAACACAGCTTTCCTTCAGCATTACGAGATTCATCTGTTTTAGAACCTGAAGATCATGATGTTTTATCAGTAAAAGTCGACAACAGCAACGATGACCAACAACCAACAGTAGACGCAAAGCATCACTATTTACATGCCAAACTTCCACCTATACCTACTACCGCAACAGCAACAGCTTCTAGATCCACATCACCACAGCCACCACCAGGAACGGTTATACCAAGAACTAAAAAAGCAACGACAAATGATGATTCTTCTGTCACTACGGAGTATAAAGCACTAAACGAAACAAAACGCATGACTCGACTTTATGTGGATGATAGTGATGATGAAACGTTGGACCCTTTACCACCTATACCAGAAAAACAAGCTTGGAAAAGAGAATCAAAAACTGTAGTCAATGACAATCTGATACCATCATCAACATCCTCATCTCCTTCAACATCAAAAAGCAGCAGTAGTTTACATCAGTGGGCCACCTCTTTATTGAATAATGCTACAGCACCTCCTCCTCAATTACCACGATTATCCTTTGGTATGGCTTTAGGTGACGCTTTGGGTTTAGATCAGTTTAAACGAAAATAAAAAAAAACAACTGCATACATCTATTTAGATTTTATTCTTGTTACCATGTGTTTTTTGTTTATTAGTGTTTGTTTTATTAGTCTGTCTTGATTAGTCCTTTTTGTATTTTATCTGTAAATGGATGTGTTGAAGGTGTTAGAACCAATCAATAAAATAAAACACGTGTATGACCCTACATGATGGATAAGAATAGATTAAACGTGGAGTCTGTAGTGGCGGCAATGAATGAATGAATGAATGCTCTGTCGACCCTTTTTTTTTCGATAATGATGACTACATATCAAGAATGGTAATTTAACTCATTTTTTTTCTTTTTTTGTTGTTGTTTTCTTTGGTAATCTCTCTTTCTCTTGTCTCTTCCTCCTTCCTCTCCTTTAAGTAAGAATAGTTTAATATGATAAAGATATAACTTATCCAGACTGACTTTTGTTTATAAAGTTAGGATTGAACAGTTTTGTGATCTCTCTCTCTGTCTTCCCATACGTGAGCTTAAAAAATTTTGTGTCTTATCTTGGACCCCACATTTGCCCTTGTTTGACTGACCTTCAAATGACGAACCCTTTCTGAGGCAGCTTCAGGAATTTTTTTTTTTTCTCTTTCACTCTTTCTCTCACACTCATATTACTCTTCCAACTAATTTTTTATTAAAACAAAAAAAGAGAAAGAAAGAAGGATTTATATCAAAGAGTGGATGGAATTATATTCAAGTATTATAATTTCATGTCACCCGTTTATGGAACTTTACCTTCTTTGATGAATGTAGAAAAACAGTCGAAAGTCAAGAACGAAATCAACACCATGAAACAAGAACAAGAAGAACCACTGGCGACAACAACTTCAACAGCAATATCTGCAACCAGTTTAACATCAACATTTGAATCAGAAGTAATATCGATAATCAATACAAGAAAGAAAAAAAAAAAGAGAACAAAGAGATATTATAGACTATGACTGAATTTTTCTTTTTTATTTATTACTGTTATTGTTATTTCTCTAGTTTGTCATCCATCGCCAAGCCATTAAAACCGGTGATTATGATAAAGCAATTCAAAGCTTTGTTTCCCTGTAAATATGACCAACTTAAGAATTATATCTTATTTTAACTTTTTCTTTTCTTTTCATTATTTGTCTGTTACAGACAAGCTAGTAGTATGGACAACTCGATCTTTCAAGATTATCTAATAGAAATAGCCAACAACATTCATCCTTCAAGAGATACTGAATTATCTGGTAAAAGATTGATAACATAATATATAATATAAAAGAAAGATTCTAACTATTCTATGATTTCAAATAAATAAAAATTAGGATTCTTTGCAGCTTTACCATGTCTATTACAATCTAATATCATTGGCTATGCAAAAGGTAAAGTAATAAAGAAGTATGTTCTTGATATATACTTATTAATTATTTTGTTGTTTAGACCGATTACAATCTTCGAAAGATTTAAAGGCATTTCAAGTACTTTTTGACTATATCAAGGCTTATCCTCGACATGCATACAAATATATGGTAAACAAGTTGATTAAAAGGAGAATATATCTTTATGAAACTAAATATGGATCATTTCAAATTGTTTATTTTTAGATGGAAGCCATTTGTATCCTAATTCAATTCACTCAAATTGGAAGTCCAGACGACCGAGAAAAATGCTCTCATCTCTTAGGTAAGCAAAATAAAAAAAAGTGAAAATAGAAAGAAAAAAAAATTTCATCTGTACTACAATAATGATTTGCTAATATTATATATTTATTAGTAACTGATCTTCTTCCTCGATTATGCAAACAACGATTACAATTAACATGCTCAGAATATCAATCTTCAGTGAAATCAACTGATAGCAAACATTATATCATCATACCATATACTTTATATGAAACGTATATTTCAATTGGACAACAATATTATATTGGAAAACGACAATGGGACGAACTTGCCAAATTTACATGCATGATGATCTCTAGCTGTGGGTAAATAGGTTAATATAAAAAAAAATGACAGATGAAACATATAAGCTCACTTTTTTCTTTTTTTTTCTCTTCTTTTTTTAGGTATGATGGATTCGATCAATTACATGCAGTATCACATACCATTCGATTTCAGTATCTCAAAGAAAATCGATTAAAAGTCCGTATTGATGATGATATTATTACCTCAACTGATAATCGAACCATACCTGATGACGACGAAGCACGACAGTTGAAGATATCAGCAACTTTGATGTGTGAATATATGGCGGTAGTATCTCAATTTGTTAGTTTTGGATACGATTATTACAAAGCAGTATGTGGAGAAAATGAAATTCATTCGTCATCCTCATCGACTTTGGAGAAGAGTTGTTTGATTCCTATCTGTTCTTTCCAGCCATCAGCAAAAAGTACAAGTGGGAATAATCGAAATGTGAATATCAACTCGAATGACAATAGTTTTAACAAGTCAACAACAACAGCAACAACAACTCCAATATCTCCTTCATTGACAGACCTTACTCATGGAAATCAAAAACGACCTTTGGAAGCATCTATTGAAAGTGAAAACGGTACACAGCGTCAGAAGAAAGTGAAATTGGATATGGCTACTCATGTGGATGATCGCGGACAAGGATTATTTTCGGATTGTTTAAAAGGCGTAGATCAAGCATTACAAATTCTTAGTAAGGCAGCAGACTGTCTTCGTCATTTGGTACAATTGTGGCAATGGGCGACATTGAATTCAACAAAACATGATTGGGCCGATCAACTGAAATCTTGGGAAGCAGGTAAAGAAAAAAAAAAGAATAGAGTGGACAAAGAATTGATGATTCCGATTTGATATATATATATAGAACTGAACCGTATTATCGATGAATATCGCTTACCATTTGATACCAAGAATGCTATTTTACTTTTACAGAGTGACCTTGCCTTGTCTTCGGTAAGAAATAAATGGATTGGAATAATAATAATAATAATAATAATAATAATAATAATAAGACCACTATGATGACTAACACAAAAAAAAAATTATATATTAATAGCCATCTGTCCCTGGAAACCTTGCTAAAGCATTGGAATTATCACAAACCATTTGTGATAGAATCGAAGTGGAACGTCGTAAAGGTCAAAAATCAACTAGAAATAAGGACGACTCCCCCGAATTGAATATTCCATTCATGTTTGCGTTTCGTGTCCTTTACAATATTGCAGTGATTTATCTACTAGTTGGAAGTATTCAGGTAATAAGAAGAAGAAAAGAACTTCAGAATGATTATATTTAAATGATATTATAGGAATCGACTTTAGAAATTGCCATCATCTTATCCGTATTCCCTATTCCTATTGAATTGGATGAAAAAGCCTTTATAGCGGACGAATTAGATTGTAATACCGTAACAACTGTGTTTCAAGATCATGAATTTGGCCTTATGCGGGTGAATCAAGTTGGATTGGTGACTCGATGTATCAAACACTTAGTGGTTAGTCTGGATAATGAATCAGAACAAAAAGGTGGTATGGCGTCTATTGATGCTGCAATGCGATGGGATGAAAAAGCGGGAAATATGATTGTATTGATGCAATATGGCTGGCCCTATTGGAGATCAAGAACTGGCATGTGGAATAAAATTATACAGCGTATTCAAGAAAAACGAATATTTAAAAACAGAGAATTTTTGGAATATGTCTATGGTAAGGTGTTTTTTTTTTTTTTATCATTTGAAATTTTATTTATTTATTTATTTTTGGTTATAGTGGAAGATATTCTCAAAGTGATTCAATCCATCCATGATTCAGAATCTGCCATTCTAGATATTATACCCCCAGAATTCGCTTTACGTGCAAGTTATCGACATTTGGTGGCACCACATACCGGATCAACAATACCACCATCAAATGAACAAGATAATCGACAAAAATCCAATACATCGACAACGACAGAAACAAAGAAAGATCATGATGAAGATGACGATGACGATAAAGATAGTACCATCACTAGTACGACTACTTCAACAACTGGTGTGGCAAGATTAGCGCCCCCACCTACATATCAACCTTCATTTGCTAATCGAGTATTACCGAGTATGTCAATGTCACCTTCATGGTATGCAGCATCTACACAGAAAAATGATTATACAAGTTGGATGTCGCCTTCATTTTACTATAGTCGACCAGCAACATCCGTGGTATTACCAAAAAAGCAAAAGGAACGCAATGAAAGGATGGAATATCAGCAACAAGAAGGAGAAGAAATTGGCAAACAAGAACATTCAAATAAACATAGATTGAATCATGAGAAAGGACAAGAATTGGAACGTGGAATATCAGAATTACCATCATTTACACCACGAGATATTGTATCAAGATGTTTGGATTATCGACTACAACGATATTCACCCAAGGTCACACCACAACGAATGCGGCATGTATTACAAAAGTTTTTGAAGAACATGGTTCTAAAAGGAAATGATGAATCTTAGTGAAATAATTATTATACCTTGTTTTGATTTATTTATTTACTAGAATATTTTTTTTTTTTTTTACAAAATAAAAGAAATAAAATAAATTTGTTTTGGTATTATATATACGATCATATATATATATATATATATATATATTTAAAAAAGAAAAGACTTTTTATATTAATTATTTGTTCCTGATGTTAAGACCTGTCGAAGTGTGTGTGTGTCACATCAAATATATGTAGATAATGAATTTTTTTTTTTATTTTTTTTTACTTATTTTATTTCTTTTTCCTTCTCCTTTTTTTTTTTTTTTTTTTTTTTTTGATTCTCATCTTATCAGCTTTATTTTTTCCTTTTATATATAATAGTTTAGTTTGTATGGTAGAAAGTGGACAACAACGGATCAAGACGAAAGCATTACAACGATTAGCAAGGTGGCCTACAACTTCACCTTCATCGTCTATGACAAACTGGTCAGATTCGAGAAAGTATAATATGGATTCTACTACTTCTTTTCAATCTATTGAAAATGAGAATTTGGTTCAAGGATCTCTTTATATTATTAAAGTCAAGATTGTTACCATTTCTCTATTTGAAGGTAACTTTATAAAGAATTCATATAAACTATATAAAATTACTGATATTTCTTTTTTTCTCAATAGGTTGGAATGATGATATGTGCTGCTTCTCTGTACTACGTAAGATATGAAATGCATGTAAGTATAGACATCTCACTTTTTTTTTTCTTTTCTATTTTTTTTTTTTTCTAGGATCTGATACAGGATCTATGCGGTGGTCAGAAGCAAGGTAAATGTTACAAAAGAATCATTCTTTTTTTTTTTATTTCTTATTAATGATAATATTTTAGATATCTGCCTGGTGACTTTGATGCCTTTGATGCATTTGACGAAGCTGGCAATCCACCTGTTTATTTTTGGACAAGATATTTAAGAATCCAAGTACCTGTCAATTGGTTTTCTCTATTTGAAGAAGCTCGAAGACGACAACGTGTGTGGGCTTTGGATTTACAACAACAACTTATTTATCAACAACAAAACGATGATCACACTATGAATGCTAGTACTGGCAATGATGACGATATTCTCACTTTCCCCTTACCTCCTTCTTCTATCTCAAGCTTACCATTAGATACCCACAACAAAACAGACCCTACTTCTGATGATGTTCATTCTACTCGTGACGTCTCTTTATCTCAAGTGCGTCATGGTTCTCCCACGATCTTCTCTAATGTATATGAATCACAGCAACATCCAACAGCAAACAATGATTATCAATATGATGATTATCTAGCAACAATCGACATGGACCAAACAACATCAATACCACAATCAACCGGAGCAGCATTTCCTTCATCATCATCCTCTTCTTCCATCATTTTACACAACAATAATAATCAATCACCACACACTCCTAAAAATGATTCGATAATCTATTCTCCTGTCTCATCCGTTAGACATCGTCGTTCGTCTACAGCCTTATTTTCTGATATGGGCAACACCAAGTCAACCGTTCCTTCTAAAGACAAGTCTTTACCAAATCATCAGGATAATGAAGATGGATCATCTCATTGGCCCAACGATAATAGTAGTAATATCAGTCATCATCATTCAACCAGAACTAAATCTATCAAATCGGTCTCTATCAAGTCTCTCTCCAAACATCGAAAATCAGTCCTTGGATTATTTTAAAGTACTATTATCCATCCTTCCACTCAATATTAGTCATTTACCTCATAGTCATAGTTATTTTCATTTGTCGTACCCCTTTTTTTTTTTTATTTTCATTTGAATCATCTTTTAATAAATTATGCATCAAATCATTCATTATTGATCTTATAAATTATTACCATCATTATTTTCATATACAATTCACGTGAGGGTCATCATATTATACATATATATAATACAGCATGAATACGTTCTTTTTACTTTCCATAATGGGAAAACAGAAGCTTGCTGGGTTCTAATCGTAGACAATAAGCTATTGTCGATGATTCGGTTTGAATCGAACTGGCTCTCTTTTTTTTTTTTAATATTTAAGAAACGAGATGATCCCGGTAAATTTAAAGAACAGCATGGAGTTCTTAACTAGTTTTTTTTTTTTTTTTTTTGTTTTCTAAAAAAGGAGGCAAAGGGAAAAAAAAATGTCCTTACAATGAAACAACAAATAATGGTATGAAATAAAAAATCGTTGTTGATGGATAATTGAATAGGATGATCAACAAAGACAATTCCTTCTATTTATTATTATGGATCAAGAGAACTATTTGAACTTTGATCGGTGTTTTACTAGTAAAGCTGTGCCTTTCGCGAAAATGCCTCAAGGTATTCAGTGTTGTACAAACGGGCCGATTTGTTAGTTGCGACGGGATTTCAAATACCTGAAGACGAGTCTTATACCCTTTTACTATTTTAGTCATTTGCATTTTTTGATAGATAAAGTTCTTTTTTTCCAAGTTTTCTTTTTCTTTACTTCTCTTTCCTTTCCATTATTGATTTTTTTTTTTTAATTTCTTTTTTTTTTTTTTTTTTTTACTTTTGATTTTTCCAAAAAAGGATATATTGTAAATCATCATCTCCACACACAGTAAATGTTTGTTCATGTCGAAACAATATCAGTTATCTATTGTATCCTTGGTGGATTTATCCTTTTATATGGATTATGTTCATTGGTGGTCAAGGAGCGACTCTATATATCCGAAGCCATGGTGGCGGTAACCATTGGTGTGATTTTTGGTCCTGCCTGTGCCAACTTCATCAATATTGGGGAATGGGGTGGTGATCAAGTAGAATTAACTCGACAATTTTCTCGTTTGACGATTGGGATTCAAGTCATGGCGGCTGGTGTATGTTTACCAAAGGCATACTTGCGAAAGGAATTACGATCTATGACGATCATGCTTTTACCGGTGATGATCACCATGTGGCTCGTTAGCGGTTTATGCGTCTGGGCGATGATACCTAATTTAGACTATGTAAGTGACATGATTGCATCATCATCCCCTTTCCTGCATTCCTTTCTTTTTTTTTTTTTTGATATATTAACTATTTGACTTTTTTTATTTATTATTATTATTGTCTTTAGTTACAATCTTTAATGATAGCTGCATGTTTTACTCCAACTGATCCTGTAAGTGAAATAAAAATTGATCCAAAGAAAAAAAAAAAAAAAAAAAAAAAGAGTACTAACGTATGATTTTTTTTTTTATATTCTATTCAGATTTTGGCAAACTCTATTGTTCAGGGTAAATTTGCAGAACGCCGTGTCCCTTTGAATGTACGAAACTTGATTCTAGCTGAAAGGTAATGTAAGAAGGGAGATGAATCATACATGATATTGATCTACTCCTTTTCTCTCCTTGATCTTCTTTTTTAATGTATATATATATAGTGGTGCCAATGATGGTCTAGGATTTCCTTTCCTTTACCTTGCCATTTACCTGATCCAAATGCCAGCTGGCGAGGCTATTGGTCAATGGGCTTATTATATCTTGGCTTACGAAATTCTTCTTTCCATTATTATTGGATTTGTTGCTGGATACATCGCAAGGAAGCTGTTGAAAACAGCTGAAAAAAGGTAATGACTATAATACTATCTTATTTTTTTTTTTTATTTTTTTTTTTTTTGATAAATTTGGGAACTGACTTTTTTTTTTTTTATCTAAAATAGAAAATTAATCGATAAAGAATCTTTTCTGGTATATGCTGTGGCTCTTTCGGTAAGTTTTAAAATGATAGATTCCTTTCTTTATCTTCTTCCGACTTATTTTTTTTTTTTTGATGAATATATACCAGTTATTCTTGATGGGAACTGTATCGATGGTTGGAAGTGATGATTTGTTGGCATGTTTTATTGCGGGAAACTCATTTACATGGGATGATTGGTTCAGAAAAGAAACAGTGGATGCCCATATGTCTGAAGTTATCGATCTCTTACTCAATCTCACTATGTTTGTATATATCGGTGCTACTATGGTAAATAAAATTAAAAAAAGGAATGATTAAAAATTAGTACTTATATAATATATATTTCTTCTTAGCCTTGGTCCTCCTTTGAAAATGTAGAACTTCAACTGACAGTCTGGCGGCTTATTGTACTTGCGATTCTAGTTCTCTTATTTCGTCGATTACCTATTGTTGTTGCATTATACAAGGTAGTACCCGCATTACGTACCTGGCGTGAAGCTTTATTTTGTGGATGGTTTGGTCCTATTGGTGTGGGAGCACTTTTTTATTATACAGAAGCAGTGGATAATTTTCCAGTAGATGGTCCACAAGCGCATGCAAGAAGTGTTGTTGAACCTGTGGTGTATTTCTTGATCTTATCCTCAGTGATTGTCCATGGTATCACGATTCCTCTATTCCATATTGGTACATTTGCAAGCAGAACTTTGACTAGAACATCTGTCTCATCTAGTAGCAATGGCACGATTCAAGTATTACGTCTTCCTCGATTCAGATCTATTAGTCAAGAAACTTCTCATCAACAATATTATCCATCAAGTTCATTGGATCAAAAGGATACCACTCCTGCTATCGATAGTCGTGATGATACTGTCACGTCACCTGAACCTGCTTTGACCGCCACTCCACCTCGCCAAACTGCCATTACGATTGTCATACCAGATCAACATCAACATCATCAAAACAACGTTGTCGAAAGGACAGATGACAATAAGAATACAAAATCGACAGAACAACAACAACAAAAACGTCAGCAATTGATTGATGATGAAGATGATGTTGATGATGATATCATTTGATAGAATTTGTCTTATATATATATATTTATTTTTAGATTATCATTGTGTTGTATACCTTTTTATACCAATAAAAATTATATACTTTATGTTATTTGCTTTTATTTACTACTTCTGCATAAAAATGGTTTTACCCTCTTTTTCAAGCGGGGATTCATATTGGGATGTGATGAGAGGGAAAGGGTTTTTCTGGGTTGAGAATTGTTTGTTTTTTTTTTTTTTTTCTTCTGCTTTCTCTTTTCTAACTTTCTCAAAATGTCACCCACTCCTGTTTATCAGCGTATTGCTCTTGGTGATATCACTATCAACAACATTGGTCAATTACGTAAACTCAATAGTGTTCTTTTCCCTATTGAATACAAAGCTTCCTTTTATGAAGAAGTACTTCACGTTGGAGAATTCGCTAAACTAGGTAATGAAAAAAAAAGATCATATTTTCTTTTTCTCCCATTCTATTTTATTCAACATAGCCTTTTTTAATTCATTATATTTATAGTGTATTATAACGATGTATGTGTAGGATCAGTATGTTGTAGAAAGGAAGTTGCTCAAGACGATCAAACCAACTTGTATATCATGACCTTGGGTGTTTTGAAACCTTATAGACGGTTAGGATTAGGTAAGTTCTTAGAAAAGAGGGATATATATCAAATATACTTTTTTGATTGGAAGTATCTTTTTTTTTGAACTGACTTTTTTTTTTTTTTTTTTTTGTAGGGGATCAATTATTGGAACATATTTTAAAGGAAGCAAGTGATAAAGAAAATAAGATCAACAAGGTCTATTTACATGTACAAACCAATAACGACGCTGCTGTGGCCTTTTACAAGAAACATGGATTTGAAATTACTCGAACGGACAAGGACTATTATAAAGAAGTGGAACCTAGAGATGCATATGTGCTTGAAAAACTTATTGTTTGATCTATTTACTCTCTTTCGTTTTATTGCTGTTATTATCTTTATTCCAAACTACAATAAAAACCGCTTTTTTTTTGTGTGTGTGTATCATTATTCAGTCTTTTTGTTATCTTTATCATTTATTATAGAATTTCGGCATCTCCATATCTATTCTTTATCCATGGTCTATCATCATATATCATTCATTTTCACATACCAGATCATTCACCATATAGGCCATCCTTTCACCTTTTTACATCATGATATCAAATTCTAATCAACCACATAAAGTAATTACAACACATTTCAAAACAGTAAAAAAAAAACCAATAAAATATTTATTTCTATATATACATCAAAAGATAACTAATGATAGATCCATCGTGTCGTATCTTCCAAATATTCCATCCTGTCCTTTATCGTGTTATTGCTGTAACTATCCGCTGAATATACACTGTTCGGTCACGGTACTTGCTATTATTTGCCTTTATTGCAAGTTCACATAACGTTCTACTAATGAACACGTACTATAAGTCAATTCTTGTTGCACTACAAGATAAGAAGAAAATATCATATATTTCGCTTTTTCCACATGAATGTAATAAAACATTGTCTTCAATGATACTTACAAGATTAACAAAGTCTAACCACAAAATCGATAACATTTCTAGAAAAAGAAAAAAAGTAAAAGGAGAAAAAAAATAGCACTTTTATGAAACACTGTGATCGGAGTTGCCTCCATGGGATCCATATCAATGGGTTTTCTGTATGCATTATTTTCATGCCCGTTAATCAACATCATTCACACCAATCATTATGCTCATTCATGATCAACATTATCCTTTTGTTTTTAATTATTATCGTTATCATCCTTGATATAATCTATCATCATCAATCCATTGGATCGCTTATCATTATTGTTATACAATTCGTTATTATTTTAGATGAACATGTTACTTGTTTTATTTTTATAATGGACATTAGAACATCAAGGCAAAAAAAAAAATGGAATGGATAAGGTGATATGTCATGAATATTATTGTTCAAGATCAAAAAAAAAAAAGTATTACTTATGAACATATTGAATCAATGGATTTACTAAATTGGTTAAAGTTAACAATGTTTTGTTTCAAGATGGGCGTGATTTTTTTTTTTTTTTTTTTTTTTGTATCTTGGATATGTAAAAAGGGACTACTCCATTTAGAAAAGAGAATATTAGAGGGAAGATAATAAAGTAAAAGCTTATTGGTAAAAAGTGTACCGACGATTACCATTTCAAGATCATGTAACCATAACAATACGACTTTTGATATTCTTTGCCAAGAGAAATTGAAAAAACGATCGGTACACCCAAATCAAAAAAAAAAAAAAAGTCTTTGTATAAGAAAAGGTTGATATGATCAACGTTACTCAATAATGAAATGAATGTAAATCTCCCACAGTGGCTGATGCTAATACTGATCATGGTACCCAGACTCCTTGATTTATCCCAAAAGATGCATTGCTATTATTTACATGTTTCTTTTTAGAAAGTAATAACATCATAATTAAAAAAAAAAGGAAAAATAGAAAAGTCGTTGAATGATGATTGATGCTGATGATGTTAATATATATATTAGAAAATCGACAAATTAGGATAAATAACCTATTTAGGGAATTGACCCAGATCTCTTTTTTTAGTTTTTTTTTTGGAATTGAATGGAACAATCATCCACCTCATTACTAAATTGTTTTATTAATATCCATGTAAAAATAAAAGTGTAGATTTTATTTAATCCGGTTCCTTACTTGCTAGCTCTTATAAAAAAATAGGTTGACTTTTTTTTTTTTTTTTGAAAATCAACTAAATTTGAATGCGACACAAATAATCAAACTCAAATTTCCCCTGTAGGACTCCCCCAAGAAAAAAAAAAAAAAAAAAAAAACAAAGATTTAAGGGAGAATGATTCTCTAAAAAGATAAAGAGGATAACAATGGCATTTTTAGTACATAAAACACAATATATTATAAAAGATGAATTGTTTCCATGATGATCATGACGTCTAAAGAGATGTTACGCTTTGATTATTGATCAAAATACTTTTAGATCCATGTAAATTAGTAACTCTTTTTTTTTCCACATGATTGTTTTCCAATTCTTTTTTTCTAGTGTGTGTCGGGTAAAAAGGGACGTTGATATCCCGGGGAGAAAAAACTACTTTCGTAATGACATTTTATATCTTTCTTCAAATTCTATTTTTTAATGATTGGTATGAAGAAAGTTAACCCGGATGTTCTTCTAGTCTTCTTGTTTTTATAAGTAATCTCAATCCACGTGAGCGGCTACTGAAAAGATAAAAATAATGTGATATGACTGGTGGAGAAGTTGGGCAAAACTGTTCGCCCGGCTACTTTTTTTTTTTTTTTTTATCCCAGAAGATAAAATTTGACTGTGTTTCAATATTCTATTCTGTTTCTCTGGAAATGGGGGGTGTACTCACACACAGACATAGACCATCCAAAATATAAAGAGAACTGGGTTTTTGGCACGGTACAAAAAAAAAAAAGTTTTTTTTCTTCTTCTTTTCCTTCTTTCCTTTTTTTATCTTTCTCCTTTTAATTGTTGCACATCATCATCATTATTTGATAATTATTTTTTGCTATTATCACACTAATATCACATTAATATCACACTAATATCAATATCCATCATCATCATCATCATCATCATCCTTAACTACCATCAATTAAATCATCATCATCATACATCATCATGATACCATCATCATCGAAAGAATCATCATCATCATTCATTAAAACATATTGCACTCTATATAATTTACAATATGTTTTCCTAAGCACTCTTTTTCTAAGCGATTACATTATCATTCAATCACCAGGTTGGATCATCAAAACCCTAGTCGGCATTGCATTAGTATCATCCTTATTTTTACCTTTTATTCGACGTTTCACTAAACCTGCCTTACCTATCTTTGCATGGCTCATCACCTTTTACGCATGTCAATTCATTCCTACCAGTTATCGTCCTAGTCATATTTTTGTCAATATTTTACCTACGTTAGAACGAATATTGTATGGTGCTAGTTTATCTGAAATCATCTCTAAACATACTCATCCTATTCTTGACGTATTAGCGTGGTTACCTTATGGTGTTATTCATTTTTCTTTACCATTTATTTTGGCTTTTCTTTTATTTATCTTTGGTCCTCCTGGTGCTGCTAATATATTTGGTCAAGCTTTTGGTTATATGAATATTGCTGGTGTTTTGACTCAATTATTATTTCCTAATGCTTCTCCTTGTAAGTAAAAAAAAAAAAAAAATTTAGACTCCCCCCATTTTGTTATCTATGTCTTACTTTTTTTTTTTTCTTTTTTTTCTTTTTCTTTTCTTTCTTTTCCTTTTTTTTTTTTTTGTAATGTGTTTCTATTATATTGATAGGGTACGAAATGTCATATGGATCAGCACCTGCTGATTACTCTATTCCTGGTGAACCTGGAGGTTTAGCGCGTATCGATGACATTCTAGGTTTGAAATTGTATGGCTCTACTTTTGGTGGTTCACCTCTTGTGTTTGGTGCTTTCCCATCTTTACATTCTGGATCTGCTACTATCGAAATGCTTTTTGTTACTTATCTTTGTCCTAAACTATGGCCTCTATCTATTGGTTACACAATGTGGTTATGGTGGTCTACCATGTATTTGACGCATCACTATTTAATTGATTTGGTGGGTGGCTCCATTTATGCTTTTTTGACGTTCTTTGTCGCTCGTCAGTACTTGCCCAAGGTCGATCCTAAGAAACCCAATCGATTAGCTTATTTTATTGGTATGCCTAATACTTCCATCAGCAACTTTATCCGCAGTATTGAATATAGTATGTGTTTCAGCAATACTCATTACGTCAAAGTCGATAATAACTACGAAGATATCGAACAACAAATTTTATATGAGGAAAAGGAATATGATCTTGTGCATGGAACAACAACAATGGATGGTCAACCTCAAGATATCTATGTATTAATGGAACCTGATATGGAAAAACGACATCAACGACGTCTTCATCATTATCAACGCCATCGAAAGAATGGTTCTTTGGCACCTATTCGTATGCGACGTATAGATTCAAATGAACGATCATTGGATGATGACGATGCAACTTCCTCTTCATGGTATGCACCTGCCTTGGTCTCTTCACATACTTCGCCCACAAGTTCTGAGCCTAATTCTCCTATTACACCATATACACCTGATCCTGATGGCATTAGCTGGAAACGATGAAAATATATTATATTGTATAGATTTTTTTTCCCTTTTTCTTCATCATACCTATATTTCATTTTTTACTTTTTTTAATTTTACTTATTACTATTATATTTACATCTTTACATTACTTTGTATTTTTTTTTTAATTCTATCCCTTTTATTATTTGTACTTAATACTTTCTTTCATTCAACACTATATTCCTTCTATATTTGCCATTTTAGTTTTTTATTATTCTTAGTTTGATTTCCTATACTTCTACTTGTACTACTTTTTTTCTTCTTGTAATTCTTCTCCCCCTTTTCCCAGGTGTTCTTTTTTTTTTTTTTTTTTTTTACCCACGAAACATCATCATCCTATTCACTATATTATTAAAAGATAATCTTTATATGTTTATTATGATACTTTTTTCTATTGAAATCAAAAAAAAAAGTATGAGATCATGCTGACTAAAAAGTACACATTTCAGGACCCCCCCACACTACGTCATTGAATAAATTTACGTTCTTTACATTCTTTTTGATTGTTGCACAATAGAAGTACATCCTACATAAGATATCCAAAACAATCAGTGACATTTTATTTTCCAAGTAGATAATAAATAAATAATAAATAAAGAATGATCTATCTAATGAATCGACGTCGATAACGTACTAACCAGGAAAGTCCGAAAGCCAACACCACCACACGTGCTATAACAGCTGTGATCACACCTGTTCTAAGTGATTCATAGTATATCTTGTCCCATTCAGCGCGTTGACGACTATTTTACCAAATGTAAGATCATATGATCCCTAATTTTTTTTTTATTTTATATATATATATTTTTTTTTTTACCTTTTAGAAATGATTGTTTTAGAGGAATGACGATGTCTCCAAAACAAAGTCATCTTGGCAATCCATTGAGTCCACCAACCAATATCTTTTCTAGAATAACGAGGTGTACCTGCCACCAAAGTCAAGAAAGAAAGAGGATCATCTTGTGCTGCTAATTGAACCAAATCACGAGTCATTCCTAAAGTCAAACCCCATAATCTAAATCGTCTTGGTTGTTGTGTAGAAGTGATAAGATCATTGACTGGTAAATCAATGGCTGGGAAAGTGATAGTACCAAGGAAAGGTTGAAGTAATGTTCGTCGCCAACCAGACATTACTCTTGGTGTCAATGATTCTTCTGCGAAACTAGTACTATGATCTGTTGTAGGTGATAAGAAGAATGAAAATGGAATCCCTATAATAATAATAATAATAATGAATATATAAATCTTTTACATATATATATATATATATAAAACTTACATTCTACTGAAGCTACTTCATCTTTTTCTAATTGCATTGTCGGAGTATAAGGTACTACTTGCAGGAATACTAAACAAAAAAAAGAAAAGATTTAGTTTTCAGTATTTATTTTATTATTAATTACCAAAAGGAATCAAAATCATCATCAATTTCCTATCCCAAATAGAAGTAATTTCACGATCGTCTAATTGTCCAAGATGTAAAAATGATTCACTATTGAGATTCAATCCAATTTCTTCTTTAACTTCTCTTGTCACTGTATCAAAATCAGTTTCACCAGGTTCATTCTTGCCACCTATATATGCAACATGACCAGACCATCTTATATATATATATATATAGATATATAAGTAAAAAAAAAAAAAAAAAAAAAAAAAGTATTTTTATTATTTACCTATCTCCAGACCGAGTAGCACGTTGCATAAAAAGAATTTCTAATTCACCTTTTGGATCTTGTTTTACCCAAGGTAATTCATAAAACTCTTGAATTGTTTTTGGATATAACTTATTGGATGATATTAGATCAGGTCGTTTTGTATACCAACGTAGAATTAAAGCCACACATGCTCTTCTTGGTTGATGAGGAGGTGAAGGTATATGATGAGGAGATTGACTGGATAAATGGTCACCAATTCTTTTCAAGGCCACTATTATAAATATAATTTATTTATATGATTCTTTTTTCTTTGATTATTGTTACCTTGAGCTGAAAGTGTCATTGTATATACTTTGTTAAGTATGATGACTCATGTCCAAAAAAAAAAAAAAAAAAAAAATGAAAGGAAAAAAAAAATTCCCACTTTTGTGCAGCCTCATTTTCAGTCTCCGGACTTCTCCACAATATATATGAAGGATACAAAAACAGAAAAGAAAGGTAGAATGATCTATTTTTATTTTTCTCCTCCCTTTTGTTGTTCTCTATTCAATAAGATCAAGGGTAAAAATCATTCTTCTTTTATCAACAAAAAAAAAAAAAACATCATGATTTTTCCAAAGGTTCGGCACAATTCGGTTCCAGTCATATTGAATATGAAAAAAAGTTTTTTTTTTTTTTTTTTTTTTTTTTTTTTTTTTTTTTGCTCCCCCCATTCTGTACCTCAAAAATTAATAATAATCGGGTCATTTTTTTTTGAGATTCCCCTGGAAAAAAAAATAAAACGATGGGTTTCTAAAATGAAAAAAATTCTGCCTTTGGATCGAGATTTGACATTTTGACAAGATCTAAAAATATATATGACTGGTTTAAAAAAAAAAATACATTATGCAGACATGAGACAAAGAAAATATATACTTTTTGTTTTTATTAGGAGAAAGGAATAAATATGCACAAAAGAAAAGATGATGATATGATAAATAACAAATGACAATAAAAATGGAATGAAAAAAAGGGAATATATAAAGTTAAGAGGGAGTAGAAAGACCATCTAAGATATGCATCACTTGATCCACATTGTTGATATAATATTGAGCTTCTGTACTACGAGATCCTACAGTACAAGTCACAACTGTCGTATTGGTCACTTTTTGTTTGTTCAAGAATGCAAACATATCTTCATCTGTTCGATCATCTCCAATAGATAATATAAAATCAGGTTGAATATCTTGAAGTACTCTGTTTGCAATCCCACTCTTGTTTATTTCATGAGGCATCACCTAATTAGATATTTTATTAAATATATTAATATTATCATCATTCATCATCCTTTTTTTTTTTTTACTCACTTCTATATTTGTCCTTCCAGCTACTGCATGAACTGCAAAATTCTTGTTAACCGAATCAGCTATATGATTTTGACATTCTGCCGCTTGCCAGGCCCTAATAGAGAAAAGTCAGATCATCCCTATCTTTTTGCTTTTCATCAATCCAAACTTACACGTATTGAGCATCAGGTCCTGGTGTTGTACGATAATGCTATCAAATATATAAATATTAGAGTGAATTTATTCATCTTATTTTCTTACCCAAACAATCGAGGTTTCTTTGGTTTCAATATACGCACCAGGGGTACGTTCTGTATAATATTGAAAGATCTATTTTTTTTTTTTTCAAAAAAAAAAAAAGAACATCAAAAATATCAAATGAATACATAGCCAATTTTTTTTTTTTTTTTTTTTTTTACTTCTTTGACAGCCGGTTTCCAGGAAAGATCAATTTTTTCAAACAAAGATTGCCATCCTTCACCTCTTGGTTTGATATAGAATCCATTTTCAGCACTAAAATATAAAAGGAGATAAGTGATTCGATTCTTTTTCATCATGTCAATGCAATACCTGAGCCCCAAATTTGGTACTTCTCCAAGATCACGTTCAACTTCCAATCTTGTACGACCAGATATGACATACACTGCATTTCGAGGATCGCCCGTCAATTTTGTTAGCACACTAGTCAATCGATCAAGTTCTTTTCCACTAGCTGTTTTTCCATGAGTCACCAAAGTACCTCCATAATCAAACAAGAATCTATAACAAAAAAAAATCCAGAAGATAAGCATATATATATATATATATATATATATATATATATTTACTTACACTCTTTTCTTGCTTCTTTGAAATGCTGTCTTTAATGAATGTAATTCCAATGGTGGAACCCGAGCTGAAAACCTTCTACCAGTAGCGCTATGGACTTTGGATAATTCAGAAATAATGGACGTTGCAAAGTTTTGTGCAGAGTTCGCTTCAATACTCTTATATAATTCATTCCATCTTGATTGTTTTTCTTCTTTAGACATGGACAGTGCTTCATGTATGGCATCACCTATTTGCTATTTATATAAAGAAGATCATCAGGTCACCTTCTTTTTTTTTCAATTATATTGACTTACACGGTAGTCCCATGGATTCACACGTAAACAGGCTCCAAAACTTCCATAAGTACCGGTAAACTATTTTTATCCATAAGAATCATTTTTTAAAATCACTCGTGTCTACGCCTTTTTTTTTACACTTACTTCACTTAGGATTAATGGGTTGTATCGATTTTCTTGACATACAATATATTCATGAGAGGTTAAATTCATACCATCACGTAGAGGAGTAATCAATGAAGCATCTGCTGAAGTCAATAAGGCCAAATACTGAGGAAATGAGATATCTTGATGAAGGAAAACAATAGGTTGATATGATATGTTGCTGAATTTGGAATTCACTCTTGACACTACATCTGAGATATGTGCTCGCAACTCATTTTGTTCCGAGGTTGACAAAGCAATTTGAATAAGCACCACCTACATATAAAAAATCAAAACGAATAAGTTACTAAAGATTCATCTTCTCCTTTTATTTCTTGATTTACCTTGCCACGCCATTCAGGATGTCGGATCAAGAACTGTTCAAAAGCCAATAGTTTTTGTCGTACACCCTTGACATAATCCAGTTTGTCTCTAGCCACAATCAATTTTTTTCCAGCATATTTTTCCTTTAACATGGCCATCCAACTTGTGACATCAGGATTTTCTCTATGATGAAATAATAATAATAATAAAAAAAAAAAGGTAAATAAAATAAAACCTTTACAAAAGACTTTTACTCACCTCTTCTTATTGAGAGCAGCGATATCGATGCCAATGGGATACATTCCAACTGCAACATAGTGAGAATCCATTTGAATCCCTGATGGTGTAGTATCCAGAGATAAAATCCGAGAACACGTTTGTAAAAAATGTCTTGCAAAGGAGTAAGTTTGAAATCCAATCAAATCAGATTGTAGCATGCCTTCCAAAAGTTGTTTTCGAGAAGGTAGACACCGGAATAATTCAGAAGATGGGAAAGGTATATGCATAAAGAATCCAATAATAGCATTTGGTAACTTTTCACGTAACATACCAGGTAGTAACATCAAATGATAATCATTGACCCAAACTATAATATAATACATATTAATTTTACCAGTAATATATATATATATATATATATATATATATATATTTGATCTACTTACTGATATCCCCTTCTTGGTAAATATTGGCTATTGTTTCTGCAAATTGTTGATTAAGATTGACATAATGTTTCCAAGGATCATCGTGATGCATTTTGTTTTGAATATCATCTTGCACTACATAATGAAAATAAGGCCAAAGAATCTAAAAAAAAAAAAATCAGTCAACATTTATAAATTAATTTGATATACTTACTTGTTTACAATAACGATTGTAATGGCCATCAAATACTGCATCATTTGGAATGATAGGATAAGAATCATATTTGTTGATCAAAGTAGAGGTAATATTTTCCTTTGCCGATTTAGAAAGACAATCCATAGATGAAGTACCCAAGGTACCTACCCAAACAAGTTGATTCAATCGATGACGTACAGAATGAATGGCATTTTGAAGTCCAATATTTCCAGAAATACACGGTTTGATTTCCCATACAATACCCATATCATCATATCCCTTGTTATCACTTTTATTGTCATCAACCATTGTCGTTTCTGTCATTTCATGACCCAAAGTAGAATCAGTCAAGGTAGTATTATTTTGTGATTTTAATGTAAACAGTTCTTGTTGATTTTGTTGAGGAGTTGGGTTTCGTTTTTGTGCTGCCAAAGTATCAATCAAATTTCGAGGACCAAGAGTTGTATCAGGTACATCAGTAGAAGCATTTACAACAGGTTCTAATATGGTAGGAGTATTGACCCCTTTCTTTTCAACTAATTCAACGTCCACAGTATAAGGAAGAAAAAACGATGCTGTAATCACTCTATTATTGGTAATTTTCGTCGTTGTCATGTTGTAAGGTACAAAAGTAGAAATACCTGTCTTTAGTCGCAGAGAGAGAAAGAAAGAGAGAGAGAGATAGTAGAGTAGAGTAATAAAACAAGAAGGTCAATGTTTCCTCTAACTATGACAAAAAAAAAAGGAGGGAAAGCAAGAAGTCCCTGTTCCCGCCCTACTCACCAATAATTCCAAAAAAATCATCGGTATTTCAATTCATGATGTAATGACTTGTCTTCCGAGTATAGCCGAGGACACACTTCCGTCAAAAAAAAATAAGTTTGTAAGAAATAATAATAATAATAAATAATAAAAATCAATTATGCAAAAAACACGTCTAATATTATCAAGTATAATACTTATATGATCATCCCTATTATTATTATTATTATTATTATTATTATTATTATTATTATTATTATTACCACTATTATTATTATTACTATCATTAACTACTTTTTTTTTTTTTTGATCATTGTTTTTATCATTTAATCTTTTGAATGGGATCAGAGAAAGAATTTTATTGGATGATCTTAGTTTATGATGATTCACATGTGCCGGGATATTCTCAGTAAAGAAAAAGAGAGAAATAATCAAAAATACATGTGATTAAAAAAAAAGGGTATTTTTTAAAAGAAAGATGTGGAGACAAACTACAAACGGGGCCCCAATGTACGAATTTACTTTGGACTGATTTCCAAGTCTAAATTTCTCTTTCCCGACCTTTTTTTTTTTCCTCTTTAAAAATCCTCAAGTTTTTTTTCTCTTTTCTTTTCTTTTTCTTCTTTTTTTCTTTCTTTTTTTTCTTTATCTATTTTCTCTCCATCTCTCTTTACTTTTATATAACATCATGGTTAAAGTTACTGTTTGTGGTGCCGCTGGCGGTATTGGTCAACCTCTTTCATTATTGTTGAAACAATCTGACCTTATCACCCATTTATCTCTTTACGATATCGTCAATACTCCTGGTGTTGCTGCTGACTTGAGTCATATTAATACCAAGTCTAAGGTGACTGGTCATGTTGGTGCTGCTCAATTGGAAGAAGCTATCAAAGATTCTGCTGTTGGTAAACTCATATAAGATTAATTATAAGTCTACTTTTAACTCACTTTTTTTTTTTATATATATAGTTGTTATTCCTGCTGGTGTTCCCAGAAAGCCTGGTATGACTCGTGATGACCTTTTCAAGATTAATGCTGGTATTGTTCGCGATCTTGCTGTTGCTGCTGCCAAGTTCGCTCCAAAGGCCTTCATGTGTATCATCTCAAACCCTGTGAATTCTACTGTCCCTATCGTTACTGAAGTCTTCAAACAATTCAATGTTTATGATCCCAAGAGGTAAGAAGAGAGAATTGAAAAAAGAAAAGAGAGAGAGAATCTAGTAGGTTAGTTAGTTATTCTTTTAGTATATATCTATGCCTACATAGAAACTCTTTTTTTTAAGTGTTTCAATTTTTTTTTTTTTTTTGTTGGGGTGATAGTCGAACTCAAAAATGACTCACCCTCCTTTTTTTTTTTATTAGAATCTTTGGCGTTACTACTCTTGATATTGTTCGTGCTTCCACCTTTGTATCTGAACTTATTGGTGCTGAAGCTAGCTCTCTTCGTGTTCCTGTTGTTGGTGGTCACAGTGGTGTTACTATCTTGCCACTTTTGAGTCAAGTTGCTGGTACTGACAAGTTAACTCAGGAACAATTGGAAAAGGTAACCAATCGTATTCAATTTGGTGGTGATGAAGTTGTCAAGGCCAAGGATGGTGCTGGTAGTGCTACTCTTTCTATGGCATTCGCTGGTGCTCGTTTTGCTTTGAATGTACTTGAAGCCTCTGTCAAGGGAACCTCCAATATTGTTGAATGTACCTATGTTCATTTGGATGCCGATCAAGCTGGTGCTAAGGAAACCAAGTCTGTTGTGGGTGATATTGATTATTTCTCTGTCCCTGTGGAATTGGGTCCCAATGGTGTACAAAAGATCCTCCCTATTGGTCAACTCTCTGCCTATGAAAAGAAACTCTTTGATGCTGCTATCCCTGAATTGAAAGGTAACATCACTAAAGGTTCTGCTTTCATCACTGAAGGTGCCAAGTTGTAAATATTATAGTTAGTCCTTTCTAGTTAGTTTCTTCTTTCCTCTTTTTTTTTTTTATTTATATTTGATTGCCCCATTTTACCTTATCTTCAAAGAAGAAGAAGAAGAAAAAAAAATGAATAGATCCATTTATAGTTATTATTTATTCTTTTTTGTTTGAATGTATACAATAAAAAAAAAAAACAATTATATACTGTACTTGTTTTTTCCTTGATAATAAAACTTTATTTTTTTCTTCTCTGCGCTGTGATCAGAGACTTATTTGTGTTGAGATTCGAACATATTTGCAGTGATCCTTTTTTATATTAAGGAAATAAATAAAGTTAATGATGGATGATCGATGATCCAAAAAAGAAAAGAAAAAAAAAAGGACGTATATCTGTTACAGGCGTTGCAGGCGATTGATCCATACTCCATGGATTCGTATTCACCATCATCATCTATTTTTTTTTTCTATTTACTACGTTCAAAATCACGGAATTATCATATATGTTAAGGAACATGTTGTCAATGATCAGTCATAGACTTCTTTTTCTTTTTTGTTTTTTGTTTTTAAACAAAAAAAAAAAAAAAGAAATAAACAAACCTATCGCATCAATAGGAACTACAATATATCATTGATTCAAATGATGCCAGTTGTAGATTTTTTTTAATAAAAAGTACGTCAGGAAAATATAAAAGCTGGTTTTATTTTTATTTTTATTTTTTTTTTTTTTTTTAATAGCAATCTAACTTATTTTCTTTTTTCGTTTTTTACTGCTAATATCTGCTTCTGTCTGTGATCCATTGAAACTACTATCTTCGTTCTTCATTCCCTTATATGCAAACTTTGGCTTTAAACGACTCAAATAATCTTTTCATCTAAGCTATTTTCCGCAAACTATTTATTCTTTTCTCCTAATTGTTATGATAAATAAAGTACTATGATAAATAGGAAAACAAAAGACCCGCCTCATTTGAGCGCATAAACTATCCCGCGATTATGTTTCACAAAACCAATCCATCGTTTACCATTCATCGTCATTACCATTGCCTTGACTCTGATTTTAAACAATGGAGTTACCATCACCACAAACATAAAGTTTATCATTTTATATGATCACATCATCTATTGCATAAGAAGACTAGAAAGTTTGTTTTGAATTGTTTTTCAGTTTTATTGAATGATATAAAAATAAAAATAATAAAATAAAATAAAAATCAAAGAGTAAGACTAGGATGCATTGACAGCTTTCAGACTAGTCCCGTTCGGCAACACTTTTGTATTGACCCCATCTTCACCTATCGTATTCCCGGACGTGGATGTGGTAGTGGTTGCTGTCAGTGAGAGATTGCTTGTTGCATTTGTGAGTAATTGTACACTTGTATTTGGTCCACATCGAAGTCCATATAAGTAGCCCCTTTTTGTTCCAAATAATAATAATAATCAGATATACTATCTATTTGTTTCTATGGACACACACACTTACAAGTATTTTTGATCATCAATCTTATCTTCAAAAAACATTTGACGCATCTTGAAAAAGGCTGTACATGTCAACAAACTATCGCTACCTGCTTGATGTTGTGGTCCAATACGTGCTACCTAATATAAAACAAGAAAGAAGAGAAGAGGAAAAAAAAAAGATGAGGAAAGATGTGATATTTGTTATTTATATGTATATACTTGTAGATCATCGGCTATGTCCTGTAAACCACCTTTAAGATTCTTGCAGCTTTTCATCAGATATTTTATATCATAAACACATGGGAAATACGTTCGAAGCAATTCAAAGAATTCGGATTCATCGGCCGGCATCGCTGAACAAGTCAAAACTTTCAGTAAATAACCAAAGTCATATCCACTAAGAGTAATAATAATAATAATAATCAATGAACAACAAATAAACAATAATAAAATGGACCTTACCTATGAAAGGATATCCATTTAACATCATCCAATAAGACGAAGCCTGAGCTGATCAACAGCTCTCCAAAGTGTTCTACATCAATTCCATATTCTTCATGTTTCTTAAAGTCAATTCCAGATTTCGTCAGTAGTTCAATTGAATCTTGAGCATACATATCGTCACTATCATATAGCACACAATGTTATGAGTGATTGATTCAAATTATTTCAAGGTTCTAAACTTACTCTAGGTTGAACTTGAAGTTGAATTGCCAAGTACATATGTTTCCAGGTAAGTTTCCATGTTGATCAGCAAATGTAACACCAAGTTGGATGATTTTCAAAAGGTCAACATTGCAACGTAAGGTTTGATAATGATAGTCGGAAGATGTTCGAAAAGTACCAATGGGTCGAGCAACCACTCCAGGGAATTCTGTATCCTAGAGAAGAAGAAAGAAAGAAAAAAAGAAATTAGTACCCACAAACACAAACATATATATACATATACACTTTTTTTTTTTTTGCTGTTGTTGTTGTTGTTTTTGGCTTTTCTTTTTTGGGGGGAAGGAAGGAGATGCAAGTAAATAGTCTTCTCCCCAAATAAATCATCTAATATTCGTTTTCCCATTCCAGTCACTATATTCTATTTCTTTCTTTTTTTTTCATACCATGGCAAGATAAGGATAGTCTTCTACTAGATCACGCAAATAGGCCATTTCCTCATCCAAATTTTCCGCCCATACTTCTCGAATATATTTTGAATCATTAACTGGCATCTAAGTTGTGAATATATTGTTGTTGTTGTAAGAATAGTAGTTGTAATAGAGTGAAAGAAGTAATGATACGTATTGATTGAATGTTGAAGATTGATTAGGGAAAACAAAAAACAAAAAAAAAAAAAACAGAATCGTCAAATAAGATAAAATATTTCAATAAAGAAAGAATAAGTAAAAAGGCAAGGGAAGAAAAAAGGAAGAAGAGAAAAAAAAAGAATTTTGGTCTAACCCACCTCCGCTTTTCTCTTGAATGATAATGACACTACAAAGCTGGCGGAAACTCAATTCATTTTTTCTTTTTTTTGTGACGAGGCTTGTAGAAAAACCCTTACCACTGTATATCATTTCTACAAGAAAAAAAAAATGATAACCATTTATTGATAAATATATATATTATATAAAGACAAAATAAAAAGGGGAGAAAAAAAAAAAAGAAGAGGAAGAGGGAAAGAAAATTAAAACTATATACAAAAGGGTAAAGACTAGGAAAAAAAAACTATATAAATGATATAAATAAATCAACTTTGTTTCAATAATGCCAATACAGCTGCCGCTTCTACATCATCTGCTCCAGCTGTCAATGGTAAACAATCACTTTCTAATCCAAATTTTTCTGCAAAAGAGATCGTCAAAGTACTACTTCGTTGTTGCTGAGAATCAATCGACATTGGTGGAGATGAATTTGGTGAAGATGTAAATGATTCCAATGGGCTACTAAAAAATGAATCCGATGATGACCATGCATGCTGTGATATGGATGATGAGCTGTGATTACTGTTGCTGTTAGTCACTATCATTGATGACGACATGGTGGTAGTCGCTGTTGAAAAATCCATACTGTTATCAGATCCATTATTACGATTTGATGATTGTTCAGATTGATGGTGAAGATCGCTTGAGGTATAATGTCCATAATTGTCTTCGTGTAACAATAAAGCCTTTGATGCATCTATCCTGTTTGTCATCATTGATTCCTTACCATTTGCTTGTTTATGCTTTGTCTTTGTACGTTTATCTTTCTTAGTTGAGCTGATTGATTTCCTTCGTTTGTTGTTGTTGTTATTATTGTTGTTATATGATTTATGCCGTTCCTTTTGATCAGTAGTGAAGGTTGATGCTCCTTGACTTTCATATGCTGTATCGGATAAAATCTTCCCATGTTTCCATTTGACACCACAAGCGTTACAGAGCGTACCAGCGCCCTCTGGTCCCCGTCGCCACATAGGAGTAGATTTCGAACCACAATAAAGACATTTCTTTGCTGAATGTTGATCTTGTCCATTTGATCCACGTGAAGTTGATGCTCGTTTTGTTTTCGGTTTTCTAGGAGGAGTGTAATCTGAAGAAGTAATCAACACTTCAATTCTGTATACAATTTTTTTTTTTTTTTTTTTTTTACCTTTATCATCAGTATCACCCATATTTTCATCACTACTACTGCCTTGTTCGATCGTAGATTTATGCCCAATAAGTAAAATATTTTTGGTATCCGATTCATCTTCGTGTTTAATAGGTGATAATTCATCATGATTTTCTTCTGATAATAATTTCACAGGTGGCAGGAAGCGTTCTGGGTAAAGAGAGAATTCAGCTTTGTAAGTTGCGAAGCGCTCACCATGGAGACGACACTAAAATAAAGAAATCAATATACAAAATAAGCAAAAAAGGAATAATATTATGTTCTATTTTTTTTTTTTTAAAAAAAAAAAAGAAGTTTACCAAATCCACCATTTTGTGACATAAAGCTTCATAACTGGAAGAAGTATGCTTCAGAGAATAATATATGTCAGCAGAAGCACCAGAGATTTCCACATTGATTGGTTGACTATCATGAAAACTAGACAAGTCGTGGCCAGGGTCTGTCAAACGCCTTTGAGAAGGATCGCGGGCTCCAGAAGAGATTAGACGATCACTTGAACTACAAACAGCAGCAAATTCTTCCAATTTGGTTCGATATTTTACCACAGAAGGGATTTGATTTGAATCAGAATCATGAAAAGAAAAGGAATCATGAACTAACGCTAAAGATTTGGGACCGTGGAAAGTACAAAACATCTATGATAACATATGTGTAACAAATCCAAAAAAAAAGGTTAAGTGTTATCATCCTATTTTTTATTTTTTATTTAATATACATACCTGGAAAGGAGCCATGTCATTCACTTGTTCCACCATTGCATCATGAGGGAAGAGATAATAAGTACATTCCGTTGACAAAGTAGATACACCGCTATGCTGAGCATTTTGACCATTACCAATAGAAAATACTACACAATGATCAACAACCCGTCGCTTTTTCCGCTTTTTCGGAGGTAAGGCCTTCGTACTAGTAGTAGTAGTAGTAGTAGTAATAGTAGTAGTAGTAGTAAAGTTTGAAGTGGACGGTTGTTCATCTTGAGATAGAATGTAATTTTCGGATAAACACAGTAGAGCCTCGGCGCCTTCGGGAGAAGATAGAGTTTGAATAGGATCAGCATCTTGACCATTTATCGAATGACCTTCACCGATATGAGTTGTTGGATGAATAGGAAGTCGATTAGCTTTCTTATCATATACCAATTCTGAAATTTCCGACCTTGTCACTTCATAAAAGAAAGCACGGATCGCAGGAAGTAGACCAGACTTGAGATAGGCAGGACCAAGATAACGAACTTGACATCTGTGGTGAAGGTGACCATCTATGGGATCCACAACATCTTCACCAAGCTGTGTAGGTACTTGAAAACATTCAAAAGTTTCAGAAATCCAAAAGGTACTAAAAAAAAAAAGAAAGAGGACAGATTTAGGATCAAGTTGGATCAATAAGAGATGATAATATCATCTAAATACTTTTTTTTTTTTAAACTTACTCGGAAGGTAGACGGCTGGATAACACTGCACTATGGGATCTGTTTCTTGTCAAGGAAGACATATACAGTGTAATAACAACAAGATCAACGGGAAAGAAAGACAATAAGGAAGAGGATATTGTAATCGAACGAGTATTTTTGTTGGGATTCACAATAAAGACTAATCTAAAACAAGATCTGCTTTGTTTCGTAATTTCGTTCAATAGATAATTGATTCTTTGAGGAAAGACCAGATCAAAAGAAAGATAATCGGTCAACAATCAAAAAAAAAAAAAAAAAAAAGAAGAGGAGTCAAAGAGTAAAGATATAAATAAAATAAATAAAAGTCAAGAAATATTTCAAAAAAAAAAAAAAAAAAAAAGAGAAGAAAGACAAAAAAAAAAAAAAAGAGAAAAGATGGAAATAAATAAAAATGATTAGCCGCACCTTTTTACTATACTTTCTCCGCAAAGGATAGTAACATTCTCACAACAGTTATTAACATAAAAAAGGAAGTAAAATGATGTTCAAATTGAATAACTTTTTACTTTGATCCCTTATATTGATCTCTATTTCTTCAAAAGCACGGATGTTATTGTTATTGTTTAGCAAAACTAGGCATGCAGCTAACCCGTTGGACGAGAATAAATAACCTGACCCTTATGAACAAGAACTCGTTTCCTATTGGACAGTTTCTTTTTCTTTTTTTTCTTTTTTTTCTTTCTTTTTTTTTTTTTTTTTTTGTCTTCATCCCCAAAAGGTAGATTGGGAAAGTTAGATCTCAAGTAGATCATGTAAGAAACAAAATGAGATCGCAAACGTACACACATAATTATATCATATGACATGTTCAATACGATAGGTTGTGAAATAAACAGGCAAAATAATAATTAGGATAATACTGGAGAAGACAAGGAGATAAAATAAAAAAAAAAAAAAGGAACCTTTGTTAATTGAATAGTGTGTGAACAAATAATAGTAATGACAATATATTTTGGCGCTACTACTGGATGATTGCTGTAGATAAAAAGGTGAAAAAGTTATTGTATATTAGAGAGAGAGAGAGAGAGAAAGAAATAATATACTTAAGTTTCAAATATATCATAAGAGTTGTTAAGCATCATTCTTTCATCCAATGTAAAACCAAATAATGATAGACCACATAATAAGATAAAAAAAAAAAGTCATAATCGTGTATTTTTATTTCTATATTTTCAATAATAATGGGATAAATGTAATATCGTAATGAGGAATGTAGGGGAAGTACTAAACAAATGTCATTGTTTGTACAGTTATCTAAAACAAAAAAAAAAAAAAAAAAAAAAAAAAAAAAAGAAGAAAGCAAAAAAAATGTATGTAGAAATTATAAATAGAAAGTTCGTGACACCAAATTCTATAAAAGGCGTCGGCGTCCGAAAATTTGACATTTGCTTTATGTAGAACAAGTCAAAACGAATTTTCATCAAGGTTGCATGGTCTAATGGTTATGACTCCAGACTTTGAATCTGGCAGCCCGAGTTCGATTCTCGGTGCGACCTGATATGATGATCTCCTTACAATTGCAAGGAGGCCCCTTTTTTGCACGTGGTTTCAGTTTTTTGACTTTGACTAAACTTGGTAATTGTTTTTTATTTTTATTTGTGTTAAGGAATTCTTTGGTTTATAGGTTCAAAATTGAAAAAGTAAAACGGATGATTGAAAGAGAATAAGTTGTTTAGTGAGCACCAGTACTTGATTACGCAAGCACACGTATAAGTAAAGAAATAAAATAAAACAAAAAGTAAAGTAAAGAAAAATAAAGTCTTGTTCCAAATTTGGAAAGTAGAAGTAGAGTAAAATTGTTCTGACTTTAAATATAGAACAAAGTGAGCCAATCAAAATAGATAATCCACAATACAATCAAGTAGGGATGAAAAGTAAAGATTTATTTAAAAAAATATATTGATGATTAACTAACTATCAAAAAAAAAAAAAAAAGAAGGGGTATTTATACTATTTGAAATTTAAGGTTAAAAAAATAAAATATGAAAAAGAAAATGAAAACGAAAAGAATAAGTGAAATAAAAAAATAGAATGAAAATAAAAGGGGAAGTAAAAATGAAAGTAAAAATTGAAAATAAAATTATTTTTTTTTTTTATAATTTTTTTTTTTTTTTTATTCAACACTTTTTATTTTTATTTGTTGCGGTTGTGTTAAGGTTTTTCTTGTAATTGGGTAGATGATTGTTTTCTTAAAATGATGGAAGTGTTAAAATTTTTTTATACTTAACGTGATGATTGATTTATAGATTTGATGGATGATATTATTAATATAATAATATCGTTGATGATTACTTGTAGTAAGCACTAGATCTTTTATAAAAAAAAAAGAACAAAATATAATATATGATGATTTATAACTTGATTCAAAATATAGATGTCTTGCAATGATCACACTAAATGATGATCAATAATTAAAATAATGTAATATAATAACTTGAATATAACTTGATAATAAAATAATAAATATAAAACTTAACAGGATTGATTTCTTAAGAGTGACCAAGATGATTATACAATCTTTTATTGATTTTGACATGATAAAACTTTGAAAAAAAGAGGAAATTATATAAACTACTACTGTAGATGTATTTATATACAAAAACTGAAGATTATTTTTAGATGATTATGATTAATCATCAATGAGAAAATAAAGTGGATCAAACGGGTAAATGTGATAGAAAGTAATAACGGATGAAAATGTGCAGGAGTAGGGATTCAGATGAGACCTAAAATATAAAAAAGAGAAAAAGGTCTTGGTCAAAATGTGAGACTTGGATAAATGTCAAGTTTTTCAAAAAAAAAAAAAAAAAAGGAGAGGGAAGTCAGATTTGTAGAAAGGAAAGCGACAAAATGTGATTCACTAAGAGACATAAAGATATAATATGATACCAGCCTCGCCTTTCATTATGGTTGCTAAGAGACGGCTCAAAAAGAAAGATAGAATCGTAAAAAAAAAAAAAAAAAAAAAAAAAAAAAAAACAGATTAATACCATCGTTTAATGTAATACGTGTATTTTTTTTTTTTTTGTCGACATTACCTTTGCAGCTTTCCGTAAACAGACGCCAGAATGACGATGACATGAAGATATTGGATGTCATGCAAACCGTCCCAAGTAAAACAAACCAAGAGAAAGACGAATGACCTTCCAACCAAACTACGTCAAAAAGGAAAAAAAAAAAAAAAAAGAAAGAAAAAGAAAAAAGAAAAAAAAGGAAGATGTAAGATTTTTTTCTTTTTTGTGAACTTTTACAGTCAAAATTTCAAACTCATTCCGCTTAAATTTCGCCCTGAAAAAGATGACCATTATCATATCATCATCGTGATTGAGAGAATTTCCAACGCAAAAGTTCGTGATATTATTTTAAGTATGAATGAATGAATTCAATAGTTTAGAAAACCTTTTTCCCACTCTCTACTTGCTTTGTTCCTTCATTGCTTTTTATATGTTGACTTTCATATCCCCCCTTTTCAGAATTTCTACTTTCGGAAAAATCCTGTTCGCGTGATCAAGAGCTAGCAAATAGATCGTAATGATTATTTGTATAAAACAGAATTAAAAAAAAAAAAGGCATCTGATCTTGTTATGCTACAAACATCCATAGAATAAAATCTTGAAAAAAGATCATAAAAAAAGAAAAAAAGAAAAAAAAAAAAAGAAGCTAGATCTTGATAAAAATCATTTTATTCGTCAATCATACTATATATAATTGGGGTATCACTACATTTCTACACTAATACCAAGGGAAAAGTACAGTAAAAAAAAATAATAATAACAAAAAAGTAAGGAGATCTAGCTATATAATGAATATTCAACTTGGTTCATCGTTGTCCTTTATAGCCTTTTCCAATGATTCCACTGAGAAGGAGTTTCCAGCGCTCAAAGATTGCCAAACAGAGGTAGCAACATTAACAACAGAAGGAGGTAGACCTAATATGGAATAGAATCATCATCATTATTAGTACTCATTTGTCTTTTTTTTTTTTTTTTTCTGGTTTCTTCTTATTACCTGCTACTTGCGCCACTTTCAAACCATGTGATTGTCTGCAGACTCCAGGTTCTACTCGATGCAAAAAGGAGAAACCAAGATGATCTTCGTACAGACTTGTCTTGAAGCATTTCAGATTTTCAAAAGTACCGACAGCTTCAGCTAATTCATGATAATGAGTGGCAAATAGAGTTCGGCATCCAATCCTTCGGTTCAAATCATCCAAAATAGCATAAGCCAAAGCAAATCCATCTGATGTAGAAGTACCACGACCTACTTCATCCATAATAACCAGAGACTTTGATGTAGCATTTTTCAATATTGTGGCTGTTTCTGTCATTTCCACCATAAATGTTGATTGATCTTGAGCCAAGTTATCCGCTGCCCCCACTCGACTAAAGATATAATCAGTCAATCCAATACGTGCCTTCTTTGCTGGTACAAAACATCCCATATGAGCCATCACTACAATAATTGCATTTTGCCGTAAAAAAGTACTTTTGCCGCCCATGTTTGGACCAGTCAGAAGCCAAAGTCGTTGATCATCTTTCAATGCACAATCGTTTTTCGTAAATAATCGCCCTTTCCGTCCAAGATATGTTTCTACCACAGGATGTCGTCCACCTTCAATAATCATATCTTCTTCAGCATGGATTTCAGGTCGTGTCCAATTATGTTGTTTTGCCAACCAAGCAAATGTGGTCAATGTATCTAATTGCGCAAGTGTATGACAACTTCGGATGATAGAGCTGCTCTGAGCCAGTAGTCGATTCACCACTTCTTCAAAAATTTGTCCTTCAATTTCCATAATATGAGTCACTGTGCCTTCTAGTTGCATAGATATATCTGCCCATAAAGGTAAATGGTATCGTTTCTTCCCTTTTGTTTGGTGCACCATAGAGAGATTTTGATCTTGATAATAGGCTTCCAACTTCTTTGCTTGAGATGAATTCACTTCGACTATATGACCATAAGGAGACTGTGATATCAGACAGAGTGTTTTTCCACAAATAGATCGTAACGTATCCTGAAGTTCGTTCTTCTCTTGTTCAAGTCGTTTCAATTTATTATAAAGTCGTTTCAATGTTGGATTATAATCAGGATTGACAAATCCATAGCCTTCACTTTGCATTTCACCATCATAGTTCGTTTCATCATCAGTAGTGCTGTCTATGTCGAATGAACTTTGTTGTTGTTGTTGTATAAATGCATGTTGAATATCGTTGATATGATTGTCGTGAGGATCCAATGTATTTAGTAAGGTTTGTATGGATGCTGGCAAATTAGTGTGTTGAAATAGTTGCTGAATTGATTTCATAGTATTGAATGTCCTGTTGATTTCAAATAAATCCGAGTATTGTCCTCTTCGCATAGCTAATCGTTGTAAGGCCCGTTGTGCATCTGTACTTTGCTTCAATTGATATCGTACATCAGATAAAATATAACCATGATGGTAAAAATAGTCTACGATATCCAATCGATTTTGTATTGCTTTGATAGAACCAAGAGGACTTGATAACCATTGTGAGAGTAACCTTGAACCCGAATTCGTCATAGTATGATCTAACATACCAAGTAAACCATCTTGTCGACGACCACCCATCAAACCTTTCAGTAGTTCTAAAGATGCCATTGCTGCACTATCGATACGTAATATATCTTGTACAGTAAATAATGTCGGTGATAATAGCTTGGGCTTCCTTCCAACATGTGTTTGGTCGATATAATGTAGTAAAGCCATAGCAGCTGCCAGTGATTGTTCAGAAAATTGATTTGATTCTGTCTTGTTGTTTTCTTCAATCCAATTGCTTTCTTCACCAAACATAGAGTTCAACGTGGTTCTACAAGTCATAGCATCAAATACAGTTTCAGGTTGATACGTGATAGACAGCATAGGAGCAGTAGCAAGTATGCGAGTAATAGGATCATATGTATCTTGATTCATATCCAACTTTGAAGATAGTTCATCATTAGTGTAAGTATCAAGAGTGGTTAAAGAAGAGTGTTCCATCCATTCTGGCAAAATGACTTCTCTAGGTTGTATACGTACAATATCGTCTTTGAAAGCCTGTACAGTTGTTTGTTGTAGAATAAATTCACCCGTCGATATATCTACCCATGCCAGACCAAGATAAGTAGAATCATCAGCATTTGTCAAATTTCTTGGTGGGTATACAGCCAAGAGATAGTTGGAAGAATGAGCTGTCAAATAACGTTCTTCAATCACAGTTCCAGGTGTAATAATTCTAGTGATAGCCCTTTGCATTCCGAGAATAGATCCATCATCACGAGCAGACGTTCCGAGTTGTTCACATAGAGCTACACGACGTTTCAAACGATTTACCAAAATATCAACATATCGATGCAAAGAACGTGAAGGAAATCCAGCAAAATCCACCACTTGTCCATTAGCCACTTTTTTTCGTGTCAATTTCAAATCCAAGAGGGAAGCAAAACGAGTAGCATGAGATTCATAAAGCTATTATTAAAAAAAAAAAAAGAAGTTAGTAAATAGTGGTAAATAGTAGTTCTCCTGATTTCAATAATATCAATAATAATAATAATAATAATAATAATAATAATAATAAAAAAAGGGACTTACTTCATAGAAATCACCAACTTGAACCAATAAAACACAGAGAGGGTACTTTTTGGTATATTCGCGTACAGTATCAAGAACTACCGAACCAGTGGTTTTCTGTTTAGGTTCTAGTATAATAGGAAAGTTGGATTGTTTCACAGAAAGTTGAATTGGTTGATTTTGAAGCTGTTTGGCGATAGGTTGAAGAACAATTTCCGTAGTGCCGGACGTAATACGTTTAGAAACAAAAGTAGAAGTAATAAACGATCGAATAAAAGAATATTGTATGAAGTATTGTCTATGATATGATACATATTGTCGAAGAAGCATATATTACTAAACTATATATTATATAATAATAATAAATAAATAATAATAAAAAAAAGAATATTTTTTTTTTTTAAGTTTAGAAAGGAAAGAGGAGAAAAAAAAAATGTATGATCGAAACAAGAAAAAAAAAGATCGCTGCGGATATTGAAAAATTGGGATTTTTTTTTTCTTTTTTTCACTGGTCTCCTTTTGTGGAATCAGAAGGTTCTTCTGTTTTGTTCTTCTTCTTCTTCTTTTTTTTATTATTACTTGCTTCTCTATTTTTATTTTTTTTTTTTTTTTTACTTCTTTTTTTCTTTGTTTCTTTATTTACCCTTCGTAGTCATGAATTACTATGATGCGGATACTGAAGAAGAATTAAACGAATCTATAAGGAATATGGATGACTCTTCTTCTTCTTCTTTTTTTCTTCAACATATACTACAACACCAACAACAACAACAACAGCAACAACAACAAGAACAACAGATAAGGTTTCAGAACACAAATATGGCTGGTGTTTACCTTTCTTTAGACTCCATTTTGAATGACGATAGTAGTGAAGATTCTGATTATTCCCTTGACTATGAATATCTTGGACCACGACAACCTATTTATCGGGATCGCAATGACGCTGACAGTGATGCATCAGAACTCTCGTGTAATGATGATATTTCTGAACAAGACCCTGATACTATGTCATATAATGCTGGTTTTGATATGTGGGATGAAGATCCATATAGTACAAATGACTTTACCTGGCAATCCAATGATATGCGACTAACTCACTTTATCAAAATAAAACAAAAACGTCTCTTACGAACTGACCTGATAGCTCCTTGGTGTTCAAGTCCCAGTTTTTGGCGAAAAGAAAAAGGTTGGCCAAGGCAATTACGTTATTCTTCAACTACAACTAATCATGATCAATCTGCCAATGCATTATGTCTTGTTTCAACAAATTATGCTTGTGGTGAACAACTTTTTGGAATATATCGGAATCGCATTGTTGAATGTGGTCGTCCCTGGTCTTCTCCTCTTTCACCTTCAACTCAGCTCAGGATGAAACCAATGATTAGTGATGCTAGCAAACGTAGTACTACATGGATAGGCAGTGATATTACAACAACCTTACCTGGAAGCTCCACCAATACAACTTATACAACATCACTACCACAACAGCTTTCAGCATCGTCATCGACTTCCTCAGATGGTTCCAAGTTTTGCTCTACTCATATCTCCATCTCTTTAAGAAGATCTTCCTCTTCGTCCACCTCATCCAATGCACTGTTACCAACAACTAGATATGAAAGTATGGGAGATGATGATGATGCTCTATCAACAACCTCAACCTCTTGTATCTCCAAGTTTGTTCCCTTTACCAAGTACCTCAAACGATCTGAATTTACTCCTCCTCCAGGACAACAACATGCTTACGTTTCTCTTGGTTTTGAACCTTTATGTTTGGAAAAAAAATACGGCTATATGGCTATTGGTGGTCTTGAAGGTGAATTTGAACTTTATTGCTGTATGGACAAAGATCATCCGGTCAAGATATGGGGTACGGTATTCAAAGGACGGGATAATATTATGTTGATGACCAATGCTATCCAAATTGTACGATGGAAACGATCTCTTTCGAATGCGGACTCATCACATGAAACAAATACATCAACAAATACCACCGACAAACCACTGGAAGACGATGGCAACAACAACTATGCGGATGGATACGATTACTTTTTATTTGCTTGCATGAACGAGGCTGGGATCCTTGTCTATAAATTACCATCACATCATCAATGTCTTATGAATCAACATCAACATTGTGGACCTACCTCATTGAACAGTACCACGACAGCTCAACTATATGCACATCTACAGTCTTTTGATCATGTTCCTATCAATGATGCCAAGGTCAGTCCTGATGGAACTAAAATGGTGTGTGTGGGTGATGATGGTTTTATTTTTATGGTGAACATCAACCATCATCAACACTCGGCAAACGTGGCTCCTTCTTTCTATCAATCATGTTCCAAGTCTGGTGATCCAATGGATACATTATCTACGGATAATCGTGTGGTGACTTTTAGCCCTCCTGTGAAATTGAAGATTCCAGCAAGTTTACTCCAGCCACCTTCCTCCTCGACAGAAACAACGCGATCATCATCATCATCATCATCGGAAAATATTGAAGTAGAAGAGCATGCTCAATCCTTCAACGATACTGACAATGGAAATGAACGTGACAATGACATTTATCGCTCTCGTACACCTTACTCTTCTCAGCATGTTGTTTGGAATCACTCATCAGAATATTTTGCACATACATCAGATACCCATCATCGTGTCTTGGTCTGGCGTGCTTCGACCCTCGATATTGTATATTCTATTGATGCTGCTGGCTACACTTATGCGATCAAGTTTCATCCTTTTCTTGATGGTGTTTTAGCATTTACCAATCGATATGGCTATTTTCACACTGTGGATCTCAATCAAGTTTTTGACAAGACATCGACGACGATGACAGATGAACAAGGCAGCAACAGTAATGATTGTAATGATACACCAAGCAAGGACAACAGCGGATCGGTAGAAAGCATATTTGATTTTGGACGGCAAACAACCACTTACCGGGGTCATACTTGCAATCGCTATTGTGACAACAATGGAAACAACAAAGCAGCAAACACATCATCATCATCATCATCATTCACCGACTCAAATGAAAGTGTATATCATGATCATCCTGGTCACCATACTCATCATCTTACAGCTCGACATGAAATGACCATGGTAGCATTCCGAGGTGAAAAGGATCGAGGATTACGTATATTGGCGAAAATCAATGGAATACAATGGTCGCAAGATGGATGTTATTTGTATGTGGCTACAAAGAAACGAGTATTGGCATATGAATTTATCTCTTGGTCACAACAACATGTGCGCAGTTTGTTTGGTTTGGCAGGGCAAAAAATCAGGCATCTATTGGAAAAACAACATGAACGAAAAAAACATCATCATCAACGGAAACGAAAGAACAAGATGTTTGTTACTCACAATGAAAGGAAGAAACGGCTGGGTCACCCTTGGAATGATGTTCATCCTAGTATGACGACTTCACAGCATCCATTCGATAAGAATGAAAAATGGTTTCGACAATGGTCAAGCGTGCCGCTGCATATTCGACAACAAGTTTTGAAGGAATCAGATCTTTCGACTCACTGGTGATTTCTTTATTTTACTATTTATTTATTTAGTTTGATCAATCATATGTTTCTTAGTGTTATATCTCCCTTTATATCCTTTATTCTATATTTCCTTTTTCATTCATTATACTTATATATTATTATTATTATTATTATTATTATACAATAATAAAAAATACCATATATTCACATATGCCAATGTACACATATCCTTGTTATGATCTCAATTGGGGTATCAACAGCTTTTTTTTTTTTTTTTTTTTTTTTTCGAAAGAAATAAAATGGGGTCCTACAACGGACATCATTTGAATCAGTGATATATCGTAGTTCCTATTGATACGGTAAGTTCGTTCGTTTTTTTTTTTTTTTTTTTTTTTTGGATCATCGATCATCCATCATCAACATCATTTATTTCCTTAATATAAAAAAGGATCAAATATGTTCGAATCTCAACGCAAATAAGTTTCTGATCACAGCGCAGAAAAGAAAAAAAAATAAAGTTTTATTATCAAGAAAAAACCGGTATATAAGATAATTTTTAGTGTACAACTACGTAGTTGTACAACCTTTTTTTTCCAGTTTCTCGGGATAATTCCATTTATCTGGCAGGTACCAGAAGTTTGGTTATGATGCCTATCATTCCCATAAGGAGGTTTTTCTGTAATGACAGTGATGATATCATAATGACTATGATGGCGATAAACATTAGCTACGATCACCTTGTTGCTATTAACGATTCTAAGAAAAAGGATAAGTCTGCTGGATGATAATGGTGGATCGGTATTTCATGAAAAACAACAAGGTACCAAATCCAAAAAAAAAAAAATGGCTAATATCTCTTTCTTCGTCTTATTAGTTTCATTTATTTTTTTTATACATCATCTCTCAATTTATAGAGTTAAATTAAAAAAATAAAATCCTAATATCATCATCCTTCCCCAAGACATAATCATCATTCAATAAAATATCACCATTCGATACCTCTCCAAAAAAAAAAAAAAAAAAAAAAAAAATAGTTTAAGATCGTCTAATAGCATTTGATCCGTTGCTCTTGAGATTTTTAAAGGATGATTAAACTAACGCAATGATCAATGATCATCCTTCAAGTTCCATTTTTAAGCTTTAATTTATACCATTATCCATTCATCATCAATAGCAACATAATGTAAAAAGACATACTTATTTTATTTTCATTTCAATATAAATATATATAAAACTAAAACTATACAAATAAAAAACTATGATGAAGGGAGGGAAAAAATATATAAACTGTCAAATGGGAGAATGGAGGAGAAGTCAAAAAAAAAAATGAAATGTATGAATGAAAATAAACTAATAATAATAACAACAATAATAATAATAAAAAAAAAAAACAAAAGATGTAATGATGAATGTAAAAGATAAACCGTAGATGAATGCATCTAAAGCTTGTCGTAGTATCTTTCAAGACCAGGAATATCTTCGGTAAGACCCTTTCTCTTACGGACGTCGCGGATGATATCGTAGACCTTGTTACCAGCTTCCAAGGGATTACCATTCATGGCTTCCCAGTGATCGAACACACATTGAGGGAAGGCTTGACCAGAGGTGGCGGCACGGAGATCACCATTGAAACCGAAAGATTCGTTGATGGGCAAGTAGGCCTTGATGGTCATCATAGGGGTACCAGGACGTTGTTCTTCAGAGAAGACGACACCACGACGTCTGTTAAGTACAGAGTAAATACCACCAATAGCAGTTTCAGGACATTGTACTTCGACAAGGTACATGGGTTCTTGAATACCAGGAGTAGCAGTCAACACGGAAGCATAGACGACACGACGACAAGTGGGGATGATTTGACCACCACCTCTGTGAATAGCATCAGCATGGAGAGTTACATCCAAAATGTTGAAACGACAACCACGCAAGTTTTCTTCAGCAAGAGGACCTTCCTTGGTAGCCCATTGGAAAGCAGCAACACAAGAATCCTTGATTTCGTTGAGATATTGGACAGCCTTAGTAACATCAACCATCTACAAAAAAAAAAAAAAAGGAGTGAGTCCCAATTTTTCTTTCTTTTTATGATCATCTTCTATCCATCCTTTTTTTTTTTTTTTTTACCAAGTTAGGACCAGTGGCATCAGGACCGAAACACCAAATCTTACGAGCTTCAGTGACATCCCAGTTGAAATCATCAGCGAGGATACGGGCACGAGCCTTGAAATCATCCTTAGGACCAACCTTACCGGATTCAATAGCATTAGAAAGTTCATCATCCAAAGGCATAGCACGCATATAGATACGGTTGTGCTTGTTGGGAGATTTGGACAAACAATCGATGGAAGATTCGGCAGTGACAGTTTCACGGTATTGGACAACGGGATCACCAACCTTCAAGGGGACTTGAGCGTGATCTTCTTCAAGATCCTTCAAACAGATTTCCAAATGGAGTTCACCAGCACCAGCAACAATATGTTCACCAGATTCGGAAGTATAAGTCAACACACAAGGATCGGATTTAGCAAGGCGTTTAAGACCTTCAACGAGCTTGGGCAAATCGTTAGCGTTCTTGACTTCGACAGCAACTTGCACGACAGGAGAGACAGAGAACTTCATGACCTTCATGTTGTGAGCAACTTCAGAGGTAGTGATAGTACCAGACTTGACCAAGAATTGATCGACACCAACGAGACCAATGATGTTACCAGCAGGACAATCATCAATAGCTTCGACACCACGACCCATCATGAGAACAGTACGTTGAACAGATTTGATGTGCAAATCAGTCTTAGTACCGGGAATGAAGTTGGGACCTTGAATACGGACCTTCATACCAGCACGAACAGTACCAGAGAAGACACGACCAAAAGCATAGAAACGACCCTTATCAGAGGTAGGTACCATCTTGGAGATGTACAACATAAGAGGACCCTTGGGATCACAATCACGGATACCAATAGCACATTCATCATCAGTGGGACCTTCGTACAAATTGGGTACACGATAACGTTGAGAGGTGATAGGAGAAGGTAAGTGAATACAGATCATTTCCAAAAGAGCATCACCACAAGGTAAGAACTTGCGCATAACAACCTTAAGCAAAGCTTTTCCTTCCAATTCCTTTTCATCAGACTTGAGCTGAATATCCAACTTTTCCAACAAGGTGGCAACTTGATCCTTCTTGAAGTTCATAACAGAGTCAAAGATCTTGTAAATAGGGTCCAAGACGAACATGTTGAAGGCACGTTCACCACCACCGGATGCCTTAGTGGACCATTTCTTGGTCTTAGGATTGAAGTAGTTTTCACCCCACAACTTGTCCATCATCTTTTGCTTGTCAACACCGAACTTCTTGGAGTAACGTTGAGCGAATTGACGAAGAGTGAAACCCCAACCGTGGAGAGCAGAGGCAAAGGCAACAGTACCATGTTCAGGTCGAACTTGAACATCACCGAGAGCTTCATCAATATAAGTAGAGATAATCACATTGACGGATTCAATAGTACGAGCAAAGGCCTATAAAAAGAAGAAGAAAAAAAAAAAAAAGAAAAAAGAATGAATACTACCGCTATCGAATGAAATCATCATCACCACTTACATTATATAATTCTTCTTTGCCCAATTGCAATTCGAGAAGAGCACGATCGACTTTGTTGATAACGACAATAGGTTTGATACGTTCACCAAGAGCTTGACGCAAGACAGTTTCAGTTTGAACGCAAACACCATCAATACAGTCAACAACAACGAGAGCACCATCAGTGACACGGAGAGCAGCAGTGACTTCAGATGAGAAATCAACGTGACCAGGAGAATCAATTAAATTGATCAAGAAATCAGAACCTATCAAAATAATAGTAATAATAATCATCAATCAACCATCTTTTAATAAATAGTATTCTTTTTTTTTTATTTATTATTACCATTAGTAGCTTGACCCTTGATTTCCTTGATATCTTCAGGATCAGGAAGTTGGAAATAAAGAGAGATAGCAGTGGACTTGATAGTAATACCACGGTCTTGTTCATCTTGACGAGTATCCATGAAACGAGTTTCACCAGCACGACCAGCAGAGATAATACCAGCCTTAGATACCAAAGAATCAGACAAAGTAGACTTGCCGTGATCGACATGAGCAATAACAGACATGTTACGCACATTGGTAACCTTGTCCATCAAGCCCCGAATTTCTTCAACAGTGAAGTTCTATATATTAACAATAAAAAAATAAAAATAAAATGAATTGTCTTTTCTTTGTCGCGTCCTCGTTTATGCATTGTTTCACTTACAACTAGCGTTCATAAAAAAAAAAAAGAAAAGGAATTTGTATCAATTGTATCATAAAAAGTAAATAAAAGAAGTAATAAAAAAAAAAAAAAAGAATATCAGTTGTCAAAATAAAAATATGCATAATCCCGGGTTGCTGATCTCCATTTTTGTCAGCGTAATAAAGTTATATCCATTTTCATCTAAAAAAAAAAAATCATCCATCCATCCATCCATCCATCCATCCATCCATCCATCCATCTGTTCATATCCATTTATCTATCCGTTCATCGTCGTCTGCTTACCCATATTGAACTGCTAGAGTAAAATGAGATAAAAGTGTGGTTAAGAAACGAGTAATTAAACTATTAACATCATTTTTTTTATTTAAAAACCCATGCTTTAATGCGGTGAGCGAAATTGTCCCCCCAAAGAAACTTTGGATCAGGTGAGTTGCAGTAAACCATGCACTAAAAGGTTTAGTTTCGTTCATGCCTCGGTACGCTTTGTTTCAAAAGAAAAAAAAAATATTGGGTTTTTTATTAAAAAAAAAATGTACTGTATAATTGAAGTCATTAAGTAAAAAGGTACATATATATATATATATAAAAGGAAGAGTATCAATAATATGAAGATATAAGTAAGAAGAGGAGGCAAACAAGAAAAAAAAAAGTCTAATATAAAATTATGTGAACATAATAAGAAAAGTAATGCAAAAAAAAGAAAAGAGATACTAAGTTTGTATGCGTATGTGTATAGTTGTTTGTATATATAATATATACATATAATAGTTGTAAAATGTAAAAATAAACTAGGGGAAAGAGAGAAAGTTCCAAATAATAATAATAATAATAATAATCCATCAATGAGGTTTGACTGGGACAAATTTTTTGACAAAATCAACACCATAAAGATAGGAAGACACCATGACAATAAAAGCACCAACAACAAAAGTCAGTGTTGGTTGAAAGTTAAACAAGTAAAAACTGATAACACCAGATACAATGATAGATAAACTTGTTGCAAACCCTTTCAAAATATTATCAGCATATTTGACCACAATAGCCACCAATAATCCACCCAACGCTTGATTTGCGACTACCACCCAAGTGAGACCATCATAACCTTGTAACATCCCACCTTCACGAATAGGCTGCATATCATACATCAACATCCCAACTAATGAGAAGAAAGCACCAGAGATACCAAGTTGAATATTTCGTACCCACATGGAAGTATCTGAGGTCTTGAGAATCTTTTCAAAATAACAACCAGCAAAACCAGAGGAGATACAACTTGTGATCACTGCCATCAAACCAATAAAAGGAGATTGTGCAGATATAGATGTACCAACAAGATCATCTTCGATCAATGCATCTGCTAATAAATTTTCAGTTTCATCCATTGTTCCTGATACTGGCGTTGAAGAAGAAGAAGAAGAAGAAGTAGGAGAAGAGGCCATACTTTGAGATTGAACTAATGTAACACCAATCATCAATAACACCAAAGCAATCCATTTGTCCCGCTGTAGAGATCGACCCAATAGGACCACTGAAAAAATAGCTGTTGATAAAATCTTCATTTGATAGGTCACTTGAAATGTTGCTGCTTCCAAGTTACTGAGAGCCACATATAATAGATTGTTTTGTAAAGCATAAAGTCCAGAAGGGATTAGCATCTTGAGTGTTTCACCAGGTCGACCCAAGATCTCTGTACGTACAAAATCCACAAAATGTTGCCATGAAGGTTGTTGATGTCGCATCACCACAAGACAGGCCACGATCTTTAATATTTCGGCAAGAAACACAGCTGTCGAAGCAATATACATTGGTTGTCCCACCTTTTGTACAATCCGAGAATACCGCATCATCAAAACAAGTGTACTATTCTGAACCACCAATATGATGAGTGATAACTGTTTTCGAGTCAATCCAAAGAATAAAGGTTCCACTAATAATAATAATAAAAAATAAAAGGAATTAGTTTTCCATATGTATATTAATAAAATATTGAATTACCTTTTGGTTTTTCATTTGGTACAACTGTTGGTAAAAGATCTTTCCTTGCAAACGTCCGTCGAGTTTGATAGACGGACATTGTATGATTGTGTTGAAACGGAAAGAAGATAATTTAAAGAAGAAAGATAATAAAAATAGGGATGAAGGGAAAAGTGGTGACCCCAGAAAAGAAAAACGACTATGAAGAAGGCTAAGATGAGGGTGGCTACGAAAGTATGAAAAAAAAAGAGAAAGAGAAATCTTTTTTTTTTTTTTTTGAGGAAGACGGACCACAAATTTTAAATTTTCCCTAGATCTCCGCGAGTGTCAACTCTTACACTTCAAATATTACGCATCAACCATCGTCCCTTTTTTTTTAACTGTAGTAATCATAATAATAATAATCATAAAATTTTTTTTAAAAAAAATGTTATTTGTATAAAAAGACAATTAAATATTAAATCAAAAGAAGTATGTGTGTATGTATGTTAGTTGTGGAGAAACTAACCTAATAGTCGTTATTTATGTAATAATAATAATAATAACAATAAAAAAAAAAAAACTTAGTTATACAGTGTCGTTAAAGGTCGTCCAATTGGGAAAGGAGGAGCAGATAAACCAAATCCAGGGTCTGAGTATCGTTTTGTTGATTTTCTATATTGTTGTATATATTTTTCCAAACTATCATGATCATTATCATCATCATCATCATCATCGTCACCATCATCGTCATTATTGTTATTATCATGATCATCATCAAATAGTTGCTTATGTTGTCGCCATTTGAAATGATCGTTTTCCATAGTGTGATCATCACCAATCTTTTTTCTGTTAGGTTGATGGTCATCCGACACAGAAAGTATATGAATTGCCGCATCCCGTAAGTCTTGTAATCGTACCATTTTAGGGTATCGAAATGCAATCAGGTTTTGACTATCTGACGTTGTCATCGCTAAATCTTCTTCCTCTAATGCTGATAGTTGTGGCGAGTATCGATTGACAAAATGATGGCTGCGTCGTCTTTTATCTTGTCGTTGTTGGCGATGATGCGTTGGATGAGGATCCATGCGAACAGTGTTTTTTCTATGATGATGATCATCATTGATTGGGTTGTCGACAGGATGATGATTTTGTTTTCTGCGTAACGATCTGGCCGGGCGTAAGAGTGATTTAGTAGAAGAGAGTGTTTGTTCCATAAAAGATACATCCTTTTTTTTTTGTTGTTGACTGGATGATGATGGTGAAGGAGTGTGTACAAGTGGTGGAGTCGAAGGAGTGATGGATGATGGCGATGGAATAGGAGGATCATGATCATTTGTTAATGATGAAGAGGGTACGGCGTTGCCTACAGGAAGAAAAAGAAGTGATGCTTTTGAACGTTGTGAACCACCTAATGCACGAGCGATGTTGGCATTGCTGAGTCCATATAAACCTTGTTCTACCATCCTATTTTTTTCTCGCTTGTATTCTTCAAAAGAGGTACCGACTGACCAAGAGGCATGTCTTGCTGCTTTTCTTGCTTGTTGTTCACGGCGTCTTTGTCGTTGCATATCATCCAGTCTTGATGTCTGTACCTGAACTTCTTGTTCATCATCATCATCATTATCCAATAGTGACAGTCGACGATTCCTTTTTTTATCTTGACCAATCCGAATCCATCGTGTAAGATTTTTTAACCATGATGATTTGTTTTGTTGCTTAGTGTTGTCTACGTTTATGGTTTGATGATTATCATCCGATGAAGGTAGAGCATTATGTTGATGTTGATGATCATTATTAGAAAGCCAATGTTGAGATAACATGGAATGGCGTCGACGTGTAGTAGTAGTAGTAGCAGTTTTAATAGATGAGAGAATGGGTGTTTGTATTTCCGAGGTCAATAAAGAGCCAATAAATTGTTGATTATCATCACGTACTAATTCTTCATCAGTTGATCGTGTGTCCAAAGGTATCATTGAGCTAATTTCTGCCTTTGTTTTTCTTTGTAGTTCCAATTCTTGTTCTAATAGCATTCTTTGATTTTGTATAAAAAACTCAACATATCTACGTTTAGCATCACGACTTGATGGAAACTTTTATAAAAAAAAAAAGTGGAAGTTAGAAAAAAAAATACCACGCTTATGTGTAACCCATCATCTAGAGTTAACCATATGATTAGAGATATCTTTTTTTTCAAGTCAGATCTGCATAAAAAAAACCTTGACTTCCCACCCCTAAGTATTTAATATACAAAACTTACGGTAGATTTATGATAATCAAGATTAGTTTCAGTAAGTGGACTAACAAAAGGTTCGGTCACTTTGTGAATTTGTAATTGAGCAGTCATCAAAGAATGACTAGTTGTGAATAAATGATCTTGATCATCTTGAACTTGTTCTATTTCTGAAAAAGAAGGCTTTGTTTTGATGGTTGTAGGTGCTTCTACTGGTGGAGTTGTATGACTAAAAGAACTGGATATTGAACATGGTAGTAATGGTAAAGAGATTGAATGATGAAGTGATGGTGTGGATTGCATTAATAATGAGAAATATACAAAAGAAGAAAGAAAAAAAATAAAAGAAAAAAAAGGAGAATCATAATGATATTTAAAGGAAAAAAAAAAGAAATAAGTCGTACAGTCAATGGAGTCGTAGCCAACTTTTTAAGTTTTATTTCTATCCACCTGACCCTATCACAACAAAAAAAAAAAAATCCAGCAAATTATCCCCTTGGTTACAATAATAATGTAAAAGAAAAGAAGATTTATTTATTGTAGTAAGTATATATAAAAAAAAATAAAACTATGTCTAGCAATAAGAATCACTCAATATCATCAAAATCTAATATATAACTTCCATATCTGCAGTTCCTGATTGTCGAGCTTCTTCCTTGAGAAGTTTCTTCTTTTTTAACTTTTCCACCCTTGCAGCTTCAGCTCTTCGATCAGCAAATCTTGTCAATAAATATCCAAGTGTGGCAATACTAATTCCTGCACTAGCAACACCAGCTATTTAATAATGATGTTCAAATTCCCGCGTGGACATAATAAGAAAAAAAAAAAAAAAACAGAAGTAAAAATGAGATATCAACCTTCATGTATATCATGTGCGCATATCTATTTGTATTTACCCATGCCTTTCCATATGGTTTCCCATCTAACAGCTTCCAATTCAGTTCTTACTTCACCCATTTGTACTGTAAACTTGTTGTTGATTTCTTGTATTTTCATATCAATAGCCTTTTGTTCTTCTTGTGTTTCATTCTTGCGATTGTTCATATCCAAAGTCACGTCATTCTTCATTGTTGCCACATCTTCCCGTAATCGTTGTGCCAAAGCTTCTACTTCTCTAGTTACCATTGCTGCTTCTGTTTGTAACATTTGAGTATCATTACGCCGCATGATTTGAATTTCTGTTCGAAGTTCTGATAATTCTGCTTTGAATAGATAAGATTCCTATAAATAAAATAAGAAAAGTGATCAATCAACAATTAATAAATCATCTATGTTCCTTACATTTTCAAGATCAGATCGAAGTAAAAGTTGTTTTCTTAGTCGTGCTGTACTATATAATATCCCCGGTAAGATTTTTTTTTTTAAGAAAAAGATGGTTTAGTATTTCAAAAAAATAATAATACTTGTACATAATAATAAAATACCTTTCTCGTAGTTTGAATTTGATACCTTTCATAACTACTTCAGCTTGATTTCTCGTAAAACCTTGTTGTTCTAGTGATTGTAATAATCGATAGGTATCAAAGTGATGTTGTCGGTAAAAGGATAATGAGGTATCTTCTAAATGTAGATTAGGTTGTGTAGTAAGAAGTGGATTCTGTCGGTCACTTAATAATACAAAGTTGTTGTCATTTTTGTTATTGAGAGTATCGGAAGAGCTAAGAGAATCATTAGTCAAATCGTTATCCTTCTTTTTATCGTCTTCAATAATAGGTCGATTTGGGTATGGAGAAGGGAAAGGTTGAGATTGATCACCAAACATTCGACATTGTTTAAGTTTGTTTGGATGATATGTATTATGCGTTTTCCAAATAGATCGATGAATAATAAATCGTGATATAGGTCGTGAAACCATGAAGATAAAATATATAAAAAAAAAGAGAAAGAAAGAGAAAGAGAGAAACAATAAAAAATATATCGATTGATACAAGACTTTTTATATATATTCAAACGCCGTTTTTTTATTTGGGAATTTCACGTCTTTTTAAGTCAAAAAAAAACAAAAAAAAAAAAAAAACAAAAAAACTAATTATATTCACTGAGGTCCTTCCAGTTTTTCAAAATGTTTCTTAGCAGCCGAAATATTCAATAAAGTAGCAGCAGATTCTATTGTATAATATAATAATTAATAATTTTAAATAAAATGAAATAAATAAGATAACTTACGTATATTTGGATCTGACATGACAATCATTGCATAAGTATTGTTGGTAAGAACGTCAATAAAGGCAGTAAAAGAGCTACCTCGGATTTCCATACTTTTGAATCTTGTTTGTGATCGACTAAAGACAAGACAAAGGGGGGAAAGGGTAAATTAAAAAAAAAAAAAAAAAAAAGGTAAGGGGATCATTGGTTTACCTGCAGCCGAGATTGAATTGTTTAATAATATTACTGATTTTTTCAAATCGATGTAGATCTTGATGTTTAATAGTAGCAGCATTGGCGATTACTAAAAAAGTAGTCCTTTCAAATAATACTACTTCATCAGCATCACATATTCTACAAAAGTTATCAAGGTGTGATTCTAGAGTACGAATGTTGGGTATCAAACAGTGGACGATTTGAGACCATGCCTAATAATAATAATATATATAGATAAATAAATAAAAAGATTGAATAGAATATAGAAAAACTTACAGCATATAAGGTTTCATCCCAAATAGAAGTACAATAACCTTCAATATGTAATGGTTCAGATCTTGTACGTAATTCAACCAATCTTTCATTGAATATCTGCATAATAAAAAAAACAAAATAAGAAATCATTCATCTATTTCTTTTCGAAAATAAAAAAAAAACTTACTTCATCACGTTGATGTTCGGGTACAAGATCCATTTTATGAATAAGACAAAATATACGCGCTTCTTTTGAATTGGCCAAAATAGCATCCAAACATGATTGATAATAGTGTAAATCTTTTTCCCAGTCTCGACTTTCCACATCAAATACATAAATGAGTACTTCGACATTCTTGAATATACGGTCTCTTTGTGATGCAAAATAATTTTCCATAAAAGCTTCTTGACTATATAGACATAGAAAGTATTATTATTATTATATATTAACAATATTTCAGTATCTTTTTTTTTTTTTTTCTCTCTTACCCTCCACAATCCCATAAGTTCAAGACAAGGTTGCCCAAGAACTTGACATTAGAATGTTCCACATCGACTATTCAAAAAGAAAAAGAGGAAAGAAAGAGTTAATGAATATATATATATATATATATATATATATATTCTTATAACTTACTTGTTGCTCCTAGTCGTCTTGTATCCCTTGCTATATAATTACTAAATATAATGGAACGCATGGATGTTTTTCCTGATCCGCTCTTTCCCATCAATAAGACCTAAAAAGAAGTTAATCAGTTATATTATTTATATTGAATTTTACCTTTTTCTTTTTCATTGTTATATATTTTGGTATTTCTCGTAGTAAAAAATTTAAAAAAAAAAGTGAAAAAAAAAGAAAAAAAAAATTACACTCAAAAAATTCAAAGCAAAACCCGTTTTTATGACGTGGAAAAATAGACATACTGAAGAAAAAAAGAACTTTTTCACTCTAGGTTTCTAGAATTATTTAACCTTTAAAACAAATATGAACAAATAAGAATATAAGATAGATATATGATTATATTCAAATTTTAGAATAATTCTTTTATTCAATTAAACCAGTTTTTTCTTTTTTTTTTTTTCTTTTTTAATAATAATATTCATAATCATAACTTATTATATGATATGTTGAGTCTCCGAATACGTCCAGTTTTTTCCTTCTTTCTTTTCTTTCCCTTTTTTTCTTTCTTTCTTCTTTTCTTTCTTTTACCTTTAATCTTTTCACTATACTTTTATGACGACTGAAACCACTATAAGCGATGCTATTTCACAGCTAGAAATGCTGGTAAAATAAACTGTTCCTTAGACTAGACATCTCGAAAATTTTTAAATTGTATTGTCTAATTCTTTTTTTTTCTTTAATTAGGGTATCGATAGAAAAAAGGCCATTAATGCTTTAAGTGTAAATAAAGTGTATATACTTTAATATGACAACGTATTCGGACGAAATAATTACTAAATCCTTTTTTCTTTTTATCTTTCTTCCTCTTTTACTTGATAGCGTTATAACTACAATGTGGAAAGAGCTGCTGATTTTATATTCTCTGGTGGGGCAGACACTGAAGAAAGCGTAAGTGAGAAAAGAAACAAATAGAATAAAAAACTATTGTTAAGTTTTTATTATATATATAGTTCTTCTTGAACGAAACAGAATTTACGAGGAATAACAATGAAGATTTTCTTTGGTCTCAAGCAACTCCATTTGACAAAATTTCTACTACTACTACTACTGAACAACCATCGCAAATCCAACAACATATATCTATAAATGATCATTCTACGGTTACTTCTCATACTGAAGCAGAAGAAGAAGGAGAAGAAGAAGAGGATATGGAACAAGGTAAAAAAAAAAAAAAAAAAAAAAAAAAAAAAAAAAAAAAAAAAAAAAAAAAAAAAAAAAAAAAAAAAAAAAAAAAAACTCAATATACAGTTGATGATCAAAAGGACCTTAATTTTTTTTTTAATAACAGAGCAAAAACGTGCTGTTTTAATCAAGGATTATCAGAATCAAGGCAAATCTTCAGATGTTACACGCGATAATGCTAGTTGGAGTGTTGTTCCTTTTACTGCGAATGTAGGTGAAGATTGAAATATTTAGAAAGAATATTGATATTCTTCTTCTCTTATTTATTTATTTATTTATTTTTTTTTTTTTGGATTAGGAATATACCCAATCCTCATCTGTTTCTCCAAATACCAATACCAAATCTCTACCTCATTTTACTCAGTCTTCTTTGACTTGGTGGAGAGATCCTGATGCTCCGTCTGATCGTGCTGCCATAGATAATATGTAAGTGTATCATTACATATATATATGTGATATCCTTATTCACAATTATTGTATACTATAGACCCATTGGATTGCGTCCTCCTTCATATCACTTCGCCTATGCACCAATCATCATTCAAGCTTTATTCCATATTACTCTTTTTCGATCTGCTATCCTCTCATATCGACCAACACCGCAAACTTGGGGAAATTCCACCAATTATTGGAAAGGATTTGGAGAACCTGTACATGGATATATTGTCAAACCACCACCACAACAACAACGACAGCAACAATCTTCCCAATTAACATCCGATGATACTATAATGACAATAGATAAGGATGAAAGTATTTCACTGACACCAAACATAATGGATTCTTCAATCAACAACAATGTAAATGGTCCTACTACTGACATCTGGGATAGCATACCTGATCGAAAAGAATTTCAGCCTGATGAACCGAAACCTATGACGACAATGACTGAGCCAAGTGACACATCTATATTGAGAATGGATGAACTAGTGTCTATGACAAAGGATCAAATAGGTAAGCTAGACATATTATATATTCATGACTTATAGAAATCACTAACTTTTCTCTTTTCTCCCTTTTTTTTTTTTATCCCTCTTCTATTGGTCAAAGCCTTAGCAGAACTACAAAAACTTTTTGCCTTTCTTGGAAACACAAAACGGTTATATGGATCAATAGCTCATTTTGTCAGAGCGATCAATACACGCGTAGTGACTTCATCAACTGAGTGGCAAGCCGATGATAAGACGGTTGAAGGTAAATGAAAGACGCTTACTGCTGAATATATATATGTTACTCATTTTTTTTTTTGTTGGATTGATTTATAGATTTTTTGGATTCTGTCATTGGTGGCTTGATATCTATCGATGAAACAAACAGGATAGATGAAAGCAAGGAATTGATAAAAACTATGGACTTCAAAAAGTAAGCAATCATCATAAAAGACAGAAATCATAGATGTATAATAAATTTTTTTTTTTTTAGTTTATTTCTTATATCAGCTCAAGTTAGCAATGGCGCGGAAACTGACTATGAAGATATCTATTACCTCAACCTTGGTATGAACACATCAATGCGATCATTTCATGATTGTTTGGATCCTCTTGTATATGAAAGTTATCAAGTTGATAGTGAAATAGCCATAGATTCAAGCGATGTTGATAATGATGATGAAGACTTGGGTAGCAATGAGTCCGACGAAGAAGATATGAGGGGATCATACAAATTTACTACATTTACTCAAGTACCACCGATACTCTTTGTGACTTTAGAAGATCGACAAGATTATCAAGAGCAACAAAAGAGTAAAAAGGAAGGATCATCTTATAAATTGGAAAAGACCATTTATCTTGATCGATACCTGATAGAAAACAAAGATTTGGCATTACAGAAATATCAATTGGCAGCTCAATGGAAATCAGACATAAGACGGACTCAAAAGGAAATATGGAACTTACAGCATGAAGGACTACCTCAGTCTATATCAACAAGTGTGGACGATGCAAATTATTTGAAGGATGATACCCCTGTTACTCTAGGAAAATGTCAATTATTGAACACAACAGCCGAATATTTGAATTCACAAGTCAGCTCGCTTGCCGCTACCGACGAAAATATTGAATATATCAAATCACTACAGTCTATACAACAGGTGTTATATCATGTTCGAGATGATATAGAAAAGAAACAAAAAGGTATGAACAATAATATCAAATGTTATTGGTCGATAGATTAACTCTTTTTTTTTTTTTTTTTTTTCTAACAGAACTGAAGCAACTCGAATTAGAACGACAGGAATCATTGAAAAACTTGTTCGACGATCCAAGATTACGTAAAGTACCTTACGATTTACGAGCTGTACTACATACTGATGGACTTAGTGGGACTGGACATTACTGGGGATATATTTGGGTTGAACCTAGTGAAATCAATCTTTTGGAGGACATTCCTGTTGAGGGAAGTGGATGGTATCGATTCTGTGATGCAATGGTTGAAAAGGTGACAGAAGAAGATGTATGGGACGAGCGAACTGATCCTTTTGCTCTGGTATATGCCGATCGATCTATACAAAGGTTTTCAAAACAACAACTGGATCAAGTTACTCCTGAAGATTTATTAGTAAGTTTTATTTTCTCATCTTTTGTTTCTATTTCGTCAGATGTATGCTCATTGATTGTTTCTTTATAGCAATTTATACAAGATGACAACGCCGCCTTTGCAAATGAAGGATTGGAAGATGATGGACAAAATAGCATATATAATATCAATATCGATAACAGTGGTAGCAACAGTAGTCAGCACAGTAGTATGCAACGTTCGAACTCTCAGATTTCCATTGGCACTGATCACTACTCATTAGAATTCGGCAATGATGAAAATAGTGAAGACCAAACGCCAAATTACTGTCAACAGGGATTCACTTCTGGGAATAGATCGCCTGCAAGGTCAAAAGAATCAAATCTTTCTAGCAATAAAACACAGCAAATACGAGACAATCATCCAACACTATTATCCACAATGAAGTCCTCTAGACTTGTAGATTTGGCTGTGGCAAATATCATAGAAATGCGGACATCAATTGAAGGCGACTACCGATTTTTAAAGAGGTATAGAAAAAAAAAAAAAAAGAGAGAGAGGAAGTGGTTTGTTTTTATTTACTAACTGGTTGCATACTTCATTCCTAGGTTCGACTTGTTTTTAGCTCGTGCTGGTGACATGGAAATCTTGGCAAGATTTTATCAACTAGTTAATCAAGTTTTCCAGGTATGACAAAATGATGTGAAAATAGCATAAAAAAGTACAACTTTTTAACTTACCCCCCTTTTTTTTTAGAACAATAATATTGATGGTAGTAACAATCCCAAAGTTGAAAACAATAGCGAGGTTGGAGTCAAAGATAGTGAAATCAGTGTGGAATATTTCAACAACGAACTCGATTTATTATCTATGGCAGAAATTCGTGATATTATCCGAAGTGACAGTACCCTTGTTTTAATGTTTGAACAATATGAATCGTATCTATCCATTGGACATAGAATCGCCTCCGCACTCACCATGTTTGTCTACGATAATTACAATGCATCATTGGAACATATCTTGGAATACTATAAGGAGCAAAGCAATTGGGGGATTATATTGGCTTCATCAAATGAGCTACTTTGGAAGTTCCCTGGACTAAACGATTTGTCGTTCAGAGCGATTGCTTCTAAATTTGGAAAAGCATGCCTCAAGGTAAACTCAAAAAAAAAAAAAAAGAAAACGAAAAAAGAAAACAAACAAAAAGTCTTAATATGTATTCTATTTGCTCAAATATCATAGAAACTCAACGATGACGCTCATACAAAAGCATGCAACTTGGCTTATCGTAACCGTGGATTACAAGATGGTATTCGGATTGCATATCAAGCCATCAAATTCGTAAACGACGATAACCATGATAATAACAATAATGTGCAGTTCTTATCTGAACTTGGAGAACGGTGGTTTGACTATGCTGAAGGACAAAGTGGTACTCTGACTGATGATCAAGCACAACTTCTGAACAACTTGGTGATGTTATATTTGGATGCTGCCTCTTCCATCATGTTGCCTGAAAATGATCAAGTCACCAACAATACTGACAAATTATCTCTTGCTACTAGTACGGATGATAGTCCTATTTGGTTAGTATTTAGAAAATCTTTACATGATGCTGAAGCAAAATTGTTAAAGACTTTGTAGTTTTAGATTATATTTGAAATCAATTTGTTTATTTGGATGAAGATGTATGATAATAAAACAATGATGATGGATAGTATTGGTAGAAGAATGGCAAACTATAATAAAAATATATAAAAAAAAACACAAAAATGATGTACAAAAAAAAAAAAGAGATGGTAAAAAGGGGATATATGAGTGGAATGTGAGTTGACTATGCTAATACTACACTATATTTGTACGATATTAAATGAATGAAAAGGAATGAGTAGATTGATCTGTTGAATATACAAAAAGATGAATATATAGCGTGAGTAGTTCGTCTAGTTGGAATGATCGATCGAGTGACGTTTTGATAACCCAAGTTCAAACATATTGTTAGTATCCCGAGGTGAGGTTGAAATCGGTAAGAAACTAGCATGATCATCTAAAGCTTGTCGAGCTTCCATTGCATGTTCCTTATCCATATCAAACGTATCTTGTTCAGGATGATGTTCTGCTAATAGTGGCCTTTCATCTTCCATCATGGTTTGTTGTTTTTGTCGGAGAGATGTAGATGATAATGATGTCGTTAATCCTGATTCCACTATTGTTCCATGTCGTTGGGATTGTTGCTTTCGTTGATCATGAATATCTTCTTCCATAGTAGCTAATAAGTTTTCCACATCGTCTTCTTCCTCATGGTCCCTATGTTGCAGTCTGATTTGAGTTGAATCTTTATGTTTGACAATGGTATCAATGATCCAAAATTGTATAGTATTCATTACAAGTGGGAATCTATAAATAAATAAATAAATAAGTCAATCAGTATAAATCGTGCATATCTTGTTTTGACTTGCATTAACATAACAAAAGCTACTTGTAATTTATAATTTCCAGCTGTCCATCCAAGAACCCATAATCCAAAATCTTCCATCCAAGGACAAACATGAAAGAGTAAGACAACTAGAGTTTTCATCAACATTAAGCTAATGGTATATATGAATAATTGTTTCACCCAACGTTTGAGCTGCTGTAATAATGGAGGATCACCATAAGACTGAAATCCAGGCCATTGTAACACAGAGTCTGTAAGATACTTAAATCCTCGGAGAATGATCCAAAGAATAGCTACGCCGATGGTACAATCTACCAGAATATTCAAAAAATACCTAATATTTGTTTAAGGTGATTATAAATAAATAAATAAAAAAAATTGTTGAGAATAGGGAAAAGAGTCAATATACCTTCAATGTCAACTGTTCTTATTTTTTCACTATAATAGTTCATTTACCATACACAAGGATTTGATTGTTCTCCTTGTTCGGGCTTGACACCGAAAAAGTAAGCTGCAACAACATTCAAAGTATGAATTACAACACCACCCACTAGTTGTTTGCTAACATCCAAAGACCTATATATATATAATTATAAAAGGAATCAGTCTTTTGCTTTCCTTTTTAGTTAATAAGCCTTATTCTTACCAGATCCTAAGAGGTCGTTGTGGTTTTTCCCGTTGTCGTTTAATAAGTAACGTTGAGAAAGCAACAGTGGCTAAACAAAGTTGGATGAATATACCGAAAGAATCCATTAATTTACATCCTCCCGGATCAATATTTCCATCATCTTGACTAGGGTCTCTTGTTATCAGTATATATGAAGATGTCATAAAATTCTTGGCAGAAAAAAAAGAAAAAAAAAAGTAATAAGAAGAAAAAGAGAAAGAAAGAGAGAGAGAGAAAAAAAAAAAGAGGGAGAGAAAATCACAAACTCTTGTTGCTGAGGTCGGTATTTGAAAACATCAAAGAAAAAACATTTGGTTTTGATGTCTTGCCAACTGCGGTCGTCTTCTACACTCTTTTCTTTTTTTCCTTTTTATTTTACATTAACATCTTTTGATGACAGATCAAGATCCATATGGAGCGATCAACTTTGGAGAGTTTCGAAAATATATGCAAAATAAACAATCGAAACTCAAAGAACAAGAAGCAATATTGTAAGTAATTCATTCCTTGATCTAAGATGCATAAACTAAAATTATATTTTTAATATTCTAGAGGAAATCAAGCAGAAGGAAATATTATACCAATTTTGAAAGGTCTATCTATTTATGTTAATGGATATACTGATCCTCCTCAAAGTGAACTACGACGAATTATTGTTCAATATGGAGGAGACTATCAGCATTATTGTAAGATATATATATATAATAAAATATCTTACTAATTCTTATTTTATTTAATTTTATTTTGTTATAGTGAAAAAATCCAAAGTGACTCATATCATAGCAACTACTTTGACTAATTCTAAAATGCACGAATTCAGGTAAAAAGTAATTTTTATTTTTTTTTTATTTCATTTTTGCAAAAATACCTAATTATTTTATTTTATGTAGGGCGTACAAAGTGGTGACACCAAGTTGGATCATGGATTCAATTAAAGCAGGACAATTATTACCTTGGACAAAATACAGAGTGATACATAATGAACGAGCTCAAAAAGAAATAAAATTTAATCGATCTATCAGCACAGAATCATCTTCTACTACACTTACATCAATACGACAGAATATTGAAGAACTTACTTCTGGCAACGATAATCAACTATCTAATACCAAGGAATCTATATGTCATTCGTTTTCTACACCGACAAATGTGAATCGACCTTCTCCTTTGACAATAGCACCACTACGACCTTCTTCATCAGCATCATCAAGAATATCACCACAACCATCTTCTCCATCATCGAAATTAGAAAATATACAACCTTCTGGAAAGGATCTCAATGCAGCATTATTATCAAATCCATGGAATCGCAATAATTCTACCGCAAATCCTGATTTTGTCAAGCGATACTATCAATCATCTCGATTACATCATTTATCTTCATGGAAAGCAGAACTCAAAGATATTGTACGGAAAGCGAAGGAACAACGATCATCATCTTCTCACTCATTAAAACAGAAACAACAATCCCATCGTCGATTAGTGATGCATGTTGACTTTGATTGCTTTTTTGCCTCTGTTGGAATCAAAAGTAGACCAGAATTATCATGTTTACCAGTAAATTGTCACAAAAAAAAAAAAAAAAAAAAAGGATCACTATGGTGATACTAACTTGCTTTTTTATTATTGTTATTATTATTATTATTATTGATAAAGGTGGCTGTCTCTCATGGAAAAGGTCTTCAAAAAAATTCATCAAGTGATATAGGTAATTGAAAACAATAATAGATTCATTACAATCTTATTCTCATCCTCTTTTTTTTTTCTTTTCTTTTCTTTTACTTTTTCTTAGCGTCATGCAACTATATAGCAAGGTCTTTTGGTATTCGAAATGGCATGCGGTAGGTTAACTCTAGCAGAAAGAATAAATCATCAATACTTTGAATTCTCTATTTTTTTTTTTAATATGATTATTACTTTTATTAGTGTGGGACAAGCTCAAGAATTGTGTCCTGATCTTCATATCATACCGTAAGAAACTAAAATGAAATAGAAAGAATTAATATATATATATATTTGACTAATACAAACTGATTTTATCTCTCTAGATATGAATTTGAAGAATACAGAAAAGTATCAGAAATATTTTATAATGTAAGCTTGGAAGTAATTTTTATGTTCATACAAATCACACTAATTTCTTACTGGTATTATAGATTTTGTTTGAATATGCTGATGAAATTCAAGCTGTTAGCGTTGATGAAGCCTTGCTGGAAGTTGGATCTCATATTACACAAGCGGAAACTGGACAAGAAGAATCTTTGGCTAAGAAAATACGTGATGATATCCGAGAAAGAACAGGTTGTGAAGCAAGTATTGGAATTGGACCCAATATTCTTATAGCAAGGTAAAAATATTCTATTTGAATGATAATATTACTGACAAAAATATCTGATTTACCTTTTTTCTTTTTATAAATATCGTATTGTAGATTGGCAACCAAAAAGGCAAAACCCTGTAATCAATACTACTGTAAAACGCAAGATATTCAATCATTTCTGACTGATCAAAATGTAGGAGATTTACCTGGTGTAAGTGTTCTCTCTCCTTTATTTCAAAATATAGATTATATATTAATTTTTGTAATAAACTTACTTTCCATTTTTCTATTTATATTAGGTCGGATATTCCATGGAAAGTAAACTGCAGGAAATGGTAATATAAATGGGATCATTTCAGTGTTTTTTTTTTAAATAGTTTGTATACATCAAATACTAACACTGATTTTTTTTTTTTTTTTTTTTTTTTTACATACTTTTGTCATGATGATAGGGAGTGACTACTGTTGGGCAACTTGGGAAAATGGCACTCTCTACTTTGAAATCAAAATTTGGTCCAAAAACTGGTCAAACACTTTATAGTTTTGCAAAAGGTATTGATGATCGTCCCCTTGTTACTGATCAGCCTAGACAATCTCTTAGTGCTGAAGTCAACGTAAGTGTGTGATTATGAGTGATAATATAATTACTATATTGGGTGTGTATTGATAAATATATATCATTTTCTAACAACATTTATTATTTTTTTAGTGGGGTGTTCGATTTGAAAATGACGATCAAGCCGATGTAAGAAGTCAACACAGAAAACAATACCAGCCCTTTTTATTATCTTATTTAACTTTTTTTTTTTTTGTATAGAAATTTTTGGAATCCTTAGCGACAGAAGTCAGTGAAAGATTAAAGGCGATCGACAAGAAAGGGAAAAACATTACTCTCAAGGTATTTATAACAAAACCAATGTCAAATCTAAGTGTCATTAACTGACTCTCCAATTTATACTATTGTATTTTACAGGTACTGGTCCGATCTATCTATGCAGGTGAAGCGGAAAAACATCTTGGCTGTGGAGAATGCGATAGCTATTCAAAATCCATAACGTTGGATTCCTTTACTAATGATCCTGATCTCATTGCATCCCATGTCAAGCGTATATTGAAAACATTTTCATTCTTGGTTAGTGATATAAGAGGTAAAATATGAAATTCAATGACAAAATCGAAATGAATCAAACTTTTTTTTTTCATACTTTCTACTATAGGTCTAGGCATTCAAATACAAAAGCTGAACGATGATGATGATGGCAGTGATTCTGAAGACGAGCGTAAGTCAACCTTCTAAAGTTGATTGTATGGTTTATTTACAAGGATGATATCTTTATATATTAGGGCAATCAAAACTTCCATTTGGTACCATGACATCTTCGACGACTGATAAAGTCCAAGAAACTGAAACTTGTAAAGACATACAAAGGAAAAACAAGATGGTGAGTAAAATGAACTATTTTTAGTGGCATTACTCATCTTTTCTTTTTTTATTTTTATTTACTATTTTAGACGGTGGATTATAATGTATATATGGAACTACCTCAAAATATACAACAAGAGTTAAAAGATGGATATGAATTGGAACTAGTACATGAATCAACGAAAAATCAACAACAGCCTATGAATTCTTCAAAGTCAATAACCATGGAAAATAATAATAATAATAATAATAATATGACTACTGCATCTACTCAAAGTTTAACGGTCCTTCCATCTTGGTCTCAACTAGATCCTGCAGCCCTTTTGGCGTTACCAAATACAATGCAAAAACAAGTATTAGAAGCTTATACTACTATTAGTTCATCGACAGAAACAAGGGAACATGGAAAGCAACAGGAAACATCTACATCAGTTTCAAAGTTTTCTCTTAAAACATCGACATCTTCCTCCACAACGAACAACGGCAATAGTTCAAGGATTACGAAATCACCTCAAAATAGGCGTACAAAATCGAAAACCATTGAAAAAAAACCGGTCGTCACTCTTACTCAACTTTTCCCACCTAGCCCGAAAAGATCCTCCTCTTGTCAAGATAATGATAGCCAATCTGGTTTTGACGTTGGGATGCTGACAAATACGAATAATAATGATGATGATGATGATATTTCGACCACTGGATCCTTCGATCATGACGACCAACTACTAGGAAACATGCATCCCAAGGATACGGAGATATGGTCTCAGCTACCCAGAGGTAAAAAAAAAAAAAAAAAAAAAAAAAAAAGATCAAGGATAATTTGATGACTAACTGTTGTATATAATAAAAAAATTAAAGATATCCAACAAGAACTATTGGAAATTTATCGACAAAAACAAGAACGAAAAAGGCACCATCAGGTCAGTACTCGATCATCATCACCATTAACATCATCAATAGCACTTTCTTCTTCAGCGGAAAGCAACAATAAAGTAAGTCTTATGATGATAGGCGTTGAAATGTGATCATTATACTTATTTTATATATATTTATTTTTGTGACTAGGTCCAAAAAGAACCAAAGCTAATGGGGAAATCGGAACTCGAGGATGTACGAAATTTACTAAATGAATGGGTACAGGAATATAAAACAATGCCCGATCCAAAGGATGTTGATACAGTGACGAATTATTTGAAACAACTGGTTTGGTACAAGGATTTGGAAAGAGCCCAGCTGCTACTGATGCATTTGAACCATATTATTCGACGACAACATGGAATAGGGCCCGATTGGATTCCTTTTATGGACAAGATGCAACAAACGATATCTACCGAAGTGGAAGCTATCTTCAAGGCACCTTTAGGATTATAGTCATCATTTATTTAGTATATATTACATTTGTATTATAGTCATCATTTTTTTTATCGTGATAATAATAATAATAATAATAAAAAAAGGTAGATAGATTCAAACCAACTTTTTTTTTTTATTTTTATTCTTCATTTATATAAGGAAAAGGAATAAGATCAAAAAGTGAACCAAAAAAAAAAAAAAAAAAGGAAAATATCACTAGCTAATACTATCTAGTCAAAATAGAACCTTTGCTAGAGCGACGAGAAGCAGCTGTGGATGGTGGTAGAGGTGAGGTGATCAATTCCATGGTAGCATCGGTATCATTTGAAGAAGAAGAAGATGAGGATGGTAGAGGTGGTATATTGGAAAGGGAGTTTGAGGAGGGTAACAAAAACGACAAGGCATGGTTATTTGCATAATAGGGTTGCAATGGTGGTTGATAAGTGGGAGATGAAGATGATGGAAGTATAGTGGTTGATCGAAGTGTGTTATAATCCGTTTCAAGAGATTTCATTAATAAAGGTTCTCCTTGCGATCTTTCATTGGGTGGATATGGTTGAGTATATATATCAAAATCATGTTGATGTTGTTGATGATGTTGATGATCTCCATAACCGTATAAACCCCAGCATGCTGTCACATCTTTTTGTTGTGAAGAATGGTCTGATGGATAAAGGGGTGATGCCTGTTGTTGGTGATGTTGTGGATAAAACAAGGGCGGTGATGATAAAGTGGCTGAGGATGGTGAAGGATTAGTTTGAAAATGTCGTTGTGGGTACCAAAGTGATGATGATGATGATGATGATGTTGTTGTTGCTGTTGTTGTTGTCGTGGTTGTGGTTGTTGTCGGTGCCATAAAATCCATAGAATGAAACAAGTCCGTGCGTGCTGAATGATCATCATATAAGTTTCCTTGTATACTTCCATCATCCTTCACATCATGATCATTATAATTGTTCTGATCATCATCATCATCACCCTCTGCTGATGAGTCCATTTGTTTTTCTGTTATTGTAAAGGATGATGATTTTCCTTTGTCATATTGTCCACTACGACTTGTTGTCACTGAAGAGAGCGTAGAAGGTCGAAAATCATATGGAGGGGATGTGAATTGAATTTGATGTTTTGATGAATTATCCTTGGAAAAGTCATCATCCTGTCGATCATGAGATTGTATAATTGATGATGATGATTTAGATGAAAAGTTTGTTTTTGAAAATTTGCGTCGTTTTTTGATTTTTTTGGATGAAAATTTTCTAGTAGTTAAAACAGATGATGATGCCGAGTTATCAGAAGTTGATGATGATTTGTTGATATTATCTGATTGTCGATTTTTTTCATCGATATGGGGTGGATGTTGCTGTAGAAGATGTTTTGGGTTTGATGTACGCTTGTTAAATTTAGGAGGAGCAGCTACTAGACCAAGATGACGATGAGTAGCCAAAGTTGAGACATGTGGTAAAGGAGCATCACGATCAGTAGGAGGGAATGCATCAATGATACCCTGACTTTCCAATTCATTCTTGATAAATCGAGAGAGGGCTTGTTGTACAGCTTCTTGACGTTCAGCAAAAGTTTTCATAGGAGGAGTGATAGATGATGAAGGATTATCTTGTTTATTGTCGTCAATATCATAGCAAAGATCGGCACGCATTAAATTGGGTACTTCCGTTGTTTTACTATTGCAATCAACATCATTTGGTAAAATATCAATCTGAAGGCCAGGTGCCAAAGTATAACGAGCTGGAACACCTTTTTCAAAAATAGTAATAAGATCAGCCGTGATTTTAGAATTGAGATTCACCCAATTACTCTTCCCTAAATAGATTCGGAAACAAGGTTCTTGTTGCTTTATACTCGTCATCATTAAAAAAAAAAAAAAAAAAAAAAAAAAAAAAAAAAAAAAAAAAAAAAAAAAAAAGTAAAGAGAAAAAGAGAAAAAAAAAAAAGGTAAGTAAGAAAATTGATGTTTATATAAAATTTATGCGAAGGAAGTATGTTGTCGTAAAGATGTGTGTGTATATATGGGTGGATATAAAGGGGGAGGGGGGGAAAAGGTTGGATCGGTTGGATCCCCGAAGAGTAAATATCAATATGATTTTGACAACATAACATACACAGTTGTTAACTTACTTGGAAGTAATACTTGTGGGGGGAACATTCAATTGAGCCAATAAAGTATAAGAAGGGATATGTAGCTCCACGTGTTTTTGTCCATTGAATGTTACCCCAATTCCCGACAACCTGCCAAATTTAAAATGAATTTTTTTTTGCCTTTCTTTTTCTTTTTCTTTTTCTTTCTTTTTTTTTTTTTTTTTATTTACTTGTTTACTTACGTGTGTGTTTGTTTACATTCTCATTTTTTTTTATATAAATACTACATATATATATCTACACTATGGTAAGTTCTTTTTTCTTCTTTCTCACGCAAAAACTTACTCTAATATCTCCTTTTCTTTTCTTTTTACCGCGTATAGAATGAAGAATATGATGTTATTGTTCTTGGTACTGGTTTGACCGAATGTATCTTGGCTGGTATCTTATCTGCTGAAAAGAAACGTGTTTTACAAATGGATAGAAACGATTACTATGGTGGTAATACTGCGTCTCTTCACCTGAACCAGGTAATATATTTATATATATATATAGAGAGAGAGTGTGTTATTATATAAAATATGCTTACATCTCATCTTTTATTATAGCTTTATCGTCAATTCAGACCAGATGTTCCTGTTCCTGAAGAACTTGGTAATAGCCGTGATTATAATGTTGATTTGATTCCCAAGTTCTTGATGGCTCATGGTGAAATTGTCAAGTTCCTGGTTCATACTGGTGTGACAAGATACCTCGAATTCAAACAAATTACTGGCTCTTTTGTGTACGTCGATGGCAAAATCACTCATATGCCTGCCAGTGAAACTGAAGCTTTGGCATCTCCTTTATTGGGTTTGGTGGAAAAACGTCGTTTACAAAAATTCTTTGAATTCATTCAAAATTACAAGGAAGACGATGAATCCACTCATGACGGCGTTAACTTTGATACTATTACTACTGCTGATCTTTACAAGAAATTTGGATTGGAACCTGGAACTCAGGATTTAATTGGACATGCTATGGCTTTACATTTGGATGATTCTTATCTTGAACAACCTGCTCGCTCTACCATCGACAAGGTTATTCTTTATATTGGTTCCATTGCTCGTTACGGAAAGACCCCTTATATTTATCCTCTCTATGGTTTAGGTGAACTCCCTCAATCATTTGCAAGGTAAGAATATTAATCTAAAACATAGCTTTGGAGGAGAACCACTTTAGACTAGATATCATTGATCTTTTTACTGCCACAAAAAAAAAAACTTTATCTACACTCCCTTCTTTTCCTCCTTGTACTCGTGTTTTTCCCCTTTTCTTTTTTTTTTTTTCTTCTTCTTCGCCATCTCAACCCCCCTTGTTTCTTCTTCTTCTTTTATTCACCCCCCCTGGATACTTTTTCTCATCATTTTCGTTTTTGGATTACTAATAATATTTTTTTTTTTTTTTTGTAATATAGATTGAGTGCTATCTATGGAGGTGTTTATATGTTGGGACGAGCTGCTGATGAAATCATCTATGAAAATGGGGTAGCTGTTGGTATCAAGTCTGAAAACGAAATTGCTCGCGCTAAACATATCATCTGTGATCCCTCTTATGCAAAGGACAAGGTGAAGGCTACTGGCAAAGTTGTACGCGCTATTTGTATCCTCAAACATCCTATTCCTAACACCAATGATGCTGATTCTTGTCAAATTGTTCTCCCTCAAAATCAAATTGGTCGTAAACACGATGTTTACGTTGCTTGCGTTTCTAACAACCATTATGTAGCTCCCAAAGATAGCTATTTGGCCATTGTCTCTACTATTGTTGAAACTGATGAACCGGAAAAAGAAGTCGAAGCTGGTTTGGCTTTATTGGGTCCTATTCATGAAAAGTAAGTTATTGAACGGTTTCGGAAGATGGACACATATATTTATTCTTCCTCCTTTTCTTTTTTTTTTTTTTTTTTTTTTTTTTTTTTTTTTTTAATTAGGTTTATCTCCGTTTTGGATATTGAAGAACCATTGGAGGATGGTACCCAGGATCAAGTATTTATCTCTCGCTCATATGATGCTACTTCTCATTCTGAATCAGTTTGTGATGATGTCAAGGATATGTATCGTCGCATCACTGGCAATGATTTGGAACTCAAGCAAATCGCATTGAAATCGGAAGACGAAGAACAAACTTCTGAAGCCTAGTTAGTATCCATCATCATCATCAGTATTATTATTATTATTATCTTGGAAATACCACAAAATCATCTATCATTAGTTAGTTTTCTATTTTTTTTTTTTCTCTCTTTCTCTTACCCTATCACATTCCCTTTCTATTTCTGTCTCTGCTATCTTTTCTTCTTATACCTTTTATTATTATTATTATTATTTACTTTTTTTTTCTGCTTTCAAACAAATAAACACCCTTCTGCTCCTTTGGAGATGTTTGAAATCAAATATTCAAATTGAATTTCATTGGTGAATGATATCGATTAGTATAGAAACCTCATCTTATTAATTACCATTATGAATATTCGGTATTTATCAACTATCATCTTCAACCTCTTTCTTGCATAAGCTTCCATATCAAGAATATAAGATTGTGGTAGTTAATGCTTATAGAATAGATAAAAAGGGACAAAAGAAAGCTCTGATATATGTATTTATTTATTTATTGAGTTTGGATTCATTCTTTTTTGATTGATTCGTATGTACAGAAAAAAAAAGGATCGTATAAATATATATTTATACTTCTATTCTACATCATGGAACTATGAATTTTGCATTGAAGAAAATGAAAAAAGGTTAATAACAATTATAAGCTGGTAACTTGTATGCTTACCTGACTTGATCCATTTTCTGAGCCTTGGTTATGTTTTGCCTTGGTTACCAAACGTTCCATTAGAGTGTCTTCATAAAAGCTCGTCATTCCTAGTGCTTGTCGACATCCTAATACATAAAAAAAAAAAAAATGGTAGTCAGAACGACATCCTCTGGCTTTTGTCTGAATATCATGATTGATCTTTTTTTTTTTTTTCCCTACCTGGCACAGGGCATTCAACTATTTGTCCATTGCTTCGTTTGATCATACCAAAAATAGCATCTTTTGAGAATGTATGTTTGCAAGATTTGCTATATTATATATATATCAAACAAAAAAAAAAAAGAGAAATAAAGGTAAGATAATCGTAAGTAAATCCTTTTATTTTCAAGTTTGATGTATTTTACACCTCCATCGATAATCTTTTAATTTCTTTTTTTTTTTTCCTTTCATTTCCATTCACTTTTTGATATTACCTTGTCATAGGTTCTACTAACCACGTGGTAGTCAAAGGACATTTCAATGATTTTTTTGTAGCTGCTACAATCAATTCATCATCGTTATCACCATGGTTATTTTCCATTTCACCCAAACTTGGCATAGGTATATCCGGGTGTTTCACGTTCTATTGAGGAAGAAGGAATGAGTGACGTTCGAAGAAAGATAATATGTCGACCTCTTACCCAGACCAGCTGTTTAAATTCGTTGTATTTTTCATGACGATGATATTTGTCCTTGTCTGCTAACCCGTCGTATCTCTGTTTTTCCTTGCCCCAGGCTTCATTATAATGATCCAATCCATTACCCTAATCATTAAAAAAAAAAAAAGGTAGAAAGTACTTTAGTCAATCATAGTTCAATTCAAGTTATTCAGTAAAATGTAGAAAATGAGCTATATATCTCAAATGAAAATAATAATAATAATAAACTTACAATATCCACGCCTTGTCGTACATTTGCTTGAAGTTGGAGAAACAAATCCTTTTGCGTCTTAATAGCGTGTTCCAAATCAATAGTTTCCTTCAGACCGGCTTCTAATGATGCTGTTAGGTCAGAATGACCGCGTTCTTCTAAATCACCAATAAGATCTGATGTTAAATTCATACATTTTCTAATCGTATCCACCACCGCATCCGTATCTGAAACAAAACTAGGTAGCCGATCCACATGATAGCTTTGTAACTTGAATTGATCTTTTACATCTTCAAGAGTGAGATCGCGTTGTGAGTCGATAATATCCTGCTCGTTCATATCGTTGATCTATATAATTCAATAAAATAAAAAAGAGTAAAAAGAAAAAAAAAAGTTGACCTCTGAATCTTATATTCCAAAAAAAAAAAAGAAAATCGGGGCCTAGAATTTTGATGTTACATATACTCACTTCAAAGTGAACAAGCAACGATTTACAAATATTATCGTCAAGAATTTATAGTATGTGAATGTGCTTTTTATTATTGTACAAAAAGAGAAGAGTACGATTTGATATGGTCAATCATATAATCAAAAAAAAAAAAAGATGAGATAAATATAAACAAGAAAAGTAATAAAAAAAACAAGTCTAATCTATGGTATAATCAACTAGCTAGCATCAACAGGAAACTAGAAAAGAAATTAAATAAAAAAAAAAGTTAAGATCGATTGTGTGAATACTAAAGTATATGATAACTTACTTCTGTTGATAAAAATGATGAAGGCAATGAAGGTAATACGGTTGGTGATGGTAAAGGTGACGATAATGGTCCTGACGATAATGATGATGGTATATGAATTGGTGGAGGTGGTGTAGGAAAAGTGGCAGTAGATAAAGATGTTGTAGAAGCTGATACCGATATATCAGAAAGAGGAGGGATGTCCCATTTTTCACAACGATTCAGGACGATATTAGCATAATCAGCCCATTCTTCCCAAGGAACACTATCACCAAGAGTTTTGACCAAGTATGGTTGTGAATCCAGTATTTGTACAATGGATTTGGTTAACAAAGTCAAATGTCCCATGTAACCCAAAGTACGAGATAATTCGGGACATCTAACAATCAATGATGAAAAAAAAAAAAGAAAAGTTAAGCGACAAAATAATAATTTAATTCATGTTTGTATATACTTACGCCTTGACTTGAGTATTCACTTCTAATATCCGATGAATCAAACGCCCACTTGTAAATACCTATTTAAATCAATGATTAGAATCATTTGCTTAACATATAGTTTTCTTACCTCCAGTATCATTTGTTTGTTATTTTTCCGATGTAAACATTTGTTTTCAAAAGTTTGACCGATCATGTCACAGATCACAGAATGAGCTAGGTTACACGACGGAAATGCAAAGAAAAGATCCTAAAAAGTAGTAGACGATTAGATGAACCTATTCTTTTTTTTTTTTTCTGTTTTATCTTTACCAATACACGAGCTGTAACACCAAGCGTACAATAAGCTGACTTGAAGCCATCACCCTCTTCTTGAATCCCAATCAAATTTGAACAATGAATCCATTCAGCAACCAGTTCTAACAATACAAGTCGTTCCATTCCTAATCGATCCTTTCGCTATCAAAAATTATGGGAATGAATATCATGAAGAATTCATTCTATTCTTATTACCTTTGATCTTGGATTTTCCAATAGATATAAAATCTCGGGTAATCGAGTTGTGCAGTATGTCAACATGGATGCAAGTATTTTGGAATTGGTAGGAATATGATCATTCATAGTCAATATGTTGTCATTGTTGAGGTATCTATCATGCAAAAAAAAAAAAAAAAAAAGAAAGAAACAAAGAATATTTTGATAATTTGAGTTATACACCAATTATTTTTTATTTATTTATTTTGTTTACCTTTCGTCATTGTATCGGATCATGTTGATAAATAGTTTTGCACCACAAACGAAACTATCAATTGCTTCAGGTGATGTCGTATCCAGCATCGAATCCATCACCCTTTTAATTGTTTCCGTACTAAAACCGAGGGTATGAATAATCAGATTCCTTCATTTCCATTTTTATTTTCTCTCTTTACCTTGACAAATCGTTCATCAAATCGTTGGGTCCAATAGATTGCATATCTTGATGAGAAGTTTGACTTAACCGAGTAATATCACATAATACTTGTTGACAAATCTGACGCATCTAAGTGTAATAGATTTCCCCATCCAAAAAAAAAGAATAATAATCAGCTACTATGTATATACCCTTCTCTTGTTCTACTGCTTACCATAGGATCTACTGATGGATTCAGTTGTTCTGTCAATAGTCGAATAAGTCCTTGTTGACAAAACCACTATCATGAAGTTGACAAAAAAAAAAAAAAAAAAAGGAAAAAGAAAAGGGGGGGGAGTTAAAAACAGGTTATATATTTTCTAATCTCCTTTTGCAGCATGTATTTATTTACTTACTTTTGTAATCCCAGTACAATCGATCATACGTTCAGAATAGATAAAAGATACTAATAAATCAGCCAATTGAGAACCTTGAGGATCACCCAGATGATAAATCCAGTGTGGTAAAAGATCAGATAATCGAGTAACGAATTGTACCATATCAGCTGGTCGACGAGCTAAAAGAGCTTGATTGACTTTACAAAAATAGACGACTTGTTGACGAGTGAGTCGATAAGTTTGATATAATAAAGCCCAGTATACCAATAATAATTCTCGATGTTGAAATACCAATGTTTCCATGATAGAAGGGATTGCTGAAGCCAAGATTTCACAAGCAATCCAAGCGTAATTGCTGTCGTCCCCCAAAACTAAATGACGAATGAGTTGAGAGATGATCAAAGGTCGTTTTATACTATTATCATTCCCCCCCCCAAAAAAGAAAAGAAGGTTGAATATATCAAATTATTATTATATTATTATATTATTATAGTAAGTTTCTTACATACAAGTCAATAAGTTTCTTGTGACGCATTTGTACCTGACCTAGACAATCCTCCATATCCAAAATTTCTTCCAACGCTACGCGTTTGTTATCAAGTTGAGCATCGATACTTGTAGGCTTGCTGAATCCAAACCGACTCAACATTCAAAAGGGAGTATGTATATATATATATCGAAAGAAATAATATATATAATATATTTATATATTTATATATATATATAAAGTTAATAAGGATAACAAAAGAAAAAAGAAAATAAAAATAGTTCTTCTACATGAGGGGACAATTTACAAGATTTCATCTCCGCGTTTTTTTGATCCTTAACTGGTATTTTCTTCTGAAGAAGAATGGATGATTTATTTGAATCCATCAATCAATATATTGAAATTGGTCAACATTGAACTAAATAATAATTTTATTATAATTGCACAATAGATACAGCTTGATCATCATACTATCTATTATCATCATTAAAGTTTCAACCCACTATTTGGAGGAGCAATGTATTTCGCATACAAGAAAACAAGACCAGCACCAACCAAGACACCTAAAACAATAATATATATATATAGATTTAAATCGAATGATTTTTTTCTTTTCATCTCTATTATTTATCATTCTATTACCTTGATAAAAACTACATGATGTAGGTGATGTTAAAAAGTCTTCAGCTTTCCTAATTTTAGGATTTGCTTTAGATCGAAGATCATCCAATTCTTGTCGTAATCTGACCACTTCTTCTTGTGCTGTTTTGGATGCTTTTTCTAATCCTTCTTGAGTTGCATTTGATGCTTTATCAATATTTTCTTGAGCTGTTTCAGTTGCTTTACTAATATTCTTTTTAAGTTCTTGTTCTTTTCCTTTGGATGACATAATATTATTAAAGAGTAAAAAAAAAAAAAAAAAAAATAGATAAATAAAAAGAAAAAGGAAAAAAAAATAAAGAAATTATTTTATTGAGAAACCAAAAAAAAAGTGACACATATGGTATCTGAAATGAAACCCAATGAATAAGATGATACAAGAAAAAAAAAAAAAAAGGCAAGATGATAATAATGTGAATGAATCTAAATTTAAACAGTTCTAAGATAATAAGTGATATATGATGGATGATAAGATGTTGATGTTGTTGTTGTTGTTGTAATAGTAACAGTAAAAGTAGTAGTGGTAGTAAAATAAAAAAAAAAGTTTATATATGATAATGCTCTTTCACAATGGCATCAAAAGTAACAGGGTTGACGGCATAATCACGAATAAATTGAGCTTCCATTTCATGCATACGATCACCAATCAAGACCAAGGAATGTAAAGGTCCTCCAAAGTCAACTTGTTCCAATTCAGCCAAAGTACCAGCAACGATTTGTTGTGTTTTGGTCCCAATTCTAGCACATCCAATAGCCAGACGATTTGATCCACATACACCTTCCTTTCGATTATCTTCAATTTCCAATAATTGTTCCACTGCTTGATTGATGGTCATGTATCTTGGAGGTTCATAAATCCTACGTCCACGTGCCATGTTTTCGATGCTTTGTTCCTTGACCTTGATATCCAATAAACATAAAGTATGTAATCCTAATTCTTTATTTTCTCGTATACGATCATAGAAACTGTCTGGTCGCCATGTTTCCGTGAAGAATACAATAGAGATGGTTTGTCCAAAGTTATATAATTGAAGTCCGCATGCACCTACCGCGTTCATGATAGAAGCGTTATGGATCACTTGTACAGGAATACCCAATTCTCTTGCGCGAATTACTAAATCAGTATGTGTAGTGGCCCTATTTTTTTTTTAAAAAAAAAAATCATTAGAAAAAGAATGACGTTATATTATTATGTTTGTGTGTATATGTTTTTGATGAAATTTTTTACCCATAAGGATCGCCTACTACCAAGAAACTAACATCCACTTTATCAGCATTGGCCAAAATAATATCACTTTCAGATTCTACCATTTCACGGTCAGCAACTACTACAGGTTTACCATAGTATTCTTCCTATCAATATAATATATATATTATAAATGTGTTATTATGATTACAAAAAGTTCCTTTCTTTCTATTACCAATTTTTCTTTGCCAACAGTCAAAATGGAAGTATATGCTTCTAAATAAATACGTTCACTATTCTTGACGGCCTCTAAACCTTTGACAGTAATATCGGTTTCATCTGATAATCCAAGTCCAACCACGTAGAGCATTGCTATTTATATTTTAAAAATAAAAATAAAAAAAAGTATCCAAAAGAAAAAGGTCGTTACAAGGCGGCACCTCAAATAGAAAAAAAAAAAAATAGATCAGAGAAATCTAATGTTGGGCAATTTCTAAGCCATGTCATAAAAGGACATAAAAATTTACCCGAGCGCAGCCTGGCAAATGGGAAAAAGAAAAAAATTTTTTTTTGTACCAAGAAAAAAAAAAAAAAAAAAAAGGGTCCATCATCATAAAAAGGAAATTCTAGATGAAGATGGATTATCCATGATAATGATGATTTTTGACTTTATGATGACTCAATGATGTTACAATATGATAGTAATGCCGATGATAATGATAAATGACTAATTTTTTTATTATATTTTTAAAAAAAAATCCAAATAAAACAAGAGAAGAGGGAGAAAAAAAAAATACAGTTAAGCCTGATCAAGGCCAAAATAAAACGATATAAAAGAAGATTGGGGAAAAGATGGAAATAATTGTGAAGGTAGGAGAGGGAGGGGGGAATACAACGATCAAATAATAATGATAATAAAGAAGGGGGTGGTTGGGTAGAAAAAGAATATACACAAAGAAAAATAAAAATAAAAATAAAAATAAAAAACGAGTACAAATATAGTATAACTATCAAAAGTTAAATAACCTAGCAACGACGTTTCTTGATACCATGATCCAAAGATGACTTTCGTTTTCGTTGATCAGAGGAGACAGGAGAAGAAGAAATATTGGAGTCTTGATCTTCCACAGGAGTAGGCATACCCATCATGAAAGCAGTGGAGGAGGAAATGTTGGTAGCTTTGGTAGAAATGCTATTGATAGATGAGACGGCAGAATGTACAAAGGTAGATATAGGGGAAGATGATGATAAAATAGAAGAAGTAGATGAAGGAGAAGAAGTAGGAGAAGGTAAAGAAGATGGAAGAGAAGATGAAGTTGTGATCGAATGAGGAGATGGAACTGGAACATGAAGATGAGTTTGTAGCATAGCAACCCACTGATCATAGGTATCCTTCTTGACATAAAGTTGATAATCCAAAAGTTGAAGCATCACTTTTTCAGCATGATTGATTTCTGATACATCCAATCCACTGACTTTGCTCCATGCTGAATTCTTGTAAGTTTTGTCTTGTAAAAATTTGTGAGCACATATCAAAGCAGCCAAGAACATTCGTCTTCCACAGGCAATATAAACATCATTGTGTCGTTCTTGTACTTTTGGACGAATACGGAATAAATAAAAGATAGCCAATTGTAAAGTTGAATGAGTTGTACGTGAATGTTTCAAGATATGATGTAAAAAGGTATTGAGATTGGCAATAGGTCGAGTAGAAGGAGCATTGGAATTAGGCCAAATAGAAGCAATGGCTTGCACAGTGACATCTAAACCACGAGCGGATAAACAAAAAAAAAAAAGTGTGAGAATTTTTCATTTTTTGTGTAACTTTTATATAATGAGAGTAGATACTTTACCAACAAGAGCATTAACATAAGTTCTTTGTTGATCTTGAGCAGTTGGTTTCAAAGTAGAAGGAGATATCGTTTGCTTCATATAAGAATTCATCAAAAGGGATAAAAGTTGAGGTTGGCTGTAAGGAAGGTTATTCATGGGCGCAGTTAACAAGTCAGCAGCTGAGGGCGTAGCAGATAAGGATGGAAGTTGATGATTCATTTTCATGTTGAGTCAAAATTAAAAAAAAAAAAAGGTTGAAAAGAAAGTATTGGTAATTGTTGTTGTTGTTAGTTGTTTAATGAGGGTGAAGTGTTGAACCACAAACCCACAATAGCCAAAAAAAAAAAAAGGAGAAAGGAGGAAAAGAGGGAGAGGATGAGAAAAAAAAAAGAAATCAATAACACGACGCTTTGGTTCAAATGAGTTGAGCATCTGAACCTCAGTTAATTTAGTGAATAATAGAAAAAACCATTATAAAACAATAAAGAGAATAACTGAAGTAAACTAAAAGGGGGTTTAAGAAATATGAGAAGTAAAATAAAAAAAAAGAAAGGAAAAAGAAAAAAATGGTGAGTCTGCGCCGATATTTAAATCAAAAAAACATGACTCAACGAGAAAAAAAAAAAAACACTAACTTTGGTTCCCCGCATGACCAATAAAAAATCCGTTGTTGCTCCCTTTCCATAACACAACTCCGTCTCGAGTCATTGCGCATCTTTTTTGCATCTTTTTTTGTCTCTTAAAACCAATCTCTTATCGTTTATGATTGGCTTCTACTCCCATCTCTTTCCAAATACAGCAACTACTGCGTGATACAGTTAAAACAAACTTTACTAGCCCCATCTTTTTCATCATCATCATCATCATCATCATCATCAATATAGACATCTTACAAAAAAAAAAAGGGGGTAGTCAACAAGTATCATGCTAGTTATACATCATCACTGTTGAGTTATAATCAATCACCAACATGCATATATACTTCATCAATATAGTATTAATCGTCTATGACAAATCATCTACTGTATATTATCATTCTACTTTTAGAAATCATCTATTATTTGAAATCATCGTTCTGCTTCTCTTACATTACTCATCATTACCCTAGGAATTATCCCACTTTTTTTGATCATTATAGGATTTTTTTAGTCATCTGTCAATATTATTATTATTATCATCATCTACATCACCAATCATTCATTAGCAATTATCATTCATGCTGACCATTTTGAAATTTTGGAATTCTCTTCTCATTCGTTAACGGTGTGGTGTAACGGACTTTGAAAACTTGGCCGGGTGTTTTTTTTTTTCTTGGACTCGTCATCACTTTTTTTTTTTTTCTATTCCCATTTTCAATTACTTTTCCTTCCCTTTACTTCTTTAACTTCTTCTCCCTGTTCTTTTTTTTTTCTCCTATTCTCAGACTTATTATATTCTGATTCATCTTATTATTACTCATGGAAGATAACAAGACACCAGATATTCCTTTGCCATGCACTAATGGTTGTGGATTTTATGGCAATCCAATTTTCCAAAATATGTGTTCAAAATGTTTCTCTGAAAAACAAAAATCAAGCAAGTATCTTATTAGAAAAAAAAAAAAAAGAATTAATAAATCATAATCTAATCCTTTGTTTTTATATATATATAGAAGAAAACTTACAAGCAGCAGCAGCCGCAGTAGCCACCTCAACTACAACATCGTTATCATCACCTGCACCATCTATTCCTTCAGAAACAACCACTCAACCAACAACACCATCCACAACAGAATCCAATACAAACAATAACAAAGAAGAAGATCAAGTTAACACTGTCAAGTCAGTGTCAGTAACAGAATCAACAACATTAGTAGTAGAAGAAGAAGAATCCAAGGATGAAAAGCCTGTTCAGAAAAATAAAGGTCGATGTTTTGTATGCCGTACTAAGGTAAGAGACAGAGAAAAAAAAAATGATAATAAAGAAAATGAACTGGGGTCTCAATGTGATTTTTTTTTTTTTTTTTAGATCCCATTGACAAAACAATTAACCAACAAATGCCGCTGTGATTATGTCTTTTGTGATTCTCATCGATATCCTGATAAACATGAATGTCAATTTGATCATGCTTCTATGGATAAAGGTAATAATAATAATAATATATAAAAGGATGAATAATATAGATTCTTATTATATATTTATATATTTACGAAATTAGATATTTTAGCCAAGAACAATCCCAAATTGAACGATCGACCACGAGGAGGACGATCATTCCAACGTCTTGATAGTGTTTGATAATATTATTCATTTTAGTGTAGAATGAACTAACTAGTTATCTTTGATCGTTTTATATTCCTTTTACACAAAAAACATTCCATTTATTATTATCACACCACCCCACGTGTTTTCAAGCGCTGAAATCACATCTTTCTCTCTCTCTCTTTTTTTTTTCTTCTTATTATTATACATATACATTTTTTTTTATTTTATTTTATTATTCTTTCCCTCTCCACAATAGTTTATCGTTTTTATTTTTCTTGAACATTATTATGTAGAAATCATATGATACGGTTGATGGATATATCATTTATTATTCAATAAAGTTTCAGGAACAACGTTATCTCTCTCATATTATTTATATATGCAACTTCATGTGCTCATTAAAATAGAATAATAAGAAAGATCCCATGACAAATTTTTTTAATCCAAGGATAGATGGATTACTCATAGCGGTCTTATCTCTTATTGTTTATAAGTGGTTCGCTAAGGAAGAAAACAAATAAAAAAGAAACCAAATCCCTTTTTTTTTTTTTTTTCTGAAAAGGAGTTTTTTTTTTCTTTCCTTTTTTCTTTTTCTCGCTTGTTTTTTTCTTTTTTCACTTTCACTTTTTTTTTCTTCCTTTTCTTTTTTAATTTACACTCTAAAAGATGAATTCACATTACTTACAACGACTCTCATTTCAAAAACTGGAAATTCATTCACCATCAGCATCATTACATTCATTTGTTCTTGTAAGAAACTCTTTGCTTCGCTCTATACGGATTCAACAACAAGAAGACAGCTGGCTGGACGCGTGCTTTGATGAATTGACTCCCGATACGACTGCGACATCCTCCACAACAGCTGCGGAAGAAACAGTGAATCAAGGTGACCAATCAACAACACAACAACAATATGATGATGATTTGGATATGTTATTAATAGAGGATGATTCAGATGATGATGATGATGATGAAGGACCAGTGTCTCCAGAACAAACGGATGTCCCCCCTCTGTATCGTCAACGTACTTTTGGTTCACCCGCCTTTTTTATTCCTGTGGATGATGATTCTGATGATGATGATGATGCCAGTGATGATGACATTATTTCATCTCCAGCTGATAATCACACCATCAACAAGACAACAGACGACAAACACTTCCATCACAATAACAACGACAATAACAACAACAACAACAATAATAGTAGGGTACAATCTTCCTCCTCCACACCTTCAGTAGCTCATGATATTGTTTTTCTTGACTGTGGTGATGGATCGATTCAATGGTAGATCCTCTCAAAAAAAAAAAAAAATAGTACCTGATATTGATGAATGCATGGATATTCACCCTTGATTTCTCTATCTATGACTATTTATTATTTCCCATTCCTTTGTCGTACTAATGTTTTCTTTATATATATCTTCTTATCCTTTGTACATATTTTATATATCTTCATCGCATAGCCTCTTTTTTTTTTTTTTTTTTTTTACATACCTTCACCTATTTCAAACATCAAAACAAATGATAATAATAAAAAAACAATCATGAATTTATTTTATGTATCATTGTATTGAAGTATTTACATCTTTTTTTTTTTCTATCTATGGATGTGTATCTATTTTCCTGTGTGTGAAAATCCTCTCTCTGACTGATGATGATTTGTTGTTTCCGCACGCTCCGATATTGACTACCATTTACGGATGATGCGTCATTGTATGTACATCATGGGGTTTTGAAAAACTTTAATGAATCAAAAAAGCACTTGGTCCTTTGTAAAACCATTCTTTCTGTTTATTCTTTTGGGTGTGTGTGTGTATATATGTATATATAAAAGTAACAAAGGGTCGATGTGTACGAGTAAAATGAGATAATAATAATAATAATAAAAAAATGGGTAGATATGTAAAAGAAAAAGGACAAAAAAAAAAAAAAAGAAAAAAAGTAACTAACTAACAAATACTATAACGAATTCTAATCAATGATATGGTAAACACCCTTCTTTACTTGTCCTTCACCCTTTTCGTAAGGCAAATCAAATACAGCGTTGCTACGGAATCGTCGCATAAAGTGAATGGCATCAGCTTCCAAACTCTTAGGTTCAATATACAAATCCTTGAAGGTGTAGGCACCAGGTGTAGGTTTATCATCCATAGTCATCTGTAATAAAAATGAGTCAGTAATCAAACCCATGACCTTTTTTTTTTTTTTTGCCTTATGTATACAAGATGACTTACTCTTTGGATCAAATCAGGACTGATCATTTGATTGTAAGGTAACATGTCACATCCCTTGGCAACCAACTTGGCAATGGGAGTAGGAATGTTGAATGTAGGGAGAGGTTTCAAAGAGATTTCACGGGCCAATTCATACACTTGTTCAAAAGTATATTCACGATCACTAAAATAAAAAAATAAAAAAAAAATAAAATAAATGACGTTGCTCACTTCATGATGACAGTAGGATGATGGATAACGGTAAAACACCAGATCTACCATTTCTTACCCATAAAGTTCATAAGTCTTGCCCATGGTGGATTCAGCACCGAAGATCACTTCGATAGCCTTAGCAACATCCACAGCAGAAACAGGTCGAATCTTGGTTTGACTTTCATTTACCCAGAATTGCCAGCCATCAGCAGCTATCAAACAAAAGAAAAAAAAAGATTTAGTCTCTCTAAACACACTTGAATATCCTCCTTTTTTTTCACATACCACCAATTCTGTTCAAGAATCGATCTTCGTGACCCCACATGATAGAAGGACGAACAATGGTAGCTTCAGGGAAGATTTCACCAAGTACCTTTTCACCTTTAGCCTACGATATAATTTTTTTTAGTAAAAGGACAAATAATATTCAATGAGGCTCGTTGATCAAATATTCATTCAATAATATACCTTAGTTTGTAAGAATCTTGAAGGAGAATCTTCAGAAGCATTCAAAGCTGATACCTGGATAAAGCGGGCAACACCAGTTTCAAGGGCAGCTTCAGCAATAGCACGAGTACCTTCAACATGAACATCATCAAAAGTGAAGTTCCTGATGAAATAATAATAATAATAATAAAAGTCAATATATTGATCTCTTGAGAGTGATGATTTTTGTTTTTCACTTACTTGGTTTCATAATCACGACCGATAAGATTGATGACAATATCAGAGTGACGAACACATTCACGGAGTTGATCCTTATTTTTCAAGTCGAATTCCTATTCATCATCAAAATGAAAAGATATATATATAAAACGTTATTGTCTAATGTCTATATTTTTAAATAACGAATTCTAAATTTACCAGAGGAATGATTTGACCCAAGTCACCGGTCACCTTAAGAGGGCGAGCTTCATCAGGGTCACGATTGGCAACAACTACTTGAGTACCGAGTTGAGCTATTATAGAAATAAAAAAAAATCGATGAATTTCATGGACAAAATAAGTAAGTTCAAAGCCGGGTATGTTCTTCATGTATCATATATAAAAACCTATTCTTTTTCTTTAAAATGGTGATGCTTACCAAGTTTATTCACAACATAGCGACCAAGGAAACCAGTACAACCGAACACAGTAGCAATATGACCATTGGTAGTAGAGCTAATATAAAAGGGAAAAAAGACCATGAGCTTATCGAAATGTATCGCAACAAATAACAAAAAGAAGGATATGAGAGTAGTTGTCGTTGATGAAGTCCTAACTTACCGACCACCAAGACCTTGTCGAATCATGGGTTGACCGGTTCTTTGTCGTAAAGTAAGATCGTGCATGGCGCGCTATAATAAAAGAAAGAAAAAGAAATAATCATAAGAAAAAAAAAAGAATGAACAATAAGAGTGAATCTCATTTCTTACCACTTGAATCCAAGAACGTCGGCCAGTCTCTATAGGAAGTGGAGAAAAGATAAAAAAAATAAAAAAATGAGTCAATGCTAAAAAGTTCTTTCGAATAGTCATCTAATTACGTTTGAAAGCAGCTGTGGCAAGCATTGTAATGGGTTGTGAAAAGAGAGGGGAGTGAAAATAAAGGAAAAGAAAGAGAAAAAAAAAATAAATATATAAAAAAGAGCAAAACACAAAAAAAACAATCTGGTAATAATTTTTTTCAGTCCCAGCAAACAACAAGAAAGCAAAAGGGCAAAAAAATTTGGCTCTCATAAAAAGCCCCGGTCAAGCGCGTCATCGGCTTACACTTTAGTAGAAAGGTTTAAAATTCCGTCAATACTGGCATATTGACAACTAAAAAAAGAAAAAGATTATTGTTGTTATCCGTCATCCCATATAATTTATCATACCATCACACTTCCATAATATCATCTATCCATCATTCTATCATTGATCATATATTGCACTATTGTTCATTTCTAAGTAATCAAAAAAGAGGAGATCCTAGGCCACAACAATAAAGACAATTAGAAGATGACATTGTGATAATAATTTAATTTCCAAATCATATTCTTTATTTATAATAATGTACAATCAATAGATACAAATAAACTACATCTACTATTCTAAAATACACATAAAAAACATACACACGCATATATATAATGAATCATCGAAAGAGATCAAACCTTCATCTTCTTTTCCCAAACGGTTCCAACTTCATTCATGGCTTCAATTTCTACCAATACAAGAGCATCCAAGACAGCTTTTCCCACTAAAGGTTCCAAAACAGCAACAACTTCAGGACGAATAAAACCATTGTGAACACGATCAGCAAAGACTTGCATACAACCAGCAGCACGAACTGTACCCTTCGAGCAATGGGCCAAATGGAACAACATGGAAGTTTCCATCTCCAAGGCATCAGTAGTAGGATGAGAGGCCAAAGCAGTGTCAATGACTTGTGTATTGTCGTCCCAAAATTGAGGATCCAAACGACCTTGAGCAGAATAAAAAGAACATCCATCTGCATTCAACCCACCACCAATGACAGGACCTATCTTGATATCTTCTTGATGTTCAGCCATAGCCTTGGTCAAGGTTTGTTCCAATAATTCAGTCATACCAGGATCAGCAGCAAACGTACCAGAAATTAAATAAGGCATATCTTGAATACCACTATGCAAAGGAGTATCACAGAAATAATCAATATTGCGTCGAATACAGTATCCACCTTTGGGTACAATTACTGAACCAGGAGGTGCTCTTTCTGTTAATGAACCACAAGACCCAAATCGGATAATAGCGATATCTCCATCTACCACAGCTCTTGTTTCTCGGACCAGAAAGTCCATCATGGGATTACCCATACCACTAAAAAAAAAAAAAAAAAAAAAAGAAAAAGAAAAAGAGAATTGAGTCGACTCATTCTTTTTTTTTTTTTAGTATCCTACTTACATTGCCATTATACTAACAGGAATATCTTTATATCGTCCAGTGATGGTAAGGAAACCTCTTTGACTTGAATGTTCAAAATCAATATGATCCAAGTGCTTTGCAATAGCTCTTGCCCTGAGATGATCACCTACTGTTAAGATACGGTTGGCTACTTGACCACGTTTGACATGAATATGATAAACATGACCTTCGGCATCTTGAGGAAAGTTGGCATTAGTGAGAGTTTCCTTCATATTAATAACAATTGGATTAAAAAGATAAAAAAAAAGAAAAAAGATATCAATTCAAAAAATGGCCCTTTTTATCCTGAGAAAAAATAGAAAAAATTAGGGTTCTTTTTTCAATCTCCGTATAGATTCATGGTACTTTCAACGTACGTAGGTATTTGACTAGAACTTTTTTTTCTTTTTCCACTGTCATATTCTATAGGTACAAATTGTATCTTCATTTTAGTTGGAACTTTATCTTTTCCCTCATATATCTTTTTTTTTTTTTGTGATTATTATATACTTGTATACAAAAATGATATTACGACGATGTTTTCATGGCACAACGTTCTTATCAACCAAACGCAACATCAAACTACCCAAAGATCCAACTTCGACGGTATACAAAGGACGATTATTTGAATGGCAAACATTACAGGCGTTTGAAATGCTTGGGATGCAACTTGAACATATTGGAGGGAAAAGTGATGGTGGTCTTGATCTGAAAGGTGAATGGTGTCTTATAGATAACAATATTCCAGTGGTAGTGCAATGCAAGAATGTCAAGAATGGATGTACACCTGATCATCTACGAGGGTTACTTGGTGCCACAGTGAACTTGAATATGGAACGACAAACACTTGGAATTTTGGTATCGGGGTCTTCCAAGACAACATTTACACCGGATACCATGACTTTATTCAATCAATCTTCTCTTCCTCTTGGTCTGGCACGTGTATGTGACACTATGCTACAAGCACTTGTCTTGAATCATGCTGCTCAACAATGGCTGGATATCAATATTCACTTACGTTTTGATCCTTTGGGTCGTCTTTTACCTCCTCCTTTGATTCTTTCCGCTGATGGCCGTCAAGTAGTACAATCATCTCTTCTCAAAAATAGTATAACAACCTCATGACTTTTTTTTTCTTTCTTTCTTTTTTTTTTTTTTTTTTTTTTTGTATAAAATATACCACATTAATAAAATAGAAACCATTTGACATATATCTTTTATATAATACAGTAATAATTTGTGTATTCATGTGTAAATGGAATCGATTTTTATTTAAAAGTAGGAACAAATAAAAGGGATATCTAAAAAAGGGAAAAAGGATTATGGATGATGGGTTTTGGGCATCAAAGAAGCAGAATAATGGACTCGAATATGACGACGCATGTTAGATTGTACACTAAAAGTTCTATCACAATCTCGGTAAGGACAAGCAAAAGGTTTTTCCCCAGTATGAGAAAAGATATGAGTACGTAGAGAGGAAGGTCTTGAAAAAGATTTAGAACATTCGTGACACATGTATTTCCGTTGTGGTGAATCCATAAATGATGATGTTGTATATCTACTATTGATATGAGATGTAGATACAGTACGACGATGATGATGATGATGTTCTTCTTGATGTTTATTGTTAGTAGATGATTCATATGGTGACACTATGGTTGATGTTGCTGATCCTTGGCGTGGTGGTAGTACTGGTGATACCATCGGAGGCGATAGTTTTGATAACGATGTAGTTTTGTTAGAATCCAATGAAAATGACCGAGAATGTCCTTTCCAAGGAATTGATGATGATGATGATGATAAGGAAGAAGAAGAAGAAGAAGGTGTTGATTCTACAGAAGGTGATATGATTGGATAAGGAGCTTTTTGTGAGGTATAATAATGATGATCATTCAATCCGCTTGCTTCTTCCAAATTGATAGACTTTGCAGTTGTATTCAACATGGTATCAATAGAGGGTAAAGATATACGACCTGTGTCCATAATGTAAAAATATATCAACAGGTAAAAAAAAAAAAAAAAAAAATGAAAAGGATATAATAAGAGAAAAAGAAAGAAAAAAAAAAGGAGACCAGTGAGAAAAAAAAGGGTTCAGAAAAGAAAAAAGATGTGCGAACGGCGATCGATTACAAAAAAAAAAAAAAAAAAAAAAGAAATAAGAAAAAAAAAAAACGCATCATGTGAACTAAACTAGCTTAGGTAGTTTGGTGGTTCAAAAAAGGAAATCTCTCTTTGACCATGTTTCAATTTGATCATATTTTATCATCTGCATTAAAAGTGACCCATGTTTTAGACTTCTTATTTTTCCCTTTTTCACTTTTGTTCCCGATTCTTTTTTTTTTTATCGTCTTCTTTATAATGGATGAGAAACAACAACGTCCTATTGCTGATAATAATGCATTCATCAGAACAGATATTGAACAAGAATCATCATTAGATCAACAAACTCATCGTACATCATCTTTACCTGAAAGAGCAAAACAATTAGCTGAAGAAATGAAGACCAAACGGAAACAATATCGTCAAAAAAATGTCCAAATTGGTGCAACCAACATTGAATTGAATCAATAATATAGCATTTTAGTCAATTTCGTATATAGTAATCCTTATATTTTTTTTTTTTGAATAGCTCCATTTTTGTTGTTTTATTAATATTGATAAAAATACAAAAGAATCAAAACCAAGCTAAACAAAAATAATAATAAAAAAAAAAAGATATGAAAAAGCTAAACTAGTAGAACACGAATGTGAAAAAGGGTATAAATATATATATATAGAATACAATCAAGTAGTTCCATTCGTAGTAGTGATTATTGAAGTAGTAATATCATTGCTGCCATATCCAGTCAATCTAGGAGGTCTAGTTAAGCTTGAATAAGAAGGTGGAGAATGCGTTGGGAATCGAGTTCGTTGTTGTTGTTGTTGTTGATGATGATGTGGTGTAGATGCTGATCTTGGGATGGGTCGATTATAGATTTGTATCAAAGGCCGTTCATCATTATCTGAATCATCTTCTTCTGAATCCATATAACGTTGTTGACGACCTGATGATCCTCGTTCCAATAATAATGATCCTGCTTCGTATCCATACGCTGGTGGTGGTGCTAAAGTTCCTTGCATTGGTGCTAATCCCCATTTTTTCACATTGGCTTCCACAAAGACAAAGCCTTATCAAAAAAAGAAGAATTTATTAATCAATCATCGGGAAATTTTTGATCCTTTTTTTTTTTTTTTTTTTTTTTTTTTTTTTTTTTTTTTTACCCATTTGACCGAGATTGACATGAATTTGACAAGGTCCATTAGCTCCAATAGTAGGGAATAAATTCCATCTTAATGAAGTACAAGCATCTTCCAATTTTCTGCCATTTCGAGTGAAAAAGATAGTTCCTGATCGATGTCGATAACCTACACCTATAACGTCTCCTTCTTGAAATCCAACTCCATATGTTTTGCCATAAAATGGATTATTGAAATGCTTGTTGCCTGTATGACTGAAATATCCCACAGAATGTCTGTTCCAACCTATATAAGTTATTATATTAGAAAACATGTCATTTCATCATTTGATGTATTATTTACCTGGTAAACGCCAATTTGGATATGGTTTTGTAGCAACACCAATGGCAACTGTTGTTGTACTAGGTTTTTCAAACATTTTCGCCTATATATAATAAGAAAGAATGAATATGTGAATATAAATTTATATCTTTTTTTTTTCCTTTCTTTCTTACCTCCCAATAATAAACATCTTGATTTCTTGGTAAAGGTAAGTTTGTTTGTAGAGAACATTCTCCATTAAAAAATTGAAGTTCGGTTCTTGCTGATATAAATGTATTGGTTTCCATATCCCATTCAAATTCAAAAGCAGAGACTCCTTTTTCTTGAATGGATACATATTGAGATAAAGTAATATCAGTAGAAATACTATCTGGAGGGAAACGTTGTTGAAAAACTATCATAGAAAAGAAAGAAAAGAAAAAAAAAAGAAGAGTTAAGAATACTTACTAAATATATATTAATAGATTACCTTTAGCGCGTTCATAACTTAGACGAGCATCTTCAGAAAGAAGAGCCAATAAAGCAGGAGTTTCTTCAATATCACCAGCTAGTTCGGGATCGTCAGTACCACCAAGGAATAATCGTTCACCAGTTGCTTTTGTAAAACATAACAAGATTACCACGACAAAGACAAACACAACAAGTCCTACTACAAATATCCAAGTATAATTGCTGTCTATTAATGTTAACATAGATAACATCATAAATGAAATGGGTGTGAAGACAGTTTATATATATATATATTATGTATATATATAAATATAGGGTATTTAAAGACGTAAAAAGAAGAATGGGAAAAAAAAAGAAGAAGAAACGAGGGAAAAAAAAAATCAGATCTGCGCAGATGATCAAATTTGGAAATATGTTAAGTCACCGCCACCAATCACTATCAAGCTCTTCCTAATAAAAAATATGAATCAAGGAAAAAGACTTTGGTTATTGATATATATATAAATAATACACTTTATTCAATAATAATTGTAGTACCTTAATATAAAGAGTAATATTAAACTCTTGTTATTTATTTTTAGTATCTATATATGATATTGTTTTTCCTATTCTATTGGTTTATCTGCTGCATTACAGTGATGGAAAAAAAAAGACAAAAGTGGCTGGTTGCATACAGTTTTTTTTTATTTCAAAAAAAAAAAAAAAAAAATACAAGCAGCGACCCTGGAGTTTTTTTTTTTTTTTTTTTTTTTTTACTTTTTATTTTCCTTTTCGATCTACCTTTCTACATAGTGATGCCACTTATGTCATTGACATCAGATTCTTCTATACCACCTACATCACCTTCTAGTAATAGTATCGATAATACCAGTAGTCATATCAAGAACAATGATCTAACATCAACTATTAGCAATAAGGATGGAGGATTATTTGACAATATTAGCAACAATCCTTACTTCTCAGCTGGATTTGGTTTATTAGGTGTTGGAGCAGCTATGACACTCTTACGACGCGGGTCGACAGTAGGAGCAGCTTATTTACGACGACGATTATTGGTGACATTGGAAATCCCTTCGAAAGATAAGTCGTACCTCTGGTTCTTACAATGGATGTCACATCAAGCACCTAAGCGACAAGTACAACATCTCGCGGTAGAGACTTCGTATCGACAACATGATAATGGTAGTGTCACCACCAAATTTGGACTTGTACCTGGACCTGGGACTCATTATTTTAAATGGCATGGGATCTGGATGCAAGTACAACGTCAACGCGATGGTAAAATGATGGATCTATCAACAGGAAGTCCTTGGGAAACTATCACTGTCACTACACTATCAAGAGATCGTCATATCTTGACTGAACTACTCAAGGAAGCTCAGGAAATGGCCTTACAGAAACAACAAGGGAAAACAGTCATCTATACTTCCTATGGTCCAGAATGGAGACCCTTTGGCATGCCTCGTCGTCGAAGAATGTTGGACTCGGTCATCTTGGATACTGGTATCAAGGAACGCATTGTTAACGATGTTAAGGCATTTATTGGAAATGGACAGTGGTATAATGAACGAGGTAAAGAAAATTTGTACAATAGATGAATGGAATGAGTTATATATATTATAAAAAAAAGATGATCTTTCTAACCTTCTCTCTTTCTTTTTTTGCTGATTTCTAGGAATTCCATATCGAAGAGGTTATTTATTATATGGGGAACCAGGTAGTGGGAAAAGTAGTTTTATTCAAGCATTAGCAGTAAGTGAAAAAAAAAATAGGATTTATGACTTTTCCTTTGCTAATAATAATGATGAATGTATTTATTTAGGGCGAACTGGAATACAACATTTGCATTCTTAACCTATCAGAACGAGGATTAACAGACGATCGACTAAACCACCTACTTAGTAACGTACCAGAACGCAGTATCATGTTATTAGAAGATGTGGATGCAGCATTTACCAAAAGGGCTCAAAGCGACAATCAAGGCTATCAATCGATGATTACCTTCAGTGGATTACTGAATGCATTGGATGGTGTGGCATCGGCAGAAGAAAGAATTATCTTTTTGACTACCAATCATATTGAAAAACTTGACCCAGCGTTGATTCGTCCTGGACGTGTGGATTTGAAGGAACATCTAGGTAATGCCACCGATCATCAAATTAGAGGTATGTTTACTCGTTTCTATCAAGACCGACCGGATCTGGCCAATGTATTTGTCGACAAACTCAAGAATCATAAAGTCAGCACTGCTAGTTTGCAAGGTCATTTTGTATACTTCAAAGATAAACCTGAGGAAGCTATTGAACATGTGGATCTTCTTTGGCATCAATTGTAGAAATATTATTTTTATTTTAGTTACATTTTGTATTTTGTGATAGATTTTTTTTTTTGGGATTCATTGACTAACAATAAATAAAATACACAAAGAGAATGATTTATTTTATATTATTGTTTTCGTTCCCTCTATTCATCAGGCTCTCATTTTTTTTTTTTTTTTTTGTGCAGATGATTTTTAGGGGCGGAGTCGAATTACAGATTTATGCTTTTTCCAATACACGTTTATAATGCAGAGCGGACAAACTACACAAGAATGACCAGTCTTGAAAGAAATAACGTTTTTTTAAGGTTCATGTACATCAAAGGCAATTACGTCATGGGACAGAAATATTCGTTTTCATATTTTATTTTTTATTGTATCTTTTGTAGATTAACTCACAGTTATAATCATGGAGGATAAAAAAAAATGATGATTGACTATATATATATATATAGAGAGAGAGAGAGAGAAAGACAGGCAAGGAATAATGATACGAAGAAAAATAAAAACGAAATGACAATATATCAAAGAAAAAAAGTTTAGGCTATGGAAGGAGGATACTAAGACCTAATAATAATGATAAAACATAATGACAATAAAAAAAAATGAAGAATGTACAAAAATAGATTTGCCCAAAAGTAATAATAATAATAATAATAATAAAGAAGAAAATAAAAGAGGAAAGATCTAATTCTAACAACAACCACTTCCACCACTGTAATGATCATGATGTTTCGATTGATCCAAATGGATAGAATCATTGTCCAAATCGTCAGTTAATAGAGTACCTCGTTCTTCTTCAATAGCCACAATGGTTTGGATCAAGTGTCGAGCTGCTTCGTCAATATTGCTATTATCCTTTGCCGATGTTTCAAACCATTTTGAGAATCCATTGTCTTGACAGAATTGATCCATTTCTAGTGGATTGATAGGTTGGCCATGTCCTTCTTGTAACAAGTCACTCTATAATAATAATAATGAAAAAAACAACAATAAAAATTTGTTACTATTTCTTTTTATTCCATTCTCTAATCATACTTTTTTTTTTTTTTTTTTTTTTTACCTTGTTTGCCAATAAGACCACAGGAATATTACCACCACCCCAAAGTTCAGGTAATGCCACCTTTGAATCCAAATCTTGCTTCCATTTGGTTACACCTTCAAAAGTCTGCGGCCGAGTCACATCATATACCACAAATGCTCCAAGAGCTTCCTTGTAATAAACCCGAGTCATATTACCAAATCGTTCTTGTCCAGCTATATCCCATAATTGTAAACGAACAATGATTTCAGGTGACCACTGAATCACTTTGAGAGCAAAGTCAACACCAATCTAAGAAAAAAGGGAATAAAATAGGATAGGCAATTACTAAGATATATATATATATATATAAAATTTCTTCCTATTTAAGTTATACTGACACACACAGTTACATATATATATATATCCTCTTATCATTTCAAAGGATAACAAAAAAGATAACATATCACTTGTATTTATCCCCTCTCTAAAATATATAGATGATGACTTACAGTTGATTTGTAATTTGTAGAAAAGATATTGTGTACATAGCGTCGAATGATAGATGTCTTGCCAGTGCCAAGATCACCTACTACCAAGATTTTGTAAAGATATTCTCTTGTTGGTGGTCCAGTCTATAAATAAGGATCAAAGAGAGACAAAAAAAAAAACCGATAAAATAAAGATATAGTTAGTACATTCACAATACAGATAGATATGTATACTATTACCATATTGTATTGTGTTCTTTTTATTTGTAAAGTGGATGAATAAATATATAGAGATGTAAAAGGTATAAAAGGAAGGTGGATGGAAAAAGAAAAGAAAGAAAGAAAGAAAAAAAGAAAAAGTGAAAAAAAAGGGAAATAAAAAAAAAAGTATCAAAAAAGAGAAATATGACGCTTTGTGCAAGTTGCGGAGAAGAAAACTGAGCCAATGTTTTCTTTGTTATCTTGTCTTGCCCATTTGGAAGAGCCATGAGGGACCAGATTGCTTGACTGGGAATAGACTGTTACATCCAAAACAAACATCCGTTTTATAGTTCATGATCTTCTAACGTATTTCCATATCTACCAATTACATACGCCATTCTACTCCAAAGTCTTTGAGTTGCTTCGTTAGCCTATTCAATATATATATATATTCAAAACAAAAATATCAGTCATCATCATTCAAGTGGACTTTGAAAAAATCCCTCATCTTTGTCATTTACCATAGTTCTTTCCAATGTACTCAGTCGTCCACCTATTCATCACAAAAAAAAAAAAAAAAAAAAAAAAATCAGTTGTTACAAAATTAGCGCACCCTTTTTTTTTTCTTTTTCTTTTTTTTCTTTTTTATTGTACCTATTCTACGACCCAAAGCTTGTAACTGTGTAACCAAGGAGCTTACAGCATCCTACCAAAGACCACACAAAAAAAAAAAAATCAAATCGATACATATCATACTCCTCATTTGTTTTGTATACTTACTATTGATGTTTTGAATTCTGATATATTACTTCCAATAGCATGATCCAACAGATATATCCTTAATGAGAGTTGTCGATAATCAGGATTAGTTTGTTGAAAGATACTGGTAGTGTCCCGCATTTTTTCTGTCATGGTGGATAAAATAGTATCACTCGAATCACATATAGATGACAATGATTCTAATGATACCGCCTTTGGTTCTTGCTGTTCCATTAAAGCCTTATCGCTATTGAGTGCCATTTCCAATGCTAATACTGCCATCACTCGCCGGAGATACAAGCTTCGATCACAGATGGGTTTAGTTGATTTGAAGATACGTATTTGAAGTTCCACTGATGTGAATAATTCACCAAGGGAAAGGGCCATTTTTTGAATTTGGGTTTGCCAATCATCTTCTGGTAAAGCTTGTAAACATGCCTCCAATGTGTCTTGAATCCTATTCAATAAAAGCATACCAAGCTGATCTACCCCTAAACAAATCAGTGTTTTGCCAAGGTAATGTAATTGTTGTACCGTATATGCTTCAGGCCATAAAGTCAATGATTTGGTAAGAAGTTCCAGTACCCATTCAAATTGAATCAGAGGTATTTTGTCCACTTGATCATCGTCCATCGCTATATCCTGATCCTTTTCCTTATTAAAACAAGATGAAAATGTGGTATCATCGTCATTCAATGACAATAGTGAGAGAGCCCCGTATGATCGTAATATGTAGGAGAAAGTATCCACAGACATGAATCGATTGTAGTTGAGTCCATCCATAGTACCAGCAGCCAATGGTAGTTTTTGCTGAAGCTATCAAACGCATATATATATATATATAAGAAAAAACAAAGGAGAGAGTGAGTTATATCATACTAATTGACAATTTATACCAAACACTATACAAACATACCCAGTTAGACCAAAGTACCGAAAGTGTTGTGAAAGCCTGTCTTGCAACCCCAATATCTTCTTCAAAAGCGACTACGTATTACAAAAAAAAAAAAAAAAAAAACCAATCAGTATACAGAGTATCCTTATTTTATGCCATCCCAATCTCTTCAAACTCCTTACCAATTTCAATAAGCCATTGATAGACTGAATGGGTACAATTCCAACCAAGTTGATACCAAGTTGTAATGATATCAGAAGAAATAAGGAATTTTCGTTTTGAATTATCTACAAAAAAAAAAAAGATCATCAGTTTCAAACATCTTTAGTCCTTCAACCTAGAGATTCACCTGCAGAGTACTTGACAAGATGATTATATTTGGCAATCATGGATTTATCATTCATAAGATTGATTTCATCTTGTATTGATAAGACTTGAGGTGATGGGATCTATTTTAAACATCATAAGGGTAATAAAAATGAGAGATATCTTCTAGGATTTGCATAGAGTGATATTCTTACAGTACAACGTTTTGAGAAGAATCGATAATGTTGAATTTTTTCTTTAACATGTTCTGTTCCATTGAGTGCCTACAAGATAGGAAGCATCAGTAAATGTATATTTTTTTTTTTTTGTTGTATTCTCTCGTCATCCTGATACAATATATTACCTGTTTCAATTCCTCTGTTTCCTCCTTTTCCAGGAACTCTGTTGCTAATTTTGCTAGATCGTCTGTTGCATCTATAGCATCATCTGTTTCTGTATCCGAGTCGTCTTGATCGTAAATCCAATCCAGCCATTGTTCCGGTGTAAAGATATATTTGAGTTGTTGTCTCTCTAGTTCTTTCGAATGTTCTAATGAGTCTTTATCCGAGGATTGTTCGGATTTGGCAATAGGAATGTCATTTTCATAAAAAGGATCAGCGCTGATAGAATCAAATAACTAGATGAATATTAAAGAAAGATAAGTGAGTTATACTGATATCTATAAGGTTACCCAAATCTAACCTTATGTAGTTCTTTCTTCTTGTCAGAAGTGATACGTTGTCGTTTTTTAGGAGCAATCAGTTGATCTTGAGTTGGTGAAGGCATATCCTCTTTTTTCTTGCTAAATCTAGTGCTTCTTTTCTGAGGTATAGAAAAAGAATCCTGTATATTCTTTTGATTAAAACGCATAGTGGTATACAAGTCAAAAAAAAAAAAGACTACTGTTAGAGAGAAAAAGAAGGGGAGTCAGAGACAGCCATCATTTTTGGGATTGGACAGAAAAGTCACGAATCCATATTTAGAAACCATAGGCGGGGGTCAAAATCGAATGATGAAAAATGCATTTTTTTTTTTAGAAGAGAAAAAAAAAGTTGCTTTCTTTTTTTTCTCTCTCTCTTTTTTTTTTCCTTTTATTTACAACCAACACGTATGTCTTTTTCATTTAGTAGAGATCGTATTGCGGAATTAAGAGGCGATAGTCAGGTAAAATGATCCTTATTGCTATTAAGTTTTGAATTTGTCAATTCATTGATTTTTTTTTTCTTATTAATTATAAAACTTTTATTTAGCCAACAACAGGGTATCGGAGAAGCAAGTAAGGAATGCATGATTTTTTTTCTTTTCTTTTCTTTTCTTTTCTTTTTTTTTTTTTTCTCTCTGAACGATTTGATATTTTATATTTAGTGATGAATACAATGATGGATTTGGACCTAGACGAACACCAGCAGGATATGATACTACTCAACGAACAATACCAGCAACTTCACGGTATAATGATTCTGATCATCAAGCTTATGAAATGACCTCAAGACCTCAAGCCGATGTATCGACCATGCCAGCATTCTTTCAAGAAATTGATGATTTGAAATCAGAGATTGCTGCAGTCGGAAACAATGTACAAGAAATCCAATCTCTTCATGAGGCCGCCTTGACCTCCACCAATGAAGCTCAATCAAAAAATTATGCATCACAATTAAACGCTTTGAAGAAGGAAACACAACAAAGAAACAATGATATCAAAAATAGAATAAAATGTAAGTTACATAAAAAGATCAATAATGGGACTCATCATTTTTTTTTTTTTTGCTAGTCATAGAACAATCAAATGTGAAGTATCCAAATGATAGTGATGGTCAAATTCGTCGAACGCAGGTAAAATAATTCTTCTCGTTTTTCTTATCATAAATCTTGATGGTCTTTCTATTTTTTTTTTTTTTTAAATAGACCAATGCTTTACGAAAAAGATTTATGGGCACCATTCAACAATACCAAGATATGGAGCGTACATATGATCGACGTTATCGACAACGCATTGAACGCCAAATTCGAATCGTCAAGCCTGAAGCGACACAAGAAGAAGTAGATGATATTATTGATTCGGATAAGTCAAGTCAAGTCTTTACACAATCGGTAAAAGAGCAAGAAAAAGTCAATAGATTTTAATTTATTATTATTATTATTTTATTCTTTATCAAAGTTAATGCAAGCCGGACGAACAAGTCAAGCTCGTGCAGTTTTAAGTGAAGTTCAAGATAGACATCAAGATATCAAAAAGATCGAACAAACCATCATGGAACTACATCAATTGTTTATGGATATGTCAATGCTAGTGGAACAGCAAGGTGAAACATTGAATCAAGTAGAATATCACGCTGAAGATACAACTGCAAACTTGGAACAAGGTAACAAATTTATCGCTAGGGCCATTCAGAGCGCAAAAGCAACGCGAGCGGTAATTATATATATATAACATTGGATTCGTACAAAACATTCATATATAATGTATTTCTTTTTTTTTTTTTTACTTTTAGAAAAAATGGTGTTGTTTCTTCTTAACCATTGGCATTTGTGTGATGATTGCTATTCTGGTTTGGTGGTTCGCCTTTGGTCATCCGGTAATAAAATAAAAATCAATGATAAGATCATCTACTGACTTTTCTTTTGTATATACTATTTAGGGTGTGGTAGGACCAAGTAGCAACAATAACAGAGCTTCATCCACTCCAGCTCCAGCAGCCACTCATACATAAATCAATATAGATTCATGATTCCATCTAAATACTTTTTTGACAGCCTGAACTTTAATAAAACTTTCTTTTTTCCCTACATGCATTATGCATAATCCTCTGTTCATGCATTTTTTTTTTGTTGTGTAGATATATATTACTTTGATGATTGCCTAATGAAAGGAAGAAAGATATGACGTTGGTATGGTAAATAGGGATGGCGATATAAATATTCATTTTTTAACTTCTCTATAAGTACAATGATAACCTATCAATTACATAAGCAAAATGAAATGAAACGAAAGGAAATGTTTGTGTTCGAATTTCATATGATGATGATGACGTTGGAGTGAGAAAAGGCAAGTCAAAGTTTGCTTCCAAGCTTGTATGTAGAATGAAAAAATGGGATCGATTTTTGGATTTTACAGCCAAAAATTTGGAACTCCTCAGCCAAATTTTGGCTGTAAAAACAAATCGTCGAGGGTACATCAGGCAATTTTTCGAAAAATGGATGAAAATCTTTTAATGCTCATTGAACATTTAGATGACAAGGTAAGCGATAATCAGAGATAATATTAACTTAACTTTTTTAAGAGGAATATAATGGTGATAGTTTTATAGGATGATGATGATACCATATAAAAAATAAGAGGTTCTTTTTTTTCCAAATATGGCTGTTGAAAAGAAATCAGCTCACCTGCTGAGGCAATCAGTCATCAAACATCAATCATCAATAAACTGACATACCAATCATCTCTGGAGCGATACCTGAAAAAAGTGTTAATGCGACATCCATTTCAGGAATATTTTTTATTTTATAATATCACGAAACTATTTTTCTTGTGACCCACTGTAAATTAGTATCAGGCCAAATAAAAGAGAATATTTTTAATGTATGTTCGATCCAAATTTGGTGTAGTAATGATGACTTTTTGAGTGAATTACAAAGTATAAAGAAATACCATGTTCACCCTGTTGCAGTACAAAGACAATGGCCCGAGATTTTTTTTTTTGATGAATAAGCCAAATAAGAAGTCAGTGAAATTACCAAGAAAAAGTAGTGTCTAGATAAGTAAATCAAAGATACTTCCATCAATTGTAACCCCAAACTGTTTTGCGGGTGAAACCCATGCTGAGTTTTGATAAGCTCACACTTTTCACACTCTCTCTCTCTCATGTATGTACAAAAATATTTTTTTTTCCGCACTGACCTTTTTGCTCTTTCTTTCCTTTTCTCTCTCTCTCTCTCTCTCTCTCTCTCTCTCTCTTTTTTTTTTTTTTTTTTCTATTTACCAAAGAATACATTAATATATACATATATACAAACAACTATGAGTTGGAAGGTAGGTATAAAACCATGATATATTGGGAAAGCTTATTCTTTTATATACTTTCTTTTGTCAAACTCTAAAACCTTCATTCTTATATTATAGGGATTACAAAAAGCTATCCATCGTTTACCACACCAAATTCTTTCTCGAAAAGCTGAAAGTAAGTAAACTTTTTGTTTGATCTACGAAGACTTATTTCTTTCTTTTTTTAGCAACTCAGGATCCTGAATTCAAGGCGTTGGAAAAGAAGTTTGAGTCTAATGTCAAAGTAGTGGAAAGACTTTACAAGGATATACAAACCTATCGTGACAGTATAGCATGTAAAGAAAAAAAAATATAGGATTTGTATAAATGAACTTATTTTTCTTTTTATTTAGCTGCTATGATGCATCAAGCAAGTATGGCATCGTATTTATCAGCAATGTATGATCCTTATATTGGTACTCCAGCTGTAGAAGGGATGATACAAAAACGGGTGCCATCTACTGCTCCAGAGGCGATTCAAGCAGTCAACGATGCTGAGGCGGCTTTAGGGTATTGCCGGGATGAAGTATTACCAGAATTGGATGGATTGGACCGAGATGTGACACGACCTCTGTTGGATTTACTGGATATTGCAAAAACCATTCAAAAAACCATTGTTAAGCGCAGCCACAAATTAATTGATTATGACCGACATCGCTTAGCCCTCGCCAAGCTAACTGCAAAGCAAGATCGAAGTTTTAGTGAAGAAAAACAGATATTCAAGGTATTTAGAAAAGAGGAAAAAAAGATATAGAGATATAGATTGAATGACTGAATGAATGACTAACTGACTGACCGACAACGCTGACTGACTGACTCTTTTTTTTTTCCCTTCTCATGATCATATTCACATGATCTATGGTTTTTTTTTTTATTTAGACGGAGACTGCATTGGATACAGCAACTCAAGATTATGAATACCTCAATAATATGCTAAAGGAACAGCTGCCACATTTCTTTCAACTACAATCACATTTTATTCAACCGGTGTTCGAAAGATATTATGCAATTCAAGTCAAAATTTATGGGATGATATATGCTCGATATCATGAACTATTCAATGCTAATTTGAATCATTTTATCACCAATCAAATGGGTATTGAGGATGGATTCAATTATCGAAAATCACAGCATGATGTTCGGGCTGAAATGGAAAATATGGATTTGTTAAAATCAGGTGGAAAAGCATGGTTAGCAGGTAATACCAAGATGGTAAAAAAAAAAAAAAATTGGCTCATGATATCCTCTATTTTTTTTTCTCCTCTTTTGATGTATGAAAACAACAACATCAAATATAGCATCTGGTGGTGTGAACAATTCACGATTATCATTGCAAGAAAGAGCAGCTTTACGAGAACAAGAAAAAGCAGGAGGTATGGCACTCTCACCACCTCCCGCATATGGTTCATCATCATCATCACCTAGGATGATGAATCAATACAGTACAGGTCAAGAAAAGCAACAATTACAACAACAAGCATGGGGACCTTCTTCAGCACCAGCACCACCTGCCATTGCCAATCGAACTGGTGGACAATATGTAATTGCTCTTTATGATTATCAAGCTCAAGCCGATGGTGATTTATCTTTTCGAAAAGATGATAAGATTGAATTGATTGAACGTACAATGGATCAAAATGATTGGTGGACTGGCAAACTTCATGGACAAACCGGTATTTTCCCTGGTAAGCAATAAAAAAAAAAAAAGGAGGAAAATAGAGAGAAAAAAAAGGGGGGAGATGATTCAAGTAAGGGGTGATGGATGGCAAACCAAGTTTTTATGTCAAACAGGGGGTGGAATGACAATCTGTGAAAATGTCAAAAAAAGAGGTGGCAAAGAAAATAGAGAAAACAAAGGGATGATGTATTTATACTTTTTTTTTTGCATAGGGAATTACGTATCGGAACTATGATATATATATACACGTTATTATAGTCCATAGTAGGATAGTTTAGTATAGACATCAATAGAATAGATTCAATGACATGTTTCTCCCACACACACACACATCAAAATGTACATTAGTTTTTTTTTTTTTTTTTTTTTTTTTTTTGAAATCTTCATATTCAAATAAATAAAAAAAAAGATTCTTTTATTGATATCGATGGGAAAAAAAAACAAGAATAAAAACATACAAAAAAGAAAAAAAAACGGGGAAAGAGAAGGAGGAAGGGAAAATTCACAACATAATAAAAAAAAGGGGCAAGCCAAAAAGGAACATGATGGAATATATAAGGGAATCAAGATGAAGTAGGTGGTTGGACGCAGTAAAACCTATTTTCGGTTCAAAACTAATAAAACAGACAAGGGCAAAAAGAAAAGAAAGAGGGAGAGAGGGAAGGTGATGATATAAAGAAAGTGTGTTTGTATGGTAGTTGATAAAGATGATGATCGAGATGAAGATGATGGTAATGATGATAAATGTTGAAAGGGGTGATTATGATAATCGTGATATAAATGTGTGTGTGTGGGAATTGATGGTAGGTATGCTAAGTAAATAGAGACAAGACTAAAAAAAAAAAAATAGGCCAAGATATAAGGTCATGATGAAAAAAAAAGGAAAGGAAAATCATTCATCAATAAGGAGGTAAAACATGATTGACAAATCTTGCTAGTTCATTCGTAGTTGCCATTCGTAATAGATTACTTTGAACATGAGCCATGATTTCCTGTTGGAATAAAAAAAAAAAAAGGTTAAGATTTAGTGATCATCATACATATGGATATCTATATTTACCTGATAAACATCCTTTGCATTGGGTCGAGTTCGAGCATTTTCATCTAATAACCAAGCAACCAAACCACGCATATACATTGTGGGATAACTATAAGTGAAGGTAGGACTTGGATCACTTAGGATGGCAGCAAACAGTTCAATTTCATCCTTCAACAAGTAATGGGGAGGTACACGATCCATCATTTCCACCACGGTAATTCCAAGAGACCACATGTCAATTTTTTCATCATAGTACTGTTCACGAATGACTTCAGGAGCCATCCATTTGCTTGTTCCTAGACGATCTTTGTTACGTTTTGTAGTTCTTGTAGCTAAGCCAAAATCAGCTGTAAATTGTAAAAAAAAAAAAAAAAAAAAATTATATAATTAATTCAATATATATATATATATATATATATATTATATAATAATAGATTACCTAGTTTGACTTCACCATTCCAACCTAATAACAGATTTTCACACTTGATATCACGATGAATAAAACCTTTAGCATGAAGATATTGTAGAGCCTTGAGGGTTTCACAAGTAATATGAACAGCATATTCTTCGGGAATGCCACGTTGACAGAGCACAGCAAAGACAGAACAACGTTGTAGATCCATGGCCATCCAAACATCATCACGCCACAGAGTCACTTCACGTAAGCGAATAAGATTGGGATGTCCAGACGCCATGATTTTGAGTTCACGTACGATAGCCAATTTGTATTCACGATCGGGGTCCAAACGACATCTTTTGATAGCCAGATGCAGATTCTTTTTGTAACGATGGGTAGTACGAACCACGGAACCATTGACACCAGTGCCGATTTCCTTGAAACTAGCGTACTTGTTGCGTGGGTCCAAAGAAGACACTTGCATCTTGGGAAGAGCTTTGCGAATGCTCCGCTCAAATTCGTTTTCAGATTTCACCAGAGGAGGAAGTTGAGGAATATCCAAAGATTTACCTGCTGGGAGCCAAGGACGTTTGCAGATATGTTTTTGTGGTGTATAAGGTCGTAGACTATAAGTAGATTGGGTTTGTGGTTCAGGTTTCAAGAATGCATTGCTGCCAAGGATATTCGGGATTTCGTAAAATCCTGGGGGTCGCCAAACTTCCTATTGTATAATATATATATATATATAAAATCATCAGTATCAAATTGTTGTTGTTGATATTTTTTTTTTTTAAAAAAAAAAAAAGGTTGCCATGTGATCTCCACCCAACACTAAGAATACTAAGGGAGGGCTAAAAAACTAAAATTATCTAAACTGTTTTACCTTGTTGATTTGTGATGCATCAGCCGATTTAGTACTTTTGGTTGAATAAAATGAAGCACGTCGAAGACATCCAGTTGATCGTCGTTTCATAGTCATATCTACTACCATCGATTCAGTTTTATGTTGTTGATGATCTGCTGTTGTAGATGATTTGGATTTTCTCAAATTGCCCAATGAAGTTCGTTTAGCGCCTAATAATCCTTGTGGTGTTCTCTAATAATAATAATTAATTTTTTATTTATTTATTTATTTTCTTTTATGGTTGTTATAGCTACCTCTTTTGCTGCCGCCAATAATACTTTGCCTTGAAGTGAAGACCCACCATGATGAGTTTGAGGTGGCATTGTTTGCAACATGAAGTATAATAATGGAGGAGAAGGAGACAGAGAGAAAGGGGAAAAAAAGAAGCGGAAAGAAAGAGAATAAAGAGAAATAAACAAAAGGGAGATTGAGAGAGAAAGAAAAAAAGAAGAAAAGAAAAAAAAAAAAAAACTTTAATGCACACCCTCACGAAAAGAAAGGGCAAAAAAAAAAAAAAAGACTTGATGCGGGGCGGAGAGGAAAAACTAAGCCATCTTAATAAGGTAATTGTACTCGTGTAAACAGTACTCTTTTGGATTTTCACTGTCAGCCACCCTTACGATGAACTCCTGAATCCTTCTTTCTTTATTTTCCCCCTTTTTATTCATCTTTGCTCCTTCTGTTTTCTTTTTTTTTTTTCTCTTTCTTTTCACCCCTTTTAAATTATATGATAATCATAGTCATGGGGTGATGATGATTAAAATCTGTGGCAAAAAAAAAAGAAGAATGAGAAACTAATTGACAATAATTCTTTATCATAAAATACATTGACACCAAAAAAAAAAAAAAGAGTTTTGAAATGAAATCAATAAGGTATTACAAAGTGACCCTCATAAGAAAAAAAAAATTCATCATGGTTTAATTTTGATAAAAATCATTTCTTTTTTATCATCACCAAAAGTAAAATTTTCATCCGTCGATCGGTTTATTGAAATATTATTGTTGTCATTGACAACCCGATAAGGGGGGGAAGAAGTGACATAATAATAGAAAAGGGCAAATGAAAGAGGAGAATAATAAGATCAAAAATATATCTTTTTTTGTTTTATATTGATTTTCTCTATCTATCTTTTATCATCGTCATCATCATGATGTGAGCTTTAACTAACGGAAGCATGTATCCGTTTTTTTTTTTTTGTCCCACTTTGACTTTTATAGTCTCGACTCCGGGACAACAGAATTGAATAGAGACTTTTTGAATGGTGGGCTCATTTCGTACACCGCCATTGGCTGGGCAGTCGCCTTTAGTCTTTTACTTTATTTTTTTTTTTTTTTAGTTTCCAAACTCTTCTCTCTCTCTCTCTCTTTTTTTTTCCCTCTTTCTTTTATTTTTCTTATCTTTGATTCAAATACCGTCATGTTGACTGATGATGAATATGATTATCTCTTCAAACTTGTCTTAATTGGAGATAGTGGTGTAGGTAAATCCAATTTATTATCTCGATTCACTGTAAGTCATCACTTTAGGAAAAAAAAAAGATGAAAACATGACAGAAAGAAAAATAAAGAAACATATTAAACTATATCTTTGTTAATAGACCAACGAATTCAATTTGGAATCCAAAAGTACTATTGGTGTGGAATTTGCTACCAAGAATATCGAAATAGGTAAATAGAAGAAAGAAAAAAAATTACAGGGGTAAAAAGAAATGATAATAATTATATCCTTATATATATATATTTATTGAAGAAAAACATACCATCAAGGCTCAAATTTGGGATACAAGTGGACAAGAACGTTATCGTGCTATCACTGGTGCTTATTACAGAGGTGCAGTGGGTGCTCTTTTGGTATATGGTAAAATTAGATAAAAATAATAATAAAAGACATCGTATTGATTATCCTCTTCTTTGATAGATATTACTCGACAAACATCATTCCAAAACGTCACACACTGGTTAAAGGAATTACGTGAACATGCTGATCCCAATATTGTGATTATGTTAGTTGGTAACAAATTGGATTTAAGTGAAACGAACAGGGCAGTGACAACAGAAGAAGGAGGTGCTTTGGCCGAACAAGAAGGATTCTTATTTATGGAAACCTCTGCACTGGATGCCACCAATGTCGAAAGCGCTTTTGCCACCGTCTTCAATACTATCTACAGCAACGTCCCTAAGAAACAAGTCAACGCTGATCAACAATCTCAAGCCGGCCCTACTGGTGATCGTATTCAACTAAGACCTCCTAGTGTACGCAGCATGACTCGTGGTGGTGATGATGAACCAAAAGGAAAATCCTCCGGTGGTTGTTGTTAGTAATTCTATCTTCCCTGTGCCCACCTTTTTTTTTTTTTTTTTTTTTTGTTTTAGTTTAGTTATTCTTTATTTACTTGTCTCTCTTTCTATATATATATATTATACATTACATATACATTCTTCTACTTGTGCTTCTCTTTGTTTTTCTATTCTTTATATGTATACACAAACGCACTATCTACTTCATTCTCCCGTCTTCTTTCCTTTATTTTCATTGAGGATGAAATAAAAAAAAATAAAATAAAAAAAACACTTTTTGTATTGTACCTTTTTTTTTCCTTTCAGATTGGATTTCCTGGAAAGTGTATTCAAACTTTTATTTTCAGCTAAGCCGACTTCAAAGAAAAGGCTATTAATCTTTTTTTTTTTCCTTTTAAGCATCCAAATGGGCTTGGTAAAGTTCCTAAGAATAACTATATATATATACTTGGCAAGTTTCTATTTTGTGATGATTTACTACCATTTGAATTTCAATAGGAATGTAGATCTATGTATCAATAGATAATGGTATTCCACCAATCGATTCCAAAAAGGTCCATGCGCAAAAAAAAAAAAAAAAAAAAAGGTTGGTCATCATCCCATCATCCCTTTGCACTCCGCCTTGATTCGGTTGTATTGTACTGACTACTTACCTATCATCAATGAAAATAATCCTTTTGTTTTGTCGATGATCATTTGTTGCCATGGGGGTGTTTGTAAATTATCCTTTTTTTTTCGTCTTAATGGGAAAGTATTGATTATCCGTCCTCCGTTTCCATCATTTGTTATTCATCGTTCGAATGAAAGTATGGCTACGAAGTATTGGCACTCATCATCATAACATAAATGTTGACCCACTAACCTATGAACCGGTAGAGTATAAGAACAGGGTATTTTTTGATCATTTGACATAATGTCTATCACCGAGGATAAAAAGTTTTTTTTTTTTTTTTTCATGGTGTTGATATGGATCATCAAAAAACATTACTCCAATTTCAATACTTGTTTTTTTTTTGTGATAAAAAATATAATGTGGATGGCATCCAATAGAATACTACTAACAGGCTATCTACTACAAGGAAAAAAAAGAGGTTGACAAAAAAAAAAAGATGAATGATGATAAAAAAAAAAACAAAAGTTTATTACAGGTCTTAAATAAAGATAAAAAAAAGTATATATATGTATGAACTAAATCCTAAATGAGGGTAGGGGAAAAGAGGGAGAGGAGAGGGGAATATACAAATGAATAAAAAAAAAAATACTAAACTAAGAAAAGAAACAAAAAAAAGTATTAAACAATATTGGTAGAGAAGGAGGCAGGTAACATCGCAGGAGTTGAGCCAACCATGGAGGGAAAGGTATGCTGTTCCGTCATCTGATCGTCTTGATCCATTTCAATCGAGATATCATCATCATCATCATCATCAATATGAATGGATTCATCATCATCATCCTCGTCGTCTTGTGCATGATTGAGATCAACTGTAGCGTCATCATCCGAATCATCATTCAATATATCCACCTCTTCGTCATCTTGATCCATATCACTCTCTTCCAATGTTTCCTCTTCTTGTTGTTGTTGTCGCTGTTTTTGTTGAGGATCCATACTGACCAAGATAGCGGCGGCTTCCAACATTTGTACTTGTTGATGTTTGGTCAATAATAACTTGGATGTTAACTCCCATTCTTCCGAATGTTCCCATCGATGCTTGGTCAAACAACTTGGATGTTTGTATACTTTGCCACAATCATCACATCGATGATGAAAAGTGCCACCATGGTTTGAATTAGATAAAGGAGTGGATGATGATAAGCCTGAAAATGCTGAAGATGGTAATGAAGTCGAAGATTTAGAAGAATGTGATGCCTTCGGTAAGGATGATACATCAGTTGTTGGTAATCCTCGCTGTTTTCGTTGCTGCTGATCTATAGCTGCTGAAGGTCGTCTATTATGTCGTATGGTCAATCCTCCTGTAGCAGCGGCTATGGATGCTGGTGATAAATGGGATTGTAGTGGAGAATCTGCTGTTCCACTACGATACGAATGACTCAAATGACTAGAATGAGATTCTCGACGTAATGGGGACGAAGTGTTGATTGGAATGGGTGTTGTATTGGTATCATGTTGAGTCGTTGTTGTTGTCTTTGCTGCTGCCGCTGCTGCTGCTGCTGCCACAGTAGTAGCCAAAGCCTGTTGTAAAGAAGCTTTGATGGAGGAATGGTCAATGGTATAGTTTTCAGGAAGGGAGTTTGAAATGGCTTGTAAGGTCAAAGTACTAAAATGAGACTGTAAGGAATCCCTTCTTTCTTCTTGTTGTTGTTGTTGTTGTTGTTGTTGTTGTTGTTGTAGTGGTGATAGTTGAGTGCCAAGACTTTTACTTTTAGTAGTAGTACTACTAATGGTAGTAGTGTCTTCAAGTTGAGTATGATGGTTCTTTTGTACTTGATCATTAGTAACAGGACTTGTTGTAGTTTCTTCTCCACAGGAGGAATTCGGAGGTGAAGGAAGATGAGTAGCGACAGTGGTACCATCTAGTTTACTATCAGTCAATTGTTGTTGTTGTTGTTGTTGTTGTTGCTGTTGTTGACGAAGTTGATAAGTAAGAGAAGAGGCCATGACCGTTTGTAAAATATAATAAAGTTATATTAAAAAGACTATGATGGTTGAATAGAATAAAAAAAAAAGGTACCGGTGAGAAAAAAAAAAAAAAAAAAGGTCCATTATCATCCCAAAAGAACACCCAAAAAAATAAAAAAAAAAAAAAAAGCGGAGGACAGCGGTAATTCATTCTCAATGATCCCCAAGGAAAGTATATACCTTTTTGTGATCACTAATGGAAAGTAGAAATGAAATAATAATAAAAAAAAAAGAAATAAAAAAAAAAAAAAGAAATTTAAAAAAAAAAAATTAAAAAAAAAAAATTGGGTGGCTGGATGGGAGAAGGGGGATTCAAAAAGCCTCCATTTTTTAACAGATGACGAACAGGAGGAGGGTATGAACTAAAGGGAAACTGATCATCAGACTTTGCTACTTTTTGGATGGTGAAATGAAGAACAACCACGTGATATATTTAATTGGTTATGTTTTGCATTTTTTTTATTATGATAAAAAATAATATAAGGGAATCTAGAAACTACTACTAAATAATGGTAATAATAAAAATAATTATAAGATAGAATAATAAGACTAATGATGAATAACAAAAAAAAAAAAAAAACACACAACAAACTAAAAAAGGGGGTGAGAATATGTATATAATAAAGGGAGAGAAATTCAGTAACCGCCACATCATCATCATTATTATCATTTTAAGTGTTCCGATGATTCTTCCTTCAATTCGTATTTCATGATCCAACCGAGAATGCCCCGTGCCGAACTTCGTACCATTTCTTTTTCCTTGTACATAGCGCCTACTACCGTTGTCACTGATCCAGCAAATACTATGATTTCCATCATTTCTGCCAATTTAGGTTCCCACCATCTTCCACGACGATGCCAAGGTCCAATCAATCGTTCTGTCAACGAGAATAAAGCCCTAGGTACTACATACAATGCCATTTCACCTCTTCGATGTTGATTTTCAATCAATAAAGATAATCCACACATAGCACTACCAATCAAAGGTCCCAAAGTATCATCTAATATTTTTTGATTCACGCCAAGTAATTGATGGCCAATCCGTGTTCTTGTCAAACAAATCGAATACCATATCAACGTTATAAATGTTGCCAAAAATGTTGATGATCTTATGGATGCCTTGAGAATATGTTGTAAACTACCTACTGGATTTTGTGCGAGTTTACTTCGTTTGAATAACAGTGGTGGTGTGAGATGAACTGTAAAATAGAGCTATACAAAAAAAAAAAAAAAAAAAAAAAAAAGTTAACACTTTATAATGTATTCATCTTTTTTTTTTTTTCTTACCAAAAATACTTTGATAAATCCTTTGATAAATCGAGATAATGCATGAACTTCACATCCCCATGGTTGCCCACCATGAACCACTCGACAAGGAATACGACCGCGAGTTGGAATACCAGAATGATAAGATAAACCAAGATCCACACAATAATTGCCAAGTAAATCATTATTTCCTGTATCTTTCTATTCAAAAAAAAAAAAAAAATAGTACGTATTAGTTTCATGAAGTAGCAAACAATAATACTACTAATATTAATAATAATAAAATATTCATTTCATCACTTACTCCATATACCCAGGTACCATCACGAATACCTCTAAGAGCAAATAATAATCGTTCATCCATTTGTGCCATTTTTGTGATCCACATAGAATATCCTCTACAGATATATATATATATATATATATATATAATAAAGGACAAGTCAGTATTTTTATTTTGAGGATTATCATAACTCACTTACTTTGGTAATCGAGAAGGTTCATAAAACCAAGAAAACATGATTTCAGTACAAGCCAATGAAAATACAATCACGCTACCATACTTCATTGTCCAGGAGGGTACAGCATTGGTGATAGTGGGAGAATGGTAGGCCCGATGAGCAAACACGTCCAAAGCGCGTACCAAAGTAAAAAAGGTGAACTCGGTCGTCTTTGTTTTAGGAAACAAGCGTCGTACAAACCACATGGAGGTTGCTGCTGATAAAAAGAGGATTGACTTTTGTTGTCTATCGAATGTCCATCTTGTGGTTTTCTTCTTCTTATTGTCGTTGTTGTTGATATGTTGTAATTCACGACAGTACTGTAACATATAGGAAACAAAACGATGAGAAGCAAATGCACCTGTAACAAGCCAAGGAAATCCGTTTTGATAGAAACTTTTACCCAGGAGCTGAGGTAACTGAATAAATAAGAACTGACGAAGGAGAAGGAACGTACGGTTGAATGTAGGTCGTTTCAGTCGAATCAATGCAAGACATAGTTTGATCAAGAGACCTACTATGCCTGGTGCTGTTGTCAACGACCAAGACAATCCAAAGGCACGTATAGCTGTCATTAGAGGTCCATGTAACGATGGTGGTAGACTGGTTTTAATGTGATCGAATACTTTGTCGAATGGTACAGGCGACTTGGTTTGGGTATACATTGTTGTAAAGGGGGGTTAAAGAAAGAATATATAAATGTACGCGACTGGGTAGTGTTTATGAAAATGAAACAAATAAAATAGGGAAAGAATAATATATATGTATAAAAAGGGGAAGATATTCAAAAAAAAAAAAAAAAAAAAAAAAAAAAAAAAGGTTGACAAAAGGGAGAAAGCTTCACATGTCAATTGATTGGTGCCACATATAGTTAATCAAGGAATTTCAGATCCCGGATATCTCATATAAAAATTATCATTTGATATCATGACGATTGATCATTAATACTGTTGAGAAAATGAATCTCTTGTCATAATCCTGAATTTCTTTTTTGTTTCAAAAAAAAAAAAAAAAAAGAGGGAATGTTTATTATAACAATTTTCATGATAAAAAAAAAAAGAACAAATAAAAATTAATCTACAATCATCCAAACATCTTGTCATTCAAAGGAGGTCCAGCTCTTGTTCGTCTGACACCTGCAAATCCACGTCTGTCACCTTTGTTCATCATGATTTTCCAATTTGCCTTTAGATTCGATAATACACGATCTAATTCTTCATTGTGATCTGGAGCTGATGCTAATACTGATGTCATTTGTAACATTTTTGCTGCTTTTGCTGCCGGGTTCTGTGATGATCCAAAATCTGTAAATAACTTGTTGAAGACATCTAATAATAACAAAAAGATTAGATCTTTCTCTTTCTTTTTAAATTTTTTTTTTTATTATTTTTTTATTTTACCTTCTAGTCGTTTGATTTGTAACAAGATCACATTATCTCGAAAACTTTGCAAGGCCATATTTCGTACATTCCACATTTCTGCTTCATCCTGAGATCGGTACCGCACATCCGTTCGTAAAGGTAAGAAGACAGCTTCAAAATAAGGCAAGGCATAGGTAAAGAAGAAAGACCATTGTTCTACTAATCGATCTAACAACTTCTCATCCGTCACCCCAAACATCTTGGCATTTAATGTAAACATTCCATCATGTAATAATGATTCAATGTCGTGATAAAGTTGTGGCGAGATAGGATCAGATAAACATTGCCTATATAAATAGATAATAAAAAAGTTATCACCATATATACAAATATGTTAAAGAGAAAGTTACCTTAATAAATCATTCATATATTCAATAGAACCTTGTACACCTTCACCGTTGAAAAGAGGAAGAACTCGGACACATAGAGATTGCCACAAATCACCATTGTTGCCACTAGTACTGTTGTTATTGTTATAATTGCCACTGTTACTACTGTTGATACCACTGATACCATTGTTTATAGATTGAGTTGACGTATTTGGATGAGTAATACTACTGATACTACCTTGGCGATGATAAGCATGAAGAGGATGTGTTATTGGTGTTGGAGGAAGTGGTGCACCACCTGCTGATGGAGAATGAATCATAGAATGGTGGTGATATGTTTGTGTATAGTGATGACCAGAAGAAGAAGAGGAAGAACCAAAAAATGAAGACGAAGGATGATGAGGATGATGAGAATAAGTTGGCGAATTTGGTGAGGCAACGTGAAATTCTTCAGAAGATGGATTCGAATGATATTTTGCATTGGCCGCCGCCGCTGCTGCTGCTGCCACGGAAGCTACTGCAGCTCGCATTTGTTGTGTTGATTTTTCCATATTTAGAGTGATTGATTTTGCATCTAAAGCGTTGATTGATTTATGAATACTTGGTGGCGTCGTCGTAGGTGGTGAATGAGGTCGTGGAATAGGTGTAGTATTGTGATTGTTGGTATTGTTGCTACTGTTATTGTTATTATTGTTGTTTTGAAAAAGACTTCGAGAGGGTTTATCACTATTGGTAGCTGTCGAAGATGATGAATGACCTTGAGCAACGGGTGTAGACGGCGGTGAAGAACGCATACTATGACGTTTTGTTTGACTTCCTCCACCTCGAGGTGGCGACCGAATAGTAGGAGTATCTAATACATTGGAAGACGTAGTCGCAGACATGGAACGTATTGGCATTGGAATATGGTGAGGAAAGGTGCCAGCAGAAGAAGTAGGAGGTATTTTGGCGGATGCTGGCAGGGTATGTTCTTTAAAGAAACGATTAGTAGTAGGTGAGAATGATGTATCTCCGTCAAATTGAGTGGGTGATATGGATAGATTGACATCACTCCGAGAATGTGTTTGTGAAGAAGTCGATGAAGTTCGAGTATGTGTGGTCATGAATAAATAATAGTAGAGAAAAAAAAAAAAAAAAAAAGAAAGAAAGAGAAAAAGGAGAATCTTTCAAAAGAAATAAACACAACAAGGATTCTGGGTTTGAATTCACTGCACTCCCAACGAATACTTTTTTCGTCTCATGCAAAGGTGTTGTATAAATTGGTAAACATAAAAAAAATACTGGTCAAACATGTTAATATCTTTATTATCAATATTATTATCACAGTATTATTCCATATGTTCCATAGTATTATTATATATTAAAATAAAACTATATTCAATTTCATTTCAAAAATTCATCCTAAACACATAAGACAAATTGATAAAATTCACCGAGATAGTATTTGATATCAAATAATTTGAAAAGTCATCGTAATAGATAATAAAATGTTTATATAGAATATGTGATTGCTTGTTTTTTGTGTGTGTGTGCGTGTGTGCATGTTATGTGCAAAAAGGTTATAAACGGAAAAGAGTAAAACTAAGCTAGGAAACAACTATCTAGATCTTTTCATAATCCAATTTTGTTTCTAATTTCTTCATATCTTGCACCTTGCGGACAGCCTTCATAAAATCTTCTTGTACACAGTAATCACGTTCTTCACGGATAGCAAACATACCTAATGTCAAATATATATATATATATATATTCATCAGAACTAGTTTTGTAGATGATAAAGATTCATTTCTTTTCAAATCACATACCAGCTTCAGTACACACGTTTCTTAAATCAGCACCATTGAATCCATCCGATAATTTCACAATAGCTTCATAATCTATATAATGGTAATAAGAATAAATAATAAAGAATCAGTCATCTCAAATTATTTATATCTGTTATCATACCTATATCACCATGTTTTGTGATAGTGCCAGCGTGAATCTTTAGAATTTCTAATCTTCCTTGTTCATTGGGTAAGGGAATTTCAATCTTTCTATCCAATCGACCAGGTCGTAATAAAGCAGGATCCAAGGTATCAGGACGGTTAGTAGCCATAATCAACTTTGTTTGACCCAAATAATCGAACCCATCCATTTGATTCAATAACTAAAGAAAAAGAAGTAGAAGATAAAGAAAAAAAAAGATGAACAAGGACCAACAAAAAAAAAAAAAAAAGTTCTCCTTTCTTTTTTTCACCAACTTACTTCCATCAATGTACGTTGAATTTCACGATCGGCTGAAGTACCTTCTGAAAATCGACGACCACCAATAGCATCAATTTCATCCATGAATATAATACAGGGTTCGTGTTCCTTTGCATATCCTAATAATGAAAGATTAATATAGTTTTCAATATTATTGTTATTTTTTACATACCAAACATTTCTCGAATCAATCTTGCGCTTTCACCGATATATTTATCCACAATAGCACTTGATACAACTTTAAGGAAATTGACTTGAAGAGTACTTGCTACAGCCTTTGCCAGTAAAGTTTTACCAGTACCAGGAGGACCATATAACAATACACCTTTAGGAGGTTTGACACCAACACGTAAGAATAATTCAGGATTCATTAAAGGTAATTCGATCACCTAATGTATAAAAATCAATGTCAATATCGTTATATATATATATATATATATATATATATATATATATATGTATATACTTTACCTCTCGAAGTTCACGAATTTGTTCACCAAGACCACCAATACCAGCAAAGCTAATATCTCCAGGATCTTCAACAGACATATTATATACCAAAGGATCTACTTCACGAGGTAAAACGCGCATGATTGTCAATGTTGTCATATCCAATGCCACTCGTGCACCTTGTTTGAGTTTTTCTTTGTCAATACTGGGACGACATCCAACTACATAACGTGGTCCACTTGTATTCTTCACAATATCTATATATAAAATAAAGTAAAAAGTCAATATTATTTTTTATTGTCCTTTATTTTTCAAACTTACATCGTTCATCATCAATTTGTTTCAACATTTCACCAATAACTTGTCCTACACTTTGTAAAGCACTAATATCACTTTCAGTTTTATCAAAATCATCGTCCAGAGCTTTGAGACTAAGTCGAGCTGCAAGAAAAAAAAAAAGTGAGTTACCAGGAACTATAAATGTTTCCAATCTATACAATCTTAATTTCTTATTCCATCAAAAGGTCCTTATATATAAAATGTATACCTTCTTTCAACTTGGCGTCCAGTTCACGATGTTCTAAAAGTCGTTTTCGATAGGCGGTTAAAGCTTGTGATTTGGGATCGGTAGCAGTAGGGTCAGAAGAAGGATTGGAACTTGATGCCATATTATATCAATATGTATGTATTAAAAGAAAAAAAGAAGAAGAAGAATAATGGTATGAGATCGTTTGATAAAGAAAAAAAAAAAAAGAAGAAGGAAAGAAATAAAATAAAATAAAAAAAATTGTTGATGATTTTCCAAACCAATTCTTTTACGCGCACAGCTAACCACGCAATACATTTATTCTCTTTCACTCCGAATTGCCTACCGTGACGTAATGTTCCCTTTACCTTTTCTTTTTTTTTTTTTTCTAGAGGCAGAGTATAAATATCAATTTATTAAAATGAATAAATAAAAAAAGACATTTTTTGATTATTCATAATCCATATTTAAATAAATATATAAGAAGTGGTTGATGACTTTTTCTTACTATTATTATTATTATTGACACAAAAGCATACGTACACCTCTTGTACTTCTCTATCTGTCTCATTTTACAATTCCAATTCCGCTGTGGCTTTTTTTTCCTTTGGTTGAAAATGCTCGCAGCAACAATGCCAACTGAGAAATAGCCTTTCTTTTTTTTTTTTTTCTTGCCTTTTTCTTTTCTTTTCTTTTCCTTTTTTTTTTTTTTCGTAGTTAACCAAGTTCTGTTTCAACATCCATGGACAGCACCAGTAACAATGAAGTCACCCGTTTATGGAGGGTATTCCGTACTACACATCAAATGGTTCACGATAGAGTAAGTGTATTAGAAAAATTCATGGAAACACAAATAATAAATAAGATCTTGATGTTTCTTTTATTATTATTATTATTATTAGGGATACCTTGTATCTCAATCCGAACTTGGTATGGAACTAGATATATTCAAGCGAACTTATGCCCCATCTGGTGACGTTGAGTAAGTATTTATTATATGTTGAACTCATGTACTCAATTATTATTATTATTTTTTTTGATTTAGTCGCGACCATTTGACGTTTGTTGTCCAAAAGAAGGATGATCCTACTGATCAATTACTTGTATTCTTCCCCAAGGACAAGTCTGTAGGCGTGAAACCATTAAGAGTGTAAGTACTTGAAAGAAAGGGAGTTATAACTTGTATCTAACTACCTGTATTTCCTTCATTTATATATTTGAAATAGGTTTGTCGAACGTATGGCTCAACAACAAATCCCTAAAGGTATTTGTGTATATCAAAATAGTTTGACAGCTTCCGCCAACAAGGTGATGCAATCATTACCTTCTAAACATACGCTAGAATCCTTCCATGAAAACGAATTATTGGTCAACATCACTCATCACGTCCTTGTACCAAAACATGAAGTTCTTACCAACGAAGAAAAGGCTGCCTTGTTGCAAAGATACCGTTTGAAGGAAACTCAATTACCACGTATACAACATAGTGATCCAGTCGCCCGGTATTATGGTTTGAAGCGTGGACAATTTGTCAAGATTTTACGGGAAAGTGAAACAGCTGGCCGATATGTTAGTTATAGATTATGCATTTAAACAAAAATCTTTTATTTTTTCATTTTTACTTTTTTTTTTTTCTTATTGATGTACATCAACCCTACCTTCCACTCTACCCTTCATCATCCCTTATTCTTTCAAAAACATCCCTACTGAAGAATCATACAGGACAATATCTCTCTCTTTTTTTCATTTTGTTTATTTATTCCTTCCACTTTTTTTTTTTTTTTTTTTTTTTTTTTACTTATTGTCTTTTTTTTCAATTTGTTTATTACATATTATATTATATTCAAAATAAAACATCATTCATACTAACTATAACCTATATTATATATATATATATATAAATATATAATATGTATATAATATGTATGTATATATATGTATAAAAACTATCTTGATGCTATTATGACTACCCCTATGGTTATGACTAAAGATGACGATGATCGTCCACGCCAACAAAATTTTCATCGTCCCCTCTTTTTTTTTTTATTTTTATTTTTTTTGGAGTTTTACTTTTTTGGAATGGATTGGGATTTCTTTTTTTTTTTTTTGCGGATGATGATGATGATCATATCTTGTTATTTTTCCCCTTTTTCTTTCTACCCGGTGGAGGAGGCCCATCAACGATTTGTCGTACCAAGACAAAAGCTTGATCAGAAGACACAACAATGTTTTGTACCATATCAGCCATACAATAACCACCAAGACTGGCTTGCCAAAAGTAAAAATCAGACAAGGCAGAATTAGATTGATAAATATTTTCAAGATCTCGTTGATGTTTATGAGCCAAGGGATGGAATTCTTGATCTTTCATCACTCCCCATTCTGGATGAGTGATCTTTGTTTCATTGTTTGTTGTTGTTGATGATGATGATGAAAAGGATGATGCTATATTGTTAGTTGTCATACTAGTGTTGATGTTTGTACTGGTAGGCGTTGGTGGTGATGTGGATGATGACATGGGATGTTGTTGTTGTTGTTGTTGTGAATGATGATGATTTGTTAGTAAGGAAGAAGTCATTGTATTACTAGGTACCATCAAGTCTGTATGGTTATTATTGTTGGATGACCAATCTAGACCGTTTTGTGTTGTATTTTGCCATAAGTCGTCTTCTGTATCAAATGACATGGATACTTATATGCATGAAAAGTTGAAAGAATCAGTGAAAGAAAAATAAGTGAAAGAAAAGAAAGGATTAAAAAAAAAAAAAGGGAGTAAAACATGATTTAATAGACAAGATGGAAGTGACCCCCCATCCCCTACTTTGTGTGTGCGTGTGTGTGCGTGTGTGTACGTGTATGTGTAAGTGAGTGAGTGAGTAACTGAGTGACTTGGTGCCTATGTGCGTGTAATGTCTATTTGCGTGTCTTTTTTTTTTTTTTTTTTTGTGCTATGTATCGAGACACTTCGTAAGCTTAGTTGTGGCAAAAAAACATATAACGTGACATGTTTCTGTATAAAAGAAGAAATAAACAATAATAATAATGAAAAATAATCATCAATGGAAGTGAATGTCAGATAACGAAAAAGTTCCACACATACCCCTTTTTGTCCATTTTTACAAACAAAGAAAAATATTGAAATGGTGTTTTATTTTTGGATCATGTCATCATCATAGGAATCATCGTCATAGGATATGATAGGAATCAACAACAGATACTAATACATTAGATAAGTCGAGACTCACACACAAACTTATGACTCCCTACTGCTAACTATACTATACTAATATTATACTATACACATGTAATACTATACTACAATACTAATCAAACTAAAAACTAATCTACCATCCCAAAGACCCTTCATTTTAAGGGGGACCAAGTTCATCCTGTTGGCGCGCCAAACATCGTGTCACCCAATCAAAAATACCTCCGCTTGCATCAGGAAAGAGGAAGGAGATTTGAGAAACGTACTGAGTCACACTTAAGAAAGCCGTATCACCTTGAAAGACACTGGTAGCCACACGTAGACATAAAAAGGCAATCCAGACAATACACATTCGCCAAAACCATACACGCCAAATACCCGAGTTTATATTATTATTCCTTGTTGATATGCCAGTAATACTTGGTTTCATCCTTGTCCTTGAACCATGACCAATACGTCGACGTCTATTGGGATTCATTAAAGAAGTAGTATGGTTTTCAGTGTTTACATCTTGTTGATCATCATTGTCGTCAGTTTCGCTATCGTTACAACCTTGATTTACCGAACCAGAGAAGGATTGAGAAGTTGAAAAGGTGCCATGTATTGGAAGATGTCGACGTTGACGACTAGGCCTTTGTCCAATATCCATATCATTGCCTGACTTGAATGTATATTTCAAATAAAAATAACAATTAAAAAAAAAAAAAAAAAAAAAAGAAAAAGAGAGAGAAAAAGAAAGTGAGAAAATCAATTATTTTTTTTTTTTGCCAAGAACTCTAAATTCAACCAATAATGATCGGCAACCGAAATCCAAAGAGATTTCAACACTGCCAAAATATTTACAACTGTCAGGATATCATGGTTGATATAAAAATAGTTTAATTTCTTTCTCTAAATAACGATATTAGTGAATAAAGTAAGACATCACAGGAGAAAGGGATCCATAGATTCCACGCGTGTTGCACGTTCATTTTAAACCTTAATGCTTTCAATTCGATTTATTTTTTTTTTTTTCGGTTCCTTTTTTTTTTTTTTTCCTATCATCATCATCAAGAATAACAGTAGCAATATGACAAAGACGGAAAACTTTTCATTTTGGCAACAATACGTGTAAGGTACAGAAATGCGTACTATTTGATGAGACTCTTTAGATCCGAAAAAACAAAAAAAAAAAAAAAATAAGGGAGAGCTTTTCCTTGTCATCCCAATTATCTTCCCTCCCCCCCCCCCAAAATAATATGGTTGAGGTAACTCAAGTCGTTATAAACTTTTCTTTTTTTCTTTTGTTTTCTAGAAGAGCTAATCCTTAATTGTAAAGTGATCGACAAAGTGAAAGTTTATACATTAATGTGGACCTAAATCTTCTTCTTAGTTTGAAGTTTTCCAATCAAAAAAAAAAAAAAAAAAAAAAAAAAAAAAAAGTGCGATCAGACTTCTATCATCGGATGAAGACAACACTTTCAATTTTAAGTTCATCTAACATTCAATTGATCTCGCGGATGAATCATACTATAAAATATATACTCGATAGGTGATAAATGGTGGTATAGTTGACTACGTTTATTTTGATTGATTGATTGATTGAAAAAAAAAGAAATAACAATAGGGTGTAATATATTTTTGGTTGAAGATATGGGAACGAATGAAAATGGGAGGGATGATGATTTCAGCGATGGAATCCAGTTTCATCAAGCTAGAATCGGTTGAATGGGATGATCACTTGAAATATAAGTATAAAACAAAAAAAAAAAAAGGTATCCATAAAACAAATAAAATATGTACATCATCATCATCATCATCAGAATCATCATTATGAGATATATATAAGAGGAATAATAGTGGCATCATAAGAAAGGTAAGAGATATAAAAACAAGAAAATCATACAGTAAAAAGACATGAGAAGATGGAAGAATAGAAAAAGAGACATAGGGAACAAACAGATAGGAGCTTGTCGAGCTTGAAGTCCATACAGTGAATCCTGAAAATGAGGGAGAATCAATTGGGTGAATAAATGGAAAGTTTTTTTTTTTTTTTCTTATTTCAACAAGGGACAGGTAGGTCTTTTATGACCATACTTGCCACACCAAGCACTATATAAAAAAAAAAAAAAGTGAATACTGTGGTTGCTAAGGTGATTGCTGTATAAATTTTAATTACCATTGGCCGCCTTGTAAATTTAATGGTTTTGGTTTAAAGGACATGATTCTTCACTATATTATTATTATTATTATAATACAAGGATGATGATGAATAGAATGAATAAAAGAAAGAAAGAGGTGAAGGGAGGAAGAAAAAAAAAAAAGGAAAATGAAAGAGAGAAAATCAAAAACCAGTGATAGAAATAAAAAAAAAAAAGCTTCAATTCCCTTTTATATATCTATTCAATCATCATCATCTCTCCCCCCCCCCTCCACTCCCAAAAAAAAAAAAGAAAGAAAAAGCTCCTACCGAAAAAAAAAAAAAACGCCTAGACACATCACACATCAGTGCACTGAATTATTGGGAAGCCCAAGATAATAAAACCCTCTCCTCTATTTCTAATAAAAGATTGTAAAAAAAAAAAGTGCCATTCACCAATGACAAGCTGGCCACGCGCTTTTCCCCCCATCCTCGCGCGGTCATCTTTTTTTTTTGATTATCTAGAATAGTCTTACTTACCATATGCCTACACACAGTCGCTTATGCAACTAAATAACTACAAGTCATCATCTCGGTCACAATCATCATTACCATCATGCCTACCTATCATCATCATTACTCTCGGTATTATCATCACTCGTATCTCCTCACTTTCATTCATTCAACCATGATGTTGCATAAGGGGTGGATTGATCGAGTTGGATGGGGATGATCATCATGTTCTTGTCAATGAGGATGAGATGGGAAACAAGCATGGATTGAAAATAGAAACATGTCAAACTTGAACCGCCGATTAAATGAATGTAAGTGTGTATGAAAAAAGAAAGGGGGAAACGGGGTAGGGCGACAAGTTGCATATTTGTTATATTTCCCACCTGTCCCCTTCTTTTTTTTTTCCATACGTCTCGCATATACTTTATTTTTTCTTTGTTCGGTCAGATTGATTTTCTTTTTTCTTTTTTTTTTTTTTTTTTTTTTAAAAAAAAAGGAAAGATTGATTTTATACTTTAAACATCCATGGAAAGATCAATACTAACAGAATGAACAAAAAAGGAAAACCATGGTCTGGCCCTGTGATGATGCCACTTTTTTGAATCCGACCATCCGATGGCCATTGCTACCCTGCCGAAATTTCATGTCTTTATTATCGAACCCTTTTTTCTATGTCAATGAATATATGTATGTATATGTGATTGTATATATATATGTTTAGTCTTTATTATTAAATAGAGAAAGAGATGAATACATAAAAGGAAAAAAACATGCTGTGCATAATCGTATATACACAATACCCGATATAATATATATATATATATATAAAAAAGAAGAATCATAGTAACAATAATCTAAGTATATTCATATATCTAGTACTAAAAGGACATAAACTAAGGAATAAAAGAAGAAGAAGAAGATGATGATGATGATACTGGTGGAAAATGCATGAAGATAAAAATGATTTACTAAGGCACACATAAGATACAAATGCTGATTTCTGGAATACAAGTATTTGTACCTACCGTGGGTATAAAAGAGGTAATAACTAAACTATAAATAAAAAGAGAGACAAGAGAATAAAAGATTCATATGTAAGGGGTAAATGAAGAAGAGAAAAAAAAAAAAGGATAATCCATGTTCATTTTTTTGATCGAGACGGGCGGTAGCGCATAACGTGTACAGGAGGGAATTCAGTACCTGAGGATTGTTGCTTGATGACTGGATTATCGTTTGATATGAATGTATGGCGTTGAGGTGGTGGCGTGGGTGGTGATGGTGGTGGTGAATTGGAAATAGATCTTCTTTGTTGTTGATTTCCGCCTATCCTATCATCCCTGTTGTCCGATTTCCTTCCTTTTGTTATTGTTGATGCCAACAATTGTTGAATTTGAGATTGATGACTAAGATGATGGATCCGATCATAATAATATTGTTTTCTTTTTTCTACTGCTTGTTGTTTCTTCTTTTTTCTATGATCTTCTGCTGTTACTGATGACGATGATGATGAATCACGTTTTCCAATGATTGTTAATGATCTTGATGATGACGTTCTAAGGGATGAAAGGACCGATGACATTGATGATGATGATGAAGAAGGAGAAAGTGGTGGTAACACAGGTTTGGGTATCTTGACTACGGATGTAATGGTGCTGGTACTTGTGCTATTGCTGATGTTGTCAGTTGAAGTTTGGCCTATCTTGGGTAATGATGATGATGCTGATGATGATGATGATAATGCTGATGATGTCAATGTAGGTGAATGGCGTGACAATAATCCCATCAAATGATGAAAGCGTTGAATCAACATAAAAGAATCAGTGGTGGATGTGATGATATTAAGTGTAATCCTTTCCAACACTTCAAAAGGTGGATCGTCCATTTTGGTAGGTAATCCATGAGATATCAAATGATGAATAAAGAAAGGCTGCCTTAATGAAGTTGATGATGATGATGATGATGATGATGATGCTTGTGACCGAAGATTCAGCAGAGCATCATGATAAAGAAGAGTCGAATCCAACGTGTATTGATGCAGAGTTAAAGGAATTTTATTCCAAATTTGAGAGGTGGCTAGATGGAAACAGAATGCTTCAAGATGCATGCAGAGTTGTTCACATTGACCATTGGTTAACGTCAGATCCAAATGAAGAACAGAATGAGCACAAAGATCCAATATAGCAAAAAGAGTCATTGTATCCAGGGTTGGTAAATCGCGAATCATCAATGTCTTCAATCCATGATGTCTTGGTAGTTGGAGTACTAACTGTCGAATCATTTTCCTATGATGTTGTTTGTCAGATACTAACCATGGGATATCTTGAGGTTGGCATATCAAATTCCGCTGTTTCCAAAGTTGGCCATGGTTGAAGATGCGTTGATGTAAAGTTTTGCATACTCTACTAAGTATAACAATATCACGGATTGAACTATGATAACAAACACGAATCAATATTGTATCAACTGTAAATAAACGATGTAAAGTCATGATGATAGAAGAAGAAAAAAAAAAAAAAAAAAAAAAAAAAAAAGAGGGAAAGCGGAAAGAAAAGTGCAAAAATAAATAAATTAACTTCATTGGCCATTTTTATTGGCTGACTGACTAGTTGGAAATCGGGTATACGCCTAAAGTTAATGGAACGATTCCTTTTTTTTTATTTTTTTATTGTCTATGCTTAAGTGCTCATGTATATTTCATCATTCCCTTATTCTTATTTTCTCTTGTCCGTTGCTATTGTTAGAATAATGGTAATATTAGGTAGATGATTATTGTTATCCTACTGCGTAGCATCGCTCAACCTCACTATTGCATCTCTTCTCAAATAAATAAAACAAAGTTTGATGTGCTGTCTTCGTGTGGGTAACACAGAGGCACTTTATTTTGACAAGTAGCTGCCAACGCAAATTTCCTTTTTTAGCTCGGCAACCTTAATCTCTGTTCCTCCTTTCCGCTTTTTTTTTTTTTTTTTTTTGTTCACTTCTCATAACCCTAACCTCACATAAAAGCTTTATTCAGAAACATCACCAATCATCATGATCATCCATCTATTCTTTTTCATCCTTAAATTATAATATATATTTTGTACTCTTCTCGGATTCATTTGTCAACTTTTCCGAAGTACCCCAATTTTACTATCTTGCCTAGATTGGTGAAGAAAGTATGGCACTTTAAGTTCCGTCCACTATGCATCCATCTTTTATGTTGACATCATAGTTACAGTAGGCACACAGGCGAATGTATCAATACCCCTCGATTGTATTCCATCATCAATCAACCATAATAGGAATTAATAGTACTTTTGGGATTCTTCACCACAGAGGTTATCATCATTAAATCATGATCATTACCTTATTAGCTTCATAACATTATCATCCACGATTAACATACATAGCATATATTTCCATCAATTGACAAACCCTACGCGTTCCCTCTCTCATATAATACGGATCAATTGTGTAAGTCCTAGCATATTATCCATCTCACAATCCCAACTAATATATAGATACTTATCCGGTTTCCTTTCTGTACAAGAATAAAGCATAATGCTGATATAATTTTTTTTTTATTGATACACCAATCCGACAAAAAAAAACAAACTAACTAAGTACAAAAAGCTTGATGTTCGTCCAACTGTCTTAGATGTTCAACTTGGTGTGGCGCCAGTTGCGACGCTTGGCATTCCAGCTGTAAAATATCATATACAAAAGTAAAGAAAAAGAAAAAGAATCAGTCAATTAGTCATTTGGACATATCCAACAATAATAAAAAGTTGAAGGAAAAAGAAAAGGACATACCGGATCTTGGTATCAGACTTCAAACGGAACCAGTGGGGCAAAGGACGGTTTTGCTTTTGAGCCTTGCCAAGCTTGACCTTGGTGATGAATGACTTGTTGGAAGGCTAATGAATATTAAAACAAAAAAAGTATCAAGGTAAGTATATCGTTGTATAATATCGTGTCTTTTGTTAAAAGATAGGAAACGATCGTTGATTGAGAATGACAAGTATGAAATGATCTAAACAGTCAGTCATTCCTTCCTTCCTTCGTTCATCCATCCATCCATCCATCCATCCATCCATCCGTTCATTTATCCATCCATCCATCCATCCAGTGTAAGATTTATGACCGTAGATCGTTTCCTTTCTTCTATATCATTGAATGTTTTCGCTTTACCATGTCGTTCTTGCAAAATAGTTAGTGAAGAAAAGAAAGAGCCAGAAATTGGAATTCCCATTGAGGATATACAGTGTATTTCAGATTCCGCTGCAACGCATTTTTCTTTTGAACTGAAACTTTTACATCATGCTAATAAAGCATCCTTTTTCTGCGGATGATATGTGATGACTGGATGATAATTGACGGTCGATGAATGATAAACCAACTATGAAAAAGAATTCTTTGTATGACTTTACTTCTGGTCTTGCTATCTTTTTCGTGGTAGTTATTATATAAATTACGGGATAAACGATAAATTAGCATTAAGCCAATTGAAAGAGAATGATTCCATCCATGTTCAACCCAAATTTGGTATGATGATGATGACTTTAGAGTGAGTTGCAAAAGTATACAAAATGGTGGGTGAGAATAAGAATTCCCAAAAAAAAAAAAAAAAAAAATTAGAGCTGAACACGGAAAAATGAGAAATTGAATAATCTCTTTCTCTTCTTTTTTTTTTTTTTTTTTTTTTTTTTTTTTTTTTTTTTTTTTTTTTTTTTTTTTTTACCATATCACTCTTTTTTGAAATGTGTAAGATACAAATTGAACTTCTACTTAAAAATATTAAACCACCATTAATATTTCTATTTTATTAACACGATCTATCTTTTTAGGATTCTTGTCATCCTATATAGATTATCTTCCCTCCTTTTTCTATACTTTCTTATAAACTAATTGATATTATTTGTTTTGATTATCCCTTTTATTGTGTACAAATTTGTGAATAGGATTATATCGATATACAACTGGATAGATATGTAATAGAATATACGAACAACAAAAGTGGATGTACAACTGGATCAAATAGATGAATACGTAACATCAAAAGTATCTTTTTTAATTTATTTTGTTTCCCTCTTCTGTTGTTATTCTTTTAGTAATATTTAGTATCAGTCTTAGCTTAGTGTTTATTATTAGATAGAATATCATTGAATTTACATCCTACTTTAATAAAGTCATATTCATTATTGTATTCGCCTTTTTTTTTTATTTATTATTATTATCTCTTTCCTTATTCATCGGACAGCAACGATCTTTCATCATCACTCTTCATTAAATAGTAAATACTTTTTATGGGATCCCAAAGATCCGGCAACCAATCAAAAGAAATAGTTATTCTTTTTCTTTTTCCTTTTTATTTTTCTTTTCCTTTTACTATCCTTCGAAATAAATAACTGTTGGCGATCATCATTCCCAACCAATTGATCTCATTATAAAACAGTTACCTTGCTAGGGAGTTATCCAAACAAATTATCCAAACAAAGAACGAGTAATGATCAATCCAAAAATTGGTCCCTGAAATTCAAAATTCGGTATCCGTTGGTCAAAAAAAAAAAAAAAAATAGATCCCTCAGAAAACAGGCATTTTTCTTTTCAATGACAAAGCATCAATTAGGTCCATCACTGCCTTCAGTGCTTAAATAAACATGTTACTGATCATGTCCCTCTTCAGAAAAAAAAAACAAGACGATAGATGATCTAGATATATAGATGACTATTTATTTACTATAAAAAGAAAGCTATCATCTACACAGGTGTCACTTTACCGATGTTCAACTTTATCCATTGGACATTTTTGTGTAATAGGACAAGATGAATTTTTTTTCTTTTACATCATCCAAGTGAAATGGATCGGGTGACCGGAATCAGAAAGGTTTAAAAAATGAAGTTGAATGAACGAGGTTGGTGACTCATTATCAAAAGGAGAATAGTGGATGTAGAAGAGTAGATGATAAGTGATATAAATGATATAAACGATGGATGATAAACGATGAATGATAACCGATGGATGATAAGCGAACGATAGTGAATGTCGGATGATGGGTAACCATGATAATGATAAGAGGAACACTGACTCACTGGTAGTGCGAGACCATTCACGCATAAAAGAGGTCAAAAATAGATGTGAAGGCGGAGATGAAAAGAAACCTAGGTATCCACGTACAAGTCCAATAAGATAATCAGGGGAGTATGAAACTTTCTTTTTTAGTGTCAAAAAAAAAACGTACAATTGAAAGCACGGTAAAATTAGTATATTGAGTATATTGAAAGATTATCATATAATTTTCCATAATAGAGATCAATATAGAGTTCATTGATACCTAGTACATTCAATTATGCTTGTTACAATATACAAATGTCAAAATGATTGATAAAAACGGAACAATTGTTCAAAATTTTATTGTTATCAGTAATCAGAGCACTGTCCATCAATGAAAAAAAAAAAAAGAAAAGAAAAAAGAAAAAAAAAATAGGTCAGAAAGTACTATAGATAATCAACTAAAAAAAAAAAAAAGAAGGTAAGAGAAGGTAACTAGTAAATGGACTAAGACAGCATGTCAAATGAAGTGGTAGTATAAGAGTGATATATAAAACAAATAAAAAATAAAAATACAAAGATGATTCAATTGAAGAATGTGTAAAATAAATAACAATAATAATACTAAAAAAAAAAAGATAAAGAGGGGTAACCAGTATACTGTATATCAATAAAATACAAAGAAGTCAATCGTGTATGAAGATGTTTTGTTGATAAATTATTTTTCCAGGTATTCGACTTCTCTCTTTTCTTCCTTTTCATCAGTTGCGTGACTTGAGGAGGTACCAGATTCAGCATGATGTTCAGCACCAGGACTCTTTTCATCAGAATCATCCAAATCTTTACCAGTAGTTTCAGGCATAAAGAAAACAACGAATAAGAAACCAACGAAATTGATGGCAATGAAGACACAGAAGGCATTTTGACCCAAGTTGGCGGATATATATGGCCACAAGATATTGATAACAAAGTTCATCAACCAGTTGCAAGAACTACCAAGTGCAGAAGCAGATGCCAAAGCATGCATGGGTACTAATTCGGGAGCAATGAACCAAGGAATGACACCACAACCAAGGGAATAAAAACCAATATAGATAATAGCGGCAGCGATAATGATACCACCCAAAGAAGTATTATGAGCACCAACCACCATAAGAATACAACCAAGAGTACAACCTAACAAAGAAGCCATCATCAAGTTCTTACGTCCCAACTTGTGAACAAACATAACAGAAACCAATGTAGCAGCGGTATTGACAGCACCATCGGCCAAAGAGAGAGAAGTAGCCATATGGGTATCACCATTGAAAATTTCGGTAAAGAAGCCAACAGAATAGACAGACATAGGACCAATACCACCAGCTTGGTTGTAAGCTTGAATAACCATGATAATAATAGTACGCCAGGTAATATGTAAGTTTTTGAAAGTAACAATATCCCAAATAGTGGTAGTAGGAATGGCACTTTCAACTTCACGTTGACGAGCAGCAAGTAGCATGGCGAATTCCTCTTCTACATCAGCTCCAGCACGAAGTTTTTGAAGAGCAGCAGCAGCACGATCATATTCCTTGTTGGCACAAAGTCGACGGGGACATTCAACAGTGAATAAGAATAAACACAGCATTTGGATAGCGGCAAGAATGGCAGAGATACCCCATAAGAAACGCCAGAGAGGATCATAACTCATATATAGACCACAGAGTTGAGTGAAAAGCACACCAGCATTCAAAAAGAGTTCGAACAAACTTCCAAGAGCACCACGAGCCTTGTTGGTAGAAATTTCTGAAACATAAATGGACACGGATGAACCACACATACCAGCAGCAATACCAACAATGGCACGACCAATAGAATACTATGTTGATGATAAAAAATTTAAAATTAGTTGTGATTATTGACTGATGTCTTTTTTTTTTTTTTTTTTTTTTACCATAGGAACATTGATGGAGACTGCAGAAATAATATTGCCAATGATGAATAAAATACAAGTAAGCATAATATTGTGACGACGACCAAGCCATACGTTGCTATACATAGAAACAAAAGATCCCACTACACCACCAATTGGATAGGCAGCAACGGTATAACCCCTAACGAATATTTAGATCATAAATATACTGCTATAAGTACATCGGTTCTTCAATTGCTTTTTCCTTGTTGGTTTTTTTTTTTAAAAGAAAAAAAAAGATGATCAATAAGTAAATGTAACTTACCAAGAGAAATCAGACATAGGTAAACAAGCAGGCAAAGTAGAATGAGAATCACCACCAGTACATTTGGAAATTGCACTTTGAGGCATATTTGGTACACCTAGTCATCATAAAAAAAAAAAAAAGATCCAATCATATAGATAAGTCATCTTTTTTTTTTTTTAGAAAATAAGGATAATAGTAACAAGATAACTTACCTATAGCCCAACCGACTTGGAATCCAGAGAAAGCAGCAATAAGAGCACAAGTTGTCATATATAAGGGAAATCCCATATCTTGGGATTTTTTTTGCGTTGTCATGTTGATATTGATTGTATTTTATGAGAGATGTGTCGAAAGGTACAAAAAAGGTGGACCAAAAAGGAAAGAATAAGAATAAGAAGCTACCGGAGCTTACAAAGTGATATATATATATAAAAAGAAGAAGATAAAAGAAGAAGAAGGAAAAAAAAAGAAGAGTAAAGGATGGATTTTTTTTTTTGTGATTGATAAAAAAAAAAGAAATGGAAAGAGAAGTGAAAGAATTACTTTTATATCAAAAAATTAGAAAATATGGTTTACATTTCAAATTCCGTCCTTTGTTCTTAAAGGGACCAAATATAGTTTAGATTATTATACCCCACAAGTCAAGACCGTTGATTCGTTACAGCAAGAAAAAAAAATAACCCCTACGGAGTTCTCTCTTTTTTTTTTTTTTTGGTTTACTTTGATCTCAGAGAAGAGACCAAATTAAGCGTAAATGTTCAAAATGGAAGCTTCAACATCAACCTATCACAACACCAATCAAACATAGGATGATTATAAGTCCGGTTGTCCCTTCATGGGTAACTTTCTCCGCGTAACTTTTTCGTGTGAAATATACTTCATCATCATCGTCATCATCGTTTTATTACCACTCCTGTCTTTCTCATTTCCTCATTTGTATCTCTGGATTGATTTAAGATATTCAAACTCAACCATATAAATAGCGTATTTGACAGGTCTTCTTTTTTTTTTTTTAAAGACACATATTTTTATTATTATGATGATGATGATGATGGTTCACGATATCTGTATAATGATTAACTACATATAGTGGTGGTGATGTTTATATAATGACAATGTTGCTTGTATAGTGATGATCATGATTGTATAGTTGATGAGAGTAATACCTTTATGATGATGATAATATCTGTCTTGTTGTGTATGAATGAATATTCAATCAATTTATGGAATGATTTTAATATAAAGAGGACCTCAACTTAATTACGAGTCAATACAATACTATAAAAAAAATATGTCTATCTTTTTGTACAACCAATCGACAATCTCAAATTGGGTCGGTGTCCAGCCTCTTTTGGCTCTGTTGTGGCAAGATACCGGTACAACAGACATTTGACTGGTGAACTTTAATTATTTCTAGTTATTTTGTGTTAGTCATAATCACCTTATCATACCTGTGATACAATTGAATATTCCTTACCCCAGATAAGTATTCTCATCATACTTTTTATACTGAAGTAGTTTACTTCATTATACAACTGATCAAACAAAAATAAAAGAAAAATGATCGACAGTCATTCAATCTAGCCTTTAATATAAAAAAAAAATACTTAAAAAGGAGAACCTCGCTATGTCTTTTTTTTTTATTTATTTGTTCTTTGATTGATATCTTCTTCAACAATACCTACTAAAATATATCCTATTTGAGAATAGTTCAATTGGTTAGGAAAGCGAGAACCAAAAAAAAAAAAAAAAGAATGTTTACCCCAATGAATATAGATGTATTTTTTCCCAGAAAATGCGGGGTGAGAAGAGTATTTTAAAGTATCATTGGTTTGCACATGACTTTTAACTGAATAGCAATGGCAATTCCATGTTTCAGGAAAATTTATCATTGTTGTTCAAAATGTAAGATTGTATAAATTCCATATTCTATTTTTGACAATAATATTAATAAATAATATTAATAATAATAATAATAATAATAACAATGAATGTACGACTTTTGTATCATCGTAACTAATAAAACAATACTAGTTGATTCCATTTCACACAATCTACTCTTTTTGAAAGTCCACCATCAGGTACATGATCCCAATCATTTGTATTCTATTCTTGATTAAAAACTTGAATAAATGTATTTTATTTATCCCTATCAACGTCTATACTACTAAAGCTAATAATACAAGTACTAATAATACGAATAATACTAAATACCGTGAATATCCTATCCTATGGGTATTCATGAATTGTTGTCGTCGTAAAAGCCATAAAGCATTTCGTCTGTTGTCATCTTCAAGTATGTCGTTACTGTCAGTATCTACTTCCATCATGAGATATTGATGATCACTGAGCTTATAATCTATATTTCCATATTGTTGATGCTTGATTTCCATGTTCCGTAATAGTGTCCAATCCAATTTCGCTTTAAACAGTCCAAAATAGGCAGGATTGTGCAAGGTATCATGTTGTATTGGCCAGCCATCATAAAATCCAGGGTTCCTTGCTTTGATCATCACATCCGCAGAGAATCCAGTCAACCAAATTCCCAATGATAATCCCCAATTTGAGATAAGTTTGTTAGAAGAGTTAAACATTGATTTGAGTATCCAAAGAGGTGTCCATGATGATCGTTGCATCGTTAACAATCGTATGTTTAGAGGCCCATCCATTATATGATATCCAAGTATATTTCGATCAAACCATGATGCTTCTGTTTCCCCCAATGACAAGAAGCGATATCGATCCCTAGCGTATTTTGGTGACAATCTTGCGATAGAGTGAGCCATTGTATTCAGATCTCCAAATATAGCCTGATATGGAAATTGGTTGGTGTAAAAATGTGCATCTTGAAAGAGTTCCGAGAAGACTGACACTCGTCCAATGATTCCCGTGAAAACCTTGAAAGGGCAAAAAAAAAAAAAAAGAAAAGAAACAAAAAAAAATAGTAAAAGAAGTTAAGTATACCCAAATATACATATATATTTTCCATAGTATATATATACACTTTTTTCCCCTTCTTCTTCTTCTTTTTTATTTTGACAGCTTTACCTCCAAATGTACGTTATATATTAGAATAGATGGACAAGTAGGTCGATTGATCACACTGGCCAATGTATAACGTCTAACCAAAACAAGAAAAAAAAATGATGTCAGTATCCAAACTATTGGTTTTCCCATGTCCCACTTATATATTTCTATATAACGTTATCAATAAGACTTGCCTTCCCTTTCGAGGTTCATTTAATAATGCACCATCTCTTTCCCAAAAAAAAGGTTGATACTGATGATCAATGACCCGTATATCCGTCAACTCATGTTTTGTAAGGATAGCATTCCCATGTAAACCACCACCCTAGAAAAAAAAAAAAGAATAAACACTTTGTATATATCGTTTTGTTTTCATATCACTTTACTTGATCACGATCTTTCCTTAGAGGACTTTCAAGTTCCCAAAATTCACATACAAAAACACCTTTCATTTTCAAAGTTTTGCATAATTCTTCCATATGGTTCCTATTTCCAGATCTTCGACAATCAATGTCTATTTCTTGTAGTACACATACATCTGGATCGAGTTCTTTGATTTTCTTCAAGATTCCATCCGCCTCTGTAAAATAATAATAATAAAATAGTTTCATATAAAGTGAGTTCCTTTTTTTTTTTTTTAGAATTTATATACCATAGTTTCTTTCGACATTCCATTGTAGTATTTTCAAACTGGTTGTTGACACAGATGGTATATTAGAAGATCGATAATCATATTCTATTATTTCTCCAGGTCGAATGTCAAACATGGTATGAGTAGAAAAGGGAATAGCCAGGAAGAAATAGATTAAACAGAAAAGTATGGAAAAAAAAGAAAAGCAAAAATATAAAAAACTCAGCTGTGTTTCAAATGAAGCGTTTGATCTGATAAAACATATGATGGCTACATGATGAATAATTAATACAATAGTTACTTTTACTACATAAGGATTGAAATGAATATTATCACAATAATTTAAGATCTTTAATATTCATTGATAATATGTTATTGGAAATCAAAGTGAACATTACTGTATATTGGATTTATTGACTGTAACTTGTAATGGAAAAGAAAAATAAAAAATATAGAATTAAAAAAAAAAAAAAAGGGAAAAAAAAATGGAATGACTGTATACTTTTAACAAGGATATATAATAAATACATAGAATTGATAATGTATGAAAGTATAATACAATGATAATGATATGAAAGTTACACTTTTTTCTTTGACCAAAAAAGGAAAACAAGATATCTGAATGAGTTATGACTGCATTTCTTTCTTTTTTTTTTTTTTTTTTGGTTCTTTTACCCCTCAAAGAAATAAATCGGTTTCATTCATCATCATTTCAGATAGTGTATGTATAATCAAAGTTGTAATATATTTTTACTGTAGTTTATACTGTAACTGGATTTCTTATATTAGGAATAATGATGTGTTCCAAAACAGTGGATTTTCTTTTTTTTTCTTTTTTTTTATTTGATTAAATGAAAATCATTTTTATATAGATCTTCAATTTTTTTTTTGTTATTACTTTCATAAATATTCATCATAAGGAGGTAGATATTGACTTTTTATTGTTTGATAAACAAAGACACCTTTCCATCAAACTCACCACCATATGACACTCACGGAGTTTCAACTGGTTTTTTTTTTCTTTCTTTCTTTCTTTTCAGTGGCCCTTTTTTCTTGTTTCTCGCTTGAATTCATATCTTTTTTTCTTTTTCTTTTTTTTACATATTTCACTTGTTGTTTTTTTTTTCTGTATTCCTTTTATACAATTCATACTCTTGAACATGAGCGTCCTTGGTAATGACCTTTTTTTTTTTTTTTTTTTAAAAAAAACAATGCAAAACTTTATACAAGTTATTTTAGAAATATAAAAGGAAACTTTCATTATGGAAACTTTACGATATTTTTTTTTTTTTTTTTACGATCTCAATCTTATATTTCTTTATCATCTATTAGTGACCACTTCTTTTTCACAAGGTGCCGTGTTTTATGCTGGAGAAACATTATCTTGTACTATCGCTTTTACCAACACGTTACCTATATTACCCAAATCGCCAAGCACGTCATCATCCTTGACTAAACAAGAAAGACAAAAGTCGCCACCTCCTAGAGTGTCATATAATAAAACTCACAGAACTAACGGTCATAGTAGAACTCCTTCTACTTCCTCTACTCAAGATTTTGTACAAGATCTTCCGTCTATTGAACAAGATAATGCTACTGGACTGTATGGGAAATCAAGATCTCTTACTTCTCTGGCTTCATCAACTTTAGCTTATCTTACTGGTTATACAACAGAGTCTCAATCAGCTCCTACCACACCACCTAGCAACACTATTGCCAGTAATATAAAACCTCACAATGGCGATAATATGGATACATCGATATCTCGAGAAACGAAATGGGAACAACAAGGTAATTTAAAATAATGAGCAATAAATGGTCTTTTTTTTTTCCTGCTGATAGAAGACTAACTTGTTTATTTATAGAAAAATATGATATAAACGGTATTCAAATGAATGAAAATGATCCTATTGCTATTGAACTTGGATCACACGATCATATTACTCCTCGCACTAGTATCGACACAGTGACTTCTTCATATATGCATCCTATATCAACATCAAGTCGACGAAGTTCTACTGATTCTCTATCATCATCACATCCTTATTATACAAATTCACCTATGTCTGGAGGTCAACAACATCATTATCATCAACAACAACAATATCATTCATCTTTAGCTACGCATCCTATCAATGCTCGTCGTTTATCTCGCCTTCTCAAATCTCCGTCTACACCATCCTTAATGAAAAAACCTGAACATCTATTATGGGGCTTTGCTCAGGTGGTTGGTCAATTCGTAGTGGATCCGACTTTAATCAACAATAATGAATTTGCTCCACTGAAACAAAAAACAATGTATCGACCCCATGGTACTGGATTTGGTGGTGGTGGTGGTTTATGGAATGGAAAACCTGATTCAAAAATTGGTAAAAAAAAAAAAAAAAAAAAAAAAAAAACAAAAACAAAAAAAAAAGGAAGTGATTTAGATATATATATATATATTTACTTGGATATGTATATAGATACCCGGACAACTCCTGTTTTCTCAACTCCTCCGTCAATATTATTTGTGGATCTTGATTTGGCTCCTGGTGAAACAAAGAAATGTAAGGAAGAAATAATGTGGTGACTAAAAAAAAAAAAGAAAAATTAAGAAAAGAAAAGATAATTTATATAATCATGTATTATCATGTGTTACTTTTTTGTAGATTCATACAAATTGAAACTTCCTAACGATCTTCCGCCATCACATCGAGGAAAAGCCATTCGGTTCAATTATTATCTTGTGGTGGGTACCCAACGTAGTGGGAGTGCGCCTTCAACAAGATCTAGTGGAATGCAACATCAAGGTCAAGTGGTCCAGTTACGATTTCGTGTATTGAATCATGTTTCCGGTAAAAAAAAAATAAAATAAAATAAAAATATAAAATATAAAATATAAAATAAAATTATCTACACTAGCATATTTACCACTTATTTTTTTTTTTTTATAGAGGATGGTTCAAGACCTATATTCGATTTGATGAATCCAGTGGTGATGTACAAAGATGAAGCTCAAGTTGAATTAGTTCCTGAAATCAATAACAAAGCTAAACGTAGTGCCAGTATCAGCTCCATTGCATCTGCAAATTCTGCTCCTATTTCACCAATTGCAAGCAACAACAATATCGATCATCACAGACCACTATCATCACCATCAACATCATCACCTGAAGTTTTGAAAGAACGGACTGCATTTATGGATTATGTGAATGAATTATTGGAAAAAAGCACCAACGGACATGACGATATTCAGGAAATCACTCGGAGGGAAAGCGACGCTTATGATGAACAACGTATATCTCATGATGATGATGAAGAAATTATGACTGAACAAGATTATCGAAAGACATGTGCACAAGTGGTATCTCGGATTACTCATTCAAGTAGGAAAGGTATAATTGAAAGATCTTATGATGTTATTCACAAGAGGAAACTGATGTATTTTAATCTTTGTTGAACCTTTAGCTATGTATGATTTGTGCAAGAACAATCAAAGAGTAGCAAAATTACAACTGACGAAAATGGCTCATCGTTTAGGTGAACCAGTGCTTGGCATTTTGGATTTCAGTGAAGCGTCTTTATCTACTTATAAGGTAAACAAAAAAAAAAAAAGAGGTCATCATTGAAAACATTACATTAATTCATATATTAGGTATCTATTTTCTTGGAAAGTCATGAAATTGTAGAATCAAGTATCTCACTGCGTCAACCAGAACATATCGCGAGGGTGTCACGAAAATGTCACTCAGAATTTCATACATTTTGTTTAAATCATCGTCGACTTGCTTTTTCTTTACCAATTCCAACAACAGCTTCACCAGAATTCCAAACAACTGGAGGTAATAATAATAACAATAATAGTAATAAAAGGTAGTAGTAGGTGGGCAGGTTCTAAACGAAGCATATCTACTTTATATTTCGTTAGTCAAACTGCAATACAACTTGAAATTCGAATTCATTACTAACAATCAAACCAGAATCAACCAAAACCAGACTTCAATATCATCTTCATCACCGTATCTCTCAATCAATATTGATGAGCGACATCAACACTTCCAAGCCCAACCACAAGTTCAAGTTAGTAACTTCGATTGTCATATCCCCATCAAAGTCTATGGTTCTCCCAATGGATCGGATCGTGCTATCTACGGTCGCCCACATACCTTCCCTGTACAATAGATCAATCTTTTTCGCCCTTCTTCATTTTGTTTGTTTGTTATATTATGCTTTGAATAAACTGATCCCAAAACTAGCTTCGTCATACCAAGCTTTTGTATATTTCATCGTTCTTTTTTTTTTTTTTTTTATCACTGATTTTTATAAACCAGGTCGCCGTTTGAATCCTTCCTTCTTTCTTCAAACGAATTTCGAAGTTTTTTTTTTCTTTTTTCTCTGTTTTGTTTACTTTTTTCTTTTTTGTTCTTTTTCTTTTATTGACTGATGACAGTCTCTTTTTACGCTGAACTCCTCTCCAACATTCAAGTATTAAGAGCCACTATAGCAACAGATGAATCAGTTGAAACGACTTCGTTTACTGTGAAGAACAATCAACTCTGGCAGGAAGATACAGTGGTTGTAGATTTGACGCGTCATGGTCTTCAAGCTGATCCTCATAGTCTTCAAGTACAAGCTAAGAATGATGAAAGTAATCATGGTGATCGTTGGATATATCAATTGAAGGTTAATTTACAGCGACAACAACAAACAACACATTCTTCATCTTCGGTGCAACTTGGGAACAATGACAAAGAATGGTGGACAGCAAAAGACATGATAGGTTTACAATGGCAGCAACTTCAATGTCGACATTGTGCTCAGATACTTGTGGAAAATAAAAATAATAATCTATCTCGGTGCAAGGATCTTCCTTCTGAACATTGGTATGAACTAGTGGAATGTTGGATATGTCATGAAACCAAGCCTGAAGAACATCAAGCACGTATGCGTCCTATTTTGGCACAACATGGTACTCTACTTGTCGGTTCTTTTTACTTTTTAATTCATGTGAATGATCTGGTACCTCTTTCGATCAAACTGGACCAAGAACTGGCGAATCAAATCAATGTAAGTCATATATACTTATTATCATCAAGAGGAACATGGGAAACGGATCTCAAGAAGGCCATAGAAATATCTTTTTTCTATTTTTGGTCGATACAAAGATCCTAGATTGATTTTGTCATACAAAACAAGCTTGAATACACTGAGTATATTTGTGTATCTTTATAGAATGGTTCCTTATGGATTGTTTTATATTTTTTTTCCAAGCTTACTACAATGACGGACATGTATTTACTTATTATTCTTACCTTGATTTGATTACAGTGACTTATTCCTTTTTTTTTTTTTCCCTTTTTCATTTTTTCCTTTTCTTAGTGGGAGCGGGGGACAATGACCAAATGGATATCAATCAATTGCAACACGTGTGGAAAAGTGATAGGAGAAGGGCTATATGAATGTCAAAAAGGTAAAAACAAAAAAAAAAATTCGATGATGATGAGTGTTTGATTAATGATTCTCAATATGTCTTTTTTTTTTTTTAATCTCTTTAGATCAAGAACTGAATATGTTAGCTCTCAAACTCTACAAGTACTGTCTGACAATACAACCAAATCCACCTGAATTACCAGACTTTATGAATTTTGTGGTGGGTGATATGGTGGATGCTGCTAAGGTTCATGCTACTCATAGATTTGTGATTCAAGGAAAGAAAAGTTCTCGTGTATACGCTTTAGTAAGTGAATAATAAGAAAGGAACAAATTATACAGATAATAACCTCTTTTTTCTTTCCTTTGTAGGTGTGGTTATTCAACTGGGATACAACTTTTATATACAATGATGGATTCAAGGATGAAGTGGATGATATGACTGGAAAGATAGATTTTCAAAGAGGTACTTTAGAAAGAATGATTGTTACAAGGATATATATTCATTTTTTTTCATATATATATTGTGTACAGGTATGAAAATTCTATATATGAACACAAAGGATGATGATCAGCTTGTCAAGAAATGGAACCATGACAAAACCACTGACCATTTGATATACCCTGATACTTATTGCCAACAACTAGTCAAATCTTTAGAATCAACAACAAATATACTTCCTCCATCATTGCGGACTATGAACCATCCATCTATGCCCATGACCAAGAACTTCTCTGTTGGATTTATACATCGAAAATAGGTCAAAACCATCTCCTCCCAGTTTAATTAGATATTTACTTTTTTTTCTTTTTTTTTTTTAATTATTTCTTGTACATACTTTGTTAGCATTATTTCATTTTGTATATTTATATATTTATCATAATAATTTCTTTTTTTAATAATAAATCATGGGTTACCTTTAATTTTTTTTTTTTTACTGAAACATTCTGGGAATTGATGTTATCCTTTATAAAAAAATAATCGTCTCCCTTTTTTTTTTTTTTTTTTTTTTTTTTTTTTTTAAATTGGGTTTCTTTTCATAATCTACTTGGTAACCTCATGATGGATAAATTACCAGTGGAATTGGTTAACAAGATCATGGATGAATTATCTACTTGTGATCTATGTCAATTAGTACGTACTAATAGTCAATGGTACCGACCATGTATTTCTCGAATATATGAATCACCAATCTTAGACGACGTTAAAAGACATGATCTATTTTTCAAGACAACCAAACCTCATACCCAACGTTATATACGGCATCTTGAATTAACGCCTTCCTTAATCACTAATGAACAACTGAATCAATTGACAGATTGCACGGGATTAATCACATTACACCTCTCTTATTGTTCTCATATTGTACCCAATGTTCTGAATAAGGTGCTCAAAGTATGTTTGTATATGATTCAAGCAGTATATCTAAGGGATGGGCAACTTTCTACTGAGACATTACAACTATTAAGACAAGCTTGTCATCTCCGGATATTGGATTTAAGTAACACAATGATTCGACCTTGTGATCGTATTGATACCCCTCATCATTTGGATACCATGATCACCAGCACTAATAATAACAATAATAATCAAATGGACATCAATACTTTACACGAATTGGATTTATCGTTTTGTAATTGGGTGGACGATACTACTCTGATGAATATTGTTCATGGATTACCTCATTTACGATATATCAAACTAAGATGGTGTCAAGAAATTTCAGATAAAGCTATCATGAAGATGATTCAAGGTTTGAAGCAAATCTCAAGCATTGATGTTTGTCATATCCCTTGCATGAATGACCCTGCTCGTGTTCATCAACTGCTGAAGTTGAATCCATTTTTGGAAACAGTCTGTTTCACTCATCATCATTATAGAAAACCTACTTTTCTGATCCGATCCTCACTTTAAATATTTTTTTTTTTTTTTTTTTTTTTTTTTTTTTTTTTTTTTTTTTTTACTATCACTATTCATATCACCAACTATCAAAATATACAAATTAAAATAATAAATTATGTAATCAATCTTCTTTTTTTCAAATTGATCAGACTGTAACAATCGATTGAACAATATACTTTCAATTACCGCAATGGTTGAACGAGCATTTTTTGCTGCTCTATTGAAAAGATGCAAAAAGTGAGCATTTTCTGCTGGTTTTCAATAAGAAGAAAAAGTAAAAAAAAAAAAAAATATATATTTCATACTTTTCTTTCTTTTCTTATTTTTCTTTTTCACTTCTTTTTTATATTTATAGTTTATACATATTCTTTTTCTTTTTTTCTTTTTATTTTTTTTATTCCCAAACATGACAATATATCATATTCAAGTCAGTGTAGCAGGAATGACTTGTCAGCATTGTGTTAAAGCTGTGACCGAAGGTCTCGATCAATTACCAGAAGTAACAAATGTGATGGTTAACTTGGATAAACGACAAGCGACCTTGGATTTCAACGTGAAGGACACAACAAAAGCAGCCTTAGATTCTATCAAGGATCTTATCTCTCGAACGATAGAAGAATTGGGTTATGATTCAGGTACTCCTTATATGTTTAGTGATCAAGATCTTGGCTTTGGCGATTTTCTGGTAGAGGGAATGACTTGTTCAAGTTGTGTACATAGTATTACCACTGCTTTGTCTGATTCTCCTTTAGTGTTGACGAATTCTCTTGACATTTCTCTTGATAGTCATCACGTTCGTTTCAAATTGAATCAACATCCTTTGACTGATCAAGATAAACGAAACCTGGTGGCTCTGATTGATGATTTGGGATATACGGTGGTACAAGCGACATTCTTGGACAATAATGGCAAAGAACTGACAAAAGAAGACGACGATAAAGACAATAATGAAACAACTCAACATATACAATCAGCTACTTTTCCTATTGTGGGCATGACTTGTTCTCATTGTGTTCGTACAGTTACTACGGGATTACAATCACTTCCTGGGGTGATATATGAAACAGTACAAGTCAACTTGGATAAACAAATGGCAACTTTGGCGTTTGAAAATGATACAGTGACCATACAGATTTTGGTAGATACCATTCAAGAACTTGGTTACGATATTCCTCAAAGACCTCGCATTGTTACTGGTATTCGACCATCACCCTTAGTACCAACAAATACAACAAGTACAACAACTACAACTGATAACAATGAAAAACTGGGTCTACTCTCTGAATCTCAACGTGTGGAAACTTCTTCACCTTGGTCCAAAGTGGTGATGCGAGTGAATGGTATGACATGTGAAAGTTGTGTGGCAAGTTTGACTTCTGCTCTATCTTCATTGGAAAACGTTCAGATGGACTCGGTTTTTGTAGATTTGGCGACAGATATGGCCATGATGATTTGTAAGGAACCTAACGTGGAAATGATTCGCGCTACAGTGGAAAATAGGGGCTATCAAGCAGACAACATTCAAATCATTCATAATCTCAAGCAACCTGCTGCGTTATGGGAAACAAATCATGATGATGACAAGAAATCCTTTTCTTCTTCGTCGTCACTACGATCGTTACGGAAAACTTCCTTGGGTGGATCTGTGGTGTCTCTAGGTGCAGTCTCTGTTATATCTCCAACCTCGGTATCAAAACGTGTGACAATGAATGTTAGTGGTATGACTTGTTCAAGCTGTGTCCGGACTTTGGAAAAAGCATTGGCCAAGTTACCTAGTGTGGATGTCAACTCGATCAAGGTTAATTTATTGGTGGGAAGTGCAACATTCAATATACGTGGGGATGTCATCAACGACAAGGATATATCGGAAGCAGTTGAACATTTGGGATATGTTGCCTCCAATATTTCTATGGTGGTTGAAAACTCTGAAGAAGAAGAACAGCAACAACAACAACAACAGCAAGATATTGTTTATGCCGTCAGTTTGATCATCTCTGGAATGTACTGTGAATCATGCGTGGATAAAGTGAAAGCCGTGATTGCTGCTATGCCAGGAATTAAAAAATCAAGTATTTTAGTGGATTTGGATTCAGGATGTGCAAGTTTTTTGATGGATTCAGATATGGTAACACGTCAAAGGGTTTATAAGGAAATTCAACAACTTGGATTTGCTGCCGATAGTATTGATATCAAGAAAACAAGAAGCAAATCAACTGCTGGTCCTGAAGTTGCCGATGATGATACTGACAAGGGATTCTCAACAACAAGATTGACAGTAACTGGGATGACTTGTAGTTCCTGTGTGGCTAATATTGAACGTGTGATGCTGAAACAACCTGGTATTCAAAGTTGTCAAGTGAATCTTTTAGCCAAGTCAGCAGTGATTGTTCATGATCCAAGTACTATCGGTGCACGTGTATTGGCAAATATGATTGAACAAATTGGATACAAGGCGGAATTGGCAGCAATACAAACTTCAGAACTCTCGGATCAACGTGCGACTATGCGGGAAACCATGCAAAAGGAAATCCAAGTACTTCGTTCTCGCTTTCTTTGGTCTCTTTTATTTGCTATTCCTACGGTGCTTATTTCCATGATTTTCCTAATGGCCGTTCCTTCTTATGGTCGTGTACATCAAGTATTCATCATTGAAATCACCGGTGGTTTGACAATTGGTGATCTACTCTTGTTTCTTTTAGCAACTCCTGTGCAATTCTGGTTGGGTTCTCCATTTTACAAAAAGGCATGGAAATCGCTTTATTATACTCATTCGGCTAATATGGAAACTTTGGTGGCTCTAGGAACGACGGTGGCTTACTTGGCGTCGGTTGGATCTGTGATTGCTGCTATGGTGCGTGCTCATCAACCTCATTATGGCATGGACAATGGGATGGGACAATCAAGTATGTCTATGAATTATTTTGAAACTAGTGTACTATTGATTACATTTATTCATCTTGGAAAATGGTTGGAAGCTTTGGCAAAAGGGAAAACTGCAGAAACAATCACCAAATTGATGGATCTTCAACCTGAACAAGCAATCATGGTACAAATTCAAAAGAAGGATGACAAGGAGGTATTGATCGAAGAAGAAATTGATTCCAAAGATATTCAAGGTAATTAAAAAAACAATTTAGAAAAATGAAAGGATTATTATACTCATCTTTTTTTTTTTTTTTATATCTTTCTTATAGTGGGCGATATTATCAAGGTCAATGCTGGTGGAAGAATTCCTTGTGATGGAAAACTTTGGCGTGGTAGTACAACAACGGATGAATCTATGATCACTGGTGAATCTGTACCTGTTTCTAAACAACCTGGAGATAGTGTGATTAGTGCTACTATCAATATGTCATCTCCTATCTATCTTCGTGCTCTTCGTGTTGGATCTGATACTACACTGTCTCGTATTATTCAATTAGTACAAGATGCTCAAGCCTCTCCCAAAGCTCCTATTGAACAATTGGCGGATAAGATTTCAAGTGTTTTTGTTCCAATTGTCATCCTACTGGCTTTGATTACCTTTATAACATGGCAAGTTCTTTCAAGCAAAAACATGTATCCTTCCATATGGGTAGCTCAAGGCGAAAGTTCAACTGTTTTCTCCATCATGCTTGGTGTGTCTGTACTTGTAATTGCATGTCCTTGTGGTCTTGGTCTTGCTAGTCCAACTGGTAATAATAATAATAATAAAAAAAAGAAAGATCACTCTGAAATTAATTCAAATAATGATATTCATCTCCCCCCCTTTTTTTTTTTTTTTATCTCTTTATGACTTATGATAGCTGTTATGGTCGGTACTGGTGTCGCTGCTCGATATGGTGTACTTGTGAAAGGAGGTGGTCATGCATTGGAAATGGCAAATCGAATTACTACCGTAGCATTTGACAAAACTGGTACTCTGACTTTAGGCAAACCAACAGTGACTGATGATTGGCTCAATTTCAACAAGAATTCTACAGAAGATCAAGGAACGTTTGCTATTTGGAAAATCCTTGGTAAAATGGCATCTGTCAGTAATCATCCACTATCAAAAGCTATTGAAAAGAATGCTCGTATTACATTGAAATATCTGGTAAATGGAACTAGTTTGGAGGACAAAGAGATGGATGATGATGAAGGCAATGATACGAAAGAGCAACAAGATTGGTTCGATGGTGTTACCGTAGTACATGCAGAAGAAGTTCCTGGACGTGGCGTCAGTGCGACTTTGACTCTCTCCGTTGATATTGCTAAACATCTAACTGGAAAATTACATGGGATCCGTGCTTTGAATGTATTTTTGGGAAATCAAGCTTGGATGGATGAAAATTATGCCCGATACGAAACTACCAAACAAGCATCTGCAAAGTTAGAACAGCAAATCCAATGGCAAGATCAAGGTAAATCCATTGTATTGTTTGCGGCATCTCCTGTGGCTGGTCAAGTAGAAGAAGGTGTGGCTCATCAAGATGGTTGTCGTGATGCTTGTGCATGTGTTGTATGTCATTGTAGTTCTTCTTCCATCTGTTGTAGTGCTTCTCGTAGAATGATGCTCGCTCAAGTGGCTATTGCTGATATCCCTCGTCCCGAAGCAATCAATGTGGTAAAACAATTACGCAAAATGGGTATTGAAGTATGGATGGTAACAGGTGATAATGAACGGACTGGACGTGTAGTGGCTACTCAATTAGGAATTGGCAAGGACTTTGTTCTTGCTGGCGTTAAACCAGAACAAAAGGCTGACAAGATCCGTAATCTTCAACGACGTGGATTGGTGAATAAATCTTCTTCCTCATCATCATGGTGGACACGTTTCTTTTTCCAAACAAAAAAGAATGAAAACAAGAATGGATTTCGACATGCTGTGGTGGCAATGGTGGGAGATGGGATCAATGACTCGCCTGCACTTGCTCAAGCTGATGTGGGGTAAGAAAAGAAAAGAAAAAAAAAAGGAAATAAAATAATGATGGATACTGACTCTTTATTATTTTTTATTTTTTTTTTATTTTTGTTAGTATTTCTGTTGGATCAGCTACTGATATTGCCATTGAAGCAGCAAGCATAGTATTGATACGAAATAATTTGATGGATTTGTTGACAATGTATGACATATCCAAAGCAGTAGTCCGACGTATTCGATTGAACTTTTTCTGGGCGTTTACATATAATATTTGTGCTATTCCTATAGCGGCAGGTATTCTCTATCCTGGTACTGGTGCTGGATTACCCCCTTATATTGCAGGTCTTGCTATGGTTGCCTCAAGTATCAGTGTTGTCTGTTCAAGTTTATTACTTCGATTTTATCGTGCACCAAAATACACCAAGAAATGATGATGATTAGTATAGTTTTTAATAGATATTTTTGTTGTTATTGTAATTTTATAGTTCTATTGTATTATTATTCAATAAAAAAGAGGAATACTTTCTATCTATCTTATTTTTCTTGCAAGTCATGATTGACAGTTTATGATGATGAGGCTGAGCATCTTAATCTCAAGTTTATTTGTCCTTCATCATCTATATCTACGAATTTGTCCAATAGAAATAATTCATCTATGTTAATTTCATCTATCAAACTAGTTGATTATTCATATATGCTGGTAGAATGATCGAAATTTATGCGTAGTTAATGTGGAAAAAAAAAAAAGGAAGATGCCGGCACCTCATTGGCTGAGTTTAATTTCGATCTTTTTTTTTTCTTTTTTTTTTCTTTATAAAAATGTGTCGCGTCTTTTTTTTTTTTCTTCTTTTTTGTCTTCTAAATCTTTATATAATATAGAGACAACCATGTCTGAAGAACTACCAACTTATGAATATACAATCGATGTTCAACATCTTAACTTTGATTATGGAGGTCCTCTTATTCTGAATGATATCAATCTTTCTCTCAAGGCTGGAAGTCGGTGCATTCTTGTGGGGGCTAATGGTGCCGGTAAAACGTCTCTTTTACGTATCTTGGGTGGCAAACGTATGATATCGGGTACTCATATCAATATACTTGGTAAAAATGTATTTAAAGATGCTCCAAAGGTAAATATATGTATAGAAATATCACGTTTGGATGTGTGCTAAAATGAACACATATTTTTTTTTTTTTTTTTTTTGGTAGGGTGTCACCTATTTGGGAACAGAATGGGCAAATAATCCTGTAGTACGATCTGATTTATCTGTGGGGTATCTATTGTATAGTATGGGATCAACACGATGGCCAGAAAGAGCACGACGATTATTGGAAGTATTGGATGTGGATACCAATTGGCATATGCATCAAATTTCAGATGGTTAGTCTTATCATCCTATTTACTTAAATATGAATTGTTATTAACGTATATATTTTATTTATGGAAATATTTGATTAGGTCAACGACGTCGAGTACAATTAGTCATGGGATTACTGCATCCATGGAACGTATTATTGATAGATGAAGTAACTGTGGATTTAGATGTACTTGCACGATCTGATTTTTTGGCTTTCCTCAAGGAAGAAACAGAAACTCGTGGAGCTACTATTGTTTATGCAACTCATATTTTTGATGGTAAGAATGACAATTAGAAAAGATGAATCAAGTATACTTTTTATTTACATTAATCTATTTTTTTTCTTTTTTTTTTTTTTTGTAGGTTTGGGTCAATGGCCTACTCATATTGCTCATATGTCTGAGGGTAGAATCACAGAAATGCATGCTATGGATGATCACTTTGTAGCATTAGAAAGGGTGAAGAAGGATAATCAACAACGACATAGTTTGGATTCACCATTGATGGAATTATGTTATGAATGGCTACGTCAAGATAGAGCTCGAATTCGTATGTCTGGTGATAAGAAACCCATTGATCCGGAAACTGGTCTACCACATTCTAAATGGGATGAACTGGGTGCGAATATGAAAGATTATGGAGATAAATATTACAATTATTGGAAATAAATTTAGATTAGAATGTAGCACCTCCCTTTTTTGATCGTTATTATGAATAAAATTCAGATTTCCCTATACAGTTACGAAACCATCACTATTTTGTAATGCCTTATGATATTCACCACGTTGTCATTGTACAGTTTTTGATTTTGATTGGTTTGTCATTGACACTTTGAATCACCGAAACGACCCTTTTTTTTTTTTTTTTTTTTTTGTGTTGACGCTCTCCCTGTTTTCAAAGTTAAATTTCTTTTGCCCTTTTCCTTTTCTCACTCTCTTTTCTTCTTCTTTTCTCACTTTTTCTTGATCCTTTTTTCATGTCTCAAGAACCAGCGCAATATCTAGGCGTGACACCTCCCATCTCACTGGTGCCACCTACAGATCAAGAACTAAAATCAACTGACGATTTGCTGAAGACTCTTCAAGATTTTGGTCTATTTGAATCCGAACATGATGCTCAAAAACGGTAATATGTTGATAAAATAAACGAATAAATAGATAGAATAAAACAAAATAAAAAAAAATAATAACTTGATCAACAAACTCACTTTATTGTTATAGAGTAATAGTATTGGGGAAATTAGATAAACTTGTCAAAGAATTTGTTTATCGTGTCAGCAAGATGAAAGGATATCCTGACGCTCTCGCCAAAGAAGCTGGCGGTAAAATCTTCACCTTTGGATCTTATCGTTTGGGTGTTCATGGTGCTGGTAAGATGAAAAAGAAACTATTTTCAATATCAATTGTAACATTTTTATTTATTTATTTTTTTCTTCTGATCACTTCGTTTCTTTTTTTTTTTTTTGGATAGGTGCCGATATTGATACATTATGTGTTTTCCCTAAACATGTCGAAAGAGAACACTTTTTTACTGTCATGTATGAAATGCTCAAGGATCGTCCTGAAGTAACTGAACTTACGGTAAAAAAAAAAAATGAAATCACTCTCTGTATAAAAATGCATCAATTTACTTTTTTTTTTTTTTTTTTTTTTTTTTTTTTTTTTTTGCTATAGGCTGTTGTTGATGCTTATGTGCCAGTGATCAAGATGCATTTCTCTGGTATTCCGGTGAGGAACACGACGAAAATATCAGATTAGGATACTAATGACTATATATTAACATTTTTTCCCCTTTCCTTTTTGTATAAAAGATTGATTTTGTATGTGCTCGTTTAGGTGTCGCTCGTGTGCCTGATGATTTGGAACTTTCTGACAATAATCTTTTAAAAAATCTTGACGATCGATGTGTTCGAAGTATCAATGGTTCTCGAGTGACGGATGAAATTTTACGATTGGTGCCAAACATTCCTTCTTTCAGAATAGCATTACGAACAATCAAGTTATGGGCAAAACGAAGAGCCATTTATTCAAATGTTATGGGATTTCTAGGTGGTGTTGCTTGGGCTATGTTGGTGGCTAGAATTTGTCAACTTTATCCGAATGCATGTGCTGCTGCTTTGGTCAATCGATTTTTCCGTATCATGTTCCAATGGAAATGGCCCCAACCTGTGTTATTAAAACATCTTGAAGATGGTCCTTTACAGGTTCGTGTATGGAATCCAAAGGTAAATAGAACAAGAAAAATAAAGTTAAGAAGGTTTTTTTTTAAATTCGTTGGTTTTATAGTTGTATCCTTCCGATCGAAATCATCGAATGCCAATCATCACACCAGCCTATCCTTCCATGTGCTCAACACACAATGTCACTAATTCTACAAGAACAATTATGATTAAGGAATTTGATCGTGGAGCAACTATTGCAGGTGATACTTTGAAGGGAACGAAACAATGGTCTGATCTTTTTGTGAAAAGTGATTTCTTCCAATCCTACAAAAATTATCTTCAAGTCATTGCTTCTTCTTTATCCACTGAGTCACAATTGAAATGGTAAAACAATAATATGTTAAGAATGTTATTTACAATACTTATAAATTCATATGTAGGTCTGGTCTGGTAGAATCCAAATTACGTCAAATTGTAGCGAAATTAGAAGTCATGGAATTGATTATATTGGCTCATCCTTACATCAAAGGATTTGATAAAGTACACTATATTACAACTGAAGAAAAAGAAAACGCAACACGTGGTGTATACCCTACGGATCGTACGTTTGATCTGGAAGAAGGAAGCATGGAAATTGATTATTTGGAAAAAATCAAGGAGAGCGGGGTTTGGCCCGAAGACAAATTGGATGAACTTTCACCCTTATATACAACAACATTTTATATTGGACTCTCCGTACAACGAAGATCAAGTATGTATTAAAAAGAAAAAAAAAAGAAGAAGAGTAGATACTCACACATATTGTATTCATTTATAATAGAGGACGATACGACTAAGACAAAACGACAACTCGATTTGAAGGCAGTTAATCAAGAATTCACTCATTTAGTAAAGAATACTGATGTCTTTGATGCCGAAACTATGACTATAATTATGAAAAATACCAGAGCGTAAGTGAAAAAAAAGAGTAATAGGTATTTATTTCTTTATTAATATCTTTATATTTGTTGAAATGATTATTTCTCGGGCTTATAGGAAAGATCTACCTGTGGAACTCACTGGCGAAGAGAAGAAATCACAAGATAATTTTGACAAGATGACTGGGAAACGAAAGCAAGAGAATAATAATGTAAGACGAAAAATATTATACATATATATATATATATATATATATATATGATTTACAATTTGGTGGCTAATTCCTTTATTATGATAATACCCAGGACGAGGAAGGTAATATTGAAAAAAAAGCTCGTACTACGACAGGTAAAAATGAAGAATGCAACTTGGTCAAGGATGCTAGCACAACGGTTAAAAAACAACTGCCATCACAGGAAGAGGATCGTACAGTTACTGAAATGGATGATCATAAAGTTGATAAGGAGGCTCCAGGGAACCATGAGCGCTCGTAGATAGATAGTGATCAAAAGTATACCCTTTTTTTTTTTTTTGTTTTTACTGTTTATTATCTCTTTAGCCTTTAGTCTTTTTTTTTTTTCCTTCTTGTTTTTGTTTCTACTGTATTTCTAGCTTAGAACATCAAATAATAAAATAAAATAAAAAAAATAATGCTTATTTATAGCCGCCTGGGTCTCTTTCTTTTTTTCTCTCCCTTTTTTTTCCCTTTTTTTTTTTTTTTTTTTTTACCCTTCCTTTCCACCTCCTATATTTATCATTTAAAAACAATAGAAAAGTAAACGAGGTACATTATTCTTTCTTGTCAATAACTATAGATGTTGTTTCTTTTATTTAGGCTAATGCTCCTTCTTTATCTTTTATTTTCGTAATGATGACACGTAGTAGATCTTATAGTATTTTATCTCTTCTGCATGCCACAAACATTCAACAACACTACACGACCATCCGTCCAAGCAACAAGTAGTCAACTATCTACTATCAATGCCTCCAATAGCCAAGTTCAAACTCAAGCTATAGTAGCATCTTCCTCCGCGACTGAACAAGAACAGCAAAATAATGAACTAAATGATCAAGATGAATACATGTGGTAAAACCTTTGTTTTCAAAAAAAAAAAAAAAAAAAAAGGAAGGGGGATATGAATTACCATAGCAATGTGTAGAATGATAATCTTTTCTATGTTTGTATGAAATACATAGTCCAATTTGTCGAGATATCTTGACTGCAGCCTTTGTTACTCCCTGTGGTCATTCTTATTGGTAAGTCATCAAATGAGACAAAAGTATGATTGATGGGACTTACTCGTTTACCTTGATCTTCTAGTTATACTTGCATAAATCACCATCTCAAACGACAACATGACTGTCCTATGTGCCGAGGTCCACTGGAAACCCATCAAATCTATCCTAATATCAATCGTATGCTGCAATTACCATTTGTATCCCATAAACATGAATATTTGTGTGTATACTTATACTATTTTTGAATTTTATAACTGTTAGTGAACAAGCTTATTGAACGGTTAGGAAAGGCGTTACCTGGTAACAGCACAAACTCTAAGGCAACCCGACAGTGTATGGATTCTCTTCCTGATTCAACAGGTATATCAATTTGATTTTACTTGAAAATGAGAAATGTTGATTGACATTATATATACATATTTGTGTCTATTTTAGATACCCAATCGCTATCACGAACTTTAGTCGAACGTGCTCAATTGAAGACACAGGAAGACAATATAAAATCAGCCTTGTTATCTTACTTTTTGGTACAAACAGAATTATATAGTCATCAGGTAAAATATATCTGACCAGAACTTTCTTATGAGCCGACTCATCTAAATTTTTTTTTTTCCATGAATTAGGCTATTGAAAAATTGAACAAGCGTTTAGATCTGATTTATCATGATCTTGATTCCATTGGGTTTTACCAATATAAAAACACTCTCCCTCGTAGAATCTATTCTGAATCGACAAACATTGGTACCATCTTGGAAAACGACCGTCATTGTGGACCAGTTATTAGTGGCAATGATAGTGATCATAGTGATAATGACGACAATAACGATAACGAAAGTGGCAAAGGTGATAACAACGATAGCGATAATGAAACTGAAGATACCACACAACCATCTGACATATCAACTGACCCTACTATCACTAATACAAGAAAAAGAAAAGCAACGGTAAGCATATAAGAAGAAATATAAAAAAGTCTGAATAGGGTAAGTATTGATTTTTTTTTTTTTGTTAATCTTTGAGTAGGTTGGCATTGATACAAGGACATTGCCAGAAAAATTTCAAAAAAGGTACATCTACATGTTCTGATTTGGCATTCTCATTTCACTTTCTATTATTATTATTATTATACTTACTATACTTTAGAAATGATGAAACCACCGAGGCATTGGATCTTTTGCTGAAGGCAAGAAAAAATCGAATTAAGCATCACTTTACTGATTTGATGGATCTATATTTTATTGGACGGAAAGGTTAGCTACTTAAAAAAAAAAGGAATAGGGTGTATTAATTGATTTTTATATTTTCAATCGGTAGATAAGAAACAGGAACTATCTTCATTTTCTTCGACTTTATATAAAATGACTTGTTATGGCCAATTCAAATCCTTGGATACTATACAATATACTGATATTTCAAGCAATGCTTCGATTGTGTCCTCGATAGAACTTGACCGGGATGAGAACTTCGTTGCTATTGGAGGGGTATCCAAGGAAATCAAACTCTACGACTTTAACTCTTTTAACGAAAGGATAGATGGACAAAATGATGATAACGATGATGATGAAGCGGCAACACAATGTAACTTATCAAATCGGGATGGATATATTGGAAGACAGTCATCGCGTTTTGGATTGGTTCATTGCCCTCTTCGAGTAATTCCGTGTATGAACAAAATCAGGTATTAAAAAAAAAAAATAAGGTTCTTTTTGGGTAAATTTATATATTTCGGGTGGGTGTTTATCCATTCGAATATGAAATATTTATGAAACATGTTTACTAAATTCTCATCCTTTCTTTTTTTTTTATTTATATAACAACAATAACAGTTGCCTATCTTGGAATCCTTATATTCAATCTTTGATAGCAAGTTCTGACTATGAAGGAACGGTGCGACTTTGGGATACAACAACTGGACAATGCATTCGGACTTTTGAAGAACATCGACGACGAGCATGGAGTGTGGATACATGTGCAAAGAATCCTACAATGTTGGCTTCTGGAAGTGATGATGCAACTGTGAAAATTTGGTCAACTCAATCGAATCAATCAGTACTTACTTTGCAACAGCGCGGAAATATTTGTTGCGCCAAGTTTGCGCCCAACAATATTCATCATATAGCACTAGGAAGCGCCGGTAAGTGATTGGAGATAATGATGAACAAAGAAAACAAAAAATGAATGGAAGATATAGTGATATTTTATATATATATATATATATATATATACTTATTTATTCGTTTATTTGGGTTAGATCATCATATCACTTGTTACGATTTAAGACGACCAACAATGCCATTCCATATCTTTGCTGGACATCAAAAGGCTGTTTCCTATGTGAAATGGAGAAATGACAATGAACTTATATCCTTATCGACAGATAACACCCTCAAGGCATGGGAAACGGGCAAAAACGAATGTACTCGGACATACAGTGGACATCAAAATGAAAAGAATTTTGTTGGCCTATCATTGAAGGATGAATTGATCTCATGTGGAAGCGAAAACAATACATTATATACATATCACAAAGATAGTAGTCAACCTGTGGCAAAATACAACTTTCCGTTGGTGGACCCTATTACAGTAAGTCAAATGGATATAAAGTTATGGAAGATCATGTTTATTTACAATTCATTGTTGTTGTCAATGTATTATGTTAGGGACAAGAAACTTATTGTGAAGATGCATCTTTGTTTGTCAGCTCTGTGTGTTGGAAGAGTGATTCGATGAAGGTACTTGTAGGAAATAGTAAAGGCATCGTCAAGGTGTTACAACTAGTAGAATAGATATTATTTATCATCATTGTTGTTTAGTTTAGTTGATAATTAGTTAGTAGATTATCATTTGATTAGGCATATGAAAATTATATTTATCCTTTGTTGATTTTTTTTTTTTTTTTTTTTTGTAAATAAAACTTCTGAAACATCAAAGAACTAATCTGTGTACCCTCCGTATTTACTTTTTTTTTTTCTTTGTTCCAAAATATACCCAAGTTGATTATAGTAATCAAAGTGACACTCTGTTGGGCCCGTGCTCCTCCTTTTTTTTAATTCGTCATGGCAACTGTAAAGTTCTCACGACATTTTGTTTACACTCCAATTGTATAAAAACATATATTCAACTTTCTTTTTTTCTCATTTCTCTCTCTCCCTTCGTTTTTCTACCTTTTTTTTTTTATTTGTATCATGAATAAATCATTTTCTTCGTTTGATCATCGTCATCATCATCATCGTACACATCATCGTAAGTATCCGAATATGACCATCAGCACTTCATCCGTGACGCCTTCCACTATACAATGCACACAATTCTATCCTCATCGTTCATCCACCAAACCATTACCTTTCTTTTTTTCATCTTGGTCATCATCATCCTCATCCACTGGTCAGCTTCGTCAGCAATTCAAAGCATTACAAAAAAAGAAATCATTGCCTGTTCATGAAATGAACAACAACGATACCTGCAGCGAAATGATCATTCATTCACCGATGATCATGACTCCTTCTTCTTCTTTTAGTTCTGATCCTCCATATCCCATCTTACTAAAAGGATCCTCATGGAATGATGCATGTTTAGATCAATGGCTAGCAAATAGTGTAAGTTGAATCCCTTATCTATGAACATATATATCTGATTTTTTTTTTTGGTAGCTTCAATCATGGCTTCCACGTAGAGTCGCGTCGTCTTCACAATGGAATTTACTTTATAGTTTAAATCAACATGGTTGTAGTCTACGAACATTGTATGATCAAACCAGTCGACATCCTTCCAGTGCCAATTTGATCGTTATACAGACAGCTAATGAAGAGGTATAAATAAAAAACAAAAAAAAAAATGATGTGGCATAAATGACTCATCAATAATAAAAAGACGATAGGCGCTTATTTATCTGAATCATTGAAAACGGCACAATGTTATTACGGATCTGGTGAATGGTAAATAGTGATTTGATTATATCATGACTGATCATTTTTTTTTTTTCGCTTTAGCTTTTTATGGAGATCTGGAACCCAACATCAATTACAAGTTTATCCATGGACAAGTGCTAATGATTATATGATCTTCTCTAATCATGATTTTCTAGCTTTTGGTGGAGGGTAAGAAAAATGATAAAAAAATAATAATAATTCGTCTTTTAACTCTTTCTTCGATGTGTGTGTACCTATCCGTATGTGATAATTTTAGCGATGGTCATGTTGGATTGTTCATCCATGCAGATCTACATAATGGACATACTCAACCTTGTGCTACGTTTGATAACGATACTCTTACAGATCAACCCTATTTTGAAATCATTGCATTGGAAATTTGGGGATTTGAATTATACACTTTATTCAATAATAAATGAGGGAATCGAAAATAGATGACAGAAGAAGAAAAAAATATAGTTGAACGCATAATCCAAATTGAATACAAGAAGAAGAAAAAGAGTGACAGTAGTTCCATTAAGTATAAAGGATTTTTGAATAACAGAATATATATATATATATATATATACTTAGTCAACATATCCATTTTTTTTATATTTATTTTAACTTACCTGTATTAAATACATCCTCAAAAGAGATGATAACATATTTATATATGTTGCTGTTACAAGTGGATTATTCACTTTGAATTGGAAACACCAAGGGAGATTTCAAAAAGAAAAAAAAAAGAAGAGAATAATTAATATACTGTATCTTCATCAATCATCAATCAATGTGTTTTGACACACTTTAGAACGGTATCTGAAAAAGTGGTAATGCGACATCCATTTTGGGAAACTATTTTCTAAAAACCTTTGAAAACACGGTAAAAAATATATACTGACAATATAGACTTTTTTTCTTGTTTGATCCCTCTCTGTTATACATATCCCTCTTTTTTTTTTTTTTTTCTCACTCCCATGAAACATCCCATTTTTTTTTTTATAATCAAGGTTTCATTCATCCACTTTCCTTTTATAAATAAAAATAAAAAAGAAATATCCGATAATGTTTTATTGATACAATAATCTTTTCTAAACTAATGGTCATGAAGGATACTAATGATAATAATATATTTATAATGGTGGCAATATAAAGTGATATTCATTGTTGTAAATAAGTTGTGCACCAGTGATTGTTGTCAAAAGCAAGGAATTCGTTGGCAATATCCAAAAGCAAGGCATTCACTTGATCCACCGATAAACAGCGTCGTGTCATCCTAATGTCGACTTTCTCATCTTGGTCTAAATAATACGATTGATCATCTATCCATTCATCCGTTCCATTTTGTTGTTGTAATTTTCCTCTAGAACATAATCGTTTTTTCATAGGTACAAGAGTCAATGATTGTGTGAATGCTGCACGCAATGAACTGCCACCTTCTGTTGTAGTTGAATCATCACTATCCGCAGCCTCTTCATTATTATCACTTTCCTCTTCTGATCGTCGCCTTCTTCGTTGTTGTTGTCGATCCATTGTTTCTTCTATTGATGTCGTATAAAGAATTTTGTTCGGCTTGATTTGCAACAGAGGTAAGTCATGATCCATCATGATCATTGTATCGTCATTATTATCATATACACCAAATGATTCCACAATAGATGGTAATAGTTGAGTCAAAGTCACTGGTCGTCGTATCATACATATCGTATTATCTTCTTCTTTTTCTTCTTCATTGACAAGAACAGGAGTATTTCCTTGTGATATAGGAGAAGTGGGTTGCGGTAATAAGAGTTGTACTTGACGAGATGGAGTAGCAGCTAGGGTATTTATTTTTCCTTTGGAAGCAGTGGGTAAAGGAGTTTTTGGTACTGAGGTGTTGAGGAATGATAAAAGAGAGGATTGTTTGGGTTGTTTGTTGTTTTTTGACTTTGGAATAGAATGGTTGGTATGTTCTGTTGATGATAAGAAGGATTGTTTTTGTTGTTGATTTGATTTGATTGATTCTGAAGAAGAATAACAAGTTGTGTGTGGAGTAGAAGCAAATGCAAGCATAGGAGTAGACGAAGATATCGTATTGTCAAGCTTTTCCACTTTTGAACTCATACAATGGCTATTATCGTTATTCCTCTTCCGTCGAACATTAAAGCCAAAAGTATTTAAAGTCGATGACATGATGTGGTAAATAAAAAAAAAAAAAAAAAGAGTATATAAATGAGTGTAAGTATAAAGAAAAAGGAAAGAGATAAAAAAAAAAAAATAATAATAAAAAAAAAGAGGAACAAAGAATGTCAGGCGCGCGCTTCTGTTATTTTTTTTTTTTTTTTGGTTGGATAGAGTGACGCGCACTTTACATCTCAGAAGCCAATAAAAATCATTCTTTTTCATCCAAAAATGGAAAATGGATAAAGTTTATTCAAAGTATTTATTTTACTGTTGTTCTACATCTTGTTTTGGCCAAGTATACCCAGTCATCAATTGTTCTATACCATACTTTTTCACAAATTCACTTTCTTTATCGGGACCTCGAGTACCGTACTTGTATGGATAAGGCTTGATCTTTTCATTTTCCAATTGATGTAAAACAGGAGTGAAAATTCGCCAAGCGGCATCCAATTCATCATCACGTACAAAATTTGAATGATCAGAGCGCATAACATCCAAAATTAGAGATTCATAAGCATCAGGAATCTGAAGATTTTCAAAACGGTCTTTGTAAGTCAAATTCATTTCAGTTACCATAGTGTGATCCGTGAGTCCAGGTGATTTGTTATTGAATTTTGTATAAATAGCTTCTGATGGTTGGATTCTCATCACTGTTTCATTGCGATGAACACCTCCATACAAACTACCAGGTACTTTTTTATATTGAACACGTATTTCTACTTTCGACTTATCGAGTGCTTTACCCGCCTTGAGAATAAAAGGCACACCGTCCCAACGATCATTATCAATCCATAACACCATAGCTGCAAAGGTTGGACATAGACTACCTTTTGGTACTGTATCATCATCCAAATAACCAGGCTTGTCTCCATTAGCCACATACTGACCAATCAACGTGTCTTCGATCTTGATAGGCTTGACACATCTCAATACTTTGACTTTTTCATCTCGAATCGCTTCTGCTCCTCTTCCAATGGGTCTTTCCATAGCAACCAATGACATGGTTTGAAGTAGATCTGATGGGTGATTATTAAAAAAGAAAAAATGAATCATCATTTTTTTTAAAAAAAAAAAAAAAAAAAAAGAAAAGAAAAGGAGTACTTACGGTTTTGAATCACATCTCGAATAATACCAAATTCATCGAAATAACCTCCACGACCTTCTGTACCAAAATGTTCCTTTAGAGTAATTTGCACTGAATCAATATGGATGTTGTTCCAAAGAGGATGAATGAATGCATTGGAGAATCGATAAGGTATGATGTTTTTCACCATTTCCTTGCCAAGATAATGATCAATGCGATATGTCTTTTTGATGATCAAAAAAAAAAAAAGGATGAATTGTGATGATCATTGCCAACTTGATTGATTTTTTTTTTTTTTTTTTACTTACATCGTTTTCTGTGAACAATACACGAAGATTTGACAGAAGCTCATTACATGATTCTAGGTCCTTCCCGAATGGTTTTTCAATAACGACACGATTCACACTCTTGTCATCGGGTGAGATGACATTTCTACGACATCCTTTAGCCACATCCAAGAACACTGAGGGAGGTAAAGCCATGTAAAAGATTCGGTTTTTCTGCCCTTGTTTCATGCCCCGCTTGTCTTCAGACTGACCGATGACTTGTTGTAAGTGTTGAAATGATTCATCCTGGTCATATTGGCCTGATACGTAGCTACATATCTTGACAAAATCATCCACTGTTTTCTTGTCTTCCTCCTTGCTTAGATTTTCCGTGATTCGTTGGACAAATCCATCATGATCCAATTTCGATCGTGCATAACCAATGATCACTGTTGATGTGGGGAGTAATTTATTTTTAAACAATCGGAACAATGCTGGAAACGTCTTTTTCTTGGCCAAATCACCGGATGCTCCAAAGACTATGGAAATGAACAATCATCATTATCTTGTTATGTTACATACTTTTTCTTTTTTTTTTTTTTTTTAAAAAAAATAGATAAATATTCTACTTTAATCAATACTTACGTACGACAGTGAGACCACCATTCATCTGCTGATTCACCTTTTTTCTGACATCGTTAACGTTAGACATGATTTTTAAATTGATCGTTTAATAAAAATAAATAAATAAAAAAAAAAAAGGAAAAGAAAAAGAATGAAAACAAATGAGATGAAACGTCTATCCATCCTAACTAACAGGGGTTTGAATGCATTGATTGCAGTAAAAATCAGATCTTGGTAGCCAATCCATATATTCAAGTCCGTCCATCAAACAGCTCTACTGAAACATCATTCAAAACCCACATAAATGATATTGCCTACAATGAGATCTACGCTGGTGGATCACGTATTCTTATGATAACTATAATGATGGTGGGTCCTATCTCTGTCAAAAAAAAAAAAAAAAAAAAATGGCCGATGACACGTATGTTTGATCTAAATAAGTCTTCTTTTTTTCCTTCTTCTACAGAAGCCGCATGAGTCCACTTCAATAAGATAGTGACAATTCTAAATCTTGTAAGTACAAAGTGATAACAAAACAAAGGATGTAGTCAATGAAATATTTTTTTTATTGATATATATATTGTATGATCCATATCCTATTCTGTGATAAACTATTCCAATAAATCCGTCATATCTTTCGACACGTACGTGCCTGAGTCCTTGACTATTCCTAATTTTCCCAGTTTCCTTCTTCTAGTCATCTTACATAGATGATGAGACAAATATGACAACCTAAATTAAGAATAAGGAAACGTCTATTAATCTTTCCAATTTAATTGCATACTAAGTGATTATTTACCATTTTTGATAATGTCGATCTCAATCTGCTGATTGTTGTTGCCCTTGTACCAATAATTCTGGTACCATATATTTTCCTAGTGTCAACCATCCTCGATCCAATCATCCTGCTGCTAATTATCCGGGGGTGCTAATCATTGTTGCTGCAACACATATTCCATCCTATTTCTCCTATTCATGTATTTTGATAAAAAATGAGTCCTTGCTCCGTTTTTCTAATGGTGATCGATTGACCAATATCAAACAATCCATATAAAGAATGACAGTATTCAATTGAAGAGTAGTATATTTCCTATAACTAAATCCAAAGCGGTTACTAATAAGAGACGGTCTTCTTGTTGAACCTCTAGAGTATATTTTGTTGAATCATGACTAAGTATCCTTTTCAATCGAATATTATTGTTTTGTCATTTTATATCATATTTCTATTTCATTAATGCATTGCCGATTGATGTTAGTGCAACAACCTAATAAAAGAAAAAAGTAGAGAGAAAGAAAAGGAAGAGAAAAGAAAAAAAAAATTCAAGACCCATGAAGGAATTTAAACATTTTGGCCAATGAAATATTTCTATTGTAAAAGTTCCTGGCATTAAGTATTCAAAGGATTTCATTTATTTATATTGAGACAAAAAAAAAAAAGACTAACTATTACCAACTACAAATCATCATTATACTCTATGATCGGACTCCTCATCTATATGACTATCTTCCATCAAATCCATTTTGACCATAGAGATTTTTTCATCTACAGGTGCAGAAGTAGAATTTCTTGTATTGATGATATTCTGATTCATTTCTTGTTGGATTTCCATATGTAACATTTCCAGTTTGGCTGCCTCCATATCTACAAACCAAAGAATAACAGTTGCCACGACAAACAGAGCTGCAATGATGGGCCAACCAAAATAGGCGTTGGATGTTTGTTCAGTCACCGCACCAATTGCTGTTGCTCCAATCCATGATGATGCTTTGTTGACTATACCAAATAATCCAAAGAATAGATTTTCCTTACCACGAGGCACTAACTCTGCCAAAAGTGTTTGTTGCCAAGCCCTATAAATGATCATCGTTAATAAATAATCATGTATATTCTTTTGTTTTTCTTTTTATACCATATAGGTCCCGTAAAAAATCCTATAAATAAACATCCACATCCAAAAAGAAAAAAGGAGCACAAATAAAAAAAAAAAAAATAAAAAAAAAAAAAAGAGGAAGGGGATTCAGATCGTTATCCTCCTCATAGATATCATTTCTTTAATCATTTTCTTACCTGACCATGCACTTAATACCCAAAGTTCCCATTGAGTCTTGATACCAAAGTTATTTAATCCAATACCAAAACATCCCCAAATTGGAACTATACCTATATACAAAAAGAAAAGTATAATGAATTTAGTTGATGTCAGATATATAAAATATTCAATTTTACCTGTAGCTATAACGATGATCAACAAATTAGTCTTGGTACTGACATTGAATTGTTTGGCCAAAAATAAAAAGAAGAGACAACCAATGATAGAAGTAATCGCTGTGATGAATCCCATGACGACAGTTTCTGTGGCTGAAAAGGAAGTGATATCATTTTGTATATAAGTTTGCATACTACTGATGGCATTCACACCATCACTAAACATAAAATAGGAGATGATATATAAAAATAAGTATCGGTATTGCTTGGCCTCTCTATTAAAAAAAAAAAAATTAGATTGATATCATCATCAAATCTTCAAAGAATCATTTTTACTTTAGAGCTTTGAAGATAGATTTCCAACCAATTGTAAGATGATTTTCATTAGGAGGAAGAGGAGGTCCACGTCTACCAATGGGTCGTAATACAAAATAAGGTAAAGCATTCACCAACATGAAAGCACCACATGTCACCGAAGCAATAAAATAATATAAAGGAGTATTACCAAAGGTTTGATTATCATTTAGAAAGGGTCCATTTGACCATGCAATAAATGAAATACCAGAGAATACGGCTAATAACAATATAAATAAATGATGGTCAGTAGGGTGTATTTTATGATGATGATGATGATGATGATGATGATGATATACCTGAGAGGATAAGAAATCCAACATTCGAAAAAGTGGTAGAAATAGCTGATACATGATTTCTCCATTTTTCAACTACACTTTGTGTTTCTTCTGCCGAAATCATTGGATTACCGCGAACACCTCGTACAACCGGTAAATTGTCACTGATAAAAAAAAAAAAAAAAAAAAAAGGAATAATCAAAATCAATATGATAATAAATAAAAAATTTCAAAAAAGAAATAATGATGATAATAATAATAATGATGATGATGATGATGATGATGATGTATATTACCTTAATGAAGGGAAAGCAGCGGCATAAAAAACAAGAGTCGTACCATAAGATATCATGGAAATAATATTGAGACCCATCATTCCGGACCAACCAGAACCATCATCATTCAAAAAAATGATTGGTAAAATCTGAGCGGCACAACTAATCAATGTGGCTATGATAAGGATATAGTGATTGTAACGTCCATAATCAGCTAGAGAACCAAAAGTAGTGAAGAGAAGAAATTGAATACCAAAAGAAATAGCAGTAACGTACATGATCATCGATACTACAGGTATTCCATTGGTATAATTGAGCCATGGTACATTACATGAAGATGTATTACTAAGAGCTATATTACAAGGTTGTCGTGCATTTGGTGGAGAATTAGGATCAAATCCACCTTTTTGTGCCATATACTGTAATAAGGTTGGTAAAAAAGCATACATATTGTATCCATTATTGCCGTTGTAGTATAAATAATAACTCCATAGTTCCCATCGTGTTGCTGGTGGTTGTGATAATACTTCTTGACCTTTTTCTGTTGTTGGATCTATAGGAGTATCTTCTTTGAATGGATCTTTAAGTAATTTTTCCGCTGACGACATTTTATTGTTTGATGTCGTTAAAAATAAAATGATCAGGTAATAAAGGAAAATTTAAAAAATAGAAAAAAAAAAAAAAAGGAAAAAAGAAAGAAAGAAAAAAAAAAAAAAAGAGGACAAAGACAAGTTTTTAAAAGGGAGGTAGAATCACATGGTGCGACATTACTTTTTGCTGTTGATGCATGTAAATAAAGGATGTGGACACACAAAAAAAAAAACATTTTTATTTGAATAAATCTATTACTACTTCTATTCTACAGTGATACAATAAACAATCTAACAAACTAATTGTCCATATACTTTGTTTGTAAATAAAATTCAATCAAGTATGCCTAATATCATATATCATATAACATATATCATTAGTTCATTGCCCTTTTGAGTAAAAAAAAAAATGTATTTTTATTTTACCTTCATTTGATTGATTGACGTGTCGAAAACTAAAAGGAAAAAAAAAAAGAAGATTAAAATACAAATCAGGGAAAAAAAAATAAAACTACACTATTTTTTTTTTTTTTTTGTACTCCTCATTCTTTGTTCTATCTTACCCAACTTTTCTTTTATCATTTTCACCTTTGATTTCTCCCTATAAATAATCGAAAAAGAAATAAAAAAATAAAAATTAGCAAAATTCATTCTTATTATCATCATTAGTTTTTTCAATCATCATCATACTAGTTTTTTTTTTTTCACCTTTGTTACCAATAACAATAAGTTGTGTAACCAATGACCACCTTTTTACACAAACACAAGATCGAATAAAAGATCTTATTCCATCCTACCCTCAATAAATAAAATAATATATGTTAAACCATTTTCTTTGACACATATATATATATAAATCCATTATACTACCTACAAATTAAAAAGTCTGTGGAAACCAGTATTTATCATTGTCAAACGTTTCTAGACGCCACAACTGGAAAAAGCCCGCATCGATAACAAAATAGATCAAAATTTTCTAAGCCCATGTTTCTTTCGCCACCTTGAATCGAATTATACATTTTGAGTAAAATAAAGTAGTTGAATTTCACTAATAATAGATGAAAAAAAAAAAAAAAAAAAAAAAAAACAATTAGCGATATTCGGATAGAGACACACATTCATTCCGTCTAGGTTTCCATTTTTCATGCACTTCACTAAACTCACCTATTAGTCATTTTATCTAAATGATGTCAGTTGAAGAGTTCAAATAAAAATTAAAAAAAAAAATGAATAAATAAATAGTAATCATGTCATCTTCCATAACGAGTGTATATACACATATCAAGTATAGAATAATAAAACATAATTATCATTAATTATAGTATGTTTTAAACCTATATTTATCTTTATCATCACTTACCACTTACAACCTTGAAACAAGATCTAATATATATATATATATATATATATATATATCGTATACAATGGGTTTATCTATATGTATCTTTACCAAAATATTAAAAGTCTTACCTATGATTAACCAAATGAATAACCATCTTGTGTAGTTTTGGAAAACATATTTTATATATATTTGGACAAGAAAGTATGATACTAAAACCTAATATTATCTTATATTCAAAAGAAGTGAAAGAGAAAGAATTTCTACATTTTTTTTTTTTTTTTTTTGTCTCAATAACCGGTCCTCAAAATTCAACGTGGCATTCTTTTTTTGGAGCCAAAATTTCTGATTATTTTTTTCTTTTCTTTCTTTCTCTTTCCAATCTCCTCAATCTTTTTTTTTTTCCTCTACACATGGCTAGCTATCCTCAACCTACGCAGCCAGGAAACCAACCTCCACCTAATAGGGGTCCTTCACCTTTTCATCCACAACCACCTTTGCAACGTGGTCCATCTCCTTTTGGTCATTCTCCTTCTCCCGGACCTGGATCTTCACCATTATTGACACCTCCTCAACTTGCAAGTCGTCCTTCTTCTCCAGCCTATGCAACTGATGTTTCCTCCAGAAAACAAAAAAGACACTATCCACAACCTATGCTAAATGGTCATAATAATATGAGACCACCTATTAATCAACAACCATATCAACAACCTTATCAACAATCTGGTCAACCACAATTCCATCAACCATATCAACAACAACAACAACAACAACAACAACAATTACCTCCTCCTCCTCCTCCTGTTATTTCGACACCTCTTCCACAACAACCTGTCTACCCTACTACTACTACTACTACTACTGGACCTGGTGATAATACTCCTTACCCAAACAGTTATCCAGACTTGTCAAATGGTATGACCCATTTGTCTTTACAGTCAAAACCTCTCTCTGAACAAATTGCTTTGGTGGGACAATCTCCTCGTATTCAAGACCTTGATAGACCTATGAATCCAGTACCACCCAATGTAAAAGAAAGAACCAAAAATATTTCTTAAACAAGGAAGAACTAACAAAAATTGATCATTTTTATTTATGCTTAGATGACAGCCACGTCTTCTCCTCATGCTCAATGCCCATCAACAATGAAAAGAAGTACTTTGAATGCAGTACCATATTCCAATACCTTGTTGAAGAAGACCAAATTACCTTTTGCTTTGGTATTAGAACCTTACCTCAGTAGCTCTTTGGATTCTGTAAGTTATTTGAGAAAATAAAAAAATAATGAATAATTTAATAAATGATTCATTGTTTCTTCTGACATGATAGACTCATGTACCATTGATTGAAGATACCATTGTTAGTCGATGTACTCGGTGCAAAACATATATCAATCCTTTTGTACAATTTACTCAAGCTGCTTTCAAATGGCAATGTAATATGTGTGGACTTGAAAATGATGGTAAGTCAGAAGAAGACGGAAAAATAAAGTAAAGGAATACTATTTTACGCAACATTGTCTCATGATGACATCTTATTATTCAATTGTGATTATTAGTGCCATCGGAACTTGATTGGGATGTAGTTAAGCAACAGCAAGCAGATCGCTGGCAACGTGCAGAATTGAATTATGGATGTGTAGATTTTGTAGCTCCAGCCGAATATATGATGCGTCCACCTCAACCTCCAGTTTATGTGTTTGTGATCGATACTAGTTTCCAAGCTGTTCAAACAGGTATGGTCAGTGTAGCCGTAGAAGCTATTTTACTATCCTTGGATTCAATTCCCAATGAAGACGGACGTGCTCAGGTGGCGTTTATTACAGCTGACAATGCCGTGGCTTTTTACAAATTGGTGGGTGAAGAACCTGAAATCTTAGTGGTGGGTGATCTGACTGATATTTATTTACCTCGAACTGCAAGCGATTTGGTTGTGAATTTGGCAGAAAGTCGATCCTTAGTGGAAGATTTATTGAATCGTATGAAGACAATGCATCAACAATCCACTTCTCCTGCGAATTGTCTTGGTGCTGCTTTACAAGCTGCTCGAAAATTGCTGGTAAGATAATTTCTCAGCATTTATATGAAAATTGGGAAAGGATTCAAATCTTCTTCTTCTTTTTTTTTTTTTATTATTATTATTATCATTCTCATAGTCTCCTACCGGTGGTAAAATGGTTTGTTTTCAAGGAAGCATTCCAACTGTTGGCGAAGGTGTTCTCAAGCTTACACCATCGGATCAAAAGTCGGTGATGGATGCTCCTTTATTGACTCCCAATAGTTCATTTTACAAGACATTTGCAGGGGAATGTACCAAATCTCAAGTATGTGCTGATATGTTTATATTTGGTTCCCAATTCTCAGATGTGGCTACTCTAAGTAAGAAGAATTTATCAATGTGATATATATATATATATATATATATATATAATAAAATGACTAACAATTCCTTATTTTATTAGATGTGATTCCTCGATTTACTGGTGGTCAAACTCACTATTTCCCTGGATTTACAGCAGACAATCAAGCAGACAGTGAAAAATTGAAGCAAGAAGTGCCGGCGCTTTTATCTGAAGAAATTGGATTGGAAGCTGTGATGAAAACAAGATGTTCATCTGGTTTGATTTGCAAGTCATTCTATGGCAATTGTACTACCCGTGTTCCTGATATTATGGCCCTTCCTAATGTACCTCGTAGTCAATCGTACTGTGTGGAAATTGGCATCGAAGAAGAAATACAATCATCAGTGGTTTACTTCCAAACAGCCTTGTTATATACCACTTGTTTTGGTGAACGACGTATTCGTGTTCTCAATTTATGTTTACCTGTCACCAAGGTTATATCTGAAGTATTTAGTGGTGCCGATCAGTTTACTATTGCTCGAACATTATGTCACCAAGGTAAGTGGAAGATGATTTTATTAAATCAAGTCCCAAGACGAATATAAATCTTTGATTTTTGACTATAGGAATTGACAAGGCAGCTACCAACAAATTACGTGAAGGTCGAGAATTACTCTGGAAATCAGCAGCTGATATTTGCGGGGCATATGGAAAAGAGGTGATGGGATCATCTGCCGGTGCAAGTCAATTGATGATGTGTCGTGAAATAAGTTTATTACCTTTATTGATTCTTTCTTTATTGAAAACGGTAGGACTTTTTTAATTTATTTTATTTCAAATTTATTTTCTTGATAATGACTCATTCTTTTTTTTTTTCTTTTTGGATTTGTGATTAGGAAACATTCAATGATGCTCCTACGATACCAGTGGATGTACGTACTCAAACCACATTACTATTACGAACTTTACCCATGGCATCTTGGTTGAATTTTATCCATTCAAACTTTTACGCACTTCACTCTATGCCCCCACAGGTAAAAACAAAGAAAGAGAAATACACTTGTAAAAAAAGGAAGGAGATTATGATCATTGATTATTATTATTATTATTCTTTTTTGTTATCACTAGGCTGGCACTATTGATCCACAAACAGAAAAGTGCATTATGCCAACCAAGATGAACTTGACTAGTGAAAAACTTGAATCTCATGGTTGTTATTTGATTGAAAATGGTCAACGACTTTTTATTTGGATTGGAAAATCTGCTGTACCTCCTCTTTGTATGGATTTATTGAACGTTCCTAATATCAATGAAGTGAAATCAGGCCAGGTAAGATGATAGAAAGATGAAAAGTATTGAAACTAAGGCTAATACCTATTTGTATACAACATATTATTCTGTAGATAAAGCAACTACCAGTATTGAAATCAACGATATCTCAACGAGTAAATACCATCATTCACCATCTTCAAAATAAAAGGAAAAGTACATATTATCCTACATTATATATTGTTCGTGAAGATGGCGATCCAGTGTTACGCTCTTGGTTTTTATCTTTATTGGTGGAAGATCGACAACCTACTGGTCCTAGTTCGGCTGGAGCTAATCAACAACAAGCAAGCTCAGGTATGAGTTACTTCCAATGGCTAGGCTTCCTTCGATCAAAAATTCAATGATATCCGTAGTATAGTAATATTGATAGGTAGTAATAGTAGTTATTTTTTTTTTTTTTTTTTTTGCACATTGTTTTATTTATAGTTTGTAAAATCTTACCTATTACATATAAAATGCAGGTTGAATGACAGATACAGTTTAGATGCAACAATAAAAAAATTGATGTCATACAGGAACCTTTTTGTTTTTTTTTTTTTGTTTTGAACCTCAGATCCAAAAAGAAAAAAAAAAAAGCACTCGTCTTTTTTTTTTCCTTTTCTTTATGATTATTGTGGAATGTACTCACGATTGAGGTCGAATCCATATACCTCATCGGTGTTGAAAGCTTTACCTTGGATACCTGTTGTAGTTTTTTTTGTAGATCATGGGTTTAGCTACGCAACGGTAGAAGGAAGATCTATGCAGGTAAAAACGGAAACAATTGTACAACGCATTCTATATACTCATTGTTTATCTTTTTTTTCTTTTATCTATCTTTCTCTCTATTCAAGCCAACATTTAATCCAGATACTAACATGTTACAACGTGATATAGTTTTACTGAATAAGTGGGCAGCAACAGATCATGAATTTAGTCGTGGTGAAATAGTGACTCTCATGTAAGTTTTTGAATATGTTGATACTATTTGACCCATCTCGGGAAGTTTGACACTCGCATAATCATACTCATACCCTTTTCCTTTTTTTTTTTTTTTTTTTTTTTTACAGTTCGCCAACGGAACCGAAACGGATAATAACTAAGAGGATTATTGCTTTACAAGGCGATACAGTCAAACCACTTCGATCAGATAAACTTGGTAATTTTTTTTTTGAACACGTGCTGTTATTTTCTTTATCAAAAGAATCTTGGGAGAACTAAATCTATATTTTTCCTTTCCTTTTTTTTTTTTTTTTTTTTTGATGTTTTATTGACTATAGTTCGTGTACCTCGAGGACATTGTTGGGTAGAAGGGGATGAAGCATTCCATTCAAAAGATAGCAATTCTTTTGGCACGGTAAGTAATAATAAATTCGACTAGAGAGAAATATCATGTTTTATAAAGATGGATTATATTCATTGATTTTCTTCTCTTTAGGTCCCTATTGCATTAATCAATGCTAAAGTGACTCGTATTCTTTGGCCTCCTTCTAGATTTGGTGCTGTCGAAAAGAAACCTCTCTCAGATCGTGTGCAAATTGGATTCATTCAACCTGGAAAAGATGAAGATTTTTGGGGTTGATCATCTCACCTCTCTTTTCTTCCCTGTTTATTATTATTATTATTTTTTTGTACTATATTTCTTTACTGTCCCACACACACACACTCTCTTCTACATATAGTTTTACTTCATTCCTTTATAGCATCATTTCTTCCTCCCTTTTTTTTTTTTCTTTTGTCCCTTCCAAATCGAAGCATCAATCGATTCTGTCAACAATAAAACTATTTCCTTACTTTTTGTGCTACTACTATTATCCTGTATAAATAAAATCAACTATTTTTTTTTATTAAACGAAAAACCAGCCAATAGAGGAAACGACGTAAAATCATTTACTAAAAAAATAAAGATAGTAGGTGTCTTTTGTAAAACGTGAAGAGGGCATTCTTGAAAAAACAAAGAGAGCATCCTTTGCGATATGATTGTTCCTTTTTTGTAAAAACTGTTTACTTTTCCCATGAAACTGACATTTAACTTGATGATATATCAAAAGCACAAGGAGGAAAAAGATTTTAACTTTTTTTTATATATGATTTGAATGCCATCACTCATCAGTAGAGACGTATAAATTATGAAAAGTGTACCAGATAATAGATATCAAATTTAACTTTAAAGTCTGATCTGCAATCAAGGGTTTTTTTTTTATTTCAAGGTTACTACTAAAAAAGAGAAAGTAGACGGAACTATCATTCGCCCAACTATCATAAAATTAAGTTGGTATTCTTTGTGTTACATTCCCTTGTCGTTATCTCTCAATGTTGATTCAATAGATAAAAAAAAAAAAAAAGTCGACTCCTTTGTCAAACATTGATCCTCCTCTCTTATTATCTTCCTTTCAGTCAGCTGTTTTAACACGCGTATAGCACACTTTAAATCATCACTCATCAAGTTGATGATCCATCTACCAAACAAATATTGAAGTAACACCAAATGAAACGCCTTATCTCACTGCTCCTGTCAAAACGCGATGAAATTGATCCATCATCACTTGCACCTCATCATCAATCGTTATCATCAACATATCATAGAGATATCGAGATCAGCATTATAGAAGTCTTCAAAAAAAGACAAAAAAAAAAAAAAAAAAAAGAGAATACAGGGTAATAATATCGATCTTTTATTTGATGAAGAGTAAAAAAAAAATACAGTAATAATATCAATCTTTTGTTTAATGAAGAGTAAAAAAAAAAAAAAAAGAATTCAAATCATAAAATCATCCGACTTCTTCTTCTTTTCTTTAGTTTTTTTTTCTGTTTTCTTCTTCTTTTACTTTTTTTATATACAGAATAAGTTGGAGTATAACCATGGATGCAGCTATAACCAAAAATATGATACAAAGGAATTTCTTGTTGTTGTCCAAAAATTGTAAAGTTGCTTGTATATAGTCCAGACAAAGTGAAGGAGAAAGGTCAATTAACTTTATAGTTGTTATTGTTACTTTTGTTATCCATTGAATGAGTTGTTGGTGGAGTCGGAAAGATGATGGTATTGGATCATACATTTCTTCGGGTGATGTATCAGTTTTTTGAAGGAGGCCATCATAGTCAAGGTATACTACCATATCAGTACACTTTTTGCTGTATTGTTTAATATCTTTCGAGTTGTCATCATCATCATCATCATCACCATCGTCGTCGTTGTTGTTGTTGTTGTTGTTGTTGTTGTTGTTGTTGTTGTTGTTGTTGTTGTTGTCGTTATCGTCATCGCCATCATCATTATCATAATCATCATCATTAGCATAATCATCTTCATTATCATAATCATCGTTGTTGAAATAGTTTCTTTCATCAGCATTGTTGTCATTGATGTCGTCATTGTCATCATTGTTGTAGTTATTGTTGTCATTGTTGTTGCCGTTGTTGCCATTATTGTCGTTGCTGTCGTTGTTGTCATGATTATCATTGTTGGCACCATTGTTGTCATTATAGTCGTTGTCATGATGATTATCGTTGCTATTATCAATATTATCATTGTTGTCATGATTATCATTGTTGGCACCATTGTTGTCATTATTGTCATTGTCATGATGATTATCGCTGTTATTGTCAATATTATCATTGTTGTCATGATTATCCCAGCTGTCATGATCATGGTTGTCGTCATGATTATTGTTGTTGTTATCATGATTGTCGCCGGCGTCATGGTTGTTATAGATGGTGTTGTCGCTGATATCACGGTTGCCACTGTATGAAATCCAGGATGGTAATAATGCTTCCAATCGTATCTTGATAAGATCCCATTCTTGAGTTGCTAGACTGCTAATTTGTTGTGGCCATTGTCGCCAGGGTTGACGGTGGAAGAGAAAAGAACATAACACTGAACCACGATTACCTGACATTCTCATACAAATACGATAAGAGAGGCTGCTACCACTTGAATCATCAGCATGGTCAAAAGAAGGATAATGGTTTTCGTTGTTGTAATCATCAGATACTTCATCAATGTTGTAATCGTCAGATATTTCTTCAATGTTGTCATCTTCAAATATTTCTTCAATGTTGCAATCATTAGAAGTTGAATGGTACAAAGGGATATGGATATAATCATCGTCAAATTGGGACAGTGCATGTTGAGAGTCAATGTCATAATCAAGTAGATCAGACTGATAGTGAGAAAGTGTTACATCATCCGAGCCAACACAGCGTTCGATAATAAACAAAACAAGGAAAAGTTGAAAAAATAATGTGTACATCTTTGTAATCGAAAAAGAAAAATAAAAAAAAAAAAAAAAGAGAAAGAAACAAAAAAAGTTGAAGCATATATGAAAAATTGAAAGCGGACTTTTTTTTACAAAATGCTATACGCAGCTTTCTATTTTTGTATTGTTTACTTTCACATGAAGTTTACATTCTACAATAAATAAGGAGTTGAAGATTTTACTTTTATATTTAAAACATCATCACTTACTATTATTTCTTTGATTATCATATATTGTATATATTTAATAAAGTAGAAGTAGTCATCCAAGCCGGTAAAATCATATAATCATATCGATGATTTTAAATAAGTTCTTCTTCCATGTTAAGAGATCATCAGCGATCATGAAATACTTTCAAACAAAAAAAAAAAAAAAAAAAAAAGGAAATTGATTGAAGATGTTACACCAGATTAGAGTTTGCATAATAGCGGTAGTCTTTCCTATCCAACATGATATCTTTTTTATATTGACATGTTCTATAAAAAAAAAAAAGCAAACTTCTTTGTAAAAGCAATCCTTTTGTTGATTCTCCGTTCCAATTCTTCTTTTACTATATAGATGATCAGCTGTTCCAACATGCGTCTAGCACACATTGTACCCTTTCTCATCATCATTGTTAGTTAGCTAGTCTCTCGGAAGTATCCCGACACCTAATAAAAAAAAACAAGTATTGAAAGTGGCATCAGAGGTTGGATGGAAATACTTTCACTCATGTTGATCTTGCCAAAAAGGACGAAATTCATTAATCATCCATTAACCAACCAAATGTTTAGATTGAGTATTAATAGTAATATAGAGGACTATGTAAATTCCCCATTTATTTTTTATATTACATTTAACACGATAAACATGCTTTAGCGTATTAATAAAAAAAAATATTTATGGATGATATACATATATTTTGTTAATATTTTATTACGGTATGATAGAAGGTTGAAATCTCAAAATGGATTGGAAGATCTCTGCAAGCGACATTAGATATCAGATGAGCTTTTTTTTTTTTTTTTTTTGCGATTTTCTACACATTATCGACAAGTTGTTTTTTTGGTCCACTAACAAAAAAAGGTAATCATAGATAATATGTACGCATTTTATTATTAGTGTTTATACGGTAAGATGATAGATTTAGGCTTAAAAATGGATTTGAAAGGTTATTAGAGCTATTTACGGCTATGGATTTTTTTTTTTTTTTTTTTTTTGATTTCACAGCCTAAAATTTGGAATTCCTCAGCCAAACTTTGGCTGTAAAAATAAATTGTCGAGGGTATATCAGGCATTTTTTCGAAAAATGGATGAAAATCTTTTAATGTTCATTGTACATTCGATGGCAAGGTAAGCGATAAAATAAAATTAGATGATATTAAATTACTTTTTTGAGAGGAATCTAATGGTGATAGTTTCATTGGATGATGATCATTATTGGATGAGGTATGATTAATTCTATTTCCTTTTTTTTTAATTTACTATAAATTGGGAGATAAGGTATAGGTTGTTATCAAGATAAATGAAGGAGAATGCTTTCATATATGCTCGATCCAAATTTGACGCGATGATGATGATTTTTGAGTGAGAAATCAGAAGAAAAGGTTAGATCATGCAAATATTGGCTGTAAAAATCCACCTTCAAGACTATACTAAACTAGTGTTTGTATCAGTGGCATAGCTTTACATGTTCATTTAATAAAACTATATTTCTCCTATTATTATCGTTATTATCTACTATTGATCTATCATCCTATTATTTAAAAAGTGGAACTAGGAAACATACGGCAAGAGAATAACAAGAATATACAAAAAAAAAACACATTTTGTTTTCGTCGACTACATAAATAAAACGATGCTATACCAATTTATTTTCAAATAATAATATCACTTTAAAGACGGAAAGGATTAGATACTAAGGATAATTACTACATAAAGGGTTATTATTAGAAGAGGGAATATATTAAAAAAAAAAAAGAGTAATCAACTAACCAAACTAACGAAATGACTAGATAGCGGTAGGAAGAGGGAATGATCTGTTTTTGATTTGTTGATAAGGTATTGTTCATGCTCATTTTGATTTCTTTGATTGTTCAAACTTGTCTCTATAAGTTCTTCTACGGTCTGTTGTTGATGATTGTGAAGTGGACGAAAGTACAAACTTTTTTTGAATACTTGAAGTACGGTCAGTAGTCTATAAAAAAAAAAAAAAAGAATGAGTCAAGTTATTAACTATATCTCTTTTTTTTTGACCGATGTTACACTTACCAATTGAGTAGGAGAATCTTTTATTGAAGTACTGCTTGAATAACCAGGTGGTTTTGGTATAGGTAATTCACGTAAACTTGCATGCCACTTGTCCTATAGTTAACCATTATCAAGAAAAAAAAGAGTGAGTGTTTATTAAAATGAGGTTTTATTTTATTTTACCATTGCCAATTGTCTTGCTCTTTTTTCAGTTTCCATCACTCTTTTACGTGCCATATTGATAAGTGTATAGTTTCTTTCCCTTTCTTCCCACTGAGCCTTTTGTTCCAAGTAGTGTTGTTTTTCCTGTTCGTCTTTTTCTTGACAACGTTTTTCTTCAGCAGCATGTCGATTGGCTGCCAATGTCTGTCGTTTTTGACGTCGTTTGATCAGTTTGATATGTTTTCGATATTCGTGCCGTGGTAAACGTGTCTTCTTCGTCGTTGTAGAATCATGGTCTTTGTTTTCAAGCATACAAATCCAGAAAGAAAAAAAAAGAAAAAGAGAAATATAAGAAAAATTTGGTTGATTGTCGTCGGTAAATGAAATTCATTCAATGTCTCGATTTTATAGAATTTTGCTTGTTTTCTTTCTCCTTCCTTCTTTAACTAGCCACGTCGATTCATAATGGTACGAAACAACAGAAAGTCAAAACGATGAAGGAATAGGGATTGTAGATAGAAAAGGATAGATGATATAAATCGAATAGATATAAAATGAACGGATGGATGGATGGATGGATGGATGAATAGATAGATTAGTTTACTTACTTTTTTTTTTTTTTTTTTTTTACATTATATTATAGCCTTTCGTCAAGCAACAAAAGAACAAGGCTTATTTCAAGCGTTACCAAGTCAAGTATCGTAGACGAAGAGGTATGTTATTTAAAAATAAAAAATAAATATAGTCAAGTGTGATATATATCATGGTTACAACAGGATGATTTAGCAAAGTATAGTTCATGTGACAGTGGACTTTACTACCCACTGGTTGATTCTAGTCTTTTTCGCCCCTATCTGATTTGTAGACAGATATATATTACCTTGATTTTCTATGATCGTACTAAACTCTTTTATTCTATTTTATGATGATAGAGGGTAAGACTGACTACTATGCTCGTAAGAGACTTGTCGTTCAAGCCAAGAACAAGTACAACTCTCCCAAATACAGATTGGTTGTCCGTTTCACCAACAAGGATATCATTTGTCAAATCGTATACGCCAAGCTCCAAGGTGACTTTGTCTTGTCTGCTGCCTATGCTCATGAATTGCCTCGTTATGGTATCAAGGGTGGTTTGACCAACTGGGCTGCTGCTTATGCCACTGGTTTGTTGTTGGCTCGTCGTACTTTGACCAAGCTCGGTCTTGCTGATAAGTATGAAGGTGTAACTGAAGTTGATGGTGCTATTACTATGACTGAAGCTAATGAAGAAGGTCCTCGTCCTTTCAAGGCTTTCTTGGATGTTGGTTTGGCCCGTACTTCCACTGGTGCTCGTGTGTTCGGTGCTATGAAGGGTGCTTCCGATGGTGGTATCTTTATCCCTCACTCTGGTAACCGTTTCCCTGGTTATGACATTGAAACCAAGACCAATGATGATGAATTGTTGCGCAACTACATCTATGGTGTCCACGTTGCTGAATACATGGAATACTTGGAAGAAGAAGATGAAGAAAAATACAAGAAGCACTTTGCTGGTTTCCTCAAGGCTGGTGTCACCTCCGATGCTCTTGAAGATATGTACACTGAAGCTCATGAAGCCATCCGTGCTGATCCTGTTCACAAACCTACTGAAAAGAAGGGTGCTCCCGCTAAGCCTTACCGCCGTCAACAACGTCTCAACAAGAAACAACGCGATGCTAAGGTTGCTGCTAAGGTTGCTGCTTTCCACAAATCTGATTAGATATTGATTGATGAGTAGTAATGTAGTATTACCCCCTCTCCATTTTTATTCATTATTATTCATATATCATTTATTATGGTATTCATTCATTCATCTTTTATTGTATGCGTATGTTATTGAAAATAATAAAATCCTCATATTTTTATTTTGTTCAAAGAAAGAAAAATACATCATGGTTTTATCGTGGATCACGTTTTGAAAAAAAAAAAAAAAAAAAAAAAAAAAAAAAAAAAGGAGATGCCCCTTTTTTTTCACTCTCACTTTTTTAATGTATGACTTTTAGGAGGAGGAATATCTATCCAGTGATAATTAGTGCATGAATGATACTTGGAGTTCATTATATTAACACACAGCAAAATCAGGTTATTTATATATATAAATAGATATCAGGTAACACGATCATCATCTATAGACCCTTCTTTGTTGTTCCCTTCCATACAAAGATATCAAATGTGTTTTTTTACTTTCTCTTTTTTTGGTTTTTTTTTTTTACCCCTGAATAATAATTTTGGTTACCATTAAACTTGAAGGGTTCCTTTACTGTATCATCATCATCATCCATTAGTAACTGGATTGAAAGATGCCATTAGAGGCGTTCCATCTAAATATATATATATATATAAAGGATGAAGATCATGATGATGGTTACTGTCGATCTCTTTAATAATGATAATAAGATCTTTATGATCGTCTTTATTATTATTATTATTATTTATTTATTTATTTACAGTTTTTGACAACATATTATAAGAATCATTAATTGACTTCAATTTTTTTTTTTTGGAAAGTCCAATGAGTCAGTCAGTTAAAAAGTCCACTTGGATGAATGAGTGATTGATTGACAGAAATAATAGAACAAGGAGAAAAAAAAAAAAAAAAGGATCATGCTACCTAATCATTCTTGCTCTAGGGGATAATCTCATTGTGTTGATCTTTCCATTTAATCGATCAAAACAAGTCAACTCCCCATTTTGACATGCTTGTTCCCTATGAACCAACAATAGCGTGTGGCCATATTTGGAAAACCCCCCTGATTTGACACTCCGCATATCCTTTTTGTTAATAATTGAATTATTTCTACTTCCTTTTTTCTTTGTCTTTTCTTTCTTTCTTTCTTTCTTTTTTTTTTTAATACCTTACATTTGATACTATCAATACAATGAATATGATTTCTGTTCATCCTTTGGATCCACCAATGAAGACCAATGCCACTTATCAATCAACATCATCAGTACCAACAGTCAAAGAAACCGCAGCTTCCAAACATTTACGAGGCTACAATTTACCAATGCAATTTTTTACGCGATATACGATTGGGGAAGAACTTGGAAGTGGAGGATTTGGGTTTGTGATATCAGTCAAGGAACGTAGTACAGGTCAAGAACGTGCCGTCAAATTTATTTTCAAGAACAAAGTACCCTCATCAGCATGGGTGAATCATAATGGTCAAACATTACCAATGGAGATCTATGTTCTCAAGTACATTCAACATGACAACATAGTCGGTTATGTCGATAGCTTTGAAGACGATGTATACTTTTATTTAGTAATGGAATTACATGGATCACAATGGAATCAACCTCCTTCAACAACTACTCCTACCCATATTCCAGGTTTATCTCATACTTCTGAACCTTCTGATGATGATGATGAAGAAGAAGAAGTAGGACAAGCAGATGTAGTATCTCAAGGTTATCAATTATCATCATCATCTTCTTCTTCTTCTACTTCCAATCCTTCAATGACAATACCTTTTATTGGACGACGTGGATCTTGTGATTTATTTGAATGCATTGAACAACATCGTACTTTTGATGAATCTTTGGCAAAGTATATTTTTCGACAAATTGTGGATTGTGTGGCTCATTTGGACAAGTTGGGAATCTGTCATCGTGATTTGAAAGATGAGAATATAGTGATTGACAGTGATTATAAGGTATATAATTATATGAATTACATATATATATATATATATAAAATAAATAACTCATCATTTTTTTTTTAATTTTATTTTATAGGTGAAATTAATTGATTTTGGATCAGCCGTAGCATTACCACGCCACTATCAAAATGAACAACAAAAGTCTAAGAGAAGAACAGTGGTGTTACATCGAAAATTTTATGGTACCATTGCTTTTGCTTCTCCTGAAATCTTACGCATGGAACCTTATCAAGCTGAACCTGCGGAAGTATGGTCTTTGGGTGTACTCCTATATACATTGGTTTTTGGTGAAGTTCCATTCTCAAATCCTCGTATGGCATTGGCCGCTCAGTTTCATCCTCCGACAAAGATCAAGGTTTCTTCCAAATGTCTACATCTCATCTCTTGCCTCCTTGAAAAGTCTCCACACGGACGTCCAACTATTCATCAAGTACTGACCCATCCCTGGTTACGACAACAATAGTTTTTTTTTTTCATTCCTTATCCATTCACTTTTTTTTTTTATTTCTTTGTTTTTTATTTATACCATGTTTTTCTTTTTAAGCTTTTATTATTATTCCCTCTCACTTTTTTGATATTTCATTGCTTGTCGATGAAATTGAAAAAAGTGATCTTATGTTTCATTACTTCATTTTTTATTGCATATTATGTCTTTTTATATACATTTCATTATTTTTTTATGATAATTTAGTAACCCTTCTTTAAAATTTATACATCTTTTTTTTTCTTCTTTTTATATTACATTACATTACAGTTTACAAACTATATTATCCATATACCAAAAAAGTTTAATAAACAAACAACATCATCCATTTTTCTTATTTATGTTCTTATTTATTAATTTTATTTGTATATCATATTTGTACAATCAAGTTAAACTTCCGTTTCATTCACACAAAAGTGAACAAACAAAATTTGATCGATTCCCACCTGACAAACATTTTCATTTAGACAATGAAAACTTTGTGCGACCTTTTCATCATGCATCCTACACTTCTTTTTTCATAATAATTATACTAATACTAATACTAATAATAATAATAATAATAAATATAATTGTTAGATGATGATGGATGGGTATATATATATGTATATAATGGATGGATGATGAAGGATGTATGATATGTAGTGATAGGATGATGAATTATATATGGTAATAGTATAATAGAGTATGACGATATAAATGATATAAATGATGTTATAAGATAGTTGTATGATTTATAATAATAGTAATAAGTAATATGAATATGATGATAATGATGATAAAAATACATGATATGTAAACAATATCTTATAATGAAAGGGTTTCTCTTTTTACTCGTGGTTTCACTCAAATACAGTAGGTCTTTTTTTAGTTTTAAAACCCCATCCGAAAAAAAAAGGTAAGTGTTACCTGTACGGGAATTCAATGTAATGAACTAAAATAAAAAAGGAAAGAGGATTTTTATTTGACTTGTACAATAAAGTGCATTGAATAATGGTATGAATAAGATGATAAAATAAAATGTAATGAAAAGAGGGGGTATTGAAGAACTAACTAAAAACTGTACAAAAAAGGGACGACAAGAATGTTGATAAATGGAGGAGATGTAATATTTGTTTGTAAAAAAAAAAAAAAAGAGTAAAAAATAACAATAACAATAACAATAATATGAATCATGTACATATTTCTTGAGCAGTAGTAAAAACAGAAGGTTGATGATTTTCTTCTTGTTGTGATAATAAATCTTCTTGTTGTTTTTGTTGTTCTTTTTCACGATTTGCCCTTTCATTTATCATTTGTTCTGTATCCCTTCGCCATTGTGATTTCATAGTTAATAATTCAACCATATCACTATATGTCAATTTAGCAACTTCTTGAGCTGTTCGATCTAAAATAAATAAATAAAAATATTAAAATTTATAAATTCAAACGGATGACTTTTCTTCTTTACCATAATCTTCATTAGCAAATGTACTTTCAATGACAACATCACAAGAAAATTGTACACGTTTAGACATTATATATTATAGTATATTGATATAAAAAAGGTAACTGATAATAATAATAATAATAATAATAATAAAATACAAGGAATATGAATAAAAAAAAAAAAGAACAAAAGAAAAAAAAAAAAAAGAAAAAGAAAAAAAAAGCCAATAATTTTTATATTTAAATCTTTTCCGCGGAATCCAAATTTGGACATTTGTGTATCCCCCCTTCTCTCTCTCTTCTTTCTTTCTTTCTCTCCTTTTAACCTTTTCTCTCTATAATAAGATTGAATGATTTAAAAGATATTTTTTGATTAAACAATAATGTAAATTGTAAATCTTTTCTTTTCTTTCTTTTTTTTTTGTTTTATCATTGAGAATATAAAATAATAATAATCATTGGATGATTGTGTAACCATATTTGATGGCTGCTGAATGGTCTAGTTCCTAAAGTACGATCGTAATAGATAAGATGTTTACTTTTTACCCTCGGACCTTTTTTATTATTATTTCTAAAAGTAGTTATCAGTTGGGATCTCGTCATTTTTCCCAGTTTTTGATCTAAAAAAGAAACCCTTTCCAACTAAATCACTTCTTTTTATAGTAATCCTTTTAATTTCATAAACACGTGAGGAATAACTTTAGCCAGTCAAATAGAAGCTTGGATGCTTCAACTCTATTCTACACTTCTCTATAAATTGTATCATAAGAATTACGGGATTCAAGATAATATAAAATGAATAGACTATAAAAGATGATTTATTATATAATAAACTAAAAAATAAAAATAAAAATAGTAAAGACAACAAGAATCCAATATCACCAAAGAGCTGTAATTTTATATCTTGACTCCATGTTGATGCCGAGTAAAGTCATATCATAGCAGGTACAATTAGTTAAACTAAATGATTTTTGTTTCATTTTTATTTGATATGACGCAAAGAGTAAAAGAAGACTTGACAGAAAAAAAAAAAAAAAAAAAAAAAGGGAAAAAAAGAAAAGAAATTTTTTAAGCCCTATGTGAGCATAAAAATTTCAATCCCCACTTCTTCTTTTTTTTTTTTACTCTTTTCATTTTTCTCTGATGCCATCCTTTCCAAAAACTATTGTCTTCTCAAACTAAGCATAACATTATTCTACTATATAAAGTGGAAGAACGACTACGCGTTGTAGAGGGAAAAGTCAGCAAAAACGAACAAATAGATGAAAAAGCTTAACGAGTTAATCGACATGTTTGAAAACGAACGGACAAAGCACAGCAAGTTAAACTAAAGCATCCTTTTTGAAATCGCCAGTGGAAAAAAAAAAAGAAGAATCAAAGTATAACGATTTATTGATTATTGCTAAAGGGCAAATCAAGTTGAAAAGATCTTGGAAAATGTCAAGGCAATGGTGTTCGTAATAGTAAAAGCAATGCGAGCAAGAATATCCCTGTCGAAGACAAGCAAAAGACAAGGAAGGATCTCGAAGCAAGGTTGACAGCAATTGGAGTAAGAATTGATGGTGTTCAAGCAAAATGAATTGGAAACACTGTATTTCGTGACATAACGGGCGAACAATGTGGAAAAATCGGTAAGATCGGCAAACTATGATATTGTATAACCACTAACTATTTTTTTTTCTATTCTTTTATTATTATTATTATTAAATCAGCATCATCATCATCATCATTAATGACAGTACCATCATAAATACCTGGGAAAATCGAAACCATCATCATCAAGACCATAAAAACAGAGGATTATCAATGGTAATATAGCCTTGTTTTTCGGTTTCATATGTATTTTATCACACATTCTTATTGCAGCATAGTATCTTATATTTATAATAAAGACATTCGAGTAGTTAAAAGTATATGGATTTTTAGATATGATGTGTCGATGGTAACTTGTGTTTTTATATTTGATGATGATCACCTTTTGTGATGGATGATCAATAGTTTTTGTATGTGATGAGCACCATAATTGAAGAAAACAAAAAATAGAAGTTTTGTAGTTCAACATACACGTAGGCTGTTGTGTTTACGTTTGATAATCATCAAAATAATAAAATAATTTGACAATAAAACCTTGATGATTGAATAGTATTTTCAGATAATTGATAAAATAAAGTGAAATTTTAGATGATGATTATCCAAGAGACTGGTCAAAATACAGTATACTCATTTTTTTTTTTAAAAAAAAAATAATAACCTTTTATTTAAAAACAAAAAAAGAAAGGTACGAAAGCATCAGCTTCGCATGGAAAAAAAAACCCGTAAATATAACTAACTACTAATTGTAGAGATTTAAAATATAAGAAAGAAAAAGGAAAGAGAAAAATATAAGAGAGAAGAAAGGAAAAAAAAAAAAGGTGAAAAAACAGTCAGAAAAGTCGCGAGCGGAGCAATCCTGTTATTTCATTGTTTAAATTTTATTATTTTTTGTCTAAATTCTATATTATTCTTTCTTTCTTCTTTCTTTCTTTCTTTCTTTCTGTCTCAATCGTACATATATATTTACATAAATGTCTGACTTGTCTCATAGAAAGTCTTTATATTCATCACCTTCTTCAAGGTCCTTTATTAATAGACCTCCACCTGAAAGTGCCTTACGCGATACATCTATCAATATAGCTACCGCTTTTTCAACTGCAGAACGACCTTCACCTTACCGTTCCAACAATAATGTCTATCTCTCTCCTCGTACCAAACGTACATCTCTTCACCATCGATCTTCTACTGATCATTTTCAAACTCTTGTTGGCTCTGATAATGACTTTTTTGGTAAGTAACTGATATGAATAATAATAATAATAATAACAATATAGAACTATTAATTAATTATATCTTTTCTTAGGATCCAACAAACCGATAGATCTTTATCAACATTCAGTATCACAATCAAGCTCAAGTGACGAAGAAGACGATAACCCTTTTGAAGAAGAAGAACGACTAGTACGACATCCTGCTGAAGAAGAACATCGACGCGAGCTAATTCAACAACGATCCTCCCTCTCTGAACGTTACGATGCTACCAATGGTAGTTTGGCTGGTTCATCCTTTCATTCATTTATGGAATCTCCTTATAAAAATCAACATGATACTATTCTCGATGACGATAATATCAATTCAAATGATACCCCAACAACAACAGCAGCAGCTCAAATCAAACCAGCCTCTCGCTCTCTTATCAAACATGTTTTCGACAGGACATTTGAAATCGTCATGTTTTGGATCTTTATGGTGTTCTGGGTCATTAAGGAAATAGCTGTCACTGTGATCACCTTTATTTTCATTGTCGCATCTAGTTTGATGGTCAATCCTATTGTGTATATGTTGCAGTACCTTGGTTTTCGGACATTGGAACCTCTCAAATTATCTTCATTCAAGTCAATCTCACATCATCCTGTCGCCATGACACTATTAGCTATATTTTCTACTTTCTGTTTACATTGGATATTTTTTGATCAACATAATGATAATAATAATAATCATCCTACTTGGTTCAACAACAACAATAACAACAAATTATGGCCATTCTCAACGACATTATCTGCCATCATTTCATCTCCTTCATCTTGGCGATCATTTAACCCTACAACTAGCTCAATGGACGATACCAGATATGATTCACTAGCCTTGGATCGATTCAAAGTATTGGAAAAAACTGTTCATGGAATTATCGACCACATTGAAACTCAGGACAAACATGATCAACAACAAATCAATTCCATTCATTGGCATTTGGAACAACTACAACAACAGTTTTCACAATGGTCAACCACTCATTCAAAACAAATAGAATCGGCTCTTATCGAACAAATGGAAAAAGTAGAACATACTTTGGCAACTACGACAACACAATGGAATCGTCGATTACATGAATGGGGAGCTCAATTGGAACAAAAGATGGAACAACAGGAACATATTTGGCAACAAGATGGCAACACCAATCCAACAGTTTCACCACAACTAGTGAATGCTTTACGACAACTTTTTATACCAAAATCAGATGATGATCGTGCATTATGGACTAGTTTTTTACAAAACAACCAAGGGATTTTGGATCGTCATATTCAAGACATGATGGATCAATGGCTTCGAGATCAACTACTAAAAGGAACTTTGATTGACAAGGATACGCTGAACGAAACGTTGATGACTCAGATTTTACAACAGGATACTACTGACGATAAAATGGAAAAAACTGCAGGAACTATCAATCTACTTGGACAGCTAGTGGATGCCGCAATTCAAAGATATCATCAGGATGTATTGGATAAACCAGATTATGCATTAGCTACACGTGGTGCTATGGTCTTGAATGCATTTACTTCACCTACTTTACCATCATCATCATCAGCAGGAACAAACAATCAGTGGTGGTGGACAAAATGGTATACTGAATGGTCACGTCCTTCCTTGTCTCCGATGATTGCTCTGACTCCAGGTACACATGTAGGACAATGTTGGCCAATGAAAGGGAACCATGGATCTTTAGGTATTCGTCTATCTGAACCGATTTCCGTACAAAGTATCACTGTAGAATATCCAAGTCGTTCGGTGGCCAGTAACAATATGACAAGTGCACCAAAACAAATCGATGTTTGGGGATTGAAAAAGGTGGATGGATCATCTTCCAACGTAATGGCTCAATGGGATCAACAGCAACAAGAACAGCATATAACAGGGAACAACAATGAAAATGATAATATGATCTTTTTGGGTTCCTTCACTTACGACATCAAGAAATCATCAGCATCCTCCAGTATCCAAACATTTTCATTAGATACCAATCGATATGTTCATTTCGAAGGTGTCGTCCTACGAATCCGGTCTAATTGGGGAAATGATCAACATACCTGCATTTATCGTGTTCGCGTCCATGGTACTCCAGCTATATGACCCCCCATTCTATTGATGTACTTTTAGTTTAGTTTATACATTCTTTCATTATATATATATATATATTATCATGATTCTCTCTTTTATATATTCAAATAAATAAATAAAGCTGAGTGTTATTCTTTTTTTTTTTTTTTTTTTTTTGCATGACAATTTTTTTACTACAGCATATCGGAGTAAAGAGCCCATGTTTCAAGATAAAAAAGAAAAATCTTCTTTTTTTTTTCCCTTCTCTTTCTTTTCTTTACTTTTTTTTTTTTATTTATTTTTAATATTCAGTATTACTATTATTTTATATAAATAAAAAAGTGCAATGAAATTTTCTCATTCACTTGTATTGAATTCTGTGCCAGATTGGTTGGACTATTATATCGAGTAAGTCAAAATAGGAAATCGCATATGAAAACAACGAAATATTCATAAAATATGTATAAACAGTTATGATCATCTCAAAAAGATCGTATATAGGATTGAAAGGATTAAGGTACAACAACAACGCCTCAGTAGCGGATTTCATAGGACGAGTGATTATAGTTTAGAAGCTGGTACTGATCTTAGACCAAGAAGGACGGCCACTGCTACCACCGCTGCCACTGCTGCTACAACCATCGACAACAATCATCATTTGCAGGAAAAACAAATGACCGAAGATGATGCTATGTTTATTGTGGAATTGGACAAACAATTGAACAAGATCACTCAATTCTTCAATGACAAATCTAAGGAAATCTTACAAGATGCAAGTACGTTACGCCAACAGTTTGATGAATTTGGAGTGCCTTTACGTCGCTATTCTGTCTCTGTTATTGGTGTTACAGGTCATCGTACGTCTTCTATTGATGATGAAAATTATGAAGTCAATGAAAATGATTTGAAGAGATTAGATTCTGTTTTATGTGGTGAAATTGTTCCTAGTCCTCCTCCTACTGCTACTACTGATGAAGTGATCACCTATGATGATGATGATGATGATCATATGTATCAACAACAACAACAAAGGCAACTACCACTTCGACGATCAAGAACTTTTGGATTTGAAAATGATGATCAAGATACCTCTCGACGTTCCAGTTCTATACGACGTAGTCAGTCCATTCATGAACAACCTTCAGATCTACAACGTCGACGATCAACTACCATCCAAGATCAATTACAACAACGCATATGGGGTCGATTTACACCTCATCATCATCATCGATTAGAATTCTCTCCCGGTGTATCATCTAAAGATATGGCAAGATTCAATCAATACTACAACTTTCGCGCACGGTGTGCCACGACATTTATCTCCCTGACAGAACTCAAAGGATATGTTGACATCAATCGAAAAGGATTTGACAAAATTCTCAAGAAATGGGATAAAGTGACAGGATCCAATCTACGTACGACATACAACGAAAAGATGATAACCAGTGCGGATCCATTTTTACCTCATCAAATGACCGAATTGGAAAAGGCCATTTTCTTGGTACGTGATATGTATGCTGCCATCTTCACACAAGGGGATCCTCATGCTGCTACAAGCGAACTCAAGTTACATATGCGCGACCATATCCAGTTTGAACGTACCACCGTTTGGAAGGATCTTGTTGGGAAAGAACGTATGACCATGGATGCTCATGCTGCTGATGTGAAAGAAGGTTATCAGTTACCCTTTGGTTTGTTCCTCACAAAACATGCTTTGCGTTGCTCTGTCTTTTTGATGTGTGCTGTCATCCCCTATGGTGCTTTCATGTCCATCGATGTCTTCAATGATGTACCGGCTTCCAAATGTCTAGGCCTTCTGTTATGTGCTGCCATCATGTGGGCTTTCGAGGTAGGAGAAACAAAAAAAAAAAAAAAAAAAAAAAAAAAAAAAAAAAAAAGGATGATGAATGTTGTCTGAAAGACGGATAATGGAGATGATGAAATAGATACTTATTCTCATTATTTTATAATTAGTGTCTTCCTATCTATGCTACTGCTTATCTAATCCCACTCTTGGTGCCGACCATGGATATCATCCAACAAAATGGTGTATTGGTAGATGCAAAAACAGCAGCTAAACTGGTATTTTCAAGTATGTTCAATGGCACAATCATGGTGCTCTTGGGTGGATTTGCTATTGCAGCGGCTCTGAGTAAACATGGCGTGGCTCGTGCATTTGCAACAGTGATTCTCTCTCATGCTGGTACTCGTCCTTCTGTGGTCATTCTGATCAATATGTATATGGCCGCCTTTTTGAGTATGTGGATCAGTAATGTGGCTACTCCTGTTTTATGTACTACTTTGGTCGAGGTAAGCAAAAAAAAAAAAAAAAAAAAAAAAAAAAAAAAAAAAAAGAAAATGAATTGATCCTTCTTCTTCTTCTTTTTTTATTAGCCTATTCTTCGTACATTACCACCTCGATCAACGGTTGGACCTTGTTTAATCTTGGGCATCTCATTAGCAAGTTGTATAGGTGGCTTGACTTCACCTATTTCATCACCTCAAAACATTATCGCTATCAATATAATGCAGCCAAGTCCAGGCTGGGGCAATTGGTTTGCGGCATCTCTTCCGGTGGCCATCATTACTATCTTTACTACATGGGGTTGTCTTTTGTTATATTTCCGTCCCGATCGATCTACTCGTCATTTGAACACTATTCGTGCACTAGATATCGCCTACCCAAGTTTGACTCAAATATTTGTATCCGTAGTGTGTTTGACAACCATTGGATTATGGTGTAGTGAGACGGCAGTTCCTGATTTTTGGGGTGATAATGGTGTGATTGCTGCTATCCCGATTGTATTATTCTTTGGTACTGGTGTGCTTTCCAAGACAGATTTAAATAATTTTTTATGGCCTGTGGTGATACTTGCTCAAGGTGGTATGGCTCTTGGATTTGTAAGTTATAAAAAAAAAAAAAAAAAAAAGAGAATGGATTTATAGGATAATGATTCATTCATCACTCATTTATGTAGGCCGTTCAAAGCTCTGGTTTATTAGATATTATCGGTCATCGTATTGCTAGTGGAGTGGAACATCTGGGTGCATTGGATATCGTGTTTATCTTTGGTATTATTGTTTTAGTGTTTGCTACTTTTGTTAGTCATACTGTGGCTGCTTTGATTATTTTACCAATCGTTCAACAAGTGGGTGAAAAACTATCTCCACCTCATCCTAATTTATTGGTGATGGTAAATATGAATATGTAGTCATGATGATGGTTGATATGGAATTTTTTTTTTTTTAATCTTATCTAGGTCACTGGTCTTGTTAGCTCTGTAGCCTTTGCTTTACCTGTTTCTGGTTTTCCTAATATGAATGCTTTTATGCAAGAAGATCTTACAGGCAAACCGTATTTGAAAATCAAGGACTTTATATTTTGTGGTGTGCCAGCATCCATCATTGCAGGTGTCATCACCATCCTTCTTGGTTATGGTATTATCAGTAGAATGATTAACAACTAGGTTCTGGTCTTTTACAATTAGTTGGTATACCCTTTTTATTTTTTTCCATTTTTTCACTTTTTTTTTTTTTTATCCTGTAATATATGTACATACACGCCCTTATTTGCTAGATATTGAATTACGCTAGATAAACATTGATCTCAATAAAAACAGTATATATCATATTAATCATTCCATTCTTTACAAGAATATACACCCATCATCTTTATTAAACACTATCACCATCGTCGTTGTCATGGTTATCAATACTATATCAATCAAAGGTCTACAATTCAATGTCATACATATTTATACAAGTGACGATAAACAAATGCTGTAAGGAGCATCCAAGAATTTATTGAATAAACTAGAAGACGAATAATAATACTAATGATAATAACAAAAAAGAAGATATTTTATGATACAAAATAATAAATGAGTTTTATTGATTCAAAGAGATAAGTTCATAAATTTGCGTTTTTGGAAACACATCCACCACTTGCTTGGAAGTCCATCCAGATACACAGCCTCCACCAACCGAAGCACCAATTCTTGACGTAATTGTTGAATATATTGTTTCATTTGATCTAAACAAAGGGAATAATCAGTCTTAAAACAACACATCTATATATATATATATATATCTTAATTTTGATGTCATTTACCAGCTTGGAAACGATCACTAGGCGTTTGATACATGGCATTCAAAGGGAAAGAAGGATCACCGGGAATAGAAAAGTTGGAGACGGCCAATGTGCTGAGGTTCTTTAACGCGTTACCTTGAGGAGTGGTTTTGGTGAGGTTTTGTAAACATTCCGAGATGAATAGAATCAGATAGATTAATACTCGGTCAGCATTTCCCTTGATTTCAAAGTTTCTAAATAAACAGTTGGCACGGAATAAAGTAATGGCTTCATCAATAATATCGTCTGTAGAAGGATCGGCTATGATAAAAAAAAAAAAAAAAAAGGAGTAGATGAAGGAATATAGTTGAGTATATGTAGTATATTAAGATTGGATGCGCGTTTTCTTACCCATAGGTGCATTGCCTCTAAACTTGGTTTTGATAGGTAAAAGATACATATTGGCGATGGACTGATAATCACCATCATTGAATTGAGAGTGATAAGCCTATAAAACAAATATATGAAAAGATACAAGATGAGTTTTTTTTTTCTTTCATACGTAACGCTTGTACATAATAAAGCTGATAGATAAAATTGATAAAAAAAGAAACTATTCTTTCATCTTTATTAGTATAATTATTGGACTTACCGGCATGATAGATGTAAATTAGACAATGAAGAGGATAAAAGTGGAGGTAGAGAACGAAAAGGATGAAATAAAAAAAAAAAAAAAAAAAGAAAGAGCCAAGAGAAAAAGAAAAATGGAACCCACTTGGGGAAAAAAACCATCCAACAACAACATTATTGTCAATTTAAAATACCGCAGTGAATATTTGTGCTTGAAGAATTATAATACTCATGACACTCCCCTCTTTTATATCATGTAGGGACGATATGAAGTTTACTTTGTTGTATGTTTCTTCTGATGATTTTCTTGATGGTAGATTATAATATCAATATTACTTCACATCAAAAGAAAAACGTGATCAAAGATTTGATTTTGTGGATTTCTCGGAACAATCATCGGAAGAGAGTGTTGGACCCTGATATTTGTAATAATAAAAGAAAAAAATGATGTTTGATTTTTTATTTTAAATGATGATATATATTTATTATTAATGTTTGGTTTATTATTACAAAAAAAAATGATTATCTGATAAGGTGTGATTGTTGAAAAAAGTATGGTATTCCTATTTTTGTAATCATAATGTGAAATCATTGATAGTAAATCGGATGACAAAAGTGATTTGATTGTTACACTTTATTCAATAAAAAATGACGGAATTCAAAGAATAGGATGACGCAAAAATAGGAAATAAAATATCGTAAGGATAGAAAATAAATGACGGGGTAGAAAAGAGAGAGTTGTCGCATAAATCAAATAGAAAATATAAGAAAGTAGATACCATGAAAAAAAGACAAATAAAAAAAAGGAAATCCACCAGTTGAGTTCACCAAGTTAACATATAAAAAAAATAAAATAAAATAAAAAATGAGTAATACTTATCCAGATAAAAATATTTCACTAGCTTACCATTTAAGTGTAATGAGATCGCCGTAGCGAAAGTAGGATGGCGATAACCATCCCGGAAATTGTTAAATTGTTAAGTTGTTATATTAATTGAACCAACAGTGTTTAAACCATTAAAGAAAACTTGTAAATAAAAAGATAGACAAAAAAAAGAGTGATTGAGACAACGGTGATTAAACCATTAAAGATAGACAGAAAAAAAAAGAGTGATTGAACCAACGGTGATTAAACCATTAAAGATAGACAGAAAAAAAAAGAGTGATTGAACCAACGGTGATTAAACCATTAAAGAATACTTGTAAAGAAAGAGATAGACAGAAATAAAAAAAAAGTTAAATCAAAGGGATCCTTTTATAAGAAAATGAATCACCCTTGCAATTATGAGCTAATTTTAGTAGATAAAATGATGAGACAAGATGTAAGCGAGTTTTATCATCCTTTTTTAAATATTAGCAACATTTCTATCTTTATATCGTATCTAATTCATCATCATTTTTTTTTTTTTAGTATTAACAACATTTCTTTCTTTATATTGTATTTAATTTATCATTTGTCTTTTTTAGTATCGACTTCATCATTTTTTTTTAGTGTTAGCAACATTTCTCTCTTTCTATTGTATTTAATTTATCATCTACTTTATTATTTTTAGTATCTACTTCATCATTTTTTTTTAGTATTAGCAACATTTCTCTCTTTATATAATAAAGTTAATTACATAGATGTTCTACATTAAATTCTATTATTACAATATTTATGTACTAAATGATACATGGTACTGACTTGTTTTTGCCGTGTTTTAGTTTAATGACTAGATTCCTTTTTTTTTTTTTAGTGTTCTATTTTAAATGATAGTATGATTGTGCACAGGATACTTATTATTGCCATTTTTTAATTTCCATTGATGTGATGAATCATCATTATTATATTGATTTATCATGTTGGCTGATAAAAGAGCGTTTTGACATTTTTCAAAGAAAAAAGGAAAAGAAAAAGAAAATGTTGTTCTGTCAGAAGGTAACTAGAATGAAGTATTTTGTATTTTATCAGTAATTTGTACAGCGATTGACGACAATGTTTCATCATCCATCATACAATCGTACAATCATCCAACATATAATCATTCATTATCACATATCATCCATCATACAGTCATCCATCATCCATCCTGTAATCATCCAATATACAATCATCCGTTATCACATATTATCAATCATGAATCATCGATCATGAATCATCAATCAATTGATACCTAAAAAAGAATGGACAACACCCAAAGCTGCTAAAAATATGAAAAGCCTATGTTACTTTTCTTTTCTGTCTTTTATTATTAATAAACAAGTTATCATCAATATGTTATGTGTTTTTAATGTACTCTACCGACATCTCTAAAGCGATATCTGAAAAAGTGGTAAAGCGACATTCATTTTGGGAAAGTACGATGTTTTATTTTATAACATCACGAAAAGCATTTTCTTGTGACATGACAAAAAACTTTGAAAACACTGTATAACTATATGATTTGGGGTTTGGTTGGTTTTCAATATGATCGATAATGATTGAAAAAGACAAAGCATGTCATTTCTTGACATGTGAAAATAGCCTTTCAAACCGCGCATTTTTCTATTATTATTTTTTTTATCTAAAAACATTTTTTTTTTTTTCATCCTCTCTCTCTCTCTCTCTTTTTTTTTTTTATTCTTTTCTTCTTTTCCGGATCGTCTTTTTTTTTTATGGTACCATTCTTTTTATTTTTCACATAATAGAAATGCATGAGATTGAACAACACAATACAAGACATAGGGCTACTAAACCCTATGGAACGCGATCCTCTTCACCCTTACCAGGTATTGGTGCTGCTCCTTATACAAAACCTTACGCACATCATCAGCAACAACAACAACAACAACCATACAATCGATCTTATTCTTATAAGAGAACGACCTCCAACACTCTACCAAATCAAGCAAGTACCTGGCAGCAACTAGTAGTCGGAGCCAGTTCAGCCGCAGGAACCACCGCCGCTGTCGTTAGTGAAGAATCAATGAAGTGTATGAAATACTGTCTTAGTTGGCTTCAATATGCTATGCGACACATTGAACAGCAAATGGGATTGATCCGATCTTTTTTGGTATCTTTGGCCACTTCTCAGTCTTCATCAACAACTTCCTTATCAGTACCCACCACAGCTTCTCCATCTATCTTATCTGCTGTGAAAAAAGATGTTGTAGATACTTTACGTAAAGTGGTTGATGTTATCAGTCGATATGCCGGTTCTTCCTTACCTTATCATGCCAAAGTTACTGTGCGTGGATTTATCTTGAACTTACCTGGACGATGGGTAAATATACATGTTGTGAGAAAGAAAAATATCTGATCTGACATTTTTTTTTTTTTTTGTTTAGGCATCCTTGAATGATATTAGATCAACTACAACCTCACCATCTGCTTCACCTATGATGTCAGCATCATCTCCTATGAACACAACAACAACAGCAAGGACAATCAATACAAAAGAGCAAGATGTCAATTCTCCAAAACATGAAGAAACGGCAATACGATTATTGAACTTTGGTCAAGAATCAGTGGATATGTTACAATCGATTTCGTCTGTGTTTTCAGAAACCGTGGATCGTGCTGAATTATGGCTGGATCGTCTCCGTCTTCGTCCTCATGAAAACAAACAAGATAGTATTATCAACAATGATCATACCAATCGACCTATTCAACTCCCACCCATACATACTTTGGATCCCAGCAAAAATCATTTGAACGCCTTTGACCGTCAAAGTAGTGTCACTAACCAGTTTATGCACTCTATCAGCAACGAACAACAACAACAACAACAAATGGATCTTACACAATAGTCAAACAATTTTTTTTATATCATTTTTTACAATTCACGTATATATTGCCACATTACACTATACCCCCCTTCACCTTTTCTTGACACATATATTTCGTCTTAGTCCATCGTTTTTATTTTCAAAACAATAAATCATTTATGATGACATACGATGATACTAAATAACGTAGATCTATTTTTTTTTTTTGAATTCAAGAATAATGATGATGATGATGATGATAATGATGTAGAATGATGTTGATGACAATAACAAATTTGGATATGATGCATAATGAATGGTGGTGAATGATACATGATGAATGAATACTAGGTAATCATGGTGATAAATAATTCATAAAAGTAAAAGTAAATATAATGGATCTATAATGCTATGTATATATCTAAATGGTAACAGAAGATGTACAAAAAAAAAAAAAAAGAAAAACCAAAACAAAACAAAAAAAAAAAAAAAAAAAAACTGTCCGGCAAGAATCCCTAAAGATCATCAAATAACCTATGTTTCTTCAACTTGGATCCATTCAGTAAAGGCTATCACACAAAGGAATAAAAAAAAAAAAGACAGATCAATATCATTCCCTTTTTCTCTTTTCTGTCATTCGATTCACATACCGAAGATGGCAACTTTTTCCTTTTCCTATCATCATTGGAATCACTGCTATAGTCAACAGAACTTGGTGATGATCCCATCCTAGTAAACCAAAAAAAAAAAAAAAAAAATCATCAGAGATCAAAACTCTTGATAAAGAGAGAAGTGTATAATATTTTTTTTTTCAAATGGAAAAAATAACCATACCTTCGGTTAGCAACACGACTTGATTGACGACCAGCGAGTCCAAGACATTTTTCTAAATGAGGAGCATACCGTGTAGAAGCAATGGTTTTTTGACAATTGACACATTCATAGGATGGTAGATTGTTGACGTTATAACTTTTTCCAAATATATCACACCCAGGTCTTTGAACTATATATATAAAGAAAAAGTGAATATTAATTGGATGGATAATAATAATAATAATAAAAAAAGATGGATCAAAATTTTACCATGATGTCGACATTTTGTTTGACAAATTTGACAGGTATCATATGATTGCTTCATGTCTTTGTGTACATCATAAAGAACATCATAGATACATTCATCCAATAGATCCCCTAATAAAGACAATGCCTAATCATCAAAATATTACATACAAGTTAGTCTATTTCCATGTCATAAAAAAAAAACCTTTTTCTTTATTTTTTTTTTTTTTTTTTTTACCATATTGGCTATGGTAGGAGCTGGTCGTGGTGTCTTTGGTTCAGTTTGAGACTGTAATACGGCTTGAGTTTTTTGTAGGTCTTCTATCTTGCTGTTTTGTTCCTTCAATACTTTTTTATAATATCTAAAAGAGCATATCAGCCAAAACCAAAAAAAAAAAAGTTAGTATTTATATGGCAGATGTCGTTCATGTGTTTTTCTGTTTTATTATTATTATTATTATTATTATTATTATTATTATTATTATCATATTATACATCGAGTCAAACTTACAAGTCATGTTCTTCCTGAGTAACATCCGAGTCTTGCTTTAGCTTTTGCATATTGTTGCAATAAGAAAAGAAGAAAGGCAAAGAGAGAATAAAAGTGTATATATATATATATAGTAGATATGCGAAGTTGTATATATGTATGTGTATATATGGGTGTATATATGTGTTTGTATGAGTATATATATATATATATTTGTGTGTATATGCTTGTGTAAGTATGTGAGTGTTCGAGTGTGAGCAGGTAGTGGGTGTGAAAGAAGAAGAAGAAAAAAACAAAAAACAAAAAACAAAAAAAAAAGCCGGGCAAAGGGAAACAGAAAACAAAAAAAAAAAAGTATAGAACAACGCAACAACTCCGCCTGTCTCCTTCCTCCATATCAAGTAAAAAAAGTAAAACGGGGGGATGAGAAGGGGGAACACCTGATATACGATTGCTGGGTAAAAATCCCCGATGATTCATCATCATCATCATCATATTCATCATCCAACGATTATACGCATCGGATCATCTCCGATTTTTTCTTGTAATCGATAATTAAATGGGACAAAAATATTGTTTATTTCAAAAAAATAGAAAACTGAAGTTGAATCAATAGTAAATGGTAAAAAACATAATAAAAGTAAAACTAATAATACTGGTAATAATAGGGGGGGACCATATATTCAATGGATCGGCAATTCTTGCTTCTTGGCTCCACCAAACTTGAACATTTTCCCAAAAGTAAACTTAAGAGAGGATGAAGAAGAGGATGATTTTGTTTTCCAAATACGTTTGTAGGTATCCTATTAGAACCAAAAAAAAAAAAAAAAAAATAGAATATATTAGTTATCATGAGTACAACAAAAAATCATTTCATACTTACCAAATAGGAGATTTGAGGTTTATTGAAGGCACCACGACGTTTGGTTCGAATATACTCAACTGCATCCAAAGGTTCCATTCCTAGTTCAATTAAAGCAATAGCCACTAAAACTGGAGCTCGTCCTAATCCTGCTACACAGTGAACTGCAATGGTAGGTCGAATATTATCGTTTTCCTTCAATTTTTGTTCTTGAGTATCAACCAAACCAATCCATTCACGCACCAAATTTACAGGAGGCTATATAAAATAATAATAGTAAAAAAAAAAAAAAAAAAAAAAAAAAAAGAAAAGAAAAAGGATATTAGTCTCAAAAACTTATCCTTTGTATTTCCTATTATCCGCTCATATTAACTTACCACACCACCATCCTTAAAAGGCATATCATGTACAGTGATTCCTTCCATAGCTAAAGTAGTTGCAGAATAAGTTTGTTGACAGCATCGAACTACATCAGTAACATTGTAACGTTTGAATTCTTCCATATAAAAAGGTAAAGTTGATTCAGTAGGACAATCGAGAATAAGAAACCGAAGAGGAGAATTTGTAACTTCGATCAACGAAAGTGTACGTCCCAAAGGTGAACCACTACGAGCTTGAGAGTTGACCATGGTTGAAAAGGAAAAAGAAAGTAAAATAATATATAAAAAAAAAGAGGGGGTAAGATGTAATATAAAAGTGTGTGTGTGTAAATAAAAACGAGATGATGACCCAAATAAAGTGTAGAGTATGAAGAATAATAAAAATAAATAAATATAAAAAAAAAAGAGAATAAAGAAAATAAAAATAGATGTGAATTGACAATAAAAGAATAAAAAAAAAGATGAGGGAGTATATGATATGTGTGAATGTGTGATATACAAAATAGATTAAATAGTATTAAAAAATCAAATAATAAGAAGGGGAATAATAGATCGAATGTAACCAAAAATTATCCACCTTCTGCGTCTGATGGATATTGGGCAATGGAGAAGGCAAAGACGCTGCCACCGAAGCAAGAAACTTGAGGGAACAGAGTAATTTTAGAGTAAAAGGATAATTGCATAAGTTGGAGACAAGAAGTGTCAGTGGTTGATTTCCAAGGGAAAAGGGCAAAAAAAGAAAAAGTGTCTTTTTTGACCTAGTTTATAACAAAGAAAAAAAAAAAAAAAAAGGAAAAAAAAAAAAGATAAAAAAAAAAAACATTTAAAAGATCAGAATTTTTGTCTTTTTTTTTTTTGAAAGCCAGTCACATGGTCTTTGCCCCTTTTCAGTTTCCCAATGGTACAGTGTTTTCAAAGTTTTTTGTCGGGTCACAAGAAAATAGTTTTCGTGATTTTATTAAACAAAATATCGGATTTTCCCAAAATGAATAGCGCATTTCCACTATTATAGATATCGCTTCAGAGATGTCGATTAGAGTATATTGATGGATGGATGATGGATCCTTTTTTTTTTTTATATATCGTCATTACATACTCACATTTATGAATATATGATATAGGCAACTCCAGTAGCAAATTGACCTCATAGTTGACAAATGTAAAACTGCATAATGTTACTTCTTTTTTTTCTTCACATACAAAATAAATTTCTTTTCAAATGTGAAACCTATTTAAAAGTGCCATTTTTCTGTTTTTTTTTTTCTTTTTCTTTCTTTTTTTTCCTTTTTTTTTTTTTGTTTGTCTTTTCTTTTCTTTATCGTTTTTTATATCAACTTCTAAACCTCTCTACAAGCTACAAGTCTCTTTATCTTTCTATCCATATCAAATACAAGTCTTATCTGAAGTACAAGTATAACGACATCAAGACGGGCTAAGGCCTATTTGCTTCTTTTTTCTTGTTGCTCTGTTGTTTTGATCCACTGTTTCCGCTCCTCATCCTTTTCTTCTTCTTGGTTGGCTGTATCTTTGTCGTAGGATCAAGATCTCAAAAATCATTACCTTACATGTGCAGATCAGTCAACCCTCGCCTTCCTCTATTTCCACCAGTGGTATCAACAACAACATCAATAATATCTTTTTGCGTGTCTCTCTCTCTCTTCTCTGTGGCTCATACAATTTTTCCGTGTACTGAAAACACGTGGATGTTTACAGTTTTTGTAAGTTTTTTTTTTTTTTTTTTTAATTGATGAATATGATGATGGATGATGTACTAACGAATTTTTTTTTTATTTTTCCAATATGATCTCTCTTTGGTATTTCCTATTTGATTTGTCCTTCTATCTCAATTTTTTTTTATGCGTCATCCATTATCTGTTTTTGTCCTTCATTCATTCTCTATTCTTACGATATCTTATTTCCTATTTTGGCGACATCTTATTTTTGAAACTGCGTCACGTATTAGTGGACAAACTGTATCTGAAAAAAATCGCATTTCAAAAGTATCCATTACTCCGCTCGTTATCAACAGAGGCATCATCTAAATCCTTATCGTTTCAACAATCATCCATTATATATATCATCTTCATCACGCATAAAACAATGAAAATAAAAGATCAAAGCCAATTTGGTTTATTACTAGGTATGGAGACTAAATCTGTGTCAAATAATTCTATAAATTGTTCATTAAGTAATCGTACTTTAGGTCCAGCATATCGACGATATTCTTCAAATATAGACGTTAAATTCCATCGTTGTAATTTCCGTAAACAGCCAACAATCGTACCTAAGTATAAAATAAAAAACAAAATGAGATCAAATTTATCTAAGCCGAATCATTTTTCTTTACCAGTGCGATGTCTTCCTAGGTTACACATAATCATCATGGGATAATTTCTTGGATTCAATATTAGTTCTAATGCTTCTAAAACTGCTTCTTCCGTAATAGGATCCCAAGCATTCACAGATGACACTACACCAAGGTGATGAAGTTCTATTTCTTGATCATCAATAAAGTCCAAACTTATTTTGTTTTTGATTAGTAAAATGAATAAGTCTAATAAGATCCATGTTATCTTCTTTTTTTTTAACTTACAATCGTTGATTAGGTTCTTCAGGAGCAAGCCAAGCTATATTCTTTAATGCTAGTTTTTCGAGAAAAGGGAAATTCAATTCATTTGGTTGACCGGACCTATACAAGTCCTCTTCTATCATACCAAAGTTCTATTTATATAAAGATAAAAAAAAAGATAATATTTAGTTCAGTTTTTTTTTTTTTTTTTTTTTTTTTGTTATTAATAACATACGACGGGTGGTATAAAGTGTTGTGAACTCATGTTTAAAGAAAAGAAGAGAAGAGAAAGGAAGGAAAAAAAAATTGGCAGCGGTGTTGTAAAAAAAAAAAAAAAAAGACATCTTTGAATTTCATCCTTTTGTTTTTTTTTTTTTTTCTTCTTTCTCCCCCTTTATATATATATATGTATATATAATATATATATATATATTTATTAAGTTTTATAAAACAGACTTTTCTTATTTATAGTTTTAGAATGTCTGCTTATACTATATATAAAGAATTGTTTCCTCCTCAGACAATAGAACACGTTGAACAAGCTCAATTTACAGCACCTGGAATAACTAATATTATTGTAGCAAAAGCTTCTTTATTACAAATATACAATTTGATTGAATACATTCCTGAAAAACAACAAGATCAAAATACCAATAATGAGGAAGATAACGATGATGCTTTGAATACAGAAACTTCAAATCCTATTGGTGACAAAGACGACGATAGTGTAAGTAATTACATATATATATATATATATATGGAAGTTATAATTCTTATGCGAACTATCTTTTTTTTTTTTTTTACTTTAATTCTACTTTTTAGACTTTACCTTATCCAAACTTAACACCTCTCGACAACGATATTGCTTCAACGAATTCAGCACGATTGGAACTGGTAGCGCAATATAATCTCAATGGGACAATCACTACTATGGGTGTCATACGTACTTGCTCACCTCGTGGAAAAGAAGGTTGTGACAGTTTACTGTTAGGTTTTGAAGATGCCAAGGTAAATTCAATACTATTATTCAATAAAAAATATTTATTGAATCTATTTTTTTTTTTTTTTTGTATAGATGTCTCTACTTGAATGGTCTCCTGCAACTAATTCTATCACTACAGTTTCTATACATTACTACGAACGTGAAGAACTCAAGGTACATATATATTATTATGTATTATTGTAATATTCATTTTTATACTTACTCTTTATTACTATTTTTTTTTTGTTAATTAACCTTAGAAAGAACATTTATCTAATACGTTCACACCTTCGCTTCATGTCGATCCTCAACAACGATGTGCGATTTTGAATTTTTATAATGATAAAGTAGCTGTATTACCCTTCCGACAAGCTGATCAATTGGATACTGGAGGTCAAGATTATGATGAAGATGATCCATTACAGTAAAGTTTCAACGTATATTATTAGAGCAAACAATAACTTTTAACAATTCTTTTTGATGATAGGAAGCGACCTTACTTACCTAGTTTTATCATTGATCTACCTTCTATTGACAAGAATGTGAAAAATGTGGTGGATATGGTATTTTTATCGGATTACTATGAACCTACTCTTGCCATTCTATATCAAGCAAAGCAAACATGGACAGGGTAAGGGATGAATTTCTTTTTTTTTTTTTGTTGGGTTTACTCATGTGATACTTATATTCTGATTCTTACGATATAGTCGACTAGATGAAGACAAGGATACCGCAAGTATCATGGTGATATCATTAGATTTGACTGAAAAGGTATATCCTGTGATTTACTCTTTACACCATTTACCTTACGATTCACTTCAACTCGTGGCCATGCCAAAGCCTATTCATGGTATGATGGTAATTTCTGCTAATGCTCTGTTATACGTCTCTCAAGGATCACCAGGAGTAGGCGTTGGTGTCAATGCCTATGCCAAATCAACAACTGCTTTTCCAAGCATGAAATATGATCCAGCCACTGTCAATCTCGGTCTTATTTTGGACGGTGCACGTGCTCTTTATCTTTCAGAAGGTGTATGCCTTCTTTTTCTTCAAAATGGCGATTGGGCAATAGTGCAATTTGTGCGTGATGGAAACAAGGTGGTTGGCCTTCAAGTGACACGTCTTCCTTTTGGTCAAATTGATGTCATCACTTCCGATAACAAGAATACACGAAAACTCGAACATCAATATACTCCCGTTGCTTTGGTGCCTACATGTGTTTGCAATGTCAAGGATGGAGATTATTTCTTTTTGGCAAGCCGTGTGGGAAACTCTTTATTAATCAAATGGAGGGATAATGGTCAATATTTCAATACCAAAAATTCAACAGGTGAGATAGGATGACATTTGTATTCATATACTAATTTTTTTTTTAATTTAGATCATGGTTATACTTTTCGTGTAGTGGATGAATTATTGAATACGGGGCCTATTACTGATATGGTAGTTGGTGATATAGACTTGGATACTACTTCTTCAGAAGAAAGCAATACAACGGCACCGGAAACGACGGCAGCATTATTACCTGATGTGGAACTAGTGACAGCATCTGGTTATGGCAAAAATGGAGCTCTATGTATACTACGACGACATATTCGGTCCAAATCTTCGTTTTCTTTTGATCAAACTGATTGCCAAGCCCTTTGGACCATAAAGCATAGAACCAACGATGATGATGAGTTGGAGGCAGATATAGCGAAGAATATGGCATTCAATAGATCATTTGACAAGTTGTTATTTATCAGCAAATCCAGCAGCACTCTGGTAAGTTGAAAGAAAAATTTCAATCAGAAAACATTTATGCATTCCATCATCAATTTTTTTTTTGATATAGGTTTTAGCAGCTGGTGATGAATTACAAGAACTTGAAAAATCTGGATTTTATACCAAAGGACCTACTGTGTTAGTAAGCACTTTATTCAATCATACTCGTATTGTACAAATTCATGAAAAAGGATTATACCTTCTTACTCCTGGTAAATTATATTTTGATTTTGAAATGAGAAGTGGGCATGAATTAACCAAAAGTTTTTCGATTTTTTTTTTTAATGCATGGAATTCAAGGTGGCAAACGACTCCAATCGATCCCTGTGAGAGAATCAAGAATTGTTGAAGCAAGTGTACATGATCCCTATATTGTACTGGTTTTAGAAAATCAAACGATAATGACGTTACAGTGTGATGCCACTACAAAGGATATCATCTATGTTCCTGTTCCTTCATCTTTGAACGTAAGTTGAATCACAAACAAAAAGGAGATGGAATATTGATCTTTTTTTTTTTTTTTTTTGTCAATAGAAACCAAAAAATATCTACTCAGCTTCTGTGTTTGCCGATACTTCTGGACTCTTTACATCTATCAAGAACAAAAAGGAAATCATTGCTACTATGAAACTTCAACAAGCAATAACTCACAAAGACAAGAAACGAAAGGCAGAAGAGGATATGGCACCAAATAAATCAAAAAAGTTACATGGAGCTTCCTCCGCAATAGTGACATCTATTACAAACAAGGATGAATTCGACGAAATAGATATGGATTTATATGGTGATTCAAGCGATGAAAAGGATACCAGCATGACGATAGAATCATCAACAGATGCAACAACGCTGAATATGAATATGACAGATGATGATGAATCTCTTTATGGAAGTAGCACCACAGGAAAATCACAAGAATCTCAACATAAACTGCAACAAAATCAAATCTCTCGCAATAGGAATATAATTGATGAAGCCAATGTCAGTATGATGGGGGGTATCCAAGAAACAACATGGCCGATGACCTTTTGGTGTGTGGTTTATACCAAGACGGGCGAACTGACATTGTATAGTTTACCAGATTTACAAGAATGCTATCATTTCCCAAAATTAAACCTATTACTCAATCTGGTCACCGATTATCCAGTACATGACAACTCCAACAACAAACCAACTGAATCAGTATTTTTGTCTCAACAAACATCGACAAGACTAGGTGATGCAATTGGCACTATCAAGATTAAGGAATTCTTATTGACAAACATTGGCAAGGAAAGGAAAGATCCTCATTTGGTGGTAAGAAAGCAGATTAAAGACTAGCGAAATCATATTCTTTACTATTTTGACTTTGACACTGATTTATTCTTTTTTACTTTATAGTTACGCACATCAACCGGTGATATTATCATTTACAAAGCGTTTGAATTTATACCAACCGCCGACAATCTTTTAGTGAATGACGTTGAAGTTTGTACAGATGCACAACTGGAGGATTATGAAGGTCGACTGGCGTTACGATTCTCACGGGTACATCATGATTATATATCAAGATATCGTATTGATTATGAATTACTGAAGGAACAAGAACTGGAAGCTCAAGCACAAAAAGAAAAGGAAGAACAGGCAAAGCTAGTAGTAGATTTGGGTATTGATGATAATGATATGCTAGGAATCGATGGGGAAGGCAAGAAAAGGAAGAAGAAAAAGAAAAACAGCAGCAATTCTACAAGTAAAAGACGCGAACGTATGCTCTCTCTATTTATGGATGTGTCTGGCTATTCTGGTGTCTTCGTGGCTGGTCCCGAACCACTCTGGTTGATGTCTTCAAGCAAAAGCTTTGTCCGCGTGCATCCTATGAAAACTGATCGTCCTATTCGAGCCTTTTCTCAGTTCCACAATGTCAACTGTTTACATGGATTTATTACTATTGATATTGACGTAAATGAATAGAAATCAGTAGATGACATATAATAACTTACCACTTATTTTTTTTTTTTAGTCAAGAATTCGACTATGTACTTTACCCAATGAAAACACTACATATGACATGGATTGGTTGGTAGAAAAAATACCATTGGGACAAACGGTACACAAAATCAAGTATCATCCAACGATGCGTGTTTATGGTGTTCTTGTATCAACAGCGAAGGAGGCCAAAGTGGGTGGACTCGGACATGGTGGAGATGAAGAAGACACAGTATCAACAACAGACGGCGCTACAACAGCAACGGAACATAAAATGGACGATCGCGAACCTGGAGCATTCCTTCCAAAAGTGGATCGATTCTCTTTATTACTGATATCGCCTGTGACATGGGAAACAGTGGATCAAGTGACATTTGATGAATTTGAACAAGGCCTCTCTTTGGAATGTGTACCTTTGGAATCAAAACAAACGAGTTCAGGACGAAAGCATTTTTTGACTGTTGGTACTGGTGTTTTACGTGGAGAAGATTCTCCTATGAAAGGTGCTGTAAGTATCATTTCATAAGTATATATGCAAAAAAAAATCACATAAAGACAACCAAATATTCATCTCCTTTTTTTTTTTTTTTTTTTGTTATTACTATTATTATTTATCTTTTATGTAGATATATGTATATGAAGTCATCGAAGTCGTTCCAGAACCAGATAACCCTCAAACCAATCACAAATTCAAGTTTTTACATAAAGAAGATGTCAAAGGGGCTGTGACAGCGATGTGCGATGTCAGTGGACATTTGGCAGCTTGTATTGGATCGAAAATGATTGTTTGGAGTTTTGAAGATAATGAAAGTTTGGTAGGTGTGGCATTTATTGATGTTCAGATTTATGTTACTTGTATGTGCTCTATCAAGAATTTTATTCTCCTTGGCGATGTGCAGAAATCCATTTGGTTTTTGGGCTTCCAACTTGAACCTGCGAAACTGGTATTACTTGGCAAGGATTATCAATCTTTTGAAGTAGGTTCAGTGAACTATATTATCGATGACAAATCTTTGTATTTGATGGTGGGGGATACGGATGATAATTTGGATATCTATCAATATGCTCCTTACAGTAAGTATATAGATTTGAAATTTTTTTTTTTTTTTTTTTTTTTTTTTTTTTTTTTTTTTTTTTTTTTTTTTTTTTTTTTTTTTTACAATTCTGATTCCATTTTGTTTTTTATTTTATTTTATCTTCTAAAGATTTACAATCCATCGCTGGTCAAAAATTAATGCGCCGTGGTGATTTCCATGTGGGGTCTCAAGTACGAACTATGATCCGGTTACCACAAATTACAATCAATAATATCAATGATAACAAGACATTCCAGTATAGCCGACGTCATTTTTGTCTTTGTGGATCATTTTCAGGAAGCATCAGTGTGGTATCTCCTATTCCAGAAAAGACATTCAAAAGACTCAATACTCTCTATGGACAATTAGTGAACAGTATTCAACATGTAGCAGGATTAAATCCAAGGGCATATAGGTAATGAAATGTACAAAGAAATTATAATCGATCATTTGTGTTAATTCTCTTTTCTTTTTTTTATTATTATTGATAGACTTATCAAAGGATCAAAACAAAGAATGGCATCTAATCGAACCAAGGCAGTATTGGATGGTGATTTGATTCATGCCTTTGCTGGGCTGGCGGTGGATCGACAAAAAGACCTAACCAAACAAATTGGAACCACCGTACCAAGAATCATGGAAGATATTGTAGAAATTATGGGAATTAACATTGATTATTTTTAGACTTATTATAGTATACATGTTTGAAAATAAACGAAATTAAATATCATTGTGATTTTTTTCTTTTTTCTTTTTTTTTTTTTTTTAATTACACGCATTTTTGATAGATGATTGTTTTCAAACTCAGTGTGCGGTGTAGTTTAGAGCGGTTGATAGCTATTCTTGCTTTTTCCTTCCTTTCTTTATCTCCAAAAATATGGTGCGTATACATAAAAGGATGAAACATTTGGGATAGTGACATTCGATCAATAGGAACCACTCAACAATGAACGAACGAAATAAATGGATGGATGTGTTGGATATAGATGGGCGGATGGATGGATGGATGCAATTTTGTAAAGTAGGCAATGGGAAAATGTGGGGCAAGTTGGGAACCATATTGATCATGCTGAAACATTCATTGTATTGGTTCATTCATTTAGACTATGGGGGGAGATGTTTATTTTTGATATGAAAAAAAAATATAGAATAACTTATGTTAACCTTTTTTTTTTATATATATAAAATTGTTTAGGATTCACAAAAGACTCCCGTCAAACTCGCTAGAGTGATCAAGGTTCTCGGCCGCACCGGTTCTCGTGGTGGTGTGACTCAAGTTCGTGTTGAATTCATGGATGACACCAACCGTAGCATTATCCGTAACGTTAAGGGTCCCGTCCGCGAAAACGATATTCTTTGCCTCTTGGAATCCGAACGTGAAGCTCGTCGTCTCCGTTAAATATCATAAAACTATAACAACAAACGACAGCAATAACTATAACAAACGACCTACATCATGACATCAACAAAGATCGATCTAATGGTATTCTCCTTCTTTTTTTTGATGACATTGTAATTCTCAATAAAATAAAATAAAAAAGGTCAATCCTGTTTTTACTTTGTTTGATTATATATTTTCCAAGTGTGATGTTATTGTTTGTAATATTCGATAGGGAAGTCATAAATACATTTGTTTTTATTTTTTATTTTTTTTATTATTTTTATTACATATATGGGATGATGATACATAGATATCTATATATACTATACTACTTTTAAAATATAAATATACAACAAAATTAGTAGCAGAAAACGGGTAGATAAATCAGGACAAAAGGAAAGAGGTCATGTCGAAAGCTTCACCAGATTTTTTGACAACAACACCTTTTTCAGTCACAATGGCAGAGATCAGTTCATTTGGAGTGACATCGAAGCTTGGGTTCCATACACCAATATGTTGAGCAGCGGTACGTACAGTGGTAGGCGTAGGCTTACCATCCACCAGACGAATACCAGTAACATTAGTCAATTCTTCTGGAGGGCGTTCTTCAATCACAATGTCTTCGCCAGTCTTGGTATTAAGATCAATAGAAGTAGAAGGAGCAGCGACAATAAAGAGAATACCATGATGTTTTGCAGTAATGGCGAGTTGATAGGTTCCGATTTTGTTAGCAGTATCACCATTGGCAGCAACACGATCTGCACCTACAATAATGGCTTGGACACTTGTATTTTGATTGAGTAAAGCGGATGCCATGGAATCACAAATCAAAGTCGCAGGAATCTTTTCATATACTAGTTCATAGGCTGTTAATCGAGATCCTTGATTGTAGGGACGAGTTTCAGTACAATAGGCATGTGTCAAATCACCACGAGCATGTAAATCACGAATAATACCCAAAGCAGTTCCCCATCCTGCTGTAGCTAATGATCTAAATAAAATATAAATATTTTATATAAAAATAAAGATTAAGATATAGGCATCTATTTTTTTTTTTTTTTGGAACTTACCCAGTGTTACAATGAGTTAAAACACTAATGTCCTTATTGTTTTTAACATTCTTGATAATAAAGTCAGCACCATGTTTACCAATATTCTTGTTATCTTGTACATCATCCACTAACATTTGTTCGGCAGCTTGTACGTATGTTTGAACCACAGAAGAGGCAGTAGCGGAATCAATGGAAGCAGCTTGTTGATTAATAGCACTCAACTTGTTAGCAGCGTCGAATAAATTGACAGCAGTAGGTCGAGAAGTTTTCAAATATTCCAAAGAGTTTTCTAAAAAAGTGAACGCAGTAGCAGCAGATTGACCAAATTCACCTCGGGCATGACGTGCAGATACATCAACAGCTAAAGATAAAGCAGCTACAATGGCAATAGCAGGAGCACCACGAGTCTTCATTGTCTTGATAGCAGCATGACCATCTTCAATAGTTTTGACTTGTTCATAAATAGTTTCGTGAGGAAGAGCTAACTGATCCAAAATTTCTAAATGACCTGGGGTATACTTGATAGCTTCCAAAGTAGTATTTTCTATAATGAAAGATATTAATCATTATTTTTCATTTTTAATATCTATTACTTACCACTCATGCCTAACTAATAATAATAACTAGAAAAGTTAAAGAAGAAAACAAAGAGAGAGAGAGATAAGGGAACAAAGGCAAAAAAAAAAAAAAAAAAAAAAAAAAAAAAGAGTACTCTTTCAATATCCGCTTCTAAAGGGGAGGGTGTCACAATCTCTTTCCTCCTTCTTTTCTTTCTCAACAACAAACTGTCTGCTTACTTCAACGCTGTATATCCTGGATTAGTCAATGCAGTAATTGCTAGCCCTTGAGCTAGAAGGAAGTTTTTAATTGTAAGTACATACTTCATATATCTTACAGTGATCACTCATCAATTCTTTTTTTAAACACCGTTTTTTTTATAGTCCTAATATTTAGTCCTATAAAATCTACGTGGTGACTGGTTGGAATTTTTTTTTTCTATTTTTTTTTTTCTCTCTTTCATTTTTTCTTCCCATACTTTTCTTTCTTTTCCTCTTATATTATTTTTTTTTTTCTTTTTTTCCTTTTTCTTCAATGGATATTGATGATTATTTGAATCTTCAATCCCACTCAGATGGTTCAACCCAGGAACTACAAGATATTACGTCTCCCACTCATGAAAATAGTAATAATAATAATAATAACAATAACACGATTAATTCTACACCAACAACAACAACAACAACATTTCCTTTGGTTCCTACCTCATCTTCTACATGTTGGAATGACTCTCTAACTCTGGATACTTCTGAACAGGATGATACCCGATTATTTGATAAACCGTTACCGAATATGGATCAATTTCTTTTTGCTTTTGGTGACAATGCAACTAATACTGCGGTTAACTCTGATGGTTCTCCCAACTGGCATCTTTTGACACAATCTCAACAACAACAACAAGATCCTTCCATTACACAAATGCCTTTGAACAGTTTATCTTCCAATAACTTACCTGATTTCTTGGCTCCCCATTTCCTTACTTTGACATCAACTCCAATGACGACGACTTGTCCTGATACGATAAACGCGACCATGGTGGAAAATAACAAACAACAAACAACTTTACAACCAGCTACAACCTCGATAGAATCCCATCCAGTGGAAAATGAAGGAATGGTGACACGATCTAAACGACTACGTACAGATAGCAAATCATCTGGAGATGCAACTGTGGTACAAAAGCAACAATCATCACCAACGCCAGATCCTCCACCTCCTGCACGAAAGAAACGTGGTAAAAAGTTGTATTGTATATGTCAACAACCTTATGATGGTCAACCTATGGTTCAATGTGATGAATGTCAAGAATGGTAAGAAAAGCAAAAAAAAAAAAATATCTTGTATTACTTGTAATTAATCTTTTTTTTTGTTTTGTGATAGGTTTCATTGTAGCTGTGTGAACTTGGATGCTGACGAAATAGAAAATGTGGATTGGATATGTGACAAGTGCAAATCAGGTAATAATCAAAAAATAATATGGAATAGTCTAGGCGGCAATAGCTATGTTTATTTCTTTTGTGAAGCAGGGAAATATGGATTAGTACATTATATCAAACAACATATAGATCATTGGAATGCGGTATGGGTGTACAGGTTGTTTAGTATATTATGGTGATAAAAAGAGAAAAGGTTTATCTTTGTCGTATAGTTTATCATTGTATATAGTTGTCTCCATTTTATAATATCTTGTTATTTATACCTTCTTTAAATATATCCTCAATATTATCACCATTCCCCTTGTTTACTTTTATTATCGTTATTATTATTGTCTTTATGATTTTTATGGATTTGGAAAAAAAAAAAAAAAGGATGGGGAGTTTACACCATATATGTCCGTTGTTAGCCTTACTTGGGAAATAAACTGAACGATATTGCTTGCCTTTTGACTAAAAGATATATGTGATCATGATGTATGTGTTACTGATATATTCTTATTGTTATCGTCCTTATATAGATGAAACCCATTCAAATCGCTCAAACACCCCAATGGAACCAGATGAAACTAAGGTAAAAAAAAAAAAAAAAAAAAATTTCAAATTCACAACTTAATTTTTTTTTTTTTATCTCTCTCCTTTTTTTTTTTTCAAGACAAAAACACGAAATGCTCGACATCAAAACAAATGTTTATTATCGTCATGTAACAATCAAACTCGGGCTGATTCCTACTGTAGTGATGTCTGTGCTCGTTTAGCAACTGCTCCTCATTCCTCCAACAAGTCTAGTACAAGATCAGTACCGACAAAGCGACAAAGACCAACAGACAGTGAATCCTCCAAAAGCGATATTGAAGTAACAACAGCAATACCAGTTACATCCATTAAACCGAAAAAAGAATCAAAAGCAATGGTAATGGATCCCATCCGCAAAAATGTGGTCAAGAATCTTACAACAACAATGACTCCCATCCTTGATGAAATAACTGATCAACTACCGGAAGAACTGGCTCAACAAGTATCAAATGATCCTATGAAAGCTTCTGAATCTTTGGCATGCAAGATCGAAGGGGCCCTCTATGATTATCTTGGTGAAAAGGAACCTCATGGTGACACGAAAGTGTGTGGATCACGTTACAAGAATAAGGTACGATCACTGTTATACAACCTCAAGGATAAGGCAAATCAAGACTTTCAAATTCGTGTGGTGAGTGGGGATTTGACGGTGGAACAGCTTGCACAAATGTCGTCAGAAGATATGGCCAACCCTGAATTACGATCCATGTCAGAATCCTTACGTGAAAAAAGTATCAAGAACTCTGTCCTCAAGATTGAAAATATGCCCATCATCAAAAAGACACATAAAGGTGATATTATCATGATTCCCAGGAAGGATGAATCCTCTTCTTCTCAATCCAATCAACGACAAGAGTCATCTTTAACACCAACAGCAAATGCACTTCCGAAACTAACAACAGCAGGGATCAACGTGGAGAAAACTGACACTCATCAAACCGGAAACATAGATAGTTTACCTACATCAGCGAAATCATCTACACCTCCTACACCACAATCCGCAACTAGTCATGCTCCTTTGGCAAAAGATGCTATGGATGCTATATGGAAACAAATAGGTATTGATGCAAATGGATCACAACAAAAAGAACACGAAGCAACAACAAAAAAATCATCGGTGGATTTGGAAGCTTTACTTGGTGATGAAGAGAACGACGAACAATTATATGCTGGTGATGAAGATAATGATATGGAAAATAACAATAGTACATCAGTATCAACAACAATAGCTACTATTTGGGATGGACGCGTGGAAATGCCAGATGTATGTTCTTTTGATGCTACAGCTCTACAAATTGGGGGACGAAAACTAACCAAAGAAGAATGGCAAGATATACTACCATCTACTATGTATATTGAAGGTCGACTTCGAGTAGACAGTGCTACCAAATACGTATCAAGTCTGAAGCAATCTACCAGTCGGGAAATTGTACTATTGCGAGTGGAATGTCAAACGTCATCTTCTTCATCGAATGAACGGCATATGCAAACCTTACTCAATTACTTCGAATCTCGAAAAAGATATGGTGTGGTGGGACATAACAAGACGAAAATCAAGGACTTTTATTTATTACCTCTATACAAGGATGAAAAAATACCTGATTTTCTTTCCGCGGTTATACCTATGGATGATCAAGAAAAGAAATTTGATACTGATATCTTTTTAGCTGTCTTGGTCATTGGAAAACATCATCAACAACAATCGGCATCCGCTACACCTTCAAACCAGTGGCAACAAGAACAGCATCAACAACAGTCATCATCTACATCGACTTCTCATCATTGGCAACAACAACGTCAGTATCAACGTTCAGTACCTGTTCCTAACCAGTGGCAACAATATCATCATCATGAACCTACTTCTAATCAATGGCGTCAACATCATCAACAGCAACATCAACCTAACCTTCAACATTCCATTCCCTCCACCTTGTCATCATCATCATCAACATCAACATCAACATTTGTAAACAACAATCATGTTAATCAGTTACCCTACCATCAGCAACAACAACAACAACAACAACAGCAACAACAACAACATTATTCTTTTTATTACCCATCTCATCCACCTTATTATCCTGGATGATATATCTGTAGATAGTGATTATTATTGTTTATCCATTCTGGTTCAATAAAACATATACTTTTCTTTTTATTTTATTCTATTTTTAAATTATCAAATTACCATGATTTGTGATATTAGTATCAATATGATTCCGGGGTAATCAGTAAACTCAACAGTTTAAATGATGTAGTCTATTCCGAGGATAAAGAATATAGAAGGTTTTGCTTTTTGACCACTTGTAAAAACTAAATAAAATAAAAGATACTCATGCGATCTCAAGAATGCTAGAAGAAAAGATAGGAGGGTGATTATCAGAATATCCATTAAAGTGCCTTAACTAATCTTTTGGGGTTGTTTATGCAAAGAAAAGAAACAACAATATCATCATAAATATGTTGGATTGTATTTATCTCCTCTCCTTTTTTTTTTTTTTTTACTCTGTTAAACGCCATCATGGATGAAGAGATCAGGTCATTTTCATTTTTATGTCTCGTTACGATAACTTTTTTGCATTGAAGAATGGTCTAATCGTAAAAAAAAAAAAAAAAAAAAAAAAAAAAAAAAAAAGATCCTGCTTCTTTTATTTTGAGCTCTAAATCAATCTTGTTTTTTTTTATTTGATTTTTCTTAGCTTTCTTTACTATTTATTATTATTATTATTATTATTATTATTATTTTATTTTCTTCATTATCTTTATCTGTCATACTAATATACATTTCCTTTTATAGACATAGGAAAAAAAAAAAAAGGATGATGGTAACTTTTCATCCTAAAAAGGGAGAAAGGACGCAATCAATAAAATGGAAAAGATAATTCTGTTGTTATTATTTTCGGAAAAGCTTTTGCAGCAATGATGATGGATGACGATCATGAGGGATAAAGTTTGAATTTTTTTTTTTTATTTATTATATACTTCCAATCAGAAATTTTATCTAATCAAGTGTGTAGTGACAAAGAATTGATGTCGTCCACCCCCTTAAGCTGTCTGACTTGAAACTGATGGACTACACTAATTGATTGACTGTACTTTTAACTCCTTTCATTGAGAAAAATCATCCCCGATACATTTAAAAATGTTCAAACTTTCGGTTCTTTTTTTATTTATTATTATTATTTCTTTCTTTCCTTTTTATTTTTTTTCTTTCCTTTCTTTTTTGATTATTCAAAACATCATTTATATTCTTAATATTTCGTGCTCAACATACTTACTATATCCACGTAATCATGCTTCTATCGTGTTTTGGTAATCAAAAAAAAACATCATCGAGAAAATAGGAATTTCAAAAGGAGAACAAAGTGTGCATAATAAGTGAACTATCCCTTATTATTTTTGATGATTCCTTTTTGAAATATCCCGTCCCTTCAAAAAAAAAAAAAAAAAAAAAGCCATCCTCACCCTGATTTTTTTTTTTAATTTTAGCGTTGCCATGGAAAAAGAAGCGGGGTGCTCGATCAAAGTCAATCATCATGCCTAATTTGGCTACTTCTGAGCTTGCATCCCTCTCCTCCGTCTCGCTACCATTATCTACTACACGAAATAACAACAACTTCGATACCAACGTCACCACTAGCATCAACAATAGCAACAACAATAGTAACGATGATGATGATGATCAACACCTTGATAACGATGATTATAGTATCAAACCAGCACATCCAACAACTTTGATGAAATCAAAACGAATACCATTACATCCACCATGTTATCCTCACGAGGTATCATCACATATCACTCCACGTCATCCATCTTCAGAAAACTATACCGTCAGACGCCATTACACTATTGAAAAACGGGAAGAAGAAGGAAAGGAAGATTTACCTCCATATGAATGCACTGTATATAAAATGGGCTACATGATGATCAAAACAGAACTAGAAGGACCAACAAAAAAATCGAAAAAAAGATCATGGAGGTAAGAAAGGAAAGTAAAAAAAACAAAAAAAAAACAATGATATATAATAGGATCAACTGAAACAGATTTACCATAGGAAGCTGTATATGGTATTATGGGGTACTACCATCCGGGCGTACAAAACCACACCGTTGACAGAATTGGAAGAAAAAAAACCAGTATGGTGTTATTCTATGCAAGATGCAGAGGCTGGCCAAGCATCGGATTATCGTAAACGACGCCATGTCATTCGCCTTCGTATTCATCAGGGACCTCAATTTTTGATACGAACCAAAGGAGAAGACGAACAACTGGGTTGGATCGAACATTTACAAGCTTCAGTCAATGTCAGTTTGGATTTGGATCAACGAAAAATGCCACAATTTATCACCTCTTCCAGGCGAAGAAGACGAGCAAGATTAAATCATGATAGGAACTCACCTCATCAACGTTATCATCAACGTGAAGGCGCTTTGATTTGATCCCCTCTCCTTTTTTTTTTTTTGGTTTGATTTGTTTTGTTAGATTATTAGATTCATTTTTATCAAATAAAAAAAAAAAATAAAAGCTCTCTTTTAATATAATAACAATCATCCTGGTCCCACATCTTCATTTTTTGTATATGTGTGCCACCAACATGTTACCCATGCAAATACCTATTTTTATCCACTCCCCCCTTTCTTCAACTACCATGAAATCTATCCATCAGTTATGAATACAATCATTATCCCTACAATCATTATCCATACAATCATTATCCATACAATCGTTACCCATACAATCGTTATCCATACAATCATTATCCATATAATCGTTATCCATATAATCGTTATCCATACAATCATTATCCATACAACCATCATCCATATAACCATCATCCATATAACCATCAATCCATTTACGAATTTATTATCAACCCATCACCCAATATACTTTTGCCCATTACCCACCAACAAAGTAGCTTCTACGTTACTACTAGCTCACAACTAGTTTTATGCTAATATCTACGTACCAAATGAACGAATGAGGGTGACTGAAATTGAAATACCGATGGATTTGACCGAGCCATCTCATGATGATGACGAAAAAAAAAAAAAAAAAAAAAACTGACAAGGCTGAATCAACCTGGCGGGGGTCAATAGTTGAGGAAAAAGTTTTTTTTTTGTCTTTTTTTTTTCCTCTGTTTCTCTTTGAAAAAAGAATCCCTTTCTGTACTCCCCACTCTTTATCAACTATGGCTTCTTTAACACGCTCTGTTGCGTCTGCCATTGCTAACCGCTCTTATAACAATGTCCCTGCCTCAGCTTCCGCATTGCGACACATCTTCCACGTTTCTTCTTCTCAAGACGACGAACATCACTCCCAACAAAAATCCAGCATTCCTGTCAAACAACGATCTGCAGGCGGTTTGGTGAATACTTCCTACGTCAATGGTAAATAATACAACGTTTTTAAATATTTGTTTTTCGGACATGTGAATAGTCCTTACTTTTGACCATTTCTTTTATTAATTAATCTTTTTTTTTTTTTTTTTTTTTTTTTACCTTTTTCTATTTTTTTTTTTTCAGCTGCTCCTACTCAAGCCTTCTCGTTACGTCGCAACCACACTACCAATGTCCCTGACTTTTCAAACTACAAGAAGCAAAATTCTAGTGCTGATACCAGCCGTTCTTTTGCTTACATGATGGTTGGTACTACTGCTTTGGTATCTGCTGCTGGAGCCCAAGCTACTGTATCCGATTTTTTGGCTAACATGTCTGCTTCTGCTGATGTGTTGGCTTTAGCTAAGGCTGAAGTTGACCTTGCTTCTATTCCTGAAGGTAAGAATGTCACTATCAAATGGCGTGGTAAGCCTGTGTTCATTCGTCACCGTACTCAAGATGAAATCGCTGAAGCCAACCAAGTTAACGTTCAAGAATTACGTGATCCTCAACAAGATGCTGAACGTGTAAAGAAACCTGAATGGTTGGTGATGCTTGGTGTCTGTACTCACTTGTAAGTTGTATCAAATATATGTATTATGTTGATAGTATTCTTATCCTCTATTTTCTTTTATTTTTTTTTTTTTATTTAGGGGTTGTGTACCTATTGGTGAAGCTGGTGATTATGGTGGTTGGTACTGTCCCTGTCACGGTTCCCATTACGATATCTCTGGTCGTATCCGTAAGGGTCCTGCTCCTCTTAATCTCGAAATTCCTGGTAAGTTCAAAAAAAAAAAAAGGGATCGATTTTTTCTATACGAAACTGAATTTTTCTTTTATATAGAATACAACTTCCAAGAAGACAAGCTTATTATCGGTTAGATTATTTCAATTTACAAATAAAAAAGATATACATATATATTTTGGTTTTTATTATCCTTTTTTTTTTTTTTTTTTTTTTAATACATGTTGATGATTGATGTTTATAATTTTACACTGATTGATCTTCACCCAAAGTTTTTGTTACTAAGGTCGGTAGGACAAAAAAAAATCACGCTTTATTATTTGAGCACACCGCCCCCTCTTGTTCTATTTTCTTTCTTTCCGCTTTTTTTTTTATTATTCATATTTAGAGTGGAAAGACGTGACCATCTGTATTTACTTTCTATATGATTAGTTGACCTGTATATCTTTTCTTTTATACCTTTCCTTGTTTTTCTTTCTTTTTTTTTTTTTTATATATTGTATATCTCTATCTTACTACCCCACACCCATGGATACCTCTCCCATCAATCAGTCTTTTCCCCAGAACGCTCCATTTAGACAACCTGTTACCATTTTACATTTTGTCTCATTGACTTTAGCCTATCTCATTTTTTATCCCTATATATTTACACAAAAAAGTTCAAAACATGCTCATAAACGACGTTGGATAGTTCTCTGTCTTGGTTTTTCTTTTGCCTCGGTTGGTTCCGTCACTGGCTGGTTCATACAATATTCTCCAACCTCTTCTTCTTGGGCAAACTTGCTTCACATTATTTTAGGACAAATCTTGTTTATTTTATCAACTCTTCAAACTTTCTTGGATTACACCAGTACTGATCTCTTATGCCATCGATTCCAAGATACTCATTATCACCAACAGCAACATGAACAGCAACACTCAATACTGTACAATATATTTTCTTGGACAAATCATATTCCTAAATATGCTATTATATTCTTACAATGGATTATACTGTATTTAGGTTATTTTCATTTGATATTCAGTATTCTTGTTCTGACATCAACTTGCAACTCTTTGGCTCAATGTTGGTTATCTCTTGCTACAGGAACTGGATTTTTAGTTTATGGGTCTTTGATCTTTATGCACCTTGTCAACATCATATCTCTACCTCGCCGTGCTTCCCCTGAACATTATGAAGCTCTCTGGATTTTTTTATGGGGATGTCTGTCATTTTTTTTGTGGGGTAAGAATTGTCAAGGGAAATTCAAGCTACTATGCCGGAATAAGATCATGCCATTGAATTTTTTTTTTTTTTTTTATATATTATAGATACAAATATCCTTGGATCATCATGGAAGGCGATTCATCTTGGATTACTTTGGACTACTGGTGGTTTACTATCGTTAATGGTAAGCCTTCAATCTTGGTCACCATTTTTACAAAAAAGGAATATTGTCAACAGTGTCATTATTTGTCTCACTGGAAAAGGTAACGATTCATTCTTTAGAATTTATATATAGATTGAACGGTAAGTTACAGAGATAATTGACTGTTAATTTTTTTTCTTTCTTTTTTTTTGTTATATTATACAGCGATTCTATCTGCAATTCCTGTTGACGATACGTATGTGATGGAACTTCATTCGACTTTGGGATATGTATGTATTGTTGGCGGTATGGCTAGATGTATACAAATCACATTTCGAAAGTCACCTGTTGATAATCTACCTCGACTATATTCACGTGCTTCTGGTGCTTCAGATGAGAATTGTGATGACGATATTTACGACGATGACACATGTGTAGATGAACTTGATATTGGACAACGACGAGCGAATGATTTTGAAGCTACTTATAGACAATTAGTTGGAATGGAATTATCATCATCATCATCAACGACTTCCTCATGTAAACATCAATCTGTATATGCATCCATCACGATGGTGTGTGGATTGATTTGTTGTTTTATGGCTATTTCTGGCGGTTTTCTTTTTATTGGAACAACAGTGGATTGGATGGAAATCATGCAATATTACATCAATGATCCAAGTATCTATGTGAATCTTTTGTTGGCGATCTCTTTTATTTGGCTTACTTATCTTTTGATTCTGTGCACACTTTACAAAAATAACACAACACGTCCTGGAAGTTATGACTATTTGGATTTGGCAACTGGAGATTATTGCGAATTACCATTATCATCGAAAGCAACGTCATCACCAAACAGCTCATTTGATCATCATAGGAATAGCAACATGATGACGACCTCAACATCATCTTCATCAACACCAATTGACAATCAGCAACAATCCATGTTTACTTCTATACCACTTCTACCATTGAAACAACATGCATCGAATCGTTTATCAGGGTCCAATAGCAACGGAACAACATCATCTCCTCCACCCATGCGACCAAGTCAATATAGAGCAAAACGACGATCTTTATTAATTTCCACCGGTATGCAGAACAACAATCAACAGGATAATCGGACTCGACGTACATTATCAGCATCAAGTCATACAGGTGTTGGTGGCATATTACCAGATGAAGTATTGGGTGATTATTCGTTTTCTCCGACTGTTCTCACTGCTACATCAGCCGTTGAAAATACATCCATTCAACTCAGCAATGATCATCCAAGATGTTCATGGCGATCAGGATCATCATCATTATCATCATCATCTATATCATCATCTTCATCATCATCATCAGCATCAACAACTGGAATAGTATCATCTCCAAGAATTAGTTCGTCTACAGTCAGGGCAACGACAACATCGACGAACAGTATTGTAACAACAAGCACTTTATCACATCGTGACTCATGGCAACAAGTACAACAACATGACAATGATCATCAAATTGAAAGTGGAAAAAGACAATGGAAAAAATCAAAACAACGACGTACAACCAATACAACTAGTTTTAGCAATGATGAACAAGATGATGAAGTATCTTCTAGTGGATCATCAGACGATCGTAGTCGAAAAGGATATTACTCTAGTGAACGGAATAGTATAGTTACATTTTTTTGATTATCAATAAAGAAATTTTTTTTTGACTAATTAGAAAGACTTTTTGTGTGCTAAATAAAGGTCGCCGATCAATGACCGGTTCCAAATCATTTTATATATATTTTTAAAAAACAGCTGTACTACATTTCTATTGAAACCCGAAGCCGGTGATACGGACAAATCCAATACCGATTTTATTTTCTTTGTTTCTTTTTTTTTTTTTTTTTACTATCTTGGATGTTTTTTTTTTCTTTCTCCTTTTTATAAAAAAAAAGGGATCGTCATAAAAAACATGGCAAGAAAAAAAAAAAGGATGATCTTTTTATCTATTTTTGTACTCACATTTCCTCCCCTTATTTTCATTAAAACGATCGACTTTGCATTTCTTTTTTCTTACAATTAGAACACATTCGGACCTAAAAATCCGATGACTTGATATGATTTTTTTTTTAGTCGCAAAAAAAAAGTCGAGGCCTGAGTTAAAGTATAAAGGAAAAAAAAAAAAAAAGGAGTGAAAAAAACATGCTAGTGGATGATCATTGATTGGCTGTAGAAACGACCCACGTTAGATTTACATCTCCGTCTATGTAAAAATAGCTAAGGATCGTCTTTTCTTTTTTTTTTTTCTCTTTTCTCCTTTTCTTTACTCTCTCCAATTCCCTCTCTTTTATTATTATTTTCTTTTTCTTTTTCATCTTGTTTTTATAGTCTTTGTCATTGTTTTCTCCATTCCTTATATACTTTCTCTTTCTGTTTCTCTCTCTCTCTCTCTTTTTTTTCTTTCTATATTTCTACTTTTTATCCAACTTTGTCATGTCCTCTGAAAAACCAACTTTACCTTCTATTCAACTCATGTTAGAAGGTGCTAGTATTGATTCAACTACAACTAGAGTTAACAAGTCAAATCATCGTAGAAATGCTTCAGATGTAGTAGGTCATATGGAAAATTTGTCACTCTCTACTCCTTCCCCTGTTGAACCTAGTACAACAAACAATACCACCACCTGGCCTACTCCTTTTCGTCCTACACCTTTATATCAATACCCTTTTCAAAACCATCGTTCAGCTCGTAACCTACACTCTCGATCTTTTTCAGATTATACTCATCCTTATGTTACTACTCCACCACCAACTTCTCATCATCAACAAACCAATGGTTTATTGACTCCTTATCAGCAACAACATCGCCGAGCAATCTCTACCAGTACTTTGGATCTCATGATGCAACATACTTTACGTCCGGACTCTTATAACAAGGATAATAATACTTCTATTCATTCTACTACTACTCCTCCTCCAGCTCTTCAACCTTCTTACTCGACTTCTACTTTACCTCAAAGTCCTACTCTCTCCATCAAGACTCCTTCTAGCGTGGACGAACAACATCTGTTTGATACTGATGAGGACGATATTCATCATCGGGATGATGAACGATTCAACAATGATAGTAGAATCAAACAACAATTATCTAGTGGAAAAGTGATGATGATGGCTGGTTCTACCTCTACCACTACTACTACTACCATCACTACTTCGACAACTACCAACAACAATAACAACAATAACAACAATGGAAAAGATAACAACAAATATCAATGTCCATACTGTCAAAAGGGATTTTCAAGACCATCATCATTACGTATTCATACATATTCTCATACCGGTGAAAAGCCGTTCACTTGTCCTGAACCCAACTGCGATCGGTCCTTTAGTGTTCAAAGCAACATGCGGCGTCATATCAGAGTACACAAGTTGAATGGGCGACATTTGAAAATGAGACGATCTCCTCCTCCTATTAAACCCTTGGCTGCCAAACCTTCATGGATGAATGGAACTCAAGATGCTTTACCACCTCATTGATTTTTTTTTTCTTCTCTTTCCCTGATGACCTTCCCCCCTTTTTTTTTTATTGTTTTACATATACTATTATTATACTTTTATTTACTGTGTTCATATATTCCCATTTTCCCACCCATTATCTCTCATCTATCTTTTGCTTTCACTTAGTTTCGTTGCCCCATACCTTTTATTACTCCTTTTATTACCTTTGTAATACAGTACTTTTCTTCCTTATTATCCGATGTCCCTTCCAACCAAATCTATTCTTTTTTTTTTTAATATATACACTATTATATATATATATATACTATTGACAATTCTTATCAATAAACAATTGTTTTACAAAGTGCTTAGACCAAAAAAAAAAAAAAGATTTCAAAAATATAGTTGTATTATTTGACATCAACTAAAAATAACCACTACTCGAACAATTTATATCACATTGAAATTCTAACAATCATCCAATATTCGATAATTTTGATGAACTATACCAAATATTTATATTTCACAAATGTTGATTTGCACCATGAGGACATGCCTTTTTTTGATCAAAGAAGAAGGAAAATAAAATTTGAGTAACCATTCTGAACGATCACGTTTCATGATATATTTTTTTTCTAGTCGCCGACTTGCTTTGCATCAGATTGAATATCAAAAATTAGGAATAAAAGAAAAATATTGATCCCATCATGAAAACAATCTTCTATCTTTTTTTTTTTTTATTCTCCAACGATAATGATATATATATATATGTAAATATGAATGGAAGAGTTGTATCCTAGCTTCCTGTGACACAAGACTACCCTGAATGGGTTTATTTTTATTTTTAATTCGACTGAGTTCATCCTTTTTGATTTTATTCTCATACTTTTTGCATGATTTCCAAATAGTAAATATGTTCGCGGTGATAGGAAGACCAATATCATTGAATTAGGCTAATCCATTATCAACATCATCATCTTTTAGGATGCTTTTCTTGATCATCATTTGTTTGATTGATTCGTATTACCATCATTCCTCATTATTATGAATCATTCGATACTGCTCATCAAGTCAATTCGATGTATCATTTTTTTTTCTTATGTCAAAAATAAAGGCAAAAAAACAAAACTTTGAATGCCGCTCTCTTCCAAAAAAAAAAAAATCTAGAACGGAAAAATGAGAAAATGAATCTCTTTCTCTTCCTTTTTTTTTTTTTTTTTTTAATACCATATCACTCTTTTTTGAAATGTGTAAGATACAAATTGAACTTCTACTTAAAAATATTAAACCACCATTAATATTTCTATTTTATTAACACAATCTATCTTTTTAGGATTCTTGTCACCCTATACATATTATCTTCCCTCCTTTTTCTATACTTTCTTATAAACTAATTGATATTATTTGTTTTGATTATCCCTTTTATTGTGTACAAGTTTGTGAATAGGATTATATCAATATACAACTGGATAGATATGTAATAGAATATACGAACAACAAAAGTGGATGTACAACTGGATCAAGTAGTTGACTACGTAACATCAAAAGTATCTTTTTAATTTGTTTTTGTTTCCCTCTTCTGTTGTTATTCTTTTAGTAATATTTAGTATCAGTCTTAGCTTAGTGTTTATTATTGAATTTACATCCTACTTTAATAAAGTCATATTCATTATTATCTTCACCACCTTTCTGTTTATTATCTCTAGTATCATTACACATATCATCCATCATCAATTATAGGAAGCATCGTAACGGAAACCATCATAAAGTCATAATCGTATTCTTCTAGACGTATCGTCGATATCATGAGATCATATGAATCGTTAAGTTGTTAATGATGATGCAGGAAAAAAAAAACATGCTTAGCGTAATGTTTCGTCAACACCCCTTTCAGGAAAGGACCCTTTTTGGTCAATCCGTAATGAACGCCAAAAAAAAAAAGGAAGCTTAATTCCAATCTCAGTCTATCTTTTTTCAAAGAACAATGTCCATTGATCACAATTGATTCTTTATTTAATTTGACATAAAAGATCTATTTACCTTTTTATTAAAATGATCAAAAAAAAAGTACCTTATTTAATGATGGGAAAGGGGGAGGATGCATGTCAAACCAGCTTGAGGGAAGAAAGCAAAACAATCTAGCCACAATGATTAAGCCTCATGCATAAACTAAAAAAAAAAAAAGAGAGAAAATGAAGTATCACATGAAAGAAAACATTTGATCAAAGCCCTTTTTTGTATATGTGCATGTCCAGTTATATAAAAAAAAATGACATCCACTTTCTTTCTATCCCAACATAGTAAATCAAGGAACCAATCATCACATTCTACCATTGTCCAACTCTAAAAAAGACATACACCATGCATCTTATAAAAAAAAATTTTATTGATAAAAAAAAGTTATGCAGTAAAAAAAAAAAAAAAAAAAGGTCAAGTGAATTTCCCGTACAATGCAAATGCTGAATAAAAGTAAAAAAGAAAAGAAAAGAAGAAATACTAAACTAAGTAGGGTATGGAATAAAAAAAAAAAAAAAAGGAAAAATAACTACAAAAAAATTATAAACTAAATGAAATAATAGGCATTAACTAAGTAAAAAGTAAAAAAAAAATTATGAAATATTTATAGGTTTTGGAGCCAATCGAACAGCCATGACCAAACCATCAGTAGCACCACAGACAATCGTATCTACAGGTTGATATATGTTTTTTGTTTCATCCACGATCCAATCAAACCGAATACGAGCAGTGACATAATGAGACTTGGCAGCCATACATTGAGCTTCGACCACGACACGATCATGAGGATGGACCAATTGATAGAGTGATTTTCCAAGACAATCTTCACTTTGGACACCCAAAACATTGGAGATCATATCACTAACATATACCACATTCATAAGATCCGAATAACGATTGAGTAATAAATAGAAACGCGGTTCTTGTTCATGTTCCACTTGAGACTTGCTGTTCCAACGTTGTGAGACCTTAAGGCTATACTTCATACTATCGTTTAAATCTCGGGGTCGCCATGGAAAAGAACCCATAGATGCCAATTCCAATTCACCATTGGGTTTCACCACAAATGCTTCATCCACGCTGTTCATTCGTTGCCTATATCCCACTGATTCCGGATCATAAACCCAATTGGTTGTCACCACCGTGTCGTAACAATAATGAACCACTGTTTGCAACATAACATAACTACCATTCTTATGTCGAAATCGATAACTAACCATGGAGCAGAGTTTTTCGTTCATGACATTGGATATATGAATACGTTCTAAAGAAGGGATTTGTACCGGATCAAAATAACCATACACGGGTTGTCCAATGAGTTCATCTAATTCCCAACCAAGAATTTCAGTTGCTGTTTCTGATACATACTTGATGCAACAAAGTTCGGAATTATCATAGGTAACAATAAAACTAAGGTTACTTGGCATTCCTTAATCTGGAATGATCTCAAAAAAAGCAGGGAAAAGAAAGAAAGAAAAAAAAAAAAAAAAAGGGATTTCTTTATTTTCATTCTCCCCACGCTCAGTTAGGTAAAATTAACCAATAAAAATTAACTTTTTTTTTACTGTTGTCAACACAGTGGTAGATAGTACAGTTTTATGCTAAAAAAAAAAAAAAAAAAAGACAACATATTCATTTCTATTTTTTTTTTCTTTAATAGATCCTAGGAAATCAAATTACTACCGGTAATAAAAGGATGATGTAGTTTATACATGTCACTGAATCAAATCATCCTGAATCAACTTGCATCCATTCATCATATCAATCATCTAATAAACTTATTATCCCACTTTTTCCATATAATGCGAGTTTATGTGTAAATGTGCGCAGCCACTTCCAGATAGGTTCATCGGGCATAGAAAAGTGGGTCAATAAAATTTTGTATCACCCACGGTTTCTTGTTTCCTTTTTTTTTTTCACTCTTCTTTCTTTACTTCTTTACATCATGACGAAAAACATGCTCTCTTATACTGGTGGTGTAGTAGGACTTTTGATTCTTATCTTGGATTTGATTGTTATCTTTGAAGTTCTCAATTCTAATCGAACTGTTGGGGGTAAACTAGGTTGGTCTCTTTTAGTATTCTTTTTCCCATTGGTGGGACTTATCTTTTACTTGTAAGTACATGACTTTTATGAACATATATATTCTAATTTTTTTTTTTAATTGTAGTTTGTTTGGTCACCGTGAACAACATAATGCTTCTTATACACCTATCAGTAGTGCATAGGAGTTGATGTTTATGCCTTTTCTTTTTAGCGGGGTTTCTCTCTCTCCATATCGTTCTTGATTTTTTCTTTTTCTTTTTTTTTCCCTTTCTTTCTTTCTCTTCTCACACTCAAACATATACATTTATATTTTACTCCCCAATAATCTTGAGTTCCTTTTTTCTTCTGTTTCCCTTCTTCTCTTTATTATTGTTATTATTATTATTAAAAAAAAAAACTTCTATTGTATCAATAAAACTTTATTATTATTATTATTATTATTATTATTATTATTATATATCCTAATTATGCATCCTGTCACCAATCGAACAGAACGACAACAAGAAGAACAACAACGGGCAAAAACAACTACTGATGATAGTATAGTTTCTGGTATGGAGGCATCTAGTTCATCTATGGCGGGTGACGATGAAGATGACGATGACCCTTTTGATCTACCACGACGCAATGCTAATACTCGATCTTCACCGATATTGATGTCACCAGTCCCATCCACTTCTTCATCTATGGACAAACGAGATCATGACATTTCATCTGGATACGATGCTGATACTGAAGGTGGACATTCAACAATTCCTTCTTACTTGCAACAAAACAATAAACAACATTCTCCACATCGTTTTCACCATCATACGAAATGGACCAGTAAAATGAAATATCAACCTCCTACTTCTGTATCAGAATCAAATGACGAATATCTGTAGATTATTATTAGCTGCTATTATACTTTTTTATAATAAATAAAACATTCATTTATTGAATTTATCTATATAATCTATATCTATCTGGACAATCATCTACCTAGAAAATTGACACGTGTATATCGAGGCTATTCATAATTAAAAACTAGAATGGTACTTGTGAGTTTTCCGATACTATTGTTGATAATCTTTGACCATCACGATCAAGTGGAATCGAGTGAGATTGAGTTGATATATTTGAAGATGATGGCTGACCTGTATCCTCTGATTTTGATTTGCTTGCACCTGCTTCTACAGTTGTTGTTGAAGATGAAACTTGTCCAGTATTATTGTCATTGTTATCATTGACTGGGGTTGACTTTCTTTGGTGATGATAAATGTCCTTGATAAAAGCCACGGTCGTAGGTTCACTATAGAAGATGGCGGCAACTAACAAACCTAAATAAAATAATAAAAAAAAAAAAATATGGTTAGAATCATAAAAACAAAATTGATTTTATATTTTTTTTTTTTTTTTACCAGCAGCTGAAGAGAAGATGGCATCCACAATGGAGAGAGGATAAGAGGATCGTTGTGGTTCGAATTCAACGAACTGCATAATAAATGCCCAAACGTTTGTAACTATCGGAACTATAAACGAATCATTAGTTCATATTAGCCAATTGTCTATTTTTAACAGTTTACCAAGTGAATAAAGAATACATCGAATGCCAACCTTGAAGAATACACTAGATGATGAAGAAGAATCTTGCGTTGTTGGTTCTTTCAAACGATAATCACGAGATAATTTCCACATAGACATACCCCCAAATACAGCCGATGAGACAATAATTAAAAATAGAAAACAATAATACCATAACTATTTAAAAAAAAAACCGACTGGTGTTAGTTTCATCCCATTTCCCTTAAAGTAAACATACCCAGTGAAATCCTATTTTGGTTGGACTGTAAAAATGTCTTGAATAATACCTAACCAAAAAAGAAGAATATGAACAATACAAAAAAAAAAAAAAAAAAAGGATCATCCAGCCATTTACCAACAACTACGAGGTACTGAATAATGGTTGGTAATAGCGTCATTTGTAGTAATTTGATGAATGGTAGCTGAACAAGCAATCAAGGAAAAAGAAATGATCCCCAAAGGATAAAAACGAGAAGCCCATTTTTGTTTTCGCATATCACCATATAGAATGATCATCAAATTTAATCCAATCGTTCCCAAGGCCGAAACAGCAACAGTGTTGAATGCCATGATCACAACACTTGTATTTTCGCAGTAATCCGAATTGCCAGCCACAGTCCAGTTCACTATATCCAAGATTTCAACCACTATCAATGCCACCACTGCCACCATCACATATTGCAGTGTCAATCGTTGTGCATGTTTCCTGTTGTTGAACCATAAACACACATAAGTCAAGCTGGTCGCCACTGAGGAAAATAACGATATGATTGTAAATGTAATGACACAGATCCGAATAGGAAGGAAGTAACTGAATGGTAATTGTTGTAGAGGAAGATTTGAAACCATATGTATTGATCATTGCATATTGACTCCTAACAGAAAAAAAAAAAAAGAAAGAAAGAAAAGAGAAAAAAGAAAGAAAAAAAGAAAGAACGAAAGAAAAAAAAAAAAAAAAGGAAGCTTTTCCATAAATCCCGCAACGTTTTTTTTTTCTTTTTTTCGGCTTGGACAAACACTATTTTTTATTATTATTATTATAAAACAAGGATGTACAAAAAATCTACTACAATGAATATGACTAAAATAGATAATCAAAAGGAAGGGTAAGATAAATTAAAATTCTAATCACCTTTTTGTTGCTGAAGAATACTAGCAATCCATCCTGTTGCTAATTTGTATACCCTTGTTGAACCTGAGACTTTGGTAAATCGTAGAGCCAATAATCGTGTGTTTTGTTTGGAAGGAATAAAGTTGACTTCAATTGAGAATAATGCTGTACCATCTGTCGCTGTTGTTGGTATCTTTTTATCATTTTCTACTGTTTGATCTTTCTTCCGAATAAAATTATCCACAGAGGTCTTCCCATGTAAACTACGTGTACCATCAGTAGAAGATAATCGCATACTATGAGCACTGGATGAATGACGCAAGGATCGGTTATTTAATTGTAATACGTTGGAATGTGGTAAAGCCAATCGCTGTAATTGTCGTAACCACCAATGACTGTTGTTACTAGCAGTAGGATTGCAATCTTCATTGATGTCAAGAGAATGGATGATGCTTTCAGGATAGAGTGAGTTGTTGGAAAAACTTTTCCTTTTAAGTAAAGTAGGAGTTGATGTCGATGCTGAGAAGAGTTGTTTGAGAGATGATTTGCGTGGGATGGCTGATGGCGATGATTTGCGTCGTTCTAATACATCCTGTTCCTTATAGTTGCATAATGTGAGCATACAACTGAGTTGAGATCGTGATTCATGTAGATAGGTGACACCAAGTAGTTCACAAACCGATCTTACTAGTAACACCAATTCAAATTCATCTTGTGCTTGATCCACTGGTGCTGAAGAAGGTACACGTTGATCATCCAAATAAGTAGGTGAACTAGTAGAAGATGTCATAGAGACTACAGTGGTTGATGAAATGGCACGAACATTGGATTGAATGGTGAAATAATACGTTTTGTCCTTGGTTCGCTGATATAGTTGAGAAATGTTGAGTGATGATGTCTTTTTCATTAATCCTCTATGCTTGATTGAATGTTGTTGTTGTTTTTGGTTAGCTGCGTCAGATACTGTAGAGATGTTGGAAGAAAGGACGGGAGTAGTAGTAGTAGATGATGATGAATGATCTAAGCAAGAAGGTTGTAAGTGAGTATTGATATCAGGTCGTTTCCATTTCCGAAGAATATGATTCATTGGTGATCGTAAACTAGATAATTGAATGTGATTGACAGGACATAAGGAAATTTGATTCAATACTGATCGGATTTCTTGATATAGGGCAGCACGAATTGGTTCCAATAAAGATCTGTCTTCTCGTCGACCATGACTAGTATAATAATAGGCCGGATTATGAGCGTGATGAATAAGTGTTTTTCGTACTTGATATCCAGTTCGCTTTTCTTCTTCCATATCCCTAAGGAATTGTCGTTGTTGTTGATCACGTTCTTGTTGCCGAGCTTCCAAAGAGATTGCATCTACTGACATACTAGATGGTACTGCAAATTGATACATTGCCGCATGATAATTACTTCCCTCTGAAAATAAATCATCTAGTCGTCCATAATCATTTATCCAAGGATCACCCTGTAAAGCATTACAAAGACTTGATCGTTTCCTTCGGTCTGTTGATAGACATTTTTGAATAGTCCGTTTCAATCCATCACTAAAATGGCCAGGCATAGGATAATTTCGATTCAAGATATCCTTTCGTAATTCACCAATGGCTACCAAAAAAAAAAAAAAAAAAAAAAAAAAAATAGGTAAGGATATTTGTATTTTCAAAAAAAAAAAAAAAAAAAAAAAGGAGGGACAGGAGTTTTTTGTTTTATCTTCGAATTTCCTCCTTTGGAAAACATGTTGACACTTACTTTTTGCATGAGCAAAGGCTTCAAATCCAGCCACCATTCGAAAAAGGCAAATACCAAGGCACCAACAATCTACTTCAGGACCAATATACTTCTTTCCATTGATGATTTCAGGACTATAATATAACATAGATCCTATATATTTTAAATTGAAATAAAAAGAATTAAATAAAAAGTAAAAATAAGTTTAAATTCTACTCACCACAAATAGTTCTTAATCGTTGAAGACCAAATCTATTACTAAGACCAAAATCCACCAAATGAACTTGATTGTTTCTTGTCAATAATATGTTGGGTGCCTACCAAGTAAAGTAAGTGAAATGGTAAAAAGGTAAGCTTCTTTTTCTTTTTTCCCCTCATTTTTGTTACAACTTTTTTTTGTTCTCCTTTTTACTTCATCACAGTTGTGTCCTTTTTTTTTTTTTGTGATACCTTCAAATCCCTGTGTACTACCCATTTCTGATGACAATAATCTACTGCCGCCACCACTTGACGAAAGATCATTCTTGCTTCTTGTTCTTTGAGAGAACCACCCATTTGCTTTAAATATTCATCCAAATTGACACCAGGAATGTATTCCATTACCAAATAAAGAGTACAAGCAGTTTCAAATGTTTCATAGAGTCGAACAATGTTGGGATGATTTAATGCTTCCATAATACTGATTTCTCGTACTAATCTTGACATGACCCTATCATCGTATACCCTTTTGTCAATCATCTAATAAACCATGATCATCATAAAATAAAGAAGGGAGAAAAAAAAAAAGCTTGTTCAGTAAGTTTGATTTTTGTCGTTCCCCCCCGTGTTTCCGTTTCCCCCGGATCTCCCGAAACTTGTTTTTTTTTTCTTTTGTGTACCTTGATTGCAAACTTTTCACCCGTCAAGTAATGTTGAGCTAGCATAACTTTACTAAATTTGCCTTCACCAAGTTGAGATAAAAACTGATAATCACCTATACCAAACACGGATGAATCAGGATTGGGCGTAAGATCACTTGCTGTTGTCTTTTTCTTTTTGGTGGGTGCCTTCGTTTGTGATGATTTGATATCTTGAGATATCTTTTGTTGTTCTTGTTCTTGTTGTTGTTGAATAAGTAGAGCGAATTGTTGTTGTTTTTCTAATTCTTCTTCTTGTTGTTTTTGCTTTAACATGGAAAGCATTGGCTCAGATCGTCGTCGCCACTTTTTACGCATCTGTTCCGAAACGTCTCTGAGTGGCATAATAGGAATATGGATAGATTGTATATAGAAAAGAGAGAAAGAGAGAAGTAATATCTTTATATTAAGATATATAAATGGAAGTAAGGAGTTGAAGAATGAGAATGAAGAAGAAGGACAAAAAAAAAAAAAAAAGTAAAGAAAAAGAAAAAGAGAAGAAAAAAAAAACAATGTTGGTACTTGTTTACACTTTTTGTATTTTGATTACCATATATGGATTTGCTTCAAAGGTCCACATGGTCAAACTATTTTCATTTGCCGCATCACTACCCATTATTGTTATTAATACATCATAATAAGATACAATAATAATATTTAGAAAAAAAAAGTTTATTGTAGTCCATTCTTTTCTTTTGTAAGTAAAAAAAGAAAAAAGTAAAATAATATGGTCAAGTATTATGATAAAAACGGATGTAATAAAAAAACTAAGTAACTATAAGAAAGGGAGAAGAAAGTAAAATAATAATAAATAGTAATAATAATAATAAGAATAATAAGAAAGAAAAAAAAAGATCAAAATTCATCATCACCCATTCCAAATAATCCATTTCTTGTCAAAGTAGATTCCAAGTGTACCGGTACTTCCTTGGCCATTTCTTCTTCACGACGTTTTTCCATTTTCTTAGCAGACATAGCACCTAATCCTTTCAAATAATCTACTAATCGACGATGTCCACCAGCTCGAGCTAAATCCAATGGTGTACCTACCCTACGTGGTACATATGTATTGCAATCACATCCGCACCTTTCTACAAGTAATGTCACTACTTCCAAACGTCCATGTCTGGCTGCCCAATGTAAAGGTAATTCACCTCGATGATCCGCTTGATTGACTGGAATTTCACAAGATCTTGCCAAAAATGATACTAAATCTGTATGACCTGACGCACACGCATAATGTAAGACAGTTGCACCTATGACAACAAAATATGAATGAGTTTTAAAAAAAAAAAAAAAAATTCTATTTTACCTAAACTATCCACTTCCAAATTGAGACGTCCTTGAGTAGTATCCACAATATATTCTACCACAGCAGCATGACAATGCTCAGCAGCAGCATGTAAAGCTGTCTTGTTTTTGGCTCCACCACCTCGGGCAATCATTAAATCACCCCCTGCTTGTACCAATTTTTGGAGTCCTGCCAACCATCCTACACTTGCAGCTAAATAACATGGCGTCACCTATTTATCAAAAATATATACATAAATGGATATATACAAAAAAAAAAAAAAAAGAGATATCTCTTACCTTGTCATCTTCAATTTGACCAAGAGTATACACATTCGGATTTGCTCCTTGTTGTAAAAGTAAATCCAAAGAACCAGGAGCTTTGGTAATAATCAACGCATGAACCATTCCAAATCCATATTTAACAGCATTGGCAGTTGGAGATTGTTTTGCTGTATTAGGAGATCCACCTCTTCGAAGAAAGTTACTATTGTACATAAATGGCAAAGGACATCAAAAAAAAAATAATCAAAATTTAGTGATCATCTTCTTCATTTTCCCCTTGTTCTCTCTCCTTTTTCTAGCACTACCTTTTTTTTTCATGGTCCATTTACACTAAAGGGAAAATGAATCATAAACATACACAACACCTATATCCACCCACATATAAACACACTTCTCCAACCTCTCCTCTCCATTGTCCTTTTTTTTTTCTCCTTTTTTTTTCGTTTTCATCTGTTCCTGGTTTAGCTCCTTTTTTTTTTGAGAGAGAGAGATCATCCCTTACCTGATAATTTTTTCTACTGTAACATCACTTCCTTTTGACTTGCTAATAGTATCCCATAAAGCATCAGAACCACCAAAAATAAGAGGATCCACTCGTCGTTGTTGTATCAAAGATGCTCCTGTATATCCATTTGTTGCTGTACTTGATCGAACTGGTGTCATTGGAACAGAATGTATTGTAGCTGTTGCACCTGCTGAAGATGAAGAAGTAGATGAAGTGACAAGTCCTCCTCCACCTTCTTTTGGAGTCGAAGAAGAAGCGCTGACAGATGGTGCTGAGATAGTATGTGATGGTGAAGTTGATGTACTTGATGCCATTGGTATAGAACCGGAAGTGTTGGGTTGTAAGAGTTGCCATGATTGTTTTTTCCTAGAAGACTTGTCTTTTGAATTGCTGCTGCTGTTATTACTATTACTATTACTGATGACATTGTTGTTGTTGTTGTTGTTGTTGTTGTTACTATTTATATTGTTGCTGTTAGAAGATGAGGTGAAGGAAGAAGTTTCAGTGTTAGATGAATGAGTACTATGTACCGAGGCTGAAGTTGAGTTTTTTCGGAATCGAGGTTGTACAATGCCATCGGTGGATGAAGACATGAATGAATTCTTTTCTAAGAGTTGGGTACTACCGAGATTCCATTGTGGTAACATATTGGATTGAATACTAGTTGTTGTTGAGGAGGATCGTGAAGGTAAAGCTGATTTATGTTGTTTGTTATTAGAGCAATCGATGGAAGAATCGTAGTTACTGAAGACAGATAGATCATTGGGTATAACAGAAGGTTGAGGACTTGTTGGAGTAAGAGGATAACTTTGTATATTCGAACCAGCTTTGTGATGATGTGATACTGATGGTAAATCATGTCCTTCACCTGATGAACCAGATTCAATAGAAAGACTTCGTGGTCGTTGTTGTTGTTGTTGTTTTTGTTGAGCTGTCATAGTAGAATTGACGTATTGTTTGTTCATATCCATTGCCTTTTCATATTTTTTACGGAAGAATTGCATTTCACGGACAGCCTTGTCATAACGTCGCTGATGATCTGCGGCAAGTGTCTTGTACTCTTCATTTTCTTGTTCCAGAGCTTCGGATCTTGATTGTAGCATAGTGAGTAATCGATCATGATTGGAAAATATACGCTTGATTTCAACTTTCATAGCTTGCTTTAGGTCATCCCGTTCAACTGAATCTACCATGTCAAGTAGGATCTCTTTAGCACTTCGAGGATGTTCATTCTTGTCATGGTGTTGATTGACATCTTCCAAACTATTGAAAGAGCCAGCAGAAATCAGAGAAGGTGGCATGTAATAGCAAAAAATAAATAAATAATAATAATAATAATAATAATAATAATAAATTAAAAAAGTAAAAGAAAAGAAGAAGAAGAAGAAAATGGAAAAATGAAAAAAAAAGAAAAAAGAAAAGAAAAAAGGAAGAAGAAGGGGGGGATAGAACTGAAAAAAAAAATTAAAAAACCTCCACAGTGCGTGTATGTGTATCTAGCATTTTTTTTTTGGTACCTTGTAGGAGTTTTACATTGTTTACCATATTTGGAATCCTTTTTTTTAACCCCTCATCTTACGTGGATATCTATTTTATATATATAAATATTAATATTAATATATATATTATTATTAATCTAAATCATCTATTCAAATTGAAAATAAATCTATTTGGTTGTTTTTGTTGTTTGTTTTTAATATGAACCCTATATGTATTATTAAAATCACTTTTTTTACAACACATAAATCATACACGCACACACTCATCACGTTAATACTAATAAAGGGAAATCAAAACCAACTTCTCCTTTCATTTCTCTCTTTCTCTCTCCCAAACGGAAGCATGATCTCACTCCTTTCAATATCTAAACAACGAATGGTGTAGTGAATAATAAAAAAAAAAAAAGGGGGGGGGGGTTTAAAACAAAGAAATAGAGAACCTGAGAATCAGAGGGAGGAAAAGAAAAAAAAAAGCATATGATTGGGGTCACCTATAGACAATCTTCAGAAATTCAAATGTGTTTAAGTATATTTTGATGAGAATAAGTAAAGCAAAACAAATCACAATTACTTTAATAAAAAAAACCATCCATCATCCATTGTTCATCGTTTATTGTTAGGATCATATTACACCTTACTATTGTTATCATATAATTATCCATCATCACATATCATCCGTCATCGTACTCCATCCATATTAGTCTTTATTATCTTTTTTAATTGTCAATCTACCCTATTGATTCCAACACCAAAAGTATAACCATGTTTGATTCAGTAAATATGTAATTCAACTATATAAATTTGTTCTGTTTTATTTTTTTGCATTGATTTCATCTGTATAATGCAAGAATTATAAAAATAATAAGAATACTAACAATAATATGAATAACCTTCATCATATATATATATAATCATAGGAGCAATACGTCTGTATTTTTCTATAGAGAAAGGGTAAAAATAAAATGAGAAATAGGCATTGAATATGTACCGCCTTTTTTTTTTTTTTTAAACATGTCAAATCAAAGATTAGAAAATAAAAAATGGGGGTTCCTTATTCAGGTACATGAAAGGACTTTTTTTTTTAAAAAAAATATCAAATGCACAAGGTCAAATATCAAAAATAACAACAGGAGAACATGTGAAAAAAAGGAAAGTCTTTTTTTTTTTTATTTTATTTTATTAGATTCAAGATAATAAAGGTAATATAGGTAATAAAAGAAATCTACAAGTGTATATAGTATGCATATATAAGGAAGGTAAGAGTTAATACTAATAATATGAATGAGGTGCTTGGTATTGTTGTGGTTGATGTTGATAATAAGGTTGCTGGTATGTTTGATAAGGCGAAGGAGGTATAGAAGCGTTCGATATTTGAGGACTTTGTAATTGATAGGGTGAAGAATAAAGATGTTGTGGTGATTGATGATGATGATGATGATGTCTTTGTTGTGGCTGATGATAAAGGGTATCGTCATTTGAATAATAAGGTTGTGGAGTCCATGCTTGAGGTTGAGCATTTGCAGTTAACCCAAGTTGATCATTGCTACTATAAGAAGATCCACTATATCGTCGTCCACCACCATTTATCCTTGATCCATCATCTATACCATATTGTTGTTGATATCCATGACCACTAGATAGATAAGTATTATTATTATTATCATTGATTTGTGGTAAAGTTGGTTGAGGAAATGATTTCATTTCAATATCATCCTTTTTGTTTTTCTGATGAAGTCCATTGACACGTTTCTTGGCTTGTTTTCGAAGTAAATAGGCAATTCTAAATAAGAAGATATTTTCAAATAGTTGATTAGTTTGAAAATTGATTTCTAAAACATCATTCTTTTTTTTTTTTTTTGTTATATATATATTTAATTAATTACCTTTTATCGACCTTGTGACAACAATATTCTTTCAGATTACCTTGAATGTGGCATAATAGAGGAATGTATACAATAGTAGCAGCACACACCATAAGAAAAGAGATTGCAAACATGAGAACAGAGAAAGCCATTGTACCAGTCATAATTTGTTGAATCAAAGTTTTTCCAAGAGCAGTATTGTCGACTTGTAAAGTACCATTACGTAATTGAATCCATTTAGGAATCAATGCCTTCAAAGTGACGACGTTGATAACTTGTCTTGGAGCTTCAGCCAATAAAAGTCGTTTCCAACCTAATCACCATTTAATAATAAAAATGAATAAAAAGAAAATATATTTTATTTTTTTTTTCTCTCTCTCTCTCTCTATATATATTTTTTACCTTTCAAAGTAAAAAAGACAAAAAATGCCACACCATCAACAAATTTTCTTGAACTATTGATTTTCCAAAATAAACAATAGTATTTATAATCTTTTACACTGTAATATCGACTAGCAATGACTGAAGTAAAAGCCCATGATATATCCCTAGAGGCAATGATCATTCTTGATTTTCGAATATCCCAAAATAATAATAAAAAGGAGATCAAGATAGCACCCAAGAAAATCCATTTAGACACATTTGGTGGAATAGCTGCACTTTCATTATCTGAAGTTTGACCAACCATCAATAATGATACTATATATAAATGAATGTTTAATAAACTAAAAAGATTAAGTTATTTTATATTATTATTATTATTTACCTCCAGTCCATAAATCCGCGATATATACTAAGAATGATTTGAAGATCACTAAAAAGATAGAAAGGTAACCAATTTTTGTTGTGCAAGAAGGATCATAGAATTCGTCCATATCAATATAATCAAACTTGTGGTCTTGAACATATTCACGTTTCCATTTTGGACCTTGTTTTTCACTTCCACCATTACACTGTTATAATGTAAACCAAACAAAAACGTAACTAAAGTAAGTTAGTTCAATTCAACAAAGTTATGTCCCGCTAGCATATTGGTCTTACCATAATAATAAAAAAAACAAAGTAATTAACAAAAAAAAAAAAAAAAAGAGAGAGAGAGAGAGAGGAGATAAAGTATGTGAATTCCTAAAGAGAATCACTAAACAATAGAAAAGGAATGGAAGGAGTTTGGAAAAATAAAAATAAAAAAGAGAAGTGAAAAGAAAGGAGTTAAGAAGAGAAAGCGTAAAAAAAGAAAAAGGGGGGAACGTGCAATTTTTTTTTTTTTTTTACAGCATCAGACAGAATAGATTGGGCTTACATTTTCATGTCTATCATTTGGAAACCAGATCAGGTCAAAAATAGAAACAGTTCAAATTTCCCAAAATAGCAATAGAAAAAAAAGTATTGGATGCTTTTTTGTTGTTAATCTTTCATAACAAAAAAAAAAAAAAAAAGGATAGAATAAAAATATATATATATTTTTTTATTTTACAAATCTAATATATTATTCCTAAAAAACTAAATACTAATCAATATGGTTCATCTTCCTATAGCCTAAACCAAAATACTAAGCATATTTTTTGATAACAAATCCAACTTGTTGCATATCAAAAAAGAGGGAGTCATAATTCAGTAGAGTGGCGGTCTTTTTTATACGGAGGGTACATTTCTAATATACTATTGATTTGCTTACCAAAAAAAAAAAAAAAAAAAAAAAAAGAAGTGTAAATTCAGTTTAAAAAAATGATCAAACATTCCTTACCTTCCATATTTTTGTATCCTATAATTTGATCATTTGTTTTCATCATATATATACATATATATTATGGTATAGTTTATCCCAATCGATTTTTATTCACTTGTTGATGTTGTTACTGAAGAAAAAGTAAATTTCCTGTTAATATAACTTGAATCATTTTAATATCCATCATCTATACAAATCCAAAATATATTGTAATCATAATTAAATATATGGATACTATTTTTCAAAATCATACTATATTACCATATACAACAGTGATATCAAAGTGGTTGAAGCCAGTATCTGAATGATTATTATCGTTCCATATATATATATCACCATCTAATTACCATGTTGATTTCGATATGATTAATCTTGTTCCATCCTGTCAAAGTACAATCCACATTTTCCTAAATCTAGTGTTCCATAGAATATCCTTTTCGTTTTCAACAAATAAATTAGTCGTGACAAGTAAAAGAATTGAATGCAGTAGTGAATAGAAGAAACACCAAGATAGTGGTAAGTCATGAGAAGGACAACTTACTTTTTATCATTGTTTCCTAAAAACATATAACAAAAGAAGAAAGGCAAAGTATAAAGCTTGTATTAGCTAATGTCATATCAATATATTTCAAAACCTACGCGTTTTTTTTTTTGTAGTAAATTCGACATGTATCGTTCTTTGAAAAAGTTCAAAAAAAAAAGAAAGAAAACGAAAAAGAAAAAGAAAAAGAAAAAAAAATTGGCATCTCTTTAAAAATAAAATTGGAATCGGGATTTGATCATTAAAAAAAAAAAAAAAGACAAGACATGTGGTAGTTTATTGAAAATACAAGATAGATGATAATATCAAAAATCCATCATTGCTAAAGAATACTGTTCTACTATCACAATATATATTTGATGATTTATTTGGGAGGAAGTACATTGTTAGGGAAATCACCAAGCATATTGCCAGGTGCCTTGTATGAACAAGTCAGGATATTACGACCATTACACTTACCAAGACCACAGCCAATCTTGGTAGTACCTTTCCATACGACTTGAGTGAAATGTCCAGTAGAGCTAGAGAAACCAGGATTGTTGTAGTTATAAGACTTGCCTTCATCGTACCAGGCTTGGATGGCTGCGTTCAATGAACCGTAGCCCATAGCAAGATTTTCACCATAAGGACTAAAAAAAAAAAAAAAAAAAAAGTCAGAGAAACGGTTTTCCTAATTCTGTTTATTGTTACTTACCCGCCACTATGTTGAAAGACACATTTGTTGGACCAATTTTGTGCATATTGAGCGAGTTTCTTGTCCCATTTCAAAGCAGGTGCACTGTGGATTTTGCGAAATTTGTTATGAGTGTTGACAATGGAGTTGATATCTTTCTTTGACAAAGCATATGCAAGTTGAAGCATCATAGCGAATGCTACCACATAAACGAAGAATCGGCTCAGCATATTTTGATTTTTTTAAGTAAAAGGAAGGGAATGAGGATTTGTTTTTGGATGATGAATTGAAGAAAGGTAACAAAAAAGAAAAAAAAAAAGATCCTTATATACCATTCATGGATGATTTTTACGTTATTACTTTTTTGGCATCCAGGTGATGATTAAAGTTTCGTGCAACCCTAAAAAACAATAACGCGATGGTCTAATATTCCCTTCATTATTGGTATCATTAAACAATGGTGATACATTGAAATCTTGTAACCCTTCAAAGATTCATCTGGATTTATGCAAAATAGAGTAATTAGACTTTTTCTCAAGCAATCCTTGGTTGATAGATGTCTTCTTTTATTGTTTTGTACCTTGAAAAAAGAGTATCATTTCTAATCAATGATGTATCTTTTAAATACCGATAAACTCAAAAGATCATCCAACTCTACTGTCATCATAACTAAGAATCCTTTATTTTGAGTATCATTTTTTTTCGTACTACATTAATCCCCATTGATGTTAACATCTTTATTACCTTTTTTTTTTTATGACAACTATGATGTAGTCGAGACACGTTCTTTTTTATTTGTAATTATTGATCATCGACTACAATCGTAATCTAATCGGAAAATGAAGTTTAAATTGTCTTCTGCCTGGGAACTATACCAACTTAATCATCCCATTAGATCCATTGATTATGTTTCAATGATGTTCAAATCATCCAATAACTGACTTTTTTTTTTAATTTCTTGGTTCATGATGTACTTTCCATTTAGTGCGAATCTTTTTTTTTTTTTTTTTTTTTTGTACAGATGAAAGAATAAAAAAAAATACCCAACATACATCATTCCATAAAATAGATAATATTATTGACATTGAAATTATCTCGTTGTTTTTTTTTAACAAAAACGTGCTTTACCATTTTCCCGTTTTATCACTCCGTAACATCATCAACACTACAATGTCCGTCCTGCGTCAGTATTGAATCCTCATCGTCCATCTTCCATCAATGCAATCAAATGCTCAGATTGAGTATGAATCATACTTTAGCTACATTGGAGACCAGAAAAAAAAATTTCTATTTATTTTTCGTATTACATTTACGGCGTCATTTCTAGTGATAACTGTGCCTTGGTGTATTAATAATAAAAAAAAAAATAGACATGGATGATATGCATCTATTTTATTAATAGTGTTATTACGGTGTGATGGAAGGTTAAAATCTCAAAATGGATTTGAAGATCTTCTCTGAGATTGACATTAGATATCAGATGACCTTTTCCTTTTTTTTTTTTTTTTTTTTTTTTTTTACGATTTGATCCACTAACAAAAAAGATAGCCATAGATAAATGAACGTTTTATTTATTAACCCAATAATGATAACAGAACTAACTAAATTTGTGTGGCCATGATGATGGATGGATTTGTTTTTGGTGGGAAGACATTTTGCTGGTATTGACCTCTAATATTCCCAGGTGCTTCATAATTACAACTATAAAATGCACCATTAAGACATTGTCGAAGACCACAACCCACTGAGCTAGTGGATTTCCAAACCACTTGAGTGAATGCACCAGTACTAGTATCAAAGTCTCCATGTTCAAAATTGTATTTTGGTTCTTCATCATCAGCCCATGCTTTCATCACTTGATCCCAAGAAGTATATCCCATTGCCATGTTTTCTCCATACTTACGCTATCATCCAAAAAAAAAAAAAAATGAAACCTACTTTCTGAATTTTTTTTTTTTAAAAAAAAAAAAACCTTCTTACGTTTCCACTAAGTTCAAAACGACATTGATTAACTCTAGATTGAGCATAATTCGCAGCATCTTGATTCCAAATCAAAGGAGGGACTTGATGCGTAGCACGTCGCGTGTTATGAAGTTGTAAAATATATGTAGCATTGACGGGATCGCCCAATGGCAACCAGGAAGATGGATGATCATCGATATTACCATTGACATCATCGGCACCGTCTTCATGGTCATAAATATTTATTGTAAGATGTTGTTGAATGCCATTACCATGGTAGATGTGTTCGAGGGAAGCCTTCCAATGAGATCCTTCATATGGTGTTGTTGAATAGTCTTCCATACTTGATGTTTGATGTACCTGATGAGACTGGTGGTCATGGGGAGGAATCAACTCACCATAAGTAATGCTAGTAGCTCCAATCAAGGTAAGTAAAAGGGAAGTTCGCATCTTTTTTTTTTTTTTTTTTTTTTTGTCAATAAATAGATGGATATGGATGAATTGGTCAAGTAGATTTCTCTTTTATACTCTTTCTTTGAAGGGATGATCAGGGATAACATGTTCATTCTTTACATGTTTTGTTTTAAAGACAGGATGTAAATCACAAGAATGATGTAGATAATGACATATGAATACAAGTTCACTTTAATGAAATATATGAGGAAATCCAAGAATATTTCTATGGGAAAAAAAATTATAATTTTATTGATATAATAAAAAAATGGGAATACTATCTGTACATATAATCATTGGTGATTGGGAAAATATAATTCATCTAGGTAAAAAAATATCAATGGCGATGTAAGAAGGAAGACTTTTTTTTTTTTTAAAAAAAAAAAAAAAAAAACTGGAGAAAATGATGAGATAAACTAAAAACACTAAATCCACTATTGTTAATAATTATACAACCTAATCAATACACACCATCATTTCGATATTCCAATAGTTCCAGTCCAATCAATGCAGTATTATCCTATACAATCCAGTCCAATACAAAATATCATTCCTTCTTTGATTTCTTGGCCTTTTGTTGCAGTTGTCGACGCTTCATTTCCACCATCAACTTGAAAGATGCTTTGAGTATAAATACCTATAACACAATATAAAGTGTGTGTCAACAGAAAGGGAAAAAAAAAGAAAATGAGTTATCATATAAAATCAATGATATCTTTCTTTAGTTTTTGTCAACATACCAAACAGAAGAAGCCATTGAAGATCAAAGGAAAAGCATATAGTGAGACGATAAATAGACCAGAATCATCGAAATAATTAGCCTCTGCAAATTGTTCCCAGTATATCGCGCCTGCTTGATTCAACGGTTGAGTCAGTGCTGCCAAGCCCACTATAAATATAGATAAATTGATCAGTATATCTTAATTTTTCCCCATGCATAAAAAAAAAAAAAAAAAAAACCAACTTACATAGTACAAAAAAGTAGCATGAAAGAGCCGTATGTCGATGACGAAGAAGGATCACCAGAATGAAACAAAGTATATGAAAGGTCAAAAGTCCTATTAACCAGTGTTGTGACCAGTCAATCTAATCCATGGAGAAGATATATATATATATATATATATATATATAAAAATAGGCAAAGCTTGTCAGTATTCTCAAAACTTTACCATGTTTTTTTTCCTCTCTATGACTAAGACTTTACCGCTTGAAAGAACTGTAAGGTATGTTGTGCATGTTGTTGGAGGTAGGAAGTTGGTTTTTCTGCTGAGGATAGTTGGTCCTGAATAGCAGCAAGGACAGTGTTCACCAACGTATCTTCTTGAAATGTCATAATATGATAGTAAATATGAAAAAGAAAGCCAACATTTTTTTTTTTTAGGCCGCCTTTTTCTGAAAAGCTTGAATAGGTAAAATCTGAGCCAATCGTATTGGCCCACATTTTTTTTCATTCTCCTCTTGTCACTGCCAAATCATTTTACACTACTTTCTTTTCAGTTCTTTTCTTTTCTTTTCCTTTTTTTTTTTCTTCTTCTTTTGTGGTTCATCTTTTTCACCTCTCCTTCTCTTTCCTCACAATGAAACATCATCGTATTTTGTTTGCTTGTGTACTTCCTTTTCTTTTACCTACCACCATTTTTGCAGAAAAAACGTCTCAAGAACATCTTACTGAAGGCAATGCTTATCTAAAAAGTGGCAAATTGCATGATGCAGTGATCAGTTACGATGCTGCTATATGTAAGTGTTACCCTATCTAGATAATTCTTCCTATTTTTTTTTTTTTTTTTTTTTTTACTAATATTTATTATTTTGAATATAGCTCAAGATCCTGACAGTTACATGTCATACTATCGACGTGCTACAGTATATTTATCTTTGGGTCGAAATCAAGCGGCTGTAGACGATTTCACTAAAATCCTTACATTGAAACCTGATTTTGACAGAGCTTTATATCAACGTGCTCGTATATATGCTCAAGATGGTGAATTTGACTTGGCAAAGAAGGATTTAGAAAATTACATGAAACATCATGCTGATGACGGTGCTGCTTTAGACACAGTAAGTTTGGATCTTCTTGGTTCTTCATGAAAATATAATGAACTCACCCCTATCTCTTATTTTTGTAATATTAGTTGAAAGCTATCAATCAAGCAGAACAGAATATGGAAAAAGCACAATCCGCCCTTGATAGCCAGTCTTACGAACAATGTATTGAACACATCACCGAAGCTATCCGAACTGCACCAAATATGGGTCGTTTACGCCGGGTTAGTGCCAAGTGCCACTATGGAAAACATGATATTGAAGCTGCTGCAGGAGATCTTGCGTAAGTGAAAGGGGGAAAGAGGGAAATGGTATCCATCAATAAAAGCTCACTTTTTTTTTTTTTTTTATATATATTTAATTACTAGTCGTGCAGCACATATCACACCATCGGATCCTGCACTTCTGATAGAACTTGCCAACATCAACTTTTATTTACTTAACGAACCTGAAGGTGCATTGGCAAATCTAAAACAATGTTTACACTATGATCCTGAACAAAAGCAATGCAAAACCGTTTTCCGGCAACTCAAAAAACTTAACAAAACAATCAAATCAATTCAAGATAATATGGAAAAGAAAAAGTACTCGACAGCAAGCAACCAGTTAATCGGTACAGCATCAAGGCAAGGTATAATGAATGAAGTCAAAGATCATGTCAAGCAAATGGAAACCCAATATCTATCTTCCTTATCAACGGAAGTAGATAACAACATACCTCAACGTCTTTTACTACAGTGTTATGAAACAGCATGTCGGCTTCAAAAGTTACTGAACAAAGAAGATACCAAGATCATCGATTGGTGTACTAAAACTCTATCTTTACAAGATGATCATGTCGATGCTCTTATGTATCGTGGTGAAGTTTACTTGAATCAACATGAGTATGAAAAAGCTATGCAAGATTTACAAAAAGCAAATGACGTCGCTCAAGGTCAAAATCATCAAGTTCGACAGTTATTACAAAAGGCACAACAATTATTACGACAAAGCAAACGAAAGGATTATTACAAGATTTTAGGTAATTTCTTGTTCAATAGATGGGGAAATTTTTCTTCTAGATGATTAATGGTTTTTTTTTTTTTTTAATAGGTGTTCCTCGTGATGCTGATACTCGACAAATCAAAAAGGCTTATAGACAATTGGCTTATGAAAATCATCCTGATCGTGCTGAACCAGAGAAAAAACAAGAAGCAGAAAGACAAATGGCAGAAATCAACGCTGCCTATGAAGTCCTTAGCAATGATGGTAAGATGAAAAAAAAAAAGGAAAATATATGAAGGAAATGACCTATTTTTTTTTTAACCTATAATTTGATTCAATAGAAATGCGACAACAATTTGATAATGGGTTTGATCCATTTGATCCTGAACAACAAAATGGTGGTGGTGGTGGTGGATTCCATCCTCATGGTGGTAATCCATTTGCTCATTTCCAAGGTTTTCCATTTGGTGGGGGATTTCCTGGTGGTGCTGGTGATGGCAGCTTTGAATTCAAAATGCACTTTTAGTTAGTTCCGCCTACAATACCTTCCATCCTCCCATCATATATCTGTGACTTTTTTTAATTGGTTTATACACATTTTAGTACCTTATATCTTATGAAATAAAACATCACTGATACAAATTGTACATTTTCAAATATATATATATATTTTGAGTACCTTACAAGATTTTTTTTTTTTCAGGGCAAAGTTTAAGCTGATGAGTTTCAACTTGTTTGGCTGTAAAAATTCCAAAAAAAAAAGAAAATTATATTTTTCTAAATGGATACCTCTTTTTTGCTTTTTTCTTTTCTTTTTTTTTTTTTCCTTGGTTTACCTATTAGATGATTTTACCATCAACACCATGGTTTTTATCGTCATTTGTGTATATTCAAACAAAATCAAAGGTGATCTCAACCAGAGAAAACAAGAAAGTAATCAGAGTGAAAAAGTCCTGACTGATACTAATCCATTTGTATGATTTTTTTCCTTTTCTTTTGGTTCGAAATGCCTCTCTCTCTCTCTCTCTCTCTCTCACTTCTCATAGTACAATAATACAATAGTGCTTATGTTGTCTCTCTCTCTCTCTCTTTTGTTTCCAGTCAACCACTTCAAGGTACATATTTTCTTCTTCTTCTTCTTCTTCTTCTTCTTCTTCCCTATTTTGTTTGCTTCTCTATCCCTTTTCTTCTGACGTATCCCCCTTTTGTTCTTCCTTCATTCTCTTATCCTCTTTTTGTTCATTCTTCTTTTTCCTCCTTTGGCTTTGTCCTTTTTCTATTCTCTCAACAAAAACATGGATACTCATTTTTTTTTTAAATTATGCAGATTTACTTCAACACGATGTGATTATCTTGCCATTTGATTGATTTGATTGGATGAATACATAAAAGGATCAACTGAACACGTTTGAATCGACAGGATTAGCTGCACTGTAGATTTAAATGGATGGATATCTAGGATCAAATTGGGCGGATATGAAGCATCAAAGGAAAGTTAATTATGGCGATCTTCATATGGATTCCTATCGTGATGATTCTTTTATTGATTGGTTACTACTATTAGTCTTAGTTTATGTTATACTATATTACTTTACAACCTTGTTCAATAAAGTCATATTTTTATAACTAGTATCATTTTTGTTGTTACAGTCATTATTATTGCTTCTGATTATCTCAAGTGTCGTCATGATCATCCATTATATTGTCATCACACATCATCATGTTGTCCATTCTCATATTGCATCGATCAATCATTTTCACATGCCATCACTCAACTACCATCTGTCATAAAGCAGCATCCATTAGCCATCATCACATAACTTTAACATTTCATTCGTCATCCACCATCAAAGATCATCAATTCATCTTTCATTAATCACCAATCAATTCGTCATCCAAAATTCATATACGATCTCCAGGTAAAAAAAAAAAAAAAAAAAAAAAAAAAAAAAAAAAAAAAAAAAAAAAAAAAAAAAGGACTATTCTACTATGAACTTTGTGATAGCCACGGGAAGAAAAGAAGAAGGAAATATTTATATGATGATTCCGTTTCCTATAAACAACATACATTATATTTGAGATTGTGTTACAATCGATACATATATATATATTTTATTAATATATTTTTATGAAATGAATTTAATTCGTCTTCAATCAACTGATATCTATTTAGGAGGAAAGACATTTTGTTGGAATTGACCGACAACATTGCCAGGTGGTACGTAATTACAACTGTAAAATGGAATACCGAGACAATGATTTACAGCACAACCTACCGAAGTGGTAGATTTCCATACTACTTGAGTGAAATGACCAGTTGCTTCGCTAAAGTCACCATGTTGGAAATTATATTTTGGTTCTTCATCATCGGCCCATGCTTTCATCACTTGATCCCAGGTGAAATAACCCCATGCAATGTTTTCTCCGTACTTGTGCTAATAAAATAAAATAAAAAAAAATAAATGACTGGATGATGATGATTTTTTTTTTTTTTTTTTTACGTTTTGACTATGTTGAAAAGAACATCGTTTAACCCAAGAGTCGGCAAAATTGGCAGCATCTTGATTCCAAGTCAAATCAGACACCCGATGTTTCGCTCGTCGAGTGTTATGAAGTTGTAAAATATGAGATTTGTCTACACCATTCCATGGCCATAAATTGCCTTTATCATCTTGTCTATGTGGGTCGCCGATGGAAGTGCCGGTATCATCCTGATCGTTAGATTGCCCTTGATCATGTATATATCTTGTATCTTCCCAATTGTATCCTTCATAAGGTGTGATGGAAGTATCATCGTTCTTGCCTGATGATTGATCCACTGGATAGTTGTTATCATGATGAGGAATCAAGCCACCATAAGCCATATGACCAGCACCCATCAACATAAGCAGAAGAAAAGTGCGCATTCTTTTTTTTTTTAAATAGATAAGAATAAAAAAAAAAAAAGAAAAGAAAAAGATGGATATGAACTGTCTTGATCAACGTCCTCCCTCTCTCTTTTTATATATATTTTCTTTGATGTTGATTTGTGATTATGGACGGCTTTTGGATCTTGCATAATTTATTCTAATGACAAGTAGGTCACACGAAGGTTGCCGACAATGAGGAAGATCAGTACCCACATTGATTTTCTTTTTTTTTTTTTCTTAGAAAAAAGTGGAAATAAATGATGCTTAAATGAGTGATGAATCATATAGAGTAGCTATAAATATCATAATCATGCCTTGGAATAATTATTAAGTAAACAACTTCAATGGTAGGAATCACCATCAAAAGAAAGGTGAGAAGGTGTGACAAATGTAATATACGCCAATATATCTAATTTCTGTCTCGAATAATCCAATCAATCCGACATCCTCCTTTTGGCATTCAATAGATCAAGATGGATTATTTTGAAGGGAATAATAATAATAATAATAATAAAAGTCCTTTTACACTCCTAGTGTTAAGAAAGCGTGAGTAGAAAGTGCTCTTTTATATATAAGTTTACGATATATATATTTCCAGTCCATCATTCCCGTTTCATTTTTCATGACAATCAAATAATAGTGATGTAACAGCACATAAGTTTATTGATAAGTGATTGTAATAATAGTAACAAGAAAAAAAAAAAGAAGAGTTGGAAATATGTAATACTAAACTGGGATGGAAAGAATGGAGTAACGGGAAATATGTGACAAAAAAAATAAAATAAAATAAAATAAAGAGGACAATGTCCTTTTATTGGGCACCACGAGCCACTTCATCTTGATAATCCCAATGTAATTGACCTACATCATGATTGCCATGATAAGTCCAACCTTCTTCAGTAACATGATACACTATTTTTTTTTTTAAAAAAAAAAAAAGAGAATAATATTGAGTATTGATTTAGATGATTTTTTTTTTGTATAACTACTTACAATTAACAGAACCACCAGACATGGCATCCCGATGTGTAGCATGATAAATAGATCGTCTTCCCAATTCCAAAGCATCCTTGACTGACAAATCATGATCATAACCACTATCCAATACACCATAGGCAAAAGTAGAACCAGAACCAACAGAGAAGATGTCACCTTTGATACGTGCACCATCAGAATCCACATAGAATAAGTTTGGTCCAGATTTGTCCCATCCAGTCACCATAGTTCCCATTGATAGTCCCATTCCCTTATATGCATACACCATATTAGCCAATAATTTGGATGCTGCTGCCACAGAGATACGTTCCTTGTTGCGTAATTCATATAATCGACAACGACGACCCAATTCTCTTTCCCAATATTGACAATCAGCAGCACCACCAGCCAATGTACCTAAAAGGTATGGATTGATTTCGATCACCTTTTTCACCGTTTGTGAAGCTAACAGAAAAAAAGTAAAAAAAAAAAAAAAAGAATTATTACATTAACTTTTCATTATTATTCTTCGTCACTTACCAATATAGTTGCCCATAGTAGCCCGAGAATCTACTGCAACAACAACACCTCCTTGGAATTGGAAAGCAAGAGTGGTTGTACCGTGTTGAATCTTAATCTTGTATTCGGGTGAGTTCTCGTCCGTCACATTTCTTAAAAAGTCTACAGGCTAACAATATATATATATATATAGAAAGTTAGATATATTGACCAGTCTTTTCTTTTTTTTTTTTTCTTACATTGTGCACTGAGGGAATATCAAAGGTAGGGAAACCTAATGCTTGAGCAGAATCCCATCTTCCACATACATTGCTAAGATCCACTTCATGAGGTAATTGTAAAGGGGACGATGAATATTTTTGTACAAATCGATGCATCGAATACTGTGATGGATGGAAAGTTGTATGAAAAAAAAAAAAAAAATAAAAATAAAAAAAAATAAAAAGAAGGAAAGAAAAATGAATACGCGTTCAAACAAGAAGTAGAAAAAAAAATTGACGTAACGCACCTGACTGGGATTGAAAAAAAAGAGGCGGTTGGGCACATAGGTACCTTTAGACCTCTTTCATATCCTTTTCTTTTTCAATTTTATATGTCTTTATTTTCCGATAATACTGAAATATACAACATATCATCTCTACTTCTTCAAAATCTAGCAAGACAGATACAAAATATTCGCTATAATCATCATCTACAAGTCATTTATTAAGATGTACCAGGAACATTGAACACACGCAAGCAGGCACGTTGAACCAGATAAAGAATCCCCTGTACGAGGCAACAATATCAAATGTAAGATTCAAAAAAGATAGAATGAGAATAGGGGGGGTGGGGAAAACTAAAGGTGGAAATATGCGAAATCCTCAGTAAAGAAGGTTATTATCTGGACGATATGTGTGTACTGGCAAGAGGAAAAGAACACAATGGACACTGAAAATTCGATTTTATTTAGAAGCACTAGGTACAACAAAAAAAAAAAATTCATTCACTCTTTACAAGATATAACACATCCTCAGCTTTATATTCAGCAGCAAGGAAATACCGTTGGATAGCAGGGAGGTTAGGAAAAATGACATCAATGATTTCAGCCATAGGAGAAGTATTATTACATACTGAATATCTACAAGGCGATCTAATTAAAACATCCCATACAACACGTTGACAAACCATATCAAACCAAAAAGAACTCAATTGGTTGGGAGAATTTCGTGGTACAAAAGAGTAGATGACCGATACAGAAGCTGACGCCAATCATATTAAAAACGGCAATGGATGCATCGAATGGAGAACCAGCTTATCAATGATCACAACAGCCGGATGTTGGACATCAGAGGAAACACAACAATAGACGTTAAGGAAATTGAAAGACGATATTCTTATTTGCGATACATTCAAAAAGATGGATACGGAAACTCGGCAATCAAGATTTTTCATCAAGTATCAAAACTCTCTTTTCTCCCATTTGGTGGACAAATGCGTGATGATGGATTTTGTGATGATAGGATTTACCCATGATTAGCAACTTAGTTTTTATTTATTTTCAATAAATCATTCATTTTTATATTATATGATTTTATGTTTGTGTATGTATGTTGTAGATCAATGCCCTTAAAAAAGTCAAATGAAAAGGGGGATCATGACTGACCAATGATAATAATAATAATAATTCAACATGCCATGTGATCAAAAACGACATTTAGAACGATTAACATTTTTTTTCCCTTCTTCTGAAGACAATAGTAATAATAGAGTACAAACGATGATTTTTTATTGAATACTGTATAACATAAATAAATAAATAAATAAATTAACATATACTAATAAGAATAAGGACTTTAGAAAAAAAAAAAAAAAAAGGAGACAAGATAAAACCAAACGTGGATGTAAAAGTAAGGAGGATGAAGATGTACACTAAAAGCTAAATAAATGGAGGGAGGGAGGAAGTATAAATAATAATAATAATAATCACCATTTTGAGTGAGGGTGTTCTTTGGTTCGATGATCATCCATTTGTTCCAAAGTGTCAAAAGTTTCAGCACAGTCCATACATTGATGATTTCCCAGTTTGATGGTTCTGCTTCGAGATACGCGTTGAACTGTCGCCCGTTCTTGATGTGAGAGTCTTTGTTTCTTAGATTGCGTGTCACTATCTGATGCCACCACTTTTTTCGTCCCTGCTTTCGATTTGTTTGAGTCATTGTCTACCTTTAGCTGTTCCTTTTTGGCTTGTTTTTCCTGAATAACTGGATTTTTTGTTGATTCGTTTTTCATTCCGCGTTTTTTTGTCCTTTTTGCAGGTTGTTTAATGTTATCGTCCAGTAGTGTCTTTCCTTCCGTTTCTTGTAATTCAATGACTAATTCTTCTTCATCGTGTTGCCGCTTTCTTCGTTTTTGTCCAGTTGTTTTACCATCATCTTGTCCAGCGGGTTGTTTACCGTTAGTTTTGGCTCTGCTGTTTTGGTATTCAATAAACTTTGTCTTTCTTGATCTCGTCTTTTTGGTATCCTTTGTATCAATAAAATTGTTTTCCTTAGATGATGTAGTAGAAGCTGGTGGAAAGTGAGAAGATTGAAAAAATTTGAGGTCAGATTCCTTTGATGGACGAGAGGATGTTTTTTTGACATGTGGTTTATCTTTGTTTGTTGCAGTAGTTGTGGTTTCTATTGTCGTATTGGCGGCAATAGCCTCTTCCACTTCAGCTTCATCAGATGGTACGAAGAAATCATAAACCCTTTTAAATAAATCAAACATGGATCAAGCAGTTGTAAAATAAACCAATAAAAAAAAAGTATTATATATGTAATATGAAATTAAAAAAAAAAAAAAAAAAAAAAAAAAAGAAAGGAAAAAGAGAGAGAGAAAGAAAAGAAAAGGGGAAAGAGAAAAAAAAGTTAAGTGTTTATGAGAAAAAAAAAAATCAAAAAAGTCGGAGAAAAAGAGGTTCAAGACTATAAGCTCATCATACAAAAAAAAAAAAAAAAAAAAAAAAGGTTGACATAATTTTTATTATTTCTATTTATATAACATTTTATTTGACAGGAGCTTTGACATCTAATACAATTCCATGTCTTTTTGCCCATTCATTACAAGCGCGACTTTGTTGATCACACAAAGTAAGTAAGACCTTACGACGGACCAATTGTGCGACAGCATCCCAGTCATGAATATGATGACATTCCTTCATTTCAAAAACCGACAAACGAGGACAATGACGAGCATAAGCAAGGATGGTTTGATTGGATACTTTATAACAATTATTGATAGAGATACGTTCGATACCCTCTTTACGTTCCCTGGCTAATAAGGTTAAACTTGTATCTGATACATCACATCCAGCAAGACCTAATACCGCTACCTGAGTATGTGTTGCTATCAATTGAATCGACTGATCTGTAATATTCTGCCGATCACGGACACGACCAACATTCAAATGACGAAGACGTCGACAACATAAGGCGATTTGACCTATGGATGCATCACTAACATTCCCACACGCTCGTAGGTCCAGATGTTCCAATCCTGGACATTTATTTGCTACTTGAATAATCGCTTCATCCGTAATGCGTTGACATCCAGCAAGTGATAGATATGTCAATTGTCCATGCTCTAAGAAAGGATACAATGCTGCATTAGTCACATAATCACAGATATAAATATCTAACGTCGTTAGTTGTGTCGCATGGTATCCAATATGTTGTAATGGTTCGTTGATATTTCGTTCCTTGATTTTTCGAAGTGTCAGTGATCGTAATCGATGTTGATATGTCGACGATAAAATACGTGATTTACAGTTTTCATCGGTAGGATCATCATGATGATGTTCTTCAGCAGGTGGTGTTGGTGGTAAAATTGATAATGATTGTCTTGTATTTGATGATGATGATGATGATGATGATGATGGTGTGATTGTTGGTTTTGATTGTTTATGATTATACAAAGGAAGCATGGATGTAAAACTTGGAAACAAAGGACGAAAGGAATCGGATTTTTTTGCCATGATGGAAGAGAGATCATGTTGTTGTTGATCATCATCACATTGAGTAGTCATCAAAGGTTGAGGATGTGTTGCAACAGCAAGAGCAGCAGCAGCAATTATATTGGAAGTATTGGATTCGAAATTAGGTAATGGCACACGACTAATGACAGAAGCAAACTTGAGAAATTGTTCATACTCCGTCTTACTATCATCAAAGGACACATGACGCCAAGTATATCGAGACACGCAATCATGCCATAACCAGTTGACGTATAAACAAGGTAAAATATCTTGATTCATTTTTGTGGAAGGTCGTATTATTTTACTATTACCATTACTATTTATGGATAAGACGGCAGTATTGGTATTAGGAATCAAGTGTTGAACTATTTGTTCCACTATTTCTGGTAATCGAAAAATCAAGTGACATTGTTCTAATGATTGATGATCGAATGAAGAGATTTTATTGATTTTCGTTGAATTTTGACGTTTAAAGACACTAGGCATATTTGATGTCTAAAAAGGAAGACAGATAGAAAGAAGAAAAGGGAAAACGGGAAAGAGAGAAGAAAAAAAAAAAAAAGAGTAAAGGAAAAAAAAAAGTGACGAGAGATAGACAGGATCAATCAAAGTGAAACAGTGAAAGCATGAATGAAAGGTGATAGGGTAGTTTGAGATTGACGGGGGAAAAAAAAATATATGTAAAATGTGTTGACTATCAAAAAGAAAAAAAAATTTCCGTTTTTGTTTTTTCTTTTTTTTTTTTTTTTTTTTTTTTTTTTTGTTATTGCTATTGTTTGATGCTACATATATATATAGTGATATTCTGTAAAAAAGAAAAAAAAAATAACAAAAACCTAATCCCGAAATGAAATGATAAAATAAACAAGAAAAAAAAAAGATTTATTCCCGAGATGTTTAAAAAAAAAAAAAGAATGATATCTATTCTATTGTATCTAAATAATTCTAGCCCTATTAGATCTTGGGGCGGAATAATTGACGTTCTTCAAAACGAATAGGAACCACCATCAAATCACGAATACCTTGTACTTGAGTATCATCCAATCCACATTCATTTCGTATATATCCTTCAATTGATCCATATCGTTCCTTAACTTGACGAATAGTTTCTTTCATAGCAAGATATCTATATAAACCATTTTAATCAGTGAAACAATAAGAACAACAAATCCAACCTCAGCAGACAAAAACTTACGGAGCTGACATCACCATTCGCATATTTTCAATACTTGTTCCTATTAAGATCGATTTCTTTTCCAATTCTTCTTCAGATTCTACAAAAAAAAAAAAATAAAAAAATTAAGACTTGTTTCATCCTATTTATCAATGAATATTCTTACCCCAATATCCAAGATTACTTAAAGCATATTCTTGGGAAATGATTTCTTCATCCACTCCGCACAGACCAAGTAAAAGCATAACAAATACCCCAGTTCGATCCTAATTAATATTTAATATTAAATATCTTTTTTTTTTTTTTATAATCTCTCTTTTGATTTTTCTTACCTTTCCAGCTGTACAATGGATAATCAATGATTTTGTAGATTCATTTGAATGGTGTTCCAACATATGCAAAAAGATTTTACGATACTGTTCCTTGGCTTTTTCGAGAATAATATTATACACCTTGGGAAAACCTAGTGGACCTTCAAAATAACCTTTCCATCGTGAAGCCAAGGCAGCAGGTGAATAATCAGCCTTGGAAAACATAGCTGAAGCATATCGAGTCAATCCAGGAATTTCACTATCAAAGTTGAGTATTAATGATTACTCTTTTTTCATTTCAATTTAACTTACGGAGCCATGCCTTGACGTTCAATTTCTGGATCAGAACGAAAATCAAATGCTGCGATGACATTAAGGCGTTTCAATGTATTGATCCCCTCTTGAGTAATATTCACCAGACTATAAACAAAAGGTGAATAAATCATCATCATCTTTTTTTTTTTTTTTTTTTTTTTTTTTTTTTTTTTTGGAAACCTACTGCCCGCATCTGAATACGATCCTTTCACGAATATAACCAGAACCATCTTTTAAAGGCCATCCACCAATATCACGGAAGTTTTTGACTCCATTGACATCAATCCATCTAGGTATAGTGACTGATACATGTTGTCCCATAGACACAGCCTTGAGATAAGCATTTTTTTCATGTTGTTCAAAATAATCAAGAATAATATCCACCAATTCCTCAGTTTTTCCAGTAAAATTGTGATCAGCATCAGGAATCAATCGAAGGGTATGAGTTGAAATCTTGTTAGCAAAAAGAGCACCATTATAAGGAGGTACCAACTATAAAACAATAATAAAGAATTGAAGATAATTATTACTAATATCAACTTTTCTAACTTACAGTATCAGCTAAACCATGACAAGTCAAAACACTGGTCGTTTTAGGCATACGAACAACTATAAAAAGGAAAAGTAATAGAATATAAATATAAATATATTTTATCATGAATGTTCATACTTACCATGAGAATTGTCCCAATTGGCAAATCTTTCGGCTTCCTTTACCGTCACTTTGGTTTCCAGGATTTTCCCTTGTTTCTTGAAAGACCATAAAAAGTACCCCTGGTGACACATGAAGAATAGGGAAGAAGTTGAGTATATGAATTTTTGCAACAAATAAGATTTACCTGCTCTTGTAATAGTTTCTTGTTAGCAGGAAGATTTGGTAAAGTAGTGGAATCTTTCATATCATAACGACCAGAGACATTCACAACATGAGCCAAAGGTTTTTCACAAGTAGTAGCATATTTAAAGCAAGAAGCAGATCCTAAATAATAACAAAAAAAAAAAAGGATTCAAACATGACAGATAGCATATTTATGAGTAACATGATTTTTCCCCAAGATATCATCATCTCATTTATTCTTTACCACGTGAATGTCCAACCAATGCCCAAATTTCATAACCTTGATTTTCAAAATAATTGGCTACTTCATAAATATCTTCAGTATCTTCCTGTTTAATGTTTAATATATTAATATACATAATAAAAACCATTTTTATTCTTGATTAACTTACGGCAAAATTAGAATAACGAGCTTCTCCACTACTATCACCATTGCCTCTAAAGTCAAATCGAAAACTTGAATAAGGAAGCTTTTCAGCCAAAAGTCGTTGATAAAGATAGTTTTTATGTCCTGTAAATAATAATAATAATAATAATAATAATAAATAAATAAATAAATAAAGATAAAACAAAATGTCAATCCCGTCACTATAGTTGATTATAATCCTGGGAAATAACATTACCTAAGGCTCCATGAGCAATCAATATCAATCGAGGTTTTGTTCTAGTGAGATCTCTTTCAGGTTTTTCTTCTAAAATCCCAACAATGGTTTCTCCTGACTTGTTTTGAATGTTGATGGTAGTCATATATAAAGAGAGAAAGTAGGGGAAAAGAAAAAAAGAAGAAGAAAGAGAGAAATAGCAAGTGAAGAAAGAAAGGAGGAAAAAAAAAAAAGATCAAAGGTGTATCTCCGGAGATTGAATGATGTGATTTTTTTTTTTTTTTGTTAGGCTTTTTTTTTTTTTTTGCACATATAATTTTTTTGCCCCAGAGAAAAAAAAAAGAAAAGATATGAATTCAGGGACGAAAAAAAAAAAGTCAGTGAATTATAGTTTAGTTTTATATTTTGGAATAGATTTATTTATTTTTGAATTTAGTTGTTTTTGGGAGATATCTTTTGGACTCTTTAGTACGATTTTCTATTTCTCTCCCACCCCCCAAAATCCTTCTTCCCCAGAGTAAAAGGATGGGGGGGAGGGAAGGTGTATTTGTCGGAATGGAAGAGGCTCAAATCTAATTGGACTCGCAAGTCACAGCCTTTTTTGATCAAAGGGTTCTTTTTTTTTTTTAATAATTTGTAAATGCTCATTTTTTTCCCTTCTTTTTTTTTTCTCTTTTCTTCCTTCAAATATATATATATATATTTTTATACCAGCGTATTCTTCTTTACTGTTTATAGTAATACTTCTATATATATATATATATATTTGTCACTTTCCCTTTCCTTTTGGTTGTATGTGTATTTTAAAACTTTTATTTATTACACATTAAGAAAACGTATGGATGGTTATTTACAAACGGTAAGTAGAAAATACTAAAAAAAAATATTCTTTTTTTTTTTAAAAAAAAAAAATAAACTTTGTTATTGATATATTAGGCGCTAGTGGCCAATCCAGTGTCTCCACAACCAAATCGAACGTCTCATCTTACCAAACTCCTGAAACCTTGTCCACCAAGTAATAAAGAATTCACTTGTGACAACTTCCATGCTGTTGAAGGAACATACCAACTAGTACATGATATTCATTTTGATACCATTGCTCCTCAGTTTTCAGTTGGTACTCGGGCCACTATTTTGGATGTACGACCTAAGCAAGCACCCAAGTCTTCTTCAGCAACTTCTTCCATTACTGACTCAGCAACTTTATCTACCCCTACACCTGCTTCTTCTGGTGAACGTATGTATAACCAAGAAGACGATACAAATTCATCAAATACTACATTACCACCAGTAACAACAACAACAACAACAACAACTCATACACCATCAACTCCTTTGATATTTCAACAATCTACGGTAAATTCTACATCACTCACTTATTCTGTAGCACCATTAGACAATATAGGTATTACCAGGTCAACAGCTTTACCTATTCCCAATGTTACTTCTCGATCCTATGACTCGTCTTCCTCTACTTTTCAGCCAGATGATAAGTTGACACCGCCGCATTCTCGTACTACACCAATCTCTAGCATTCCCACCATCACTACCAATCCCAGTCCCGCCAACAATGCTATTTCTACTTTTCCCATTACTGGTATTCAGCCTTCATCAAGCGCTACTCCGATTCCGACATCTTCCACATCATTCCATCATCATCATCATCTTCACCATCATCATCATCATCATCAATCAAATACCGATCCTACTTCCTTGTCTTCTCCTCTTTTTGCTCTGGATACCAATGCTTCTCCCACAGCATCATCCACTTCTTCTCAAGGTGAAAATGGATCCGTTATCAACAATACAAATGGGAATGGCATATCTGATTTATCATCAAGTGTCAGCTCATTATCAGCTTTATTTTCTCGACGGAATAGTGTACGTTATTTACATTCACCCCAACGAAAACCAAAAAACAATTTAACAAAGACAAAATCAAGTTTTGTATTACGGATGATTATACATGATAGACTGGCTCAAGTCTTGGCAAATCGAACAATGGATGATAGTTTTTTATTCTTCAATATTGGTACAAGTTTCTTATGGATGGATGCAAAAGGAAAACCAAAGGTATATATTAATATAGTTGAAAAAAAAATTAATCATTATTTATTTTTATTAGGATCCTTTGTCTCGAATTGTATTTACCAAAGCTTATCCTACTTGTCATGATGTTAACTTGATGACAAAATGCAGTGAACATATAGATGTCATCATTGGTTTTTCTTCTGGTGATTGTGTTTGGTATGATCCTCTGACAAGCAAGTATTTTCGTTTGAACAAAGATGTAAGTCTGTTTATTTTTTATTATTTATTTCTTGACTGATATTCTTCTTATATAGGGAAATATGAAACGTGGTTCTGTGACAAATGTGAAATGGATCCCGGGTTCTGAAGATTTGTTTATGGCTTCTTTTTCTGATGGTAGTATCTTGATATTGGACAAGGATCGTGAGGATCAAGCATTCACTCCAATGGCTCCCAGTACTTGGGCAGAACAACAGTAATAAATAAAAAAAGCAATGAATTACATATACTAAGAAAAATGTCTAACTTGATTTTTTTTTTTTAACAACAACAATAATATTATAGATTCCATGCTACTCGTCCTCACAAAAGTGCAAAGTACAATCCAGTTTCTCATTGGTCAGTCGTTGAAAAGGGAGTAGGGACTTTTGAATTTTCTCCTGATGGTATTCATCTTGCTATTGTTGGATTAGATGGAACTTTACGTATTATGGATTATCATCAAGAAAGGTAAAATGGCCACACTAGGCGCACATATATGTATAGATAGTATCTTTGTATATGGATTAATATCTACTTGTTTATTGCTTTATTTTTCTTCAATAGGTTATTGGACATATTCACTAGTTACTATGGGAATTTCCTTTGTGTGGCATGGAGTCCTGATGGAAGGTATTTATTGGTAAGTGAGAAAAAAAAATAAAAGATACCCTGGTGATTGTTCACTTTTAAATTTACAATCTTTTTTTTTTTCTTTTCTTTTTTTGGTATTAGACTGGTGGACAAGATGATCTAGTAACAATATGGGGATTTACGGAAAAAAGAATTGTCGCACGATGCCAAGGCCATAAATCATGGGTAAACTGGGAAAGAAAAGAAAAAGAGAAACTGAAAAAAAAATCTTTTTATTAACCTTATTTCTTCAGGTGACAAATGTAGCATTTGATGCCTATCGTTGTGATGATAAAGTTTATAGATTTGGTAGTGTTGGCGAAGACTGTAAATTGATACTATGGGACTTTTCTTTTAGCGCTCTTCATCGACCAAAAAACGTAAGTAATTTGATAGAAAAATAATATTTAGATTTACTTTTTTTTTTTTTTATGAAAACATATAGAAACATCGTAACACTTCAAGTAGTCCACGAAGTCCCAAGGATACCCATCGATTCTCATTCATAGCAGCAGATAATATGAAAACGCGAACACCCATGTTATCACAAATGTTTGATAGACTTGGTACGTTAGAACCCACGGTGACAAATGATATTATGACCAATCATTCTGCAAGTCATCCATTATCAACAATACCTCATAGTCCTACTGCTTCTCCAACTAGTCCTATTCGGCCATATCTTCCACAGCCAGTCACTCTACAAAAACATTTTCAACAGCAGTCATCACAACGGAAATCTCAACAAAGACATCATCATCATAGTTTTGGATTTAAGAAAAGATCATCATCATCTAGTGTATCTGGAGGTAATCAACTTCATCGACCTCATCTCTCACCATCATCATCTCCACCACCACCGAGCAAAGCAGAATATCTTGGGACAGCATTTGAAGCATATCATTCAATGATGCCAACATTACATCCAGCAGCCAACAAGACACAAGTACCATTATTACAACCAAGTACTGTTAGAACAATTCATGGTGATCCTTGTGTGAATTTGATATTTCGACATGATAGTATAGTAACAACAGATCGTAGAGGTAGGATAAGAACATGGGGCAGGCCCTGATGTGGAACCTTAAAACAACAAATTATCATTCATTCATTAGTTAGTTATATTATTATTATTATTATTTGTGTTTATACTTATCTTTTTTGTCTTCTCTTACCATTTGTATATGAAATAATAATAATAATAAAAAAAATTATATATATATATATATTTTTCACAAAAATGAAACTTTTTTTCTTTTGTTTGTTATGCTTTTTTCTGTTTAAAGTAAACCATCGGGATTCAATCATCATCATGCAATAAAAATGACTTTTTTCTTCTTTGACTTTTATGTATTTTTTGTGTAATTGAAGAATGGTGTGCATGGCAACACGACTTGACTGATTTGGATTGGGCTCCTCTTTTGAATTTCATCCTCCGTGTAGGTTTGGGCTTGGGAGCCAATGAACTGGGCGCGCGCCTCTAGAAAAAAAAAAAAGGCAGGTTTTCTTTTTCTAAGTCTAATATTCTACTACTATTTTTTTTTTATTTTGTTTTCCTTTTCTTTTTCCTATCTTTTTTTTTTTCTTTTCCTTTATTACTTTTAATCTACTTTTTGGAGATCCTTCTTGTATTGATTCTCTCTTGATTGTACTTTCTTTTGTTTTCATTGCACAAAAAGTTATCACCAAGGTATATAAAAAAAGGAACAATAGGAACAAACAGAAAAACTCATAATAGAAATATATATATTTATTTTATAGTTATTCACACCAAGATGGGAAGAAGGAAGATCAAGATTCAACCTATTGAAGATGAACGCAATAAACAGGTACTTTATTTGTTCTTCTAATAAAGTATACTCATATTTTTTTTTTTTGACAGGTGACTTTTCTTAAACGGAAACATGGCTTAATGAAAAAGGCGTATGAACTCAGCGTTTTGTGCAATTGTGAAGTGGCGTTGATGATATTCAATTCAAATAACAAATTGGTACAATATTCAAGTGATGATATGGATAAACTATTGATGAAGTATACTCAGGTATTAAAAAAAAAAAAAAAAAAAAGAGAGAGAAACAGGGCTTTGTAATAATATTCACCCTTGAATTCTTATTGATGTAGTACAACGAACCACATGAAACTAAAAACAATGCTGATGTAAGTAATAAGATATGGTAAACGGGTGGCCTGGTTGCGGAAAAGAAAAAAGAAGAAAAAAAAAAACAATAAACAAATCAATCAAGTAGAATGATTCGTTTAGTTTCTCATACATACCTACTTTCCTTATTTTATTTCTTAGTTTGAAAATGATGGGATCACGGATCTTGGATTGGACAATGACATTGATAGCAAAAAGACCTCAAACATTTCTCAACATCAATACCGACATTTGACAGAAGCCATTGTGAAACGCCAAGCATTACAAAAATCATTGGTATCAACTCCTTCAACTGATCAATGTCATCAAGAGATAAATCCTAAATACTCAAAGGTAATAAAATTAAAATATATAAATATAAATATATAATTATTGGTTATTGACTTTTTTTTTTTTCCTTATCTTTGAATTTGTAGACATTATTTTATAAAACACCCAATAATGGTATTCCTCCTACACCAGGATTATTAATAGATGGAGAATCAAAACAACCACTAAACACTCAATCATCATCCCCATCATCATCATCATCTTCAGTATCTTCACCACAACAACATCAACAATCATCTCGATCTTCTTCACCTGCTCCAAATATTTTGACTCCTCCAACGCGACCCATTATCACTGATGAACAAACTGACAAACTTACCTTTTATGGCAATGAACAATTATTATATTCAACACCTGCATCTGTGTCGTTGAATTACACAACTTCTCAGCATCATCTATCCTCCACTCTTCCAGCGATCAATACAACTTATGATCCTATGCAACAACAACAACAACGATCTGTGATATCTCCTTTTGTTCCTTCTCAGACATCATGGATTCCATCAACTCATTCCCAACAACAATATAAAAACTGGCCTTCCAATCCTGGTACTCCTCAGCAATATCAACCGTCACCCATATCTGCAAGTCTACCTTCACAGTTGATTCACAATATGTTGCCCAGTCCATCATCATTTTATCCTGAATTTTATTATACAAACAATACCAACTCCCCGATGTCTTCTAATTCTTTACCTCATGGTACAGTGTTCCAATGGCCAATAGTTCCATCACAAACAACAATAACATCATCATCATCAGTACCATCCGTAACAACAACAACAACAACAGCAGCAACAGAAACAGTGGAAACAACAACTGCAATAACATCATCACCATCGTCAACTCCACAAACAATGGAACAAGGTTGTGTCAAACGAAAAGCATCGGTTTATTCAGATAACAATAAGAAAATCAAGGTTTAGTTAGGGCTGCTTGTCTTTATTTTTTTTTTTTTAAGTTTTTAGCCTCCCCCCTTATTTTGTTTATATCAAATTTACGTACATATTATATATACTAATTTTTTTTTCCTTTGTATCATTTCTCTCTCTCTTCATTCTTTTACCATCCACATAACACATACATATCTTGTTTATTATACATGTATGTATGATGACAATTTCCTCCATGTTTCTTTATCCTTTCTATACTTTTCCAAAAATCGTTCTAATAAAAAAATATATATTGTTGTTTCATGAAAATTTGATTGATTTTTGACTAGACATAATAAAAAAAGGCGGTATATATTTTTATTCATAAAAAAAAAAAAGAGTGAGCGATAAAAACTATGTATATGTAATATATATATAAACTACTGTTACTACTACCACGACTACTATTATTTTCGCTATCAATATCATTATCACTATATGTACATATGTAGAAGGAAGAAGAAAAAAAAATGTACAACACCGTATCGTTTCTTGAATGGATAAAACTTAGCATAGAATAGAAGATTCATCTGAGGCAAGACCAGTAGCAGCAGTAGACATACGTTGACCATAAGGAAGAGAAGTCGTAGTAGAAGACGAAGGAGGAGAAGTAGTATGAGGAGGCGGAGAAGAAGAGAATGGATGACGATCACTATAATCTACTGAATCTTGTTGTTGTTGTTGTTGTTGTTGTTGTTGTTGTTGTTGTTGTTGTTGTTGTTGTTGGTCCTGTAACGATCGCCGTACAGCTTCCAAAATCATCCATTCCTCAAAACTAGGTGTTTCCATAGTCATATCCGTAGCATAATATCGTCTTAACGGTAAGGATGATTCCAAATTGGTTGATTGTAATGATGATCTTGTTGTGGCTGTTGTTGTGGTTGATTGGATGTCTGGTCGGATATGATCTAATTTTCCACATTAAAAAAACTCATCAATAAATCAATCTTTTTTTTTTTTAAAAAAAAATCATCATTATAATATATAATTTACCAGCTAGGACTATCATAGATGGTTTTTGTTTTACTAAAGATCGTCGTATTTGACTATTAGTTTTCTGTAATGAACCATGTGAGGATCGACCTTGATCGGGTGATAATTCGTAACCAGAACTAGATCGGGTAGTGACGTTTTTTGTGATCGCATGATGACAAGAAATATTGAAGGGGAATAATGTTGAATGTCGCTATATAAATAAAAGAAGAAAATAATAATAATATATTAGATTCAGAAAGTTTTCTTGTTTCTTTTTATTTTTTATTTACCTGAGGATGGGTGATAGATGATGCAAAATGATAAATAATACCAAAGTTAGGTTGAACACAAAATGGACAACATGCTGGTAAAAGAGGATCAGTACGTTTGATTTGAACAAAACATTCTGTACATATAGGTTGATCACAACATTTGGAATAATTGATATTGGAAGGGTAATACTACAGATCAAAAAATAATAAAAAAAAATAAATAAATCATATATATACAATATTTATATATTATTTTACTTACTAAAAAACAAATAGGACATTCCACTGCATCTGAATATAAATACATTTGACTAGTATTATTATTTCTGGTGGATGATGACGAGGATAAAGGTGGAGAAGGTGATTTTTCCATAAAAGTATTGGAACTACTACTAACAACTTCGTCTAGACCTTAAAAGAAAACAAAGAACCTTTAAGTCTATATTCATTTTATATATATATATATTTACCTTTGTAAAAGGGTGCTAGTTTTCTTGTAGTAATCAATTTACGTATTGTCTTTTTATCGTAATCTTGAGTAACATTGGCATAAAGTCCTAAAGTATGTAAATAGCCATCGTCCACAGTTTTATCTTCTTTAGAAGTATTTGAACCCATAATCGCGTAAAACAGGTTTAAAAATAATAGTGAAAACAACCTGTCATATAATATTAATAATAACAATAAACTCAATCCTTTAAAAGAAAGAAAGAAAAAAAAAAGAAAAAGAAAAGAAAAGAGAAAAAAAAAAAACAAGTTGAAACAGGTGAGAAAAGACGAAATAAATAAAGCAGTGAGAGAAAAAGAATGATTGGATCACCACTGAAGGTCAGGAGTTTTCCTATCCTAAAAAGGAAACCGAATCAATGCGGTAATTGAAACAAAAAAAATGCTATAAGTTTAATAAGACGGGGCGTCCAATCACAATATTAAATTTTATTTTTTTTTTTTCATTTCTCTTTTTTTTTTTTTTCTTTTTTTCTTCTTCTTCTTCTTTTCTTTTGTTTTCACTAAATAAACAAGAATGAAGCTATGGTTTTGTACTAAAACATGGCTTTTAGCCTTGGTGATGACTTTCTTTATTGGTAATCTTGTCTTTTGGTCTTACCATCCTCGTCCTTCTTGTGAACAACTCGGTACTTGTCATGAGGTAGCTTTAAAAAACAGAAAACATTCTATACTTTTTTTTTTATCATCTTTTTTATTTATACCATCTTGACCATTCTTTATTTTTTTTATTTTTTTATTTAATAGGAAAACTTTGAACATCATTCAAAAGGTCATCATGATATGCCTCCTCCTCCTCCACCACCACCAGCTGCTCATCAACAACCTCCTGTAGTTGACAAACAACCACCACCACCACCTCCACCTCCTGCTCATGCTGACTTACTCGCTCATGCTCAAACTGAAGCCAACCTTTATGGTTTTCAATATCCTCCTATGGTGGATTCTCCCAAACAACCTGACACGTATTTACCAGGTAATCAAGTTATAAATAGAATTTATTTTTATTGTAGATCCATTTACTGACTTTTTTTTTTATTATTGATAGATACCCACTTGGATTTATCTATTGATCTCAACACAGTGGCACCTACTGCTGATAAGACTACTTTACGGCTCAATAATGAAGAAAAATCAATTTCTTTTTCAAAAGATGCTCAATCATGGCAACTTGGTGTTGTAAGTAGTAGAAGGATCTTTTTTTTTATTTTGGCTTGGAAAGACATTTGTAAATGGAAGGCGGGGTTATTTGAACTACATGGTAATTTGAAACTCATTTCTCCTTTTTCTTTTTTTAGATCAATAGCAAACCTAATGTCTTCATTGCGTCTGATGGTCATTTTCAATCTATAGTAAATCATTATGACCGTGAACATCGTATTTACAGCTTGATGAAATGGATTCTTCGTGTTCATCGTCGTGATCCCAATCGAACTACCCCCTTGATGATGGTTGATGCTGGTACAAAAAAAAAAAAAAATAATAGTTATATATTCACCTCGGATGTTCTAGATTACTTACTCTATTTTTTTCCTTCTTTTTTTTAAGGTTCAAATCACGGTTTATTCTCCATGGTGGCTGGTGTCAGTGGTGCTCATGCTATTGCTTTTGAACCTCAAACTCATTTACGAAGTAAGTTAACATCATATCTTTTGAATGACTTCAAAAAAAAAAAAAAAGATCGACAAATGAATTAAACTTTGATTCTTTTTTTTTTTTTATTGATTTTCTTAGGTGTCATTAATTTTGGTATTCGTACTAATGAAATCTCCGACCGTGTTCGTGTACTTCCATTTGCAGTATTGGATGGATATCGTGAATTACACATGAGTGGATTCGAATTAGATGATGGAGGTATTGGATCTCTGGATTACAACAATGCCAATTCGGCTATCATTACACAAACCATTCGTTTGGATGCTATTCCTAGTTATGATTTATTATACACCTTCAATCAAGGCCGTACTCATCGCAAGACATTGATGACTCCTGAAGAACTTGGATCTGAATATGCCAATGCTTTGAAAAAGGGTTTGGAAGATGAAAAGAAAGGAATCAAGACTGATAAGGTGATACCTGAACGTGTTAGCCTCCGAGATCCTATTCACTTTTTGAAGATTGATGTTGAAGGTTTTGAATTACATGCTTTAGAATCTGCTTCAAAGCTATTTGAAAATAACTTGGTGGAACATGCTGTCCTTGAATTTGGTCCTCCTGATCGATGGGATGTTACTTTTGAAGAAGGTTTGGATGTTGCTGAAAAGCGTCGACGATCTGTAGCTCAATGTAAACGTATTGTGGGCAAAATGATGAATGAATATGGATTCGATGCATATGTACTTCCTTCTATTGGTTGGGGCAATACAGTAAACTTTATGGCTAGGAACGGAAAGGATTTCAGTCACGGTAGTACTTCGGGTAACAAGATCGTTCATCGACTGAATTATTATGACTTTGACAAGAAACCTTTGGAAAATGATGAATTCGAACAAGAAATGGAAGCTAAAAACCAACTCATTACTGAATATGTACCTTTACCTGTGGATATGATGGAAAAATATATGGATGAATTGCAAGATATTGGTGAAGTGTATCTCTGGTTTGCTAAACGTGATAGTCCATTGACTAAGGTAATTATGGCTCAAGGCTCTTTATAGATTTACTCCTCCCCTTTTTATATTTTATTTCACTTTTTTTTTTTTTTTTTTAGTATTACATATTCAATAAAATAAAAACATTTTTTATAAATAATTCGATGATTTATATAATATTAGGAGCAAATGAAGGGGAGGTATCAGTTTACAAGTTTTTGCAAAATAGGTTCTGAACTGAGAATGAATTTGAAAAAGGGAGTGGGTGGGGTTCAGCCCAAATCAAGAAGAGAAAAAAAAAGAGAGTTTTTTTTTTCCCTCCCTCTTTTCTTTTATTTACATATTAAATTTATATCTTTAATAGATGTCCAATTTACATGTCTATACAACACCTATAGCCAGTACTCATACTTCACCTTTATCATTCAATAGTTATCAACAACAACAACAACAAACCGATGAAGAAGCATTAGTAGATTCGATAACATCTTCAGATGAAGAAGACATCAATGATTATAGACAAGGTGGATATCATGTGGTACAGATCGGTGATACTTTTGATAACGATCGTTATATTATCAAAGCAAAGATGGGTTGGGGATACTTCTCTACAGTTTGGTTAGCAAAAGATACAGTGTAAGTAAAATATATATATATATATAGAAGGAAATATAGTTTCACTTTTTTTGCTGAAAACAAGATAGATATAAATAAGGTATACTCAGTTATCATTGTTTTATGATTTCTATTAGGCTCAATCAACATGTAGCTCTCAAAATTGTGAAATCCGATCCTCATTTTTGCAAGAGCGCTTTAGAAGAAATTGAATTATTAGAACAAGCCCAACAAGCATCAACAGTTAATCAACAAGAAAACGGACATCAATATGTTGCACAACTGTTACATCACTTTTGGATTGATACCACAACAGATGGAAACAACGGTGAAAAACATGTGTGTATGGTTTTTGAAGTATTGGGGGAAAATCTCTTATCAGTCATGAAACGATTTCATTATCGAGGATTACCGGTGCCTATGGTAAAAAGAATTACTCGACAAATCTTGGAAGGATTGGCGTTTTTACATGATACTTGTGGTATTGTACATACTGATATCAAACCTGAAAATATTTTGATATGGATCCCGGATGTCGAAACTTATTTGAACAATAGTGAACCATCTTCAACAACAACAATAACTGCACCATATACACCTATCTCTCCTATCGATCCTTCTTCTCCTTCATCTTCTTCAAGACGGGTTAAACGTAAAACGAAACGACAGGAAAAACGGACTGAAGATCCACCTATTACAGGAAAAAGGTAAAGAAATGAAACAGATTAAAAATATAGGAATTGAAAAAGAGAGAGAGAATGTGTGTGTGAGATGATTTACCATTTTTTTTTTATTTATTTATTTCTATAGTGGGACTTCATTCACACTCGAGAATCATTTATCAACACTAAACTTGAACGTATCATCACAACCAACACCAAGAATTGTTCGATCTTCAGCAATAGATTGTACAGTCATAATAAAGAAGGATGAATATGATGATGCTTGGCATGATCGCATTACTGTCAAGATGGTGGATTTGGGAAATGCGTGTAGAGCAGATGGTCGATTTAACCATGTGATACAAACAAGACAATATCGAAGTCCTGAAGTCATTGTTGGTATGCCTTGGAATGATCGTGCGGATATTTGGAGTTTAGGTTGTTTGGTATTTGAACTTTTGACTGGTGATTATCTATTTGATCCTAAATCAGATTCAAAGTATGGGAAAGATGATGGTAAGTGATTAGAAAAAAAAAAAAAAAGACAATACAAAATACTTAACTTTTTTTTTCTTTTTCTTTTTCTTCTTGAATATATAGATCATTTGGCCAAAATCATTGAATTGACGCGTGTGGTTCCAAGAACATTAACGATTGGTGGTGACTATTCAAGAGAATTCTTCAATCAAAAGGGTGAACTCCGACATGCCAAGAACCTTCGTTACCGCCGTTTACGCGATGTGCTTCATGATACCTATTTTATGCCACCCGATCAAGCGGATAGTATTAGTGAATTCTTATCACCAATGTTGGAAGTAGATATGGCCAAACGATCAAGTGCAAAGGATATGTTGAAACATCAATGGCTTGTTTGATAATATTTTTGTAGTATTTATATATATAGTATACATAGTTTATATAGTTCATAGTTTTATTAGTTAATTAGAAGTTAGTTAGATTTGATTGATAAAATATACATATTTTTTTTTTTTAATGCTCCCCATCTTTTGTATTTTTTTTTTTTTATTACAGCCGAAACCTTTTTAAAAAAGTATAAATCTTACCCCTTTTTGTTTCCATTTCCGTTTTCCCTCTTTTTTTTTTTCTTTTTTTTTTTTTTTTTTTTTTTTTTTTGTCCTCAAAAACCTGACCACAAAATATAATGGAACTTAGCCCTGTACAAGCACATTATTTGAAAAAAGAATTGATCACACTTCAGTTACAACAAGAATTAAATTGTTTAAAGAAAACACCAAAACTAGATGAACTGTTTTCTAAAGACGACAACTCACAATTCCCTTTTTTACGTTATCTCTTCCAAAACTTTGTTGTGGATTTCCCTTTATTGAAGAAAGAAGGCAATAACGCTCAATCCGAGTTTTGGATTAAATGTCAAACATTCCTGGATGAATTTCGCAAAGTGAAATTGGATACTTATACACCCAAGAACAAAGCTGCCTCTCAACGTCGAGTACTCATGTACAAGATGGAAAAAATGTTTATCATTGCTCTATGTGCTTCTATCAAGACTACTCAAGATGACCAATATAACAACAGCAACAATGTAACCATTCGTACTGAACAACAACCCTTTGACGAAAAAGATGATTTATCCAAGGAAGCCGAAACAAAGCTCACTATGTACGAAAATGAACAGAACTATTTACAATGGATCGGGGCAAACCAGGGACTGGATATCAACGTTATTGGTGTACGCGACATTGTAGAAAAACGGACATTACGCGAAAAAGTTCATGCGGAATTCTTGGTACGTGTTACTTATGATCAAACTACTCATGTTGTGGCCCATCGACATGGTGATTTCCGAAAATTACATGATGACCTTCAAGCTGCCTTCCCAACCATTGATATCCCTCCTGTGCCTAGCAAAGCTCATGATGCCTCTTATGAATCCCAACAAACTAAGGATGATGAAAAGGAACAAGTACTGTATCGTGAGAAGGATCGCATTTTACTTCGTGTGTTTTTACATGAAATCGCCAACCATTCTCGTCTTGCCAAAAGTGATATTTTTGAAACTTTCTTGACTAGTAATACCATCGAATTGACGGAAAAGGAAAAATTGGATGTGGAACAACGATTGGCAATGGATCAACGACGTTTAGATGAAGAAACTCGATTCAGGGAACAAGTGGATGCGCAAATGGATCAACTCAATGACTTGTTGGGTATGTTGAAGAAACAAATCGTTCGTCCTGGTGGACTTTTGGAAATCTTTGATATTATCAAGAAAACGGACAAAATTCAAGATTTGCCTGATTCTCTTCGAAAAGCATTTGAATGGGGTAGAATCAAGTATGTACTATAAAAAAAAAATATATATATATTAAGACAGTAATCGAAAACTCAATTATTGTTATTTTTTTTTTTTTGGAAAATAGTTTTGCATTTGTACTTCATACGCAATTCTTGACATCAGATCGTGCTGTAGAAAATACTGCCAACCTGAAACGAACCCATTCTTTGATGCCTTATCGTGCTATTGCTCAAATTCTCAAGGTATCTAATCCATTTGTTATGGTCAAAGGTATACTGGATTTGTTTTTGGCCCAACCATTTGGTGGACGTAGTTTATTCCAAAGGTAAATAGTAAATAAAAAGGAATATACATGTCTTCTCACTTACCTTTTTTTTTTTTAAAAAAAAATTACTGCAGAATTATCCTGGTCAATATGAATGATCAAGCCAAAGAGTTACAAAAGAATATCGATGCTTTGGAAAAACAAATCAATGATCCTAGCTTATGTACAAAGATTCGAAATGCAACTGAAACTTTACTTCCAGATGGTGAAAAACTTGGTGGTAAGTTCATATTATAGGAAGGAGTAAAAAAAAAAAAAAAGGATCACAAGACTAATGTAATTCTTTATTTTATGCTTATAGTGGATACCCCTATTGCAGAGACGATTGCATTATTACAAAATCAAGATATCTTACCTCAACTTACACCAGAACAGATCAAAAAAGTGGCCTTAGTGAATCAAAACAAAGAAAGCAAACAACTAGTCCAACAATTATATCATTTATGGAAACTGTATGGACGACAACGTGAACATGAAGTGATGATGACTTTAATGTTTCAAGGCGTGACTGGAGAACTGATCAAGGACTTGTTTGCGATCTTTTATCAACCTCTTGCTCAAGTATACAGGTCTGCTAATATTGGTGACTCGGTGAACGATATGGCAGCCTTTTTGGATGATTTGATCAAACTTTTGGATAGTTTAGATGTGAGCAATATCAACAACACTGCTCAGCCATTTGTAGAATTGGTGCAACGACATGAGCAAAAGTTTTACCGATTTGTGCATGATGTCCATGCTAATGACACCACGCATTTGTTTGATGATCTTTTACGGTATGTGGATCAAGTTTCTAGCTTTGCCATACATGGATTAGGACAACAAGAAGAAAAATTAGATATGGCAAGTTTGGTGGAAGCATCTCCTTTAGTAACAGCAGATCAATATACAACTCTTCAACAAGAAATTGATCAAGTACATCAATATTATCAACAACGAAAGGAATTACATTTAGCAAGACAAAAAGCTAAATTGATTCAAACGATGGAAGGTGGTTATGATCGAACAACACAAGATATTTTGGAGTTCCTACCTAGTTCTGGTAGTGGTTTAGCACCCTTGATTCAAGATATGGTTGAATTGGATATGGAAGAGGATTCGGATGATGAAGACTCGGTGGATGAGAATAACGTTGGTGATACCCCTACCAGTGGATTGGCCCATGAACTTTTATTGACTCCTCCGACATTGAAGGTTTTGCCTCAACTAGTACCTTTCTTTGCTGACCAAGTGGCATATATGATGCGTAGTTTATAGTTATAGTTTTGTACTATTTGTATTAGTTAGTTACTACTGAAAATATGTGAAAATAAAAAAAAAAAGTTCGTATCTTTTACTCTTTTGTACTACTTGGATGCACGGATAGCTTCCGAGAAAAGCATTGTGTAGGTTGTTGCCTTTTCTTTTTTTTTTTTTTTTTTTTTTTGGTTTGTTTGTTTTTTTTTTTTTTTATGTTATCATCTGTCTATATGACTAACATAAAAAAAAAGGGGGGAGGTTGAATTAGTTACTATCTTTGACTATTGGAAATGGAGGCATGATGATAAAATAGTTAATATAAACAGAGCATCATGCTCTGTTTCGACAGTGTACAAAAAAAAAGAAAAACGCCTTGTATCACATAAGAGAATATCCCTTTTTTTTTGCGCGGCATATCAAAAAAAAAACAACTTTATTCTTTTAATTTTCTTTTCTTCTTTCTTTTTCTTCTTCTTCTTTTTTTTTTTTTTTTTGTAAGTAATTTTTTCTTTTGAGAACAGCACAAACATACACACGTGTATCCAGGTAAAAAGAAAAAAAAGAAAAAAGAGAAAGAGAAAGAAATAGAAAAAAAAAGAGTCAAATCATAAATGAAATATTATTAAAAAATCTTGTTGATTTTCATCTAGTAATGACGACCTATGACCAATTTTCATTCGACATGTGTACAAAACAAAACAAACGAACAAATCATGCTAAAGAAGAAATCATTATACCTTGGTGGAAACCATCCTGTAGTCAAGAAAAACCGCCTTATACCTATGCCACCTTGATTGCTCATGCTCTTTTATCAAGTGAACATGGATGTTTGACTTTAAATGAAGTTTATCATTGGATTTCTAAACATTATCCATATTATGTGATTGGTTGTGGTGGATGGCAGGTAAACACGTTTTTTTTTTTTTTTTTGGTTTTTCTTTTCTTAGACTCTTTTCTTTTTTCTTTTTTTAGAATTCTATCCGACATAACTTGTCTCTCAAGAAAAAAACATTTAGCAAAACAAAACGACCTACTCAAGATAAGAATCAACGAAAAAAAGGATGCTATTGGAAATTATTGAAGGAAGCTGAATCTGATTTTATTCATGCTTTAACCAAAATGGGTGGACAAGCTACTAGACGTAATGAATGGTCTACTCAAGAAAACGAAACAAACAAAAACTCTTCTTCATCCTATTTCTCTCTCAAACGAACTACTACATTGATGCCATCTACCATGTTTATTACCCGACCTGAAGATTATCAACATGAAAACGATAAGAAAAAGAAGAAGGCAATGGATGGACACACATCTATCAAGGAAAAGTCTAACAATCAATGGAAACAAATTTATCATTATCGCCATCCTTATTCACGTTCACCGTCATTGTCATCTTCTTTATCATCATCATCATCGTCATCATCATCACCATCGACAACAACAGCATCGTCAACTTCATCATCATCATCACCACCAAGTTCATTATTCTCTATGTTTCATACCATTCGCTACCGAACAAGTACAGCCACAACGACAGCATCATCGCTATTGGATAACGCAACCAATCACAGAAAAAGAAAACGATTGGAGTCTAATAGACAAGATAACCACCACTATCAGCAACAGTATCAATATAAGCAACAAAGACGAGGCTCCTCCATTGAACCAGAGGATACGTTTTATGATTCAGGAGTAGATGTGGATTATCATTACAAACGACCGAAACAGTTAGATACAACGATGACAACAACGGGTGCACCAGTGGCGCCTATTTTCTTGGACCCTCTACCTCCATCCACCTATTCATCTTCTTTTCTATCACATGAACAGTTATTCTGGCAAGATTCTTTATCGGGAGAACAAGCAAGATTAGAAGCGACGTGCTTTCCTATGGATACATCTCATTCATCTTTATCATATGATGGACAAACCAAGTCTACCTGTCTCACAAGGTTGAACGATGATCAACATTCTTATTTTGAACAACAACACGATATTTTTGACCAGTTTTTATGTTTTGATAGTATTTGATTATTAGTCTTTTTTTTTTGATCCTCAATAAAAAAAAAAAAAAGTGATATTATTTTTATCTACATATGGTAATCTCTACATGTTACACCCATTAAGAATGCTGGATTCATCGAACTTGCTGGTTGGATGATCAATACGGATGATCTTTTTTACTTTTATTTCTCACTGTTCTTTCATCCTCTTTCTTTTTTTTTTTTTCTGTCTACAACGTCCATCATTATTTTTATGAATCATTCAACTTTAATCATGGAGTCAATTCAATATATTAATATGAATGGGCTCTTATTCTTTCATCTGGATTGATCCTTTTACTGATGGTTAGTTTTAATCTAATATGATAGAATATCCTTTTTTTTTACATTGCTTTTTTTTTTTTTTAATAAAGCTGTAACACATTTATAATTGTCATCGCTGTTTTATTGTCGTTGTTGTCATTTCAACTATTCTTTATAGACATCAATTAATTAATCATCCATCATCAAGTACTGTCGCAACTTGAAAGTATAATTTATTGATAAGACAAACGATTAAATAGTACGCTGGAAACTAAACTATTTTATTTCAAAGAATCAAAATAGGGAGCAAGATTGGGACGTTTGGTGAAAGCTTTAACGAATTTGGCAACATTGGGATAGTCCTATAAAGCAAAAAAAAAAATGAAACCATTTAATACTCTTTTATTTATTTATTCCATTCATCACTTACTTCAACATGCTTCAAAGCAATGAAATCATCATCCAACATATGGTAGACCAGGAAATCAGCGTAGGAGATCTTAGAAACATCATTAAAAGAAAATGCAAACGTTTAGTCACAACAGGGTAAATATTTAGATGAAAATAGGAAAAAATAAAATAAAATAATTACCTCTTCACCCAAGATATAGGGTCCTTCATTTCGACCATAGATAGTGTCATAAATACCCAGATATTTTATGGTGTCCTTTTCAAAATGTTCCTTCAATTTTTCTTGATCATCACATCTGACTAGAACAACCCATGTACCAAAGTGATCTCTCACGGAATCGGCAACACATTCAAGGATATAATTTTCATCATCATTTGATCCCATGTATTTACCTAAACAAAATTGGATGAATTAAAAAAAAAAGTATGATGATCATCTTCTTTTTATATATATACCTAATTTTCTTGCCAAATAACGCATAGTTGGCACTGTTTTAGCCAATGTTTTTCCATCAACCTCTACATAGGGCATAGTAGGATGAAGCACCGATCTTTTGGCCAGATCAGCTTTCATTTCTGGCCAACCAGATAGATCATATCTATCATAAGTGTAGTCAATACCAGAATCTTTCAATAACAAGTTCAGATTTTCACCATAACCAACAGTAGCTATAACCAGATAAAAAAAAAAAAAAAAAAAAAGTTAAGATGTCATATGGACTATACTCAATATTACTTACGAGGTTTGTCTGCGAGATCAAAGTAGTGGAGACTGACTGAAGTGATGGTCATTCTGTTGATTTTAAATTTTTGTGATAAATAGAGCAAAGAAAAGAGTAAAAAACATCCTCCTTTTATAACCGTAAAGTTTTTTTTTTTTTCTTTTGTCAGTATTCGGATGGCGTAAGCCTACTATCATGTCAAAGAGCTTACGCAAGAACAAGCTTACGCAAGAGTGAGCATACGCAAGAGTGAACTTACGCAACGATCATCCACTGTATATTACTAGAATGGTTTAGACCCTCGTGTGCTGCGCCACATTGTGATGCAAGATATTGCTTGTCATTCTTAAAAGGTTATGCTTTGTCATGACAAGACGCGTAACCTTGATAACGTTTCATTAACAAATCAAAAAAAAAAAAAAAGACATTAGTAGTCAAAGATCACTTAATATTCATCATCATCCATCATCATCATCATCATCATTTACTCGGCTTGTTCTAATAGTATCATATTCATTCCTTTGATATACTCCCCGTTGAAGTTTTTTTTCTTTTTTTTCGCCTTTTGTTTAGAGTTCCAGATAGATGGTTCAGGTGATGATCATCCTTCCATGTTTAGCAACAGTTACCTCTTCGGGACATGATCGTTGTCAAGGATTTATTTTATCACGTCGATGGATCGATCAATAAGAGTGGTTCTACCCTGACAGATCAATCTATTTCTATCATCAACCATCAAAAAAAAAAAAAAAAAAAGATGAACATAAAAGAAAAGATATCAACCAAGACTATTTGTTTATTGATAGAAGCAAAGTACAATAAAACTAAACTAATCATAATTTAAGATCTAGGCTTTTCCTTCTTTTCCTTGTACAAGGCAATGAGAGCAACACCAGCGACCTTGACTACCTTGAAACGGACACCAGGAATATCACCAATAGCACGACCCTTACGACCAAAACCAGCAATCAAGACTTCATCGTTTTCGTCGACATAGTTCAAACAACCATCATTGGGCACGAAAGCAGTAACCTTCTTACCATTCTTGATCAATTGGACACGGACACACTTACGAATAGCAGAGTTAGGTTGTTTGGCTTCGACACCACTACAAAAAAAAAAGGTGAGCTTTTTATCCATATTTTTCTTATTTATTCACTTACATCTTTTCAAGAACAATACCCTTAGCATGAGAAGCACCACCAAAAGGATTGGAACGGAAAGCAGTACCCAAGGCACGCTTCTTGTATTGCTTGTCAGCCCATCGTTGTTCACGACGATGGTTGCGCAACTTACGAGCGGCATTCAAACCAGAAGGTTGACCTATATATATATAAAAGAAGTGAGTGGTCGATAATAGTGTTATCAGTTTTTGATCAAGAGTGAACCCAGATAAAGTAACAGATGTGAATGGAAATAAATGTACTACTATAAAAGAGGTTTTCGAAGTTGTTTTTATGTATGTCGAGTGAAGATTATTGTCATTGTACATTTGTTTATGAATTCACCATTGAGGGAGAAAAAAAGAAAATAAAAAAAAGAATATTTTGTTGTTATGTCGAATGTATCCATCCATCCATCCATCCATTCATTCATTCAATCGATTTTTGATTTTCCATCATACATGTTGTTGTTACTTTATCTGATCATTCGACTAATTGTAGTTGATTCGACTTACCCATATTGTAAGATAGATTTTTGGAGAAGGTAGCAAAAGAGGAGGAAGAAAAAAATTCAATTTATGATCACACACACGCGGTGGCCGGCAAAGGAGTTTCAAATTATGATATATTACAATGTTTTTTTCTCTTTTTCTTTTCTTCATATATAAAAAGGAAAGTCTACTTCTTTTTTTTTTTCTTATTTAGTTTTTTTTTTTTTTTTTTTTTTTATAATGTTAAATTAAAAACAGATTTGTTTTTAGATCTGAAAAATCCATCCATCATGATGGTTGTCAATAGGAGACCAGTTCAATGAAGGTTCCTGTCAACACAGTCGGAGCGTGAATGGAATGTTTTTTTTTTTCTTTCTTTCTTGGTTCCTTCAAAAAATGGCTTTTGTCCTTTTTTTTTTTTGTTTTTCTTCTTTCTTTTCTTTATCAACCTTTTTTTTTTTATGTTTGTTCGATGATGACTTCTCTGTTTGACATCAATGCAGACGAATTTGTTGGTTTAATAGCCAGATATGTTGATTCGATAGTATTGACTCTTATAGTCACTTTTGGTATTTATTATATCTTCGTCAAAGGTAATAAAAAAAAGTAATATTTAATTCTCCTTGATCAAGTTTGTTACTTTTCAAGTTCTCATACTCTTTCCTTTACTCCTTCTTTTTTTTTTTATTCTTCTTCTTTTACTTCTTCTTTTCTTTACTAGGCAAAACTCAGTCTCAACCTGCTGTCAACAAAGATAGATCAGTCCCACCTACTTCGACAATTCATGCATCCAAATCTACCATTGAAACTGCACACACGACAGACCAATTGAAACCTCAGGACGACAATATCACTTCTACTGCTGCTACTACTATTGTTGCTGCTGCCACTGGCATTGTAACTTCCTTATCAGTACTTAATGATGAAGGGGACGATCACGACAAATCTGTGCCCGACTTTTTATCCGATATCTCTACGTCCTCTGTGGAAACAGATTCAACTGCTGTGGGTGGTGTTACTGAACAGACTTTGGACTCTCCCTCTATCAAAAAGGAAAAGGATGCTCTCATAATAGCGGACAAAGGTGATCTTGCCAATGAAAAAGTGAATGTTATGGAACACGAATGGGCGACTTTGGATAGCACAAGCAACAACGAAGAGGAATCCTTGGAAAATAACGCGACGAATAACAAAGATACTACAATGAAATCATCAAATGATCTTCAAGAAAACTTGATGGCACAATCAGTAGCAGTGACGGATCAGGTGGAATTCCAGGAACGACATGATATCAACTTGAACAACGAATCTATTGGGATGATACTGACTGATGATAGAATGAGCGATGCAGAAACCACCAGAAAAGGGCAACAGGAGCAACAATCAGAGGTGGATCAAGCTGAAGATGCTGACCAAGTTGAAACGTTCATCACAAATGCGAATGAAAACGACACTACCAATTGTATGAGCACTGAATTAACAACAACAACAACTACTACTACTATGACTATTACAGATGGTGATAATGTGGCTCTATCTTCTATCAAGAACGATATCACGACGGCAATTCAAAAGGAAAAGGGCGTTATTGCTTCAACGACGGACGTCATCAATGGAACGAATGACTATATGAATGATGAAAATTCAACAAGTGAACGTCACGAAGAATTGATGTATACTGAACAAACGGATAACAACGAGTCATTCACACAGATAAAGGAATTGCGATGTTTGCAAGATGAAACCAAGTCTCTTGAAAACTCAAGTTCTGTCGAGATGCAAAAGGATGACAACAGTGATGAAGCAATGGGATTGGCGACAACATCCGTGGATGAAGTACAAGTTATTGGACAAACAGAGTCGATGGATAGTAGCGAGCAATTGGAATTGGACAAGACGGCTATTCAAACCGAATCCCTAGAAGGACAGATGGAAAAGGACAATGATATAGAGGCAGATCATCAAGAGGAAATGGATCAGAAGGTACAAACTGTTTTAGTGCAAGTTGCCAATCAAGGGGAACTTTTCGATCCATTAGTCGATCAGGTGGAACCCAATAACCAAGTGGAAAAGGCAGATGATGTTGACAAGGCCGTTGATGATCAGCAAACAACAACAGATATGCAGGAAGAAGATGTCTTGGCAACTGGATCGGCTATCAGCGTATCGACAAAGGAAAGTGAAGTCAACCATGCATTGGATTCTAGTTTCATGATACCAGTCTACAACAAACCTAAGCAAGACATGTCTCGATTGGAACGTATTGGTCAACAACTACAACCTTATATTCCTCTGTATAAATCTAGGTGTGAATTTTGGCCAGGATGTACAAACAATCATTGCAAATATTATCATCCCTACATTGAGTGCAGGTAAAAAAAAAAAAAAAAAAAAAAAAAAAAAAGATATTCTTATTCATATTTTGTTTATTTTGATAGAAATGGAAAAACATGTCAATTTGGAAAGAAATGCATCTTCTTGCATCCGAACGATTATGTGGATTACAAGAAAATGAAACAAAATGGTCAACTCAAGAAAAAGTCGAAGAAGAACAATACCAAGACATCTCGTAGGAAGCAACAAGTCAAACCCAAGGACAAAAATGAACATAGTATAGTTTAGTTTCTTCCTGTTCAATTCAATACCCCTAATAGACAAGTCTATGGGTTCTTCACATTCTTTTATATATATATACGAATTGCATTTTTATTTATTTTGTTTACATCATTACTTGTATATATACAATATTCATCTTCATTCACTTTTTATAGATTTTTCTTTTTTATATTCATAGTTTTCTGATTCTTTTGATTCATCTTTTTTTTTTTTTAAGTCTACAATACAATAAAGACTCTTGGGCGATTCGTTGTAACATTTTTTTTTTTTTTGAAAATTCCTCAATGGATGAACGAGATAAAGTGATGAAAATACCAAAATAGTTTTAGTTGTTTGTAAATGTACGTTGCTTATTTTGATTGATCATGGCAAACTGATGATCAAGGCGATGATTCAGGAAGAAAAAAAAAAAAAAAAAAGAAAAAAAAGTAAAAAAAAAAAAAAAAAAAAAAAAAAAAAAAAAAAAAAAAAACAGGTGACAATATGATATAGGATGTAAAAAGAATGTTTGTTTATTATCATGCTTTCAATGGTTTTTGGATAAACGGATCTTTTGGGGGTGGAATAGGAAGTGCATAAGAAGGGGAATCATGAGTAAAGGAAGACTGTCTAGATGGATTTGGAGTAAGTGGAGGAGAAGGGGAAGAAGGTAATAATAGAGAAGAATAAGGTGACGTTACTAAAGAAGAGGATGATGATGATGAGGGGGATTGAAGGAAACCTAATTTTTTCTTGATGATCATGGTAGTTCTTGAAGTTTGATAACAGGTAGCACATAGGATGTCTGATGTACGATTCTTGTCGGGCATTGGTTTTTCTTGATGAATCAGTTGCATGCATTTGGCACAAGTAAAATCCACATTTTCCAAAGACCATGGAGATTGTTGTTCACCATAAGTTTCGGTTTGTTCATAATCCAGACACGCCAATTGAAAAGATGTCAATACCGAATCCAATTCTTGTGTTGATGATTGTTGTCGTAATAGATGTTGAATAGATACGATTTTCTGATCTACCGCTAGACAAGCAAGTGCCATTCGCTCCGTCCAAAATGTCAATCCATCTTTCCATTGTTTGTTACAGAGATTTTCATTCTTTGAGATCCTGTCCCGAATACATTGGATGTCAATCTTAAGTTGTTCATGTGCTTGTTGATCTTGATGAATTTCCCTTGCAGCAGCTATCCTCTTATCTTTGATAGCATCAATGACGTGCCGACAAGCGGCTACCTGCGATTCAGCCAGCTGATTCTTCTTTTGTGCTCGAAGGTACTTGCGTTTATAAGTATGTCCAAATAGAGGTACTTTAGCATATCGATGATATTGGTGCTGGCGGCGCTTGTACTTTTCATAGCGTTGGTGGGCGTGCGTTCGTGTATCTTGAAGTTGTGATTCTTGTTCCTGGATCCGGTTTGTGTAAGTGACAATCTCTTGTTGAAGTTGATGTCGTCGTTCAATAAGCTTGTTCCATTGCGTTTCACGTCGTTCCATCAGTAATCGATCTTCACAAAGTCGTACTTGATATTGTCTTTGTAATGCTGCTATTGTCCAAGAATAGATCCTTGTCTTCTTATGCCTAGCCTGAATTTCCTTTTCCATATCCTTGAGTCGTTGAAACACTGCTTTATTTCCATCAAGTGCTAATTGTTTTATCTCATCTGCTTGTTGTTTTGTAATAGTTGAACTTGGAGGTATCATATTTAGAGAAAAAAAAAAAAAAAAAAAGGAAAAAAAGAGAAAGAAAAAAAAAAGAAAAGGAGTAAGAATAAAATAAACTTTTTAGACTGACTTTGAAGATTCAAGCCTTGGCATAAACATATCAAAAAATATCAATATCCTTTTTTTATTTATATACAAAAAAAATAACAGAATAAATAGGCTGATATGATTCTAAAAATAATAATCTAAATAGTAATTTGAGACAAAATATTGGCAGCCACCACTTTAGGTTCAGGACGAATATCAACAACAATCACGTTTTCCACAGCAGCATTAGGTTCTTCCAAAGTATCCAATTGAGACTGAAGTAAAGATGCTCCAAAGAAATGATTTTTTCGAGCTCCCATTCTTTCCGCTAAAAGTTCAGGAGAACCCTTCAAATATACAAATGTCACTTTGGTCTTGTCTGTAGGTACTTGACACAAGATATCTCGGTATACCTTTCGAAGTGAGGAACAAGTCACTACCAACGCTCTACTACTTTCTTCTTTCTTGTTGTACAATCCCTCAGTTCGTTCAATAATCGTATCCCGGATCTTTTCTAACCATGACCAACGATCGTCGTCCACCAAAGGAATCCCTTTTTTTTATAGATTCAAAAAAAAAAATAAATCGTTAGTTTATAAATTTATCTAGAAACTATTATATTATTTTTACCAGCACCCATCTTCTCAACGTTCGCAGGAGGATGTAATTGATCGCCTTCCACATAATCACAACCCAGTAACTTTTGTAATTCTTCAGCAATGGAAGTTTTGCCTGAACCACATACACCCATAACAATAAATACAGGTACTGGTTTATGACTGTCGACCATGGTGATCAAAAAGTTAAAGAAGCGAAAAAAAAAAAAAAAAAAAAAAAAAAGTTGGGGTCCCCCACGCTTTTACTACCAAATCGGAGAAAAGAAGGATGTCATTGAAAGCCAATCATTGATTCAGTTAAAACTTTATTTCTTTATTGAATTTTCCCGTTCAACAAATGCAATCTAAGAAGATGTTGTATAATAATAATCTAATAAAGACTTCGTATCGTTGTTGTCATTGTTCCGTCGTTTAGAGGTTGATGTTAATCGTTTCTTTCTATTATTATTATCCATGTCATCATCCAGTTGTTCCTGTAAAATCGATCTTACTTCCATCTTGGTCAAACATTCGTCTACATGATGATTGAATTGATGATTATCCATGTGTTGTTGTAATCGATTGCAAATAGGGCAGATAAGTTGAATCATCGTTGATATTGTTTGTTGTGTATCATCAGAATGTTCCCTTTTTGCTGGTATCCTCTTTTTACTTGTATTGGCTGTTGTAAAATACTATAAATAAAAGTGTTCAATCCAATAGATGTGACAACAACCATCATTATTTACCTTCTTCATACCATGATCTTCATTTGTCTGAGGTTGTAAGGATGACATTCGGATACCCATCAATCTGATATCCACTGGCAATTCTTTCTCCACTAGCTATCATAGATATAAAAACATTAGTCACCATTGTAATAGTTCTTCCTTCTTTTTCTTTACCTCTTTTGCAATCCTTGCGATGTCCTTACTATTACTGATATAACCAGGAAATGTCTTTGATCGGACACGTACAGTGAACGATGTCAATTTCAATTTGATGCCCACCGTTTTTCCTCGTAATCCATCTTTTGCCAAATCTTTTGCCAATAAATCAGACAATTCATCCACTTTTCTAAATAATGCTACACGATCGGATATTGGTGAGAACGTTCTTTGGAAAAAAAAATCATCAGTATATATATATATATATATATATATATAATATAAAAAAATTTTTTTTTTGTTTACCTTTCTACACTCATACTTTTTCGAGCTGATTCCAGATGTAAATTTGAAGATCCTATTCCTAGATAACATCGTAGCATAAATTTGAAACTGATAGGACTAAGGAGTTTATAAAGTAGAGCTCGTCGATGATATATATCTCCACATGTCTTGACATCCAAAGCTTCCAACACTCGTTCAGTGACACGACCAACACCAGAAACCTATAAGGAATAAAATAGATGATTAGCATCTTTTCTATTCTCTTTTTCTTGTTCCTTACTTTTCGTATTGCGAGTGTTTTCGTAAAGTTCATGATGGCGTCTTTTTCCATTGGTAAAAAATATTGTCCATTCGGTTTATTCATATCACTACATACTTTCGCCAACATTCGATTGGCAGCTATACCTGAAACAGAGAAAATAAAAAAAAAAAATAGATAAGTAAAATAGTCTTTGTTCGTTTGATTAAGATCACCAACCTGCACTAGCTGTCAACTTGGTTTCTTCAAATATTTCATTTCTTATTTTCTGTACAAGTTCTTCTGGTGACATATCAGTGGTACTGAGGTACTAAAAGAAAAAAAAAAAGGTTAAGACGATATTTACTTTCATATTTGTTTTACCTTTGTCAAATTCAGATATGCCTATAAAGAAAAAAAGAATAGTAAGACTATATGCATTTATATAAAAACAACAATAGTTGACTTACCTCATCCAGACTCATCGGTAAAAAATCAGGATCATATTTGGTAAAGATCGCTCTTACTTTTGCAGAAGCAGCCCGATATTTTGGAAAATGTAAAGGTATCAATTTCAAAGATGGACATAACTTGATGGCAATAAATCCAGGCATACCACTTCGAACTCCAGATTTGCGTGCCAGGTAATTGCTTGTACATAACATGGACATACCACCCACAGCCATAGGTACATCTTTCAATGAAGGATCATCCAATTCTTCAACTGAAGCATAGAAGGCATCCATATCCACATGACAAATACATTGAGTCAGATCTCGACTATCTTCCATTTCCCGAATCTGGAGAAGAAAAACAAATGTTAAGTATGGTGAAAAATAGAATCATGTAAGAACTCGATGTTCCTTTTTTTTCACCTTGTGATCCACGATTTTTGTTTCAAAAGATAAGTCCAAGTCTTTGATTTGATCATACCTCCATAGCATTTCATCTATCCTCTTAGTTAAAGCTTGATCTTTCTTGCGTTCATTTTCAAAAAAGGCAGATCCCTATAATGACAAATAAATAAAAATCCATCATACATCACCAATCATTAGCGATATATATATATCAATAACCTACCTTGGAAGCTTCATATATTATTTGATTGACTCGTTCCTTATCCAATGAATCCAATCCAGCCTATATATATTACATATAAAGAGAGAAATGAATGATATTGAATATATCATGGTTTGTATTTCTTTCTGTTTCTTTTATTATATATACTATTTTTGTTACCTTATGAGCAGATGCACCTGCTAGACGACTTCGAAGTGAAGTTTGGTGATTGTTCATGTTGTCGACTCCTGTACTACTAGACTCTTGATCGTGCTGTGCCACAGCTTGATCAAACAATGCTGCTGTTTCTTCATCAAACGAAGGGTCGTCAAGAAAGAGATCCTCTTCTTCAATCACTTGAGAAGAATACTGTTCGTCATTGTCGCCAGAAAGTAAATCACCCATATTTTCCTGATAAGTCGTGAGAACGAATAATTGTATAAGAATGAAGAAGACTACAAGTGAAGGAACAATTGTCCTGTCCAATTTTTTTTTTTTTTTATAAGCAAAGGATTCAACTACCGCTGGTGCTCATGAATCCAAAATTTGGGCATCCATACAGATTATACAGTATGATCAAATTGGGTATGAATTATAATGATGATAATCACTTATATAATTATATAATATATTCATTTGAGATAAAATACGTTGAAACTATGATTTCGTTTAGCTCAATAACTGTGGACTGATTTTTTTCTTATATCCAAAGCGGACGTTGAAACGATGTCAAGAAAGATTTTTCACCACATTCAATCATTTCTTTTTTTTTTTTTTTTTTCAACTCTTGACATTCAACCATGCTCTCCCGACTTTTATCTTCAGTATCGAAAACTGCCAAATTCAATACATTAACAAGACTTTATCGCAAGTACTCCACTGTTGTAAATCCAAACAATGCCTACGACGTTGTCATTGTGGGTGGTGGTGTTGCAGGCACTGCTCTTGCATGTTCCATAGGTACTATTTTTTTTCCTTTTTTTTTTTTTTTTTTTTTTTTTTTTTTTACGCGATACATTGTTTAACTAAACTCTCTTGTTTGTTCCTTTTTCTTTTAGCTAGTAATCCATTATTAAAGGATCAACGAATTGCATTGATAGAAGCCATGGATTTGACAAATACACTGCAATGGTCTCCTCAGCAAGACATTTACTCGAATCGGACAGTATCTTTAACACCGGGGTCTATGGCATTCTTGAAGCGTAAGTAATAAACTATAAAAATATGACTATTCTTACTCATCTTTATATATGTAAATAGGTATTGGTGCAACACATCATTTGTCACCAGGACGCGCCAATCCTTATACTGATATGCAAGTCTGGGATGGCGTGACAGGAGCTCGTATTCATTTTGACGCAACATCGTTGAACCCTCATGATGCATCTAATGACGTCGAAAGTCGAAACACAATCGCCTACATGATTGAAAATACCCATTTACAACATGCTCTTTTGAAACGATTAGAACAATGCCGCGCTGAAGGTGCTCAAGTGGATATTCTACAACGTGCTCGTGTGTCTACTATTGAAAAGGAACCTATGTCTGATACTGACGATGGTTTGGATCTTTCGGATTGGCCTGTCGTACATCTTGAAAATAAAACGAAGCTTCATGCTAGATTATTGGTAATATCTTGATATATTATGACCACAATCTCATTTATTTATTTATTTTCTGAATGATAGATTGGGGCGGATGGGATCAATAGTCCTGTACGCAAGTTTGCATGTATAGAATCATTAGGATGGGATTATGATGCTCATGGTGTAGTAGCTACTTTGAAATTGGATTCTTTGGATCATCAAACAGCTTGGCAACGATTTTTACCTACTGGTCCTATCGCTATGTTACCTGTACGTATATACAATAAAAGAGTATCTTAACTGATCTCTTTCTTTCTTTTTTTTTTTTCTTTTCTCTGTTTTGATAGATGGGTGAAGGATATGCATCCATGGTATGGTCTACTAAACCACATTTAGCCAAACTTCTTAAAACAATCTCTGAGGAAGATTTTGTACAACTGGTGAATGCTGCTTTCCGTCTCAGTCATGTGGATTTGGATTACTTTTACAAACAACTGGATAATGATAAGGCATTTCCATCTTTAGCTTCCGAGGTAGCATGGCGAGATGATGTGATAAACAAGTCAACCAACGAAATCTTACCTCCCAAGGTGGTTCAAATTCAACAAGCTAGTCGTGCCAGCTTCCCTCTCAAGCTACGAAACTCTGAACGGTATATTTCTGATCGTGTAGCTCTCGTTGGGTAATGATCATTAAAAAAAAAAGGACTTAGACTATTTATCTATTTGTGCGAACTCATAATGAATGGATTCTATTTGAACTAGGGACGCTGCTCACACTACCCATCCATTGGCTGGACAAGGATTAAATCAAGGATTATTGGATGTGGAATCATTGACAAATGTATTAGTTCAAGGTACTTTGGAAGGACAAGATATTGGAAACATCAATTTACTACGTGGTTATGCCTCAGATAGATATATTCGAAATATCGTGATGATTAGTGCATGCGACAAGATGCATCGATTGTTTGGTACAGATGCTGCTCCCATTGCTTGGTTAAGATCTTTTGGATTATCTACTCTTAATAATCTAGATTCTGTCAAGGTATTACCCAAAAAAAAAAAAATGGATCTGTGAAAAAGGACTAAACAGAATATGAACTCTTTTTTTTTTTATGTTCTTAGAGTGAAATTATGAAGTATGCTATGGGCGTAGAGTATACTGGTGCTACATCATCTTCTTCCCAATAACAACAACAACATCATCATCATTATTATTATCATACAACCATCTAGTAATATTCTATAGATTAGTGCTCACTTTTTTAATACAATAGATATGACTTTTAGTTTTAAAATTTCTGATTGTCTTAAAATTATCTCAAATTGGAATTGTGTGTGGGGTGCGGGGTTTTTATTATCACTTGCCAGGTTAAAAAAAAAAAAAAGCAAAAGGAGGTTTATTATTTTTTTTTTTCTTTCTTTCTTTTATATAATAGACTTTTCCAGCGTCATGACTGATACTAAATCATTCACAGCCTCGACTCATATGGTATTATAGAAAAAAAAGGAAATGAAGGAGGAGAAAGAGGACATGTGAGTGACAAAGTCGATAGTGGAAGAACATATTAAACAAGATAGACTGGTTGAATACTGTGAAACTGACTTTGTTTATATTTATTATTATTAGGATCAAGCCTTGGCAGGATTTGGTGCTGGTCTTATCTCCACTACTATACTTCATCCTCTGGATGTTATCAAGATCCGTTTTCAAGGTAAGATTAAAAAAAAAACCACTACTAAACAAAGATATCACTGACTTTTTGTGAACGATTAGTGGATGCTGCCAAACACTCAACAAAAAGACCTTTGATTGGTGGGACTATCAAGTCATTTCGAGATATAATTCAACATGAAGGTGTTTTTCGAGGATTATATCGTGGTGTTTCTCCTAGTGTTGCTGGCGCTACTGCAAGTTGGGGTTTTTATTTCTGGTGGTAAGGCACTTGAATGAGATTGGAAGAGGGGTGTTTTGAACCAATCATTTACGTTCGTTTGATTTTTTTTTTTTTTTTTTTTTGATTACAGGTATAGTTTGATCAAAAAACAAATGAAAAAGGATGATCAAGGAAAACTAGCAGCTTGGCAACATTTATTAGCATCAGCAGAAGCAGGTAAAATAATAAAAAAAACAGTTTGGTTAAATGACATTTATATTTATCTATTGTATGATAGGAGCCATTACTGCGATCATGACAAATCCATTATGGGTTATCAAAACAAGAATGTGTACAACAACTAGATATACGGCTGATGCATATACCGGATTATGGAATGGATTAAATCGACTTGCCAAAGAAGAGGGAATTCGTGGATTATACCGTGGTATGGTACCTGCGTTGTTCGGAGTGTCTCATGGGGCTATCCAATTCATGGCATATGAAGAAATGAAGAAATGGAGAAATGATCTACGACAAGCTCAAGGTGATATTCCCAAGGATGAACTCAATGCAAAACTTAGTACAATGGAATATTTAATCATGGCTGTTTCATCGAAAACAACAGCTGCAGTGGTGACTTATCCATATCAAGTATTACGTAGTCGATTACAGGTAAAAAAAACAATGATTAACTGAAAAAGAAAAAATGCCACTAAACTTTTTTTTTTTTTTGATAGAATCGTGAAACAAAAGATGAATATCGTGGGGTCATGGACTGTATCAAAAAAATCAAATCTGCTGAAGGTTATGTTGGATTCTATAAGGGCCTGGCGCCAAGTATCATTCGTGTCCTTCCTGGTACCTGTATCACCTTTTTAGTATATGAAAATATGACTCAATACTTCAAAAATCATGCATCATAAATTTAGAATAGACGTAAAATTAGAATATAGATTTAGTTTTTCATTTTGATTATTTATTTATCTATTTTTTTTTTTTTTTTTTTTTTGTAAAATATACAATTTTTTTTTTATTGTTTTGAAAGATACCAAACTACAATTGAATAAAGACACTATATATAATATCATCATCAAAATATGTATGTATGTTGATCGTGTGGTAAGATGGCTAATGTAAAGAAGGGGAAGGACGGAGGATAATAATAAAAAAAAAAAAAAAAAAAAGGAGGGAGGAACTTAACGGGAGGGATAGTCATAGTAAAAAAAACGATAATAAAAGTTAAAAGTCGGAAAAGAAGTGTACATAAGGATCAGGGCCAGTTTGGATACCATATTGTTCATTACTTTCGGGATACCGATCGAAGTGACTTGCATCACCATCACCACGAATAGAAGGTACATAAGGAGGACGATGTTGTCTAGCCAGTAAACGATTGAAATCCACTCCTTCAAACCAAGCATGTCGTTTCACATCTTCAGCACCATTTCGTAAATTACCAAAACGTTTAGATAAATCCGATGTCAATAGTCGTCGCAATAGATCTTTGGCATTTGGATCAAAGTAACTTGGCCATTTGATACGTCCAGCAAGGATCTTTTCATATAATTTGAGATGATCATCATCAAAGAAAGGTGGGTGTCTAGTTAAAAGAAAATGATTCATTAGTTGTCGATGAATCAACTATCCTATTACAACTTACCCAGCTAACATTTCAAATATCAGAATACCCAAACTCCACCAATCCACAGCTAAAATAAATTTTTTTTTAAAAAAAAAAAAAGGTCGTTAGGATGTATTTAATTTTTTTATTATTAGTATTATTCTTACCTTTGCCGTAACCTCTTGATTGGATAACTTCGGGCGCTAAATAATCAGGAGTACCACATAAAGTCCAAGTAATATCAGGCACATGCTTTGCAAATCCGAAATCTGTAATTTTGATATGTCCTTGGGCGTCAAGTAATAGGTTTTCCGGTTTCAAATCTCTATAAATACAAAATATAGCCCCAATAAATGAAGTCAATAAAATATATATATTTGAAAAAAAAGGAGGGATCTTATCATTGATGAACTAGTATTATTATTATTATTATTATTATTATTTACCTATAGATAATATCTTTGGAATGGAGGTATTCAATTGCCAAGACAACTTCAGCAGCATAAAATTTGGCCACATGATCCGGGAATCGCTAACAAAAAAAAAAAAAGAAAAAAAAAAAAAGGAATATTATTATTATTATTATGATAGTGTTTTGTTCTTACCTGAGATCTTCTTAAAATGGAGAAAAGTTCACCACCAGGAACATAATCCATAACCATATAGAGATTGATACTATCTTGAAAAGTTCCCCACATATTGACCAAGAAAGGATGAGCCACTGATTCCAATATATGTTTTTCGTTATTTGTATGTTCCACTTGCTTCAGTCGTACAACCTCTGTCTTTTTCAACACCTTAATAGCATAATAACGCACATTGACACGTGATTGAACTAAATGTACCCTTCCAAAAGAACCTGTTCCTAATGTTCGTAAGATATGGAAATCCGCCAATTTGAGTTTAGGTCGATTTTGTCGTTGTTGAAGAATACTTTGATCATTAAAGACAGATGTATAAGATGATTTTGAATAGACTTGTTGTTGTAATTGTTGTTGAGTATCCTTTTCATTTAATGTTTTGTTTGGTGTAGATGTTGTAGTAGTAGAAGGTAAATCAACAGTTGTTATGATGGTATCTATAAGAATATTACCATTACTATTTTCTATTTTTTTTTCTTTTTTTTTTTTTTTTTTTTACTTTAATTTATTTTTACCTTGTTGATCCTTCGTCATATCCGATGTTTGAGTATCCATTGGTTCACTTGTATTGTTGTCTATTGATAATATATATAAAAAAAAAAAGGAAAGAAAAGAATAAAAATAAATAAATAAAAACAAGTTAAAACTAAATAATCCATTGTTTTCTTTGTTTGTTCATCCCTCCCCATCATTCAATTGGAATATCATTTTCCCCCTTTTTTATTTATATATATTTCTATTATTTGCAGTAATATGATTATCCATTACCCCACTCATTAAATACGCCAATCCAAAAAAAGACACGTATATCCCTTTCACCATTACCTGTACCTTTTTTTTTCTTTTATTACCTGGTTTATCGATACTCATACGAGTACCATCGAGTGTTGTTGAACTAGTTGTCATATCAACATTTTTATCTGTTGTTAAGTTTGTGGTAGAATGTTGTTGTGTAGAAGTATTACGCGTAGTAGTATCTACAGGATCATGATGATGATGTTTTGCTTTATCGATGATTTTATTGAAAAAGGACATGTTCCGCAATTCAAGAAAAAAAGAAACCAATAGTATTGAATAATAGTAATAATAATAATAATAAAGAATAACAGAACACTTATCGAAAAAAAGAAAGAAAGAAAGAAAGAAAGAAAGAAAGAAGGAAAAAAAAAAGGAGTCAAAAGACAAGAGAGAAAAAAAAAAAAGTAAAAAAAAAAAAGAAAATAGTAAGTAGGCACGTTGAAAAGAATTTCAACCCCCGGATCTACTTTTTGTGCAATGCGTGCGTTAGCCTTCCCATTGGACTTGATATTTCTTTCCGTTCCGAACGAAAAAAAAAAAAGAAAACCTTGTTTTGTATACATTTCTGCAACTTGGGTGGCGTTATCCAATAAAATGGATCTTTTTTTTTCTTTTTTCTTTCTTTTTCTCTCTCTTTCTCTCTCTCTATTCTTTTTTCTTTTTTTTTTTTTCCTGCATTCTACTTTTGTCCTTTTTATTATGCGTGTCTCCTTCTTCTTTTTACTATTACTTTTTTGTATCATCACTTTAGGAACTGCATCACTCTCTTTGGTAATGAACAAAAAAAAAAAAAAAAACTTTTATCTATATTCCCTTTCAAATACTAATTTTTTTTTTCCTTTTCGTTATAGCCAAATCATTTTACTACAATGAAATCAACAACGAAACCAAAATCTATCTTAGTGAAACCGATATCGACCATATCATACTTCTATTATATGAGTCAATCATTATATCGTCAACAAGATATTTTTATTAATAAACAAGATACAAGTAGGATCATCAAAAAGGAAACCAACAACAATACAAGTAGCAACTCATTAGATGGAAATCGTCATAATGGACCAGTCACTGCTTTTATTTTAGTTCTATTTTTTTGTATATTGACATTTTAGAAATTGTTCTCTCTTTTCATTATTTTTTTATATTCTTATTTTTAGAACATCCCTCCCCCCCCAATATTTGTTACTTATACCCCCCCCCAAAAAAGAAAAACTTTAATCATTACAATATTATATATTCTACATTATATATTAGTTAGTTTTTTTATAACATCATTCAGCTTATTCCTATTATCTGTTCGTATTCCCCCATAACTTACTAGAAAATAAAGTGTATCTCTTGTATATCACCTTATCTTTGATTTGACATACCTTTTGTTGACTGACTCCAAATTGAACTTGAAAACTTTTTTTTTTTTTCGTTGGATCCACAAAGATCTTGGCTAAGTTCTTTTTTTTTTTTCTTTCTTATTTTATTTTTTTAAGCCGATGATCATGACACAACAAGCCAAGACAAACAAAAAAAAAACTTTTAGATTTCTATTTAAAATAAAACATCCCTTTTATCGTCATTGTTTTTTTTTTTCATCATAACTGGTCACATTAGTGCCTTGATTGTCATTTACTTCTGTAGAACATAAATGGCACTGGTTTTCAAGTCACACAAATGATTATCATAGGTAACCTACAATCTTCTTTTGAATGGAGACCCTGATAAAGTTGTTTTGTTGTCAAATATCCTCCATCCTCCTTATTTTTCTATATATTCTCGTGAAAAAAAGAAAATCACAGCTGTAAAAACGATATAATGTTTGTTTATTGATATAGGTATACAAAAAATGATGAATGATAAAAAAAAAAAAAGCTAATCTACAACATGAATAATACCGGACTGCCACACTTGGTAATCAGATAATTTTTTGAGGTCACAAAACAGACAAAGAGCTTTGATTTCCACTAGATAATCACCTAAGGGATAAAAGAGAGATCATCATTAGATTTGATAATGTGCAAAAAGTAATATTAACAAGCAATAGATGCCATTGGCTAGAATCAGTGATTGTAGCCAGTGAAAAAAAGAAAAAAGGTTCATTCATGCCGTCTCAATCTCGGCAACGGCATTCAATGAGGTCGTATTGGCTGATTGATACAACATCTAGTTGAACTCAGTTTTAATTTGAAACTTTTTTTTTTAACCTTTTCTTTCGTTTTTTTTTTTTTTTTTTTTTTTTTTTTTTGTTAACTTGATTAAATCTCTCTTTTTTTTTTATTTTTGTTGATATGATAAACAAAGAACATTTATTACCTTTATGTTTTGCTCTTAGTAGTGCGACATTTGGCTACTTTGCAATACCAATGATTCAATCAGGTCTCGATATGGTTGATCCTAATGTACAAACGACGTGCCAGTTCTCACCCGTGACATTTACACACGTTGATGCTGTGGATCGATTCTTGTGTATTGTAGTGGCGTTTTTCCAACGTGCTATGGATGATTATATTGGACTCAAAGTGACTCATGTGCTACTCGGTTTATTTGGAACAGTACAAGCTATTATGGCTGTAGAAGGCTCGCGTAACGGTTATTCCAAGTATCATATTATGACATGGTTTATGTTTTGGGGTATGTTGGCCAACGTGTTGACTATTGCTTTAGTATCCTCTCTGTTATGGATGCCTTTATTTGTTCTGACTTCAAGATCTTTTGTTTCTCGTACCAAACAACCAACAAATGCCGATAGTTCCATTGATGACAACTCTGTGCCCGTCATGGTGTCTCCTGCCCGTTCCACCGCTATTCTTGTGTCCCTCCTGGCTGGATATGGTCTTCCATCTTTACTAATGACAACAGAATTGGTGGCAGATTTTGATTCCTCGCTTGCTCTACAATTCATTACAGTTTGGCAATTTGCTCCTATTTTGGTTCAATTACTTTACACGGGATTGACTTGGATTTTTACACCTCTTTTGAAGGATGATCGTGTTATGCCTTTGATTGAAGAAGATACCACAACAACAACAACACTGACACAAACGACACTGACAGAAACAACTGAGGTATCATCATCATCATCAACAACAACAACCAAGAGAGTGGATGTGATCATGACCGAAGATGACGAGAACAACGATGGCGATGTAAATCAACAACGACAGCGGATTCGTATGGCACAGAGTAAGGCAAGTGTTGAACAATTATATCTCATCTTGGCCGTCACCAACCTTCTTATTTACTATGGATCGCTCGCGTTGATCAAGATGGATGGCGTTCATCTCAAAGATAGTTTGATCATGGTATTAACTAAAACATTGCCTTCTGCTAACCTCACTCCTGTGGAAGTTGCCCAATTCTTCTCTGGACACGTCCTTCTTCTTGATTTATTGGTAGTTACGACTGTTTTTTCTATGTGGTCTTTGTATGAAGATGGTGTTTTGGTATTCCTATGTGTACTTCTTGGTTTGATCGTGATTGGTCCTGGTAGCTCTCTCTCTATTTACTGTCTTTACCGTGAACAACGCATTCAAAAGCCTGAAAACCTCAAACTTCGTATCAAGAAATCCAACTAGTTTTATTAGCCTTAATGTAGTTAGTATTTTTATTTCATTTGTTTTATAGTGTTTTCAAAGTTTAATATATATTATAAAAAAATAAAAAATAAAAAGAATTATAATTATAAAAAACTATTTCATGTCTTCATGACAACACCAATATATAAATATATGAGTAGAAGGAACATATTTATTACATATCATCAATAACAGAATTACACTAAAAAATAAAATAAAATATATATACATATATATATATAAAACTACAAAAGGTATCGATAATCTCTTCCACCATTTCCAACCTTGGTTCCTGTGTCAATCATTTTATTCAGTTGTTTCAGTCGAAATTTGAGCACCACAGCACAAACTGCAGCTAATAACATAGCACCGCCAACAACCATATTTGAACCCATATAATTTGGAGCATCGGCTTCCCATCCAGAATAAAGTGCGAATGTACATATCAAAGCACCCACGTTGGCCACCGATGATACAATTCCTGTTGCTGATGCTACTGCCACGGCATCTTCTTTGGAATTTGCTGTCCATGCCATACTCTAAAAGAGACATCATTGTATGTAATGTCAACATGGATACATAAAAAGAATAAATACAATGAGTTCATCATCACACACATCATTTGTTATATTTTATATGATCTTACCAAAGGTACTGTAGGATAAGTTCCACCAGCCACAACCATCAAACCAAAATACCTTGTACCCACAGATTTAGTAAAGCTAAGGATAACAAAACCAGTAAACGAAGTCAAGCACATACCAATGATAAACCATCCGCGATCCTTGCATCTGTCACTTAATCGAGTCACAATAAGCACCATGAGGCCACCAAATACATAGGGAGGGATACTCATCAAACTAACTTGAATCGAATCATAAGTACCAATTTGTTGAACAATTTTTGGTAAAAAGTAACCAAGTGAGGTGGCCGCCATTACAGGAGTAAAGTATAACACACAAAACAACCATACTTTATAATCCATCAATTGAGTTCGAAGATTCCTCAAATCACGCATCACCACTGTTTTCTTGCTTGTCTTGCCATTATTATTATCGTTCTCCAACATATCCTGATGTCCTTTGTCAATCCGTTGTTGTACCATCCGTGTTTCTTCTTCGGTTAAAAATCCTTTTGATTGATCTGGTTTGGAAGGTAGTACAAACAAGGTGGCGAATCCAAAAACCAATGATAGTAGCCCAGAGATCAAAAATAACCATTGCCATCCATACAGATTACCTCGCATATCGATTAATTGAATTCCTGCCGATATAAGTCCACCAAAAGCACCTAATGAACGTTGTATTTTAGTTCGATGAAAGATTTTTTTTTAAAAAAAAAAACAAAAAAAAAAGAAAAGAAAAGCGGTTAGTATTCATGATTGACAGCAAAAAAAAAAAAAAAAAAAAAAAAAAAAAAAAAAAAAAATTATCGATTTTAATCTACCTGATGCTGGTCCAGCTAGATACATGATACCAATACGGGACGAGATTTCTTCAGGTCTATACCATAATGTAGTATAATAAGCTATAATATATCAAGAGAAAAATGAGGAAAAAAAAAACGAATGATTTAGTATAAAACATTATTAACATATGATGTAGACTTACCAATGCCTTTTTCATCCAACAAATATGAATATTGAAATGATTCATTAGTAAACAAGTGATATTTACGACAGTTGATGATCTTTTCTTACCAGGCCAAAATCCAGCTTCAAAGACACCCTAAAATAAATAAATAAATTAAGATCTATACTACAAATAATTTTCAATACTTACTAGCAAGAATCGTAATAAGTAGAAATGCCAAGCTTGAGAAATAGCAGCCATACAACATGTAACAATGCTCCAAGTAATCATGATTCGCGCAATCCAGTAGGCAGGGTTCACATTGGCCATGATCAAATTAGAAGGTACTTCAAAGAACTAACCAAAAAAAAAAAAAAAATCATATCAGTATTTTGCAACAAGAAAACTAAAACCAACTAATGAAAATGAACTTACGATATAAGCAACATAAAAGAGTCCCAAACCGATATTATTTTCACGAGCTGTAAGATGTGCCGCAGTAGCCAAGTCATGACCTTGTTGTTTATTCATGGTAAAGGAAAAACCAACATTGACACGATCTTCTACTGAAAGAAAATAGAGAATGAAGATCCATGGTACAATACGCCAGTCCAACTTTCTTAAAAGTCGTCGTTCAATGTTGGGATCCAAGGAAAGTATAGTTGATTGGTCTGAACGATGACTTGGTATGGTACGTTGTCGTATAGTATCGGATTTAATGACATCCAGCTTGGTATGAGACGTGATACCACTACTGGAATGGTTGTCCATGTATTATTATATTTATAAACGCAGAGGGAAAAAAGAAGAGAGAAAAAGAAAAAAAAAAAAAAAAAAAAAAGATTAGAAGTCGGAGATTTGAAATTCACCAATGTACCTGTAAAAAAGTGATTTTACATGGTGAGGCATACTGACCTAGAGAAGAATAAAGTGATGGGTATTGCAAAACAATAAAAAAAAAAAAATACTGTGAATAATATATGGAGATTGAAACCGCAAACAAAAAAATATACAAGGTTGAATTTGATGAAGACTACAAAAGGAAATGTTGTATCCCATAAAAAAAAAAAAAGCAATAAATTGTTCTGTAAAGGAAATTGTTAAGACTTGGGATTTTCACATATGATATGAATCTAAAAGAAATATATAAACTAATTCTTTTTCATTTTCCTTTTCCCTTTTTCTTCTTCTTCTTCTTTCCTTTCCTTCTACTTTTTTTTTTGTTTTCTTTTGTAGTTTCTTATATTCCTACTTTTTCCAAATCATCACTATGTTTTGCATCACGCTTTAATATTCTCACAAATGTTTGTAATTCATTATTACCAATCATACAACAATTAAAACGATCATCATTATCATCCACATGCTATATAATCAATTTTATTTTCCTTCTGAAGAAAAATCATTATCGAAATAATATATGATGAATATACATTAACAAAATAGTGTCTAGCCTATTGTTCGTATACTGACTATATCAATCACCTACCTTCGACCTCCGACAGCATGAAGTGGTAATTTTGTGAACGAAGGATATCAAACCCGGCAAAAAGTTTCCAAGGAAGTTTGCGGAGGAAGCATGTGATCGCCTATTGAAATCACCAATAGAATTTTTTTGTTTTCTGTCCACTATTCCTTTTGGATGGATTCAAATTTCTCCTTTTTTTTTTTTCTTTTCTTTTATCTCTATCCAACAGCATGTTAAGACAATCCACTCATATTATCAAAAGAAGTGTGCCAAGGACAACTATACGAATCATTCCTTCTCGTTTGTCAGCAAATACCACCTTTCTATTATATGGTCGACCTTATTCATCAGCTACTACTCATGATTTTTTCCCAGAAGCTACTTATATGCCCAGTCGAACAAAAGACCAAAAGAAACAGCAACAAAAGCAACAGCAACAACAACGTCAAGGTGATATTAATTTGATTTTTTTTTGATCTATCAATATCAGTCAACTCACTCTTTTTTTTTTCTATCTAGTTTCTCCTTTGACCAAATATGATTCTATTACAGCCGGTGGTTCAGTACATAGTGATCCTCATCAACGAAGTATTGTCAAGTATTTAGACCGTTTATGGCATGATTTGCAAAGCTACACTCCACAAACAAAAGCCACTATGAGCCCTAGTCTTGTTGGCTCGGTAAGAAAACAAAGAAATTATATGATATTATTTCCATTGTTAAGATGACATAAACTCATTCGTTCCCTCTTTCTTTTTTTTTTTTTATATAATACCACGATATAAATGATTAGATCTCCAAATTATTTGCTACTCCTTCAAGAAGTAAGGCACCAATGTCACTATATGTATATGGTAATGTGGGTACTGGTAAAACAATGGTGATGGATTTATTTTACGACACACTACCTATTGAACGCAAACGACGAGTGCACTTCCACGCCTTTATGCTTGATGTCCATGCTCGGATTCATCATATCAAGAAGAAATACCCCAATATTTCCAATCCGATCTCACCTCTTGCTGATGATATTGTCAAAGAAAGTTATGTGTTATGTTTCGACGAATTCCAAGTGACTGATATAGCCGATGCAATGATCCTACGCAAGTTATTTACAGAATTATTTGATCGTGGAGTGGTACTTGTAACGACATCGAATCGACATCCGACAGAACTATACAAGAATGGCATTCAGCGGCAATCATTTATTCCGTGCATTGATCTTTTGATGAAGAAATGTGATGTGTTGTCTTTGGACTCTGGAACGGATTATCGCAAGATCGAACGTGAACAAACAGCAAAACCTGTCTTTTTGCATCCAAATAATGCTGCTACTCAACGTGAAATTGACCGCATCACTCGCCAACTGACACACAACAAACCTCTGACGCCAATGACCCTCCATTTTTTAGGCCGATCATTGGTCATCCCTGAACAAGCCGATGGTGTGGCTCGTGTGCGATTCCAAGATGTCTGTGCCAACGCTCTCTCTGCTGCAGATTACCTTGAAATGGTGAAGCATTTTCACACCATCGTTCTTACCGATATTCCACATATGACGATGAAACACCGTGCTGAGGCCCGTCGCTTTATTACTTTAATTGACGCTATGTATGAATCCAAAACTACTCTGGTCGCCTCTGCTGAAAACTCAATGCTAGACATATTCAATGCTGATGAAGGTCGTGAAGCCATGGATGACGAAATGCGACGTATGATGGATGATCTCAATGTGGCTGATATTTCCTCTCCTCTTTTTTCTGGTCAAGAAGAAGCCTTTGCCTTCCAAAGAGCTCTGTCTCGTTTGATTCAAATGCAAAGCAAAGATTGGGTCAACAAGGAATTATTATAGTTTGGTGTGTTAATATAGTTTATTAGATCTTTTTTTTTTGTTTACTGTAGTACATTTACGTCATTTATCTTTTTTTTTTCTCTTTGTCTCTTTATTGTATATCATCATCTAGTTTATACTGATTTATCTTTATAGATATATATCCTTTCTAAATAAAGATCTTTGAATTATCGTTCCAAGTTGAGCGAAATGTCATGAGTTGGTATTTTGAAATGATGACGAGATATGGTAATTGTTGTTCAGACCGATGAGATAAATGGATGATGATATATCTATACCTTTAGCTTGATCTCACTGAATTCATGCATCTTAAGGGCAACTATCAACAATCATCACCTATGCAGTTCCTTTGTACCACTTATTTTTCATCAAGTCGTCATTTAGATTGATTTAACTCCTGGTTAAAAAAAAAAAAAAAATCCAAACTGCCGTCCAACAACATATGCAAAAAGAGTGTGAGAACGTACCAATTTCCAAAACAAAAAAAAAAAATACTTGTTTTTGGAAATAGGGAGAATATTGACTGTGAATGAAACTGGATTCTATATAGGAATATGTGTGTGTGAAAAATACCAAGATGATACACTAAATAGATAAATAATAATCTAGGAGTTCAAGAGAGACTTGCTTACATTAATCATCGTTGTCAAGGTTCATCCCTTGTCAATGTAATAATAATTTTTTTTTTGACGACACTTCCTTTGATCAGTGTAACATACGAATTTGATAGTAAAAAGTAATGATTTTATTCATTTCATTCTTATATATGTATAGCAAACAAAAAAAAAAAAAGACGGATTTACGAATAAGAATAAAACATTGATATGTATTCTTATTATAAGGGAAATTCGAAAAAAAGGAAGGAATATAAATAATGATAAAAAAAAAAGGAAAGGGAGAGACTACAATTGCTAATACTACAAAAATAAGACCCAATAGATAGTTGTATATATATATTTATAAAAAGGAAAGGGAGAAACTATATTGATACTATACAAACAACAACAATGATAGAGAAAGGAGGGGGGTAAAAATAATATCCGGTTTGTCCAATCATTGCTTGTTTTCCTCTTGATTGTAATCAGTAAGCTGACCATGTTGTCTTGCGTCCCAGGGTGTATTTGGATAAAGTACATAAGTAGTGGAGAGATCAGTTGTATGATGTTGTTCATTGTCATTATCGCATGTGCGTTCACGTCTATAATCATCTGTGATGGACTTGGATGATAAGGTGGTAGAAGAAAATGCAGATTGTTGAGATGAAATGCCTTGTTGAATCGGATGAGTCAATGTTTGTGTTCCAGATGTTGTTGGTGAAGGCGATGATGAATGAAAATCTGTTCGATAAGAAGAAGGCGGTGGAGACATGATGGATTCTTCTTGTGTCACATAGGATCCAAAGGTAGCAGTTGAATCTGTTCGGTGTCTATCTTCCCATGAAGGTGTCATCAAATGAATTCCACTCCAAGTATCTTGTAGCTGTTGAGTTGAACGATGTTGCGAATGATGACTATTGAGATGTTGTTGTCGTAAATGCCATGCCGAATCGTTGGCACTGAAAGATCTACCATGAGGATTGAAAGAAGTGGGCAAATCATTCATATAAAACATTGAAGAAGAAGACGCATCACTAGGTATGGTGGGTGGGATGATGGTGGACGATGTGGACGATAATGATGATGATGATATGGATCGAGTTGTGTTTGTACTAGAAGTCGAAGGAGAAGTAGTGGTTGGAGGTAATGTTGCAGATTGATTTTGAGTTGGATGATGGTGTTGAATAAAAGAAGTTTGTTTTGATGATGCCGTATCTATAGCTGAATTGATCACAGGCATTGGGATAGGTGATAAAGAAGATGGAGAAGGAGGTATAGATACATGAATATCGTTTTCAGAAGTTTGTTGTTGATTCTCCTTTTTCCTTTTGATTTTAGTCGATGATTTTGTATATGGGTGACGTTGAATGCGTTGTTCAGTATCAGCATAATGACCAGGACTTCTTCCTCGAACAACCAAAGGAGCAGATTGACTAGTTGCAATGATGTGATGACATTGATTGATATCTTGGGCAATGAGTTGGACAGTCAAATAAAAGAATTGTTGAGTAGCACGTTTCTTTCCATTATTTGCAGTAGCTGATTTGAATTGTAGACGTTCATAGGTAACAGTACGTTGGGAGTTGTCGTGAGGATAGTGTAAAGGAAGTCCACCTCCAGGTTGAATTGGTTGCATACAAGGTACTTGTTGAGGACCTTTATCACGTTTTGCCGTTAATTGAATTAATCCAACACCTTTGTTCCCATCTGATGCTGATGCTGCTAATTGAATATAAAATGCCTGAACAGGTACCAAAGAATCAGTTGAATTGTTGTTGTTGTTGTTGTGAGAAAATTCACCCTCAGTAGGAGGTGTAGGTTGTTGTTGCTGCTGTTTTTGTTGCTGTGGTTGTATATAGAATGGTTGATTTTCATTGCAGTGTGTAGTGAAGGTAGTAGTAAGTTGAAAATAATTGCGCCGATAACACGTCCAATGTTCTTCACATAAGAAGAATCCTCGATCTACTTTGCATTTGAGTTCCACTTGACAACTAAAAAAAAAAAAAAAAAAAAAAAAAAAAAAAGAATATAAGACACGTGGAAAAAAAAGGGGGGAATAAAAGATATTATAAATAATATATTGAACCTTACAGAGTAGATTGATCTTGTTGATACAAAGGTACATGAACTTGAGTTAGATTAAAAAGTAAACCATCTTCAATACTGATAGGGTGTCTTCGTTTGTTAGGAATTGTTGTTGTATTTAGTAATTCTTTTGACTGGGAGTATGGATTACTACAAAAAAAAAAAAAAAAAGTTTATTATATATAGGGTTTATATCTTTGATTAACTTGCCTGTGATAAAACGGACCAACTGGCATAGAGTGAGCACGCTGATGGTTGATTGCTAGTTCATGGTGGACTTTTTTCATGCTATTTTTAAGATAAAAAAGTGAAAATACAAATAAAATAACTAAAAGAGAATAATAAAAAGAAAAAGAAAAAGAAAAAAAGGCACCAAAATGACAATTTTTTTTTTTTAAATACAGGTTTTTTTTTTTTTTTTTCAGGAAAGGGAGGGAAGTGAGAAGGGGGGGGGGAAATCAAGTCCAGGAGTCATAAACAAATTTATGACTGATTATTTTTCAGGAGAGAGTGATAAAAAAAGAAAAATAGAATGTAACATGACCAACTATGATCTTTACGCCTTCTTCATCATAGTGTAGATCATCATTTCGCTTACATATTCGATTTTATGCGGTTGAAAGCGGACTTCAAAACAGACGGATATGAAACGTTGTTCAATTGTTTTTTTTTTCTTTTGTTTTGTTTTTTTTCTGTTGTCGTCTCTTTTTGAACTAGTTGAACTTTTATATATATATATATATCATATAATATGAACATCTTACCTCATAAAAGGTAGCTTAAAAAAAACAATGCCTTTCTCCAAAAAAAAAAAAGAAATAGATTCTAATACTTAGTTATTTCTTTTTTTACTTCATTTTAGTTGGCATGTTTACAACAAAAAGAACATTGAAAAGGTGCGAAAGGATGAAGCAAAAGCGAAAGAGGAACAAGAAGCCAAAGACAAACGATCCATTTTAGCTGTAAGTAAATCAACAGTTTTTGTTTATATATTGTAGTTTAGTACTGACAACATCATTCTGCGTTGTTAGGATAGTGAAGCAAGATTACAGTTACTTCGACAAAAAGCTGCAAATAATCAACTCCAATATCAAAAGGATGTTGTTGAACCTTTCCGTTTGTTTGCTGAAGCTGAACAAGTAATAAAGATAAATACTAAAGACAAATACATTATTGATTCATTTTAATTTTATTTTTATTTTTTATTTTTATTTAGGCTGCTCAACAGAATGAGGAAGTTTTGGCTGAGGAAAAAGAAAGACAGAACAAGAAAGAACAACAATTTAATATGTACTTGGATAAAGGGGCAAAAGGTAAGTAATAACATGAAAATTCGAAAAGAATGTTCTTACTTTCATACTAAAGGTTTATTTTTTTTTCTCGTATAGATGATGATTCACCTTGGTATGCTAAAAAGGAACGTGATATTTATTCGGATGATCACATATCAAAACCATATATTAAATCAAGACATGACAAGGATTTGCAACAAAGGTATCTTACTTGATTTAGATGATATAAGAAAAGACTAACCTATATATTCTTAGGTACAAACGGGAAGCTATCACTCTTAGTGATGATCCATTGGAAACAATCAAATCACATCTGGATAAAAAAGAGACATCACATCATCATCATCAAAAAAAAGATCGATCTTCAAATAAACGGAAACTAGATGAACATGATCGCTCTCGGAAAAGAAAATCGGATAAGAAACGAAAATCAACATCATCACCATCCATTGAAGAGTTACGCGCTCAACGATTAGAAAGAGAAAAGATGGAACGTATACGAGTGAAATCTGTTATTTATGGTGATGATCTGGCAACAACTTTTCAAGACCCAAGAAAGCAACAATACAATTCTCAGTATAATAGGCATGAAACGGATCAAGCTCAGCAAGCAAAACGACGCCACTACTGATATCTAGATTGGATTCCCGCCTCTTTTTTTTTTTTTTTTTTTCTACACTCTTTTTCTCCATTTTTTTTTTTTTTTTTTTTTTTTTGTACATACATTCATATATATATTCCTTTTTATGCGTGAAATCCTTACCCTACAACTCGGTCCTACTGCTAGTTACATTGGTACTCACTTTTGGAATACTCAGGTACTCCTTTATGACGATAGAAATAAAGCTTCTTTTTACCCATATATATATATATATATATATATATATATATATCGTTCTCACTTTTTTTTTATGATATTATTATGTATTTTTTATTAGGAGGCTTACTTCAATTATGGTGATTCAGACCTTGAACCCGAGTTTGAACATGATGTCTTGTTCCGTGCTGGTATATCCTCTTTAGTATGTTATATATAAATTTATTTATACCAATATTTTATTAATCCTATGCTTTTTGTTTCAACTGCAAACAATGGACTGGCTAACAAGTAGGGTGTCGAAACTTATACGCCAAGAGCTTTAATCTATGATTTGAAAGGTGGGTTCGGTTCATTACAAAAATACAACAAACTTTATAGTGGTGTAGATACTGGAGTAGAATGGTAAGGTCAAGATTATGTCAAATAACTTAATCTTAACTTTTCTTTTTTTTTCATAGGGATCAAGGTGTGAACACAATCTCTTCTGAAATCGAAAAACATCCATATCAGCAACAATTAGAATTATTGGAAGAAGGACGTACTACTTTGACAGACGCAGTGCCACAATTAGACCAAACAGTGACAACATGGTCTGATTTTAACCGCGTTTATTATCATCCTCGTGCGCTCAACTCAATTGCCACTCATCAAGCTGACGATCCTTTGTCCCCTTTCGATACTTATACTATTGGAAGACAAGCTTATGCTGATAATGAAAAGGAAGCTGATATATTTGAAAACGCGTTTAGAAATATGGTCGAAGAATGTGATCAACTTCAAGTAAGCACTCTTATATTCCTTATTATATTTGTCTACTAATATGGATTATGATAGGGTTTCCAATTATTTGCAGGTGTTGACGATGCTTTTGGTGGATTTACAGAAGAATTATTGAACAATATTCGTGATGAATTCTCCAAATCAACTATTCTTACTTTTGGTGTGATGGCCAGCGATTCTTCGGGTAACATGGTAAGAATAGAAGAGAATCATATGATGATATAAAACTGACAGCGTTTCTTTTAGCGTTGGCAACAAAAGAAATCTTTGAACCGTGTCCTTAGTACTACAAGGCTATCAAGTTTATCTTCCATATATATTCCATTATATGATCCTACATATGATTGTATTCAGGCGTGTGGATTGGCTTCATATATTCGTCCAAATGTAAGATAAACGAAAAAAGAAAAAAAGAGCAATATCTTGTGAATATGAATGAATATAACCCTTATTTCTCTTCCATCTTATAGTGCAAATCTCTGTATCATACAAGCGCCATCCTCTCAGCAGCTATCGAAACAGTCACTACTCCTTATAGGTAAGATTCCTAGATCCAGCTCTTATAACAGGATGAAATGACTTTTTTTTTTTTACTTACTTTCTTAATGTACTTGTACTGGTTAGACTAAAGAAAACCAAGTCAAGATTGGATGAACTAGATGGATTATTGAATTGGAGAAGAGACACGAAACTTGCGAGTATTGGTACATCCTTCCCATTACCAATATCAGAACATGGATACAATGAAACCCTAGTATCATTTGATCCATTGCTGCCATTACTTGATCTCTCTTCTCCCGGCACTCAAAAGGTATATAAAAAAAAAAAATAAAAAAAAAGAAAGGTGGATGTAAACAACTGAATGACACTAATTATATTTGCTACTTTCCGTTCTAGGCCAAAGAAGTATATGGTGAATCTATTGTTATTCGTGGTTGTCCTTCTAGTGAATCGTCATCAAACTATGTCAACCAAATCCTGAAATCATTCAAAGAGGAGAACAACCCTTTGCAGACTAGGTAGGTGGCTAGCGAATATTTGATTTATCTATTTTTTTTTATGAAAAACAAATAAGCGTCATTGATCTCACATGTCTTTATTTTGCTTTTGTATTTTATAATCAAATAGGGCATTTGTTGATTCTCCTTATCCACTTCCTGATTCTTATCCCAAGTTCTTCTCTCATATGATCAAACCTGATGGAACAATGTAAGTATGAAATGAATTAGGATGATCTATCGTAGCCCTTTTTCTTTTCTTTTTTTTTTTTATTCTCTTACTAAACGAAATTTTCTTTCTCCTTTTTTTTAAAAAAAAAAGTTCAAGCTCTCACATGAATGATCAACAACCATCGACTGTGCCTATGCTCTCATACTTTTCCACCAACTCCAATATGGCGCATGTACTACAAACACAACTGGATGCAACAAAGACAATATCACTGACGGAATATTTTGAATATGCGGAAGGGGATTATGGACTATCAAGGGACGACTTTTTGGAAACGAAGGAAGATATGATGAATTTGATTGATGTATATACTCCGGATGAAAAATGAACCAGTTCCTCCCTTATTACGCTCTTACTCTATTAATGCACTGAGTTAGTTGATCCTTATTATTCCTTTATTGACATCAATAAATGCTCTTAATATTTACCATAAATCACAAAAAAATAGGATTGTGTATTTCTTCAGGTACATAGAAAAACAAATGCGTTAATCCACAAACAATCCTCCTACATTTCTTTAGTCTTTTCTTTCCTTTCTCTCAAGCATCGTACTCCATTACAAGTAACTCATTTTTCGATAAGTATGTCAAACAGTTAACAATATTTCAGTACACTTTATTCAATAATAAATGACGGAATTCAAAGAATAAGATGGCGCAAAAATAGGAAATAAAATATCGTAAGGATAGAAAATAAATGACAGAAGAAAAAAAAAAATATAATTGTCGCATAATCAAATAGAGAATATAAGAAAATAGATATCATGAAAGAAAGAGTAATCAAAAAATAAAAAAAGAAGAAATCCACCAATTGAGTTCACCAAGTTAACATATAAAAAAAAAAAAATGAGTAATACTTATCCAGATAAAAATATTTCACTAGCTTACCATTTAAGTGTAACGTGATCACCGTATCGCTACGGTGAAAGTAGGATGGCGATAACCATCCCGGAAATTGTTGAATATAAAAAAAAAAGGCTGACCGTAACCACGCAAATGCGCATTAGCGACCACGGTCAAGCCCAAAAACAAAATAGAAGCAGGTCAATTGAGATACGTTGAACAATTAAAGAATGTGTGTAAAGAAAAAGACAGATCAAAGAAAAAGGAAGACAGACCAAAAAGGAAGCAGTAAGCCAAAAAGATGAATATAATGTAAAGAAATAAAAAAAAAAGTTAAATCAAAGGGATCCCTTTATAAGAAAATGAATCACCCTTGCAATTATGAGCTAATTTTAGTAGATAAAATGATGAGACAAGATGTAAGCGAGTTTTATCATTTTTTTTTAAATATTAGCAACATTTCTATCTTTATATCGTATCTAATTCATCATCATTTTTTTTTAGTATTAACAACATTTCTCTCTTTCTATTGTATTTAATTTATCATTTGTCTTTTTTAGTATCTACTTTATTATTTTTAGTATCTACTTCATAATTTTTTTTTAGTGTTAGCAACATTTCTCTCTTTATATTGTATCTAATTTATCATCTACTTTATTGTTTTTAGTATCTACTTCATCTTTTTTTTTCTTTTTTTTTTTAGTGTTAGCAACATTTCTCTCTTAATAATAAAGTTAATTACATAGATGTTCTACATTAAATTCTACTATTACAATATTTATGTACTAAGTGATACATGGTACTGACTTGTTTTTGCTGTGTTTTAGTTTAATGACTAGTTTTTTTTTTTTTTTTTTTTTTTTTTTTTTTAGTTGTTCTATTTTAAATGGTAGTATGATTGTGTACAGCACATTTATTATTGTATTTTTTAATTTCCATTGATGTGATGAATCATCATTATTATATTTGATTTATCATGTTGGCTGATAAAAGAGTGTTTTGACATTTTTCAAAGAAAAAAGGAAAAGAAAAAGAAAATGCTGTTCTGTCAGAAGGTAACCAGAATGAAGTATTTTGTATTTTATCAGAGATTTGTACAGTGATTGACGACAATGTTTCATCATCCATCATGCAATCATACAATCATCCAACATATAATCATCCATTATCACATATCATCCATCATACAGTCATCCATCATCTATCCTGTAATCATCCAATATACAATCATCCGTTATCACATATCATCAATCATGAATCATCGATCATGAATCATCAATCAATTGATACCTAAAAAATTATGGACAACACCCAAAGCTGCTAAAAATATGAAAAGCCTATGTTACTTTTCTTTTCTGTCTTTTATTATTAATAAACAAGTTATCATCAATGTGTTGTGTGTTTTTAATGTACTCTACCGACATCTCTAGAGCGATATCTGAAAAAGTGGTAATGCGCCATTCATTTTGGGAAAGTACGATTTTTTATTTGATAACATCACGAAAAGCATTTTCTTGTGACCCGACAAAAAACCTTGAAAACACTGTATATCCGATGATTTCTCCTTTTTATCATAAGTATATTCTGATTATTCTTTATAATATATCCTGATGTTCTCGAATTGAAAAAAAGGTAGTGATTAATGATATACTTTTACTTTAAAAAATGATGTGATGATTTGTATGATACAATATGTGATGATAATGTGATGATGAAATGTAAATACTTCTGATGAGCATTATTGACGACAGGCAAAAAGAGATAATTTTATTGGCTAATTTGCCAGTCCTATTTTCGGAGTACCACAATTTTATTGATGCGCATAGCTCGAGTGCCCTCGCATTTTTTTTTTCCTTCTCTCTCTCTTTTTCCCCTCTGTTTCAAGTGTCAACTCTATCGTACCTCCTTTATTTTTTTTTTTTTATTTCTTTTTATTTCTACTTTACTTTGATGCACCCTTTTTTTTTTCTTTCTTTCTTTTTTTTTTTAACTTCTTATTGACTATTTTTTTTTTATTATTTCGATTCACGTTTTACTTTCTTATTACAACTCAAAAGTACATTCCATCTCGACCACTCTTTTTTATTTTATACATGACGCGTTATGAATCACCGAAATGTAGCTGTACATCGTACTAGTATCAAGAGAAAAATGGTCAACAAGAGATAAACTGCAATAAAGCTACTATTTGGACTACATGATGCAAGCTTTTGGAAATATTTTGGATAAGGATATGGACTCTAAGACTTGATGAAGTTAAAAGCAAGATTATTAATGACTATACCAGCAAAAACAATAAAGCCAAAACATTACGTGGAATATATGCTTTAACTGTTACAAAACTCAATGCAGGTAAATCTGATGCTATTGGAATGGATGATATCACTTTCTAATGCATATCTTTTCGCTGTTTTTAGGTCATGCATCAACCATCATGCCAGTACCAAGCAATACCTGAAGGATCTGGCTTATCACAAAAGACAAGACCATCAAGCAGTTGTAAGTCGTCCTTAAAATTGTAGATACTATATTATACTAATCATTTTTTCTATATATTTATATTTAATAGTGCTAAAACGTTCTGGGAAAGGTGGTCAAAGGATCTCATGCTATGCCAGCAAAAAAGGTGTTCTTACCTCATTCAAGGTATAAAAAAAAAAAAGAGGAATATTTAAAAAGGACAGGACGATGATGCTGATGTTTTTTTTTTTTTTGAAAGGCTCATGAAGAATCATTTGGTACACTGTCACAATTTTACGTCAAGAACCAATGGGTCAAGAAACAAAAACGAGGCAAGAACATCTATCGAGGTCAAGCTTCTGCAAAAGTGGTGACAACACATCATCAAGGTGTCTCATTGAATAATGACAGCAAGATGGTGTATCTTTATGGTGATGCTGGTCGCGGAACTAATTCTCTTATCAAGGGCCATCTTCGTGGGGGACGCACCAGATTTCTGAAAGAAATTAGTCAAAGATCATATGTTGCGATCACACCTGAATTCCGCATATCAAAACTATGCTGCTTTTGTCAAGAACTGATTCATCCAAAGAATGTTAAGAAGAATGGCAAACTATCAAGCAATCTAGATACGGTCATTTGTCAAAATCCATCATGTCCGGCAAGAAAGAAAGGGTATCATGCAATATCTTGGGATGTCAATGCTAGCGTGAACATGATTATGGTCGGTTGTGGAACTTGTCCTGCTTTTGTCCAATCATCCAAACAAAAAAAAAATATATTCCGGATACTGCACACAAGTTTTGTCAGGTTTACGCTCCTCCCATTCTAGTTTGATAATGATGATGTACGAACATACGCTGATATGGTAAGGCATCAAAAAAAAAATGGAAGTTACGTGATTGGCTAATTTTTTTTATTCATATGCGATATGTGACTCCGCTTTTATGTAATCTTGAAAAATGCTGCTTTTCTTTTTCTCTCTCTTTTCTTCATTGCATTATCCGATATGACTGTAACGAAATTGAATCTCTCTGCTGATTCTAAAGTGGATCAATATACACTTATCAACGAAAACAAGACATTAGCAGTTATGGTATTGAACTATGGCGCGATCATCTCTCATATTCTCACACCAGACAAGACAGGCAAGATTCGCGATGTTGTTCTTGGGTTTGATGATTACGAATCGTACAAATCACCACACAATCGATACTTTGGCGCGGTGGTGGGTCGATTTGCGAACCGTATTGGACAAGGCAAGTTTACTGTGGATGGTCAAGATTATGTGTTGGCGACGAACAATGGATCTAATGCACTACATGGTGGAGAATGCGGTTTCGATAAACAACTCTGGCAAGTAGAGATCCTTTCACAACAACCGGCTTCGATTCAACTGACCTATGTGTCTCCCGATGGCGATCAAGGTTATCCTGGTACCTTGACCACTCATGTCACCTACACTGTCAACAATGATGACACACTGACCATCGATTATCATGCAACTTTGAGCAAACGAGGCGATGATGAACAACTTCACTCCACCATTGTCAATCTCACCAACCATACTTATTTCAACTTGGCTGGTGTGGCTGTCAATCCTGTTATACTTGATACAAAGATCTCCATGACCGACAACGTGAAGGGCTATTTAGAATTGGATGAAACTGGGGTTCCTACTGGCAAAGAACTATCATGGTCTGATACACCTTGTATGAACTTTACGGTAAAAAAAAAAAAAAAAAAAAAAAAAAAAAAAAAAGAATTGGATTCATTTTTTTTTTTTTTGCATAATAGGGAGACGCAGCAGGAACAACGATAGGCAAACGTATTCAAGAACTCGTCAAGACCAAAGGCTATGATCATCCTTATGTACTACATCATGAATTCAAGACTGATACCTCCGGTTTACCACTTCAGAAAGCAGTAGAAGCATATTCACCAGAAACAGGTATTCAACTGACCTTTTCTACAACCGAACCTGCTTTCCAATTTTATACTGGTAATTGGCTCGAGTCTGGACATATCAAGGCCAAGAAATCACAGGATCAAGTCCCCATTGAACCATATGCTGGCTTTTGTTTGGAAAGTAGCCGATTCCCTGATGCTCCCAACAAACCTGATTGGCGTGCTTCCGTACTACTTCAAGATGGTGACAACGACGTTTATGCAAGTAGGACCGTGTTTGGCTTCCAGGCTATCAATGAAGAACATCAAGTCGTTATCTAATCTATAAAATGTGGACTATATATGTAAATTTTTTTTTGGTAGTCATCTTAGTGATTAGTTTAACAAAGCGTGCGATATTTTCATTTCCTATTTAGTGATGAATTTTTTTTTTATATTTGACTATCAATAAAAAAAAAAAAACATTTGTTCTTCATAGTCTTTCCTATTATCCTTCTATTTCATTCGTTATACTGTATTAGATTGTTCTTCACCACAATAAAAAAAAGGAGATAAAAAGAATCTATTTTTATTTTTACTTTTTTTTTTTAAAAAAAAAAAGACGAGAGGATGATCATAATTATACTAATCTAGAGAGCATTCCTGGATGATGAAGGTGAAGAATCCACAAGTGGCGATGGATGATGAGGGTCTTTATCGATAGTTGTTGTTGATGATGATGATTGTCTACTCTCCCTTTTTCGATGAATTCTTTTGCTCAAAGCGCGTTGGATAGATTTAGCTGGGGCAATCAGGGAAGGACCATGATATTGTCGTTTTGGGTGATATTGTAATTCTTCTGTATTGCTGATGTTGTCATGTTGTTGAAGGTTCTCTTGTGGGCTGGATACCAAGGTAGTCGTCATGGTGATTCCTTCTCTATCCACATTTGTGCCACCACTAGTGCTAGCTGTATGTGCTGATGAAGACTTATCGCTGGGAGAGCTGATGTTATCAGGAGATGGACTGGCAATGACAGATATATCTTCTTGGTTGCTGATGGCTGTTGGTAAGGATCCACTGGATGATGTATTGTTGGAGAAAAACGGATAGTTGTTTTTCTTTTTCAAAGGAGGGGTGATTGAGGATGGTGTGATGCTAGTGGTGTGACTGATATCTTGATGGTTTTTTTTACTACGTCGTTTCGTCAGAGTACGTCTAATGGATGGTGCCGTCAATGAACTAAATGAGAAACCTGATTTGATGTCCGTAGGTAGATCATTATCCATGTGATCATCGATTTTGGCTGTAGTTGGTTTATTCTTTCCCCATCGAGATTGTACTAGTTTGAGCTTTGTCGTTGCTAAAGAAGGATCAGATGATGAATTTTGGCGAGTGAATTTCCTCTGGGTGCTAGCAGTTTTTGCTCGTTGTAAACCAGATTTATTGGTATTGATGTATAATGCATCTACGTTAGTGATTTTATTGCCCACATTGTCCATATAAAAAGTCAAGTCAGATGATGCTTCCAATGGTAGATTTGGTGTCGTAGATGATCTTCTAAGATAACGTTTTTCATTTCTTGTTGGTAAAGAAACCTGACGATCCAAAATACTGACTGATGATTCAACAGAAGACATTGTTGGAGTGATTTCGTCTACAATCCTAGATGAATCAGCTTCACTTGAGTTATAGGCGACATTTTGTAAGGTCTCACTAGATAACTGTGGTTGAAGTAGTTCCCCAGTATCAAGCTATAAAAAAAAAAAAAAAAAAAAAAAAAAAAAAAAAAAGAGAAAGATAATTTAATACATCCATCATTGCCAAGATAAATCCATCTTCCTTGTTACGGCACACACTTACTGGAATATCTTTGAATACAGATGCGCATCCTGGAGGAAGTCGATAGTTCCAATAGATCAGATCATTACCAAAAGCGTCCAAAGCACATTGCCATCTATCAGTGTCGGTCCACAGTCGTTTGTCATTTGGGTCGGGAATACTATCCATTTTCCATTCGTTTGACTGAATACAAGGTCGAACTTTCAAACGATCTTCAAAATCGCTGATACGTTTTTCATAAAGCCTACAATAGATTAAGATTAGCAAAACAGATAAAGATGAAAGATGAAACTTACTTCTTTTGATCATTATCCAAACTTGAGATTTCCTTTAATTTACCGATAAGGTCATTTGCCATTTTTATTTGACGACAAAAGATAGCTTTGTCGATGTCGTAGCATAATGGATCCTTTTTGCAATCGAATCTATCATAGTATTGAGAAAAGCCATCAGCACAAAACGTGGATCCAAAACCTTTTTTTTTTTTTTTTTTTTTTGAGATTATACCATTTTACCTATGAGGATAATCCAAAAAAGCTTGAGAGGTTTGTCGAAAAAGTTGAGCACATAGTTGACCATAACTTGTAGCACAGTAGAATAGTCCCGGTCTTGTAGTAGATGTTATAGCTATAAGCGTCCAATCAAAAGAATGATCACAATGATGAAAAAAAAAAAAAAAAAAGTTGAGTATAATAAAGAAATCGTCACAGCCAGGAATAAAAAAATTATATTCATTCATCATTACTTTGAACAACACTGCCTTTACTTTTTTCATTTGAACCACCATAATAGAGAGGACCAATTTGCATCTTGCCCCATTCGCCAATACCAAACGCACCGAGGGGAGTGGTCTGATCTTTTGTAGGAAAATCATCCATGTCGATGTCCAGGTCAACAGCAGGTATAGTAAGATCTGATTTCATTCTATTCGGTTTCCAGCTTTCAACAAGATGTTGTTGTTCTCTTTTCTGAAGCCATTCAGGCATATGTCGTTCTGTACCTTGATCAGCTACTTGATGATAAGTTGACCAGATAGGCATTGCATATTTCGATAATGACCATAAGCGAAAAGTCCCGTCCATACAAGTAGAAACTAAGTGTTCCGGTCGAGTATTTCCCCATGTCACCTATATAGATATATATATATATATATATATATGGAATATATAGACGAAATAATAAGTATCCAATCTCTCTTTTTTCTTTTTATTTTTTTTGTGAACGCCTATCTTTTTTTGTATATATTTTACCGATGTAATAGGACCATAATGTCCATCAATCTTGGCCAAAGGTTTATGATAGGTAGCACGAAGATCCCAGATATTCACTACAGCATCATCACCCCCAGAAGCTAACCAATAGGGAAGAAAAGGATTGAATTGTATTGTACGTATGGATCTTGAATGTGCTTGATACGCTTGCCAAATAATGCCTTGATTTTCTTGTACACGTAGATCAATGACATGAAGAATGTGTTCATCGCCACCAGTCGCCATGAGATAAGGTGAGAGAGAAGCCCAATGGGTTGTATTGATGGTGCCTTTATCTGGTTCTATTGTACGCAAATTGGAATTTCCAGGATGGTTCATATCCCATATTTCGATGTGGTTGGTAGCTGTGGTAAGGAAAAGAGATGAATAAAGTCCATTATCATCGTTGTTGTTGGGTGAATCATTATGATTGGGCTCACTTTCAAAAGTAGGACTGAAAGAAACACATTTCACATGAGAATTTGGTGCACGTTGGTGAGGGGGAGCGACGAATGATTCAGGTAACTAAAACAAAAAGAAAAGTCAAGAATAAGACAAAAAAGTATCTGAAGATTAGGTGATAAACTTACATGTTTAGATTGGTATTCAGCTAACTTTTCAAGGGCAGGTGTTTGATCATTGTCCTTATTATGTAATCCCCTAGTGTTGTATAGATAAGTTGTACCTTTGTTTGTTCCCACTAGTAAGAGATTATTGGACCAGTCGAGTGAATGAATAGGACGTTGAAGTTGAGTATGATGAATTTGCTTTCCAAAAAAAAAAAAAAAAAAAAAAAGAAAGGTTAGCGGAGAACAAAAGAAGTAAAAGTTTAAATTTTTTGATCACCATCAATCATGCTTACCTGGAAACGAGATGATGATGTGGATTCATTTTCCTTATTAATGACATCTTCTTTGATAAAATAAAGATTACCATTCTGACATCCAGAACCTAAGGCTATTAATGTACTATCACTGGAAGCTATGGATGTAATATATGATTCATTTTCTTCTAAATGAAAGTAATGAGTATTGAGACCTTTTGTCATTCTATATATTATAAAAAAAGAAAATTATGTTGTCAATGAAAAAAAAAATCGGTTTTTTTTTTTTTATTAAAACTTTACTCATTCCATCCTTCGGAAATGATAGGAGCAGCAAGTGATTTATCTAAAGAACATAAAAGAGGCATCCGAAGTGGTTTGGGCCATAATGATCTTAATTGAGTATGAAGTCTATCTATATCAAATGTCATAATAATAAAAGGAAAAATAAAAAAAAAAAAGAAAAAGAGAAAAAAAAACTGATTTTCAGTTTGAGATGAAATATCTGAGTTATTTTGATCAAATTTCATGCAAAATAAAAAAAAAAAACGATCCGGAAAACTCTTGCCCCATGAGCCACTTTTTGATTTTTTTGATTTGTGACCGACAACCAAAAAAAAAAAAAAAAAAAAAAAAAAAAAAAGTTGAGACCAATTTTTTTTTTCTTATTTCCTCTTTGGTACCTTCCCTTTTTTCTTATTTATTTTTAATCCATGTTCAAACGTGCAAGTAGAGAACTAGCGAAACAAAGTATTGTATCAGATGAATTTAATCCAGATTCAGTAGAAGAAACCTTTGTTGGTGTATCCTCTGATGAAAGTGATGATTCTGATATGGAAGTCTATACAGCAAAACAAGTTAATAACATGAAAAAACGTAAATTACCTTTTAACGACGACAGTAGCGATTCTGAAGAAGACGAAGAACAATCTTCTGACGATAATGAAGATGATGGAACAGAACTTGTTTATACCTGCAATATTTGCTCACACAAACGACTGACATCTGAAGACCGTGTGGAAGCTCATTTGAAGTCAAAGGTAAAAATATATTAACTTTAGATCTATTATGAACAAATACATTTATGATTTACTCTTTATGTTTTCTTTTTTTTAGGGCCATATTCGTCGAGCCAAAGTAGCGGCTAAACAAGAAAAATTGGAACGATTGACCCCTGAAATGAAGGAAAAAATCAAAGAAAAGATTGAAAAACGACGGGAAGCATCTCATAACGTAAGTAGGAAAAAAAAAGGAATATAGATAAGTGTAGCGTATATTGGATCCATTCATATATGCTAGTACTGATCTCTTTTCCTATCTTTTTATTTATTTATTTATTTAGCGCAAGAAAGCAAAACGTGTTGCAAAGAAACAAAAAGCTTATTTGAAGAAGAACCCCGAGTAAGTGGAAAAGAGAATATGTTGAATCATATTGATTAGTGACTGAATCATGTTGTAGTACTACTATTGGAGATATGAAGAATGATACATCAGCCAGCATCAAATCAGATCAACTCAAGTCCACAAAGTCAACGTCCAAGGAACCCAAGGAATCAAAATCTAAGCAATCAAAACCCAAAGAATCAAAGCCAAATGAATCAAAATCCAAGAAATCAAAGGCAAATGAATCAAAGTCCAAGGAATCAAAGTCCAACACCAAAAAGATGAACAAGATCAACAAACAATAGATCATAGACATAAAATATTCATAATTCTTAGTTATAGAAAATACCATGCCTCTCATTTGAACTCTAGTATTAGTCACATATCTTTACACTACATCATCATCATTTATCATACAATAAAACAAAAATTACATCAAGATTTAGTCCAAAGTATGGTTAATTTGTTTCTTATTTGAATCAAAATAGAAAAAAAAAAAAAAAAAGATAATGATACTAATGATTTTTTTTTATTTGATAAAATTCAACTAAATTTCTAACCTACTACTGACAATATAAACTACCTAACTAACTAACTATCAAAAACACCAAGAAGGGAAAAGAAACATATAAATGATGACATGCAATCAGACAAAAAAAAAAAAAAAAAGGAAGGATGGGTAAACTATAAAAGGTGGTGTATGAGAGAGAGATTGACCTAGTTGTTTGTATCATTGTTTAAACCACCTTGAACATCAGCAACGACCATTTCAGTAACCAATTCATCGTAAGTGACCTTGCGGGTCCAGCCCAACTTTTCCTTGGCCTTGGTAGGATCACCCAATAACAAATCGACTTCAGCAGGACGGAAGTACTTGGGATCAATACGAACACGCACCTTTCCAGTTTCAGCATCCTTTCCAATTTCATTGACACCTTCACCTTCCCAGATGATCTTGCGACCAGTGACAGCAAAAGCCTTTTCAACATAGGAGCGGACAGTATGAGTTTCACCAGTAGCCAAAACGAAATCTTCAGGTTGATCTTGTTGCAACATCAACCACATACCTTCAACATAATCTCTGGCATGACCCCAATCACGCTTTGCATCAATGTTACCCAAGTATAAACATTCTTGACGACCCAAATGGATATCAGCAACAGCACGGGAGATCTTACGAGTGACAAAGGTACGTCCACGACGAGGAGATTCATGATTGAAAAGAATACCATTACAAGCATACATATTGTAAGATTCACGATAGTTGACCACAATCCAATAACCGTAGAGTTTGGCCACACCATAAGGAGAACGAGGATAGAAGGGAGTGGTTTCCTTTTGAGGAGTTTCCACGACTTTACCGTATAATTCAGAAGTAGAGGCTTGATAGAATCGGACACGGTCAGTTAAACCACAAGTACGGATAGCATCTAATAAACGTAAAGTACCAAGGGCATCCACATCACCAGTGTATTCAGACATATCAAAAGAAACCTTGACATGAGATTGAGCAGCAAGATTATATACTTCAGTGGGTTGTACTTGAGAGATAATGTGAACCAAACAAGTGGAATCAGTCAAATCACCATGATGAAGGAAGAACTTGACGCCTAATGATAACAGAATGTGAATAAGATATCATACACCTTTTCCTTCTTATCTTTTTAACCTTAATAATATTACCTTGATCATGTCTGTCTTTGTAAATATGTTCAATACGACCAGTGTTGAAAGATGAAGAACGACGAATAATACCGTGTACTTCATATCCCTTGTCCAATAAGAATTCAGTCAAATAAGAACCATCTTGACCAGTAACACCTAGAAGAAAAAGAATAGATGAAAAGAAAAAAGTGAGTTTTTTTTTTTTCATTGAATGATAAGGATGGTTTTCATCTACACGTTATCATCATGTCTCAGATCACAGAACCATAAAAGAACACGACCTATATTGTTTCGAACTTACCAGTAATAAGAGCAACCTTGCGAGAACGGAATTCTTCCAAAGTCATAGAGTTGTTTTGAGTAAGCTTGAGAGCAGCAAAAGCGTTTTCAGACATGATATATAAATAGAGAACGAGATGAGAAAAGAAAAGAAAGAAAGACAAAAAAAAAAAAAAAAAAGAGGGAGGGAAATAGAAAGACAGAAAAAAAAAATCGATCTAAAAATAAAAAATGAAAGAAGGCTAGTTGGAAAATCACAGTTGATTCGTGCGCTTTCTCAAATGGCCTTTTCATAAAATATGATAGTATCAGCGGAACACAAAATTAAATATCTTCTATATTTCTGATTTCGCTCAAACGATGTTATCACAGCATGATTAATATAACGGGAGTATTGAGTTCCTATCTGTCTAACTATTGTAAACAAAATAAAGTAAAGCACATAATGATAGATGATATGTAATGGATAAACAATAACCTTGATTCCTTTTTCTTCGAATGTGTTTATGATGTACTTAATATATATTATGTATTTTACGCATATTTGATAGGTATGGAATACGTTGATATGATACAATCAAAAACCAATTTGTAATAAGATCAAAAAAAAAAAAATTATTCTATTCGGTAACAATTGATGATAGTAGTAATAACAATAAAAAAAAAACATATACAAACTAGGGAAAAAAATAAAAAGAGTAAAAAAGTCAAAAAAAAGGAATAAACTAAAAATATAATAAACATGTATATACAATAACTAATTTAAAAAAAAAAAAAAAAAAAAAGAAAGAAAAAATGGGATATAATTTAACAAAGCAAAGACCTAATGCTAATGCCTTGCTTTTTTGATGGTGTGACCTCAGAGGATGAGCCAGTAGGTTGATGGGATGATGAACGAGAATGATCTTGAACAGCAGAGGCGGCAGCATTGAGTGTACTACTTGATGTTTGTAAAAAGTATTGGGTTGTAGGATGCGTCACTGTTGGTGATGGTTGTGGTCCAGGAGAACTATGTGGAACATATCGATAAGCAATAGTGGCGAAAGGTTGATCATTGGTAGATGGTTTTTGTACAGATGCTGATGCTATAGGTCGAAAATACGTATAAGATGTTGATGTCGATGAGTTGGATGATTTGGAGGATGATGTTGAAGAAGGCTTGGAAGATGATTGCTGATTATCATCCAAACGTAATGTTGACGGAGCAATGTTGATCTTTGGAGTTTCTTGGTAACCACGAAAGGAGATGGTATTCAACTTTGAATTGTTGGCAAAATGAGCTGGTAAAGAGACGTGTCGTAGATCATGTGGTGCAGGTTGAATAGGCCTATTACCATGGAAAGCATATCGATTGGTGGTAAGTCGAGATGATGTAGATTTGTTTGCAGGAGATAACAGTGGTGCAATTGCTCGGTTGATGACTGGAACTCGTTGTGATTGTTGTGATATACGTATAGGCCATTGATGTTGTCCCGATTGTTGTCTTTGTTGTTGCTGTTGTTTTTCCAGTGTGCTATGTTTTTGACAGGTCATGACAATGTAAAGTTTCGATAACGTAGATGGATCATCAAGATCGCCACCGAAACCACCACCCATAAAGACGCATATATCATAAAGTTCTTTTGGTCCAGATCGAGTTTTGATATGTAAGGTATCATTGATAGTTGGAGATCCATTTGCTATTGTCGCTAATTCGTCAAGTTGTTTCTGATGAAAGAGATCACTTGTTGTTCGTTCAGTAGGAGGAGGAGTTTGATGTTGTTGTGAAGGATTCTTTTCGGATGCCACTTGTACAACTTTATCCAATAATTGTCGATGTAAACGAGAAAGTCGATCTGTATCTTCTACTGCCACAAAATCATACATTGAACGATGCGCTAGTTCTTGTGGATAATATCCCCAGGTTTTGATAATATCATCTGGTATCCTTGCACAGCAAATTTCCATGGATAAGATTAGAGTCATTTTCATAGGAGGTATAAGAAGAGATGATGATGATGTTGATGTCGATAGTGTTGATGATGACGGTGATGATGATAATGAAGAAGATGAAGTATCGATTGTCAATTCAGGCTGTTCCATCGATGGTGTCAATTCAATAGGTACAAGCTGTATTGCTTCTGTTGTAAGTTGTCCCCCTTTATTATTATTATTAGTCGATTGTTGAAAAGCTTCAATAGGTTGATGACGAAATGATATTTGTTTTGGTGGTATAGCCTTATCCATAGGTTGCACTTGCTGGTTGTTGTTAACGTTGTTTCCATTAGTGGAGATGCTGCTGGCGAAAGTGGGTGTTTGAATGGTACCATGCATAATTTCATATTTTTCCTTAGTTGTCATAACTGCTTTCTTATCTTGTAATTTAGGTCTTCCACGTTTCTTATGTTTGATATCCAGGCAACTATCTGTTTTTCCTAATGAGACACATCGTTTACAAGGCCTTGAAGCTACGGAAAAAAAAAAAAAAAGAACAGAGATTAGAAAACATGATGTCTTTGAATTTATTCCTTACCATCACAAGCAAGATGAGCTTTTTTGCAATTGACACCTATAAAAAAAAAAGAGAGAGAGAGAGAGAGAGAGATTTCAATTGAATTTTGTTATCTTTTTATCAAGTATTATATTTCAAATAGTTCCTTACAAGCACTTGCTACATGGTATTTATGACCTCTTTTAGGAGGAGCGGTAATTCCTGCTGTTGTTCCATAGTTTATACAAGCTGAAGAAGATGTTTTTGTTGTTGTTGTTGTTGTTATAGTTGTTGTTGTTGGTAACTTTGAAGAAGTATCAATGTCTGATAGAGAATGAGGTAATGAAGCAACTGGTAGGTCAGTAGAGGCCGACTCGAGCATCACACACTTCTTTTGTTTTCAATATATGATCCTAATCAGAGAATATATGTATAATGAGAGACTAATATGGATTTCTCCTCTTTTTATGTTGAATAGAGAATATTTATAACACAAAATGATAATAAATAAAATAAAAAAAAATAAAAAAAAAAGGAGGGGAAAGAGAGAAAAGAATAGAAAAGAAAGAATCCAATTCAAAAGGAGTCAGTTGCACTGAAAAAATCAAAAAGCAGGAACGCTCCAATCAAAAAATATTCCTTCTGACTTGCAAAAATCTCCTTGACTGACAAAAAAAAAAAAGGTATACAAAAATTAAACTTTTTTATTTATAAAGTAAAAAATCATCTTAATCAATATATTTTGTTATTGTTCATTTATTATTAAAACATAATCCCCAATCACAGAACCTGGAATAATAAAAAAAGAAAAAAAAATTCCGTTTCCATAATAGAAACAATACATCATCTTACTGGTTGATTGACTCTCACACACACTGTACAAAAAAGGAAACTGGTATGAATCAAAGATCAACAAAAAAAAAGAAAATCATGTTATATCCTCATCAGTCTGTCATCAAATAAAAAAAAAAAAAATAACAAACTGTATAAAAACGAATCAATCAAAGTGTCTCTTTATGCATTTTGACTGCAATACTTTTCAAAGTCCGTTGTCTTTATCTTTTGGACCTTTTTCTTGTTCTCTCTTCTTTTCCTTCTTTTTTCAGTTTTAGTATATCAGGCTATTTTATCTTTAAGACTGTTTATTCAATAAATTTATTATTATTGTTTTTACTCCAACTAGTTTATTACATGTCAGTGATCCATTCATCTGATCTATTATTACATTTTTGTTATTTTAGCGTTTGACTGATTCCTTTTTTTTATTTTTTTTTATTTTACACGTACACTTTATAGATACCGAATACGACATTGGCAACAAAAAAAGAACATTAATAGTCGATGACGCGGTCAAATCTCAAGTCACATCATTCTCTACAATAGTTAAATATCGGGTCCTTCTATTGTTTTCTCTTCTTTTCTTTGTCTTCCTGTCTTCAAGCAGTTTTACTATCATTATGGATTACGGTTTGATATCAACTCCAGAACATTTCTACGCTGGAATGAATGTCAAGGTTGTTACTCTCTTCAAAAAAAAAAGACTGAAGGCTAGAGTACATACTTTATATTGATGCTGAACATATGTTTGTTTGTTTGTTTTTTTTTTTTTTTTTTTTTTTGCTAGTGTGTACATGTATTGAAATATCAAGCGATTGTCACGCCAAATGGCATTACTTCAAGTCTGATTGGTCCATATGAGGGGTCTTCCCATTTCTCGGATAGGTTAAGGTAGAAATATATATAAAAAAGGGAGAGAGAATAAGAGCTTGACTTATATCTTGTTATTTTACTTTTTTTTTATCAATAGAATCCATTGAAACTGATGGCAATGTTGATTCACAACAAGGAGAAGCTTGGTCCCACAATTGTTTCTCAAAGACAAACAGGAAACCGAAGAATAAAGCAATAAACTGGCGCTCAATACAAAAGAAAAGTATCTAGCTTAACCATCTGGTATCCAGCATGTCTGCTACGGGGTGATTATGACTCCAGCAATTCTCAAGGCTTGATTACTAGCATGCAGTGTCCGTATCGTAAGGCATTAAAAAGGGAAATTCTACAATGTTCAAATCGAAGGCCTTCACAAAACTGCAAGACATTATGGCAGAGAGATATAAACGCAAGTCGAAATATTCGTGGAATCATGATGGCTATTATAGATCAAGGTACAAGATCGGCTGTGTTCTGTAGATAGCGTACTGGTAAGCGATAAAAAAAAAAAAAAAAAAAAAAAAAAAAAAAAAAAGGATCATCATTGATTTTTTTTTTCCCTACGTTTAGGTTATTAGTTTTTTTTTTTTTTTTCTGAACCCTAAAAGTTCATGATGATTACAGGTTATCCACTTCTGGTAAGTGCTTGTATTAGTGATGATTGATGGATGGTGTATGATGGATATATGACCTAACTCAATTTTCTTTTACATAAATATCCTGTTTATCTCTTCATTTTTTTTTCACTTTTGTCAATTTTTCTTTTTTTTGTTTTTCCCTTCTCAGATCTTTGAAATTTAAGTATATTTTCCCTCACTCCCAAATTTATTTTATCTCATTCCCAAATTTATTTCCTCTTTTGTCTAATAAAGTGAGCGTAAGTTGTATATCACTTAAGTTCCGCCTTTTAAACATCATAGATTGATTTTTCTCTGACTTTTTTTTCTCAACAGTAACTAAAATCATTCATTCTTTTTAATTACACAAAAGTTGAACTTTAAAAAAAAAAAGAGTTCTTATTACTTAGGATAATGATGATATCATAAAAGATGATTTTTATCATGTTAGTGTAATAAATTAAATGGTTCTTTTTTGTCAAATGTCAATCAATAGATAAATATTTGTAAATAGGAATAAGGAGCAAAAACCTTTAAAGCAGGACCAATCAAACATCAGGTCATTTTCGGCTAAATGCTTTTTTCTTTCTTCTCTTTTTGCATTACGAAATTCAACTCCGTCGTCATAGATATCACCTTTTTTTTTTCATCCTTTCTTTTTCTTTCTTTCTTTCAATTAATATTTTTACATATTTCAATTTATAAACAACATTATGAAAATAGGTGTTAAACTACATGATCATCGTTCAAAAGGTCGTATCGATACCTATCATATAAAAAAGTGTCCTTATAATGCTGATTATTATCAAGCTTGTCGTATTCTTCAAACTATACAACAATACAATCATCGTGCAAGTCATCAATGTTTACGTAATAAGAAGAAAAAAAAAAGAAATTTAAAATTGATGATGTATATTGATGATTCTTTTTTTTTTATATATATATAGTTCATCTAGCTACTTTTATTACACAATCCTGGGAATCAAATCCAAGTCAACAATTGATCGATGATATTCTTCAATTTATGAATCATTTATTGGATACAACAGGATTATCACCAATGCCTTTGAATGATTCACTTCGACAATTATGTGCAAACAAATCTCCTATTCCTACTGTATCTCCAACTCTCACGTTATTATTTGCAGCTAGTTATATTGAACGTCTCAAGCAGGTAAGTTTTTTTTTATTTCACATTCAATTGGTTACTATTGAGGGACCCGGACTTAATAGTTTAGCCGCTTTTTTTTTCTCTTTGATATCACAATTCCGCTCATCACTAATTTTCTTTTCCCTTCTTGTCTTTCTTTTTCTTTATCATCATAGTATTGTGGCAACATCAAAGGAAGCAATGGCTGTAGTCGAAGGTTATTACTGGTTGCTTTTATTATAGCTGCGAAGTATATTCAATCCAATTTGAGGTTTATTGTGGACACCAGTCTACCAACTGTATCCGATATCATGAATGACAACGATAACTCTACCTCTGTCACTGGTTCCGATTCACAACAAGATCCAATCCATTCTGATCAACTACCATCGACAGTATTACCTATGTCACCTCCAGTGTCTCCAAAACAACCAGAATTAACAGATCCGACTCAATATCACTACTTCCATAATAATACTACTAGTGTCACAGCAACGCCAATGACAACAAAGGAAAACAAGGATAAGACCAACACATACTCACTACCTTCTCAATCATCCTCTGGTAAATTCAAAACGTCGTTTGCTTCTCTATGTTCTCAATTCAACTATCGTATTTGGCGTATGGAGAATGAATTCTTGCACTTCCTCAATAATGATATCTCTGTTCCTGACAGTCTTCGTCTAGCGGCTTGGGCCGATCAAATGGCACTCCCTCCTTTGATACCGGATTTGTAGAATAGAAAAAAAAAATACCTTATCCCCTGTTATTCTTCTTTTCCCTTTACTCAAACCCAAGGTACATCTTTTATGTTCCTTTTGTCTTCTTATTCTATCTTCTTCAGTACTTATAATTATCCCACTTTCTGTATATACAATAAAATCATCATCATTTACCATTTGTCTACAATCATCATCACCCCATCATCACATATTATTCATTATCCAATCATCCGTTATCCATTAATCATTATTCATCATCATAATAAATTGTTTTGTCATCATTATTCTCTTTATTGGATTCCTTCCAACTTTTCGTTTGATATTCTTTTGGAACTTATATTTAGGAGTTTTGTTTTAGAGTTTTTGGCAGTGTTTATTATTATTGTGACGATGGATTTGTAGGAGACTACGCCCCATCCATGAACAAATCGGCATAGTAACAAATTTAGCATGTTTTTTTTTTGTTTCTTTGGTTCAAACGGCGTTGTAATCCAAATAATGTTGAATTTCGGCAGATGAAGACACCGAATAAGATGAGGCTAAAAATAACAGTACAAAACAACATTACAACATTGCTGGCCGGAGCGGTATTTCAAACATACATCAATGTCTCTCGCACACACCCATAGTACTTCATCTTTTTACTCCCCCCTGATTGGGAAAGTATGATTCGCATGAGCTGGGCCCACTTTTATTTTTTCTGAAAAAAAATTTTTTTTTTTTTGCGCATTTTGGGAAATAGTCGCCCAAAAACATGTTCCTCCTTAAAAAAAAAAAAAAAAAAAAGACATACCCCAAATCTTACAAACTTGTGGAACGAACTAAGCATTCTTTATTTTTTCCAATTTGTGTATATCCTAATTGTTCGAGTGTCTTTTTTTTTTTTTCTCATTCCTAGATCATCACGTTCTCCTTCATTCAAAAAAAAAAATACTAAATAATAATCATCATTTGCACAACATTTTTTTTTATTTAAGATAAAAAGGGATAACTAATAAACTATATACATCTAACTAATCAAGTAGCAAAATAAGAAAAGGATGGGACGTCTTACATCATCAATAAGATGGGTGGATCTAGCTTTGATCAGTCATAATCCAATCAAAACCAGTGTTGGATTTTATATTTGTTGTTGATGATTGTTGGGTTGGTTTACTAATAGAATGAGGTTGGTATCCAGGTGTAGGTAATGTATCATCTTCATCTGTTGAGTCGTCGTCCATAGGTTGGCCTGAAGATAAACTGTTATTGACGGTAGTAGTATGTTGAGAAGTTGGTTGAGGTACAGGTTGAAGCCATAAAGCATCCGTTCTTGGAGGAGGACGATAATCAGGTGAAGCGTAAGTAAGTGATGGTAAGGTAAAATTTGGTTTAGGTGGTTCATTGTTGGGATTAAATTCTTGCGTTAAATCATTCAATCGTTTAGGTCCCTATTGTTCCAATATAAATATATATTAATATTGCATTTAATAAATAATAATAATAATATATATATTTAATTCTTACTTGATCTTTCATCATTGATACATTATCATCATCTTGTTCATCATCACACATCCTTCTCTTGGTAGGTTGATTGATTACTAAAAAGAAAAATATATAATATTAATATAACCACAATGCTTTAAATAAATATGGTAATAAATTATTTTGAATTGTATAAAATCTTTATTTTTTTTTATATATATATCTTACCATGATTGAAGGTTTGGAATGACATATTATTGAATATAACAAATAACGAAGAACAAAATAAAACGATAAAATAAACAAAAGTGAAAAAAAAAGTGATACAAAGAACAGAAGAAGAGAAGGAAGAAAGAAAAAGAGGTGAAAAGGGAGAAAAAGAAAGCTTTTTTATGTTCAAAAAAAAGATTCACCGGTCGGCAATTCAACTGGGTTGTTTTGGCTCACTTTCCTGGAGACAAAAGTACTTGTCTTCCTATTGGTCAAGATTGATCCATCCTTAAATCTTTCATTTACTGATTTTTCATTTGTGATCGACCTTTTTTTTTTTTCCTCCTTAAAAAAATTATATCTTCCTCCTCTTTTCTTTGTTTTTTTTTTGTTGGTTGGAATGAGTGAACCATTATTGAATAGTTACAACCTTGATAACGACTTGCAAAATGAAGAAGAACTAGTTGAATGGAAAAATACTTTTAAGGTAAAAATAACATAAAAAAAGAAAACTCTTCTTTAACTGATAAGGTATTATCTTTTATATAGTCAACAAGATATTCCCTTTTGAAAAGATTTATTGGTCTTATCGTTAGTGTCTTGTTATTAGTCTTATTAGGAATGACTATTGCTCTGTTTTTAACGCCATTAAAAACAGGTAAACCTTTGAAATAATAATATATCCATATATGTATGACTCACTCTTTTTTTTTCCTTATCTAATAATAGTTGAAGAACCAACAGAAGAATTCAATAATAATAATAATAGTAACAATAATAACGATACTATAAACCAACCGAAATTACGAAATGTTATCATGATGATAAGTGATGGATTAGGACCAGCATCTGTATCATTTGCACGTACTTATCATCAATATATTAACAATTTGCCTTATGACTTTGAAATGCCTTTGGATACTATTCATATTGGTCAATCTCGTACAAGAAGTTCTAGTACTTTGGTAACTGATAGTGCTGCTGGCGCTACTGCCTTTAGTTGCGGTTTAAAAACATATAATGGTGGTGTTGGAGGTAAACCATCAAATAAGAAAATAATAACCATTGATCAATATAATATTTATATTTTTTTTTTTTATTTATAGTGGATCCTCATGGCAAACCTTGTGGAACTCTTTTGGAATCAGCAAAACATCACTTACAAATGAAAACTGGATTAGTAGCCACTTCAAGAATTACACATGCTACTCCAGCTTCCTTTTCAGCACATGTGGTCGATCGGGATAACGAAAATGCTATTGCTACACAACAAATGGGAGAGAATCCATTAGGTGTTAGTGTGGATTTGATGTTTGGTGGAGGTTATTGTCACTTTTTACCTAAATCTGTACATCAAAGTTGTCGCAGAGATGAACGCCACTTATTGGAAGAAGCCAAACAAAAATTCAATTGGACCACAGTGACACATGGTGATCGACACTTTTGGGATGATATACCTGTTGATCCTTCCTTACTACCCATCATCAGTCTATTTACACCAGACGTAGGTTATCAAAAAACAAAAAAAAAAATTCTACATAGGTCCTGATGTATTTTATTATTATTATTTATTTTGTCTTTTTATTTTTTTGTAGCATATGTCGTATGAAATTGATCGTGAACAATCGAAGGAACCTAGTTTGACTGAAATGTCTGATAAAGCTTTACAATTATTATCAAGTGCAACCAAAGATTCTGATACTGGATTCTTTTTGATGATTGAAGGAAGTCGGATTGATATGGCTGCTCATTCGTAAGTTTGATATATTATTTGATAATTCATAAACTAATCTTCTTTTCTTTTTCTTTTTTTTTTTGGTAGTAATGACCCTGCTGCTCATGTACATGAGATTTTAGAATACCAGAACACCATTGCTCTTGTTAAAAACTTTGTAGATCAGCATCCAGATACTATTATGATATCTACAAGTGATCATGAAACTGGCGGACTCTCTTTAGCAAGACAAGTTTCTGCGAAATATCCAAAATATTTGTGGTAAATTCAAAAAAAAAAAAAAATGGATGATCTTTCACCATTTTTAACCGCATTTTTTTTTCTTCTCCTTCCTTATAGGTACCCTGATGTACTCAAGAATGTCAAAAGATCTACAGCTATTTTAGGAACAGAAATACTTCATTTGAACAAGGATGATAGACAAAAGAAAATCACTGAACAATTAGGAATAGTGGATATCACTAAAGAAGAAATGGACACGCTGGGGAAAATCTCAAGTAAGAAGCGCATGGATCAATATTTGGCTGAAATGATATCTATACGATCACAACTCGGCGTAAGTTCAAAAAAAGGAAGAAAAGAAAGATCAAGGGGTAGACATCATGATAGCAAATTCACTTTCCCGTTTATAATGACGATCCCTTTTTATCCTTTATCATTGTTGTAGTGGACTACGCATGGTCACAGTGGTGTGGATGTAAATCTTTACGCTTATGGACAAAACCTGAATGATTTACGAGGAAGTCATGAAAACATCGAGATTGGACAATTTATATCTGAAAAATTGGGATTGGATTTGGATGATGTGACAACTCGACTGAACAGGTATGTTTCTTTTTCTTAAAAAAAAAAGATGATGAAACAAGGAACTGATCTCTGATATATTTTCTGTATTATTACTATTATTGTTATTGTTATCATTGTTATCATTGTTATCATTTCTATTATTAGGGCTGATCCTTCCTTTCATCTGACACCACTTACTGAAAAGGGGAAGGTGGACTATACCAATCACTTGGATCAATATCATCATGAAGCTAGTCTTTTACATCATCCTGCTCTATAGTATATATATATTCTAATATATTTCATTTATTTTCCTCTATTCATTTTGTATATATCATTTTATCAATAAAATAAATTGTTTAAGTCGCCTAAGGCGTTCCTTTTTTTTTTTTTTTTGGTACATGTGGCCATGTAAGCTTAAATGAGTCGAGAGAGTTATTTCAAGACAAAAAAATTCATTGATAACATGATAATGGGCACTCCAACATACGCCAAGAGACGCATTTTTAGGTTTATCTATTATTGCTTTATTACTTGATTCAGAACTGTCCATTGATTGAGGGAATATGTATTGATTGGATGACTTACCTGATTAGGGTAAGTGCATTGATTACCCGCCACCCTTGATGAGGAACTTATTTGGCTAACAATGCCCGTACACCGTAAGCGGATGAACATCCCGGAAGCGGAATCATTGGTCTAGAACCTTTCCTTTTCTTTTTTTTTTTTTTTTTTGTATCCACTCATATAGATGAATCAACGTACGTACAGAAAAAAAAAAATAAGCAGGATGAAAAATAAAAAGATGACCCTGTTACTAGTATCTTGATATATATGTAATAATATATAATAAAAAAAAGGGGGTGAAGACAGGGAGAAGGAAAATGAGGGGTGTGGTACATGCTACTTTATTGATGAATGATAATGACTTTTTTTTTTGGATAATGAAGTGAGTGCCACAGCGTGCACTTTTCGGGAAATCTTAATATCAGCAGAAAAAAAAAAGATTTAAAAGAACAGGAGTGTCCTCATCTGTTTCTCTCTTTATTCTTTTTTTTTTCTTTCCGATTTATCATCAACATCTACTTGCGTTCTCTTTCTTTTTTTCTATATGAATTCATCACCCAAAGCCGCTTGGCTACAAAAAATGACATTGACCATGGGCAGGACCCGTTGGCAATCGCGCTTTTTTGTTCTACTGGACACTGAAATTCGATATTACAAAGACGAGGTAAGATAGTAGATAATAGTAAATAAATAAATAAAAAATAAAAACACTCCAATTTTAACATATATATATATATTTCTTTAGCATGCTGCCGTTCCTAATAATATATGGAGCTTACGAGATGTAAGTCGTGTACAACAAATACCGATGATGGGGTATCGATACTGTCTTTCATTGGATCCAGTTGCCGTGACAACGTCATATAGTCGCGGTGGTACGAAGAAAACACACAGGAAACCCTTGATCTTAGGCTTCACTTCTGCCATTGAAATGCATACTTGGTTGGGATGTATTCAAAATCGATTAGATAGATTAATCACCTCATCATCATCATCATCATCATCATCATCATCATCATCATCATCATCATCATCATCAAATACACTAGCTGTACCTCAAGCGTCTACATCATCATCATCATCACTATCTCGTCGTCGTGGTGTAATTTTATCTTCTTTGGATATCAAACAATATACTGTATTACCTACTTTGGTTTCCCCTTCTACATCTACTTCTTCGTTATTATCATCATCATCCACCCTTTCTAGTGCTCATTCCTCCATATGGCCAATGATGACTCATTCTTCATCACAGAAAACTTATCATCATTTAATCAATGATGATACCAATGATGATCAGGATGAGACATCATCTCCTACCTTTTTACAATATAAATCCCAATTTCATTTGTCTACAGTTTAATTTTTTTTTGTATGATAACTAAAGTAATTCAAATAAAAAGAAAACATTGTTGTATATTTATCATTATGTGATTTTCATTATATTAAAAACGTGAAAAAGGTTTGGAATGAAAAAACAGGTTTGAATTGTCATATAGTTTCATTTCCTTATACGGATGTATTTGCCAGGACTTCAATTCTTCCCTACTGTTACTGCTGGCCACCAGTCACTTTTTTTTTTGATTCCCGTTTTTTTTTTTTTTTTTTTTTTTTTGAATTCTTTTCTCAAAACTTTTTTCTTTTTCTCTTATCATTATTTCAATCATATCATGACCAAAAAGACTAGCAAGAAGTCAAGCGACAAAGTAGCAGGGCCTTTAGAAGACTTTTATGGATTCAAAGTATTACCAGTGATTGTCAAGGAAGGAATCCGTCACTTTATGTATATGACAAAACATCAAGTCAGATCAGTCACCGACAATCTTCCAGCAGATCGAACTTTATTTTTGGTCAATTTGCCAGTAGATACCACCGATGCTCACCTACAATATCTTTTTCGCTCTCACGGCAAAATTACAAAAATTATTTATCACAGTTCCAGGACAACAAAAACAACATTATCACAGGATCAAGACGATAACAATGAAGATATAGATGCTTCTCATACATCGGTGCTTATATCCACAGAAAATATCAAAAACAAAAACAAAAAAGCATATGGCAAGAAAAGGAAACAAAAAAGTGACGATGACGACAATAATAAGGACGAACACAGCAGTAACGCTTTACGAATGATCTTACACAGTGGTAGCAATGCTCATATTGTATTTGACAAGGTTGATACTTTGAATTCAGTCATGGAAATGACTAGAATTGTTAGGAATTGGACAGTGAGTGAAACAGAAGTAGATCAATTACAACCTTTGGGCTTTGAACGTAAGAAGAAGACAAAAAAAAAAAATAAAGAGGGAAGATACTAATATCGTATATTTCTATTTTTATAAGGACATATGCTTAAATTTCAATTGGCAAGACCTGATCATGGAGAACTACAACAAAAGGTGGATTCTTATATGCTCAAGTTTAAGGAAAACGAATACGAAAAGGAACGGGAACTTCTTCAAAGAATGAACAAGATGGATGAAGATGGTTTTGTGGTTGTTAGTCGTCACAAGAAGAAAAAGAACACAGATGGTGAAATCCATGTGACCGCAGCATCTAGTATTGCGATTAATGCATATGATATAAACAAGGTCAAGAAGAAGGAATTAGTGGATTTCTATCGATTCCAATTACGTGAAAAGAAACAAAATGGTAAGTAAAAGAAGAAGATGATGATGATGATTGTAGGTAAATTAACTCTATTGTGTTTAATTTCTTTATAGAATTGTTTGAACTTCGAAAACGATTTGAAGAAGATAAAGTCAAGATTGATAAATTGAAGCAAGCAAGGAAGTTCCGACCTTATTAGAGATAGTTTGTCAGGATATTAAACGAACAAGCCATGAACTTTTTACCCTCTTTTATTTTATTTTTTTCTTCTTCTTTAATATATATATATATATATATATATATTTGTATACATTTGTTTTCATCCATTATTAGATTTTATATAAAAACAAACAAAGAAAAAAACATCATCATCATCATACTCAATAATAAAAAACGAAGCATGTTTACCATATTGATCATTCATTATTATTTATTTATTTATTTATTTATTATTTCTAGTTGTATATACACTCTTCAATAGAACAATAGGTTCAATTTCCTTTTTTGTTCTTAGTTTTTGAATTTTCACTTTCCAACGCGCATTGCCACTATTTTTCTCCTTTTACAAATCGCGGTTGAAAATAATAAAATATCAAACCTCCTTTCTTTTGCTATTTTCCTTTTCTTCCTTTACTTTTTTTTTCTTTTTTTCTTTTTATTATTATTATTATTATAATAACAACAGGAACGAATATACTATTTCAACTTTAACTAATACAACAAACAAACGACAAGTGAAATCATTGTCATGAACATTTCACTACAGTTTGAACCATTAGATTGTTCGTTTTGCGATTGGCCTTCCGATACTTATGCTGTACAACCTACTAAACTCATTCTTCCTTCTCATGACAAGACAACACTATCAACTACTGGAGCGAAAAAACAACAAAAACAAAGTCTTCGCTGTTTACATGCTATTGACGAACTTTTACAAACTGAAAGGGATTATACAAATCATTTGGCATACTTGGTCGAAGTAAGGGTTATCTTTTTTTTTTTATTTTTTTTTTTTTATTTTTTTTTTATTTTATTTTATTCTTCTGGGTCGTCAGGGGGGGAGGAAAAAAAAAAGAAATTTGGGATAGGGAGGGGAGGGGAAATAAGGGTGATTGAAAGGTAGATAGTATGATTTATTGTCATTTTTATGGATTATTCTATTAGATTTTGATAAAAGGAAAAATTGATCTTAAGTTTTATTTTTTATAGGTATGTTTTGGACAAATCTTACAAAGACAAAAATGGATATTGGATAAACACAAAGTGACAATTATTCGAAATGCAAATGAACTATTACAATTCCACAAGTTATTATTATTGGCTTTAGAAGATGCTTACTTGGAACAAGATATCATTACAAAATGTGGACATATTGCTACTGTGTTTTTGGATATGGTAAGAAAAATAAAAAGGAAAAGATGATGCGTATAGATGCATTCAACATATAAATCCCCCTGGACTATTTGTAAATGATACATAAATCAAAAAAGAAATAATCCCTTATCGTCTCTCTCTCTCTCTTTCTCTCTCCTTCCTTTTTATAGGGATCAAGTTTTACACTATATGATACTTATTGTGACAAACATGATGCCGCCATTGCTCTGTGTAACGAATACCGTTCAAAACCAGAATGGATCATTTTTACTAGAGACTGTGCTACTCCTACTACTTATCCGTCTGAACAAGTAACAAGACCTTTACATTTTGAAGACTATTTAATCAAGGTATAAAAATTAAAAAAAAAAAAAAAGGAAATGAATCAAGTTGACCTTTTACCTTATTTGGAATAGCCTGTCCAAAGAGTTTGTCGATATCAACTTTTACTCAAGGAAATTTTACATTATACACCTCGTGGCACTTCTGAATATAGAAGATTGGATTGTGCATTGGGCATGATGCAAGCTGTAGTGGCTGGTATTGATCGACGAAAATATGATCGTGATACAACGGAAAGAACTCGTTTATTTATCGATCGTTTGGATTCTTCTTCTGATGGACGATTGGACAAGAATTCTTTGCACTTATTAGGTAATCTGGTCATGGCTGGTGCTATTGATGTTACTTATTCTTCTCTTGGTCAAACAACTGTATCCTCCTCAAGATCAAAATATTTAGGCTGTTTTGTGTTTCCAACTTATTTGATTATGGTACGACCCAAAAAGGTGACCAGTTACACACCAAAACATTGGTTTCCTTTACGATTGGTGGAATTAGAGGATTTGCAAGATATCAAGGGTAAAAATTGAAAATAATAATAATAATAATAATAATCAATATCTGAAGATCTTATCAAAAACTAAACAACATCTCCTTTTTTTTTTTCTTAGATCAACGTGAAAATGCTTTTGTTGTTCGATGCAAGAAACATTGTTTTGCATTTACTGCTACTTGTCAACGGGAAAAACGATTATGGCTTACCAAATTATCTCAAGCTATTGCTACTGCTAAATCACAACCTAGATCTGCAGATAACTTTCTTGTATCTTCACTTTATGGTATTGGAAAACCAACAAAAATACGAACTTCTCGCTCAGTGACAAATCTTCTTGATTTTGGACGTGACAATTCTTTGGACCCATCATCAGTATCTGAACCTTGGTTTCAACAACAAGAACAAAATGAGAACGAAAATCAATCCAATGACAACAAATCTGGTTCTACAGCATGCAAAGATATTCTAAATATGAAACGATCAAAATCACTTAGTCTACAACTTGCATCCTATTATAAATCATCTGATGATACAGATTGCAGCACTACCTCCTCAATTTTATCTTCATCGAAACTACCACCTATACCACAACATCACAACAACATCAACAACAACAACAGCAGCAATAATAATAATAATAATAATAATAACTACAATATTCACTATTCTCCAGCACCTACTGCATTGTTCAAACGACATTCAGCTGATTTTTCACCACGCACCAAGAAAAGGGAACAACTCAAAGCAAGGATTCATTCTGAAGTATACGTTGGAAAATTAGAACTCAGTGACCCATCCAAGTTACAACACCGGCCAGGATCAATGGATGTCATGTCAACATCATCAAGTCAACTCTCACTCAATATGATTGGGAAAATCAAAAGCAATCATCAACATGCATTACGAATAGGATCAGATCACAAGCTTCGAGATGTTTGTACTCAAGATTATTTAGCATCAAGATCATGGTCAACTTTATTACGTGAATCGTCCAATGGACAATCTTATTACAGTAACTCTAGCTGTGATAACACAAACAATAGCTATAGTAGCAATACCAGCAATAATGGCAACAGTGGAGGACGTCGAAAATCATCCTTTTCCAATCTTCGGTCATCAACATCCACTTTCTCTATGCTCATGGGACCTTCAAGACGAGTCAGTGATGGTAGTAGTAGTCAAAGTACAACACGATCCAATAATCCAATCATCAACAATACCAATGGTATGGACACTACATCATCTGTCATCAGTTCATGTGCCAGCACCATTGATGATGGGAGAAGAACCCCTCTCACACCACAACCTCAACAATCAACAAATTATACCAATCATCATTTGAACAATATACCAAGGTACAGCTATAATAATAGTAATAGTAACAACAACAACTACAGTATCAGCAGCAATAGCAGTGATATTCATCGACGAACTTCATTATCACAACGAATCATTTCTCAGGATGAAAAAAGATTATCATCATCTACTTCTACTACCACCGACATGAATCGTATGGTTATGTCACGTTGTCCAGCACAAGCATCAAATATCTCATCTTCCTCCTCATTTGGATCGGCGGATTTTCAGCAGTACTATTGTGACAAATATAACGATCAGCACAGCAATATCATTGGCAGCAGCATGATGAATAGCAATCTTCAACGCCACTCGTTTTCACCCACTCTTTATTGCAATAAAGAAGACATTAATGATTCAGCTAGTCAACAAAAGAAGAAAACACTTCGATCCAGTCTATCCACCTATTCTTTACATATACAACCCTTGAAATCAAATGTTAAGCATGCTTTTGTGGATGGATTTCGTCGACTTAGCTCTAGTCAATATAACAACAATCGACAAAGTCAAATGCAAACAACAGACTCCTATTTGTATGAATCAATGGATCTACGACCTGCAATCACAAGATCAATTTTTGACCAATCTCATCAGGTACAGTACTTTTTTTTTAAAAAAAAAAAAAGGATCACTGGATGTTTTCCTTCCTTACCTTTTTGAATGAATGAATAAACAAAAAAAAAACTAATTGATTTTATAGAAGGTGATATCATCAACGACATTACCTCAAAGGAACAATAATATGATAAAAAGATCAAGTCGATTATTCTCATGGATCAAGAATGACGAAACAAGTAAATCAACAGGGATTAAAAAGAATCATGGTACCTCAACATCTTCTTTTGTACGACCGAAATCATCGACTTTTACGATGGATTCGACTACAACATCATTTTCATTCTCCTCAACACCTGCTGTAATACAGTCAGTCTCTAATAAACCCAACTGGACAAGAAAATGGATTTCTCGAAAGCAATAGTCGTAGATTTAGTTTATTTATACCATTTTAGATTTTTTTTTTTTATTTACCTTTTTTTTTTTATTTTAATTTATTTTTTTTTCTTTACGATTATTATTGTCATACCATTCTTATTTATTCTTTCAAATACATACTCCTGTCTCTCTTTTTTGTTTCTCTTTCTCTCCTTCCATTTTATTGATCAACGATATGTTAATTATAGTGTATTCCCGAAGAGGGGCCATTTGACAAAATTCTTATGTGCATGAACAAAGTTTTTTTTTTTTTTTTTTGCCACAAAAAGAGTTTTCGTTCTTTTATATAGGGGTTGAACAGATGATGATATACATTTAACTTTTTTTCTCTTATACAAGTGATCCATTATTATATTATTATTATTATGTACCTTTAGTCTTATTTTTTTTTTTTTTAAAAAAAAAGAAAAAGTTTGAATCAATAGAATGTGTTACCCGCACAAAAAAAGAAAAAAAAGAAAAAAAGTAAAATAAACTGTAATTGGATTTTTAGTGGTCAAAAGTATATCCAAAAAAGGTAACCATCATGTAGAAAAAAAGGGGACGGGGCTGAAAACGTATTTCACTCCTCGTTTTCTTTTATCTTTTCAAGATCCCTTCCTTCCTTTTTTTTTTTTTCTTTCTTTCTCTCATTTTCCACTATTTTTTTTATTTTTTTATTTTTTTATTTATTTATTTATTTAGAAGGAGAGAAACGCTTATTATATAAATAAGTTTCTTTCTCCCTTATGATATTCCGTCATCCTATTTCTACTTTAACGAGGATCACTACTTCGACATTGAAATACGCCTCTTCTAATACTGCCAATCTCTTATTTTCTTCAACTAATTCATTCTCATCTGAAGATTATCCTCATCCTCAACAAATACAAGAATGGATGGAAAACGCTCAAGAAGGAATGGTATTATTATTATTATTATTATTATTATTTATGCAGTTTTTCCACCCAACTTATTCCTGTTCTTCTTTTTATAATAGGATGCTTTTTTCGATGATTATTTTGATATGGCTTATGATATCTTTGCTCAACATGCTACTGTCTCACCATTTCATGCTCTTGGATATGCTTTAATGGCTTATGTGGAAGCTATGGTCAGCTTCGAAGTATCTCATATTCAATTAGCCCAAGAACGATTATCAGCTGCTGAATCCTTATGTCATCAATTTGTCAAACGTACCCGTCGACAATCTCAAACATGTCATCATCATCATCATTATCATCATCATCATCAATATCATCATCATCTTCATAATCATCATCAACACCGTCATTCAAAATCAAATCGATCTCCTGTTGGATTTGCTGCTACTGCAACTGCTTATGCCTTGGATTGGTATTCAAGATCATCGTCTTCATCTTCTTCATCTTCATCATCATCGGATACTACAACTACTACTACCACAGTCAAGAAAAAAGCATCTGTTGCCGACATACAAGCCAATAACGAAAACAATGATCTTTTATCAACTCGATCTTTACCATCGTCAGGAACAACTGCAGCCATACCTCTTGCTGTTGATGATACTGCTTTATATAATTCACCTTTACGAAATGACAAGAAATCGTCCTCAACAATCTCTCCTGAAATGCAATATGAAGTATTGGAAACAAACTGTATGCTCATGTCAGCTACTTTACAATTCCTTAGCAACAATTGGGTCGATTATGTGCGTGCAGCTTATAAATTACGGAAAACATACAAGAAATATGAACAGCTTTTTGAAGTCGTGACTGGTCAGAAAACAAGTGATTATGCCCATCAAGTCAAACAAAGTCGAAAAAGAAAAAGATCAAGACGTCAACGAAAACATAGCAGTGCAACTTCTAGCAACATGAACAATAACACCAACAAATCAAAATCAACCGTCTTAGATGAAAATGGCCCTTCTTTTTACTGTGATGCTAGTGATATTCAAAGTGGTGTCTTTTTTGGGATTGGATTACTTAGTCTAATCTTTTCACTCTTACCACCAAAACGTAAGTTATTCTATTCTCATATATCCTTTAGATCTCATTTTTCTTTTTTTTTTATATACATATATAGTTAATAAATTGTTGAATACACTTGGATTCCATTCTTCTCGTCCTTTTGCATTACAACTACTGCAACAATCTTATCACAATCAAGATGGCATGTATTCTTCTCTGAGTGCATTGGCTCTATTAGCGTACTATACCAACCTGTCATCCTTTATTCATCCGGCCTTATTACCCTCCTCACTGACTTTAACTAAAGCTCGTGATATTGTCAATGATATTAAGCTCAAATACCCTCATGGCAAGATTTGGAAATTATTGGAAGGGAAATTATATCGAATGGAAGGTAACCTACGGAAAAGTGTTGAAGTCTTACGTGATTGCCGAAGAAGGGAAAGTGTCTGCATGCCTGTGTTGAATGGATCCATTGACGACAATAACAAGAACAACTATAACAAAACCACTAACAATCGACATCATCATCTGACTATGACTACTACTTTTCCTCCACCACATCAATCTATGGTCTCTGAATTGGCTTTACAAATAAGTGCATTATCGGTGTATGAAATGGGATGGTAAGATTTTTTTTTTTTGAAAGAAAAACTCTAGATTTTCCCATTTACATTTCCCTCTCTCTTTTTTTTTTTTTTTTTTTTTTTTTTTTTTTTTTTTTCTTTTCCAGGGGACAAATCTTTCTTGGTGATTACTTCCAAGCTTCTGAAACTTTTTTCCGATTGGAAAGCATGAATAACTGGTCACGGGCATTTTACCATTATATTGCCACTTGTTGTCTCTATGGTGATGAAGAATATGACAAAGCAGCGATTGACTTTGTACAAATTCCACGTCTATTGGCCAGGCGAAGAAGATCTGGTACAAGACTTTTACCCAACGAACAATTTGCGGATCGAACTATACAACGATGGATGCGACAAGGGGCTCATTTGATGGCGGAAAAAAAGAAACAAAATGGAGAATTGGGTTCGAATGACGATGATGACGATTGGCGGCAACGAAAAGGGGTGATGGATGGTCATTTACTACAACAAGTTGTCTTGGTGAATCCATTATGGGAATTGATTTATCTTTGGAATGGGATCTATCATGTTTCTCCAGCAATGTTACTTCAAATGAAACAAGGACTTGAGCAAGGTATCGATCAGATCAACAATGAATTCAGCAATAGTAGTCATCCTCTTTTCCCATGTTCTGAACTGGGCCGATTACATTTACTTTTAGGGGTTGTCGAACGCGAACTTGGCAATTTCGTGCATGCAGAAACTTGTTTCAAGCAGATAATCGCTCAAGAACGTACTTGTCTATTGGATCATCAACACAGCGAATATGACGATATGGATGACAACAAGAATGATAAAACCTTATCATGGGCAGGATCTTATGCTTTCTACGAAATGGCGTTACTCAAATGTTTACAATCTACTTGTCCGGAATCACAACAACGAACAAAAAGAATCAAGGAAGCTCGAGAATGGTTACGACGCACTGATCAGTTCCATCATTATCATTCAACTCATGGTAACAACTCTAGTAGTATCAAAGGTGGATCCTCTTTAAATTATTCTGATGTCTCTTGTGAATCTGCTTGTATGTTACTTCATATTCGATGTCAATTATTAATAGAAAAGATAGATGAATTATTAGAAGGTTAGATCATACCTCTCTTTCGCTCTCCAATACATATTCCAATTTTTTTTATTCTTATTCTTATTATTCCCTTCCTTCCTTCTTATCAATATTATCTTCTATTTATTACTTTTATCATTCACCCAATCCAAAATATATATACACACACAATTACTAATACCATATAATAAAAACGTACTATTTATATCATATGAATTCTGTTGTATAGGCTTTGACGAACGGCGCGGTTAAATAAATGCATGATTCTATGGCGAACAGGTGACTTTTTTGAAGATTGCTTTCATAAGCTTGGTTATTTTAGGCTGACTAGCACAACATGTGAAAGTTTTGCTTGTCCATTTTTTTTTACCCCAGATTTTCGCTGTTATAAATTCAGATTATGGATAAAGCTGCTTTTCTTTCTTCCTTTTTTTTATTTTTTTCTTACTCATTCTTTTATTTTCGATATAACACAAAAAAAAATAATATGGCTGGAAAAGTATACGTCATTGGTGTTGGTATGTCTAAATTCATCAAACCCCGTGGGGAAATTGATTATCCTGGTAAGTCCTTAATATATCAAGGAGAGAGAGAGAGTTTAAATCAATATATATTTTTTTTTTTACCGTTACTGTTATTAGAATTTGGACTGGAAGCTGCTGTCAAGGCACTAATTGACGCCAATATTACATATGACAAGGTGGAATTTGCCACTTGTGGTTATGTAAGTACTCTTCATTTTTCTTTACGTTGTAAGATTGTTCGCGTTCATTAATATTTTTTCATTTTTCTTTTTTAAAAAAAATAATAGGTTTATGGTGATTCCACAGCAGGTCAAAGAGTACTCTATCAGCTTGGTATGACTCAGATCCCCATCATCAATGTGAACAACAACTGTTCTACCGGTTCTACGGCTTTATTACAAGCTCGAAATGCTGTTGCATCTGGTTCAGTAGAATGTGCTATGGCTCTTGGTTTTGAACGTATGGCACGTGGTTCTTTGTCTTCTGCTTTCACTGACCGAACCAATCCTCTAGGTAAGACTATCTTGATTAAAAGTGTTTCAATTGTCTCATCTTACTTTTTTATTACTATTGTTATTGTTCTTATATTGATGATTTTTAGATCATGTTACTATGGTTATGGCTGATGAAGTTGGTTTTGATCCTAAGGCTCCTCCTGCTGCTCAATTCTTTGGTAATGCCGGTATCAGTTACATGGAAAAATATGGCGTCACTTCTCGTCATCTTGCCAAGATTGCTGAAAAGAATCATCGCCATAGGTAATAAATCAAAAAAAAAAAAAAACATGATTATTAACATGCTTTTTTCTTCTATAGTGCTCGTAATCCTTATTCTCAATTCCGTGATATTTATACCCTTGAACAAATCGAACAATCTCCTAAAGTGTATGGACCTTTGACTAAACTTCAGTGTTGTCCCACCTCTGATGGTGCTGGTTGTGCCATTGTGGCCAGCGAAGCTTTTGTCAAGAAACATGGATTATGGGATCAAGCAGTGGAAATTGTTGCTCAAGTCATGGCCACTGATTCTCCAAAAATGTTGTCCACAGATCCTATAGAATGGGCTGGTGTTGATATGACTCGTCGTGCTGCTGAACAGGCTTTTAAGATTGCTGGTATTACTTCCAATGATGTACAAGTGGTGGAACTTCATGATTGTTTCTCTGCCAATGAAGTAAATAGATAAAAAAAAAAAGATTAAGTTATCCTCTTGTTTTTTTGTACTAATATATCGTATTCTTTTATTTTTCTTAGCTGATCACATATGATGCTCTTGGTTTGACTGCTCCTGGTAAAGCTCATACTTTGATTGATTCTGGTGATAATACCTATGGTGGAAAATATGTAGTCAATCCTTCTGGTGGATTGATTTCCAAAGGTCATCCTCTTGGAGCTACTGGTTTGGCTCAATGTAGTGGTAAGAAAGAAAGAAAGAAGAGAAGTATAGATGATTTATAATTGTCTTACTGATTATAACTTCTATTTTTTCTATTCCTATTCATAGAACTTGTATGGCAAGGTAAAAACTTATATAAATGAGTTAATGTATTATTTGAATATACCTTTTTTAATATTGTTTATTTCTGTAGCACGTAATTGGGCTGGTGATCGTCAAGTTCCTAACGTCAAATATGCACTACAACATAATGTAAGTAGACTATGAAAAAATAATGGGAAGGATAACTCATCTCTTTTTTTTATTTTTTTTTTTTATTACAATCATAGGTTGGTTTAGGAGGTGCTGCTGTAGTAGCAATCTATAAGAAAGCAAGTGATAAGTTTACTCAACCTCATGCTGGTTACAACCCTGCTATTGAAGCTCGTCCTATCACTCAAGAAGATTATAATAAGGCCAAATCAACCAAGCGAGCTCAATTCTTGGAAGCCAAACTCTAGTATTATAGTCTATTATTTATTAGTTTTAATGATACTTCTATTGAATAATAAAAAGAATATGGTACAAGTTTTATTTTGAAACATACTTTAAGTTCAAACCAATGATATTCAGGGCGCTCTGGAGTTGAAAGGATTATGAAAGTTGTCAGCAAGACCGAGTTCTTTTTTTTTTTTTTTTTTTTTTTTTTTTTTTTGTTTCTTTCTTTGTCTTCTTTTATCTTTATTTTTTTTTTCTGTACCCTTCGTCTATGATATCCCTTAGATTTCATTCACAACGGTCATATCGCTCATTGATATACAATTCAAGTCGTTCGTTTTTTGCTACGACCAAGTATAATAGTCCACGATTTCGAACTTCCAATCCTTCACCTTTAAACCAACACTCATTATCGAATGGTAGTAAATTGTCACCTAATGAACCAACTCCTTTTATTAATACGGTACGATCACGGTCACTGGAATCACTGGAAAAAGTATCATATGTGCAACCTCTTATTTTTGGCAGTGTGGTATGTATATCAGCATTTGTGACAGCAGGTATAGCATACGATCGGCAACAAGAAACTATTTGGCAAAGATGGATGGCACGATTACAGCAACGATCCGATTTTCTTTCTTCTTCTTCTTCTCCTTGGTGGCGTCCTCGATTTTTGGGACAACATGAAGAGGATAGGATACGACCGACCATGGTTGAAATATGGGAAGAAAAACGGGAAATGATTGTTGAAAAACGGCAAGAATGGATGGACAAGGTATATGCACGACTACAACGATGGCAACAAATGTATGGATTACCAGAAGGTATACGACGGGCTGGATTGATCTTGGCTGGCAAATTTGCCTCGATGACAGAATCCGAACGTACTTTGGCTGGATTGGTAGGCTTGAATTTGTTGGTGTTTGGTGCTTGGCAGGTACCTCGTTGGACTCCCTTTATGGTTCGATGGTTTATGCATCACCCTGGTGCTGGCTCATTTGGATCCATCACGTTGGTCACCAGTTGTTTCTCACATAAGGAAGGACTTCATCTGGCTTGTAACATGGTGGGTCTTTGGTCGTTTGGTGGATTAATGCATGATTACTTGGGTCGTGAACAATTCTTGGCTTTATACTTGTCTACAGGTGTGGGTGCTAATATGATCAGTCATACTCTCAGTCTAGCTTTCCGTCGTTCGCGTGCTTTGTTGCCTAGCTTAGGTGCAAGTGGTGCTATTTATGGTTTACTCTCAGGAACTGCTTATTTGGAACCTCAAGCTAGTGTATCTTTGATCTTTTTACCCTTTATTCCCATCAAATTAGGGTAAGAAATAAAAAAAAAAAAAAGATCCATGTCATGAATAACTAAATATATTTATTTATTTATTTATTTATTTATATAGATATGCTTTACCTGCAATGATGGGTTTTGATGTGGCTGGAATCTTACTGAAATGGAAAATGTTTGATCATTATGTAGGTATTAATAATTTAAAATTTGAATGAGACTAACTCCTTCTTTTCAGGCGCATCTTGCTGGAGCAAGTATAGGGTTAGGTTATTTGGCTTATGGACAACAACACCTTTGGCAACCACTTGTTAGAAATATTCATGAAATAAGAACGAAACAAACTTCCCATTAGTGATACTTAGGTTATCATATAGATTATAGACATATTTGATAAAAATAAAGAATGATGGATTGATTGGTGATTCTTTCTCGGACACACGGTGTTCTAATTAAAAAAAAAAAAAAAAAAAAAAGAACGGACATCCGCGACAAACGCGACTATTTTTTTTTCTCATTTTTTTTTTCCATTCCCCTTTTCTTTCTTTCTTTCTTTTTTTTTTTTTTTCTTCTCATATACACATACTACTTTGACTTCAAAGCTTGTATTCTTTCCGTTTTTGTTGTCTATCTATTCACTACTTTGATTATGTTCGTTTACAAAAGAGGTAAGCTTTTATATTGATTGTCTTTTTTTTTGTCTTTTAAGGTCGTGCTTGACCGCGAAAACGAATACAAGAAATCGTGTCGCGTCTCATTTGAAGAATGTCATTGACTTGTATTTATATTATAGATGGCCGCAAGGAAAGAGTGTTATTTGACAAGATCACCTCTCGTATTAACAAGTTATGCGATGGTTTGAATGAACAATACGTAGTACCTCCTCAAATCGCCCAAAAGGTAAGAAAATCGATTAAATTATGACAAATCCTGTTTTGCTTAGTCAGTCAACTTCTCTTTAACGTATAGGTTGTCACTGGTATGTACCAAGGTATCACCACCGTGGAATTGGATAATCTTGCTGCCGAAACTGCTGCGTATATGACAACTACTCACCCTGATTATGCCATTCTTGCTGCTCGTATTGCTGTCTCCAATCTTCATAAGGAAACAGATACGGATTTCAGTGCTGTGGTGGAAAAATTGTACAATCATGAACATCCCAAACTCAAAGTACACAATCCTTTGGTATCCAAGGAATTGTATGATATCGTTATGGCAAACAAGGATCGGATCGATAATGCTATTGATTATTCCCGGGATTATGACTTTAACTTTTTTGGCTTCAAGACTTTGGAACGAAGTTATTTATCTAAGATTGATAATCGTATTGTGGAACGTCCTCAACATATGATCATGCGTGTTGCCCTTGGTATTCATGGTGAAGACATTGACGCAGCTATTCAAACCTATGATCTTATGTCTCTCAAGTACTTTACTCATGCTACTCCTACTTTATTCAACGCTGGTACTCCTCGTCCTCAATTATCTAGCTGCTATTTGGTCAACATGCAAGATGATAGGTAATCTCTCTTTTTTTTTTTTATAGAAAACACTTATCTGATTCTTTTTTTTATTTATTTAGTATTGAAGGTATTTATGATACTCTAATGACTTGTGCCAAGATTTCTAAATCAGCAGGTGGCGTTGGTGTTGGTTTTCAAAAAATCCGTGGTTCTGGTTCTTATATTGCTGGTACAAATGGTACATCCAATGGTATTGTTCCCATGCTCCGCGTTTACAATGATACTGCTCGATTCGTGACTCAAGGTGGAGGCAAACGCAATGGTAGTTTTGCTATGTATTTGGAACCTTGGCATGTAGATATTTTGGACTTTTTGGATTTACGTAAAAACTCTGGCAAAGAAGAATTACGAGCTCGTGATTTGTTCCTTGGTCTCTGGGTTTGTGATCTTTTTATGAAACGTGTAGAAGCCAACGAACAATGGTCTCTCTTTTGTCCTAATGAAGCTTATGGGTTGGATCAAGTTTATGGTAACGAATTTGAACAATTGTATCTTAAATATGAACGTGAAGGTCGGGCTAGACGTACTATTGAAGCTCAAAAACTTTGGTTTGCTATTATGGATTCTCAAATTGAAACTGGTATGCCATATATGCTTTACAAAGGTAATCTATTTCTTTCAAAAAAAAAAAAAAAATAATAGAGAAAATTGTTATCTTTTTCTAACAAGATTTCTTTTTTTTTTTCATAGATGCCTGCAATGAAAAATCAAATCAAAAGAACTTGGGAACTATTACTTGCTCCAATTTATGCACAGGTAAGGAAGAAAAAAAAATAGATTACTGCGTTCCAGAAAAATTGATTTACTTATATATATATATATTTGTATGCATTTAGAAATCATCGAATATTCTTCACCTGATGAAGTGGCCGTTTGCAACTTGGCATCTGTAGCATTACCGAAATATGTGAATACAACCACCAAGACATTCGACTTTGAAAAACTTCGTGAAGTAGTCAAGGTAGTAGCTACTAATTTGAACAAGGTGATTGATGTGAATTATTATCCTGTGGAACAAGCCCGACGAAGCAATATGCGCCATCGTCCCGTTGGTCTTGGTGTACAAGGTCTTGCCGATGCTTTCCTATTACTTCGTTTGCCATTTGATTCTCCTGAAGCTCGTCAATTGAACAAGGATATCTTTGAAACCATCTATTTTGCTGCCTTGGAAGCTTCTTGTGAATTGGCTGAAAAGTATGGATCCTATGAAACTTATCAAGGTTCACCCATGAGCAAAGGTATCTTACAACATGATATGTGGAATGTTCAAGGATCGGATCGTTGGGATTGGGATGGTTTACGTGCCAAGATCGCCAAACATGGTGTACGAAACTCTTTATTGGTAGCGCCTATGCCTACTGCAAGTACAAGTCAAATCCTTGGCAATAATGAATGTTTTGAACCTTATACAAGTAACATTTATACGCGTCGAGTTTTAAGTGGTGAATTCCAAGTGGTGGTAAGTATATGATTATTTTATTCCATTCATCAACTCACCCTCCTTTTTTTTTTTTTAATTATTAGAATCATCATTTACTTAACGATTTGATTGAACGTGGATTATGGAACGAACAAACTAAGAATATGATTATTGCTCAAAATGGTAGTGTGCAAAACGTCCCATCCATTCCTGATGATTTGAAAGCATTATACAAGACTGTATGGGAAATATCTCAACGGGTTATTATTGATATGGCTGCAGATCGTGGAGCATTTATTGATCAATCACAATCCATGAACTTGTTTACTGGTGAACCTACTTATGGCAAATTAACTTCGATGCATTTCTATGCCTGGAAAAAGGGATTGAAGACAGGAATGTATTATTTGCGATCTCGACCTGCGGTGGATGCTATCAAGTTTACTGTGGATCAGCTGGCTCTGAAGACTTTGTCCGTTGAAGAACGTGAAACTGAAGAAGAAAAATTAGCCGCTTTACAATGCTCTATCGATAATAGAGACGCCTGTCTTATGTGTAGTGGATAAAAAAAAAAAAACTTTTATGCTCACCTTCCCCCCGCTCCTATATATATACATATATATATATATCCTTTTTTCTTTTTTAACATCATCTTTCATTGACTTTCCCCCTTCCGCATGCATACTTTTATTATTTTCTCATTATTCACTAGTTTTTTTTTATTATTATTATTATACTTGTTCCCCCTCTTCTTCTTTATAATAATAAAAAAAAATCAATTGCCCAAATGTATGTCTGTATTTGAAATTCTCTACTTTTTATTTTCTTTTTTTTCTTCCCTTTCTCTTTCTTCTTCTTGGTACCATGGCAACTATGGACCGCAAGGAGGAAGTCCGAATCTCCAAGCTCTTATCCTATATTCTGCGTCATGGAGCTGTCAAGGAAAAACTTGCTATTGAACGAGATGGGTATATCAAGTTATCCGATTTGGTAAAGTTGAGAAAAAAAAAATGATTAGAATGAAATGGAAACTGATCATTCTTTTTTTTTTTTTAAAAAAAAAAAAAAAGCTTGCACGACCCAAGTTGAAAGGCGTGACAGAGGCACAGATTCAATACATTGTGGCGAACAATGACAAGCAACGGTTTTTTTTGAAACAAGATCATGGTGATTGGTATATTCGAGCAAATCAAGGCCATTCATTACGACAATTAGATAGTGTGGACATGACTCCGCAGCAGACACCTTTGGACACAGTGATTCATGGCACCACCCTAGCCAACTGGCACCTGATCCAACAGTCTGGTTATATTTCAAGGATGAATCGCAATCATATTCATTGTGCCATCGGGTTACCGGAAGATAATGGTGTGATCAGTGGTATCAGGTCTTCTTCTCAAGTCTTGATTTATATCGATATGCAAAAGGCTTTACAAGGTAAACCAAAAATAGAGAGAGGTAAAATAGGATGTTGGATGATTTTGATTTTTTTTTTTTTGTCATGGTAGACGGGATTCTCTTTTATCGATCAGCCAACGATGTAATTCTGACTGATGGGCTGGATGGCTCTTTATCTCTCAAGTATGTTAGTCAAGTCGTGGATCGTGATGGAAAAAGTTTATTATAGTTACCTTATCTCGATTTCCTTTATATATATATATGTATCGTATCATCATTAGCTCTTTTTTTTTTTTCATATGTATTATTAGTTTTACCTTCACTCTCTACATTATTTGCCCTTTTATAGTTTCAATTCATTCTTCGTTTTTATATCATGAAATAAAACATTTACTTTATTGAAATGATAAATCATGTATCAAAAAAAAAAAGAAGGTATGTTGTTTCTGACTTCATTGTGAATAAACTAATGAAATATATAAAATACAATAAAAACGTGCGTGATATGTGTAGTTGGAAGGACACTCGACTGAAGAATATGTCCAAAATCATAACAAGGAGGAAGAATAAAATAATATATAAGACAATAATAAAATAATAATAATAAGAAGAAGGATGATAGTACGAAAAAAAAAAAGTGACACCGCCTTCAAAAAAAAAAAAAGAAAAAAAAAGAAAAAAAAAAAGAATGATGGGAAGTCTATTGGGGATGCTGATGGGAACTAACTAGCTATTTTCGGGAAGGGACACGGTATGATTCAGCAGCAGTCAATGGATCTTCAGGTACAGGACCACTTGTTGGTTTACTCGTTGGGACTTGCTTGACATACGGTGTTGTCATTGTTGAAGGTTGCTGAGGTCGATAATCATGTTGTTGTTGTTGTTGTTGTTGTGAGTTAATTGTAGGTATATAATCCGCTGATGATCCCTGTGAATATGGAGACTATATTAAAAAAAAAAACAAAAAAAAAAACAAAAAAATGATCGGTCAACTATCGATCATTGACTGAACCTATCTTGACTTTTACCTGATACACCGGATTGGATGACGTCCTTCCCATTGTTGGCCGTCCATATATATCATTCGCAGAGCTAGGTATAGCACCATAGTTGTAGTCTGTACCACCTGAAGGATTAGCCATATTAGATGAATGTTGCTGCTGATGTTGTTGTTGTTGATGATGTCGATGTTGCTGCTGAGATGGATCTACAAAATAAGGTGGTCGACTAGGATTATTCGCAACAGGATTATTAACACGTACTGGTGGAGGATGGTGACCGTAATTGATTTGTTGAGAAGGATTAGCACTATAACTGGTCGCATTGGGTGCATTGATAAAAGCAGTATGAGGATCATTTGGTCCCAAGATACGATGTGGTGAAGAGTTGTGTGGAAGAGTTGAAGATGGAGTTGAAGACGGAGTGTTATAATAAGACGATGAAGTCGCAGAAGCTGGTGGAACAGAAGATGGTGGTTGTAAAGATGGAGCAGTAGTAACAGAAGTAAGACCATTTCCCATTGAATTCATATGTGGTTGAGAGGGTTGTATGATGGTGGCCTCCAATCCAGCAGATGGTAATGATGTTGTACGATGACCTGCAGCAGATATTTGTTGTTGATTTATCGATTGTTGTTGTTGTTGTTGTTGCTGTGAATAAATATCATTGCCATAAAACTTTGAATGTGATGGTACACCTGGAGCAATAACATGTGCTGATGTTTGTAATGGTTGCTTTTGTCCCGAATATATATTTCCCTGTGATTCTTCCGCTGATGATCGTGTGTAATCGTAAGGTCGTTGAGAAGTATTTGTAATGATCCTGGCTGGTGGTTGTTGAGACGAATATGATGTCGAAGTAAATGCATTCTCTGTCGAAGGTACGATTGGCGTACGTCGTCCACTAGAAGATCCCATATTCGTCATTGACGCTGGTGTATAAGGCTGTGATGCTATTTGAGGAGCGGCAGATGCTGGTTGTATAACGGTTGCTGAGGTACCAGAAGAAGACACACCAATAGAAGGATCGTAAACGGTTGCAGTGTGAGTTCCAGGTGTAGAAGTTGATTGCATGCCTTGTGTTTGGTATATCGGTCTAACAGGTATTCGTAAAGGTACACGAGTCAATGGTCCATTCAATGGTTGAGGTGGAATATGTGGTTGTTGTGCCTTTGATAAAAGATAAAGATGTTGATTATATTGTTGTTGAGCTGCTGCTGCTGCTGCTTGTTGTTGTTGTTGCTGTTGTTGTTGTTGTCTTGCTGCTTCTTGTTTCTGGTACTGTTGTTGTTGCCATTGATCATGTTGTTGATTATACTGCATTGGTAATCCCATATTTTTCAATGTAGCTTCAATAAGTTGTTGATGTTGTGGACCACGATGACTTACATCACCCATACTTGGATCATATAATTTGCTTCGAAAATTGAATAGAGTCGTTTTCCAATGATCAAAGTCCACTTTGGGAATAAATAAGGCAAACCGCAAGACATCCAAGAATTCGAATTCCATAACATTAAGTTCATTCACCTTCATACCGGATATATCAGACCATGTCTTGTTAGTAAATGTATTATCATCGAGAAACTTGTTGGCTATAATAAATAGGATTAGAATATCAACCTCAAGATCAATATATACATATAATAAAAATATGAGTTTACTTACCCAACATAAGAGCAACAGTATATAACCTATATTCAGACCCTTCAGCACCTCGTAACTGTGGATTGTTTCGTAACAATAAAGCAATATATTTCAAAGATAAAAGTACCACAGACTCTGACAGTTGTGTCGCTTGTAAAATCTAAAACAAAAATATATAAAAAAAGGCAATATATCAATAATGAGAGATTCTTATTTTTTTTTTTTTTGTGGGTATATTTTTTAGACTTACCGATCTACAGTATTTTCGAAATGCATTGCTAGCACCAGTTGTAGCAGGACTAGATGGATCAGGTCGAGAGTGAAGGACAGAAGAATGTAAAGGAAGTACAGATGGACTTCGTTCGTGCCACATAAGATATACCATGGTAGATGAAAACTCTGCCATTTGTGAAATAGAGAGAGCAGTTGTATGAACATCTGTTGCACTAGGAAGAGGTTCTGGTGGTGGTGGTGGTGGAGGTTGTGGTGTAGGATAAGGTCGATGTTGTGGTTGATGATACATAACACCAGTGTCCATAGGTTGATATTGCTGTCTTTGTGGATACATGTTTGATATATAGTATGAATGAGAGTTAACGAGTAAATATAGTGAACAGGAGTATGGGTTTATCTAACAGTTCCATTCAACTAGAATCAACAATGAATCGATAAGACAATGCAAAAGTATGTTCTATACAATGCCAAGTAAAAATGAAAAGAAAAGTAAGAAAGGAAGAAGAAGAAGAAGAAGAAAAAAAAAGGTGAGTGGATGTAAAAATGAAAAAAGAGAGGATTTCAATTCCAGTTACTCTTTTTTTTTTTTCAAGCTTACAGTATTTTTTTTTTTTTTTTTTTTTTGGGAAGGTATAAAAATAAAATAATGACTTGGCGCACCAACTACTTGCCAACATCCAAATAGAAAGTGCCAACGGGGTTTAAAAGATGAAAAGATGGAAATATCGCATCAACTCTATCTCTTTTTTTTTCTTTTTATATTCTTCGTTCATAATACTACAAAGAAACTTGAAAGCTTTGGTTAATACGGTATTGTCATCGCACCTCATTTTGTCCCTGCCCAGTCAACTTGCTAACGATAATATCAAACAATTTGTTGAAGACACAGTTGAACAGCCTACCAAACATACCACCAATCCACGCGATACCATCCACCAATGACACTCCTATTATACATTAATGAATTATTACTTTTTATTTTTACTTTGATACTTTTGAATAAACTACATATTTTGAAATTCAATCATATATCGATTTCAATATAAGATCAAATAAATCGTTCTCTTTCACTTTACTTAAAGCCACTTTATACCTTATCTCTCAATTTATAAAGTAAATTAAAAAAATAAGGATCAATATCATCTTCCTTCCTCCCCCCTGAAATGATCATCGTCCAATAGAAGTACCACCATTCAATCCTCTCCAAAAAGTAGTTCAATAGCATTTTTTATAGATTATCTTGAGGTTTATAAAGGATGATCAAACATATATCGTTGTATACTTTTATACTTTACTCAAAAATGATCATCACCGTACCACAGTTGGACAGGATATAGATGAGATCATTCTTCTTCAATTGTATTAATTACAAGTTATATTTTACCTCCCAGTTTATAGAGTAAATTAAAAATGAAGTGTCAATATCATCATCCTATAAAACGACTACCATTAAATATCGAAAGTAGCTTAATATTATCTAATCACATTTTATCGATTTTTCCAAGATTTGCCTGATGACCCCTCGACAATTGATTTTTACAGCCAAAGTTTGGCTGAGAAGTTGGAAATTTTTGGCTGTAAAATCCAAAATTTTCAAAAAAAAAAAAAAAAAAAAAAAGTGTAAACCTACAGCACCAATTACATTTCAAATCCATTTTCAAGCCTAAAGCTATCATCATACCGTACAAACATCATTAACAAAAGACGTGTATATTATCTATGATTACTTTTTTTGTTAGTGGATCAAAAAGACAGTCAGTCGATAATGCAGAGAAAATCGCAAAAAAAGAAGCTCATCTGACACCTAATGTCACACTAAAAAGAAATCGTCAAAACCAACTTTTCTTAACATTAAAATATAAATATTTATGTATATAAATATAGATATATAAATATAAAAAATGCCAAGGCAAATGTGTTGACTTGAGTCTCCGGAGATTGAATACAAAGTATAACAAGAATCACTGGATGAAGAAAAAAAAAAGGAAAAGAGAGAGACATTCAGCCAGCTACGATTCATTGGTACAGCAGTTCCCTTTTTTTTTTTTATGTAAACGACAGGATGATAATAACAATACCATTTCTTTAGCGATTTGATTGAACGTCCTGTGCAACATCATCCGTTCATATTCAGGTTTTCATTGATGATGCTCCCCCTTAGAAAAAAAAAATAAAATCTGTGACGCACTTTTTTCCATTTAGCTGTCCATTTTTATTGCGGAAGTCCAACCCCGGCGAATTTAGCCACTGTCTTTCGTCCAGAAAAAAAAAAAAGAGAGAGGTGAGAAAGTGTGTGTGGAATATGAAAAAAATAATCAACCTAGTCTTTTTTCCTTTCCCTTCTTTTCATAAATTCACCCTTCTCCCTTTGGTAAACGAACATGATAATAAAAAAAAAAGTATTTATATGGACCATAATAGTCTAATCATTTTACTTTTACTTTGATAAAATAGCCATGGCTTTTAGATTGTTGACCAAGGGCGCTGCTGGTAAGAAAAAAGAAAAAACAATAAAGAAAAAAAAATGAATTTTATTTTTAAATCCATTCCTTTTTTTTTTTTTAATATATTATAGCTGCTGCTGTTGCTCGTCCTGCTTTGACTGTATCTCGTCAATCCCTCGGTGTTTCTGCGTAAGCAACAATTATTAAAAAAAAAAGTAGGATAACGTTGACTGATTATTATTTATTCATCATATATAGTGTTCGTCACTACAGCGCTCAACAACCCACACAACAAGGTATTTAGAAAGAACATTTTCTCAAAAAGAAATATCTCGTTATTTATCTTTATTATTTTATAATAGATCCCAAGCAAAAGGCTACTAGTATTATTGACTCTCTTCCTGGTAACTCTTTTGTCTCCAAGACTGGTTACATCACCCTTGGTACTGGTTTGGCCACTTTCCTTGTATCCAAAGAAATTTATGTTTTCAATGAAGAAACTTTGGTATTGTTTGCTGCTGGTAGTCTTTTGGGTGTTTTGCTCAAGTATCTTCGCGAACCTCTCACCAACTCTAGCAATGAACATATCAACGTAAGTTATAATAATAATACAAAAAAAAAAAAGAGAGAAAAATATTGATGATTGATGTATTGTATAATTAGCGTATCAAAACCGTATTGAACGAAGCTCGTGATGATCACAAAGCTGCTGTACAAGAACGTATTGATCAAGTTGGTCAAATGAAGGATCTTGTGGATGTTACCAAGGCTCTTTTCGAAATCTCTCGTGAAACTGCTCGATTGGAAGCCGAAGCCTTCAAACTTAAGCAACAAGTGGCTGTCGCTCAAGAAGTTAAGTCTACTCTCGATTCCTGGGTTCGTCATGAAGCTAATATCCGTGAACGTGAACAAAAGCAATTGGCTGCTTACTTGATCGAAAAGATTCAAAAGGATTTGAAGGATCCCAAGATTCAACAACAAATTTTGGATCAAGCTGTTGTGGATGTTCAAAGTAAGTTTGTATGATTATGTATTTAATGGATGATTACTTACTTTTTATTCTTCTTATTCTTGTTTTTTGTAGAGCTTGCCAAATCTTCTTAGATGATTTATTTTCTTTTTATTCAATAAATGACGTTTTTTATACATATGATACTTTTATTATTTGATCTTTTGTTTATGAATATGCAATTCTTTTCTTGTTTGTGACTGGCGGGAATGGAAATGAATCATACTTCCTAGTTCAATTTATTCTCTCTTTTTTTCTTTTTTTTTTTTTTTCTTTTTTTCTCTTTTCAATTGTTTCTATATTCATTATATACCAATATTTTTTATTATTATATTAGTAGTATTATTATTATTAGTATTATTATTATTATTACTATTTTATAGATGGCATGCAGACTCATCGTCGACGTCCTTCCAAATCTATTCTTTTACCAAGGACTTCTGGCAATATACCTCAACACTCATTTTATGCACGACGGATGACCATTCACTTACCAGAAAGTGTACCTGATACTACTCACTTATGGGGATATACATTATTAGGTGTTACTTTTATTGTTTTCACGACGACAATGTATGCAATGGTTGGAAGTAAATATGCACCTTTAACGAATATAAAAGTAAATATAGAATAATAAAAAAAAAAAAAAAGGAAAGAGATGATTGATTTTATTTTATTTATTGTAGTGGCTTGATTGGATCAAGAATGACGAATATTATTGTTTATTAGTCCCTATTACGGCAATTGTTTGGATTTATTTTATAGTATGGAACTGGATGGGAATGAAGTTCTTTAGGCACAATTAAATTTTATTATATTATTGAATAAAAAAGCACGTGGTTGAACGATAGAATAGTTGTGGCTCATTCATGAAATGCTGAGTTGTCTTGAACTGTTTGGGCTGTGCGTTGATATATCATTCAGTCTCCTTGCCATGATTGTATGATGGACACAACAAAAAAAATATTATTGACTTCTACGCGGAGTACAAAATGATCCTTTTGTGTGTGTGTGTGTGTGTGTGTGGGTTGAACTAACGCACTTGTTTTCTCTCCTCATATACTTTTTTATTATTATTATTATTATTATTTTATTATTTTATTTCCCCTTCCCCCAACATCACCTTCTAACCCCCCTTCTTCTTTTTTATAATTATTATTTTCTCATCTTTTCCCTTTTTTTTTTTTCTTTTCCTCTCTCTCTCTCTCTCTTTTTTTCTGTTAACTTCTTTTTCCTTTCTTTTTCTTTGTTTACTTGACACTCTTTTCTTTATTTATATATATATATATATATATTTTATCATCCAACACTCTTTCCTTTTTTTTTTGTGGTTCCTTTTTCAAGTATACAACAAATCCTTTTCTTTTTTGATTGACTACATCTTTGATAATACACGGCAATAACAACAACAAGAAGAGCAACAATAGTGATGGCTTTAGAAGGACGAGAAATTCGAATAGGCAACAAGTATAAACTTGGCAAGAAAATTGGTGCTGGTTCTTTTGGTGAAATCTATTTAGGTAAATAAAGAAAAAAAAAAAAGATGAATTTATTGTTATTTATTATGTATTGTATAGGCAACAATATTATGAGTGGTGAAGACGTTGCAGTGAAAATGGAAAGTATACGTGCAGCACATCCTCAACTTGAATATGAAGCTAGAGTATATAAGACACTTGCTGGTGGTGTTGGTATTCCTTTTGTACGATGGTATGGCAAAGAAGGTGAACATAACGTATTGGTGATGGATTTATTGGGTCCTTCTATGGAAGATTTATTCAATTTTTGTAAAAGACGATTCTCTCTCAAAACTGTTTTACTCTTAGCTGATCAATTGGTATACATAAAAAAAAAAGGAACAAATTCATTGATTATATATGATTGATAATTCTAATCATTTTTTTTTTAATTTTATATGATAGCTTTCTCGTGTTGAATATGTTCATTCAAAAGGATTTATTCATCGGTAAACTAAAATTATATAGATAGATTAGATGTATAAATATTTATGAATGAAATATATATTTATTTATTTTTTTTAATAGGGATATCAAACCAGACAACTTTCTAATGGGTATTGCAAAACGGGGAAATCAAGTCAACATGATCGATTTTGGCCTTGCGAAACGATTTAGGGATCCAAAGACTAACGCTCACATCCCTTATAGGGAGAACAAAAATTTGACTGGTACTCCACGCTATGCTAGTGTCAATACACATTTAGGTATTGAACAATCTCGACGGGACGATTTGGAATCTTTGGGTTATATCTTGGTCTACTTTTGTCGTGGTCAACTTCCTTGGCAAGGTATTAGGGCTCGTACGAAAAAGGAAAAATATGACAAGATTATGGAAAAGAAAATGATTACTTCTGCTGATGCTTTATGTCGTGGTCTACATCAAGAATTCGTCATATACCTCAACTATGTTCGATCTTTACGATTTGATGACAAACCTGATTATTCTTATCTACGAAAATTATTCCGTGATTTGTTTGTCCGTGAAGGTTTCCAATATGATTATGTATTTGATTGGACTATTCGAAAAATGGTAAGAAATGATGATTATATATATATGTTCATACTTATTCTTTCTCCTTTTTTTTTTTTTTTTTAAATAGCATGAAAAGAAGATGGCGGAAGCAAGTCCAACTGCACCTTTGGATCCACCCCTTTATACGTCACCAGCTGCTCCATATGATGCTGCTGCATTACCAAGTCAACAACGTCGTGCTATGATGGGTGCCTTACCAGCAAGTGGTGCTACAACTGGTCATCATCGAACTCAACAGCAACAAGTACAACAACAACAATACCGTACAGATACCAACAAATCTCCAGAAACATCGAAACGATTGGATGATGTTATGTTGCAATACCAACAACAACAACGCATGTTACAACATCAAAACTATCAATCATCAGGTTTACAACAACAAACATCTCCATCTCAACAACAACCTCAAGATGCTGCTTATTTGAATTATGGTTATGCTACTGGATCAAATGGACGAATTCTTATGAGAGAAACTCAACCTGGTGGTAAGTCTTTATGTAGTTATAAACTATTTCTTTTATTACTGTGATAACTGATACGTTCTTCTTCTTTTTTTTCCATCCAATGGATGCACCCCCAACTGTGAATAGCTTCTACCGCCATTAAACCAACGAGGACACAGCAATTACCATCACTGAATAAAGCAATTCACTATGACCAATATCCTTCACATCAGTTCCCATCCTCTTTCCCTTTTAATGACAATGATAACAATAATCAATCACCATATAAATCTTTTATCGATCCTGCAACAAATTATCAAACGAAACCGAAACGACACCAATCGACTTATCATCATGATGACCACCTATTCTAAAGATAAATCAAGAAAAATGAAGATATTCCTGTAGCTGTAGTTTTTTTTTTCTTTTTTAATGTGCTAGTTCTCTCTTCTTCTTCTTTTTTTTTACCTTTTTTTTTTTTTTATTCCTTACCAATAAAAACCATGTTGATGTTGATACGTCGTTTATTATTAACTATTCTTTCAATATTGTCATCAATGAAAAAACTATCCTTTCGTTACCATTATCAAAAATCATGTCAATATCATTATGTCGTTTATGTATTATTACTGTAGTTAGTTAGTTTTTATCATCAGCATCACGCTTTGGATGAATGATTCATTCAAAAGGAACTCCTTAGTCTAACATTCACATATCAAACAACGTGTATGTATAAAATCTTCTCCTCATCACGTCTAGGCAACGCATGAAACTTCCTTTTTTTTCTTGACTTTTTCCTATGTTGCACAATGAAATTGATATTATCTTCATTTTCATGATAGGAGACAACTGTAGGTTGATCTACCTTTATCATCTTCTTTTATTTCTATCATCATCCCATATGTTCCCACTATTTTCCATCAAAAATAGAATCATCATCAATAATAACTAACAATAGCAGTAAATAAAAAAAAAATAGTGTATGTTTTCGATTTTTATTGATTTCTGTACATAAAACATAGAATTGTAATATAAAAAAAAAGTATAAACCCTAATATAAAACTTAACTAAAAACAAAAAAAAAAAAAAGCACGTTCCTTTTTTATCGAGGTTAACCATTATACTACTTAATAACCATCGGCATCCACAAACATTCTAGGAGCAATGTTCATTGCCATGAGTTCTTGGAAGAGTAACTTGCATGCATAAGGGATATGAACTTGAGAGATTCTAGTTTTGTTACGACAAGATCGACATTCAAAATTGCTCTTCTTCAGATTGGCAATGGCCATCAAACCACAGATATCACATACATGGACACGATAAGCATCAGAAGCATCAAACAATCGTTCCTTCAAGAACTGTGCCACACCATGAGAAATCATACAATCACGTTCCATTTCACCAAAACGTAAACCACCATCTCTTGATCGACCTTCCACTGGTTGTCTTGTCAAGATTTGTACTGGACCACGAGCACGACTATGAATCTTGTCATCCACCATATGTTTCAAACGTTGGTAATATGTAGGACCAAGGAAGATTTGGGCGTTAAGTTTGCGACCAGTGAAACCATTATACATAACTTCAAATCCACGAGATTGATATCCTTGTGCTGCCAGAGCTTGAGAAATGGCTTCCACTGTGACATCGGTAAATGGTGTAGCATCCCCTTCATTTCCAGTCAATGTCGATACCTTACCAAGTAAACATTCAATCATGTGTCCAATAGTCATACGAGAAGGAATGGCGTGAGGATTGATGATCAAATCTGGTGTGATACCTTCAGCTGTGAATGGGAAATCTTCTTGGCGATATGTAATACCAATAGTACCTTTTTGACCATGACGAGAAGCAAACTTGTCGCCCATTTGTGGTACACGTGTAGATCGTACTCGTACCTTAACAAACTTGAGTCCATCTTGATTTGTTGTCAACATGACTTGATCCACAATACCAGTTTCTGTACTTCGTAAAGGCGTTGATGCATCCCGTTTGTTATGTGATTGTGTTCGTTGTCCCAATTCTTCAGATTCTTGAGGAATAGGTGCTGTTTTACCAATGATGATATCGTCTCCAGAAACCCGCGTACCAGGTGCAATCAATCCGTCATCTTCTAGTTTTTCGTAAGTGCCATGCTTCAGTCGTAAAGTGTTATCCCGTGTTGGTTTTTCGAATTCTTCCATAAACATCATTCCCGCCTTCTTTTCTGCATCCATGTAAGTTCTGAAGAATAAACTTCGGAAAAGACCTCGATCAATACTACTTTGATTCATAATAACGGAATCTTCTTGATTGTATCCAGAGTAACATAAAATAGCAACAATAGCATTTTGTCCAGCTGGTAGTTCACGGAAGCGTAAGAATTCCATTGATCTAGTTGTTGTCAAAGGTTTTTGAGGATAATACAAGATATTGGCTAATGTGTCCATTCGGGTTTGGAAATTGGTGAGGTATACACCCATAGCTTGTTTACCCATTGCAGATTGATATGTATTTCGTGGTGACTAATGATATGAAAAAAAAAATTTATACGTCAGATTCTTTTTTTGTTTTATTCTCTATTTTCTTTTTTTAAAAAAAAAAAAATACTTACTTGATTATGATCAGGGAATGGAATAATACTTGCACAAATACCAAGAATCATACTAGGATGAATTTCACAATGGGTCCAGGTATGAGAGTAGTTTCCAGTCTGACTCTTGACACGACTAGCGAGATCACGAGTTTGTTGAAGAGGAGCACCATATTGAGCGGCCATATGCGATTCATTCAAATCTTCAGGAGTCATACAAATCATTGCAGTTTCTTCTTCGTCAGCATCTACATATTCCACAATACCGTCGGCCACCAAATTTTGCCAGCGATAGTCATCTTCAGGATCTTGTAAACGCATTAATGTATCACGAGACATACGCAATTGTTGATTATCCACCAAAAAGAGAGGTCTACAGCATCGACCAGCATCTGTGTACATCCGTAATTCTTTTTCACGAATATCTCGTACAATACTAACTTCAGGAGATATATCCACCGATCTTCGCATTTGTTTAAGAGCATTCACCAATTCTCCAGGATCACGATGAACACCAATCCAAACACCATTGACAAAGACCTTGGTAGCATCAGCAATAGTTCGAGGATTTAATTCTTCCAAATTTTCCATAGCCCATTCTTCCAAAAACATGACCACTGGTTTGGCGGATGATCCAACGGATATATAAGACATAAGTGCCAGATTCTTGACGAGACCACACGCTTGACCTTCTGGTGTTTCAGCTGGACAAACCAAACCCCAATGAGTATTATGTAATTGACGAGGCTTTGCAATTTTCCCGTCGCGACCAATAGGTGTATTACAACGACGTAAATGTGATAAAGTAGAAGCAAATGTGTACCGATTCAAGACTTGAGAAACACCAGCTCTTGATTGCATAGCTTTCTTTTGATCACCCCAATTGCCAGTGGCCAACGAATATTTCAAACCATTGGTTATAGTATTTGATTTGACTGCAAGTGTAAGATTGAATTCACGACTTGATTCTATGCACTACAAAAAAAAAAAAAAATCAATGAAATTGATCATTCTTATATACTCTTTCTTTCATATCCATTTATTTTACCTTTTGTAAATATTTAGCCACATCCTTTGTCAGTTTCTTGAATAGTAATCGGAATAACCCAGCCATGAGAGGACCAGCCAAATCCATACGCTTTTTGCCATAATGATCACGATCATCAAGCTCCCGTCTTTCCAGAGCTGCTAGTAATAATCGATGGATCATATAACCAAAGAAGTATGATTTCCGAGTTTCAGTCTTATACGCTGTACCAACATGAGGTAGTAATTCCTTTTGTAAGATTTCTGAAGCATACTTGACACGTCGTTCCCGAGTAGCACCCACAGTAGTACCTCTCTTGCCAATATAATCCAATGCAACATCTTGATCTTGAATGACGAAAGCTTCTTCGATAGAGGGTTTGAGTAGTTCCAGCATTTCATAATCTCCTCGGTCATAGCAAATATGTTCCAATACATCACGATCAGATACTTGACCTAAAGCACGGAAAACTACAACAATAGGTACGTCTGATCTAATATAAGGTAAGGTAGCACGTATACATTGACCACTTGAACCACGTTCAGCAGAAGATCGCATCATTTTAATAGATAAAGGTGAAGCATTCTTTGATCCTTTTTCAGCTTGAGATCGAATTTCCGCTGTATATTGAATGTTGGATGGAGGTGCTTTCGAAAATACATATACTGTGTTGGTAGCCATACGTTCTTGAGCAATCAATACTTTTTCAGATCCATTTATGACAAAGTAACCGCCCATATCAAAAGAGCATTCATTTAATTCGTGCATTTCGCTTTCAGGCATGTCGTGTAGAATACAGTAAGTCGATCGAAGCATAATTGGTACCTATTTATAAAAAAAAAAAAATAAGTATAATTTTTTTTTTGAATTGTTTCTAAATTGTTATTTACCTTGCCGATAAAAACTTTGATCCATGGTGCACCATCAGGACCATTTTCATCAACAAATAAGTCATTTGGATTTCTAATGGGCTTGTTGGGATCTTGAGGAATAGCAATTTGTGTTCGTTTTTTCATATCAACATATAGAGGTGAGGCATAACTATTTTAAAGAATCGATTTGTCAGCCAGTTTTCTCAAGAAAACAGTTGAACAAAAAAAAAAAAAAAAAACCTACGTCAAGTTTCTAATACGTGCTTCTTGAGGAAACATAGGTTGAGTACTACCATCTGCTTCAGTCATGGTGGGTTTTGAGAGATAAATTTGACCGAATTCAATGATATAACGTTTCTATTTGACAAAAAAAAATATTAGTATATATATTCAACATGATGTAATGTCTGATTCGTTCGCGTCTTCAGATTTCTTAAATGTCGTACCGTAACATCACCATCACCGCCAACATGTTGCAAAACGAGATTAGAGTTTTCATCGACAAGTTCTTGCATGGTGTTTTGTACAAATTCGTCAAAAGAATCCAGTTGTTGTCGTACCAAACCTTTTTCATCAAAGAAGGAAGAAATGACAGACCAACAATCTTCTTGACTAAGATGAGTATAAATAGAAGAATATCGTTAAGTAGTTAAATATATTAATCAAGATCCTCTTCGAATAATAATAATAATAATAATCCAATAGACATTATTTTTTTAAAATTACGTTATTGGTTCTTCTTCATAACCAGCTTCGGCTTCAGGTAAAAAGTATTCTATTAATAAAAGACAACATAATGATAAAAAAAAAAGTCATCAATATCAGTTCAATCGATGAAAATAGATCAAAATAGAGAATATTGTAATGTAATAAACTGACCAGTTTCAGTGAAGTTGTAGTTTTCATCCATGATGCAGAGTCGTTCTACTACTGTATATATTTATTTGAGATTTTGTAAGTATAATCGATGGATCAACTAATGAAGTCGTATACAAAAGAGTCAAAGAAAAAAAAAAGACAAAAAAAAATAATAATAAACAAAAGAGGGTAAAGAAAGTAGATGGTTCACTTGATTGCTCAAAATACTGAGTAAGCAAGAGAGCAAGTCAATGAAAGAAACGAAGAAAAAGAAGAAAAATAGTGGAAAAAGAAATTGGTGGATTAGAAATAAGTTGCGACGACTTGAAAAAAAAAAAGTAATTATGTGTGGGCACAGCATTTAAGCCACTTTTTGAACCATGACGAAGGCCCGTATGAACGGAATTTAAATATTTTCTCCCTTTGTCTTTCTTTTCTTTTCTTCTTTTTTTTTTATTTTTGAATGGAACGAAAGCAAAACTTTCTTCGATATTATACTGACCATTATTGTCAACATGAAATAGTTACTTCGGATATATCATCTCACATTGTAGACGAACATTTGGATCACGTTTTTGACGCTTGTATCAAACCAACATTCCCCATTGAAACCTTAGTATTAAGCACGCGACAATCACGAACACTTGGCCCAGAACACGACGACCTTTCTTTCAAACAAGAATGGAAACAAACAGAAAAAGGATACAATACTGTTGATGTTCTATACTGGATTGTGGATACAACTACTGTAAATATATATATATATATATTATCAATATTATCAATATTCTTATTTATTTATTTTTTTATCTTATTTTATTTTATTTTATTTTTCTACATATTTAGACTGAAGACCTAGAAAAGATCTTACCAAAACTCATAGCTCCTATACTTCGTATTGTAGACGATTATGACGTGACGTACAAGAACCACGGTGTCATTCTATTACATGGAATTGTTAGCAAACTAGATCCTATGGTGATTACCAAATTTGGATTAGAGAATGTCTTTATTGATGTAAAGTATAAATCTGTATTATTTTTTGATTCTTGGTTATTTATATATATACTCTTATAATATAGGCTCTCTTCAAGTGTCTTCACTATATGACAGATACTCGAGACTTGGCTTTACTCACATCTGCATATTCGTGTCTGATAGATTTGATCGACAAAACCAAAATAGTAAAAACCAAAGAACGGCTTTTACTTTTTGAAAAGATACTTACTGATGGAGTGGTACCAGGACTGCGATATGCCGGGGATAAATCGACGTTTTTGTTAGTGTTACTACCTGTGATCGACAGATTAGCAAAGGAACTTGAAACTCTTCTTGTGCGATATTTGAAGGTAACTAAGCTAAAAAAAAAAAAAAAAAAAAAAAAAAGTTATTACCTTTCTCTAATCCAAAATTTTTTTTCTTTCCTTATAAGGTGGTTGTCTTAGGTACATGTAATGGATTAAAATCAATCAAGACTGAAGTGAATCTAGTTGCATTGGAAGCTTTGAAACATGTGATTGAAAAGACTTGGTTAAGGTAAGCTTCACTTTGTATCTGTTATGGATCAGTACTAATATATTTGTATATATTTATAGAATTCCTCTTTATGGCGCAACTATATTACAAGCTCTTGCAACTCTATGGATGAATAATTGTAAAAAGCAAGGTAAATTAAAACAAATAGATAAATAAAAAAAATATATATATGCTGTACGGTACATCAATTTTTTTGATCATCTTTTTTATTTTCTTCTACTTTCATGTCATTAGAAAATAGTGATAGTCAAGAGATATGTCACCGTACAAAAATCATTTATCGATTGCTTTATTCTATATGCCAAGGCCAATTAGAGGTAAGTAATATATTGATTGATTCGAGGAAAATGATGATGATTAATTTTTACGACACTCTTATATTGACTACAAATAGATTGACGCTCAAGCTCTTTTGGAACTAGATAAAACGACTTTTGGAGATCTAATAGAATGATAGATATAGAATAATGTAGTTTAGATACCCCCCCCCCTCCCTTTACCTCTTGTTGGTTAGTTTTAAGGTAGTGATGAAGAGATACCCTATTGACAAAAACTCTTGGCTAGACGAACGGAAGAACTTGGCGCCATTTGAAAATAATATCTTCCCCCCCATGTTGCACATTCAATCTTTTTTTTTTCCTTTTTTTCCCTTTCCTTCCTCGCTTTATTACCTTTTTTTTTACCTTCATCATTCTCTTGTATTGAATAAATTATCTCCCTTTCAAACATTGACTTGAATCAAAGCGCTTACAATGAAGTACTTACAAGTATGTCAAGCGTTATATGATTATGAAGCAAGAACTCCCGATGAAATTACTATCAACGAAAACGACATTCTTTATGTTATCGAGAAAGAAGACAACGATTGGTGGAAAGCTGAATTAAAACAAATATCCAACGAAGAGCCTGGTCCTATTGGCTTAGTACCAGCATCCTACTTGGAAGAGGTACAAAAAAAAAAAAAAAAAAAAAAAAGAAACTCTTCTATTTCGTACTCTATCCCCCTTTCCTTCTCCCTATTTACTAATGATATATATTTCATTCAAAGGTATCCCCAATTGGAAAGGTACGTGCTGAATATGATTACGATGCTCAACAGGAAGAAGAACTCTCTTTTACTGAAGGTCAAGAAATGTGGTTACTAGAACGTGATGACCCTGATTGGTATCTCGTAAAATTGGATACTGGTGATATTGGCCTTGCTCCTGCGAACTATGTTCTTGTTATTGAAGACGCCATTGAAGAACATGCTACTACCTCTACTGATCCTACTGCTCCTGTTGTTACTACTGCTTCTCTTCCTATTACTACTACTACAGTACCACCTGTCCCTGTGCCTGCAACTTCTATCCCCTTTGCACTATCTTCACCACCCAATACACAACAAAGCTCTCCGGTAAGTATTAATGACTTATAGGTCTCTATTCTTTGACTAAATAGTATCTTGTTTACTGTTAGGTCAAGTCTAATACCAGAGACATGGAAGATGAAGCTCAATCCTGGACTGTACATGAATACGATGTTGCCAAAAAGAAGAAGAAGAAAGGAAAAGGCAATATTTTGGTGGGTAACGCAATGCTTTGCTATGGAAGTGAAACTGACAAGACTTCTCCCGTACAACAATACCCTATTTTGGATGTGTCCAAGTATCTTTTTGATGGCAAAAACTTACATATTGAAATTGATGGCTCCAATCCGGCAGTTTTGGATTTACAGGCTTCTTCAAAATCTGAAGCGAAGGCTATTTTGGTCAAGATTACTGATTCTCGTAAGGCAGCTCAGATAGCTGGTACTCATATATCCCAACAACAACCTACTCCAACAATAGCAGCACCAACAGCCGTCGCATCTATACCTTCTTACGGAACACCAACAAAATCAGATATATCTACTATTTCTGCTATACCTACTCAGTCTTCGACTAACGAACCTCGTTGGGCCATCTCTCTTTATGTGTTCGATGCTGAAGGAGGAGAAGAAATATCAGTTGAAGAAAATCAGCAAATATTAGTGACAGATTATGATCGTGACGATGGATGGTGGCGTGTGGAAACTGTGGATGGAAAATCTGGTATCATTCCAACAACCTATATACAATTTTATGACAATGATAATGCTATTACTACTACCCAGTCTGCCGCTTCTGCTACTAATGTCCGCCATGATGATGAAGACGATGAAGTCGACACTGCTGCTCATGATGAAGTGGAAGCTTATATGCGGGAAAAAGAATTACGTGAACGTGAAAAACAGGAAGCTCTGCAGAAAGAAATAGAACGAACGGAACAAATGGAAAGGCAACGAAGACAAGAAGCAGAAGAACAACGACAGCGTTTAGCAGAACAACAAAAACGTGAAGAAGAAGAACGTGAAAGACGTAGAAAGGTACAAGAAGCAGCTCAACGTGCAGAAATGGCCAGGCAACGACAAATGGAAGAAGAACGAAAAAATCGGGAAGCAGCTGCAAGATCATCTGTACGTATTTAAAATTACATATTTGTCTATACAATTGTTTACTAATTGTTATTATTATAATTCTTATTACTATTACTATTATTATTATTATTATTATTTGACCTTCTAGCCACCCCTGGATAAGACTAGTAGTCTTTCAAGATCTGTTTCTACCCGTCAAGATCTACCCAGTAAGTTGCATTGACAATGGATAAATAAAAAAAAAAAAGTTTACTCATGTTACATTATTTTTTTAATTAGAACCTGACCCTGATAGATTACGAACTTGGACAGATCGAAGTGGTGCCTTTAAGGTGGAAGCTCAATTCTTGGGCTATACTGATGGAAAACTACGACTACATAAAGCGAATGGTGTAAAAATTGATGTCCCTTTGGAAAAAATGTCAAGCGAAGATATACGGTGGGTAGAACGTCGAACCAACCAACCTGTAGGAAGTATTGGAAAGAAATCTTCAGTGAATCAAGGCGAAAAAACACCTGAAATGCCACCTCGACCAAACCCAACAACTTCTGATGGACCTAGCAGTAGCAGCAACAGCAACAACAACAACAACAATGACAACAATGTACCTACCAACAGCAAAAAGACAATAAATTCAAACTGGGATTGGTTTGATTGGTTTATGATGATCGGAATCCCTATGCAAGAAGCCTTAGTGTACTCATCTGCTTTCAAAGCGGACAATTTAGATGATAGCGACCTCAATAGACTGACTCACAAACAGATGAAAACCCTGGGTATGAAGGAAAAACATGTTCAACGTATGGAACGATATATTGATACTGGGAATGTGGAACCTCCATCGGACGGCGAAGATAATACTACAGAACAAGATGATATAGAACGTATGAGACAAAAACAGATTGAAGATGATGCGGCACTGGCACGAAAACTCCAAAATTCACTAGATGAACCACGAAGTAAAAAAGGTAGCAAAAAAAAAAAAAAAAAAAAAAAAAAAAAGGAAAGAAAGTGCATGATGTGAAAGAACAAGAACTGATTCCACATTTGTCATTTTAGCTTCGTCATCTTCAAGACCAAAGCCTTCGGTATCTGCTCCCAAAGAAATTCATCCTGATTTGCTGGAATTCCTTGGATCCTCTGATTTTGCATCTTCTTCTTCAAGCAATACCGAACCTTCCAAAGCGACAACAACAACAACAACAACAACAACAACTGAAAACAACGATCTTATTGGATTTAGTGATGATGCATGGGCTCCTCGACCGATAAAGGAATCTACACAATCACAAATTCAACCACCATTGCAACCACAACAAGCATCTTTGGTTAGTAAAGTTGATCAACAAGTTGTATCATCACCAGTTAATATGTCGTCTCAACAGGTTACTCCTGCTCCTCCTGCTCCTCCTGCTCCTCCTGCGACAGTGGCTGTCGGATCTCAACCTATTGTCCAATCTAACCCTACACAACAACCACAGCAACAGCAAAAACAATATTCATCAAAAACAATTGATCCCACGTTACTTCAATGGCAAAATACCACATCTTCTAATGGTAATGGATCATCACAGATCAACAATACACCAAAGGTATCATTGAATGAATTGTCACAACAAGAGCAACTTCGAAAATACCAACAACAACAACGTCAACAAGCACTTTTGGAACAACAGCAACAGATTATCATGCAGCAACAGCAACAAATTCAACAACAACAGATTCATCAACAACAATTACAACTACAACAACAACAACAAAGTCAGCTTCAAGCACAAGTGCCTTTTGCAACTGGCTACCAATCCAACAATGCAGGTAGTCTTGTTCTTTACAACAATGACATGACAACTCCTCAACAACAACAACAACCCCAAGTGACTGGATTTGTCTCTCAACCTCAAATACAGCAATATCAAGCTACGGGATTTATTCCACAACAACCTGGCATGATGACAAACACAGCTGTATCAGTTCCAGTTTCATCTGTATTGCCTCCACCAATAACTCCTACTTCCGCTGCGGGACAGCCAATGTATCATCAACAATCTCAAAGGTCTCAAACTCTGCCACCTCAAACTACTGGACGACATTGGAATGCATCAACACCTGAGAATCCATTTGGATCTCCCAGTATGTCTTCTGCTGGTGTCAACTCTCATTTGACCGGTGGAATTCAGTTCTCGACGCCCAATCCCAATAGCTTCACTCAAAGTCCAGTACGACAACCATCTTCCACTCCAGCCTACTTGCAACAACTTCAACCACAGATGACAGGTATTCAACAAACAGAATTATCTGGTGCTCGTGATAAGTATGCTGCTTTCCGTACGCCAAATGCTGATGTATTTACTCCTGCTGGATCCATGCAACGTAAGTCATAAAAAGAAGAGAGAAAAAAAAAATGTGTAATGGGATGATTATCAAATCCATGGGAAATATCGGATGATTCTAATTCTTTTTTATTTATTTCTTTTTGAATAGATGGTCAATCAGCATTCCCTCAGCAACAAGGTTATCAAACAGGACAATATGGTGGTGCATGGTAGATCATTAGTATACTCTTTTTTTTTTCTTTATGATTATTACCCTGTTAGCTTGTTTCTATTAGTTTTTTTTTTTGTTTGTTTTTTTTTTTTTTTGTTTATTCAATAAATATCTTTATGATTAATCTGTATTGATGATTGTTTTCTTTTTTTTTTTTTTTATGAGAATATAATATAACCAAGTCATCATATGACGGGATCAACTAAATAGATATACAACAGGATCAATTTTGACACAAGATTTGATCAACCAAGTGGGTTTGCAATAGGATCATTAATACAAATCTATGGTGCAAAAAAAGTATGTTGATAACCTTCTTCTGGTTTGGTTGGTTTCTAATTTACAAAAGGCTTACATCATGATGATTCTTTTATTCGAGTTTATAGTTAATATTTAATAAAAATATTTATATTCTTCTTAAATAAATCGTATTCATTTTTTTATTTTTTATTTTTTTTTGTTGGTTGCCACTATCGCCATTGTCGTTAGAATATTCCTAAATAAATTAAAACCTATCTTCTACAAAATAAACGTCCGCGCTAACTAAAGGAGTTAACGTTGATAGGAATCATTAACTTTAAAATGATCAAACTACAAAAAAGGCAAAGACGATCAGAGACAACTGATAGAAAGATATAGTACATATTTGAATTTTTTTTTTATTATATTGGATGTAAAATGGGTAAGACAAAGTCAAGGAAAAAGAAAAGACTATTCAGTAAGGATGAGCATATATATAATATGAGTATGTATATGAGTATAGGTGTGTGTGTGTGTGAGCGTGTATGTCTATGTCTGTGGGGACTATCAAATGGAATATTTCAAATTTCGAAAAAAAAAAGTCTATTTACAAAGATACTCTAATTTATGTCTTCTTGTCCTTCATAAAGTTGGCAGATTTAATAGCGTCCCGATTGTTCTTGCGATGGAATTGACGATTGGAAGGTTTGGTGGTTTTCTGTTTCTGTTTCTTTTCGTCAAGAAGGTCCCAAAGCCACATAGGATATTCATTGTCTTCTAATGCCACAGGATCTTTTCCATCCTTCAAAAAGTTAATGCCTTTCAGAGTAACACCTGCTGGTACAGACGATGGTTTTCTTGGAGGCTGTACAGTTGATGCATCTACGGTAAGAAAACAAAACACAGAGAAAAATAAGATCAATTTTCACTTGTCCATAAACTTATTTTTTTTTTAATAAACTACTTACCTTCAGCAGTCGTTGATGTTGTTGTTTGACTATTAGCAATGGTTGTGGAATGAAGGTATGCTGATTGTTGAATTCGAACCGATCGACGTAAATTTTGGCGTACTAAAGTTAACATGATATATCCTGACTATGCAAAAAAGAGAAAAGAAAAATAAAAAAACAAAAAGTGTACCTCTTATTTTTTTTTTCTCTCCCTTTCTATCCAGTAGTCGTCGTCACAGCCACTGATTTCAATTTCCGCCTAATACTGGTTCGCAAGAAAAGAATAAGCATGAGGATGATCTATTAATAATAGTATAATAGTAACAATGGCGCTGATGATGATGATGACATTTGAATGATCAACGTCAATAACGAATTTACATCTGTCTGAAGGTTAGAAAATAACTCAAATTTAACAAAAAAAAAAAAACATCATACTCCTTCATGCCATTATCCATCATCATCCATCATCATCATCATCATCAATGGAATTCCAGATGATTTTCTATTTGATTTTCTACGGGTTTAGACGGAGTGTCCTTAAAAATACAGTACAGTATAGTAAATCATGTTTATTTGCTTATCATATCAATGAGTTATTCTATGATGACGATGATGATGATGATGATGATGATGATAAAGACAGCGCTGTAGATTGATAAAAACGAAATATGATACCTTTTTTTTTTTATTATTATCATCGTTCTTTGGGCCTTGACACAGTATTATAAATTAAACATTGAATTTAAACGTCTTTTAATAAATTGAGTGGAATACAGAAGTAAGATGAGAAGGGAAAATGCGCTAGGGATTACCTTATAAAGAAAAAAAAATGGTAATCACGAGATATCATCTGTCAAAGATCACAGTAAAATGATCATCAACAATTGAATAAGGGGTACATGTAATCAGATTTCTTCTAGATCTCTTTTACCAAGATTTGAAATGTTTTCATAAACCAATCAAATGTGTCCTTTGATAATGGGGATATTCTTATTGTATTGATTTTTTTTTTCCTTTTATGAAACACCCTTTACAATAAAAAAAAAAAAAAAAAAGGCGGGAAAAGAAATCGGAAGGTCCGTAGTATTGGAATAATAATAATATAAAAAAAAAAAAAGGGTGATGTTATCATCTGGATGATAGATGGTCTCATTGGCCATGATAAGTAGGACCTTGAAATTGATCAAGTAATGGTGTGATGGACTTTAGATTCATAGCCATTATCCAATCAAAAGTGTTATGGTTGACACCATCGATGGTCTTTCTGATCTCTTTTTTTTTTCTCTTCTTTTTTCTTTAGATGATTTGTTACCAAGATTGGTATATGAACCTAATCGATCATATTTGATATATAGAGTGGGAAAACTATATAGAGTTATTCCCACATTGTTATCGTTAAAAGAATTAAACTGAATAGTATTCATTCTACTATGATAATCATGTTGTATTTAATGAAAATCCAAACAATAAAGTAATATAGAAAAAAAAAAAGAGATCTGCGGATATTGAAAAATCCTACCTCTAAGAAGTTGCAAAAAAATCCAATTTTTCTTTTTTTATTTCTTTTGTTTCTCTTTCTCTTTACAATCACTTTTTTCCCAGTTTTACTGATTTTTTCCAACTTTACTTTTTTTGTACTACTAAAGTAACTTTTTGAAAAAGCACCTCATTCTTCTTTTTATTGTTTAACTTCCCCCCCTCAAAATATTTATTTGACCTATCCGGGCGCCTGGCCACAAAACAACTGATTTTAAGCATTTCTTTTCTTTCTTCCCCTTTCTCTTTTTTATTACACTTCTTCTTCTCCCTCTCTTCTCTCTTATTTGTTCTACTATATCTATCTTCTATCACTACTTACGAATATGTCGAACGAAAAAACTTTGAAGGAAGAATTTACGACAACGTCTATTGAAACGATGGAATCCATTTCCTCAAACACTACCGACCAATCCAAGCATAAGGCTCATTTGACTCGTGGTCTCAAGGCTCGTCATATTCAAATGATTGCTTTGGGTGGAACTATTGGTAAGAATTATTATATCATTATCTATTATCATATCTTTTGTTTTCCTTACCTTTTTTTTTTTTTTTTTTTTTTTTTTTTTTTTGCTATTATCTAACCATCATCATCAATGAATCAACCGTCATCATCGATCAACCGTCATCAATCAATCAATCAATTATCTTTCACTACTATTAGGTACTGGTTTATTCATGGCCTCTGGTAAAGCTATTGCTGCTGGTGGTCCAGGTGGTGCACTTGTTGGCTATGCTATCGTCGGTGTCTTGGTATTTTGTGTCATGATGAGTCTTGGTGAAATGGCTGCTTACATTCCTGTCAGTGGTAGTTTCGGTCATTTTGCTAATCGATTTGTGGATCCTTCTCTTGGTTTTTGTGTATCTGTTATTTACTGGTTAAATTGGTCCGTTGGTGTAGCTGTTGAATTGACTGGCGTGGCTCTTATCATGGAATTTTGGGTACAAAGTGTTAACAGTGTCATTTGGAGTGTTATTTGTCTTGTTATCTTGGTTGCTATCAATGTCTTTGCTGTCAAAGGTTATGGTGAAGTTGAGTAAGTAACAAAAAAAAAAAAAAAAAAGGAACATAAAAAATATACTTTTTTTTTGTAGTTAATTAACGTTTTATTCATCTCTCTCTCTTTTTTTTTATTTTTTTATTTTTATATTAGATATTGGATCAGTTTTATCAAGATTCTTACTATTCTAGTTTTCATCATCATCGGTCTTTGCGTTGATACTGGTGCCTTGGGTGGCGATAACATTGGTGTACGAAACTTCCATTTAGAAGGTGGTGCTTTCCCTAAAGGATTTCTTGGTGTGTTCAATGTTTTCATCACTGCTGCTTTCTCTTTCAATGGTGTCGAAATTGTTGGTATCACTGCTGGTGAATCTGAAAATCCTCACAAGACTGTACCCTCTGCTGTCAAACAAGTGTTCTGGCGTATTGTCCTATTCTATGTATTCTCCATGTTGATCATCGGTCTTATTATTCCTTATACAGATCCCAATCTTTTGGATGGTGCCAGCAATGTGTCTGTTAGTCCTTTTACTTTGGTTTTCCAAAAAGCAGGTGCTCAATATGCTGCAGATATCATGAATGCCATTATCTTGATCACGATGATTTCAGCTGGTAACTCTGGCGTTTACTCTTCTAGTCGTACTTTGATGGGTCTTGCTGAAGATGGCTATGCTCCCAAGTTTTTCACTCGTGTCAATCGATGGGGTGTACCTATTTATGCTGTCCTTACTTCTTGTTTGATTGGTTGTCTGGCTTTCTTGACATCTTTATTCGGCTCTGGCGTTGTTTTCAATTGGTTAACTCGATTGACTTCATTAGCTGGTTTGATTACCTGGGTGATCATTTCCATCACTCATATTCGCTTCCGAATGGGTTACATTGCTCAAGGCCGTTCTCTCGCTTCTTTGCCTTATGTGGCACCCTTGTTTCCCTTGTGTGATATCTTTGTGATTGTGATTGGTCTGATCGTGATCTTTGGTCAAGGTTACTCTTCATTTTATGCCCCCATCTCTGCTGGTGATGTTATTGGTTCTTATATTGGCTTGATCCTCGCTATTATCCTTTATGTTGGTCACAAGATATTTGTTCGCAAGCCCTTTGTCAAGGTAGATGAAATGGATTTTGAAACCGGTACTCTCAAGATCGAACAAGTCTTCGATGTGAATGGTGATGGTGAATTGATCGACGACGAAAAGGATCTACCTTTATGGAAACGTGTAGGCAACAAAGTCTTATCTATTATAGCGTAGTTTTTTTTTATCATTTTCTTTCTATTCTATTCCCTATTTATTCATCATTCATTTATATATTATTAGTTAGCATTCTTATATTATTATTATGTATCATTATTGTTACTCTCTCCCCTTATTCAACATCATTCGTAGTGTGTAGATCATAGATTATATTAGAACAAACAAAAAAAAATATTGTTTCAACAACAATCAAAAATTTAATAAAACCCAAGAGAGAGAGAGGGAGGAAAGCGGTTAATATATTATCGTTTCAACAACTTCCCCTTCTCTTCGCTTCGTTTATTTTATTTAACTTGATCTTTATTATTATTATTATTATTAATAGCTTTATCATTTGATGACTTGATGATCGGATGAATGGATGAATAAAGAGCAGGCAAAAAAAAAAAGGAAAGATATTCATAATTAAGGGAATAAAGAGTCATTTATTTTTTCAATGTATTATACAACAAAGTATCATAATGTATATATAAGGTTTGAAAGGGCTAATCAGTCTACACTAAGGGATCAACTCTTCTAACAACTATAGTATATTCGAACCAGTCTATGCAGAGCTGCTCCAAAGTGATGTAAAAGGGGATGAGTTTGATATTTTCATGCCACAGTTGTCTTGACCAAATCGTTTAATTTCTTCTCCACAAAAGCATTCAACATATCGTCTTGACTTGATACATCCAGACTAACATAAAATTGTTCACCATATTTGAGAGCTAAAGTCCAAAGATAAGATGTTGATGAATGGGTGGATTCATTATAAACAACAAAAAATTCTTTTTCCTTTTTTTTTTTTTGTTACCTAAACGGCGAGCCAAGTTTCGACTGAATTCTTTGACATCGTTCCCAATCACAGTTGTGGCAGAAGGAATAGCCTATGATCAAACGAAGAAGAATACAATTAGAAAGCTAAAGCATTAATATTCTTTCAACATTCTTTACCTGTGATCCAAAAGCAGGCACGGAGACAGCAAGATCGCCCATTTTCCCAGCTTGTTTGCCCACCCAGACTAACCATGCTCCTTGCATTTGAATTATTTGAAAGTAGATAGGTTCTGTCATAAACATGTGTGTCGCCTGATGTATCATGAATTGTGATTCTGCCATAATTGATGAATGTCTGCTATGCGTTCAAAACAAAAAAAAAAAAAAAAAAAAAGGAAGGAAGAAAAACGCAAAAAAGGTTGAATTTCTGCTTTGTCTTTTCATCCAGTGATTAAAACACCGCGCTCACGGCAGCTGCTTTTTGGGTCCTCTAAAGGATATGGGATTTTTCATACATCCTCAGTCTTGTTTTTTTTTCTTTCCTTTTAGTTAAAAAAATCCAACGCAATGTAAAGTAAACGATGCAATAGAAGTACCGTGGAAGATGAATGGATGCAATGGAAAAATGGGTGAATGGATGGATGAATGGATGGATGGATGGATGGATGGGTAAAGGCGAGTAGTGTGACGGGGGGGGGAGCAATTTGACGACATGGAAGCAAGCATCAATAATTAGAACACGAACGATCCCTATTCTTGACTCTGTCTATTAAACACATGTTTTTTTTTTTATTATTTAGCATGTCTGCCGAAGAAGAAGTCATCATGGAAACTCAAGAAGTTGAAGTTGCTGCTGAAGCCCCCAAGGGACAAATGTCTGTTGAAGAAGCTCTTCAAGAAGTTTTGCGTCGTGCTTTGGTTCACGATGGTCTTGCTCGTGGTTTGAAGCAAGCTGTCAAGGCTTTGGACAGGTACAAAAAAAAAGAACTCATCTCTTTTACATGGAATCGATATACATAGACACATATTCATGTTTTATTCTCGTTTTCTTACTGTTTCCTTTTATAGACGTCAAGCTCATTTGGCTGTTCTCGTTGAATCTTGCACTGAAGGTGAATACCTCAAGTTGGTTGAAGCTTTGTGTGCTGAACACAACATCAGTTTGATCAAGGTCTCTGATGCTAAGAAGCTTGGTGAATGGGCTGGTCTCTGCAAGATTGACCGTGAAGGTAATGCCCGTAAGGTCGTTGGTTGCTCTTGTGTTGCTGTCACTGACTTTGGAGAAGAATCTGAAGCCATGAATATTTTGTTGGACTGTAAGTGCTTTTTTTTTATTTCTTTTCTTTTTTGATCAATCATAATGTGTTGTGGATAAAGTGTGATGTCTTTGTGTTATATAATAATATACTTATCATGTTTTTCTTTTTGTTAGACTTCAAGACTCAATAAGTGGATCCTTATTTATACATACAGATTTTCCTTTTTCCCTTACCAGATCTCATATACAAAATAAAAGACATTTCATCTTGTACCATTCTTTATTCCTTGATATCTTCGTTGTATGCGATTTTTATATGTGTTTATTGCTCCTAGATGTTGTTTGTATCATCGTTTCTATTCAATCAAATCATCATGTATCGTATTTTAAACAATTCTTAGAATATTTTCCATCATCACCATCATTATTGTCATCATTGTTACTATCTTCCACTCATCAATAAATTATCACATATCATTCTTCCTCTACAAAAAAAAATAGATATCCCTCATACAACAGCAGGTGCATGGTAACATATATTTGTGTATATCAGTTAATTTTTATTGTCAAAATATATAAAAAGAAAAGACGTAATAACTAGTTCAAATGAAACCAATACGGTTAGCAATATCGAGAGCATCAACATCAGCGGTCAAACGAACATAAGCCTTCTTGGTACCGTCAGGTCTAAAAAAAAAAAAAGTAATCATCATCCTATTAGCGCCAATATTTTGATATCCAAACGAGATCTTCCTTGTGTCATCACTTACCGAATCAAGGTGTTGATCTTTTGAGCGTCAACATCATAGAGCTTCTTAACAGCGAGCTTGATTTGGTTCTTGTTGGCCTTGACATCGACAATGAAGGTCAAAGTGTTGTGGTCTTCAATCTTCTTCATGGAGGTTTCGGTGTTCAAGGGTTGGCGAATGACACGATATTGATCCATGCGAGGTAAATGAGGCACAGACTTACGAGTGTACTTGGGAGTACGAGCCAACTTCAAAGTCTTGGGAATGTTGAAGCGAGTAGAGGTACGGATCTTGCGCACAGTCTTACCGTGGACACCCTTAAGGGCAGCCTTCTTGGCAGCTTGGGCCTTGTTAACTACAAAAAAAAAAAAAAAATTGAGTTGAATTTGCCTTGGATGTTCATCATATCAAATTCAAAACAATAAAGGATAGACGATCGCATGTAGACATGGAGATAATGTGAGCATCGTTTGTTGAATCTTGTTCATCAATGTAATAAATATATGTTTACGTATGCGAGTATCTTTATGTGTATGTATATGTGTGTGTGTCGAGAGTATCGATTTTCACAAAAAGAAAAAAAAATAAGATGCTAAACATGTTGAATGATAATGTGGTTTTCGTATAGGCAAGTCGCTGTCTGTATCATCCATCCATCCATCCATCCATCCAAACGCATCCGTCTGTTTGACTTTACGTATATCGTCTATCCTTTATTTATCATAATAAAATATCTAATTCCTATTACCGTTGCTCTTGGGGGCCATGTCGATGAATTTCAAGAGTGAAAAGAGAAGGATTTTTTTCCCAGCCAAGTCTGTAAAGACAATATCTCTCACTCCCATCCTCCTTCCTACCCCTCATCAATTCAAATCCCGGTAAATTTGTCTATTTTGCCTCATCACAAAAAAACGTGATCATCCATTTTTTCTTTTTTTTTTTTTTTTACTTTTTTTGTATTCATCAATCCTCTTTTCTTATTTCGACTCGTGTATACTTATATATACCCAATGATAAACGATATCTCGTCCACATATTATACATAATGTATTCCAAAGCTTTAATTCACAAACCTGACCAGAAAAGAAGTACCAAGCTAATACAACAAAGGTTGGTTGTATAAAGTATCTCACACAAGCATTTGAAGCACGACTAAGAAAAGAAGTGTCCCACATTTTGGTGAAGTATTTGACGAAGAACAGTGAAACAACATTCGAAGACATATCAAGTCAAGTAAAGGAAACGTATCTCAGAAAACAACAGGGAAAGAAAAGTGATGGTCAGTCTTTACAATGATGTAGCAACTGCATGCAAGGAAGGTAACTTCTTCTTAATAGCCAACAAAAGAAAGGAATATTACAGTGCTGAATTATATTCTTATTTACTCTAGTCAACAGTATCAAGATAAACCGTGTACAAATGAAATGAATGCTTCGTTTGACTCTTTGTCCATTGATTGTATTCGCCAGTGGAAGGCTTTTATTGACGAAAGTTTGGATAACCGAATAAGAGTCTTGTAACAACCACCACAACGACAATAACAATAGCAACGATCATCATCATCAATTAAATACAAATACCTTACAGTGTCGTGCCTGTGGAAAAATATCTTGCTCCGGGATTAGTTACAATGGCTCAATGTGTCACACTGACTCAGGAACAAGTATCATTTACTCGATCGTACACGAGAGTAGACCCCAGCAATATAATGGAAATTGATGATGTTACCGCCCTGTTCAAGACAAAAGTAACAAATATCAAGTCTGATCAATTATATACCCATTCTAGTTTATTATTATTCCTGGAAACTCTGAAGCATAGAAAAAGAAATTTGTCAACGAAATGTAAGTAAAAGAATAAAAAAAATCACATCAGAAGAAAATACAACAACAGTACCTAATTTCCTATAATGTAATATTGTCAGCACCAGGGAAAGAAATCCGTACAAGACACTGAAGATGACATCTTTCATTCCATGACCAAAACCTTACACAATAACAATGCCGAAAACGAAATAGAGCTTCATCAAGTAGGTCTTTTATACTAACATCGAAAAAAGAAGCTGGACTGATTTTTTTTTTTTTTTTTTTTTTTTTTTTTTTTTGCATCTTCAATTAAATTAGGTCAATGATTGTCCAGCCGACAACCATTGCTCACTTTTTACCACAAGAGTAATTACCTGAAAAATCAACAAAGAACAAGACAACGCTTATCTGAAACAGCATACGCAAAATCAGCTTTTAAGTTTGATAGGAGGTCAGAAGTCTATTTGGTTTTATGATGGTGATTCAGGACGAGAATATGGTACAAGCATCGCTGACTACACTAGTGGTAGTCATAAATAGTCTTACCAAGAAGCTCTCGGAAAAAAAAAAAAACTACAGTTATTTCAACCGACGAATACCGATTGACACAAAAATTGTGTTGCTACTGTCGAATGCCAGTGATTCATCCAAAAAGAAAAAGAAAGACAAGTCGAAAATGGTTACCAATTTAGGGCACTATCGTATGTATCAACCTCAATCGCACTATTCGCAAAAATGGACAAGGTTCAAGAGGTAGAAGACCAGAATGCTGCTATGAATATTGTCATGATAGGTTACGAACGACTTGTATTCCACCAGACTTTGAAACAATTTGAAAAATCCACTTCTTATCCCGGAGGTTTGAAGATGTGAATAACACTTTTATAGCGTTGGGACTGTAAGTATCAAAAAAAAAAAAAATGATACCCTCAAAAATTGAAGGATATATAATTGGCTAATTATTTTTTTTTTATATGTGATTCCGCTTCTTTTATGGCAGAATATCTTAGTTTTCTCCACTGCATTTTAGATATTTTTTTTTATTGACCTAATAAAAATATAAAACAATTTCAAAAATAAAAGAAAGAATAATACTAATACTAACGGGATATAAAATGGAAAACGATATACAAAGGTAATAATAAAAAAAAAAGCTACAAACTAGGAAGTAGTGGGTGATGATTTTTTCTTCAAAGTACCTGCTTCATCAAAGGATGCTAGAATGGGAGCCAACATTGAGTCAACATTTTCATAAGCAATATTGCAGCACATAGATATCAGTCGTTTGTAATTTTGGATACGTTTTTCTGGAATACTTGTACGTTGACTGATAATATCGTCCATCAGTTGTTGTCGCGATTGTTGTAGTTGAGTGAGTTTCTTGGCCAAAATATCTTGATCTTCCTGTATCTTCTCTCTACTTGATAAATCTTGCTTTCGTGTATCTGATTTGTTTCCAGTAACAATGATAGGTGGAGTTGGTGGTTTGTTAATGGGTCCATATACTGTTGTATCTTCTGTCGTTGTTTCTCCTGCTGATATGTCGACTTCAGTATGTTGTGATGATGACAATGATGATGATGATGGTGTTTCCATAGTGATATCTTGATCTATCTTTTCAATCATGCCTGTATTTTCATTTTCCTTGATCCATTGTCCCAGTCTAACTTGTTGGGTGTATAATAATAGCCGTCGTAATTCCAAAATAAGTTTTTCACCACGTTCCAAAACCATTTGTATTTCTTCTTGTCGATCATCATCACCTAGTAACTTCATTGCTTTATCCGTATCTTCTAGTCGTTTAGTAATCATTTGTATTTCCTTTTGTTTTTCCCTAATGGCGTGTTCCTTTTGTAACAAATCCCTTTCATAGCTTGCAGCAAGATCATCGACCCAATGTGATATGGAAGGTGATGTCACTGTACCTGATAACATCGTCTTGTACATACTATCCACTTTTTGTCGTAATTGTTCCCGAGTCATTTCTTCGCTTTGATAAAGTGATAACGTTGGTGAAGCTGATAAATTTCCTTCAAGACTGTTACTACTACCACCCTTTTCCATCAAGTGCTGATCCAAAGCTGCTAGATAATCTTGTGCTGTCATGCCTTCTTCGTTTGCAATTTCTGTACTGGCTCCTGCATCAATCAATAGTCGGACCAATTTCTTGTTGCCAATACGAGAAGCAATAGTCAGTGCTGTATCACCACACACATCTTGTACATTCAATATTGAGATAAGTTCTGATCGACTATGAACTAACTTGCTGATGAGGTTTTCCATATAGTATTGAGAAGCGTGTATTTTCCCTTTGCCATTTGCTGTTGTTGCCACATGATGAAATACAGTTTGATCACTTTTGTCAATGTTGAAGGTCGTACTTGAGAGTAAGTCCAATAGTTGATCAAATGTCTTTTGTTCATAGTTGTTGGTGTATAATACGCTGCGCATCAGTGCTGTTTGTCCCTTGTAATTGACCCGATAAACATCCGCACCAAGTTTGATCAATCGTTGTACTGTTGAAATCCTACCCATAACGGCAGCCCAATGGAGACAAGTGTGGCCTTCCTCATCAATAATCACATTGATATCAAGATCGCGTGGTGGTCTTTGTAATAATGACGGGATTTCTTCATTTTCAGAGAGGAAATGTAAAAGTAACTTGTGTGCATAAGTCCGTTCATGTTCTACCTCCTTTTTTGTCTTGTGTTTCGTCAATGGTGTACGATCAATGGAAGGTGGTGAGGATGCAGATGATGATAAGGTGGGAGATGATGATGCAGAATTGGAAACTACTTTTGCTGATTGTGTACGAGAACTTTTACTAGATGGTTGTTTTGATTTTGTAGAGGGAGCTGCCTTTTCTGTCATTTTATTGTTTGTTGAATTATTTTCAATATCCACATCCATATAATCCTGTTGGTCATCCATCTTGGTTCGTTTATGTCGAGAATGTCGTGTTGTTTTGGAAGGAAGATCATTATCATTTTCAGAAGAAGCATCAAAATCAGATTCCAAAGCACTAGAGGCAATAGTCGCAGCAGCACGCCGGGTAGGTCGTCGTGGTGAAGGAGTACGTGCATAACTTGAAACTTCGTCTTCAACAGTAAGTCCAGAGTCGTCAATTATATCCGAGATATCGTCATCAACATGTCTTCTTTTCTTTCGTACTCGTTGTTCACGTTGTTTCTTTGGTTTAGCAGATGCAGCTGTAACATGTTTTGGTGCCAATGGTGGTGATTCTTCGCCTTTCACAAATTCTAATAATGGTTGTATCAAGTTATCGACATTATAATGTTTCGCCAAATGAGCTGCCCTTTCCAATGGTACCCAAGTGCCTATAATGAATAATAAAATAAAAATGGTGAGAGATGAGAAAAAAAAAAGAATAATAATAAGTCTTATCATTTGTATTTATTTAACATTTTCTTTCCTTTTTTTTTTTTTGTATTTAACATTACCTTGATATTTTCCATAACCACCTTGTATTTTTTCATGGTCTCCTACTTGGACTTCTCTTTCGAGAATACGCGTTCGTTGAGGTTTATCAAAATCAGCTACTTTAAGGATTTGAGTAGCATTCATATAGGAGTCGTTTTTTCTGCGCATAACTGCCACACCATTGCAAGAGAGTTCATAAACAGGGACACCAGAATAAGTAGCTTTATATATTTGTTGTGACATCAATATAAGTCGTGTGGATATATCTGTATAAACAAGATAAGAAAAAAAAAAAAAGAGTGAATGGAAAGAAACAAAACTAGAAAAGAGTGGGAGAAAAAAAAAAAAAAACGCGGCATGATGACTTTTTCTAAGCGGGGGTTTTTTTTTTATCGATTTTCCCATTTTGAAAATCAGCACAAATGAGAAACGATTTAAAGAAAAGGTGTAAGTGTTGTTTCCAATATTTTTTGTATAATAAAACCTTTTAACATGAAAACAAGAAATATATATATCTATTTATTATCTTTTTATTTACAATAGAAAGTGTCTTTTCTCTTGTTTCTTTTGTCAATACAGATATTTCATTAATTATAATTTCTCTTATATTATATCATTTTTGATAGATCATCTCCATATAATCTATTATTCTTTATAAAAGCCTACTTAGACATAAAAAATACAACTTTAAAGAATAGTATTTTTTTTTTTTTAAAAAAAAATAATTTTTTTTATTGATCCATTTCATGCACTCGTTATGACATTTCTATGATCCACTTTCGAAGTAAACACAAACGGTGTTCGAAATCTTTTCGTGTCAATAAGCAATCCTTTTTTTTTTTTTTTTTTTTTTTTTTTTTTTTTTTTGTTCTTTTTCTTTCTTCCTTCTTACTTTTCAATTTGACTCGAACTATATTCTAATGTTTCAACAGTTCAAGAATATATTTCCAGGATCAGCATCTCTCAATATACGATCGTTAGCAGACTCTGTGGGGTAAGATTCAATCATAAAGTACCTTTTTACCACCTCTTCCATTCTAGTTTTGACCTTTTTTTTTTCTTTCTTTCTTTCTTTCTTTCTTTTTCACTATAGGTTGAATGAAGAAGAATGGCGTACTCGTGGAATGGAAAGGTAACTCTCTTTAGAAAATAATATATAAAATAACTATTGATCTGACTAACTATATAACTTTTTTTTTCGGGGTGGAATCAAGACTAGAGTCCATTCGCTCAGAACTTCAAAACTTTAATGCTCTCTTAATCAACAAATCAGATAGGTAAATTATTTAATAAAAAGAATCAAATAAAAAAATAAATGTGTTTTAACAGCTGTTGTTTTAACTTTTAACTAGTAATAGTAGTGAAGATATATCTGGAAAAACAATCACATCAAACAATATCACTTTGGAGGAAACAGCAAAAGTTATAGCAAGGTAACGTACAACGAAAGAAAGTGGAGATATGTGGATAAATAGCCCTTTTTTTTTTTAAACTGAATCCTTTTACAATAGAATACAACAAGGCCGGGAAACTATTCACTACAACAATATAGATAATATCAACAAATCAAAGGTAAAGAAACATAAAAGAATAAATGAAATCCATAGATCAATTTTGTCTGATTGTCTTTCTTGTCTTTCTTTCAGAAAGCTGATCAACTGTTACAAGTCTTATTATCAAGATGTGAATTACACAATACTATCTGTACTGGTATGTCAGAACTTCCGGAAAAATTGGAGACGACACGTCAGGAAATGAAATCGGTAACTAGCGCTGCAAGTAAGTCTTTTCTTTTTTGAAAAAAAAAAGATGTAATGAAAAGGAATGAAGGATATTTATACGACTATCGATTATATTATTAGTGGAACTGAAAACCAAGTTGTTGGCATTGGAACATCGTATTGATCACGCTTGTCTTGAATTTGAACAACATAATTTTGAAAAATGGAAACAAGAACAAGAAGCTTGTTTACAAACGGAATTAGAGATGAAAAGGTAATAGTATATGTGTGATGATTGATATAGGACTCATCACTTGTATTTATAACAGACAACGATTAAAATCAAGGGAAGCAGAATTGAACCAGCTCTATGAAGAACACAATGAACAACAAGCCAAGAAAAGATTGGAGCTTTATGATATCAATTTTCAATCTGAATTAGAAGATTATCGACGCCGACGGGAAACAGAAGTCTCGTCACTCTATAACAGTAAGTCAAAAAAAAATAAAAAGACAAATAGTGACTAAAAGATTGATATTTGGATTGATATTTTGAATAGAGAGCAATACAACACGCGACAAAATCATGACAACTACACTTGAAAATTTGAATCTTGACAATGACAATTCTGAAGATCTAAATCAATTTTTGACTGATGATGACGATGATACCAATGATAAACTTGATACAACAACAGCCAGAAAGACATCTCTGCATATTCAAGCCAATCGTACGACGAATATTAGTGATGAAGACGATGATGAAGAAATACATGTAGAAATATTAGCCGACGAAGATTATGAATCAGATTAGATAGATACATTCATACTGTTTTATCATTTTATTCTTGTATATACCATTTCTTTTTTTTACTTCAATACATTTTTTTTTATCATTTATCTGTCAATAGAAAAAATAGATAGATTTTTTTCTGTGTTGAGTTGGAAACTTGTGATGATTTGCTGGAAAATGTGTTGGGTGAATGAATGGATGGGGAAACTGAATGTGAGATAGATACTGAATAATAAATAGATATGGATGTTGGATGATATATGGTGAATGATGATGGTATGATTTGCCCATTCTTTCAAATAAAAATAAAATAAAATAAAATAAAAAAAGGTAAACAGTCAAACCATAAATCTCATACAAATCTTTGATTTCAAAAATATATATATAATATAATAGTATAGAGTTTATTTATCAACAAATTGATTACTAACATTAAAAGGAAAAAGGCTAATCTAGACTAAAAATCACCAATTTGGACCTTGAGCACACCATCGCCACCTTTACGTAGAGTTTCAAAAGCCAAAGGAGTATCTTCCAACTTGAATCGGTGAGAGACGAGGGGGAGAAGACGGATTTTACCATTGGCAACGGCATCGATTGCCTTTCGATGAATGTTTGCATACCGATAACTACCAATAACGTTGACTTCCTTAGTTGCAATGACATCGACAGGCAGAGCGATCTTTGTTTGGCCAAGACCTACCAAGACAACCGAACCACCAGAGTTGACCATAAAGAACGAGAGCACAACACAAGATTCCACACCCGTACACTCAAATACTACATCATAATCACCATCCTTTCCTGCTGCTTGAGATTGCGCCCACACAAAGAGATCATCATCGCTTCTACTCTTTTCCAAAGTGATCGTAGAGATGCCAGGTAAATAGGTCGTAGCAAATTGTAATCTGGAGGTATTGATATCCGCAATTGCTACTTGGGTTGCACCTTGAGCATAGCAACTGGCCGCCACCAATAAGCCGATGGTGCCTGCACCATAGATCAATACTGAACTGCCTTGTGTTACAGGAGATCGTGCTGTTGCATGCATAGCCACTGCCAATGGTTCAATCAACGCTCCTTCTTCAAAAGTCATAGTATCTGGCATCCTTTTTTTTTTTTTAAAAAAAAATATATATCAATATTTTTGTTGTTATTATTGTTGTTGTTCCTAGCTTATTTGACACTTACTTGTGTAATAAATGAGATGGATAACAAATGGATCGTCGTAAAGTACCATCATTAGGACCTTGTTGCACAGTAGAGGAATACTTCATACGAGGACAAATGTTGTATCTTTGGGATTGACAGCAATGACATTGTCCACATGACTTTGATGGTTCCAATACTACTCTATCACCCACTTGAAACATACTTTGTTCACCACTAGTAGGACCAACTTGAGTAACAATACCTGCCGACTCGTGTCCAAGCACCATTGGAAGAGAAGGGTCTAATACACGAGCACCTAATCGTCCATCGTAATGATAATGAAGATCACTTCCACAAATACCAGTTGCTCGAATGTTTATTTGTAATTCATCAGTTTGAGGTTGAAGGATAGGTCTTGATTCCTGTTTGTCAAAAAAAAAAAAAAAAAAGAAAAGGAAAAGAAAAAGAAAAAAAAAAGGAGAATTAACATATTATGAGCGCGGGGTTGTAATATAATAATAATCATCAATAGGTGAGTTATTCGGCAACCACCGAGAGGGGTAGACATATACATATATATCTTTCTTTTTTACCATATGCATATTATTTGCACCATAGATGACACAGGCGATATTATTTTCTTCTTTACTGGTGATGATAGGACTCATACTAATACAAATAAATAAACTAAAAAAGGAAGGAAAGGAAGATAGGAAGAAAAGGAAGCTAGAGATTTGGGACAAGTTACCAAATTTGAATTATTATTTTTCTACGAGCGGGGGAAAAAAAGAAACTTTTGATCTCAAAAAAAAAAAAAAAAAGAAATAAGATTCGAGTTTAGTCCTTTTTGTTTCCGTTATTTCATTCTTCGAAAATATAAAAATAATACTATGATATAAAACCAAAGATGAATCATCCATCATCTCTAGTAGTGAGTGATTCCCTTTTCCTTCTCATAATTTTTATGATGCTCATTCTCTTTAATATTTTTGTTTTGGCGTTGTACGAGTCTATATTAAAAAAAAAAAAGTGGGGTTAGAAGGTTCTAGGATTGGGAAATATTGATGCGGGAAAAATCAAGATGGTATTGATAAAATAAAAAAAAAAGGCAAAACATTCATTTTTATTTGATTAAAAGAGTAACTATAATCAAAAAAAAAAAAAAGATCATACTACTATAAAAAAAAACTATTTATTCTACAAATAATTCACTACTTGGAATGGATAGATTTGAGATCCATTTGGGTATTATCAGTGATTTGGGTGATAGGATGTTCGTTATGTTGAATCCATATGTTCTTGTCATTCATGTCACTTTGTATCTTTCCTTCATTCATTTGCTCATCAGAATCTGCACCACGTTCAATATCACAAGGGCTGACAGCAGCAGATCTTTCTGATCGGGAATCTTCAATCACTTTGTCTAAATAATCCTTGTTGCGTTCTTCACTAACACCCATAAATACTAAGTTACAATAAAAATATGAGTGATGATGTAGAATAAAATACTACTTCGATAGTTTTCTTACCAGCAACGAAAAAGGCAATGCCACAGACAATTCCAGAGAGTATAGATTGAGTGTATCCATAATCAGCGACAGGAGAACCTTTGGTATCAAGTACAATAGATCCATCTGATCTTCGAAGAGGATATTTTTCACCTAGAACCGCTTCAATTTGACTACTGGCGGAACTAAGCTAGTATCAGTTGAAAAAAATTAAAAAAAGTGAGTCATGACAATAAAATAAGGTAAATCATTTCCGACTTCTAAGCTTACAAGGTTCCCAAGTTGGTAAGCCATCCCTGGAGCTGTTGTTCTTAAAGAAGGTGGTGATAGTTCCCCTAAATGAGCAGGTCCACATCCTAATAAAAAAAAAATAAACAAATAATAAAAAAAAAAACATATGATTTATAAGATAGGTAAATAAAAGTAGATTATAATAATAATAATATTACCTAATCCACCTTGGACAAAGAATTGCATAAGGAACGAACCAAACTGAAGAGCAGATTTATTGCCAGAATAAGTCCAAAGAGGAATCACAGCACCAGCACATGCACAACATATCGCGATACATAAACGACGACCCCACCGATTGGACATACTTCCCCAAAATGCACCTCCAACAATGGCACCAATATTGTAGATGACGATAGTAATGGTACGATCAGAGTTAGAATATCCTAATTGAGTGGTTAGATAGGTTGGATACAAATCTTGAGTTGCATGTCCCATAAAGTTGAGAAAACCCATGACTAGAAACATATAAATCAATCGATACCAGTTATGTTTGATGGAAAGCCATGTTTCTTGTAAAAAAGATCGACCAATGACACGACGTGCTTCTTTTGATTTGACAAATGCTTCTGTTTCTTTCAAAAAACATCGTAGGATGATAGTAGGAATGGATAATGCTGATCCGACCCAAAAGAGGGCCCGCCATGATTTGTTGTATTCAGTGAGAACAAAACTGATAAAAGTCGCTAATAAACATCCAACCGCCCAACCTACATATGTAGATAATCGACAAATTAGATTCATAATAAATCGAAAAAAAAAAATGATGATGAATTGATCTTACCTTCTTGATAAATACCAGAAAATAACCCTCTCACCTCAATAGGAAGAGATTCAAAAGCAATACTTGTCCCCAAACCCCATTCTGCTCCCTAGATTTGTAAATAAAATAAAACATACTAAAATGAATAATCAAGGTATTTTTGTTTTATTTGTTTATTTTATATTTTACCATGATGATACCAAATAATGCACGAAGAGCGATAAAAGTTTGTAAATCAGGAGCAAATCCACTTCCAAGATTGACCACCGAAAATAAAAGGACACCAGCAACTAATGGCCATCTTCGTCCTAGTCTATCACCCACAGCACCAAACAAAAGAGCACCTACTGGACGTAACATCTAATAATAATAATAATAATAATAATAATAATAATAATAATAATAATAATAAAGGTAAATCATTATCATTATCAATCCAATTTCGTATGACTTACCATTGTTGTCGTTATAGCACCTTGAAAATATGGGATAAAAAAAAAAGAAAGGTAAGTTTATATATATATATATATACACTTTATACTTTCAAAATAAGTGACTACTCTACTTACTTGTAACAGCAGAAGGTTCAACCTTGAATTCAGTAGCTAAAAAAAAAAAAAAGTAAGAACTAACACTGTTACCCTTTTGTTATCTAGTGTTACCTATTTGAGTAACAGATAAAGTTGTGGTGAAAAAATCGAGAGCTTCCAGGATCATACCAGCATAAGCTAAATAAAGTTTAAAAAAATAAATAAATAAATAAACAGAAAGTATTTTATTCTAGTAGACATCAAAGACTTTTTATTATTATTATTATTTGCTTACCTGCTATAAAAGCAATCCATTGTGTTTGATTCATGCTTTTAATTGCTTTTAATAATCCCACCTTTGGAGTATCATATCCATCCTTTTTTGATTCTTTATAAAAAAAGTTCTTTTTCCATTGTTCCCAATATACTTTGAATATTGTACCAATCATGACAAAAAAAAAAAAAGGTGAAAGAGAAGAGAAAGAAAATAGGAAGAAAAGTAAAATGGAAGAAAAGAGGAAGAAAAGTAAAATAGAATGAAGGTCAGATTAGATTTTATACTTTCCATTTTTGTATATGATTTAAAAACACCGTAACTTCAAAATTGTCCTTAGCCAATCAAAAAGAATGATTCATTCATTCCAAATTTCCCCACACTTTCTTTTTTTTCCCCAAGTGCGATAGAGATGATGATTAACATATCTGGAAACTAATCCTTTTATTAAACTTTGATCAGAACGTTTCAACCCAAAACATATTTATTGTCATGTCACCATGGAAATCATCATCATCTGTTATTACGCAATAAATAATCATGATGATAAGTTTGAATCTTGACGGGAACTTCAAATACTTTGAAAAAAAAAATAAAAAATGAATATCATACACTGTATCATACTCTCTTTGATTGTTTTAATCTGTGACGATGCTTTTCCCTTTGTATCTTTTCAAGATTAATTTAAATCTCCTTGAAAATGAATTCTCATGTCCACTTTAGAAAAATAAATAAATGAGTAACAATAAGACAAGTGAATGGAGCATGTAAATGAATTATCACACTTGCCACTTCCCAAAAAAAGAAAAGAAAAAAAAAGGTGTATTCCAATGACAAAAGGAACTTCATCGAATCTTACTTGATCCGAGAGATCCGTGTGTGAAAAAAAAAATAGTATTATATCAAGATCAAGTTGGACAAAGAAAAACTTGTAATCTTTATCCTTTGTGGCCAATTGATCAACAATAATAATAAAAAAAAATAAACACAACATCTAAAAGATAGATCAAGTCACTTTTCTTTTTTCAAATTGACATATCTTCTGATAATCATCCTATACTGCAAATGTAACCATCGAACTCAAGTGTACATGCATAGCTTAGATATGAAGCCCTATTTAGTTCATTAATATGACATCGTAGACATCATTATCATCATCAACTGTCAGATCATGACTATATCAAATATCTATAACGATTGAAATGCCTGTCAACAAATAACAAGAACACTATAAACAATATACATAGTATAACGAGTTTTATTATTTCCAGTAATGCTAATAATAATAATAAAAAAAAAGAGAGGTAATAATGCAGAAGATAAAGTTTATTCAAAAAGAATTGGTATATATTTCTAAATTAAGGTTTTATATTCTATTTGACCGTAGACTTGATCCAATTCTCCACATCCAAGGGGGAGATATTGATTTGAGCCAATGATGCCGTCCATAATTTATCGATAGTCGAAAGTGAGCTACCTTCTATCGTCGACGATTGTATGCTAATATTTTTTGGTATACGCTGTGGTAGACCATCGGCCCAATAATACCCATTTTCCCTTAATAGCAGATTGTTGCTGTTGTTCATAAATGTTGTAACGAGATATAATGCTGTTCCACTTCCTTCTTTTGGTGTTAACATGATAAAGTCAAAAAATCGTCGTACTATACCACCCAAATTGAAAACTGACGTATGAGCAAACAAATTCGTTCGAACCGTTCCAGGATGGTAAGCTAATTATAATAATAATAAAAAGAGGTTTAATAAATAATACTACCTTGCCTTTTTCTTTCTTCCTAATGTTCGAATACTTTACAATTGACTTTGATACAACTTGAATGTTCAGTTAACCTTTCCCCAAGCTTTTTGGCCAATAGAGTCACACACATTTTGCTATGTGCATAATGATGCAATCCATCCAGAGTGTAACAGGTTTTTGCCATCAAAGGATCCAATTTATTGACAGCGTATAGTGTAGAACTAGATGCAAAGAGAATATGACCGTGATCTTTGTTCATGAGAGGTAAGAGAGATACTGTAAGGAGCAGAGGAGAGAGATAATTCTATCAATATCGATACGAAGAAAAAAAAAATTAAAATCAGAGATTAAGTAATGTTAATCATAGGTTAATATGAAGATTAATTCTTATATATATATATATATATACTTACTGTTTGACATTGTGCCTCTAGTCCATCCTTGGTGACAGTATATGGAATATTCATAACACCAGCATTATCTATATATATATATATATATATATAAGAAAAGTGAGGTTAATATAGACAAAGGACACCAAAATTATCTTTAAATATAATTCTAATCATGATAAATATACTTACTAATAAGAACATCGATTTTCTCTTCCCTGAGGAATGATTTCATCTGTATAACAAAGGTATGCACATCATCGAATGAACAAAGATCCAAAGTATAAAACATCACATCGTCTGACCCTGTCAATTCCTTTAATCTATGCTGGGCTTGTTTTCCTAGACTGGACGTTCTTGATGCTTTGAATACAACCCAAAAAAAAAAAAAAGGTGAGTAATAAATGAGATAGATATAACTATGCATAAAATTCATTATTACCAATAATCACACGAAAGCCAGCCATCAAAAGTCCACGAGCTATTTCAAATCCTATACCAGAATCGCCACCTATCATGATGATGAAGTAAGTCCATGATATTTTTTTCATATCTAATTTTTTTTTTCCTCTGAAAATGTTCTGATTACCTGTGATAATAGTAGTACGTTTGGTACTGGAAGAAATTCCTTGAGCATCCTTGACAAGTTGATCAATGGCATATTCGGTTGTCAAATGGGATGGAGCACCTAGTAATCCACGTTTCCATATCAATGTTGAGATTGTTTCTACAATACCCAGCAAGTAAACACATATTAAAGGCGGAAGAGCAAGTTGATGAAGAAGTAGATTGCATTGTTGTAAGGTCATTGTAGCACGAGGATGAATACCAAGAGGAGAATCTTCATGTCTATTGAAGGCATTATCACGACGAAGAATATAGATCAGATAAAGAACTGAAAATATCCATACAAAGATAAGAACATATATCCATATCATTATGGTAATTGTGGAGAGACAGAAAGAAAAGGAAAAATAAAAGAGGAACCGAAATTTTTTAATTGTGCATTTTCTTTTTCTTGGAGCTGTGCTTGAAAAAGTCTTTTTCTTTTTCTTTTTTTTTTTTTTTATTGGCTGGGGACTTCTTCTTTCTTTCTCCCTGGTATTCAAAACTTTTTGACTATCACATAATGTCCAACTTTTACTGGAAAGCAGGAAGTCTTTTAGGTCAAAAAAAAAAAAAAAGAAATAGGAACATATCAAAACATGCATTTACTCATACTACCTGTATTGGAACATGTTTATTCTTTCTAGGGTTATCGTCTGTTGGTTTGGCAGCTTTTGGGACACATGGTCTTGCAAAATATGTCAACAATGATACTACAAAGATTGGAGTAAGCTCATATCAATTGAATAAATAATTGAATATTTATTTTTTTTTCAAAAAAAAAAGGAACACTAGTTAATTTGTGTATTTATTGGTGAATAATAGAATTGGAAATTGGCTGCTGAACTACAATTTATGAATGCAGTAACCTTACTTGTATTATCTTCCATCCCTCCTTCTGTCCGACGAATCCATCCTGCTGCTATGCCTTGTATACTAGGTGGTGCTTTGGCTTTTAGTGGATCAATTTATCTTTTAACTCTTAAGAGAGATCAATTCCGTGCCTTGGGCCCTGTCACTCCTCTTGGTGGATTAAGTATGATGGCTGGGTGGGCATGTCTTCTTTTGTGATATCTTTTTTTTTTTTAATCACATGTAGCTAGTTATCTTTATTTCTAATTCGTTTGTTTATATATGAATAAAGTCAAATAATCCTTCATGATTATGTACGTTGTGAATACCTATATGGTTTTTATAATCTTCATACTCTTATACTATATAGTCGTCTTTAATATCTATGAATGAAATTAAGTATGATACTAACTAACAACAACAATAAAGAAAAAAAAACACCATCATGATTGAAGTCAGAGAAAGAAAAACCCAACAACAGGATACTTTTGAACAATTGTCCTCTTTTAGTCGAATGACTTCGATTGTCCTTGATATTTATCTTTTTTTTTTATATATATTTATAGAAAATCATCATCACCATCATTATGCATTGCATATATAGGAGTTCAACATTCTATTGGCTTTTATTTCACTGTCTTTTTCTATAGTTATACATTGAGGGAGGGTATCTCTTCTACTATTCTATTGTATCCATCAATAATCATTGCCCTTGCTACGACGCGCTGATTTTTTGTTTGAATGTCGCTGTTTCAGTTCTTTCCGTTTACCATCTTCATATTGTCGTCTAGTATAGAAAAGAAAAAGAGTTAATATTCACATATCCAGTTTGCATGGATGATTCTATCGCCACTTACCTCTTTTCCAGTCGTGCTAGTGACTCTGGATCAGCTTCACGTTGGACCATCACTGCCTGCTTGATCATCCCAGTCAATTTCTCGTAACAGTCTTGTACGTTTTTGCCTTGTGATCGTGTTCTATCCGAAGTAATTACCAGTTCACCTACTTTATTCAACCTATGTGAAGTCTGTTCATAAATACAATAATTCATTAGAGCTATTCTTTTGTTTTAATATAATATACATCTATCTTACCTTGAGTTTCTCTCTTGCATAAGCTGGGATCCAGTGTGCATTGTCTAATTGGAGCCGCAAATCCACTTTGGTGCTAACTACAAGGAAAACAAAAAAAGAAAAAGGAATATGATAAGAAAAATAAATAAATAAATAAATAAGAACGTTGCACCATTGACAAGAATCAATTAAAAAGTACAGGAAAAAGAGACTTGCCTTTGTTGACGTTCTGTCCACCAGGACCACTATGAAAACAAAAACAAAAAAAAAAAGGAATAAGTCATAACATCATTTAATGAAACAAAAAAGGGAATGATACCTTTTTTTATCTATTACCTACTACGACTATAAGCTACTGTCACTTGGTCTTTTGGAATGCTATCCTTGCTGAATCGAGCGATCCATTGTTCGGCTTCATTGTATGTAAATGGCTTGGATACTGTCGAATACCATCGGGTCCATTGAGACAAAGTTAACTTTTTGGAAAATGTCCATAATATCATATCAGTAAAATTAAGAAGAAAGAATAGAAAAAAAAAGAAACAAAATAAAGAATGACAGAAATAATAAAATCCCATAGGTATTAAATCGCAGCTGGAGACAAAAAAAAAAAAAAAAAGAGATATTTGGTAACAAAAAAGTTCAAAAGACAAAAAAAAAGTCTTTTGAGACAATCTTTTTATTTAATATAAAATGATGATTAAAAAAAAAAAAAAAAGAGTTAACACACATGACAATACATACACCACTATATGTAATCATCATTTCATGTCCATTCCACTAGATCCTTTTTTCTTTTTTTTTTTCGTCGTTTCCTTTTTGATGTCTAATCTAAGCCTTGGTTTCTTCAGCAGAAGCATCGGCAGCAGGAGCTTCGGAGGAAGAGATATGGGCCTTCAACACATCCATGGCTTCAGCAATCTTGCTATCCAAAGCAGCTTGTTCTTCCAACAAATTCAATAATTCACTGTTGTCCATTTCCAAAAGCATACCAGTGATCTTGCCAGAGTACTCGGGTTGTTGAGCATGGATCAAAGGATATAAACGTTCACCAAGCATTTGCTTTTGCATTTCAGGAGGAGCAGAGGCCAAAGCAGCAGCAGTCAAAGCACCATTATCTTGTTGTTGTTCTTGACCATTGGTGGCAGTACGGCCTTGTTGTTGCTTACGTTGACCAGCAGCTTGACGGTTACCTTGAGCATGAGCAGCACCACGAGCAGGACGAGGACCACGAGGAGGACGACCTTGCATGTTAGGATTGAAACCTTGAGGGTAACCCATGGGTTGACCTTGTTGAGGTTGAGGAGCCCAACGAGGACGAGGCATCATACCATTAGGAGGGAACACAGGACGTTGACCTTGACCCATGAAACCACCAGGAGGACCATAAAACATGGGAGCACCAGGCATGTAACCAGGAGCACCGGGCATAGGAACAGCCTATTACAAAAAAATAAAAAAAAATTAAAACTCTATTATTTTCTTTTTTCTTTATTATTATTATTATTCTATTTGTACTTACTTGTTGCATACGCATTTGGTTACGTTGGGCCATTTGAGCTTCTAATTGAGAACGACGAATTTCCTTACGTTGAGCCAAAGCAACATAGATAGGCTTGGAACCAATCATACGACCATTCATTTCAGTGACAGCCTTGGTAGCTTCATCAGGAGAGGAGAAACAGACGAAACCAAAGCCCTTGGAGTTTTCCTTTTCATCACGCATGATCTTGGCGCTAGTGATGACACCATAAACAGAGAATTCTTGACGAAGCTTTTCATCATCAATATCATCATCCAAGTTCTTGACATAGAGATTGACACCTTGGTACTTGGCAAGTTTTTCCATCTTGGCTTGTTCGTATTGACGACGGAGTTCTTCTTCACGTTCAGCTTTCTTTTGAGCACGGCCAACATACAAAGTCTTACCCTTGTGTTCAGTTTCATTGAGACTGTCAACAGCCTTGTGAGCATCTTCAAAGTTTTCAAAGTTGACAAAACCAAAGCCCTTGGAGTTACCTTCTTCATCCTTGGAAATCAATGCAGAGGTGACAGGACCAAATTTGGTGAACATGGCAGTGAATTCATCATCAGTGACTTCAGTATCGAGGTTCTTGACGTACACATTGGTGAACTTGGCACGTAATTCTTCGATCTTGGCTTGACGTTCCTTACGAGGGACATGGTGACCGACGAACCTATGATCATATATATTTTATGAGCCACTACATTCCTCTTTTCAATGTATAAAAAATACTTACACTTTCTTGTCGTTCAATAACATGCCATTGACATGTTTGATGGCATTTTCAGCAGCTTCTTCAGTTTCATAATGGACAAAACCGTAACCCTTGGAGTTTCCACTTTCATCCAAAGCAATCTTACAGGACAAAATGTTACCAAAGGCAGAGAAGGTGTCATGTAAAGCCTTGTTATCAATAGAGACGTCCAAGTTCTTGATGAAAACATTACCAGAACCAGTCTTACGGAGAGAGGGATCACGTTGAGACCACATGATACGACAAGGTTTGCCCTTCACCAAGGTGTAGTTGAGAGTTTCCAAAGCACGTTCACCTAAGAGAAAAAAAATTCATTAATAACTAATTAAATACTGCCATCTTATTTTTATTTTATTTTACCATCAACAACATTGTGGAAGTTAACATAAGCATAACCCAAACTACGTCTGGTAACGGCATCACGACATACACGAATAGAAGCAACAGGACCGATCATGTTGAACATTTCAAAGAGCATAGCTTCGGTAACAGAGACATCGAGTTCACCTACATAAAGAGAAGCAGTAGTGGAAGGGACAGCACCAGTAACTTCTTCAGGTTGTTGTTGTTGAGGAGGAACAACAGGAGCTTCAGCAGCATTCATGATAGGAGAAGACATTTTTATATAGTTTTTCAATTTTTTTTTTAAAAAGTAAAAATAGATTTTATATAGTTTTTTTTCTTTTTTTTTCAAGTGAATATGATTTTACAAAAAACAAGTGACAAAGTCAAAGTTATAATGAAAAATCAATAATAAAAAAAAAGGGTGGTGGTGGAAATGAGTGTGTTGGTGAAAACAAAAAGGAAAGAAAAGAAAGAAAACTTTTTTTGGTCTTGTCAGGTGTAAATAAGAGAGAAAAAAAATTTTTAAGCTGGAGTTTAATTCGTTCAGTTCCATATTTGGATCACGTTTGTATTATTATGTGTTAAGTTTATGTGTCAAGTTGCTGACTTGATTTCATTGGAATAAATTAGAAAAAACTCATCCATACATTTGAATTTTATATAATTTAACCAATCATTACGTTGATAATCAATTGATCCAATCAATTTTATCACCAAAGAAACCCTTTTCCTGATACAAACGTTGTATGTGTGTACCTGAATAATCTCTTTTTTGATTCTCCGTTATAGTCAAGTCAAATCTAAAGCTTTTTTATTATTATTATTATTTTTATTATTATTTTCATATAATAAAATAACTATGAGTATAGACCTCACTTGAATTGATCCAAATAACATGTAGGACAAGCATATCCTCACTAATGCCGTTTTTGAATGACAGACCACTTTAAATCTACATTTTTATTGGTTAAACTTGATAATCATGATTTCCTAAAAAATGATCTTTTCTTTTTTAATATAAACAGACATCCAAATGTTAAAGTTGCCGCTAAAAAGTGGACTTTTGCTACAAACAGGTAATCATCATGTTCTAACGTCGTACCACTCACTATTAATATTCGGTCCTCAAATTATACACTTTATTCACTATATAAAAGTAATTTTCTCTTTTTTCACTTTCTTCTTCATCACTTTTTTTTTTTTTTTTGTATTTTATATAATCCCCCATTCCTTACCCTTTCCCTTCCTTCCTATCTTGTCAGTAATGAAAATCACCTTTTGTATTACTGCTCTTTTGGCAGCTTTGGCTGTAGATGCGGCTCCTCATCATTTAGACCAAGGCAATGTTTTCACTTTACAATCTAATCCTCATTACCAACGTAACGCCACCAATGAAGTGTACCATTCTGTATCCAAGTATGCTCGATTCAGTACTGCTGTTAAATCACTTGCTGTAGGGAATGTGCCTGTCAAAAACTATCATCATGACCTTGCTTATTATGGTGTTGTAACCATCGGTACTCCTCCTCAAAAGTTCAACATCAATTTTGATACTGGATCATCTGATTTATGGGTAGCTTGTAAGTAATCATCACCATTTTTTTTTTTTTTTTTTTTTTTTTTACTTATTCGTTGAATTCAAATATCCATTTAGCTACTCTTTGTTCTTCTTGCAAGGGACATAAAAAAAATTTGTTTGATCCCAAGAAATCAAGTACCTATCAAAAGGATGGTCGTCAATGGAACATTGGTTATGGTGATGGATCATCTGCATCAGGTATTGTTGGGTATGATACTGTTCGTTTAGGTAGCCTGACTATCAAGAAACAAGGTATCCAATTGGCTAAACAAGAATCATCCTCTTTTAATAACGATCCCATGGATGGTATTTTGGGTTTGGCTTTTCCTTCCATCTCATCTGTCAAAATCAATACACCTATCACGAACTTGATCAACTCAAAAACTTTGACATCTCCCGTTTTTGGTGTTTGGCTTGGAAAAGATAATCAAGGTGGTGGTGGTGGTAAAAAAAAAAAAAAAAAAAAGAAAGTTAAAAAAGCACTCCCTTATTTGTACATCAGGAACAATTTTGGTGTCTAACACGACCTCTTTCCCCTTTTATCCATTTTTTTAAAAACAGAATATACTTTTGGTGGATACAACAAGAAGCATATCAATGGTCCTTTGACTACCGTTAAAGTCGATAAATCTCAAGGTAAAGAACACATATATGATGATTGATTGAAGGGATGATGGGTGATCGAATGGATGATGGATGATTGAATGGATGATGGATGATTGAATGGATGATGGATGATTGAATGGATGATGGATGATTGAATGGATGGTGATTGATTGAATGGATGATGGATGATGGCAACGATAGATGATGACAAAGGGGATATCTTTTTCTAATTTTTTTTTTTCCTCATATCTCATGCTGTTGATGATGATGCTGATTGCTGTTAAAATAGGCTTCTGGGGTGTCAATGTAAGCCAACTGAAATCAGGCAACAAGAAGATTCATGGTTCCTTCCATGGTATTCTAGACACTGGTACCACACTTCTTATTTTCCCTGATGCGATCGCCCAGGAAGTGGCAAAGGCATATAAGGCCAAGGACAATGGTGATGGTACATTTACTATTGACTGCAATGTGTCTAAGCTCAAACCATTACAATTGACAATGGGTGGTAAAGATTTTGAAGTGAGTCCTGATTCCTTGGTATACCAAAAGAATGGATCTAAATGTACTGCTGGTTTTGGATCTGCCACTGATTTGAATTTTGCCATTATTGGTGATACTTTCTTGAAAAATAACTATGTTGTATTCAATCCCAAGGTACCTCAAGTACAAATTGCTGCATCAAAGAAATGAAGCGTAGTAATATAATAATTATGATTATCCTATTTTATGTAATAAAAACTCCAATTGTAATTTTACAAATTAGCGGTGATTCGTTTTTTTATATTGGATGCACGTCGTGAACTTCTTCATATTCTACTTGTGTAACAGCATAAAAGTTCTAATAAAATGATGAACCAATGCAAATAATCATATACCAGGTATTTTTTAAAGTTTGACTTTTATTTGAGAAAAAAAAAAAAGATATGTACACAAACAAAAAGGTAAAAAAAAAAAAAAACAAGGTATCGATCAAAATAACGATATAAAAGAACGGAACTCAAACTAACAAAAAAAAAAAAAGTAAATAAATAGGAGGGGGGAGAGAGAGAGAGAGAGAGAGATGGATGGGTATGATATCAAAGTAATTTACTAAACTATGTAGATAGGAACTAACTAATCAAAGTAAAATGGTGAGAAGAGATGGAAGATGCAGATGTAAAAGAATATATATAAGGAATCAATGAGTTGGGATAAATCAATCTTCTATCAAAAAGTCCTCCATGATGGATTGGCTAACATCTTGAATACGGTCGTCAAATTGAGCATATAAAATACTTTCGATTTCGGACAGCCATAGATGTAACCATTCAGTCATAGCCTTGGTTGCATCGGATTGTTGTCTTTCGTTATAATAATCAGATTCATCGGAATTCCATGATGTAGTAAACGATGATGATGATGATATAGTAAGACGAATACGACGACGACGATGACGAGGTTGTTGTTTTTCTGAATTGGTGAATGGTACTGATTGACGAATAATAATATCAGCAGCTTCCTTGGCGTTAACAATTAATCCCAATTGAATAGACATTCGTTGATTCAATACAGTCAATGTTTCTGTCAATTGACTTGCGATGGCATGTGCTGTACTGGCAAGATGATCATCATTTTTTGTTTTATATTTGTTGTTGTTGGTAGATGATGTCATTTTCAAAGGTAAAGCTGGTAAATTGGAATCCACAAGTGGGCGTACAGAAGCAATCAAGTTGGCTCTCATAAAATTGAGATGATCACGAAGCGCATGGATAAAGGGGCATAACGAAGCTTGACAATCATTCACTATATATATAAAAAAAAGGGGGAGGGGGGGAAGAATATGAGTAAGTTTAAGAAAGGAGTTTCGTGAAAGGGAGATAATCATAAACAAAACGTAGTGACAGGTTATCAAAAAAAAAAAAAAAAAAGGGAGTTCTTTTTTTTTTTTTCTTACCATGGTCAGGATAGAGTAAGGTATAAGAATGAGGAGCAGAACTGATAATATCGTCAATGGTAGTTTCCATAACTTGATCTACAATACTTTCATAGTAATCGGTCAAACTATTTGAAAGCATATAAGAGTTGATAGGAGTTGAAGGAATAACATAGGGCTTCAAGTCAACTTGTGGTGATGATAGAATAGTTTGTTCGTCTTTTTGAAGTGGTAAGGCAGATACGTAAAAGAAGAAAGAAGAGACAAAGAAGAGAATAGAAGAAAGCATATCTTTTTTTTTTGTTTTGTTTATTATATTGATAAAAGAAGGGAAGGAGGAGGAAAGAGGAAGAAGGGAATAAAAGAAAGGAATGGGTTTAATGAATATTAAAAAAAAAGTATAATGTAAAAAAAAGTAAAGAAAGAAGAAAGAAAAAAAAAAAAAGGAAGGATTTTGAATTTTTATGTAAAAAAAAAAATCAGGAATTACTGACAAAGTTACACAACGTAAAGTTCCCAAAGTTCCTTTCAATCCCCCCATATAAACTAAAATAATCATCATGATTTCTTCTTTTTCGTTAATTTTTGAATATCCCGGATTAAATCTTTTTCTTTCCAAAATCTATTTACAATAAAATAAAAATAAATAAAATAAATAAATCATAATAATAATAATAATAATATTTAACTTACAATACAAGACAAACTAAACAAAAACATATACAACCAATTCCAATATGTAATAACTTTTGTTGAAAGGATTGCCAACCAATCTTTTCTTGAGATAAAAATGTCAATATCCAACTAATTCCAAAACAGGTTAATGTTGTTCCACTTGGTAACCAAGATCCAAATTCTTCTTCTTGAAAGAACCATCTTATATAATACCAACTATAAGTAATTCGAATACAAAGATTCACCATATTTGCTAATACTAATCCAATAGCACCTAATTGAAGTATATACATAAAAAATATACCAGCTGTCATAAAACAAAAAGAGAATCCTATCATATAATAACTTAATCTTGCCAAATCAGATTTTGATGCTACAGCTTGAACAAATCCTTCAGTAATACCATTGATTCCCATCACAGGTACATATATACAATAAAATGATAATACCAAAGGAGCATCACCTTGAGACCATTTCTTTCCAACCAAAAGATCAATCAATGTTGATGTATAATTTGTACCAAAACTTATAAATATTAATCCAAGTATCACATGAAATCGTAATATTAAAATTAATACATCTTTTGCCATCTTTTTTGATTCTTGTTTTCCATTCTTGTTCAATAATTTAGAAAATAATGTACGTCCTGTCTCTTCTAATGGCTGAAATAAAATACGTACAATCAAAGATCCTATATAAAAAATAAAAATAAATTTCAATTTTTATTTATCATCATTCTTTTTTTTTTTTAAAAAAAAAATTAAATTAAAATTACCATAGTTAACCACAAATGCATAAACACCTTGATCAGCATCTGAACTTAAAACAGATACTAACATTTTGTCACCTTCAGTAAGTATATGTTTCAATAAAGATTGTTTTGTCAATGTAGATCCTAGTGTAGTCAGTGTTGAATCAAACCAAAATGTCCTTTTTTTTTTTTAAAAAAAAAAAATAAAACGTATGAAAATCATCATCATCATCATCATCATCATCATCATCATAATAATAATAAAAACACCAAGTTTATACTATTTTTTTTTTTTTATTTACCTGCCATTGGAAGAAATCAATTTTCTTGGTAATAAACTTGATAATGTCATTTCTCCTTTTTTCACTTTAAATAAAAAGTAACCAGAATAACCCAAACATATAGTCAAACCAAATACGAATTGAGCAACAGCAAAGGCTAAAACACCAAAAGTATTTTCATCGATATCTGATCCAGTTGCACCCCATAGTGTTAATCCAAATGTAATCAAACATCTAAGTATAACTGCCACACCTTCTATAGTCACACGTAATTGAAAATACATACGATTCAATGACATAATAAATAGAGGTTCCACACAAAGTTCAATCAAAGCTGCAGCACCAAATAAGATAACAGATATACGATAATACGGATATAAAGTTGCCACTGTATCATCAATTGTATAAAGATAATAACTACAAGCCAAACATGTTGTTATTAGTCCAAAAGCTGTAGGAATATATGAAGCATTGGTCACTTTTTGTTCAAGACCTTCAAGGGTATTTTCAGGTACTGGTCCAATATTTGTTTTGTTATTCTTGTTGTTGTTGTTATTGTTTGAATCACCACGTACTAAAGCACATCTATATCCTTCGCGTGATATAAATAAGATGGTAGAAAGTAATAGTTCAAGTTTGACTGAAGCAATACCAAAAGTTTCAGCAGTTGTATAACGTAATATGATTTGATGAAGAAAAAAGGTAAGCATTCGAGATATTAATTGTAAAAGGATAAGATAGGAGGCACCTTTAGCAGTTGAAGATAATAAATTATTGTCATTTTTGGTGTTATCCGATGAACTATTGTTAATATCTATTTTCGGTGTCATTGACTTCAAAAAAAAAAAAAAAAAAAGAGTAAAAGAGAAAAAAAAAATGATTTTTTTTTTGTGGAACTCTTGATGAAAAGGGTAATTTTAATCTCCGGATTGGATCATGATCATGATTAAGTTACCAAATGAAAGTAATCAAAAAGACAAGTTCAATAAATAAATTAGTAAATGAATAAGTAAATAAATAATGATAAATGATGATGATGATAGTTATTTTGGTACAGGAGATGATTTTAGAAAAAAAAAAAAAAAAAAAGGGGAAGTATGTGCTGAGTGTGAATCAATTACTTTTGCATCCTCAAAATTAGATGAACTTTTTTTTTTTTTTTTTTTTTTTTTTTTTTTTGTTCGTTTTCTTTCTTTCCCATCTTTATATTTTTCTCCTATTTCTTTTATCTCCCTTCTTTTTCTTTTTCAATCTTTTATATCACATTACTGTTACTCTATTCTTTCATTTACTTATTTTTTTTTTGTAAAAATACGCGTTGTATATACCTCCTTTTTAGTCTATTGATACTACCATCACAATGGAGATTTTTGGCATGACCAAAAATAAGTCAAAACAACGGTCTAGACTAACTCCAGATACTACTGTTCCTTTTTCAACAAATACAGACAATATACTTCCACCTGCGCGAACTTGGTCATCACATACTTCTGAACACTCTTATACAACTTCTGCTCCTTCTTATACATTGGATGATTATTATGGTGGAGGTAATATATATATATATATATATATATTATATTTTATATATAAAAAAAAAAACTTTTTTTTTTCTTCTATAGGTGATCTCTCTCCAACAAGCCCTCAATCTCCTGTTATAATAGATCCTTCTCCAAATGCATATAATGGTTTAACTGAAAAAGAAGTAGAAGCTCTTTTTGAAAAAATGCTTGTAAGTTGAAATTATATCCATATATATTATATATATATAATAATATTATTTTTTGGTATAGACTCGCCGTGGTATTCATGATGGAAATGCTCGCTCTGTTATGCTATCATTTCCTACTGAAAAGAAATGGTTAATGGTATCTCAAGATAAACAAGCAGAAACAACCTTACCCGCTCCTATGGCAACGACTTCTTCCTCTAGTAAAAAAAATCATCATCATCACGAATATAAGGAACCCGACAAAAGTACACCTGAATTCTACATCAAACAATTTTTGGAACCTGATATGTCTGGTGTTACCCCTAGATTGGTTGCTCATCTAGCCGTTAGTCTCCGTACAATGCCATTAAGGTAAACCAATACAATATAATATATATATATATATATATATACATATATATACGATGAATTGATCTTATCTTTTTTTTTTAATACATATATCATAGTTGGGTACGTCAGTTTATTGAATCTCGGGGTTTACAAGTGATTACAAATGTCATTGGCATGTTGAACAAACGGGAACAAAAGTAACTAATTGAACATCAAGAAGATGATTTAAAGAAATTCATTTTTTTTTCTATTATGATTCTTCTTCAGGACCGAAGCTGATTTACAAATGGAAGCAGAAATTCTCAAATGTTTCAAGTCATTAATTAATAATAGGGTAAGATATAAAGGAATCTAAAAAAAAAAAAAAAAAAAAAAAAAAAACAAGGAAACTTAGTGACATTTATGGTTATTATTTAGTGGGGTGCCCGTGAAGTGATTGCCAATCCTCAATGTATCTATCATATCGTACTTTCATTGGTATCACCTCCTGTAACAACAAGAAAACTGGTTTGTGAAGTACTTGCTTTTGTTTGCCATGTGGATTTACCAAAAGGTCAAGAAATTGTGTTACAGGGAATGGAAAAATTAAAGGAATATCGACATGAATATGGACGATTTGATGCTTGGCTCAAGATATTGGAAGCTACTTTGGATGGTCGTGGTCGTATGGGTAGTCTAGTTGGCGCTAGTGAAGATATCAAACGACTTGGTGGTGCTCCTGATAATCAATTGAGTGATTATGCCGTAAGTTCTTGATATATATATATATTATCTACTTCTAATCAATGATTTTTACTTCATATTATAGCTTTCAAATATGATGCTTGTCAATTCGATTATTACTGTCATTGAAGATTCTGAAATTAGAGTCCATCTCCGTAATCAACTGAATGCTTGTGGTCTTCAACGTATCATGGATAAGATGATGGAATATAACAATGAACACCTACGACGACATATTACCATCTATAAACAAATGGGCAACAATGATTATGAAGATATGCTTGAAACTTATAATGACAAAATTCTCAGCAATATGGATGATCCTCGTGATGTTTTTGAATCTATTTTACATCGGGTGGAAGGTACAAGAGGATACGATTTTTTACTCAGTGCTCTACAACATTTATTACTCATTCAAGATCAAGGCCCTGTTCAGTAAGTTAGCTTCTTTATACTTTTATTAAATCATCAACAAAATGATAAAACTTATTTTATTATTTATTATTAGAGTACGATACTATCAATTACTCGATAATCTGGTAACTCAGATAGTACTGGATAGAAAAGGACTCTCATCTGATGATTTTTCTGGTGGCGTTGGTTGGTCTGTAGCATCTCTCGTGGAAAAATTTGCAGAACAAGATCAGTTACAAACGGCAATCAATGAAGCAAGAGAATCGAAGAAAATGTATGAAAAGGCTATCAAGGAAAAGCAAGAATTGGAGATGGAAATCGGTTTACAAGGAGGTAAATTATTTTAAATGAAAAATAAATGTTTTTTTTTTTTTTTTTTTTTTTTTTTTTTTTTTTTGGTTTGTTTAATGTGAAAATGTCACTCACTGAATTTATAACCTAGATGGATTGGTTGGACAACTTAAAGACAAAACAAATTCATTGGAAGATTTGCTACGAATGTCTCGACATACAATCACAACGCTACAACGAAAGCTGAAAGATGTACAACAGGAATATCAAATGAATATCGCAGCAATGGATAAGCAATTGAAGGAAATGCATCAACTGGCTGTGGAAACGAATGCTGATATCAAGGCACAATATGGTGGTGATCAAGCAGGCCAACCTACTCATTTTGTTGTTGGAAGAAATGATGTTTCGCGTGCTTATGATAGATTACGAGCTCAAGCGATCTTGGAAGGAAAACCTGGGGAAGAATCTGAAGTAAATTAATAGAAATTAGTGTACATAAATGAAGGCTAATTCCTTATTTTATACATGTTATTAGGAAATACCCAAGGCTGAAGGTCTTTCTGATACTTTCAAATCAACGCTGACGCAACAACTAGGATCATCTAATGTACCGAATGGTTTTGTTATTCCTGGAACTTTGCCTTTGATTGGATCAACAAGACGTGGCATGCAGCAATCTTTACGTAATGAGGAAACGCCTGAATATGAAAGCGGCAATAAGGAACAGCAACAACGACAACAACAACAACAACAACAACAACAGCATGGGAATGGTATCAAAATGCAATATGAAGTCAAAGAACAAATGGATGAATTATTACAAAATGTTAATAGTGCAACAGTAGAATCGATGGAACATACTGATAAGCCTATCAGTGCTCTTGCTGCAGAATTAGAACAACAACTACGAAAAACAAAAGATGGAAAGCCTCTGCCTCAAAGAACAACATCTTCAACGACATTCAAGCAACAGGAAAACACAGAGAACAACAAAAAAATGTCTGTTGATCAACCTTCTCGATCATCATCATCTACTGGTGTCACATCAACTATATCTTCAACATCAGAACAAGGTACTGGTGAAATTCCTCCTCCACCACCGCCACCACCCATACCTGGTATGACCACCACTGGAATTCCACCACCACCACCACCTCCTCCTCCTCCTCCATCTGGAATATCAGCAGGCTCGATACCAATTCCACCTCCTCCTCCTCCAGCTGGGGTATCAACAAACTCCATACCTCCTCCTCCTCCGCCTCCACCACCAACTGGGATATCATCAAGTGCCATACCTCCTCCACCACCACCTCCTCCTTCCTCTTTCTCTTCGTCATCTGAACCTTCCAAAACAGAAAATGACGCTTCTGGAATCCCAGTACCTGCTCCTCCTCCACCACCACCTCCATCTGGATTACCAAATGCACCTCCTGCACCTTTAATGGCTCCATTACGAAAGACAATGCGCTACCAACCGGATGTCAAGACACGAGCTCTTCAATGGACAAAAATGCAAGCTAACTTTATTAACAAGACAGTATGGGCAAGTAATGATATTGATGAAATGGCATTGGAAGATGAATTGGAAACAATTGGTGTATTTGATTCTATCCAAGAACTATTCGCTCAAAAGGTGATTGAAAGAAAGAAGCGACAAAAACAAGAACGAAAACAAGAAATCTGTATTTTGGATTCTAAGAAAGCATACAATATCAGTAAGTGAGGAAAAAAAAAAAAAGGTAATATATGGCACCTGGTAGATTGATTCATTTTTTTTCTTTTCTTTTAGACATTGCTTTATTGGCCAAGTTCAAACATATTACTTTTGCAGATGTTGCTACTCGTATTCTCTCTATCGATGACAAGTTTTGTACCGAAAATCTCTTGTCCAACTTACAATTGAATGTACCTACAGCAGAAGAAATGGGCAAGTTATCTGTATTTGTCAAATCTGCCTCAGAGGAAGAATTGGAACAACTATCAAAACCAGATACTTTCTGTGTCGAGGTAAGAGAAAAAAAAAGGTAGAATATACTACAGCTTATTGATGTTTTTTTTTTTCTGTGCGTAGATGATGAAAATCGATCGTTATAAGGAAAGAATCGACAATATGCTATTCAGATGTACCTTCAATGAAAAATATCAGCAACTCGCAAAGGTAAAAATAAAAGTACATGAAACAAATGTCGTCATCTAATTTTTTTTTTTTTTTTTGTTATTGTATAGAATATGAGCTCTGTGTTAGAGGCATCCATTGCTTTGAAGGATTCGTCTTCATTTAAGGAATTATTACGAGTAAGTGAAATGGAATATTTATACATCGTTGTAGATACTTATTTCGTCATTACTTTATTACTAGCTCATTCTTGTGCTTGGAAACTTTATGAATGGAACCACCTTCCAAGGTGGTGCTTTTGGTGTTAAGATCAGCAGTATCAACAAGGTAAAACAAATATATATATACATCATTTTGATAGGGGATGAAGAAAATAGGAGAAAGTCCTAATGATATAACTCATCTTTTGTATATATGTCTTAGCTTGTCGACACAAAGGGAACAGAAGGGGATACAACATTGCTTCACTTTTTGGTGGATACAGTGGAAAGTAAGATGCCACGGCTTCATGGGTTTTTGGATGATCTTCAAGAAACAGGTCATGCATGTCGGGTGACCTTACAAGACATGGTAAAAGATTACAATGAAATTCGAAGTGGATTACAAAAGCTTTTACAAGAGTTAGACAATCACTATGGCGATGATTATGAAGCACCTGAAGGAGATCATTTTGCGAAGACCATGTATGCATTCAGAAATGAAGCCATTGACAAATTTGAACAGCTCGAAGTCCGGTATACCTCTATGGATGTGGCTTACAAAGATGTGGTTACCTTCTACGGTGAAAATCCTGATCAGATGAAGCCTGATGAATTCTTTGGTATCTTCAAGACATTTACTTCTAGTTGGGAGGTAATGATTTAAATAATAATAGAAATAATTGAATACAGTCATGTTTTACTTAACAAGTTTAACTCTTCTTTTTTTTTTTTTAACTATTATATTAGCGTGCTATGAGTGACAACAAATCAGCAAGATTGAAACTTGAAAATATGGAACGTGTACGTCGTTTGGACGAAGAAAGGAAGGAAAGAATCAAGGCACAAAAACTTCGAGGTGTGGACACTAGCGACGGTAAGTTGATCGTATAAATTATTATATCATCCTCATTTTCTATTTTCTATTTTTTTCTAGTGGGAAGTACAAGCAATGATGAGGACAAGAACATCATGGACAACTTGCTGGACAAATTACGTGCTGGTGAATTGGATACAAGTACAAAGAGACGTGGAGAACGTTCAGCAGCAAGACAACAAGCACGTATGCAACGAAGCGAATCGGTATTGGCTCTTCAAGCAGAAGATTTACTCAAAAGTATTCAAACAGATGATACATCATCCCCTTTTGTTCCTAGATCTAGATTACTTGCCCAAAATTGATCATGTTGTTTTATATATTATTATTATTATTATTCTTTTTGGTATGTTTGTACAATACAAGCATAACTTTTTTTTTTATATCATTCATTTCATTCCTTTTTATTATTCTTATTTTTTTTTTTATTTTATACAATATATCATGAATAAAATCTATACAAATACCTTTAAATAGAAATCATGCTATGATGGGTGGTTGTTAGATATTAATCCCTATATCATGATGATTGCCCCTTAATGATTGTTGCCTCAATTTGACTTTATTCTTTACAAATAATATCCATCGTCAGCCTTATATTCCGCAGAAATGAACCAAATTGTCTTTGATGCTGATCAACAAAACCAATGGGAATAAAAGTAAAGATTGATATAAATCCTTTGATTTCGAAGGATCTAGCAGATGGCCAGAGCGTTTATTATTTATAAACAACAAATGATACAAAATGAATAATACTAATGAAATAAAAAGAAAATCATGTAGTGAATAGTAATATATAAATAGGAATATAAATGGTGTTTGTGAATGGACGGAAAGAAAAGAGAAAGATAAAAAAGAATAGGTTGGTACGCATGCTAAAGAAAAATAATAATAATAAAAAAAAAGTAGATGAATAAATGAAAAAATAAAAGTAAAAAAAATAAAAAAAATAAAAAAAAAACAAGGAAGAGATGGAAGATGAGATATTCTAATCGTCAGATTTTTGCTTCTTGTTGGTACTTTCTTCTTCATCACTGTCATCTGCCGCACGTTTCTTCAAACCCTTCATCTTTCTAGTTTGAATCTTGTGTAATTCTTGTTGTCCCACATGGATACGACCAAGCTTATCACCCATTTCATCCACATTGACATTCTTGACCTTGGGTTTCTATTTTTTTTTTTTTTAAAAAAAAAAAAAATGAGTTATAGTGTTTTCCATTTTTTTTTTTTTGATGATCGATACCTTTAATTCAGTTGGCACCTTTGTAGCAGCCTTCCAGAGATCAGCCTTGGCAGCATTAGCACGTCGTACAACAAAGTCATAGTGAGGTCCCATTTCTTCTAATTCAACACGAGGAGTCTTGACACCACTCTTCTTCATTTGTACAGTATATGTTCGCATGACAATCTTGGTTTCTGACAAGGCAGTGAAACTAACCACGTATTCCAACCCATTCAAATTCACCGCGTCACTAGCATCCCCATTGAAGAAATCTAAAAAGTAGTTCTTGATCGATTGACAGGTTGGATTGCTATCAAATGCTTCACCATTGAATACCAACAAAGGTTTCATACCCACAGAACATTTGGTACCCTACATTAGTCACAAATATATGGAAATAAATATACTAACATACTATTTGTTATTTTATTTTATTTTACCTTGATTTGGCTCATTGATGTTGATTTTTCGACGCCGAGTTCAAACATGTCCAAGACTTGATGATTGAACATACGAATAAAAGTCAAGTTGTGAGGTCGTTTCTTCAAATGAGTACCTACTACCATCAGAGAGGCATCGTTTTTGTTGGAGAAGAATTCCAGTTTTTCTTCATCTTCAAAAGGTTTGATTTCATTCTTTTTGGTGAAATGGATAGCGTTAGGTCGTTTCATAGCATACTATAGAACAGAATAAGAATGACGTTAGATATATACAGCATTTTTTATTATTTCCAAATAAATGAAAAACTTTACCAAATCCTTCAATGCATCAGTCACTACTTGACTGGTAGTAGATCCATGTACGATCAAGGCAGTTTTGGGATTTTCATGAACTTTAGATTCTCTGTTTTTGAAGAATCGCTTGGTACGAGCAGTTTTGGGTTTACTAGAATAGAATATAAAATGTTAATAAAAGAATTGGATTGTATTCTTGGTACTTACACAGTACGCAACATGATCGATCTTAAAGAAAGAAGTAAGAGGGACGAAAAAAAAAAAAAAAAAAAAAGGGAACCGCATGTCAACCAGATATATCCGGAGGCTTAGTGTGGATCTTTGAAATCCCGCTACGAGCCACGTTCAAGCAGGTCGCCCTTTTTTTTTGTGTACTAGTCAATCCTTTTTTCTTTCTTTAACTATACCTAATGATAAACGATACCTCTTCCACACCTTATTATACCCAATGTATCCCAAAGCATTAATTCACCAACCTAACCAGAAAAGATGCGCAATACCAATACAACAACTCACGAAAGCTGATTGTATACAGTATCTCTCACAAGCATTTGAGGCACGACTAAGAAAAGAAGTGTCCCCCATTTTGGTGAAGTATTTGACGAAGAACAGTAAAGCGACATTCGAAGACGTATCAAATCATATCAAGGAAACGTATCTCAGAAAGCAAAAGGGAAGAAAAAAGATAATCGGTCTTTATGATGATGTAGTAGAAGCATACAACGAAGGTAATTTTTTCTTAATAAACAGCAAAAGATACGAATATTACAGTACTGAACTATATTATACTTATTTATTCTAGTCAATGATACCAAGATAAACCGTGTACAAGTATCTGCTTCCTTTGACACTTTAGCTATTGATTATATTCACCAGTGGCAATCTTTTATTGACGAAAGTTTGGATAACCGAGTAGGTGTCATGTACGAAAAACAACAACAGCAACAACAACGATCATTACCATCAGCATCAGTAGCAGCAACGTCGTCGTCAAGATCAATTAAATACAAGTATCATACAGTGTCATGTCCATGGAAAAGTATCTTGCGGTCGGACTTGGACGTCATTGATCAACAAATCATTAACGAAACGATATCATGTGCAAGCATAACCACAAGCGCAATGATGGACGTGGCTAGTATTGTTACAATGGATTTACAGACAAGAAGCCTGTAAGTAACTTATTCAAAAAAAAAAAAAAAAAAAGGAAGATAGAAATAGTTTAACTTCTCTTTTTTTTTTTTTTTTTTTTTTTTTACTGTTCATATGTAGTGGATCTGAAGTGAATATCTTTGATATCATACCGCAATCAAAATTTACCAAGGAATTAGATGAACCGCTGTGCTTGGCTCCTCCTAAATTAGATGATCAAAAGCGTATCCTAGCAGAATCAATGCTCACTTCAAGTTCGGATCGCAGAATGGTGGATCTATATTCAGCAAATCACCTTACTTATCTCATCACCTCTATGCAAACTTCTCAAGCCACTTCTTCTTCAGCAATAGCACCTTCATCAACGGCAGTAGACTCCACATCAGCAGTATCAGCGCAAAGTATGGATGACTGGAATTTGGATGCATCTTGTACAAATGGTCTGACGATTACTAAGTTTCCTCCTGGGATGGATAGTCTTCTGGAACCGCATCTTACCACTTTTTCTACAAACATGTTGAATATATACCGTGGTAATATGATACCATATTTATTGGACAAGGCTTTATTGACTCTTCTGCGGTGCCACCTCTCTCCAGTACGGGAACAGCGTTATCAAGAACGGAAGGCAAAGAGGTAAGTCCATCGATTAGATGCCAATCTGAATTGTAAAGTTGTCATTCATTGTCCACTTACACTAAATATGTATTTTAGAGAAGAACCTGACTCAACCCTCAGCAATCGACAGCAATGCACTGACAAAATTCTTCCAACAATGATTATTCTGAAACACCGACTTCGCAAGCACATCAGACGACTGGCAAATTTGGAAAAACGTAACGACGTTGATAAACACTACAGCATCACCAAAGAAAGTCAAGCTATCGATCGAATTAAGCAACTAATTGCTCACAAGAAGAAGAAGAAGAATATGGACAGCAAACATGACACCACAGATGACATGGAAAATGACGAGGACGACGCGGCGGACGATGTGGATAGCGATATGGAAGATGATGCGGACTTTGTTATGGACAATCTTATCGATGAAGACACTTCAATCCCAAGAAAAAGACTGCGTGCGTCAGTGTCGTCTCCTTCGACTTCGACTACAATTGCGACTACCAACACAACTACTATGACCCCAACAACGCCAACAACGCCAATACCAAAATTAGTAGTGTCAGCATCAGTAACAGAACCGTCAATGAATCGACTGAAGAAATTACGATCCGTTTTGAAATCTCTGCTTTGGAAGAAAGGAATACCATTTGATAGTACACCTCACCAATTGAAGATGAAATACGACAACTTGGACTTCAATGATAATGAAGCTACGGTGCTCATGCAATTATACAAGTTTATATCACCCTATGTTTTACGAAAAACGAATAACGAAATTGTTGATAATCACCCACTTCTCAACTATCCGCTGGCTCTGCTATTAAATATTATTCTGTACGTCACCAATTACGCCAAATTCTGTAGAAAGCTGGTTCCAAAGGTCAATCCTTCAAAAAACTACGCGGTGTTCCTGAATTCAGATTCTATGTACTATCTATTTTGTTGTTTAAAAGGTAGACAAGGCGGCACCAAGAACGACAAGGCTCCACCTTTCCATGATTTTGGATTCGATATATTCGTTAACGGTGACACCATCTCCAGCGTAACCAAGGCACGTTTATACAAAGATCAAGTTTTTGCAGGCTTTCTGGATCTATCTCATATGCAAGAATTGGCGAAGTCTCGTTCGATGGAATTCGACTACAGAGTGGCGATAACAAGTTTCGGTGTGGCAAGAATCCAGTGCAAGTCCATCGTCAAGCACAAAGACGACGACAACAGTAATAATGATGATAGCAGTAGTAAGAACCCAGCATCGACGACAACAAGAGAAAAACGCAAAGGTGGAGTGGAAAAGGACGATTTCGGAAATATGATGGCGGAAATCAACAAGGATATCAACAAGGAAAATTATACGATCAAGCGGCTTCAAAAACAATTATCGACGGCCAAAACAGACATCTCAGCAATAACGGAAAAGATCGACCAAATGAAGCCTCCGAAAAAGAAAAGAAATCGACAAAATCTGGACGATAGTAATGAAGAAATCGACGAAGCCCTGACTCCTACGCAAGATGTAAATAGTGGTGAACCGTTATATTCCCTAATCAAGAAGCGACAAGATCTGAAATCGAAACGAAACAACCTTCTACGACTGATTGTCAAAACAAAATGTTCGATTATGGATCATCGAAAAAGAAAGATGAATATATACCAAGACATATTTGGCAGCAGTGACAACAAGGCGATGACACCAACCATTTGTACGACAAAGCCTGATATCGACAGTATTGAAAAGTTTATTGGAATCGATCCTGGATTAGTTACAATGGCTCAATGTGTCGCACTTACTCAAGAACAGGTGAAATATATTCGATCACGTACAACAACAGATCCCGGCAACGCAATGGAAATTGACGATGTTGGCACCATATTCAAGACCAAAGTGAGAAGCATAAAGACGAATCAATTGCGTATCGACTCTGGATTGTCATTATTCTCTCGAACCCTAGAATATCGAAAAAAGTGCAATCACCTCCAAGTAAGTAAAAGAATAAAAAAAAGAAATCGCATCAGAAAATACAACACAATATCTAACTTCCCGTAATATAATAGTGTCAAAAGAATGGAACAAAGTCTGTTCAAAATATCGAAGCTGATTTATCTCGGTCTATGATGAAAACGTTATACAGCAACAATATCGAGAACGAGAAGGAATATCATGGGGTAGGCTTTACTACGCTAACAGCAAAAAAAAAAAAAAAAAAAAAAATCCCACTCATTTTTTATTCTTTTTACAATTACTATTAAATTAGATCAGTAAGCGTAGTAGACAACCATTACTAGACTTTTATCATACAACCAACTGGCTAAAACGACAACGCAGAACAAGACTGTGTCAAACAGAAAAAGCGTACGCCAAGTCAGCCAAAAGTTTATTAGGAGGTCAGAAGGCAATCTGCTTCTACGGTGATGCTGGACGTGGATACGGATCAAGAATCGGTGGCCATACTCGTGGCAGTCATGATGTTTTTATCGGGAAGCTCTCTGAAAAAGCTACAGTGGTGTCTATTGATGAATATCGTTCTTCAAAATTGTGTGCCTTCTGTCACATGCCCATCATTCATCCTGTCAAGACAAACAAGGACAAATCAAAGAAGATCACCAATTTAGGAACGGTTGTTTGCATCAACCCTGATTGCATCAGCCGGAAGAATGGATATGCCGCCAGAGGACGAGACGAAAATGCTTCTATCAACATAGCAATGATCGGATATGAACAGCTCGCCTTTTGTCAAACAATTCAACAATTCGAACGATCTTCTCTTCATGCTGGAGGTTTGAAAGGGAAGGTAACACTTGTATAGTGTTGGGCTGTAAGTATCAAAAAAAAAAAATAATCCCTCATTATTGATATGTCGATTAACTCATTTTTCTTTTTTTCAACTCCATCGATGGAAAATAAGTACGCCCTTTAGATGTACCTGCAATTTTTTTCTGATAGTCAACACGATTAATCTACATTCATTTTTTTTTTTATCATTTGTCTTTTTTTATTTTATTATTATAAGGAAAAGAATATGAAGATATTGAAAATATAGAATAATAAAAAACAATGAGGGAATGTTGAAAAGAGTTAAATATGCAGTCTATCTAAAAAAAGAAATAAATCAAATGTATGTATAAATCACAAAAAAAAAAAAAAAAAAAATAGAGAGAGAGTGTGTGTAAACATGTCCAATTCGTAAAACCAAAATGATGAATAATAATAATAAAATAAAAGTATGAATAAATGAGAATAGAAAAAAAAAGAGACCTATTTCTTGACTCGACCAGTAAAAGTCAACCTTGAAGTTTGTTTGCCCTTCTTCTTGATCACCTTGTTGAGAGGAACATAACTGTAAGGATCTGCTTGATTTTTTCTTTTGACATCGCCACCAGCTCGCTATATATACAAAAAAAAAGAATGATTAAATAAGCATAATCCTCCTTTTTTTTATTATTACTTTCTTTTTCTTTACCTTTGATCTGAATTCTTTTCCAATACGTTCAAATTGAGCAGTCTTCTTTTTCTTCTTGCCAGATCCTTCATCCACATCCATGTCATTATCATCTTCCTCATCCTTGCCACCTTTCTTGAACTTGATTCGATTACGTTTATCACGAGTAAATCCATCAGCACTACGTGCAGCTTCCAGGTAATAGTTTTCTTCGTTTTCTTCGTCATCATCTTTTCCATCAGTAGCTTGATTGGCCTTGCTTTCATCATCGTTGATTACCAATCGACCTTCATCATTTTCAGCAAACATTGATTGCACTCCACCAGCGGTACCACCCAATTTCGCACCTTTCCGTAAAGTTGGTTTTGATGATGAGATTTGTCCAAGAGCTGATCGATCCAAAAAGTCCAAAACATCATCGGCATTTTCTCGAATATATGTACTGCTTTCTTGTTTTCCAGCCTTCTTCTTCTTCTTTTGATTATTGGTCATATCCACATCACCATCATCATCAGAGCCTTCCAGTTCACTTTCACTTCCGTAAACCACTTCTTCGAAAGCATCATGGTATCCTGCCACCTTCTTTGCTGATACCCGATTGGCAATTTCATTGTCGTTGTCTTCATCATCACTTTCATCTTCTTCACCAAGAGCACGTTCCTTCTTTTGACGTTTAGCTCTTAAACGGCGTTTTTGAATATTGGCAATCAATTTCTTGTCTTCTTCAGGTACCAAATGAGCAATAGCATCATATCCAAAACGGCGAATGAGACGTTCAAATACATGTCGGATCTTGAGCTTGAAGTTTCGATGTTGATGACTGCATTTCAAAATATGATCCACAATAGAATCCAATTGAGGTCCCAAAATTGAATTATCCAATACCACAATACACACCTTGATATATCCCAAAGCTCCCTTGACGATTTCACGGTTGTTGGATGCTACAAATACATTCACAGTTTGTAATAATTCTGAAGCCATTTCACCAGGAATATCATCCTTGAATTCAAAGAATACACGTGATAACGCAGTGATCGTGGCACCAATCATTTGAGCAGTAGTTCCAGCAAGACCAGCAGTAAGCATAGTGAAAAATTCGTTGAGATTGGCTTCAGCTAAATGTTTTCAAAAAAAAAAAAAGGATTAATATATCGTTAACATTATATTATCCACGCTTATTATTTTTTTTTTAAAAAAAAAAAAAAACTTACCATCAGGGGCATCAGAATCCATGCCTTGTAATAAACTAGTCTTGACTACACCACCTTCCTTCATTTTGTTTCCCATATCCACAAATGCAGTAAAAGCAAAGTTACGACACTTTTCACTTGAATCCTTCAATGCAACTACAATTTCAGACATAATGGCAGGAATGAAATGAAGATCAGAACCATCCAATAATCGCACTACAAGCATCAATGTCTTGACACGATCCTTCCGAGCAGAAACGGTACATGAGAGAGATGCTTCAACCAGTTTAGCTTGTAGTTCAGTGAAGTGAGCACGAATAACTTGTAAACCATTAGGATTCACCATGAGATGATTCAAGATCTTGTAACCTTTCTTTTGTAAAAGAGGAGCATCTTCCTTGTCTAAAAGAGAGGTGATGGTACCATTGTAAAGAAGTTCAGCCGATTCAACATCCAAGAAAGGAATCATAATGATAGAAAGATCAAGCATAGTTTGTGACATGGGAGGAGGCAAATTTGGATCGACGGGACCGGTAGCTTGAGCTTCACCAGATTCCAAAGATTGGGACAACAAACCAAGTACCTTTTTGAACGTTTCATTGATATCCTATTATGAAATAAAAGAAAAATTACAGTTAGCTTTTTCTTTTTGAAATCATATTGGTATATATATTTATTTACCTGAGGAGATGTGATGGCAAGATAGCTTTTGATGACTTCGCTCATAAATCCACGATTGGTAGGGGCAATCTGACTGTAAACATTGAAGAATACAGCAAGATAATTGACAGCAAATTTGCTCAAATGTTCCAAGTTTCCAGTTGCTTCTGCTTTAGTGATTCCATAAGCTTTGATGAGATGACTGTGGTCGGCATCAGATTTGGCAAGTTGTTGGTTCTTTTGTACCAAGAATTGTAAAGCTTGAGAGATGGTAGGTCGTAATTCGGGTTGAGTATACAAAAGAGAGCTGAATCGTTCGGCAACAGTATCAGTAAAAGCTTGAGTCAAGTCTAGAGGTAAATCGCAGAAACCAGGTGCCAAACTCCATATTTGATGTAAAAGAGTTTCATATACTTTAGCTTGTAAAGCGAGTTCTCGATTGGTAGCAGATTCCGCCTTTTCTGCCAAACGATCACCTAATGGTATTAATTCATCGACAAAGTAAGCCAAAGTTGTGTTGGTAGTGTAATTTTTCAATAAAGGAAGTAAGAAGGCACGTCCGACACTAGAGGAGGAAGCAGGGGTTTCCAAGTTTAAAGGGAGAATAGCCAAAAAGCTTTCAGGACCCATCGTAGCAATAGCAGCACCTAATGTTTTATCCAGTTGTTCCTTATATGATTCACCAGGAGATAGTCGAATTTCACCCAAAAGAGCTAAACAGTTGTTTAATAACGGACTAGAGGATCGATGTAACTTTCGGAATAGGGTTTCTTGCACTATCATTACTTGCTTCCATGCTGATTGGAAATGAACACCTAGACCTGTTTCAACAGTAGCGATGATTTGTGACAGACCATTGGTTTGACCCATAGATGCTTGAGATATCATATCATCCGTAATACAGTAACTGATCAAGGTAGATAAACAGTTGGCGATTTGAGTATAATTTCTTGATTCTTGTTGGAAATCATTGAAGATAAGATCAAACACAGTGGGAAGATCAGCAGCACAGCCTTTGGGATTTAATCTATCAAGATGCTGGTTATTATTTTCTTATATTTCCAGTTATTATTATTATTATTATCTTCTTTTTTTTTTTTTATTTAAAAAAAAAAAGGAAATATTACCTTGCATAAATCGGATAAGCTTTGCTAATCATCATCAACCAAGTTGGAAGTAATCTTTCATCATAAGAAGCAGGCTTCAATTCACAGATAGCCTAAATTTTATCAAATTTATCCACCAAATATCATCAGTCACTTTATCTCTCACCGCTTTCTCATATATATAAGCACTTACAGATAAAAGGTTGGTAATCTTTTCTTCATCAATATCCATTTCCTGAGCATCAAATAGGGCTTCAAATACATCGAATGCGGCCTTGGTTAGGAAAATATTGTTCAACTTTGGCAATTGTAATAATGTTTGACAGAGAACGGTAAATTGCTATAAAAGAAAATAATACAAGTCAGTCAATTTACCTTTTTTTTTTTATTCTTTATCACTATACATACATAAGGTGGCCAATATTCAACAATGGATTGGAGCAAGGCAAGAATTTGTTGAGCGGCATGCTGATCAGTTTTGGTAGCTTCATGTAACACACGCAATATGAATTCTGCTGTAATACTGGCTGCAGGATGAACCGTGGCTGGAGGAGGAGGTTGAGATAATATGGTTCGAACAGCATCTTGAGCACGTTTGCGTGCCTAAATCATATCCCCAAAAAAAGTAAAGAGAATTAGTTTTTTTTTTTTTCTTCATTTGAAACCTTTCTCCATTTATTACCTTTGGTGAAGCGTTTGCACTAAGTACAAGAAGAGCTTGATAACACTTTTTAGTGGTAGGCATAGACCAAACTTGAGCATCCTGGGCGACAAGAAGTCCTTGGTAACAACCAATAATAGATCGTACAATAGGTTGTTCGTTGTTGAATTGTTCATAGGCCGAATCTAGCATAGGAATAACCACACCGAATTTTGAGCGTAAAATGGGCACAGGTACTCTAATTTTTGGAAATAAATCATCATTATATCAGTTTGTATATACAAAAAAGAACCAAATTTGGCAATTTTTTTTTTGGCTTCTTACTCCGTTAAGACTTCGTCCAAAAGGTATAATAAGGCACCAACAACGTCGTTAGCATCGTTTGCAGATTGAATAGTAGTAAGCTATGTTAATAAAAATAAAAACAAAAAATTTAGTACATAGTAAAATAAACATGAATAATATACATACAATGGCACCAAAATATGCAGTAGGAGATAGTTCAGCCTGTTGTTCCCGGATAATCTAAAATATATTACTGTTATTTCTTTCTCTTCTTTCACATGTTAGTCAGATAAACATATTTTATGTTCTTACTTCTTCTATGGCAATCAAGGTCTGACCATACTATAGTAAAATAGGCATAAAAATAGATTAGTCCAACTACAAAGATCGATCGTTTTCTATTTTATAAAAGGAATTAATAAAATAAAATGATCATATACTTTACCAACTTCTGATTCTCCAATTTAGAGTTAGCTTGCTTCCGAATCTTGTCAAATTTCTCTTCCATTGTCACTCCCCCGAAAAAAAAAGAAACTAAAGCAGTAAAGAAGTAAATTCCAAAGAAAGGGAAGATTGAGATTTTTTTTTTTTTTCTTACAAGAAAAAAATTGGGACTGTTTTTTCTGATAAAAAACCAAAATATCTGCGGGATTCAAATATTGCTTAAACACTAAAAACCATACCAGTCCCACAAAAATCACGGGTATTTAGGTCCCGCTACGTGTGCCTAAAAAAAATAAAATAAAAAAAAATGAAAAATGTCATATTTCTTTTTTCTTTCTTTTTCTCTTTCTCTCCATTTTCATATTTCTTTTCCTTTTTTATATCTCTTTCTCTTACTTTCCTCCATTGCAAACGACTCACCATTAGTAAGTATGTCTAACATTTATTAACTGATGCTTTCTTCTCCTTTCCTCTTTTTTATCATTAGACAAGTATATCAAGATAAACTTTAGGTAACAAGGTTACTTTTTTTTTATTTTTTTTTTTATATAAAGTGAAAACAATGCAGCTGATACTTTCTTTTTTACATATTATAGTAATTACTCAATCTATTCAACTTCTACTTATTCTGCATTAGACAAGGCGATATCAAGATAAACTTTAGGTAACAAGGTTACTCTTTTTTTTATTTTTTTTTTTTTATAAAGTGAAAACAATGCAACTGATACTTTTTTATTTTATAGAAATCAACGAAGCGTTGGATATGGATGGATTATGCATATTAGATAGCTTGGAATAACGACAGTAGTGATGGTAGTGATGATTTTTTGTATGAATTGAATAAAACTGAATGGATGAATGGATGATACGAAGACTATTTTATTATACAATTATTACAAATATCTAGTGTATTCGTTCCAGTGGCCATATGTTTGGCGGGTGGTCCTTGCATTTCGAAACGTTAGCACTTGATGGAGATATTCATCACGATCCTCTGCGCTTTGAAATACCCGTGATTGTACCAGAGGTAACCGAGAAGAGTATTCTGTTGCCAACACTTCCTCTCTTTCTTGATCTTCTTGGACTTGCCGCATCAGCTCCTCTATTTGTCGTTGCTTCTCTTGGCGACTTCGACGAATGCGTTGCAGCTCTAGTTCAGCTTGTCGATAGTATACTTCTTCATCAACTGCAATACGAGGCTCCAGGGAAATTGGGGATTCATCATCACTTATGACAACAACATCATGTCGGATGATCGGTGAATTGGAGGGCGAAAAGGTCAATGGCGATTGAGATATATAGGACGACAGAGTGAAAGACGTAGAATTGGATGGAGACAGGAGATTGATTCGTCCAGGATGAAAAATAGCGTGGGCGGCAATCTACAGTATAGTTAGTTTTAGTTGTTTATGTCAAATATTGAAATAAAGTACCCTTTTTTTTGCCATCCTTCCTTTATACGTATATATATATTTATATCTTTTTTTTTATTATAGTACTGTACTTACGGCGCGATCAATGATGATGTTTGTCAATGCCTCTGGGACTAGGACAAAGGGAGGACAAACGTTATGAAGGCGAAGCATAGGAGGCTCTATGCGACGTTCGATAAAAAATTGACCAGAGCGAATACGGCCTACACCACTTTGGTTTACGAGATGCTTACAAAGTAAGAATCTGCTCTCTACGAAAACAGGACAGCCACAAACCCAAAGATTCAAATTTGTATCATAGTCAGCGCCAGGAGCATCTGCCTGTTGGATGCATTGATTCCATGTTGATACAAACTGTCGTTCCCAGCTAAACCTGTCACGTCTTTCGATGACCTTTTGGTTATACAAGTCCAAGAGATCTCGACAATGCCGTCTGATGATGATGTACACTAGAAAATCGAGCCTAGGTCGATTGTGATGATATAGATGATTGCGCTTTAGCACCCGCCAGTGAGATTCTACCAGCATGGTGGACTTGCCATTGGGGATTAAATGAGGCTGGCTTGATCTTGCCCACAGGATCCACTTGTTGTACGTATACCAGTTTCTATATAGGTATGCCCATACATTAGGGATGTTGTTGTTGACGCAAAACGTGTATGCTTCAAAGGTTGATTGACGGTGGATAAGAGCAGAGTTGATGACTACGTTCCCTAAAAAAAAAAAAAAAAAAAAAAAAAAAAAAAAAAACACACACACACACACAAACGTGTTATTCCAAAAAAGGTAATATGTATGTTGCCTTTGTCCTTAGGCTTTTTTTTTTTTTTTTTTTTTTTTACCTTGAGGTATGAGAGGATGCAGACAATAATGTCTAGTCATCATACGCTTGATTTGTTTTCGCTTTTCTTTGTTGCATAGGTTAGCGTTCCCTTGAGGTGCCTGAGGAGCGAAGGTCAAATCAATAAAATCGAACTCGTCTTGTGGATTTAATGACTCATATACTGGTGGAAGAACTGTTCTCTGTGGTCTTGATAAAAATTGCTCTACTGCTCGACTAATGTGCCAAAGACAAAGCTGAACCTTCCTTTCACTCCATGTTTCACTGATTGCTGCAATTTCCGCACTATCTTTATCACAAAACATAAAAACTGGTTGGATACCATTATCGCGGATTACTTCCAGGAATTTCTTCAGGGTAGCAACCTTCCATCCATGATGATCATCATTAACGTCGGTTTCATCATCATCATTACGTATATGCTTGCAAAGCATGTATGCGATAGGAAATCCAGCGCCGTTGATGTTTGCAATCACCGCAAATAGTTCACAATCATTACGATTCGTCTTGAAAGTGGAGTCAATATGATATTCGGTAACGTATCGGGATGAATTGGCACAAATGTTAAAGAACTGTGTCTTGAAACTAAAACCTTGCCAGTTATTTTCAATAGCCCAAAACAACTTGAAAATAAAAAAAAAAAAAAGATTATTCACCAATATAAAAGGTAAGAAAATAAAAAAAAAAGATTATTCACCAATATAAAAGGTAAATCATATATAAAATATATCCTTTCTTTTTAGCTACCTCTTCAAAGCCGTTGTTGTTGTTTTGCTGGATCAAAATACGAGCGGAAATAAATTGATCATCGTGATGTTCATAATGCTGTCGAAGATAATGATGATACCACTTGTAGACTTGAGCCTGCGTTATCATAGCGCTCCACCAAACTCTTGACGTATGTTCCGGAAAAGATGGGCAGAATCCAAGTTGAGAGCATGTCGTTCGATGTATTCCCTAATTGCCAACGGTGTCTCGTTTCTTTCAGTAAAAACAGAGCACTGATGCTGAAGACGATGATTGTACGTCACATGAACCCATAACTGCTCCCTATCGAAAAATCCAGTAACTTTCCCTTTGCAGTTATATGTGTTCATCCGGCAGGTTAAACGCTGTTGGAGTTCTTCTGGTAATTGCCGTTGTATTGTCTGGTCTTGGACACAGTATGCGTGAAAAGAAATGGATTGCCGCAGGACAGGATCACCAGTCTTCTTTAAAGCAAAATGATACCCTGAAATTTCTTCAAACCGATGTATCACCTCCTCAATGATCTGATCATCCGTATAATTTTCTATAACTTCTTCACTCATTGCAATATCCCAATCGAACTTTACTGGTCCGTTATTGCTAATGTGCTCTGTAGCATAATGTATATCCAAGCTATCCATGGATATCATCGAGTCCATAGAAGGCGCAAGGCGAGGAGGAGTCTGTCTATATCGGCAGCAGGTACAGGTGTTGTATGTTTGAGTTCTACCAACGTAGTCTTGTCTGTGCCTGTACGAGCCGCAACCAGAGCATTGAATAAAAGCAGATATATCCATATTGTAAGTAAATAAAAAGTGTATATAGTTGTTATAATAACAGTGAAAAAAAAGAAGAGTATATTGACAAGATAAGAATCGTTTTATTGATAAGTAGCTTGATATTTATACTAATGTTTCTATATAGTGATAAGGAAGGTAAATATAATAATAATAAAGGGGTAAATATATTAAAGGGATATATATACTAATAACTACCAATTGTTAAGATCTAATGTATAAGAAAGGAAAGAAGAAAAGGGAGAAAGGAAAAAGAAGGAAAGAGTCTCAAATAAAAATTCAGTGTGTCGCCAGCTCCCGAAATTCAGATCAGTCACACCAGGCATATCACATTTGAAAAATCGTCCAACTTGGATATGTATAAAAATCTAATATTAGCATGATGAAGCAGTTTAAAGAGGTGCAGAAGCCTTTTGTATGTTACAAATCCCTTCTCGTTATGTATCCATTCCTTCTATCATCCACTCATCCATTCAGTTTTATTCAATTCATACAAAAAATCATCACTACCATCACTACTGTCGTTATTCCAAGCTATCTAATATGCATAATCCATCCATATCCAACGCTTCGTTGATTTCTATAAAATAGAAAAGTATCAGTTGCATTGTTTTCACTTTATAAAAAAAAAAAATAAAAAAAAAGAGTAACCTTGTTACCTAAAGTTTATCTTGATATCGCCTTGTCTAATGCAGAATAAGTAGAAGTTGAATAGATTGAGTAATTACTATAATATGTAAAAAAGAAAGTATCAGCTGCATTGTTTTCACTTTATATAAAAAAAAAATAAAAAAAAAGTAACCTTGTTACCTAAAGTTTATTTTGATATACTTGTCTAATGATAAAAAAGAGGAAAGGAGAAGAAAGCATCAGTTAATAAATGTTAGACATACTTACTAATGGTGAGTCGTTTGCAATGGAGGAAAGTAAGAGAAAGAGATATAAAAAAGGAAAAGAAATATGAAAATGGAGAGAAAGAGAAAAAGAAAGAGAAAAAAGAAATATGACATTTTTCATTTTTTTTTTTATTTTATTTTTTTAGGTACACGTAGCGGGATCTAAATACCCGTGATTTTTGTGGGACTGGTATGGTTTTTTTAAACACTCACATATTCTCTCTCTCTCTCTCTCTCTCTCTCAATTCGCCCTTGATTCCTTTTTTTTTTATCCCTTTCTTTTTCTTTCTTTCTGTTTTTCTCTATATATATTCTTTTCCTTTTTTTTTTTTTTTTTTTGAATTGCGACATCTCTTCACTTCTTTTAAATACATGATGGATACTGTGAAGACATCCCAGAATAAAAACGAAGAATTAATCTGTTATTGGAAAGATTGTATGAAACCTTTTCCAAACCATGACTCTTTGAGTCAACATTTATCTGAAGGTAAGAATGAAGGAAAGGGAGGAAATGGTGAATATGAACACTAACTATATCTCTACTTTATAACTCATTCTTTTTGAATGATTTTTTATTTTTCTTATTTACATATAGATCATATTGGTTGGAAAAAAGGGGAATACTTTTGCGAATGGACCAACTGTGCGCGAAAAGGCGTCAAGTGCCATAATAGATTTGCTCTCATGATGCATTTACGTATTCATACGGGTGAAAAGCCTTTTGAATGTGATATTGATGGATGTGGTATGAAGTAAGTATGTTTGAAAAGAAAAAAAATATAAAAGAAAATTCTATTAACGCGCAATGTGTCTGATTGATTTTATTAGTTTCGGACGTATGGATGCTCTTTCTAGACACAAAAAGGCAGAACATGGACTAGATTCTCAAACAGATGGACCCAAAAAGGGAACGATAATACAAGATTCCAAAGTGACAACAGTAGCACCAAGTCCTCGTACTCTTAGCAAGAAGCGAAAGATGGTACGCGAAGATCATTCTGAAAAGCATAAACGGGGAAAACCAGATACTGGAAGACAGCCATCAAGTGATATGGATGATTCTGAAGATTTGGATACATATGAAGCACCAGCTTCATTATCTTTAGGTGCCACGACAAGTACGCATACCCCACAATATCAGCAGGATCAACAACAACAGCAACTACAACAATCACAACAACAACTGCAACTACAACAACAGCAACAACAGCAACGCAATACACATTCATCATCAACAACATCCTCCTCTTCTGGATTGTCTCCTCAACATAAATACAAAATCGCTAAAGCCAAACTACAGTATATCTTGCGGGAAAATGAGATGCTAAATGATGAATGGATCTCATTACAGCGACGACTCAATCGACTACAAACAGAACGAAGGGTATTGCTAGATGCATTGATGACAGCTGAAGATGATCAAGATGGTGATGCTCTTTCAATTGATGAAGAAGATGACGACGATATGGACGACGATCTGACAATCAAGAGACATGATCCCAATGTAGACATTCCAATCATAGTAGAATCAAGTCGTCGAAACAATGGATTTGTAGCATAGTTATTAATTCTTTATTTTATATATCTTCCTTTTATCATCATCCATACCTCAAAACTTTGTTTTACAAAGTGCTTGACTTTTTTTTTTTTTATTTTACTGTCAACACTGCCAGACAACCAACACAATTACACAGAATCACATACGCAACCGCACACATGATCACACACAAATATATATATATATATATATAATTACACTCTTTATTATCTGATTTCACCAATAAAAAAAACAATAAATATACAAGTTTGTCATGATGACTTATTTTTATTTCTTACATATGTAAAAACAGAGAAAATGTTGACATATATAATAATTTCGTAAAAAAAAAAGATATACATAAGAATAGAAGAATGAATTACAGATAAATATAAAATAAAGTATACTAAAGAAAAAAAAAAAAGAATAATATCATCGATGTTGCTGTTGAGGAAGGGATTGTAGTAATCGGACATCCTTGGCATAATCTTGATACGAAGGCGGAGGTTGTTGTGGCAAATCTTCGGGTTTATACGCGGCAACCGGATGCGATTGTGGTATTGTATTCGTCATTGCATTATATTCAGATAACAAAGGGCTATGCTGATCTTGTCGTGTTGGCTGCATATTTATGTCGCTGATAACGGTAGAAGGTCCAATATAGTCTGTATTGATAATAGGATCATGTCTACGGGTTTGTGCTACCATTAAGTATCAAAAATTTAGTCTCTATTGGACCAAAAAAAAAAAAAAAAAAGATATATACTTGCCTTGTTTTTTATTAGCATAGCGACGTCTTCTTAATGCCAGATAAAAAGTGAGTATCAGGAGAAATATGCAAATGGCCACCAGAGCATAAAAAGCGTAATCCATGTGTATTATACAAAAAGTAAAAAAAAAAAAAAAAAAAAAAAAAAAGAGAACAGGCTTAGAATATGATGAATACTGTAATTTATGAGTAATATGATAGAACTGAAAACAGGATAATAATAATAATAATAATACTAATAAAAAGAGACCGAGAAAAATAGATAAAGAGAAACAAAGAAAAAAAAGAACAACAGGAAGAGGTAAATAAAAGAAAATGAGTTGAACTCCCCTTTTGGACCCTTGGTTTGCTCATGCTGTGCCCATTGAATTTGAATCACCGTCACGAAAATCTTTTTGGAGTTGACCAAACAAAAATCCCCTTTTTCTCTTTGATAAAAATAAGCAAGAATGGATAACGTACAAGATAAATCATTACCTCGAACATACAATGGTATCACTTATACGCTTGACGAACCTCGATTTAAAGGCTTATCAAAAAATGCTATCAAACGACTTTTAAAAGATCAACTGTGGGAATTACAACGAGAAGCAAGAACAAAGAAACAACGTGCAAAGTCAAAACAAAAATCTCAAGAAAAAAGACAACTAATCGAACAAGGTGTTTTACCTCCTCCACCTAAACGAACAAAGACAAGTGATATGGTTTTAGGTAATCGCAAAATTGTATTTGACTGTTCCTTCTCCTCATACATGACACGAAAGGTAAAAAAAAAAAAAAAAAAAAAAAAAAAAAAAAAAAAAAAATAAACTTTTTTTGTATCATACAGCTTATTTATCATTTACTCGTCATTACCATATAGGAAATCGACTCTATGCAAGCACAACTCGTTCGTTGTTATAGTGCCAATCGATTAGCTAAGGAAGCAATGCATATGACCATCTCTGGATACGATGAGCCTCTCAAAGAAGTGTTTGAAAAGAAGACAAATTCTTATAACAATTGGCTTAATGTGGATTTTGATACCGAACCTTATGAAAATCGATTTGACAAAGAGAAACTGGTGTATCTATCTGCCGATTCAGATAATGTGGTGGATGAACTAGAAGAAGACAAGATTTATATAATTGGTGGTATTGTAGATAAGAATAGACACAAAGGATTATGTCAAAACAAGGCTACGAATCAAGGAATTGCTACTGCTCAGTTACCTATTGGTCAATATCTTCAATTAGCAAGTCGGAAGGTATTAACTGTTAATCAAGGTAAAAAAAAAAAAAAAAAAAAAAAAAGGAATCAACGATCAATAGGAATTAATTACAACCTTCTTGATTGTTAGTATATGAAATTATGTTAAAGTGGGTGGAACACAAAGATTGGGAAAAAGCCTTTTTAGACATTATACCTCAACGAAAACTTAAGGATAGCAAGCTCCTTAATAATCAAGAAACGTCAGAGGTGAACAAGGATGAAACTGAAGACACTGTGGATCAAAATCAGCATAGTAATCAAGAAGATACAAATCCAACACCGGATCAAGATAATCTAGAAAAGGATGAAACCAAGCTTACACCAGTAGAAAACCAACAAGATATGGAGAAGAAGGACTGCCCGGTGGACAACATAGTGGTTTAGCAAAGAGAATCAGATACCTCATCGGTAGAATAGACTTTATATACTTTAGATATGATCATCATCATCATCATCATCATTATAGTATGATAGACAATAAAACAAAATGTTTTCTAAAAAGAAGAATGGGAATGATTTTTTTTTATTGATGGGTTTTGACTATTTACAGTAAAAAATGAGATATTGGTATTCGCATTTAAATAAAAGATAAAGAATGTTGGGATTAAACAAAAGGGCAAACTATACTACAGTCTAATCTATAATTCTTCAAATTCAACGTCTTCATCATCGTCCTCATCGTCATTGTTACGAGTGTTGTCCACGATATCCAAGTTATTGTTATTCATGTTACTCTGTTGACGGATGGTGGTGTTGTTTGAAGGATTGTCAAGGACGTTCTGACTTTTTTGTTGTAGTTCCGGTAACAATTTTAACCATTTATCAAGTTGGCCCATATATTTGTTGATAGTTGATTGTTTTACGTCAATATCACGTTTCAAGGAGGCTATGGACTAGAGGAGAAGATATCATAAGAATAAGATATATAGTAAAAAAAAAAAAAAAAAAAAAAAGGTGGTATACACTTTCTTACCTCTGTTAATGTCAATTGTTTGTCTTGCATACATTCCAATCGGATATCCTTCAATTGATGTTCAAGCTCAAGGAAACTAGACTTTAAGCATGCAACATCAGTAGTTCCTATTTAATAAGTTAGTAAGAAAACAAAGCTAAAATAAATAGTACCATGATTACCTTGTTGTTCCTTGGCTATAGATGGATCGCTTAAGACATTATCTAGACATTGATCAAATGATTTGGAAAGTTGTTCGACAAGCTGACTAAGGTCTGGAATAGTAGTAGTCATGATATATCTATATATAGAATAAAAGCTATATGAACAGAAGAAAAGAAAAGAAAAGAATAGAGAAGCAAGAGAGAAAGAACCTGCGCGTTTTCTTTCTCTCTCTCTCTTTTTTTTTTTCTCAGCCACTGTGATTAAAAATCTATGGAAATTTGCAGGTCCTTTTTTTTTTCACTCTTTCCTTTGTCAACTATTTCTTTTACCATGTCTGGAACTAATACAAAACACAATGCTATTTTTATTCAACCAAATTCAGTGACAGAAACACTAGATCAAGACATCTCCAGTGATCAATGGTTACCTTTGGAAGATCTCAATGAAAGTGATATTGATGACGACGACGGTGACATTATTATTGAACAACGCCTTTTGGTCAACAACCAAGTAAAGTAGTAGGACTAACAAATAACAGTATCCTTTGACTTGTTAACTAAATATTTATTATTATTATTATTATTATTATTATTATTATTATTATTATTATTATTATTACTGATAGGCTGCTATTCGACGACTCACCGAACAAATCCGTTTACATGATTATCCTTTGATCGAAACCCTTAGTTTCACCAGCAAAGAGCCTGTGGTTCTGAAAGACGTATATGATGATCTGGAAAGAGAAACTGCTTTTGAAAAACAAGCCTTGGAAACTGCCTTGATGGCCAGACAGATCTGTAAAGAAGCCAATGTACCTTTTGCCAACAGAGAAGATTATCGTGATTACACCAAGGTAAGAAAATCAAAATTGTCAAAAATAAAAATAAAAATTAGTCAAGAGTTATATACTGAACTTTTTTTTATCTCGTTTATTATTTTGTATAGGATGATACAACTGTAAAACAAAACAACAAGAAGAATCGAAATATGGAATCAGAAAGATTGAAATTGATGAAACGAAGTAAGTGATGAACAAAAAAAGAAAGAAAGAAAAAAAGAAAAGGTATGTAAAAAAAAGACTAACTATAATCTTGTTTTTTAGAACGAAGCGATATGGATGCGGATGATACCATTGTGGACAACGATTTTGACTTGGAAGACTATGATGACAATACTATTAAATCAAAAAGGGGAATGGGATCTTTATTAAGGCAAAAAAGGCCTAAATCGGTAAGAACAAAGACAATTGGATCATTAGAGCTTCGATAGTAGATTGATTTTTTTTTTTCAATATTATTATACTTAGATGATTGATACTCGCGTAGGAGGAAAATCAAGGACACATGGCTACAAATCACCAGGTATGCATGGGAAAAAGCAACAAGGAAACAAGCAAGGTGGCAAGAAAGCATCCTATCGACCAGGCAAAGCAAAACGACAATCCCTTAGAAATAGAAAGTAGATTTACAAACATACAGACACACACTCACACATATATATTATTCACATACATACATATATTATTTTCATTTTGTTGGCATTCTATCATCATACAATAAAGACTTACACTATTGTTGTTGTTTATCACCTGTAGATGCTTTTCTTTCTTGGTAATTATGGTATAGATAAATACAGAATAGAGGAACGACTCAAAACTCATGCTTTCCATCTTTTTTTTTTTTCCAATCATCCATCATATCATCATACCGCCCCATCATCCACACCATCCATCATCGATTCATTTATCATTTATTGCTTGACTAGATAATTCTTAGATTAAATCACACGAGAATATGTTATTAATAAGAAATGAGAAGAGTGAATATTATCTTTTTTATGATATCTAAATCATGGAATTCATTTCGACAATAGAAACGAATAAATTAAAAAATCGTCTCAATTCAAAGTGGAAAAACAGTAAGAAAAGGTATAGATAGTGCGAAAATTAGACTAGTTTGACAGCATTGAGACAAGTGATGGGACCTGTCGCTGGTAACCCTTTTTTTTAACATAAGCACAGTGGTTACACGACTGAAAGGTTGTAAAACTGCCTTGTCTTGTACCGAAATGTAACCTTGCAGATCATTACTACTTTGATATTAGGAGCGAATACATATATAAAAAAAAATAGATTTCAATTTTATTTCAAATTGAAATTGATATAAGAAGTAAAATAATAATATAATGAATGAATAAAGACTATATGAATGAAGTAAGAGGAAAGGGTAAATAATGTTATCTAACTAACTAATGTATTAGAGAGGCCATATGCAATCATATATTTAAGCTTTAGAGCTCAGCTCCGTCAGCACTACAACTTCTTGATGTTGCTTGATTTCCAACTTGAGAGGCTTTTCGTTGTTGTTTTGTTGGGGTAAGATACGATCCATGAATTGAGTTTCGGCAGGATGAGTAGTGACCCAATGAACTACGCAAGAAACAATAGTAACGTCCTATTAGGAAAAAAAAAAAAAAAAAAAAAAAAAAGATGAGAAAAAGAAAGTTTTTTTTTTTTTTTGTCTTGTGAAACCGTATTTCATTTTATTGGAAAGGACACTTACCAAAGTAGTAACACAAGTAGCAACTAAACCTCTTAATCCATCTTGATAGACAACAGTAAGACAATATTTTACAAGAGCGGTTGACAAGGCAACCAAACCAATAATGATATTTCTTCCAGTAGTGACCTTTAGAGCCATGGCATATTGAGAACTTTGTTGTGCTGAATTGGGCATAAAATAATATTTGGCGAACATACTGGTAAACATGAGTGTGATAAAGATGTCGTAGCCGAGAACAGCAATTGATGCTGGTAAACGATATCCGATCCAACAATGATATGGTACTTCCTGATTGACAAATATGACACGATAATAGATCATCAATACTATCAATGCAATATACGGTAATAAGATGATAACGTTGAAATTATAAGCAAAAGATCGAAACCTGGAGATTTTTGGCATAGAGATAATATAAAGCTAATATATATATATATATAAATATATAAATATATAAAAAAAAAAAAAGAATAATCAATTTGATTGAAGATACAAAAAAAAAAAAAAAAAACAAAAAAAAATTTACCTTTTCGATCCAATAGAGATATAGAATGACTTTAGTAATAGTATATATCAAAGAGATATTGAAAAAGGAGAGAGAACAAGAGATACTATTACCATTATTGGTGCTGGTCAACATACAACCAATCAAAGCAATAGCCCAAGAGAAACCATATAATGCCAAAAGTAAACCACGAATATAATATACTCTTCCTTCAATACTTGCTACTTTTCTACCAAAGATAAGTGATAAAATAGTGATACAGGCTACACTACATACTTCTGCTAAGATTTCATACTCGTCTGGTGAGTACATTATAATAGATGGTTGTAATGTATTGTATTATAATAAAAGTGAAGTCAATAAGAAGATATATATATAAATAAGAAAGAAGAAAGAGAAAGAGAGAAAGAGAGAAATGCAAAAGCAGGGGGGCGGAAGGATAATTGTACTTTTTTTTTTTTTTAATAATAATAGATCCCGTGTGGCAAACAAAAGAAAAAAAAAAAAAAAAAAAAAGGAGGTGGCCAGGTTTGACTAGATTTGAAGGTTTAGTACTCCGCGAGAAATTTGATTCAGTTTCATCCAAATGTCACTTTACCTTTTTTTTTGTTTTTTTTTGTTTTAATATATGTTTATCTTTATTAATCAAAAGATGATGATGATGTATTTTTTTTTGTAATATCATATTATCTTATTGATGATTTTTTTTTTATTCACATAAACTGAATTTTCTATTTTATTTCCTTGTTAGTTCGTGAAACATATGAGAATAACTATAAAGAAACATGCCTTGAACAGGTGGCACGGACTAAAGTTTAAAAACTACTTTCTCCTTAAAACAAATTTGATTCATTAAAACCTTCTTCTTAACAATCATTGTTGGATAGATCATGCGTCAAAAAAAAAAAAAAGATCCCTTGCATTGATTATTTTCCTTTTTATAGTTTTGTCAAAAAACAACAAATCATATCCATACATTCAACCTCCGAAACACGCGCCTTGTTGGAGACGCGAAAGTTTCTTTCTCTTTTTTTTTTTTTCCTGTTCCTTCTCTTTTTTAGTCTCATAGTTAAGATATGAATGATATTGATCCTTCCTCTCCCGATGAATCTCATTCTTCTCGTCAATTCATTTTATCTACTTGTACTGCTTTAGGTGGCTTCGAAGATGCTGTAACTGTTGATGGTACTTTGAAACGAGTCTATACAGTTGGTGACGAAGCCTTACGTATGTTTGTCTTTAAATATTAATATTGAAAGGTTTACTCAAACTCTTACTTCTTTTTTTTTTCTTTGTAGACTGTTTAAAAGATCTTAAACGTATTATTCGAGCCGATGAACAATTCACCAAGGAAGTCTTGATTGAACTCAACATTTTAGAAACTGATCTCATCCCTATTATTCTCTTGCATTCAAAGCAATCAACTCAGGTTTCTGAACGTTTCATTTTGGCTTGTAGTAAGTTAACAATAAAGACCAATCATAAAAAGAAATGATTGACATCTTTTTTTTCCATACTTTTTCTATAGCTGAAATCATTGTACCATTAACTTGGCCTATTCCTAGGAAACCTGACGAAAAGGATGACGACTTTGATCCCAACTTACTCCACAACTATCGAAAACTCAAACTAAAATTATTGGAAAAGGGCGTTTTTGAAGCTATTGTTAATGTTTGTATCAAAGCACTAAGGATTCCCCATAGGTATATTTTCCTAAAATATGTATATATATGTGTGTGTGTGCCCTTTTTTTAATAACGTTTATTTTATTTTATTTTTTTTCTTTTTTTGTATATGATCGCCAAATAGAGAACGGTCTACTCGTGATCAATCCATTATTCGACTTATACTTTATCTTTGGCGAAATCTAACTGCAATTGTTGACCCAAAAGCCTCTACGATAGCTTCTGATGAAAAAACTCTGTTGGCAACTCTACAGGTATTAAGAAAATATATAAAATAAAATAAAAAAAAAAAAATAAAAAAAGAGTCCATATGAATAGCTTAAGAATATAGGAACTATTAACACTTATCTATACCTATCACAGGAACGTCTTTTGATCCGATTCCATGAATCAAATGTGTTGGAACTGTTACTAACTATGGCATCCACAACTGGTACAACCGATACAACTGAATGGAATATGATTCTACTTGAAATTATATATAATCTGTTGGAATTCGCCAATACAAAAGAAACATTTTTAGCCGATCAAAATATTAAGGTAAAGCCAAGTTTAGAATTTCAAAACTAATAATAAAAAAAAAAAAAAAGGATGGTAATGTGGAACAGACCGTTCTGATTCATTTTACTTTTTATTTTATAGAATCAAAAGAAATGTAACAAAGAATCTGACGAACTATCATCACTACTCTCAACAGAAAATAATCAAAAACGACTCAAAACAAAACATGCACCATCAAGACATAATAGATTTGGAGGATCTTATACACTGGAGGGTTGGGTAAACAATATATAAATATAGCAAAAAAAAAAAAAAATGGAAAAACAGTTCTACAAATTAACCATATCATTCAAACTGTATTATATATAGGATGGTACGAAACATGTCTCTCACCAACAAAGTGCTGGTTTTGCAGATCTGGAACAACTGATCAGTTTACAAAAGAAAAATCGTGCTGGACAAAAGAGGAAACAAATGGTAAGATATGATATTATTATGGCATACAAAATTCATATACTTACAACGTTACATTTTATTATCAATAGGATGAAGTTGGGACACACAATGTATACAGAGATAACACAGCATTATTAAGTCTAAAACGATTCTCACAATCTTTTATGGAATCATGCTTCAATAGTAAGTAAAATGAGTATCAAATTACTTCACAGTTAATTTATTCTATTTTTGTTTAGCATTCTATGGATCAATACTCAAGGATATGCAAAGACAAGACAAATCTATTGTGGAACGTGATTATGCTCGATTCTACTTTACTCAGAAATGGTTCTTGGAATATTTCAGTTACGAAATCGCATCAACAAATGCGGCTCGACTTGAAAAGGAAAAACAACAGAAATCCATTGAAGAAAATCAACTCATTCTACCAAATCGATCGAAACAATCGGATGAAGAACCAAATAGGGCAACAAACTCTGCTCACCAGGATCCATCAACATCACCGAAGGCAACACAAGTTATGCAAAATGATGAAATGACAACAATCGATGACCAGAACGTAGATACGCCCTCAACTACCCCTCAACCCACTCAGCTTTCTAAAGATGACGAAGAAAATCCTGGTTTCGACTATGATTTAATTGCTAATATGATGGACTTGAAGATGTTCTGGGAATGCATGAAAAGAATTCGAACTTGTTTGGAAGACAAGGTAAATGTTTAATAACATACAGAAAGAAATAAGACTGACTGACCAAAAATTATTTTGATCCTATATACATATAGCTCTGGTTTGATGTACAGGTGACAGCAGATTGTCTTCGGCAAATGGTAAAGTATTAGAATATTCTCACCTTAAGATAAGAAGGATGATGATATATCATCGAACATAATTTATTATTGGAATATTCTTTTTTTCTTAGTTGATAACTCTTGCTGCCATGAATCGATCAACTGAACAAGAATACCGGGATGTAGCAGATTATATACAAAGCAATATTTATCACGAACAATCAACTTTGGATATCTTTCCTGACCTTATTCGAAGCTATCGAAATCAATCTTTTGGGTAAAACGATGACGATAATGATGAAGAAGAATATTCCTTTGAAACTAATATATTTTTGTCATAGTTATATAGAAACCATGGTCCAATTGATTCATGTGATACTGAAGCTGTTGGAACAATATTGTAAGAAGCAAAAGGTCCACTTCGTCCGCAAAAAGAGAACTGTCAGGAAAGCAAAATCAAATCCACCAGGTAATCAAATTGTATAATATATATATATATATATATATATATATATATATATATATATATATATATATTGTGTGCGTTTTTAGGGCTAAAATACTAATAACTATACTCGTTATTTATTTATTTATTTCTCCATATACAACAACGTTATAGATGGACATGATGAGGCAATGAATGATAGTGAAGATAATGATTCCCAAACTGAAGAAGATCGTGAACTACGAATAGCCTATCGGGAACATGTATTTGCTTTTGAATCTTTTGAAAAGGTAATCCTCTACATGATCCATCTTTTTTCTATATATAATTATCTCACTTTTGTTCTTCTGTTTCCTTTTTTTTTTTTTTAGCGATTTGCCACATATGATTTTGTTCGAGTGAGCTGTGTCTTACTGGAACAATACCATCATTTGAAACCAGAAGTACTACATGCCATCACTACTGTATTCCATCGTATTATGGTACGAAGAAAGGCTGAACATTTATTCTGGAAGGTAAGATAAAAAAAAAAAAAAAAAAAGCTGATATGATAACGATTTATTGAAGAGGATGAAGAATTGACTTTTTTTTTTTTTATGAAAAGTTGCCAACATTAGAACTGTTTAGTCGTATCATCAAAGATCGTGCTCTTTTACCGAAATCACCAGCTCTAGATCAATTCATACAATTTATTCGCTATGTGGTGCGTCAATTCTTTAAGAAAGCCGAAACTTATCCCCTTTTATTCGTCGAAACCTTATTCAAGATTGAACCCTGTCGTGTGGAACAACCCAAGAAGCAAGAATCGACCCAGTCTTCCCCTTAGTTATTAGATAATCGTTATTTCTACACTGCACCTTTATACTTTCTTTGATACATAACCCCTCCTGTATATAATAAATTTATTGAACATTCTACAGTTTTGTCTGTCGATGAATGAAAATGGAATGATAATCATGTTCAGATAAATAATCATCAAGGTATATATTATCATTTCGTATTGGTGTTTAGAATAGATTGATACAATAACATTGGGCCAATCAATGAAGAAAATAAGTTTATAGTGTATCGTATATATTTATTTGATAGATTGCGAATGATAAAGTATATAAAAAAAAATATCAAAATAATAATATAAAGGACTAGTGTATAAAGTCTATTCTACAATTCAACATGTTCCACTTGTTCCACAGGAAGTTCACCAGAGTCAGCAATGGTGACAGCAACCTTGGGTTTATCTCTAAAACCAGTGGGGGTGTTTTCAATCTTGGTGACAACATCCATACCTTCAAGAACAATACCAAACACAACGTGACGTCCATCCAACCAAGAAGTTTTGACAGTGGTGATGAAGAATTGAGAGCCATTGGTATCTTTACCAGCGTTAGCCATGGACAATACACCCTAATAAAAAATAGACGGGTAAATAAATCATCCAAAAACAAAAATAATATATTTCAATCCTTACAGGTCCAGTATGTTGAAGTTTGAAGTTTTCATCAGCAAACTTGTCGGCTATAAAAAAAATCATCAACTTTATTTTAGTACAAGAATGATATCCCATAGTTCTTCCACTTACTTTCATAAATGGACTTGCCACCAGTACCATCGCCATTAGTAAAATCACCACCTTGAATCATGAATTGTTTGATAACACGATGGAAACTGGAACCCTTGTAACCAAAACCTTTTTCACCAGTGGCCAAAGCTCTGAAATTTTCAGCAGTCTTGGGAACAGTCTATAATGAGCGTATTAAATGAGTATATTAAACATCATACCTCTTTCAATCTATATTTCATATATGTACTAATTTTACCTTTCCATATAAACCAATAACAATACGTCCCAAGTCTTCATCACCTTGTTTGATATCAAAGTAAACTATAGAAAGGAAAGTGAATAAAACGAGACTTGAAAGAGAATATTCTATTTAATACGTTACCTTTGTTAGTCACCAAAGGACCTTTCTTTGCAGAAACATAAGAGAAAGTAGAAAGTACCAAGAACAAGGTCACTAAAAGGATAGAAAGTCGAGGACTAGCCATGATGATAGATAAAAAAAAAAGAAAAAGAAAAAAAGAAAAAGCGAAAAAAGAGGAACGAGAAAAAAAAAAAAAGAAAAGACGTGGTGGAATGAGATGGTTTTTGATTTTCAACCCCGCTAACATTTGCAACATCATGCTTCCAGTGAAGGCCAACACATTGATCAGTCAATAAACATATGCAAGTTCAATTACAGGTCAGAATTTATCGTAGCGATTCTAATTGGCAGCATATATATTTATATGATCATATCTTAATCGATTTGAAAAGAAAAGTATAAAGCTAGTGTTAACCGGTGACTTGGTTTTGATTTTTTTTTCTTGTCCAAAAAGGAAGAAGTATTCATCCTCCGCGTTTTTTTTTTTTCATTTTTTTTTTTTTCTTTTCATATATCTTATTTTTTTTTTTTTTATCACCTTTATCTTGAATATGGATCCTTTGGATCGTAGAAACGGTATATCACCCATGTCATCAACAACAAGGTCTTCATCAGAAGCTACAACACCGTTCACAACTTCGAGAACTCAACCAACTCAATTTGCTACACTAGGTAGCGATGAATTCTCTCCCTTTATTATCAACTTGGAAACTTCAGACTACGATCAAGAGATTGAATCTTTGTATGGTCCATTTGAAACCAATTCATATTCTTCTCCTGGAACTTCTTCTCCTCGACTTTCTAATAATCAACCTTCTCAAACCGCTTATGGAGCTGGATTACACGAGGCAATCAACATTTTGAAAGCTCGAATCGCTGCTCGACAAGGACAAACGACGAAAGCAGTGGTTTCACCTTCTCTACAACAGTCAAGCACCCCTACTACGCCAGAAACTCAACCTAAAGATACACAATCAAATGAAGTCATACTTCCAGTAGAAACAAAAAAACCAACGCCATCAATAGTAGGGACATCTGTCACAGTAGGAAAAACTAGTAGTAGTGGTGACAGTAGCAACATGCAAACTCGAGATGTACCAATAGAAAAGAAAACAGAACTTTTACCAACTGGCCCAGCAAGTCAAACACAATCTTTACCAACAGGTCCAGCAAGACAATCACAACCTCTTCCAACCGGTCCAGCTAGCCATTCGCCACCTCTACCAACCGGTCCAGCAAGACAATCACATCCTTTACCAACCGGTCCAGCAAGTCAATCACATTCTTTACCAACCGGTCCAGCAAGGCAATCACATTCTTTACCAACAGGTCCTTCAAATCAAGCACGATCTTTACCAACTAGCCCTGCAAAACAAACTTCAGTTACACGGTCTCCATCCATATCTAAAATACCGACAACAAACACTGCTCTTAGAGATCTTAGACAACAATCTGCATCACATTCACAGTCAACAATTACAATTGGTTCACAACAGCGCAATCTTCAACTCAATCAGCCCAAGATACCAACTATTGATCCTACTGAAGAAAAAACAGCCATTCCATTGATCGAGTAAGATATGAAAAATAGAATGGAAAGGGAATGGAAAGAGTTTTTGGTTACTAATCTATTACTATTGTTATCATTTGCAATACAAAAGATCATCATCATTGGTCAACAGCAAGTCACCAGACAACAACAATACTATGATAATTGACTTGACCGCAGACAGTAACAGTGACGGCAACGATGGTACAGAAAATGAGGAATCTGGCAACAGTGATGATGAAACTCAAATTGAAGAAGAACAATCACAATACGAAATGGAAAAGCGAAAGTATGATACACGAATAGCAGAACTCAAACCGAAGATGGCAGATATTGATGATCAAATGGAATGGATCAATGAAGAACGACAGAAATTATTGAAATATATCGACCGGTTGAAAAATGGAAATAAATCGGATATATCTCAACATCGGCAAACGCAACAACGACAACAACAGCAGATACCACAGCAACGTAAACAACAAAAACAACAACAACAACAACAGAAAGTTACTTCGAACTTGCCAGTACGAATTCAGCAAAAAGGACCGACAATTACACCGGCACGACACCCAATTCTTGCTCCAATTTCATCACCACTACCACCATTTTCTGAAAGAGAACGTCATATTATTACTCCCCATGTTGAACTTGTCCCAACAGTTTACGAAAACCGATCCAGAAAGGTGAATGTACACCCTGATTTTGAATTGAAACAATCCTCCCGAAAACGTCAAAAGTCAAACATCAATATACCGGTGCAAAGCAATGATTATGACTCTGATTTCCCAAGATTACAGTCAAACACCTCGATCAGTTATGCTGGAGCTTCAACATCATACACTGAAAATGCGAAAACTACGGAAATGAATACTTTTGTTCCCAGATCACTCCCACGTCCTTTATATCCCATAGTTAGGACTACACCAAAGCCGAAGTCACTTACCAAGATCACACCGTTACAGCAAGGAATGGAAGTCGCTGCCTATATTCAGAACATGTGTAGTATGATTCGTATCCGAATGGTTTACAAACGAGATGTGCCTGTGAAGCTTGGTCATCATTTACCCTTACCTCTTCCATTACCACCTCCTCGTCAAATGGCCCGTCTGAATCAATTGGTTACTATAGGCGATATCACATTTACATTGGATTCTATCCGACCTAGAAGGAATCAGTTGGTATGTACATGAATATATAAATATATATAGATATATCAACTCGCTTTTTTTTTTTTTTTTTTTACTAATATTGTTTGTTGTTTTCTGTTTATGATATTTCTTTTATGAAGCTGGATTCAAATGGAATGGAGAAACGTAAAAACGACCAATATTATGAAAGTCTCTTCTACACCATATGGGAAGACGAAGAACCATCATTTATCGCAAGCTGGCCAATGGAATGCAAGAAACAAGTAGCCTCTATTATCAATCAAATCTCCATTCAAACCAAACTAGCCATAGATTCATTGGGACCTGGAGAAGCTATTTCGGAAGATCATCATATAATTTTGGACAAGGCAATAGAGCAAACACTTCAACTGGCAAATACTTATCAAGACAATGAGTTGATTTGGGTTCTTTACACTGAATTGGCACTTTATCGTTATGGTCGATCAAGAAAATTGGCAGATATTTGTACGCAAGCTCTTCAACATCATCATCTCTCAATCGATATTCATTGGACAATGATTCGCTCAACATCTGATGACGTTAAACGAAATCTTTTGATCATTGAACTTTTGAAACTTATATCATCATCAAGAAAAAATGCAAACTTCAATGGTAAGAGGGGAAAAAAAAAGTCAATCTTTACTAGGTTATTAATATATCTCTTTTTTTTTTTTTTTTTTTTTACTTTTAGGTACTTTGGAAAGTGTATCAGATGCAACAACTGAAATTTTACTTCGATGTCTCCGAAAAGATGGATTAACCGGTATTCTTGGTCATCTTCTACCAGCATCCAATGTGAAACAATTATATGAATCTATAGCTCACTTACCCTCTATTCGTTTATCCATGCAAGATATTCCTGAACATGTCTATCTTCTTGATCATGATGTATGCTATCTATGGCTCTTGATTGTCTACCACTACGTATTCAAGTCTTTACCATTCGATAACAGCAGAAAACATTGGTTCCATCGACAACGACAAACCAACACTGACCAACCGCCTGAAGATTATAAGAATACACTGTTTGTGACTGATTGGAGTGTGTTGGAAAAGGATGAGAACAAGTTAACTGGGATTGAACAAGGCACGGTGACGCTTATTCAAGTGGAAATGATGAAACATTTTTGCAGCAAGACAAGAAGCAATGCGGCCAAGAAACCTTTATTAATAGCAGTGTGGCGAACCTTAATGGAATTTCTCATGTACCAAGAGCAATATCACATTACTGGAACGCTATTACTTCTCAAGCATGAATTGACAACTGGATTAGCCCTCAAACCTCTTCAACCGGAATTTATTGATATGATTATGGATTTGGAACATAAGAAGGATATAAGGAATTCCCAAGCATGGAATATCATCACCAATGATCATCTCTCACTTGTTGGCTCAGTACGACAAAAACGCGATAGAATACCCCATGGATTATATTTGGCTTATCGCTGGGCAGTATTGAAGAAACTGGATCAACAACATACACATGCGGATCTTTTGAACTTGGCTTGGCAATTAGGTCGACCATTATGGTATATTTACAATGAACAAACTTTGGAAAAACTGGACAGTATGATGATGGATGCATCGACAGGATCAGATCGAGGACTTCAAAAAGTAGGCGAAATACAACAAATCAATTATATCTGTGGTCTTTATTCAACAGCTTTAGGGGTCAGTGATTCGTTTGGTATGCTACTCTCTCCGTTGTTTAAAAAAAACGAATTCTCTGAACTAGGTATGGCTTGGTGTGTTGCTGTTCTTGTTCACTATATCCACTCTTTGATGACCTTGGATCAACAACTACTGAATTCATTTTTGGACAGTACAATGAACCTTGGATTCCTTGATCATACTGCTGACTCGGATACGACTTTAGTGCTCAAACAAGTATGTGACGATATTCATTTTAGATTAGTACAATGAACTCTCTCTCTCTCTCCACTCATATCAAATACCCTATATCATTTTCTTTATTTTTTGATATTCATTTTTTTTAAAAAAAAAAAAAAGAAAAAAAAAACTACCAAGACAAAATCAATAAAATGTAGATGCATTATATTTCGTTTCTTCTTCCTTTTTTTTTTTTTTTTTTTTTGATCAATGATGATTAATTAATTTGAATTTTTTTGTTTTGTTGTGAACATACTGTAGTTGATAGTGTAGTGTGGGACGATAGAGAAAAGGTTCTTTATCTTATAGAGTAAACGTTTTGGTTGCTTCCTTTTCTTCAAAAGGAATCCAATGGTACAGTAAAATCGAACAAGGATGTTCACTACATACTGAAAGGGATTGCTTCATATGACAAGCATATTTTCAAAAGATGTTTACAACAATGATGTTCTATAAAAATGCCTCCTATTCTATGGATGAATAAACTAAGTCTATGGCAAGAAAATTTCAAGCAAAAAAAAAAAAAAAAAAAAGGTTTATCCTAAAAAGGCAAGAGATCGTCGTCTCCTAGAAATGAACCAAAAAGTCATTCGATTTTATTTTTTTTTAGTTCATAACAGGAAAATAAAAAGAAAAGTATACACATTTGGTATTAAGCACGGTCATCAATGTACAACGTTACAAAAAATCATTCAATCAGTTTGCTGTAAAGTAGGATGACAACATCATGTTGACGTATGGGTTGAAAAAGGAAAATATCGACTTCAGAAAAAGAAATAACAATAAAGAATGCTTCCCACTTTTTTTTTTTTTGGAAACATAGCGTCATTTGTTTATTATTGTTTTTATCCATCATTATCAAATAGCATGATTATTGTCATGCCGTTGATGAACAATGATGCTTTTCATTCACTGGAAGACTTTTTATGGAAATCTAAAAACAATAAGCAGGTTCAAATACCGCACTGAGAGTTGCCATGCTATGGTTACTGTTTTCCATCTGAAACCTTATTTATTGTGGTGGGGAACGCATGTAGGCGTGTTTTTTTTCAAAGTATGAATTGTATCCATATCGCTACCGCATGGTCGTACATAATCAGTGGTAATCATTGTCAAACATACTCAATGAATATGGAAAACACACAGACTTGACATATTATGTACAAATTTGCTAATCAAATAGCCCACATAATATTATCAACCTCCCATTATAGGAAAGAACATCACATCACGTTGATCAATCATCATGTTCAGCCACATTTCTACATCATCACCGCCCTTTCCAACCATCATTATTACCATTATCGTTATCATCACTATTGTTCTTTTTTACAAAAATAATATGGATAATGATTAATAATTTTATTTGAGACAAAAAAAGAAGTTTTTTTTAAGGGAAAAAAAGTCTGATAAGTTGGGAAAGCATAGCCTGTACGTTTCCTTGATCATCGAAAAAAATAAAAGAAAGATATATACACTAAATAATAAATATCAAAACTATATAAAAAAAACCACTACCAAACTACTACTACTATATACAAAAAAAAAAAAAAAGAAGGGGAGAATACACAAACGAATTAATTCTTGACCCATCTGCGTACCTTGGACCCTGTATCAACCATAGATTTGGTAGCAGCTTTCTTGATCTTGATCATCCATTTCTTGAGTGATTTCGTTTTCTTCTTGTTCTTGACAGGTGATAAACAAGTTGGTTGTTCCATGATGGCAGTTGTAAGAGATTGTTGAGCACCACTTTCATCATCTTCATCATTATCAACATCATCGTCAATGATCATATGGGATGAAAGGCCACTTTCCAAGAGTATAGGAGTAGAATGACATTGATCATTAACTAAAGAATGTGAGGAAGGAGAGGAGCAATTTGAATATACCAAATCAGGGACATCCATAAGTTCTTCGCGCCAGGACCATTGATCGCTGTTATCATCATCACAAGAGTGAAGAGAACGATGATGTGATGGGAATAAACAATCAGTTGCGTTCTGTTGCATATCATTTTCCACCGCATCTAAAGCACCACGTAAATTTGCCCTTAAAAGTTGTTGTTCATGATTCAATTCAATAGAAGGAAGTTTGTATGCATTCACCATAGATTGAGCTAAAGCAAGTAGCGTGAGACGTTGAGATTGAGAACCAAGTTTTGCCTTTTGAAGAACAGTAGTAGAAGTGTGATTTAAAGGAAGAAAAGGCGCATAAACGTGCATCAAATCATTTTCTTCAATAGGTTCCAATCGAATCAAGTCAGTTAAATTGATCATTGACTTATCAGTCGTTGTGTTGTAATAATCGTAATCAGACCAGTTTGCAGGTTCAGGTAATTTGAAAGTAGGACCAGCAGAGAGTTTAGATGAATCCATATCAGATGGAAATAAAACGGGAGAAGATAAAAAGTCAACCATTTTATATATGAGAAATAGATTTATTTATAAACAATTGAAAAACAAAAAAAAAAAAAAGAGGAAAAGAAACAAGAAATCAAAATAAACATTTCAATGCTTTAAATAATCTTCTTTTCATTCTCCGCGTTCCTCTTTTGATTTTTTTACCCTTGATTGAATCAACCTTACAGCCCGCATGTAAAAAAAAAAAAAAAAAAAAAAAAAAAAAGCAAACCTTAAGCTTCCATTTTTTTTTCTTTATATAAGGAAGCGTATCACTTTTGCTACACGGATTTATCAGCTGGTTATAAACAAACTTTAAACATTCAAATTGACTAAAGACACGATCTATAAACTTATCTTTCAAATCTTATTCTCTTTGTTCTTTTTTTTTTTTTTTTTTTTTGGGTCAAATGATGGTCTCAATTTGCGGAGAGATATCGGCCATAAACGTCCAAATTAGGCAACGGTCATAAAAGGCCCAGCTCAGAATATATAAAGGATCAAGATCTCATTGTTTTGTTTGTTCAATATTTTCTATAATATCATCATTATAATGTTTCCACATCAAGAATCATCCAGTCCTCCACCGTCTTATAAAGAAAAAGACATAATTACAGACCATCATGATGGCACAATCAAAAAATCACTGAAAACTATTGGTGATAAGTTACAAATGACCGGGTCCATGATTATGCATACAAGAGATCCTTCACTTGCATTCGGATGTATAGGAAATACTATTTCAGGTGTTGTGGAGAAGACACAAAGATTCATTTCATCTTCTTCGAAAAATTGAATTTTCTTCTTCATTTTTTTTTTTTAAAATTCTTTTTTTGTTTCTTTATATCTTTTGCATATAATCGTAATTCTTTATTTTCCAGTCTTTTTTTTTTTTTTTCGATAATGATTTTATATATATATTCTTCTTCTTTTCAATAAATTTAAAGAGCGCCCGCTCACGTTTACTTTGATTTCTTAGGACCAAACAATGCAATTTTGACCTTTTTTTTCCTTCCTCTCTCTCTCCCTCTCTCTTTTTTTTTTTTTTTTTTTTTATTAGTCCACACGAGCTTTCTCTTTTTTTTTTTTTCTCATTTAAACACACATGAAACGTGCCTTGACAGAAAGAGATAATAGTTTGCTCTCTGAAACTATTAGACGAACTCGATTCATTACTCCTTTCAAGATTGTATTGACAAGTATGATATATGAATTCTGTCACTTCCAAATGTTCCCTACTGCCATAGTACCCAAGGCTGTAACTTATATGGTTCAAACTTTATTGGTAAAAAAAAATATATATCATGTTAGTATTTTGATTTGCTTTTTCTTTACTTACATTTATAAATCATAGGAATACAAAGATGCCTACCAAGAACCTAGCTTACAGGATGTCTATAGAGCCATATTGACTTTTGATGATCCTCCCAATAATATTGGTGCTGGTGTCCTTAAATCCTTTCAAAAAAAGGTAACTTTATATATCTCAAATAGTGTACTGGAACTTTAATCTCTTTTTTTTTTCTTTTTTGTTAGCTTCTTGACATTAAGCATCCTGACGAACTCACTCACTTTATGAATCGTAAGTCTATATTTGTGATGATTTAGATCTCATTCTTTTTTTTTTCTTCGTTGTTTGAATTCCAAAGGACTTGAAAGCGTTCTGGTAGAAAAGGTTGACGAAGTAAGTAAAACATGAAATCAACTACATGTATGCCCCTATATTTTTTTTTTTTTGTGAATATTCAAACATCTTTTCTTTTTCTTTCTTTTTTTTTTTTTTTTTTTTTTGTTAGACTGGCGAAGATGTGACCGTATTGGTAATTATAACTCTATGATAATTATGAATACCGGTTCAATAAATTTACTTATTCCAATCCTTTTTTTTTTTGGGGGGGGGGGTGGGATGTATGACAACGTAGGACGCTGGTAGTGTATTTGGTATGTTTGTACGTCGATGTCGCATTGAATATTTTCAAGCATCGATTGATCAAGTGACGGAAATCTTTGAAATTTATCGCGGATATGTTACTCAAACAGCAGACGATCGTCAATTGGATAGAATGTTGATGAATGAAAAGTATGGTCGTGACGTAAGCGATAGTAACAAGAAAAGGAAATGGATGGACACGTCTACTCCAACTGGATCATTGGAAGATATTGGATCATCAAGTATATCTACTCGGTCATCACATAAAGCAAAAGATCCCTTGCATTTAAATGATTCTTACAAATTGGGAGGTAATAAATTAAGATGGATCTGATGATAGAACTTTCAAATATAATAATATATATATTTTTGTATAGGGTGGTTATCTGATACTCAAATGGACAACTTTTTGAATCATCAAGCTGAATTGATTGAAAAGACTGGTACAAGTGATATTCCTCCAGCATCACTTCATCGATATTTAGATTATCTACAAAAACATGCTCCTGATTTAGCAAAGATCCATCAAGTCAGGTAAGAAAATGAAAAAGAAATAGAATAAATAAAACTCATCTTATTGTTCTTAATAGATTTTTGAATTATATCCGTACTGCTGACTATGAAGGTGCTGTTTCCTGTCTCCATATGTACTTTGATTACTGTTTTTTACCTCGCGAAACGTAAGTCAGGACAATCATCTAGGGTCAAAGAATAAAAAAAGGTATCAATTACTAATATGATTTATTTATTCATACTATAGACCAATGTATCATTATGCATTACTAAATCTTGGTGTCTTGGAAGCAAAATTTGGACATACTCGGCAATCTTTATATGTAGGTCAATTGGAGCCAAAAAAAAAAAAAAAAAAAAAAAAAAAAAAAGCTGACACTTTCTTTCTTCCTATTTAGGCATTGGAAGAGGCAGTAAAGGTAGCACGTGAACATCAAGATGAAGAATGTTTGAATGAAATACAAAGGTGAACAATGTAGATAGATAAATGTACTATTAAGTATTCATCTGTTTTTTTTTTCTTTTGTCAACTATATATATATATATATATAGCTGGATTTACTTTGTTAAAGGCTCACTGGATGATCAACATCTACTTGTCGATACTTTGGAAATTGCTGACAATGATACCCCCAACAACATGGATAACAGCATCTATTTTAAAAGCATCTACAAATTATCTCAAGTACAAGATATGGTTCAGCATGTAAGTCAATATATAGCACCATATGTATGTTTGATGATGTGGGTACTTAATCATTTCTGATACAATAGGGTGACTTACCTTACAAGGTGTTTGAAACACTATTCCAATGTAACATTCAACCATCCATCCATGGAATTGGTTATCTCTCTTTACCTTACAATATGATTAAGTATATGACATGGAAACATTATGGTAAATCCTATAGACAAACTAATTTTGGTCACACAACAAACATATGGCATTTAAATTTGATCATGCTTTTAATTTGATGTAGGTAACTCGGTGCTTGCTGACACATTTATCAAAATGGCGTTGAAGGAACATGAAGGAACAGCAGAGGATAAGAGAAAATTATGCATTTTGACTGCCAACATGGTAAACCAAAAAAAAAAAAAAAAAAGGAACCGAGCATTTTATTGATTCATCTATTTTTATCTTATTCTAGTCTTTCTCAGTAGGTGATCACGAGAAGGCGATAGATATTTTGCTCAAGTTTGCTGAAGAATACCCTGATCAAACAGCCATGTCCTTGGAATGGAAACAGGCTTATAATAGAATCCACGACTATATGAATCAAAAGTAAGTGTATTCTTTCAAGTTTGTTTTGTTTGAGATCCATTACTAATAATATATATTTTTTTTTTTGTTCTAACCCACTTACCGGATGATGATTAGCAATGCTCTAGAAGATAGTGTTGAAGGTCAAATCAATCAACTGAATCTGTTACAACCTGGAAAACGACAAACTTATTTGGAAGCTTTACATGAACAAGCCGAAACTTGTGTTGCACAAGAGGATTATGAAACGGTAAAGAGAAAAAAATAGAAAAAAAAAAAAACTATGTGAAAAGCCTGGATTACTCAATCTTTATTCACTCCAATAGGCCTTGCATATTTTGGAAGAAACACATCGAGCTTTCAAGGAAACAGATCATGCCTCTCTATCAGCAAAAAACCTCATTCTTCGTGCTCAAATATATATCGTAAGGAAATAACAAGATAATTAAGCATATTTGTAAACCGAGAGAACTGACCATCATCATTATTATTCATAGGACAATGAACAAGTGGAAACTGCTATTAATCTTTTACAAGAATCGTTGACGATTTGCAAGAAGGCACATGATGCATTCAATTATTACTGTACGACAATTAAGCTTGCCAATGGGTATCTATTACTGTCCAATGATACTGAAAAGGCTTTATATTTACTTGAATGCTGTATACCCAATGTAAGTCAATGGAAACGAATCAAGAAAAATGATAAATATTCTAACTTGTTTCTTCTTTCTTTATTGCAGGTCATGATCTTAGGATCACCTCCATTGATAGATGAAATGAATTCTGTTTACAATAAGGCATTGAAATCCCATCGTGATGATACCATATTTTACTGAAAATGTCATGCGTGCAGTTTTGTTTTGAAAAATGTTGGAAACTAACTTGATGCTTTTTTTTCCCCTACTTCTTTCTTTTATTTGTGCTTCTCTTTGATCCTTCAATAAATCATCACGGGGTCCGTCCACTGCATTTGATATCCTTTTCCTTCCATATGAATGTTTTTCTTTGTGAATCAGTAGAATAGTGTTATTTAGAGATGATAGTACTTGACAATAAATACATATTGATTATACTTGGAAGATTTCTGTTTTGTGGATGCTCTGTAGGAAATGATCAAAGGTGGGATAGAGAAACATATCATTTGATGTCTATTTTCCGCGCATAATCTAGAACCAAAGATTCATTATGCATATATTGAGATTATCATATCATACAACTCAAAAGTCGAAGAGAAATCAATTATTATTTTAATGCCCGTCGTTCATTAATGATTTATTTACAACTATAGGCGATTGTGTAATGGTGATGATGATGATTGTGTCTAGAATGTGAAAGTTCTTTTTTTTTTTTTTTCGGGAGTATGACATGTAACAAAAAAAAGATCTGAAGTCTGTTATCATGATACCATCATCCATTACTACATTATCGATCATCATGCATGATGAGAAAGCTGAGAGTCCGTAAAAATATTCAAGAATCTATGTAACTATTAATCTATATTTGGTTATTGACATTGGGTGACAGGCAATTGTAATGATATGCTTATTGGATCATCTAGCCATCTACTATCATCTATACATTTTATTCATAAAAACCAATCTATCAAAACTACACTATATAAAGTACTATATATATGTATATATTTACATTAAAAATTCTATCTATCGATTGTATCGACTATTTGGTTTTTTTCGACTTTTTCAATTTTTTCGTACTAGTTCCTTGATTCTTCTCTATATCTTCTAATCGACAACCTAGTGCATTCGATAAGACTTGATTCAGAGCCACTGGATCCGCCATACCTTTGGTATCCTTCATAACCTGTCCAATAAACCATTTGAATAGTTTTGGATCACCTTGTTTGATTGTATTTGCCTAACAACAAAGAAAATATATCCAATCAGTTCTGTATCTGACAAAAAAAAAAAAAAAAAGGTGGATACCATTACCTTTTCTGGATTCTTTGCAATGAGAGTTTCACATAGTGTTTTTAAAGAATCTTCATCACCAATACGGAGCCATCCTTTTTCTTGAACGATTTCTTTCGGCATCAATTTCGATTTGTTTTGAACCATGATCTTCAAAACATTCTTTCCCGTTGGACCTAATATCAGTACAAACAGTAGTAAGTTTCTTTCTTTTTTTTTTTTTTTTTTTTTTTTTAGAATAGAAAGCTTTTCATTATATATTGATAATATTTACCAGTAATAGTTCCATCAGTAACAAGATCAATCAAAGATCCTAGTTGTTGCGTAGAAATCGGATTGTTTTCAAATGAAATATTTTCTCCGGCTAATTGACCAAAGAGTTCATGTAATGTCCTATAACATCATTAAATAGTTAGTCCATGTATCTACATATATAAAATAAGAACTCACCAGTTCAATGTCGTTTTTGAATTTCTACCTTGAGAAACCTACAGAGAAATAAAAAGAAAAGATCAATTAATTCATTGTATTTTTTTTTTTTTTGATTCTACCTTTTCAAAGAAATCAAGACTACCAGGTTCATTTAATAAGACGTTGGCATCATTCAAAGCCATATTGTACTGTTCCATAATACGATTACGACATTGATCAGGTAATTCCGGTAAACTTGACCTTGCTTGATCTATAGTATACTAAACCAAAAGTTGAGTCTTATAAAGTGATATTGATATTTTGATTGTGTATTTGATTACCTGATCCAAGTACAATGGAGGTAGATCAGGTTCAGGCATATATCTGTAATCCGGTGCTGATTCTTTTCCTCTTAATTTAAAAGTTTTATTTGCGATTGCATCAAATCCTCTAGTTTCGGCCTGTATAATTCCACCAGATTCTAGTATATGAATTTGTCGATCAATTTCAGCATCTAATTTCAAATATATATATATATATATATATATATATATATATCACAATTCAGAAGTGTTAGTAGAATATCCCTATATCAGTATTCCAATAATAAACTTACCAATAGCCATAGATAAAAATCGCACACTATTTAAATTCTTCAGTTCACATCGAGTTCCAAAGGGTTCACCCATTTTATGTACTGATACATTGATGTCACATCGCATTGATCCCTAACAAAAAAAAAAAAATCATTTAGTTATGTAGGTTTCCAACTCCATTCCTTTCTAAAAAAATATTTTACTTCTTCCATATTGGCTTTAGATGATCCCACACAACGTAAAATGGCTTGTAGCTTCTTGACCAACAATCCTGCTTGAAAAGATGATCTATTCAAAAAAAAAAAAAAAAAAAAAAAAAAAAAAAAAAGGTAAATTCAAGTGATACACGATCTTTCCTCTTTTTTTTTTTTTTTTTTTTTTTTTTGGTTCCCTACCTCAAATCAGGTTTTGTAACAATTTCCATCAATCCAGTACCCGCTCTATTGAGATCTAATAAAGTATATCCTGGTCGCATATCATGTATACTTTTTCCGGTATCCTAGAAAGAAGATAATAGTATTACGTAAGTAGATTCCTTTTATGACCTGATATTCTTTAGTTTACTTGTTCCAATTGTAATTGATGAATACCAACGTCAATACTTTTATCCAATCCATCTAATTCAGTCAAACGAATGATACCTCCACGTGCAATAGGTTCTATAACAATTAAAAAGAAAAAGTTAGAAGTTTCCTTCTTTCTTTTTTTTTTTTTTTTTGAAACGTACCTCGTTGTTGAGTGATCTGATAACCTTGTGGCAAGTCTGGATAAAAGTAATGTTTACGATCAAAAGTAGAACGCGTTTGAATATTTGATTTCAAGGCCAAAGCAGTTTTCAAAGCAAGTTGTACGGCGTGTTGGTTGAGTCTCTAACAATGAAAAAAAAAAGTAAAACTGTTATTAGTCTTCATTCTTTATTTTTCATTCGTTGTTGATTACAGGTTGAACACCAGGAAAGGCAGCATCAATAATAGAAACATTTGAATTGACTGGTTCGTTAAATGAAGTTGGAGTATCTAAAAGATAGAAATAATTAATTAAGTTGATTAAATAACTAAAGTACCTTTACCTGAGAATAGTTTTGTCTTTGTATTGATTTGAGCGTGTACTTCTATACCAATAACAGCTTCCCAACCTTCTTTGATTGGTTTAGCAGTTACAAAAGTCGCTTTTCGAAGTATATAATATTGTGTTTTAGTTTTTATATAACGACTCGTCCGCAACATTAGAAATATAAGGAGAAAAAGAAAGGGAAACAAAAAAATGTCAAGGATCCGAAACTCTGAACGGAGGTTTAAAAAAAAAAAAAAGAAAAGAATCAAGCCATGGATCGACAACTGATTTCAACCAATCCATAAATAACTACTTTTGTATTATGAAAAATTTAAGGTTTGGTCTGGGCTACACTTTATTCAAACATCAGTGATAGTATCAGCGCAGTTAAGTTAATGAAAAAAAAAAACCCTCCTCTTTAAAGTTCGAGTTGGACAACCAAAGGGGAAGTTGGTACAACAAAATAGGTGGAAATGAAAGCCAGCCACTTATTTCATTCGTTGTTATTGTAGTCATCCTCCTTTTTTTTTTTTTTTTTTTATTTTATTTCTTCTTTCTTCTTTCTTCTCTTTCTTCTTATTATTTCCCTTACTTTTGCTTTTTCTCTTACTAGTTGATGCTTTATTCTTCTTGACAAGCTCTATCTATATACTTTCTTTTTTATTTCCTTCTTTTATATATATACTACATTTAGATATATTCTTCCTCCTAATCAACTTCATTCAGGAGGAAGTTAGTTCCTTTCTTTCTTTCATTTTTTTTTTTATATATCTTCTTCTCCTACACTCAATAGACTAACTTACAAACATGCCTTCAAGTAGTAAAATTATTCTAAGTTTGATCAACCGTATTGCATTTCGAGTAAGCTAAAACATGACCATATCAAAATAAAACTATATTCAATTTTTATCTCTCTCTTTTTTATATATATATAGCTGCCTATCAATGTAGTAAACTCCGGTGATCAACGAGTTGAAGCTCTTGAACAAGATCCAATAGTTCAACAAACAGGTATTGTTGATATAAATAAATAAAAAAATAATATTTTATTTTTAATATTCATTTTATATATTCTAATATGTTAGTGGCGGCTATTATTGAAGTTTCTAAATACAAAATGTCTACAGTGATCAATGCCCTTGGATCAGTACTTGAAAACATTTCAAAGGTACGTTCTCCTTTTTCTTTCTTTTTTTTTTTTTTTTTTTTACTGATAAATGTTTTATTATTATGTAGCATATACCTACGATTTCTCCATCATTTTTACACATGCCTATGGATGTACTACAATCACAATTACTTATTCTTCGACTGATAGCAGCTTGTTTACAACATGATTGGAAAACTTTAAAGAATCATCATACGACCAATGGCAATGATAATGGAATGGAAATGAATAGGACAGATGATCAATGTCCTGCTCCTTTGGATGATGCATTGGTATCATTTATTCTGAATATGCTTCAACATTTTCTCAATTTAATGCAAATGGTGGAAGATGCCAATGATACTTCTGAACTACGATATATGGATTCTACAACGAATACTCCAACTAACAATAAATCAAACAAACCATTAGATCCCAAATTGACGGAAATGATACTCGAACTATATCAAATGACTGGAAGGATTCTCAATTATATTAGTGCATGCAATTGGTCTACTTATTATTCCAAGATTAAGATGGCTGTCCAAAATATGGGTGGCTCTAGTGAAATTTCTGACAAACATTTTGCTCAATTACGCCTATTTGAATTTGCTCATCTTGACAAACAGAAACTCCATCTGGTATTTACTGGTAAGTTAAATGGTATATATATATATATGTTAAGACATAATCTTGACTTTTTTTTTTATCAATAGAAATGAGTCCAAATTTTTTACATATGAGATCGGAAGGAAAATTATTATTTGCTACTATGCTACGGAAAGCCATTTGGCGATGGATGGAAACTTATCCTGATGAATTTAGACAAGTGTGTGCAAGTGAAAATCGATTATTGGCTGGTTCCGAAATCCTTTTTGATCTATGTAGTTCTTCAGCAGATACATTACGGAAGAAAGCGGCTTTTTGGCCTTTACAAACTGTACTTTTGGTATTGGCTCCAGATCTTTTATTACAAGCCTTTTTAGATAATCCTTCATCGAAAAATCGCAGGGTAATTATAATCTAAATGTTCTTGATTTGTTTTTTCATCTTTCTTTCTTTCTTTCTTTTTTTTTTGATATATAGACAAGTTTTTTGGGAACATTACGACAATCATTACGAAGTGCTCGAACGGCAGAGATTGCTGTCACTTGTTATGTCGATTTGTACAAAGCTGCAATATATGTACCACCAACTGAAGAATCAGTTCTACGGCATATTACAACTGATATCGAAGATGAACTTAGTGAACAAATTTGGAGCATCACTAAAGCTATCTCTCAAGACACCAGCATTGGTCATCAATCTGATCATCTTCAATTACTTACCGATTATCTACTAACTCGATTACAAATGATAGCTAACGATGATCTTGACACATTTATTTCGACTTTCTTCAATGATACTGTACCCCCAATTGCTGAACGAGCTTTAGTAAAGGCTTGTCTTCGTTTGGTTCAAGACCCTCTTTCTCTTCCCTGGAACGCAAGCGCAGTCTCTATTTATTCTCCTCTTTCTTCCCATTTTGTCAAATTGCTTATCGAAAATGCTGCTGCTGGTGATTCCCAAGCTCGCACGACGGCAGTCGATTCTATGGTATCCAATCCGAAAACGATCAAGATGGGCGTATCTCGATCCTCATGCTCCATTTCTCTATTGTTGGATCTACTTCAGTTATTTACTTTGGCTCCTTTTGTTCCTTTTGCAGTAAGTAACTATAGATGATGTTTATTATAAAGTTGGATAAGAAGTATTCATTTTTTTTTTTTAGAGTGATGATCAAGAAAATGCAGAACAATTTGGAATGCTTTTGGTGGGAGTAGCGAATTTATGTCAACATAATGACAGTAACATACGACGATCAGCTTCTGAATGTTTACTTCGCTTGCATAGTCAAGATGGCATGGTCACTTGGGGTTCTCCTCCTCATTTGATGAATAACTTTTGGCGCATCTCATCACAAGTCATATTTTGTTTGGCTCGACATATACTGGACACGAAACAAACGGAAGAAAGTATTCGATCGTCGATGGATATATTGATCTCTCTAATGAAATCTAGGCGTGACTTTTTGGAAATGAATCTTGTAAGTTTACATTTATCATATGGAGATGAGAACTGATCTTTTTTTATTTATCATTTTATACGGAAGGATTATGCTAGTATTGGAATGGATAACAAGGAAAGACTCAAAGCATCGGTAGCTCTGGAGATTGCTTGTCTTATTTCATTGTGCTCAACTACGCCAGATATATGTTCCACTGCTCTTCACTGTTTGTCTGGACTTTGCAAAGAAATCGCCATTGCCGAGGATGACTGTAATCCACAACAAATCACTCTTCGTACCAACCTGATGATTTATACTGATCTTGTGGAACAAAACGACTCTTCTATTGTATTTGGACGCAAGGCTCAACAAAAACGCGTAAGAAAGTATCTACGAATGATGACTCATCCAACACCTGGAATCATGGCGGCATGGGAAGAAGGTTGGATCCGATGGAAAATGTTGACTCAAGTGATTTATCGATTTGGAGAAGATGTCTTTGATGATAGTAACAGTGATCCTACTACAGCCGGAGGAAGCAACAAAAAAGCAGTTTTAGGACGGCATGATAAAGTACGAGCAACAGCATCAAAATCAGCAGCCCCTGTTAGTCGATTGGAGGTGGATGAAGAAAAACAGACATTGTGGCAAAATTATACTGGATTCTTGGCCGCTTTGGGTGGATGTTGTTTGAAAGCTAATAATCAAAATTCTCTTTCACATATGTCTATATCCGGACGAACAACTATGACGAATAGAAGCAGTAATGAGAATGACTCAACTTCCGTAAATACAACGTCAACAAAAGGTCAACCTCAACAAGTGCACAGTGAACCAGCGGCTATGGTGGAAAAATTCATTGGCGAAATGATTGAACTCTTGACCGCAGATAATGTGGTGGTACGTGAAGGAACAAAGGACGCTCTAGGTAATGATTTAGCACCTTCATTATATGCTATACTTTCTCGACATTTGGAAGACGTAATGTCTCGTAGTTTCAACTCGGATGGGGATCCTATTTGTACACCTGGTAAATCACTGTTTGTGGAACAAGCTATGTCTATTTTGAAGTTAATCTTGGACCGATTGGTGGGCGATTTACAATATTTGATCAATATCGATTTTGGGTCTCTTGTATCTTATTTTTCTACATATATTAATGGACTTCGACCTGGATATGCAACAACGCGAATGAAAATCAATCTTTGTCATCTGGTGGAAGCTACTATTTTGAAAAAGGATCAAATTATCATTGGAAATGAAACCTGTTTGAGAAATCGGCTTTTGGAAACTTTTATGGAATGGACAAGTGATTTTACAATGGTAAAAATAAAATGAAATCAAATTAAAAATGAAATAAAACTGAAACAAGATGATCTATATATCTAATTTTTTTTTATTATTATTATTTATATTTATTTTTAGCAATCAACAACCAAACCATCTACATCTCCCACTATCTTATCAAATACTCAAGATGAAAGAATACACCGTGATCTAGATTTAGTCTGTATAAAGACAATGGCTGCAATATCACATCAATTACCCCTGCAAATTTTATCTGGTGGTGGTCATGAAAAAGACACCTTACAGTTGAAATCTCGTTTGTTTTACAAGTATATCACCTTCTTCACCAAAGTTTTGACTCGATGCCATCAAGAAGAAGTAACTATCCATTATTTTCAGATTAAATACATATCATCTCACCTTACTTTTACTTGATCATAGAAACTGTCTCGATCAGCAAAAATATTCAAAGAAACCTCATCCATGGATCTGGTATGTATAACATAACTTCTTTGAATTTTCAACTGATGTGGATTTTTACCTTTTGAACATGTTAGACATCCGACATCAACCCTGATCTAATTACTCTCAAGGAAACCACCATTATCGCCGTTTCTAATCTTCTTAGCGCTAACGTTGGCATTGGATTGAAACATACATTGAGTTTGGGTGCTTACCATGATGATCCGCTTATACGTACAGCTTTTATTCAAGTCTTAACAAATATATTATACCAAGGCACTGAATTCGACTCACTCGCGGAATTATCTACTACAGAACGATATGAAAAATTGGTTGAGGTAAAAAAAAAAAAAAAAAAAAAAAAAAAGTTAATATAATAAAAATGTAAGTAATCTTATTGATAAATGCTAACTTTATTTCCCATTCTTTTATTTTTATCAGCTACTATTTGAATCTGATATGGAAATTGCCTTGTCATTATGTCATGTTTGTCCAACTACTGACACTGCCGATGTCGCCAAACTCTTACTGCGTTGCTGCAAATCCAGAAACAAAACGATGACACTATTGGAATATGTTATTAACAAGGAGGTTAAAACAACAGGTATGTTTTGACTGAGGATCTATAAATGGAAAAGGATAAGGTACTTACTCTGAATATTCTTTTTTTTTTCTGATATATATATATAGATGTTGAAACTGAACTATTTCGAAGCACAACTATGGCAACTCAATTACTTTCAGCCGCAGTAGCAAGTAGCTGTCAAGTCTATGTACAAGAAACACTCTATCCTGCTTTGATGGCCATCAACCGTTTACCAGAAAATGAGCTTACTTGGGAACTCAATCCTGAGAAGCTATCTTCAAATGAAACCATAAGTGGCAATCAACATAATGTTATCCGTGTGGCTGATATTCTACTGACAGCTATTTGCTCTTCAACATATGCGGTACCTCTGTAAGTCAACAATACTAGGTTTTTCAAAATGAACGAGTTTCTTATTTTTTTTTTTTGTTAGGGAATTTCGTCAACAATTGTCAATGATTGTGGAAGCTGTACGAAGAAAATATCCAGAATCAAAATACACTGTGGTTGGTGGATTTGTATTCCTTCGTTTGTTTTGTGTGGCAACTTTGGCTCCTGAAAAATACAACTTCCCCGCTGAAGCTATCCCCAGACATCGCAATACCCGAAAACTCATTCTTCAAGCGAATCGTGTGATACAAAACCTGTCAAGCAATGTTTTATTTGGAGCGAAAGATTCTCATTTGGTTGTCCTGAATGACTTTTTGACGGCAAAAATTTATGAAGTGACGACATTTTTACGTGATATCTCTCAGGTATCAGGTATCTCTATTCACAATGACGATTTCAACGATGACAAGGATACCGATTCCCAGGATAACTCCGTCCAAGCATTGGATCAAAAGGTATATGATCAGTTACACCGATGTTTGTACGACAATTTGGATCGCATCTCAAGAGATTTATCGGGCCGACGTACGAGATCTAATAGTGGATACAACATATCAACACGCCAATCAGGACAATGGAAAAGTACTCTCGACAAGCTTACAAAGTTATTAGCTGAACTTGGTCGACCTGTTGTTGTTTCTGATCAAGATGATTCTAGCTATTCGAAAAACATCAATATCGCAACCACCAATAATCACGATTTCTTTGAATTTATGCACCGGAACAGTCATCGTGATATATCTTCTATCAAATCTCTCAATGCTATCTATCAAGGTGGTGTATCACGTGCTGGGAATCCTGTCTTTTATGTGATTGCTCATCTTATTACACCAGATGTAGATTTTGAATTACTGATATTCCACTTGCTCACGGTAATTCCTCAAAAAAAAAAAAAAAAAAAAAAAAAAAAGAGGGGGAAAAATATATTGAGAATATGATAAAGACTAATAATATCTACTTTTTCTTTGTAGATCATGGAACCTTCATTGAACAAACCTTTTGATATTGTTTTTGATACAACACGAATGAGTCCAGTCAACGAGATTCCGGTCCATTGGATGAACACCTTATTCCAGCTTATATTCCATGAAATCAATGAAAATTTGGTTAACCTTCATATCTTCAATCCAAACAGTCATCTTCAACGCTATATTAGGAAAATCCCTCTGAAGATCACCAACCGATTATTGAAGAAGACTCGTTTTGCTATTACTGTAGCACAATTACATGAAATCATTGCACCATCTGAAGTCCATCTTCCAAAATCTTCTGGTATGTATTTCATAGAGAATAGAGAGAGAGAGAGAGAGAGAGAGAGAGAGAGAGAGAGAGAGAGAGAGAGAGAGAGAGGAGTATTATCATCGTCGTTTATCTTACCTTTTTTTTTTTCTTATTATTATTAGTGGAGCTCGAAAAGGAACTTAGTACAGCGTTTTATCCAGTATCAAAGATTATTACGATGAATATCCGAATTCCTGTGGTTGTACGTGTAGGTCAAGAACATCTTCAAGTAATTACGGTATGTAACAATAAGATGATTTATATATTTATCGGGACAATGATTTCTCATTTCTTTTATTTTATAGGTTCGTGAACAAGAAATATTCTTTAGTCTCAATACCAAACTTAATGATGTATATCATATATCTGACATTGATGAAGTCTACTCTTTACCTACTTCCAAAACTGCTGGTGGTGGTGGTGGAGAACTAGTGATTAAACATGATGGAGGAAAATCATTGACTGCTTTTTCAAGTACAAAACGGGATGCTCTTGTTGAAGTAAGTATTAGAAAAAAAAATAATTAACATACGTATGTCTTGATTCTCATTGTCTGCTTGATTTATTATTATTATTATTATTCAATCACGTTTATTTGATATCAGTTATTCCTTCAAAATAAAAAGAGATATGAAGCTACTCGACATGGTGGAATTTACGATAGGACAATTAAACCAAGTGATGTTCCTGGACGACTCTTGAACATGGCTTTACTCAATATTGGCAACGATGATCCAAATTTAAGACTGGCAGCTTACAATTTATTATATTCTTTGAATTCATTTTTCCGGTTTGATACTGGGAATCAACTCTTGCAGGCAAAAGGTAATGATAATAATAATAAAAAAAAAAAAGAGAATGATGGATATTTTTGTCTTTACCCGTTGATATTTTATAGATCTTTGTATTCCAGCAAACAACACTGATTTTATCGTTTCAATCAGCAAAAGTTTGGCCGTGACGGAAACACATCTTACATTTGAATTCATACAAGAATGCGTAGATGGTTTCAAAAAATCAAACCAGAAACTTCGGATTTTGTGCTTGGATTACCTGTCTCCTTGGTTGAAGAACTTGGCGTTGTTTTGTCGTGGTAGTGATCGCGACTCTGGATTGAAAAAAGTCAAAGATTTATTACGACTGTTGATCGATTTGACATTGGATCGACCAGAGGTAAGAGCAAGATACAATTTATATATTATTATTCAATAATGACGATCAAAAATAATCCTAACACGTTTACAATCTTTTTTTTTTTTTTGGTATGTGTGATAAGACTTACAAACATGTACAGGCAAAAGTATGGGGTACACTTACTGAAGTAGATGAATTGATCAACCCGGTGCTGGACATTTTGATTCAATTCTCAATTGAAAAGGGTGTTGCCTCTCCTGAAGCTGAAGCAATGGGTGATACTTTGGTGACTATGGCAAGCGTTCCTGTCAGAGGAAAAATCATCAACCGATTACGAAGGGTAAAGTGAAGTCATTGAGAACGAGAAAAGAATGAATAAAATATCAAATGTAATTTTTGAATTCTAATTGAAATGATGATTTCGTTTTTACAGGCAATTCAACATTCTGCTACAAGACCTTTCCGAAATTTAGTGGAATGCCCATCCTGGACAGAAATTGCAGTACTTTTACGATTCTTATTGATGTTATCCTTCAATATATCTACACCTATGACTCCTTACTTGCCTGAAATATTTCACATTGTTACTTTACTGGTTTGTACTGGATCGACTTTGATTTGTACCACTGTGCATGAACTAGTTGTCAACATTATACATACATTATGCACCAATCACAATCTACCGGAAGAAAATCGTACCAAACTTCGATACTTGTTGGATGAAGTATGTGATGGCGACGCACGACATCATTTTGGGCTTTTGAAAACAAAGGTCAATGCATTTACAATCACTCAAGACTCTACAGCATTGACTTTTGATACTATCAATTTGGCATCCTTGGAAAATATTGTACGACTTTTATTGGAGGTAATGACTGCTGGTGGTCTTACAACAGGTAAAATTAAAAAAAAAAAAAAAAAAGGAAGGGAGAGAAAAAAAAAAAGATGACTACTTATATACATATATATATATATCTTTGATATTGACTCATTCTTATGTGATTATAGATATCTCCAATGCATGGCGTGCTCGATGGGTGGGACTTGTTGCTAGTACTGCATTCCAGTTTAATCCGGCCATTCAACCCAGATCATTTGTTGTCCTTGGCTGTCTTGCTCAAGAAGAAGTAGATGATGACTTGATGTATCAAATTTTAGTGGCGATGCGTGGTGCTCTTGCGATCTTCAACGATACGGAACCAAGTTTGATCACCAGTATTATGATGTGTCTTAGTAATATTATTGATAGTCTACCAGACGATTCCCAGTATCTACTTCCTATGTTTTGGCTGGCCATTGCATTGGTACAAATGGGTCATCCAGCGACTTTTTCCACGGCGACTCGATTCTTACAAGCTGTTTTACGTGCACTGGATACAAGAAAATTATTTGCCCAACGATCAGTGACTGATGTGATGCTGGACATTCGACAACCATTTGCTGATGTTGCCTTGGAACTGGACAAGGAAACTGGTGTCTCTTTTACTACCAACTTTTCATTTGCCGTGGCTGGTATCTTATTGAAGGGGGTTAAACATAGCGAACCTCGTGATTTGGTATTCCAATGTCTTACAACCTTTTTAGAGATTGAATGCAAGCATTCGATGGAACAAAATATGGTGGAAGCTGGAGCATTGGGCTACTTTGCTGGACTATTACCTTTTGCAGCGCAAGATGGTGCTTTACGTGAACTCCTTCGATTGGCTGGGATCGATGATATTGATTTGGATGCTTTGGAATTTGGTTCAGCTTATGTTCGATTATTTGATACTTTAGAAATTCCCAATAATACTACTGCTCTCCTTTTGGTGTCTACTCTGATGAATATACTCAATACTTCGGAAACTGATTTGGAACGGATCTTTTTATATTCCTTTTTGTCTGAAGCGGCCATCGCAGTCCCTGAAGTCTTCTCATTGATGTAATTTTTTTTTTTTAAAAAAAAAAAAAAATGAATGACAAATAGAATCAAAATTTTTTTTAATTTATTTATTTCATTTTATCTAGATATGAAGCGTTATTACCAAAAATGAACCAAATCATGATTAGTAGTCAAAACCATGCCATGTTGGATGCTGTTAAGAATTTGCTGATGAATGCATGTATGGAACCTATCATTTCGAATCCTACCAACCGAAGAAGTCAACGCTCTTACCTAGATGAACTTGGATTTTCTGCCTTGAGTGAGCCTGGATTTGGTTCAAGCACTACTAACTACTTGGTCCATTCTAAATTGGCAAGCAAATTGTTAGATATTATCACCTCCTAATTGTTAGTTATTCTAGATTCTCTATATATATTTTTTTTTGTTTGATTTTATCTCTTCTCTTCCTTTTTTTTTTTTTTTGACGTTTGATACCAGTGTTGCCTTTTTCATACATCATAAAATATTTCATTCCAATCAATGCTGTTCTCCCATTAAAAAAAAAAACTCACATTCACACTCCGGAGTCCTTTTTATTTTTATTTTTTTACTTTTTTATTTTTTTATTTCTTTTATTCATTTATTTGTTTTTAATCTCAATTCACAACATGTCCAGTAACAAACGTATTAAAGGACTTAGCATTTCACGACCCATCTATTATGGCAACACTGCGACACCTTTGACAGGAAAAAAAACATCAGATTCGGATCATACACATAAATGGACCGTGTTATTAAGAGGTCTCAACAATGAAGACTTGAGTTATTATATCCGAAAAGTTGTCTTCAAACTACACGAAACCTATCCCAATCCTTTACGAAGTAAGTTTCAATAATATATAGATAAATATTGAATAACGTTATCTTTTTTTTTCTTCTTGTTAGGTGTAGAACAACCTCCTTTTGAACTGACAGAAACAGGTTGGGGTGAATTTGAAATTATGATCAAGATCCATTTTCATGTTGCCACGAGTGAAAAACCAGTGACATTATATCATCATTTACGATTACATCCTTATGAAGACGATATTAATGGACAACCTTGGCCAAAAGATAAACCTGTTTCTAGTTTGATTTATGATGAATTTGTAAAAAAAAAAGCAAACAACGCTCCATTTCTTTTATACTGATCTTTTTTTTTTTTTTTATTTATTTATTTTGGATGATCATAGGTATTTAATGAACCTACTGAACAATTCCGTGATATCCTGGCCAAAAACAATGCGTTACAACCTAATTTGCCTGCCAAAAAGGCAACCAAGGATCCTTTAGCACCTCAGTTTAGTGTACAGTTGGAACAAGAAGAATTAGAAAGATTGGACGCTGCTCAACGGGAAGTCAATGCTCAAATCATTAGTTTGAAACAACGGATGGCAGCTTTAGATAGTGACAATTGATCTTCTTCTTTTTATTCCTTTTGTTTGTACATATTCTTCTTCTTGACAATAAACCATTTATTATTATTATTATTATTTGTATTCATGATTATTATTTTTTTATGTATACTAATCCTTTCTTTTTGTAAATTATATCAATCCATTCGAATTTTATTCAAAAAAAAAAAAAAAAAATAGGTATAAATAATACAAATAAAAACAATATATATATATTATTGAGAATTAACTACATGGACCTTCGACCTTCACCAGGATGAATGGATTTGCTAGTAGATGTAGTCGCAGATGGTTTGACACCAACTACACCTCCACCCATAGAAGTGCCACTTGTACCACCAGTTGTATTTTTCCGTTTGATCATTCCTGAGAATCCACCTGTTTTCTTCTTTTTACTGACCATAGCTGGACTACCATCCTTGGCTACATTCTGTTCCCGAAGTCGTTGAGCGTGTCCCACAATGCAACTGATCAAATCGTTGTACGTCTCCGCATCCATCATCAGTTGTTCACGTTGATCTAGTAAATAACCCAAATATTCTTTGGCTTGTCGTTGTAATCTTGATAATTCAACCACCATGGCATTTAATTTCACATCTGGGAATACTCGGATGGTTTCTATAAATGACATAATGTATTCATAAGAATCACATTTTTCATATATATATATATATATGTTATTATCTTACCTTCTGTCAATTCACAATATGCCTTGGCAATGTCTATATCCAATTCAGGTTCTTCTTCTACAGGTGGTTTGTTGGCACCTTGAAGAGCGGCCATCGTAGCAGCAGCGCTAGTCAAAGATAGACCACTGGATAATGAATTTGACCGTGTGTGGTTTGTTGTTGTCGTCCTGTCTACTGCTAATCTTGTCAAGGATGGAGAAGATGGAGAATGTTTTGTTGATTCATAAGATGGAGCGTGGCTTCGAGGGCGTTGTTGTAATGATGGTGAAGAAGTCATAGAAGTGGGTCGGAGATCTTGTAGTCGATCTTCATAATTAATCTGTACTCCTAAAGCATTCAAGTAAGCACGATTGATTTCTGATCTTGTCCACTGGAATTGACCGATTGAGCCTGTTATAGGATTGTAAAACACAGAATCACGAGAGAGTTTTTGCCATAAATCAAGACTATATTGTACCAACAATGAAATAAAATTAAAAAAAAAAAAAAAAGAGTTAGCAATTCGACTAATCCTCTATTTCAAACATCAAAGCACAAATTACCTGCACTGAGTACATAATATATCGTTGACGGCCAAATTATTTTGAGGATCTTTTTGTGGTGACGTTTCTGCTATTGTTGTTGATGATGATGGTGGGGGCATATCACGATTAGATGCTGGTGAATCAACAAGGCTAGTATCCGATTCGTCGTCTAAAGGGGTCCACAAGTGAGATAATATGTTTTGAATAAAAGATGTTCGACTGTTTTCATCTTTTTCCATCACCTGTGCCTAAAAAAAAAAAAAAAAAAAAAAATGACATATGTTTGAGTAAAAGATGAAAAAGTCCTATATAAAATGAAATTGACGCGACTTACATATTGTTCAGCTATAGATGGTGATGATGTTTTGATGGCTTGATTTTCTATAGCTGGCAACAACGATGGCTCTTGTTTTGCTGTAGATAAATCAACAGTGTCGTCGTTGGGTTCAGGAATGTCACCAAAGTCACCAAACTCATCATCGTTCGTCATATCTCCAGCTTGGAAGTCATCAAAGTCATTGAATCCGTCATCCTCATCATTGTTCATAGAGCTGAATTCGTTAAAATCATCATTGTTATCAAAATCGTCAAAGCCGTCTGCTTCCAGATATGACTGTTGCCCGTAGTCAACGCCGTCATCTTGGTTGTTGTTGTTATTATCGTTTAATTCTGTGTTGCTGGTGGAGTCCAAGAAATCATCGCCAGCTGAATCATTTAGCGATGATTGTTGGTCTTCATTTGTTGTTGTATTATCCGTTGTGATTTGAGTTGTAGCTTCTTGATTATCACTATCCTTGTTGGTTTTATCCATTAGACTAGGTATACTGTCGTCAGTCATCTTGGTTGGAGAACTATGGTTATGCGTTGTGCTTTTATCATCATTGGTATTATTTTGTGGAATAGTAACAGCAGTTACATCGTTAGAATTGTTATTATTGTTATCGTCATCCTGCGTGACACTTATGTTTGTTGACTTGTCCACCATAGTAGTAGCAGTAGTAGTTGTGGTGGTGGTAGACTGTGATGCAGATTTGGAAGGTGTTTCTTCAGAGTCTAGATCAAGTAGTAGAGCAGGTGGCGATACTGACTGTTGTGAATTATCGTTGTCAGACATGATAGTCAATTAAATATAAAGGAATGTTCTAACAAAATAACTATTGAAAAAAGAAAAAAAAATTCAAGTGACAAAAAAAAGAAAAAGGAAAAAAAAGAAAAAAAAAAAAAAAAAAAAAAAAAGAAAAAAAAAAGGCGCACTTCAAAAAAGCTGGACTTTTGAAATATTTTGATACAAAAAAAAAAAAGAAACTTTATTTTCCAAAGTACTAAAAAGTGGGAATCAAACTATAAGAAGGGCAATAAACGAGTAAAAACAGAGAGAAGATACTAACTATTAACATGCACAACCAGGTTCATGAGATTGACTACCACTAGGGATATTGATGGTGTCAGGGAAATCACTAATAAACATGAGAAATCATCGATTTAATAAACCTAACTGTCATAAATCATTCATCCACTTACATATCAACATCTGTTTCACGAGAAAGGGCATTCCTTGCTATGGTTTGAAATGCTTGATCAACATTGATCGCTTCTTTGGCTGAAGTTTCAAAATATCTAGAGTGTTAAAAAGAAATATATATCAGATGATTTTCATGATAACAAAAAAAAAAAAAAAAAAGTTGAAGGTGAATCCATCCATGATTTGAAACTTACGGGGCATTCCCTTTAGATTGACACCATGCCATGGCACGCTTGGAAGATACCTAAAAACATACGATAAGTTATCATCCCTAAGTTTTTGTTTTTATCTTACAGCTCTTTTTGATTCTTCCACGTCAATCTTGTTACCCAATAAAACAAATGGGAATTCATCAGGGTCCCGAGGGGATGCTTGTACGAGAAATTCATCACGCCATTGATCTATCATTATTCACAAATAAAGTAAGTTTTTTAGTATATGGTTTCGCTGCATAAACACACACATATATATATATATATATATATATATATCGAAGATTACCAATATGTTCAAATGTTTTGCCATTATTCACATCATAAGCCAAGACACAACAATCCGCACCACGATAAAACGCAACACCTAGTGATTGGAATCTTTCTTGACCAGCTGTATCCCATATCTTCATAGAGAAAACAGATACATATATATATAAAGAAGAGGTGTATATGAAACAGTGAGTAAAGATGTTGACGAGGCTGTTGTCTATATGTGTTCATTCATATAGACCGAAACAAGAGTTGTTTTACCTGCATAGTCACTAGTTTGTCATCAACCATCACTTCCTTTGTTAAGAAATCAGCACCAATGGTAGCTTTGTATTGACTGCTAAATTTTTTATTCACATACTGATTCATCAAAGAAGTCTTTCCAACTCTTTCGATTTTGAAAGGAAAAAAAAAAAAAAAAGATAAAGAAATAAGTATCATTTTATGCAATTGCCTGTTATCATATTATTTTATTTTATTTTTTTCTTTTTGTTCTTACCCACTATCACCTAATATAATCACTTTCAGTAACACCTTTTTTCTTCCAGCCGACATATTTAGATATTCTGATATTTAAAGGAAAACAAAAAGAAAAAGAAAAAGGGAAAGGGAAAAAAAAAAAAATAAAAGAAAAAAAAAATTACCCTGAAGTGCCTCATCACATGAGCCTTAGAGCAAGACGGAGGATAAAGTTTATTCTCTATTGAATTTTCACGCAACAAGCATAATCGAGATATCAATATTGAAACTAACATCTAACGAACTAATGTTATCATAATGGATAATCATCATATCAATAGATATCATTAAACGAGTCATCACCATCATACGTGTTAAATATCGGTATTATACTTATCATAGGATTTAACATCATTTAGATCATCATTCAAATCATTCATCCAAGTCAATATGCAGATCATCGTTCCAAGTCAATATTGCAAACCATGATCCAAATTTGTTATAAATCAAGAAAGAAACACATTTCAATTTGACAAGATATTGATATGTATAAATAAAATAAATTTATTAAAAGAAATATATAAAACAGAATAAGGTAGAATAAGGAATGTAATGACTAAACTACTATATTAAAAAAAAAATAAACAAGAAAAAGAAGAAAAAAAAAAAAGTGAGATAACTACAACTAGATACTAATACTATTGACTAAAGGGGACAAGATGGAAGGAAATTAATGTAAATCCATACCAGGAGGAGGACGGTTACTTTGTTGTTGATGATCATCACCAGTACTATCATTGCTTTTATCTACAAGTGATATATTTTCCAAAAGACTTTGAACTACAAATTCTGATAAAAAAAAAAAAAATAACGTCAACCAACCCATTTTTTTTCCTTTTACTTTCTTTTTATTATTATTATTATTTTTACCTTTACTGCTTCCATTGGCGAATAATCCAGTATTTGACGACGGTGACCTTGTTCGATTCGTAGATGACAAAGGGTACCCAAGACCTCCAGGAAATCCAGATGTACCAGTATGGAATGATGTTAGTGGGTGATGTGAGGGTGAGGTATGTTGTTGTTGCTGTTGTTGCTGTTGTTGCTGCTGTTGTTGTTGTTGTTGTTGATGAAAATGTGATTCCAATAGAGGCTCAGGCATTGATTTGCTGGATTTCAGTGTATGTTTCTGACCGTGAGTATCATCGCCATATGGATTAAAGCTTTGATGATAACGTGGTGTTTCTCCCATCATAGAAGGGTAGTTGGGATTCAAAAAGGATGACATTGTCGTTTCTCCAAATACACCACCACTCAGAGGACGAAGACTAGGTGGACTATGACCATATGGACGTTGTTGTTGCTGTTGTTGCTGTTGTTGCTGCTGCTGTTGTTGTTGTTGTTGTTGTTGTTGCTGTTGAATTTGAGGTGGTTGCTGTTGTTGTTGTTTTTGTTGAGTAGCTGATGTTGACCAAATATCAGTGGTAGGACCAGAAGTACCTTGTTGATGTGAAGTAGTTCCTGGTGAGCCTGCACCAAATCCAAAACTAGAACCACCCAATGGCATACCCATACGCTGATACCGATAATTTGCTAATACTACCTTTTCTTGTTCCGTCAAACCCATTGGTGCATCAAAGATAGCTCGAAGGTTGTTTTCAGATAGTGTCTGACTAGGGGTCTTCCAAGTTGTTTCCAAAGGATTTGATGACGACACTGATGATGTTGCTGTTGTTGTTGAAGCTGGAATACTAGGGGCTGTAGATGGACTACTTTCAGTAGGAGGTGGTGCAAACGGTGACAAAGAATATCCCATAGATGGAGTCGAATGAGGTGGTAACATGGAAGATGTTGGAGTCATGAGTGGTAGGGTTGTTTTTGGAGTTTCGGGAGCAAATCTACCCATCATTGGCACATCTAAAAAAAAAAAAAAAAAAAAAAAAAAAAAAAAAAAAGAAAAATAGTGAATCATTTAAATTCATTAATAGTATGTGTATATATATATTTACCCGGAAGTAAAGATGAAGCTTCTTTTGAATATCGGTTGATAACAGGAGGTTTGGGAGCCATCATCAAAGGAGGAATTTTTTGTTCATAGAAGGAAATATTTTTCGACTTGAGATAAGAAGTAACCACATCCAAAGAGGCAACAAATGTATCCATGGTAGTATTGTGTAGAACTAATAAAATATCATCAGCACAGTAACGATCAGGGTACGAACCAAGAGTAACAGCAAATTCTTGTTGTAAACGCATAATGACTACACGTTTGAATTCGTCAGATTCCAACAAGGAGGTCAAAGCTTCAGTACGAGGAGCACGTAATTCATAATCACGAGGAACAACAGATTGTACCATACTCATAGCCATATCTATTTGAGCTTCAGGACCAACCAAAATTACTTCATCAGTTGCCAATTCACAGTCAGGCCATAAGATACGTGTATTTGTTTTCTTGCCAATTTCCTCGGTAAAAAAGACACTTTGATCATGAGCTAGAATACGTTGTAATCTGAAGGGAATGGGCACAGTACGAGAGACATAATCACGATCCTTGGGGTGAATTAATTCCATGACAGCATGTCGTAAGTTGTCAAGATTAATTTGATTCTTCATCGGTGTTCTTGCCACCACATTGTCTTCATTGTCATAATAACCACCAAGTGAGGCAAATTCTTCAGTATTAGAAAACTTGACATAGACACCATATTTCTTCATAATACGTTGAATGTTTTTTCCACCAACACCAATGATTCGTTTATGATAAGCTTCAGGTACAAAGAAGGAGATTTCAGCAGGTAATTCTTCTTGTAACAAAGTCAATCCATCCAAAGCCTTAGTAAAACTAGTACTATCCACTTCGATAACGAAATTATAATCACTTGCCAATGGTAAGAATCTAATCTTGGCACCTGATGTTTTCATAATCTTGTTAATTTTGCCATTTTTCTTGCCACTAATAAAATCACGTTGTTCATTTGCTGATTCGACTCGGAAGATAGTACCTTGGTGGAAAGGTTTCAAAAATGCCATTTCTTGTAGACGTTGATATACATTTCGGATAGCACGTTCAGTTCCCATTACTTCAATACAACCAGGTTCAGTTTTGTATATGACTTGAGCACCAGAAACTTGAGAAAGTTGTGATACCATACCACCCAAATTGGACATAGAATCAAAGAATGAATGAGATGCACCACCATTATAAATAATTCCATCATGATCATTGAAGTAAAAGATGGCTTCATAAATGCTACAGGCCACAAAATTGATAGCTCTTAGAGTTCTTTCAGCATTGACTCTATTTTCAGCATAAACAGAGATACTATCATCACCAGATCCAAGAGGAGGAAATCCAACAAATGAACCTTTTTTTTTTTTAATAATAATAAAAAAAAAAAATAAAAAATCAATTCGTTTTTTCTATTTATATATATATTATATAATTTAATCTTACCATTATCATGCATAATTTTACGGACTTCATCCTTGCGGTGTAATAACATCCAATCCAATTTTTGAGCAACCATTTTGACAGATTTGTGATACATAGATTTTGCCTATAAATATGTTGAAAAAGAAAGTTAAATATATAAATTATATATAATAATAATGATAATATATAATTACCTTTTGAGAGGCTAACTTGTTTAACATATCCTTCACACGAGCAACATTGGCAGCTTCCCCAGTGATATAAATAGCAGAATCATCTTCGTCTTCACCCACAGTAGCAGCAGCAAAAGGAGAGGGAAAATAAATGTTTGTACAAGTTTCTTCAATAATAGGATGTAAACCTGTTCTTTTTCGTCCACCAATCAAGTATTGAAACTTTAAAGGCATACGAACTACATCAGAACGTAAACCAGCCTAGTGAAACGAAAGAAAATAAGAAAAGAAAAAGAGAAAAAAAAAAAAAAGATGAGAAGACGGAGATCTAATTTTTTTTTTTTTTTTTTGTTGGACTTACATTTTCGTCCAGTAGGACTAAAAGTCGCACACGGCATTTTTCAGCATCTTCCGGAACACCAGTAATGATCAAAGAAGAAGTATGATCAGACGCAAAACAAGATCTATGTGGTTCTGGAGGATTGATATGTATAGTAGTATTGGTTTCTTTGGCAATAACATCACATTGATCTTGACTAGGACATTCAGCTGAAGGTACGGGTAAGTTTAATTCGATCTATTCAAAAAAAAAGAAATGAATGATTTTTAGAATCTATTGATCTTTTTTTTTTTTTCCTTACTTTGATAGGACAATGTAATAACAATTGGCTTCGTGCAGATGCAAGGGAATGAAGTGGACCAGTCAAAGTCAAGTTATAATCGGTAGGCGTATCAACAAGAGCATGTTTGGTGGCAAGAGTAGGTTTATCATTAGTGGTGACTACAATATCTGATTTGGTGGAATTCATGATTTTTTGACAGGTATCCCGAAGTTCGGTTAACATGTGTGTATGTTCTTCTTCTTTTCTACACAGGTCATATTGTTGGGATGCACAAGGGGCATAACAAAAGGACAAAGCTGTTGGTGTATTGGTTGTTGTTGTTGTTGTTGTTGCTGTTGGTGATACTGATGGTGGTGTAATTATTCTGGTTGTTACTTCGTCCATTTGGTATCTTCTAGTTTAGACTTTTTTTTTTGTAATTTGTAGTCGTAGATATTAATAGACTGATTGATTTTTTTTTTTTTTTTGTTGTTGCTATTATTGTTTTTCTCTTGTTGAATAATAATTTACAAGAGAAAATAAATAAAAATAAATAAATTTGTTGTTATGTATTTATGCTTAGATCGTATATATCGTAGTGATGATTTGATATTAGTTGGTACTTAGTTTTTTTTTTAAAAAAAAAAAATAAAAATAAAAATGGTCTATAGTGATAATAATAAAAGGTGGAATATATGTCGTTCAAAAAACAATCGACTTTTTTGGTGTCGTATATGGGAATGTAAAAATGTAAAGGAGTGGAGAAAGAAATGGAAAATCTGGTTTCTGGTTTGAAAACATTTTTTTAAGAAAAAAAAAAAACAAAAAAAAAAGAGGCTCGGGCTATCCATGGTGTAAAAAAATTTCGAAACATAAGGAATAAGATTTCAGCAGAGGCTGTCACTTATCAAAGATTTTTTTTCTTTCCTTGTCTTTTGATTTCAAACGCGATTCTAGAGAAAAGATCTTTTATTATTCTCTTTCTTTTTATTTCATATTATAATAATAATGATGATGATGATAAATGATATATCATATGCTTGATTCCCATTGACTGTCAATGTTTATTATTATTATTATTATTTTTACTACCGAGGCGGTTATTTTAGGTCATTGTATTCTTTTCTTTTGTTTTCCTTTACTACTTTTATGCATCCTTATTGGCTTTGTTCCACACTCGTGTCTTTAACCCCGCTGTGCCATACTACGGTGGATATTTTAACCGAAAAGGACTTGCTTTCTCTTCCCTCCCACCCCTTTTTCTATTTTTTTTTTTTTTTTTTTTTGACTTGTCTATCGCTCGACGGACCTTATTTTTTCTTTCTTTCTTTTTTCTTCCTTTACCTTCCATCATCCTTTTAAACTATTATGTCTGACTTTTCTGATGATGATTTTCAACCTCTTGACCCTACATTAAAAAATGTTCTTGATCAAGACTCTCTTCATTGGATCTTTGTTGGTGGAAAAGGTGGTGTCGGTAAGTACAGAAACAAAAATAAAAAAAAAAAAAAGATGAAAAGGTTTTATTTATTATTATTATGAACCTTTTAGGTAAAACAACAACATCTTGTTCCTTAGCTGTGCAACTTTCCAAAGTACGAGAATCTGTCTTACTAATCTCCACTGATCCTGCCCACAATTTATCCGACGCGTTTGGTCAAAAGTTTTCTAAAGAAGCTACTTTGGTTAATGGCTTTGAAAACCTTTATGCAATGGAAATTGATCCCACTTCAAGTATTCAAGAAATGATTGAACAATGTAAGTATTAAGAATAAAGAATATCATGATGTATATTCATATATTATATATAATATATAGCTGATCAAGGTAATGCTATGGGAAGTATGGTACAAGATTTGGCATATGCTATTCCTGGTGTAGATGAAGCTATGGGTTTTGCTGAAGTGATGAAGTAAGTTCTAAAATATGATAAATAATAAATATATATATATATATACTGATAGTTATATGATATTACTTTAGACAAGTAAAAACCATGTCATATTCCGTTGTGGTATTTGATACCGCACCTACTGGACATACCCTTCGATTCTTATCTTTCCCTACTGTGTTAGAAAAGGCTTTGGCAAAGATCAGCGGACTTAGTGGTAGATTTGGTCCAATGTTCCAACAAGTAAGTAGAAATAGATATATATATGGAAGTGACAGAATGATTGATTTATATTCTATATAGGTATCTGGGATGATGGGAATGAATGCAAATCAAGAAGATATGTTTTCAAAATTGGAAGAAATGCGATCTGTGATTACTGAAGTCAATAATCAATTCAAGGATCCTGTAAGTAATTTTTTTTTTTAAACAAGAAAATCAAAAAAAAAAAAATTATATTGATTTTTTTTTTTTTTTGAATATAGAGTACTACTACATTTATTTGTGTTTGTATCTCTGAATTCTTATCATTATATGAAACGGAACGTATGATTCAAGAATTGACATCGTACCATATTGATACCCACAATATTGTTGTCAATCAACTATTATTTCCAAAAGATGGTAAAATTATTATTGGTAATGTTTCTCTATATATCTTAACATATTATTTTTTTTTATTTTATTATTAGGCACCAATTGTGAACATTGTAGTGTACGACACAAAATGCAACAAAAATACTTGGAACAAATTTATGATCTGTATGAAGATTTCCATATTGTACGGATGCCTTTATTAACTAAAGAAGTACGTGGAACTGAAGATATCAAGGAATTTAGTAAAATGTTAGTTGAACCCTATCATCCTCCCTCTTAGATAGTTTTTTTTTTTTTTTTTTATTTTTTTTTTTGTTTTAATATTGAAATAAAGAAAAAGAAAAAAAAAAGACACTTTTTGTTCCAGTTTATTCTCTTTTTTAAATTTGTATCCTATCAAATCTTTTTATTGACTGAACCTTGACCAATCATATCCGAATAGAAACTACTGGTTGCTTCATCACAAGTTCTACAACAAAAAAGAAACTCAGATTGTCTCCTTCCTTATTTTAGCACGTATTTTTTTTTTCTTTTTATTTTTTTTTTTTCTTTTTTTTTCTATTTTATAAAAGTTTTTTATTATTATCAATCACCTCGCCCCCTTATTTTTTTTTTATTTATCTTTTTCCTCCCCACTCTCTTCCCTTTTATTATTATTATATCTAAATAATCAATAATGGTCAAAGAAACAAAATATTATGATATCCTTGGTGTTAGTCCCGATGCTAGTGACAGTGAATTGAAGAAAGCATATAGAAAACTAGCTTTAAAATATCATCCTGATAAGGTAAAAAAAAAAAAAAAAAAAAAAAGGTCAATCATAAATACTGACTTTTTTTTTCTTTGTTTCTTAGAATCCTGATGCTGGTGATAAGTTTAAAGAAATCTCTCATGCCTATGAAATATTAGCAGATGGTGAACGAAGACAAATGTATGATCAGTTTGGTGAAGAAGGCTTAAATGGACAAGGAGGCATGGGTGGTATGGATGCAGAGGATTTATTTTCTCAACTATTTGGTGGAGGCTTATTTGGTGGTGGTGGTGGTGGACGTGGAAGACCTTCTGGACCTCGTCGTGGCAAAGATATGGTACATCAACTCAAGGTTAGTTTGGAAGATTTATACAAGGGTAAAACTACAAAATTAGCTTTACAAAAACATGTATTATGTGCCAAATGTGAAGGTCGTGGTGGAAAAGAAGGCAGTGTAGCTACTTGCAAGACTTGTAATGGTCAAGGTGTCCGTCTGATTATGCGCCAAATGGGTCCTATGATTCAACAAATCCAACAACCTTGTAATGATTGTGGTGGCCAAGGTGAAACAATTGATCCCAAAGATCGTTGTACTGAATGTCAAGGTCGCAAGATTCTTAATGAACGCAAGATTTTGGAAGTCCATATCGATAAAGGTATGCGTGATGGTCAAAAAATCACTTTCTCTGGTGAAGGTGATCAAGCTCCCAATGTTGTACCTGGTGATATCATTATTGCTCTTGATGAAAAACCCCATCCTGCTTTCAAACGCAAAGGAGATGATCTCTTTTATGATGCCAAGATTGACTTGTTGACTGCTTTGGCTGGTGGTCAGTTTGCTATACCCCACTTGGATGAGCGTATTCTGTTGGTCACTGTTTTACCTGGTGAAGCTATTCATCCTGATATGGTCAAGGTGATCCCTAATGAAGGTATGCCTACTTATCGTCATCATAACCATGGTAATCTTTTTATCAAATTTACTATTGAATTCCCTCCCAACAATTGGACCGATCCTGATACTATTGCCAAGTTGGAATCCGTTTTGCCTCCTAGACAACCTTTACCTGACTTTGGTGACAAACATGTTGATGATGTTGTTATGGCTGATGCCGAAGCTTATCAATCTTCAAGATCTCAAGGTGGTCATGCTCATGATGAAGATGAAGAAGACGACGGTCGTGGCCCTGGTGTACAATGTGCTCAATCCTAAACCTTTTTTTTTATTATTATTATTTCTTGGGTAGTTATAGTTTTATTTAGTAGTAGTGGTATATACGTATATATTATAGGAAAGAATAAATGATTGTTGATAGGAATATATCTTTTCTTGTTTGTTTACATATATATATATAGAGTATAATATGTATTGTCTATGGAGTATACGGCATTTTTTTTTATTATTACTATTATTATTACTGCTGTTGATGACATTTTCAAAACAAAAGGAAACAAAAAAAAAAAAAAAAAAAAAAAAAAAAAAAAAAAGTGTACAAACTATCTATTGTTGTTGTTGTGGATCATATGATTTGAAGAAATCCCTTGTTATACCACAACTATCAAAGGTACATCCAGGACAACGAAGATAATATTGAGGTGAAACCATTTGATTGGACTTTAAATGTTCATTCACAATAGTGGCCATGGCTTTGGTAAAAATAGGATCATCATTGAGAGCTTCAGCACGTTTCCATCCAGTGATTCCCGTCTTTATCATAATAATAAATTAAAAAAGAGATATCATCGTTTTTTTTTTTTTTTTTATAATTACCTCTGCAGCTTCTTTGGCATATTCTTGATCAAGTTCAAATAAAGTTTCAATATGATCACTTGTAAATGCAATAGGTACTACTACCAAATTCTTCTTTCCAGCTTTGCCATAGTTCTTGATCACATCCGAAGTTTGTGGTCCCAGCCATGGTTGAGGACCTACTTGAGATTGCCAAATCAATCGATAAGGATATTTATTACCAAGTCGTTTCATCACATGGTCCACGGTGGATGCTACTTCTGCAGGATATGTATCACCTCGATTGACCACCGCCATAGGTAAAGAATGAGCAGAGAAAAGAATGATGGCATCCTTGCGTTGTTCAGGTGTGTATTCAGCTAGTCGACGTTCCACTTTGGTTGCCATAGCTTCGATGAATCCAGGATGTGTAGGCCACCGATCAATCACACTCCATTGTATCTTTTCCATTCCATTCTTGACAATTCCGCGTTGTAATTCATTCATACTGCTGCCTGTAGTTGAACATGAATATTGAGGATATTGAGTAAATACCACTGCACGTTTCACCCCATCTGCTTTCATTTCTTCCAATGCTGTTTGTGTAAATGGTTCCACATACCGGAATGCAATATAATGTTTATGAGGAGCTAATATCATCCAATAACAAAAGATATCATCAATATACTCATCCTATCATTATTATTATTATTATTATTATTATTTTACCTGTTTCAGGAGACAAATCATCCAATAGCTTTTCCATAGCTTGACCTTGCTTACGAGTCCATTTCAATATAGGAGAGCCACCACCAATAGAATCATATTGTTCACGAATACTTGGTGTTCTTCGTTTGGCAATCCATTTTGCAAGACTTGCCTGGAATGGTAGTTTCATGATATCACGATCAGTGAATAGATTGAGAAGAAAATCGTGAACATCATCCAATTTTTCAGGACCACCCATATTAGTTAAGAGAATAGCCGTAGGACTTGAAAAAAAAAAAGACAAGGTAAGTATAATGTTGTGTATATTATTTTGATCATACGAATCACTTACGGTTTCTTGGTGGAGGAGAGCATACGCGTTGTGTTTGAAAGAAAGATAGATCGACAACCTATTTAATATAAGGATCTTTTGTTGAATAAGAATGACATTGTGAAGGTATTTGAACTTTATTATTCTTACGTTGTTTTAAAATAGTAGGTAACATGATGGAATGAGCAGAGACAGTAATAGAAATAAAAAAAAAAAAAAAAAAGTTACTGAAAGGAAAAAGAAAGAAAGAAAAAAAAAAAAGACCATCAACTGTCTGAAAAGATCGTCGGGGATTTTGGTCAATGGCTCAGTAGGAATCCCACTCGGCAACTAGGGTTTATCCGAATTACCTTTCTTTTTGTATTCCCATACTTTGATAGTAACATAACAGAATACACCATAAAAATAGAAATCCTATTTTTTTGATACTGTATAGTTGCAAAAAACGATCTTCTGTCTCTTCTTATTCTTTCTTCTTGTTGGAGTCACTACATAAAAAAAAAACTTGAATTTTAATGTCGAGGATAATGATGATCATATGGATGATCATTTTTTAATTTACTCTATAAATACAATGATCATTTATAAACTCAATAAAGAAAATGATCTATTTTATATCTAATTTTGTGTGATGATGATGACTTTTGAAGTCAAAAAATTTTGCTTTGCTCAATGATGAAAAATGGAATGGATTTTTGGATTTTACAGCCAAAAATTTCGAACTCCTCAGCCAAACTTTGGCTGTAAAAATAAATCGTCAGGGGGTTCATCAGGCATTTTTTCAAAAAAATCAATGAAATCTTTTGACACTCATTGTACATTAGGTGGCAAGGTAAGTGATAAAATGACATTAGATGATATTTGATTACTTTTTTGAGAGGAATCCAATGATGGTAATTTTGTTGGATGATGATCATTGTTGGATGAGGAATGACTGAGTTGACCCTTCATTTTTAATTTTATTCTATAAATTGGGACGTAAGGTATAAATTATTATTAAGACAAGTAAAAGAGAATGTCTTTATCTAACTTTATATCGAATTTGATATGATGATGTTGATTTTTCAGTGAATTACAAAAGTATAAAGAGGTATATATATATATATATATCTACCCCAAGTGTTTCTATGATGCAAAAGACAATGGTTCGAATATTTGATGAATAAGAAGAAGAAAAAAAAAAAAGGAAATCAGTGAACCTACCATAGTGAACAAATGAAAAAGATGATTGATAGAGGAGAACCGTGAACCATACATGCGGGGATTGAATACGTTGCCACTGCGAACTTTGCTCTAAACGCGCTTATTTTGAGTTTCTTTGCCTTTTTTACTTTCTTTCACTTGCTTTCCTCTTCTTTTTCCACAACCACACTATAGGATATACACAATGAAACTCGTCAGGTAATTTCTTTTTTTTTTTTGAAAACATAGAATAAAAGATAAAATAATGACCGGACTAGCTTGACAAATTGGTAACGCATTTTGGATCTCATATGCTTTTGCTCTTTTGTAAACATCCAGATCATAGATTATCTTCTATTTTGATCAAGTTCTTATTCTTTTTTTTTTTTTTATTTATTATCCAATATTAGATTTTTGATGAAACTGAACAATGAATCCGTATCAGTAGAACTAAAGAATGGCACTGTGGTACATGGGACCATCACTGGTAAATAGAAAATGAATAGACAAAGTAGGGGCAAACGAAGTCTTATGAAACTAGTTTCTAACATCATCTCTTCTTTTTTTTTATGTATCTTCATCATATTTTGGTACATTCCATTCTATTATATATCTCTTGTTTTAGGTGTCGATATGAGCATGAATACACATTTGAAAACAGTCAAGATGACAGTCAAACAACGAGATCCTGTTAGTTTGGACACACTTAGTATCCGTGGCAACAATATACGTTGTGTCATTTTACCTGATAGCTTACCATTGGACACCTTACTGATTGATGATACACCAAAAGCAAGAGCAAGCAAGAAGAAAGAAGGTAAAATAGTCTATTTTTTTTTCCTCTTGAACAACTTGTACTAATCTTTTTTTTTTCTTTCTGGAATATAGGATCCGAATCAACAGGAAGAGGACGAGGTCGCGGAATGGTACGAGGACGTGGAAGAGGAAGAGGTGGACGTCGTTAAAGTCCTAAAAATAAGGTAGATTATCTTCATTTGGTTATTAATAAACGTATTGACTGATTTATCTTCTGAAGGTTTTTGTTAATTGTGCTTCATTGTGTTTTATTTACTTGTTTTGAATGATGGCGTTTACTATCCAATAAAGATCTTATTTTATTATTATCATCATCATCATGCATTCAGATAGTATATCATCTTATCATCACATCATGTCACATCATATATCGCATCTATTATCATCACATATCACCACCACAAAAATTATGATTAATGAGACACCACAGTCCATAAACCCAACATTGTCCTCCAACTGATTGATTGAGTCAATGAAATAATTTTCTACTTACAAAATAGTTATAGTGACGTACTCTATGGAATTCAAAAGAAGAAGAAAAAAAACCATCCAGCTGGAAAAGAAGGTTATACGAATGAATTGATAACCTTTATTATTAATATTATTATTGTTCATGTGTAAGATGATATATTATTTATAAAGAGGAGATATAAACTAAGGGGTGAATGAGGAGGATAAACTGTCAAAGGGAGAAATGGTGATGAGGAGGGAAAACAAACAAGAAGAAAAAAAAAAAAAAGTGAGAGAAATATACAGAATAGGAGGGGTGATGAAAAGGCAGATGGTCAACAATCTACGAGTTCAGGTATGGGGATAAGGAGCATATGTATATAGAGAAAGAGAAATACATATAGGAGGGAAATGAGAAAAGTAAAAGGTATCATAAGGAAGTAACTGTTGGTGTTGATGTTGTTCTATTCCAAAATATTGGTTGTGACGAAAGATGTTTCTGTTTTCGTAACTGATGATGACCTTGAACACGTTCATGTCGTCGCAATGCATCCACTCTTGTAAATCGTTTTCCACACTGTTGGCAGTATACAAATGGTCTGTTTTTCAAATGAATGGTTTGATGCCGAGAAAGATCGTAAGGTCGTTGAAAGGTTTGTCCACATGATTTTCCATTGGCATTAACATGAGTGCAATGATATACTGGAGATGAAGAAGGGGGTGGTGGCGGTGCTGAAGGAGAAGGATGAGTTGTAGAAGAAGACCACGTTGAAAGTTTCCTTGTCTTGAATGATTCCATTGTTGTTGCTGATGCAGTTGAAAATTGGATCAGGGGCGATGGTGGAGAAGAAGAGGCAACAGTCGATGGTGATGATGATGGTGACGAATCAACACTATCACTGATACTGGGAACATCATCATCTTCTGTATCGGACAAAAGAATCATATCCAGGGAAGGCCTATTGTTGATTATTTCTTTATCGCTGATTTTTGTATTCTTTGAAGAATATGTTGATGATGGAAATATATGTGAATCCAAACTGATACCTGAGTCTTTTCGTTGTTCTGTATGATCCCATCGAATTACTTTTGGTCTGATAAGTGGTACAGTGTTTTGGGAAGATGAATGGCGATGAAGTCGCTGTTTGCGGTATAAATACAAATCGAGTCTTTGCAGTCGTAAAGTATTCAAGGCGAGTTCTAATGTAGCATCATCGTATAAAAGGAATTGAGATTGGAGTCTATCACAAACTAAAATGTTGTATTCATTCAAAGTAACATTATTCTATTGAAAAGAGAAGGAAAGAAGGGAAAAAGTTCAACTCCGGTGAAATAAAAAGGTAACCTAGAATCCCAAATTAGGAATTTTTTTTTTTTTTTTTTTGTATTTACATTCAGATATCGTTGCAGTTTTTTCGTCAGGTCAAGAAAAGTTGGATATTGATTTTGACTTGTTAGTAATGATAGTGAAAATGAATCAAAGTTAAAATCATCATCATCATGTTGTACTTGAACACTAAAAGGAAAAGAAGAAACGATCATCAGCATTATAAAATTTAATAAAAGAGCTTTGTTAGCAATTACCGAAATCGATAGATTATTTGAAACGTCATACTTTTCTTTGAATACGAAATGAAAAAAAAAAAAGAAATGAAAAAAGGATCTTGATGAATTTTTTTTTCAACATCTTATAAATGGTATCAGATAGGCCGGTTCGAGGTACTCTGCATGAGCTGGTCAATACATATATCTTAAAGGAAAAAGGGGTGGAAGGGTTTAACCGGGAGTTGGATGGAAATCAATGGGTAACAAAACATCACATACAACATATGTCCCTTTTTTTTTGCCGTTGAACATCGGCGCATGTGTCATTTTCTAAATGTATTTTTTAAATAACCGTGTTTTTTTTCAGATCTTCCCCTATCATCTAAAGAGTAAGATGATTTAAGTCCAATGAGATGATGATTTCTATCTCCCTCATAAAATCATACGAGGGGTTGTGAAGGAGAATAAGAAGATCAAAAAAAAAAAAAAAAAAAAAAAAAAAGAGGAGCAATAAAGAAACGCGACAATGGAATAATCTTCCCCTTTTTTTTTTCTTTTTGTAGAAGCACAACTCCTCTCTGATGTCTGAAAGAAAAGAAGAAATAATAACGTGCATTGCGTCAGCGCTCTGACCGAAATGGCGATCAATTTTATTAACCATCATGTGAAAAAAAAAAACCGGGGAATGGGTCCATCCGTCCAATCATCCTCGTGCGCCATCTACCACCAATTTACCATTGATATGGTTTATCTTCTTTTCTAGACAATCAATCTGTACAACACCAATATGATCATCTATCATCATCATCACTGTATGGAACTATTACTACCATAGACATTCGGGAATCGTCGCCATCGTGGTGGATTCTTTTTATATTGATCATCATAAACATCATCTTTATAACTGTTTAGATTAGCATATTTACCATATTAACACACATATAAATGTATTATTGTCTAAAATTCAAGTCTTGTTCCATCTCCTCCATAAAGGAGAATGTTACATAATAGGAGGCAGATATGATATAGCAAACAAAAGATGTTTTAATGATTGTATATAAAAAAAAAAGGGTCCAAGACCGAAAAAAGGCAAAACAAGGAATGATATTAGGAGAAACAAAGGAAAGGAGGAATAAAAACAAAAGGTAAAAAGTAAATAAAGTAGAAATCTAAACTAACAATGAATAGGGATAACAATAAAAAAAAAATTCATCTCCACCGAGATCATGTATATACAAAAAGTCTAACTTATTATGGAGAAATCAATAGGAAACCGGTCATCTATCAAAAGGAAAAAAAAAAAATCGAAACATTTTAGTTTAATTGCCACTTGTATTCCCCTCCCGTTCATTTTCATATAAAAACATTTCCACTTACAAATACGATCAGGTTGGCTTTCAGGTGGCGTTGTCCAAATGACTTGGGATACTCTATAAGAATCATCCTATATGAAAAAAAACAGGTATTTCGGTTAATGAATTTATTTTTCTCTTTATCCTTCCTGCCGCCATCACCCTTATTTTTTTTTTTTTTTTTTTGCTAAAGTAAATCACTTTACGTTTAGGAATGGTGTATCTTCTTTTACAAATTTGAGTTTCGATCGATTCAATTTCAATTTGATAAATTCGTCAAACATTAAAATTTCTGGGTCGTTTTTGGGTTTGCTAAGTCGATCAGTGATGAATTGTGTAAACATTTGTGAGCCTGTCAATGTTGAAAGAAAATCCTACACGTATTCATGATCAGCAGTAAAAAAAAAAAGTTCACATTAATGCACTTTAATCCGCTTTTTTTTTCTAGTACTATTATTTCTTTACCCTAGTGTCTTTGTCGGAATGCTTCAAGAAGGTATCCTTGGAAAAATATGTGGATTTTCGAAGATGATGATGTCCAGTGCCATCATTGTTGGTTAGTACAGATGTTTTGTTGGTAATTGGATGCTCCGCTGGATCCATAAAGCCTGATCGATAACCATATAAGAGTGATGCAAACATGCGTAATAACGAATCTTGGATTTTTGTTTCATCAAAACAAGCTGGAAGACATGGGTGAAGGATATCATCTGTACAAGAGTCGTGCGTAACCAAGTGACAATCTATATGTATTATAAAAAAAAAGGTAATTTTGGTCAACATTGTTTTTTTTCATCGTTCATTCATTCTTTTTGACTATTTTTAGTTTTTAGTTTTTTTTTTTTTTTTTAAAAAAAAAATTACCTTGACAAATCCTATAAAGTTCCTGAATCGGTGTTTCCTGATCCACATGTTTTCCACAAATACATCGAAAACCTTGAAAGGAGTCAAGTTCTTGCGGTAAGAGTGTCACCATAACATGTCCCTCAATATGTTTGATGTGTCTAGATATTTCACGCGGCGCTCCGTGATAAGATTGACCGTAGTTTCCGTTTAATCCATAATTAATCCCTGTACTTGCAGATGTGTCTGTAGTACTGGAAGATGATATTGATGCTGGATATCCGGATGACATAGATACATGATGTTGTTCAGGTGTATACTATAATAATCAATCAGATATATTAATGTTTGTATATCATCTCTTTTCTTTCGCTTTTGTTAATTTTTTTTTAATACCTGGAATGTCGCTCTTGGCTTGGACATAGTTCCGGATGATTGACCTTTGGAATTCCCCTAGATGAAAAAAAAAAGAAGTAGATCAATTCCGATATTCACTCCTTTTTTTTTTTTTTCCTCTCCTATTCTAATTGTATTTTTTTTTTTAATACCTCTGGAGTTATTGTATTATCATCATCCATAGGAGTCGATTTTCTTAGTGGTGGTGGTTCAGACATACGATTCTGATTTTTGTATAAAGGTGAATTAGCATATTCTTTGTTTTGACCTAGAGATTGAGACTGAGTCATTTTTGGTGTTGCTGGCATAGAGGATCGTTGTTGTTGAGTCCTATTATTGATAGCACTCGCCTGAGTAGGGCTGATAGGGGATGCTGAAGGACTATGTAATGACGATGATGATGGCGACGATATAGCTTGAGGATTGATAGCCAACTTGGCAAAACTTGGAAGTTGCGGCATAGATTGTTCTGAAAGATCATTACTTGACATGGAGGTTGATTGAAATGACCCATAAGAGTTTCGTCCACTAGTAGCACTATTCCATAATGCAGATGATCGAGGTATTTGCCAACTCATCTTGGAATTTGACCATAGTGAACTCGAATCAGAACTACTTTCTGACATCCTATTCCTTGAAGCCGGTGTTTCAAATACATCTTGAAGTTTAGACCTGTTACATGATAACAATAATCGACCATTAGGAAATGCAACTTGCACAGATAAAGGGACACCATAAGGGACACGACACCGATTATGTAATGGACAATGTTGTTCTATGGATGCTTGAAGTTTTCTTCTTTGTCGTTCTGGTAGCATAGGGACACGTGTACTTTGATGAATGGTATTACTATCAAGATTCACAACACAGGCCTAACATGATATCAAATGTGAGGCAAATAATAATGACAACCAAATAACCGTATAATATAAAAATATACTTACATCTTCAGGAACAAAGTCATCAATATCATTCATATCACCTTGGAAACCAACAATGTAAGGTACAGGTGCCTAAAAATAGGAAAAGTAGATATAGTGAATATAATCATTTTCACATTGCATTTTTTTTTTAATTATAATTTCTTACTTGAAGACAGTTTAGGAGTCTTTCTGGAAGCACGGGTATAAAGACAAATTGCCAGTAGAATGGAAACAATAAGTATCGAAAGGATTCACAGGCCAATGAGAGCATACCGCAATGTTGAGACAAGAAAATCACTTTTCCTTCAGCTAGCAAAGTCTAGAAACAAATAGATTAATTAGAATAACAAAAAAAACCCATTTCAGTATAATATACCTCCAATATAACTAGAATCAAATGGGGTGATAAGGCGCGAAACACAGGATACAAAGAGAACTATGGTAGATGTCACAAAAAGAAAAGGAGTAATTGGTTAATGAATCATTGTAAATAAAGAAAGAAAAGAAAAAGGAAGAACTTTTACGTTTTTCAATAAGGGTACTTCATTCATAGCAGGTCTTGATATAAAGAGGGATCGATCATTGATACTAAGTCCAATTTCAAACCTTCCAGGAGGAGGAGAAGGTACTTTATGGATCAAGTTGGCTACAGCACTATCATAAGAAAGAAAGAAATAAGAAAGAAAAAAAAAGGAAAAGGAAAATTAATGTCATGACAATAATAGTCTTGTTTTTTTTTTTCGGCTAGATACATGTATGGAGACTTACCTTCCAACATCGATAGAAACATCCTTATTTTTCCTCCCACGAACACCCACCACAGAATCCAATAAGATCTTAATCCAATCGCTATAGAATTCCAGCCACGGCATCCGACCTAGCACGCCTACGCTTTTTGGTACCCAAATCTGTTTTGCTGTACAGATAGCCAATTTGACGGGTTCAAATAATTCGGTATATAAGGTCAAACTTTCCCGTGACATTCGCACTTGTTCTTCCAATTCACTACGTTGTTCCAAAGTCTCTGTAGTTGTTGATTTGGTGGTATATGATGCCAATTCCGAATTAAGTCTTTGAAGTTGAATTTGTTCATGCACGATTTTCTCTTCCAGATGTTTTGCATATTCCACTGTGCTTGTCGTCTAAGAGGAGGCAAAAAAAAAAAAAAAAAAAAATAAGAGTTAGATCATCCCTAAATTTACGTCATTATATATTGCCTCTTTCTCTTACCGTAGATTTATCCACCCAATTTTGAAGCGCTTCATTCACAGGTTCAAATAAGGTATCAGGCAAAGGTTCATAAAACACACAACAAGTTCCATATCGAGTTGATCCAGAATCGTCAGTCATTGCCTAAAAAAAAAAATCAAATGGAAAAAAAGAGAAATTAATATTACTGTTATATTATAGTAAAGTTTATATGACTTACAAAAGAATGAATTCTTTCCGGTGGAGGTTCATCGCCATAATGTAAAGAAATATCGTGGGGAAAAGAAAACTAGTAAATAAGGAGATTTGAGTAAAAACACCCCTGCGTATTATACATATATTTTTCAACATATATTACCATAGATAGATAAGAAGGGAAAGGAATACAAACATCTTGATAAGGATACCGAGTAAGAACAGTAGGAGGATACTTGACATCCAATAGATGAGGGATAGTAGGCTGATCATTATCGTCCATCGTTGGTAAAGCCACTTTTTGTCGTTCAGTACCATCAGTGGAAGTATGTGACATTGAATATTGTCTTTGTCGTCGTTGTTTATAAGTACGTTTCACTTGAATGCATAAAAAAAAAATGATCGGATCAGTATACAGATTATAAAAAATTCTACATTTATAAATTACCAGTATCTTTTCCATGTTGCCAAGCTGTGTCATATAAAGAGGATCGTTTTGTTTTATTTGAATAAACTGTATTGACACTTGCTCGTCTTGAACGTTCCCATGAAGCAATGCTTGAAGTATCAGTAGAAGGAGGACTAGGAATGGCAATGACATTTCCTCTTGCATAATCACGTTCTTTTCCAAAGTGATCAATAACGGCCTGTACTTGATCCATCATACCTGTAAGAGAATCTTCTTGTTGATTAGAGGAAGTAATACTAGGTAAAAGAGGAAGACTTTGACCTCTTTTACGACCATGAGTATTTGATAATATATCCGGATCTTCAGTTGTATCTGTTGATATTCTAGTCATAGGAGTTGGTGGTGTTTTTATTCTTTCTGATGTTACATTCTCTATTGATAAAGTAGCTGCAGCACTTGATTCTTGATTGTTGTAATATGCGGCTTCATTATCAGCTGTTTGCCCATTTTTCACCGAATTGTATGTTGTTAACAAGTCAATATCACGAAGACCAGTGACAAAAAAATAGTCAGCTACCGTTTGCTGGGCAGGACTAATGGACATTCGTTAATATTATATATATATATATATATATAAAGTATATATGATGATATTAATAAAAAGAAAAAAAAAAGGAAGGAAAGGAAAAAGTAAGAAAGAAAAAAAAAAGGCTATTTTTTCTTTTTGTTTTGATTCCTCATGGCAAAAAGGTGCAGATTACCACTTTATTTTCAAGTCCGCTGAAGAAATCTCACAAGCATTAAATTCAAGGACAAAAACTATCAAAATGAGAATAATATATGAAGAAGATACAAATTTTATTTACAAATAAAAAAAAAAAAAGGTCTAAACTAATCTATCTATACACGAAGTTCCCAAACATCTTCTGAACTTCTTTGTTTTTCCTTTTCAATTCGTTTTTCTTCTTCACGTTTCCTTATCATAGCCTACATAAAACAATAAAAAAATTATCAATTTGAATTTCCAAATAGATTAAATATCAATGATAACTTACATCGGCCACTTTGGAAGTTTTTGTTTTTGTTGTTAAACAGAATTTGAAATCCTCATATTTTGCACTACAATCTTTCTTTGAACCATATCTATAATAGTTAAGAGCTTGAGATCCTAAAGCTAACATTAATAAAATACAAAAAAAGGGACTAAGTAAAAAGGTTCAAAAAAAAAAGATTAGATTAACTTACTATAACATTGCCAAACAGAGTTAAAAGCTTGAGAGGCACTACAAGTTTTGAGATGGTCACCATGATCTTCTTCTAATTCATTAAAAAATGCTATAGTATCTTCATCATGTTTAGTTTCAGTATTCGACTTTGGTGATGTCATTGTAAAGTAGAAAAGAAACAAAGAAACAAAAAAAAACAAAGGAAGAAAAAAATTAAGCGGTAATTGAATAATGAAAATCAAAGACTTGAAGGAAAAAAAAATTGATGCGGTCCCTAGAGAAAAACATTGACATTATGCAAACAACTCATACAGTACAAGAACACGATGTATTGATTTTCCATGATTTCCAAAGAAAGATGATAAAGATAAAAAAAAAAAACTTGAAAAACTCTTGGCTATGACAAAGAAAAAGGAATTCCACGTGGTCGGGAGTCAAATGTTACGGTTAATATATATATATAAAAGTAGTATTGTTCATATACGAACATGAAAAGAAAGAAAAAAAAAATAGCTTTTTTATTTAAAGGAGTCTACATAAAAAAAAAAAAGAAAATCAATAAAGTGTATTCAGTTAAATAACTATCATGATTTGTTAAAAGGAGAGTCAAAAGTTAGCAAAAAAAAAAAAGAATGGGAAAGAACAATTTGAAGTTCCGTAGACACTATAAGCGTTATCCCCTTTTTTATTTCAATGGTACTTTTTTTTATATTTTAGTTTATTTTCTCTTTCTTTTTCTCTTTCTCTTTCTTTTCCAAGCCCCGTCTCTCTCTCTTTTTCTCTCTTTTTTATTTTTATTTTTATTTTTATTTTTAAAATAAAAAATAAAAAAAAAAACTTATTCTTTATTTAGTTTCAAAAGAATCCCTTTCCCTTCCTTTTTTTTTTTTTTTTTTTTTTTTTAGATTGATACCATTTTCCTCATTCCACCCATCATCACCACAATATGACTCCTAGACTATTGTCAAGGGAAAAGTCAAAGGAAAAGAGTGTTTTCCCAACTGCCTCTACCGAACGAAGAACTATTTATGTTAATATGGATATTCCACCTGATGAATTGGACGATTATGGTCAACCTACACGTAGTTTTATTGGCAATAAAATTCGAACAGCAAAATATACCTGGTATACCTTTTTACCTAAAAATTTATTTGAACAATTTCGTGGTATCGCCAATTTATACTTTCTCTTCTTGGTCATCTTACAAATGTTTCCTTTATTCAGTACTTCAGCATCTCCTATTCTTGTCATATTACCTTTGGCAGCTATTCTTGTTTTGACTGGTGCAAAAGACGCTGTGGAAGATAACAAACGCCACAAGACTGATCAAGGTGTAAACAAAGCTATCACTTTTACTCTTTCTTCTTGGACAAACGTGAATGTACCTGTATACAAAGTAGCTCGTTGGCGTCGTTGGATTCATGCTATACGCTCTTGGTTCAAATCTATTTTTCGTCGACGAAAAAATTACCTCTTGGACGATGAAGATTACGATATTCAATCTCTTCATCGTGTTAACACCAACCACTCTATTATCTCTACAACATCTACTTTACAACCTCCTACTTCTCCCATTTCTTCAATACGACAAACCATTCGATCCAGTACCACTTCTTTCACACGTGTCTTTCAACGAAATCAACCTTATCGCCCAGGCCTAGTACCACACTCTGTATTACACCGTAAAAAGAAGAAACACAATAAAAAGAATGCTTCACCTCCTGTAAAACGAAAAAGACGGGAAATGGATAAACGATGGAAACGCACATTATGGCAAGATTTACAAGTAGGTGATTTTGTCTTTTTACGAAATGATGATCCGGTGCCTGCAGATATGGTGATTCTATCTACTTCGGAACCCGATGGTTTATGCTATGTGGAAACTCAGAATTTGGATGGTGAAACCAATCTCAAGATCAAACGTGGATTACAAGCTACTAGTGATATCAACAGACCTGAAGATTGTGAAAATTCAAGTTTTTATATTGAAAGTGAAGCTCCTCATGCCAATCTTTATTCTTACAATGGTGTTTTGAAATGGAAGGTATCAATGATGGATCAAATTCAAGAAGAAGATGAAGATGATGACTATGAAACATCTGTACAAGGCAACACCTCCCAATTTGATACTATTGACGACAACGTTGATGGATTAAAAATTCAAGAAAAAACTTTAGTTCCACCAACTGAAAATGATGTCTCTCATGAAAAAACTGAAGCAATCACCGGTAGTAGTGTACTCTTACGAGGTTGCGTCTTACGAAATACTGATTGGGTTATTGGTATGGTCTTATTTACTGGAAACGAAACCAAAATTATGTTGAATTCTGGGAAAACGCCAAGTAAACGAAGTAAAATGGAAAAGGCAACCAATCCTCATGTAAGTTGATAGTAATACAAAAAAAAAAAAAAAAAAAAAAAAAAAAAAAAAAAACGGAATTAACAATATCTTTTTTATTCTAGGTCATCGCCAACTTTGTCTTATTATTTGTACTATGTTTGATATGCTCTATTGCTGCCACTGTTGTATATTCAAGTCATACATCATCAGCCTATTTTGAACATCCTGATGCAGAAAGTGCTACCATGGAAGGCTTCCTCATGTTTTGGTGAGTTCCAACTCTTTATTTCACATTACTATATATACTCATCGATTATTTATTTATTTATTTATTTATTTATAGGACTACACTCGTGATTTATCAAAATATCATTCCCATCTCATTATATATATCGGTTCAAATTGTCAAAACTGCAGCAGTAAGTTTTTTGAAAAAAAAAAATTATCAATGCTTATCCTTATATTTTTCTCTAGGCTTATTTTATTCACACTGATATTGATATGTACAATGAACGCTTGGATCAACCTTGTATTCCTAAAACTTGGAATATATCTGACGATCTTGGCCAAATTGAATACATCTTTTCTGACAAAACTGGAACACTAACTCAAAATATTATGGAATTCCGACGCTGTACTATTAATGGTGTTACCTATGGACTTGGCGAAACGGAAGCTTCTCTGGGAGCCAAATTACGTGAAGATGACAGTAACAATATCAATGGTGACGAAGAAATAGCAGGCAATACAATGAATGAAGAAACGACTCGTATCTCTGATGGATTGGATTTGGAAAAAGCAAGAAGGGAAATGTTACGAAAACAAGCTGCATTGTTTGAACATCACTATGTTAATCCCAAGTCCTCTTTTGTCGATCCCAAACTTTATGATGATCTTGCCAACAATGATATTCAATCTCAATCACTGGTTCATTTCTTTTCTGCACTGGCGTTTTGCCATACTGTTATTGCTGAAATACCTGATCCTGATAAACCACATGATATTTTATACAAGGCACAATCTCCTGATGAAGCAGCATTAGTGGCAACAGCAAGAGATGTTGGATTTACTTTTGTAACGCGTGAACAAGATACAATGATCATGGATGCTATGGGTGAACGACGTGAAATGACACTTTTACATGTATTGGAATTCAACTCGACTCGAAAACGCATGAGTGTGATTATGCGTGGTGGTGATGGAAGGGTAGTATTAATATGTAAAGGAGCAGATTCGGTGATCTATGAACGTTTGGATACAAACAATGTGACAACTGAACAACAACATATTCGTGATGATACCCTCAAGGATTTGGCGACATTTGCAAACGAAGGACTACGAACATTGTGTATTGCCAGTCGAGTGTTGGATGAAAACGTATATCAAGATTGGGCCAAACGGTACAAGGAAGCTTCCAATAGTATTCACAACCGTGATGAACAAATGGAAAGTGTATGTGAAGATATTGAACAACAATTAACTCTTATTGGTGGGACAGCTATTGAAGATAAATTACAAGAAGGTGTACCTGATACCATTGCTGTATTAGCTAAAGCTGGAATCAAGATCTGGGTGTTGACCGGTGACAAGATTGAAACCGCTATCAATATTGGATTTGCTTGTAATTTACTTACGAAGGATATGTTACTTCTCAGTGTCAATGCTCATGATGAAAAGGAAACATTGGAACAATTACGTAGCTCTCAACAACAAGTGAATGAAGTGGCTGGACAACAAAAATGTGCTTTAGTCATTGATGGTGAATCACTCAAGTACGCTTTGGAAGCACCTGCAAAAGAAGAACTACTTCGATTAGGTACTCAATGTATGGCTGTGGTATGCTGTCGTGTCAGTCCTATGCAAAAGGCAAAGGTAGTTAACCTGGTCAAAAAAGGTTTAAAGGTGATGACGCTTTCCATTGGTGATGGTGCAAATGATGTGTCTATGATTCAAGAAGCAAATGTTGGTGTTGGTATCTCCGGTGAAGAAGGTCGTCAAGCTGTCATGGCATCTGATTATGCTATTGCCCAATTCCGTTATCTTAGCAAGCTTCTACTTGTTCATGGTCGTTGGTCTTACTTGAGAACTTCAGAAATGATTTTGACCTTTTTTTATAAAAACATCATGTGGACATTGGTTTTGTTTTGGTATCAACTGTTTTGTGGGTAAGTGGAAATATTATATATATATATATAGGTTTTAACTTTATCAATTTTTTTTCCAAACATTGATTATAGGTTTTCTGGTACGATGATGTTTGATTATTCTTATATTACATTATATAACCTGGTGTTTACATCTTTACCTTGTATTTTTGCTGGTGTATTGGATCAAGATTTAAAGGCGGAATATTCGTTCAAGTTCCCACAATTGTATCTCATGGGCATTCGAAATGACAAATTCAAAACTTCAAGATTCTATTTGACTGTATTTGATGCAATCTATCAATCAGCCATCTGTTTTGGTATTCCTTACATGCTATTTATTGTTGGCAAAATGAATAGACATGGCTATGATACGGAAGGTGTGTACGAACTTGGTACTTTTATTGCTGGTATTGCTGTGGTTGTAGCGAATGCATTGGTAGGCTTTACAATCTTTAGTTATACATGGGTCATGGTCTTGGTTATTGTGGTCTCATCAGCAACCTTTTTTATTTGGACTGGTGTTTATGCTCAATTCCTGACATTCAATTTTTACGGTGAAGATATTTTGTTTCGCGATGGTTCTTTCTGGCTATGCTTGGTGATTACCTTTGTGATTTGTATGTTACCACGTTTTGTTACGAAATATTATTTACATATGGATCAACCTTTCGACAATGATATTGTACGTGAATTAGTTTTATGTAATAACGACCAGTCGCCAAGACGTGCTTCTTATTCCCACTTTACTGGATGGAAATCCTTCAAAGGCAAACAACAACGACGAAAAACGTTGATGCAACTGGAAGAAGAAATACCCATTACACTGGCACGAACACAAAGCGATCAATCAAGTGCAGTTGCTCTACGAGGAGCCTTCCATCATCAATCTCAGTTCAACAATCACAACGATCGATTTATTGATGAAGCAACAATGACAATGATGGAAGCAGAATATGATAATGTATATCCATTGACAGAACCATCACCAGCACATTCTCGACTTGACCGAACAGGCACTGGTGTCTCTGGTAAAAGTGAAATCATGTATATGCGATCAGGGAAACGAGCTTCTTTTACAGGTTTTGCTTATTCATCGGACGATGCAAGTGCTTTTGATGCCTTTAGAAAATCGGTTTATCGTGGACGGCGACGAAGTAGTGGATCAGATCAATTACAACAACAACATCGGCTACGCAACTCATACGCTGGCGTTGTGGGTGGCTCTACTCATTTAGAAACTGCCAATTCCTCTTCTACAATAGGTAAAGAACAAGATTGGATGCCTTTGGATGGATTTCGATTGCGAAGATACGAAACTGAACCTGATCCTCATCATATCACAAAAAAAGCTTCACCAAGCTGGGTCCGTGCTGTGAAACAACGAATGGCGACATCGAAAAATTCTTCTGTGGATCATGAATTGGTGGATATCTCAAGTTAAATTTAGTTCCTCTTTTCTTTTTCTCTTTTTTTTTTTTTTATTATTATTCTATTTGTGTTTTATTATATATATTTATATCTATATATTCTTGTCGTTTTTTTGTTTTTATATCCCCCTTTCCACTTTTTCTTTTTTTTTTATTTTATCTTGTCTTCCATGTTTATATTCCATATAGATTTCTTTTATATTGTACTTTTTAGTTTCACTTTGTTTTGATAAATAAAATTTCAGACTATATTTTATTGAATCTCCTTATCTATGTACCTTTTTTTTTAACGATTGATCTGATGATGATACGTTATGATGGAAAACGATGAAGATCTATCAAGATAAGAGATATCAATGACTGGTAATGGTTGCCCAAAGTGATGATGATTGATATTTCATGATCTATGATACTATGTGATGATGACAGATGATACACACACAATGGATAATATATATATATATACAACAATATGATTCTATGAGGATGAATATGAAAAAAGCCTTTATCAGTATTATTATTATTATTATTGTTAAAAGTAAGGATTCTTTCAGTTCTTGCCTTTTTCTGTATGGTTACCATACAGTTACGGAGAGTGAATTGCAATCAGCATTGGGGGATCTTTTTCTTACTGGTGAAAAAGTCACAGCCAGCAGCACAATTCTCCAAAAAAAAAAAAAAAAAAACTCCTTCTCCTTCTCCATTCACCTTCTTTTTTTTTTTTTTCATCACTCATAATATCAACTACCTTATGGAACAAACATTCGAGTCAGAATGTCAACGATATTTCCATGATGGACTCAAAGCTGCTTTTTTGACTGATAAAGATGGTGTCATCATTTTGAAAAGTAAAAAAAAAAAAAAAAAAAAAAAAAAAAACTTTCATTGTATTCACACAAGGTATATAGGTCTATCAGATGACGCGCCTCCCAAAGCAACAGATCCACTTATCTCTACCAATTTTGCTGTTGCGAACAATCAAGTAAAGAAGAAAGTAAAAAAAAGAAAACTTGTTTTATTCAAAAACTTCCTTTTTGTATATCAATAGGCATCAAAATTGGGATTGAAACACAATGAAATTATAGTTAGTATGTACGGGCTTTATCAAATTGTGCAACTGGATCAAAATCCCTTGATTATCACCATCATCAGTGACGCAAGTGCAAATACAGGTAACATCAAAAAAAAAAAAAAAAAGAATGTGTGTGTGATACTGAGGATGGGGGAACACTAATACCGGAGGATTCGGAGAACTAGTGGACATGTAGGTGAAAAAGGGAATTGAATTTACTATTTTCAAACATTGACTATCTTTTTTTTTTTATTATTTTTATTTTTAGGTATATTCATGCATTTAGCACGTCAATTAAAAAAGGTGACTGATCCATTAGTCCATCTTATGCAAACTGGAGGTCATCTTACTGCTACCCATCAAGAATAAAATTCTTTGTGTATCTCCAGTATTACTTTATTATTATTATTATTATTATTATTATTATTGATAGGATGATGATTATTAGTCTTATTAGAATAGTGATACTTTATCTATTCCAAATCTAGTGTTTTTTTACTGATTGTTTTGTATATATATATATAAAGTCTTTTATTCTCATTTCTAATAAATTTTGTCTTCATGTTATTTTACTCTTCCGAATAAAAAAAAAAACTCAGTAAAAGGGTTGCTGAGGGAAATCTCGTGATCTTTCTATAATCACATTCATCATGATTATTCATTATTCAATCTATTTCATGGACCGATGGCTGCTTATAAAAAAAAAAAAAGAGAGAGAGGATGGTTTCACTGCAATGCAACAAATGTCATTGGTTCTCCTGATGATGTTTATCTCATTCAGGGCAGCATGAATACCTTACCAAACATATGCTATTGGTGCATTCATGTAATCATTTTTCATTTCCTTTTTTTTTTTTCTTTTTCTTTTTTTTTTTTGTAATGACTGGTTCTTTCAATGTTTCAATCTATTCAGGTTATATATTATTTTTCCTTCCTTTTTTTTTCCTATTTCGAGTGGATAGACATGACATTTTTGGTATGTGTGTCAAAGGTCATTTCATGAGAAAAATAATCAAGATAAAATAAAAGGGCACGGACTTTGAACCAAATCTACACCTCTTTCTCCCAATCTACCAGCATCTGGCCCCCCGCCAATATCCAGAGTGTGAGAAAAAAAAAAAAAAAAAAACTTGGATCTTTTATTCTTTTTTTTTTTTCTTGCCATGGCAACACAAAACAATAAAGAATATTGATAGGAATGATTCTCTTTATAGATAGATCCACTTTTTGAGTATAGACAGAAATAAGTTTATCCTATTCTTCTTTCAATTTCTAAAAACAGTGAAACAAATGTAGAGAGTAGAAAAAAGAAAAAGAATACTCAACCCAATAAGGTAATAGGTAAGCAGAAACTTTATAGCGGAGAAGGCATTACTGTTGAGAAAAAAAGATCAAGGGGAGGAAAGAACAAAAGCTGAGCTGAGCTGTAAAAAAAAGCATAAAGTATAAAAAAAAAAAGCATGTGCGCTTCTTTTTCATTCTTCTTTTTTTTTCATTATTCACTCATTTTTATTATATTTATTTACGAATGGAAAACAATACTTGGTTTTATATCCAATCTAACAAAACTGGTCATGTTATATCAGCTAGTCGACAAATTCGTTCTGAACACCTCGACCCAAAAAGATCTCAAGTTTATGTTTATCCTCCTCTTCAAACAGATGACGAATTATGGACATATGAACGTCAATATATTCGTAATAAAGCAACTGGTTTAGTCTTGGATATTCGAAAAGGTAAATAATAATAGTAATAATAATAATATTTAACTAATTATCAATTGTTGTTAGGTCGCTTAAGATTGATTGAAGATACTGAAATTTGTTTATATGACGAAAAACCATTGGAAGAAGCTAGTAATCAACTATGGGGAATACGTGATACATCTCAAGGAAAATTGATATATTCTATTTCTAATACTGACTGGTCCTTAACTCAAGATGAAAACAAACTCTTGTTATATCCTCATGAACCTTTACAATCAACCATTCAACAACATGATACTTGGGAATGGATTGCTGAACATAGTTTTATACCTTCTTTATCTACCTCAACTACTACTGCTGCTGCTACTGCTACTGCGGAATGGTCTGGTCCTACAACACCTGGTTTATGTTCTTCTGTTGGTAGCTCTGTTGAATCATCTGATTTTTCTCAGGGTGGTTTATCTCCTGCTAAACGTGGCTCTCAAGGTTCAGTGAATCTTTATTCAATGGAGACTTTCAAGGATTATCATGATCGTTTATATCAAGAAAAAGATACTCATTTAAGGTAAGATATAAGGTTTAGTTTTGTTCAACCTTGTTTGTTAACATGAATCTCTTTTTCCCGCTGTTTCCTTTTTTTTTTTTTTTTTTTTTTTAGTGACAAGGCCCTTAGTATGGCAGCTGCTTATCATTCTTGGATATCAGTCCGTCCTATGGATTCCATCAAAGAACTCGATGAACCTGGAAGAATTCAACTTCAGAATAAAGCGGAACAAGAGGTAATACATGATTGGTTGTACTCGGGTCACTCTTTGTTTTTGGTTACGTGTTTTCTTTTTTAACATATCTATTTGATATTTTGATGATAGGCTCAAAATCTTTTGTTATCAAATCAACATCAAGATCATCACAAGGAAACTGTTTTACATTTGACTCTTCGTTTTATCAATCTCCTTATGGATCAAAAAGTATCAACATCATAGTATATTCCTCTATTTTTACCCTCTTTTTACTTTAGTAGTCTTTGTCTTTTTTTTTTTTTTTTTATCATCCTATTGTAAATACGTATTTTTATTTTTATGATTTTCTTTCTTGTATATTTCAACTCTTTTATAATAAAAAAAACAATGTATTTTGATTGGTCAGGAATTCAGCCTGATGAAAATTTTTAGTTTGTGTTCCGATTTATCATATAAAAATCGCTACATTTTTTGTTTTTTTTTTTTTTTTTTTCTTTGTGCTTAACGGTAAGTTATCGTATAATGATAACGTTTTCTTTTTACTAAATAACGCTCTTTTATTATTATTATTTTTATAGAAAGGAGAGAACTTTGGCAATCCCCTTGAGAAGGACGGAACGAGTTTTTTAACTCACTCTTACAATCACAGCAATGTGTTTGAAGGCACTCTGTTTTCATAGAAAACATCTTGGCATATTGCCACCTTTTTTTTTTATTATTATAATTATTGTTAAATGAAAATGAAAATAAGATGGATGAAGGGCTTAGTTGTTGCAGTGATGCATGGCTTTTTTTCTGGAATTGTCTTTATGGGATATTGGTCATTTATCATTCTTATGAAGTATGATGATGTTTGTTTATGAGAACTTTTATTTTGCTAATTCTTATGAAGCGTACTTTTTATGATGATGATCCACTATTGTGTAACTGCCAAATGTGTTGGGAAGGATGGTAGTAATAACCGTAGTGAATAAAGTACTGTCGTGATAAATCACAGGGAAAGCTAATCAAAAAGATGTTTTTGTACAATTGATTTGTCATTATTGTCCTCTGCAAACCGATTTTGTTGAGCCCTGTGGATTATCTTTTTCTTCATCATGAATCTATAAATCACGTATTCAATCATTTCCTAATAATCACTGCATACTATAAAGTTTATTCATAAATATATATATATATATACAATGGTATATTAAAAAATATGTACAAGTGTAAAGACTATAACTAGGGAAGGAGATGTTCAATGTTCTTCTTCAGTTAAACCAGGGCAATGGGTATCCAAATCATTTTCATTTTCATATTGCGCTGCGCACCAGAAACAATAGTTGTGTTGTGTTCGTAAGTAATCCACTATTTTGGTCAATTGATCATCCAACTAATAGAGAATTCACCTGTCAATATATTTCCTCTATACATCCATTCTATTTTCGATTCACTTACCGGAAGGGATTTCAATTCTTCCATCTCTTCATCTGGATAGATTCCATGATCATTTTCATTTGTTGTCTCCTTGTTTTCTTGATATTCGTCTTGATCTTCTTCTTCTTCTTGATCTTCGGATTTTTTGGGTATAAGAACCCAGAGGATATTGGCATTGATTCCCTATTCCATCCAAATAATAAAAAAATAAAAAAAGTTATGTCTTCATTGTCATCTATTTCTTCTTCTGTAATTACCTTACTTTCATCCCTTTCTTTACAAAGATGAGCAGCTGCGTTGATTTGTCGTGACCTTTTGCCTTTTTTCGCCTTTGTAGCCATCAATTCTCGGAATTGTTCAGGATCCATATCAAGTTTCTTTCGTTTTTCTAATTCTTCTTGTGCTTGTTCATCTCTTTTCCGTTTCAATAAACTGTCCATTCCTAAACCGCTTCTATCTATATAAAAAACAAAAGAGGACAAACATAAATGAATAATGTTCAAGTGTGATATGCGTTTATATCTAATACAGTATCACTTACCTTGTTTCAATTGCACTCCAAGAGGTTCGTGAATTCCTACTTGACTTTCTTTTCCTAATGCTGACCCTTGTCTTTTTTTTTTTTTTTTTTGTACAAAACAGGAATAAAAAAATAAAGAAAGAAAGAAAGAATGAATGAATAATCATTGTATTTTTTTTTTCCAAACTAAAATTTGCTCTTTATTTACTTACTTGAATCCCATTTTCAGCATCATTTTCATACCCTTGTTATCGTCCGTCATTTTTTTCTGTAGACCTTGTTCTCTTGCTTCTTGTTCTAGCTGTTTCCGAGGTTTGATATATGCCTTTTTCTGTTGTTCTCTTAGCTGTTCGCGTCGTCGTTCACTATAGGTCTTCGTTCGAAGCTTCTTGTCCATTTCTGCAGCCTGTTCCAAGATGGCAGTAGACATATAATCATCCTCTTCGTCGTTGATGATACTGTTATTATTTGACATGTTAAAATAATTCTATCTAAGCAATGTATAAAAGAAATAGAAAAGAAGAGAAGTAAAAGAATTTGGAAAATGTAATTTTTTTTTATTTCTTATTGTTCACAGTCGTGACTTTTCTCTCCCCGCTTTCTTTTTTTTTTTTGCAAAAAGATTTACATTCTTTTTCTTTTTTTTTACTTTTTTTTTGCTCTTGTACCCAATACGTATATATTTCTATAATGCCAAGTGACAAAGATAAAAGACGACTACCACATATACACCAACACACAAAGAAACGGCTACCATTTATATTAGGATTCATCTTGATCATAAGCAGTATCTTCTTCTTTTTTCGAGCCAGCAACAAGATGTGCACTGGTGACGATATTATTCAACCCACTATCTTTCATTCAACAAACAGCAGCGACGGTATGATTGTCGATATGGTAAAACAACTCTCATCCCCATCGCCGCAAAGTCAACAGCAGCTTCAAAAAGTGACGTTCCAAAATCTAAACGATAATGACAATAAAGGAGAACAAACAGTTGTTGTTATGGTTGTACTCCCACCATGGGCTATTGGATCATCCTTACAGGTCTTTTTCAAACAACTTGCTCAACAAACGCATCCTCATACTCGACTAGCATTACTCCTCCTCAATCCACCCAGTCCGACAACACTGTATACTGTACGATACTACCTCACTTCTTCCCGCATTCATATGCCTGTTGATGTGTATACCAAGACGTACGATTCGATGACACCATGGATTGCCCAAGATAACCATCATGATAGTAGCAGGAATGCTATCTATGAATTAGAACCACTACGGAAAAGTGCTATGGCAAGAGCAAAGAATTTTTTACTACAATCGGCTTTGGATCCTTTAGACAATTATGTACTTTGGTTGGACCCTTTGCTGGATCAATTTCCCACCACTTTGATTACGGATTTCATTGATTTATGTGAACAAGATAATAGCAAGAGCGATCATGGCGTGGATATCTTGGTACCAAATACTATGATTAGAAAGGATGGACAAGAATGGGGTTACGATCGATCCAACTGGCAAGAAACAACAATGTCTAGATCATTACAAGATACTGTACCAAATGATTTTGTATTTATGGAAGGTAATTAGGATGAATTTGATATATATATATATATATACTGAATTTTTTATTTCATTATTGATAGGTTGGTGGGAATATGATACACATCGGTTTTTGATGGTGGATATGTTAACAAATGGACCTGAAGATCAAAAGAAGATGGATTTTACCAAGGTACCATTAGATGGTGTTGGATCTACTTGTCTATTTGTCAAGGCAGAAGTCCATCGAAGTGGTCTCAATTTTCCTGCTTACCCTTATCAACATCAATTGGATTCTGAAGCATTTGCAAAAGCAGCACAAGTGGAAGGTTATATCATTAGAGGATTACCAAATTACAAGATCTATCATTCCAATGATGATGATGATACAAGTGTAACGGATGATAATGATGATGAAATATAGTTTAGTTTGTATTTAATAAAATCATAATCCTTTTTATTCTCATTTTTATTTTTTTTATAATACATATATATTTATTTCGTTTTTCTTTATTAGATATCATACATATATGTTTATTTGATGCTATGTGGACGCATTGACTAATCTTTTCCGCTCTCCGGGATTAAGGGATTGATGTAAATCCTTTTTCTCGAGTCAATCTGACTGGTGGGAAAGAGCGGGGAGACTGGATCCGAAAACTTAACTTTTTTTTTTTCTTTGGAAAGTTAGATAAATTTCTTTCCCTTTTTTTTTTTTTTCCTTTCCTTTCTATTCTCGTTTTTTTTTTTTTCTTGTTCTTTATTGTAATATGGTCCAAGATACTTCATCAGTTATCATTGTTAGACAAGCTACTTTGGCAGATCTTGAAATCAAGGAAGATATTCAAAAGATCATTAACGGTGCATATCGTTCAAAAGGTGAGTGACACAATCAGACATTGAAAGTACATCAATGAATTAAGACTTATTTTTTATTTCTTTTACTTTAAATAGGCGGTTGGACAGATGAAAGTGCATTAGTAAATGGTCAAAGAGCAACATTAGAAGATATGGAAACACATATTAAGGATACTGTCAATGTATTATTTTTGGCATTTGAAAAAAAAGCGGGTGAAGACCAAATGACTGTGGTGGGAACGGTACAAATCCAACCGGATGGACCTGATGAAGCTGAAATCGGATTACTCTCAGTTGATCAATCATTACAATCTCGTGGTATCGGTGGTCGTTTGGTGCGTACTGCTATGGATGAAATGAAAATACGTGGATACAAAAGAGCCGTGATTCATGTCTTGGATGTTCGAACAGAAATTTTGGCTTGGTATAGAAAACTTGGATTTGTTGAAACTGGTGAACGTACTCCTTTTGTTTGGCCTGAATTACTGAAGGTCAAATCTCTCGAATTTTTGGTGTTGAAGAAATCTTTAATATGATGCCCATTAGATTAGATTCTCAACACCAACATATACATACTCCCTTTTTATTTCTATTTTTTTTTTTTTTTTACTTACATTGTACCTATCTTACCCTTCTCTCTTTTTATTAGTGACTATTTTAGAACGTTTTAATAAACTGTTTATATATATCTTCTATCAACAATCAATACTATCAAATATAACAATCTTTGATTTTCTTTTATTTTATTTTGATAGGCGGTATTTCAAAAGGACGACCCAAAAACTGACTTGGTACCTCAGGAGGGTTGATATTTTTTTCTCTTTTTTTTTTCTTTTTCTTTTTCACTTTTCTCTATCCATGACTTCGAACGAAGAAAACACCAAAGATAAGATAACAAAGGCAGAAGCTACAACAATTACTGACCATGAAGATGAGGAATTTACAGTAGTTGATGTCAGTTCTTCATCTGATACCAATGAAGTCACATCTTCTATTCCTTCGTCACAACATACCGAAGAAGATACCATCATGATACAGCACTCCAAAGAAAACGAGGATAAGAACAATGAAACCAAGGAAGAACACGTCGATTCTTCTTCCAACCGAACAACTACAACAGTAACAGCAGCAACGACAACAACGACAATAATGAACCCCTCTCCAGATATCGATACCACTTTGACCGAGATTTCCAACGTATGGGAAGAAACTACGACTGTACCTACTTTGACAACACCCACTCTGACTGTCACTGAAGCCACTTCCGATCCTTGGAAAGATGAACGATTACACAAACAACATGATGAAGACACTGACTATGAGCATGTTGAAGATGACAATGAAAAGGAAGCTGCTGACTCGATTGAACCTGTTATCGATGCTTCTGTCAAAAACTCGCCACCTATTTTAGATACCGAAACTTCTCATCGAAAGGTAAAAACAACTGCTTCTCCCCTTATTGAAAAAGAGAGAGAGGAGAAAGGAGGAAATACGTAAACAGGGATAGAGAATTAGGAGAACCTTTTTTTTTTTTTTTTTTTTTTTTTTTTTTTTTACTAATATCCGTCTTTTATTTATACATATATCAAATCCATTTTAGGGATTTCAAAATGCAAACGATATGGATGAAATCTTGGATCTTACAATATCAGGACGACTTCCAGATTGGCTTATTGGTGAACACTATACTATTGGCCCTGGTATCTATGATGTCAAGTATCTTCGCAAAGTAGAAATCGATGGAGAAATTCAGCATGCTTCTAGCTACTTTACATTTGGTCATTGGTTTGATGCGTAAGTTACAATCAACTTTTTTTTTCATTTGATTCTTACATGTGTATTTGATAGATTACCTTTGGTAAATCGATTTGATATTAATGGTGCTCGTAATACCATCAGCTATCGCAACCGTCTACCTAACAAGAGACTTATTGAAAAGATTCGCGATCATCATGGATATACCCCACCTCATCCTGCAAGTGTATTCAAAACAAATAGCAACCAATCGGTGTTATCCAAATTTATGAAATCAAATGTCAAGGCCTCAAAACCTGATGCTGAAATCTGTGGTGCTCGTATATTACCTAGTATTCCTGGTGTTGTGGGTCGTCTGTTTGCTCAAAATTCTGCTAAACATGTAAGCCAATATCAGTAGAAAAGAAAGAAAAAAAAAGTGATTTATATAAATGTATAATATTTATAGATTCAAGAATTGGATCCATTTGATTTGAAACCTACTCGAATCTTCACTTGGGATGAAATCAATCCTGCTTTCAAAGGTTATAGTTCTTGTCCAAATGGTCAATTCGATGCACAAACTGGTGAATATATCAATTTTACTATGGAGGTTGGGTATCAATCATCTCAATATCATTTTTTCTCCATTTCCGATCGTGATCCTCGTGGAACTGTCATTGCTAGCATCGCTGCGCCGACTGCATATATCAACAGCTTTTCTATCACTCCCAAATATATTATCTTTGTAGGTTATATCCATATACAGTACTTAATACATTGTCTGATATATAATCCTCATTATTATTATTTATTAGGCCTTGTTCCCTATGATTGCCAACTCTGGTGGAATGAAATTTACTTGGAATGAAAGTATTCTAGACTCATTCAGTTTCGCACCCAATGAATCTACCATGTTTTATGTTATCTCTAGGGAAAAGAAAGCACTGATTGCCGTCTTCCGAACTTCATCTTGTTTTGCCTTCCATCATGTCAATGCTTTTGAAGATTTAGAACAACGTGGAAACAACGTTCATGTGGATATGATATGTTACTCAGACGACACCATCGCTCATCAATTATCTACTGGATCACTGAGACATCCTGAAACTATGACGCCTTCTCGATTAGCATCTTCTGAAGTTCGACGTTACACACTCGTCAATATTGAAGAAGAACATTTGGCTTTCCTTGCAAACCAATCCCCACTTCCTGGTGTTGGTGGCAATTCTACTGGTGGATTCTCTGGTAGATTTGCATCTACTGTTGGTAACCTTTTCCGCAATAACAAGAATAAATCGATTCCAAACGCAGCAGCAGCAGCAACAGGTGGTGATGATGGAAAAATATCAAGTTATTCATGGATACCTCTTGCAACATATGAACTCATTGTGCAACCTTCTTTGGAATTACCTCATATCAATCCTCATTATAACATGCACAAATACAATTACATGTATAGTCTTGGGTTTTCAGCTGCAAGTTCGATCATGGATGGACAAGTGTGGAATAGTATTGTCAAAACGGTAAAGATTTTTTTTTTTTGGATGAATGATCCGCTCATTTTTTTTTTTTTTTTTTTGTATAGAATGTGAACGATAAATCGATTGTGGCATCCTGGCATCAAGAAAATTGTTATCCCAGTGAAGCGATCTTCATTCCACGTCCTTTGGATGGTAGTCATGTACAACATCAAGAAGATGATGGTGTTTTGGTCAGCGTAGTCATGGATTCAGCACGTGGTATGTCATTTTTGTTGATTTTGGATGCGATCACCCTTCATGTGTTGGCAACGGCGGATCTTGGCACATTGGTACCTGTTAGTTTTGCTCATGGTACATATAGACTTAGGAACTAGTATATATATATATTTTTTATTTATTTATAGTTGTAGTACGTTATTTAAATCATGATCATATTAATAAAAAAAGAGAAAATTGTATCAAAACCTTTATATATGTATTTGATTCGGATTGTTGTAGAATAAGAACTGTCATTTTGATCTAAAAAAAAAAAAAAAAAAAAAAGAACGTGATAAATGACTGTAGTTCGTTTCAAAACGTTTGTCACCTTTTATTGATTTTGCATGACATCCCAATAAAGTTTTATACTAGAAATAATGATCAGCATGACTCTCACTACTTTGTGGCCAATGATATCATTTGTAACACAAAGTACCCTTTTCTTTGGATCAAGGAAAGGATATAAAAAGAAAAAAGCAAAGACATTAGATTCTCTTTTGTCAAACTTTTAATTTCTTTTTTTTTTTTTCTATTGAAACGAGTAACAATGGCAGTAACTTGTTCCGACATTTGTAAACTTTTAGCAGGTAAATGAAAGGGAACAAAAAAAAAAAGTTACCTTTTCTCATCTATATATATATATATGTAGCTTTTATACTTCCTCCTTTGGGTGTTCTTCTGGAAAGAGGTTGTTGGCATTGTGATTTCTATATCAATATCTTGTTAACTCTTCTTGGTTTCATTCCTGGTATAAGTAAGTTCATCATTATTATTCATATACCATTATAATCTTATCATCATCCTTCATTTTATAGTTCACGCTATCTATATCATTTTGAAGTATTAATATCCATGGATTATCTTTTGTTATGCTCCTACACTATTATTTACATATATTTAATACCCTCCTATCACTCTGTTTATTATTTTATCTTCTATATAATAAAATCAATCTATTACTATATATATATTCCATCTGATATGACATGTAAATATCAAACGTTAGAATGTTAAATCATTAACATGATTCTCCATATTTTCTTGGATCATAGATAGCAGGCGTTTTGTTTTCGTGCCACTGCTGTGTTTCAAAGCGAAAGGTTACAACCAACAAAAAAAAAAAAAAAAAAAAACTTCTCGTCCCTCCTTATCTCCATTCTTTTTTCTTTCCTTTTTTTTTTTTTTTTTTTTTGTTGATCTTTTTATTAATATACTACAATCAACGATGACTACATCATTTGACATAGAACATGGCAAATTATTAGAAAAGGTATCACAGGGCTTGGATCAGCTTATTGGCAATTTAGGTCATTTGAATCGAAATTTAGAAACGGTCAATACTATCGGTAATGAATTTGAAGCCCCTGCGAAACTATGGCATCAATTCCATACGGCGGTCATGGCTCCAGATACACGTACTTCACTACCCCAAGAATCTACACCAGTAATAGAACCATCAACATTATCTACTTCTCGTCAGCAATGAGAATATCTACCATGATATTTTACGATCTATCTATTACCCATATCTCGAGGTACACCATTGAAACTATCCTTGGAACACTAAAATATTCCTTTTTTTCCCATCTTTTAGTGTATCATCATTATCATTCTTCTTCATTTCCTTTACATCTTTTAGTCCATATATATATATGTGATCATCGCCTTATCACATCATCATAGCCTATTCTTTATTGTCTACATACCTATCACATATTATTTTATTCAAAGATTTCAAATAAACCATTCAAACTGATCTATTTTCTACAATATCATAACATCTTCTTTTTATTCAATAATTCCAAATAAACATAAGTAATACAATACTAAAACTAAACAAGACAAGACCAGTTTTCAGAGCTTTGATCCAGAAGTAGGGGCAAGATCAACTGGCATATCCACAAACATACCAGAGAGTACCAATTGAGCATATGTTTTTCCTTGACGATCAACTATCAATGAACTAATTCCACCACCACCTAATTGATAATAAAAGAGAAAGAAAGAGTATTGAGATAGCTGAGTAATACTAATCATAAATCGTATTCGTAAAAAAAAAAAAAAAAAAATCATTACCTAGTGCTTTTGTTAAAACAAAGTTGAACGCATGTAATCCAGGTAATTCATATCGCTTGACTTGACCGTTGCAGAGATGACGCATGTAATTCGCTACTGCTTGTTCAGTGATAGCACGCTTGATATAAGGAACATATCTTGGATCTCTTGCAATGATCCCAATATTGCTGACATCTCCCTTATCACCACTACGTCCATAAGCCAGATCAATCAGTCTTGTTTTAACCATGTGTGTCAAGGGACCAGTATATATTGGCATCGTTGGTACCGTTGTCGTCACTTGTCCAAAAGACCGTGTATCATCCCAAGGTTCCCATTCAACATCGAATTTTTCCTTCCCAACTACCACCACTGTCTTGACCATTTTCTTGGGAAATAGGGCTGGGAAATGGACCATGTTAGGTAATACTACCGGTAAACCATAAAAGCCCATAGCCGGTGCGCCAGAAGTAACCATCTATTATTCATCCAAAAAAAAAAAAAAAAAAAAAAAAAAAAAAAAAAAACGTTAATCAATGTTCAATTTGTATCATATCCTCATTATTTACCGGATTGATTTCTCTTGCAAAGATAGCCAAAGCTGCAGGGTCATCATGATGAGCACTCACACGAAGTATAATTTCCCTTGATTCATAGCTACTGGCATGAGGTCTAGAACAAAAACCAAGAAAAAGAAAAAAAAAAAGGTACTATCAATCTTCTTTTCTTATTTGTTTTTTCTTTTTAATTACCCGTAGAGAGATTCACCACCAACGGCTTCCACCTTGAAATCTCTAAAGTCTTCTAGTTGACGTCGTTTGAAAATAGTACTACATCGTTGACGAATGGCATTTCCAATGGTAAGAGCCTAAATTAAAGCAAAAGGTGGTAATGGTGAAAAAAAAAAAAAAAAAAAAAACGAATAAATTCTAGAGTCACAATCAGACTACTTTCCTTCACATATATATATATATATATATATATATATATACCTTTTGTTTTGCTTCATGACCAGCAATCAAGACATCACCATGGGCTTGATAACCATCGATAAAGATACCACAACATTTTACCCAAGGAGTCGGCTTGAGACCACGAGCACCAGAGACATGGACACGATTAGGAGATAATTGATTCAATTTAACTTGACGAAGATCCACAATGACATCAGGCATGATATAGAGAGCAGGGTCCATAGTCTCATAGAGGATTTGTTCAGATACAGTACCAGGATTCACCACACCACCGGTTCCATCAGGTTTGGTCACGACGAATTCACCATGATGATCAAATTCCACAATAGGGTATCCCATATTCGCATATCCACCACCTTCCGTTTGTGTCACGAGTTTCCAATCAGTAAAATTACCACCAGTTGAATGGCATCCACATTCAATGATATGTCCAGCCAAAGAAGCAGATGCCAATAGATCATAATAACCAGGAGTATCAGGATGCCATTGATATTCATATAAAAGAGGTCCAACAACAAGAGCGGAATCTACCACACGTCCTGTCACCACTATATCTGCTCCTTGAGCAAGAGCAGCTGCGATTCCTTTAGCACCTAGGTAAGCATTGAGTGCCAACAACGTATCTTCTTGACCAGGTAGGCGATCAGCTTCCAAAGTATGTTGTGTCGATGAGAGAGGAGAAAAAGATTGTAATTCTGGAAAGGATTGTAAGGTTGTTGAGTTATTTCCCAGTAAATCATCACCTGCCACCACAGCCACTTTGAGTTTGGTCAATTGCATATCTTCAATAAGCTGTTCCACTGCACGTTTGCATCCATAAGGATCAAGAGCTCCCGCATTGGTCACAATTTTAGTCTTATTGTTGATAATTTGAGGAAGAATATCCGGAAGAGTGTGAGTCAAAAATAAACCAACATAGTCATCGCCAGGTTTCCCTTGTCGTCGTAAACGTTTTCCCGCAAAAATACCCATGGTGATTTCTACCCAGAAAGTACATGCAAGTCATTTCCAAAATAAAAAAAAAAAAAAGAAATGGTGAGTATGTAATTTATGATTTTTGAATATAAAAGTAAACTACTTTATTAGTAGAAAGAAAACTTACCAGCAAGGTAGTCAGCAACAAGGTAATCAAGAGACGCACCTTGAGATTCCACCAATTGTAATGCTGCTTCATTAGAATCACCCCAGAATGCGCTGTAACACCCTACCTTGATAAAGTCTTTATTATAAGGCATTTTCCAAGACAAAAAAAAATAGAAGAAGAAGAAAAGAGAAAGTTACGCGAAAGAAAAAGAAAGAAAGAAAAAATAGTAATGCTATATGCTAAAATACATCAACGGAGTCCTAAAAAAATGTGGGGTGAAATCGAACACGATAATCCACTCAAAGGTACAAAAACACCTTAGTCATACTTTCTGGTACTTTTTCAGTAAACGAAAAAAAAAAAAAAAAAAAAAAAAAAAAAAGGAAAAAAAAAAAGGAAAAAACCACCATAGGTCATCTATAAATAACGTTCGTCTTAATATAAAACAAAAAAGAAGAGAAGTAAAATTTATTAATTGTGAATATACGCTAATAAGGATGATAAACAAGATGATGGACTGTAGTGAAAGAACAAGAATGAATTCATTGGAAAATGATTATGCATTTATGGCAATAAATTCTACATTTTGGCTAGGATAAGATCCTCTTGATATGGTTTTCTCTTAGGTTGGCTTTTATGTGTGGCGGTTGAAACCCAGCACAGACATATTTTTGATACTTTTTTTTTATTTCTTTTTCCCTTCAACTGTATATACCTATAGAATGAACGAAGCCAATTTAAATATATCTACCACTCAAAATATTCAACCTTTTCTACTTTTATCAAAATCTGTCAAGGGTGCCGCCAATGCCAAACTCATCATGGATACTTTAGAAGCACCAGGTGTTTATGTTTTCTCGGAACTATATGAATCGCCTAATCTTATTGAAGTAAGTAACAAAAGCAATGGTATTATAATTTTAACCTTTTTTTGTGGTATGGTTAGGCTTCGTCATTACCTGAAGTTAAACCATATTATGCTCTGTTGGAACTCTTCCTTTATGGTACTTATCAAGAATATATAGGTAATTGGAAAAAGAAAAAAAAAAAAAAAAAAAAAGGAAAGATGCGCATCAATATATCCATAATATAAGAAACTCAAACTCTCATTTTAACTTTTTATCTATTCATCACCATTTGAATACAAATGAAACTTTTATGTAGCGAATGCTGCTCAATTACCGTCATTGACACCTACGCAGTTGGTCAAGCTTAAACATCTCACGATTGTCACACTATCTGAAAACAGTCGAGTAAGTCTTATTATTGTTATGAGCATGTTAATCTTATTGTTTTAAAAGACGTTAGCCTATGATGATTTGTTACGTAGTTTGGATATAGCGACAGTACGAGAATTGGAAGATTTAATCATTGACGCGATCTACCAGGGGGTGCTCAGTGGTAAACTAGATCAACGCAAACAGCAAGTACAAGTAGATACAGCGATGGGACGGGATCTACGACCAGGACAATTGGACGATATGATTGAACGTATGGTGACATGGACACAACAAACACATACTATGATGCAAGTGATGGAGGACAAGATACAAGATGTATTGAAACAAGTCAATGACAACGATACAGCTCGGAATCAATATGAACAGGCAGTGGCTGATATTCGGAAGGATGTCCATTCAAAAAACAAGCAGACCATGTTGGAATTGGATTCGACTTCAGCAACCATTTCACCATTATCTCCCAACAATAAAAATGATGCTTTACCACGCCAAGATGACGAGGATGATGAATCACGCGATTATGTCGAACGCTCCGGTGGACGTGCCAAAAAACGACAACTTGTAGGTAGTTGAATTAATGTTTTGTATTACCATCTCTAGTATATTACTTTTGATTTGGGCAACCAATAAAACATGACATCTATATGTATATATATATGTATATTTTTTTTTGTCTTTATTATATGTGACCGAATTATTTTGTAAAAAAGAAAAAAGGGGGAAATATATATGTAATCCATTTGAAGGAGAAAGATAAACTATATAAACTATTATACTGCTGCAGTGGAAGAAGGAGATAAAGAAAAAAATTAAGAGTGGTGAGAAAAAAAAAATGGGAAAAAAAAAGTCTAAATATCTATAAGAATATATAATATATATGAATGTGCGAGAGAAAAAGAGAGAAGGGGGGTAAGTGTGTGAGTGAAGGTGTAAGTGTAAATATATATATCTATATACGTTAAAAAAAAAGTGAGGAGAGACAACTATACATAAGAAAGATATAAATGAGAGAAGAATTAAAAAAAAAAAAGACAGGGGGGGAAGGAACTATACTACAAAGGTTTTCTTGCTACCCAACAATGGAATCTGGTGAAACTATGATGTTCATCAAATTCCTCCAAGACTTCTTGTACGGCCAAATCGAAATCAGCACTGGAAAGTCCCCATTGTTTGACATAGAAATCCTTGTAATTCTTCAATAATGCCTTGTGTGCTTCTTTGTTGATGAATCCAAACTGCTTCAATTCTATCCATTATAAAATAAGTTAGTAGCAAGATCAATGATGATGATGATATTTATTTACCTTGATCAGCGGGCCATTCTCCAAGAGGAATATCCATGGTCTTTTTATCGACTTGATCAAAACCAGTTTCATTTACCAAAGTATCCAGGGAATCTGTTAGTTGGAAATCCACACCAGTCACCTTGCATTGTTCTTGAATAAATGCATCAAAAGCTTGTTGTACAGGACCAGGGTTGTGACGCCAAAAATCATTTTCAATTAATTCAATATATCCACCAGGTTTCAGTACACGATACATTTCTTTGAGTAGAGGACCCCATTGTTCTTGTTTCATAGCATCACCCATACTTCGTTGAAAGATACTATCCAAAAAAAAAAAAAATCAGTTGACATCTACTTCTTTTTTTTAAAAAAAAAAAAAAAAAAAAAGAATCTAAACTTACAAATCTACAGCATTATCACCCATAGGCCAAGCTTCAGTAACATCACATTGTACAAATCGTAAATTTTCAGGACCATTTTGTTGATCATTGGGTAATACACGATCCAAACCAAGTACTTGAACATTAGGATATTGATTTGCCATTTCCAAAGCCCAAATGCCGTTTCCAGTACCGACATCAATGATGACTGCACCTTTGGTTGTGTTGAAGGAAGCCCAAGCATTTGCCTTGCGAGCACTTTTCAATAGATAATGTTGTCGTTGCCAGCGATCGAATTCCTTGAAATCAAAGTCAGAAAAAATGGTTGGTGGACGAGTCATCATACTTGGTCGTCGTTTGGTGAAGTACTCAGTGATGGATTTACGTCGTGGTGGTCCATTATCTGGTGTTTGTAGTGGTTGAACTAATCCTGGTGTCCGAGCAGCTTCCAATGCTGCTGTTAATGCGCCTGCGCTCAGGGTCGTCAATTCATTTTGATCAATCCAATCATAATTACCATGTGAAATGTGAGACCCTAACGATCGATTTTCCATGGTGATAGTGCTGCGTCGTCGTTGTTGTGCCCTTTTTTTCTTTTTGTCCTTGGACTTTTCAAGCACCTTACTGGCTTGATTTCCCATTCTTTATTTCGTTTTGATTGTAATGTATTGAAAAATATTTGATTGTCTAGTACAAGTAAAAAAAAAAAAAAAATTCAAATAAACTTGAAGGGACAAGGAAGGAAATAAAAAGAAAAAAGGAGAAAGGAGACCTAAAAATCCCTAGGGAGTTTTAAAAAAAAAAAAAGGCTATTTCTGGGAAGAAATACAACATTTGGACCAGCCATGACAGACAGTGACTAACCTAAAAAAGATATTCGTAACACCTTCTTTATTGATTTTACCTGCATTTTCATTCTTTCCTCACTATCCTCTCCCCTCATTAAATTTTTTGATCCCTAACCTATAAAACCATCCCTTTTTTTTTTGGTAATCAAGGTAAAAGATAACAAACTATATAATCACTCATATCATCTATAAAATAAAAAGATTACATCTCTATTTTAGTCATCCGCGTCTAACCCCGATTTATTAAACCACAACAATATATATATAACTACACAAACTAACTAGATAACTATTTTTTTTTTTCTTTCATATTAATTGTATGTAATTTCCTATCAAAACGAAGACCAACGGGAAATAAAAATTAAAAAAAAAATCTCTATTTTTGATCTTCTATTCCTATTTGCCTACTTTCTTTCATTACCTGGAAATATCCCTACTTGCTGTCCTATTCTTCCTTTCCACCAATCAACTGCATCAGGCGTCTTTTCGATTATTTCAATAGTATCCCCCTGTCGTAAAGGTAGATCACCTTGTTCTTGCGCTTCGAAATCATACAAAGCTTGAGCATATTCTATTGGTTTACTGAATGTTTTTGGTTTGGGTGGTGGTGGTGGTGGAGGACGACGTGTCTTTTGTTGTGTAGGTACTGGTGACTGAGATTGATACTGTTGTTGATGATGATATTGTTGTGTAGGTACTGACGATGTTGATGAGTGTTGCTGTTGATGATAAAGTGGTGGTTTTTGTTGTGGTTGTAATCCAATAAATGATGATGTACCTTTACTAGGTATTGGTGATTGTGATGATAATGATGATGAAGTTGTTGCAAGTGCTGCACGTTCTTGCAAAGACAAAGTTCCTGAAGATTGACTATAAACAGCACCTAATACAAAAAAAAAAAAAAAAAAAAAAAAAAAAAAAAAACTCAGATTACTTTAAATACATACACAGAGAGAGAGATCATCATGTGTAACTTGTACAAACCCTGATGATTTCTATATAGTTCCTTACCTTTCTGTAAAACATCCAATTGTCTCAATTCTTGATCCACATCACGTTGATTCCAGCGAGTTTGGAAACCTTGTTCAATCGATTGATCCATAGTAGTAAAGGCCAAACCAGAATGACTAGTAACAATTTCATAGATGCGTGCATAGATACCACCATATATTTGACATTGAGTATTGTAGATAGTATCAGTCAAAAGAGGAATAAGTTGTTGTACTAAAGCTAAAAATTGTTCTAATTCCGTTTTGAGTAAATCATTCATATAAAAATAATCCTTGGTTGCAGCATCCAGTTGAGATTCCAGTTTGAATACGTTCTTCTCTTCGCTAGGACTCTTATCAGCCATGTTACTGAGCTTTTGGTAAGAAAGGCGAAATCGGTCGTAATCAATAAGTTTGTGTTGGCGTTTGGTGATACTTTTTTGAATGGATTTTGTCATGGATAAGCAAGTGGTCAATGGTTGAACAGTGGTGGAATCAAGTTGATCCTTCAAAAAAAAAAAAAAAAAAAAAAAAAAAAAGTGAGACACTTTTCTATACAATATAAAAATACACTACAAAGAAACTTACTAAAGACTGACGAACTTCTTGACTACAATATTCCATAGCCATAGCAAAGTCTTGATAAGCTCGACTTGTATTATTTGAATTATCCAAAGTAGGTTCAACGATTTCCAACCAAGAAGGAACTTGTTGATAGTCAAGTAAAGCACTGGTTTGATCACGAAAAGTGGTTATTGCTGTTGCTAGTTGTTCCAATGTTTTGACCTTGTTGACAAACTGTTTTTCTAAACCATCATACACAGGATCCTTTGTTGCTTAAAATTATATATATGTAATAGATGAGTAACATTAAGATAAATTTATTTATTTTTATTACCATCCTTTTTTGAACTAGATGATATTTGATGGGGGAAGCGTGAAATGGCTTTTGTCATACCCTTCCTATTTTATAGAAATATGTCAGTATTATTCAAAAGTAATAAAATAAATAACAGAGATATATTTTACCAGCTCATGATGAATATATGTACAATGTGTAAAAGGTGAGAGAAAGAAAGAAAAGAAAGAAAGAAAGAAAAAAAAAAGAGAACTAGAATCAAAATGGAAGGAACCAGATCAAATCAAGATTTCATGCGATTTTCAAACTCAAGCAGCATCTCTCTCTCTCTTACTCTACCATTTCTTTTTTTTTTTTTTTTTCATTTCTTAAAAACATCTCAAGCATTATTATGATAGAATCGATGACATTATTAATGAATGACTATCTTGTTCCTGTTTTTTTTAAAAAAATTATAAACCAATCAATGTATAGCTGAATTGTAAGTGAAACGAAAATCCATATCAGTACCACATGGATTGGATCTCAGATGACTTGATATCATCATCTGTTTTTTGAGTCATTCTTCCTTATTTGTTAAATCATGAGTTTTGGAAGGTATTTTCATTCTATGCTTGTAGTTATAATGATTATCACTTTTTTTTTTTATCTAAACAAAAGATGTATGTTTAGCACCGTGTGAATTAAACAATGAATCAATGCGTTGCGTAACAATCTAAAAAAAATAAAAGGTTTTCTTATCCTTAGTTGGATCTCAGATATCTCATTCAAAAGGAAAAACCGTCCTTAAGAGAGGGAAGAAGAAAAAAAAATTTTTTTAAACTGAATGATGATTTGGCCAATGAAAAATAGACAAGGTGATGGCACGGGACCAAGTGAATTTCTCTATAAAAGAGGGCCAAGAACGCTTCAAAACAATCGAAGGGGGGGTAACCCCCCTCCAAAAAAAACCCACTCTTTTTTTATTATAATAAACTATTCTTTTTTAAAAAAATCTAAATATCATCATGTCTTTCCTTGATCCTACCCAAGCTATTGCTACTCTTAAAGAATATGAACACCGTGATGGTTTGTCCATTGAAAATTTATTGGATGAACAAACTAGTGGTGGTTTGACTTACAATGATTTCTTGATTCTTCCTGGTTATATTGACTTTGCTGCCAACACTACTAGTCTTGAATCAAAGATCACAAAGAATATTTCTTTACGTACTCCTTTCATGTCTTCTCCTATGGATACTGTTACTGAAGCTGATATGGCTATTTCTATGGCTGTAAGTTAGATGATTATATATTGATGAACAAGGTTCAATCTTTTTTTTTTCTTATTCATGCATGAATCTTATTTTGGTTTAGCTTCTTGGTGGTATTGGTATCATTCATCATAACTGTACTGCCGAAGAACAAGCTGATATGGTCCGAAAAGTTAAGAAATTTGAAAATGGTTTTATTATGGATCCTATTGTCTTGTCTCCTTCTCATACTGTGGCTGATGTCAAGCAAATCAAAGAAACTCATGGTTTCTGTGGTATCCCTATCACTGGTAAAAATTCAAAAAACGCAAAGATTTTTTTTAAAAAAAAAAAGGCGAAATTTTTTTTTCTCACCTCTTTTCTTTTACTTTTTTTTTTTTCTCATCTCCACTTTTTTTTTTCATTTATCCACAATGGTTTACAGATACTGGCAAGATGAATGGTAAACTCGTTGGTATGGTGACTGCTCGTGATATTCAATTCCATAAGGATGACTCTTCTCTTTTGGAAACCATTATGACCAAGGATCTTGTTGTAGCTAAGAAAGGTATTACACTTCCTGATGCCAATGTCATTCTTTTCACTTCCAAGAAGGGTAAACTTCCTATTGTTGATGAAAATGGTTGTCTGGTATCCTTGTTGGCTCGCTCTGATTTGTTGAAGAATCAAAACTATCCCTGGGCTTCCAAGTCTCCTTCTTCTAAGCAATTGTTGGCTGGTGCTGCTATTGGTACTCGTCCTGATGATAAGGAACGTATGGCTCTTTTGGCTGAAGCTGGTCTTGATGTTGTCATTTTGGATTCTTCTCAAGGTAACTCTATCTATCAAATTGAAATGATCAAGTGGATCAAACAAAACTTCCCCAAGGTCGACGTGATTGCTGGTAATGTAGTCACCCGTGAACAAGCTGCCAACTTGATTGCTGCTGGTGCTGATGGTCTCCGTATTGGTATGGGTTCTGGTTCTATTTGTATCACTCAAGAAGTCATGGCTTGTGGTCGTCCTCAAGCTACCGCCGTTTATCGTGTATCTGAATTCGCCGCTCGCTTTGGTGTCCCTACTGTAGCTGATGGTGGTATTGGTAATATTGGTCACATCGTTAAGGCTCTTGCTCTCGGTGCTTCTGCTGTCATGATGGGTGGTCTTTTGGCTGGTTGTGAAGAAGCTCCTGGTACTTACTTCTTCCGTGATGGTGTTCGTCTCAAGCGTTATCGTGGTATGGGTTCCATTGATGCTATGACAAAGGTTGACAATAAAGAAGGTAATGCTGCTACTAAGCGTTACTTCTCTGAAGGTGATACCGTGAAGGTCGCTCAAGGTGTGGTTGGTAATGTTGTTGACAAGGGCAGTGTTCGCAGCTATTTGAACTACTTGATTACTGGTGTCCAACATTCTCTTCAAGATATTGGTGTTCTCTCTGTTGATCAATTCCACAAGGATGTCGCCTCTGGCAAGGTTCGATTCGAAAAGAGATCTTCTGCTGCTATCCATGAAGGTGGTGTGCATTCACTCCATAGTTTTGAAAAGAAGTTATTTGCTTAATTGGTTTTAGTTTTTTTAAGTTTGTTAGTTAGATATCAATTGTCTTTTTTTTTTTTTTATCATCTTTTTTATCATTATTTATTTATTTATCTTCATTCATTCATTCATGTATCTTTTCTTAATAAAATTATACTTTTGTTTAAAAAAAAAATTATTATATTTTATATGTAATATATCTGTTAAATATGTATATATTTCTCTAGTATAGATGAAAAGATCAATATCTGATAGTATCATGATGATGACTATAAGTGATCGATGACAAACGGATGAATCGGTGATATGTAATCATGATATGACAGTACGATAATAACCAATAATAAAAATATGATTTTATTTAAATGAGAATAAAACGATATAAAAACACTAACTAAAAGACTAAACTGCTGAATAAACTTGTCTCCATCATAAGAAAAATAATTTTCCCTAACTTGCTATTCTTTGTCCAATAGAAAAACTTGTTGTATGTTCCAGTTGATTCTATTGTATATATCTATCTACTCTATGTTCACAGAAAGAGAAAAAAAAAAGAATAAGTATATAGTAAAGTATATAAAGTAAGTATAATATATAAAGAATGATTTTTAAATATATAATATAGATTAGTAAAGTAATGTATAATGGTAACTTACAATGTTCAAAGTGCCAGTGGTTAAAAAAAAAAAAAGTAAAAAAAATGCAAAAGTAAAAAAAAAAAAAAAAAGTGAAGAGCGCGCCAATTTTTTCTTTTTTGTCAGAGATTGGTCCAACTTTTCCAATTGTCTCCAACTTTTTTTTTTTTTTTCAATCTCGACCACCAGATCCTTTTTTTTTTTTTGATCCAACACACCCCCACATTGAGACCGGACTTTGAAGTTATACCATTTATGGAAAACACTTATGATTTTAATAAAGTTGAATAGATGAATAAAATAATAATAATAATAAGATGATGATGATATAAAGATAAACTTTATTAAAGAAGAAGAAGAATATAAAAAAATATAAATAAGACTAAAACTATCAATAAAAGAAACTATAGAAAAAAATGTCATCTATTTGTACACAAATTGATTTCCCTTTCCAGTTGTTGTTAATAATATAATTACAATAGTTATTCATCTTTTTTATGTATCCAATTTTCATTTGGTTCTGTGATCTGTATATAAAGGATGATGGTGCATCAAAACAATAAAAAAAGAAAGAAGAAAAAGAAAAAGAGAATGAGAGAATCATATTTTAAATATTCTTTTTCATTTTTTTTTATATATCTTACTTTGAGTACGGTAATTGACCATACTTGAAAATGATCGTAACACTTGAATGATAGTAACATGACAAGACTGATGGACGATGTATCATGACAACCTATCTATTTAATAAATAAATGTTAATGATTGATGTGTGTAATATATATTCCACTGTAGTTGGAACTTCTACCAATAATATTTGATGGATGACAACGGTAGTAATGATGCCTATATCAATTTCCACGAGGATAACGAGGCTGATGAAAACCATATTGATAAGAAGGATGCCTTTATAGAGAATAGAGTAACATATAAACAGCTAAACTTGTATTTGTGACACTACCCATCAACAAAAAAAAAAAAATATGATACCTTGATTGACAAACCCTTCATTATCCTATTTTATGCCTTACCTTCAAATATAATACCCTTGATTGTGTTCTGTTTGTGCTGATAACCATAATTGATAGATATGTTCGATAGCCTTTCCATTGGCATTACACTGGAATACTACTGAGAAAAAAAAAAAGGAAAGAATAAGAATCGCAGCCATACCTAAATCACTTACTATTTTACTATTTCTTTTTTTTTTCTTTTGGAATTATAGTAGTGCCTTTGATAGTTATAGTCCCATTGTTATAGCTGCATGATCTGTTGAATATATATTGAGGATTCAGTTTGCAAAGAAGAGTCAAGAGATGGTATTTCTATAGCAAGATAAAAAGAGGGAGTTTAGTTAACAAGTATATAAAGTTCCTTTTATTATATCTTTACTTACTTTTTATACAAAATAAAAAAAAGAAGTTTATAACAGCAGTGATAAAGAAGAAGGTGTGAGAAAATAAAAAAAAAGTGAAGTCTATTTTATATAACCTCATGAAATGGGCTTTTCCTTTTTTGGATGTTCAACTACCGCTTTTCATAATTTATATTCATTACTTTATTATCTTATATTATCAGGATAATCGATTTATGATATTTAAACTGATTTATTATTCTATATGAATATGATTGATGTTCCTTAATAAAAAGTTGTTCAAATTGATTTAACCTGTATGCTTGATATTCATTTTTCTTTTGTAACCTTTCTTCAACTATCATGATTATTCAATTTTCAATGAATACAAGGAATAAGAAATAAGTGATCAAGACATTCACTTGAAAGTATCTATTCTAATATATCATCATCATCATCATTATGATGTTACTATAATCAATAATAAAAAAAAATCAATTCAAAAAAAAAAGAAACTTAAACCTATGTGATTCCTTATGATTGGTAGATTTGATTTGCAGGATTTTTTAAACTGGCTCCGATCAGGCAGACATATAAAATAAATCTTTTTCTTTTTTCTTTCTTTCTTTCTTTCTTTCTTTTTTTTTATACATTCCAACTTCATTACTATATCCTACTCATGTTATCTATGTGGTTTTTACAAATATTTACTCTTATTAAAGGTAAACAAGTGCTTTTCTTCTTTTTCTTTCCTTTTTTTTTATATACGTTCTTCTGACCTTGATCTTTTTACTACAACATCCATCCATCTAGAATTACCGTTCTTTCTTCTTATACTTCATACTTGGTATCCTTGACAATCACGATCACTGAATATATGTCTCAAAGAAAAAAAGAAATCTAGATACACTAAAACTTAATCATTTAAATATAGTATCAATAGGATAATTACGCGAAGTGGCTATACATCTGCATCAGCGGAATGGACAGATATACAATAGGATCACAGAATGAAACAAAATGAATACGTGTTATTCTCATAAGGTGTGGACAACATGGATGAACAGGATATATTATAGGATTCAACTGGATTGGATTATACAATCAATTAGAAGTATCTTTTTCTCTTATTCTGGCTTATGAATCGTTAGTGATTCTTTTTACTTGTAGTTTAGAATGGTACTTAGTATATCAATTATATATATTTACGTTCTTTTTCTTTAATAAAATCATAATTATTATTTTCTCGAACAGTCATCAGTGCATTTCTGTACCTGGTTCCTTAAATAAATTAAATGACAGCTGAATCCAAGCAATTGATCAAGCGTTATTTTCGTAAGAGAGAAGACGAACAATCAACAGTATACAGGTACACGTTGCTATTGTCATGATGATGATTGATAATAAGAGAATATATATGCTTAAAATGATGAACGTAATGTATGAAATGAAATAGTAGATACTGATGTGCATATGAATCTTGTTTCTACAATAGTTTTTTTTATTATTATTATTATTATTTTTTAGTGAAAATACAATGATGATCATACTATTCTTTCTTATTACTCCTTTTGATAATGATGATGATCGAGGACAAATAGATAAGTAATAGTGAAATGACAATATAATAAACAAATGATAATAAAAATATGATTTTATTTAAATGAAAATATAATATAAAACGCTATAACTAAAAGACTAAACTATTAAATAAACTAATTTTCATGATAAAGAGTTGGATAAGAGAGATACTTTTTCCCTAACTTGCTACTCTTTTATCTAATAGAAAACTTGTTATATGTCCAGTTAATCCTATTGTATATTTCTTCATATATCTATCTACTGTATCTTTATAAAAAGAGTAAAACAGAAAAAAAAATAGATTAGTTCATAATATGAAAGAGTAAGAGGAAGAAGAAGAAAGAATAAGTATAGAGTAAGTGTAGTAAGTATAAAATGTGACTTTATAATATAGATTAATAAAGTAATGTATAATGGTAACTTACAAATGTTCAGAGACTCATGGTTAAAAAAAAAAAAGAAAAGCAAAAGGAAAAAAAAAAATGAGAGTGCGCCAATTTTTCTTTTGTCAGAGCTTGGTCCAACTTTTTCCATTGTCTCCACAAATTTTTTTTTTTTTTTTCAGTCTCCAGATCTCAACAAAATTATTTTTGAGAATTTGATCCAACACACCCCTCATTGAGAACGGAATTTGAATTGATACCATTTATGGAAAACACTTATGATTTGCATTAAAAGAAAGTAGAATAGATGAATAAATGATAATAACAAACTGATTTAGATTGAATTATTAGTAAATGATAATAATATGTATAATATAAATAATATTAGATGATGATTTTATAATATAACTGTAGTAATAAGATGAATACTAACTATAGTACCATTTCTCCTATGATACATACTTTGATGACAAGTACCTCTCTTTTTTTATTTATTATCATATTCATATAATATGATGATATGATGATATGATGAATCAGTTGTGTGATGATAAAACAACGCTTATAATAATAATAATTTACTTTATTAAAAGAAAAAGAATATAAACTAACTAATATATATGTAACTATTAGAAGCAACACAAACAACTAGAGTAGAATCAGATGAGAAACAATAAAGATGGAGTGATATAAAATAAAGAGTATAATAAAAATAATACTAACACAATAAAAAAAAAAATGAGTGGATTTTATTGAAGGAAAATGCATATCAAATAATATTAATAAAAAATAGAAGATTGGAGGGGTATAACGAACTGACAAACTAACTACAGCATATATACGTTCACAAAAAAAAAAATAAATAAATAAATAAAGGGAGAGAATATATCCAAAGAAAAAAGAAACTAATAACCAGTCGCTGCTAAGGAATGTCGAAACGAACGTTTTGGATATCGAGGTCGACTAGGTAGGATTCGATCACGTTCCAAGTGAGATAAATGATGTTTACCATTACAACACATACGAAGATCTTCTAGTTGTTCTAATTCATCGTCATTCAATTCACCTTGTTTACTTATATCCTTATGATGATCTTCTTGTTGTGCTATTGATCCAGATGGCCAATCATGAATAGAATGTCGTTGTTGATGTTTGTTTTTCGGTTTTGGTGTTGAAAGTGTCGATCCATTATTGCTGTGGAAGAAATCAGATAACATACTTGATCGATGTCTCTTGTCTGTGTTGTTGCTATTCACGTCAAATCTGCTCGTTGTTCTACTACTTGATGCTGTTGGTCTCATCATTCGGTTTGTTCTGTTGACATCCGGTTGTCTTGCCAACACATAAGACAACGACTAATATAGAAATAAAAAGAATCGATGAGCTTTTTCGTTCTTTATATATATATATATATATATATTCTTACCTCCACCCAAGTTTGATGAGTATTCGTATCAGGAGCAACTAATTTCATATCACCTTCAGATGTTTTGATTTGAATACTAGCATTGGGCAATCCAGTACCCTCGTTACTGCTCTGTATCACCTTCATATTTTCAATATATGCTATTAAAAAAAAAAAAAAAGGAAAGGCGAGAACATTAATATAAAATGAGAATAAAAAAAAATCCATATTCACCATTTTCTTTTTTTTTTTAACTTACCACTCTTTGTTCTGACATCTCGATTGGGTATACCAGGAGCATGTGTACTCCAATACAAGGTGCGGGTATAAGGATGCATCCAGAAGTATCGTTGATGAGGTTGTGCTGGTGGGTTGCGTAAAAGACGTTGATGTCGAGGGTATTTCCATAACCAATGACCCATCATCGTATCTGTAATCAATGAGATAGTAGGATCTGCTAAACTTGTCGAGGATGATCTCATAGATCGACTCTGTTCAGATGATAGATGATGTTTCTGTTGTTGTTGTTGACGTTGTTGTGATGTAGAGAGAGAAGCGGTCGATGCTACAGAATCCTTTCCTTCAGCTGTACCGTCAGTATCATCTTCCTTATTGTAGTAGTTGGGATTCACGCGTGCCATTGGAGTAGATAAACCAGAAGAATCACTATGATTTCCATGCATTTGTTGAATTTGGCGATTTGATGGAGACGAAGACGTGTTATTGTTACCATGGATCATCGGCCATTTTCCTTTATCGTAAAGTGATCGGTCGTTACCACCGTTCGAACGCAATAGAGACGAACGTGCAAGCAATGCTGGTGGTGGTGGACTTGTAGGTCTTGCTGGAATAGATGATGATTCCGTTTGTGAACTGAAGTTGCCGTCTGCCGATGAGACTGTAGTTGCTTCTGTTGATTCAGATCGCCTACTATCAGTGCTGTCCCTTGTCGTGCCATCCAAAACCGATTTTTCTGTTCTAGAGTAGTTATCATCTTCTATTGTTGGTCCTCCATTTGCACTCATATCACATGTATGTCGTTTGTCGTTGCCGATTTCAAATCTCTTGATAGCTGATTCTGGAATTGTATTCGTAGAAATGGTGTCTGTTTGAGTTGGTGATACTTCAGATTGTTGTTGTTTCTTCAATGCAGCAGCTACAGCAGCAGCCACCATGGCATCAGCTTCCGATCTTGATAAAGTCTTTTCTTCCGTGGCTTGTTCTACATTCTCAGAGGTAGTTGATTTGTCAGCAATTCCACTAGTAAGATCCTTGATATTATTGTCTTCATCAATCTGGGCAAGATCCTTGACATTGTTGTTGTTTCGACCAGACGCAGTAAGGTTCTTCGAATCGATCACTTTTTCAGTACTGGTACTATCTCCAGAGCTAGTAACTTCATCCGGTTTTGTGTCTTCTTTGGTGTCACGTTTTCCTTCCTTCTTGAGATCATCCACCTTGCCATCATCATCATCATCACGATCATGAGCAATAGCACCACCAAATCCAAGAGCAGCTGCACCAGTAGCTAAAAGTCCAGCGAGGGTACCAGATGGCTTTACTGGCGAAGATTGCTGTTTCATTTTTTCCACCTTGTCGTTGTTGTCGCCGTTTTTGTTTATAGGGTGATTATCGGTATCATCGTGTGTTGTCATCAAACTAGGAGCAACCAAAGTATTGTCGATAACATTTGTTGTTTGGACTGCCTTTTCTTCCAAGACGGCAGGAGGTATGATATCTGATTGTACGCCAACATGAACTTCAGAGACTTGATAATCATATTGAGTACTCTGATCCAGAGGGGCAACAGGAGCTAGGTATTGAGATGCTTGATCAATAGATGTCACAGGGTCCATTTGAATTTCTTGATCCACACCAGTAATAATGATATTGCTTTGTATATGTTTGTCGACAGAGGCAGGTTTTTCATTCGTCTGGATTTCCACATCCTTCAGTTCAACTGGAAGTGATACAATGACTTCATTTGTTTGCACATCGTTGTCAACGTGATCAGTACATGGGTAAATCGCTACATCATCTGTTTGCATGTCGGAATGCACATGTTCCACTGGTTGATATATCATCACGTCATCCGTTTGCATTTCCATGTCCTTGTGTTCAGTAGGTAAAAATATAACCACGTCGTTTGTTTGGATATCAACATGCTTGTGTTCCACTGGTAGAGATACCACCACATCATCAGTTTGAATATCAGTATCTTTGGCTTCCACAGGCAGAGACACCACCACTTTATCCGTTTGAATATCCGTATCTTTGGTTTCCACAGGCAGAGACACCACCACTTTATCCGTTTGAATATCCGTATCCTTGGTTTCCACTGGTGTTGATGCGATAGTTTGAGTAGTAACATCAACTCCACGATGAGCCCGTGCTTGCGCAATAGCACCAACCAACCCACTTCCAGCAGCACCAAAGGCAGCACCTTTCAAAATATCTTGGAAAGCATCACTCTTCAGTAAATCAGCCTGTTGTTGATCATCTGTATTATGCGTAGAAGAAGCGGCCTGACGAAAGGCATCAGCAAAAGTCAGTTCATCTCCTAACGATCGATGAACTTTAGGTTGTTCTGTAGAGGAAGACGGAGAAGGTTGGAAATTCATATGTTTGGCCAATTCTTCAGAAAGAGAAGCAAGACCACCAGAGTTGGAACGAGACATTGGAGAGGACTCTTGTTGTTGCTGACTTTTTGATAATTCCATCGATAATGAAGTAAATCCTGGAGGTGAAGTGATGGTAGTGGTCGTAATCGAAGAAACAGGACTAGATGACTTTGTTGTCGAGTGCTTCCGTTCGTCATCATGATCGTTGTCATCGTCATCAGAAGTAAAGGAAGAATAAGAATAGTCGTCATCATCAAATGCTACCCGAGTTGATCGTGATCTATTTCCATCATGTTCTTCATCATCTTGTTGATCTTTGACGTGAATACTGTTGCTACGACTTGAAGTTGGTGCCATACGTGCATGAGATCGTCGTCTGCTTCGTCGTGGTCGTCGTGATGTTGTTCCAGTAGAATCCAAAGCATTGTGATTATTCGCATTTGCTGAAGAATGTATTGTCGTTGTTGCTGCATCAGTATTTGCCAGTCCAGTGTCTTCCCACATTCGAGGATCATTTTGCATCTGTTCTATAGTTTCTTGAGACTCTGCCAATAATTTCTTGAGTTCGAACTTTTCAGTTTTTTCCTTGTGTAGATTGGATCGCAGTGTGGAGACCATACGATGAGCATGACCAAGAGATGTCTTAAGAGTTTCGACTTCCATTGCTTGCTGTTGTCGCATAGTTGTCGCTGAGGATGAAGAGGGAGATAAAGCAATGTTAGATTTGTTGGAAGAATGTTGTTGTTGTTGCTGTTGTTGAAATTGCTGTAGTTGAGAAGTATCATCGTCCCCATCGTTGGAACCAGTACCATCCAAAGACGCATTGATACCAGTTTTATTGGAGATTGATTTGTTGATATCTGTCAAATCTTGATGACTTCTTTTTGCAATCCTTGTTTGAGCCTTTGCGATTGCGAGTTCAGATGACATGACTTCGAGTTGTTTGGATTGTTCAGCCTTTTCCCGTTGTATAGTTGCCATATGTCGTCGAACACCAGTCATATCTTGTTCATGTCGTGTCTTTAAAGTTTCGATAGCAGCTGTTAATTTGTCTTCACGTCCTCGTACTTGTTCCAATTCGCTAGTAACCGTGGCAATCTGTCTATTGAGTTTAGTTTGTTCGGCATTGGCTTTACTGAGATGCTGTTGTAATTCCGTCACAGTCATTGTCAATTCTTGTTTTGCTAATTCCAAATTCCAAGTTTCTTCTTTGAGTCGTTCTATAAGATTCAAAAAAGTACGATTAATAATTTTTTTTTTATTTTATAGAATAGCTATTTCTTACCTTCAGCTTCATCTCTTTGTCGAAGTTGTTTTGCCATGACCTCAATGGAACGTTCGAGATCAGATCGTTGTAATTCCAAAGCACGCAACTGTTCTTCCTTTTCTTGTAATAAAGCTTGCATCTTCCGCACTTCCAAAAGTAGACCTTGACCGATTTCCGTGGCAAATTCAATATCAGTATTGCGACGATCATTGTTTGGTACTTTAGATCGACGTTTAGTAGGAGTAGCACCAGCAAGAGAAGGAGGCAATGGTAAGAGAGAAGCGCTTGAAGATTCTTGCATGGATGAACTTGATGGACTTGGTAAAGGGTTCAAAGCATTGGATCGTTGACTAAGTAACTAGATAACAAGGAACAAAAAAAAAAAAAAAAAAAAAAAAAAAAGGGAGAATTGTGAGTTAAAAAGGGGGACATGAGAAAGAGTTTCATAATGATGATGATAAAAAGTGGGATGGAAGGAAACAAAGGAGGAAGAAGGAGAATAAATAAAGTTGTTTATTACCTTTTCTTTGCGACTAACACCAGGTATCAAAGAAGTTCGATAAGAATTCAAATCACGTTCCAAATAACGTAATTTTTCCATAGTTTCTGGGGCCAATTGATCACGATCACCATTGTTACTGTTGGAAGTACTACTTGAACTTGTAAAACTACTTGTTGATGTAGATTTGTCAGGAAGTTGATTTTGGTGAAAAGAAGATGATATAGAATAAGATGGATCAGTTGTTGATAATGAAGAATTGGTTGATGATTCTTGTTCTTGTCTCTTGTTTGTTGTTAACAGTTGAATCTTGTCTTGTAATTGACGAATTTGTCGGACCAACACGTTTTTTTCTATTCCGCCACTAGATTCCTGCAGTTGTTTTTCCTTTTCAGCTAATTGGTGCTCCAATTCCACGAGTTTGCTTGTAGATAGTGCTGCTGTTGTAGTTGTAGTTGGTAAAGTCCGAACAGAAGTTGAATTGGATGGTGTAGGTAAGACAGGTGAAGCCGCGCCACGAGATGTTAAAGGAAGAGAAACTGATGGTTTTGGTGGAGAAGAGGAGGAAGAGGAGGACATGTAATAGTTGTTATTTTAAGGAGTGATATCTATAATATATTGGAATTGGTATCAAAATATATAATGTAAAAATAAAAAAAAAAGAATCTAGTTTAACTAGAAAGTATAAAATGAAAGGAGAGGATATATATATATATATATATATTTGTTGAAAGGGAAGAATATGTTCAAAATGAATAATAATAATAATAATAAATAAATAAATAAAGATGACAACATACAAAGAAAGTCAACTTGTGCCCCACAACATATGCAAGTTGTTCTAATGTGAATTAAGAAGAAGAAGAAGAATAAATATATATATATATATATATATATATATAAAAAAGAAAAAGAAAAAGAAAAAGAAAGAAAAAAAAAAAGAACAAAAGAAAAAGGGAGAGAGAGAGGCACCATAAATAAATAATAGGGGCAAATGTATGACAATATTCATTTTCCGCTTGGTTACAAAAACATAATAAAAAAAGCTTACACACACACACACCTTCGGCATTCCACCCGATTATAATCAAAAAGTGATACTTTATTTCAAAAAAGATTTTATTGTTTGGTCAAATAAATCAATACCTTTTTTCACATGATCCCATTCTAAACTATAAGTCAATCTAAAATAACCAGGTTCCAAACAATGAAAAACATATCCTTGTGCTATATATACACCATTTAGTAATGCTGTTTCCCAAATCGCTTCTTCTATTTCAAAACTAATTTCTTGCCCGTGATTCTTGAATAACCGATCAATCTTGACTACTATAAAAGGACCGACCCCAGATGGAATGTATTCAATACCCAATTGTTCCAAATACTTGGTTGTTAATTCATAAGCTTTATAAAGTCTTTGTCGATTCGTATTGACAAACCTATAAAGAAAAGAAGAAGAAAAAAAAATAACTAACAATAAATATACAAATATATATATATATATTACCAATCTATCCAAGTTGTGTCTTTTAATAAATTACAAACAAGTCGATCATTCAATGTAGACATATATCCAAACATACTATATTCGAATAAATATATAGATATGGTCAGTTTGATATTATGGTTATTAAATAATAGATACTTACGAACTAAGAGTAACAGCAGACCTTAAATCAGCATTGTACTGATCTACTATAAAACCAAGTCGTAATCCATTCAAACAAAAGTCTTTAGACATACCATAAACTACATGTACCAATTGAGGAGCAATCCATTGTTCAATATTAGCAATGCTAAGCACCGAAGTAAAAGGTTCAAATAAACTTGATTCTGTTCCAGGAATTGGATTAAATGTCGATAATCCATATACTTCATCAAAAATCACATGCAAGGAATGTTTTGATGCAAATGTCAATAAATGTTTCATATCCTTTACAGAATAACAACTAATTAAAAAGAAAAAAAAACAAATCAGTACTCTATCTATTCAGCCATTATTAATTTTCTTTTTCTTTTTTTTTTTTTTTTTTTTTTTTTTACCAGCCATGAGGATTCCGTGGATTGGTAATCAATAAAACTTTGCATTTTGTACCAATTATCTTTGTAGAATTCAGCAAATCCATATCAATACCACCATCCATAGAATGATGAGGATAAATAGGAATCAATTTGACACCTGTACTGACACATACATCCAAATCAAAGTTACCATAATAAGGTGCCAGCACCATCACACTATCTCCAGGATCAGCCAATGATTGTACTAGTTGCCATACAGCTGCACCAGCTCCAGGTACCACGGTAATATTGCGAAAATGTAAAGGAATCACCGGATTGAAATGTCGATTCATTAAATCAGCTACTAATCCACGTAATACCCTTGATCCATGAGGATCTCCATATTCCAAATCCTACAATAGATAATAATAATAATAATAATAATAATAATAATAATAAGTAATTAATATCATATTATATCATTCAAATGATAAAAAAAAAAAATGAATCTTTCAATTTACCGAAGTCTGAAATTCCAAACAAGTTGATAGCTGTTTATAATAATAAAAAAAAAAAGAGTCATTCAACATACTACAAAGTATTCTAACGAAAAGAAAGAACTATTCTTTTTTTTTTCTTTATTTTACCTTTTCCATTATATCCTTTTGCATAAGATCATTGTGAGCTAGTCCCATATTGATGGCACCAGTAGGATTCAAAGTTGGATGATAAAGTTCAGGTAATGCCCGAATCAATTTGGCGCGTAATGGTACTGGTGCTGCTAAACTATCCAAAGCACGCTGAGATAATCGACTACTAATTGAACCTTGATCTTGCATATAAAAATAAGAGACGACAATAAAACAAAATAAAAAGATGGAAAGAACAAAATAGAAGTACAGGAAAAAAAAAAAAAAGAGAGACAAAGCGACGGAAATTCAATTTTCCAAAAAAAGGCATCTGATGGTATCGTTTGATTACCCCTGGTTTTTTTTTTTTTTTTTTTTTTTTTTATTATGTCTTGATCATCAATGCAAACCCAAACATCGGAATATAAGAAATAGGAAACAACAATATAAAAACATCAGGTAAATAATGCAGCAATTGAATCTAGTACCCGGTTTTCAAAAATGATGACAGTCCCTATATCTAGATTTGTATATTAAAACTTGTATAGTACATTAATTCTTGATTTCAAGACAAGGACGACGATGATATATATAAATATCAACATTTTTATTGCTTTATATATATATATATATATATAATTCGTATTGAATCTGGGACATGATAAATGAAACGAAAAGTAAAGGGAAATGCAAGGGGAAATGATGAATGAAACACAAGAAAAAGAAGAAAAATAAAAAAAATACGAATAAAAGGGGAATATAGAATTTCACCATCTTGACATATTAGAAGTAGGGGAACGATTTAGTACTACAGGAGGAAAAGTCATCATATTAATACTCCTTCGTACTGATGATGATGATGACGATGATGGTAATGATGATTGGTAAAGTTGAGGAGAGTATGACATTGGATAAAGCTGTTGTTGTTGATAAAGTAGTTGCATTTGATGATGATGATGATTTTTTTGTAATTGTAATTGTTGTTGTTGTTGATAATATAATTGTTGTTGCTGTTGCTGAAAACTAATAGTATGTTTTCCTTGTTGTGGCAATTGTGCCAATAATCCACCAATAGGAGCATCAGTGGATTTCCATTTTTTTTTTAATTTATGCTTCTTTTTTTGTTGCTCTAATTGTTCCCTTGCCATGATAAGATCAATCCCTGAGAAGCTAGCGCGATGACGCAAGTATTGTGATGAAGACGGAGAATATCCATCTTGACTTGCCACCGTCGTTATAGCACCTGTATTATTATTATGATGATGATTATGATGATGATTATTTGAAGGAGAATTCAGAGTAGTCATTGGCATGGTTACGGTACTAGCTGATATTGGGATGGTCCCAGGAGTAGGTTGAGTCAAATGAAGAGATGTTGGTCTGACGACTTTGTTGTTATTATTTGGTATTCTAGTAGTAGGTTGACTGATGCTGGTGACACTACGATTATGTCCCGTAGAATAAAAATTTTGTATGGGAAATCCAATACTATGCCTTTGTTCTTTTTTTCTTTTTTCCCCTTCTTCATCAGTAGTGATTTTATTAACGTCGTTGCCTATTATGGATGATCCATATATATATAGGATTAGCATTTATTTTTTTCTTTTCTAGACCGCCTCTTTTTTTTTTTTTTTTTTTTGGTCGTTCAGTGATCAAATGTTCTCCTTTCTTGACTTCACTTTACTCATCTTCCCCTGATTTTTTTTTTATTCTACTTGCCATTTTTTATCGTTTGATTCTGAATCCGATCTATATCGACAGAAAAAAATGGATGTTTGATCGTATCACTTGGAACTAAGCTGTCATCTTCATCATCATAATCTTCATCATCATCATCTTCATCATCTTCATCAACTTCATCATCATCATCATCATCATCATCATCATCATCATCATCGTCATCATCAAAGTCGTCTTCGTCGTCACTAGGCATACATTGCAAATTTCTCCCACTTACCATGGTGATGTTATCTATAAAATTAAAAAAAAAAAAGAGTTACTTCCATAGTGATTATCCTTCCTCATTAAGGTCAATTCTTTAAATGAATAGCGTATTTACCATATCTAGAAGAATTGGAAGATGAAGCTTCTGAATAGGATGATGTTCGTGATAAACTCATTATAGGATGATTGGTATTTTTTGAAAGTAAAGTCATTTTCGTTTAAAGTAGGTAGAATACTATCAACCACGTAAGGGAATAAAAATATATAAAAAAAAAAAAGAAAACGATAGATCTAGAAAGAGGAAGAAAGGAAAGGAAGGAATAAATTCTTCACTTTTTGGAGTTATTACCAACAAGGAGAAAGTAAAACTAGATAACTAAGAATGCATTTAGGTCTTCTTTTTATTGATAATCTGCGTTAAAAAAGATATATATATAATCCACCCCCTCTTCTGGATTATCTTTATTTTCGGTTAAAAGGTGATACCCCAATATTATTGTTGTTATACTCTTTATTTATACTGTTGTTATTTAAAGTAAGGTTGAGAACTTAAATATCTATATGATGATAAGATTTAAAAAGGAAGTTGGAGCAAAGGAGGCATGCATAAGAAAAAAAAAATCTCGTTTTTTTTTTTTTTCTTTTCTTGTTATTGCGTATCATAGGTTGGATTTTTATTTTTCCTTACTTTTCTCTTTCTTATAGCCAGTATATGATTTAAAACTTGAAAATCACTACGTCCACTCTCAAAATTCATTCATCATTAAAAAATCAGACTTGGATTGTGATCATATTTACTATTAATCATCTAATTTTAATCAGTACGCATATAAAGCAAACCCAAAGTGAAAGAGAGAGGTCATCAATAGGTGCTGCATGTTTTATTTACCAAATACTACAAAAAATAACAGTTGAAGTTATATTGTAAACTACAATAACAGAAGGAGAAGAATCAATTATATAATTTAGAATCTATAATGATTATCAAAATGATACAACTAAAACAAGGCATAACTATATATATAATTCAATCCATTTTGGTCTATTACATTGTTAAAAAAAAAAAAAAAAAAAAAAAAAAAAAAAAAAAAGGTTCGCCACAAAAAAAGAAAGAGGAGGCTGGGGGTTAACATCAGATAGAGAAATGTGGAGAAAACATCAACCTGCACAAATACCTGATTGATGTCCAATCACAGTTCAACATTTTTTAAAAAAAAAAAAAAAGGAAAGTATGGGATGATGACACCTATTCTTTTTTCTTCACTTTAAACTGTTGTAGTTTTCCTTAGAATGTATGATCAAATTATTGTCACATCTTTCATAAGATGCTAAAAAACAAATGACAGCTACTTTGAAAATAGATTGATTTGGGAACGGTATATGAAATACATAAGCTTTTTTTTTTCTCAGGGACCAGTGATTGTCGTTCGCAATGAAGCACATTATAGCCTTTTTTTTTTTTTTACACGGGACTTTTTTCCCGTGGCTTTGGCGGATTATAAATTTCATGAGAGCCTTTTTTTTTTTGACTGTAAAAGGGCAGGCCAGTTCTCTTTTTTTTTTTTTCTTCTTCTTTCTTTCCTTTTTCTTTTTATTCTACCTTTTTGTCTATCATGTCTATTATTAACGAATCCTCTATTCAAACTACTTTTGAATATATTCAAAATCGTATTCCTGAAGAATTCAAGTCTGTTAAACTAGGTATCATTTGTGGCACTGGTTTAGGTAGTCTGGTAGACACTATTGATCCTTCCACCAAGGTTGAACTTCATTATACCGATATTCCCGGTTTTGCAGTCAGCAAAGGTAAATTTAACAAAAAAAAAAAAAAAAAAAAAAACCATTCTAGAAATAAATATTTTCTAACGGAAATATCTTTCTATTCTCTTTTTTACGATAGTACTTGGACACGCCAGTAAGCTTGTGTTTGGCCATTTAGGAGAAGCACGTACACCTACTGTGTTTATGGTTGGACGATTCCACTTTTATGAAGGACATTCTATGCAACAATGCACACTTCCTGTTCGCGTAATGAAGCTTCTTGGTGTGGAAACTTTGATTGTGACAAATGCGGCTGGTTCGTTGAATAAGAAACAAAAAGTGGGTGATTTGATGATACTTCAAGATCATATCTTCTTACCTGGATTGGTAGGTTCTCATCCTTTGGTAGGTCACAATTTGGAAACGTTCGGTACTCGATTCCCTTCCATGTCAGATGCCTATAGTTATCATTTGCGTCGTTTGGCCTTCAAGGCTGGTCATCAAGTTGGAATTGATTTGGCAGATATGCATGAAGGTGTCTACTGTATGGTTTCTGGTCCTTCTTTCGAAACATCTGCTGAATCTTGTTTGTTGATGAACAATGGTGCTGATGCTGTCGGTATGTCAACTGTTCCTGAAGTCGTTGTTGCTCGCCATTGTGGTATCCAAGTCTTGGGAATCTCATTGATGACCAATGCGGTTGTCATTTCACGTGGAAAGAACGCGAAGAAGGAAGTATTATCTGATTTAGGTTTACCTTTCGACCATATTGTGGATGAAGATATCGATCGTGATGCTGTGGTTGCCAATCATGAAGAAGTCTTGGAAACAGGAGCTGCTCGTGCTTTGGATATGCAACGTTTAGTCAAGAAAATTGCTGATTTATTGTCGGAGCAATGATATAAATCAATTTACTTGGTCTGATTATTATTATTTATTATATATATATATTGGTTGTTGTATTGATAGAAATGTGTATATAGATTATTATTTTTTTTTTTTTTTACTTTTTATCTTCTTATCTATGTACAATAATAAAATCTTCTTATCTTTCTGTATACTGTTTTTGATCATTTTTATTATTAAAATATTGTTGTTGCTTTTTCATTATATTTGATTGAGACACCGCTTAGTTGATCAAGGTGATCTCCCATTTTAGTGCGAAAACATTTTTTTTTTATTATTATCTTTTTTTCTTTTTTTTTTTTCTTTTTTTTTTTTTTTAATTTGTAGATTCACCATCATCTCTTTTATATATCCTCTTGAACATTTTTTTTATTCCTCTTGTACTTGGCCCTTGTTAACTCTACAACTTCAACTTGAATTTCGAACAACTAAACAGTTTATCTTTCCAACTAAGGTCATGCCATCAATCCTACGTATCAACAAACGATATGTAATCATCCTATGTGCCATCGCATTGTTTCTTCTCATATCACTTATACGTATGCAAAAACCTTATTCTGCGGCACCACCACTACCTATTGTCAATATTCCTCAGTATTGGCCGTCCCCTCTGGAAGAAGCGGTATGTCAACCCAAGATCTATGTGTATGAGGCGCCTAGCACATTCCAAGTACCACTATCGATTCGACAAGGCAAATGTCATGAATCCAACTATAATTCAGAAAACATACTTTACAACCAACTGATTGACCCTACGTCGACCATTCATCAACTTTATGTGACACAGGATCCAACTGAAGCAAATCTCTTCTTCATCCCTTTCTTTGGTAGCTGTTATCTTTATCACTGTTGGTCAGAACATGGATGGAACTGGGACGAACGATGTGATGTAGACACAAAATATGTGAACCCAATGATGGATATGGTGATCCAACAGTACCCTTATTGGAATCAATCACAAGGTCGCAACCATTTAATGATTCACCCTATGGACAAAACATTTACTTACTATGCCAACTCACACCATCGTTTCTCCAATGCTACTTTCCTTACTACTGTTGGTGACAAACGACCTATTTGGATGACTCGACATAGATATTATCGCGACATTGTTATACCATCGGCCACACGATTGATTCACCATTTACAAGTTGATATCACCAAGTATCTGGATGACAATGGTCATCCACTCAACAATAAGAAACGCGACATTTTTGTACTATTCCAAGGATGTTGTGCCAATACACAAGTACAAGATCTCTATTCAAATGGTATTCGATCTTTGATTTTCCAACACTTTCAACATTATCGTGGCTACGACATTGGTGAAGGCGTGGCTGATTTGGAGTATGCTGCAAAACTCGCTCGTGCAAAATACGGTCTAGCACCTATGGGTTGGACTTTGGATACAACAAGAATCTGGGAATTTATGGCTTTTGGTGTAGTACCTGTGGTTATTGCGGATGGGATTATTGAACCGTTTGAAATGGATGTGGATTGGGATAGCTTCATTGTCCGTGTACGTCGAGATGAGGTACATCGTCTGGATGATATCTTACGTAACATTGATGATACCACTTATGAATATAAACGCAAGAAACTCTGGGAGTATGGACGTCGTGTTGGCTTGGAAATGGACGCTTGGCACTTTATCATTAGAGAACTATGTCGAATGAACGAATGGAATCAACCTACCAACCTACATTTAGGATATTAATTTTGTTGATGTTTTACTTTTTAGTATAGCGATATCTAACTTTTTTTTTTTTTAGTAGTATTAATTTATTGGGAATATATGTGTACATAGTTTGATATAGATTTTCCTTTTATCACTTACAAATAAAAAATAATAAACAAAATGACAAAGATGAGTAATTGAATGTATGTGTACCTTTATTATTTTGAACAAAAAAAAAAAAAATGATGTAAAAGAAACAAATCTATAATCGTAGTGTATTTTGGGAAGGGAAGAGGAAATGACTATACAAATAGAGGATAAAGAGAATATATATGTGAATTGGAAAAATGGAAGGTGATCAAACAATAGGATTGGGTGTTGATAATAAGTTGAAATGGTTCATCGTTCATATTCGATTTTACATGCCACTAGAAGAAGTTGAAAAAAAAAAAAAAAGAATGAGCATATAAACGAAAAGGAAAAAAAAAAAGCTCAAAAGGGAACTTACCGTTGTTTCATTTGCATAATCAAAGCAACCTTCTTGCGAACCATGGCACCAAACAACTTGCGATTGCGTTCAATATTCTTTCTTCGCCTGGCGACATTGGGTTTTTCATAGTTCAAGTTGGCCCGGATTTCTCTTCGAACGTTGTTTTGAGCCAAAATAGTATTGAGACGACGATAAGCTGCATTGACATTGGATACATTACCAATGGACCGACCAGCATAGGGATCTAAAGACACCGATAATTCTTTGGGTTCGTGAAGATTGGAGGCTAAAATTCCAGGTAGACTGGTTTGTGTTGTAGTATTGTTGCTATTATTAGATTGAGTGGCCATTGTACGCATCCATAGTGTTGTAGAAGGACGAATAGTAGGAAATACTGCAGTATTTCTAATACGTTGTGTTAAACCCCCTAACATGGATTGTAAAGACATGATATTGCTGTAATACGTTTTAAGAGAAAAAAAAAAAAGGAAAAAGAAATGTAAGTAGTAGAAAAAAGAGAAGGGGTTGAAAAAACAAATAAGAAAATGGTCACTTTGGAGACTGAGTCTGAATCAACGCCTATGGAAAAAAGAAAAAAAAAAGAACACTGATTCGGTACTTGCCACTCCTTTTTCACTCTTGATACTCTTTGACTTTTGTCAAAACTCTCCTATTGACAATACCATATAACTGATACTATTCAACTTCTAATAATGGACCTCTATATATACTTTGTATTTCAACATCTCAAATGAAACAATGTGAACGGGTTGAACAAATAACATTAATCATGAGATGAACAAGGTTTATCTAGCAACAATAGGCAATAACCATAGTCGAAAGCAATTTTCATCGGTATACAAACAAATGGATAGCATATCACAGGTGGAAAGTGCAGTATAATTGACTATGATTCGACAAGGATCATGTATCATGAAACAGTGTAGACGTAGCTGGCTAAGCGATGATATTGGACACAAAATATTTGGACAACTCACAATCAAATATGGACGAGAAGGAATAAACAGTGTATTTTTAGGATGATATGGATTCAATCTACTTGATAGGTAATGATCTTTTAGATTTTCAAACGCGATTCATTCTTACTTCATTATTTTTACGTCTTCCTTAGGTTAGTTATCTTTCAACTTATTCAATTATCAAATAAACCATATTTTTTTTGTATCTCTGTCTTCCTTATTTTCTGATTGTTTTATATGGATATGTGCGGATACCCTCGTTATCACCGGATTTACTGTCCCGAACATAAAAGCTAATCGTTTTTTTTCCCACAATGTTGATATCCGAACTGCTTTACTACTGTTTATCCATATTATACTGGATTGACCTTTCTTTTTTTTAAAAAAAAAAAAAACTTACTAATGATGCTCGAGAGATGGATGATGATCAAAAGTGATTCTGACTGTGTGTTGTTTTTCATTCTTTTCCAAAGGCAAGATCTACATTCTATATGCATGTGCCACCGTGGCAACTAGAAAACAATGGCAAATGACAATGATTGGCTTCACTTTGCTTTTTTTTTCTCACGTTCCCTTTTTCTTCGGAGCCAAACCCAACCTTATTCCTTTTGTCTCCACACTTTCTTTTCTATATATTCAACCTTTTTTATTTATTCTTTTCTTCTTGGCTCGGATCTTCTTGTAACAATCATTTTTTTATTTACATATCATTATCATTATCATCATCATCATCATCATCATCATCATAAAAAAAAAATGCGTGGTATGGAAAGAACTTGAATCAAAATAGCTAGGAATATATGTATAATCGCTAAACTGTTTTTTTTTTTGTTATTGTTGTTATCATTAGACGTCTATATTGCTGCAGTCAGTCGAACACCTATTGGGTCTTATAATGGTACATTAGCCTCTTATTCTGCTACTGAGTTAGGTGCCTTTGCCATCAAATGTAAGGGTCACATAAAAAAAAAAAAAAAAAAAAAAAAAAAAAAGAGTATTAATCTTCATTTTCCCCCACTGTCCATGATCATCCATCATCATCAGCCGCCATTGAAAAGACAGGATTGCCAAAAGATGTGGTAGAAGAAGTAGTTTTTGGATGTGTGCTTAGTGCCAATCTTGGACAGAATCCAGCCAGACAAGCGGCTCTTACAGCAGGACTTGCCGATACCACCATTGCTACGACGGTGAACAAAGTATGTGCATCTGGACTCAAAGGTAATCTACATTTAATCTTAATTTATCTGATCATCTGATCCTTTACTATATATGATCATCATGTTGATTGCTTATGATAGCTACGATGATGGGAGCACAGAGTATCATGACTGGTCAAGCGGATATTGTGGTGACTGGAGGAATGGAATCGATGAGCCAAGGACCGTATTATCTGCCAAAACAGCGATTCGGACAGACGTATGGACATGGAGAAGTAGTGGATGGTGTCTTGAAAGATGGACTGACAGACGTTGTACATGGCTATGCGATGGGTGTAGCGGCAGAATTGTGTGCCAGCGAGCATGAGATCAATCGTGAAGCCCAAGATGCATTCGCAATTGAATCCTATCAACGAGCACAACGAGCTAGTGATGATGGTAAATTCCTACGATATGAATTGACACCCATCATCATCACTGACAAGAAGGGGAAAAAAACCATAGTGGATCGTGATGAAGAAATCGACAAATTAAATCAAGAGAAATTGCGTGCAGTACGTCCAGCATTTGTTCCCAAGGATGGTACGGTCACAGCTCCCAACTCATCACCATTATCAGATGGTGCTGCCGCCATTGTACTTGTATCAAAGGAAGCAGCCGAGCGCTATCAATTACCTTTACTCGCCAAGATCTGTGGTTATGCGGATGCAGAGCAAGAATCAAGTCGTTTCACCACTTCTCCAAGTCTTGCTCTTCCTAAAGCCGTTAAACGAGCTGGTCTAACCTTGGATCAAGTCGATTATATTGAATTAAACGAGGCCTTTGCTGTAGTGGGTTGTGCTAATATGAAATTACTACAGTTATCACCTGATATTGTGTAAGAGGATGATGGAAATATAGTTTTGATAAGGTTTATTATTAGGATGATACGATGAATTGACAATATCTCTTTTTTTTTTTTTATTTATTTATTTATTTATTGGATCAGTAATGTATGGGGTGGAGCGGTTGCTATGGGACATCCTTTAGGTTGTTCTGGTGCAAGAATCTTGTGTACATTATTATCAGTATTGATTGATAAAAAAGCTACATATGGTGCCTGTGGTATTTGCAATGGTAATGATCAAGAAAAACCAAAAAAAAAAAAAAAAAAAAAGATGATATTCACACCTTCTTTTTTTTTTTTTCTCATCTGTCTCTCGACTATTTTTATATTATCATCCATATCATCCGTCATCTATCTCATTCTTAGGTGGTGGTGGAGCTTCAGCAATGGTGATTGAACGCCTCTAGCAAAGCCTTACTCATCAAAAAGACAGAATAAAGATATAAGGGATGAAACGGTTATTGTATTTGTATTTTGAAATAAATGCTATGAGAAAAGTAATATCAGATTTCTGCATTTTGAGGATTCCTTTTTTGTATTTACTGAACCAGTTTAGTATTTATCCGAAATGAATTTCGTTTAGTTTCATTTTCATGTCTAAAATCATAAAAGAATACACTGATTAATGTTGATTCGAAGTCAGTCAATAAGCATAAGAAGAAAAATTCTCTCTATCTCCTTTTCTTCGCTTTTCTTTCTTGTTTAATTCACTTTTATTTTATTTTTAACATCAGACCCAAGCTCACCAAGTGTTATTATTAAGTCGAATATTGGTTGAAGAACAATTTGTATACAGTTACCATTTAGAAGTGAAGCGATAGTGCAATTCCTGACTGAATATCTTCAACAACAAGGACAACAAGTGACTCATTTATTTTTTTCTACTTGACTGGACTCTTTTTTTTTCTCGCGTCTGTCTCTCATTGTGGTGACGGTTTTATCAAATATCTTTTCTATGTGTTGGTCTTTCTCTCTCTTTCTTATTTGTTTCTTCTCAATTGGTTGATATCTTCCTTTTATCCGTCACTCCCATTACAATGGTTTCCTCAATACCTCTTTTTTACTTTGTGGGCCTCTCTCTCTCTCTCTCTCTCTCCCCTTCTGTCTCTTCTTCTGTCTCTCACTGGAATTATGCTTTCTGCAAGATACTTTCCTACGTTATTGGTCTTTGCCTTCTTTGTCTTCTCCCACTTGATATGGTGTTTCCCTATTGTTGTTCTCTCCAATGCTGTTATTCCACTTCTTGTATTTCTCTCTTTCTCCAACAAGAAGTCAACAAGTTCAGTTGCGCCTACACTCTACGTAACGTGTTTCTGGTTGTCCGTTTGGTCTTGGTTATGATTTATTCATCAATAATGCTGCATGATGTATGACAAGGTAATATTTATATATATAGATGAAAAGAGAATATGAAGGATTGCTACTCGTTTTGTTGACTTTTTTATTTTATCTGTAGGTATCAAGATTGTTCTCTATACAATAACGATTATGCAAACGTCTAGTGACATAATCAGCATATGTAAAAAAAAAAAAAAAAAAAAAAAAAAAAAGAATAACATCCGTTGATTACTACTCACTTTGTTAATTTTACATGTAGATTACAAATCGTACGATCAAGACAAGATTAGGTGGCTAAATAGAAGTACCTGTATCAAATAAAATAGATCTATTCGAGGTGAAGGTGATAGTTGATATCCTGATGGTGGCGCTAGTCGTGATTTTGGCCGTGATAGTGGTCTTCGTTTTACCATGTTATCGCTTATGGTGTAGTTACTTAATATTATTGATGTGTAGGATAGCTTGTAGTGTAAAGTATTTTTGATGAAATAAAATTCTTTTCCAATTTTTTTTTCTTTCTTTCTTTTTTTTTTTTTTTTTTTTGGTATATTAGTACATATTTGAACTGACGAAATGAAGTTCTATTTTCTAGAAATCAATTAAGAAAGTACTAAATTGAATTAAGGAAATTTGATACTGAAGTTCAATCTAATTCGAGACGAATTCAATGCATCTCAGAAAAACCCAAAGTCAATCACGTCAATATTTCAGATTTTTTTTTCCCCCAGTGATTGTATTTTTGTATTATGCAATAAAGGATACATTTTTTTTTTTATTATTTAAATATCGTATGTATTATTTGAACCATTCCAATATTGCACATAACGATATTTTGAAAAAATAATACTAACACAATAAAATAATAAGATTTTATTTCTTGATTGGGAGAATAGAATAAAAAAAAAATAAGGGGGTATCATAAAACTAAGGAAATATAATAAAATAATGGTAGATGATCAAAGGAAAATATGACTAGATAACAAAACGCCTTCTATGAGTAACATCAGATCCACTATCTAATTCCACATGTAAATCACTAGCATGATCTTCCACATCCAAATGTTCCAGTTGGTCACCAAGTTTGGGAATCCGGACATACGCATCAGTGCCCCATCCATGTAATGTTTGTATGTTGAGATCGCCACCCCAATATTCAGCATAGACCTTACTCATCGGTAAACCCATTCCCAAAGGCATGTTGACAGATTGTTCTTGTTCCTTTTGTTGCTGTTTTTGCTGCTGATCGTCCGATACAGTTGCTTTCCATGTCTTGAAATGCTGAAAGTTCCCTGTCGCATGATGTCCAAACGAATAAATAGACCGATACACTTCCGGTGATATGCCTCCTGCTTGATCCGAAATACGGAAAAATACATCTGTTGCATTTGTACACATAGTCACTCGAATTGGTACGGATGATGATGATGATACATTATTGGTATGGTTGATATTGTTGGCGTGCTGCATGGCGTTCAAAAGAAGTTGGTATAAGATGTACTCGATATGATCCCCCACATAAGCAAAGTCAATATCAGGTCCATCCTCTACAATCACTGGAATTTGTGGATAAAGAGTATGTGCTTTTTCAATACATGCCCCTAAGGTACGATGTGCTGAACAGTGCTGGAAAATCATCACACCTGTATCTGGAAAACAATTTGCTGTTGATGATGTCGGCTTGGTGATATCTCCATTCTTGTTGCTGGTAGTTGATGTAAAGACGGATGGACAATTCGATAAAATCAAATGCTGTTCTGCCAATACACGTCGAGAAATTCTGGATCGTAACGTCGAGTTCATAAATTTGTCCCTTTTTTCCCTATTCATATGTTGTTCACATTCTTGTATACCAAGAGCTAATTGAGGAATCACAACAAGATGAGCTTGAAGTGAAGTATACAAAAGTTCACAGAATCGTTCATTATCTTGTTGTGTCTTGATAGGCGGTACAGATCTCAATCTATCAAAGGCTTCCCAATAAAGACGATATACTTGTTGCATATGAGGATTCACACCAACTATAAAAGGTAGGTTCTGGAATTCTCGAAGTCGATGAGCTATACGAATAGGTAATTCATGTCGAACATAGTTGGCAGACTTGAGTAGTCTTTCTGTTGTACGATGGCGTTCATAAAAGAGTAATTGTCGAAGAGTCACTGGTGTAGCCTTTTGTTGTGCATATCGATCAAGGATTTTATTCATATAAAAATGAGGTTCTGTATTGGTGGTTGATGATACTGGTTGTCTTTTTGTAGATGTTGCATCTAATGTTGTGGCCTTTGTCGTTGCCGCAGTTGACATTGATAAACGTGAAGTGGATAAGAACGAAGTGGTTCTAATAGAGACAGGAGAATGAATAATGAAACAGGTTGTTGGTATATAGTTTGAGAATGGTTTCATTGTCGTTGTCTATGATAATGAATATCTCTTTTTCTTAAAGAATATGTTGACGAAAATGGTATATGCGGAATGAATAAAAAGAAAAAAAAAAAAAAAAGAATTGAAAAGAGAAACAAAAAAAAAAAAAAAAATGAATGAATGAAAATCATTGCCTGGGAAAATTTGATCTCCAGGACTTTATTCCAGCAAAAGCTCTGATTGGTTGTATCATGATAAGTCATAGACCAGAAAAGTCATTGCTTTTGGAAGGAGTCATAAAAAGGCAATGATTAAAAAAAATTTATTGTAGGACAAATAATGTAAATGTGATTCTCTTGATGATGATCAGGTTATTTATTTTAATATAGTCATAAAAAGATCTCTAAAGCTAAACAACAAGTTCACGTTTACTGATGATATGACCAGGTATTTTTGCATTTACGATTGTTGGATAGTACATAGCCTTGGGGCATGATTGTTTAATACATTGAATAACGGATTTCGCTGCCTGTTCACCAGAAATCCAACCACCTTGCAAGTACCCATAATAATCCTTAGACATGGCTTCACCAGCAAAGAATACACGATTATGGAGAGGCGCTTTCATATTTTCATGATGTTGATCCATTTCACCACTAGGCCAATTGGAATAGGATCCACGGAATAAAGGATTAGAATACCATCGAGGAAAAACAAAATCAGTTGGTTCAGGGATATCATCACCATACATCTTGCGAAGAACGTCCATGAGTTCATCCTTGACTTGATCATCAGTCATAGCTTCAACTCTATGAGCATTATCTTGTGTCACTGTTACCATAAAAACATTATCCTTCGTTTGCTGAGGGAAATAGCCCTTTGCATTCATATTTTGCCAGACAGAGTACAAACCACGGCTAGTAGGATGTGCATACAAAGTGAATTCGTTATCCGCCCAGAATTGTTTAGGGAAGTTCATAAATATCTTGGTGTATGTTGTCAAATGGAATCCAAAAATACCTTCCATCTTCCAATCTGGCATTTCAGGCTTCCATTCTACATCTCTATGTTGAAGCACACCAACACTAATAAAAGAAAATGAGAATCCCAAAAAAAAAAAAAAAAAAAAAAAAAAAACTTACGAGAAAGTAGAAATCGCATAATCAGCAATGATTGTATCCTTATCTGTATGAATAGTGACACCATCCTTATTGTATTCAATTGTCTTGACTTTGGTATTTAATTTTAATCGATCATCGTTCTTTTTGAATACACGATTGGCTTCTTGCAAAAAGATATATTTGAATCCTCTATTTTGAAACAAAAAGGTAAGTAATAGATCATCCCTTTTTTTCTTTTTTTTTTTTTTTTTTTTTTACCTTTGATCAATGTTCATCCGATCACCTTCAAGATTATGACCAAAATTACCATTGTAATTTGCTTCATCATTCAATACACCATAGATATCAGAGCATAATTCAGGTACTTCACCAGATTCCCAGTCATATCCAAAATATTCAATGGCTTGTTCCATAGGAGTTTTTGGGAACCATCCCGCCAAAGACAAGGCTGTGCGCACAGTGATGTCAACTTGATTGTTTTTAGCTCTTTTCACTACCGATAATAAAATAAAACATGCAATCAGTTATGCGCCGACCGAAAATCATCATCCTTTTTTTTTCCTATTTCTAGATTTACATGCTTGTTCGGCTACTTTATCAGATGCATCGCTGTACCTAAAAAGTTTTAAAAAAAAAAAAGAAAAGGATGAGTATAAAATATTTGTACCACTTGTTCCCTTAAATAATGTATAAATGAAAAAAAAAAGGGACATGAACGGACAGATGATCAGAAATGGTAATGAACTTTTTCACTTACATTTGATATTCTTTGGATGCATCGACTGATTTACCATCTTGATCAATATAAGAAATATCATCATAGTTGGTAGCTACTGTTTTCAAATCATACTTCTGAGCGAGAAGGTTAATAGGATTGGTACCTAACGCTTGAACCCAATTACATCCTAATTCAATGGTAACATTATTTCCAAACTTGACATCTTGAGCCCGACCTATATATATATTGCACAAGAAAAAAAAAAAAAAAAGGTTAAACAATGACTAAGGAGATAAAATGGAAGACTTCATACATCATCCATCATCTAAACTTACCACCGAGAACTTCACGAGCTTCGATCAAAACAAAATCATCTATCCCAGCCAAGGTCAGATTCAATGAGGCACTAATGCCAGCAACGCCACCTAGAACAAAAAAAAAAAAAAAAAAAAAAAAAAGGAAAAAAAAGAAAAAAGAAAAAACTTTAGATGCATCGGATGTTTGATTAAGTCTTACCTCCAAGAATGGCGACTTTGGTACGAATGGTTTCTGCATGGACAAATGGATTGCTGCACAAAATACCAGCAGACGCGATGAAAAGAGAAGACAACCTCATGATTTCTTGGTACAAAAAAAAAGAGAAAAAAAAAGAAAAAAAAAAGAAAGAAAAAAAAGAAAGAAAAAAAAAAAAGAGAAAAAGGGTCACTCACGTGTTCAAATGTGCTTTATATAGTTTCTTTGAATTAACATAATCAGCGCGGAGAATCATCATCGGTTGTTGAACCTTACCATTGATGACTTCCATTGACATTAAAAAAGAATAAAACGTATGAACCTGTCATTGACCATCCTCTTTGCTTTTACAAGGATTACGAGTGGTCGTCTCCACTATAATAAACATCATTGAATTGGAAATCATTTCTTTGATAAAATATGCTCTCATCTCATCATCATGGTAACCCAGGAAATAACTCAACTCATCCATTTATCCAGATATGGTAAGATCAACGTTGAACCCGAGAACCTTTTTTTTTTTTGTTTTTTAAAAAAAAAAAAAGGTAAATGAAAGAATCCCACGATAGGGAAAAAGAGTACCCACTTTCTGTCTTAATAGAGTCAAACTTTAACCTAATGACACATATGATGCGAAGCAAAACCAATCATTCCATTTACAACAAAAGATAAAAGAAAAATTAAAGTTTATTAAAAAAAAAAAAAAAAAGAGGAGATTCTATATTTTCTATGTGCTACAAATATAAACTAGATATTATTGTGGGGTATATGAATCCAACCATGATAAATCATCAAAATTGTACAATACGTCGTGATCATCAAAGTTGAAAATGTTGCAAAACAAGTAATCGTCGTCATCCAAACTAGTAACATACATCGCGGCATTTCCGGAAGAGGAAGACAATGGTAATCCAGTACCCATATTGTTCGTACATCCAGGATTGGTACTTGACCAGCAAGATGAAGGAGAAGAAGTAGAAGAAGACATCATCGCGCCATTGCTGCAGTTGCCTCCTTGATCATATGTAAAATCCGTACATGATGTTGTTGTTGGCGTAGTACTATCTGTTGTCAAATCATACATAGCAGTGGTAGATAAAGCATTTTTCCGTATTGTGATTGTATCGATAGGTAGTTGTTGTTGTTGTTGTTGTTGCTGTTGTTCCTGTTGTTGTTGTTGTTGTTGTTGTTGTTGCTGTTGTTGTTGTTGTTGTTGTTTTTGTTGTCGTATAGCCCATTTCTTGTATTCCATCATAATCCCCCAGAATCCAGACCCTAATCTTGACTGAGCAAAACACATATCATCCATCTCTGATAAGGCACCCATTTCGACCATTTTTGATAAACCATCTACAACACGTACAGCCCTAGCCGCAGGACATGTATCACTCCAGGACATCTTCTCCAACAAAAGTCGTCCTTGAACCATTGCCTTTTCCGCCGCATCTTGATCAATCCATGACTTGTATACTGAAGTTGATAATCGTAACAGGATCAACAAACTAATCATCAATGTTCTTGACACAAAGTTGGGCCAACTCAGGCAGATCACTAATCTTTTCATTTGCTGTTGATCTTGTTGTTCTTCGCTTGCATCCACCAACATTCGTTCCACCAGTTGAATAATTTGCATACACACAATGGAAATAGGCATCACCACCCACCGCTTGTCACGATCCAAAGAATCTGGGGCCAATAGGAAAGAATGAAGTTGAACTTTGGCATGAAGATAGATCAATTCCGTCATTGGTGACATGGGAGAATAATCCACACCAAGTTGTGATAGTGACGCCTCCAAGCTTGAATGTATAATCCGTCGACATTTTGGATCTACCATACCATTTGATGATGACTGTTGGGAATTGCTAGCTGTTGACAATGGTGTATAGTCATGGGTTGCGTCAGTGTCGATTCCAAGAGTGTTGATACATCGATTTAGTGTATGTAATATATGCACTTGTTTCAAAAATTCAGTCAGTTGTTCATCATCACTATCGTCATCCTCTTTTTTGTCGTCGTTCACACTATCATCAGATCGCTGTCGTTTTCTGCTTCTTTTTTGATGCATACAATCCTTCAAATCCTTGTCGAACCTTGCCAATAAAGAGTAATCCAAAGTCGCTGTTGCTGGTACACCATACACAGTAGCCAATCTTTGATTCACATGAAAACAAGCCATCCACATCAAAGCATGCATTCTTGCTCTTGATTGATCCCTTCTTTTTTCTATTTCCATTCTTGTCGTTTTTCTTTGTTGTTGATCATCATCGCCACCAATAGTACTACTTGCTTCGTATTTATTGTTGTCATTATCCATTATCACGAATTCCGATTTGAACCAAGATTTATGTAATCCCACTAGCAAACCAATATGAATCGCTTGTCCAGAGTAAATCCAAGTCAAATCTTCTTGTGATGTACGGTGTGGGAGTGGCCATTCACAAATCACTACCAGTGCATAGATATGAGCCAAGGCTGTAAATGGTCGAAGGACATAATGGGTCACCATGCTGTGTTTTTGAAGTAATTGTCGTGTATGATGAACAATAGCATCCCAAGTAGTTTGAGAGATCAATTGTTGTTGGAATGCCATGGGACATGCAACAGCACATAAAGTCCAGAATAATACAGGTGAAATCGTACTTGGCACTGTTGCTTGACCGTTTGGTGTGATAACTGCTGCATCGGCTTTCATTAGTAAAAAAGAAGGTGTCAAGTATCGTTTTGGAAAAATTGGAAGGTATCGATATTGGTGCTTCATAAATAAATCAAATAGCTGCGCAATCAAAGTAGCTTGAATCTTGGTACCATCAGGTAATACTTGGTCCTGAATCGGTGTATTGTAGGTCATGTTTATTGTTGCTGTTGTTGCTGCTGTTGTTGCTGTTGATTCTACCGCAGTAGCTCGAGGTGATCCAGGTTGTTCATCTGTATCCAAAGAAGGGCGAGTAACAGTTGTGGTTAATTGGTTGATACTGCTGTTGTTGTTGTTGTTGTTGTTATTGTCATTGATTGTACTATGTGATGAAGAAGATGATACCATGATATCCTGTGAGGTGGTGTTTGATGAAGGAGGTGAGGTAACCTTTCGGATCTGTCGATCAAGTTCACAAAACACCTTTGCCTTTTCACAACGAGAACATTTGCTAGGAAAAAGATTCACTACATCACAGCGAACCTTCATACTTCGACAGTTTGTACATGCTGTTGCTGAACGGGTGCGTTTCTTTTTTGTTTTAAGCATTGAAAAAAAAAAAAAAAAAAAAGAGAGAGAAAGGAAAAAAAAAAAGATTTACCCAAAGGTAGAATTTTTATTTCGTTGTTCAGCATGTGACCTGACCTGACTTTTGTGCAGCTTTTTTCTTTTTTTTTTTTTTTCCTTCCCTCTTTTTCTTTTTTTTTCTTTTCCATTTCATTACTACATCTACTATCCATATATATATACTATCTACTTATTATATTTACTTCTCTTTTATATTTTAAGCTCCTTTATTATTACTCTTGAATCTAGAGTAGTTCAGTTTACTATATTTATTTATTTTTTTTAAAAAATTTTAATAAAAAATCAACTCTTTGACTCTTTTGGTGAACCTTTTTTTTTTTTTTTTTGAACATTGAAAATCAATCTTTCATTTCTTTGAATATATTATTAGTTTTTATGACCGAAAATGATCAGAAATATGTAGAAGACTCCGGTTTAACAGGATTACGCAGAGAACAGCAACTATAAAAAGTAGTGCTGGTTTCGCAAATATTTGGGCGCAGTTCAATTCATACTGATGAAAACTTATGGATGATATACCATAGTCTGAAGCTTTGTTGCGATGTTGCAAACTTTACCTGCCTTCCTTCTGACTGAACAATGCTACAAGTATACTTTTTAAGTGTTAAGATTCAACATGCAGATCTGACGTTTGTGTTACGACCAAAAGTATATGAAATGTTAAATTTTTTTTTATCCATTTTATTCATCATCTTTTCCATCTAGCCACTGATTTTTTTTTAATAAAAAATTTGATTCATTGCCTTATAACATCACATGAGGTAGATCTATAGCTTCTTCATACCTTCGTAACTCACTCAAAAGTCATCATCATCACACCAAATTTTAATTGATGATACATGAAATTATTCTCTTTCATTTAATGACAATTTATACTTTACTTCCTAATTTATAACGAAAACTAAGAATAATAACTTATTGACTTATTAATCAAAAGTCGATCTCATCATACCTCGTCCAATAATGATCATCATCCAATGAAACTATCACCGTTGGATTCCTCTATGAAATATAATTTAATATCATCTAATAATATTTTATCACTTACCTTGTCACCTAATGTACAATGAGCGTCAAAAGATTTTATTGATTTTTTTTGAAAAAATGCCTGATGAACCCCTGACGATTTATTTTTACAGCCAAAGTTTGGCTGAGGAGTTCGAAATTTTTGGCTGTAAAATCCAAAAATCCATTCCATTTTTTTTTATCTTGCATACAAAAGCTTTGTCTTCCTCTTTCTCGCTCAAAAGTCATCATCATCATACCAAATTCGAACTGAATATAAAAAATAACCTTTAATTTTACTTAATGCCATTCACGACTTGCTGTTGCAGCTGTAGAGTAATTAAAAAATGAATATCCGTATTCACTGCTTATCCTGTTAGAATCAGTTGTAAATAAACAGGTAAAATTAACATTTGTATTCTCTTGTTAATAATATGAGTTGTTTCGTATCTACTTATTCTATATATTTTGTGTTTATTCATATTGTTATTGATGTGATCAGTCAATGGTGGAAAGTAAGAATTTATTGGGGAAATATAGTTCAAAGTCAGTGTGATCATGGTTTAAAAGCGTTTGTCGTCCAAGATATTTTTTTTTCTTTCCCTTTTCTCTCTTCTTTTTTTTTTTTTTTTTGTTTTTTCTTTTTCTCTCATTGTTGAAGACAAAGTCATGTTAGGATTCTTTTGTCACTATTGTCTATCACAAGTTTGTCTTTTAAAAAACATGAAGAGATAATAGCAAAGCACATTGAAAAGGTAACAAAGAAAAAAAAAAAACACAAAAAACTCACTTTATTTTTTTTTTCTGTTACAGAGAAGAAAGGTATCCATATCAATGCTCGTTAACAATGGAGGGATAAAGTGATCAAGAGGAACACGGCATCAAGTACAATATTATATATAAATGGAAGAATGCCATCTAAGTTGTCTTGCTATTCTTCTTGTGAAATTACCAACTCTGTTATGCGTTTCAAGAACAATGGTAGACAAAACACTACGATGAATGATTGAAAGTATGGACAGTTTATAATATGGAGGATGGGTAAAACAAGTTGAAATGGTTTTTTATCGAACAAGAAAAGCAACACCATTGGATTGACTAGGATGGCTATAAAAGTGGTTTATAGACAGCTGGACGACATAACGACGATAACGAAGAGGAATATGGAAGTTCCACAATATACGCTACAATTAACTGGGATAGCTGGATGAACTATACAACAATGGATGATTACATTTATAGAATAGTACTTTAGTTTAGAATACACGAGCTATATACCTGAATAAAACTGAAGGAATTTGATTTTATATGGACTCATTGTATGATAGTTATTGAATCGAATGTTTGTAGGATGGAACAAAGACGATACATTAGTACAGGAAAGAATGGATAGTGCAAGAGAGAAAGAGTGTACGTATATGAAGGAGGGCATAGGAAGATCAATGTTTTATTATTATGAATAGAATCTCTAATCTTATTTGTTTTATTCCGCTTATCAAAATGACAATAATGTTATCTCAGGACACAAAAAAAAAAATTTAACTTATCTATTTACCATATTTGCATAAAAGGAGGGAAGGAATACGCTGAACTAGATAATATGTACAACGTCTGATGAGTAATTAGGTTGTATTGTCTTAGTTCAGGAACATGACTATCTTTGGAAATTGATCAGAGAAAATGTCTATATGATTCTACCCACGCTTTTCATTAAAGTTTTTACAAGGAATGATGGATGATCTTTTCACACATGTATTATCGTTCATATCCCGCTTGTGCTGTAGTAAATTAGGTACTACCAAAGCAGATTACAATGAAGAAGAATATATAAAAGCAATTAGACTCTCAATTCCTCTCTTTTTTATTTTTTTTTTATTATTATTATAAATATTAATATCATCAAGCTATACAATTTAATTGAAAAATGAAAATTAACTTATCACTTTGTGTGCTCCCGCTAGTCATTATAAGCAGTAGCCGATTCGTTCAAGCAGAAACTATTCATACTAAAGTCGCCATCCTTGGCGGTGGTGTATCAGGAATCAGTGCCTCTGTTAACTTGACTCTGGCCGGTATCAATGACTTTGTGATGATTGAAGCTCGTGATACCCTTGGAGGTAAAAGAAGAAGAAGAAGAAGAAAAAAAAAAAAGAAGGAAAAGATGGTGATGATGATTGATGATGACGACGATTGATGAATGATTAATGTTTGATGATCATCTTAGGACGTGCTCAAAATGTCAAATTTGCAAACAATGTTACCATTGAATTGGGGTGTAATTGGGTTCAAGCGTTAGGTAGCAATCCTATCAATATCCTTCGAGAAAAACATGGATTAGTCACTGCTCCAACCAATTATAGTGATATTGCTTATATTGATGACAAAGGCAAAAAAATCAGCAATGGATTTGAGGTTTATAACAAGTAAAGTTATCTTTATTTCAACATAAATCATTGATCATTCATTTTTTTTTTTTTTATCATTCATAGGTTTCAAGATCTTTATGACAAGGTAGACCAATTAGGAGGTAAATTTTCTAACACACCCAAAAAAAAAAAAAAAAAAAAAAAAAAAAAAAACTGCATCCTTACTTAACTTTTTTTTTTTTTTTTGGTAGTGAAGCGCTTGAAGAACAATCTAGTAGATTTATCAGGAAGAACAGCACTTTCTCTTGCTGGATGGTTTGCCAAGACACCTTTGGAAGAAGCAATTGAATATTTTACCTATGATTGGGAAACAGGAGAAACACCTGAAGTATCATCTATGATGTATGTGGCCAATAATGATAACTCGAACTATGGAACAATATTTGGCCCTGATTCTGATAATGATCGTATGGATATTGATCAAAGGTATTTTTTTTTTTTTTAAAAAAAAAAAAAAAAAAAAAAAAAAAAAAACAACTACGCATTCATCCTAATCAAGTTGATACTTCTTTTCTTTTTTTTTTCTTAAATAGAGGCTTCCGTTATATCTTTTTACAGGAAGCTGCAAAAGTCTTTAAAGAAAATGATCCTCGATTGAAATTAAATAGTTTGGTCAAAACCATTGAGTATGATGAAAATGGAGTCATTATCACTACTGACAAGGATATCATCATTGCGGATTATGCCATTTCTACCTTTTCGTAAGCTAGTTATATTTACTCGACACCTTTTTTTTTTTTTTTTTTTTTTTTTGTAAAACTCAATTTTTTATTATTATTATTATTATTATTATTATTATTTTTCATCTCATGAAAGAGTTGGTGTCCTCCAACATAGGGATGTTGTATGGAAGCCTGAAATGCCTGATTGGAAGATGGAAGGAATTTTTGGATTTCATCTTGCCACTTACACTAAGATATTTATGAATTTTCCTAAACAATTCTGGGATGATAATCAGTTCACTCTATATGCTAATCCTACTAGTCGTGGTCTGTACTCTGTTTGGCAAAACATGAATGCTCCAGGTTATTTCCCTAAAGGCACAGATAATAATATATTTTTCGTCACAGTGACTCAAGATTATGCTTATATGGTAGAAGCCATGACTGATGATCAAGTGAAAGAACAATTAATGGATGTACTTCGCAAGATGTATGGTGATGATATCCCTGAACCAACTGATTTTGTTTTCCCACGCTGGCACTCTAATCCTTTATTCCGTGGATCCTATTCAAATTGGCCTATTGGAGAAATGAATCAACATCATGAAAATATGAAAGCACCTCTTCACAATCGTGTATTCTTTGCTGGTGAAGCCATGTCAAAGGATTTCTTTGGATATCTTCAAGGTGCTTGGATTTCTGGTGAGGAAACTGCTACCCATGTCATCCAATGTATCAAATCATCCTGTCCTAAAGCCTATTATTATCCTGAAATCCAAAATAACAAAATTCCTGGTGTTACTGTCAATAAGCGTGAAATCTAAATATAATAATAAAAAAGAAAAAGTATATATCTTGATGATATATATATATATATATATATATGCGTGTGTATGTGTTGGTGATAAAAAAAAAAAAAAAAGGTTTTTATTTCATTGAATATGAATCTAAAATAAAAGTCTATCTACATTAGTATGATTGTCGTCCTTTTGATAAAAAGAAAGAGATACCATGTGAGTGAAAGATGAAGAGAAATTATTTTATATTCATTAATATTCTATTACCTTTATTCAATAATAATAAAAAAAAAAAAACATTCGACAGAATAGAATCAATCTAAAAGAATATAAAAAAAAAAAAAAAAAATGGTAAAAAAGTGGAAGAGGAAAGAAAGATTGAGACAAAAAAAAAAAGATTTATATATTTCTGATCAGGTCAGGTCACATGCTTTTGGGGGGATTTAAAGTTCGACTTCTTTTTTTTTTTTTCTTTTCATTCCCTTTCACTTTTTTTTTTATTGTTTCTCTTTTGGATAGCTTACCTTCTTCTTGATGTGTTTTCCACCAGATATTATATTGATTAACACCTCCATTCATTCGTTGTGAATCCAATCCAAATAAAAGGTAAAGTGAATAGGAGAAAAAAAAAAAGGATAAATTTCAATGATAACACCAATTTACTTTTAGAACATCTTATAGTGGGAAGGTAATATCACATGGTTAGTCTACTCCTTTTAACTTTTGACTTTTTTTTTCCTACTACTGTAAATTAGGCAGGTTCTCCCTTTCTCATCTTTATCTGTCGCTCTTTGTCCTTCATATATTTTATTTGTGGGCATCCATGCTACCTCATTCTCATCTTCTTTAGTCTAATTATTCTCATTTTCTTTTCTCTCATTCTCTTTCTTCTCTCTTTCTCTTTCTCAAATTGTATTGACGTACTTTGGGACTTTTCCTTTTATATATATATATATATATGTATCATATATATCATATATACTCTATGAATAGAACGCGACGACATGGAGGTAGAACAAGTTTCAACTGGAATCAGATGGATATGCAATAGGATCAAGTGGCTGGATATACAACTGGATTAGATGGGTGTGCAATCGGATGGCAGCTTACTGCATTCCACTAGAAAATCAGTAAGGTAAGTGATGATCAGTGCCTTATAAACCCTGTTTATTAGTGAGCCTTATTGTAGTTTAGGTGGAGTTTATACTGAATATCAATAAAAGTTTTTATTATTATTATTATTATTATTATTATTATTATTATTATTATTATTATTATTATTATTATTATTATTATTATTATTATTATTATTATTACTTTTTTTTTTTTTTTTACTGTATTTATTTATTTTATTCATTTCTTATAATCATTGCGAGAAGTGATTGGAGAATACGATAATGATAGTAAATGAAATATGAATTAATGATACAGGATGAATCAAACAAAAACTTACCTGAAAGTGATTTTCTTTGACATTTTTTCTACTGTGATCAAATTCACACATTTTGTGGAGGATGATAACCTCTTGTGCATCCTTTCTTTTTTCTTTTTTTTTTTTTATGTAAATATCCCAACTTTTTTTTTTTTTAGCTTACTGTATATTTTTTTGGAATTGCCAAAATTTTATTATAACAAAATCAATAAAAGGTTGCATAATCAGATTTTCTTGGCCACTCCATTTTAGTTTGTAATACTGTTATACAGAGAGTATAATTTTATTAGTATTTTATTTTTTTTATTGATGTGATGAATCATCATATGTGTAGTGATTCATTATATTAGTTGCCCTGGAACGTTTATTCATTGATATATATCTTTCTTGATGGTATCAAAAGACCAAGAGCACAGTAACTTTCAAAGTCCGTTATTTTATTTTTTATTTTTTAGATATGCGGTAATTTTTATTTTCTTTTTGTTTCTTTCCTTTCTTTATAACAACTTTAGTTATAGTATATCAATTAGTAGTCTTTAGTAGTTATATTTTTATTTAATAAAACTTTTTATTTTTATTCCAACTACTTTGTTACACGTCAATATAATTGATTCCATCTTACAATGTATTTTTTATTCTTTATTTGTGAATGCATTCTTTAGTCTTATTTTACGCATATCGTTATGGAATACACTGATACGACACACTCTTAAGAAAACAATCACCTTAAGCTTTAACTTTATTTTATTTAAACAAAAATCAATCTTATATAATCAATACTTATATTATTTTATTTGACCATCATCAAGTGTGATCATTTTCAAGACATTGTATTTATATTTAATATCAAGTAACAAATCATCTTATATTTATTTTGTTCTTTTTTTTTTTTTTATAAAAGACCTGGTGCTCACTACGATCAATCATCATTAATATTATTATATTAATAATATCATCCATCCATTCTACAAATCAACCATCCACCCAAAAACAAATAAATCCCTAACAACTAAGTAACAAAAATAAGATCTTAACATCCCAACACCACCAAAAAAGGAAAATTTTCATTTTTCAAGATACAGAAAAATAAAAATAAAAAAGAAAGTGCCTACTGACGGAATCGAACCGCCGGCCTTTCGCTTACAAGGCGAACGCTCTGCCAACTGAGCTAAGGAGGCTGATATGTCTTCTGAAATAAAATAAAGTATATATAGCAGATATGACCCAATTCTAACTCAAAATGTGTATTTTCTCGAGATTGTGGTTGTAAACATGGTTCAAAATTTTAATTGTATATTGAGCATAGGATGATGAGGGATACATGTGAATATGAAAGAAATCAGACAACAATTTCTTTTAGTTTTTGTAATTTCTGTATAATTTCTCAATTTAAATTACATAATCTGACTTTTAAAATTGAAGATATATGGGCGTATGGGTTCCTCTCTTTTTTTTTTTTTTTTTCTCCTAATTTTTTTTTTTCTACATCATGAGCGCAATAAATGAAGAATGTATATAGCAGGACCGATAACCAGCGAAAGTATTGAAGGTACATGAATATAAGAATTCCTTTTTTTTTTTTTTTTTTTTTTTTTTTTTAAAAAAAAAGATAATTAAGATACTTGTTTTGCTGAGCTGATGAATTCTTTTTTCTAATCACTTTTTTAATCATCTTTTAGAAGGTAGTACGTGGAAATGATCAACTCCTTTGTTGTCAGATGTAAGTGAACTATATTGAATTGGATAGGGATAATGGAGTACAGTATACTGACTTTTGTTCTTTTTTGTGGTCATTGACTGTAGTTAAATACCTTATGATACAAAGCGACAATGATAGGAACAGATCTGTTAGATTGTGTGTAGATACAGTAAGAGGATACAAAAAAAAAAAAAAAAAAAAAAAAAAAAAAATGAAAATAGAAGAGGGAAAAAAGGTCATGCGGATGTAGTTGGGATTAGATATATAAATCAAGATTGTGGAAGTGGTGATAAGATGAAGTTGTAGGTAGGATAGTCCGTTCACTCATTTTTTTCCCTTTCTTATTTTATTATAGGCTTGACTCTTTTTATTCCTATGTGAAACTTTTATTATTAAATGTCTATTCTTCTATTCCGTTCTCTTAGCTTAGTCTTCCTTACATACAACCCACATCCTTATTCCTATTCCTTAGTTTATCTTATGGACAATATACTGTATATTCTTCATTTCTTCCACGGTTTCGTTGTACAATCTGATCCTTATATTTTCAATAGTTTATTATTATTGTTATACTGTATAATAAAGAAGACAATTACTAATACACTACAAAAAATAATAAAACAAAAAGAGACTACACTAAGCCAATATCATCAGAAAGCTGCAACTTTACACCTTGACCCAGAAACATGTCGATTACGAGCAGAGTAATGAATTGAATTGCCGTGGTAAGTTCCTGGAAAGGTATATTTCAGTGTTCCATCTTCAATTTCCATATCAATATCAATATTGTCGTTAAGAAGTATTGATGTTTCTATTCATGTTTCTATTGATGTTGATATTGATGTTGATATTCGAATGGGTGTTGGCGCCGAAACTGTTTCATTTTCGTGCAAAATATTGATATCCAAGAGAAAGCTAGCCGATAAAAAAAAAATCAGACATAGTTAGTCTAAATATATACTTTAAGAAAGATTATACCTGATCTTCAGACTCTACATTCATTGTTGATATAGTTTTCATAGAGGAAAGAGAAGAAGAGGAAGCAAACGAGGAATAAACTTTTGGGACAGACAATTCATCAGGAGGTGATATCATACCGTATCGGATATTAAGTGGTTTTTCCTTCTGTTTAATTGACATGACGCAAGAAGTAAAAAGGACTTCACGAGAAAAAAAAAGGAAAAAAGAAAAATAGAAAGAGAGAAAGGAAAGAAAAATGAATTTTATATATCTTAAAATTTAATGTGTGAGCATAAATTTTCATTCCCCACTTCCCCTTTTTCCGTCTTTCTTTTTCTTTTCTTTTTTCTTTTTTTTTTTTTTTTTTTCTCTCTCTTCTTTTTAATAATTATTTTTATTTTCATTTTTTTCTGAAGACATCTATTTTAAAACCAACTTCTTTTCAAACAAATTATGTCATTACTCTAGTAGAAGAATTAGACGAAAAGGCTATGGATTGTAGAATAAAAATTCACCAAAATCGAACGAATAGCTGAAAAGATGGACAAAATAATCAATATGATTGGAAAATAAACGGATGAAGCACAGCTAGTAGAACATCAAGCATCCTTTTGAAATTGTCAACGGAAGAAGAAAAAGTAATCGAAGTAAGTGACTAACAATGATCATTGTTTATCCAAAAACAAAGGATTCAAGTCTTGCCAGTTTGACTGATAATATAGGTGGTGACAGTGAAACAATTGAAAAACAAGAGGGTAATATTGTGTCAAAGGCACTCAAATGGTCCAATATCTCAGTCAAAGTCTAGCAAATGGTAAAGAAGAACATCAAATCCAAATTGGCAACAGCTGGAATAAGAATCGACTGCGCCCAAGAACGATGGATTGGAAATACTGTGTTTCGTGACAAATGTGCAAACCGTGTGAAATGATCGGTAAGATTGGGCGGACTAAGATATTGTATAACTACTAACTATTTTGTTTTGATCTTATTTCTTTTATTCAGCAAGAAAAGCAAAACCGTCATCATCAGCAGCAGGATCATCATCAGTAATATCGTTATCAAAATCATGAGAACATCGATTTGCCTCCCATATATTATTACTTTAGCGTATGATCTTTTATTCATAATAAAGAAGCACTCATTTTATATTTTGTATTTGATCGTGTATATATCCTGTATTCGTAATAAAAACCCACAATTTATTCTGTATTTGATCCTGTAAATATCCTGTATTATCCTGTAATTACAGGATCATCTTTTCCAAGGTGTTAATTATGGTTTATCCGTTATCTATTTTCTGCAAATAATCGTTCTATCTCTGCTTTCTGCGAGTCTTCTCTATTATTTATTTAATATAAAACGCTTTATCTGTTTAATTTCTCATTGTTGTTGAACGATGGATGATCGATTGATACGTGATGATGGATGATACGTTAATAAAGGAGTGGTAGCTGTATAATAAAATAACATCAATAATTTATAAGTCTGTTCATGCAATAATGGTGAATAAACTTGAATAACTGGACACCACGTTGAAAAATTAGAAAGACAAAATAATATTGTGATTTTATTTAATAATAATAGTAAAGAATTATGTCTACAAGACAATACAGATAATATATGGAGAATCAAACTAAATAATAATATGAAAAAAGAAGATACGATCTATGCTACCACTTGCTTTTTCTGTTGTAGTAAATGCTTGACAGCCATCGGTCGGTAATATTCCAAATCAGGTACTTTGAGTCCCACCACTTTAGCTGCATCATCCCATTGGCGTACCTGTACCTTGATATGGTATAAAGGATCTTTTTCAAATGCTTCCACCTGTTCAGTTGTATATGGTCCACCCTAGTTGTTAATCACAGAGATAGAATGAATATTAAAAATAGTGAATTTTTTTCATTTAATAAACTTTCGATGATTACTTACTTGATACTTGAGAGATAATTTGCTTGCACCGCTGAGACTAGCATAGTATTCTGGATACTTTGCAGTCAGGTATCGTTTGACTGGTACATGAGATTCCACAAGAGCCGTGACCTTTTCCGAGAAGCCGAGTTGACGAAGATATTCTGCACCAATACGTTCATGACCTGTCACACCAACACTGACTTGTTTATTACCTTTTACAGCACCAGGGTCCAATTCATTTAAAGCAGAGGCATCACACAGCATTTGTTTTTGATCTGCAGATGTAGCAAACTGTCCAATATCATGAAGTAACGCGGCTAAAATGGTTTCCTCATCAGCACCTATACAAGTTCATATGTTTTCCAACAAAAAAAAAAAAAAAAAAAGAATAAATAAATAAGTAAATGGATGGTAGAAGAAGAGATAGAAAAAAAAAAGGACTAATTCAGTTTTTTTTTTTTTTTTTTTTTTTTTTTTTTTTTTCACCTGCATTCAAAGCTTGAGAAGCTGCTTGTAATGAATGTTCTAGTTGAGAAATATGTTCACCAATGTAGTCCTTTTTACTACCATCAACTAAAACTTTGAAGATAGAGTCAACAATTCGATTACAAGTTTCGTTGTCCATGATGTAGTTGATAATTATTGTATTAGTGTAGTAGTAGGTAAGCCAAGTAGGAAGAAGTAAGAAGTAGGAGAAAAAAAAAAAAAAAAGGGAAAAAAGGGATCAAATAGTGGAGTCTAAAAAAAAAAAAAAAAGAACCTGATACATTCTCGTTTTTTTTTGGCATGAAAAGAGCAAGCCCACCGGAATACCGGTGTCCCGTTCCTTCGGTGAGAACTTTAAAGCAAAGGGAAACAAATGGTAAATAGTCCAATCAAAGATCAGCTGACAAGCATGCCTTTTCCAAAAAAAGATATTTTATAAAGATTTACATTTCTCAGCACGTGTCTAGTAATTGTTTGTTCTTTTTGATAACATGTATAATTGTGACCTAAACTTTAATGATTATGAGAGGGACTTAGTCAAACATAAGTGAATCAATGATGAGGCACCCGTTCTTTCATTGGTAAAATATGCTGACGACGGTGTTTAAACTTTACTCGTTCTCCATGAAAAAAAAAAGGACCACTATAAGAAGCGCGTTTTATTTCTATTTCTTCCTTTCTTTTTTTCTAAAAAAAACATACTTTTTTTTTTTTTTTACAAGGATAATAACAATATTATGGTGGCTATCCAACCCAATGACCAACCTTATATTTTGACCTCGGAACAACGTCAACAATATCATGATCAAGGTTACCTTTTAATCGAAGACTTCTATACTACTGAAGAACATGCCACACTTTCTCAATACTGTGAAGATTTCAAGCAATGGGGTCATGAAAAAGGCAAGTGGATGCAATATTATGAAACCAATAAAACGACCAATCAAGAACAACTCTGCCGTACAGAAAATTTTACTCCTTACCATCCTGGAATGAATTCATATGTTCGAAGTACTCGTCTGTTACAAGTCCTTCAAGATCTTCACGGTGAAGACTATGTCTTATTCAAGGAAAAGGTAAATTACAAGTTACCTGGTGGAGGTGGTAAGTACACTTTTTATTTTTATTTTTTATATATGAAACCAATTTGTTCCTTTGATATACTTAGGTTTCCCAGCACATCAAGATGCTCCTGCGTTTATTCAATTTGGTCAATCATCTCATATGACTGTGATGTTTACCATAGATGCTACTACGGATAAAAATGGATGTCTTGAAGTTGTTCCTGGTTCACACAAGAACACATTTGATCGACGTATCCTTCCTCAAGAAAAACATGATGGTTCTATCTCTTTAGAATGGTGTGGACAAAATAAGTGGATTCCTGTCCATTGTCAACCTGTAATTGATGATAATAAGGATGAAGATGAACTACATATTTATGATTTTTTTTTTTATTTTTAAACATCTAGGGATCTGTACTGATATTTGGTGCCTATCTTGCTCATCGATCTGGAGATAACAAAACAACACAACCACGAAGAGCAGTTTATTTGACATACAATGCAGCCAAAGAAGGTGATCTCCGTGATAAATACTACGAAGACAAGCGCAAGCTATTCCCACCAGCTTATGAAAGAGTAGAAGGACAAGATTATAGTAAATGACAAGAGTATATATGATGAATAGGTTTTTGATTTTTTTTGATTTTTTTTTTTTTTTTTAGGTGAAGGAGCTATTACTTACAATTTGGCAACACCTATCAACATGTAAAAGCAATCTCTTTTTATCGTTGGATAGTTTAGTAAATTAGATAGTTGGTTATAGTGATGATAATATATGATCTTCAATAAATAATGTATTCTTATGTATTTATCACTGAATGATGTAAGGAAGGTTATTTCAAAAGTTTATAAGAAGTTTTCTACCATTATTCTCCTAATAAGGTTATATTGCTTTATTGGGAACAAAGAATGCTGTTTTCTGTTCTATTCTTTTTACTTTTTTTTTTTTCAAAGGAAATGACATAAAATCAAAGAGCTTTATTAATTCTTTCATATCCTTTTTTTTTTCTTTCTTTCTAGATACTATTAATAATAATGAATTGATAGTTTGAAAAACCAACTGAGTTGATAGATATAAAACAAGAAAAAAAGTGATGCTAATGACTCCTTAATAGCAAGATGATAATAGATGATGATAAAGAGAGAACAAAAAGGTAGATGTTGGAATCATCATAAAAATAAGACAAGATAATAATTGATAATAATAAGAAAAGTATTTAACTGGTCAAAAAAAGAAAAAAAAAAAAAGGGGAGAATCGTTCAATTGGCTGGGATGAACAGCTATAACTTGCATGAAAAAAGCTTCGGAACTTACTTATATGCCCTTCTTTCTTTTCCAAAGTCATTCCTGAAAAGCTGTTGCTTTTATATCCCCGCCTCAAAAGTGGCTGCATATTTTTACAATTCCCCATCTTCATTTTCTCTCTCTCTCTCTCTTTCTTTTTCTTTTTTCCTCTTCCCTTCCCTTCTTTTTTTTTTTTTTTTGTTTGTCAGTGTGACAATTGTATGTATATATATATATCCTTATATTTATATATATATATATAGTATAAATATAGAAAAATAGTTCTTTTTGATTGACATTACAAACAAACTCGATCATTTAAAACATTCCTCATCATCATCAACAACAAAAACAATAACAATTTCATCATCATCATTATTATTATCAACATAATTATTTAAAACCAAATATAAAATGGATTCACCCGCTTGTTCTATTCAACATGCTCCTCATGTGATTGATCCACAACGTCATCATTATCATCATACAACTTCTTCACTTCAACAACAACCATTCACTTATTCTGATTACGGATTAGATGATGGTCGTTTTTATTCTCAACTATCACAACAACAACACATTCATCATCAACAATTAGCCACACCACCATCAACTACGACGACCGAAGATAGTGCAAGTAGTAGCAGTCCATTTGATGACGAAAATCAGTTACCAACACCCGAAGAATTCAAGGCCATTGTGGATGATTATCTTAATAATCTTAGCCCCAAGAAAAGAGACAAGGCGTTAGTGGATGAACATCGTTACTATTTGATTCAACAAGTACTCAGGGATCCAAGGAACACTGCCATCTCCACTGCTCAATTTCGGTTTTGGGTCAAGAAAATGTTCCAACTACAATTAGGTACGGTAGATATTATTTGTCATGACAACAAGCCAGTTGCCATCAAGGAACAAATATATGATATCTTAGTTAGGGCTCATAGGGATGCTCATCATGGTGGTAGAGATAAGACTTCTGCATTGGTAAGATACAAAAAAAAAAAAAAAATAATAATAATGAAATAGGGTGGTTGGTTGATTCGGTGATTTTTTCAAATCTGCATAAATTTTTTTTTCTTTTTTAGGTTCGAAGGAAGTTTTCATGGATCCCAAAGGAATTAGTAGCCCGATTTGTGAGGCATTGTCCTTTTTGTATCACAAGAAGAAATGGAGGTCAAAGCCCAAACACAATGAAAGCCAATTCACCTCGACATCATCATCATCACCACCATCATCATCCTTATGCAACTCCCAATGGTATCACATCATCACAACAACGACATTATAGTTTTGATCATCATGCTCCTTCTATCATCTGTACACCATCCATCAAAGAAGATAATAGTGATTTATCTGCTTCATCTGGTCCACCTTCTGCTGACAATGGTTATGATGCCTCTCCAAATTATGTTGCTATGTCTTACACTACTCATTCTCCAAGACGTCCATCCTATTTCCAATATGATCGTGATGAGGAAGAATTTTTAAATTCATATCCTTATGATTCTCATTCTACTTTTCAACCTACTGCTACTTCTTTAGCTTCCATGATGGGTTTTCGATCTGCTTCTTCCTCTTCAACCACAAATACTTCTTCTTCTTCTTCTCAACAACAATCTCTTTTACAACCATCATCATCATCATCAACACAGCAATCATATCAAACCAATCATATGACCAACAATACAAACAACAATACTGATATCAATCATCCTGCTTCTACCAATCACGCTAATGCAAGTCATCCATCACCTAATTTATTTTATCATCAACAAAACTATATGTATCCATCCTATACAAATAATACTTATTATCCAAACATTTTGGGCATCAATTCATGTCAAGATACAACCACTTCCACCACCACCACCACCAATGGATCCATCACCACTACTTGTACTACCACTGATCCTATTTCTCAACATGATCATCAACAACATTCATCTTCAGTGGCTGTGGATTTATTGAATCATCAAGACGACACGCCTACTTATTTCAATCCAAATCATCCTTTGGTTTATGCAAATCCCATGTCTGATCCTACTGCTGCTGCTGCTGCTGCCGCTGCTGCTGCTGCTGTATTTGGTACCACTGATTTATGATGATCATGTTCCCCCCCTCTCTATTGTACTTTTTTTTTTTTACCTTCTTATTTCTTCTTTTGGGAGGGGGTATCCTTTTTTTTTATTATTATTATACATATATATTATTATAATAGGTTAGTTTTTTTTTTTTTTGTTACCTTCCCCCCTTAGTTGATAAAAATATCATATTATGCTTTTTATTACTTCGTCTTTATTCTTATGCTACTACTATTACTTTTTTTTTCATATTACATAGTACATTTTTTGTTCTTAATTTATTTATGTTTTCCTTTTTTTTTTATATATTTTACCCCATAGTTGACATTTGTACAAACAAAAGAAAGAAAAAAAACGACTCATTTCCCCTTTTTGACTTTATTCTCGATGACCCTTTTGTTCTCCCTCTTTTTTTTTAATAAACGATTTTGTTTTCACCCGAAACAGATATACATGCACATCATAGGGACAATGATAATGAGATGGTTGATTTCAAAATGGTGTATTTTTTTTTTTATTTTCAAAATGAAGGAGATCATACAAATCATCATAAACAAATATCCAAAATAAAAAATTAAATAAAATCAAATAAACTATAGTATATTATCCAAAGAAGGTAATAATGACGCTTGACCATCACCATTCAATACAAGTTCATGAATAGCTACATTGGTTTGTCGATATAATGTTTCTAAAGATGACATCGGATGATCCCCTTCGGTGGCTACCAAAAAAATAAAAAAAAAAATGAGATAAAAACATAACACATAATATTATATAGACTTACCAAGCATGGCAGCATTCAAGTCTGAAGCAATATTGTCTCTCCATCTAGGTCCACTTAAATATGCATTTGGATAGTCACTTGTGTTAATATATGCCAAAATAGAAAAGGTCGCTGTCAATTCATATTTCACATCGATTCCTGTCAGATCCATCATGACATCTTCTTTCTTGTCATCATCTTCCATATCCTTCATCCTATTTGATGTCACATCCTTATTGGTTGCTCCATAGATTTCTTGTAAAAATTGTCCAAAGTCCATTACTGTTTGTAAATCGCGCCAATGGTACATTAAATCGTCATCATCGTCGTCCTCTTCTATTTCTGCTATACTTCGTCGTCGTTTGTCGCCAGTATGTGACGTCGGTGACTTGCGTTGTTGTTGCTGTGAATTCACAGACTCTACCATGGTAATAAACTTTTGACATCGTAGCCGAAATAAAAGTTTTGGATAATGATCTAACATTTTGGGATAGTGTTGTTGACATTGACTGAATACTTTGTCAATTTCTCCATGCCGCAGAGCCATACAAATATCTATAATTCAAAATATGAATCTTTGTTTCTTTCTTTTTTTTTTTTTTTTTTTTTTGTTTTCTTTTAACCTCTCACCATGTCGTATTTTTGCCCTACTATATTCTTCTTGCTCTGTTTGAGTATCGATTTCCTTCTTCATTTCTTTCTTCATGGTCAAAAACGTATCAATGTAGCCTCCATGATTGAGATAATCCACTACCAATTGATCCATCAATGTGATTCTTTTCTTGAGCACTGGCTCTTCTTCTTGTTGACTTGATACTGTATCATTTGAATATGGTAATGAGGATGATGATAAAACTTGTTGTAACATACGGTTGGCTTCATCCTTTCTGTATTGATGTATGTCGAATGCAAAACAAGGCAGCTGTCCGAAATTGGCAATAACTTTGTCCCCTGGAGTCTTGAATCCAATCATAGGATAGAATAGCTTCCCCTTGATATCCCGAAAGGCCGTGCCGAGATGTACCCCATTCCTGGTGTAAAATGCTGTATTGTCACGAAAATCAATGCCGCATCCAATGGTATCGCCAATGCCAAAAGAAGGTCCGTATTTGGTGTTGCTGCTTGTAGAATGATGTTGTCCATGTATGTTTGTTGATGCTGTAGGTCCTCCATATAAGTATCCATTTTCACCGTGATATCCCCATGAATGCCCATCCGTGCCTATCCAAATAATAATAAATGAAGTTCAGTGTACTTTTGGTTCCCACTTTACCTTTTTTTTTTTTCCTTTTCATTTTTAATTACCAGGTAAACGATCCAATCGACTATATTCACCACAGAATCCTACAACAACATGACCATCTGAATCTTCGTCACCGGCTAAGATTTGTACCTCAAAATAAAACAATCCACATTGAGGTTTGGCAGAGTAATTACTTCGTACAGAAGATGTTTCAGTTTCTTCTTTTCCAGTTCCTACCAGAATTTCAAAATAAAAAGTGAGATTAGAGGGTTGATGTAAGTATGAGCTTTACCTTTGTAACTGACTTCCATGTCATCTTGACCAAGATCCAAAAAATCCCCTCGATCAGCCGAACTCCAAGCAGTGGGTAAACGAAGATCTTGCATCTCCAGTCTATTCAAGAAAGAATCACGCCTCCAAGATCCAGTCTCCAAGGAATTAGGTGATATAGGATTGTTGCGATCCGCTGATAGATTCTTGTCGTTGGCTAAACTTGAGTCATACGTTGTTCTGATCTTATCAACAGGTTCATCGATATCTGCAGACGATAATAATGAAGTAGATGGATTCTGTCGTAAATTAGTCATTGTAGTGGTATGAGATAAACTGCTGTTTGTTGCTGAACTTGATTTAATTGGTATCCTGTTATTTTTTGTATGGTTGGGTGCTTTTGCATTGACAGTATCATACTTTTGTCGATAATGGTTATATTGTTGTTCCACTAATAGAGCATAAATAGTGTCGTTCAAATAAGAAGGGTAAAATGGTGGACCATGAGTATAGGTTTCCAGTAAAGACATGACGTCTTTTGGTCGAGGGCGAGATCGAGGTCGTCCAAAGATTCCAGTAGATCGGTTTCGACCAAGCATAGTTCGAGACTGATAGGCGAGTAAAGAGTTACGTAAATGATCACGTAGAATACCTTGAGGTGAAGAAAAGCTAAAGACATTGTTGTTGTTATTGTTATTGCTATTGTTTTCGAAGGGGGAAGACATTGTAAAGTACAGAGAAACTGGTAGAATGAATGTAAAAATATGATGATAAAGAATTCAAACTAAACAAAAAAAAACAAATGTAAGAGTAAACACAAATAACTGGATTCAATATTAAAGTGTGCTTTAATAGTAATATAAACGATAAAAAAAAAGTATAATCAATAGAATAGTAGAAGAACAAGAAATAAGAAAAGAAAAAAAAAGAAGAAACAAAAAACAACAAAATCATGGAGTTTGTGCTGTTCGGATTCATATTCCGCTATACACGTTTGAAAGTACACCGTTCAATTTTTCTTTTCTTTCGTCCCTTTTGCTACTCAGAACCTTCGACAGTAGCAAAGAATAATATTCGAAACGATTCGATTGAAAACATGACAACTACGCAAAAGTTTCTTTTTTTTTTCTGGTTACATGATGATCTTTTATTGATAGTTGTTTTAGTTTTATTCTTTTACATTTTTCTTTAATAAAATCGTATTCATTAATGAACATCACCAACTGTTATTTCATATTTGTCATTTGCCATAATTTTACTCTTCATTTCTCATCCTGTCACCCAACATCCTATCATCCATCACATATTATCCATCATGACATATCGTTTATTTATCTATTCATCACAAACATCCATTCTAGCATTAGAGTGGAAAAAAAAAGAAATCAAATTCAATTGAAATCGATGCAATTAATATGATTTCCAAAAAAAGATTGACGGAAAATAAAAGCGCGCTTAAGTTCATATGAATGAGGGGAGAACCAACCAATATGATCGACACTCAATGTTACCATAAAAAAAAGAAAAAAGTAACCTCATTCGTCATTGTATCACCTCCATTTTTTTTTTATTTATTTATTGTGCGATACTATTAAAAATGAGCCATGTTTTTGACAGCAGTGGTTTCAATCCTTCCGTTATCAATGCAAGGCAAGATAAAAAAAAAATCGTTTTCGCGCGATCCAAAAAAATTGTTTTCGCGCGATCCAAAGATGAGTAACCAAAAAAAGAAAAAAAAAAGATCCATATAACAAAATTGGGTATTTTTGACTTTATTCAATATTATAAAATGGTATCATAAACTAAGGTATTACTGAGAGTAGAATATAAAATGAACGTAGAGTCTAAAGTAAAAACAATCATGTCAACATGACCAAAAAAAAAAAAAGATATCTCTGAGATAAAAAGGTGAGATATAATGACGATAACGTGTGTCAAACAAGTTCAGTCTTGATTCAATCCATAAAAAAGATTCTTATGTCAAAGGATATTAGAAGTCATCGATATCATTTAAAGTTGATTTGCTTTTCTTGGCAGTGATGGATGATAAGAAACCCAAGAATCGACGTTGTTTACTTGGAGGAGATGATAATGATTCCGAAGAGGATGGTTGATCAAGTGTAGTAGGTATTCGTGAGCTGATGGAATTCGAATCATCAACGTCATCGTTATTGTCATACGTTGAGGAAGGTGCCAATGATAGAAGAGAGGGTGTGAATCGATCAGTACTAGGTACCATCAAATCATAACGTCCAAGCCATTTGTCCAACACATCTACTTGATTTTGATCGTCATAGGAACCAATATTGCTGGATATGTTGTTGACAGTGTGATGATGATCGCCTACATAATGTTCCAATGTGTCGACCCAATGGCTCCAATCCAACTCATTTTCTGCTTGAAGATCGAGGTTGGCTGAAGGAAAAGAAGATGAGGTTGGTGTAGTATTGGCGGATGATTTGTTAGTTTGATGAATCAATTGAAAAGTGAATTGCTTGGCAGAGGATTGGATTTGTAATTCATATTCAGATAAATCAATAGAAGATATAGGTAAAGCATCCGGTCGGTTTGTTTTATAGGATCGTAATTGTTGAGATTCCAGTATAAAATAGTATCGTATTCGTGTTTTACGTAAACCAATTCTAGATTTTTGCAAAAGCCAACCTTTCATTGTTGGAGAAGAGAATGAGTGTCGATACATGAATGAAAAAGAACAAAAACGAAAAAAAGAAAAAAAGAAAAAAAGAAAGATGTAAGATATATGCGCCGCCGGGGTTTGAACAAACATGAAAAAACAAAAAAGAAGTTTGCCCGTGGGATACGACCTTGTTTTGGTAATAGTGGCACTCCCAAGTGATTAGGCATTTCATTTCTTTTTCTTCTTGTTCATAATGAGTATAATGATGATAATGATGATGACTTTTTATTTTTCTTTTTGTTAATGATTCCTTACACATAACATATCGTTCCATATAGATACCTTAAAAAAACTAAAGTAAGATCAAGCTTTATTTTTGGGATTATTCTATTGATATGCGTTATTGTACTACCTCCGGCTTGTATATTGAGATTCGCCCTTAATTGCCGATGAAAATCATTTTTCTGCCTTTTTTTGTCTTGCTACCATGGGTATGTTTGCCACAAAGAAAGAGTCAACCAGAAAAATGATCGCTCCAAATTTTACTTTCCTTTTTTTTAACTAAAAGCGTTCGTTATCACAAATTCAGTGAAGTACATACCCAACTTGAAATGCATCATCCTTCCGAGAATGCCAAGTAAAAAAAAAAAAAAAAATTTTTTTTATATTTGATTTGATTAGGTCAAGGAAATATGAATGATGATGGATGATGGTGATGATGATTTTCACAATGAGTAGTGATGTTCAACTTTCTTATTTTTTATTTTTATTTTTTTATCTTTGAACATTTATCTAAGTTCAGCTTTTCGTTTTCATGATGATCGGTAAAACTTTTACCGTCCCCCCAAGTTGTGTCTACAAAAGAAGTCCATTCTCTCCCCCCAATTTGCTCGCGCGAGAGCGTTCCGAATCACTAATGAATCATACCAAATTGCAACATAATGAGTAATAAGTGAAGACAAAGGGCAAAGAAGGAAATAAAAATAAAAATGGGTATACAATTTGACTTTATTAAAGGCAGAACGATATAAAGTACTAAATAAATAGGAGAAAGGATATATAAAAAAAAGAAGTGTATAGTCTAAATCTATAAAAAAAAAGTCATGTCAACATGACAAGATATAAAAGAGTCATGGGAAAAATAATACGCATATGTAAAAAAAAAAAAAAAAAAAAAAAAGAAAAGGATATGCATAACAACGTATATCAAATAAGTTCAGCCTTGACCAATTATCTTTCTTTTGTTTTTTTCCATCCGGAAACCCAATGATGTCAACGGTTACAAGAGCTTACTGGTGAAGAAGCCTTAGTGGAAGAACTTGTTGCTGATTTGTTTTTCTTTGATGTGAATGACGATAAGAAACTAAAGAATCGACGTGGTTTTGTTGTGGTATTGGTAGTAATCGTTGATGATGCTGATTTTACAGATGATGACTGCTGCTGTTGCTGTTGTTGGTGTTCTTGGTGCTGTTGTTGATCAAAGACAGGTGTTCGTGGGCTGATAGGATTCAAATCATCTAGATCATCATTGTTATCGTAAGAAGAAGACGGTGCCAGTGATAGAAGAGAAGGTGTGCATCGATCAGTACTGGGTACAATCAAATCATAACGTCCAAGCCATTTATCCAATACGTTCACTTGATCTTGATGACGATGATGATCGTTATTGCCGGCAACGTTGTTAACTTGATCACCTACATGATGTTCCAATGTATCAACCCAATGGCTCCAATCTAATTCATTTTCTGCTTGAAGGTCAAGATTTATTGAAGGAAAAAAAGTTGATGTAGTATTTGCGGATGATTTGCTGGTTTGATGAATCAATTGAAAAGTAAATTGCTTGGCAGAGGGTTGGATTTGTAATTCATATTCAGATAAGTCAATAGAAGAGATAGGCAAAGCATCCGGTCGGTCTGTTTTATAGGATCGTAGTTGTTGAGATTCCAGTATAAAATAATATCGTATTCGTGTTTTCCGTAAACCAATTCTAGATTTTTGTAAAAGCCAGCCTTTCATTGTTGGAGAAGAAAAGGAATGAATGTAGTGAGGCATGGATCAGGTTGTAGAATGAAATGAAGGGAAAAGAAAAGAAAAGAAAAGAAAAGGAAAAAAAAAAAAGCTCTCTCAGCAGACATTTGTTTTTATACCCAGCTTAAGTTTGAAGTAAAAAAAAAAAAAAAAAAAAAAAAGATCCAGGGAATGGTAGGAAGCTCAGGCTTCTGCATAGAAGTTTAATAAGCGATATAGGTGACGATTCACCTACGTCGAAGATGGATCGACGAGTTTTAACATATAACCTTAACCAATATCATACCTTCTTCCTCTTTTTTCCTTTTTCACTTTTTATGCTCCAGTTGATTTGTCATTGTATCACCAAACAATGAACTTTGTCCTCACGCGCCATAACCGGCTGAATTTCTTTCCTTGTCTTTTTTTTCTTTTTTTCCTTTTTACAGCCGATCAGTATGGAGATTGATTCCTTGTACAAGTTTCATTTCCCTTTGTTCTTTCTGGTTCCACACTCAATGTGGCACTAATCCATAAAAAAAGCCAACAACAATTGGTCATAAATTGACATATGTCACTACAAACGAAAAGGTTCAATTGATCCTTTTTTTTTTTTCCAGCCCACATAAGCCAAGCCTTTAATTACCAGTTTTTTTTTTTTTTTTTTTTTTTGAATATCAGCAAAGATAATACTCTATCAAAGATGATGACGAAAAAAAAAAAAGTAAAAAAAAAAATGATGATGATATAATATTCATTTAATTTATTACGGCAATGACTTCAATTTGGCTAACAGAAGGATGTGTTTTTCGTATCGTTCATGCACTCCTGTTTCACACTCTTTTCTACTAGATTTTGTCTAATCCTCCCTTTCAGGGACACATGTAAACTTTTTTCATTGTATTTTTTTGTTACCATATTCAAGTAAATCCGAGAAATTCTTCCTCCCCCCAAAAAAAAATGAACAACTAAGCTTGTAGTACAATATGTACATGCATGTGTAACATCACGTCGTCATCATCTAACAATAAAGTTTCCTAAAATATAAGGCTCACAGACAGGAAATCACACCCGTCCGTGTTGTTAAAATAAGGTAACAATGTCAAAAACGATCATTTGCTTTTTTTTTTTCTTTTTTTAAATTCGTAAAAATACATATACATATACTTTATTAGTCAAAAGCCAGAGATAAAAAAAAATAAAGAAGATGTATAATAATAAAAAAAATAAGCTATATAATAGTAATAACACTAAAAGTAATATGATAATATGATACTAGGCTGGAGGTGAAGAAGTCTTTTCCAAAGAGGTCGGTGGTGATGACGAGGTGGTTGTTTCTGATGAATCGATAACAGTTGATTTATCTTGTAGAGGTACTGGTACCGAAGTCAGTGTTTCTTCCATATGTGGTGGTGATGAAGAAGAAGATAGAGAGGACGTTGATATTGGTTGCTCTGCTGTTGTTGAGGCAGTTGAACGACCATGCTTTAAACGTAATGATTGTTGTCGAGGAGGGATCGCTGATCTTGCTTTCAAAGTGGCCCGTCGCAATAATCCTTGTGGTTTTGATTGTTCTGTTGATGCACTAGATGACGTTGACATTGGTAATGATGATGGCGCTGATGCTGAATCTAATAAATCAGGTTGTTGCTTCTGCGCTGATTCAGTGGTAGTGGGAGTTGAAGGAGTAGAATGTGTTTTAGTCAAGCCGATACTTTCTATTGTTGCCGCCAATGATGTACCACCGGCTGAAGGAATCGGAAGTGTAAATGATTGAGTCTTTGCCATTGGAATTTGTGCTGTAGTTAAGTTGGATGGAGGTATTGTCGTTGTTGTTGTCGTTGTTGTTGTTATTGTCATTGATGATGATGATGGAGGATGAGTTGTCGTGGATGTTGAAGGTGGAGGAGGACTGGGTTTGTTGATCGTTGGTGGACCTTGTTGCGTAGAGGCTGAAATATTGTTTGTTGCAGATTTGATAGGTACATTTGGTCCAGATGCCTGATCAGAACCAGTAAGGGAATCCTTAAAATCACTTGAATCACCATGTGCCAAAGGTGTTGGTGGAGAAGAAATAGGTTGCTGTCTACTGATAGGTGCAAATACTGCGTCATGGTGCAAAATGAGGTCTTCAAACATAAGGTCCGATCGCCATTCACCAGGATGTTCAGCTTGATTGTGATCATGGAAAATAGCTGGTGTGAACATATAAGATAAATTTTGTATATTCATCTTGTTGGTATCAGAATGTGCATTGACCCTTCATTCAAAAAAAGAGAAAGAAAAGAAAAAAAAATAGTAGTTTAAATAAGTGATTTATATAATTAAAGGGCTCTTTTTTTTTTTTTTTTTTTTTTACTTACTTTTCCAAATGACGCACGACTGCTTCCAATGTATCTCGACGAGGTTGAGACAGTTCCGATACCTTGTGTTGTAAGAAGGAGATGCGTTGTTGTGTGTTTTGTACAGTGGAATAAGTCATTCGATCCGACACAGAGTAAGGACATAGAGGTATTTTCAGTTCACGTAAATAGATTTTGAGTACAGAGGCAATGGTGAAGACATCATAATGAGTTTGTGGTTGGAATACTTCTTCATTCTTTTCGAATTCAGCTTTGAGCGCATCCACATTAGTCTGACGTCCTGAAATTCTATAAATGCCTTCTTTTTGTAATCCACCAAGTTGTTCAATAGCTTCAATACATTTACTGACCACCAGAGGTACCGTTCGTTGATGTTCCATTGCATATTCATCCAAAGAAGCTCCAAATAAGACATCTAATAACAATAATATAATTAATAAATATTTTATCTTTTTTTTGTTATCTATTACCTTTATAAACACCATTATAATAGTTTTCATAATATATTTGTTCTGGTTGAGTAAAGTGTTTCTTTTGATATTCAGTTTTGAATAGAGATACGTCCAATTGAGGATCAACAGCATCTGCTCGACTCTTGTTATGTTGAATCAACTAAAAGAAAAAGAAAAAAGAAAAGTTGACTCTTACGTTTTCCTTTTTCTTTTTTTTTTTTTCAATGCAACTTACAGAAGTTTCCCTTAATAAAGCAGCATGTTCATTGTTCAATATGGTTGTCAGAACAGATCTAGTAGCTTCGGCCTTGTCCAAAAATACGACCTCTACATGCTGTAAATAAGAGTTTCCATTAATAAATAAAATAAAAAAGGTAATATCATTTTTTTTTTTCAATTTTCAATAGAATATTACCTTCATTGCCTGATTCATGGTTTCAATTTGAGTTTTCCGTAATTTTTCCAAATGGCGTACACCTTGTCTGTATTCGTGATCTAATCATGATCAACATTGTAATAATAATAATAAAAATAGTGAATATAATTATATGGAATAAAAATCATATATTTACCAGTATCATGTATATCCTTTTTAATTTTGGCAAATCGAGCATTTTGTTTGGAAAGATCGTTGGTACCTGCAGTTGCAGCAGCAATTTGAGTTCGCATTTGAGCCATAAATCCACCCATCTTTTTTCTATTTCCACTAATACTAGTAGTAGTTGAATTTTGAGTTGTATCAGGTATAGAAGATATACTACTACCATCTGTGTCATTATCGTTTTCTATTGATTTTCGTGGTTCATCCGTAGGAGTTGGTGATAATCCATGATCTGTTAATGATTCTGTATTATCATGAAATTGTTGTTGTGCAAAAGCTAGTTCATTGCATTTGCCGAAATACATTTTCTTGGCCTAAAATAGATTTTAATAGATTCGTAAGTATAAAAGTAACGGTTCAAAATAGGAGTTTTTTTTTTTTGACCTTGACAAAATCGCGAGTTCGGTACAAAGTATAATCCATATTCTTGTCGGCAACGTGTTGTTTCACTGTTTTTCGTCTTTGTTCTTGCTTGTCCTAATATATATATATTTGTTAGAACAATCTTCACTTAAAAAATTAAAATTTTATAATATATTTACCTTGACTATAACTAAAACATCTATTTGGGATTTCATAGCTTGAATAAAATCACGTCTTGAATTAATAACCTTATCTAAAGATATTTCATATTGAAAAGTAGCGAGTTCATAAGTTGATTGTTCTTGACCAAAATAAGGACATGCTTCAGGTTCAGAAATAGTAGATAGTCGACTGATTTGAGATAATGATTTTACATATAATTCTTCAGCATTCACCCTAATAATAATGATAATAATAATCAAATTTAATACCAAGAAAAAAAAAAAAAACTCCTTTTTTTTTTCTTCTTCTTCTTTCTTCTTCTTTACCTTGCTCGAAGTAAATTGATAAAGCGTTCCAAGTCATTAATACTCCATCGTAAAGCCTTTTTGATATATTCCAAGTGAGCGTCAATATTACTTATCTAAAGAAATAAACATTATTTTCATTAATCCACAGACTAGGATAGTATATATATATATATATAAAAGAAGTTCTTTATTATTTGCATAATCATCTTACTTCATCTTCTTGAGAAGCTGCCTTTATGGAACGTTGCATGCCAGTAAAAGTAGAAGTTGAGGAAAAAGAAAAAAAAAAGAAGGGCGATGTATGAGTAAAACAATAATTTCTTTTCTGTTTGGTTTCGAAGTTCAGAAAACAAAAAAAAAAAAAAGAAAAGAATGAAATGAAAAAAGAAAGAGAGAGATAGATGAGAAAAAAGAAAAAAACACAGGAGAACTGAGTACAAAAATACATCTTCCTCAATTTTACCTAAAAATAGACTCTCAAGAAATGAAAAATCAATTATGATAATATACTGTTTGTTTGTTTGTTTTTTTTTTTTTTTTATTATTGATTCTGTTACTTGTTTTGAGTTCTTTCTTTATATTCAACATTTATCATTGAGACTTTAATCAATATACATTAAATTTCTTTTGTTATTTCATCATTTGTATAATCATCGGCGACCTTTATAAATATTTCGGATGTTCTAGACACAAAACAGTAAAACATACTCTAGTTATAAAAAAAAAATGACATATTTATATATTTGTTTTTTTTTTTCTCTTTATCATTAAATATAAATATAAATAATAATAATAATAATAATAATAATAATAATAGAATAAAACAAAACACACAAAAAAAAACAATAGTTAACATTTATTATTATTATTATTATTATTTAAAATGTCATATTTGACTACATTATATGCAGTTCTTTCAATCACAATATGATCACAAAGTGGCTTCTTTCAGGTGCCCCTGTCGTGTCATTTACACTCCGACTTGTACTGGTTGTACGAATTTGAAAGAGTCCTTTTCCTTTTGCTCATCAAAATACATAGATCGAAAATCATCATTTGTATTTCATTAGTAACAAAAAAAAAATTGGAATAAGTTTATCAAAGTAAAAAAAAATTATAGAATAAAATAGATCACTAACTAAAAAAGGGAATAAAAGATCAAATGTTGCTACCACTACTATTGAATAACTGCTTGAATTTCGAAATCATTGTGTTTCTCCAAGGACATCGAATAATTCAGAAACCCTTGACTAATAAAATAAAAATAATAAAATAAGAATACATATTTTCATTTTTTTCTGTTTTTCATTTTTTTTTTTTTAAATGTTAGACTTACAGTATAACCAGCAAACCTAGTCAAATCACGTCCAGTAAGAATCAAACGACCAACAGCTTGAGACAAATTGATCAAATAACTTGCTATAAATAATGTTATTTTAGGATCAGTATAAATCGTCGATATTATATTGAGACAAATACTCACAATTTCGAGAGTAATCTTCTACAAGTTTGACAGGATCATCTTGGAGAGCACCCATAAATTTGGTTGCTATAAAAAAAATAATCATATATTTGTTATAATGTACAATAATATAATTTTATTCACTGATAATCTTACCATAACGTGCATCAAATACAGGACGCGCAAGAAGGCTATTTAATCAAAAGAAAGGATTAATACTTAAGGACAATAAATCATGTATATAACTCTTAATATAATGATATATTCTTACTAGTAGGCTGTAATAGTGGCACAATATTTGACCAAGACAGAATCAAATATACCATTCAAAAATCGTAATGTATATACTTTTCGTACATGATTGACGATCTATATAATAATAAATATTAGAATCCTTTTTTTTTTAATTTTGTTTTACCTTTTGAAAACTGTTATTCACTACTTCTTTTTGTCTTTCACCACCATCAAATACCACAGATTCAGTATGAGAGATAATATGTGCCTAAGAAGAAGAAGAAAAAAAAAAGAAATCGATATATATATATATATATAAAATCATTCAATTTCTTGTTTTGTAAGTGAATTTTACATGACCAAGTCTAAAATCATCTTCTAATTTCTGTTCAATAGCAGCATCTAATCCAAAAAAAAAAAAGATATTAGTATTTACATAGGATGATATTAGAAACTTACATCGGCCAAATGGAGGAGAGAAAGTTCGAAGTAAGACACCAGACAATACGAAATAAGCAATGATATAAATTGGACTTTCATTTCCTCTATTTAGATATAATAATAAAGCAAAATGATCAACTATTCCGATTTCATTAGTAAAAAAAAAAAAATACTTACATGGCTTCTCCCAATTTATAGGCAAAAAGAAAGATATCCACCACAGGTTTAGTAATGTCGGAATACAAATGAGCCAAATGATCAGAAAACTTGTCAATATCTTGAGTCAAATGTTGATCAGCATTTTGTAGTCTACTATCCAAATTAGATACTTTGGAAAAAGAAATTCCATCCAAATATTGGTTATGAGCGTACTAAAACGAAAAAAAAAAGTGTTTGAGTTATCATCCTAATTTTTTTTTTCATATGACGAGTATATTGGAATAACTTACCTTGGTTAATCTTTCACGGAAGGATAATGACAGAGCACTAATCGTCAATTTTAATGAATTGTTCACTATACTCATAGGCCACTATTATCATCACCAAAAAAAAAAAAAAAAAGAAAAAGGAATATTTTATTTTATATGTTAATATATCTTATAATAATCTTACCATCATCAATCCGAATTCAAATATAATCTTTGTAAAGAATTCTTTGCGGTTACGAGAAACAATGGCTTTGACTACTTTTCTATTGAACAATAATAAATAAGGATGTAATTGAATTTATCTATCTTTTTTTTTTATTTTACCCGTTGAAGCCAGAAAACCTTTATTGTAAAACCAATTTTAACAAATAAAGAAAGAAGAACAATTGAGTCATTCTTTTGAACAATTGAGTCATATCCTTTCTTTTTTTTTTTTTTTTTTTTTTAAAATGATACATGTAGTATTTTGACAATCTACTCTTACCAAATGTCTAACGAAGTACGAACAATAATAATAGTTGTTAAAGCAACAAGAAGTCCTGATTCTTTAGAGAAGAAACCTAGAAAATAAAAAAGAACACGGTAAATTACATTTTTTTTTTTAATTCGTAATCCTTTTGTCATTGTTACCTGGTATACATATAGGTAAAAGTTGTTTCATATTGTCCAAAAATTGAGAACTTGTTCCAGTCTTTTGGAGAGAGACTTTCGGTTGTTTGCCTTTGGTATTGGTAGACTCTTGTTGATTAATGACTTGGTTTCCAGCAGTTTGAATATACCTTCGTGCTTTGTAAATGGCAAAGGCTATGGTAAGAATACCAGCACCAGATAATGTTTTTGTACGTCGTGAAAAGATAGATAGTGCATGAGCCATTTTCTACAAAAAAAAAAAAAAAAGAAGAGATAAAGGAAAAAAAAAAGTAAGATATAAAGGGAAAAAAAAAAGAAAGAGAAGAGGGGTAAACTATCGGTTTCTTGAACGTCCCCCACGTCCTTACCAATATGCTGGCGGAAGTTCAAAATCCTTCAAATATAAATATATATGTATGTATGTGGGTGAGTAATAAAGATTCTTTTTATTTCAAACATCAAAAGTAAACCAATAGATACAAAATCAACAAAAAAGACAAACATATATATATATATTAAAAAGAGAAGATCAATAAAGAAATATATAAATGAATGATGATCCCAAATTATCTAACGAAAAGGACTATTGTTGAATTTGTTTTTGTTGTTGTTTCTTGCAATTGACTTTGTGGTTCTTGTAATCCAATTTTTGACAATCACGAGAACAATACCAAATAGACTTGCAACCAGCGCAGCATAACAGAGGTTTTCCAGGAGTATCTTTCAAATGAGCAGTACCACAGTGAGAACAGTTTTTGGGACTAGGAGGGAAAGAAGTGTTAAGAATACCAGCCTTAATAAGTTGTTCAATTTTTTCATTGTATTGTTTCTTGGGTAAACTAGCCAAAATTAAACGACGAGCTTCATCAGGAGTTTCATGGGCTTGGATTGCTTCACGTTTGATTTCATTCATACCAACATGTGTACCATAAAGATCTTTGAATCTTGCTTCAGCTTTCTTTGCCTTTTGATAATATTCTTTGGCTTCTTTGTTATCAGATTTTGGTTTTTGTAGCAAGAGAGACATAGAATAAAGTGCATTGATATTATCAGGAGTATCAGGATGACCACGTTCCAAGTATTGTTCAAAGTTCTTGAGAGCAAGTTCATTGTTCTTGACTGACATGTAAACAGAACCCAAAATGCTGTAGGCCAAATTAAAATTGCTATCTAATTCCAAACTTTTTTCCAAATCCTTGATACCAAGTCTATAATAATAATAATAATAATAATGATAATTATTGAGTTACATATATATATATATATCATTCCAACATAATAAATATACTTACTCTAATTGATTAGTAGAGAAATAACAAGATGCACGAAGGAAAAATACACGAGCTGTCAAATCATCATAAGTGTCTACAGCCAAAGAGAGAGTAGTGATACTATAATATTAAGAATAATAAATTAAAAAAAGGTAGTGAGATATAATTTCAAAAAAGAAAAAAAAAGTAATTGTTATTTTAGAATTTGCTTATTACCAATGATCAAATTGTTTGCCCACCAAAAGAATCCAAGCAGAGAAAAGTAAACTATACTTGACAAAGAAACCTTCTTTTTGTTCTTCAGGAATATCTTTTAAAAGTACCTTTTCATATTGTTGACCAAGAATAAGAACTCGTTCAGACATGGGAGCAGCCTTGTCATCCAGTAACCAAGCATCTACCATAGTTTCAGCTGAAGTTTTAATATCTTCTTGATATTTTTCCAATACAGCATCTTCTAAAGAACGAGGAATAGTCATACATAAATCATAACCCTTTCGGAACAAAGTTTTTGCTTCTTGATAACGTTTGACATCAGGATCATCGGTTTCACCAGATTTGCCGCGTGCTTCTAATAAGTCATAAGCTACAAATTGATGACTTCCTTCCAAATAACGATCTTGATACTCTTCTTCTCCATTTTGTTTTTCACTAATTGATACAGGTTTTTCAGTAATAGTGGAAATAGTTTCAGTAGTAGCAGACATGATAATTATATAGGAAGGAAAAAGAAAGGGGAATATAGAGGAAAAAAAAAAAAAACAAAAGAAAAGAGGAAAAGGAGAGGGGATATATTCCCATTTTTTTTTTTTTTTATTTTCTCATGGTGAATTGAAAATCAGCCAATGAGCTAGCGCCGTGGCATTCTTTGCACTGTACAACCCTTACAGTTTTATTGCTCATTTTTCTCTATACACACACACACACACGCTTTTCAATCTTTTTTTTTTTCCTTAAAGAACTGAGTTATTTTTATCTAATTTATTATTAAAGTCAAACTATATTCTATTATCTTTTTTGATATTAATATTTGATATTTTCTTTTTGTATATCATCATCCTTTTATTACTGGGCTATGAATAAAAAAATCCTGATTTTTTTTTTGATCTCCGTTTTGGTTTGTAGGTTTTTTAAAAAAAAAAAGATTTCTTTTTCTTATTTACACTTTTGCTGTTCTTCTGTTCTTACTCTCCTTTTTTTTTTATTTTTTATATTTTTTTTTATATATTTTTTTTCTTTTTTTTTTTCTGCATAGAATGCTTTTATTGTGTTTATAAACTCCATCTACTTTCAAGTTGGCTCATATTCTCTTTCTCTTTTTTATTTTTATTTTTTTTTATCAATTCGTGACATAAGATTGGCATTGTTAGTTAATATCTACTTTGTCATGACCAACTTTTCTGACATTGATCAACAAACTGATATATGTAGTTTACTGGAAAATACAAGACAATTCAATAATAATGACAATACAACGACATTAATAGCGACTAATGACGACAAAACAACTCAAAATATGTATAGACGAACTTCATCAACCGAAGGAACAACAACAAATAATAATAATATCAGTATTCCTAAAAAGTATCAGTTATCAACCTCGTGTGTTATAGTACTCCTGTCTATTGTATTGATATCTCTTGGCGCTCTTGCAACTATGTTAGATTCTTTTATGTTTCACCAAAAGGATACGAATAGATGTAGAGAAAGTTATATGCGACCTTTATACTTGAAACAAGATGGTTTTGACAGTGAAATGACTCGATTTGCTGGGAAATATGCCTTATACTTGTACCGAGAAAAAGGTGTCGATCTATCTGAACAGGTAAATCAATTACAAATATTGTGACACAAAATTTTTTGAATCAATTGATTTATTTTATTTTGTTTATTTATTTATTCATTTAAAATAGCCCACAGGTATTCCTGTTCTTTTTATTCCTGGACATGCTGGAAGTTATAAACAAATTCGATCTATTGCTGCTGAATCTTCTTATTATTATTATCAAAATTATGCAAGAAATATTGAAACATGGGATCAAGGCATGCGAAATCTCGATTTTTTTACTGGTAACAGAAAAAAATAAATAAATAAATAAATATTTTTTTTATTTTACAAAGTTAATTAATATGTAAATTATTTAATTCTAGTTGATTTCAATGAAGAATTCTCTGCTTTACATGGTCAATCTCTTTTGGAACAAGCTGAATATCTTAATGATGCTATTGATTATATTCTTAAACTCTATCCTCTCTCAAGAAAATGGGGTCCTCAACAAAATAAACAATTACCTGATCCAACGTCTGTCATTATTCTTGGTCATTCTATGGGTGGTACTGTAGCACGTACCATGTTTACTCTTCACAATTATCAACCAGGCTCTATCAATACTGTCATTACTTTATCCACTCCTCACCTTTTACCACCTGCACCATTCGATTGGAAAATATCAAAGATTTATGATGATATTCATTCATTTTGGAAAAGAGGTTATGAAATTCGTCATGATCAACGACAACAACAACAACAGCAACAACAACAACATGAACAACATACAACTATAAGTTCTGTTTTGGATGCAAATGATATACTTAAGGATGTCACCTTGATATCAATCGCTGGAGGAAATTTGGATTCGATGATTTGCTCTGATTCTGCCAATGTTGGAACATTTTTACCATCAAATCATGGATTCACTGTCTTTTCTACTGCTATTCCAGGTGTATGGACTGGTGCTGATCATATTTCCATCTTATCATGTAATCAATTGGTCAAGGTAGTGTCAAAAACTCTGTTAAATATTGTGGATGCAAGAAGAGGATCTCAAACCAAACCTTTTGAAGAACGTATCAAAGTCATGGAAAAGGCCTTTTTATCGGGACTGGAAGATCGAAGAGGTGATGGATCTGATTTGGATTTAGGTAAAAAAAAAAATGATAATATTTTGTTTTCTTTTTTTATTAATTTTTATTTCTTTGTTTAGGAGAAATCACATTTCATGATTTGAAACCAAATCAAAGTCGATTTTTATTACCAGGACAACGATTGATACTTGATCAAAGTGACAAGGATGGACAAAAAGGAATGGTGTTTTTACCTGTGTATGAAGGTGCAGATGCTCTTGCTATGCTGACGAGTTACCCAATGGACAAACAGCTTGGACATTTTGATTTATTGCTATGCAACAAGTTAGAAACTCATATCAAGGGAACAACAAGAATGGGCTGTCGAGCTGTCACTGATAGTATTGTAGTTCCTGTGCCTGCTTCTACATCTCAAAATATCGATTTGTCGTCTGGGAACACTTTTATGTTTGCAAGTATTACTTTTGAAGAAATGCAAGGTTATGAATTTCTATCTGTGGTAGATCGTCGTGGTAATGGCGATTTTGGAAGTGGTGGATTTCTTATAGTGGAACCATATGATTTTGATACAAATACTCGAGTGATTGAAAAATCCATGACTGGTAAGTTTGATTAAGAAAAAAAAAAAAAAGGAAAGTGCACTTAATGATTTTTTTTTTTTTACTATTATCTTTTAACATTATAGATATTGCGTTGAATGGAATTCAAATAGACATCAATCCTGCACTATTTTCGACTGTACGAATTCCTGCTATTGAAAGTTCCATGCTTGCTTTCCATATGAATATCAACAATCCTCAATGCTCATCTGTTCATTTTTCGCCACTTTTACGACAATCTATCTCATCCATGCACGAATCTAAATTTTATGTCAACATTGCAGATGGACAACAACAAATAGATATGTCTGTGCACGGTCGTACTGCATTCTCAACGGCCTCAACTCCCATTCGATTACATCATACTTATCGACATCAACAACATCGGCATCGTGATACACCTATAGAAGATAATGCCCGTGGTTTAGATATCAATATTTGGATGGATCCATCATGTAATCAACCTATTCAATTGGAAATGACAGTAGACTGGTATGGAAGCTTTGGACGGATTGGATTTCGAAATGGTATCATGCTTCCTACATTTGCATTCATAGTTGTCATGGTGGTTTGGGTCACTCAAATTCGATGTTACTTCTCTACAGGCATATATCCCCATTTCGGTCAAGGCTTGGTGTATTGTTTACGAAGAACTTTACCTATCATCTCAGTGATATTAATATCAGCTTGCGTTTATCAAGGATGGACTGATGAGGAAGCTTATGAACTATTGGATGATACTCGACTTTTTGGACAATGGTGGAAACGTTATGTACCAGAATCGTTCTCTTATAACAAGGAAATTAAATCATCCATGTCAGTCATATGGGGTGATGTATTGGCGGGAAGAACTGATCCTTTTTTTTGGTGGTTGCCTATGTTTGGACTTGTGATGAGTATTGGTGTCGTATGTGCTCTTTGGTTGATTACTTCTCTTTTTATACGTATTTGTGCTCATATGGTTTCCTTATTTATTCGATACTATCCAATCGCTTGTTATCGACCGAAATCAACAACAAAGTCAATACATCAACAAAAGGAACAACATCATCATCATTATAGTGGAATGGGCGACGGTGGTCAATTGTGGTTTCTTCCTGATATTTATGATAATGATTCTGATCGACAACGAATGGAACGAAGAATTATCACTACTCTTATTTTATTCAGTTTGGTGGCAACTTGTATACCCTATCAATTTGTTTTTCTTGTTGCTTTTTTGGTTCATATTATTACATGTGTTCGATCTTTACGAAAGCGTTGGATTGCTGTAAGTCATATCAATTGAAAAAAAAAAATTACTTGGTTCGATGTCTTTACTCATTTTTTTTTTTTTAAAAAAATAGGCACCATCACAAGAACTGGATCGCAACAATCGATATCATTACTTACAATCTATTCTGTTATTATTTATTACCTTATTGCCATTCAATGCTCCTATTCTCATGGTATGGATACGAAATTTATCTGTCCATTGGTTTGTTCCTTTTTCATCAGATCATAGTGTGCTAGCCATTGCTCCATTTATGATCTATATTGAAATGTTAACAAATCAAAAACTGATGTTACCAAGAATGTTATCAAGGTAAAAAAAAAAAAAAAAAAAAAAAAAAAAAAAGAGGGAAAATACGTATATGGTGCTTATTATTTTTTTTTTTTTTGTTTGATGTAGAATTTGGTCATGGATTACTTATTGTTTATTTTACATTGTGGTATTATATGCTTTTATGTATGGTATCAAATATACACACTCTTTGTACTTTTTATCCAATGGGTTGATCGGATGGCTTCTTCTTCTGCATTTCTGGAACTCCTCATATGGACAACAACTGTATCTTTCCTTTATGGACCTTATTTATCATTACTCTTTCTCAAAAAAGAAATCATAGAATTATTTTATCTTGTTTTTCATTTCTTTCTTTACATATTGTTACCATTACTATTACTACCATCACTTACTACTATTTATATATTTATCATTTTACTTATTATTTGCTCTTTTTGTTTGCATTTATTATTATTATTATTATTATTATTACTATTATTATTCTCTCAAACTTGTACTTAGTGCCATTCCCTTATTCATTCTTGTAGTTTAAATAAAACTAATTCGACTCATTTTACTGATATCAGCAATCAAATTGTAGATAAAAAAAAAAAAAAAAAAAGAACCCGATATGTATCATCATGACTAAAATTGTTTAAATAGTAACGTGATTTGAAAGAAAAGCATAAATACAAAAAGGAAAGGTGCCATATATGGTCCAGTTCACTATTACTGTTAACTTTGCATGAATTAAAATCAGTCAAACCAAGTCATCCAAAACCTTATTTTGGGTGGCTGAGAAGAAAAAAAAAATGGACGAGTCGGCGAAAACAAAAAGGAGGAGGTGGAAGAGGGGAACATTTCTTTTTTTTTTTTTTTTTTCTCTTCCAAAAAGAAATTCGTTTCGATTGACTATGGCTGCTGAAGATTCTACTAAAGAAGCTGCTCCTATTGAACTGACACCTGAACAATTGGCAGCTGCAGCTGCAAAGAAAGCCAAGAATGAAGCCAAAAATGAAGAAAAACGTCAAGCTAAATTGGCTAAATTAGCAGCAAAACAAGCCAAGGTAAAATGGAATGAAAAGTTATATCTTGACAAAGTGTATTCATCCTCTCTCTCTATCTGTCTATTTTTATATCTAATATATATGATTTTAGCTCGAAGAACAAAAGAAGAAGGCTCAAGCTAATGAAAATTCCGAAAAGAAGAAGAAAAAGGCTAACAAGACTGAAACTCCTGTCTATGTGAACAAAACACCTAAGGGTGAAAAGAAAGGTAAACAAAACAGAATACAACAAAAGAGAAAAAAAAAGGCTTAAACTGAATATTCCTTTTTTTTTTTGTAATGATGCTTGAATTAAAATAGATATGAGTGAACCTATGGCTAATGCATATGATCCTCGTGCAGTTGAATCAGCTTGGTATGACTGGTGGATCAAGGAAGAATTCTTCAAACCTCAATTAACTGAAGATGGTGAAATCAAACCCGAAGGATCATTTATTGTGCCTGCACCTCCTCCAAATGTAACTGGTTCTCTTCATATTGGACATGCTTTGACAGTGGCTATTCAAGATACTTTGGTACGTTGGAACCGTATGTTGGGTAAGACTGTACTTTTCAACCCTGGTACAGATCATGCTGGTATTTCTTGTCAATCCGTGGTGGAAAAGAAATTATGGCAAGAATCCAAGATTACTCGTCATGATTTGGGTCGTGAAGCTTTTGTTGAAAAGGTGTGGGAATGGAAGGAAAAATATGGTAATCGTATCTATGAACAATTTCATCGTTTGGGTGCCTCTTATGATTGGGATAGAGCTGCTTTTACTATGGATCCTGTAAGTTGAATCATTCATCTATATATATATATAAATATATATAATGCTTATAAAACTCTTTTTTTTTTTCTGGATTAGAAATTATCAAAAGCTGTTCGTGAAACTTTTGTCCGTCTTCATCGTGAAGGAACTATTTATCGTGCCAACCGTCTTGTGAATTGGTGTGTTCGTCTCAATACTGCTTTGTCCAATTTAGAAGTAGAAAACAAGGAAATTACTGGTCGTACTTTGATGAATGTTATTGGTTATGATGAAAAGGAAAAGTTTGAATTTGGTGTTTTGAATGAATTTGCTTATCAAGTGGAAGGAAGTGATGAACGTATTGTCGTCGCTACTACTCGTATTGAAACTATGCTCGGTGATACTGCTGTTGCTGTCCACCCCAATGATGAACGATATAAGCATCTTCATGGCAAATTTGTGATTCATCCCTTCTTGGATCGCCGTATTCCTATTGTGACTGATGATATTGCTGTTGATATGGCCTTTGGTACTGGTGCTGTCAAGATTACTCCTGCTCATGACTTTAACGATTATGAAGTTGGTAAACGACATAATTTGGAATTCATCAATCTTATGAATGATGATGGTACTTACAATGAAAATGCTGGTCCTTACAGTGGTATGAAACGATTCCATGTGCGTACCAAGATCATTGAAGATTTGAAAGCCAAAGGTTTGTTTGTGGATGTCAAGGAAAATCCAATGACCGTGCCTGTATGTAGCAAGTCTGGTGATGTGATTGAACCTATTATGAAACCTCAATGGTGGGTGAATTGCAAACCTATGGCCGAAGCTGCCTGTCAAGCTGTACGTGATGGTAAACTCAAGATTGCTCCCAAGGTTTCTGAAGGTGATTGGTTCCGTTGGTTAGAAAATATTCAAGATTGGTGTATCTCTCGTCAACTCTGGTGGGGTCATCGTGTCCCTGTTTATTATGTTTTGATGGATGATGTTACTCCTGATTATTCTGATAATACGTATTGGGTTAGTGGTCAAGACGAAGCTGATGCTCGTGCTGAAGCTGAACGCAAATTCCCTGGAAAGTCATTCACTTTGGAACAAGATCCTGATGTTTTAGATACTTGGTTCTCCTCTGGTTTATGGCCTTTCTCTCTTATGGGCTGGCCTGATAAGGTAATAACTTTTCAGATAACTAAAAAAGAAAAAAAAAAGGAGGATCTAGTGTATATGCTTGGAAAATCTAAGAAGAAAATAATATTTACCTATTTATTGATATATATATATATATATATAATATATTTAGACTGAAGATATGATGAAATTCTATCCTTCTTCTTTACTTGAAACTGGTTGGGATATTCTCTTCTTCTGGGTCGCTCGTATGGTGATGTTTGGTATTAAATTGACTGGTCAAGTTCCCTTCACTGAAGTCTTTTGTCATGCTATGATCCGTGATGCTCATGGTCGTAAAATGTCAAAATCACTTGGTAATGTCATTGATCCTGTTGATGTGATTGAAGGTATTTCTTTGGAAGGTTTACATAATCGTCTTTTGGAAGGAAATCTTGATGCAAAGGAAATTGCCAGAGCTAAGAGTGGACAGGTAATAAATATGAAATAACAAGAACTTTTTCTTTATATATTTACATTATTCATCTTTTATTAGAAAGCGGATTTCCCCAAGGGTATTCCTGAATGTGGTACGGATGCTCTTCGTTTCGCCCTTTGCTCTTATACTACTGGTGGTCGTGATATCAACTTGGATATCTTACGTGTGGAAGGTTACCGCAAGTTCTGTAACAAGATTTGGAATGCCACTCGTTTTGCTATGATGAAATTGGGATCAGATTTCAAGCCTGTAGCCTCTGCAAAGGTATTTACTATCTCTATTTAATAATTGGAATAATTTCCTAAACTTTTTTTTTTTTTTTTTTTTTTTTTTTTTTTTTTTTAGCCTTCTGGTAACGAATCTTTAGCGGATAAATGGATCTTACACAAGTTGAATAGAGCTGCTGTGGAAACCAACAAGGGATTGACAGAACGCAACTTTTTGACTGCCACGAACGCTGTGTATCAATTCTGGCTATATGAATTATGTGATGTATATATTGAAGTGATCAAGCCTCTCTGTGATATGGACACTACCAATGATGAAGTTGCTGCCAAACGCAAGATCACTGCACAAAACACTTTGTATACCTGTCTTGAAGCTGGTCTAAAATTATTACATCCATTCTCACCTTTTGTAACCGAAGAATTGTTCCAACGTCTTGAACGTCGTCCTGGTGATGCCACTAAATCTATCGTTTTGGCCAAGTATCCTGTTAATGAACCCACTTATATCAACGAACAAGCTGGCAAAGAATTCGATATGGTATTTGAAACAACAAAAACTATCCGTAGTTTGGCTGTTCAACTCAATAAGAAAAAGGATGCCGTAGCATATGTACATACCGCCAACAAGGAATTGGTTGATTTATTCACTGCTGAAACTCCCTCCATTTTGGCTCTTGCTCGTTCCATCAAGAGTTTGTCCATCTCTGACAAGACTGATCCTCCTGCTGATACTGAAGCTGCTCAAATCAATGGGGATATTGCTGTATATTTATTGAAATAGATGAATTAGTTACCTAAGTTATATATATATTTTTTTTTTATATTTATATATATATATATATATATAATAAAAATCCGTTTTCTTTATGATACAATATCGATGGGCGCCGTTTGAAACTCATTAACAAACTGGCATAATAGTTCACCTGATAGATGATAGCATTGATGATGATTTTACTATTCAAAATAATGACAAATAGTGGTTGTACAAGTCACCTTTCGGAAATCTCGGATCTCCTCCATTTTGATCATATGTAAATATCTCATTTTTCCAAAATATCCTTTTTACGACTTTTCCAAAAGTTAAAACTCACCTCTTTTTTTTTTCTTGTCACCCTCCAATCTCTCTCTCTCTCTTTTTTTTTTTCTTTTCCTTTTCATTCTGACTTTTTTTTAACACCATCCTCATGTTCTTATAGCTATTTAATTAGCTCCTTTTTTCTTTCTTTTTATATATATTTTATTATCCTATTGATTTTCTTTGTGACTTACAAAGCCCTCCATACTTTTGCGTTTATTCTTTTTTTTTTATTTCACCTTTTTTTTTTTTTTACCGTTATTTTTTATTCCACGCAAACCGTTGAAACAATATGTTATTAGAACAAATATGCCCTGGACAGGTCAATTCTGAAACTCAAGCTATTCATGTCTTTGTTTGCAATGATACTCGTTATATTGTAAGTTTATCTCATCTTTAACCTTTTTTATATATGAACATTATCATGACTTTTTTTAATATTATATTAGGCTTATGCTAGTGGTGACAAGGTGGTAATTTATGCAGATCCCAACATCTTTATTCAAATACTGTCAGTACAACAACAACAATGTGAAGCATCAATACATAACTCAGTGATGGCCATCACAAGTCATGCTCCTTCAAGTCAGGTATTAAAGAAAAAAAAAAAAAAGGAAAAAGATCTATTGGTATACAAGTGGTATATCTTCTCCATCTTAACGTATCTATTTATTATACACATAACATTTATTTCCATATTATGATTTTTTATAGTTGGCTGTTGCTTTTGGGTGTCGTGTACAATTGTTTCAATACGACGTTGAAACACAAAAGGTAAAAATGGAAACAAAAAAAATATGTTATATCAATACATGTCATTCTTTTATACTTAGCTTTCTAAACTTTTTACTCTAAACAGTGGAAATATAACTCGGTGATTGATACGAGCAATAAAATCACAAGCCTGGATTGGAGTTTAGACGGTATATGAAAATAATGACGATAATGAATGATATCCTGACAATCATCTCTTCATGTTTATCAGGGCGATTATTATTAGCTGGGGAAAAATTGGCAATATGGCAATATAAAGATTCTCAATGGAACGAATTATGGACAGTGACACCTGCTTCTAGGATTATGTTGGCTCAATTCTCTCCTAATAATACCCTATTTGCTACTGTTGGACAGGTAGAGTGTGATGATAATGATGAGGATGATGATTCAATATAAGCAGAATTATTTATATGGTATTATTATATAGTTTGATCAATTGGTGACACTTTGGTATCGCACTGACTCTATCATAGGTAAACTCGAAATATTCTTTTTTTTTTTTTTTTAATCCCACATATGGATTAAGGCATTTCTTTAATATTATATTTATAGAATCGACCTTGACTTATGACTTTATATATCTAAATCATCCTCGTGATGTTACATACTTTGCATGGAGGCATTTACCAGCAGAAAGCGGGTAAGCTCATTTCACGACAAAAGAAAAGGATCATCATGCAAAAAACTAGACTGATATTCGTCTTTCTTTCTTTCTTTTTTCTCTCTCTCTCTCTGTCTTACTGGATATTAGATCATCGGATTGTACCTTATATACAATGTGTCGTGATGGAGTAGGTAGATTTTGGAGTCCTACTGATATCAATTTGCCTCATCGACTTTATATGTGTGCCGTCATTGATCCAAGTCAATCTCTAGTAACAGCTGATTCGTCGGCATCCATATGCTCATCGTCTCATAATTCTATGATGACCACTTCTACGTCTGATGACTATTCTACCAACAGTAGCAACAACGACAATAACACTCATCATATGGAAGAATTCTCACCGATTCATTATATCGATTGTGATGAATTACGAAATGCCATAAAAGTCTACGAAATCCGTCAAGCCAATGCTCATCACCGTCATCATCAACATCATCATTATTCACTAGATCAGCAATTGGAAAAAGTCAAGAATTTGATACGTGATACACCAGACTTACTCTTTCGACTACAACCAGATGGATCTATTATCTTTTGGGGTGTTCAGGTATGTTGATCAATAGATAAGAGAGAGAGAGAGAGAGAGAGAGGAAAAAAAAAAAAAGAAGGCAAGTATATTCCTTCATCTCACCTTTTGATTTATTACATGGAATTGACCTTCTTATATCTTTTTTTTTTCTAGTATCTCAATTCATGGCCTCGTCGTATACCAAAAACCTTTGTCATACTTCGAATCGATCAAGCTGTAGATCCTAAAGATGGTGCCTTCTTTTTAAACAAAGTACATATAGTCCATGATCTGTCTCATATTCAATCCTTATGTAAGATTTTCAGTCAATCAAAAGGCACATGTATTTATCTAACATTATTTATTTTATTTAGCAACCATTAAACCTGTTGAGTTATCAATTGTAGCCAAGAATTCTCATGGTGAAATCAGATGTTATGGTCTGAATTTGGTGGATTTTTTAGATTCGACCTCTTTTGAACCTCGACTTCGACTTAAATACTCTTGGGCAGGTCATCAACAGCCTATCACCAATATCATCCAAACTCAAGGCAACCGATTTTGCACGATCAGTACTGATGGACAAATCAACTTGTGGAACTACGGATTATACCAGGTAAGAATCATAGTATTGGATAATATATTTCATTTTTATTCCTTCTCATCTGTCTTTTTTTTTTTTAATTTTATTTTTTATTTCAGACATCAGGACTCCTTACGACACAATTGCTATTAGATCGCTCAGTACAAGTACGTCATGCTGTTCTCTCAGTGCCAATCGACAATGGTAAGCTAACAAGAATAAAAGGAGCAATATAGTCATTAAATTTTGTGGATGATCATACATAGTACTGATTTCTTCTCTTTCTTCTTTTTTTATGATTATTTTCATTTACATGACATTATAGATAGGCTATTCGCGGTTTACAATGGGAAACAAGTCTTGATTTACGAATTCGATAGCCTAGATCATCATCTTCATCAGCATCATCAAGAATTGCCAATGTATGATAGTGCTGCACCATTGTCTTCACTCTTTGTTCACGATATTGATGATCAAGATGATAGCAACCACACATCCCGTTTGATGACGACATCAGCTTCCTTTAGTTCAACCGATATCTCATCATCAAAACGATACCTCCTTTTTGGTTTATCAACAGCCACATCCAAACTATTTACTTGGGAAATTAATGATATTGGACTCTATGGTAAGATATGCAACATTGTATATCGAGGATGTCAACATATGTCATGGGAAGTGGAACCCACTGTGGTAACACCAACTAGGCATCAACGGATGAATGGTACAGCAGCCAAACTTCTTCGCAAGTTAGCGACGGGATCAACTTCAGAACAATATGATAACGACAGCAGTGATGCGAAGACAACGGTAATGACCCTGGATTTTGTGGTTGGAGTCAAGTCCATATTATACTTTTACGGCATCCAAGACGACCAGAGTGATCAGCATAGGGATACAAAATGGGATCTGCTTTATCAATTAGATACTGGACTGGAAAATATTTTACAAGTGTGTTGTGCGAGTAGCAATATTGCTATTGGTAAGTAAAAGAAAAAAAAAGGATTACTAGTTATGAATGGCTTTATATAAAATACCTTTTTTTTTTTGAATAGTATCTTCGGTGGGTGATATATATAGACTTTCTATTTGGATGGAAATAAGAACAAATGTAGCTCCCTGCTTTATCAAATCTTTTGAATTTAAGTAAGTGATTTATCAAACAAATGATGATGATGGTAATACTGAATACCGTGTCTTCTTCTCTTACATGATTCTGTAGTGAACGTATTCAAGATATTGCATGGTGTATATCCTCAGATGCTCAGTTCTTTTTGGCCGTTGCTTTTCAACATCGAGTATCCATTTATGGTCAGAAGAGGGCCACTCAACTCAAGGATGATTTAGACGTCTGGACACTTTATACTGAATTTGATGTCGATACGTAAGTGAAGCTAAAAAACAAATGAATAGGAAGAGTGGTTCTTGGGTATAGATTGATCATTTTTTTTCTTCCACTCTCTTTTTTTTTTTTTTTTTCATGGTTTATAGTGAACAACGTATTTCTGGTGTGATATGGGTGGCACATGGTGGTCTAATAGTAACAGCTGGGAATCAAGTTCGTTCTTACTTGAAATGGTTGACAGTTCAAGAGGAAGGTATGAAAGAAACAGGCAGATAATTTTTTTTTTTTTAACTGTGTTATCCTTGTAGATACATCTTTGAAAAATACCGCAAGTCTTTATGATCTCTCTTATGAAAACAATGGACCGCTTTCTCTGTACCATCCTCGACATCTTTTACATTACTTGTTATGGGGCAAAGTGGATTTGATCAATACCGTACTACAATCACTCTTACGATTCCTTCGACAGGTGATAGAAACAGATTTTGATCATCCGGTTGAATTAGCACCTCCCTTCTCATTGGAAAAGATATTAGCACTACAAAATGTAAAACTAGACTCGTGATATGATGGAAAAAAGGGGATAGTGATGAAGAAAGTATATATATATATATATATATGCAGCTATTAATCCTTATCTTTTTATTTGTTAGAGTGATACTCTCAAGATCAAGCCCTCGCAACAACAACAACAACAACAACAACAACAACAGTACAATGCCTTATTCGGTGGATCCGACAATGAAAACCAATCTTACGCGTAAATGAGATGTTAAAAGACATGGGGTTTGAGGGGTAAATGCTTTTATTGACTTTTTATTGACTTTTTTTTAAATTAAGATTTGATGATGACAGTGACGAAGATTTGAGTCGACCTTTATCCATCATGGAAGCTGGTCAACTGAAAGATATGTTGAAAACACGACAGCTGCCTGGATTATCTGATAATGAACGAATGCATCTGCTTGCTATGATTGATAGCTTTGTGGAGGTAAGAAAAATGCAGACTACTAAAGAAGAGATCTCAGTCTGCGTTTTGTTTTTATTATTCCATCTATAGATCTCGAATCAAGGTGAAGCACTGGATGAAAATGGTGCTCGATTTACTGCGTTGCTTGAAAACCACTTCCATTTGAACAAGATGCTTCCTCCTGAAGAACAAAAAATGGACTTGGAGTCACGGGATATTGCTTATGCTCTTCATAGTCAATCACAGGTAACCAAAGATTATATTTTTATTTATATTAACCGACAGACTCTTTGTATGGTTATTTTTAGGATATACTGTTGGAACGGTGTATTCGACTTTGTGGTGGGAAACTATTATGGCAGGATGCAAGATCATTAGGACTCTTCTTATGGTTACAAAAAATAGATGTTGTGGTAAGCAAATGATGATATGCATATGTGTATGTGTGTCTATATTTTGAAAGAAAAATATCGAATAATATTCATACCTATATAATGTTTTTTTTTTTTTTTTTTTTTTTTCACTGGTTTCAAATAGAAAGAACTTTTGGCTTCCATAGCAAGAAACACTTATTTGGCTAAAGAAGACCTCAAGGATCCGGTTGACTGTACTCTGTTCTATTTGGCATTACGAAAAAAGTCATTGTTACAAAGCTTATGGCGAACAGCTACTTATCATAAAGAACAACGGGTGATGATCACTTTTCTGGCGAATGATTTTACTCAACCTCGATGGCAAAAGGCCGCAGCCAAGAATGCATTTGTATTACTAGGAAGACAACGTTTCGGTAAGATCATTTTTATGATTTTCTGTATAAATGCATGATTGACTCTTTTTTTTTCCCCTAGAATATGCTGCTGCATTCTTTTTACTGGCAGACAAACTCAAGGATGCTATCAATGTGATTTTGAAAAATCTGAAGGATTATCAATTGGCTATTGTCATCTGCCGTGTATATGATGGTACGTAAAAGATGAAACCGTTCACAAACACACATATCTCATATTCCATTTTATTTTACAGGTGATGACAGTCCGTTACTCAAGGATATCTTGAACAACTATGTGATACCTCTTGCTATTGAAACAAACGATCGTTGGCTTCTTACCACTGCTTATTGGCTTCTTGGAAATAAGCATGACGCTGTTCGATCCATTATTGTACCATTATCACAAATCAAGCTAGCTGGTTCGACAGAATTGATTAAATCAGAATCTCAAACATCTATTTTCAAACTTGCTATATCAGATCAACAAGATAAGGAAGTGAAGGAAGAAAATGACTCTGCTGCGACTGTGAACGATCCGACTCTTTTCATTTTGTATCAACACGTGAAGCAACATGTTCTACAACTACACAAAGGTTTGGGAATACCATATGAATTGGAATACCTCTTCTCTCTTCAGGTTATTCGTGCTTATGAACGCATAGGTTGTCCTCTTCTCTCTTTGTATGTTATGACTCGTTACCCTATGAAGTCACCATCTCCTAACAAATTGCAAGCAACGATAATCAATAACGACAACGGGGATACATCTTTAACAATAACATCCGATGAAAAAACGTCGTCCCGGGCAGCTGATCTCTTTGCTGACGATGGTAATGACATTTTCGCATCCACTGGAAAACAGTCCAAAGCAGTGGATCTTTTTGCAGAGGATGGGGATATCTTTGCTACCGGAAAACAATCCAAGACGACCGATCTCTTTGCTGATGATGATATATTTGCCGATCTCAAGACAAGGACTCTATTAGAAAATGATGATGATATACAAGACAATCTCAAATATTTATCTTCTTCACAAGATATCTCTGAAAGTGAGACAATAGAAGATGGATATGGAGAACTTGGATCTTACAAAGGTTTGCTGGTTATTCGTATACTTCAGGTAAATATACATATGTGAATATATACATACACACACAAAAAAAGAAAAAAAAAAGAAAAAAGAAAAGGAAAGGAAGTGTAAAGTTATTTGATCTGAACAATTTCTTCTTATCAATTAGACGATTTTCCACTCTGCTGCTGCGATGTGTCACTCTATTCCTGATAAGGTGTTGATATCTAAGTATCGTCAACAATATCTCGACAATCGACAAGTACTATTTGATCTTGGTGAAAAAATCGGTATCGACAAATCTCTATTATCCAAGCTTCTTATGGAAAAAAGCATTGAAACTGATGTGTTCCCATTGTACCTCCAAATTCTTGACAAGTGTGTACCTGATAATTTCAATATGCCGTACTTTCTGACATCATTCCAACTGGGGTGCTTCCAAATCTTTCAGGTGATCACCATTCGTCCATCCTTGGATTTATCTGCTTTGGTATTTATTGAAAACTGGATCGAGTATGTTAACACAAAAAAAAAAAAAAAAAAAAAAGAAAAAAAAAGAATGGTATTGAATCTAACATATCTTTACTTCTTTTTCTTGGGGTTGTCAAATTTTCAGTGATGTGATAGACACTTTTTCTATATGGAATCGATTGATGAAAGATTATTTGCCAGCCATGTACAAATCAAATCGAACATTCAAAATTTGTTTAGAAGCCTATGTATGCCTGATCTTGGTGACGACAAAACAACGCCATTTTGAAAAGACTTGGACATTATTATATCACTTTACTGACTTCATGGATCATATCTATACGGAAGATCCGACCATGGTAATCACTACATTATTTGAAGACATCTTGAAGCATGAAGCGAAATTGGTAAGAAGAAGAAAAAGAAGATGGAAAAGAAGATTGGAAGAATATGATGAATAAACTCACTGACTATAATAACATGATTTATATTATTATTTATTATTAGGTTGAAATGGACCCAGAAGATTTTGAAAGTTTCTCTGATGAAAGTTTGTTCGGTTTCGATCTCAATGAAGAAAAATATAAACCATGGCAAGATTTTCAAGATCATTCAATTGGTGCAATCGTACTTGAATTGGCTTCTTTGAATGCGGTTTTATCTAATCTTGAACAAGGAATGCATCACGCCAAAAACAATAAAATCAACAATTCTGGTAGGGATAACATGTTGATATAATACGTTTGTTAAAATATATATATATATATATATGGTTGCTTTTATCATAGATGATCTGGTGGATTTTGTTTGGACTACTCTTTTGGATCCAATAGCTTATCGTGCTCATTGTTTACAATCTAAAATGGAAAACGAATTAGACCATGATCTTACAAGAAGTATGATTTATTAAAAAAAGAGAGAAAAAAAATATAGAGACGAATAACTGATTGCTATGAATATCTACGTATCATCACTCTAAACTGATTTTTTTTTTTATCATTGCTAGGTAATATTTTAAAACATTTCAAGACACTTCGACAAAAGAAATATTGGCACTCTCTCAAGACATTATTTCCAGATACACATTTATTACCATTTGCTCAACTCTCTGTAAGTAAATAAATAAAGATACTAGATTGGAATAAGGATAAAAAAAAAAGATCCAGAAAACTCATCAAATTGTATCACTTTTTAATTATTCTTAGCCTCCTGAAATAAACGTTTTATCTGGTGAACCACATCATCCTCATTCCAATACCGTTTACAATGCAGGTACAACGATTCATGCATTCTGCATTAACTTGGTAAACTCATTTTTTCTATTATGTGTATAATGTACTGATCTAACTTTTTTTCCTTTTTAGAAAACTGGAACCAATGGTAAACTAGGGGATATAGTGGCTGTTTGTACCAAATCGGAAATTCAAGAGATTGATATGAACAATGCTCAAAGATTTAGTGCTGTAAGTGATTTGTTTCTTTTTTTTTTTTTTTTTTTTTTTAATCTTACTTAGCTTTGACCAATATTCTTTTTTTTTTCTTCATATATAGCCTCTACATCGTGCTGGATCAACCTCATCCAAAGATTGGAATATGCACGAATTTGTGGAAAGTTATCCTGACACCGAAGAAGAAATGGATTCTGTTACTTCCGATATGGAACCAGAAAGGGACCCTCATCATTCTCATCATCACCCACATACCCATCATCACAACAACAACAACAACAACAACGATAATAATACGGCAGTCAAATCACCTGTTGGAGGTAAACGACATGGACTTCATCATCATTCATCATGTGCTTCTACCAAATCCAGTACCGCATCTACCCCGATCTCTCCTATGGCAGGTCGATTGTTACAACCAGAAGATAGAATTCAAAATTCAAGTTTTGACAATTTGCATGAAACTCTCAAAAAGTCATTGGGTGTAGGTAAGTATCGTTCAAAATAGGGAAATATGTGATCAAATAAATTTTATTCTGATATTCTTTCTTTTTTTAGGAAAAGAAGGCTCGGATGTTTCAAGATCACCTACTGGTGTTAGCTCAGTAGGATCGGTCACAGAAAATAATGAACGCATGGTATATTAAAAAAAAAATACAAGCTTGATCATCTTCTCATCACATAGTTTTTTTTTTTCATTTATGCAATCTAATTAGATCACGCTCAAAAGGTCCATCAGAGCTACTTGTGCTGAAACACATCCAGAATACCCATTTTGTAGGTTTTTTTTTTTGATTAATAAACAAAAGGAAATAACTTTAGTTTTTATTTTATTCTTTTAGATATCACTGGATGCGAAGTGACAAATGACGGTCCTAGTGCAATCTTATGGCAATTTGGTCAGGAACGTGAAATCACCAATTATTATGGTTGTCGAGGTAAAGTGACAAGAATTCATTTTGATGCCTTCGGTCAAAAATTTGGTGCTGGAGATACAACTGGATCTTTATGTCTTTGGAAATTTGATTCTCATGCGCAACCCAACAAACCCTATTATGTATGTGAATGAAATTTAAGTAAGGTTTGAAATGAATGTACTTAAAAACTATTTTTTTTTTTTTTTTTTTTCAAATAGACAACCATGTGTCATTCAAAAGCAACAAGGGACTTTACTTTTTTGAATTCTAGCAGCTTATTGGCCACGGCAGGAACATCGGTTACGATGAGTAGAAAGTAAAAAAAATAAATAAATAAATACAAATAAATAAATTACTAACCTTATATTATACTTAGGCGAGATCATTTATGTATATGGGATCCTCTTTTACCTCCTTCGTCCTCGATGGTGTGTTGTAAGTCAAAATAAATAGACTTGGATGGTTGTTGATTTTCTTTTTTTATTCTAGCATTACCAGGACATGATAATGGAGCTTATGCTATAGCGTATGAAGGTCAAGGTCATCTTATTTTCTCAGGTGGTAAACGTGGTGAAATTGTTGTTTCGGATATTCGGCAAAGGTCAACAATGCATACATTTACAGCACACTCATCTCGGATTCGATCAATTGCTATTGATAACCAAAACCACACCTTAATTACTGGATCCATTGATGGTGAACTCAAGGTAATAACAAACATGTATTATTTTGATGAATTATTTATTTTTTTTTTTGTTGGGTCATATAGATTTGGGATGCAAGTACATATAAACTTCAACAAACATTCGACATTCAACCTCGGAATAGATTCCTTGCTCCAAGTTTTAATAGGATTCCTGTAAGTGATTAGGTTAACGAGGGAAATGGACACTCATCTTTTTTTTTTTTTAACTTTCTAGCTCAAGGCGTTTGGTGTTACACAGATACAAACCGTAGATAGTAGTAGTTATATTTATACTTCAGGGCCAGGCGGCATTATCAGATGTACTATGTAGTTTAAGGATAAAAAAAAAATAAAAAATAAAACATTTTGTGTATGATATCTTATTGAAAGGATAAAATGATATTGTTTATTTATGTGATGGTATATGGATGGGTATGATATTCTTGACAAGAAAGGAATATTATAAAACATAAAACGAAGGGGTTGTATCAATAGATAGATAAATATAAATAGATAAAAAAAATATGTCTGTGAGTTGTGCGCGGGAAAGGAGAGATGTAGTTCAAATATGTATACTTATATATATATAGATATAAAAAGGGAGAACTAGATAAGGAATGACCAGATTTCTAAATGGACACAGTTGAAATGCGGATTCAGGGATAAACATTCATTGTCAAAGGTGGCACATGGCTCCGAGTGGCCTTTTTCCAGATCTTGATTTAACCAAAGCCCGAACCTTCCTTCACCTCCACCCATGGCAATACAATCAATGGTTGAATAGAAAAAATATTCATTCTTACCTGTCCATGGAAATACTTTGATTTTCGGTATAGGATGATGATCTGTATTGGTAGGTAAAGAGATTTTCCATAAGAAACTTTTTCAAAAAATTAAAATAATATATTAGTATACATTCATTCTAGTCTTGATTTTTTTTTTTTTTTTTTTGGATTACCATTCACCCGTTCCATAATAAGATAATCCAGGTTGAATAGATTCGTTTAAAAAAGCACCGAACACCTACTTACCCCCGAAAAAAAAAAAAAGAAAAATGATCAGGTCAAAAATAGAAAAAAAAAATCAACATCATCATTACCTGATGATCATCATCTTTTAAAACCATAATGCATGGTCCAGAATCCATTGTAGAACGATATAATGTTGATAAACTCGTTCCATGATGATTCATACTGTAAAGTAATTTCCATTCTGAGGCAAGACGATACCTGCGAGGTAAATAAGGTCGTAACTAAATAAGTAAGTGATAATAATAATAGTAATACAAAAAAGAAAAATCAGAATATGTTCATATTTTTTTTTTTTTTTTTTTTTTTTTTTTTACTTGTTCAGCCAATAAGTCAGTCAAAAGAGGTAAAGTGGTAGGATCATGATGATGAATCAAGGTAGGAGGAGGAATATCAAATTCATCGACAAATTGAATTCTTTTGGCAGAAGGGATTTGACTGGCCATGACCAAGGCGTCCATAGCTGGTGTGATGTGTTGCATATTAATTTGACAGACATTCTTTTCATCCACTTGATTGCAGGAAGATTGGATGACAAGATTTGGATTCATTGGTGATATGGTGGATGATATACAGGATGATGATGATGATGATGCTGATGCTGATGATGATGATGTTGATGATGAAATGCTATTGTTGCTACTAGTGCTGTTATGACACATCATATGATCAATTTCTTTTTTCTTTACTGTCTTTCTATGTCGATGATGATGATGATGAAAAACAGAACTTTTGGTGATGGAAGTAGTAGAGCCCGATTTGTGACCAAAAGTTGGAGTTCTAGTTGGTTCCAAACCTAAAAATAAATAATAAATAATAATAAATAATATATATAATATATATTTGTTAATGAATTTACCTAATAATTTACATACAAAGCGAGTAATGGGTGATTTTGTTGTATCATAAGAATGTTTAGCGTGTTTATCTTCATGATCATCAGTGATTGATCGATGAAGTGGAAGATAACCATCTTTTGTTGAATCAGATATAAGTTGAGTAGAACAAGTGGATGCACCTCGATGATGTTTCATATTTTTTATTAAATACAAAAAAGAATAAAAAATCCTTTATTTGAGGAGAAGAAAAAAAAAAAGGGAAAGAAAAAGAAAATAAATATCAAAATGGGAAAAATATTCAGTTTATAATCAAAAATAAAGGGGGTGACCAAAAAGGAGAAGAAGGGAGACAACTAACAAAGAGATTCATGCATTAACATTTTTCCACAGATTCTATATAAATAATAAAAAAAAAAATAAATAAAACTTATTGTTATTTAATATTTTAGCAACTTACTGTTTTCTATAACTTACCTAATTAATAAGTATCATTTCATTTGATATAAATATCATACGATCTCTTCTTATATTCATAAGGATAATCATCTGGATATTCTTCCAAATAACATATATATATATATATATCTATATATAAAAAAAGTAAGAATTCATTTTTTTTTTTTACCGTTTATCCGTTGATTCCAAATAATAATACTAATCATACTGGTGTACATTATTTACGCGTAGTATTCCTTTTTTTTTTTTTTTACTTATTTTCTTCATTTACCATCAGTTAGAAACTATCAAATTATTATATTATCCTTCATATCGTTGTTGTCGAATATTCTTTGCCAATTTGCTTCGTTTTCGAAAAAGAGTTTGAAGTCTTAAAAGAATATAAATAAAAAAGACAAGGCAAAAGTAAAATAAAAAAGACGTATGTTCCATAATAAAGGAAAGAAAAAAAAAAAAAATAAAAAAAAAAAAACAAAAAAATAGCGTGTATTTAGTGAAAATAAGGTTCAGCCTTTTGAACCCAGATTATCCCTCTTCCATAATATCATTTGTTTCCAATATGCAGCTTCAAACAATCCTGCATATATACATTTAAACAGTAAAAAAAACTTTGATGATGATAAAATCCATTCCATAAATATAAAAGAAAATCTTTCATTACCAGGAAGAAATTTTTCTTTAAAAATTGATATGATTATGTATAAAAAAAACAGGATTTGCTTATATCATAGTATCCATTTGAAAAGTAATCATCATGTCATCCAACCACGTGTTTAAGGTACAAAAACAATCACTGATATACACCCTTATTGTTATTTTTAATGGAGGTCGCCACTTTCTTTTTCTGTTTGACTAATTGTTGATGTTTCTCATATCATATTGTTCGACAAAAAGACAATAATCATTGCCCTCTCATGAAATGTAACACATCATCTCATAATAACAGATATATTATCTGATGATGTTATATGCTGTGATGATGATAGCCGACGCCATATATATATATGAAAGATGAATAAAGTGTAAAGATTATAAATGTTTAGTTGATTTTTGTGGGGATGGTACTGGGTTTCAAAACCAAGCTGGTGACGGTTTTTCACCAAAGTTTTAACTTTTTACCCTCTCCCTCCACCTTTTTCTTATTTCTTTATTTTTTATTTTTTTTTTCTTCTGTTTTTTTTTTTTTATTTGTATTATAACAATGGCATTCCGAGTACCACCTACTGGACTTGCTAAACATGTCAACAATCTTATCAAAGGCAATTTATTGAAAAAGGCACCTGTTTGGCTTCCTGTTGTACAAGCCATTCCCCCTGGACCTTCTATTATTCGTTCTCAACAAGCTCAAGTGAATGTGAATGCACAAACTCCAGCTGAACAAGCTCTTTCTTCACCATTATCTACCAATACATCCATTCGACATAAACAAAAACATTTGCGAACCAAACCACCACGACCACACGCTATTGTTTATCCTGAAGATCGTCTTCGACGTCAGTTCTATAAAGATCATCCTTTTGAACTTTCTCGACCTAAAGTATTAGTGGAAAACGACGATGGACTGAACCGAACTGATTTTAGTCAACTCATGTTACCTGGTATGCGTTTATCTGAAGTGGATGGTGAAGCGTAAGTTGTAAAAAAAAAAAAAAAAAAAAAAAAAAACGCAATCGTAATAAATATTTAACTTTTTATTTTTTTTTTATTTGCTTAGTGTGATTAAATATCAACTTCATCTCATGACTGAAGAAGGTATGCCTGAACGAAAAGCCTACGCCAAAGCAACCTCTGAATTCTATCTCATTCGTGCTCAACAAGAAAAAGAAGAACGTGAAGCTAGAGAAAAAATGACCAAATTACTCCAGAATACTACTTCCAACAAATATTCAAAGAAAGCCCTTTACCACGAAGAACAAGCTCTTTTGCAAGGCCAAGCTATGAACAACTAGATGTAGATTTCCCCTCTCCCCACCCGTCAACTTGTCATCCTTTTTCTTTTTCCTTTTTTTATATATTTTTGTTTTAGCAAATAGAGTCATCATTCATCCATTCTTACCAAATTTCATATATTATCTGTATACATTTTTTTTTTTGTCTTCACTTTGATTTTTTTTACATACACAAATATCTTTTCTTTTTATTGAATAATAAAAAACAAATACAAATAAATAAACAACTATACTAATATAAAAAAGAAATCATAACTATCAAAGACAAAATATCGTATATATTCAACCATAGGATGATCTTCATGAAAGAGAAGGAATTGACAAAGAGAATCGTTTTTTGGATTGACTAGGAATAGGTTCAGGTTTCAAGATGCCTAAATCATCACATCGTCCTAAAGCCAAATTGAGTCGCTATATAAAATAATATATAATAAATTAAAATTTGGCAATTGAATATCATGATCATCACTTTCTATTTGGCTTACCACAGCTAATCTATGTTCAAAATCGAATTTAGAATGACCAAGTGCTTTTTCCCAAAGATGACGACTACGTTCCCGACGCTCCAAAAACCAACATGAAATACCCGCTTCCCTACAAGGCGAGAAAATATGTAAGTAAAAAAAAAAAAAAAATTAATTTTTACCAAAGTGCAAAAGGTACAGCCCACGAATCTTGAGAAATGTTTTGTTGATGATCGATGATCCAATTCAGATGTAAAGTTGTACTATTATGATCACCCAAGACATTATGGAGAGAAGCACGGATCAGTAAAAGCACGGCACGATGATCAAAATGATCTGGGAGAGGCGTATCAGGAGCAACTTCGCGCATTCGAATACTATATTCTTCGTCTTCTCTTGCCTGGAGGGCTGCTAATGTGTTTTCCACCTTAGTCATATGTTGTTGTAATAAAATAGGGTTGATGAAAGACAGTTGATTCCAAATACACATGAATTCCAGAGCTGGGATATAGAAATCAAGATCTTGATACCCACTTGCCTGAAAAGCCATTACTTTTCGCAATACATAAGCGTCAATATCAGTCATACGTCCTCCAAGTTTTTTCACCACCAGATTGGATACCTCAGCAAAGGCAAGAATCGCTTCGGTGCGTAATCCCATCATTTCCAAACAAGCTCCTTGAGCATACTTGCAAAAAGCTGCCGACCAGTAATTTTGTTCACATAAAAAGCCAAATGCTTCAGCCGCTGGTTCCCAGTTGCCAGTAATCATATGATTAATAGCAATTTCAAAGCGACACGAGTTGGAGACTGCTACTTCGGCCCATTCGTTTTTGCTGATTTCAGCCGCATAGAGATAAGACTGTGTTGATAAAGGTAAATCTGATGCCAATCTTGAAATACGCCCTGCAAAGAAAAGATAAAATGCTGAATTGGGATAATAACGTTGAGCTTCTAAAAGTGTCTACAATAAAAAAAAATAGATGATGATCATTTATTTATTTAAATCAATGGTGGATGAGCTAATAAATGAAGTTCTTTTTTTTCATGAAATACTTACTTCCATGGCTGCTTTTGTGTATTGATCTGATAATAATTGTGGGACAAATGAGGTCGCTGCAGAATAATAAGCAAGGAGCCTAAAATAAATTGAATACATTTGAATATTACTTCCTTTCTATCTATCTTCATCTTTACTTACATCATAGTAGCCATAGATGAACGAACCCGTTTACTCTTCGCACATTCGTTCAGTAATTCAAATCCAAGTTTCTTGTCAGGTCGCCAACCAAGAACAGATACTGCCTTCAAAATTTTAGCAGGTAAAGCAGAAAGTACCAAATGCACGGCACCAATCCTATGATATGTGTGATGATCCAGAATGAGTCTGTTTCCTTTTCAAAATGATTTTTTTTGTTCCTTACCCAAATTGAACGCCTGAGACAGTATCACTATCCATATATTTTGTATGATCACTTCCCATTTTTTTGAATTCTTGCCAGACAATAGTGTAACTTGAGTATGCTAGTAAAAAAAAAAGTTAATTAGTAACCTTTTTTTTTTTTTTTTTTTTTTTTTTTTTTTTTTTTTAAAAGCATTACCTCGACGAAGATTAAGTCCACATTTGACATAGCTCATAACGGATTCTTGTAAAAGCTGAATGATGGCTATCTGTAAGCAACATTCGGCCTTTAGGACATGTGCACGCATTACACCATTGGGTGGATATTGAGAATGAGCACTAGACATTTCGGAAGGACGAACCACAGTCTTGGTATCAGTATTATTCTTGCCCATATAGTTTGATATATATCCAGCAATCAGAGATGGTTTTTTGGCAGCATCTAGTTGAGCTTTGGCGATATCATAAGTGGCATTCAAAGCATCCAAAGCCATTGTTTGATCTTTATCTGACGCAGTCTATCATCAATTAAACAAATAAATATAAATAATAATTGAGTAATCATATAAGGAAATATATCCCTCCCATTTCTTTCAATCTTACCATAACAGCTATATATCAGATCAAAAAGAAAAAAAAATGTAAATGTTCGTTAGTTATATCCTTTCATACATAATATGCCTTTATCATTCTTTTCTTACCTTTCAAAAACGCCATGGAACTAAGTGCAAGGGCAAACAATGGATCACTATATAATAATAATAAGAATAATATTAAAGTGAGTTTTGTTCTTAGGAAAGATATAAATGAGTATCGTATATAATACCTATCAGCGTTTTGTTCAAACAAAGTTTTCGCACTCATAAATCGATTGTTGAGCAAATGTCGTATACCGCGCAAAACAGGTTCAGCTATTTTGAGAGAAAAAAAAAAAAAAAAGAAAAGAAAAGAAAAGAAAAGAAATCATGAATAAAATAGGATACAGAGAAGTTTTTATTTTTTTTTATAAGTTACCTTCTTTTTCTTGTTCTTTGGGACCTAGGGTATTTGGCTTAATATTTTTCAAATCGATTTTATTGACGACTATCAAGTTGGCAGTAGCTTTGGTAGGGTCAGGACGAACAGGGATATCCAAAACAGGTGTAGGAGGTATAACAATCTTTGTTTTTTCACAGTTTGCCAAAGAAGAAGCGAGAACTAGAACAGGATGATGTTGGTCATCTTTTGTAAAAGGTGCAATGTCAGGTAATTCTTGATCGTCTGTTTCACATGCCACCGAGTCATCTTGAGTTAAACTTTTTTCCAAACTTTCATCAGTTATAATTGTCTTGTCTTCTTGTTGTTCTTGTTGTGGTTGTTGTTCAACTGCAGCTGACATTAAATGATTGTAAAAAAAAAAAAGAATGTAAAAGAGAGGAAGGGAAGAAAATTAAGAAGTATGTACAAAAAGGTTTTTTAGAGGAAAGAAAAAGGTACGCTTGTGGGGTTGAAATTCAGATCAATTTGGACTTTTCAACTTGTGTAACTTCACACATTTGATTTTCATCTCCATTTACACTATTTTTGCTACCATCATACAAAATAGCATTAGTTTAGCAAGCCCCCATACTAATTCTTCGATCATCCTCTCAGCAGTAGCATTTTTTCCTTTTTCCTCTTTTCCTTTATCGTCCTGACCGTAGTTAAAACGGTCTTAGTTACTTGTTGGGAGTAATCTTTTTTTTTTTTTTTTTTTTTTTTTAATGATGATGATAATGTACTAAATGATATATATTTTTATTTTTATTTTCTAAATATGTTATCCACTTAGTGTTCCAATTTGATTTTCCCTTCGCTCTTAGTTTGATGATTTCCCCCTCACTCCCAATTTTTTTTTTTTTTTTTTTTTTTTTTTTTTTTTTTTTTTTTTTACCTTTTTATCTCAATTTAAAGTGAATAAACTGTAATTATTTTAACATACTAATCATTATCAAAAAATAAAATAAATTCTATGGTAGTTAAATACTGTTTTTTATTTTTATTTATATATATAAAAGAGAAGAATGTCTACAAAGAGATTAATAAATATATATATATATATATATGTATACTACATATATCTGTCCCTTCTACTACCTCGATCCCTTGATCTTTCCCGTCGCCCACTACTATATCTGTCCCTATGATTTCTTGGACTTCGACTACGGGATCTTTTTGATCGCCTTCGATCATCATAATCTCTGCTACTGCCATATCGATCGCTATCACCTCTTGAACGTTTACCACTTCGGCTACTACCACGATCATAACGCCCTTCGCTGTATCGGTCACGACTTGATCCACGTATATCATTATGTTGATGGCTGCTTGAACTACTTTCACTATCAGGTTTCTTTTCTGCACGAGTATTACCAAGACCACCACCAAGTCGACGAGGTTTCCAATTTTTTACCGTACGACCGCGTTCTACGTCCACTTGAATTCGACGTCCAAATAATTTCATTCCATCAGCATCTTTATATGCAGCTATTAGAGTCATAAGTTAGTTTATTAAATAAGTTAGAAAAAAAAAGGGTTGATGATTTTTTTTTTTTTTTTACCTTTCATATCTTTTTCTCGTTCAAATTCAATAAAAGCATATCCACGAGATTGTCCGTCTTTTCCTTTTACCAGTCGTAGCTATAAAAAAAAGAAACAAAGTCATGTTAAAGGAAGAAAGAATTTAAACCATAATATTCCCTCTTTCTTTTTTTTAAAAAAAAGATTTACATGTTTGATGGGACCATATATTTCAAATTCTTGAGTCAGATCTTCTTCATTCAGTTTGTAACTCAAGTGTGATACAAAAAGGGTATGGAATGGATCTCCTTGAATATTGGGATCGTTGTTAGGATCATCTATTATCCAAAAAAAAAAGAAAATACTGGGTGAATATCAAGAAAGTAATATATAAAACCGTGTACATACATTTTGCCATGCCTTCAGCTATTTGTTCTTCAGCTTTCTTTTTTCGTTGTTCTATCTATACATTATATATATATTAAAATGTGAGTCACATCAAGTTATTTTGTTTCCTTTGGTCTTACCTTTTCTTTGCGTTTTTCTTCCGCGGTTTTCCAAGGTACATATGAAGAGTCATAGTTGCGTAGTTCGGGTACATATTGAGCGATCCCTGTCACAATGGCACCAATACGTTTCTCAGGATTTTTATCTAGAGGTGGTAAATGGTTTAATGGAGGTCTAGGCGCGAATAATTTCAACAGATTAGGTGGAAGTTTATCTGTCATGATGTATATTTTTTTTTTTTGTGAAAGGATGGGAAGAGAAAGGAAGAAAAAAAAAAAACCTTCAAGCCGGAGAAAGAGGGGGATTTTTTTTTTTGCCTCTTTGTGCCAAGTGTGACTTGGGAATCAATTTGAAATCTAAATGGTAGACCTTTTCTTTTTTCTTCTTATTACTTTTCTTGTTATTCATTTTTTTTTTTCTTCAGTTCCTTTGTCTATCTTATTGAATTATCAACGTTATCAATGTTAGGAGTTACTCCACCTTTATCTGATGCTCCTTCTTCTTCTCATGATATCAAATTATTAGATAGCCTTATTACGGTGTTGAAAGAACAAAATGCTTTTGAACTTCCCGAAAAGACTCGTTTAAGGTAAACGGTATTTCATCTGTTTTCTTTTTCTTCTTCTTTTCCTTATCTTTCTTAATCTTTTTATTATTATTATTTTTTTAATAGAGAATCTGTTTTAAATATCTTGGATGAACTTACAAAACAACTGGTTTATCAAATTAGCTGTGACAATGGCAGGAGTCCCACTGAAGCTAGCAGAGTGAATTCAAAAGTGTTGACGTACGGTAGTTATCGTCTAGGTGTACATGCTGAAGGTAACTTGAAATAAACTCATCTTTAGTCATTATTTTACTTTCATGCTTATTTTTGGAATTTATTTATTTATTTTTTTTTCCTTAGATGCTGATATTGATACGTTATGTGTTTTACCTCGAGATATTACAAGAGATCATTTCTTTGAACGAATGTACCTTGCCTTGAAGGAACAATCTGGTGTGGAAAGTCTCAACGTAAAGTTCATATTATGAAAATTATTAATATTTGTAATACTAATCATATATTCTTTTTTTTTTTTTTTAGGCTGTGGAAGATGCTTATGTACCTGTAATAAAATTCAAGTTTCATAGTATACCGGTAAATTTGAAAGTATTTGTATATGTACATTGTATAAATGAGACTGATTCTCTTTTTTTGTAGATCGACTTAATATGCACTATATTACCATTATCTACGATACCTGAAGATTTGAATGTCAATAACCCATTTCTATTGAAACATATGGATCAACGTTGTATACGCAGTTTGAATGGTACTCGTGTGGCTGATGAATTACTTAGTTTGGTACCTGATGTGGATACTTTCCGATTATCTTTACGATGCATCAAATTATGGGCAACAAAACGGGCAATTTACTCTAATATTATTGGTTTCTTGGGCGGTGTAGCTTGGGCAATTCTTGTAGCACGTGTATGTCAACTCTATCCAAAGGCTTGTGCAAGTACTATAGTAAGCAAATTTTTTCGTATTATCAGTAATTGGAATTGGCCTAGTCCTGTTTTATTGAAAACCGTCGAAGAAGGTAGTCCTCTTGACAAATTAAAACCATGGAATCCAAGAGTAAGTAAACAAAAAAAAAAGATTTATCTATTCTATCATTCACCTGTATCATTTTTCATATAGTTATCAATGAATGACCGAGAACACAAGATGCCAATCATTACTCCAAGTTTTCCAAGTATGTGTGCAAGTCATAATGTTACCCAATCAACAATGAAGATTATCATAGGTGAAATGAAATTAGCTGCTGATATTGTGGATAAAGTGATGATTGGTTCTACCTCATGGGATCAACTTTTTACAGAGAACGTCTTTTTTCGAAGATATGGGCATTATATTCAAGTCGTAGTCAGCTCAGATATTCATGAGTCACTGATACAAGGGTAAAAAAAAAATAAAAATAAAATAAAATAAAATAAAACAAAAACATCATGTCCAGATTTATCTTTATCTTTTTATATTTATAGTGCCGGATTAGTGGAATCAAGACTTCGACAACTTTTGACAAAATTAGAAAGTTCACCATATATTGCATTGGTACACCCATTTATAGATGGCATTGAAGACAAACGAAGATGTACAAATCGAAAAGATGTAAGAGAATTCATTGGTGCCACAAAACCACGAAACAGTACAGATGACCTGGAACCATTTGAACAAACAATTTACACCAAAACATTTTATATTGGATTATATACTCGAACTGGTACAAGTAACATGAAAAAAAAAGATGGGACTAGCTAATTTTTTTTTTTTTTTTTTTTTTTTTTTTTTACAATATAGAAATATCATCAACATCACCATCCGTTAGTATTGATTTGACAATGGAAATGAATAGCTTCAAATATGGCTTACAACATCATCCATCATTTGACAAAGAGCATACAAGAATCAACCTGCGATATCTGAATAGGTAACTGAAAAATACAACCTTGAAATTATTTTGAAATTTTGAAGTATGGGTAACATTGTATCTCTCCTCGATTCTTTTTTTTTTCTTTTATTATAGATCCAATTTGCCTCAGGAATTGATTTCAACTGGATCGGCAACAATGAAACGCGCATATCAAGTACGTACAGCTGACGAATGAAAACAAGATACTTTTGAAAAGGTAGATGTTTTGTAATATTCATCATTTTATTTTTGATTTTCTGATAGGAAACCGAGATACCCGACGTTACTAGTAGTAGTTCAAATATTAATGGCAAAAACAGCGATCATGGAAACAACAATAAGAAACATCGGACACTCAGCAATATAAACGATCTCTCATCCTCAACACTTCCTGATATGAACAAGACATTACCTCTTCCATCAACCTAGTGGCAGAACCTTTTTTTTTTTTGTTATTGTTTGGAGCAAAAACAAAAGGGAAAAAAAAAGAAAAGAAAAAAAAGGAACTGATATTTGTTTGTTTTTATTCTTTCTTTTGTTCCATATTTGTTTTTTTTTTCTTTGTGTATATAGGTCTTTTGGTAGGTGGGATGGATGGATTTTGGGTTTTGATGAATTGATTCCCATGGATTATATTATCTTGGCCCCCTTCTATTGTTAGATATAGTTTTATTGTCCCTATTATAGGAATAGGATAGTGATATTAGATTAGATTATCAATAAAATTAAAAATAAAAAAATAATAATAAAATAATAATAATAAAAAAAAATGGATTCATTTGGTATATTTTTGTTAAACCACTTCCTTTTTTTTTCTTTGTCTCTTTTTTGCAGATTGGCTGGTTGAAACCGCGCCTGAAAGGGGTTTTGCACCAACTTTTTTTTTTTTTTTTTTTTTTTTTTTTTTTTTTTTTGGTATATTACCTGTCCTTTTCTTTTCTTTTCTTGTTTCTTAATTTCTTGATCGAAAACGAGGGATGGAAATAGAAGCACAATTTGATGGATTCATAAATGGGGCACCAGAACTACAACTCATCAATGCTACGGATATGTTACGTTCAGGGGAACATGATGAAGCTCTCACGTTCAAAGCACTACAGTTTTTACGATACAAAGCGATGCAAGACGACCGTGAAGCCAAGATGAAGCTTAGTATTATTTATTCAGATGGACTTGGCAAATATATTGAACAAGATCAGCGCGAAGCAGCCATATGGGCAAGAAGTGTGTATGACAAGCAACTCTCCAGTGGATTAGCAGCATGTTCTTGTTACTTGATGGATGGTGACTACCTTAGTGATAGTAGTCTCAATTGTTTCAGTACATTAGCACTTATTCTAGGGGCTGTCAGAACAACAACAACAACAACAACAACAAGTACAACACCACTTGTATATTTGGCTGGATTATTATGGATCAAAGGGATTGGCATTGAACAAGATGTACAACGGGGTCTTGCCTGTCTGGAAGAAGCAGCAACTCATGGTAATCATAAAGAAGCAGCATATGAACTGGGCAGGATATATAGTGATCGTTACATTCATTCTCTCAAGGATATGCAAAAGTCTCTTCATTGGTATGCCAGGGCTTTAGAATTAGGTGATGAACGTGCTCTTTGTGATTTGGCTTATGGTTATTATGAAGGTGAACAAGATGGTCAGTCATTGAATAAAAAAGATGGATCAGCAATGGACGATAAAATGGACATAATCAAAAATGATACATTGGCTTTTCGATATGCATCTCAAGGGGCCAAGAAGGATCGATATTGTCAATACATTTTGGGTCATCTTTATTTGAAAGGACGCGGGACAACAGCCAATGCACAAGAGGCGGTGATTTGGTTAGAAAAATCGGCACAACAAGGGTTCACTGAAGCAATCGAAGAATTGGCAATGGTATACTTACGTGGTGTGGGTAATGTTGGCAAGGACTATACAAAGGCTTATTCTATATGTATGCTTGGAGCTGAAAATAATGTGGTATTTTGTCAAGCTGCTCTTGGAGATATCTATCGTCAAGGATGGGGTGTAGATCGTGACTATCACAAGGCATTTCAATATTATCAAACGGCGGCAAGTCATGATGATCCATATCCTTATTCACAACATATGCTTGGCGAAATGTAAGTTTCAGAAAAAAAAAAAAAGATAATTATTTTCCTTATTCTCCTTTATTTTAGGTTTCTCAATGGTGAAGGTGTACCTCAAGATTTGGCTGTGGCTAAAGAATGGTTTACCATGGCTGAAAAACAAGGTTATGAACCCTCAAGACATAAATTACAAACTTTGACAAAATCTATTCAATCCATTCAAGATTCCCAAAATGGATCCTTCCGATCCAATTCCATTGATTCCTATCCTTCGTCTCCCATTGTAGCTTCTCCTACTGAAAAGAAATCAAACCGATGGTCGCTTGGCTTTTTTACTAATAGAAAGAAATAGTTAGATTACCCTTCTCTTTATATAAAATATTATATATCAAATTATACACAATCGGAGCATGAACCTTTACGATTTGTTTTTTTTTTTTTTTGAATGCTGGTGAACGAATCTTTTTTTCTTTTCTGTTTTTCTTCCTCTCTTTTTTTTTTTCTTCTCTTTGCTCTTTGTTCTCTTTTTCGCCTCCTTCCTTTTAATTAGATAGACTTGTATTTGAAATGATGCCAACAGTTGACACCAATGCTTGGCAAAGTATTGCCTCAGCAGCCGAAGAACTACAGAAACTAATGGCAGAACATTTACAGATGAAGATGGAGGTAAAAAAAAAAAAAGAACACAAAAAAACAAGTTGTTGGATCTGATATAATTCTATTTACTTATTAGGGAACGCTAGCTGATAATGTATTAGAAAGCCCACAAGGACAAACATTATTAGTAGCCATTGATAGAATGAAAGATCTTCATTGTCAAGCTTATGAATCAACACGCGATACCAAACAACAAACAGCCGATGCCAAAGATGCTATGGATGATAAACAAGTAGGCCTTCAAAATGTTATGTATGAGAAAAGACATATTGTCGAAGAAATAGTCAAATGTCGAGAATTTAGGTAAAAAAAAAAAAAAGAGTCTAACATGTTTGTATTGTTATACTGATATTTTTTTTTTTTTGTTGTTGTAGATCTGTTTATCAACATGTTGATCTTATTTCTTTGGATGATTTCTTGGCCAAGGCACCTGAGCATTATTTAGAAGATAAAGATAATCATCACACTCTCATGATTAATCGACTAAGATTTGAACAGGATGAAAGGACAAGGTAAAGAAAAAAAGAAAGTGAATGTGAGAATTGATATTGAATCCACCTTTTTTTTGTGTGTGTATGTTGATCATCAAAGTCTCAAGGAAGAAGAAGAAAGGTTACAGCAAGAAAGACAATTACTGATCAAGGAAAATCGCAAGGCTCAAGAAAAGTTGGATCGCTTTGACAAGTTATTGGATGACTTTGTTCTGGTAACCAAAAAATAAATAGATTCATGCTTGATGTTATTATTGACTCGTCTTTTTTTTTTTTAAGGCAACTGTGCCTTTAGAAGAATCTCTACATGAAGACGATAAAAAGACAACAGCATCAACACGAACAACTGATGCAATGGATGTGGATGAACAAGATACAACTGAAGATCAAGAATCATCACAGATAGTGGATGTCCAAATGGCAGATTCATGATGATTACTTTTGGTATATAGTTTAGAAAAACAGGATAGTATATATGATAGATAGCATTACTTTATTATTATTTTTTTTAGTGTTTTGTAAATAAAATTTGTTTTTTTTTTTAAAAAAAAGAGAAAAGACTACAATATGATCAAGGAAAGAATGAAGACAGCGATTGTGATATGAAGTAATGAATGATATGGATGACAATAATAACAATAATAAAAAAAGAAGTGTATGATATGAACAAAATAAAATAAAACAAAAACATAGTGACTATATTCTAATTCATCATCACGTCCGTATTCTTGTTCGCTAATGCTTGTTGACTAAGAAGGTACTTGAGCGTGTATACGTTGGAGTCACATCTATGATAAATAATAAAAAAACAAAAAATTGAGTCATCATATCTCTTCTTTTTTTTTTTTTTTTTTTTTTTTAAACTTACAAATTAGCAATATCATCACGGACCCTAGTAACACCTTTATAAAGAGCACGGAAGACGGCTTGGAATTCACCACGATGTTGTTTCAAATACCTTCCATGACAAGTCAGTAAGCTTGTGACCCAAAGTAAATGGAATTCAATATGAGGACTGGTTTCCATATGTGTACCAATGAACTTGAGTAACTTGTCCAAATATTTTTCAGGAAGTCCACGAGCCACCAAAGGGATAGAATCTGGAGGTGTTCCTTCAAATACCTTTTGTGTGATTTTCTTTTCATTGAGACGGAAGGCCATACAGATTGCTTTGAGATAATCGGCTTCATCCAAGGTTTCAAGTACAGAATCAGGCGTGATATCCAATTCCAAGTCGAAAGGGTCAAAAAGAATGGCATCATCCAAAGAATAAATCAATAATCCATCTGTTGTAGCAGCAGCCCATGCACGACCCGTGGGAGAGAAGCGTACAGCCATGGATCGTACTTCGGGTCTTGTTTTCCTTACTGACAGATCACCACCTTGCGTACCAGGGAGAGTATGATCGATTCGGTCTTCTAAATCCGAAGGTTCATCATCATCATCCATCGTTTCTTTGCTGCCAAACTGAGTCATGTTGCGAGCGCTGAGCATTTCTTGAGTACCATCCAAAGATAAATTATTGGAGATTTGGAATTTCTTGATCAAAGCTGTGGATTCAATATCGTAAAGACAAATATACTTGCTGTTGCCACCTGCTAGAATCGATGAGCCATCTGCTGTGTAGCATAGCGAGTTGAATGATTTGCCAGATGCTGAGTTTTCCGATGTTGTACGATCGTCCACCTTGCGTCCACCAGAGATATCTTTCCTTCCTTCAATGTTCGCCACTAATTTTGAATCGTGGACATCCCAGAAAGAGATTTGGCCATCCAATGTAGATGCTGCTACTTGCTTTCCATCAGGACGATAGGCCACTGCAAGTACTTCAGATTGATGTTGTAATGATTCGATATGCTTGTTGCGTCCAAATACATCCCACACACGTACTGTATGATCCCAACTACCACTCACCAAAGCCATTCCTGATGAAGAAAAATCCAGAGAGCTGATGGGTCCTTCATGTCCAGCCAAAATATCCAAAAGTTTTCCAGTTTGTACACTCCACACATAAATTTCAAAGGTATCCATGGTACCAGCACATACAATTTCTCCACTAGGATCTACTGCCAATGAAGCAAACTGTACGGGATTGGGACTAGTGAATGTTCTAAAGTTTCGATATCGTACCAGATCAAAAGCGCGGACAGTTCCATCCAAACTAGCAGAGAAGACGACTTGTCCTTGTTTAGCAAATTCCACTGCTTTGACACTGCTATTATGATCACTGAAAGTAACAAAACAAAATCCAGAAGTTGCATTCCATATTTTGACTTTGCCATCATCCCCACCCGTTGCCATTGTTTGTCCATCAGGTGAATAACTGACCGCATTCATATCATAGTGATGACCTTGTTGTTTGAGTACGTATGTTTCAGATTGCCATTCCCATACCAATAATTGACCAAGTGTTGCACATCCAAAAGCAAGCCATTCACCGGAAGGATTGATTGCCACAGTACTGATTTTCTTTTGTGATATACTATTGAATAATAAATAATGAATATTTTTTTTTTTGTTCAATTGATATAGTGTCTTTTTTTTTTTTTTTTTTTTTTTTTTTTTTTTTTTACCTGAGAGTGTGAATAGTGGTAAAACTTGGAACTTCATATAAACCAAAGATCCCATTGGTAAAACCAGCGATGATCAAATTACTAGCAGGATAGAATTCACAAGATCTGACCTTGACACCATGACCTTGATTAAAGTAGTGTTTGTTTTGAATACGCCATCGTACGTGATCAATAAAATCTTCACCTAATTCCATTTCTTCATCAGAATCCAGACCACGAGAATCAACATAAGAACTATATCGCCATTGGAAGAGAGCACCATCCTTACTGATTGTATAAATCTATACATAACCATCCAGTTAGTTTATACAAATGTTTCATTCAACCTATAAACTTACATTTTTCATATCCTTTGAAAAATAAGCACCAATCACTTCAGCTCTATGACCAGATAGTGTAACAGGGGTGAATCCAGGAGTTGGGTTTGTTGAATATAATCGTGCTGTCATATCTCTTGATGTAGTTAAAAAGTATCTATAAAATATAAATAATATATCAGTACACCCAATATATATATATATATATATATCTTTACTTTGAATCCGGGCTCCAACTAATATGAGAGACATCGTCATGATGACCAGTATAAGTACGATGAAGGACAAATGGAGAGAATTCGCGTGTAAATCCAGGAGTCCTCCATACTTGAATATGATGATCGTGAGTGATTGCTACGTATTTGCCGTTAGGACTAAATTTGATACATTTGACTTTGCTCTTAAAGTTGATTTGGTGAAGAACTGTTTGACGTGGGAAGTTGATCAAGAAACCTCGTCCAGCTAAAGAAAAAAAGAAAATAAAGGGGATCAGTCACAAAAAAAAAGTTCGTTCATACTTTTTATCATTTTTGCTTACAATCATCTATAGTGATCAAAAGGGTAGCTTGAGGTGAAAGGGCAATACAAGAGATGTTTCTTCGCATTTCGAATGGTAAAGTGCAGGATTTGTTGCTGTTATACGAGTTAATAATAATAAGAAAACAAGAGTAAGTATAAAGTCAAAAAAATAAAATAAAATAAAATAAATAAAATTATTGACATACTTGACTAAATCAAATACAGAAACACGGTTGCCAACAGGACTAATGATTGAATTGCCATCAGGTGTAAAGACTAGGTTACCATTAGTGTAGACAGTTCCACAAAGATTGGAGAACTAGAAAAATCAAAGTGTACGTTATTTTAGAAATGTGATAAATACATTTATTAAAATAGTTCCATCTTTTTCATTCTTTTTCTTTAAATACCTTGAAGGACGACTTCATTATTACACTTGAATTGAGGTATACAAAATATATATATATATAGAAAAGAGAAAGTCTAAGGCAAAAAGTGAAAAAAACAAAAAAGTTAAAAAAAAAAAAAAATGCCAAAAATTCAGTCTCCTCCCACCTTTTGAAGGCAGTGTAAGCCACCCTCAGTTACCCAAATGCAGTAGTTTCCCCAATGCAACCTATGAAATATTTTTTTTTTTTTGACACTGGATTGGTTTCAGCCTACATTTTATTTCACTATTCCTTTTTTTTTAAAATAACAAAAAAAAAGTCATTAACAATTAATAATAACCCAACTCATTCTTTTCCATACACTGATTTTTACTTGAATATCTATCTCTTTCGTCGATCATTTTTCAATTCTCTATGAAGGTTCTACAAAACAAATTTTTATTTGTATATGATCCCACCAAAAAAAAAGGGTTTTTACTACTTGAGCTAAAAAAGGTATAGTATACAGATCATTTCATTTTACTACACTCAATAGTCGATGCACACTGATCATTGAGTTGATTGGCTGAAATTTTGATTCGAGAAGAAAAAGTTACCATATTCAACAACGTGGTTTTTTTTTTTTTTTTTTTTTTGTTTACATCGATCATCCATTCATACATTGATTAGATTCATCTAACAAAGCTTATATTTTCATAAATATAAGATAAAATCATAGGATGATCATTACATACAAATGATTGTGAATCCAATAGACAATATAATATTTATAGTTACATATCATGGCTGTGCAAAGAACGACGAGTAAAAACTAAAAATGTCTCTATTTATTACTAAAAGTAAAGTGGCGGTCCTTGAAAAAGGTTCATGCAAGATCAATCTGGTAAACGTAGCTGTTGTACTATTTCCTTTCTTGTTTAGAGTAATTTGTAAATATTTTTACAATAATATTGAAAGATGATTATATTTATGTTTGATTATTGTTATATGATGATGAAAAAAATAAGAAGAAAAAAACTTTATCAGCTATCAAGAAGCACAAAGTGAAACAAAAGTATGTCGAAGATAGACTTTTTTTAAACTTTTCTCACCATCAAGAGATTCCTGTCCGATAAAAAAAAAAAAAATGAAAATAGCAACCAAGATTAAAGTAATACATCTTTTCCCATCGATCAATAACTGATTGCCCGCGTTCCTTCCCTTCCTCTCTCTTTTTTTTTATTCGACTCCGCCAGGTAGGTGTACGTTAGATGACAGCGTCCGATATTTTTTTTTTTTGTCATTCACTCTTTTTTTCTTTCTTTTTTCCTCTTGTCTTTTTTTTTTTTTTGTTTTTGTTTTTTTCTCCTCTCCTTTACCTCCCCGTCCTCTCATTAATAACTCCCCCATTACTCTCATTTTATGCTTCCGTTCTCTTATTTTAAAAAAGCCAAAGCTACAATAAAACAGACTGCGACTATACCGTCAAAAAAGTATTATATTATTGTTTTTTATTTTTTTTTTTTTTTTTTACCTTATCAACTAATGTTCCTTATTAGTAATGGTAGTTGTCAAAGCAATGGGTCTTCCAAATCTGAAGTTGAACAACAACAACATGACGATGAACTTAGTGAGCCGAAATTCCCTATGATTGGTTATGAATATATCGAAGGACGACATTACAAACAACAATCGAAGAATGGTCCAGCACATTTATTACCTTGTGATGACGAAGAAGTTGAAAGACTCGAAGTGATCCATTTATTGCACAAGTAAAGTCGAACCTTTTTTTACAACTCATTATTCAATATTACTGATCATGGTATTTTTTTTTCTTTTTCTTTCATAGATACCTATTTGGAAGGTAAAGAAAAAGAAAACAAAGACTTTATTGAATATCTTATGTTTGACCTAATTGAACATTATCTAGTTATTTTATATCACCTGTAGAACAACAACTAAAACAAGGGGCCCGAGTCTTGCACATTTGGTAAGTTGGAAATAGTGAAATTCATGCTTTGATTCTCTCTTTTGCTTATATGCATATCTCTTTTTGGTATTTTACGTATATGGTGATTGATAGTTGTGGTCCAGGATGGTGGATAAAGGTAAGATAAAGACAAAAAAAAACATTATTTATTAGTATAACTTGTTATGTTTGATTTTGACAGGAAATGGCCAAATTATATCCAAATTCTCAATATATTGGTATTGATGATATATTATACGCCATCACGTAAGAATCCAAATAGAAAAAAAAGAAAAAAAAAGAAAAAGAAAAAAGATTTATCTTTGCTTTTTTGGATTATAGCAATCCTCCATGCAATTCCCATTTTCAGGTGACGGATTTTACTAAGGGTCTGCCTTTTGAAGATAATACCTTTGACTTTGTTGTACAACGGGAAGCAAGATTCAAGCATACCAAAGATAATTGGGAAAAGGTGATACAAGAAGCCATTCGAGTTACAAAACCTGGAGGTTATTTAGAATTCGGTAAAAGATAAAAGAGAAAAATAAAAAAAATTACAATGCTAATACTTATATCCTGTTATATAGTGGAATCCGGATCTGAAATTAACGATATTGGTCCAAATCTATCCTTATGGCTCATGCGAGGTAACCAAAAAAAAAAAAAAAAAAAAAAAAATTACTTTGATCAGAAATTTATTTTTGTTCATATATAGTCACAGTATCATTACAAACTAGAGGTATGGCCAATAAAATTGGTTTGGAATTGGAAGATCGTTTTGCGAAGACGAATGCAGTGACCATTTATGAATCAACACATCGATCAGCACCTATAGGATGGCTTGGACGAGTAGGCGACCTAATGATGGATTGTGTGCAAAGGTTTTCTGACGCATTGAAACCTCGACTTTGTGAAGATTGGTGTATGCCTGTTGCGAAATATGATGCTGCATTTAAGGCCGTTCTCCCCGAATGTCAAGAATTTAAAAGTTGGACCAATTTTTATTGTGTAGTGGCGCAGAAGAATCACCCTGATGGTCCTATTCCCTCTGATATTATTCCCTCTCAAGAATGATCATCTTTCAATTGACCTCCTCTTTATATAGAATCTCTCTTTATTATCATCATATATGTCAACATTTTTACAAAATTCAATTACCTCCTAGTACCACTCTTATGTATTTGTATAATAAAATCTTTCAACCCATTTGTTCTAAAATCAATACAACATTTCTTTTATTTTTTTTTTTTTTGTCAACCTACAATACCAAACTTTTACTAGGATATTTGAACGATATGAATATTAAAATCTCTTATATATATTTTTTTTTTTTTTAAAAAAACGATGATCCATTCAAAACAACATGATAAATATATTTTCGACCTGTTTTATTTACAAAACAAAAAGGCATCAATTACCTTTTTCCATAAAATGATACACTATGTATGAAATTGAGATATGTAATGTATGAAGAATACTATCTAGTAAACAGAATAATAATAAAAAAACAATAATAACCTAAAAATTATTTCTTGCCAGCCTTGGTAGCAGCCTTGGTGACCTTGCCAGCCTTGTCAACCTTTTCAACAGCCTTGATAACACCAACAGCAACGGTTTGACGCATATCACGGACAGCGAAACGACCAAGAGGAGGATAATCAGTGTAAGCTTCAACACACATGGGCTTGGAAGGAATCATCTTGACGATAGCAGAGTCACCAGACTTGACGAACTTGGGAGCATCTTCAAGTTTCTTACCGGAACGACGATCAATCTTTTCCAACAATTCAGCGAACTTACAAGCAATGTGAGCAGTGTGACAATCCAAGACAGGAGCGTAACCAGCACCGATTTGACCAGGATGGTTAAGGACAATGACTTGAGCAGTGAAAGAGGCAGATTCCTTGGCAGGATCGTTCTTGGAGTCGGAACAGACGTTACCACGACGGATATCCTTGACAGAAACGTTCTTGACGTTGAAACCAACGTTGTCACCAGGAAGACCTTCAGCCAATTGTTCGTGATGCATTTCAACAGACTTGACTTCAGTGGTCACGTTAGCAGGAGCGAAGGTGACGACCATACCAGCCTTGATGATACCAGTTTCGACACGACCAACGGGGACAGTACCAATACCACCAATCTTGTACACATCTTGAAGAGGAAGACGGAGAGGCTTGTCGGAAGGACGAGTAGGGGGATCAATGGCATCAATAGCATCCAAAAGAGTCTTACCAGACTTTTCACCAGCCTTGGTTTCCTTCTTCCATCCCTTGTACCAGGGCATGTTGGTAGATTCGTCCAACATGTTGTCACCGTGCCAACCAGAAATGGGGACGAAGGGGACAGACTTGGGGTTGAAACCGATCTTCTTGATGAAACCAGAAACTTCCTTGATGATTTCGTTGAAACGAGCTTCAGACCACTTGGTAGAATCCATCTTGTTGATAGCAACAATCAATTGACGGACACCGAGAGTGAAAGCTAACAAAGCGTGTTCACGGGTTTGACCATCCTTGGAGATACCAGCCTATGAAGAAATAAATAAAAAATAAAATAAAAATAAATAAATATATTCATTCTTTTTTTTTTTTTTTTTTTTTTTTTTTTTTTTTTACTTACTTCGAATTCACCAGTACCAGCAGCAATGATAAGAATACCACAATCAGCTTGAGAAGTACCAGTAATCATGTTCTTGATGAAATCACGATGGCCAGGAGCATCAATGACAGTAACATGGTACTTGGGAGTTTCGAACTTCCAGAGAGCAATATCAATAGTAATACCACGTTCACGTTCAGCCTTAAGCTTGTCCAATACCCAGGCGTACTTGAAGGAACCCTTACCAAGTTCAGCAGCTTCCTTTTCGAACTTTTCAATGGTACGCTTATCAATACCACCACACTTGTAGATCAAATGACCAGTAGTAGTAGATTTACCCTAAATGAAAATAACAAGTTATTATTAACGTACTTTTTTTTTTTTTTTGAAAAATATTATATAAACTTACAGAATCGACGTGACCAATGACAACGACGTTAACGTGAGTCTTTTCTTTACCCATGGTTATTAAAATAAAAAAAGTTGGAAAAAAAAAAGAAAAAAAAAAAAAGGAATTAAAAAAATTTTTTTTTTTTTTTTTTATATGCCAAAGCCACGCCACTGGTTTTCATCTCCGCTGTAACATAGTTTTTTTTTTTGTACGTATGACAAAAGCTAGTAAACTTGTGTTGCATAATTCTCATTTTCATGATAAAAAGTATGTATATATATATATAAAGAAGGAATATTTTTATGATGATTAAAATTATATATAGTAAAAATAGAATATATTATACAAGTATGATCAAGTTTCTTGGAGTGTGTGTGTGGAAAAAAAAACAAACAAACAAAACAATATACGGAATGTGAAATTAACATCTATCCTTTTGTGTGCGTGCGATTTTTTTTCTTTTCCAAGTTAAAATACTCTTTTTCTTTTTCCTTTTTTTTTTTTGTATCTCTTTTATTTTTGATGGTTTTCCTACCACGTTAAATATTTTTCTTTTTCTTTCTTTCTTTCTTTCTTTCTTTTTTTTGTCTATTATATATATATACATTCTAATAGGTAACTAATGAATAATAAGAAACTTAAGTAACTAATTAATATATATAAATTAGGATACCTTTTTGAAATAGTGAAATATCAACTGTCACCATTTGGTTCTTGGAAATTAGTTTTATTAGGTAACAACATCTTTTTATTATTTTGAAAAAAAATAAAAGTACTTTTTATTTTAGTTTTGGGAAACGATATAGACCCTTATTTATTTTTATTTTTATTTTAATTAATTAACATAGAACAAAGTTTATCAGTATCATCTCTGGAAAGGAAAAATATCATTATTTTGAATTACAATGTATGGTAGAAATACTTCCAGTTCTATTTATAATGGTCGACCACTGATCAATCCACCTACATTGATCGAATCAAACAATACAAGATTTCTTATTGTAGATGCACCTAGTACAAATAACTTACCACTTTATTTGAAGGTATAATAACAATGATAATAATAATAATAATAATCAGAAACTAATATATATATATATTTCTTTTAGGAATTTGAACGATGGCAAGTAACAGATGTAGTACGATGCTGTGAAGCAACATACCCTAAAGAACCATTGGATGAAAAAGGGATTGAAACACATGATTGGGTATTTAGTGATGGTGCTTCTCCTCCTTCTAGTATTGTGGATACTTGGTTGAATTTGATTGAAGAACGATTTCATAATGTGGATCATCCTACAGGTTGTATTGCTATTCATTGTGTAGCTGGGTTAGGAAGGTAAAATAATAATAATAATAATAATAATAATAATAATAATAATATCTGATTTTTTTTTTTTTGTTAAATAGAGCACCTGTATTAGTAGCCATTGCTCTTATTGAACAGGGTATGCCACCTTTGGATGCGGTTGCATATATTAGGGAAAGACGTCGTGGAGCCATCAACAACAAACAATTGAAGTTTATTGAATCTTATAAACCTAGATCTAAAAAACAATGCATCATCTCTTGATCAACACCGTTTTGCTGGACATTCGATGTATATTTGGTTTTAGTTTAGTTTATTATTCTTTTGTTTTACTTGGGTTTTATTTGATGTAGATCTTTTTTTCATAAAGGAAGTGAATAGTCTAGTTTTTTTTTTTTTTTGATGACACGTGGAAACATTTATTGGTACATACATTTATTCATTCATTTATACATATATACACATACTAGACAAATAGATCAATAAAGTAGATAATGGTGAAAAAAAAAAATCAGTGTTGGGCCTTTTTTTTTTTTTTTTTTATTGTCATACGATAAGGTACGGGTATTGAATCAATAAATAAGTAACGAATGTGAAGGTAAGAGGATAAAGGAATAGGGGAATATGGAATCAAATAAAAAGGAAATAATAATAATAATAATAAAAAAAGTTGTATTGATATCAAATAGAAATGGGTTGTAAAAATCATTCTTCTTGAAGGGTAGCCAATTCATTACTTGCACGTAGAGAAGTGGAGGAACTTGCAGATCGACTCATACTTGGTGTTCTATTACCATTGAGGGGACGAGGAGCATCTAAAGAATGATTGACTTCTTCATTGGATGATGATGAGGTTGATTCATGTATACTTGATGGTGGTGTGGTATTTGCACCAATTTGTTCATGCATTGGTTTATTATTGTTGTTGCTGATAACTGTAGGAGAAGCTGACCATCCAATACTCATTCTACGTAATGCTTTTGCCCAACCTCCATTCGTATTTTCCTTATTATTATTGTTGTTGTTGTTAGTACTTGGCATAGCACTGTGACGACGAGTAGTACGATCATCTTGAGTATTCGTCAATAAAGTGGATGATGCAGTAGGAACAGGAGAAGAAGAAGGTGGTGGTGGTGCAGGTACTTTGGATCCCCAATAAGAAATGGTACGACGACGTTGTTGACGAGATTGATTTCCTTTGTTGAGCAAGGTACTTGATAAGGTACGGGTAGGTGCGGGTCCTAAACCTGCACTTCTTGGAGCTGGTTCCACTGATTCCTTGGTAGTAGTGGTGATGATTGGTTTAGGTTTGGGTTGATCAATACTAAGTACATCTTCTAATTGTTTATTATCGATAATCTTCATCAAAATCTTGTTCATATAAAGTTGTAAAGCTCGATTGGTGTCTTGTAATGTTTTGACTTCATCTGTCAATTCTATATATGTAAAATAATAATAATAATAAAAATAAAATAAAATAAAATGAATATTCTTACTCTGATCATGATTGGATATTAACTTACTTTGTACAGTATTATCCACTTTTTGAGTAGCTTCAATATCACTAGCCAAATTGAGTTCTGCTGCCAAATTCAATCCATTGGTGTTGGAATTAGTTGAAGGTTGTACAGTACCATTAGATTTCGAAGTATCACCATTTGCTATCTAAAAAAAAAAAAGACATTAGTTCATTACAAATATGTTATTTTTTCCATTTCTTACCTGCATAATTGGATTCATCATAAACTCGCCACTAATAGTTTTTTCGTGTAACAAGATTTGATAACTCTCATTATCTTCCATAAGAGATTGATTGACATGTTTGACATTTGCAATTTCTTGTTCTAATTGTTGAATACGTAATGATTGACGTTGAGCTTGAGCATCTCTATCTTGTACCATAGATTTTTGTTGGTCCATTTCCGCCTTCAAATCCAAAATCATTTTGTCTTGAGCTTTGATAGTACGTTGAGCAATTTTGCTTTCTCTTGCATAACAAGAATCAATAGTGGCAAGTTTGGGAGATGAAAGTTGACTATTATCATCATCATCTTCTACTGATAATAATCGACTATTTCTCTTTTGTTGTTCCTGTTGTTGTTGTTGTCCTTCTTCACCAATATTACTAAGAGGAGCTGGGAAGCCAAATGGACTAAGAGTAGAGGAGGTAACACTTCTTCGACGAGGAGTACGAGGAGTTCTAGGTTCACCACCAAGACTAAGATTTCGAATTTGATTATACATATCAGCTTCCTTTTGTTGCCATGCGATTCGATCAGTTTCAAAACTAGTGAGTTCCATTTCCAGTTTTTGTTCAGCATCTCGTTTGGATTTTGTTAACTGTTGTATTTGTTTTCGAAGGTTGGCAGTATCTTGTTCCTGAGCATAGAGTTGAGTTTCCAATCGAGATTGCGTATTGCTGTACATAGAGTTATCTTGTTGAATCCCAGCTATTTTCTATGATGATAATCATTTGGATGATGATGGATGACAGAATGTCAAAAGGAAAAAAATGTCGTGGTCAATTACCTAATTCAACCCATGTACATATATATATATACAGCACAACACACACACTCACTCTCACACACACACTCACTCTCACACACATACTCTCGCTCACACACACACACACACGCAGACTCACGCTCATATATATATATATATATTTATATATATGTCAGACTTACTTTCCGGAGATAGTCGTTATCATTGCCTAGTTCTTTAGATTGTTCTCTGAGTTCTTGTATTTGAGCTTGTAACTATAAACGACATAATAAGTTAATACAACCTTTTATCATTATTATTATTATTATTATTATTTAACAGCACTTACTGTCAGATTGTCATTTTGAGCTTCTTCCAAGTTTTTTTGTAACAAGTGAAGAACCTTTTCAAAGTCACTAGTTGAAGATGTCATGATGGAGAAAGTGGCAAATAAAAAAGGTAAAAAATAAATAAACAAGCAGAACCAAGTTCTTTAATAATATAAAAAAAAGAAATCAGTAATACTAAGGAAAAAAAAAAAAAAAAAAAAAAGAAAAAGAAAACGAAAAAAAAGAATGAAAATGAAAAAATTTTTGTAAAAAAAAAAGTGCCTTGATTTCACTTGTACTACCATATTGATTTCGGCGGTAAATAAAATAAAGTAAAAAAAAAAAAAAAAAGGGCACTTTTGACTTGATGTTTCCAATTCATCATACTAAGTATGATTGATCTTAGTACTACTTTAATGACTTCTTTTTTTTTTTTTTTTCTTTTTCTCTAATCAAAAATTTGTTTAATGAAAACTTTCTTTATTCTTTTTTTATATTTTTAAAAATCATCAAGCATCATGATAACAGTATTGTATGATACAGGAATTACCCGGAGTTAGAAATCATGTGGGGAATAAGGGAAGGAAAATGGTGACAAAAAAAAAAAAAAGTAATAACCCTTGTCAATTTTTCTTCACTTCTTTTTTTCTATTATTATTATTATTATGGATTATTCCCATTTACTTGCTACTAATTACAAAACTATTATTGCTCAATATTTAGAAGAAGATGTTCCTTCATTTGACTATGGAGGTTATGTCGTAGGTGAAGAAGATCAAGTCGCTACTTTATATTGTAAAGCTGAAGGTGTTTTGGCAGGTGTCCCCTTTTTTGATGAAGTCTTTAGACAACTGGATTGTCGGTAAGCTTTTTTTTTTTTAGAATAATAATAACAATATTCATCTTCAACTTTTATTATTATTATTATTTCATAGTGTAGAATGGCAAAATAAAGAAGGTGAACATTTAAAACCTGAAGGAAAATTAGCTGTGGCTCAAGTATATGGTAAAGCTCGTAAGATTTTATTGGGTGAACGAACTGCTTTGAATATCCTTTGTCGTTGTAGTGGTATTGCTTTAAGGTAAATAATAATAATAATAATAATAATAATAATAATGAATTTATGTTTATTTATTTATTTTTTTATTATTATTAGAGCTCGTCAAGTCTATGAATTACAAAAAGCCAAAGGATTTAATGGTGTTATTGCTGCAACAAGAAAAACAACACCTGGATTTCGATTGGTAGAAAAATATGGTGTACTTGTAGGTGGATTGGATACTCATCGTATGGATTTATCATCTATGGTAATGCTTAAGGATAATCATGTATGGAGTTCTGGATCGATTACTAAGGCTGTCAAGAATGCTCGTGCTGTTTGTGGTTTCTCTTTGAAGATTGAAGTGGAATGTCAATCAGAAGAAGAAGCTGATGAAGCCATTGCTGCTGGTGCAGATATTGTTATGTTGGATAACTTTACTGGTGAAGGTCTCAAGGTAGCTGCTAAAAGTATCAAACAAAGATGGGCTGAAAAAGGTATCAAACATTTCTTAATTGAAAGCAGTGGTGGTATTACTTATGAAACTTGTGCAAATTACTTTTGTGAAGGTAAAAAAAAAAAAAAAGATGGATGAATCTCTTATATAAATCTTTTTTTTCATTATATAGATATTGATATTCTCAGTATGAGTACTATTACTCAAGGTGTTCCTCATGTTGACTTTTCTCTCAAGATCAACAAGAAATAATAAAATCTACCCCAGTTTTGAAATCATCCAATAAAAATGACGATCTGTCTTTGAATCTATTTTACTATTTTGTCTTATTTTTTTTTTTTTGAGTTCTGTCTTTTTATGTTTTTCTTTTTTCACAATTCTTTCTTTTTATTTTATTTTATTTTATGTTGAAGACAAAACCTAATGCTATTAAATGTTACTCACCATACCAAACTATTGAACATACCCTGGGTAATACTAGATACAAATATTGAAGGACATGCTTTAGACGGACCCATTTACGTTAAAGCCATCTTTGACATTGACGAATATAGAATTCTTGCAACAAATCTTCGATATACTTGGTTTGAATATGGTAACTCTTCTACTATCATCAAACGAGCCACAGAGTATCGGATGGATATAGAATCGGATGATCAAATTAGGGATTTGTTAGTTTCTCTACAATCATGCTTCCACCAGTCAGAAAACTGCAAAATAAGATTATCCGAAAGTGGTCAAGTAAAAAAAAAAAAATGACGTGAAAAAGGATCTTCTATCTTAACAGTATTGAAATCATTTATTTATTATATACCTTTTTTCTTTCTTTTCGAAATTAGTTAGTAATCATATACAAGGATATTAGTAAAGGTTTCACTTCGTTATCATGGACTTTTGATTGTTCTCTTTTGGAAATGAATTTTCTTCATGAAAACGCGTCATTTTTGGATGGTCCTACGGTTTTATATACACATTTTATTGCTCCTTTAGTCTCTATCACACAATCTAATTGGTTGAATCAAAAGGTAAGAGACAGAGAGATCATGTGATATGATGGATTAATATTACCTTTCTCCTTTAGAATACTATGGATCATAGAAGATCAAAATCACCATCACCAACTTCATCATCATTACCATCATCACCGAAAGAAGGTATTGACAATACTTCTTCATGGCTTTCTCAATTTTATTTGAAGACTGATTCAAATATTGAAAATGGTAAAGGACAAATCAGTGACGGAACTGAAATTATTGACTGCTGACTATTGTATTTAATTTTTTTTTTTTTATTAAATTCAAGAATCCGATGCCAGGTTGACAATAAGTGGAATAGAACAAACTAGTGGATTAGAGGATAATAAAGATTCTGCAACGCATGATGACCAGGCTTCTTTGACATCATCTCCTACTAAAAAAGTAAGAAAAATCTGCATAACTTTTTATCACATTCATACTCAATTAATATATGCGTTTCTTTTTTTTTTTTTCTAGTTATCCGATCCTGACAAGGAATTGGAAAGAAGAACAAAATTAGAATTGGATCTCTTGAAGAAAAGTGAAAAGGGGAAAAAGAAAAGACGTTTATTTTAGTCTCATTAGTTATTTATTTATTTTTTATCGTTCATAAATAAAAGAATTAAAATGATTATATTATATATCATCGATCATCATCTTCTTTTTTTTTCGGGGGGTTATCTATACGTGATAGACATCAATAAAAACAAATCAAATTCTTTTGACCACATTGATGCCAAGATACCAATTGAGAAAGGTAAACTCCCCTGATTTTTTTTTTCATTTTGAATTGGGAAACTTTTAATTATATATATATAGTTTAGCGTTGTTTCCATAATGTCATCATCGTGGTCATTGGTGTATCGGGATAACGGATAAACACATCATCCAATCACATCATTCGTTAACATTGATGCCAAAAAAAGAATTTTCTTTTTATTGTTCAAATGGGGAAAAGAATTAAGAATATTAAGAAGTAAATAAAATAATACAAATAAATTAAAAAAGTGAGATATAAAATAAAAAGATGAATAATATAAATTACGCAGTGATCATGACAGAAGAGGGTGTATAAAAAGAATGAGGACATCCAGAAACAGTGGTCAAACAATCTTGAGAGGGTAAAACAAAAGAGAATGTAACTTCATCCAACCAATGATCATGTTTGATAGAATGTTGTTGTTGTGGTGGTAAATAAACTCCAGAATCATTGACAGTTGATAGTTCATATACTTCGTTTTTACCTGTTTCTCGAAGCATCATTGGATTATCTTTTTTATTAAAAGATGGCATGGATGGAGAAGGTAATTTCATAGTAGGTATCTTGAGAAGTTTGGATGATGATGATGATGAAGAAGATGATTGTTCTCCTTCCTTTAAAGATATTGGTGTAGTTTTATTATTCTTCCATAATATTTTGGATGATTTGAACATGGATTTATATTTCGATTCAGGTGTAATCATCGATGTAGACATGATGAATATAAAAAAAGAAAAGAAGAAATATAAACGAAATGAAAAAAAAAAAAAAAGTGATTTAAATAGACTAAGAAAAGAAGAGGAGCGGGGATGAAAAGCCGGGTGTGAGAACAGCCGATGAAAAAGAACAAGAGGAAAAAAAGAACATCGGACGATTTTGTTTCCCTTTTCATATTTTATATTCTTCTTATGTCAAATAGAAAAATAGTCATTGTCATTGATGCTTTATCCAAAGAAGCCCAATAAAACTATTGATTGGATTATGGAAAATTTCTTATAACCTAACGATCAACTCACTGGTTTTTTTTTTTCATGTTGAAGTACGTTTATTTTTTTTCTGCGTTACGGTTAGAGACTTGTTTGTATTGGGTTTTGAAAATATGTTTGCTGTGATTCCTTTTTTTTTTTTTTTTTAATTACGGAAATGGATGATGGATGATATCAATAGAAGCTTTCTTATTCTTTATTATGGTCTTTCTAATAATCATAGCTAAATCAGTACTTTAATTGTTCTCAACAGCAAATCTCAACATCATCAATTTAGATTATATATAAGTTAGTTTATTAATAAACTCTTCTTTATATATCATCCTATTCATCATCGATTGTTGTTTGCCTAATACATATCTTTTCAGAGATGATTCGTGTGTGTTGTTTTCAGTCCCCGATAAAGTTTTTTTTTTTTTTTTTTGTGCACAGAAAAAATCTCACACACTTTCTGTTCTTTTTTTTTTTTTATTTTTATTTTCCTTTTTATTTGTTTATTCTTATACAATTACTCTTCATGTCTGGATACAAACGCAGCAAGGTGTCATTTGATAAGGATGATTATTATGATCGAGCGGGATCCAGCAAACGAGCCAAAACACAAAGACGACAAGAAAGAGAAGAAAGCACCGATTTTGAAATAGATCATGAAGAGTCTTTGGAACCTGCCAAACAACGTCGTGGAGCTGTTGCTAAGGATGCTTATGTCAGTGATGATGAAGAAGTGGGTGGTGGCGCCTTTAATAGTGATTCTGAAAATGGTGGAGACGATAGTGATGAGGACCAAGCAAGCAAAAAAACCAACGATGACGATGTTGATATGTTCTCCAGTACGGTGGCAGATGAAGAAGATGATACAAAGAAAAAGGACAAGAAGAAGAAACGGCTTGGTATGGACGATATTGAAGGACAAGAATGGACCTCTAGGGATCAAGAAAGTGATGATGACGATAACCAAAAAAACAAATTGACGGCATTCAACATGCGACAGGAAATGGAAGAAGGTAGTTTTGATGCTCAAGGCAACTACATTCGCAACGAAAAGGATCCTGAAGCTTTTCACGATAAATGGATGGAAGGAATTTCAAAGAAGGATATGCTCAAGGCTAGGGATGCTCAAGTACGACGGGATCAGGCCGAACAAGTCAAGGAAGCCTCTCGACAATCAACATTACCACAAACTCAAACTGATGTGTATTTGGCTCTTGTGGAATACCTATTACCGGGTGAATCTGTTAAGGACGCATTGACAACCTTGGGGAAAGGTGCACATGGAAAAATACCTCTATGGAAACAAAAACTAATGGCCAAGAAGAACAAGAACAAGAAACAAGATACACCTGTATTGGATGAACAACAAGCTGCTGATAGACAACGCAAGGTGGAAGAGATGACAGGTTTAGCAGATCAATTGATGGCTTTGGGACATTTTACTGTTTATGATGATACGTTTGAATCTATCGTACGTTATTTACGCAACAAAACTGATGTGGATGAACTTTGGTTACCGGAATCTATTCAACGCAAGTGATGATGAGGTATTCTTTTATGTGTTTTGTCAGAGTAATACCATTCCTATTTAGTATTTACAATCTCTTGTAGTTTAGAACTTGTAATTTAGATGATGATGTGATGATTTTCATATATACTTGGTAGTATATATATATTTGTACATATTTCAAACGAACCGTCATGAATAAAAGTTTTTTTTTTTTTTTTTTTTTTTTTTTTTTTTTTTTTGTGAAATTCTTTCTAGAGACACATACAAATAACAACGAATTTTATTTTATTTTTTTATTTTTATTATATAAATGTAAATTTGTGTAGGCTAACTAAATGTTTTTCTTTGAAGATGTTGAAGCAGGAGATTTACCCCAATACAAAAGTACTTGTAAGACCAAGATAAAGTTCAATCCAGTAGCCAATAACATACCAAGCAACATCAATGGATCATCAAGTTCAGTCCAAGTGGTAAACACACGCGCGCTTGTTCCCAAGAAGTAATTGACCACAGCAAATACAGAGAGTTGACCAGTAGACTTGTTCTTAAAGTTGGACCAAATCTGAGGCACTTTGCTTGCAAGTGTGAGGGGGATAGTGGCAGCGTACAGAGAAGCCATCAAAGTACTAGGGACCAAGTTAGGCTGCTGTAATCCATAAAATAGAGCAAAAACCAATGCATAGAGTGGTAATATATATAAACTTTGTTTGCTGTAAAACAGGATCAGACCGACAATGATGAGATTTTGAAGAGTGACAAAGAGAACTTCTCCAAATGTGCTGAAGGGATTGGCTTGACGAATATTGTAGGCTAGTGTGGTAGTAGACGCTGATATTTCCAATAAATACGATAACAGAGATACTCCTTGTGCTGAACCATGAGACACAATTGTTAGGATTTGTGGAATCTTGACAATGGACCCTCCTACTACAATACCTAACCCAAGACCTTTAGAAATAGAATACTTGATACAGGTCACATCAGTATAGTCTAATTGTTCTATCAGTGATATATAACAAGTATCACCAATAAGAGCAATGGCTGGTTGACGGATGAAGGATGGTAAATTCATGATAAAAAGGGAAATTAAAAAAGTGGAGAGAAAAAAATTAGAAAAGAAAAGAAAAGAAAAAGGAAAGGGGATACAAGTTCGCGCGTTTCCTTTTTTTTTTCGGACGTTCAAAATCTAACTTTCTCATTGATTTGGCTCTTCCCCAGTTCTTAATTTCTTTTCTTTTCCTTTTCTTTTTCTCAGACTTACTTTTTCTTTTTTCTTTTTTTTTTTTTTTTCCTATATTATTCATTATGGCATCGCCGTCTTATGCCATGTTACCTCAAACTAAGGCGTCTTTGGATTATATTATTGAACACCATAGACTTTTTCTCAAGGATAGACAAACTCGTGGTTTAGAACATAAAGCCATGGTGGTAGGTGTATCTGGATGTCAAGGCAGTGGCAAAACAACATTATGTGATACTCTTGTACATTTACTTCGACAAGCTCCTTATGATTTAAATGTAGTTAGTTTCTCTCTGGATGACTTGTATTTGACTCGTGAAGCTCAAGTGAAATTAGCGGCAAGATATCCCGACAACCGACTTTTACAATATCGAGGTCAACCAGGGTCTCATGATTTGGAGCTTGCAGAAACAGTATTTGACAATCTTTTAAAGGGTGATTCTAAAAAAACGGTGTATGTTCCTGCTTATGATAAATCATTACACGGTGGATTGGGGGATCGATTACCAGAAGAAGAGTGGCAACAGGTACAAGGACGGGTGGATATTATTTTATTTGAAGGATGGTCCCTGGGATTTAAATCAGTAACTCTGGCTCAATTACAACATATGTATGAACAATCAAATTTATTACAACAACATGGATTACATGATTTGGCGATTTTGAATGATTTTTTAGTCAAATATGAAGAAAAACTTTACCCCAAGATGGATATCTTTTTACATTTGGCGCCGATTGAACTGGAGCAAGTATACCAATGGAGATTACAACAAGAACATCATATGCAACAAACAAGAAATGTGAAAGGATTATCAGATGAAGCAGTAAGAACATTTGTGGATACTTATATGCCGGCATATACATTATATCTTTCTAGATTGAATAAGGTTGGTTTCTTTGGAGTGAATGGTGAAAGACAACGATCATATGAAGGATGGTATCGTAAGGATGGTGGTTATAGTGATAATACATTGGCAAGACATCTTAGGTTGGTATTGGATCATGATCGTCGAATGGTACAATGTCAAGATATTCATCCGGTACGTCCTCTTAATAATAATGGTAATCATTCTGGAAATTGGATTATTAGAAAATCAAGTTTAATTTTGACAACATGTGCAGTAGGATATATAGGATGGGTAGTTTATCAACGACGACAACCATTATTACAAGGGTTGATGAAAATAGTACATCAATTTACAGAATAATAAAGAAAACCTTATTTTTTTTTTTTTTTACTTTTTTGTGTACATGCCTTTTATGTGTGTGTCCCAATGTACGGTAAATAAAATTTTTTCTTTTTGACTCCGCCCTCTTTTTTTTTTCTCATATGCTCTTTTTTTTTTTTGTTTTGTTTCTCTTTTTTTTTTTTTTTTTCTCTCTCTCTCTTTTCCTCTTTTTTTTTTTCCCTCCAATAACAATACATAAAACTATCTCCCTTTATTTCATATTTTTTTTATTTGATTAACTAGTTTGGCTTTATTATAAGCATTCTCTTCAGTTTCTTCTCTCTTTCACTCTCTCTCTCTCTCTCTTTCTTTCTCTTTCTCTTACTCTCACTTTTACTCATCTCCTTTTTTATTTTTATTATTGTTATTATTTATTATTATTATTATTATTATTATTTACTTTATTTTCTTATTATTTAACTGTTATCACGCTTTGAAATCATAACAAGATGGGTCAACAAGAAAACAATGCTTATCCGCCTGGAACAATTGTATTTGCCAAATTGAAAGGATACCCCTGGTGGCCAGCAAAGGTAATTATATATATTATTATTATTCTTTTTTTTTTATTTATATTATATTGTGTGTGTGTGTGATGTATAAAAAGAAGAAAAGAGAATCATGACATTGATCTATGGATAAACTTTGGAAAAAGAAGGGAATTGGATTTATAACATGACTGTGATCTAATCCATCTTTTTATTTTTATTTTGTTAGGTTGAAGATGAACGTACTGTACCAGCCAAAGTCATGAAACAAAAGACAAAAACCAAATCACCAATATGGACTGTTTTCTTTTTTGGATCAAGAGACTAGTAAGTGAAATAGAAAGGAATTATTAGGAAGAAAAGGAAAAGAGATGGGAAATCTAACTTGATTTATTAGTGGATTTTTTGGACCTGACTCTATTCGACCATTCAACAAAGTCAATGTGGAAAAGGATTTAAAGGCGAAAAAGTTTAAAACGAAGGATTTGGAAATGGCAGTACGTGAGGCTTTAGATCCAACTTTGATGGAAGAAGATGAACAAGAAGAAGAAGAAGAGGAAGAGGAACAACAACAACCTCAAGAAAAGAAGAAATCGAAGGTAACAAAGGGTGGAAAAAAGGCAAATTCAACAGCAACAAATGAAGTGACAGGGAAGACTATAACACCACCCGCAGCGTCAAAGGGAAATTCGGCATTGCCTTCTTCTACCAAGAAAACAAGGACTCTACAAACTTCAGATCAAGAAGATATGGATACCCAACAAGTAGTGAATAACAAACGCAGTGTTAGTGAAGATGCCAAATCGGATAAAAAGAAAAGGGTAAAAGAATACAGAATGAGTGACAACATAGTATATTGATATTTGGTATTATTTTATTGGATAGCGCAAGTCAATGTCAATGGAAAAAGAAGATCAATCAGTCAACGGGCACGATCGTGCAAGTGCGTCTCCAATCACACCTCGCAAATCAGAAGAAGGATTGAACAAGGATAATGAATCACCAGAATTTACTCGCGAATTCAAACGACTGTATCATCTTAGACATCGTTTACAAAAGTTGATGTATGAAAAGAAACAGGTAAAATATTCGAAATGAGTGATGTGACATATAGGAGAAAAGTGTGATCCTGATATTTTTTTTTGTTTTATATTAGGGCGATATTCCATTAGATGATTACCCCAAAATCTCACAAGCTTTGAAGGATGTTGAAGATGCGCCTATGACATATGAATTATTACGGGTAAGAAAGGATCATTATATAGAAAGAAAGTGTACAATATGGAAAAATGGATATGACGCGTCAATGAATGAAGTGGGATATAAATGGTAGGAACAATGTTTTAACCTTATTGATTTTATATATAGCACACAAAGATTGGTAAGGTGGTCAAGTCAGGAATTGGATATGATTTTGGGAATGACACAGAATTCAGTATTCACGAACGATGCCAACAATTGTTGAAAAGATGGAAGGAATTATTTGTGGATACAAACTTAGCAAGAAATCAAGACACTGCGGGCGACCATAGCAACAAAGATTCAACAACACCAGCATGATGATAGAGGAGGATGAATGTTTTACTATAGACATTTGTATATTTGGTTTGGATTTCCTTTCTTGGGGATTATTATCATTATCATTCTTATCGTCACTCTTCCTTTTTCCTTTTATTCACAATTCCACATATTCTCTCTCTCTCTTTTTTTTTTTCTTCATTTTTTTTTTTTATTCCTTTGTGATTTTATTTCTTAGTTCCCTCTTCATATGTGTCTTTTTGATGTTAGTCTTATTGCATTCCTCTTCCTTTTTTTTTTTTTTAACTTTTACTATTATACTTGATTTTCCACACTCTCTCCCTCTCTCATTCTATTCTTTTTTTTTTTTCTGTCTTTTTTTTTATTATTATTTTTATTATTATTATTGTCTACTCATTCGAAATAAAGCAGCACCAAAAATCAACTTTTTTGTGATTCATCTATCTAGGTAATATATGTTCATGTGCTTTATCTGATGAAGGAAAGACTTCAATTGGTTGGCTGAGATTGCAGTCTTTTCATTGGCTATCGTTATATCAGAGCAAAAACGCAAAGCAAATGACTTATGATATCTTGCTCTAATCATGGTGATTACTTTTTATCAAGATTATTTTATATCATCTTTTAATAATAAAGTCCTGTTCTACCCCACTACTATCATCGTTGTCACTCACGTCAATGCAATTCAATGCATATCACTCATTTTCATGTGACCACAAGAATAATATTCGTCAAGTTTATCATAGCTGAATTTTTATTAAGAATCAAATACTGAAGGGAGTGATTATTGGGTGTGATAGCTTCCTTTTTTTTTTTTCTTTGGTTTCATGACCATGATATGGCTCAATCCATTTATAAAATTAATCATGAGAGGAAGTAAACGTTTATCATATTATCTTAGTACCATTTTATAATATATATGTGTAATATGAATAATGATAATTCGCAATAAATCATGAAATAAAGGATTTGTCATGAAAAGATCAATTGAAAAAAAAGGACTTGAAAAGGAAACCGCGATGATGATTTGTTTCTCTTGGATCCGAAAATCCATAGGATAAACGTTTTGAAGTTGGCTTGTGGAGGATTTTTTTTTTTTAATGAATCCCGTGGACTCGATTAAAGTATTATCCGCACTACGCCCCCGCGGAATCAAATCAAAAAAAAAAAAAAGATATACGATGATTATATATATATATAAAAGAAATCAATTTAATCTATCATTGATTTTATTTATCATTTTTATTATTATAATGATGATGATTTATTATAAAAGTGAAGTCATCGTTAAAAAGTAAAACTGAAAATGATGGGATCAAAAATGTAGATAACCGGTAGGGGCGGAGTTCATCCGGCTAACCGTTTTGACAGTGCAACCAACCAAAAAGATATAAAAGAAACGCTTCTTGAACATCAATTTTTTTTTTTTTTTTTTTTTTTACTTTATTACATTCATATAAATCAATCTTATTCCAATCAAATACTTTTTTTTTTTATTATTATTATTATCAACAATGAATTTCCAAGAACTTATCAAGAAATTGACTCAACGTCAATCATCTAGTACAAACACTACACCAGCACACTCCAAGGATAATTCTAGAGCAAGTTCTATTCATGAATCATCCACTATTACATATTCTCCACCTGTTCAATCGCCTGCTATTCAAGCTAAATATTTGATGGATCCTATGAGAACAAATTCTCATCCTGATTCAGTGGGTTACTTTGTTGATCCTATGGGTGGTCGTACTACTTATTCTTCTGGTTATGATGTTACTAATACTGGTGCTTAAAAAAAGAATAACATACAATTTATTCATAGTACTACATCTTATTTATTATTATTATCATTATCATTATTATTACTATTATTATCATCCTTCATTCATTATTTTATTACTAGTACTACTATTATCATTTTATACATTATCATCATTATTATTTTCATTTCTTATTGATATACCTTTTTTTCATATTTTTAAATAAACATTTACATTCTATTATTATTATTATTTTTAACATAAAAATAGACTTTAGGCACATTGCATAAAAAGTGAAATGACATTGTTTTTCTTTTAAAAGGATCATTCTTTTTTTTTTTTTATCATTCGTTTTTTTATTATGAATATATAGTTTATTGAATCAGTTCTAAAAAAAGGTAACCTATCTCGTTGAAAACAATGATTCAATAGAAGTGGGATGATGATCCAACATACACAATCGGATTTGGAAATGTAGCGTGTCAAGTCCTAGGATGATCCAGAAAGAAAAAAAAAAAAAAAAAAAAAAAAGAGGTGGTGGTCTTGCAGTCACTAGTTGTCGGGGATGTTTTTGCATTCAATTTTTTTTTTTCCTCTTTTTTGTTTCTTCCCTTTTTTTTTTTTTTCTTTTCTTCTTCCTTTATACAATTATACTTATTTTTATATAATGGTAAGGAGACTTCATATGCTTACCTTCACGTCACAAACTATAAAGAAAATAATGTTATTTTATCTATCAATTATATACATGTTAAATCGACTGATTTGTTTAATATTATTATTATTATTCTTTCTTCTTAGTCTGGATCCATCGTGACAAATACAGAAACCAAAGACCTTTTACGAATGGAACGCGTTGGTAAGTTACGATCCTCTTATTATTTTTTTTCAATGTTGAATTTAATTTTATTTTACTTTTTTTTTTTTTCTTCTTCTTTCTCTTTTATTAGGGGCTCATTCACATATTCGAGGTTTAGGTTTAGACGATGCGTTGGAACCTCGACAAACTTCACAAGGAATGGTTGGACAATTGAAGGCTCGTAAAGCAGCTGGTGTGATTGTTAAGATGATTTCTGCAGGAAAGATTGCTGGTCGGGCTGTATTGATTGCTGGTCCTCCTTCTACTGGTAAAACTGCCATTGCTATGGGTATGGCTCAAGGTAAGTTCAATTGATTTCCCTAATAATGAAACTAATGAATTCACCTTTCTTCTTCTTCTTCTTCTGCAAAGGATTGGGAACTGACGTGCCTTTTACCATGTTGGCTGCTTCAGAAATCTTTTCTCTTGAAATGTCAAAAACTGAAGCTTTGACTCAAGCTTTCCGTCGCTCTATTGGTGTGCGTATTAAAGAAGAATCCGAAATCATTGAAGGTGAAGTAGTGGAAATTCAGGTGGATCGTTCAATGACTGGTGTAAGTAGGCTTTTAATATCAAAGAAAAAGAGTGTGGTCATAAACAGAAGAGTATATACACATTATAGTGTCTGAACTCTTTTTTTTTTTTTTTTTTTTTTACCTATTATTTGGATATCCACTTATATAGGGATCAAAAACTGGAAAATTGACGGTGAAAACCACGGATATGGAAACCATTTATGATCTTGGCAATAAAATGATTGATTCATTAAACAAGGAAAAAGTGATGGCAGGGTAAATGGAAGAAGAAGAAAATGAATACAGTCATTTATTATTGTTGGCACTTTTTTTTTTACTTTATTCATTTTTATTTCTATTTAGTGATGTCATTGCTATCGATAAAGCTTCTGGACGTATTACAAGATTGGGCCGCTCATTCACTCGTGCTAGAGATTATGATGCTATGGGATCAGATGTAAGTATTGAAATGAATCATAAGGGAAAGAGAGTAAAAAGAGGACATCATCATTTTAATACATCTCTTTTTTTATTTAGGTCAAGTTTGTTCAATGTCCTGAAGGTGAATTACAAAAACGAAAAGAAGTGGTTCATACAGTTTCTCTGCACGAAATTGATGTGATCAACAGTCGGTCGCAAGGATTCTTGGCTTTATTCTCAGGTGATACGGGTGAAATCAAGGCAGAAGTACGTGACCAAATCAACAGCAAAGTTTCAGAATGGAGAGAAGAAGGCAAGGCTGAAATTGTTCCCGGTGTAAGTAACGATTCTGTTATTTTTTTTTAGCTCATAAAGAGAAGATGAGGAAAAAAAAGGGGCATCTTACTAATGGATTATGTTTTTCTAGGTCCTATTTATTGATGAAGTTCACATGCTTGATATTGAATGTTTCTCCTTCTTAAATCGAGCTTTGGAAGATGATATGGCTCCTGTAGTGATCATGGCTACCAATCGTGGTATTACCAATATCCGTGGCACAAAATACAAATCTCCTCATGGTATCCCTGTAGATTTATTGGATCGTTTACTAATCATCTCAACAAAGGCTTATGAAGAAAAGGAAATCAGTGAAATTTTGACTATCAGGTAATAAGACAAATAGGATGAGGTTGATGTTGATTAACAATCATCCTATTTTATTTATCTATATGTAGATGTCAAGAAGAAGATGTAGATATGACAGAAGAAGCCAAAGATCTCTTGACGAAGATTGGTGTGGAAACCTCATTACGTTACTCTATTCATTTGATTACAGCAGCAAACCTTGTAGCAAGGAAGAGAAAGGTAACTATCATAGAAAGGAGACAGAGAAAAATGGAAAATAAATTGATTTTATATTTTATATTTTTATTTATATCAGGCACCTGCTGTAGATGTACAGGATATCAAACGCGTATACATGCTATTCTTGGATGAAAAACGATCTGTACAAGCCATGAAGGATTATCAAGACCAATACATGTTTAATGAAAACGAAGGAGGTATGGCTATCGATACACCAATGGAGTTGTAGGTTATATGTGCATTTATCATTTTTTTTATCATATTATCATTTTTTCCTCCCTACCATTCCCATTATCGTTTTTTATTTTTATTATTATTACTTTACATCATAGCTTCTTCACCATTTTATTGACAATTTGACCTTCTTTGTAGTTGCCTTTTTTTTTTTTAAAAAAAAAATAAATGAAATAGATGACATCTTTCATTATGTATAATATGTGTATACATATCTTTTTTATTTTATTCATGTGTATTTTAAAAGAAAGACAAGATGATAGCAATGGACAGTATAGCACCAATGGATGATGCAAACATTGTTTGAGAAGCGTCATTGGATTTTCTGTTCTTTTGGGAATTGATATTAGCCTTATGAGCAGCATTGGATGAAGGAACAGCAGAAGCAGGCGAATCAGATCGAGGTCCAGATGACATGGAAGTAGGTTTGGCAGAAGCAGTGGCGGCAGCAGACGATGTATCAGCAGCAGAGCTTACTGCAGCACCTGCCACATTACCGGCCACCAACTTACCGACACCCCATGGGATCTTTTCACCTATCATTATCATCATCAAAAAAAAAAAATGGATTAAGGATCAAATCATTCTTTTTACTGATATTTCACTTACCATTGGGTTGAACAGATTTTTCTGGTACTTCTTGTTTACCATCTTGACCTACAATGGCAAATCGACTAGACCATGCATTTTCACCACTTTCTATTAAGGAAAAAAAAAAATAAATAAATATGATATTCAAATTAGGAAAAAATCGTTTTTTTTTTTTTTATATATACCATTGGTGAACATCAAAAAGTAAATGGGAGCATGAGGAGTAACATCAGGTGCAGTATACTTGTAAGTCATAGCATTTCCCTTAACATTTTCAGCAATAGTTGTTAATAACACTTGATCATTATCTTCACCAGTCATCAAATCTAAATAGATGATCTATTAGTTTTTTTTTTTTTTTATTTATTTTATTCTGTGTGATTTACCGATACGAAAGGTCTTCCATGTAGCATTCATAGGGGGTTCTGTATTATCTTCCTCTATAAAGAATAAAAAGAAAAAAGAAAAAGAAAAAAAAATAAGACGATGATGATGATGGTGATGATGATGATGGTGATGATGATGATGGTGATGGTGATGATGATGATGATGTTTTAATATAAAAAACAATGCATTTACCCCAAGTGATTTCATATTCTTTCCCTACTGTCCACACAGTGCCTGGTTCGGGATTAGAAGGAGACATATTGGCATTGACCATCATGGTCATCATACCCATTAACATCAAACCATAACTCAAACTGGATACCATATTGATAATTGAAAAAGAGGTAAAAGTAAAAGAAAGAAAGAAAGAAAAATTTAGGAGAGATTATTGGTTGCATGGCCTCTTTTTTTTTTTAACATCATCCATCCATCTATCGTAAGTGAAAAAAAAAATATTCCGTTGTTTATTGATTTCATTTGTTACATAACTTATCCTGCATTCCTTTGCTGTTTCCTTTTTTTTTTTTTTTTTTTTTTTTGGACATTTGAAAGGTATCCATCGGATAGTAAGTTTTTTTTTTTGGACAAGTTTATTCTTGTGTCCGGAACTTTCACTCTACCCAGAAAAAAAAAAAAAAAAAAAAGAAAAGATTGTAGATTGGACTCTATGAAAAAATTACCTGCAATCAAACTTTAACAAAAATCAAGGTAATTATTACCTGGGATCAATTTTACGCTGGAAGCTTTGGAGTTCCAAATTAATAAAATCAGGCTGTATTTTTTATTTTTCCCATTTTTTTTTTATTTTTCCTTTTTCTTTTCCTTCTCCATCACTTTTTTATTTTTTTATTTTTGTTTCTGCCCTAGTTTGATTGGTTTGTTTCTCAAGTAATAGTTACAAGTCATCTACTTTGTTATTTTGTATATATATACTCAAGGTAATGTCAACAAAACAGGGATATGATGTTCTGCTACTAATCTCTTTCTTTCTTTCTTTCTTTCTTTCTTTCTTTCTTTCTTTCTTTCTCAAGTTTGACCTAGGTTGCAACATATAACTTCTTTTTTTTCTCATTGATGATCATATGTATTTTTCTCTCTGTGAATAGATATGTGAACATAACGACTGGATCAATTGAATGGATTGATATTCGATAGGATCAACTAAATGGATATTACAATTGGATCAACTCAATTGAATGAATAGGATGGAGGTCGTGGTTAACTGATATAACAGGATGCACTTGGATGCCAATACGACACTATGGATTACGTGGCCTGAAAGACGACTCTCACTCTCACACACATACCTTTATAGATTATATCTTTATATATATATTGCCATTTGAATAAAGTCATATTCTTTTCGAAAACCAATCTTTTTTTTTTTTTTTATTTACTGTTTTATATATGAAACGCGTATAGTGCTTGATGTGATTATTGAACAAGAATAGGATTAGAGACCCAAGTTTCCCAATGATTTGGATTAGCTGGATCACCAAGTAATCGAAGAGCTTGTACACGAATAGAATAGCGACCAGGAGCAACAATTTGCCTAGCTACCCCAAGACCTGGTGTAGCTTGTACCTCGCCGTTCCATACAAATTGACGATAATAGTTATCTAAAGTTCGACGATTTCTATCGACATTGAGTACAGGAAAATTGGGAATATAACCAACAACGGTAGTAGATATATCCATGGATCGTTTTGAGGAATCATCATCCTTCTTGTCAGAAGACGACTCGGCAAGGATGATATCAGCACGGATTTCTCTTGTAGCAGTGATCATTCGACATACCACCGCCGGTAGTCCACTGACATCCAAAAAATCTTCATCTGATGGTACATCATTATTCGATGGAATCGTAGTCGATTTAATCTCATCATCATCGTTCTTTTTCTTTTTGGTACCATTGATATTGTTAACACGATACAAGTCATCAAGATGTAATACGAATGTCTCGGATGGAGAATAAATATCTGTCAGATTTTCTGCTGGAGCCATGAATGGAAAACCATCATCAAAAATAGGAAGATCAGGCATTGAACCCAATACGCCAAAGTAAGGTACACTTGCTTGTTTCGTTTCATCACTCGTTGATTCCCATACTATATAACCACCATACATTTGATAATCATACGAAGATGTATTGGAAGGTAATTTGACTTGGATTTGAATAGGTATCATCTGGCCAGGTGCTAATGTGATTTGTTGTTTATCAAAAACAAGTTCCACCTGAGCATCACCACGACTCACAGGTTCCAAAAGTGTATAATGATTACCATTGTCTTCATCTGATTGATCATGTCTGTTAAATGTTGATGATGATGATGATTTTTTACTCGTTTCCTTTTTAGAGTCATATGGATTCACTGATTTTGAGGGACGATGATGGATGGTTAAATTGACTGATTCACCGCCCAGGTTGGTGATTTGCAGAGTATGAGTTTTGTAATCAATTAGACTTGATGTGTCGTTGAAGCTGATTTGACTTGGTGATACATGTATAGGATTTTTGATCATATCGTAAGCTAATCATTGGAATTAAAATACATCATATAATAATGAGTTCCTTTGCAATATATAAAATAATGACATGATGCATGGATGACTGAATGTATGGATGATTTCATGACATGAATACTAAGAACTACTAGTAACCTTTTTTTTTTTTTTAAAAAAAAAAAGACTTACGTTGAACCAATCCGGCACCTTGTAAAAGAGGATGATCAGGCATATCATCTTTCATGGTGATTTTGGCGTGATTTTGTAAATGTTCCATCGCATAAGAAACTAATGAATTGATGATTTGTTGATTTGATTGCATGTTGACATCTAGCTGTTTTCGAGTAGCTTGTAAAAATAATGCCATGATACCAGTAACATGAGGACCAGCCATTGAAGTGCCTGATCGAACACCCCATCCACTTTCAAAGCCTGCTGTATTTTCCAATTGAAGAGGTAATGTCCTATACGAATCAAAAAAAAAAAAAAAAAAAAAAAAGTTATCAAGATCATCATCATCATCATCATCATCATCATCGTCATCATCATCATCATCATCATCATCATCATCATCATCATCATCATCATCATCATCATCCTTGACAACGGTACTTACGAATACACTTGTCCACCAATACCGGCAATATTAGGCTTCAAATCTAATTCATATGTAGGACCAGTACTTGAAAATTGGGATACTTGCATTGCTGTAGATAAAGGTTTATCAATCACCTGGGGAGGGAAAAAAATAGATGTAGGCAATAATGGATATAAACTTTTCTTTTTCGGATCATCATCATCATCATGAAATGCAGTACCGTTACCAAGGCGATACAGACGATGAGCTAGGTTTCTTGAAATACCAGCAACAGGGATGGGGCTATCTATGGTCTGGATAGAAATCGGATCATCACCATTTCCATTTTCTTCCGATACTTTATCATCATACACTAGGATACCCATAGCACCTAGATGATTATGAGCTTCGATAGCCTTTTGATCAAAAGTACAACTTCCACGTTGTACAAGCAAAATGTTTCCTTTGACTTGCGTACTTCCAGGTAATTTGCTCGCTTCGCTACCGTTGCACATATCGATGGGGGTATGATCTTTCTCTGTGATGTTGTAGATGGCTACCAAAGTTCCGTTAGGGAATGATGATGTTGTTGTCGATAACTGATACTCTAAAAGATTATAAAAAAAAAAGTTGTTAGCTAGATTTCCGAAGCATCAGTTCTATAAATATGTATACTATTCAACACCTATCATCCATCATTCACATATCATCCATCATCACATATCACCCATCATCACATATCACCCATCATCACATATCACCCATCATCACATATCATCCATCATCACATATCATCCGTCATTCACATATCATCCATCACCACATAACATCCATCTTCACATATCATCCATCACCACATAACATCCATCATCACATATATCATACCAAAAGATTCATTTGGAATGGAGTCAACCAAAAGAACAGTTGTTGGATAATATAAATTGTCCAGAGAAGCGACCGATACCACATGCTTGCCAGTACCAGGGGTGTTTTGAAGATAGGCACCAGCATCTGCTTGATTACCTGCCACAGCGACCACTATTACCGTATATACATATATAAATTAAAAAAAAAATCCTGATGATACGGAAAAGCATCTTCCTTTTTTTTTTTTTTTTTTTTTTTTTTTTTTTTTTTTACCAATGATTCCTTGTTGTGTTAATCGATCAGCTACCACTGCCATTGCATCCTCTGCCCAAGCGCTTTGTACACCCAAACTCATATTGATCACATCACATCCTAAAGAAATAAAAGTTTATCAAAATAGATCATGAAAAAAAAAAAATCATGTATTACCAGCTTGATGAGCCATAGTAAGTCCTTGGATCACAGTATCCTCACTTGCTCCACCTTCGCAGCCAAAAATACGCCACATTCCTAAATTTACATCTGGTGCCACACCAACAAAACGCTACATCATCATTAAAAAAAAAAAAAAAAAAAAAAAAGATGATCAGACTCTTTATGATTCCTTAAAAAGTTTTCTATATATCGTTCTACCTTTTGTGTATCCATACCAGCAATGATTCCTGTTACATGAGTTCCATGCCCTAAGTAATTCAAAATGATAAATCGTCAAAGAATGAAAAAGAAATGTATTTTCTTTTTTATTTTTTTTGTTGACTTACCACCAGCAGGACATGGATCAAAAGGATCGCCCTTTTCATGATGATAACCTACCGAGTTGATATCATCTTGAGGATCCACTAGATTAGCACCCAATTTGATTTTATATTGAGGACCAAACCCGCCACCCAAAGCTGGATGACGATAATCAACACCAGAATCCAATAAACAGACATTGATATCTTTCCCAGTGTAACCTAAAGTTTCATGGACTGTTTTGATTTGAGAAATGGAATCATCATATGGATACTGTAATGTTGAAGAATCATTCATGAGAGAGGATGATGATGATGATTGCCAATCTGGTCTTGAAACGAAATACAATGGATATATTTTTTTAACCCAAGGATTGTTGTCAATGATGACAGGTTGAAGTAATCGCTTGCTTTTTTTGGATGATGATTTTCTTGCATTGGCCAGGTCATTGATAGGCTTCATGTTGAGTAACGATGAGAAGGAACGCGTATGGTGATCCGAAGATAATTGGACTGACATGCCAGAAAATAACTTGGAATTTTGATACACTTGCCTGATCTTCATTTGTTGTGTGATTGGTGCTAGTAACGACATGACCTTGGTATGATGTGTCTGTGAATCCACATTATCGACATATTCCAACAGGTAAGCATTGGGGATAATTTGACGTCCACTGATGGTGTCGTTATCAGGATCATCATCATCATTTTTAATACTGTTATCATTTATATCATCTTCTGCTTGTACAATAATACTACTGATAATGATGAATAATACATAGATCAAGAAGAAAGGATATAACCTATACATGATGATATATAACCTATACATGATGATGTATACAAAGAGAGAGAAAAAAAAATTAAAAAAAAATAAAAAAAAAGAATTCTTTTTAAATATAGATCTCTTATTTGCCTTTTATTGCTTTATGAAATTGTATCCATCTTCCCCCCTGAAATTTTATTGTTGGTCATTAAAAGAATGAGGATGGTCAAACTCTATCGAATGAAAATGGTGGTTAGTGGTATCATTCTTCTATGACAACTGGATTGTTGTTTTTGATATATTAAAATAATCTGCATAATATCTTTTTTTAACTTTTTTTTTTCATCCCTTATTATGAACTTTTCTTTTGTTTTAAATATCAAGTATGTGCGTTGCATATTATGATCGGATTCAATTCTTATCTCATACCTTGTTGTAATTCTTAGATCATCAAAACAAATAAAAAGCAAAGGTAGGAAGGCGGGGCTGAAAATCCAAATGCCAAAAAAAAAAAAAAAAATGTGAGTAAAAGCATATTTTTTTTCTTTCTTTTTCTTTTCTTTTTTTTTTTTTTTTTTCCTTTTCGGTTCAAATTGTATTGATTAAGACAATCATGGTAGTGGATCATGTGGAAATAGCAGAAGAAAGCAATTTACATACTGAACGAAAATATCAAAAGGATGCTAAAATTGGTGAAGGTACCTATGCTGTGGTATATAGAGGTAAGCGTTATGATCATCCTCTAAAAAGTTGAAAACTCAACTCTTTAAACTGTTGCTTTGATAGGAAGACGTATATCTGATGGAAGAAAAGTTGCTGTGAAAAAAATAAAAATGGGTCAGTTCAAGGATGGATTGGATCTTACCGCGATTCGTGAAGTTAAATATCTTCAAGAGCTTAGACATCCAAATATTATTGAAGTAAGATATACTGGTGATGAATGAAAACTCAAATCTGTTTATGTATTCACTTTTTTTTTTTTCTTTTTAACCTGTAGTTAATCGATGTCTTTTCACACCGTACCAATCTGAACCTTGTATTGGAATTTTTGAACTCGGATTTGGAACAAGTGATCAAGAACAAATCTCTATTATTTATGCCTGCGGATATCAAGTCTTGGATGTTGATGATGTTACGAGGTTTAGACCATTGTCATCGTCACTTTATATTACATAGGGTATAAAAAAAATTGAAAATGTGTTATTATTATTTTGTACCTCTGATTATTTTCTTTCTTTTATTATATAGGATATGAAACCAAACAATTTGTTATTGACGGAACAAGGTGTTTTGAAAATTGCAGATTTCGGGTTAGCAAGAGACTGGGGTGATCCAAATAAGTGTATGACATCTCAAGTGGTGACACGTTGGTATAGATCGCCTGAACTATTATTTGGTGCTAAAGAATATTCATATGCGGTGGACATTTGGGCTGTAGGTTGTATCTTTGCTGAACTCATGTTAAGAACTCCTTATGTGGCTGGTGATTCCGATATGGATCAATTAACAAAAATCTTCCATGCTCTTGGTACACCTACTGAAGCTGATTGGCCTGTAAGTTGAACTATGCATTTTAGAAAAATTCTCATTTTGAAATGATCACTGACTTTTATATAAAAAAAGGGATTGACAAGTTTACCGGATTATATTCAATTTAAACCATTCCCCAAGGTACCATTACATCAATACTTCACTGCGGCTGGACGGGATGCTATTGACTTGTTGGAAAAAATGTTGGTGTTTGATCCAAATCAACGATGGACAACGGATGAGGTAGGATGACAAGAAAAAACAGAGATGCAGAGTTCTAATATATACTACCTGTCTTGATATATAGTGCCTTGGACATTCTTACTTTAGAAATATGCCTTTACCTACCGAACCACACAAACTACCCAAAAACGATCCTGATAGTTATTAGTCTTATTTAAACGCAAAACACACACATCTATCTTGTAAATTTGATTCATCTTTTCTTCTTGTTACTTTTCATGATTATCCATTCACACACGTATATATACTACTTCCATTTCAGTATGATATTTTATTTTTGTATATATCATTTTGTAAAATCAAATAAAAAAAAAAAAGGAAACATTTGCTTTGTTTGTTTATTTCAAATTGGAGGATGAGAATAAGGAGAGAGGAGAGAGCAAAGAGATTAACAAAATGATAGAATGGGATTGCAGAAGATATGAATCAATGATAAAAAAAAAAAAATAGTGAAAGAAAACAATAAGCTGTATATGGACAGAGAGTAAAGAATAATATATATATATCATCAGAGAAGAAAAAAAAAATAATACATACAAATAAGTGGAGAAGAAAAAAAAAAAGGAGAGAAAAGGATAAAAGATATATATATATATATATTGCTGTATATGTATACATCACACAAACATGAGGGGAAAAAAAAGGAGGAGAATGTGAAATAATAGTTTTGTCATTTCGATTCATCTTGAGCCATCATTTTTCGTTTGCCTATAAATCAAAAAAAAAAAAAATGTATTAGATTGATGTATTAGGCAACCTTCTATTTACTTACGTTGATTGGGTGTTGTTGGAGTAGACAAGTAAGAGGGTTGATTCGGTGTAGCAGAGGAGGAAGATAACATATTGTTTGCAGAAACGATAGGTGTAGATGTGGCGGATGTTGGATATGGAGAATGGCCTTGAGGGTATGGACTCTGAGGAGTTGTTTGTTGTAGTTGCAAATGTTGTTGTTGCTGTAATTGGAAGATGTGCTGCTGTTGCTGTAAAAGGATAGACGATCGTTGCTGAGGTGTTAATGTATCCGTATTCATTGGTGACCCTGTTATTATCTCTGTTGATGATGGTGGTGGTTGTTGTATTGAAGTATTGTTCACAGGTGTTACTGCTGATTTGCTATTTTTACGCGATATTGTTGCTGATGATTTTCGTTTCTTTGTTTGTTTGGGTTTCTTTGCTTCCTTTTTTGTGGTGGTAGGTGAATCAATGACAGGTTCTGCTTTCGTAATGTTCGGGGTTGGCACTGTTGAAGTGGATACATTGGTTCCATCCATAGCTGAAGGTGACATTGTTTCTTCTATTAACATTAAGAAGAAAAAAAATCAATATGAATCCAGTTTTCTATATTAGATATAAATACCTTTGATTCCTTCCATGAATGATGATGATTGAGCATGTTGTTGTTGTTGAGATAATGTAGAGGAGAATAAAGAGATAAATGCAGCTTCACCATATTTTGAAATAGCATTACACATCTATAATAGAAAAAAGGAAATATAGATAGTGAGTTGATGTCTATGTTTGAAGAAAGGAAAAAAAAAAATTTCATTACTTACCTTGAGTAAATTGTAAACACGATTAGGTAATCCCCAATCATTCACAAGTGAATCTGGTATATGCTTCCCTAATGATTTCATTGTTATAGCTTGTTGTTGTTGTTGTTGTTGTTGTTTTCCTTTCTTTTTTGATGTCGTCACAGGAGGAGTCGGTGGTGCTGGAGGAGGAGATACATCAACAAGACCAGATCTTGATATAAATTCTTCCACATGATCACAAGTAAAATTCCATTGCAAAATTTTCAAATTGCCAAGTGTAGGATCAGTACGGAGCACAATAGAGGTTCGACCAGTCAAAACCACCATGGTATCATTTGTGTACTTATAGATAAAACTAGATACAGGGCATTCCACCATCATCCCTTGTGGTAATATATATTCCATAGTTTGATCCATAGTCAATTTGATAGATGTCACTTGGCATTCATATTGTGTATGGAAAAATCTGGCAATCAAAGGTTGACATATTTCTATTCCAAAAAAAAAAAAAAAGATATCCATAAATAAAATCATAAAAAAAAAATCCATTTATTTTTTCTCTCTTACCAAACTGTTCTTGCTCTTTGGTTATAGAGTTCCATACTCCAAAAAATAATTTTGCTTCGTTGGCGAAAAAATCATGAACAAACCAATCCCAAAATGTACGATTTAATGCCTAAAATGATGATACATAAAGATATGAATAAAAAAGGATTTATTATTAGAATACTTTCCTTACCTTTTCTCCAGGTGTTAAAAAGTCGCCCAGTTGTAGTAACCGTAATACAGCTTGACCTGTAGGATGTCCACTGAAAAATAAAAAAAAATATTGAGTTTTTGTTTTCAAGATAAAAAATGTATCTTACTTACTTTTGCATGGTTCTATTAGTTACTTGCATGTTAACTGGTGTAGGAGGTGGATGAGACATATGGGTATGCTGAGGTAAAGAATGAAGAACTGCGGAGGACATGGCGGAAGTCATTGGAATAGAATGAAAAGAAGGTTGCTGTTGATGTTGTTGAGGATGCGAAAGCCCTTGTTGTTGTTGTTGTTGTTGTTGTTGCTGTTGTTGTTGTTGTTGTAATATTTGTTGTTGGTGAAGTTGTTCTGCTTGCCATCGTTGTTGTAAAAGTTGAAATTGTCTTTGTCGAATATATTGTTGAGCTTGGATTTGGCTAGGATCAGCCAAACCAGTTGGTGCCGTAGACGCCGCCGCTGATCTTTGTTGAAGCGAAGGTGGAATTGACATATATATGTATATATGATGTAGACCTCAAGATGATAGTTATATATATATATGAAACTATCTAAAACCTCTTTTACTTTCACTAACAGGGAGTAAAAAAAAAAAAAAAAAAAAAAAAAAAAAGACAAAGAAAAGAAAAAATGAAAATTTTCTTCAGATAGAGAGACACTAGGCTGTCTTTCTTTTTTTTTTATAGTTGGATTACCAAATTCAGAAAAAGTGGTCACTTGTAGCGCATATCAAATAGTTTGTTTAAAGGCATTCGAAATTATTTATGTTGACAACTTTTTCCTTTCCCTTTCTCTTTATTCTTTGATATCTAAAAAGGTTACGCGGATATACCAATTCAACTAATCCACTCTTATCTCTATTCCCCATGAGTTACTCAGCATTTGGTGCAAATTGTAAGAAAACACGAAGAATTATAATCAATCCAATAATAACCTCCTTGCTTTTCTCTTGAAATAGCTCAAGCTGTTACTATTACCTCGTTGAAATGTACCTTTTGTAATATGGTAAGGAGATTATTAAACTTTTCTTTATACTCAATATTTTACTCATATTTTATTGTAGGATAAGCCTTTGGATGCTTTCTCCAAAACTCAGGTCATGAAAGCAACTTACAATCGTAAGTGAAAAGAAGAAGAAGAAGAACAAAGAAAGTTGTACTTATTTTCGATCATTCATTAATACTGTTCAATATTCTCTTTTTACTTTTTGAAAAAAAAAAGCTCATGCTCCTCCAAGTTACAATGCTCAAAAGAAACATATATCTTGTAAAAAGTGTACCTTGGGTTCTGTCAAATCCATGCGCTGTATGACGTGTGCCAAACATATGCCTCTTGAACAATTTGCCAAGGTAAGAGATTGAGTTAATCATCGTTTTATATTGATATATTGATTAAAAAAAATATTTTTATTATTTAGTCTCAACGTAAACACGCTGATCGCGCTCGATGCCTCAAATGTATGAAGAAACGCGAAGAAGAAGATGTGTGGTGCTCCGAACCTGATTCTGATGATTCTGATGATAACAATAAAGGCAAATGGGACGACTTCCTTTGATCTTGTTTATTTCTGGTTTGCTCCTCTGGTTTCATTTTCATGTATACAAAAAAAAAATATATATCCTACCTCTTTTTTTTTTTTTTTAGTTGCAGATATTTGGTCATTTTAGTTTAGTGATACCTAGTTTTCGTCCTCTTTTAGTTTTATCAATAGCAATGATTTCAAGGAATAAATAAAACACAAATTTATACTATATCATAATAAATCAATAAAAATATGACTCCTTACGTTTCTGATTAGCACAGTTTGGAAGGCATGACGAGGGAAGTTTCTTTTTTTTTTTGGATTAAATGATCGAAATAATTGATGTGATGACATGTGAAAGATGTTGAGAGGAATCAGAAAACAGATGATGATACCAATGAAAAAAAAAAGGAGTTCTATTCTTGATAACAGTACAAGTATACTACATAATCTGATGTGATTAATCATGGAATGAGAGACAAAAGACACGATGGTACAAACAAAAACAGAGCTCTATTAATGTGAAAGAAAGGAAAAAAAAATAACAATACTATAACTACACCCTAAATCTAAGATTGATCAAATCCAGTAAAGATGGTAGCGCCTCTGCATGGTTCAGTAGGGAAGATTGCATCATCTAATTGATCCTTGCTGAATTCAGGGAAATTCTTGTGATAATATTGTTCTTTGACAGCCTGGATCAAGGTAGGTACATTTTCAGGTGTTGTCAAAAATACAGCCGCACCACCCCACCTATTCAAAGAATATTCGTAGACATTGAAGAAAAAAAAAATTAGTTCAATAATGATGGTTTCACACATCTTTTCCTTTTTTTTTTTTTTTTTTTTTTTTTACCCTGCACCAGTCAAGCGAGCACCAAAAGCACCATGTTGTCTGGCAACATTGCATACTTGATCCAATTCTGGACATGAGCAATCAAAACTAGTAGCACAGGATTCATGAGAAGAATTCATGATATCACCTAATTGTTTTAATACATCATTGTTGTTGGTGTTGTTAACATCCTGTTCATGTTGGTGACAAATGTAGATGAATTGTTGAACACGTCTAGCTTCGGTCAATACATGGACAGCACGTTGATGAAGACGAAATACATCGGTTTGCACAGGGAATCGAGTCATATAAGTAGCCACCACATCATTTTCTACCATACCAGCAGCGTCAGCCATTTCTTTAACCGTATAACCTGTAGTATTGGTTAAGTAGCGATCCACCAGGGTCAACATTTGCGTCAATTGATCTTGTTCAGATATGCCTTGCTTGGTTTTAAAATATTCATCCATCACTTGCTTGTAAGTATCCAGTACTACATCAAGTTTGTTACCGAAAAGACAGTGAGCCAAGATTCGAGCACCCATCTTAGTTTCAACCACACGTAAATTGTAATGTTTGGGACCAGAGGTGAACTTGTCGGCTGTGACCAAAGTATGAGCAATGACAAAGGAGGCACCTGACGGTAGTTGCACAGGTAAAGTCTTAAGTTTAGGGACAAATTCCACATAGAGAGCATAGTTCTTTTCAGCAAAAACAGAAGCAGCTTGATCCATACCACCAGAATTCACACCAACATTTCGTTCCGCTACAATTGCAACTTCAGTCAATTCTTGTTTGGATAATCCTAGTTGATTAGCAGTAATCACAGCCAAAGCAGAAGAACATACGAATGCAGCAGAAGATGATAATCCAGAACCCGCAGGTACAGTTCCATCCACAAGTATAGACATACCTTTGGGAGTCACCTTTTCTTTGGAGCTTTCCAACATGCCCTAAATAAAAAAATGATAAAAAGAAAAGATGAGATATATATATTTGTTGTTTTCATTCTTATCCTTTCATCAAAAAGGCTTACTTTGTAACCACACTTGAAGTAATTGGACCATTCCAAAGAAGATGAATCAATTGTCACTACCTTTTCTTCACCTTCATATTCAAAAGTACGAGTAGGGTATTTGGGATTCATATTTGCAATTTGAACTTTTGTATTGCTAGCATCAGTAGCAACTGCTTGCACCACATCGCGTTCAATGGCCATAGGTAATACACCATAACCACTGTAGTCTATATGTTCACCAATCAAGTTCACACGACCAGGTGAGCGTACAATAAACTCTGGGAAACGACCATAAATTTGGTTAAATTGTTTGATGACTGTATCATAACGTTCACTTGATAAAAAAAAAAGAAAAGAAAAGGGGAAGTTAATAGAATTGCTGGTTAAAACTTTTTATATATTAATATAGTTTACCCTTGTTTAATAAGACTGGCATTAGTATAGATAGATTGAAGTGAATCTACAGTAGGAACAGACATTGTAAAAGAGATATAAAATAAATAAAAAGAACGGGAAGAAGAAGAAGGACGAAAAAAAAAAAGGTTAAAAAAAAAGTCAATATACGTTTCTTGAAAAAAAAAATCTTGGCTAACATAAGCAAATTGATTCCGAGGAAAAAAAAAAGGTAGAATTTGAACCCCAAAGTTCAAACAGGGAAATCATTACAGTGAAGGCACCAAAATACACCGAACCGCACCACCAATACTTTTTCAGTCAAAACCCCCCAAAATGGTTATCATGAACGGATTGTGAAATCCAGTGAACTCTTTTTCTCTTTTTTTTTTTTTTCGGTTTTCGTCTTGGAAACTTTTTATTCTTTTTTTTCTTTTTTTTAACTTTTTCTTCCCTTTTGTTCCCCAGATTTTTTTTTTCCCTTCACTTTCCCCTTTTCCCATTCTCCCTTTGTAATTTTATTATTTCCAACATTTCTTTTATTGTGTGATACATATAAAAAAAAAATGTATGCCACTTCTCCTCCTCCTCACTTACATCCACCTTTGCCACAACACCAACAACAACTACGACAACAACAACAACAACAACAACAAGTACAACATTATACTGGAATAGGTAAGTATTTTTTTTTATTTTTATAAAATATCCAAGTACATTAAAAATTTACTTTTATTTATTTATTTACTTATTTTGGTTTTATTTTAGATCGTAAGCAACCATCTCATCATATGAATTCTTCACAAGAATGGATGCAACGAAATATGACTCAACAATCTCAAGGTAAACATAATCCAAAAGAAAAAGAAAAAAAAAGGGGGGTTTTTTTTTATCTTATCTTTTTATTATTATAGATACTGGTATGAATTATATGGTACAACATGGGTACCCTGTAGCACCAAGACCAAATAATATGTCAGTATCTTCTTCGTCATTACAACAACAACAACCCATGGTATCATCTACAAATAAACATACTGTGAACCGAGCAGTCATACCATCCAAACGTGCAGCTCAAAATCGTGCAGCTCAAAAGGCATTTAGACAACGAAGGGATCAATATGTCAAAGAACTTGAAAAGAAATCAAAAGAAATGGATCAATGGAAACAAGAAATGGATTCTATCAAGGATGAAAATCGACAATTGAAAGCCCTAGTACATCAACTCCAAGTCCGAATATCTTCTTTGACTGGTGAATCTATACCATCTCCTGGAAGAATAACTACACCACCACCATCTACATCAACAGCCTCTCCCTCTATGTCATCATTATCAAAATCATCACCATCGCCATCATCATCCAATCCAACCATCATGACATCGAATAATAATGATATGATATCTCCCATTACTTCATCACCAATCTCACCTAAAACTCGTTCTACCTCTCTACGGCCTTCCTCTTTATCACCACCTCCTCTACAACAACGAAAACAACAATCACATCATTATCGTCAACCTACTTCAAATTCTTCAGTATCTTCTACCTCATCTCCTCCACATCCTGAAACGCCATCTCATTCCTTCTTACCGATTCCTTTACGACCTCATTCCTTTGTCCCATTCAAAGATAATGATAATATGATGATACCCGATACTTCTTCCATGACAATGAATACTCCATCTTCTTCTTCTTCTTGTGCTCCTACTTGTGGTACTACTAATGTGATATCTACAGATCATACTACTTCAAATACTGAAACTATAACTACTTCCGATCGCTCCACCACAATGATGACTCGACAAGGAACTTGTTCTACTGTTGGCCCCTCGGATGATCCTGGTTCCTCGGTAGTCGTTGATGCAAATCAAGGAAATATGTTTGACCTGGACTTGGACCCATTTTTTGATGATGACTTTGGATTCCCAAGAATGGATGATCAGCTGGACTTTGTCAACCATTCTTCTAACTCCAACAGTGGTCAAGTACTGGATGATTTATTTGCCATGTTACAAACTCGACAACGACCTCAAATTCCTTTACAACCACCTGCTTCTTCTACCCATCATTACGAAATGGATCATCAACAACAACTGCCTTCTTCTTCCTATTATATGATGGATCACGTTGTGACCGGTCAATCTTCATCCTCTTGATATTCATTTATATATGTAATGTTATGATTAGTTATTTATCTAGTATATTCATCTTCTTTTATTGTGTATTTTTTGAAGAAATAAAATCATGATGTGATGTTTGCTGAGTAGATCTTCACTTTTTTTTTTTTTTTTGGAAAACACATATTTTGTATCTGTGTGTATGTGTGTGTGTGAAAAGTAGAAGGTATAGATGACCCTTGATCACAAAAGGGATGTTTGGAATAAAACAGGAAATGACGACAACCAAATTAGGAAGTGCCTGATACAGTTTTGGAGTTATCATATCTATGATATGGTTTTTTTGAGACCCAAAAAAAAAAAAAAGGGTTGAGCTCAAGTAATCAAGGGCGGATTACCCTCATCGTTACAAATGAGAGAAAAAAAAAAGGTTCATTAGCGTTATCTTAATGACTTAAAAAAAAAAGAGACCCTTTTCGATAATGAAATGATATTCACCCTGGCATTCTTAAAAAAGAAGAGTTCTTAGATAATGGACATTAGCGTTATCTTAATGACTTAAAAAAAAAAGAGACCCTTTTCGTTAATGAATTGATATTCACCCTGGCATTCTTAAAACAAAAAAAAAAAGTTCTTAGATAATAGACATCGCTCATCGCCTGATCATGATCATGGCTGTCATTCATGATTATCGCTTAACATATTCTTCCCTATGCATTCTGTAGATATCTTTGTTTGGAAGTAATTCATTTCCATCTCTATTCTACTTTTCTGTTTAAAATGAAAATGCTACGCCGGTGACAAGTCCGCGACTTTTTCTTGTCAGAGCATTATGATCAGGATGATGTTCTTAATATTATTATTATTATTATTGTGATTGATTTTTAATAAAGCACCAAAAAAAAAAAAAAAAGTCCATGGATCCGATTTCCCATGGTTACCAAAACAGGCAGTTGACTCTGGGCCTTTATTATTATTATAATTATTATTTTATTATTATTAGTTTCATCGAAGTTGAATGGTTGGACATTGAAGTAACATGTGGCACCGTGTGCTTGTACACTATGAAAGGGTTTTTCCTTGGTGGGAAAAAACAGATAATCAGGGTTCTCTTAGGGACATCTCAGAGAGGAAATGAAGAACGTTTTTTTCTTTATTCAGCATTCAGGTGATTGGTTCTTTTTTTCATTGAACCCTTATCTTTTCCTTTTTTTTTTTTTTGGATCTTTTCTTCATCTGGATGATCAACAAAAGAATGGAACGTCCTTGTACCCTTTTTTTTTTCTCCCATAGACATCTCCGCCCCACATTCATATCATACGTTTCACTGTGGATAACTTTAACTTGTATGTCTATCAAACGCAATGATTGATGTCATATGATGATCAGACTTTCCTCTTAGCTTAGCAGTGACTAATGAATTAACGATGATTAGAAAGAAAGTAAAAAAAAAGAAAAAAAAAGGAGGGTCCACTCTTTTAGGTAAAAAGATACCGAACTGTAAGGAAAAAAAAAAAAGGATCAATTCATTTTATTCAGTTACACGTTACACTATCAATGGATCCATCCATTTATCCCTTTCACCTATCAACTGATCACCATCATCTATCAAAACAATTCATAATCAAAGAGAAAAAAAAAAAGGTACAATTTTTATTAAAAAATCGATGAATCAATAAACTATAGTAATGAGAATACTCCATGTTCCATCAAATTACTACATTAACCATAAAGATATCGGTGATCCAAAAGATTGCCATTATCCGTATTGTCCCCATTGTATATATACATCCAACACGAAATAAAAAAAAAAGTTGTGACAAAAGAATGTTTTTTTTGTTGCCTTGTTGATTCCATTGACTTGCCCAGAAAACATCATAACACTTTTCAATCAGGTGCAAAATTCAGCCTATCGACATATCGGCAGATCATACCTAATGATAACATCATCTCTGTTGATTTTGGAATATCACGATGATCATCAGGGTCATTATCATCATCATTATCGTTGTTGTTGTCACTTCGCTATCAGAATCCGCCAATAATCTTCATGCTACATCAATCTTGAATCTATGGATGTTGATGAATATTCTCGTAGTCATTGATCATATGCTGATATTGGTCGATTCCATTATATAAATATTTTCCATCTTTGTTGCAGCCATGAACTTGCGCCACGTGTACATATCTACCTTCTTTTGCACTCTACATCTTGAGGCCTCGAAATATAACCAATTCAATGTCCAACCAGAATAGTATCCATAGATACCAACCGAGACTTTAACGCGATTTAGTACTTGATATCCACTCCTTGTACGTCAATCAATGTATTTGCTTCCAACCAATCATGTAGCACTTGTTCATAATGCAACTTGTGAACATAATTCTCAAAAGTCACGTCAATCGTCATTGCAACTAGATCCTCGTGTCTTATAAATATCAATACTGCAGGGAGGAAATGGTTTTGTTTGATTAAAAGGCGGCAAAAAGGAAAGAAAAGAAAGGGTGAGAAAAAAAAGAGAAAAAAAAAAAGTAAAGATAAATAAACTCAGATCAGGTGGAAATATTTTTGTTTGATCTAGAAGAAGAGCAAAAGAAGTATTCACTGATAAAATTCAACGATGATCTGGGGTCAACTGGTTTGATACAGCCCAAGTTCATGTGGAAAAGGTAGATTAACTACAAAACGAATCCAAAAGTTCATGTGGCCAAAAACAAGGTCAGTAGTAGAATGCATAAACTTCAATTTCAACTTTATAAATACAGATCAAAAAATGATCTGTTAAAATGCTCAACAAAATGATTTTAAACAAAGTATCAATCTTTATATTTTCCTACTTGTTCATCATAACAACAGTAGCTGCTCAATGTTTTCTACAAGTTACACATAGTGATAGCAGTGTTTCAACCCGTCAAGTCAATACAGGCGACTGTGTCAGAAATACTGTTGCGACAAATGTTGTTTCCATCGCTGTAGGAAATAGGCAATCACAAGGAAGGTTATCTGCTTTTACATTTGGTGGTTGTCAAGGCAATCCAATAGCACAAGGACAAAGTCCCATATTCTTTAATCAACCAACTACTGTTGGTTCTGTGAGAATAGATGCATGCCCGTAATCTATTATCCGTATTTTAAAAAACAATTTGATTAAAATAAATAAGATTTTAATTAAATGTGGAAATTATATATATATATATATATGTATCATTTTGAAATTTTGCTTAAGCTTCTTTTATTGATTGTAAAATGGAATAGAGATTATCATAATAGTAAAAAAAGAGAAAGGAGGATAATGTGTCAAAATATTCTAAGGGGAAAAGACGATGAAAAAAAAAAAAAAGGTATAATCTAAACAGCACCTAAAGCCATTCCTAATGTATTCCGTCGTTGTTCTTGCCAGCCAATAGCAAGAGCACTGCATCCATGAGGCCATCGTACATTGTATCCATATAACATTTCCATTTCCCGCATAAATCCACCAAAGTAATTCCATAACTGTCGATCCTTTTGAGCTTTAGGGAATCCACCACCAGGCCAAACCATTTTCGCATGATCTTTGTGAATCATGAATTCGCGTTGTAAAACTAGAAAACGATATCGTTCCGCATTCAGCTGTAATGCATGAGATTGTTTGTCGCCACCCTGATTCTTGAATCGTACATCATATAAAGGAGCATCCCGAGGAATAATGTAATAAGGTTCCCATTGAGATTCATAACATACTTCATAGAGATCAGCAGACGATCCTTTTGATAATGATAATGCCATTTCCTTTCCCAAAGTAGGTCCATGTCCAGCACCTGGATCAGTAATATAAGCTATACCTTGATCTACCAAAGAAGCCACTTCCGTCATCGTCGTAGGTAAAGGTAATCTACTATATTCTTCATGAATTGCAAAACATGGTATAACGATTGCTCTTCTATTGGTTGCTATTGCTGACGATGATGATGATGATGATGATGAGTTAATCGTTTTCGTCAAAAGTGTTTGTGCTGTTGTATATAAGGTAGTAGAAGGAATGAAATCAGCGTCCATCACAAATACATAGGGTGTAGATGATGCCATAATCGCAAGGTTTCTCAAATGGTTAATCGGGTATCGTAATCGTTCATCATTGTTGTAGGAAGGTTTCACCACCGTAATACTAACACGACCGTAGAGTTCAGCATTCATTGGATTAATGAAAAAGTCCTTCAGTATATGAATATCGTTTCGTTCGGTCAAATAACTACATATAAAAGGCATCATAGAAAGAGAATGAGTGATCTTTTTTTTAAAAAAGTTTCTTTCCATCTTCACGACTTACATGGCTACCGAGATGGGACCAGACCAAGCTTCGATAACATTGGAAAATACATCCAACCGATTCACAGAGAATTGAGATACCAAAGTTATTAATGATTCTGAAGTACTATTGACCATTCGAGTCACTATTTTTTCTTCATCCATTTGATTCGGTTCTAATTGAATAAATATAAAATTAGTATTGAAAGCTTGATGAAAGAGTCTTTTTTTTTTCTTTTCTTTTCTTCTACTTACCATCCAGCATTATTGCTTCAAGTTGAGATAGAAGAGCAGTAAGGTCATCTAATTTGGTAATAAAAAACAAAAATAAATAAAAGGTCATCCATATTTCCATATTATTCAAATGTCTCCTATGAATATCTATCTATTTACCGTTTATTGTCATTGCTATGACATTCCGACATTGCTTTTGTTCTAAACAATCCACTTCTTCACCTGAAGGAATAGGAATCCAGTGACTTTTGTTGTGTGCTAAACCAGCTGTTTCGTCTTCCACTTGTAAGGACACTACACAACCTGAATCAGCTTTGATAGTCGCTAAATCACGATACACCCCTTGTTGAACTAAATCAGACCAGTCATATGAAACAGGAGCATTAATATCAGTCGTTGTATCGTTATTACGATGGATACGATCAAAAGCAGGATACCAGGTAGAACAACGTTGAGAAGGATTGCATAATTGGACGCGACACTGGATTGGAGTAGTATAAGAAGGTTGATCTAATAATTGTTGACGTGTGGCTGCTGAAGTTGATGTTGACGTATCACTATAAGATAGGTGACTTGGAGAAGCATTGATATATCGTCCGATGAGAAACAGACTTGTGATCACAATTAAACAGGTCAAAACAAAGATGCCTCGCTTTGATAATGTAGTCGTATGATGTCGTTGGTATATATGATTGTTTTTGTCAGTGTCGTCATTGTGGATAAACAAGGATGAAGTAGAGGACGTAGTTCCTTTTTGCCGTTTTACTGCATAAAATGGACGCTTGTTGTTATCCATGGACAAAAAAAAAAAAAAAAAAAAAAAGGAAGGAAATAAAAATAAAGAAAAGAGAACAAAATAAAGTTTTCCAGTGGGTTGCTTTTTTTTTTTTTCTCGGGTAACATTGATCTTTTATCGCCAAAATTTCAAACTCCAGCGTAGAATCGAAAATTGGGAAGTTGCTTAAGAGTTGATTGACATACCAACTGTATCAAAAGTACACTTTCTTTTGTCATATCTCGTAACATAGTAAATTATCATCCGTTTGTAAGCAACTTCTTTTTTTTTACGTCATCAATAGTTCAACCATCATACATCATCATATAGCATTCATTCATCGCGTACCATACATTCAATATTATTATGGATATCGTCAGCACCGGATGGACAACAAGAAAATAAAGTAAAAAAACTTTTTTTTTATTCATTCCAATGAGACTAAAAACTGTACAAGAATATCACTGAAAAAGTTGATATCAAATAAAACAAAAGATGAGAGCATAAAGTAAATCTAACATAATACTAAACTAAAAAAAAAAGAGACCCACACACTAAACTATTAAAATGATAAATCCACACATCCTTAGTTCTTGCCAGCATTTTCAGGACGTAATTGACGGACAGTTTGGCCAGCTCTCCAGATTTCAGATTCACGGATTTCACGGAGTTCTTCTTCCAACTTTTCACGGTAATCAGGTTGAGAGTTACGATCCAAAGAACGAGCAGTTTCGGAACCATCACGGACAGATTGATAAAGTTGTTCAAACACAGGCTTGGAAGCCTTGTGGAAAGGACGCCACCAATCAAGAGCACCACGTTGAGCAGTAGTAGAACAGTTAGAGTACATCCAGTCCATACCACGTTCACCAATCAAGGGATAAAGTGATTGAGTAGCTTCTTCGACGGTTTCATTAAAGGCTTCAGAGGGAGAGTGACCATTGGCACGGAGAACTTCATATTGAGCTTGGAAAAGACCTTGAATAGCACCCATCAATACACCACGTTCACCGAATAAATCAGAGTACACTTCCTTTTCAAAGGTGGTTTCATACAAATAACCAGTACCAACACCTACACCAAGAGCAATAGTACGTTCTTTGGCCTTTCCACTAGCATCTTGATAAACAGCAAAGGAACCATTGATACCACGACCTTCTTGGAAAAGACGACGGACAGTGAATCCGGAACCCTTGGGAGCAACCAACACAACATCAATATCTAATCAAAAAAAAAAAATTAATCAGTTAGATTGAATCATCCCGTCTGTTTATTTACTTTCTTTTTTTTTTTTTTATTTTCTTTTATTTTCTTACCTTTGGGAGGGACAATATTAGTTTGATCCTTGTAAACAATGGAGAAACCATGAGAGAAGTAAAGAGTCTTGCCAGGAGTCAACAAGGGCTTCATTTCAGGCCAGATTTCCTTTTGATAAGCATCAGACAACAAATTCATGACAACAGTACCACGATCAACAGCTTCCAAAAGAGGGAACAAGTTCTTACCAGGTACCCAACCTTCTTCAATAGCTTGTTGATAAGTCTTGCCTTCACGTTGACCAAGGATCACATTCACACCATTATCACGCAAGTTGAGAGCTTGACCACGACCTTGAGGACCATAACCGAGCACAGCAATAGTATCATCCTTGAAAGTTTCAAGCAACTTTTCCTTGGGAACGTCAGAACGTTCATAAACAACTTCATCAGTACCACCAAAGTTCAAGGTTTTCATACCGCGAGTTTGGACAGTGGGCATGACCTATGATCATATACAGACGCGTAAAGAAAAAAAAAAAGAATAAAGTAAGCATACATATATAATATAGGATTCATTGTTCAGAAGAAAAAAAAAACTATTTACTTACAGAAGCCTTAATGGCAGTTTGTCTTAAAGCAGCAGACACCAAAGGTTTGGCCATCATAGGACGAGAAGCACGAGCAGCACCACGGAGGGCAGTAGAGAAGATACGAGAAGCCATTTAAGAAGTATAGAAAAAAGGAAAAAAAGAAAAGAAAATAAAGTAAAAAAGAAAAGAAAAAAAGAAGAAAAGAAAAAAAATTCAGAACGTTGAAATTGGTTTTTTTTTTTTTATAAGGGAAGGGTTTCCTTTGAAACTTCCGCCCTCCAAAAGTCAAATGAATGGATATCATTGGATAAAACAGAATATAAGTCATAGACTGTATTAATGCTACCAAAGTATCATAACCATGGACCAATCATATGGCAGATTTCAACCTTATCTTTATCTTTGGTACTTTGAAGATCATGGCGGTGTTTAGATCTCATCCATGTTAAATCTTATTGGATTGACTCATCCTGAAGCAGCATGTTCGTCAATGATATGAGGTGGGGGACCATCTTACCTTTTATGGTCAGTCACATCAATAAAATGATATGACTCCATTCTTTTCATCCTTTCGTTTGATGTTGTTTTCAAGTAACCCTATGATTCTCTAAAGAAGTATATTCATATATCATATATGTACTTACAACAATACAAAATAGTCTACAATGTTTTTAAATATGTATTCTCAGATAATTCCTCCATACAGTAAAGAAAAAAAAATTTATAAGTGTATTCTTCCTCTACATTATAAAAAGTAGAACACAAGTACCACTTGTTGAAACAATTCCCTTATCAGAGCAATAAAGTATTATTATTTCATGTTTTAGAGACACTGTTAACATTATTACATTCAGAATTATCTTCTAAAAAGAAAAAAAAAAAGATATTTTGACATAATATGTTTCTATTTTTAATGAGCGTTCGCATCAACCATAAACTTTTATTATAAATAAGCGTAATATACAATTTAATTATTCTAAAATTTAACAAAAATAAGACTATCCATCATAACCATGTTGTTTCTTCCATGCATCCAACCATAACTTTACCCTATCCACGTTTGATTCCATGTCATCCACCGTATCGCTTTGTAATTCTACTACTATTTCTGGAACATATGATTCGCGTGCCTCTTCCAAGACGACTTGCATGATTTCACATTCCATATTTTCGTCCCGTTTCTTCTGATTGTATCCTCTATATAAAATAAATATAACATGAATACATTAACAGTACTAAAAAAAAAAAGATATCCATAGGCCATATGAATTGCACTTTTTTTTTCCTATCTTTTTTTTTCATTTTATTTCCTTTTTCCTTACCTCTTTTCCATACGATCAAATAAAGTATGAGTTTGTGCCCGTAATACTAAAACAAGATCGAACCATCGTTCTGGGAAAAGTTCACAGGTATGATAATCTACTACTTTTCCACCTTCTTGCATAATATCCTCCAGTTCATCCAATAGCTTGTCTTCATCCAAGATATGGGTATCGTATTCTTCCATGTAACCTTCATAGAATTGTTTGGATTTGACTAGTTCACCTACATTGATATGTGTTAGACCCGTCACTTGAGCTATCATTTCACTGGTGGTCGTTTTCCCTGTCCCTGGTGTGCCAGTCACTAATATATTGGGTAATTTCTGTTCCGTTGACATTGATCTTGTTTGTTGTAAATCAGTACGAAGAACAAAAATAAAAAAAAAAAAGTAAAAAAAAAAAAAAAAAAAAAAAAAAAGGAAAAGGAAAAAAAAGGAAAAAAGGCAATCCCTTTTCCGTTTGGTGGCTGGCAGAGTTGAAACCCCGTACACCACCAATTTGAATCTATAATGCTCATCGTCATTCTCATTTAGTAAAACTATCCATTGCATTGCCTTTTTTTTTTTTTATCTCTTTTGATAACTTCATTGATCTCTCTTTAGCTTATTCATCAAAATTAGAACCATTGTCTTTTTGCAATGTATCATCAAAGGAGCTAGACATGTATTTATATCATTTGTAATTCTCTCAGAAATAATCATCATAGCACCAAATTCATACTGAACATGGATTACATTGTTTTCTTTCATTTAACTTAATAATCATTTATACCTTACCTCCCAGTGTATGGAGTAATTTAAAAAAGAGAGGTTAATATCATCGTTCCTCATTCAATAATGATCATCATCTAACACAACTATCACCAATGGATTCCTCTCAAAAAAGTAGTTTAATACCATCTAATAATATTTTATCGCTTACCTTGCCACCTAATGTACAATGAGCGTCAAAAGATTTTATTGATTTTTTTGAAAAAATGCCTGATGAACCCCTGACGATTTATTTTTACAGCCAAAGTTTGGCTGAGGAGTTCGAAATTTTTGGCTGTAAAATCCAAAAATCCATCCCATTTTTTCCAACTTGCATACAAGCTTACAAAAGCTTTGTCTTCCTCTTTCTCGCTCAAAAGTCAACATCATCACACCAAATTCGAATTGAACATACGTGAAACCAAGTTCTTTCACCTTACTTAATGTCATTTATAGCTTACCATGTATTTATAGAGTAAATTAAAAAAAAAAATGAGCATCCATGTCACCATCTTACTTCCTATCATCCTCATTTTTTTTTATTCAACCATCCTAAAAAAAAAAAGTCCTAGCATACAATAGTATTATCTTGATCAAGTAAAACGACAACAAATGCAAGTTTTTTTTTTCCTTTTTTTTTTTTTTTTTTTTTTTGTTCAAAGAACCATTCAAACTCAATGATCTATATTTGTAAAAATAGTAGGTTACAAATGACGATCAGTACCTGTCATGTTAGATCAATAAGAGATGAATGACAGTACAATATAAAAATGATATAAATAGAGATAGGTGATCACGGAGTTTCAGAATAGATCTTGGCTACGGAAAAGCACTTGATCAAATACTACTATTACTACTAGTATTACTAGTACTATTAATACTTGCGTAGCATGCCGCAGCCATTAGACATGATATTTTTTTTTTTAATTTTTATTATTTTCATGTCAAAAGTTAGATTCGCTATTGTACCTGGATTTGGAATAAAAATGTAAGAAATGAAATAGCATATGAATATAGTTTAAATTTTGAGTTAATGGTATCGGGAGATCAAAGGAGAATAATATAATGAAGTATTGATAAAAAAAAAAAGTAAATGAGATTGAACAGTGGATTATTAATATCCCTATTTTTTTTTTTTTTTTTTTTGTAAGCCAGGCATAAAAAAGAAAATAATAATAAAGACTTGAAGATAATCATCAAATAATTAAAATACCAAACAGGAGAAAGGAAGGAAAAACAACATATCTTGGCGCGAACTCTCTGACCCAAAAATAGAGTAGATAAAAAATCGAGTGAGATATCCTATTGGTTAAAATTTTTCTAAAAAGTGTAACGAAAGGGATTTTTTTTTTGGATTCTTTTTCTTTTTCTTTTGTTTTCTTTTCTTTTCTTTTTTCTTTTTCACACACTTTCATCTTACCTTCTTTTTTTTTTTCTATTATTATTATTATTTTAAACAATGGCTTATAATCCTAATCAATACGGTGGTTATCAACAATCTCCTCCTCCTCCACAACAACAACAAGCTTACGGCTCTCCTCATATGGCAGGCACTCCTCAAAACAGATATAGTCAACCTCCTCCCCCTCAACAACAACAACAACAATATGGCTATGGTGCTCCTCCTCCTCCTCAACAACAAGGTTATCCTCCTCAAAACTATGGTAAGTATAAAATAATAATAAAAAGTAAGAATAATATAGTATGAGTGTCATCTTCTAATCCCTTTTTAATAAATATAGCACGACCTCCTCCTATGCAACATGCCCCTCCACCTGGTGCTGACCCTCAACTTTGGAGCTGGTTTACTGCCGTTGATACTGATCATTCGGGTCAATTGACGGTAGATGAACTTCAACGAGCTTTGGTGAATGGTGATTGGAGTCCTTTCAATATCGAAACTGTCCGTACTATGGTGAATATGTTTGATACTGGTAAAATAACTTGTTTTAATTAAAAGGATGATGAAAGAGAATGCCAAGGAATTGTTTCACTAGAGATGCAATGATTCTTTATGATGAGTCTATTTATGTGCCACGCGTTCAATTTATAAACTACTCCGACTAACTTGCTTTTCTTAATTATTTATTTAGATAACACTGGTACTATTGACTTCCAAGAATTCGCAGGTTTATGGAAATATATTGAAGATTGGAAACGATGCTTCCAAACATTTGATGTAGATGGTTCTGGTTCCATTGGTAAGTAGAAAAAAAAAAGAAAAAGAAAAGGGATCTTATATGTTAATGAATGAATCTTTCTTTTTTTCAATATAGATCGAAATGAAATGAAGAATGCTTTACGGACGTTTGGTTACAATCTATCGGATAGATTCATTAGTGTCTTGATTCAAAAGTTTGATAAATATGGTAATAAGAAAAAAAAAGAAACAATGTGGGGGATGATGATAGATGGATAGAGGGGATTATCATCTTGTAACCGAATTTTTAACTTACCTTTTCAAGGTCATGGTGGACAAACAGGCAAAGGCGATGTGACTTTTGATAATTTTGTGCAAGCATGTGTGAATGTCAAGACTTTGACCGATTCTTTCCGGGCCTTTGATACGGATAATGATGGATGGATTCAAATCAACTATGAACAGGTAAAAAAAAAAAAAAAAAAAAAAAAAAAAAAGAATAGAATCAACTTTTTTTTTTTCCTTTTTGATGAATCTCAGTCAACATACTCATTTTTTTTTTCTTTTGTTTTTGTTTGTGGAATATATAGTTTTTGGAACTTGTGATTCGTCAAAAGGCCTAGACAGTGTAGAATTAGTATATCTCAATTCATTCCTTTATTACATTATATTCGTTTTTTTTTTTTTATCTTTTTTATAATCTGTATAAATATTTCCCATCCCTCTTCATTTCACTCTTCTTTTTTTTTTCCCTCGTATTCCTGTACATCTTTCCTCAATGCTCTCTTCCTTTTCTTTTATATCAATAAAGAAAAAAAAAACAAAATAAAATAAAGCATCACAAAAATCTCATTATGCAGTATCATTTTTAACTATATATCAACGTGACCTATCTGATGACAGGTACTTTGAATACACATCATATCCGGATAAATCATACCGAACAAAAGTCTCCGTCTGAAATATCAACAGTAAAAAAAAAATTTTTTTTTTTGTGGATCCCCAAAAGATATAAAAGGGAGGATATCCCACTTTTTTTTTTTTTTTTTTTTTCTTTAAGAATTAATTAATCCGAGTGCATGCCACGATGTGGGTTATGTCGTTTATTCGACGAGAGCTCTTACATTGCCAGGGATCTATCGATCTCGTCGCACACCAGATAAATACGGAGGTTTCTTAAAGAACCAGTACTTGCATTTGTGATTAAGTTCGCAATATCGAGTTTTGGGCCGACGAAATCTGATATCCTTTTAAATAAAAAATGAAAATGAAAATACTGATGAATAAAAGTAACGATGCTGTTACACACACACAGATGTTCAAAAGTCCTCATCTTTAAAGAGATGCTGTTTATACTTGTTGAAAACAAACCAATGTTTAAAGTATTATCTTTTCAATAACATAGAAAAAAAAATTTTTTTTATTATAATGATTCCTATAGGGAAGTGTTTGATCTATACTTTATTCAATAATACTGGATTTTTTTTGGATGATTAAAAATAAAAATGATGAATCGATAACTGTGTTCACATACATTACACCATAACATACAACATTATTTCGTTTTGACCTGATAAGCCTTTCCAAGTCCCATGGAATCTTATTTTGAAAAAGCAACCCAGCTCTACACACCTATACACACCGTACATAATAATCACTGTAATATATGAGACAATTTTTTATTCAATAATAATAATAACACTACATAGTTTCGACATCAGTTTTCATACGGATATCATATAACGTCATCTTCCCCCCTCCTATAACCCATAACATCAATCCTTTTAATAGCAGTTACCTTGTCCCTGTTTCCATGTCGATGTCGTCTCCTAGAGCGTGGAGAAAAAAGAAAACAAGATTATCACTGTTCCAAAATAAAAATTGCAAAATGATACTTACAAAAATTCAACCAAGCCTGTACACAATGAAGGATAAAAAAAAAGAGTAGTCAATGTTAGATATACCAAACCACCAACCCACACAAAAGCAGGCTGGCTTATTGAACATCACAACAGCCGGAATTGTATGTCACTTCAAAGAGGTGTCATTAACATCCATTCAACAGAGGCCGTCAAGAGCAGATGTAAACCGGTTTTGTTGAGAGCTGTTTAACCCCTCCACGAGATTCAATACAAATCAAAAGCGATTCCCATTGCTACTGGTAACTTCTATGCGGTTTTCCATCCATCAAAGTATACAAGCTTGAGGTTAAAAAAAAAAAAAGAAAAGGTTCAAGATAAAAGTAGTAAAAAAAAAGGAAAAAAAAAAAAAAAAAAAAAAAGGAAAAGAATGGATCTGAACTCAAATTGAACATTTTTTTTTTTTTAAAAAAAAGAAATACCTACCTGTTTCTCTGCTCACTCTTGAAATACTTTCAACATATAAGTTACAAATTGAACACTGTATGGACGATACTGAGATTACTTTTATAGGTACTACAAAAGTCAATTTTAGTAGGTTTATCCTTTCCTTCTTTTCTACATACCTTGATATTCTTCTTTCATATCACATTGTCTCTCTCTCTCTCTGTCTTCTTTCTTCATTCTCAAGTCCTTATCTATACTCTCTCCTTATTATTTATACTGTTTTGGTCTTTTTTTTTTTATTATATGAATAGAATAGGATGATTGATATACAATTTTGGATCACGTTAGGATACGACGTTGGATCAACTGTGGGGTCATGATAAACTGAATAGATACCGAATTGGGATAGATTGGATCAATGGATACAATAGGATCATCAACGGAGCATGACAGAAGACTGAAAAGTAGTGGTCAAAATGTATTTTTTTTTTGATCGTTTTCTTCTAGCTTGGTGATACATCTCTTTATTTTGATCATGGTGATGCTTTTACATTGAGTAGTTAGTTTTATGTTACTTTGGTTTAATAAAAATATATCCCTATTTATCATTATTATTATTATCATTATTTTATCATTTTTACATTACATAGACATAATCCATCATGATCAGTACATATTGTATTATGCAGCCTACTGATTCAAACATTTTATGCATCAAATGACGACTTCACCAAATTCACACATAAACGTTGATGATCGTCTGTGCATGCGGTGATGAACCGATAATACTATCTACACTTTTTTTTTGTATGGGACCATAAAAAACAAAAACAAAAAAGAAAAGAAGTCAAAGGGGGTTGGTGCATTGTGCAGTGATCATTCACCCAAAAAGGGAAATTTCATTCCATAAAAGTTCATTATGTGGTAATCGGGTTGCCACCCGGCAATTCCAGAGATTCATGCATCCTAACAAAAAAAACTATCAAAAGTAAACAGCAAAAAAAAAAAAAAAAAAAAAAAAAAAGCTCCTTTTTGGTACGATTGAGAGAAAAAACGAAATAAACAAACAAACAAAAAAAAAACATTGAAAATGAATGCTTGAGCGTCATACGCGAAAATGGAATCAAATAGATGAGAGGTCATGAATAAAGAACAAGTACATTAGAAAATCTCAATGAATCATTTTCCGATGCATTGATGGATGATCTTTAAGTCATCTAAGGTAACGATAGGAAATGTAACGACTGGTTCCTTTCTTTTTTTTTTTTTGTGATGTTGCCACTCTCAAGCTCAAATTACATTATGAGGTATATAATGGCGTTTAAAATAACAATAAAATAACGATGATGATCAACATGTTGAGACAAATGAAACCAATGAGAAAAACCACGTGTAGTCTGATCAAGTTTGTGAAGGAAGAGAATCAAATGAGGAAGGGTTAAGGAGGTATTCAGGGGAGGGTAAACACAATCGATATAGATGAAGAAGGTGGAGATGACATGTAGTAAATTTGAGAAAAATGTTTATTTCAAAGAAGTGACTTTAACAAAAAAAAAAAAAAAAAAAAAAAAAAGAGGGATATCAACACTTGTACATAATAATAATAATAATAATAACAATAATAATAATAATAATAATAATAATAATAATAAGAAAATACTAACAGTAAACAAGAAAATCAGGTCGCATATTCTTTGCAAGGAACACTAAAGATTTGTTTAGTCTTGATATCTATAGTCGTAAGGTTTCTTCCATAAACACATCCCGTATCCAATCCGTAAGAAAATGGTTGAATAACTAATCCTCGACTAGCATCATGCCCATAATATACAGTGAGAGGTGTATTTGATTTTTCTTGTGCTTCGTTCCATGCTTGAGCCCAAGGAGTGCCAACTCGTTTTTCATCTGTAGGTTCACCTGTATCTGAGATATCACGCATTGTCATCACATCCAACGGTTGTTGTTGAACCAAATCTGATACCATAGGATCTAATCCACCATGTACTACAATACTATTGTTCATCGATGGTAGACGTAGAATCGATGGACAACTAGTCAAGTAATCATAATCTTCATCAGAAAGTTCTCTATGATCGGATATAAAGTATATATATGAAAGGAGTGTGAGTAATATATATATATATATATATATATATATATAAATCAATATTCTAGATTTTTTTTTTTTTTTTTTTTTTTTTACCTTGAGATAGGAAGATGAGGATTTTTATATTTCAATGGATCAGGAACATCACCTTCAGGCATAACAGCACTAGATGGACCCATTCCATCAGGACCATTAGATCTTTCATATGTCTTGAAACGAATAGCCTTGTCATCATGATTTCCTCGTACACATAACGCACCGATTTCCTTTGCACGCCGGATGACACCAGTATTGGAAGGTCCTTTGGCAATCATATCACCAGCTAAAATGACTTGATCAGTGGAAGGATTGAATTGAATATGATCCAGTAATTGATTAAATTCATCTAAGCAACCATGAATATCACCAACAACAAAGACACGCTCTTTGTTTGCTAATGCATCTGCCTTGATTGTTTGTATGCGAGTTAGGTTAGCATATTTGGATACTATATGACCATTGATGATACCATCCCCATTTCGATATACACTATAACCATCAGTATTATCTATACTTGCACTTGTATTGTTGCCATTACTATTACTGTTGTTGCTAATGATATTGTCGTTGTTGTTATTATTGTTATTGTTGCCGCCTTGATTATATCCACCATTTCGATTCACTTGTTGATCTAATTGCTTTTGACGATCACGTTCTTTAATGACTACCACTGGAACCACAATGATGATTAAAAGTATAAGAAGACCAATAATACCCACCACCATCCAACATCGACGTCGATTCTTTCCTTTGGCAGTAGAAGGGTCTTCCACAGGTGATTTCATTTCATTTGATGGAGTATCAAAAGTCATTGGATATTTTTTTTTTCTTGATCAATTGGTAAAAAAAGAGATAAAAAAAAAATAAAAAAAAAGAGTATTTGATAAATTGTGATTTGAAAACGGAAAGAAGAACAAGAAAATGGAGAAAAAGGGGAAGACCCTTTTTGATATTATGGAAAAAAAAAAACGGGTTCAAAGCCCGATGGCTTTACCTGTGGTGTAGCCAAAATCTTAAGAGAAAAGCATTGCTTATTAGAACTTTAAGCTTCTTTTTCATTATCGGAGACAAAAAGCAAATATACAAAACATAAGAATCATCTAGAGATGAAATTATTGATAGTATAGGTTGGATCAATGAAAAAAAAAAAAGTAAAATAGTTTTAAAAAAGCCCTCGGTTCATTTTTCGTTTGCTGCTTTTTTTTTTTTTTTGCTGTTTTTTTTTTTTCTTTCTTCTTTATTTCGAACCTGTCCTTTTTTAGTATCTGTCCTAAAATAGAAACTGTAAAGTTACCAAGTTTATGTAGAATTCTCTCCTCTCAAAAATATGTATATAAAAGGGTAACTGATCACCTTTTTTTTTTCGTTCTGTGTTTCTGAAGAATAAAAAAAAATGTTTAGAAGGAAAAATATATGTACATATATATATATATATAGTAGAGGATATTCTACAAAAGAAGAAAAAAAGTAAAAAAAAAAAAAAAAATGCCGATCATTCTTCTAAGATGTGTGTATCCGAATGATTAACCGAATGGGATAAGTTAAGTGAATAAAAATCGCGTCAGTGTTCATCATCGGTAAATATCACGGTTTCCTCATATTCAACGTTATAAATCCAAGGAAGTTCAAATCCATGTGTTTCCATGTGGTATAAAGCCGAGAAAGCAGCCTATCACTAATTCCCAGGTTTTGATATAATGAAAGCAACTTTTTTTTTTTTTACACCATGAAACCATTGGGCGGTATTTCAAAAGGCATAAAAAAAATGAAACCTATTTTGGATAGTTCTCTCTCTTTCTTTTTCTTTCTTCTCATACTTTATCTTTTTATACTTTGTTATTTGAACGCACCCTTCTTATAATAAGTGTTTATAAAGTAGTAGAAGTATTAATCTTCTTCTTTCTCTTATAAAAAAAAACAACAACAAACGAATAATGCCACTTGTAAGGTCAAGAAGTCAATCAAGTAGTGGTATTCAATCTACAAATCTTTTTAGTGGCTTTCAACACTGGCGAAGAAGACGTGCATCAAATTCTGTTCCTTCGTCTCCTTTAGCAACTTCAGCTACTACCAATAATACAACATCTATTCCTTCCATGGTGGGTATTTCAAGATCTTCTTCTGTTTCTGAATCTTATCAACCCAATCGACTATACCCTGCAACAGACGCGAATGAAGAAGAAGACGAACCTTCTAGTAACCCTACTATTCATCCAACAAACAGTTCTCAACAAAGTACTACAACTGAACTTCCTACAACTGATGATCAGGAGAATATTCATATACGATTATTGCCGAACGTTGGATTGACAACAAGATGTTTTATATTTGATATTATTGATCGCACCCTTACTCCTGCTACTATTCTGAAGATTGGACGATACAGTGAACGTCATGCTATGCCCGATAGATTATCCTTCAAAAGTAAAGTTGTTAGTCGAACTCATGCGGAATTATGGATGGAAGAAGGAAAAAAGGTAATATAATATTATATATGCATTGATATAGAAAAGAAATTAATACATTTTTCTCTCTTTATTTTCTTTTTCTCTTTCTCTTTTTTTTTTTTTTTTTTTTTTTTTTAAAAAAAAAATAACAAAAGGTATTCATCCGGGATATTGGATCATCAAGTGGTACTTTTGTAAATCGTATTCGACTTTCAGCTTCCAATGAAATAAGTCCTCCCATGGAACTTAAGGATGGTGATACAATTCAACTTGGTGTAGATTATCAAGGTGGAATGGAACAAATTTATCGATCAGTGAAAATCCGACTGGAAATCAACAGGAACAATCAAAAGACCAATTCTTTCAGTAGACAAGCATTCCAACAATTACGTCAACGTCTATTGGGTGGTACAGATTCTTTACCTACTTCTTCGGATACTGGTGATAATCAACAAACAAGTGATTCTGGACAAGTAACTCTTCCTCAAGAAAGCCATATTGATCACAACAATAGAACAATACCATCATCATCATCATCAACAGGACAAACCAATCTTACATCTGCAATTAGTCAAGGATTACCATCTATATCAAGTAATAACAATTCATCTTATATCCAAGAATGCTGTATTTGTTTGTACGCCATTGCACCATTACAAGCTTTATTTGTGGCTCCTTGTTCCCATGTGTTTCATTTCAAGTGTCTACGACCCATTGTATTCCCGCAGTATCCCGCCTTTAGTTGTCCTTTATGTAGAAATTATTATGATTTGGAAGCAAGTGTTGCTATTGAAGTCAGTGAAGTAAAAGAAGCTTTAGGATTATCATCAACAACTAGTGCAAAAACATCGCCTCCAATAGAAAAAAAGCCACCTTCATCATCATCTTCACCTCCTACAACTTCATCGATACAACATCCACCTTTACCCATCCTGGCCTCCTCATCCATTATGCAAAATTATTCACCACCATCATCATCTCAACAAAACAGTCATGATGGAGACACTTATTCTGGGAATGATGATATTCAACAACAAAGTGAACATGAAGTACCTGAACGTCAGTCCAATTTACAACAACATCAACAACAACATGTTACGGACGGATTATTACTCTCCAGTACTTTGGTGGATTCTTCTATGTTGGATCAAACAAATGGATTTGGAAATCTCCCTTCATCACTTTAGTTTAGTTTAGAATCATCTTTTTTATATATTTTATACTCATTTATTTTTCTTCTTCTTCTATATAGCATACACTCAATACTCATATTACATACTTCTCATATTATATTTCATCCTTCATTCTCTTTATTACCGATGATCTTTCCTTTTTAATAAAGAAATTTTACATTCATTGAACAAAGACACTTTTTTTTTTTTTTTTTTTTTTGTATGGAGAGTAATCATTCATATCGAATGACGGATAGTGTCATATTGACGATGATGATTGGTGATGATAAATACTATCAGTGAATGATGATAATGACAATAATGATATTTGTAGTTAACAATGTGAAAATAACTTTATTCAATAAACAAGAGTGTACTCTGTTTTTTTTTTTGTCTGCCTCTTCTTTTCAATATTTTAAAAATGAAATCAATGGTTTGTGATCATCACTTTACCAAAGGTGTAATCTATATCTTTCCACTAAATATATAGTTCACACCTTGCCATGAAGTCAATAATCCACACTTTGCCATCAAAAACAATAGTCCCTCCTTCCCATCGAATAAATAGGCCGCATCTTTTCAAAAAAAAAAATCCATACCCTCCCAATAAATCTATCCACACTTAACGACAAACGTTTATTCAATAAACAAAGAGAAGATACTATATATATATATATATATATATAAAGCTAACACTAACTAGTAATAAAAAAAATCACTACGACAAATGTAAGGGGTAAGTGAGAGAGACTTCGACCAGACCAGAAGAAGATCATAAAAAGATGTTCTTGTACAATTGATTTGCCATCCTTGCCCAGTAAAATTTTCTAACATTTTCATCCCGTTGAGTTTTGCTGTATATTCATCATTCATTATTTTTTTTCCTGTTCCTTTGTTTTATATCTAACTTGTTGAATCCTATCATATGTTTGCCTATGGAATTGATGAATACCATATATCCAGCCAGTTGACGTACACCACCTTTCTACCAACTTCAATCCTGTTGATCCCTTTTCATGTTCATCCATCCAGATCCATTTGAGTCATCGTCGTTTATCCTTCATCATCCATTTACCCAATTGAGACCTGCAGTTTGGCCTCTCCATCCGGTTGAGTGCTTCTCTGTTGTTCTTCCACGTAGTCGCACCAGTTATAAAATCCGTGCAGTTACCATTCATGCTATATCCAGTAGTACACTATATAAAAAAAAAGACCAAAGGGATATCATATATGGGTTAGTTATAGAAAACCAAAGAAAAAGAAGGGGAGTCCAAAACAGAGGCAACCAAGAATGAGGCAAAAAGAAGACGACGACAAAAGAAAGATACAGTAGAAGTAAAAGAGGAAGACCAGGAAAGAGAATGAGAGAAGGATTGTATCCACCTTAGACTAAAAAAGAAGATATTGAGAAATAAAAAGAGAAAGATAATAGTTAAAAATCAAACTATATCAGAGAATGGCAAGAGAGGGACAATACCGAATGAGAGAGAAAAGACCCAAAAGAGATTAATATGACACCACTTACTAAAGCCTTCCTATGATGAAGTTTAAGAAGAATCCCCAGAAAACAAAATCAATAAAGTCAATTAGTAACAAGGCTTTGTTCCATTCTACATCGCTGTTCCCTATTTATATTACTTTTAAGACCAGTAGCATAAAGAGAGATACATACCAATATATGCTAGTCAAGATGTAACAACCATTTCATTCGTATTTGACATACCATGTCAGGTTCCGATAACAACTATAAAAAGTGAAGAAATAGATAAAATAAGACGAAGAAGGAGAATGAGGATTCAATCAACATCGGTAAAAAAAAAAAAAAAAAAAGTGATGAGAAACGAAAAGAAAGAGAAGAAAAATGAAAAGTACCCGAACTCAATAAATTTATTTATTATTTTTTTTTTTTTTTTTTGATGATCTATTTCTAATTATATCTAGCGACAGATATGATTGACAAACGAAGTGGGAGGTTTGAATTGATACTTTTCAAACCAAAAAGAACGTACATACTTAGCATCACCCAAACCATTATTTCGTTTCTTAGTAGCATCGACATCCAACAAACCATTGCTGAGTTGGGCAGAAGCGGTAGGACATGTCATTTCATTGAACATGTGTAACCATGACATAGAGTTCCAGATGGTAAAGTATTCTTCTGTCAGGTACTGACGTGCATTGTTGCTCATTCTTTCCCGGAGATCATGATCAGTCAATAAGCGATACATGTAATCAGCCACAGCATCGACGTCGCCAATAGGAGCCAAGAAACCAGTAACATCACGTTGTATTTGGAGAGGAATACCACCAGCTTCATATGCGATGACAGGTACACCCTTTTGTAACGCCTCAGTGACTTTGACTTCAAATCCTTCCCGATGTGATAATTGTAAAGCAACACGAGCACCACTTAATACCATGTTCAGTAACTGATCAGAGGGTTGTAACCTTGCCACGATGATATCACTTACAATTGACGAGAATGGTGAAGTATTGATTAGAGCATATGTTTGTCCATAAATCAAGGATCCATCTGGATCATCAATCGATCCATGACCACATAACACCAATTGAGGAATATCAGCATCAGTAATTTTGTCATCAGCATCCAGTCGTTGACGAAGCAATCGATAAGCTTCCAATACATCAGGGATGCCCTTGGATGGATCAAATCTAGCTACTTGCACCACATAAGGTCGATTCCAGTCTACTTCATTTGCACCTTGATCCATACATACACGATTGAAAACAGATCGATAGTAAGTTGTACACCAGTGTGTCAATGGTTTGTTCAATCCATCCAGAGGATCGGTACAGGCAGGAAGAAGCATCACATTTTCACGAGGCACATCATCCGGTATAAAATTTCTCATCGGATGTGCGATAAAAAGATCCGCTTGTTTAATAAATTGCCATAGGAAACTATATAAGAGTACAAACGTTAGTTCTTTTTTTTTTTTTTTTTTTTTTTTTTTTTTTTTTTAGATGATGGATGTTAGTATGATCACTTACTTCCAGGTTTCAGCTTGTGGTCCTGTTGGATCATCACGGATCAAATCAGCTCGGATTTCAATATGGGATCGGAAAATCACCCGAGTTCTAGGTGAATGTAACTTGATATGAGGAATAATGCCAGACACTAAAAAAAAAAAAAAAAAAAACATGAATCATCAATGTGAAAAGAGATATTATATGCTTCATTTTCACTTACATTGAGGATCATCAATGACAATCACGTCCGAAGTTCGAATAGGCCCTTTTTCTCCCACCCAAAATCTTTCAGCATTTTCATTGGACCAATCCACAAACATTTGTTTATCTTCATCTGTCAAACGAACATCGGGAGGTGCCACTCCTTGAAGAACATTATGGAATTTTCTTTTCGTCACATCAAACACTTCTGGCTTGGGTCGAGCAACATACCCTAAACATCCAGGAAAAAGAAAAAAAAGAGATAGATGGAAGGATTGCCCCACAAAAAAAAAAAATGAATGATTTATCTACAGCTTTGTCTCGTGATCACAAACTTACAATGTATTTGAATACCGTTCAGATTTAAAAATCGAACTAAAGCATGACGCATAAGAGCAACTAAAAAAAAAAAAATGAGTTGATTAACCTTTTGGCTTGTCTTTTTTTTTTTTTTTTGATTCCTTACCGCCACCTCCTTGGGGTGTAGAGTTAAAGAAAGATACAGTCAAGTTTTTTCTTTTGAATTCAGCCGCTATTTCATTCCATACACGCCATGTTTCTTTTGCTACAGTTGTGCGATAATCTTCTAAGTCTACTAAATGGATGATCCTATTGAAATCAACTAAAAACAAAAATAAACGAAAGGTTAATATTATGATGATGATGATCGTATGATTGATGTTGGTGTGATGATGATTGCATGATAACGCTCGTATGATGATGATGATTGGTGGTTAATTCAGATACCGACTTACCTTCAACCTAAAACATATCCATAAAAAAAAAAAAAAAAAAAAATTGAGTGACAAGGGAATTACCATCTTTTTTTTTTTTTTTTTTTTTTTAATACCTCATGACGGAAACCAACACTGATACGAGGCAGATTACCAGGATATTGAGGGGATAGAAGCATAACGGCTTTTCTAACGGCAGCACTAGCTCTTTCATCTGAGGAATGTGCATCCGTATGCATTATGAATGGAATCGCATCGAGTTCACGCCAAAAATCACTCATCGTAGTTGCAACAGGTGGATCTTTGACTAAGTAGAGTTCATTCAATTTATACGAACATGCTATGATTTGTATCTTGTATGATTGAGAAGCACAATAGAGTTTGACCACACGCTTAAGTTCTTCAACAGCATCATTCATGCATTGTTCAAGTGTCATTCCTGGGGGATGCTTACATAAAAGACCTGTATAGTAATCAGTGGTGTATGATCCATCGTGTACCGAAATTGAGTATGATGATTGATCGCGAGCTTCTGTCACTTGTACATCTAATCCAAGGTACACTGGTTGAGGGATACTGGCGCTTGAGAAGCGTCTGGTAGTAGGAGGTTCGAATGGAAGATTGGGATTAGGGGCCATCGATGTTATTTTATTATTTGAAAAAGGAGAAGAAAAATATAAAAAAGAATAAAAAAAAAAAAGAGGTAGTCACCAGTTTTTTCTATTTTCCTTTTTTTTTTTTTCCCTCTTTACTCTCATTTTTTATGTTTGGGAACTGAAACATAGCATGGGATAAATGAGCGTGCAAATGATATTGATCTTTTTCTTTTTTTTTTTTTTTTTTTTATCAAACCAATCATCAAACCCCGTCCTAAGCAATTTCTAAAAAAAAAAAAAAAAAAGCACATCTATTTTATTCTTCCCCTCCATTCATCATTATCATCATTTTCACATTTATTTTCTTTTCTTTTTTTAATGGAATCTCTGTTACAATGGGTAATGCAAAATCACGGCAATCATTATCAAAATGCCTTGATGATCGATCCAATCAAACAGATTTATACAATAAAAGCGATCTCAATGATCTAAAAAGTAATTCATCCACTTCATTACCCATTTTTTCATCATCATCGCTCAGTGATGATAGTCGACGCCATTCTGAACCTTCAATGCTATGCGATAAGGCACCAAGGCCATGGTCAATGCCATTTCCCTCATCTGTTAGGACCTCCAATGATCATCACAGGATATCAACGATGGACGAAAATGAAGAATTTACTCATAGAACAGATATGGTAAAAAAAAAAAAAAAAGGAAAATCGATATAGGAAGATGATTGCTACTCATCTTTTTTTTTTCCTTTCTTCTACTAGCATTACCTATTGAAGCATTACTTTCATGGGAATTTCAACGTACCTCTTGAAGGTATATTCAATGCATCATCATCATCATCATCGTCATCATCATCTACTCTATTGACACAACAACAAACAATTCCACCTATCCGAATTCTTGATATTTTTTGTACGACTGGTGTTTGGGTATTAGAAATGGCGTCTGATTACCCCAAAGTACAATGCTATGGTAAAAAAAAAAAAAAAGAAACAACTGATGAGTCATCATCCCATGTTTCTTTTTTCTTCTCACTTTTATCTATTCATTTATTCGTAGGGATTGATCCTGGAAAAGATTATCCTAACTCAATCAAGCCATCTAATGCTCATTTTTCGCATTATGATATTACTGAAAACAATGGTCGTATGGAATTCGAAGATTCTTTTTTTGATTTTGTGCGAATGGAGATGATTTATCAGTGTTACTCTAAAGAACAATGGAAGGTAGTTAAAAAGAAAACAAATAAAAAAAAAAAAGAAGAGGATGGATCTAATTTCTTTTTTTTTTTTTTTAAAAAAAAAACAATGAGGAAATAGATCCTTTGTAAGGAAATGAATCGTATATTAAAAAGAGGAGGATATTTTGAATTGCGTGATGTGAATCCAATTATGAAACATGCAGGTCCTATAGCCCACGAGGGATTCAAACGATGCAAGTGTTTCTTTTTTTTTTTTTTAAAAAAAAAAATAACATGATCTGATAAAGCTAACATCATTATTTTATTTTAGATCCACAAATTATGAAAGAACTACTAGGTGTAGACGTTGATTGGTATGCACATATGTGTGATTATATGGAACGGTATGGATCGATGATCGATATCCATTATAAAGAAATCAGAATACCCATTGGATGGTCTGGTCCACCCTCGTTACTTATGAAAAAAGTGACTGAATCGGCCTTGGAAACACATAGAAGAAAATGGATAAAGGTAGCTGCATTTGATGCCAAGGGTCTAGATGATTACACTGATAATCTACAACTCGCTTTGAAAGAAGCAGTTGATTATCATTCTTATTATAATTTTTACCTTTGTTGGGGTCGTAAGTCCTTTATTTCCCAAGAGACGTTTCTTCATCCTACTACCATTACTGATGATGATCATCGAAAAAAGATTCCTTCTATTTCTTCCGAAAATGATATTTATGCTTATGGTTATGAAGAATAGGTCATAATTAAAAAAAAAAAAAGTTGTTAAATTAAATATAATGATTGATGATTAAATGTATGATGATATGTGATGATTAAATGTATGGATGATATAAAATGATGATTAAATATATGGAAGATATTAAGATGATTAAATGTATTGACGATATGTGATGATGAAATGTATGGATGATATAAGATGATGATTAAATATATGGAAGATGATGGGTAATGATAATGATATAGGATGATGATCAATACGCGTTCCGATTTTCATTATTATTCTACTTTGGGGACGGAAAGTCTTTGTTTTCTTATCATTCTAGCTCTCCTTATCCCTCTTTTTTTTTGTTACACAATGTAAAGATTCGGAAGTGGGCGATCATTGGTTATTCATCATCAGAGTTGTGTTCCATCCTACTTTAAAGGAAATAAAATTGAATAAAAAAAAATAAAGTTGTACCAGTTTATTAAGTTTTAGATATGGGGCGTCTTTGATTTGTTTTTTTTTTCTTGAGATGTTAGAAAGTTCATAGATGTTTATTTTGGTGTTCTTTCTTTTTTTGCGCTAATGGAAAATATTTCAGATGCCTTTTCTGCAAATTCAGATGCCTTTAAAGCGCCGAACAACGGGGGCATGATGAACACTAAACACACGTACAGTTTCCCCTTTGTTGATAATTTTAGTTTTTTTTTTTTTAATCAAAAAGTTTGTGATGAAATAGAAAAAAAATAAAGTATATAATAATGATGATGATGAATTAAGAGAAGATATCATATAATAAAATGAATCCTATCAATAGAAAATTAAAGAATAAGAGAAACCAAGTTAGAAATCAATCCATTCATGCTTCATTTGAATGCTTATAAAATCCGATGATTTTCTACACAATACCTATAAATTTTTTCTGTTTATCTATTGGTTAAAAAATTGTTTCTCCGTCTTTTTTCTCCCACGAAGATTCCTCCTTGTCAAATAAAATTACTCCAATCTGTGCTTTCCGCAATGTTCGAGAAAAAAAAATATATAAACACGCTTTTTTTTATTTTTTATTTTTTTTAATTTTTTTTTCTTTTTTTTTTCTCTTTTTCTTCTTTACTTTTCTAAAAATAAATTTATATTTTTTTAACAATGGCTACTCCCAGTCTTGCTCATTTCAAGTTACCCGTGATTGAAAACGAACCCATGTTGTCTTACGCTAAGGGTTCTCCTGAACGTGCTAAGCTTCAAGCTGCTTTGGACGAAATGATCGCTCAAGGTCCTCAAGAAATCCCTCTTGTCATTAATGGTGAAAAGATCTATACTGGAAAGACTGCTCAACAACTTAATCCTTCCAATCACAAGTCTGTCATTTGCAATTACCATGAAGCTGATGCTGCTCTTACTGAAAAGGCTATTCAAGGTGCTGTTGCTGCTCAAGCTCAATGGGAAGCTCTTCCTTTCAATGATCGTGTAGCTGTCTTCTTGAAGGCTGCTGATTTACTTTCTCAAAAATACAGGTAATGGAAAGAATCAAGAGAATGAGGAAAAGAAAAAAAAATATATATATATTGACCATATGTATTCTTTTTTTTTTTTTTAAAAAAAAAAAAGATATAAGGCTATGGCTGCTACCATGTTGGGTCAAGGCAAGAATATCTGGCAAGCTGAAATTGATGCTGCTGCTGAACTTTGTGATTTCTGGCGATTCAACTGTAAATATGCTGAAGAAATTTATCATCAACAACCTCCCAAGAATGCTCCTGGTAACTGGAATCGTGTGGAATACCGTGCTCTTGAAGGTTTCGTACTTGCTGTCTCTCCTTTCAATTTCACTGCTATTGGTGGTAACCTTCCTAGTGCTCCTGCTCTTATGGGTAATGTTGTCCTTTGGAAGCCTTCTCCTTCTGCTGTGTATTCCAACTACCTTGTATATGAAATTCTCGTTGAAGCTGGTCTTCCTGCTGGTGTCATTCAATTCATTCCTGGTCCTGCTGAAGAAATCTGTGGTGTTGCTGTGAAGCATCGCCAATTCGCCTCTCTTCACTTTACTGGTTCCACTCGTGTTTTCAAGAAATTGTGGGCTGATGTTGGTGCCAATATTGACAAATACGTGTCCTATCCTCGTTTGGTCGGTGAAACTGGTGGTAAGAACTATCATATCCTTCATCCTGATTTGGATACCGCTGGTGTACATCATGCAGCTCTTCAAACCATCCGTGCTGCTTTTGAATTCCAAGGTCAAAAGTGCTCCGCTTGTTCTCGATGCTATGTTCCCAAATCTCTCTACAATGAATTCAAGTCTGTCTTGCAAGCTGAACATGCTAAGATCACTCAAGGCCCTGTTCAAGAATTCCAACACTTCTCTGGTCCCGTTATCAATAAGTTTGCTTTTGATAAGATCAAGGGTTACATCGATCATGCTCAAGCTGATGCCGACTGTGAAATCATCGCTGGTGGTAAGTATGATGATTCAGTAGGTTACTTTATCCAACCTACCATCATCACCGCCAAGAACAAGTTCGCTAAGACTATGGTGGAAGAAATCTTTGGTCCCGTCGTCACTCTTTATGTCTATGATGATGACAAGTTCGATGCAACCTGTGCTCTCATTGGTGAAAGTACTGAATATGCTCTTACTGGTGCTCTCTTTGCCAAGTCTCGTGAATCTATTGTCCATGGTAGTAACTTACTTCGTAACTTCTCTGGCAACTTTTACATCAATGACAAGTGTACCGGTGCTGTTGTTGGTCAACAACCGTAAGTTTTTTTTTTAAAAAAGAAAAAAGGATGATTAGATTGGAGTGATAGGATGACTAAAATCTTATTTTTTTTTTTTTTACTCTTCCCTTCAATATAGATTCGGTGGTGGTCGCGGTTCTGGTACTAACGATAAGGTAAGTTTTGAAATGAAAAAACTAATCAAGACATATCCGAATCAATGCTAACTTTTATATATCCTTATATTTAGGCTGGTTCTTGGACTTTACTCGTTCGCTTTGTCTCCATGCGTACTATCAAAGAAAACTATGTACCCATCACTGACTACGCTTATCCATCCAACTTGATTTAAAGCGAAATAGCAACGGACAAGAAGGGAATTTTAGGACATCATGCATCATTATTATTATCATCATCAACAACAACAACAAGGGATATATATAGGACAACTAGTTTTTATTTTACATATTGGGCTAGGTTGTTATTTTTTACAAAGTTAGAAGGTTTCTTTTTTTTTTTCTCTTTTACAAATAAATGAAAAAAAAAATATAAAGGGCTAATTGGTGCCCTTAACTTTCAACTTCAAAATTATTCTTATTTGTGTGTATAGTGTTTGTGTGGGATGTCTTTTTTTTTTTTTTATTGTTGTTTTAGATTCGATATATTACTTGTTTGTTATGGGTTACTCATGTTTTTTTTTTTTTTTGTTTACGGGTTGTCTCAGTAAAAATAGAAACACGCCATTTGTCAATCATCATCTCTTATTCCATTCTGTTGGAACTTGCATATACATTTCTGTCTTTTTCTTTTTTTTTTATTTGCAGAATTGTATATCATTATGCATTTTTCAAATCATCCAACTTTTTTTTTTGCTTGTCAAAGAAAGAACGTTGCACCAATTTGACATTAATACTATTACGATCATAATCTTATTGTCTAAACATAAAATCATCTGTTGATTGCCAACCCAACAAATCATAATCTATGTGTAACATTCCTTTTCAAAGTGAAGAAGGAGAAAGGCCAATACTGATATAGATGATGGATTGTAGATGATATGGAGAATAGTCAATTTCAGTATACTAATACCCTCCCCCCACCTTATTAAGTAGTGAAACAACGAGATGAGTAGATCCGATGGTTCAAGCCCATGCTCCGCTCTTTTTTTTTTTTTTTTTTTTTGACTCATAAAAGAATGATTTCCTTTGATCATATCATCTTTTAAAAAGAGGAAGAAAAATAAAATAAAATAATGATAAATATATTTAACTTTAATAGAAAATGTGATGACTAGATTTTGTATCATATTTTGAGGCAATTTTCTTTTGACAGTTTGTCTGAAGATAAAATAAAATAAAAATGGGTGGCTGGCGGATGAGTCAAACTTAAAATTGAAAAACCTCTTTTGCCTTTTTTTTTTTTTCTGGAGACATTCTTCTTTCCCTTTTTCTTTTTCTTTTCACTTTTGTGAAAGAACTTTTTTTTAAAAAGAAACACAGTTTTCGTTTTCTTTTGATATAAATAATACTTAACATAAACAATTATGTCTACTGGTAAGTTACTTTTCATTATTCTACGCGTTTATATATTGACATGATTCTTTAAAACTCACCTTTTTTTTTTGTTCTTTTTAAATAGACAAACTTACTGTTCTTCTTGTTGGTGCCGGTGGAAGAGAACATGCCATTGCTTGGCGTTTATCTTTATCTGAAAAGGTCAATCATATCTATGTTGCTCCTGGTAAGATAAATAAAAAAAAAAAAAGAAAAATAAAAAAAAAATTGATGGATCATATTTAATTCATCGTTTTTTTTTCCTTCTTCTTTTTCGTTTTTAAAAGGTAATGGTGGTACTGCTCTCGGTAACAAAGTGACCAATGTTGCTATTGGTGTTAGTGATTTCGCTAAATTGACTGACTTTGCTGTTAAGAACAATGTAAGTGTTTAACAAGAAGTGTAGAATAGATGTACTCAACGTATGAATTTATATAGGTTAACCTTGTAATTCCTGGTCCCGAACAACCTATTGTGGAAGGTATTCAAGAAGTCTTCAAAAAAGTTGGTATTGCATGCTTCGGCCCTTCCAAGAAGGCAGCTTTGATGGAAGGATCCAAGACTTTCTCCAAGGACTTTATGAAGAAACATAACATTCCTACTGCTGCTTATGAAAACTTCACCGATTATGAAAAGGCCAAAGCTTATGTACAATCTGTTGATCATCAAGTAGTTCTCAAGGCTTCTGGTTTGGCTGCAGGAAAGGGTGTATTGCTACCTACTACAAAGGAAGAAGCTCTAGAAGGTCTCAAATCAATCATGTTAAACAAAGAGTTCGGTAGCGCTGGTGATGAAGTGGTGATTGAAGAATATTTGGAAGGAGAAGAATTGTCCGTATTGGCCTTTTCTGATGGTTATACTGTGATTCCTTTACCTCCTGCTCAAGATCATAAACGTGCATTGGATGGTGATTTAGGTCCAAACACTGGTGGTATGGGTTGCTATTGTCCTACTCCTCTTGGTACAAAGGAATTAGTGGCTCAAGTCAAACGTACTATTTTACAGCCTACTATTGATGGTATGCGTCGTGATGGTTTTCCTTTTGTTGGTATGCTATTTACTGGTTTGATGTTAACAACTTCTGGTCCAAAGGTATTAGAATACAATGTTCGATTTGGTGATCCTGAAACTGAAGTGGTACTTCCTCTTTTGGGTGATGACACTGATTTGGCCGAAATCATGCTGGCATGCTGTGAAGGTCGTTTAGATGCTGTATCTGTTACTGTCAAACAAGCTTTTGCTGCTACTGTTATCATGGCCTCTGGTGGTTATCCTGGTGCTTATCCTAAGAATTTGCCTATCATCATTCCTTCCGAACAAAACTTACCTCAAGATGTATCAGTATTCCATGCTGGTACTACTTTAAACGATGACAATGTATTGGTGACATCTGGTGGACGTGTACTTGCGGTATCTGCTGTATCTTCTACTTTACGTGGTGCTGTTGATCGTGCTTATGAAGGTGTCAAGTCAATTCATTTTGATCAAATGTACTTCCGAAATGATATTGCTCATCGTGCTTTCAAACATGCCGAACAAAAACCAACAGGAATCACTTATGCCTCTGCTGGTGTGGATATTGATGCTGGTAATCTTTTGGTTCAAAAAATCAAACCTTTGGTAAAATCAACAAAACGTGTGGGTGCTGATTCTGATATTGGTGGTTTTGGTGGTTTGTTTGATCTCAAAGCTGCTGGTTTTGTTGACCCTATTCTTGTCTCTGCTACTGATGGTATTGGTACCAAACTTAAGATTGCTCAAGATTGTAACATCAACGATACTGTGGGCATTGATTTAGTTGCTATGAACGTCAATGATTTGGTGGTACAAGGTGCTGAACCCTTATTCTTCTTGGATTACTTTGCTTGTGGAAAATTGGATGTGGAAGTGGGTAAGGATTTTGTTGCTGGCGTTGTAGAAGGTTGTCTTCAATCTGGATGTGCATTGGTTGGTGGCGAAACTGCTGAAATGCCTGGTTTATATGCTCTTGGAGACTATGATGGTGCTGGTTTTACCGTCGGTGCTGTGGAACGCCATAAGATCTTACCTCGTATGCAAGATATGAAGCCTAATGATGTCATTCTCGGTTTGGCCTCCTCTGGTGTCCACTCTAACGGATTCTCCTTGGTACGTAAAATTGTTGAAAGTCAACCTGGTTTGACCTACTTTACACCTTGTCCATGGGATCATTCCAAAACCTTGGGTCAAGCTTTGTTGACACCTACTCGTATCTACGTCAAACAATTGTTACCTGTCCTAGAAAAAGATCTTGTGAAGGGTATGGCCCATATCACTGGTGGTGGTTTCTTGGATAATATTCCCCGTGTTATGCCTGAACATCTTGGTGTGTCTTTGGATGCTGCTTCTTATCCTTTCCCTCCTATCTTCAAGTGGCTCAAACAGGCTGGTCAATTGTCACCTTATGAAATGTCTCGTACTTTTAACTGTGGTATCGGTATGATTCTTGTTGTTGATCCCGTCAATGTTGATCAAGTCATTCAACTCTTGGAACAAGTGAATGAATCCGTTTATGTCATGGGCAAGGTAGTTGACAAGGCTGATTTGAATGGAAAGGAAGTGGATGTGTACAACACTGATGCATGGTAGATATTTTTTTTTTCATTTACTTCATACCGTTATTATTATTGTTGTTATTTTTAGTTTTTATTTTTATTATTATTATTATTAGTTATCATCTTCATACATTTTTATCTTTTGTACATAGAAAATCATCCAAAAAAAAAGCTTTTTATCTTTTCATATTACTTAAATAAAACTTCTTTTAGACAACTTGTTTCTTTTTTCTTTATTTTGATGAACAGTGTGATTAAAAGGGGGATGAACGACGTGGATAAAGATTCATATTGTATCTTCATTATTCTACAGTTTCTTGAAGTTAGAATATTGAAAATTTTATTTCCTTTTTAAATCAATAATAGAACCCATCATCTACTTTAACAACACTTTATGGAAAAGTATCATCCTTCAACAACATGACGATTTCTTTTATTCTTATTACTTTCGATATTTGTCACGTCTCTTGCAATCATGCTCAATTACACATAGATTTCAATCCCTTCATGCAAATGACGAAATACTTTGGTACTGTACCTTGGTACCCCCTTTTTTATTCCTGTTCATTACTTGTAATATCCGAGTATTTCATGTTTAAAAATAGTCAGTAGGAAGATGAATCCATAGAACTCTATTTATTACTATCTTTTATAAAGTTTAAAAAGATAGTCGAACGAGAAAACTAATGATGACGATCGCACCAATCGTTTTCATGCTTTATTCCGACATTTTTGGGATGAATGATCTGTACAGATCATTCGATCTAGCCCACCCAAAAAAAAAATTAAAGTATATCAAATGACACTAGAAAAAGATTAACTATAAAGATCAATCTTAATTTCAAATCAATCACATAATAATGTATAAAAAAAAGAAAAAGTTTAATGCTTTAGACATGGGCATAAGGTAACACGTTCAGAAAAGCGGGGTTGACAGCATCTATAGGCGTGCTCAGCTTGAAAGTTGGCAGGATACTTTTAATCCTTTTCCGATAAAAGGTTGAATCTTTTTCTTTTTTTCTCTTTTTCTTCTTTTTCTTCTTTTTCTTTCTCACATACACTCCTTTTATTTTCATTGATATATACATGTCTGAAGAACTCCAACTCCGTTTTGAAACTTTACAACTTCATGCTGGTCAGAAGCCTGATAAGAGTACTAATGCCAGAGCCGTTCCCATATATGCCACTTCCAGCTATGTGTTCGACAGTACTGATCATGGTGCCGATCTTTTTGCTCTTCGTACAAGTGGTAACATCTATTCCAGGTAAAAAAAAAAAAAAAAAAAAGACATGAAAGAAAAGGAGTCATATTGATAATATTTATTTATTCTCAATTAGAATCATGAATCCTACCAATGAGGTATTCGAACAGAGAGTGGCCGCTTTGGAAGGTGGTGCTGCTGCTACTGCTACTTCTTCAGGACAAGCTGCTCAATTCTTGACTATTGCTACCTTGGCCAAGAAAGGTGATAATATTGTGGCTTCTTCTAGTCTTTATGGTGGTACCTACACTCAATTCAAGTTGACTTTCCCACGTTTAGGTATCAACGTTCGATTTGTCAACAGCGACGATCCTCAAGATTTCAAGGCCAAGATTGATGAAAATACAAAGGCGGTTTATGTTGAAAGTATTGGCAATCCAAGATTCAATGTCCCTGATTTTAAAGCTTTGGCTGATGTTGCTCATGAAGCTGGTGTTCCTTTTGTGGTAGATAAGTAATATGAAAAAAAATGGTGGATGATATTTGGCAATCATACTAAAGATTGGCTAACACATATCCAAATGATCTTTTCTTCTTTCTTTTTTTTTTTTCTCTTCTATATAGTACATTTGGTGCTGCTTATTTGGTTCATCCTATCGAACATGGTGCAGACATTGTTGTTCATTCAGCTACCAAATGGATTGGCGGGTAAAAATCATTACGAATATCAAGTAGTCATGAAACTAATGATGATTATACTTTTTTTTTAAATTTTTATCTTTTTGGTTATTGATCTAGTCATGGTACAACTATTGGTGGAGTTGGTAAGAATGGGGAAAAAAAATAATGAGTGAAAGAGATGATAGAGGATGATGATAAACTAATATGATGTTTTGTTTAATATAGTGATTGATGCTGGTAAATTCCCTTGGAACAATGGACGATTCCCTGACTTTACTGAGCCTTCTGAAGGATATCATGGTTTGAAATTCTGGGAAACATTTGGCAACCTGGCATTTACCTTCCGTTTGAAAACAGAATCTCTTCGTGATATTGGAGCTTGTCAAAATCCTTTTGGTTCATTCTTATTATTACAAGGTTTGGAAACATTATCTCTACGGGTACAACGTCATGTCGACAATGCATTGGAATTAGCACATTGGTTACAAACTCGAGATGAAGTTGCCTGGGTATCTTATCCTGGTCTTGCCAATCATCCTTATCATGAATTAGCAAAGAAGTATCTGCGTCACGGCTTTGGGGGTGTTTTGACGTTTGCTATCAAACAAGGCTCTCTCAAGACTTTTATCGAATCACTTCGTCTGGCGTCTCATTTGGCAAATGTTGGTGATGCTAAGACCCTGGTCATTGCCCCTGCTCTCACAACTCATCAACAATTGACCGATGACGAACAAGTAGCTGCTGGTGTAACCAAAGATCAAATCCGTGTGTCTGTTGGTATAGAGTAAGTTGAAAAAAAAACTGATTTTTTTTTTGTATGTGTTAATTCGTATTTTAATCCATTGTCATCTTTTTTTTTATGTACATTTATTTATTTAGACATATTGATGATATCAAAAATGATTTTGAACAAGCGTTGAAGAAAGCTGTTAGCAATTCCAATTGATTAGTATTGTAGTATTAGTTGTACTTCTATTTATACAATATAATAAAGTGACATTATATAAATATCGATTTAGTACGAATAATGAATGGATGACGGATGATATGAGATGATGAACTCGAGTTTTCATTCGATAAACAGATAATCACCACTATACATTATCACATAACATCAGTAACTCTCATCAGCTAAGATTATAATAGTTATTTGATATTTCAAATGTTATTAAATGTAGTGATGTGAGAGCAAAAAAGAAAGATTAGAGTAGAAAGTGCGTGTAGCATTCTTCGCGTTGAAAAAAAAAGCATACTATGGAAAACGTCAGGGACGCAAGGACGATACATTGTCTTTATTAGAGTTTATGAATTCATATTTTTTTTTTGTATATACGTTTTCCAATGTTAATATCCTAAGAAATCGATTTATGTATAGTTTATTATGCCATCAACTCTACATTTCTTATGTAAACATAGGTGGTACAAACTGATTGGGAATGATCAAAAAAAAAAAAAAAGCGTACAAGCATGGATGGGGATTGAAACCCAGTCATTTCAGTGGTATAGTAGCCAGTGGAAATTCCGCACGTCTTTTCTCAATTTTTTTTGTTCTTTCACTCCCTTCTCCCTTTTCTTTTCTTTTTCCTTTCTTTCTTTCTTTCTTTTTTTTTTTTTTTTTACTTTCATTAGTACTTATATAGAAAAAGAAAAGGCTATGAAACTCAACAGTCTATTCCTTATCTCCAGTTTATTTATATTTCATACAGCTCAAGCTGGTATCTTCAGTCATCACGCTGCCAAAGATGACACCACCGATACTATCAAGTCTAATGAAAACGACAGCAAAGGTGTAGTTGACAAAAAGATGGATTATAAACTATCTTTTAAGATCCCTTATTATTACAACAATAATATTCCTTTTTGGTCAACAGGAGGAGGTATGGTTTTGTATTCTTTATTATATTATATATATATATGGTTAATTCTACTTCTTCTTTAGATGTAATCGGGGCACATGATAGAATACGACTTTCACCTTCAGTCCCTGGAACCAAAGGTTGGATATGGAGTGACTTACCTAATGAATATGAAGAATGGATGGTGGATATGACTTTTATTATCACAGGAAACCAAGTTCATGGTGGACGTGGGATGGCTCTTTGGTATACAAAAGACAAGTTACCTGAAGGTCCTATTTTTGGTGCAAAAGATCAATGGGATGGTCTCAGTATTTGGTTTGATTCAGCCAATCCAAAGGTAAGAGAACAAAAAAAAAAAGGGAATGATAGTTAATTGATTCTATGTTATGATCATTAGACCCACTCACCTACAATCATGGCATTCTTGAACGATGGAAAATTTGCCTTTGCTTCTGCTGGTGTGGATCCTACAAAACGCGCTCTTGCCTCATGTCCTATGGATTATCGCAATGCTCAAGCTCCCGTTAGAATGCGACTTTCTTATAAAGATCATACATTGACAGTAAGAAAAAAAAATAACGTGACAACGATTTTTTTTTTTTTTTTTTTTAAGAATCATCTTGTCATTTTATTTTTTTTCTTTTCTATTAGTTGCTTCTGGATACAACTTCTCATGGTATGAATTATCGTCCTTGTTTCCAATATTCTGGTATTACTCTTCCCACTGGTTACCATTTCGGTCTATCGGTAAACTTAAACGTCTTTAATGTAGAAATCAAATATATTGAACTCTTTTTTCGTTTTGGATTTTTCTTTAGGCTGCTTCTCACAATCCTGCTGGTAAGATATAATTAATATAAGAAATGAGGTTGATTCAAGTGATATGGTTGTATTGATATTCCTCTTCTCTTTGTATAGATGATCATGATATTATCTCATTCGAAACGTACCAACTAAATCCTCCTGCGAAACTACAAGTAAGAAAATAACAAGAGTTAGAAATAGTTTTGATCAAGTATTAATGATTTTTTTTTTTTGTTTTGATAGCATGATAAGCGACCTTTGGAAGAAGAAATCATCCAAAAAGGCAATGCTTTCCGAGAACTTTCTGAAGAACAAAAAAAGGTAAATGAAAAATAATTGATAGGGATAATATGAATGATGAATCAGAAGAACTAATAAAACCTTTGTGACACTTTGTTAATGATATTACGATAGAAAATTGAAGAAGCTGAATTCGAAGTCAAGCGTTTACGGGAACAAAATGAAGGCAATGTGATGTCAGAAACAACAGCCACTATGGTGAGTTATCAAAAAAAAAAAAAAAAAAAAAGGAACAAATGATACTGATAAAACTCTTCAATGATTATTAGGGTCTTCTTTTTGATACAGAACGTCGCATATTGGAAACATTACAAATCAGTCAACTTCAATTAGAAGCTTTGGGTGCACCTACGCCTGAACAGGTACTTAGTGGGGACTTTGTACAAAAGCCAGTTGGAGGAAATGTGAATGAAAGAAATCAAGCTGCTAGGTATGATTTTGGAAAAAGGAGATAGAAAAAGATCTTTGTCTAACAACTTCCAATCAAAATAGTGGCCTATCAGTGGATCATTTAAGAACAGAAAGCAAGCTCATTCTTCAACGTTTGGAACAACAATCAAATCAATATGAACAACGTTTGAAAGGATTACAAGATACCATGTCCAGAATGGAATCAATGATACAGGCAATGGACGTAAGTCATATTTATATCACTGACTTTTATGATTAATACTTAAAAACTCCATCATCTTACCTTTAGAACAAAATGGCTTTGCAATCTAGCAACTTACATGGCAAGCTTAGTGAAATCACAAAAGATTCTGCCGAGGCAAGGGGTACCATGTCAACATTGATCAAATATGTGCTATACGCTTGTGGTCTTCAAGGTTGTGTTGGACTGGCGATCTACATCTATTGGAAATTACGTGTGGAAAAGAATGAAAAGAAATTTTTGTAGTCATGTCAGACTATGATCCTTTTTTTTTTTTTTTTTTTACTTTCGTATAGCTAACAATGATACCTTTTTGGAATAAAAAAGAGATTTTTTTATTTATTTTTATTAGTTTGGGAATATTTACAAGATATTTTACTATGTAGAACATGTTTTATCTAAAATGATGGTTTTCAGTACCGTGGTATTAAAACTAAAACATATTTGACAGCGATGATGAAAGAAGTGGTATGGAGTATTGGATTTGTTTTCACAATCATTACAAAAGATTAAGGAGGAGTGATATCGATAGGCTTCTGGCATAGGTTGACAATCCAACTCTTTTTCTAGTTGTTGAAAGTACAAGGACATATCACCTAAGGATTTTAAACAGATAGGACATTGATAGGAAGATTGAATATGCTTTTTATAACAAGGTTTATGGATACCATGACCACAGGCCTAACAAAAAAAAAATATGAGTGACGGAGGGATGATACGGAGGAGAGAGAGAGAGTTTACCATGACAATAACGGGGATTGTACTTGTAAACATGTATTCACCACAGATAGGACAATCACATTCTAGATTATGTTCGATACATTTATGAGTATCCTTAATGGCAATCTCCATACAAACGTTACAGGTTTTACAATGATGGAAATCAATTCCTAAGCCTTTCCCTTGACGACACATGCCACAATCATCACAATGATAAATCGATTTATCTGAATCATCCCAGAATTGACATTTGTTACAATAGTATCTAGCAGCCTTAGTACCACAACTAGTACACCATTGTCCTACAGGTTGAAGAGTGAAACATTCCATACAAAGCATCTTTTTGGTTTCTGACCTAAAAAAAAAAAAAAAAAAAAAAAAAAAAAAAAGGATGAGAAGAATGGATTATCTATCTTTTTATTCTTATTTACCGGATGATAAAATGATCACTATTGGCATCATGACATAATCGACATGGAAAGATTTTTTGACAACAGTTGGCTTGAATCTTGATGTTGCGTTGATAATGGATACATCCTAAAATATTCTTTTCTTTATTCTATTACAATAAAAAAAATCAATGTCATTTTTGCATCCAAAGAAAAAAAAGAGACTTACATAATATGATCGTTCATTATCTTTCATTATGATTGTATGATCAGATGAAGTGGGTATCGATTGTGACATGAGTTGCTAATAAAATGATGTCGAATGAGTCTTCAAACAACGTAAAAAGCCATCATCATCACCATCACTTGCCTGTATTCGTCTTGACTTTTCTTTTGAACAAAAATGAGTATTTTGTTGAATTTCAAGAATACGTTTCCTTAACTTGATCTGTCTAGTTTGCTCGATGACATGATCCATATTAAAAAAAAAATGATAAAAAGAAACTCGATCAAATGAAAAAAAAGGAGAGCTAGTGACTATATAAAAAGCGCCTCTTTTTATTCATAAAGGGTATGGATGCATGGAATAATTTTTTTAATGGTCAGTCGCGCGAGAGAGTACCGAAAGGTCAAATTGAAAAAAAAAAGTGTAACATGGGATATTTTATTATTATTTATGATCAGGGAAAACATTTGATCCTTTTTTTTATTTATCTGTCATGATGATTGACATTTCTAACCTAAAGGAGAGAAGGAGGATGGTCATAAATAGAGGTGTCCAATGAAGACCAAAAAAAAAAAAAAAAAAAAAAAAAAGGGCTGACAGATGACTATGAAATTCTTCGCGCGACTTTATCCCCTTTACATTTCCTCTTTTGTTGCCTGACGCGCGATCCATCACCGAGATCGTCAGCACAAAATTGACATCTTTGGTATCATCATGCTATTGACATTTCTATCCTTTCTCTTAAAATCAGCCACAATTTGTTTTTCATTATTTTTTATTTTATTCAGTATTGTTCAAAAATTCATAAATTATACTACAACTTCAATTCAGTCATGCTTAACCAATCTAATGATACATCTTCTAAATGTTCATCTAAATCTATTATACGCTGGTATCCACACGCACTCAAGAGACCACGAAGCTTGGGTAAATAATCCTGTTTAACTTGATCCTGAATATCCTTGCTTGCCTTCCATTGCTGTTCTTGATAATCATATATCTAGATTAGAAATTCATTAGTCATCAATATCAATCCCTCCCTTTTCATCATCCCCCTCCAGTGTTTACCACATATGCCTCTGTAGCTTTCTCTAAGGAGCTAAGCTTTTCATTATTGACCTAGCAAAAAAAAAAAAAAAAAAAAAAAAGTCAGCCTCTAGTATTGTTCGAGTAACTTTGCACTTTTTTTTTTATTTCTTACAATAAAGATTCTTGATGTTTTGGAACGTTGGCGAATAGCATCGGCCACCTTGATAGCATTGTCATGAAGAGATACATCATCCACGCGTTCGTTTGCTTGATACCATCCAATGATCTGTAATTGTTTCTTTTTGGCATACAGTTCGGCCTAAGAATCACAAAAAAAAAAAAAAAAGATCAGTCTTCTCCTCTTTTCTCAGTTTGAATACATATATATATATATATACTACTTTTCATACTTGTTGTAAAGCCATATCTAACATGGGAGTCAATGTTGTCCAGTGATGAAAAAGAGGAAGAGCGGTGGTGACATGGGTGATACTATCTTTTTCAACTTTACCAAGTAATAAACCACATACTTGGTTGGCTGGATATTTTGCCGCATGTAATAATGGTAAAATATAAGCATGAAGTTCAATAGTAGACATTCTATGAGATGAGGTTGAAAATAAAAAAGGAAAGGAAAAGACCAAAAAAAAAAAAAAATAACTTCCCAGTGGTTTGGGAAGGACTGTTTCGAAGCCCGATTTCTGTGATTCCACCTGAACAATCATGCAAGGACTCGATTTTTTTTATGATATCACAAGTAGCTTCCATACCTATATCATCATGGTTGATCATCATAAAGTGATAATATTTTGAACATCTTCATCCTAATCATCCATGAGTTATATATTAAAGATTGAGTTGAAATGGGTGGTGATGGGGTAAACAGATGTCGAAGCCATTTCCGAAACGGTAAGGAATAAAAAAAAAAAGAAAACTTTATTCCCATTTTGTTTTATAAAGCGTCCAGGGGGGAACATACTTCCTTTTTTTTTTTCCTCTCGTATTCTATTATTTTTTTTATTTTTCTTCTCTTCCTTTCTTTTTACATAAAAAAGAATGTCAAGTCTTGAACCTACGACCAACAAAAGGATTGCATTACCGATGCGGATCGAACCCAAAGTGTATTTTGCAAATGAAAGAACATTTCTATCATGGCTTCATTTTACGGTTGTATTGGGAGGCTTGGCAATGGGATTATTGAACTTTGGAGATAAAATCAGTCAATTTTGTGCCTTGATGTTTACCGTAATTGCGATGTTTGTTATGGTGTATGCCCTGTATGTTTTCCATTGGCGTGCCAACACGATTCGATATAGAATGGATGTATCCTATGATGATCGTTGGGGTCCATCTTTTCTTTGTGTATTTTTATTAGCAGCTGTGCTTGTTAATCTTTTTCGTAAGCCCTTTTATATATATATATATATATAATCTAATCATTTTTTTTTCTTATAGTTCGTATAAATGACAAGTAGAATTAAAATGTATTACATTCTTTAAAATAGATATATTTTGTTTATTCAGTTTCACAACTAATCATAATAATAAAACAAAAAAGTACTAAACTATAGAACATAAACTGTTTCAATGACATATCCATATAATTGCATGGTCTCACGTGGGGTCAAACCAAAATACCATGATATTGCGCCTTTGGATATTTTTCCTTCAAATCTGGCCATTGTACAAAGAAGAGATCCACCCATCCATAAAGTAATCTTCCAGTCAAAGATAAATCATAAACCCTAGCACAAGATTCAACATAAACAAGAGTAATATGTTTGATGCCAAAGAACTAAATAAGAAAAAAAAATCAGTATATATATAAAAAAAAGATTTTGTTTTATTACTCTGGGTATATAGGCAAGCATACATAAAGGTATACAACTTCCAGGTCCATTGCAAATGATCTAAAATAAACAAAGATGCAGTAACATCAGTCAATCATAGCCAATCATTTGTCCATTCCTATTCGATTTACCGTATCTGGCATCGTCGTCAGTAAGATACTGAAACATCTTAGGAAAGTCATCATAAAAGTGATAGGGACGGATACCAATGATTGACCTACATTTCTTGCCCGAGGTATTTCATAATATTTGGTCTAAAAAAAAAAATCAATGAGGATTTTATACTACAATATTTTATTTATTTTACCTGAGCTACTGTATGAGGAAACAAGTCGTGTTCCAATTGTTGCATCTTGACTTGACTAAGAGGATCATTGTTGCAATATACATAATTTCTTGGTTGATATTTGTTTTCATCCAGTCCCTTCACCAGCTGTTCCATCTCGGCCGTATGTCCACCTTTAACACATAATAGTTTATTAGTCCATTTTGTTTTCCTTTCGTTTTATATACCTGATCCTAAAACAATACAAGTTGCACAAGGCTTGATTCGTTTCTTTTTGCTTGGTTGTTGATTAGGTAGAATCATCCAAAGTCTTAAAACAGACAATAGGATAATAAGATGAAGCCATATCATCGTGTCATTTGAGATCAAAAAAAGTAGAGTGAAAAGAAACAAAAAATGAAATCTTCTTTGGAAATTATCAAAAAAAAAAAGGCGCTATTTGAAAACCACCTTAACATAAGAACCAGTTTTTCCATGATAATCTATAGAATATCAAAAAGATGTTTGATTTGCTTTTTTATTTTATTAATTGAGTCTATAAACCCCAACAAGGGGAAAAAAAAAGTAACACTAAAACGAATGTTTTTGTAAAAGAAGAAATATGATATAACAAGATACTAGTATTATGATAAAAAAGTAAAGAATAAGGTGAATGCAAATGAAAAAGTAAAGATGTAACAGAATCAAGGAAAAAAGAGACTAAAAAAAAAAAAAAATGGAATAGGTATGTATAATTTGTTATAAAAAGGGAATATCATAGTTTATGTAGAAGATCTTGATACATAGTTGCTTGGGAAAAGACCAGAGATAGGTTTGCCAGTGCCTATAAAAAAAAACAAATCAATCAATCAATCCTTTTTTTTTTTTTTTTTAACATTGTACCATCATCTTTATAACCCATCCACCAGACATTATCACTTGTATCTGTCACCACAATAGATTCATTGGCATCAAAACCTAATTCTCCAAATTCTTTTGCATCAAATGGGTATTTCGCACAATATAATTGAGGTCGTTCATCTGTCGCAGGGCCAGTGTTACCAGCTTGAAGGAGAGCCAAGGCTTTCAATTGATCAAAAGTAGCTGTACCCGGACCATGTTGACGATCACCAACGTTCAAATCATTCACTTCATCTCCCTTGTTCTTTTGCTGTGAAGACGAAGCAATGGCCAGTCCTGCCGCTCCACCCAACGTCGCCAGTTGTGCTGCATCCAATATAGCCGCAATACTTGAAGAAGGTCGCCATTGTGTTGATGAACCAGCGTCTTGATCAGAATATCCAGCTACAGGAGGTGAATTTGAGGAAGGTTGCCATGGAGGCATTGGTTCGGGATAATCCAGTCCTTGTCGACGTCTTTTCAAAAACATCCATCCTAATCCCATTCCTACCAATAAAAACAATAATCCCAATGAAATCGCAATAGAAATAAGGATTACCGCTGGTACAGGAAGATAATCTAAATAAACAAATAATAATAATAAAAAAAAAGAACAAGTTGTCAGTGTATTTATTTTAAAGGAGAATTGTATTTACTTACGTCGAATATTACTTGCTTTACAGCAATCCAATTCATGGAAAATAGCATGTGCTTGACCAGGTTGACCATTGAATTGAGATGACAAAACATATGGAGACCAAGAAGTACCATCAAACAGAGCTACTGTCGCATTGCCAGATTTTGATAATTGAAGTTGTCCAGCAGCCATTAAAACAGAGTTTGTATTAGGAGGATATCGAGATTGATCGGCGGCTGAATTGGCTGTAGGGACAAATAAAAGTTGTTGAATGTTACCTCCAGGTAATAGGTATGATGATGAAGAGGTTTGTTGCTGTTGAGTCGATGACGATAACACAGAGAACTGTTGTTGCGAATCTACTACCCCAACCACTGTTTGAGAATCAGATGTTTGACCAGCCACTAGCACACTGTCATCAGGAGCATCTATAACAGCTGTCAATGTCAATTTCTGAAGATCAGTGTTGGAAGAAACTGGAGTTGACCATGTCGAACTGCTGGAAGGATTAATTTGTGCGATCTTTGTAGATTGTTGCTGATTAAGTAGAGGTCCAATCACTGTCAATTTATTGTTGCCAACCGATAGTCCTTGTACTTCACCTGCTAAACCTTGACCCACAGGATTCCATTGTCGAATATTAACATCCCATTCGCAGACTGCAGTGCAACCAAGGGATCCAGCCTTTGCAAAGTTGCCACCAATGTATATCTTAGTTCCATCAATAGAAGGTTGCATCACGTTGACTTTTCCAGGCGCACCCGTATCATCTGATTAAATCAAAAAAAAAAAAAAAGAATGTTAGTGTAAAAGTTTTATCATCATTTTTTTTTTGTCAAAAAAGATAAAAGATATTACCAGTAAGACCACTCACTGGGACTGATGATTGATCAGTAAGACTATAGATCGCTATACTTTTCACCGATTGCTGTTGAATTTGTCCAGAGAATTGACCACCAATATAAAGAATCCCTTGAATTTGTAATAAAGCATTTACCATTGAAGGAGAGGCATCGCTATTGGTAAGCTGGAATCCGGACCAAGTATTGTCATGATACAAAGCAATGTTGGCAATGGCACCGTTTTGCATGGTAAATTGACCGCCTAGAATTGTCACTTGTTGATTGGATGTGCTGTTGTGCCAGAAAAGTCCAGAGTTAACGGTGGCTGTGTCATCATTATCAAAAAGTCCATAATACTGTGTCCATAAAGGTGCTGTTAATGAAGAAAATGTGGTAGCACCGACGGAATAGAACGTTTGTGCTGCTTGTAAATTTCCAACTAACATGTTGCTGCTATTTTTAGTGGATGTTGCGAAAGGTTGCCATGAATTGATACTACCAGCAATGAATGCTTGTCGATCTGTCCATTTTTGTTGAAGTGGATTCCAAATCGCGTTATTTGTGCTTATCTTTGATCGACCATTTGGTTGAATCACATGATTGAAATCGCCTGAAATCGTGATAGTAGAACTGTCAAGAGAAGATATCATTGCTTCAACATTTCCGTCCGTACCCTACATTCAATAATCAGTTAAGAAAAGAAAATAGTTAGTATAAGTAGATATTGAAGCACCTTTTTTTTTTTTTTTTTTTTTTTTTTTTTTTTTTTTTTTACGTGAGCTAATGTGGACCAAGATTGATTGGTGGTATGATATACTGCTACATGATTCAATCCTGTCAATTGTTGATCGATTGTGTTGTTGAATAATCCACCCACGTACAAATCTATAATAATAATAATTAGAGGATATCATAAATAAGGACGATCCGGAAGAAAAAAAAGAGCTATAATAAGTTAACATACCAGTGCCAGATAACAAGAGACTTGTAACGTTTCCATCGAGTCCGTTTCCATTCAGTGTAGAGATCTTGCCTAAATTATAATCATATGCAGCGATGTTTCTATAAGGACTAGTGATACCGACAAATTGGCCTCCAATATACAAAACATCACCATTAGATGCATCCAATGTATGGACAGTTGATCCAGGAGTCAATTGATCTATATGCAAAGAGAAAAAGAAGAAGTTAGGGGAAAAGGAGTCAAGGAGGAAATATATTGATTACCTGTCAGAGGATGCCATGCGAGAGATTGCTGGGTGGAGTAGTTTTGAGGACTGAATTCCAGAATACTAATCAGAGTTGCATTTGTACCATTACGTACAAAGGATAGCGATTCAGCAACTAGGGTAACATTGGAACTTGCTGGTATGGTTGCATTTGGAGATGGTCGAAGAGTGATGGTGGGTTGAAAAGTACTAGTGGAAGGGACAATGAGTCCATCATAAATCATCGTTGATATATCTTGAGGATTTGTTTGATCGATCATCATAGTGATGATATTATTTGGTGTCATTTGAATCGTTAATTCTACTTGGGTACGTTGATCACAATTGCTGGTACCGACACAACCTGGTGTATTAGCGTATATTGTATATTTACCTTGAGATGGAATATATCTATTTCTCCCACCCAAAAAAAAAAAAAAAAATTAAGAGAGAATAATTTTTGGATAGATAGTAAAACTACTTACGGTGAATAGGTCAATGAGGTGTTAGTTGTTGATAATTCAGATGATGGAAAAGTAGATGTCAAAAAGTTTTCATAGGATCCATAAGCAAACGTTTCTTTCCATTGTCCAATCACAGAAGTAGATGGAAAATTTGATCCAGTACAATTATTGTTTCCACCAAGATGAGGATTTAGGGTATTATCTATTATAAGAAAAAAAAATGTAAACTATTAGTTGAATGATAATAATAATAATAATAATAATTATTTTGTTTACTTACCTGCTTGATAGATTTGGACATTTCCTAATCCACCCCCTGAACCATACCAAGAATGAATTTGGATACGTATACCAGTTGTATTAATACTATTTTCCACAGAAAAATCTTGAAAAGTGATATTGGGACTATTGGCTAAAAAACACATATCACTACATGTTGTAGGTAATCGAGTAGTAGGATCAATAAAACTGAGTTGAAACAATTCATTGGAACCCAGGGCTAGAATACTATAAAGAGGATTAGAAGAGTCTGTTTACTATTTAGTCTCTATTTGGGAATGTTACCTAAAAGCCCTTGTTGCTTGATCCGGTAATTGGGTGTTGCTAATTCGAAACATAGAAGGTTGAATAGGATATGGAAAAGTAGCTTGCCAATAACCAGGAACATCAGATTGTAATAACCATGGTTGAGTGATATTTTGAGGAGTAGAATTTGGACATATAATACTATTAGGTTGACTATTGTTCCCTGATAATGCACCATTTCCAGAACTAATCACCTATCATATTTGTATATACATATATATATATAAATAGAAATAAAAATAATAGATAAGTAATCATATTTTTTTTTTGTTTTGTTTGAGACTAACCGTAGGTTGATCTAAATTCACCAATTGACTAGTATTTGTATTGAAATAAACACCATCACCAGTAGCATCAAATCGACCACCAAATAGAAGAGTATTTCTTTTTGAATTGTGAGTAATAACATGAACAGGACCATTAAAACCTTGCCAAGGTAAAGGAAGCCATTGATTATTGAACCATTGGGCCACACTTCCAGCAAAAGACGTAGAATTCATACCTATTGGTTGATGAAATTCACCACCTACATAAACAGTATGATTGGTATCATCACAATATAAAGAATAGACTGGACCATCTAAACCTTGATCAAGTGCTGATAACGTATTGGTATTCAAATCCCATCGAGCGATATTGTTTAGTTGAAGATTATTATTATTATTATTGTTGTTGTTGTTGGAAGATAAAGTTGTAAAGGAACCACCAAGATATAATTGTTGATCCAAGATACAACTTGAATATATTTTACCATTACCAATGACAAGTGATGAAAATATTGAAGTAGGGTCTTGTTCAAAGATAGAGATACCAGGTGAAGGATTACCAGTTTGGGCTGAGTTCGTGTAAGGTGAAAGACCAGCGAATTGACCTACAATACCTAATTGACCGACACGTTCTGAATCGAGTAAAGGTGGTAATAATTGTTGAGCGACTATTAGTTGAAAAGATAATAGAATAATGAGCCACCCATATTGGTGGATCATATTGGTTATCAAATAATAAAAAAGTGGGGAGGAAAGAAGATTACTGCACCGTTAAAAGTGAATATACGACTTTTTCTTAAAAGTTAAACAATAAAATAAAAAGAAAGAAATAATAATAAAAAAAAAAGTGATTGAAGAAGGAGAAAGAAAAAAGAAAAAAAAAAGTGTAATAAAGAAAAAAGAAGGAGGACAAAAAAGTAACTTTTTTGATATTTAGACAAAAAAAAAAAAAAAAAAAAGGAAGAAACACCGCCTTCACCCTAATATTCAATAATATTGAAATTATTTACAAATTGTTACACATACACACATATATATATATATATATATATATATATATAATCCCTTCACTAAAAAAATAAAAAAAAATAAAAAAAATAAAATCAAAATCTAATGAAACTAAAATGATGATAGAATATTTGAACAAAAGGAGGAAAAAAAGACTAGTATGATAGGAGTTCTTCATCTTCAAGGGGCAATATTTAACCTAAGTGGAAAAAAAAAACTCGTGCTTTTCCAATCATTGATTTCAAACAGCGATGACTATTCGTTAAGCTTTTTGCTTTTTTTTTTTTTCTTTCTTTCTTTCTTTTCAACCCCCTTTATCCCCTATTCCTCTTTTTTTTTTTTATTCATATTAGTATTATGGCTCAATATCTTATTGCTCAATGGGATTATGCTGCCGAAGGGGAGTTCGAATTATCCTTTCAACAAGGTGACCGTATTAAACTATTAGAAAAACATAACGATGATTGGTAAGTTTGAAAAATTAAAAGTTAGTTTCTATTTCTCATTTCTTTTTTTAATAATATATTTTGTAGGTGGGAAGGTAATCTTTATTATAGAAAAACATAAACTACAAACCTTATTGTTAACTTTTGTTTATTTTTTTTTAGGTGAATTGAATGATACCATTGGATTCTTTCCTGCAAATAGAACTCAATTAGAAAAACCATCTTCTACACTTAGTAAGTATATTTATTTCTCAATCATGTCTTTTTTTCAATTACTGGAATATGGTTTTTTTTTAATAGTTGATACTCAACTTTCTCCTACAACTGACACAACACCAACCTTATTACCACAACAACAACAACCTCCAATTATTACTTCTCGTCCTTCATCTTCTTCACAAAATTTACCTGAATTACCACTGGACTGGTCTTTTGCATATGGTAATATAATATTTTTATATATATGACTATGAACACATGTTTCTCATATATATATATATCATTTTTCTCTTGGATAGATGATGAAGGTACAATATATTATTTCAATGAACGTACCGGGGAATCAAGATGGGAACCACCAACAAAAGGACTAGAACAAAAAGATCAATATCAAGAGGAATCATCACAACAACACTTATCAGCACCACCGCCGCCACCACGAACATCGTCAAGAAAGGATTTGACAACACAAGAAGATCTGGAATTAGAAAATGCATTTTATCAACTCGATCCTGAAGCAATGAAGAAATTGGTAACAAAAAAAAAAAAAAAAAAAAAAAAAAAAAAAAAAAAAAAAAAGAGGAAGAATCCAAATATTCAATCATCTTTTTTTTTTCTTTTGATAGGCGTTGGAACGATTAGATCAAAACAATATACGATATCAGGGTTATGTACAAATGAAAATGGTGGCTATTGGTGGTAAACTCAGCTCATGGAAAATGTATTATGCAATATTGTTACAAGGCTACTTGTTGTTGTACAAAGAAACACACGTCAAATACCGCAAAAAGATGACTACCATTCCTCCTGTAGGCAGCTTTGATTTGGAAGGTTGTCAAATTGATCCTGCTGGAAAAAACGATACCAAACGAAAACATTCTTTTATGATCACCATTCCTCCTCCACGTCAAAAAGTCACATTATATATTCAAACTGCCAATGATAATGAATGTGCTGCTTGGTTGGATGCCATTATGCGAGAATTAATTCGTCGAAAAGAAGGAAAATCACAGGTAACTTTTTTCTTTTTTTTAATGATCTTTGTAAAAATCTAATCTCTTTTTTTTCTTTCTTTCTTTTGTTTTATAAATCTAATTCATCTTCTGAAATTAAGGATATTGGTAACATGACATTATACATATGATTAATAACGATAATTAATATTATGACACTTTTTTATATATACAGATATTCTTCAATTATTACGTGCCTTGACTCTGGACGACAAGCAAATGAAAGTCAACAAGAAAATGACTAAAAATATGGGTAATAGATGATTATACATATATATATATATATATATATATATATATATATTGACTAAAAATTTACTCTCTTTTCTTTTTTTTTTTTTTTTTTTTTTGTTTGTTAGATACAGAGGATCGACAAGATATTGGAGTCAATGTGGATGGTCGCCCTAACAAGAAACTTGGTTGGTTCTCTGGGAATGCGAAACACAAGAATCCAGGTACTCAGGTTCAAACAATGGATATTAGTCATCAAGGTGATAATGATATATTTGGAGGCTTCCTTTATTTGGATCAAGATCAATATGTACCAGTAGTTGTGCGACAATGTATTGAACAAGTAGAAATGAAAGGGTTAGATTCCGTTGGTATTTATCGTTTATCTGGACCAGCATCTACCATCCAAAAATACCGAACAGCTTATAATCGACGTAAGTAATAAATAATAATAATAAAGAAAAAAAAACTTACTACGGAGGGTTATATATTTATTATAGGTGAACTTGTCGATCTTGCAGAAGAGCATGACATCAATGTGGCGACTGGACTATTAAAACTCTACTTTAGAGAATTGAAGAATCCTTTATTAACTTTTGAATATTATGATTGGTTTATTGAGGCTGCTCGTAAGTGAATGTAATCAACTTGACAACATTAAACTCACATTTTTTTTTTACTTCATCTGGTAGGGATAAGTGACTATGATGATCGCATGTATCAAATCAAATCCATTATTCACGTTTTACCCAAGGCCAACTTTATTGTATTAGAATATTTAATGCGACATTTACATCGAGTGGCCGAACATAGCGATCTCAACAAAATGGAAACCTCTAATTTGGCATTGATCTTCTCGGTTGGTTTATTACGTACTCCTCAAGATGATATTTCTAGCATTATGCATACCGATTTACAAAGTAAGATTGTGGAGGCCATTATTCAACAAGTCGATTGGTTTTTTGAAGTCGATGAAGAAGTCTAGTGGATATTTTTTTTTCTTTTTGTATTTTGGAATAATAAAATTGTATGTATGTGTCATTTTTTTATATATTATTGTAAAAATAAAATAAAATATCAACTATATACTATTTCTTATAAAAATCTAAACTATGGAATAAATTGTACTAGAATGAATTGTTGGATTATATACGTATATATATATTAAATAGGGAATGCACAAGAAAGATTTGATTTTGGTAAAGTACGATGTTTCAGAAACTAAACAAAAAAAAAAAAATGGAGTAAATAAAAAAGAAAGAGGAGAGGATTAAATTTAACTTACAGCACCAGTAGCACCTAGATGACCTTCATGACGTAAAAATAAAGCCTTCATATCACCATTGGACCAGAACTTGATGGCATAAGACAAAGTATTCATTGTGATTGGATGACCTCGAATAAAGCAACCACCGAAATAAATACGTTTAATGTCATGTTGTTGAGCATTCAAATAGGCAATTTGTCCAATATTATTACTGACCATATAAAGTAGACTTTTCGCTATATCAGATTGTTCAAAACTTGATTTATTTTGTCGAACACCTTTCTTGAATACCTTGCCAAAACTGGAGGCGATCCTGGACGATTTCAATCCCAGCTTGCTGTAATCTGTTCCGTAAATATCACCTACCAATAGATCGACATTTCGATTATCCCCATCCTTTGACATGGCTAACATATCTAGGTAACAATAAAAAAAAAAAAGATACTTTAGCCATTTATTTTTTATCCTTTTCTTTTTTATTTTTATTTTTATTTTTTCTTTACCATCAAATGAACCAGCGTCTGTCAATAAGGATAATAAACCCCATAGAGTCCCACCGCCCAGCTGGAGAGAAAAAAAAAAAAAAAAAGGAGGGAAAATAAGGTTTTCTTTTTTGTCAACATACTTTTTTTCATGAATGACTTACCGATGTGCCACTAATACGTGTGAATTGATTTGGTCCTGTCACTTTCAATATACTAACCCCTGAACCAATATTGACAATCTAATATAAAAAATAAAAATAAATATCATATCATTGTTCATCTATATATTGTTTTACCATGTAAGGGTATATGTTCTTTGGAGTTTCTTCAAATTGAATAGGATTAGTATCTAATTCATTATAGGTAAAGACTTCATAGGGTATTTCAGTAATAAAGAAACTTAGACCTACAAAAAAAAAAAAAAATTGGTTATGAACGGACCATCATACCGAGACCACCCCCCACCTTCTGTACCTGACCACTTTTCTCTACTTTTTTTTGGGGGGAGAGGGAAAACAACTTACCAGCAACAAGACATTCCATTTCATCGTCCTTTTCAATGACCACACCAGGTAATCGTCGTTTCAGTAAGTTATAAAATAAATGAGCACCACCACCTGTTGCTTGTAATACTTGGTTGATATTAGGAGCCAGAGCCCTTGCTGAGGTCATCAATTTGGCAATAAAGTCAATACAGTCATCTATGCGTTCAGTTTCGAATATCTTGAAATGAAGTCGTCCACCTTTGGAAGGTGAAGAAGGGGTATAATAAACTACTTTGGCCAATGACCCACCTATCTAATCATCACCATTTCAAAATATTAATAATAAAAAAAAAAAAAGAAGTTGAGTCAATTATTTTTTTTTTGGGGGGGAGACATTTTTTTTTTCTTTTGTTTACATCTACAGCCACTTGAGGAACATGATCCGTTTGATTGGGTAAAACAATATCTCTTGTTTCATGATGAGAAGTCAAGGTTGCTTCTGATACACTTGCACCTATCACATTCATCATTTTGCTGAGTTGATAGAAAAAAAAAGAAAAAAGAAGAAAGAAATAAAGAATAAAAAAAAAAAGGAGAAAAGAAAGGGAAAAAAAAGACCTGGCGGAGATGGAAAGGATCATCAACAGTGGGTTTCCCAAAATTTATACAAAAAAAAAAGTAGAAAATGATGTTCCAGCTTACTCAATGTCAAATGGTTGGGGGAGGAAAGGGAAACGATAATTTAACCTCCGTAGGAAACAGAATGAATATTACGAATGCAGATTATTCATACAAGCATTGACTTTTTGTTTGATTTTTCTCACACTGTTTGATAAAAATGTGGAGACTACCTTATTTAGATTATATGCTTTTTTTTTAAATATAAATAAAAAGAGACGGCTAAGAATTCATCCATCATCAAACAAAAAAAAAAAAAATAATCTTATTTCTAATCTTTTATTGTAAATAACAATTTATCATCTGTCTATAGGAAACCATATAATAAACTATAAAGGTAAAAAAAAAAAATGTGATAATTTTTTTTCATATATATATGTGTGTGTGAGGGTATCGAAAAATGAATGTCATCTATCCATAAGTGATCATTGCTTGAGCCATCAGCATATCGAGTTCCTAATAATAATATATTACTAAAACAGATCCATCTATTTATTTTTTTTTTTTTTTTACCTTTTCAAATTGTTCCAATTGTACATGACAATCCTTAAAAACCTCATTGATTTCACTTCGAATAGGAGCTGTATAATGTCGAGATGATCGTCGATTCTTCTTTTCCGCTTCCTTCTTTTCCAAGGCCTCTTGACATTTCGCTGTACCACGAATCATAATCATTAGTTCGTCCATACCAAAGTCATCCCAATATAACACAGATTGAATAGATCCATGACGACCTCTGGATGATTTGCTTTTCTTCTTTACTTCTTCTTCCTCTTCGTATGGATGTTGCTGAGATATCGTTCTGGTACTGGAATGATCACTAATACCTGTCATACTTGTTGCAATCGTACTAGTAGTACTTGTCGTACTAGGAGGATCATCTATGGCTTGGTTACGTAATTGTTGTTGTTCAATAGATGAAGACACTGATGAAGGGGATGGGATTCTCTTGTTGGAATAAGGAGATTGGGATAATGACAGTTGTTGGTGATGTGTAATGGCTTCAGTCAAAGGTTCATTGCTGTTTCTCGTATGGGCCAAACTATCCAAAGCTTCATCCAATTTCATCAATACGTCGTCATCTTCAGGCGTTACTTGTTCTTTGTTGGTATCCTTGAAATTTTGTTGGATATAATGATGTTGTGCAGTTGTTTGGATAGGCGATGATGTCATGTCGATAGGACTTTGTAGTTGATCATATTCAGTATGTTGTGTTTCCAATGGATGAAGATTTGGCATGGGATTTGATACATCTTCATTTGATTTTGTATGAGGCATGGGAGTATTTTGTCGTACAGGTGGACGATGAGATCGGGCTAAAATAAGTAGAAGAGGATTAATATTAAATATTCATACAACATCGTTTCACACTTTTTTTTAAGTAAATTACCGGGACGCTGAGGTGCTTCAGAAGTTCGTTGTTGTAAATCACGTCCTGATGAACTAGTAGTAGTAGTAGAATGGTCATGACTGGTTGGAGGCACACGTCGTAAAATGAAGAATGTTTCATCTGCTTGAGGAGAATGGATAACCGACGACATGGAGGCAATAGAAGATCGATCAGGATTACTACTACGAGAGTAATGGATAGTAGGTAATGATTCACTATCATAAGCACTAGTGATTGGATCATTAATATTCAAAGTTCGTTCTAAATAAAAAAAAAAATAAATGTATACATCAAAAAGAGAGTTAGACAGGTGGTTCATAAAATTAGGTTGACTATATATTACCTCGACCATTTCGGAAGACATTCAGTCTATACATGACAGCTTCACCTTCAGAACCACCATCTATGCGTAACGCCTTGATTCGATCATTCAAATCGGAAGAACCTTCTACCACACCATTCAGTAAATGAAATCTTTCTAGAATCAAAGCAGCGACATTGCCAACTGAACCTGTATGAGGTACCGAAAGAGATTTATCCACACGAGTCTGACCAGGCATAAATAATCCATCTTGATCCACAATTTCGGACTTTAACAGCGATACCTTGATCCGGATCACACCTTCTTCATGAATAGTACGCTTTTTGCTATGTAGATAAAATCGGACAGTGTTGTCGGTAGCACGTTCATTTCCAGGTGATGTAGGAGATGTTGGCTGATGATAAGATGGGCCACCTATATGTATAGTAGAATCCGAATTGGTAGACATGAGTTGTGAAATCCGTCTAGCTTTCTTCAAAGAAGGCATTGGTGTGTTCAAATGGCCGGTCAATGAATGATAAATGGATAGTGGTCGATCAGAAGGTACCAACGTGTATTCATCTATTTGATAGTGGTGGAGAAAGCGAGATAACATAAGAGTCAGTAAGTGTATGATTCCTTTTTTTTTTTTTTCTCAATTACTTACCACCATCCACGCCTTTTACCACCAAATAGTAATTCATAGCATTATCCATTGTAGTTTCATTTGCACTATTGTCGAAGGAGTCTACTACCTGTTGAATCAATTCCTGTGCTGTTGTAGATGCATAAGCTAAAGCTGGTTTCACATCTTCCCCAAACGCAAAATTTCCACAGTATATCATCAGTGTCGTTGGTTGCTCTTCATGATGCTGACGTTGATGCTCATGATTTTGATGCTGATCATTATGTTGTGGATGTTGATGATGGTATTGCTGATGCTGTTGTATTTGCTGTTGTTGCTGTTGTACTTGCTGTTGTTGTTGCTGCTGCTGATGTCGCTGTTGTTGCTGTTGTTGCTTTTGTTGTTGTTGCTGTTGCTGTTGCTGTTGCTGTTGTTGTTGTTGCACATGATGATGAGGGTGATCAAAATGTGAGGACGAATAAGAAGTGTAAGAAGAAGGCGACATGATGGAGGATGGACTCGTGGGGGAGATCATCATGGAATTGGGACCGTCCATAGGAGTGTGGTATCTATTATTGCTATCAGACGCGTAGTTGTTGCCATCGTAACCAGAGGAAGGATTGCCATGAGTTTGAAGAAGCATTGCAGAGTCTAGACTTCCAGAACGATCTCTTTCAGAATAAGAGGTGGATTGCGAGCTGAGTGAGGCTGTTTCAGATAAAATACTATCGCTGCCATGTGTGATTTGTTTGGTTGTTGCTGTTGTTGTTGATGATGACGATGTGGATTCTTTTCGCTTTCCATTACCACTATCTTTACTACCTCGAGAGAAAAATTTTCGTATACTTGATTTCTTTCCGCTGCCGTTATTGCCAGTCCGAGGAGAGGTTGGAGATGATAATGGGTCATCCTCACCTAGTAATCGTTCCAATTTGTTACCAGATTTCCTTTGCTGTTGTACTGCTCTATTGTAATTGTAGTCGTCTTCAGTTTCAGCACCACGAGCTATGGAAGGAGTTAAAGATATCTTAATAGTTTCTGATTGTTCTAAATCCAAAGTATCTCTTGGACCAGCTTTGTTTCCATTACTGCGTATAGATAAGGGAGATTCAATAGATTGTTCACTAGGTCGACGATCAAGAGAATGTGTTACAATAGGTGGTACATGTGCCGCTTTGTTATTTGACATTTTGGATGAGATATGTGGGCTATATCCATTAGTATGTAGATCTCCACTGTTGTTGTTTGGATGACTAGTACCAGAAAGATGGCTGCTATAATAATCATAGTCGTCAGAATCCGAGGAGCCATCGTCTGTATCTGAGGAAAGTAATGCTTCATCCCATTCTTCATATTCTTCAGCAAAATCGTCTTCATCATCACTACCACCGAATATAACTTGAGCTTGGAATTTGACACCTTTTGCTAAAGTAACACGTTTTGTTGCCTTGGATTTCGCTGATGGTGGAGCTGGGAAAGCATCTTGTATATCACGTCTTGTAAGCTAAAAAAAAAAAAAAATCAGTAAGGAGATATATATATTTTTTTTATGTATGAAAATGAGGTGCATACTTCAATATTACGATGGGAATTTAGTCGAGCCAAGCGTTCATAGGGTGTCTAATAAAAAAACAACAAATAGAAAGCGTGGGTTATATGTGAATAAAAGTCTTGATTTATATATATGCAGACATACTTCTATATTTTCGGCAGGTATATAACCAACTTCAGATGTTTTCAAGACTTTGACTAACCACCAATATGAATTACTATCGTCTAATAAGGTCAGGGCATCACCTTTCACAACAGAAGCTTGACCATCCACAGTAGCAGCAAAAGTATGAAGAGCATAAACCAGATCAAAGTTAATATTGGGATCGGGTATACTAAGAACAGATGTAGAATCGTCTTCTTCTTCATCATGTCCAACTTGATCCTCTTCGTCTTCGTCTTCGTCGTCGTCATAATAGTGATGTTGGTCATCCATATCGTCGTCATATAAGGAATGATGTTGCAAATGAGAATGTAGATGACTAGTAGAGTTATTATAACCCGTCAACCGACGTCCATCTTTAGTTACTGTAGATTGGTTCATAATAATAAAGAGAGGATAATAAGAATACTTTGTTGTAATGAGAGTAAGGACTGGAGAACTGATAATAGATATTTAACAGTTACCCTTTTTTCTATTGATAAAAAAAAAAAAAAGGTAAAAACTGTATGAATAATAGAAAATAAAAAGGAACGGTAAAAGAAAAAAAAAAAAAAAAAAAAAAAAGAAGGGGAAGAATAAAGAAAAAAAGAGAATAAAAAATCAAGACAAAAAAGTCAAGACTCAAGGTGTCTTCGGAGAGTCAAAAAAGGTAATGAATATTCCAAAATGTAACAATTGTGTATTATGTGAAACAGGTTTTTTTATTGGTAAAAAAAAAAATCTAAACTACATCAATCATTATTTTCAACTTGAGGGGAATCTGGTAATCTTGTATTTTGTGCTTCTTTGAGTAAATATTCTTGTTGATTTGACATGGTATCTGTTGTTGTTGTTTTTGTTGTTGTTTCTTCAATAGATGATCTTTGTTGAGGTGTTGATATAGGACCTTCTTCTAAACTTGTTATTGAATGATTTGTTGAATGATCAGTTGTAGGTTCAAAATCCGCTGCACTGAAGATCGTATTACTATATTGTTCTTGATCATGATCATCATTATTATTATCGTTTGATTTCCTTCGAGGAATTCTGTGTAGTAAACCAAATCCAACATCACATCCTAAAGATCCTGTACCACCCCAATCACGATTTGGTACAATAATAACCTATAACAAAATATATATATATTAATCATCATCATCATCATCATATATATATAATTCTTACTTCACGACAACTATCCCATTCTGTGTTGTATACATATAATCTTAAAGGTTTTCCAAGATTTTCTTCCACTAAATTGTAAAAATCATCATCACTTTTCAAAACTGTTTGTGGACTTCCAATAACATAGTCAGTATGAGGGATAATACCAGCCATTTCAGCAGGTGAATTTGGTGATACGTCTAATATATGCCAAACATATTCACCAGCTCGTTCATAAGTACAATAACGTATAGAGCAACCTAATATCAAAATAATATAAAAAATAAAAAATAAAAAATAAAAAAACTATTCACACATACCTTGATTAATTCCCTACCAATTAAACTTTTTTCATTAGGATCTGTAGACCAATCAGTTGCAGGAATTAAACTAATTTCTAATAATGACAAAAAAAAAAAAGTCAATTTTGGAAGACATTGTTATATTATTATTTAGTTACCTCGAAAAGCACGTTCCTTACTTGAATAAATGGTTAATGGTAATGGTTTATCTTTATGTTGTTGTAAAGTAGTCATCAGTATATCAGTATCACCATCTTCCTATTAGTTTAGTTCAATCAGTTTTTTATTTTTTTTTATCACCACATTGTTGTTGTTCTTCCTTTTTTTTTTTTTTTTTTTTTTTTACCAAACTAATACCATTGATGGCAACAATATAATCAAAAAACTGTTCCATACCAGCATGATATGCTGGAGAGTTCTCTTTCACCTAAAAAGAAAAAAAAAAGGATATTTGTTAATAAAAAGTGGGAATCATCGAAGTTTTTCTTCTATCCAAAAACAAATAAACCAAAAAAAAAAAAAGTTACCTTCAAAACATGAAAACCATAACGACCATATTCTGTACTTTGAATACCACCCATAAAAAAAAAAGATTAATTCTCTTTAAATAGTTAAATGTATATATAAATATAATATTATAAGAAAAAAAAAAAAAGAAAAGAAAAAGTGTATCAATATAATCGGTTGAAAGTAACGTTATTTGGACCGGAGACATCAAACCGGTGACTTTTTTTAGGCACACAAAAAAAGGAGTAATTTCCCATCATGGAGATTATTTTTTCCTACAAATCTCGAACTTTTTTTTTTCTCTTTCTTTCTTTATATGTCTTCTTCTTTCTCTTCTTCTTCTTCTTCTTCTTCTTCTTCCAGACTAGAAGTCGTTAAGAATCACTTGGAAGTAAATGGTTTTATCTTTCTTTTGAATAACTAATACTAACTTGGTCTTTTTTTTTTATATAGCCCATGTCTGCTCATAAAAGTCCCATTACTTGTCACGTCCTTATTGCTTCTACTGGTGTTCCAGGTCGTGGTGTTAGTGTCAAGATAGAAAAGTTAAACGGAGGCTCTTTCAGTACATTATCTACTGCGTAAGAATGCATATATATATATATATATATATATATAAACTTATACTAACTATTATTATTATTATTATAGTCAAACCAACGAAGACGGTCGTTGTCCTACTTTATTACCAGAAGGATATAAAGCTGAAAAGGGTATTTATCGTGTTACTTTTGAAACCAAAGAATACTTTAACAAGATCGATCAAGAATGTTTCTATCCTTATGTGCAGGTAATATAAATATAAATATAAATATATGAAACTAATATATATCTTTATCTCTAGATCATTTTTGAATTGGCTAAACCAAAAGAACATTACCATATCCCCCTTTTACTTAGTCCTTATTCTTATACAACTTATCGTGGTAGTTGATCAAATTATAATAAAATATACTTTTGTACCATTATATACATGTTTAATAGTTTTAGGTATAATTGTGTAACATCATTGAGAAAATATACCTCTTCAATGTATCGGCCAATAGAATCCACTTAAAAAAAAATATCATCCTCCCCACCTTTTGATGCCTACACTTTCAACAACCATCAAACTCTAAAAAAAAGAAGGGTCTTTAATCGTATTTCTATGATATCATTAATGATAGGTTGTCATTTTGTACTGTATCACTTTCTTTTTTTTTTTTTATTATTTTTTTCTGAAACTATCGATCGTAGACATATTCATGACATTCCATTTGCATAAAAAAAAAAATAATAATAATAACAAACATCTTTTTTTTTCTCTCTCTCTTTGTTTTATTGATCAAAATAATAAAGTGTATGATACAAGACTATTATTACAATAAACTGTATACGAATAATAGAATAATTATAAATAAATAAATAAATAAATAAATAAATTCAATCACCTAAACTAAATTTCAGTTGGTTCCAGTAATGCAGATGAGGGTGCCACTCCTTGAACTTCAGTCAAAGCAGCATCTACTATATATGTATAATGACCCGATTTCCTTTCTTCCTTCATTTCATAAGCAATCAATAGTTCGCATCCTAACCATATAAAAAAAAAATAATGATAAAATTAGCATCCTAAAAAAAAAAAGTACTTTTACATGGATTTGAGTATATAAAAAAAATGATACTTACGTGGACAATGATATCGATATTGTTTTTCAAATCCTTCACCTCTATTCAAAGAAAAGTCAATATTTTTATATTCAATACATTAGATCTTGACTTTTTTAAAAGATTACCTTTTCAAAATAACTGGTTGTTTTGCTTCCGCTGTCAATTTGTATGTACGTTGTCTATTGTCAATAATGATAGCATTATCCGTTTTTCGTCGTGGTAAAAGTTGTAATTCAGCGTCAATCACTAGTAAAAATTCAGAGCAGAGACAATAATAGATCTGTAGTTTTTGACGTTGATCAGTTTGTCCTTCATCAAAATTAGAAGAAGAAATAGTAGAAGACGATACTATTTTTGGCATGGTGGAATAATACAAAAAAAAAAAAAAAAAAAGAAGGATAAACGTGTTCAAGGACAGGGAAAGAAGAAGAAGAAGAAGAAAAAAAAAAACAGTCGGTATTTCAAACCATCCTTTTTGGCTTGTTGCTTTCCTGCAACTTCCATTTTTGGGGATTGGCACCGAAAATGAAAATCCTTTGGGTACCAAAAGATAAAAATGATAATAATAATTTAGTATCATAACAAAATACTGATAGCCATTGATGATACTTTGTTGTCTTTAAGATAGATGAAGATTTGAACCAATAGATCAATAATAACAATAATAATAATAATGGATTATTAAACATTATACTGTTTGCTTTATTTTTTTAAATTACGATACCATTGGATGATAAAATAATAACAATACTGAAGCTGAAAAACAAAAGACAATGTGATTAAAGAAAAAACAAAATGAGTTTATGGCGAAAATATGAAGATTGACGATAAAATAGTGAAGAAAGACAAAAAAAAAAAAAAGGTCATAATTGTGAAAAATGAAGAAAAAAAAAAGATCTATGAAAATAAGGAACATATTAAAAAGGAATATAAAGTAACTAATTAGTAGTAAAAAAAAAAAAAAAAAAAAAAAAAACAAAGAGAAAGAGAAAGAAAAAGAATAAAAGAGTGGCTACCTAACTAACTACAAATACCACAAGTGAAGATATACTTGAGTCGTTGCCAAGGTGTTTTTTTCTTGCGTTGGTGATCCTGCGCCGTAGCATGATGAAGAGGTTGAGAATGGCGTTCGTTAGTGTGTTTGTTTGATTGCTGTTTGTCCACTTGTTTTCTAGTTGTCGTATGTTGATGTTGTTGTTGTGGATGTCGTTGATTTGATCGCTTAGGAAGGGTCTATCATCATCATAATCATGTTAATATATAGATATATCATTGGATCACTATGTTTTTGTTTTCTATCATTACCTCCCATCCTTTTCCATTGTTTAATAAACACCAATCATATACATTATCATCCACTTCACCAGCGTTCTTGATGGCTTTTGTGAATAATTCCCGTAAAAAGTCATAATCTGGTGTTTCTTCAAAACCAAGTTTTCTCACATATTGTAAGTAGATGGCAAATTCCTCTATAGTAAAATCATAATTTTAAAATAAATAATTCTTCTATTTTTATAAGTTAATATCTTACCTGGGTAACCTTGAGCTAAATCTTTAATACCAGTTGTTTGTTTCTTTTCACCGATCTTTTCATATTTTTGTTTGTTGGTAGCTGCTTTCAATCCTTGCCAAGGTAATGAACCACGAAGAAAATACATAAACACGTGTCCAAGAGCCTCCAAATCGTCACGGCGAGATTGTTCTATGAAGAAACAAAAATATATATATATATATATATATATATATATATAAAGGCATCAATAACGGCATGAACCACAAAAAAAAAAAAAAAAAAATAGATAGTATCCCTATTTTCATCCCTTTCTTCTCCTTCTTTCAATCAATTCACTACGTTGATGATATCTCCCCCCCTCTCTCCTCCCTTCTTTTTACTTACCTCGGCCTAAATGAGTATTAATACTCATATACCGTGCAGTGCCCGATAAACTTTTTCGTTCACGATAAGGGATATGCTGTTTTGACTTGGGATCCCGATATAATTTAGCCATTCCAAAATCCACCATATATATATTATTTGCCAATTTGGAGCCAGGTTTGCCAGTAAGGAAATTATCAGGTTTGATATCTCTATATATCAAATTCTTTTCATGAATCGTTTCCACTCGAGTGATCTTGATTAAATATATATATATATATATAAAGAGAGTTAGTATATTCAATAAAATAATGATAATGAATCTATATATATATATATATATATATATTTATATTACCATTTGTTTTGCTAACATAGCTACAGTTTTGATAGAAAAACGACGTCCACATATATCAAACATATCTTCCAAACTTGGACCCAAGAGATCAATAACCAAAATATTGTGTAAACCTTCTTGACCAAAATAATATGCACTAGGAATCCCAGGAGTTCCTGCCATGATCTTATATGTTCTATATTCATCCCGTAATTGAGGTGCATCACTTTTTCTCGGTTCAAATTTGATAGCTACTTGTTGATTATTGAGTAAATTGGTACCTAATCAAAATGAAGTATTATTAACAAATGTGTATATATCCGTAATATGTTATATAAAAAGGTTCACGGTAAAATGATAATGATGAATATTTGTTGTTATAGTTGTTGTTATTATTGTCAAGGAATATAAAATAATGCGATTCTTTTTGTCCATACCTTCATAAATAATACCAAAAGATCCTTCACCAATCTTTTTCCCTACTCGATAATGTACGCCCACTACATTATGTGAAGTAATGGCTGCTGCAGGTTGTTGTTGAGCCGTCATATGCCGGAGGAATAATAATAAGATAAAAAAAAAAACAGTCAGTCAATCAATGGCAAGAATAAAGGAAAATGAAAAAAAAAGGAGAAAAGATAAAGAGAGAGAGAGAAAAAATGAAGGGAGTATAAATAAAAATAGAAAACAACCAAAAGAAAAAAAAAAAGAGAGAACGTTGATATAAATGAGATAGGAGATATAGAGACTGAAGAAGAAGAAATAGAAATAGAAAGAGATGAAGAATAGGGTGAGAAAAGGAAAGGAAAAAGGAAAAATGGGGAAGTAAGGAAAAATTGAAAGGAGAGGAGATTCAATTTTATATAATGTATTCCATCCAGTTTTTCTCTTATTTGCGTAACTCTTTTTATTATGTCAAGTCAAACAACGAATTCACTTCAAATCACTACAGTAAGTTTTTTTTTTTTTTTATTTTTTTTTATTTTTTTTATTATTTAATTTTATTTTATTCGAATAAAAGGAAAATGAAGATCAAGATTTGATCATCGTATCACTTTATTGGAAATCAAACAAACTTGGTTGTATTTATTATTTACATCAATTCCATGAACTTTATTTTCTTGAAGATATTAAAGAAATTAATTTGAAAGATACTGTGGAAGCTTGTAAGTTTTATCATAATATTTTAGTATGATTATATATCTTCATATATATTAATCCTATTAAAACCAAGTGATCTTTCAGTTATGTCCTACTCATATGGTATTATGTGCTTTCAACAATCCAGAATTGACAAATATAGTAAAGAAATATGGTAAATAATAATAATAATAATAATAATAATAATAATAAACAAAATTTATCAACTTCTTTTTTATTTGAATTTAATCATAATTTCAGATGATCGTATTCAGATAGAAATATTGAATTCCAAAGAATTTACCTATCAAAAAGGTCTCTATGAATTGATCAATTGGTATATAGGAAACTGTACACAACAACATCACTCAATGATATCAACTGAATCAAATGAATTATGTAACAATCCTTCTTTGCAAGATGAACAATCTGAAATCCAATTTCATGCATCCTTTTCTGATACTGATCTTACCAAACAAGCCCAATTGCGACTCTCTTCTCTTGTTCCTTTGACTAGTACAACAACAGTAAGGAATATATATCATCCTTTTTTTAAAATCATCTCTTATATCATTATTATCATTAGATTAGCTGTATATCTCCACTGTTCACATATCTGAAGAGTTCATCATTTGGATCTTATCATACAAGTATGATGCCTATGGTATTAAAATCAATATCATTGTAAGTTAAAATCAGAGTAATTAAATGAAATGACAAGGCTAACATTCCCTTTTACTTTCTTTTACTTAGTTTGGATACAATGTACGTCTCAGCAGATGTTATGCAATCTTTAGAAATCTTCCAAATTGAAATGCATCCAAGTACACATCAAAAGAAAGGAAAAGAAAGCATGTCACTCTTCAGTATGTTATAAATATTTACCGATATTTTATATTATATTGATGATTCTTATTCTTTTTTTTTTTTTTTTTTGTCTCAATAGATCTATTAAATTATACTGTTAGTCCTGGTGGTACACATCTATTGAAACAGTGGCTACTACGACCAACACTGGATCTAGAAGTTTTACAGGAGCGACATTCATCTGTAGAGTATTTGATCAATGTAGGTAATCCTACAAACAAAGATAACGCTGTGAAGAAATTATCAAGTTACATGAAACATGTCAAGAACACGGCAAGAATACTTAGTCATATCCACGAACATCACGCAAAAGTGACTGAATGGCAACAGCTACTAGAGGTAGGGAGAAAAAAAAAAAAAAAAGAGCATCATAAATTAAAATATATTGAGATCTTACTTGATTTATGCTCACTCTCATTATAACTGTAGTTTTCCTATTATGTCCTGAAAATTGTAGATGTGATCAAGGCATATCATCTATCTCAAGCTCCTATTCTTCAAAAGGTAAGAATATAAGCATGTTTATTATACTAAGATATATTTAGCTTAATCCTTCATTTATAGGTTATTTCAACGATCAATATCGATATTTTGACACATATTGGAAAATGTATCAATGATCAGGTTATAGAAAATAAACTATAGGTTAAGAAAAAAAGAACTATATGTATCTCTAATCCTATGTTTTTCTTTATAGATATCATTTGAAGACAGTCATGCAGAAGGTCGACTTACAATCAAGAGCGGTGTGGATAAGGTAAGGTTGAATAAATAGCCTTTCTTGAAAATTACATCGCTATATTCCATCTCCTCACCTTTGTCTTTCCTTCTTTCTCTTTTTTTTTTCCCTTCCATATGCTTAGGATCTAGATTTGCTCCGAGAGAAATATAATTGCTTGGATGATTACTTGGTAAGATGAAAGAATGACATTTTCCGCTCGATCAGTGATACGAAAGGAACTGAATTAGTTTTTGATCAGTTACAAGTTGCTCAAGACATTGCTATTGGACTTCCAAATGATATTGGAAACGTTTTGAATGTGGTCTACTTTCCTCAACTTGGGTATTTGGTGACTTTTCCTTGTTCAGTTTATACAAGATATGTGGATCACTCCTGCCTCAATGGATTTGATCTTCAATTTAGTACAGGCGACAATTACTATTACAAAAATAATCGTATGCGAAGTAAGGTCCCATTATATCTTTTCTTTTCACTTTTTTTTATATTTACTATATTTATGATTATTTTCATTCGATATGTTAGATATGGATGAACATCTAGGTGATATGTACGGTATGATTATAGGTAATAATATCAAATGAAAAGATAATGGAGGTAATGTGGTAAATTCAATATATATAATTTCATCCTGTTTATTAGACAAACAAATTGAAATGATACAACATCTCAGTGAACGAATTATTTTGTATCAAGAACAGTTACTTGCGACCACTGAAGTGCTGGCGGAATTAGACTGGTAAGCAAATCGATATGGATATAAATGAAAGAAACCGTATATCAATCAATATTGACTCATCTCCAAAATCTTTTTATATTGTCACAAGTATCCTAGCATTTAGTATAGCAGCATTACAAAATGGTTATACGAGACCCATTATGACCGATGATGATCTGAATGAGCTGACTATTGTTGAAGGACGACATCCACTACAGGAACTCAAACTAGATATTTTTATATCGAATGATACTTATATAGCAGGTGGAAATGGGAGAATACAAGAAAATGAAGAATCATTTAGACCAGCAACAGAAGTAACAGAAACAACACCAACTGTATTCAATTCATCGCAGCTTTCTACTACCAAACCATCGTCATCATCATCATCTCCATTTAAGCAGTCAGGTGACTTTTCAACCACAAAGACAACAAGAACATCATTATCAACAAGACGTGATAACTATGAAAATGAATCTCCTCATCTCATATATAATGATGATGATGAACGACCAAGAAGTGTCATTTTACTTACTGGTGCCAATTTCTCAGGAAAAAGTGTTTATTTGAAACAAGTAAGCTGATAGAAAAAAAAAACGAAAATTTGATGAAAGATGTTGATGATAGAATGACATGAATCTTGCTATTTATCTATTTTTATTCTTAATAGATTGGACTGATTGTTTTTATGGCTCATATTGGCAGGTACAAAAAAAAAAAAAAAATAGGAGAGGAAAAAACTGTTGACATGAAAATGATGAAATTCATTATTACCATTTATAGTTTTGTTCCTGCTGCAAGAGCGGTGATTGGGTTGACGGACAAGATCTTTACAAGCATTCAAACAATAGAAAGTGTATCTACTGTAAATTGATAAAAAAAAACAATCATCATCGTTTTTACTCATTTCGTCCATCATTTTCATTATTTTTATTTTTATTTTTTTTATTATTATTATATTGGATGATAGGCTCATAGTGCATTTGGATATGATCTACAACAAGTATCACAAGGACTTCATTATGCTACTCAAAAAAGCCTAGTGATCATTGACGAATTTGGGAAAGTGAGATAAAAAAAAAAAAAAAGAGAAATACATATTATATATATATGAAGATTAATTTTTTTTTTTTGGGATTTGATATTTAGGGAACAAATCCGGTGGATGGGGCAAGTTTATTTGCAGCGGTGTTGAATGAATATATTAACCGTGGAAGACAATGTCCAAAATTGGTAACTAGTACACATTTCCATGGTATGACAACAACAAATAACCTTTTTACGCATTTTTGAAATTTATTCACCCATTTTTTTTTTTTTTTTTTTATATAGAGTTACTGACACAAGATATTCTTATCAAAAATCAAAATAATTATATTCAATTTTATACTACGGAAATTATCTGCAATATAAACAACAAAGATCAAAATGGAAATCAAGTGGTATTTTTATATAAAGTGGTACCTGGGTATGGATTGGGTGCTTCATTTGGAATTTGGTGTGCTAGTCTAGCTGGAATATCGGAGGATGTGTTACAACGTGCCAATCAATTGACAAATACTTTCATCAATGGAACATCTTATCAAGAAGTGTGGACAATTCAAGATCAAGACTATTATAACAAATTGGAACAGATCAAGGAAAAATTTATAACTGTGAAGGAATTTACTAATGATTTTATTATTAGTAGTGGTATAGTAGATAGCTTATCATCACTCTTTTTACAATAATAATAAAAAAAAACTATGTTTATTATATTCGAATTCAAGAATAGGAGAAATTCCACAATGAAATGATATAGTTTTTCCACTGGAGATTGAGGCCGAATGTAAATAGATTGGGAAGGAGGCAACATAAAATTGAAATGGGAAAATATATAAAATTGGGATGATGGCCATAATGGTAAGAAGGGGTCGACAAGAGTAGAGTGAAAAAGATATAAATAACAAAAAAAAAAAAAAATAATGATGAGTATAAATAAATATAAATCAAATTTTTTTTTTTTTTACTTACATAAACTGTAAACATCACACACCTTTGTTATGCGGAAAGTTGGGGAGAGAAGATCGCCGATCGTTGTCCGTGTCGAATAATACTTGTGAAGATACCACGGATATTTCTTGAAGCATTCACATCACGTTGCCACACGGTATTACGGTATCTTCTTCTTTCCGTTCGCCTGGTTCACGCAACAGAACACTCTCATTCTTGTTTGTGATTCTTGTTTCCCCGTGTTCCTCGTCGTTCTTTTAGTTTTGTCGTGCCTCTGGTTGTCTGTCCTTGCTGTCTCTTTGTCTTTCTTGCTGTCTGGTTTTCTTTTTTTTTTTTTTTTTACAATTATGATATTTACACTATCTCTTTTGCATCGCGCACATCCTGGATGGGTTGATGCGTGGCGACAGTGCCTCAGAGCCGGAGGGCCTTTTTTTTTTTTTTTTTTTTTTTTTTTTTTTTTTTTGGTAAGTGCACGTATACAAATAATGTTTAGTTGATCATAACACTAACCATTTTTCCATTTCTTGTTTTCAACCACCGAAATGCGGGTGAAAATAAGTAGGCCCGCAAACAAAAATTCAAACCTGTGTGCCACGTTTTCTCTTTTCTTTTTCACTTTTTTTTTCATCATGGACCCACGATACCGTAATGCTCCTCCTCCTTCTTATCAAGAGATGACAATGAACATCAAACCATGCCCTACTGATGATCTTGCTCTTACCAATTATGTTTATGTTGCACCTGGTCAACTTGATCCTTCTTGTCACTTTATCTTGGTAGATGATCATTTTGCTTTTACTGTGAGGTAAAAAAAAAAAAAAATACTTTTATCATTTAATAATTATTTATCATTTAACTCATTATATATATATATAGACCAGATAACAATATTCCAAGAGGTGTCTTGGTCACTAATGGTATGCATAGAAAGTGGGCTCAATTTTCCAATGACCAACCTGTAGTAGTTATGCCTTATGATCCTTATGCCAATGGTGCCGAAGTTTATTTGGGATTACTTCGACTTGAAATTGATTATCGTAAGAAAAGTGTAGCTTCAAGTGCTGATTGGGATACAGATCAATTAGCTCAAGTCTTTGGCATAGTAAGTAATAAATAATATAAAAAAAGTATATTTAGGTACTCATTTTTATTTTATATAGTCTTTTATTAATCAAATCTTTACAAGTGGTCAACAATTTGTCTTTGATTTCCAAGGTACTCAGTTTCTTTGTCGTGTAATGGAATTAGAAGTAGTGGATATGGATGTACTTAAGGCTGGTCGATCTCATCATGGTTTTGACCCTGAAAGAACAAAATACAATGGTGCTCCTCGTGGTATTCTAATGCATCAAACTACAGTTGAATTTACAAAAGCACATAATTCTTTGATTCGTTTAAAAGGATCCAAGAAAGCGTAAGTTTGTTGTTTTCTTTCTTTTTAATCACCATATTGACTATTTTTTTTTTTTTTTTTTTTTTGTGTGTAGATCTGGTGCTCGATCTCAAGCCAAACAGTTAATTCGTGCTGATTTCAAATTTGAAGATCTTGGTATTGGTGGTTTGGATGATGAATTTAGTGCTATTTTCCGTCGTGCCTTTGCATCTCGTATCTTCCCTCCTTCTATTGTTGAAAAACTTGGTGTACAACATGTTAAGGGTTTATTATTATATGGTCCTCCTGGTACTGGTAAAACATTAATGGCTCGTCAAATTGGGAAAATGTTGAATGCCAAGGAACCCAAGATTATCAGTGGTCCAGAAGTCCTTAGCAAATTTGTCGGTCAAAGCGAAGAAAATGTGCGTAAACTCTTTGCAGATGCTGAAGCCGAATACAAATCCAAGGGTGAAGATTCTGGTCTACATATCATCATCTTCGATGAATTGGATGCTATATGTAAACAACGTGGTAGCCGTGGTGATAGTACTGGTGTCGGTGATTCTGTTGTCAATCAATTGCTTGCAAAGGTAAACATATTCAAAAAAAAAAAAAAAGAAAGAAAGAGAGAGACATGGATTCTTTTAATATGAACTTTATTTTTTTCCCCTATTATATTAGATGGATGGCGTGGAACAACTGAACAATATTCTCATTATTGGTATGACAAATAGGAAAGATATGATTGATGAAGCTTTGCTACGACCAGGTATATATAGATAAAGATAAGCTATTGTGATAAAAAAAAAGAAAGAAAGAAAGATAATAATCAGTCATGATTTATTATACAAATCTTAGGTCGTTTGGAAGTACATATGGAAGTTGGATTACCTGATGAAAATGGTAGACAACAAATCTTGAAAATTCACACTGCCAAGGTATTAAAAAAAAAAAAAAGAAAAGAAAAAAAAAAGGATAAATAGTTTTTAAAACTCTTGATTTTTTTTTATTCTTTTTCAATTAGATGCGTGAAAGCAAGATTTTAGATCAAGATGTGTCTATCAGTGAATTGGCAGAATTAACCAAGAATTATAGTGGTGCTGAAATCTCTGGTGTCGTCAAGGCTGCCTCGTCTTATGCATTTTCTCGACATATAAAGGTTGGTACTGTGGCTGGAGTTGCTCCTGATGTTGAAAATATGAAGGTCAATATGAGTGATTTCTTATCAGCCTTGGAAGAAGTACCTCCTGCGTTTGGTGTATCTGAAGCTGAATTACAACAATTAGTACAGAATGGTATTATTCCCTTTGCTCGTCATATTGATGTAAGTTTGTACTAATTTAAAAACAAAACAGATCTAACCTTAAATTATTTATCTATTTGTGATGTTAGTCTATACTGAAGGATGGTGTATTATATGTGGATCAAGTTCGGCAATCTGCTCATACTCCCATGGTTAGTATCTTACTTCATGGTGCAGCTGGTTCAGGCAAGAGTGCTTTGGCTGCTACAATGGCTATAGAGAGTGCATTTCCTTTTATCAAGCTTATTTCTCCTGAAACTATGGTGGGCATGACTGAAAACGCCAAAATCAATGAAATCAACAAAGTCTTCAATGATTCTTATAAGTCTCCTCTTAGTGTCATTGTTATTGATAATATCGAACGTTTGTTAGGTAAGGCATATATTATTGAGTGGTGTAGTGATTCTAATTTTTCTTTTTTTTTTTTTTCTTTTTCCTTTCTAGATTGGGTGGATATTGGTCCAAGATTCTCCAACGCAATCCTTCAGGCTCTCTTGGTATTGTTGAAGAAACCTCCACCAAAGGTAATATCAAGATATACGAAATGGATATCCAGACATATATTTATATCAACAGTTGTTTTATAATAGGATCGACGACTTTTGATTATTGCCACAACATCACAACGTTCGATATTGAAACAAATGGATATGATAGACGCATTTGCATCTGAAATCCAAGTACCTACTATCACAAGCTTATCAGAAATTGATATTGTATTACAGGTAAAAGAAATGAGAAGATAAAAGATAATTGGAACTCTAACTTCTGTATTTTTTTTTTTTTTGTAGAAAATGGAATTATTTAATGAACAGGAACGATCAGATGCATTAATTGAACTAGGAACGGTAGAAAACATGACATTATCTATTGGTATCAAGAAACTATTAATGGTGATTGAAATGGCTAGACAAGATACGGATAAAGTTAGCAAGTTTGTCAATACCATTAGTGATTTATGTAGAAGATAGTTGTCACCTTTTTTTTTTTGGTTTTGTCGTTAGTATAGTATTTGATATATATATTCACCTGATCTGGCATGAATTATGGTTGGCTTTGTTTGAACAATAAAAAAAAAATGGGCTGCGAACCTCTTTTTTTTCCACCTCTTTTTTTTTTTTTTTTTTTTTTTTTTTTTTTTTTTAATTTCCTTTACATATTTTGTATACAGTTATTGACACTTTTTTTTTTCTTTTTCTCCATGGCAAAGAAACACCAAATATATATCAACAATGTTAGAATTTATTGTTGCAACACTTGTCATTCTCATCTCATTCGGCAAGACGACATCATCTCTCGGGCTTTTCAAGGACGTGTAAAGAAAAAAAAAAAAAAAAATAGAATATCAGTTACTTGAGTTGTTGACTTTTTTTTTTCAGCATGGACCTGCTTATTTTGTAGATCAAATTGTCAATATTACCATAGGCGCCAAAGAAGAACGCATGCTAATGACCGGGATTCATAGTGTGGCTGATATTTATTGCATGATTTGCCAAACGAAACTAGGTTGGAAGTATCTCCATGCTTTTGAATCCAATCAAAAATATAAGGAAAACAAGTGTATCATCGAACGAGCCAAGATCGCAAAAGAAGTCTTCTGGGATTGACCTATGTCATCTCCTTCACCTTATATCTCTCCCTCTTCTGCATTTTGATATCTAATCTTCATCACATAATTTCTTTTTATTTTTATCCACACTATTTAGAATATTATTTATTTATTTATCATACATAAAAATGAATAAAAAAAGTAAAATAAAATATGATAAACTACTACCATGGCTGCTATGACTACAAATAGACAATTCTATACTACAAACAAAAATAATATAAAATAAAATAAAATAAAATACTACTACCGCTACTCCAGGATGATGAATACCTTGATGAAGAATGTATATCAAAAAAAAAAAGGATCTCCCCCTTATTTCTTCCCTTTTTTGCCACGACGATTTTTATTACTTGATCGTTCAGTTCTTTGGATTGTACCAACACTCCCACCAGCCATATCGGGATTGTCTTGCACTTTGTTCCTGGCTTGTACAAAAAACGTCAAGTCACGTAATTCATCATGAGCTTCTTTCACCTTGATTTTCTTGTCTAATAATGCTTGTTTCAATGCTTCATTATCACTTGATAAGGTATTCGTCATCTATCAAAAAAAAAAAAAAGTGTAAGTAATTATCTAAATTTTCACTAATAAGAAAAAACCTTTTTTTCTTGTTCCCAGATGGTTCGTGCTGATTCATATTTTTCCTTTAAAAGTTGACATTTATCTTGTAAGGATGTATTGGTAGCTATAAGATTATCATATTCTTGTTTCATTTCATCATGCTGCGCTATTCTTCTTTGACGCTGATCCAATTCTTGTTGCCATTGAGACTCCATTTGTGATTGTTGTGCTGTCAGGGTAGAGAGTTGTTTTACCAATGCATTGAGCTGATCTTCATAGTAAATACGCTGCGATTCCAGTTGTGATGTCAATAAAGTTGTATATTCCATGGACATTGCCTCCAGTTTTTCCTCCTGCAACATATGCCCCAGATCATTATCCATCTTTTTTGTTGATGTTGACAAGGTTGTTCCTTTCGCCAAAGTTGACGATGATAGTCCTGTGTATCCAAGAGGGGGCCATTCATCTATACCTATGTTGTCATCATCTCCGCTACTACTGCTGCCTACAACTTGATGTTTGGTATTGATCCTATCTTGAATATTACCATTCCGTCTATGTCGAGTAATAGGTCTTGTCAATAGGTTACTAGAATAATTATTGGTATTATTGTTGTCGATGTTGTTGTTGACGTTATTATCGTTCACGCCAGATGATTCTAATTTGTCACTATTGTCCATATCGTGTTGATCATGACGTTGGGTTGAGCCAGGGAATTCCACAAGTTTACCATCTACGGTGTTCTGAATCAATCGATGTACATATCCATCACCCACATAATCCCATACCCTTTGAGTGTCGATTTCCAAAGCATAAAGATGATTCGTTTCCATATAATGATCATAAGCATGTGCATCTTGATAACGTCCACATCCAATATGCCCACATATCATACATATCCATAAACTTTCTGTTGCTCCACAAACATAGCAGCAAAGTCGATCATCGTGAGCATGTCTTGCTAAGAGCCAGCCTTGATGATTTCGTTTTGGTCCCGAGGAGGATGCTGCCTTATCATTATCTAAGGGAGTTTCCCTTCCAATACCTTCCAATACAGGTTTTTCTGAGAATCGACATATATGACAACTAGAAATAACAATAATAATAATAATAAAAGTACCCGTTATTGCACATTCTTTTTTTTTTTTTAATAAAATAATACATACTTTCCATCTCCCCATTTCCCAAGGCAACCACAATCGAAAGAATGTTGACACATGATACCCAATAATCCAGTGACACTTTCATCCATTCGTTCCATGCAGACAGGACAAGTCGGTAATTCTAATGTATGAGGTCTCCATTGCTGTCGATTTCGTTCGCCTTGGAGGGTATCATTCAACATTGGGTATATTGGTATATTGTTGTTATCGAATGTAGTTGAATTCCAAGTGGTAACTGATGCAATGAAGACAATATGACAGATTTCAGGTTCCATTCCATGAAACTGACGACCATTGAATTTGCGACGATAGTGGTATGCTGATTGGACATTCTTGAATTTCATTAACACCATATATTTGTTGGGAGCAGCATCTCTATATATAAAAGATATTGGTTAATTATATTAAGCGTAAGTTATCATCAGAGTTATCCTTTTTGATGTTACCTAATGAAGCGATATTGCATAACAGTATCATCGAATGGTTTAACAAAAACTAGAAAATCGTTGGTTGTCATATAAGTAGGTACAGCCAAGGTACAAGTAATAGTCCCCATATCATGTTGATTTGGAATAAACGATAGCATATCAGGCATAAGATCATCAGGAGCTGGTTTCTCATCACGAAGTAAATGAATAATGCCATAACCCATTTTGCAATGTTGTTCTTCTTGTTGTTGTTGGTCTGTCAAAGGTTTGGTAGAATTGACATTATTGTTATTATTGCCTTTGCTGGTTTTGTCGCCGTTATTGCCTTTGTTCTGTTTGCTGTGATAGTGCGATTCATTACGCTTATCGATACATTCAATATCAATTGGACCAAGTCGAAAATCATCGTGAGTTCTAGAGGAAGCTTTAGAAACAATGGAGTCGCCAAAGTTGCTACCAGTGTTGTTGGTACTACTGAGATGAGATTGCGTAATATCTGAAGGCGTTGGTGGAATGTTAGGTTTTGGGTATCTATTAGGTAGCTTTTCTGGTTGTCGTTTTCGTGGATAAAGTTGATGGCGGTCTACTGATTGAATAGAATTATCGACGAGTTTATGTGAAGATGGATGACCAAGTTCTTCAGCCTGTTTATCAAAAAGATCTAAAGTTTCTTGATCGATCAAAAATGGAGGTAAAGTATCAAAGATGTTGGAAGGAAGTTCATTGGATTTCAAAGAATACAAAGTTAGATTCAAATGATAGTAATACATACACACCAAAAAAAAAAAAAATAAAATAAAAGAAAAAAATACGAAGGGGAGAAACGAAGAAGAATAAAAAAAAAAAAAAAAAAAATAAAAACTGTATTTTTATTAAATCTCAGCATCATTCATTTATGCCTAAAAATTAAATCATATCATTTTGTCGTTTTGCTTGATCTAAAATTTTATGGTAGGATGCGTCATTAAAAGGGTATATTGTTCCATCACCAAGTCCACGATAAACAGGTACTAAGAATATATATATGTATTAGATCAAAAATTTAATCTATAACTTGTTGAAACTTACAAATCCAACCAATAGGATGATTACCCATCACACTACGCCAATTATTCATCTTGCCAATATTCCAGAGTCGATCATGAAGAGAAGTAGCAACCACTTCATAATTTTGTCCAGAGGTATCAAAGTCAACACGTACATGATCAGGTCGAGTCGATAAACTTTCAATCGTAGTTCGATTCACCAAAATATATTGTCCATGAGCCAAAGCAAATCCACATATTGTAAGTCCAAATACGAATGCTCTATATATATATAATCAAAGAGTTAGTAAATCAATATAACAATATAACACTAACTTTAATACATACATAATTAAAAAGACAATCCATTGTGGATCTAAAGACCGATCCTAATAATAATAATAATTAAAAAAAAAAAAAAAAAGAGACAGATGAATACAAAGATAGTGTTATCTATTTTCGCTTCTTACATAATCACGCATAGCAATCACTACAAGAGGAAGCGCGCTGCATAAACCCCACAGTCCGTAAAGTCCTGTATAAGAAACAAAGAGAAAAAAGAATTTGTAGTTGTGATGACCTACACAATTGTTGATCCAGGGACAATGACTAATATAAAATACAATAAAAGAAAAGATGTTATCATCCATATCTTTAATAACATTTTTAATAGAGTGTACTTACTGATCCATTTTTAGTACGCAGACATTGCAGTCGCTACAATGATGAGTTCGAGCTGGTTTGAAGCATTTGCAAATGTCACAAAACCGAGGTGCACCATTTGGATCTGAGACAATAGAGAGAGCTGGTAAAATAGTTGTATCTTGTAAAGGAAGTGATGTCATAGTAGTCTTGTCGAATAAACTTGGTGTATAGCAATAACGAGGTAAGTGAGACTGACTGCTTTGAGTTGTCGCTGATTCGACTGACTGGAGGGTTGGTGTCTATCAAATAATAATATAACTTAAAACCACTTCTTATGATTATTGTTGTTATAGTCTTACTTGATCAGGATGACCAGGATCGGCATTAATGATACGAGTATATGATATGGCTGCCATTAAAACAAAGAGACTAGAAAATGCTATGAGTACACCTAATTATAATAATATATATCAAATAAATGTAAAATCAATCAATAGTTTAAAAAGAGTGTTTTATAACATATTCTTGTCATTCTTACCACCTAAAGGAACGTTTCTATATTCACTCCAGATCAATAAAGCCACTATTGTATTGTATAAAAGTAAGAAGAAGAAGAAAAAAAAAAAAAGAAGGATCATAGATTGAGTATTTGAACTATTCTGCTTGATAATATACTGACCACAAATACGGAACACATAAATGTACCAGGTATAAACCAATAAGCCATATACAATTACTTGTAGAAGAAACCCAGTTATCGCCCTGACAAGAGGCGAAGGAGGTTTTGCCATGGGATGACTAGGCTGTTCAAAATAAAAAAAATTAAGGAAAAGTAGATATATAAAAAAAAAAAGAGGTGAAAGAAAGATAAAAACAAAAAAAAAAAAAAAAAAAAAGAAAAAAAAGAACGAAAGGAAGTACAGACAATGGATCACGACTCCAGCTCCGCCAGACATTTGGAGAGGGTTAAAGATTTCATATCCTTTGTGATAAGATATCCCTTTTTTCATTTTATTTCAACATTAATATATACAAAATAAAAACTATCTAATCTAAGTAATCAATAATACTTTCAACAGAAATGGTAGCACCAGCAACAGACTTGAATTTTTCTAACAATGATTTTTCCACAGTATCCTTGCCAGCTAATACACGATCATAAACCACCAGCGTTGTATTATCATCAATGTCTTCCATAATGTATTGCCCAAACGTAGATAAGATATCTTCCACTTCCTTGTCGTCCAACAATGCTTGTTTGTTTCTATGTACCACTATTGCGTTCGATTGTTTGATAAAACCTACAAATATCAGCATACATAAGTAAAGATCACATCTATGCCTATTCTGTTTATGTTGCTACACTCTCTTCTTACATGTTTCTGGTTGAGTAAAATCAAAGTATCGGTATGCCGATCGCACCATGACTGCTTTGTTGGATAATTTTGCCACATGAGGAAGAGGATCACCATGTTTATCTAATAATTCTACTCGAGTTGATCCATAGTTGTATACTTCGTTTTCATCAATGGTCCACTTAGGATCTACATCATCATCAGGTTCACAATCCCATCCACCATTTGAATTTTCACAAATCACAGTATCTTGCTGTATTTCTTCTTCAAGTTTGATCACTGTATTCAATGATCCAACGTTCTGTTCCTCTCCATTTGGTTTTGGATCTATAAAAAGGTTAAACTGTCATCAATATTGTATACATAATCTATATATTGTACATACTTAGATAGGATAGCAATTTGAGAAATACAGTTCCAGTCAGATAGGCATCATAACCAGCTTCATGAGCTTTTTCTTCAAGATAGCGAGGATATTCCCAATCTACGTCTAAAGAAAGGTACAAAGAGTCAGTGCTCACATCCCATTCATTATCAATCCTTATCCTTGTCCTTTCTTCATAGTTTGGTTTCTTACCAATACGTGGATTCTTGAATATATTACGACTAGTTTCGAATCGTAGGTTTTCCAGATCAGTTGCACTAGTAATGTCCTAATATACACAACATAAAATTAAATTATTTTCATCCTTATGTTTCAAACAAAATGAACTCCTTTTTACTTACCATTATTTCTGGGCTAGAGATAGCGATATATTTGGTATCAATCATACTAAGCAAAACCAAGAGAAAGAACAAGTTAAAATGACCGTGAACAACAAAAATAATATTCTTCTAGTTTCAAATAGAATATACTTACATTGGAAACACCGTATGAGCGAAAAGCTTGAATTCTTCCTTGGTATCAGGTAATGGTTGTATGAATTGTCCAATAACATGGCAAATGTCCAAAAACATATTATGTCCAACGAGAGGTTTTTTTGATTCAGAGATCCAGTCAATCACCTTTCGAAATCCAACCGCTTTTTCACAGTCGTTCTTATATATATATATATTAAAATAGGGTTTAGTGATTACTACTTAACATATTTCTCTTTTTTTTTTTTTACATCCTCTTCCTACCTTATATAGTTCTTCACGTTCTTTATTTCGTTTCAATTTTTGTTTTTCATTCAGACGCATCACCTTGATAAATCCTTTTCGTCCTTCTGCCACCAATCCTTCAAAACTAAATATATACTGTGTGGTAAGCATAATTACATTCTGTTCCAATTACATCCTTTTATTATCATACTTGTTACGAACATCTTGATAAATGATACGTCTTTGATAACCATTGGCAGTTTCAATGTTGACACCATCATTATTGTTGTTATTCTTGTTCTCCAATTTTTCAGTTTTCAACCAAGCGTTGATCTTTTCTCTAAATTATATAAATCAAAATATCAATATATCAGTATTTATTTTGAAGTTATATTTTACCTAGCTGCATTCAAATAACCAAGTTCCTTATCATCAACAGGAATATCAGGTATTTCATCATTAAACATTTTTGTTCTTTCCTTGATAAATTCTTGTTCTTCTGACAAGTTCATAAATGGAATCCCTTGATATACCCACTATACAATTACACATCCCAGTATAGACCCAGCAGACAGAAAAATGAAAAAAAAAGGCATGATTAGTCCAAGACAATTTTTTTTTTTTTTTTTTTTTTTTGGTGTACCTTGTTAAAGTCAAAAGTCTGTTTTGCCAAAAAGTCAAAAGCTTGAGCCTGTACATGGAAGACACGGTTTGGATGAGATCGTCCACCAGCAAAACTTGTAGGAAAGATATAAAAGTTGAAAGGTTTAGCGATATATCGTCCAGAAGGTTGATCCCATTTGAAAGTACAAAGCCCAAACTGAATGATGGTGAATCGTTCTGTAGCTTCTTTGAATTCTTGATATCTATAATCGAGAGTTTCAATACGTTTTCCAGTACCTGGTCGATAAAGTCCTAATAATTGAATAGAGAATTCGTGTCAAAAAAAAAAAAAAGAGTTTCAAACTATGCAAAAAGTAAGATCGCGTTTGGTCTACCAGGTTCGATTTACAAAAATACAAGAATAGTTTTACCTGATAGTTCAGTATCAATAGCCATAAAATCACATTCGTTTATTGCTTCTTTCACCAAAGGTAATTTTTTGGTAAACTCTTGTCTAGTTATTTCCATTGTAAGGCTATCATTCAAATAAGAAAGAAAAAAAGAAGTTTAGAAAAAAGTAAAAGGGAAAGAGAGAGAGACTATCTCGGTTGGATTTTTTCCGGGTGACTTGCAATCCCGCAGCCAGGTTATTGACCAAAGCTATTTCTTTATACTTTCTTCTCCAATTCTTTTCTTGTTATATATATTCCATTATATTATATTATATTTCTTTCTTGGAATGCATCGACATATTCGTCCATTAACCAAATATCTTGGTGTCACTCAAGTTTATACACATAATTTTATACAATATAGTTTACCAAAGAAAACAAGTATTATCAATACCATTCGACATATCCAACCATCACTATTTCGACCCTTGTCTACCACTGTTTCAACTCACTTCCATTCCTCTCCCTTAATCAACAATAATACAGTAAAAGACGACAAATTATATAAGGTTTGTTGGAAATGTGATCACATTGCCTCTCGTTCTGCTGTTAGTTGTACTAATGACGAATGTGGGGCAATCCAACCTGTTGTACCTGATCTCAACTTTTATGAGCTATTGAACGCTGGTACTGGTGACAAAAGGTAGTTTTTTTTTTTTTGGAAATTAAGATTGCATCCTGTTAACAGTATTTTTTTTTTTTTTTTTGTCTTTACCATTCCTTTAGTATTGAACCTACTTTTGATGTGGATGTCAAAAAATTGAAACGTCAATTTTTGAAATTGCAGCAAGTGGCCCATCCAGATAGTTATTCCAATGCTACAGAGGTAAAATCAAAATGAAACTAAGAGGGAGTGGGATAAAAAGCAGTGACAAAAACTGACAGAGCTTTTTGTTAATTCCTTTCTTTTTTTTTTTTTTTTTTTTTTTTTGATAATAGCGTGAACACAAGTATGCTGAAATCCAATCCTCTTTATTGAACAAGGCATATCATACACTCAAGGATCCTTTATCTCGTGCCCAATACATGCTTGCTCAATTAGGCGTAGAAGTAGACGAAGCCGAATCATTACATAATCCTGAGCTTTTGATGGATGTGATGGAAGTAAGAGAAGAATTAGAAGAAGCAGCAACCAATGCGGATGTGGAACAAATCAAACAAGCTAATGATGGTAATTAAAAAAAAAAAAATAGAAATGGAAATCATACTGATTCTTTCTTGTTTTATATAGCCAAAATCAAGGAAACAGTAAACCAGTTATCGAAAGCATTTTTGGAAAAAGATCTGGATTTAGCCAAGGATTACTCTATTCAACTTCAATACTGGGAAAATATTCGTCGTGCCATCATTGACTGGACGCCTGGAAAACGTATAGAAATCAAACATTAGTATATTTAGTATTATACTCTCTCATTGTAGTCTAGTCAATATCATCATGTAATATAAATATATAGAATTTCAATCTTAATAAAAACATTTTCAGTGATAAACATTGGAGATTTGACCATGAAACGGAAATCATGCATCTCGTTCACTGATGGAAACAATTGATATGCGCATGTACGATTAACATGATAATAATAATAATAATAAACAAGGTTTTTATTGAAATAATAAAAGAAACGGAAGTGTGGTATAAAAAAAAAAAAAGGAATGACAAATAAAAAAGAGGACGATGAATATAATAACAAAAAAAGAAAAAAAAAGGTCATAAATGTTCAGTATGATCGTGATGCGATAATCGAGCCACCAACAAGAGAGTTTGTTCATATACCAAAAAATTCAAAGAATGGATAGGAAAAGCGCGAAGTAAAGTAACAGAGATACCAGAATAGAATCCCATATATCCTTTTTGACGTGCAATATTGGCAACACAATCACTAACACGGCTGTAAAGAGGAGATGGTGAGAGGATTTCCTTTTGTTTCAAAGTCTTGACTAAATCTATTGGAAACACAACAAGCCAACAAAGAATACCACAAATCCCTCCAGCAAGGAATTGTGTTAATGGGCCAGCTTTTTCATTCTTTTTTGTCAATAAGTATTTTGTTGTTTCGTAGGCACCAAAATAGACACCAGTACCAACAGAGTCACGTACTATGTCAATATTCCAAGAAAGTACGTGAGTGATCTATCATTTTCGATCTTTTTTATTTTTTTTTTTTTATTTATTTATTTTTTGTACTTACAAAAATGGAGACCAAAGCCATTATATAGAGCTGTAATACCTTTTTTTCTGATGATTTCCTTTGCTGATGCCCAACTTGACGTAGAGACTCTTCCATTGTTAGATGACTTTGAAGATGCATAATACGATTGTGAGTGTGATGATCTTTCTTGTGATGTAGAAGATGAAGATGGTGAAGACGTTGTTGATGATGTTGTTGATGATGGTGATGATGACGGTGACGATGATGATGATGATGATGATGCTTGTATGGTTGCAGGATGAGCTGATAATGCCGTTATTGGAGGCTGCATAGATCGTTTATTGGAATGACTAGAGTAAGGTAGTTCAACAAGAGAAGTTGAGGTTGAGGTTGATGCCTGTGTAGAGGATGGATTTGACAAAGGAGAAATTGGCATACCAGCCCCTACAGTACGATTAATGGTCGATCTTGCTCCACAACTGGGTCGTATATCATTCTCGGATAAGGATCGTACAACGGTGGCACCAGTTGACACACTACTGGCCTGCAGCAGAAATTCGAGCTGTTTTTGTATCTTGACTAACTCAAAAGGACAACTAAGAGCAGCAATGAACGCACCACTAGTAAAACCTCCAAGTGTAGAGACAGCCATGGTAGATACAAGTGTATCTTGATTAAAGAATGGGTATCTTTCTTTACAAAATGACTTGGATTGTTCGTATACTGAGAAAGAAATTGATTTAATGATACTGACAGTGACCAAAGGAGGAATGATCCCTATAAAAAAAAAATTCGATAATTATGTGTTTAATTTCATCTTATATCATTATTAATATTATTTTTTTACCTCTAAAGAATCCTCTAATGCCTTCTTCCTTATATGTTTGTTTCACGCAAGTACTTATCGAATCATAATGTTGAGTTTGTAATCTTGTTTTTATCGAATCAAACTAAATGTTCATAATAATAAATGTTTATTTATCAATACATATGTTATCAATAAGTATATATTAGATACTTACGGGATAACCAGCAAGTACGCCAACTACAGCAGCAGATGAAGCTGCGATTACAGTTTTATTGACTAGACAACAACCATAACAATAATCAATAAAAAGTGTCAATAGTAAAAAATCATAAATAAATGTTCAAAAGTTTACCCCATAAAAGTTCTTCCAAGATCGTTTGATATGGTAAAGGATGAATACGACGGTGGGTTATCTCGTCTCTTGTTGGAGCCATGATGAGAGACAAAGAAGTGTATAAAAGTCGTAGAAGTAATCTACAATATGTCTTATTAATAGAAAAAAAAAACCATGAGTATCAAATATAAAAAAAGAAAAAAGAAAAGTTTGATAATGAGGAATAACTATTTTTATTTAAACGTTACTTTGCTTTTTTTTTTTTTTATTTATTATCTTTGTAATAATAATATTGAAAGTTAGCAGTTTGAGAGAATATTAGAAATGAAAATGACAGGAAAAAAAAAAAAAAAAAAAAAAAAAAAAAAAAAAACTAATAGCACCTGAAGGAGTCTGAAATCCCCAGTAAATGAGCAAAAAGGAAACCAATCTCTGATCACATGAGATTCCCTTTTTTTTTTTTTTTTTTTTTCTTTCACTATTTGCTTTTTTGATAAAAGCATCTATGGTTCATCAATAATGCTTAATATACCTTCTTCTTTTATTTTATCCTCAAAATTATCTCCTTTGGAACCTAAAGGTATGATTCTATATAAAATAACATTTTTCTTCTCAACTTTTTTTTTTTTTTTTTTTTGTTATTTTATTTATTATATATTTGTTATCATTTAGACGTATTGAGGTTATTAGAACTAGCTCAAACTCGATGGAATGATAATTGTGTACAATATTGTATGGATAACCACCCAAATCGACCTTTATTAGCAGCTGGTATATCGAATCCTCAAGACTTACAACGTGTTATCTCTTATGGTGTACCTGTGATTCATCTTGAACACGACTGTCAATCATTACAAGGGGCACAAAGGCGTCATTTAAACGACTTGAAATATATACATTTTTTGGAATTTATTAGTTCTGCAGGTTGTTGGGGTGGTTTAGGTGCTTTGATATCTCATCCCAGGTGGAGTAGAAAAGTGACGGAAAATGTACCAGCTGCAATGATTTATGGTGGAACAACTATGGCGATTGTGGCTCTATCTTTATATACAGCTCAATTCATGCGGAAACTTCGATACAATTACAAATTGAAAATGATCAAGGATGAATATTTTTTATTACGGGATGATGTGGTTTATTCTGGTTTCTGGTTTGTCACCAAGAAGATCGTTCCTTATTGTTTTACAGTGGCTTCTATCTATACTCTATGTAACCACAAATTAGGTTGATAGTCAATTTAGTTTAATCTTATTTATCATATTTTTTTATTACAACTTTATATATATATATATATATATATATCATCTTTCTTTTCACTCCTTTTTTTTTTTTATTTTATTTTATTTTATTTTTTTTTTTATTCCTTGTCTTTAAAAGTAAAAATATTGTATTAATAAATAAAAGAAAAAAATACCCTTTTTGTTACAAACATTACTTTTTATTATTGTTGACTTTATTAATGACGCTCTGACCTTTTTGGAATATCGAATAAAAATTTATTTATTTATCACTAAACGCACGTCTTTTTTTTTATTATTATTATTATTCCAATTTTTGGCCCCATGAACAATGTAATCTCTCTCCACATTACATATTTTCCACTCTAATTTGGAACAAAAAAAAAAAAAAAGATTTAGACAAATGGAAATCAAATTGAGAATATCATTAAAAAACGGATGTAAACTATCCAATTCATCATCATACTCATAATTATATATTCTCCTTCCTATCCAAATATGATTTTCTTGAAATTTTGATTTTCCTTTATTTAAACTGGTTTTTCAAACCTGTAGAAAGTCTTAAGAGGGGGGTTGAATTTGATCAAAAAAAAAAAAAAAAAAAGGTACAGAAATGTTGGAAGAACCCATCGTTAGTGATGGTTTAATGCGGACATTGAAAAGAGGTTTGATCTCTCTATATTTGTATCTTGGTTTCCTTTTTTTTTCCCCTTTTCTTTTCCTTTTCTTTCCTTTTCTTTTTTTTTTTCTTCTCTTTATTCCTTTTTTATACTTTTGTCCATATTTTCCTATACTTCTTTTATATATTATAAAATATTCGTTTCTAGTTATTTACTTTCTCCTTCACTTTATCACATTCACCACTCCCTTCCACATTTGACACCATGTCTACGTTGGCATTGAAGCGTAGAACTCCTTCGCTTGGGGCAATACCAACAGTTCCGCCTTCTCCAGCACCATGTACTATGCCTCTTCCTTCACCTTCAATAAAAACTCCTCCTTCTGGCTCTTCCTTATATCATACCTGTCGTCTAGTATTGGACAAGTTGGCTCTTGTTGAAGGTATGTCATATTGGCTTGACATGGAAAACGATTCTCTTTCTCCTTCTCTCTCCCCAATCAATACTTCATCACCTCCTCTTATGCCTTTAAGTACCTCTTCTCCATCTATGATACCTGTCAACACCACTTCCGATGGTACTCAAACAACAAATGATTTTAGTAACGACCCATTATCCAAATTATGTTGTCTTTGTCGTCGTGGTACTCCTTTATTCACTTTGTTCAATGCTCTCAATACTAAACAACCATTGAAAATGGATCCAAATCCAAAATTGAATCAACTCAACAATTGTAAAGCCAATGTCTATCATTTTTTGGTCGCCTGCCGTCAACAATTATTGTTTCCTGAAGAAGAAGTTTTTACCGTTTCTGATCTCTATGTGGACGATACCAATGGATTTGTCAAGGTAAACAAATAAATAAAAAAGAAAAAGGAAAAAAAAAGTTCACATGTATGTTGTATGTTTGTTGTGGATGGCTAGTTTACGTGTTCCACGTCATGAACAAAAGGAAAAAAAAAACAATGCTTGTGTACGGGTTTTGAATTATAAGGCTTTTTGTGATACTTTAGGCATATCGGATTTAATGCAATGGATACTAATATATTATTTTTTTTTATACAGGTTGTCAATACTGTTCAAAAGATCCTTCAACTTTTAGAAGAAAAAGGAATCATATCTTCTCATTGCTCTAGTCGAGATTCCTGTCCTCTTGCATCTCCAAAAGGTATACGCGACAAGGTTGTTCTGGAATTACTAGCGACGGAGCGCAAATATGTTCAAGACTTGGAAACACTGCAGGTTAGTAAAAAAAAAAAAAAAAAAAAAAATTGTACTATTATTATTATTATTATTATTGGAACGATTTGGACTAACGGACTTTATTTGTCTGGATTGTATGCAGAATTATATGCGTGAATTGCAGCAACAACGAATTCTTAGCCAAGACACCGTGCACTATCTATTTGGGAATCTCAATGCTTTAGTGGATTTTCAACGTCGATTCTTGATTCAAATGGAAAAAACTGCCGAGAATGATCCTAAAGAACAACATTTTGGTCTTTTATTCAGTCAAATGGAAGGGGCTTTTTCCGTATACGAACCTTACTGTTCCAATTATTACTCAGCTCAAGACCTGGTTGTACAAGAAGCGCCAAAGTTGATGAAACTCAGCGACATCATCAATCCCACTTATGAATTACCATCTCTGTTGATCAAACCTATTCAACGCATTTGTAAATATCCTTTACTATTGAATGAATTGATCAAGAGCACAGAAAAGAATTGGTCTACTGTATCTGAAATGATGGACGGATTGGAATCAATGCGACGTGTTGCTGACAAGGTGAATGAAACTCAACGAAAACATGAAAACTTAAGAATGGTTGGTCAACTCAAACATCGTGTTGATGACTGGAAAGGTATCTCTATCGATAAATGTGGTCAACTTTTACTACAAGACAAGATTTTTGTGAGGGCTTACAACAATGAAAGGGAAATGCATGTCTTCTTTTTTGAAAACCGCTTACTTCTCTTCAAGGAATCCAAAGATAATAGCAAAAGTAGATTGACCAAGGCAAGTACTATTTCTGTCAAAAAGCGACGACGAGGTACATTGGAACCAAGAGGAATCATTGAAACTAGTACAATTACATGCCTTCACAACATGTCTGGAAATGGTAATCATATAAACAACACAACAAACAAATAAGACTGTATATTTTTTTTTTTGATCAAAATATTGATATTAACTTTATTATATTATTATTGTTATTTTGATAGGTGAATGGAGTTTGATCATAGAATGGAAAGAACAAGATGTTGGTCAAGTAGCATTGAAATTCAGAAACGAAGAACAATACAAACTCTGGGAAATGACTTTGAACAAGCAGAAAGGATTCAAAATACCATCATCATCGTCATCTACTTCTTCTTCTCCTGATTTGAACGTTTTCAAGGATTCCTCAATACCTGAACCTCTAAGCAACAGTGGTGGTGATAACTGGTCTTTTATCGATCCTGACGACGAAGAGGATGAAGTGGATTTTATTGAAGATGACATCGATGAATTGGGTTCATCACGATCTCGAAGCAACTCTTTTTCGACACATTTCCTCAACACATTTTCTACACGCAACAAAACTGGAAGAAACAACAGCTCAGATGTTTCAGCAATTAAGTCATCAGCAACAACCACTCCCATCACTGGTCGATCAAACACGCCTGGTCTTAACCTTCAGCCTTTACCACGTTCAGCTTGTGACACGATGATCCATCAGACATCACCACCAAACTCACATATTTCTGGCGATTACTTTTTTTATCCTTCCTCACCACCACCATCAAACCCGTCATCTCCAACAAGTTCGTCACGCGTGTCACCAAACATTTCGACACCGGATGCCTCATTTAGGGAAAATCCTTCTTCTCACCACGTATATCATCAACATCAAAAGGGTGCCGCAATTCTGTCAACACCTTGTGAACCTATGACACCATCAATTGATTATTTTGCTATTGCTACAAGTGAAGAATTCGAAAAGATGAAGATCACTGGCCCTCCTCCTTCCGACAAAATACATCAGCATCGCCATCCATCCGTGCAACCTCATGCTCGTTCACGTGCCCAAAGTAGTCCCACCATTCAATCTAACCGTCGGCACGACAAGGAAGGAATATTGTCAAAGTCTACGACATGGGAGCAATATCCAACAATAGCAAAACAATCCACCGCTCCCATCAAAATGACACCTCGATTATCGGACAAGGAAACCTCAGCATCTTTGCAATCACATTTAGATCGTGTTCTTACAGCAGCAGGTACTCTCTCTCCTGGTCAAATCAAGGTCAAGGTGATGTACAACGAAGGAAAATACTCTATCATGGTCCCTCAACAAATCTCATATACCGAATTGTTGAAACGCGTGGAACAGAAACTTCAAACCGTTGGTGATATACCTCCTGTCAGCACCCTTCGACTCAAATATCGTGATGAAGAAGGTGATTTTATTACAATCAATTCCAATGATGATGTTCAAATGGCCTTTGAAAGTTACTGGCACTCCAACGTTCTCCTCTTTGTTAGTTTGTAGTTTTTTTTTTTTATTTATTTATTCCTTATACACGCAAAACACACACACACACATACACACACATATCCCTCACTCGTTTATACCCTATGCCCTATTTCTTCTTTTTCTTTCTTTGTATTTTTTTTTTTTATCTACAGTTCCAAATTGTATGCCTTTTTTTATTGTTATTATGTCACTATTATTTACCCTGTACTTTCATTTACTCTCTTACTTATCCTTTCCAATCCCTCCTTTTGTAGATAGTTATTCCTTCCTTTCTCTTTCGAATCCTCCTTTCATCTCACGTTTTTTTGTTTCAACTTCTCTTTTTTAGTTTTTATTTTTTATTGTAAACAATTTATCTTTCTAAATAAAAAAAAAAATGGAATGCTTTCATTTCAATTCCACCCAAAAGAATAATGCAGTCTTATTTAATGTCTCCATTGAATTATATTTTTTCTTATCCATTGTTAATCATGAACATTAATTTTTTTTTTTGTTAGTCAAAAGTAAAAGTGCATTACATCTTGGATACCCATAAACTTCAAATCTTTATTTGATTTGACAGATTATGTAAACAACCTATATCCTTTTTTAGTAACCTTTCATATAATGAAACGGAAAAGCCTTAATTGGACATTCCATGTCAAGTATTCATGAGAGATGTAGATATTATTTTCTGTTGACATATAGGTCCTGTCAGTACCTGAAAAAAAAAAAGATGGTAACTGTAAGAGCATTTTAGCCAATCGCGTACAGTTTAAGATTTGTATTCCGATGGATGGGGGAGAGATAGGGATTTTTTTTTTTCAGTCATCGTCATGTGAATTTCTTTTGTCTTTTTCACCATTGATTGTTGTATACTCTCTTTCTAAACAATGTATATCTAATATTATTGCAATCCTATTATATAAAATAGTACATTTTATAACTTCTCATGACAGACAACCACCAAACACAAAATACCAATAGACCTGTCTCGGCAAATAGAGGCGCTTCATTCGACAATAATGTTAACACCAACAATAACAATAGTAACCCCTCTGTAGGAAACTCTTCGTCGTGGTTAGGACTTTGGAAACCATCTTCTCCTTCATCTTCTGTCAATATCAACAACAACACCGATACACAAGTAGTCTCACATACAATTATAACCTCTAGCGATGGAAATGAGGAAACCATTGACAAGAAGAATGTCATTCAAGGTGGAAGCAATGCTCAACAAGGCCAAGATAATAATAACTCTGACAGCAACGACAATCAAAATAAAACAACTAATGATGTTTTGAATGAGAACACTTCTGGTCATTCCAATGGTTCATCCTCACAATTGGGTTTATGGTATTGGCTTGGATACCCAACTGCAACAATAACGAATAGCAAAAGTACAACACCGAATGTAGAACAGTCTTTAAATGATGATACTTCGAACAACAAGGACGCCAGTAATAATAATCATAGACGCATATCAGCCAATTTATCTGTGAATGATCATTCAGCTAAAAGTACTCCACCGCTATTATCATCATCAACATCGACACCTTCAACAACTACAATCACAACACCAATATCAACCTCAGCATCATCATCCATTACTTCCAACAACAAAAGCATCGATTCGGTCCCTATTCCCAATAGATCATCTTGGCGATCTTACTTTTTTTCCGACAATTCAACTAAAAGCGACAAGGATGCTACTGATGATACCACTCCATCCACTATGGAAACTACATCAAATTCAACACCTCCATCATTATCTACGGAAATACTTCAACAAGATTCAGTGATTATAGAATCAAGTAATAACAACCAAAACGATCAAAGGAAAAGGATGCCATCATCAAGTACTTCTACTAAGAATGAAATCAAAACACTGGCTACTACAAGAAATGTTGTTTTACCCTCTATCACATCCCAATTCTCAGCGCCACCACTATCTCAAACTATATTCTCCAAAGCCATCAACGCTATCAATTCTATATTTACCCAGTCATCCGATATAGGCAATCAAAATCAACATCTTGTGGCAAGCATTATCAAACAAATGAAGGCAAAACCCGATACTGTTGCTGGAAAAAAATTTGTGATTATTGGTGTGCATGGATGGTTTCCGGCGAAGGTAAATTTTTACTATCACCACAACATATAATATATATATATATATACTAATAATTGCATGATCTTTTTTTTTTTTTTGAGGGATTTATTAGCTTGTGCGCAGTGTAATGGGCGAACCGACAGGAACATCGGCTAAATTTTGTGAACAAACAGCAAAGTCTCTTCAACAATATTTTGAACAAGAACATGATTTGGTCCTACCTATGAATTGTATGACATTGATTCCATTGCAATGGGAAGGAAAGGTGCAAGAACGAGTAGAAAAACTTTACTCCTTTTTGGTTGACAATCCTGCAACGTTAGATGCTCTTCAATCAGCCGATGCTATTTTTTGGACAACGCATTCTCAAGGTACACCAGTATCGGCAATCCTACTACATCGATTGATCCAGAACAAGATTATTCAACTTAAAAAACAACCTATATGTTTATTGGCAATGGCTGGTATTGCTCATGGTCCATTTGCATCACTCAAAGGTAGTCTTATTGTTAAGGTATGATCAAATGGGATGTGATCTCTTTCTTAAGAACAAAAAAAAAAAAAAAAAAAAAAAAAAAAAGAAAGAAAGAAAAAAAAGCAAATAAACTAATCAACCTTTTTTTATATGTATGGAATATATATATAGTATTTCGAAGCGGATGCTGCCCGAGAACTTTTTGAATTTATGGACCCATCCAGTGAGATCTCTGAAGTATTTCGACAAGCTATGGCATACATTCTTCAACAAGGAGTAAAGACAATCCTAGTAGGGTCTATGCAAGACCAGGTGGTTCCATTATATTCAGCTATTATGGTCGCTACCGAACATCCCAACATTCTTCGAGCTATCTACATTGATGGACATGTTTATTCACCTGATGATTTTTTAATCAACCTGATTGTATTCGCTCTACGACTAAGGAATGCTGGACTTTCAGATCATGGATTGTTGTTACATATTAGCGACGTACTGGCGGGTAATTTATATGCTTGGGAAGGTGGACATTCAACAATTTATGAAGAAACAAGTGTTTACAAATTAGCGCCTCATTACCTGTTTGACACAAGTCCTCTAGGTGGTCTTTTACCGAATCATCAAGAAAATCATACCACGACAAGGACGTCTACGATGGTCGAAGCGAAATCCGAATTATTTCATACCAAAGTACGATTGAACCCTTATTATTTGACATGGGCTATGCGGGGAATCTTTGATGATGTACGTGTGATTCAAGTGTTTGGTGACCAACTGGATCGACTACGAATATTGTTTGACCAATGGCATCCAACAAGTTCAAAATTACGGGAAATCAAATTTCGATTGGAACCTATCAAGGCTAGATTGTAGTTTATAGTTAATTTATGATATATTGTACGTATATGTAGGTCATTGTTTTATCAATATAATAAAGAAACATGATGTTGCATGAAGGAAAAAAAAAGTGCATTCTGGACTTGAAATCGATGAAAAAGGGAAGGGGTACAATTGGAAAAATAGGAGACATTATTTTACCTTTGGGGAGAAAAAAAAATGGGAAAGATAATGATGATGAAGAAAAAGAAAAAGAAAAAGGGTGAGTTCACGATCTAAGCAACTGTATAAAGAATAATAGCAGGACCCTTTTTAAACAATCATAGAACAAAAAGGAAAGAAAACGTGGTGAAGTTGTCCTGCATCTGGGCCTGAATTTACTGTGCATCAGTTTGCTTTAAACCCTATTTTTTTCATTTTTCTCTTTTTTTGTTTCGTTTTTTTTCCTTTCTTCTGTTTATTTCTCCTTTTCTTTTCTTTTTCTTTTTCTTTTTTTTTCTTTAGTATCAACATTTTATTCAAAGTGATGGATTATGTTAATGAAGAATATTCAGCATTGCTGCAAGAATTGACCAATAATATTCACCATAATAATCCTCAAGATGTTTTACAGTTTTGTGCCGACTTTTTTTTCTCAAAGTTATCAGAAGAAAGAGCTTATCGATATCAAGATCATTATCAACGTAAGTACCTTTTAATAATAGTAATAATAATGCTGAATATTTTATTTTTGACTCCTGAAACTAGATCCAATGGCAATAGATTCTACTTTTTCACCTCATCCTTCAGCTATACAACATACACCTCCTATTCCATCACTACAAGATCATTATAGTGGAGAAGACGACGACGACGATGAAGAAGAAGAAGAAGAAGAAGAAGAAGAAGAAAGCTTCTATGATGAACAGAAAGATACTTTCTCTGGTGAACTTCCTGACTTCTCTGGTAACAATTTCAACAGGTTACAACGACGCACATCGGTCAGCGCTGAATCCATGACTCCATCTACACGTGAACATCGTTTTATCAAGACTGTGATTCCCAAAACAACTGATCAACAAGCCCGAATTCAATCCGCCATACAAACCAACTTTTTATTTCGACATCTAGATGAAATGCAATACAAAGATGTGATCAACGCTATGACTGAAAAGCACGTGGCACCCCAAGAAACAGTGATCCAGCAAGGGGCTGTGGGTGATTTTTTTTATATTGTAGAATCTGGTCATTTGGATTGTTATATTGATGAAGTTTTGGTGACTGAATATCAAGCTGGTGGAAGTTTTGGTGAATTGGCTTTGATGTATAATAGTCCTCGAGCTGCTACCATAGTGGCTACTACTGACTGTGTTTTATGGGCTTTGGATCGTATCATGTTTCGTGGTATTTTGATGGAGCATACAAGTGCAAAACGACGAATGTATGAATCCTTTTTGACTGATGTTCCTATTTTGGCCTCTTTGGATGCTTATGAACGTTACAAGATTGCTGATGCTTTGGAATCTGTATGTTTTGAAGATGGACAAAAGGTGATTGAACAAAATGCAGTAGGTAACAACTTTTATTTAATCGAATCTGGAGTAGCTGTGTTCTACAAGACTGATGCTGACGGAGTCCAAAAGGAAGTCAATCGTTTGACAAAAGGTGCTTATTTTGGAGGTAAGAAAAAAAAAAAAAAGGTTTACATAATAAAATGAAATTGATTTTTTTTTTTTTTTTTTGGTAGAATTGGCTTTATTAAATGATAGTCCTCGAGCAGCTACAGTGATTGCTCATGGTCGACTTCGTTGTGCCACTTTGGGCAAGAAAGGATTCAATCGATTATTAGGTCCAGTATTAGATATATTAAAAAGATCTAGTATCAATTACGTCAAAGTCATGCAGAGCACGACTGAATAGTTACAATTGTTTAGTTATTTATCCTGGTTTGTTATTCATATTTACTTTTATCATATTTCATCGTTATCATCTATTATAATAATAAAAACCTCCAATTTCTTTTAATATTTCTTGTTGTCTTCTTTTCTATTTAAAACAAAAAAAAAAAAAAAAAAGTCGTGTATAGATGCCTCTTTTTTCTTTTGGAATACAGACTCCGAGGTCTTTGTTCTATTCTTAGTAAGTTTGTGAAGATGTTGTGTTTCTTCCAATAAACTCAATACTTCTTGGGCAATGGATCAGCATTTCGGTACAATCGGTGCATTTCGCTGATTGAATTTGGGAGTGGCCAAAAAGAAAAAAGTCCAGATTTCTTTTCTTTTTTTCCCTTTCTCATTCTTCTTTTTCTATTAGTTTCCTAAACTTTGATCTATTGTTAATACTTCGCTTTATTTACACATACATATATATATATATATATCCACTCATATACACGTACATACAATACATATACATACGCGTAGACTCAGATATCATTAGTTAGTCATACCATTCGTCCTTATTATATACCTATTGTTACATAAAATAAAATTTGGTACTGACTCCAGATGAAGGAAACCAACTTGATATTACCTGTGTCTGAATCAATATATTCATCAAAAAGGTAAGCAAGTTATTTAATTTGTGTTAATATATTTATTGGACTTCAAAATTTTATCCACCCTTAACTATTATTATTTTATCATTTTATAGAGACCTCGGTGTTGTTTTTGAAGAAAATGAAATGATACCTCTAACTCACAATGGAACATCTCAACATGATATGAATGAAGGATATCTTGCTCAACAAATGTTATCTTCTAGACCTTTGTCAGCTATACGTCGTACTCGCGCAGGAACTATGCCCTCTTTTGTCAACATGTCTCAACAATCTTCCCTATCACCTTTTCGAAGGTCTGTTGCTCCAGAACATATCTCTGACCATGATATTCCCACCTCAACTGCTGTCAATCGACATAGATCTGGTTCTCTCAATCTATCAACTCCTTCTCTTCATGCCAATCACTATATCAATGGTTCTGTTTTTAACTCTCAATGGTCAAATCACAACAGTCTCAATCAATCTCAACAAACTACTCAACCATCTTCACCTTCTACAGAACAGCTGTTACAAGAAGATAGTGATTTTTCAATTGCTCGAACGTTACGGTCAATTGGATTAGAAGAAAGTCATAGTGCCAGTGACGATGATCTTTTAATACAGCAACAACAACAGTTACGCAGCCTTCTCTCTTCTGCATCTTCCACTACAAATCGAAGCCGTTCCTTCTCTGTCAATGCTACTGCAATGTATCAAGACTCATCTCCTGCTTTGCCACCTGTCAATGATATGTGTTTGGATCACTCCACTATCTTATCAAGTACCTATGCAGGTCCATTAGAAGAATTTACTCGCGAACAAAACCGGCCTAGGTCTTCAAGTATGGGTCTCATGGAGCAATCGTCACAAACAAATGGAAAATTATCATGGAATTTACGAAGATCACCTTTATATAACATGGTGGATACAAATCAGGATCAGGAACTCGGTGAAATAGAACTTCAGCATCAATCACAGCAACAAAACGGACATTTTCTAGACCATCATCTTCGTCAGCAACAACTTCAACATGATATATTGCCACGAAACAATGGTACAATAATGGATGATAATGCATACTCTTTAGGTGACACTGAATTAATTTCAAATATGCTTCATCATCAACCTTCCTACAATAATATCGAATATACCCATGATGGTTATAATGGTGCGCAGTGGAATTCGGAGGTAAACTAAAGAATAAAGAAAAAAAAAAGGTATTTCTTTTTATCTGATCCTTTTTTTTTTTTTTTTTTTTTTTTTTTTTTGCTGGGGAGGGTAGTATTCACATATGAAACTAAGTCACTCAAGTCCTACCTATCTTGAACAACATTCACAACAACCAATGTCCTCTATTGTTCTTCAAACAGCTACAAGATCTCTCTGGGTTGGAAATATCGATGGATCCGTGACGATTGATATATTGACGTCTCTCTTCTCTGGATTTGGACCTATTGAAAGTGTACGATTGTTATTGGAAAAAGAATGCGCTTTTGTCAACTTCTTTTATGTCGAAGATGCAGTACATGCCAAAGACGATATCCTGGGTCGTCTCGGTGGAAGAATCGGTAATTGTACGGTGCGTATTGGATTCGGAAAAGCAGATATGGCCATGGCTCCTGAACCTATAGTCTTGCAACCTACTCGTGCATTATGTAAGTACAAAAAAAAAAAAATTATATTAATTTTCATGATGAGTATACTAATCATGATCCTTTTTTTTTTTTTTTTTTTTGATAATGTTATGATAGGGCTGGGTAACATCCCAGCAAATGTGACACCATCCAATTTGCATCAATTGTTTTCTCCTTATGGCTCTATTGAATCTGTTCGGGTACTTACTCAAAAGAAATGTGGATTTATCAATTTTGAAACAGTGGAAAGTGCGACAGCAGCAAAAGAAGCATTGACCAACGATGAGATTGGAGGAAGTGTGTTTACTAATGCTGGAACCAAAGCCGGTTTTGCTAAAGTATTACCAATGAAAACGACATCTACTGAATTAACAGGAACAACATCAAATCTATCAATAAATGATCCATTCTTATCTAAGCGTAATACAACAAATCGAACTACAGCACCTTCTATAACCGCAATACCAAAAATATCGTCATCAGCAACAGCGACGTCATTGACAATATCATCCTCTTCATCTTCATCAAGCATCGACAATGGTCAACGGTCAGAAGATTTATGGTCAATCATGAAGATTTATGGTGCAGATGATTCAGCGTATACCATGGTCACAGGTAGGAAAAGAAAATTTTCATCATTAGGAAATAATTCTGATCACTTTTTTTTTAATAGATCTTGGTTCGTCAAACTACTTTGAATCAATTCCACCGGTGCCTGAACTTGGAGCCGATCGAAAATTCGACGCTGGACGTCTTCGAGAGATACGCAAACGATTAGATGGTTTAACTTGTGGAGACCAAGAAATCGACAATATTGCTATGGATTGTATGGATGAAATGGCTGGACTTTGTAGTGGTAAGCTTACATATATAGATTGTAATGTTTGATTATTTTCTAAATCTTTCCTTTTTTGAAATATTATCTTAACATAGATTACATTGGAAATACTGTTGTCCAGCGATTTTTTGAAAAATGTAGTGAAGATACAAAAACAATGATATTGAAGCAAATTGGACCTCATCTTGCTGCTGGTGGTATTCACAAGAATGGAACTTGGGCTGTTCAAAAAATTATTGATAATGTGAAAACTTCGGAACAGGTAAATATATTACATGATCATACTATTATTATTAACATAAACTATATTATACAGATTGAAATTGTTGTGAAAAATATGAGACCATATGTACCTTCGCTATTGCTGGATCAATTTGGAAATTATGCCGTACAGTGTTGTCTTCGTATGGGTTCTTCGAACAACCAATTTATTTTTGATGCTATTGTGGAAAAACAACACTATATTGCTCAAGGTCGTTTTGGTGTACGTGCCATTCGAGGTATCTTATCAAATGAATTGGTGACCGATAATCAAAGGGTAAAAAAAAAAAAAAAAAAGGATCGTATTGTTGACAACAAATATTTAACAATTCTTATCCATTTTATAATCCATCTAGATATTTGTTGCAGCTGCCTTGACACTGAATGCATCTTCTCTTGCTACAAATGCTAACGGAACATTGATTCTGTCATGGCTGATGGACTCGACAAAATTGAACATCCCTTTACAACCTATGGCAACACGATTAACAGTACATCTTGCTCGACTGTGTACTCACAAAATTGGATCACAAACAATCATGAAACTGGTCAATCATGATCGAAGCACAGATGCACAGGAAGTGGTGGTGAATCGACTATTACAGGACGATATTATATTGATGGATATTATGATGGATCAAGCACGTGGATTAGGTGTAGTGCACAAACTTTTGATTTCTACTCGTGATGATGAACTGGCTTCCAAGATATATGATCTACTGATTGGCATTGAAGAAAAAAACGGAACTGCGGCGGCTACTTGCTACAAGAAATTGCTGGATGATTCATTTTCGATTCTGAACTCGAAGCAACAATGAAAAGAAAAGTAATCTCTTTCTTTTCTTTTCTTTTCTTTTCTTTTTTTTCCATCTTTATTTTTTTTTTTTATTTTTTTATTTTATTTCTTAGTTTAGTTTACGTTATTTTTCCCTTTCTTTTTACTGCATTCCATAGTTTGTTGGTTTTTTGTTTTTTTTGTTTTTTGTTTTTTTTTATATATATACATCTTTATCGTCTTCTTTTTTTTTTTATACATTTCTTCTCTGATCCTTTATATACATATATGATTGATAAGCGTTTGCTTAACTTTTATATCATCACGTTGTCTTTTATACATTTATAACGCTTTAGACCAATGATCATTCTTTTTTTATATAATAAAATCACTCTGCATGATATGCTTTTGATAACATGTTATTGTTTTTTTTTTTTCTCTACTCTTTGAATGTCAGTTAGCTATTATTTGAAAGTAATCATGAGCGCAAATTGTTTTAATGATAATCTAACGTACTGGAATATTGATTCCATTTGTATTATTCAATGATTGCAAATGAAATACAAGTGTGAGCGTGTTAGCCCATTTTTTTGTAGGGTTACACTGTTGCTATGGCAACCAAGCCCTAATCTTGACTGGCTTGAAAACCTATAAATATCAAGCAATCCAGTTTTCTTTTTTTTTTTTTTTTCTGATTTTTCTTCACTTTTCTTCCTTTACTTTAAATTTCTATTTTTCTTTTTTTTTTTTTTTTTTTTTTTACTACTATTATTATTTCGATCACCTCTCTTCACTACTAATGGCCAAGACTAGTAAGCGATCCTATACCAACAAAGTAAGAACGACGTGTCTTTTTTTTTTTTTTTTTTTTGTGTTGGAACCTACTATTTATTAACCACTTTTTATTATTATTATTATTTGTAGTCAAGACAAGATCTACGCAAAAGATCAGGGTTTCAACGTGGTGTGGCTAAGAAGATGACAGACATTGAATTCATTAGGGATTTTAAGCAATCAAACGTAAGTTGCACAGCTTTGATTGATCTTTTCAAAGTCCGAGCTAACTAATTTCAATCTTTTTTTTTTATGGGGCTATGCTCTTTTCTCCCTTTTTTCCTTTCTTGGTTCACTTTTTTTTTTTCTATTATTGTTCGAACTCTATTTATTCTAGGGGAAAACTTTTTATTTAGTTCATCGTACTGGTAGTGACAAATCTCAAGACACTTGGGAAAATGAAGAAACTGTTGAATCTTTGGAGGTCCTTCAAGCCTTTCATGAACGTGTCAGGTCCACCACTGGTTATTCTATGGACGGTAGAGTATCCTTGATTCCTGCAACTGAATCTGTTAATAACAATGGTATGGACAACAATACAACAACAACAACAACAACAACAACAACAGCTGTTATGTCACAAGGACGTCTAGGACGTAGCTCGAAAACGCGTGCCATGTTACGATTGAATAAAACGGCTATGGAAGCGAAAGGAGTTCTGTCGGATAGTGACTTTAGTGATACGGAAATGAAGGTCAGCAACAAGAGGAAAAGAAAGCAAAGTGTGGCAGGACCAACAAGAAAGGCAAAGGTCGTAGTTCGTGCTCCTCGTGGAAAAGCTTTGGTAAAACTTCAATTGGAATTACTTAACAAACGGAAACAAGAACGTAACGAATGGCTTAATACTCATGATTGGCAAGATGTTGACCATCCTACTGAATGGACTACAGCGGATTGTTGTTTACGATGTTCGACCAAGGCCTATCGACAGGCTATTATCAATGATGATCTACCTCAACTCAAGAAACTTTTGGACAATCACAATACAATCCCGTCCTGGAAAATGGAGGAACGTGTTATGGCTGAGGATAACGCACTTACTTTGGCTATATCTCATGGAAAAAAGGCAATGGTAGATATATTGAAGGCACATGACGAAACAAAGCATATCAAGCTCTCGCAGGAAGTTACTCGCTATGGAAGTAATACTGGTTATATTAGCAAATATACTTTTGGACATGCGGTCAAGTAAGTGAATACATCTACACAAATATAAAACTAGCAACTATATGATTGACATTATCCTTTTATTTGTCTATCATAGGAAAGTGAACGAATCAAGAGGCAATCGTCTAGGAAATTCTGCTTTTTATCGTACTGCTTATTATGGTGATTTCAGCATGGATATCAAGAACAAAGGCACTCCTCTGTGTGAATATATATCAGTATTAAATACTCCCAATGTTACTGATCGCAAGGTAATCAAGTGCCTCGAAAGCTATGATGAATACAACGACATGGACTTTCTTTATCATGTTGTTAACTCTGGAAACTATGTAGTGGCCAAGACTCTACTGAAAAATAGTGAAAACAGAGCTGGATTCAATCAATTACATGCTGCTGTTTTATTGGTAATAAATGAACTAGAAAAATGATTATAATATCATGTACTCACTTTTTTTTTTTTTTTTTTTGAATAGAAAAACCTGCCATCCTTTAGAAAAATCCAAATTCTCAAAAAGCCTCATTACTGTTACAACATGACACCTTATCTATGCTCTGCAATTCATCCATCTGCAAAAAATTTGAAAACATTCTTTGAACAATTGGATCCAGCCGAACGTGTTGAAATGGACGAACTCTCCAGGACTGTGGCTCACTATGCAGCTGTCAGTACCACACCTGAATGTTTGGAATACCTGATCTCTCAAAACTTCAACTTCTCCCATGGTGACAAGCATCGTCTTACCCCGTTGATTCAAGCTGCTCGCTTTGGTCGTACTGAAAATATCCGTCCTTTGCTACAATATTTATCCAATGATTCTTTACCGTGCACTGAGTTTGCTGATAACACTTTACTGCGTAATCGACGTCGCCCACTTCACTTTGCAGCTTACTATGGACACGCCAACACTTGCAAGGAATTGATTGATTGTGGTGCTACAGTGGATGCTATTGAATCCGGTCTCAAGTTTACTCCCTTGATGCAAGCCGCTCAACGAGGTCACTTGGATTGTGTGAAAGCTTTGGTTGAATATGGTCATGCAGAGTTAATTTTGGTGGACAAATTTTCTAGATCAGCACTACAATTGGCTTGTATGTGTGGGCATTATCAAGTTGCAAAATATTTATTATTACAAGGCATGGATCCTGATGCAGCTGACTCGTCTGGAAATACTTCTGCTCACTATGCTGCTGCCTTTGGTTATATGGAAATTTTGAAACTTTTGATAGAATTTGCTGGTGCGTCTCCATCTAGTTATAATGTCTGGCGGTCTACTCCATGCTCTGTGGCCAATATGAAAGGACATAATGCCATTGTCAAGTATCTCTTATCCATTCCTTCTGGTGGCATCGATATCAATTTCAAAGATCAGGAAGGATTCACCATGATGCATCATACTGTCACTGAACATTTCAAGAATACATGTGAAATGGATCAGAATATGCGCAGGATTCAAATCATGTTGGAACATAATCCTGATGTCAACGCTCGCTCAATCAATGGTAAAAAAAAAAAAAAAAAAAAAAAAAAAAAAAAAAAAAAAAGAAAGAAAGAAAGAAAAAAAAATTGCTTTGGTTCATCATAACTTATCTTCCTTCTTTAGGTGATACCGTTTTACATTCTCTTTTGAGCGCCAATTATTATTCGAAACACAAGTTTGAATCCAATGAAAAAGACGATTTCTCAGCGGATGATGAACTATGTATCGAACATCAACAAAAAATTGCTCGACTACTTATCAAGGCTGGTGCAGATATGAACGCAAAGAATGTCAACCAAAACTCCCCTCTCTCCGTGGCCATGGCTAATCAAAATTACCCAATGGTGGCGATACTAATTGAAAATGGAGCGAACTACTGGAACGATACAGATGACGCAGGCAATACATTTTTCCATTATCTTTTGTATGGTTTTGGTCAATTAGATAATGTGGATTTGGATACAAAACAACATTGGTCTCGCTATGAAGAAACTCGATCTCGATATATCAAATGTATGGCCAATATTTGGAATGCGATTGAAGCGAATCCTGTTCCCAGTGATCAAGTTAATAATATTAATGTAAGTAAAAAAAAAAAAAAAAAAAAAAAAAAAAAAAGGTATTGATAGGATGATTTATCTATATAAGATGACAATTTTTGATTATTATTATTTTATTTTTTATTTTTATTTGTTACAATTTTAGATTAACAAACCAAACAAAGAAGGTTACACTGCTCTTTTATATGCAATTCATGAAGTGATCAAGATGCAAAAGGCTTTTGTCTCTGAACAAAAAAGTCGCGTTCAAGCAGGAACCTCTCCTCGTTACCACAATCGCTTGTTTGAAAACTCTACTGCACCTGTAGAATCCGAAGAACGACGTCCTGTTCGCTTTATATTCAAATTTGATGAATTTGTAAGTATCAATGAATATTATTCTTTTTTTTTATCAGTCCTTACTTTTCTTGTTTAGTTCATCTATGCTGGAAAACTTTTGGATCGATTCAAACCAAATATGAATGCCATTGTCACTTTGCCCAAGAACTTTATGAAGAAAAATCCGAAGGCTCAACCAAAGGATTATCCTCGAAATACTGGTTATAGTGCACTCCATTTAGGTACGTCTTAAAACAAAAAAAAAAAAAATGATTATGTGGTATTCATTCACGTTTATTTACTGATTGATTGATTTATATTTTATATTTATGTTAAGCCGCTCACACACAACATGCTTTGTTACTGGATTTCTTACTTTCTCATGGAGCCGATGTCAATCAACAAGTCAGAAAATCGAATGATATCACTGGAAAAACAGCATTGGCGATGGCATATTTCACTCGGAAAAATGATACATCACAATATCTATCTGGAGATCCTACTATTGCTTCTGAACGTGCTCACAAACTCTTTGATATATCTATGCCTACATTTGAAAAGGACCTTTATTCATCATTGGATGTTTTTATCAAGTACGGTGTCAATCCTTGCCTTGCTGATGAAAATGCCCATACTGTGTTGATGTCTGCTTCCAAATCATTAGACATACAAGCGATACAAAAGATGTGTGATTCTCTTTCTCTCCTTGGATTGGATGGTATTCAAGGTCTTGAATTACGGGATGACTTTGACCACAAAACAGCTCTGATGACATCCATTTCTACTTTTGAAACCAACTATGAAAAAAACAAGAATGAAAAGGAAATTGACACGAACACAATTGAACGATTACTTACCGTTGGCGCTGATGTGAATGCAATCTATAAAGACGGTGATTCTGTAGTAATGAAAGTTCTGCGTCTTGGTTACTATCCTCTGGTGGAAGTATTTTTTGAATATACAAGAGTTCCTATCGTTCATACTGTGCGAAACAAAAGTAAGTGTGTTTCTTTTGGAAAAATCATTCGTTTGGAATAAATACACTCATTCATTTTTATTTTATTTTTGAAATATACCTTTAGATGGAGAAAATCCTTTGATAGTTGCCTGCAAATCAAAAGAATCCAAAATTCTCAATCGATACCTGGAATGCTTTGGTCAAGATACAAAAAAAAATGGAATGATGGATACGACTGTTCATGTGAACGAACTTGACAATGAACTCAATGGACCTTTGGCACTAGCATCTACTGCTGGAAATGTTAACGCTGTACGTACTTTACTTTCTTATCAAGCAAATCCAAACTTGACTGGTTGTAAGAAAAATCCATTATTTGAAGCTATCAAAAATTTACATTTCGATGTGGTGGAAGCATTACTCTCTGCTGGTGCCGACTCCAATGTACGTGATCCCGAAGATAGTACTTGTCCTTTACATCACGCTGTCAAGACTGGAAAAGCTCTATTGGTGCGAACTCTTCTTGAATATGGTGCATCCCCAAAACAAGCTGACAAATTGGAACAAACACCATTACACTGGGCTGTACAACAGTCAAAAGGTCAAACGGATCGATCTATGCGTGTTGAACGATTACTTTTACAGGCTGGTGCTGATATCAACGCTAGAGATATATTGGGTAAGCTATTTTTTTTTTTTAAAAAAAAAAAAAATTCCAAGTCGCTGAATCACTTTTTGATATATCTTTCTTTCTTTCTTCTTTTTATTTTTTGAAAAGGTCGTACGCCATTACATGTTATTTTTACTGGATTACGCTCGATACCTTGGATGTGTCAAACTGTTCCAACACACAAAAAGGTGACCAAATTGATTGAGGAAAGGAAGCAAGCAAAGGAACAAGAAGACAGTATCAAGAAATATGTTGCAATGTATGGACATCTCAATGGTGATATGGACATATGGTTGGAACAACATAAACGATCAGCGATGGAATTGGAAAAAATCTCAAAGGCTCAAGAAGAAAAGGATGATAAGAACAAGGACGAGGTGATATTAACAGATGATGATCGAATCAATCTTTTAAAATACTTGGATTTCAGCTTTGGACAAGACTCTGAAAAAATTGATCCTGTAGATATGCTTACGGAATTGATTGATGTGAATGGTATAGAATTGGATTTGCCAGACTCATTCGGACGTACGCCTTTCCATTATGCCGTTGCAGTGAATGCTTCTACATGTGCGACTATGTTATTGGATTCTGGCAAGGTCGATATCAATGCTCAAGATGCTGATAAAGTAAGGAAATCATGATAAATATAGAAACTTCAATAATAACTGTTCTTCTTTTTTTTAAAAAAAAAAAATTCATTTACATAATTATTAATAGAATGGTGGTGTTCAACTAGCTTTACGATTCAAATTTTCAAATTTGGCAGTAATGATCTATAATCGAGGTGGCAAAGATTCGGATATCTATCTCCCAGATGGTGGCAAGTCTTCAGTCATCAGCTTTAGTTTGGCTCATTCTTTTATGAATGTCAGTTATCTATTTGTTTCCAACTCTGAAACCGCACTTAGTAAGATCAAAAAGAAGAGGAACAAGAAGAAAGAGGTAAGCAGCATACTAATATAATACTTCTTTTTTTAACATAGATGCAATATATGACTCTGTACGTAATGGTAAGTTATTTAAAATAATCTTACCTTGATTGATCTTTTGGTATTTAACGGCTGCTTTTGTATTATGTAGGAAAATACCATTTCGCTCATACTTTGATGCGACATGCTGATGACTCCGTATTGAGTGGCATTATTCCTGGCAAGAATCAAAATTTATGGCATGTGCTTACCAACTTCCAACCCAATACGTAAGTGACGGAACAAATATGTGAATAGATGGAGTACTTTAATTCTTTTTTTTTTCTTTTTTTTTTTTTTTTTTTTTTTTAGAGAAATTTGGAATGATTATCTCCCAGACATTTTGGAAAGAATTTCAACACTAAACCTGGAACTTTTTGCGGACAAGGAAAACTGTACACCTATTCATTATGCTGCTTGGAATGGACAAGAAGTATTGTTGAAACATTTACTTACTTTGGACCCTCGCCCAGAAACAACATTTGATACTACTTATCAATTCTCTCATGTTAGAATGGCTGTGGACTCCAATAGTGTGAACTGTGTGAAGGTAATACTTTAAGGGGATGTGCTCTAGTAGTCTTTTTATATTCTGGGATCCTTACCGATCTTTGTTTATATGTATCGTTTATAGTTGCTATTGGAAGCTGGCTTACCATTGACTCAAGGAAACCTTAAAGATCATCCGTCTGCCCTTTTCCACGCAGTGCACAAGGAAAACATCGATATGATCAAACTACTATTACAATATGGTGCTGCCTTGGATGATGATAGTCAGTATGGCCGACGAAATGCAGTCTTGGATGCTTGTATGTTGGAAAGGGCTGATATCCTTCAGGTACCATATTTTGATCTACATTCTCAATATTGGTTATACTGATCTTCTTTTTTTTTCCTCTCTTTTTTTTTTTTTCTGGTTCCTACTGACTGATTTAGATTTTGGTGGATGCTGGTGCAAATGTCAATACACCTTCAAGGTTGATCCGCATCATGGAAGGACAAAGATATTTTGACTCGGAATCACATCCTATATTTTTTGTCTGTCACCGTAAAAACATTGAACTATTGAAGGTAAAAAAAAAAAAAAAAAAAAAAAAAAAAAAAAAAAAGTGATGATAGCAAAAAAAAAAAAAAAAAAAAAAAAGCTGAAAACCATCACATCATTTTATTATTAATTAGATCCTATTGAAAGCATCGGCAAACACAGATGTGATTGGTGCAAACGATGAAAGGGTGGAAGATGGTCGCTCATGCTTAATGTACAATGTGTCTACCTGTCGATTGGAGAACGTCAAGGTAAGAAGAAATATGAAAAAAAGGAGGATGATGAAATAAAAATTATTCACTGATTCTTCTTTATTACATATATTTGGTACTAGCTTTTATTGGAACATGGTGCCGATTTGAACATAAAGGACAATAAATCTCCTCGATCAGCATTCTATCAAGTATTTTTCGAAAAAGCAAAGAAAGCACTTGACAAAAAGTGCTCATGTTGGGTATGTAGAATGGGAAATGAAACAATTTTGATTTATTCATGTTCTTATCCCCTTTTTATTTTCTATTATCTTTATGTCATTTAGTCTGAAATATACGAAATGATGTTCAATCATACTCCTGCTCCTGATGTTAACATGATTGATGTAGAAACTGGTATGACGCCTTTGGAATTTGCTATTCGAAATCATGATATCGCTTTGGTGGATGTAAGTGAATACTCATATAATGATTTAATGTTATTCGTAATACTGAACTTCGTTTATTATTTATACCATTTTACTATGTAGCGTCTTCTTGTACTTGGTGCTGACCCGAATGTTGTTAGTTGCAAGACGACGCTAGAATCTACTGACCTATATACTGATCAAGTCAACGCGGTATTCCATTGTATTCTTCATGATGATTTGGATATATTAAAAGTACTATGCAATACAACGAAATACGCTATTGATTGGACTGCCGTTGACTCCAAAGGACGAACTATCATCGCGCGTGCTATTGATATTAATGATGGCTTTGGATACCGAAATATCGAAGTCATCAACTTCTTGGTGGCTCAAATGGGTGTGACTTTGTACAAAAATCTTGTTGAAATTGCTGATCATGATGGTAACTGACATAGGATGGAATTAAATGAAAAAGGTAGAATATTTTATTTACTTGTAATCGATTTTTTGTGATATTGGTATTTATAGGAAAACGACCTACGGAAATTGCATCGATGCACAACCGAATAGATCATTACGATACATTGGTTCAACATGGTGCGTCAAGTACGGAAATTGCAGAAGAAATTGACGAGTTTATGGATGACAGTGTTGGCGACGTAATGGATTTGGAACGCATCCCCTTGGAAACTGTGGAACAAGATGCTGAAGCTGAACGTACTCTTTTACAAGCCATTAAGGACCAAAAGAAGAACAAGAGCAAGAACAAGAACAAGAACAAGAACAAAGACAAGAAAAAGGTTGTAATTGATCATTACTCACAAATGGAAAAGATTGGTACTATTGTCTTGGATGAAGATGGTGAGCCCTATGATATCATGATTATGAAAGTGGAAGTTGGGCGGTCCTTATACAGCTGCAATATGTAAGAAAATGAAAATAAAAGTCATGGAATTGACACTAATTATCAATATAATTCTATGATATAGGTTTTACAAGTTGTCGGTAATTTACAACAATCTTCTGGATCTGTATGTTCTTTGGACTCGTTGGGGTGCTTTTGGCGAAGAAGGCATGCATCAAAAAACACCTTATCTATCTCAAGATGAAGCAGTGTCAGCTTTCAAATCCATCTTCAAATCCAAAACCGGAAATCTATGGCAAGACCGTCTGACTAACTTTGTTGAAAAAGGAGGTCGTTATCAACTCATCAAGGCTAGAGATCCTGTCAAAGATGCTATTTTAGACGATGTCGATTTGGATTTTACTCACAATGAAATTCAACCTACACAATTACCAAGGAGTCTACACAATACTATGAAACTCTTCTGCAACTTCAACACGCTCAAGAACGCTTATAAAAATGTCAAATTGGATATTCCCATTGGTCAAGTTCCTCCAGAATCAATTCGTGAAGCTACAGCTATTTTCAAACGACTGGAAAGAATCGCCGAATATCTTGTAGACAAATATAACGAGGAAGTAGCTGCTCGTTACAATGGTAAGAGAACAAATCCTCTCCTCACCCTTTTATGATCTGCATATTCACTTTTTTTTTTATGTAGAAATGATTCACAAAGGTATTCAAGCAAGCAGTCGTTACTACCGCTTATTACCGATCAACAATCCAAACAACAAACAAGGATTACGACCCCTGTTATGCAGAAATCAATTGAATACTGAAAGGGCCCGGTTGAATGATGCTCGATATATCAATTTTACTCTCAATGTTGTTTTGGCGGCGAAACATCAGGCTAAGGAAATCAATCCCTTTGACTATTCTTATCGTGCTCTTGGATGTCAACTGACAGAGGTAATGTCTGATTGCCGTGAATTCAACGTGGTTTCCAAGTATATGAAGAGTACTTCAAACGATTCTGTATACGAAATTGCACATATGTTTTCAGTGAATCGGGATGAAGAACAACAACGATTTTCACCGTTTGCTTCAGACAAAAATCGTAAATTACTTTGGCATGGATCTCAATTGGGTAACTTTATGGGAATTTTGAATCAAGGTCTTCGATGCAAACCTAAATTTGCTGGTGAAACGGTAAGGATAAGAAAGATAGAACTCAAAGAATGATTGATAGCTCATACTCTACATTTTTTTTTTTTTTTTTTTTTTTGGGATAGGGTTCAATGCTTGGAAATGGAATCTATTTTGCCGACATGTTTTGCAAATCCATTGGCTACGCCAACAACAGCTATTATGAAACCAAGAATTCTGCCTATGCTCTATTATTACTCTGTGAAGTGGCTTTGGGAAAAGAATGTCCAGTGACGCCATGGGATACAAATGAATATGTTTATAAAAAGGAAGAAAAGCAGTATAACTCTATGAAATGTATTGGAAGAAATGGTCCAAATTTATCTAATGCCGTTTATGACACTAATGGGGTAAGCAGAAGAAAGAAAAGAATAAGAAAAGCTAGTGACTAACTCTATATATATACATGTATATAATATGCAATTGATTAGGTGATGATTCCTATGGGTCCTGCTGTCACAATGGAATTACCTTCTAATCTTAGAGATAGTTCAAGAACAAATTACAACGAATACTTGGTAGAGGATGAAGCTCGAGTCAAGATTCGCTATATGGTGTTGGTTCGTCATAGTCAATCCTGCTTCCTTTGTGAGACTCGGAATAATTCTGCGAACATGACAAGTTTAGAAGATCATGAATTCAAGTCTGTCTCTTGGAAGGATGTCAATTCATTCGAAAAGGAAATCTTCAACATGTACCTGAATGATATCAGCAAGACACCAAAACAATACTTTGATGAAAAGTTGCCCATCTTTTTGGAAAATCAAAATACATGTAAGTTGGATGGAAAGGAAATACTGATCAATCATCACGTTCGCTAACTAAACCATTTTCATCTTTTGTTCTATGATTGACATCTATAGACGATTCTTTGCACTCTTGGTCCCTTGCTATGGATATTGATAGAAGAAGCAAAATATGCAAAGATTGTGCCAACAAGATGATTACTATTATGATTACTAAGGAAATACAAGATTTACAGTCCAATCTGGAAGCTTCTGGGCAATTGAACAAATATCCCTTCTTCCGTATGACACTTTGCCGAGATGGACGACAATGCAAAGTGCAATACGACTTCCCAGAACACGCAAAGAAGTACCAACATTGGAAGGACAAGAAGGATGATGGATTAACTACAACAATTGAAAACAACAACGGTGTGACAGCTCTCCGACATGAAGATGACGATGATGAAGACGACGATACGGACGATGATATGGACAATAACAATGAACAGGATGATTATATGGACTTAGATTATTAGTGATCGACATTCTCTTTATCTAATATATATATATATATATATCACCATCCTTTTTACTCTTGATTTACTATATGACCTTCTTTTTATAGCTATATATGCCCCTTCTTTTTTTTTTCATTCAATAAAGTTTCAATATCCTCTTTATATTATAGTAAAAAAAAAAAAAAAAAAAACTTTCTCCCTTCCTCTCTTCTTTCCTTTTTTTAACATATGATGGATCATCCATCATTTCCCCTCACCAATATCATCCTAACACAATAATGAATACTATTTCTAGCTAAAAACAGGATTGGTGGCTCATTACAGACTACCATTGGCCACGATCGGAGTCAAAGGACATTATTTAGATCTGAATCTAAGGGATGCATTTGCCAAATTAAGTAACCACCCAAAATGACAAAAAAAAAAAAAGGATGTTCGAGAATCAAAGATCTACTTCGATTGACATCGCAATATAAATATACATACTTATTCATACTTTCTTGAAACCATTCTTATGAAAATATTAAGATAGAATCCTTTTCGTTTGATATGACATGATGTTTATACAATATCCTATTGTAAATTATGTTGTAATACATAACAAATACCCTTAAAAAGAACATCATCCCGCTGCAATCCATTCAAGATTTTTTTTTTAATGATATTAATATTATTATTAATATTATCTTATTGTGTTGATGTGATGGAGAGATCTTTTCAATAATAAATGAATGAAACATGTAGTTACAGTATCTCCCTGAAGAAAATGCAGACAGACGCATGGTTGACAAGTGTGATTGTACTGATTGATATGAATCAGGTATTTTGACACGTTGTGATCGGGGTAACGGATCGAGACTAAAAAAGGGAACTGCCAAGAATGGGATATTCTACTACTATATTGTTGTAAAGTTTTGTTTTTATATAGAAAAGGTATAGATCATATGTAGTTTAAGATTTAAGATTTTCTACAGTTTATTGTTATTGTGTATGTAAGGGAATCGCCGTTTGATGTGCATTAAAAATAAAAAAAACTCCTCTTTTATATTAATGATTGATTGCCCAATTTCCCTTAAAGGTAAAGGTAGTACATCGTGATAGGAAAAAAAAAAAAAAAGAAAATGGTGGCTAAATAAAAACCAAGTAAAGGTCAAAGTACTAGGGGACCATCATCATCTCATATCTGCTCTATTAAAAAAATCCGGTGTCCCGCGAAAAATTGACTACTTTATTTTTTTTTTCTTTCTCCTTTCTTATTTTTCTTTTTTTCTTTTTCTTTTTTCTTTTTTTTCATATATACCTTTTTCAGTCTTACACTATGGGCTTACTAAAAAAATTACCAAGTTTTAGTAAAAAGAGTAGAGTCAAGACTTCCGATCGACCTCCATTACCTACTACTACTACTACTACTACTACAGTTGAACCTTTGTCTTTGAAGCTGGACTTTGATGTCAAATCTCAACCTGAAGAATGGAATGCTCAGAACGCTATTACCACCATTACAAACTCAAACGATAATATGACAACAACTACTAAACCAGAAGCTAGTTTATTGGACGATATCTTCTCTGAACTCAAGCAATCTTCTCAACCTCAAGGTAAAACCGTAAAAAAAAAAAAAAAAAAGGGGTAAAGTGTTTAACCACAGACAATCTAAACTGCTCTTTTATTCATTAGATTCACTACATGCTGACATCTCTTTGGCTTTTGCACTATCAGAACAACTCCAAATGGATTCAACACAAACACAACCTTTTCAACAGAAAAAGGAACCAAATGTCAATTCCACTCCAGTGACATCGACTGCTTTATTTGGCAAAGATAGTATCTACAGTAGTTATCTTACAGGTCATCAATCCAACGAACCTTCTATGTTTGCTTCTCTTATGCAACCATTACCTACATCTCAGCACACGTCTTCTTCTGGACCACCTACTAATAACAACACGGCAACAACAAAGAAGGAACAAGTGACAACACAAATCGTATTAGACTCAGATGTATCAGGTTCTGAAGAAAATGACGATGATGAATCAAGTGATGATGAACATGATGAAAAACTTCGAAAGACTCCTGGAGCATGTCCTATCATGGAACGACGAGGACATCATCATCGATTGAATGTATCACGCAAAGTAGATCAATGGGCTCATCAAATTGAAGACAATGTAGCGGAATCAAATCAATCAATGCTCAATAGGATGAAAGATCGTCATCGTCAACAATATAAACTAGCAGCTATGCGACAACAACAACAACAACAACAACAACAACAACAACAACAACAACAACCTTTTGCTCCTATGATGTATACACCTACTACTTCTGGAAACATGATGATGACTCCTTCTGTTTCCTCTATTGTACCAACAGCGTCTGGAATGAATCCCATGCTTTGTGCCACTGTACCACCCATCTCAATGTCACCGTCTTTGCACTCCGCCATGACCGTACCACAACATGGCACCAATTTTGCCACTCCATTGGATCCTACTTCGACACCAACCCTAACCAAATATCATCAGCAACAACAATGCATTACTCCTCCTGCAACTGTAGATCAGCTTTCGCCCCGTTCATCTAACTCTTCACCCCGACCATCAACACCTGCATCTCCTACCCTCTCAGCTGAAAACACGCCTCGTACTTCCACCAGTACAGTTTCCACCATTAAATCATCCAAAGGTCAAGTGGATGTTGAAAGCAATGAAGAGAATCAACAAGACAATAGCACCATAGAAAATAAAGAATCAACATTTAGTACCACGAACGATGACGATGCTGATGATGAAGCAGATGATGATGATAATGACGACGATGGTATATCAATTAGTAACAAACGACGATCTCACAATAAAAAGTCTGCATCCTCCATTCGACATTCACGCTCAGTCCCTGATTTGAAAAAGAAGAAAAACAAACGCAAATCCAACCGATCACCACAACATTCTGCCAATCCTTCACCATCCACATCATCCAAAACAACAACCACTTCAAATTCAATAGTGACGCCCATGTCATCCACATCTACGCCATCACATCCACCATTACCGCAAACAAGATCAGTACCTCAAGGACTCAAGTCAATGAAAAGTGAACCTGATTTAAAACGACACTCCAACCATCCCATGGTGCCACCCTTTATGCTTCAACAGCTCTACCAGCAACAACAACAACAATTATTGAACCAGCAACAACAGCAATTACAATTAGAATTTGAAAGAATGCAATTATATCAACGGGAACAACAACTGAAACAAGAGTATATACAGTTACATCAACGATCATCACAAATCCAACGCAGTTCCACTTTACCAACTATGGGTGCTCGACCTCCTCCTTTTGATCCTCGTTTTTATCCCTCTTATTACCCTACAATGCAATGATGTCCCCTCACTCACTTTTGTTAGTACTCCTCAGTCCTTTCTTTTTTTTTTATAGTCTTGTCATTATGGTTATATATCTTACGCCGTTTTAATAAACGACCCTTTGAATAAGCTCTCCCTTTTTTTTTAAAAAAAAAAAATATTTGGTTTTTTTTTTTTTTTTACAAGTCGATTGTGTTTTCTTTTTTTGTAGTAGGGCGGATTAGAATATTTTTGTTGATGACATTATTAAATTCTGTGAGACAGTTTTTTTTTTTTTTTTTTTTTTTTTTTTTCTACAAAAAGAGGTCTCCTTCCTTATTGGTAAAGTATCATAAACTCGAGGTCCATATCTCCAAAAGGAAGACAAAATTTCAACATATCTACAATCATGTTTTCTATTTTACTTTTCTTTATTCAGTTGATTTGATTGGATGATGGGAGAGAGGAGAAATCAAAAAAAAGGGGGAGGGGGATGATGTCCCAACAAAAAAAAAAAAAATCAATAAGGGTAAAGTCGTGTAAAGATGAACCAAATATAAAAATGTAATACAGTAAAAAAGGAATATTAAAAAAAAAGCATAGAAAAACAAAGTGGTTGCATAACTAGTAAGGAAATCAATAGTCTAACCTACCAACCCCTCTTCAATCACCACCAGAAAAAAAAAAAACCGAAAAAAAAAGAGAACCAACAAACTAATAACATAGTGGGAGGAAGAGGAGGAGGAGGAGGAAGGATAGGTGTAAAATAATAATAATAGTAATAAAAGGAAGGGAAGAAGGATGTATCTAATCTATCTTGGTTGACTAAGCAATGGCACCACAGGTTATCAAGGACATGAAACTATGCCAGAATCCACGATCATTCTTTTGTTGATGTTGTGTTGGAGGTATATCTTGTTGCATATTGACTTGCAGGCCATGTTGTGGTGAAGGTGGCATTACTGGTGCCTTGGTTTCATCCATCAAGCCTTGACTAGAACGATGTTGATGTGATTGTTGCTGAGAAACATGTCTTTTAGCCGACACTTGTTGAATTTGTTCTTGTTCTTGTTGTTGCTGTTGCTGTTGTTGTTGTTGTTCTTGTTGTTGTTGTTGTTGTTGTTGTTGTTGTTGTCGTTGTTGTTGTTGCTGTTGCTGTTGTTGCTGCTGCTGTTGTTGACGATGATGTTGTGGAGTACGTCGGCCTTGATTTGATTCACGTCCATGTCGATGACGATTGACAGTCTAAAAGTTATAAAAAAAAAAGATAGTTAGCAAATATACGAAATTTATATATTAATATAATACGTACTTCCCATCCTTTGCCATTATTTAACAAACACCAATCGTAAACGCCATCGTCCACTTCATTATTGTTTCGGAGCACCTTGTTAAATAGTTCTCGTAAAAATTCATAATCGGGTGATTCTTCAAATCCCAATTTACGTACATATTGCAAGTATACGCCAAATTCTTCTAATGAATATAAAAAAAAAAGGAGTTAGTAGGTATTATGATGACGATGATAATGATGATGATTATGTTTACCTGGATAACTAGCACATAGTTCTTTGACAGGAGTGGATTGTTTCTTTTCACCAATTTTTTCATATTTTTGTTTATTTGTTGCTGCCTTGAGACCTTGCCACGGTAAAGATCCACGTAAAAAGTACATAAACACATGACCAAGCGATTCCAGATCATCCCGTCTTGATTGTTCTGTATTATATATTTCGTAAATAGTAAGTATAACCAAGTATCATTCCAAAATATATATATATATATAAGATCATCTCCCTCCTTATTTTATCATTCATTCTTACCTCGTCCTAAATGGGTATTGATGCTCATGTATCTTGCAGTGCCTGATAAGCTTTTGCGTTCCCGGTAGGGTATATGTTGTTTTGTTTTGGGATCTCGGTAATGTTTTGCCATGCCATAATCGATCATAAACACTGTATTTGCGCATTTGGAACCAGGTCGTCCAATTAAGAAGTTATCAGGTTTAATATCACTAGAATGTATAAAAAAAATGATAAGAAGATTGTTTTATATTATGAAATATATAGATATTACCGATAAATAAGACTTCGTTCATGAACATTTTCAACACGATAGAGCTAAATAAACATAAATAAGAAGATTATAAGTAGATATTTCATAAAGGGGAATAGAAAAGAAGGAGGGGGGGGGTAGAAAGATGATCAAAATATTTTCTTTTTTATGAATATCAATAGGAGGAAATGGTACGGGTTAAGAGAGAGAGAAAGAGAGAGAAATAAGTTTACCATTTGTTTTGCCAGCATAGCTACAGTTTTAGTAGAGAATTGTCTTCCACACATATCAAATAAGTCTTCTAAACTAGGACCCAATAAATCAATGACCAAAATATTATGTAAACCTTCTTGACCAAAGTAATACGATTTAGGTACTCCTTCTATTCATATAATAATAATAATAATAATAATAATAATATGATTGAATACAATAATAATAATAATAGTAATAATAAAGTCTATTTCCTTACGTAGTCCAGCTAATATTTTATAAGTACGGTATTCATCTCGTAATTGAGGAGCATCTGATTTTCTTGGTTCAAATTTAATGGCAACAGATTGATTGTTTAATAAATTGGTTCCTAGATATAATAATGAATGATAAATAAAAGAAAATAATAATAATAATAATAATAATAATAATAATAACTTTTCTTTTTTTATAATAATAATAATAATAATAACTTTTACCTTCATATAATACACCAAAACTACCTTCTCCTAGCTTCTTTCCGACTTTGTAATGGACACCAACAACATTGGCGGAAGAATGATGTTGGCTTGAAGCCGATGGTTGATGGCTGGTCATGCAAATGAATGGTTGAAAAAGAAATAATAGGTATCAGATAATTTTTGATAATAATAATAATAATAATAAACGGATTGACTGGTCAAAATATATAGAAAAAAGGAAATCGGAAAAGAAAAAGAGAGAAAAAAAAAAAAAAGGGGGAAGGTGGGGAGCAAAGAAGAAAAAAAAAATAGGCGGAGACAAATTCTAGGTTGACAAAAGGATTGATTCACCACGTGCTTTGTGGCTCTTTTTTGACCCACTTTTCCAAAAGGATGGATGAATATGCGGAGTTGAGGTTCTTAACTTATACCTTCTAATGTTTCATTCAATAAGCATGACACACTAAAACTGATTCTAGCAATAGGATATGTCTTGCATAAAAATGACATAGTATAATATTATATAAAAAGAGATGATTTCCTTTTCATTTTTTTTTTGTTTGTTTGTTTGTTTTCAATTCATATTAAAGCAATTATGTCTGATAAATCTCAATATAATCAAACTACATCGGTAAGTTATAATTATTAAATTTTATATTATATTATAAAAATATTTATTTCATTTTTATATTATTAGACTACCGATGATGCACCAAAGGGTTATCATCCTTTTAGGCGTGGTAGTAGAATGGCCTCTCAAAGAGCTTATGATGGTATTAAATCAGCAACTTCTACAGGCTTTTCAACAGCAGCCGCTAGATTTGAGGATTCTTGGGGAAATAATGCTTTCACCGAAACTGGCTTTACTGAAGTAGGCTATACTGAAGATTATGGTGGTGGTAATGTCGTTAATACCACTGTGAAAAATGAAACCATGAAGAATACTGATGTTACCAAGAACACTTAAAAAAAAATAATAATAAAAATATAATCATCATCCTATTGTATATATAAAATTGAACGAATAAAAAAAAAGGAAACGAGTTTTTTTTTTTATTATCATTCCATTGGTTTTTTTTTTTTTTTTGATCGAATTCCACCCCCCTGCTGATATAACTTAGGCCGGGACTAGTATCCAAAAAAGAATCACTTCGTCCATTTGACAGGATGTGTGTTACAGTATTTATACTCCGTTTATATTTTTGTTTCTATATTACTTTAATGGAAGTAGGACTAGGAGGGTGATTAGTATCATGATTATCATCATCATGACGATAAGATGGCATATGTTGTTGTGATTCTTCTTCGATTTGTTGTGATTCTTCATCAAAGTGATTATTCTGATTGTGTCGTAAAATTCTACCATTATAAGGATTACCACCTTGAGAAAGAGGAGGATAATATTGATGATAAGAGAAGATGGCACAGATCAAACCTATTATATTATGTTGTTTGAGAAATGAAATATATTTTTTTTTTCTATTCATCATTACCTACAATACCTCCAATAAGAATATCACCCCAATGATGACGATAATCTCTGTACCTGGAGATACCAACAAGAAGTGCACCCAAAATAGGAATCCAAAAAATGAATATTTTCAACGTTCGCTATATCATCACCCAGTATAATAATCAATACCCATTTATAGGTTAGCATTCATATGTAAAAGATTGACTCTTTTTTTTTTTTTTCTTTACCCCTTCTCCCTTTTGATCAAATAGATTCAACTTGCCCGCCAAGTATAAAGAAAAAAAGGTCAATCCAGCAAAAGAAACTAGGAAAAAAAAAGTTACACGAGTGATCGGTTTGCATAAACTTTAAAAAAGTAATCATGATTACATGAAGTATGACCGCTTGGGAATGATTTGAATCCATCTATCATGATAGGTGTACTTGGGTCTACAGTGCAGATGGTATAATTCGATAAACCAAAATGAGGATCATGTGCATCAGCAGGTGGTTGGCATCTGGCTATCAAATCTGGGCGTGGTCGTCCTACTGTGATCTACATCATATCGAATCATCCATCAGTGGCACGAAAAAAAAAGATCATTTTTTTTTTAGTATGTGAAATAAATAAAAAGGGGGAGTTTTAGTCTAACCATAACGCCATCATCCATTCGTATCATCTTCCATTATTTATTTACCCTAAGTTAAAATTAATAAAAGTTTAGTTTATGATGGATGATTATTCAGTTTCCTTTCTTACTTTACTGTATCGGTTATCATAGCACACAAAGCAAGTGATAAAAAAAGACCTATAGAATGTAAAAGATAAAAAAAAAAAAAATCAGAACAACAAAAAAAAAAAAAAAACATCAAGTACCATTTTTTTCATTTACCTAATAAACCATGATTCAAATCCAAAGCTCGTTTATAAATAAATGTTGCCATAAAAGCAATGATGACAGCAGGAATCACAGCACATAAAACCTGTTTTTTTTTTAAGAAGAAAAAGAAAAGGTAAGGCATGTTGCTTATCGATCATCATTCATTCTTACCGCCAATAACCAGACGGGCACAGAGTCTTCCAAAGCATAAGTATGCATCAAATTTGGATCATTTAAAGAAAATTCACGATGAAAAGGTTGGATTCTATCGATCATAAAAAATATAATCGCCATCACGACCACTAAAGCCCAATCAATAACATATGAAAAGACAATAGGTCTAGTTTGTGGTCTTTTCCAACTATCAGGTATCATATTGAGAAGTAATGAAAGGAACAAAAAAAAAAAAAAGAAGAAACAAAAAAAAAAAAAAATGAAAAAGAAAAATATTTTATAAAAGTGAAAAAAATGTATTACTAAAATTCTATAATTCTCGTGTTGACCCGAAATCCCATTTTGTGCTACGTTTGCCTAATCAGGTATCTAAGTAAAACGGGAAAAAAAAAGATCAATCAAATGACCTAGAGTAAACGCCATCGTCTTTTTTTTTATGCCAGTATGAACAATGGATATGTTTGAAAAATGATGAGCGCCAGTTGAATATGTCAACTGAAGATGACAAATTTGGTGAAAATCTTATCTACAGCTTAAATTTCAGCCAATCAAAAGGCAAGTTTGTATTTTTTCAAACCCTTTTTTATCTACCTTTTTTTTTTTTTCTTTCTTTTTTTTTTTTTTCTGCTTCTTTCCTTTTTCCTTCTTTGACTTTGGATTGTCTTTTTCTTTTCTTCTTTCTGTCATGACTTTACCTTTTAGAAAACTAGTTCAGACTCAAATAAGATCTTTCCATGATTGTCCCATTAATGCCATGCAACCTTTACGACTTTTACTCTTAGGTAGTCCTGTAAGTTATAAAGAAGAAGAACGGAAATATATAATATAAATAAATATATCATAAATTAATCATAACTTTTTTTTTTTTTTTTTTTTGTCTCGGATATAGGGATCGGGGAAAGGAACTCAATCTGAAAGACTGAAAACAAACTTTGGTGTACATCATCTTTCCAGTGGTGATTTACTTCGAAAGAATATCAATCAACAATCCTTTATTGGTCAACAAGCTGCTGACTATGTAGCTCAAGGTCAACTTGTTCCTGATAACCTTCTTGTATCATTAGTAGATCGTGAACTTGGAAAAATTGGTGGTGTAAGTAAAACAAAATAATAATAATAATTGAATAAGAACTAATCATTTTTCTTATGATTTTGTTTTTGTTATTGGTTTTTTTTTTGTCAGCACAATTGGTTATTGGACGGATTCCCACGCACATTGAAGCAAGCACATGAGTTGGATAATACATTGAATAAATTGATGCAACCTTTGAATTTGGTGATTAATCTGGAAGTACCTGAAGAAGTCATCTTGGATAGAATCATGGGTAAAAACGATATTATATTATATTAAAAAAAATGATTGTTTTTTTAATAATTATTATCATTGTTATTACTATTATTATTTAGATCGATGGGTACATATTCCTTCAGGCCGTGTATATAACTTATCATACAATCCACCTCGTGTACAAGGATTGGATGATGTGACAGGTGAACCATTAGCAAAACGACCTGATGATTGTCCTGATGTATTTCGAGTTCGAATGCAACAACATAAAATCATGGCTGATCCTTTATTGAATCATTATCATTCCATTGCTGTCACTGTCCGGGGAAATACAAGTGATGAAATTTATCCTCAAATTGAACGGGAAATCGTTAATCGATTGGGTCTTCTTCCTGGATCTACTACAACAACATCCTCTTCCACTTGTATGCCTGGAGCCTCCATGAAAGCTGCTAATGTTGTTGCCAAGTATCATCAACGTCGTCGTCAACAATATTCTGCTCAAAACTCTACTGGTCAAGAACGTGTGGTTGGTGTAGCTCAATAATAAGATTCCCCCCTTTCTTCTTTATTTATACATATATACATACTGATTCTCCCACTTTTATCATAGTTCTTTTTTTACTTGTTATTTATTTTTCCTTTCTTTTTTTTTCAGTCTATATATAGTTTCCTTTTTTGTTTTTGTGTATATTCTTTTTTCCCCTCTTCGTTAGTCAAAAAGACAAACAAACTCTTTTTACAAATACATATTATAATTAAAAAAAAATAATTATAATCTATATTTCCTTGTATGTGTGTGTTTAAATGTTTCGACAATACGTCTGTCAATCGAGAAAAATTCTTTGGTGAATTGAATATAAACTTGCGTCCATGTCATCATCGTACTTTTTTTTTTTTTTTTTTTTTTTTTTTTTTTTTTTTTTAGAAAAAAAGAACAATGGAATATGACTAAAATAACAAGAGTAGGGTCCAAAAAAAGATGGATAGTTCCAGGGGAAGAATGGAATGACGGAGACATGATTGTATTTTTCATCAATGATTAGGTTGATTGTATGATTTTATTAAAGAGAAGGAGTTTGATGAGGAATTGGAATGAAAATAAAGAGTAATAATATATAATAATAATAGTAAGTAGTAGTAAATAATGATGCCTATGTTTTCTAAAATCATGAAGGGAGGAGGAGAAGAACAATCAATAAGATGAAAATAATAATAATTATAATAGTAATGATAATAATAAAATAAAAAAGTCGTTGATGATACAAAGAATACAAGGGGAAGTATGTAATAAAAAAAAAAAAGCTTAAACAGGGGAGAATCTAAATCTAATTTTCACCAGATTGAGTGATACGACGATTAGGGTCAATCAAAGCTTGAGCAGGTTCCAAATCATCCATATCGCCTAAAGTTGATACCATCATGATACAAGGAAGACAACATCCACAACAACATGTCACCACAGCCAAGACAATAAAGATAGGAACAAAGACGGTTGCCATTCCGATAGGCCAAACACCATCCAAACGTCTTGCTACCATACCAATCAATGCATACACAAGACTACCCATCACTACAAATACCACTGCACCTAGCATGACTGTGATTTTTCCTTGATGAGCTACCTCTGGTTGAGGTAAACGACTAAACCGACGATAGCTCAGTCCTAGTTGAATAGCGTACTTGACAGCCACAAGGTAAAGAGGAATAAACACAATAGCCCAAGAAGAAGTGATAGTGTTATCGATACGTAATGCCATCAAGATAAAGAAAACCAATCGAAGGACAAAGAACCAAAACTTGTGAAAGAATAATACCAGAGCAGTTGATACCAGAGTCATTGCATTCACCTTGCCATGATTGTCACCATCCATCATTAATTGTTGTTTTATCACTGTCAAAGCAATCACATAATCTGCCAAAGTCAATAAAAAGTTTAAACCTTCTAACACAAAGTAAGGGATAAACACCACAGCAGCTGACCAGTTCACCTTTTGATCCAATGCAATAACAATAAAGATTTGAAAGAGAAGTGTCAAGAAGAAGTAAATCATAAATAATCCTCGAGTGAGCAAGCGCATCCGTTGTTTTGTTTTTTCTTCTCGTTTGCTTTCTTGATCTTGAGTATCATCATCCATTGCTTCATCATCATTTCCTTGTTGTTGTTGCTGTTGTTGTCTTCGTCTTCGTCTGCCGCTATCATGGTCGTCCGCATCATCATTTTTATCGACAGAAGAAGATAAGATAAAGCGTCCAAGAGCATAACATAAGAAAATATTGACTATCCAAACAGGAATCCATACTGTGGCCCAAGACCAATTCACACGTCCATCAATCTTTACCGCCAAGAATGCAAAAAAGATGATTAGAAGCACCAACATTAGATCCATAGCCAAAACAACAGTACAAATCATAGACTCGATTTCTGGGTCAAAAAGTGGACTAGCCATGGTACCCATCATTTGAAGTCCAAGTTCACCATATCTATCATAAACCCTTCGTTTTTGTTCGTCACCCAATACCTAAGTTTATATAAATATGAGTTAGTGAAACCAAAGGAAAGCTTTTTTATATTTATTTTGGGGCCACATAAAAAAAAAAAAAAAAAACATGGTGGGCGAAAATAGCCTTGGTACCCATCATATTGCGTAGTATTTTAAGTTAAGATTCTTTACCTCATAAGCATGGCTAATATCTTTAAACTATATATATATATATATATATATGAAAAGATTAGAATAAAGATATAATTACAAAAAAAAAAGTTCATACCTTGTCAGCGCTATCTGGATTCTTATCTGGATGGTACCGTAAAGCAAGTCGTCTATAAGCCTATAATAGATAAAAAAAAAAAAAATAAAAAAAAAAAAATTTCATGAGTTTTATTTATTCTATTAAGTAATAATATATCATATAAAATAATAATAATAATAAAGATAGAACAGAGTTCTGTTATAAGTTTACCTTTTTGATTTCTTCAGGAGTAGCAGATTTGTTAATACCCAGTATTTCGTATAAACCTGTGGTATTTCTGTCCATGATACAATTCCTATTCTTTTTATTGCAAAAATATGAGGAAAAAAAAAAAGAAGAAGAGGGATTGGGGATAAAAAGGTATTTCTTGAAAAGTGGGAAAAATAGAGGGACAAAAAAGAAAAAAAAAAAAAAAAAACTATCACTTCGACAAAGTAAGGTTTTTTTTTTTCTTTCAAATTGGATCACCGACAACGACGGGTATACAGGGTTTTTTTTTACGAGGCTTCTATACAAAAATGAATAGATAATAATAATAAAAAAAGAATTACTGGAAAAAGTGAAAAAAAAAACATTGATGATGATTTATTATAATCAAACAAATAAATATATTTGTATAAATGACACGTTTTTATATTGATAAAATATGTGAATATACATACTAAATCAATGCAATCAATCAGAGATCAACTCCTATATAGTATATATATATACAAAGATTCAACTATAGGGAATTCTTTAAGAGTCCTTTATCTTTTTTTGATTGTTTATACTACCCCCACTCTCTTTCTTATTATCATCCATCATCATAACATAAGAAGGTATATATGCCCTTGTCATGTCACCTTGTGTAACCGATCCTTCAGAATGAAAGAAAGGATATTTCAAACCGTTTCTCCTTTTTTTTTTTATCACTCCTGGAGGGATATCATAGGAGTCATGACAAATGTTCATACCAAAAATAATACTATCAATCAATACTAGATTGTCCAATTCAATGTTTCTCTCACTCATTTATTGTTTTGTTTCATTGACATGTAAAATACATATCTGCATTAACTTTATTTCATACCTAATATCTTTTTGGTGTAGAATGACTTGTATCACTATATATAAAAGGTGAAATCATCATCATCATCATAATTATTTTTCATCAAAGATAATCAAATGTCACTTTTCTACATTATAGAAATCATCATCTTACATAAAGAGACCAAAAAAAAAAAAGATATGACCTTATGCCACCAAATGATATCAAATATCCACAACTGTAACCAAATTTTTCAAACAAGTTTATTAAATAAGTAATCATCACCAGAGTTGGATGGATTGATTAAACTAAAAGTTCATCCTAATGTCATTTCTATCTATTCTATATTTAATCCACAATAAGTTTGGTTTCAAGAACAGGGAATTCCTCAAAGAACGCCTAATTTCACACCCCCCCAAAAAAAAAGATTGAGTGAATTTTGTTTTTTTTTGTAATTTCTTTCATCAACTTACCCATAACAATTGGATAGCATGTTTGACATCATCAACACCACTTTGTTCTCGGATAGAATGCATACTTAATTGAGGATTACCAATATCTACAAGGAATAATAATAATAATAAAAAAAGGAGTCAATTGATATTCTTGACCTTTTTAAATATTTTACCAATAGTGCGAAGACCAAGCTTGGCGGATAACATAGGTCCAATGGTACTACCGCAAGAAGAATCATTTCTAACAACAAATTCCTACAGAATTTGTCAGGTGAGAAGGTAAAAAGACGTAAAAAATAATCAAAAACAAAAGACACCATAGTATAAATATCATACAATATCCTACCTGAATAGGGATGTCATGCTTCTTTGCCAATTCCTTGAGCACCAAGGTGGTTACAGCAGTAGTTGCGTATCTCTAGAAGAAAGAAAGGAGTAATAAATATAATTGTTTTACGATTTGGTTGTGAGAGATGGTCATTTTTTTTTTTTTTTTTTTTACTTGGTTAGCATTGATCTTGATCACAGTTCCCTTGTGCATAAGTGGTCGATGATTTTCTTCATGTTTGTCAGAATAGTTGGGATGAATTGCATGCGCCATATCAGCACTAACCAAGATACTTTTATGAATAGCTTCTTCAAATGCCGTGGAGGATACATCAGGAGTACCAAGAACTTGAGTATTGGCTAAACGTTGAAGAGTACTAGGAAGCAAATTGGAATCAGCACCATGAGCACTATATTTTTTTTAATACATATATATATATATATATATATATATATATAAAACAAATGTAAAGTTAAATCATGAATAGTATGCAATATTATTACTATTATTATTTTTTCCATCACTAACCTCAAGCTACCAACTTCTTCATGATCAAATAAAGCCACCATACGAATATTGGTTTCCTTTTCCAACGATTCAGACTTGATCAATGCTGCAATGGAACAATAAGACATTTCCAAGTTGTCGAGACGAGGTGAAAAGATGAATTCTTTGCAAGCACCACCAATCGTAGATTCCTATATGGTAGTCATCATATGAGTAACATATCTTTCATTAAATATCATTATTATTTTCTTTTACCTGTGTATCGTAAAGAGCCAATTCGAAATCACGAATTTGTTCAGCTAAAAAAATATTTGAATTAATAACCTATTTATGCCTTCTTTTTTTTTCGCTCTCTTGTCTTACGTTTCACATTCAATTCGTCTGCCAAAATACGGATGAGTAAAGGATGATGGTTAGCTTCAGACTCTACACCATCTTGTTTTTCTATTCCACTCAAAGCACTAAACATAAATAAATAAATGATGAACTTCAATGATTATATTCAATGTTAAATTACTTACGATTTGACTTCAGTAGCCAAAATAGGTGCAAGTTGGGTTTCTTTATTGAACTTGAACTATACAAAAAAAACAAAAACAAAAAAAAAACAAAAGAGTATTTAGACCCTATGTATGCCTACTACTAACATATTTCAATAGAAACTTACCGATTCATTTGCAGTACGATCCAAGTGAATAGCAAGAGTAGGGATACGAAGTAACGGGCGATCCACTTTCACCAATGTATGCTTGAAGGTACCATCCTCATGTTGAACCAAAACACGTCCAGCAACCGAAAGATCACGATCAAACCAAGTATGCCTGTATTTAAAATAATATTCATCAATTAATCTTGCTAGTATTTCCTCCCTCCTCATTTTAATTAAACACTTAATTTTTTTTTCTCATCTCATCATTCTTACCAGATACCTCCTCCATAAGTTTGACAACCGACTTCTAAATATGATGATTTGTCCTTTTTGGATACGGGTTTCAACTAAAAAAAAAAAAAAAAAAAAGTGTCAGCATATAATCCCAATGGATAGAACAAACGTGAAGAAGAATTCTATTTACCTTCAGACAAGGAGAATCAGTATGAGCACCAAGAATAGAGAAACCATTACCAGGCTTATATTGACCACCAATAGCAAATGCCACAATAGAGGAACCATTACGAGTAAAATAGTACTTTCCATTTTGTTTAAGAACACCATTGTTCCAACTTTCACGTTCCTTTATTTCTTGATAACCAGCCTTGATAATGTCAAAAAGAGAAAAAAAAAATTGAGCAAATCGTCGCGTGACAATTCACGTTATTTTCTTTATATTACCTTTTTCAGTAGTTCAGTTGCTTCAAAAGTGGCATGGAAAGGAGAAGGTGACTTGTTGATGTATTCAATCAAGTCCAAAGCTAAAACAAATAAATAAATAAAAAAAGAAAGAAAGGTTTTAAATTAAGTAATTTAAAACTGATCTTTTTTTTTTTTTGTTTTCTTTTTTTTACCTTCTTGAGGAACAGTAGGATTGTACTATGTTGACAAATAATAGAATGGTATATAGATCAGTGGATTTCTATATTTTACGCTCTTTTTTCATTTCTTTTTTCTTTCGTCACTTACAACCATTGTGAACAAAAGGAAAAATGTATGAAAAAGGCAAAAAAAGAAAGAAAGAAAGAAAGAAAGAAAGAAAGGACAGAAAAATTCACACGGGAGATGCTTTACCCTATTTTCAATCACAGCCCTGAACTTCTTTATTCGACATTTTTAACCATTTTGGGAGACAATATAAAACAAATGAGGTATCAAACGTTTTTAATACATATATAATATATAATAAAAAGTATAATTAAATCAGACTGTTGTCATAGTTGCTATCCTTTTCTGATCATATAATACTAAATTCACAGCACCTAGGATATAACTTGCAAGATCTTCATCCACATAATCCCATTGTATTATCAATACATTTTTTTTTGATGATAGTTTGTTGGTGTTGCATGACAATAAAACACTTTTGATCTGAATATCACCATCCGTTTTTTCAACTACGAGAGAATTTGTGTTTCCAAGCATTTGAGATATTCCAATATAAATCGAATCCAAAACGTGTCGTCGAATGATTTGATCCAATTCTTCCGCTTGATATTGTTCTTGTGAAGTAACCAAAGTAACAAACCTATCAGGATCATATTCTTTTTCTACTTGAAATACCATAGGTCTCGATGATGGAATATAATCAGAAGAGGGTGAAGGTAATGTACATGCTGAATCCATTTGTTTTTTCCATCTATCTTTGGATACAATATCGATACTAGTTGGCATATCTCCTTTATAAGTCATAAGCAGAACTCCATTGATAGGGATTGTCGAAGGAGGTTGAAGTGCTTGTTGTTGCTGCATTGAGAGTATTGAGCTTTGAGAACTGTGATTCTTAATTTGTTGTTCAACAATACTATGATGTTGTCGATATTGCTGTTGTCGCCAATGTGTTTTTAAAAGATCCATACTGATTCTTCCAGGTATATCCATTGATGTTTCGATATTGATGCTAACTCCATTAGCAGGATTGAGACAAGGAATACCAAATTCTTTCATGATCTTGCTTTTCAAAAAATCCATTTGACCTCTCTCACCATGAACTAGAACCACATGACGAGGTTCCGAATGTCGAATAAGTTGCATGATCCCTTTGGCGTCAGCATGAGCACTAAATGAGAGATTTCGTACTTGTAAGTTGACTGTGATCTTGGTAAAAGCATCCACGTCCACCACTTTTTGTCCAGAGAGCACCTTGGCACCAACTGTTCCAGCAACACAATAGCCAGGCATGATCACCATATTTTTGGGGTCTGGAGCAAATTTCTTGAAGATTTCCAATGAAGTGCCTTGATGTAACATACCAGGAGTTGCAAATACCACCATAGGCCCAGGATGATCCATGTATTTTCGATTCCAAGGTTGGATATGTTTAAAGTCAAACATATTCCGTTGAACAAAAGTAGATTTGATCTTTTGATTTGTCCAGTGAATAAAGAGTTTATAGTATTCATTTGCGCGTTCAGTTAAGCCAGTAGAGAAGTAAACAGGTACCTTGAGATCCATACGTTCCCAATACGATTCAATCAGAATACAGAGTTCTTGAGCACGACCCAGAGCAAAACATGGAATTACAACTTTCCCACCATCTGCCACACAATCATGAACTTTTTTCAAAAAGTCGCGTTCTCTTGAGCGTTTAGAATCTCGGATAGTTGTACCGTAAGTGCTTTCAGTAATGAGGACATCAGGCCGAAGTTTGTCGATCCATGCTGAACCCAAATGTCGATCTGGTGTCATATTGTAGTCCCCCGTATACACAACCGATTCCTGTCCCACTTTGGCATAAATCATTGCTGCTCCTAGTACATGACCTGCGTAGTATGCCTTGATTTCCAATTCATCATCCACGTAGATTGTTTGGTGTAACTGAATAGGGATCACTTTCTTCATGCATTTCTTGATCATATCAGACGTAAAAAAATTGGTTTCCCCTTTGCGATCCACACTGATCTTACGGTAGTCTTCCAGTAATAATGGACAGATAGCTTTAGTAGGATGAGTCATATAGATAGGTCCATCGTAACCAAGCATTTCAGTAAAATAAGGTAATGCCCCACAATGATCAAGATGAAAGTGACTAATGATCACGCAATCGATAATATCCGTAAAGTTGCCTTGCTTGGAGATGTAAGTAAAATCTGGGAATCTTCGTGCGTCGTTATAACCCATATGAAAGCCTATTTATTTTAACAAAATAAGGATAATACATTAATCACCATGACTTTTTTTTTTTTGTTTCTAATTCATTCACTTTACCGCAGTCAAACATAATATTCTTGGTGCCAATAGTAACGAGAATGCAACTTCGTCCAACATCTTGTCCTATTTAATTTAAACATATAAAATCAAAGTTAATACTCCAAGATCAAAAATAAATTTGATCTTTTTTTTTTTTTTTTTTTTTAGTTGACTTACCAGCACCGAGAGGAACAATGCGTATCGTCATATTACTGATAAGTAATATCGATATAGAAAAAAGATACACGGAAGGAAAAGAGAAGGAGAAAAAAAAAAAAAGAGGTCAACAGAATATTTTAACAACAGACAACGACTGGGATTTTGTTCATGCAAAAAAGAAAATTAAAAATTTTTATTAAATATATACAAAAAAAAATAAATTGATAAACTATGTTCTATGCTGTGCGTTTCTGTTTAGGTTTCTTTACCACCTTGGTATCATTGTCAGAATCACTTGAATCTAACTCGGAAGTCATCCGTTCGGCTTTCTTCTTCTTCAGTTGATTGACTACTTGTTGTATACGTTTGCTTTTATGTTTTCGTTGATGTCGCGGTGCCGAATAAGATGATGATAATCCTGCTGAAGCATCAAAATAATTGCTGATTGTCGTCTGTTGTCCAGTAGCCTATTCAAGAAAGTTAATGTAATATATATATAAATGGATGTCAGTAACCATTGATAATAATAATAATAATAATAAAAGATATAAGTTTTTATTACCTTTCGATTATTCATTTCACGTATCACAGGTATCAATACTTGATCCGTCTTTTCTTCAGACCAAGAAAATGATTTCATCAAATAAAGACGTAAAGAATCCAATTGTGGAGGTGACCAACTAAATCGTTCCAAGGAAGTATCAACCATGGGATGATAGTAAGCTTCTTTGATCAAAGGATTTGGGAAATCAGCAGGTATATCTAAATGTTTGTGCTTCTTTCTCTATATAAAGGATATCAGTTCCCTCTTTTTTTTTTTTTTTTTTTTTTTTTTTTTTTTGATAAAATGAGATAACTTACAAACTTCCTTTGAAAATCGGATTCATCCAATCCACTTTCATACCACTCCTTGAAACGAATAAGAGGACCTTCTAATGATGAATCCTCCTGATCCTTGTCTTGTTGAAAAGCGGCCAAAATTTCCATAGCAACGACAGGTCCAATTCCGGGAAGTCCAGGTGTATAATCACTTCCAAGAAAATAAGCCAGTTGAATGAGTTTTTGTCGGTCCAACCTCATTTCACGATCAATGTCTTGTAATAAGTAGCATTCCACATATTTTTGTTGATGGAACATGTTTTTGTAAACGCGACTACCACCAAAGAGGAAGACATCCGAATCATCTGTCACTACACCATCCACAAGATCATGATCCAACAAGAAAGCACATTGAGCTTCCGCTTCCATAGGAGACACTATATATGGTACACCAAATAGTTGTAGAAGTTCTTGAATATCTTTTACCATCTGTTCCGTCACACTATCAGCATTTCCCATTGCCTTTGATTGCTGTTTGTTAAGTTGGTGTACATCATCCGCTAGTTCTTGTCGTACGCTGCTAATATCCCGAGATGCTATGTCCGATACAAATCGTGCAAATTCCGCTTCTTCTTCTTCCACGTTGCCTGTAAGCTCTTCATCAGAGTTATATCCAATATCCATCATCGCCTCCTGATTTGTTTCCTCTGGTTGATTGTCTGCTGCCATAGTTGACTGATAATCATCATGTTGAATTATGTCTAAAGTCGTCAAGTCTTCCATTTCATGTCGCTTATCTACATGATTACCTACATTGTCAACTACCATTGCTTCTTCCTCGTGATCATGTCTATCTTTCTGATTCACATCAAGTGGTTGTAATTTCGATTCATGTGGTGCTGTATCGTTCAATATCGTGGAAGCCAATATAGTACGATCGATCTTCATGGGGTCCTCCGTCAAGCGTGCCATATGTGTCGATGAAGGGCTGGAAACATGGATGGTGGTGTTTTCATGCGTTTCTTTTTTGTTTTGATGTTGTAATTCCAGTTGTGATTGTTGTTGATGTTGTTTCCAGTCATCTGCATTGTCAACCAGTTGAATATCGTCATCGTCATCATCATCATCATCAAGCACAATTAAACCATTGTTTACGTCGCTCATTGAGTCTGTCGATGTTTCTTGCTGAGTAGTGGCTATCGTTGATCCTTCTTCCGTCTTTTTTCTTTTCCATATCAGTGCATGTCGTAACAGGTTTTCGTGAAATGTCAGAGATTCATGAGCCATAGTGTCACTATCATTGGATTTGCCAAACGCCTTTTGCACAGATTTCAATTGTTGTTCCAAATCAGATATTGAGGTAGTATCAGAGATGACATTTTTGAGAATAGTCTTGTATTCGTCATTCAATGAATACATATAAATAAAAGCATCAGGAACACGAGAAAGCCATAATTGATAAAAATTGTCAGCATCCAATTCCATCATGGTATCAAACACATCATCATGAGAATTATCCAATTCATCATTGTGCTCAGAGATGACTCCTGTCAATGATTCTACAGTACGTTGTTGTCGTAATTGTTGTTCATGGTTTTCATTGTACATTTTCAAAAGAATTTGGTTCAAATGCACTTCATCCTGTTGTCCGTATTGTCCAAAATCATCCAAATAATCTGAGGATAACTGATCATCATCTTCTGATATATTGCCTTCTTGTCCATTATTAATGAATAACGGTGCACTATCATCCAAATCATCGAAACTCTGTTGATAGATATCGTTGTCATCATATTGATCATAAGGAGTAGACTCGATAACATTGTCATTTGTTGCGTATTCATTCTCATCTTTTAATTCATTTTCAAAATTCCCCATCATTGCCGCTAATGCAGGATTGCTTGCTACCGCTTTCGCCACAGGATCGTCTTCCATTTCCAAACTAGAAGGTGAAAGTACATTTTCAACTGTTTTTTCATCTTTGAGATCCATGTCGATATCGTCATCCATATTTTGTATTGATTCTTGTTTTGTTACTGTCGCTGTTGAAGTTTTGTTGCCCAACCCAGGAAGCTTCCATCCTAAACCTTCTTCCAAGTTTTCATTCTTTAGGAGAACATATGCTTTTCCACGTTCACTTGCAATACGAGAAGGAGTTGCTGTATCATTGGACATACTGGCCATATCATTCATTTGCAGTACACGTTGGGTCATTTCATTTCTATGTTTGAGTTGTAAGATTTGTTGTTTTGAAAAATCAAGCGGTGTTTTGGATTGGCGTACCATGTTATCTAATCTTGCCCAAGAAGTTTGTCGAGATTTTAGCTTTAGATCTTGAATGATTTCATATTGGATTTCAGTAGGTAACTGTTGGAAAACATTGGAATCCATGTTGATGTCTGATGGTTTGAATTCTTCAATAAAATCTAATAATTCTTGATTGGTGGCTAATCTTGGATCCTTTTTTTGATATTCTCCAGTCGTCATCAAAGGTGGAAGCTGATATTGATCTTGTTTGATGGTGTTTTGATGTCGTAAAGTATCTAAAGCTGCAGTATTATCCAATTGTTCCAAGTAAACATAATTTTCATCATCATCATCATCATCATCTTTGTTGTTGATAGTAGTACTATTTCCGCTTTGTGCTATTGCTTTCCGTCTACGTATATTATGTAAAAATAAATTAAGATTCATAAAATACAAATCCTTTGACTATGATTTTTGTATTACCGTTTTTCTTCTTCCATTAAAAAATGAGCCTTCATTTGAGCATTTAAAATCTTTTCAGCTGTACGTTTGACGTTTTCTTGAATCCCTTGACGTCTTTGTCTTCGTTCTCTCTATCATTAAAAAGAAAAATAATAAAATAAATGAATAACTGGAAGTATATAAAATGAATTCATTAACCTACAATAGTTGATCGTTTCAAAGTTGGGGCACCACCGTCAAAAACAAATACAGGTTTAATATTGTAAAACAGTAGTTTGCACAATCGACGAAAGAATCCGAGTACATGACCATTCCGTAAAACTGAACCATCTTCACTTCGCATGGTTCGCATAAATTGGTGAATCCATATACTAGCATCAATGGCAAGTTTCCGATCACGTAAAGATTCCAACTGTATAGGCCTTGCAGCAGGAGATAAAAGTGTCCATAGACCCTGAACACCCATTCAAGAGATTTAATGATGTTATATATATAGATATAAAAAGAGAACAAAAGAAAAATAAAAAAAAAAAAAATGCAACTGCGGTTCCCTGATATCTTTTTTGATGATAGGTTTCCAAAAAAAAAAAAAAAAAAAATTAAAATGCCGGTCCAATCAATCTGCTTCAATGAATTTGCTTGATTCCTTTCCTCTTGTCTCTCTCTCTTTTTTTTTTTTATTTCTTTTTCTTTTTTCTTTCGTTTTTGTATGTATATATGATAAGGTAGAAAATCAATAGTATTCATTTTATAATATATTCTTCTTCTCCTTCATCAAGACAACTTTGGATGGATCTGTGTATCACACCACTATAATAAAAAACATAAAGACATTATTCTTCCATCAAGCAATCGATCTACATCAGCAAAGCAGCAACAAAAATAACATCAGCGAGGAATATATGAGAACATTGATTGGAGTGGTGATACTTGCTTTTTGGTTAGGTTACCTCTCAGCAACCTGTGGAGTATTTGATTTATTAGTACAAGTGGTAACGAGGGAAAAAAAAAAGAAAAAAAAAAAAGAAAAAAAAAGGGGTTGAGGGAGGGAAGAGAGAAAAAAAAAAAGGAATGGTTACTTATATATATTTCTTCTTTTTTTTTAAAAATAAAAATAGAAACAGGTATTGTATATATTTTGTACTATTGGTGCCATATACCTTATGATATTGATTCCTCTTGAACGAATAGCCGAAGCCGAAGCGTGCAAAGTAAGATTACTAGTTTAGTTATATCAACATCTTTTTTTTTTCTTTCTTTCTTTCGTAGATACTAATATGACCTTCATAATATAGAATCCCAAATCCACTTTTAGAACATCAGCTCAAGAACACTTGCAACGTCGTGGTAGTTTTTAGATAAAATTATGATAGTTTCTTTATTGTATTTATAATAGAATGAATCGAAAATGAAACAAAAATAAAAAATCAAATAAAATGAAAAATACTATATTAGAAACGGGTGAAATGTAGATATTACAAAAATGGAGAGAATGGAAGGAAGATGAGGATAAAATAAAAATAAGCAAAAATAAAAAAAAAAAAAATATACATTGAATATCATTTTGTAGAAAGTAACTGAAGTATAAATAAACTATGATATGATAAGAGGAGGGAAATCAGTTTGCCATGACTAGGTGCCGACCTTCTTCTTCTTCATTATCTGGAGGCGTTTGAGTGACCTGGTTTGATAAAGGTGAAGATTGATTGATATGATTCTTGATTTTCTGTGCTTCTGGACTATTGGGAGGAGAGATACGAATAGGTGTAGAAGTCCTTGGTTGTAAATATTGCAATAAAGGACTGTTGGAAGGACTTGTCATGCCATTAGAAGTGATGGTTGTACTTGAATTATGTTGAAGAGTTGTTGTCGTTGTTGTATTGTTACCATTATTATTGTTGTTGTTGTTAGGATCTAGTTTGAAGGTAATTCTTCCACGACTACGATCTTCAAATAACGTCATGATATTCCCATGATCACCCATTCTATAAGACACATTAAAAGGATCTATCCATAGTACAAAATCACGAGGAAGATGAGTGAAAATAGTAGCTGAAGAAATGGAAGCATTATTGGCAGCTTTTATGAATGAAGTTATCATATATATATATAACAAACAAATAAATAAAAAAAAAAGAAATAGATAATTTATTAGTATTTTGATTTGTTTATACTAAAATAAATAAATAATTATAATAAAACTTACCTTTTACAAGTACACTATCAAGTTGACCATTAAAGTTGGATAAAGCTCTAAAACCGTTTCCTTTGTATGGTTGTTGAACATCCCAATGATCAGCGAACTTTAGTTTAAGTAGTTCAGTCAATTTTTCCTTAAAACGAGAAATACTATCTTGGTCTAATTTGTTTTGTAAAAGTCTACCAAGAAATTCTACAGCCTGAGCTATTTCAATATGCATTTCATCAATATATTATATATAATTAACTATAAGTGGGAAAAAAAAAAGGAAAAAGGAAAAAAAAGAAAAGGAAAAGGAAGGGAAAAAACAGGCGGCAGGACTTTTTTTTTTTCATTGTCGGCGATGAAAATTGAAACCTTCCGTTGGACTTTCTGATTGGCCACTAAAGCATGGCCAAGTGGAAATAAAAAAATAAAATCACACTAAATTAATCACTTTATTATTCAATCATCATCATTTACTTTTATACTATGTTGAATGATGCTATGTATTGATTTTTATTTTTATTCCTTCTTTCTTTCTTAAGTATTTTTTTTTTTTGTAATAATTACAAGTACCAAAAGTTCACAAAGAAAAACAATATTGACGACATCTTCCCGATGATACCAGAAAACCTTCTTCAAATACCTCAGCACATATATTAAACGGTATGTGATGACGCCTAATCCAAAAAAAAAAAAAAAATAGTTTTACACAAATGAAAATGACTATATCAAGAAGGTTGAAAGAAGCTCCTCAGTTCACCACTCAAGATCTCCTAATCTCAGAAAAGCAATACTCATTGAACAAGTTACACATATTATGCTATCAGAAGAGCGACTAATGGCTAACTGTCAATACGGATAGCATAAGTACGAATGATGATTTTCATTTATTATTATTATTATTATTATTATTATTACTCAAGGCAATAAAGTGGATAAATGGGTTATTGTCAATCTCAACTATAATATCCAATTTACATTGATATATCTTTTTAGATTAGGATATTTATATATAGTTTACATAGTTAGTATTATTTTATTATCGTTAGTTATTTCATCCATGCATCATTGTTAAATAAAACTTCATGCTATCACTGTATAATGCGCGTCTCATTTTTTTTTTTTTGAGTTCACCTTTCATTTTCGCTGATTTCATCCCCCGTTTGTGTTTTTTTTTTCTTTCTTTTTCTCTCTCTTTTTCTTTTTTATGATCCTTTATTTCAATGAGTCAAAAACTTTACCTTCCAGACTCTGAAAAGCAACCTTCCTATTGTGATCTATCCTATTTTGATTATGAACAACATCAAACTACTTGGAAGAAAACAATAAACTGCCATCCATTCAATCACAAGGTAAAATTCTCGAACTTGATCTGACTTTGTATGGTATAAACTTTTATTATTATTATTATTATTATAGTTATCTATATTTGTACCTTCTTGTTCTTTACATACTATACAACAACAACTACATTTACCACCATCTATTTATTATCAAGTACGTTTACCCTTGAGAGCGCTTTTGGATCCTGAATTTTTCTCTCGTTATATCAAGTCATCCAATGGTAAGAATGATCTTGTGATTTTGCTATATATATATATATATATATATATATATATATTCACTTTTATTATCATTATTATTATTATTATTCCTTAGAACGGTTACTATTCCATACTGTGGGAACCAAGTTAGATTCAGATACAGTCATAGTGTTAGATTTCAATGGTCACCTCATTATGAATATGGACAAATTTACCTATGAAACCTTTGGTATAGTTGGTCGACAACAAAAGGAAATGGATAGAAAAAGATTTCGTTATGGTAATATATAAAAAAAAAGTTGAAAACAGTGATCAACATGCAGGATCTCATTTATAATCCATACATAGTGGTGGATATCGACCTTAGACATGGAAAATCGCCACGAAAAAGTAAGATTCTTGATCGATTGAAATGGTGTTTCGAAAATACGATGACTCAAGAATATGATATGGTAATGACATTGGTAGACGAAGGTAAAGTACAATCTAAAAAAAAAAAAAAAAAAAAAAAAAAAAAAAGAAAAGAAAAAAAAAAGGAAAAAAAAAAAGGAAGATGTTTATTGATGTACCTTTTTTTTTTTGTAGTGACGGGTGATACAAAAACGATAGAACAATGGCCAGAAGGTGTAATCGTCAAGGAACATAGAATGGAAATGAAACTAGAAGAAATCAATCAAATCAATATACCACAATGGACTTCATTGGAACGAACATTAGACGGTAAAATGGATCAACAATGGCAAGAAGATGCATTAGGTGCTATGGAATGGATTGGATTAGTGTCGATGAAAGCCAATCGATCACAAACTGCTAATTCAATTGTCAACCCTTTTATATCAACATATCAAGCACCTCAACCTGTAGAGAAATCTGGATTTGGCACAGTAATTACATGGACTGGATTTATAGCACCTTCTTTTATACTGAATGCATTGACAAATCTTAGGTAAGTGTACACACAGACATCAAATTCATTTTTAAGTTTGGATTTTTTTTTCTTTAAATAGAAAACTAATGATCACCAGGGTAGTACCAAAATGGGTAAGTTTTACAGTTTGGGGCTATCGAGATTCACCATTTACTTGGGACAACAGACAACATTATTATAACTTGAATGGCGAAAACGATTATACATTTTTATTATTTCCACCTCATGCATCTCAACAAACTTTTATTTCCTACAAAATGTATGGTTCCCATCACTCACATTCTTAGTTGTTTATTATTCCCTTTTAGTTTTAGTATCATCCTCCTATCCTCCTCCCCACCTTTTTTTACGACTACTTGTTTCTATATTGATCATAAGTATCATGCAAAGAAGACATTCTTATCGAAATAAACAATATAATATGTTAGTTATTATCATTTTTTTTTTTTTTTACATATTAATTTCTAATGATAATAATAAAAAACATTCGTTATCTCTTTCTATCCTATTTGAATTTATTAATCATTAAAATTTAAACATGATGATTCATCATCCATATATTTATGATGAGAAACAACTGGTATAGTTTTAATTCATCAAAACTTTACAAATGAAAATAAGAGAGAAAAAAAAGGGGGACAAAGACAGTGGTGCACAGGGCTGGGGCATTATTCATATTCAGGATGCGATGGACACTTGCCCACTTCTTATTGGCTGTTGGTAAAACTCCTCACATTTATTTTTTAAGCATATAATCCAACGCCACATTTCCATTTTTCAACTTTATATTCTACTTTTTTTTTTTTCTTTTTCTTCCTTTTTTTTTTCTTTTTTCTTCTCTTTTTAACTACATCTACATTTATTTATTCATATATAACATGGTCAACAAAACTATTTTGTGGTCTGCTATTGCTGCTTCTTTTGCCTCCATCTCCAATGTATTGGCTAGTGATAGTGATGTTTTGGCTTTGACTGATAAAACTTTCAATAAAGAAGTTTTGGATAAGAGTCTTATGCTTGTTGAATTCTATGCTCCTTGGTGTGGACACTGCAAGGCTCTTGGTAAGTATTATATGATATATATAAAAAGAGAGGGGTTATAGATAGATTTAAAAAAAAAAGTGAGAAAATAGTTGACTAATATCTTTTTTTTTTATTTTTATTTTCTCATCAGCTCCTGAATATGAATTGGCTGCTACTGATTTGAAAGATAAGATTCCTTTGGCTAAAGTAGATTGTACTGAAAATGAAGCTACTTGTCGTGAACATGGTGTTCAAGGTTATCCTACTTTGAAAGTCTTCCGTAATGGTGAATCTACTGAATACCGTGGTACTCGCAAGCACGAAGGTATTGTTAGCTATATGAAGAAACAAGCTCTCCCCAATGTATCCGACTTGACTGAAGCTACTGCCTTGAATGATTTTAAGGAATCTGACCGTGTTGTTGTTATTGCTTATGTGAAACCTGATGATAAGGAAACCAAGGAAACCTATGATACTTTGGCTGCTAAATTGCGTGATGATTTTACTTTTGGTTTGGTGACTGATGAAGAATTGGCCAAGACTGAACAAATCAAGGAATTCCCTTCTTTGGTTTTGTACAAGCAATTTGATGAAAAGCGTGTTGATTTATCTGGTGCTGCCCTGAAGGATGAAGATTTGACTAACTTCATCAAATCCAACTCAATCCCCCTTTTGGATCAAATCGATGCTGAAAATTTCGCTACCTATATGGAATCTGGTTTGTTATTGGGTTACGCCTTCACTGATAATGAAGATGATCGCGCAAAGTATGATGCCCTCCTCCGACCTGTGGCTGAAAAATTCAAGGGAAAGGTTAACTTGGTTCATATTGATGCTTCCAAGTATGGTGGTCACACTTCCAATGTTGGTCTCAAGGATGGTGAATTCCCTGCCTTTGCTATTCAAAATTTGAACACTGCCTCCAAATACCCTTATACTGGTTCTGATGTCTCTACCACTGCTTTTGAAGAATTTGTTGAAAATGTTTTCTCTGGAAAGATCGAACCTACTCTCAATTCTGAAGAAGTGCCTGAAACTAATGATGGTCCTGTCAAGGTAGTTGTTGGATCTCAATTTAATGATATTGTATTGGACAAGTCAAAGGATGTGTTTTTGGAAGTTTATGCTCCCTGGTGTGGTCATTGTAAGAACTTGGCTCCTACTTGGGAAAAATTGGGTGAACAAGTTCAAGGTCTCAAGAACAGTAACTTGGTCATTGCAAAACTGGATGGTACTGCAAATGATATTCCTCCTGAAGGTGATTTCAAGGTTGAAGGTTTCCCTACTCTCAAATTCTTCAAGGCTGAAACCAATGAAATGATTGATTACAATGGTGATCGATCCCATGCTGATCTCATTCGATTTATCAAGGAACATTCTACTGGCAAAATTGAATTGGAAGTCCCTGTTGAAGAAGAACAAGAGGAACAAAAGGAAGCCAAGGATGAAGCTGAAACTGTGAACCATGATGAACTTTAGATTAGTCTAACTCTTTTTTTACTTTCACTTATTCTTTCTCTCTTTCTTTTTTTTTTTTTTTTTCTTCTGCTTAGTATTATTATTATTATTTTTGTTAGTATTCCCCCTCTCTTGTGTTCCTCTTTCCTATTTTCTTCCGGCATTGTTGTAAATTCTACCTTCATTCCATTTTTGTCTCTTTTTTTATTATTTTTTTTTATTTTTATTTTTTTTTTTATTTTTGATTGGGATGTTATAAAAAAAAAATGAATAAAGAAATCTTACTTTGTGAACTATATTTTATACTGTCTGATCGATTGAATTGGTAGATTGATTGGTGAATTGATTGGCTGACTATTAAATGTTGAACTTGTATACTGTTTGACATATGGACTGGATAAGTGAGGCTAGTAGAACGAATGAATCATTATAGTATCGACAACAAGAAATAAAGAATTCAGTTCTTTTTGACAGAATATAAATCAGTGGTAATGTCAACATAATAAGAAACTAGGAGTACCATTTTACGATTTAAATCGTTATACTTGTTCTTATTTTTGCCATTAAAATGTTTTATTATAAGACTGACATCATCTAGAAACTAAAGCTATAAAAGAAAACCTATTGAACAAAATCATCATCTTTTTCTTTTACTTTTTCTTCTCTCTATTTATTTAACCATGAAATATATTGTGTTCTTGTTAGCTGCTTTGATCCATCAACAAGTTGTCTCTGCTGCTTGTGAATGTAAATCTGATGATTCAACTTGCATGCAATCCTGTGGTAAAAAAAAAAAAAAAAAAAAAAAAAGAAACCTAGCATTCGTTCCTCTATTCATTTTTTTTTTTTTGATTATAGCTACAGAAGCTTCCAATTGTATTTTAGCTTGTCAATCTGATACAGAAACTGAGTGTGTCACTGCTTGTTTGAGAAATCATTGGCCTGCTATGACGGATGAAGATGAACCTGGAAAATATCCATCCTTGGTGGCAAGAGATGTACCCGAAGCCAAGAATGATCAAGGTGTGAGTTTAGCCGGTGCTGACGCAGTGACACCTAGTAGCCATCATAGTGACGATGATGATGATCGTGATGATCGAGATGATCGTGACCATCACGGTGAAATTCACAATGGTTCTGGTTATGATGGTCATGGAGGTAATCCAAAAAAAAAAAAAAAAAAAAAAAAAAAAAAAAAAACTCCCCCTCATTCCATACTCTGTTAACTGCATAAATTCTTCGATAATCATCTCAGTTCCCCCCAAAAAAAGGAATAGGATACGATAGTAATACTTTTTTTTTTTTTTTTTAAATAGATGCCTTTAACCATTTTTCTGATTCGCAACGTGATAATGGTCGTCGTCTCGATTCCTTTGGTATGTTGAATGAAAATGATAGAAGACACAGACATGGTAACACGGCCACTTCGCTCAATGGTTCCACTATGATTGTTTTTTCCTTGGTCTTGGTTGCTTCGTATATGATTGCCTTTTAAGGATCATCCATCTGTGTTCTACTTTTTTTTTATTTTTCTTTATTATGTCTCTCTTTTTAATGACTTTACTTTTAAACTAGTATTTTTAATGTCCTTCTTAATTTTACTTTATCCTCCAAAATGGAAATACAGTGTTTTCAAAGTTTTTTGTCGTGTCACAAGAAAATGCTTTTCGTAATGTTATAAAATAAAATATCGTACTTTCCCAAAATGAATGTCGCATTATCACTTTTTCAGATATCGCTCTAGAGATGTCGGTAGAGTACATTAAAAACACACAACACATTGATGATAACTTGTTTATTAATAATAAAAGACAGAAAAGAAAAGTAACATAGGCTTTTCATATTTTTAGCAGCTTTGGGTGTTGTCCATTCTTTTTTTAGGTATCAATTGATTGATGATTCATGATTGAAGATTCATGATTGATGATATGTGATAACGGATGATTGTATATTGGATGATTACAGGATGGATGATATGTGATAATGGATGATTATATGTTGGATGATTGTATGATTGTATGATGGATGATGAAACATTGTCGTCAATCACTGTACAAATTTCTGATAAAATACAAAATACTTCATTCTAGTTATCTTCTGACAGAACAGCATTTTCTTTTTCTTTTCTTTTTTTCTTTGAAAGTGTCAAAACGCTCTTTTATCAGCCAACATGATAAATCAATATAATAATAATGATGATCACCTATGGAAATTAAAAAATGGCAATAATAAGTATCCTGTGCACAATCATACTATCATTTAAACCAGAACAACTAAAAAAAAGAAATCTAGTCATTAAACTAAAACACGACAAAAACAAGTCAGTATCATGTATCACTTAGTACATGGATATTGTAATAATAGAATTCAATGTAGAGCATTTGTGTGATTAACTTTATCATAGAGAGAGAAATGTTGCTAACACTAAAAAAAAAAAAAAATGATGAAGTAGATAGTAAAAATAATAAAGTAGATGATAAATTAGATACAATATAAAGAGAGAAATGTTGCTAACACTAAAAAAAAATGATGAAGTAGATACTAAAAAAGACAAATGATAAATTAAATACAATATAAAGAAAGAAATGTTGTTAATACTAAAAAAAAATGATGATGAATTAGATACGATATAAAGATAGAAATGTTGCTAATATTTAAAAAAAGATGATAAAACTTGCTTGCATCTTGTCTCATCATTTTATCTACTAAAATTAGCTCATAATTGCAAGGGTGATTCATTTTCTTATAAAGGGATCCCTTTGGTTTAACTTTTTTTTTTATTTCTTTACATTACATTCATCTTACCTGCCTGCTTTTTGGTCTGCCTTCTCTTTTTTTTTTTTTCTTTTGGCCTATCTTCTATTTTACAAGTATTCTTTTATCGTTCAACCATCTGAATCTCAATTGATCTGCCTTTATTTTGTTTTTGGGCTTGACCGTGGTCGCTAATGCGCATCTGCGTGGTTACGGTCTGCCTTTTTTTTTTTTATTCAACAATTCCGGGATGGTTATCGCCATCCTACTTTCGCTACGGCGATCTCGTTACACTTAAATGGTAAGCTAGTGAAATATTTTTATCTGGATAAGTATTACTCATTTTTTATTTTTATTTTTTTTTTTATATGCAAACTTGATGAACTCAATTGGTGGATTTCCCTTTTTTTTTTTTTGATTGCTCTTTTTTCATGATATCTATTTTTTTATATTCTCTATTTGATTATGCGACAATTATATTTTTTTTTCTTCTTGTCATTTATTTTCTATCCTTACGATATTTTATTTCCTATTTTTGCGACATCTTATTCTTTGAATTTCGTCAATTATTATTGAATAAAGTGTAAATCTAATTGTCTTATTTATATTTCTTTTGAATAGCCGATAACATGATATTTGATGTTACAAATATAAGTTATCTCTCTATGATAATGATGAAAAACGACAACACTTTTTGTTGCATTAGTTGTCATCTTTATTTTCATTATAAGAATCATTTTAAGTTATTATTATAAGGAGTGATAGTGAAACGACAGTATCATATGAAATCAACCTATTACTTTCATTTTGGTCTGTTTCTCTCTTTCTTGGGGTTATCTATCCTTTTTTTGATTGAATTTGTTTTTCATTTCTTTTCTCTTTCCAGTTCTCAGCACTTTTTTTTTTCTTCTCAGACATAGATCATTTACATTTTTTTTGTTATGCTTGCTTATGCGAACATAGATTTAATTGGGTACAATAGGATTGAACAGGGTAGAATGGAACTTTTTTTTTCGCAGAGTCATGGATGCTAATGTTACTTTCAGTACAATAAATATGATACGATTTCTTTTTTCATAAGAGTTTATGCATTGGCGTGCAGTCCCAACTTCCTACACGCCAAAAAAAAAAAAAAAAAAAGAGCGGCCTTTTTTCATTTTTTTTTTTTAGACTCTTTCCTTTACATTTTTTTTTTTTTTTTTCACTATGTTATCTGTTTCTTTGGCACCTACATCAGCACCTCGTCGATGGTATTCAAAACAAAACCGTATACTCGAAGAATATCAGGAAATTGGATATCTTGAAGCCAAGCATAGCCATGAACGTAAACAAGCCTTATTAGTCGGCTTTTCTTCCACAACACATATTCCACATCGTAACGTCAACAGTATGGAAGACCATAGTATGGAGGACATTGCCACTCAAGATAGTCATCTTCAACTCGACAGTAGTAGCGGTATTCTTCATTCATTAACCTTTGATGCCCCCGATCGTCATCAGATAGATATCAACTATGACGACGATGACGACAACGACGATATCAACAACAACAACAACAATAATAATAATAATAGTAACAATAACGATAGCAATGACGAGCTCGACGGTGATCAATCTTCTTCTCATCACGGCGACGATTTGTCTTTTGGATCACTATCTTATACACCGCATATGAGGCGAACAAATAATAATAACAACACTGGCACTCCTGGGTTGGAAGCATCGTTTAGAACAATGAGTCGTATGGCAATTTTCGATACACCTCAACCCTATTCTATGCGTTCCTTGGCTACACCAACAGCAGAAACACAACAAACTGTACCATCACCAGATTTGGCTGATTTTTTGTCTCCACCACCAACAGCACGAAGAAATTTACGACAATACTTGGATGATAGTTCGACAGGGTTTATGGAATCAGAATTTGTGGATAGAATTGTATATGATGATCGAAATGATATAGATCAAGTACGTGATGGACTAGATGATGATGATCATCTTTTACACTCTTCAACAACAAGATATCGACGATCTAATTTTTTCCTTGATTAGTTAGTACATCCTGTTTCATTCCATTTTATCCAAATAAAGCTGACTGACATTTTTTTTATACATTTATTGATACATTTGATACAGTTGACAAGATCCAATTTTATTATACAATTTCTCATCATCATCCAATAAAAAATCACAATTATAGCATATAAAAAGCAATCAAGTCATTGATAAAGATAAAAAAAAAAAAAAGAGAATACCAAAAGGTGATGATATAAAAATCGAACTATCTAAGGGTGTGTAATACGAAAAAAGAGGAATGACATAGACTATGGGAAAAGTATGTTATGTGTGTGTATGTATGTGAGTATTGTGTGTATGTTGTAAGGAAGCAATTTGTTCAATCTAATGGTGTTCAACAGCAGGAGCATCCTATTAAGAAATAGTAATAATAGAAAGAAAGAAAAAAAAAGCATTTATAATTTGTTTTTTTTTTCTATTACATATAAAAGTATGACTTACAACAATAGGAGGAAGGTTACGTTCCCATTTGGTACCCTCAGGACCCAAAGGCACTAAGTTCGGAAAAAAAAAAGGAAGAATATAAAAGTAAGTAAATGAATGAATTTATGTTAATGATAGTATTACATCTGTAAGGATCAGGGTGTTCCCATTCCAACAATTTCTTTTCAGTTTCTTGAATCAAAGCCTTAATTTGAACAGGGTTGGTGATGTGACGATTTTGTTCAAATAAATGACGAATATGTAAAGCTTCTTGACGCCACAGGTCACGTTGAATGTACCAATCCAATGAAAGTTTCAAAGATCGCTTGTAAAGTGATTGTACTTGTAAACGATGAGCGTTCATATTTGTCGATAAGAAGATGTTGAATAGAGAAAAGAAATAAAAAAGAAATCAAAACATAGGAAATTGACTAGAAAAAAACAAATGTTCAAGTTCCGCTGAAGATGAAAGAAACCTCTCACTTGTGACTTTTTGGGGGAAGGGAATATGACGTGAAAATTGAAAAAAAGAGTTTGTCGGGAAAAGACCCAAAAAAAAAAAAAGCTTCTTACTCTCTTCATTTATGATTTCCCCAATGGAAAAAAGTTTAGAGTCACCTTCAACAACAACTTCACCTAGTGGTTGGAAGATCAAAATTAGGCCTCAATCAGATACAACTAGTTCTCATATTCCTGCTACTCCTCCTATGGAAAGTGATGGTGCATTCAATCAAAAATTAGATCTATGGGCTCAAACAACTACTTTTCAAAATATGGCCACTCATATTTGTCATGACGTACAAAAAGATATGAATCGACGACGCCAAAATCGACCTTCTCCCAACAATACTCCAATCAAACCTATCAATGATAACTCAACCACTCGACAATACTCGCTTAGTGATCTGGATTCTTTTATCTTTGAAAAGTCTTCTATTCTTGGAGAAAAAGAATATCAAGCTTGGGTACAAAGTAGCAAAGATACCCACCATCCTCATCAATGGCTCAAATTGGCAAGTCTATTCCATATCCATCCGAAAACTGCTCATCAACGTTCTTTACTTTTCCCAGCCACTTTGGAAGCTGCAAGAATGGATCGTCAAGTCTCAACTGAAGTCAACCGAAAACAATTGGAAAACTATTTGGACATTCGTCGTTCTCAAAATAGAACATATGCCGAGAATGCGTAAGTCATCCTATGATATATCTCTTTGTATTTATTTATATTTTTTTTTATGTATTAGAGTGGCTGAAGGTGTGAAACTATATGAAGATAAAATGATAAAGGAAGCATTGGATTATTATAAACGTGGTCTGGATATGGACCCACAATATGCTGAAGGTTGGTACCGTGTAGCTGAAAGGTAAGTAAATATAATTAAATTAGTGAAACATTTTTTGACTCTTAATTTTTTTTCTTTTTTTTTTTTTTTGATAGTCTTTTACAACAAAAACGAACGGATGATGCTATCACACAACTCAAACGAGCTATTCGAATTGATCCTACTCACGAAAACGCAAAGTCATTACTATGTACTCTGGAAAATACAACTAAATATACCAACGACAAGAAACGGTCATCCAAGGAAATCTTAGCAAAGTCAACTACGGCAAAGGAATCACATTCATCAACTGATCGAAAACATTCCAGAAAAGAAGAGGAGGAACACTCATCAAGGCATAATAAAGACGACAGTGAAAGACGGCATCGACCAACAAAACGACGGCGAAGATCATCATCACCAGTGGAGAGAAAACGAGTACGTAAAGTAATCTCACCTTCTAGAGAAAATGCCGACCATAACGATTTAACCCCATCTTCATCATCATCACCAACGCCTAAGTCACCAAGAATAACAGACGATCATGCTTCAAAAACAACAAAAGAACGACATGGCAGTAGACATCGTCATCGAGACGATAGACATAGCTATCGACATTCTGACAGTAGTAGTAGGAGTGACAGACATCGGCATTCGCATCACAAATCATCATCATCATCAGCACGCCATAAGGACGATAAAAACGAATCATCATCACATCGTAGTAGGAAACATCATAGATCATCATCAAGAGATAGGTCATCAAGAGATAGATCATCAAGGCATCGACATGAACGACATCATAAGGAAAGATCAAGTAGGAAGACGAATGATAAACGAGATGATGAAGATATTCGGAGTAAATCTCATAGAACAACATCAAGAAAAACCGATGCTCATTAGGATTTAGTTATTATACATAGTATTTTAGTTGATCAATAAAGATAAGATACCTTTTTTTTGAATCTTTTTTTTTTTATTATTATTAATTTATTTATTTTATGATGTTTACAAAAAAAAAAAAAAAAAAAAAAAAAAAAAAAGGGAGAGAGGGCTGTAAAAATGTGATGAAGTATCAGGGAATAAGGAAAAATAGGAGAACTAATCCATGGGTTAGAAATAAAAGATTAGAACTATGTGGATGACGGATCAACAGGAGTGAGACGTCTTTGTTGTGATCGACGATGTAACAATCTACCACCAAGACTGGGTTTTTTTGCAGGGATAGCTTGTGCAGCTCGAGTAGGATTGGCATTTTTAACAACAGGGTTTGTGATTGTTTTTCGATGGTCATTAGTATGATAAGAAGGTTGAGTGACGGGACGAACGACTTGATTATTATGAGTATTCAATTTATTCATATTATAATTCATATTAGTTGCAGAAGGATGGACCGTGAAGGTATAGGAACGCCAAATATCATTATCATCCTGATCATTGGCGACATCGATCTTGACGTAATACTGACCAGACAAACTGGATGGTGTTGTCCATTCAAAAGTGAAATCATTGGTATTGACGATACTGGACGGTGACCAAGATTGTAGTGTTGCGATGGGTGCAAAACTACCTCCTTCTCGATACAAATTCGCATAGACCGTTTGTTGGTCGATATCCGGTAATTGAGATACCAAAAAGTAAATCGTGCTTCCACCTTGATATTGTTCTCCTAACATTGGCTCTTTGAAATAGTTCACGCCCGCCTGCACCGACACAATCATGAACACATAGAAAAAAAATCGGATAATCTGATCATCCAACGTAACACATCAACAAAAAAAAAAAAAAAAAAAAAGTTTACTACTTTGGCTGCATAAATGTTAGGAATGGTCGATCTCCCGTCTTTTTTTTTTTTTTTTTTTTTTAATTATGGTAGATAATTGTCCCATACCTGCATGTTGATATTGATTTATTTCCGTCTGAACAAGATGATAAAGAAAAAAGGAATCAAGTTCAAGAATAGGAAAAAAGAAAAGTGTCGATGTGAAGAAACTTTTATATTGATTGTTCAACCAAGGAGATCAAGGGAGAATGATCGTGCTTTTTTTTTTAAAAAAAAAGTCTTGGCTTGACGAACATTAGAGGAAGGTAATGTTAAATAAAGACATCTCCCAGATCCCCTTGTTATTTATCCATCAAAAAAAAAAAGGAAAAAGAGGAGGAATGGCTTAATTTTTCTAACTCGCATGAGGAGGAGAAAATACAAAGTCAATGGTGATGTTATCATACAGCCTTTTTTTTTTTTTTTTATTTATTCTAAGATCTTAAAAATGAAAAATTGAATCAATTGAGATCAATTGAATTAAATTTAATATTGAATGATAAATTATTAGATAGTAATGATTATATTTCATATATTGATGAGATAGAAAAAAAAATAAAAGGGAAAGGAGACATCAATTGATGTCTCTACACCTTTTTAATCCTTTGTTAACGTGGTGAGAATTGCATGTATTGGATTTAGGAGAATATTCAACTATTCCCTGTGTTCATCGCTAACTAACACAATAAACCATCAGCTCCGTTTTTTTTTTTTTTTTTTATATGTGGGGTTTGTAAAATAAGGAGAAAGCTTTATTTTCATAATGATGATGTGAATAATAACAGTAGTAACAAATGATATGTACATGGAATGTGAAAGGGGACAACAATAATAAGAAGAACAAAAAAAAAAAAAAAAAAAAAAAAAAAGGATCAATACTACATTAAAAAAAACCAGGAGGAAAAGAGGGATCGCCACCCATTGTTCTTATCCTTTTAAAGGCTGTTTGAATTTTAACATCAATAAATCACCGATTTCACTTATCTTTTCCAAAGCATCATCTACATATATATATATATATATCACGTTAATAACTATATTTACTCTTTACTATTTTTCTTCTTCTTACCGAGGTCTGCTTTTGTATGAGAGGCTGATACACAGAATCGAGCACGAGAACTAATGATAGGTGTTGCAGGATATCCAACCACACAAATAGCAATACCACGCTTTAACGCTTCCCGAGAAAATGCACTAGAGTAGAATAAAAAAAAAAAAAAAAAAAAAAAACAAGGATTAGAATCATGATGAAAAAAAAAAAAAAAAAAACTTTTATCCAACTTACGAGATCTTGGCAGGATTGAATAATAATAAGGGTACCACAGGACTTCCTTCATCACCATAAACAATAAATCCCAATTCCCGTAATTTTGATGCAAAATATCGTGCATTATCTGCTAATTTCTGAATTCGAATTCGACCATCATTAGTTCCATCTTCACCTCTATAAATAATAAAAGGTAATATATATGAGTTCAACAAATCAACTTTCTTTGACAATATACTGCCAGTCAAAAAAAAAAAAAAATTACTTGATGATAGCCAAACTTGTGATGATTTGTTGAACGACTGGTACAGACATGGTTTCAGCATATAAAAATGCATGGTTTGTCAAACGAAGATGATTCAATACAGCCTATCAAAGTACAATACATCATTATCTCCTGTTTAAGAGATATTCTAGACTTTCTTTTTTTTTCATTTATTCATTTTACCTTATCAGCAGCAATATAACCACCAGCCGCACCAAATGATTTTGTAAATGTTCCCATAAGAATATCCACATATTTAGGACTGATACCATAGAAATCGCAAACACCACCACCGTTTTCACCAAGAGCACCAATCGAATGAGCTTCATCCACATATAAATAGAACTAGAATAGATAAAGAAAAAAAGGTATGAATATCATTTCTCTTTGCTTCTTTTTTTTTTCTCTCTTTTCTCCATTACCTTGAATTCGTGTTTCATCTTGATGATTTCTGGTAAATTGACAATAGATCCTTCCATGGAATATAACCCTTCAACAATAACCATGATTTTCTTCCAAGGACGATGTGTTCGGGGTTGACCTTGAGATATGACTTCAGTCAATAATTGTCGAAGATCCATCATGTTATTATGCTTAAATACTCGGATAGAGGCACCAGATAGACGAGCACCAAATACAATAGAACTATGATTCAATTCATCACTGATAATCAAACAACCCTGTAAAATTAAAAATTGTCAATTAAAAAAAAAAAAAAAAGACTCATATGTTAACGTTTTTACCTTGCCAACAAGAGAAGGAATCGTAGTGGAGTTGGTAGCAAAACCCATAGAAACAACAATAGCGTCCTCTTTACCAACAAATTCCGCCACTTTCTTTTCCAAATAGAGATGTAAATCTGAAGTACCAGCTTCAGATCTTGTCCCAGCTGTACTGATTCCATATTGTGTCACTGTATTTTCTACGGCATCTGCACATGGTCCAGATGCTTGAGCAAATCCAAGGTAATTGTATGAAGCAAAGTTGATACATTCGACTTGCCTTCCAGTCAATCTAAGTGAAGTTAAAAAAAAAAAAAAAAGAATATTTTCAGTATTACAAAAAAAAAAAAAAGTAAACTAATTCTTATTAAAGTTTCATAACTTACTTGAAAGTCTTGTTAAAATCCTTTGATTCACGTTCCAAAACCAATGTTTTTCTTGTGGGTACACCAGTAATAGGTCGATTCCAACAATCACGAATACGTACATACATTCGTCTAGTATAAAAAGAGTCAAAATCGGATACTAAAGGTGCATAACCCTAGAAAAAAAAAAAAGAAAGGTTGCTTTCCTAGTTAGTTTATTGTCACTATCAATTTATTACATTTTTATTCTTACTTCACTTGTTCGAAGATGAGCATATTCCTTTCTTTTGAATAATTTGCCCAAGATATCACGTAAATGACCAAATAAGATCAAGACCAAATAATTCAGGTAAGTCGATACCAATACGGCCAATGGAGCTTCTTCGATTTTTTGTTCAAAGTCTTCATACCGACGAGCTGTTGCAGCAACTGAGTTTCTTCGTTGAGCAGCAGATAGATTAAATTTGGGTTTATCTGCGTCGTCCAAATCATTACCTTTGGTAGCTGCTAAGTATTGATCCCATGTGATGTCTCGATCGCGAGGTGCTGGTAAGGCCAGACTAGGTTGGATTTTCGGGGGATAGGCCGAGGAAACAGAGTATGCTCGGCGAGTCTTTGTGACTAGATGACTCAAGCTGAAAGTACGAGGACGAGTTTTGGGAGAAGACGATAAAGTGCCGGAAGCTGCTACTGCTGCTGCTGCTGCTGTCACTGAAGGTTTGGCAGGAAGAGTAGTGGCATTATTTGTGGTTGATGTTGTTGATGATGTCGAAAGTGATAGTGAACCTTTGCTTTCCGTTACTGAGGAGAAAGACGTTGTAAGTGAAGGCGATGCTGGAGGTGTCTTTGTTTCTTGAATTTCAATACTTGGGACTTGGAAAGATGATGCTGGGTTATGCGATATCATGTCGAATAGTCACAAAGGAGATGAAGGTAAGAGAAACGATTGGCCACAAACGATAGAATTGATCAATAATAATAACAATAATAAAAAAAGGGAGGAACGTTTGACGTCAGTTTCAAGTAGAATCCACTGATAATAAAGAGCTAATGAATACAAAAGCAAGAAAACAGATGAGATCCCTTTTCTATGCTACTAGACGGAGAGAAAAAAAAAAAAAAAAAAAAGAAAGGCAACAAAAAAAAAAGTTTTTTCTATTTCGTTTTCCATCATTGGGCGGTTTGCTCGCCGCCCAGCAAACTGATTGGCTTTCCGCTCGGAGAACTTCTTTTTGCTTTTTTTTTACTACTATTTCATGGCCATCGTTTGTTAATAGTCTCTCATAAATCAAAATAAAAAACTTAATTCTTTACCATTTATCCGTCCATTTTACAGATGAATGTTCCCATTTAATAAGTATCATTTCCATTAAGAATAAGCATAGTACAGGATCATACTTCTTATTCATTTCTAGGTTAGGGGTCACTGATAATAATATAAATCAGTAACACAAACGTAAAATCGGATTCCCAAAACATCCCACTCCCCCAACCAAAAAAAAAAAAAAAGATTATATTAATGATTATTATTGTTCAAGCATGATTTATAAAAAGTTTCTAATAAAAGGATAAAAAATCTGTCTTTATTATATATATATAAAATGAATAAATACTAAATGAAAAGAGAAAACTCTAAACTACATCTAAAAGTTGATGGCGTTACCAGTGGAGGCAATCAAAGCAGCTTCACGCATGGCTTCAGAGAGAGTAGGATGGGCATGCTACAAAAGAAATAAAAAAAAAAAGTCAATATCATTCCTTTTCATCCAATCTTTTTTTTTTTTGTTGATTTACCATAGTTCGTCCAACATCTTCAGCAGAAGCACCGTATCTATTTTCAAAAAAAAAAAAAAAAGATCAATATCCCGTTTGTTGAAGTTATATTTCTTTATAGAGAAACTTACTCCATGGCAAGAACACCTTCGGCAATCATTTCACCAGCATTAGGACCAATGATGTGAACACCCAAAATACGATCAGTTTCAGCATCAGCAATCACCTTGACGGAACCATCCATATCATCATTAGTACGAGCACGAGAGTTGGCAACGAAGGGGAAGCTACCAGTCTTGTATTTGACACCTTCACTCTTCAATTCAGCTTCATTCTTACCAACCCAGGCAACTTCAGGGTGAGTATAGATAACAGAGGGAACAGCATCATAGTTGACATGACCATAACCGGTACCGATCATTTCAGACACAGCGAAACCTTCATCTTCAGCCTTGTGAGCCAACATGGGACCAAAAGTAACATCACCAATACAACGAATGTTGGGAACGTTGGTCTTGTATTCACTATCAATCACTACACGTCCTCGGTTATCCACTTCCACACCAGCATTTTCCAATCCAAGACCCTTAGTATAAGGACGACGACCAATGGATACCAATACAGCATCAGCTTCCAACTATTTAAATGAAAATAAATATGTCATTATTTTCTAATAAAAAAAAAAAAAAAAAAAAAACTTACAGTTTCAGCCTTGCCACCCTTGGAAGCTTCCACATCGACCTTGACAATATCACCTTCAATCTTGGCACCATTCACCTTTGTAGACATCTTGAACTTGAGACCTTGCTTGGACAAAAGACGATGGAAAGTCTTGGCCATTTCGGGATCCATACCGGCACCAATGGCATCCAAGTATTCAACAACGGTAACTTCAGCACCAAGACGAGACCAAACAGAACCTAATTCAAGACCAATGACACCAGCACCAATGACAACCATCTTCTTGGGGACCTTGGTCAATTCAAGGGCACCAGTGGAGGATACGATCTTCTTTTCATCAATTTCAATACCAGGGATAGGAGTGACTTCGGAACCAGTAGCAATGATAATGTTCTTGGCTTTCAAAGTAGATTGAGTACCATCTAAACCATCAACATTCACTTCAGTGGTTGATTTGAAAGAACCGGTACCCTTCAAGTAATCGACCTTGTATTTCTTGAATAAGAATTCAACACCCTTGGTCAATCCATTCACAGCCTTGACACGAGCCTTGTGCATGTTGTCCAAGTTCAATTGTACATCGCTAACATCAATACCACGGCTTTTCAAACTATGTTTAGCTTCATGATAAATATGAGAGTTGTTTAACATGGCCTTGGAAGGAATACATCCGACATTCAAACAGGTACCACCAAGAGTACCACGCTTTTCAATACAAGCAACCTAAGAAGAAAAAAAAAGTAAAAGTTCCTTGTAAATAATAATAATAATAAAAGAATATTATTTTCAATATCCTGATTCAGTTTCCCACATACCTTGAGACCTTGTTGAGCAGCTTTGATAGCAGCAGGATAACCACCTGGGCCTAAAAGAAAAAAGAGAATAAGATTGTCAGACGATATAAACCTTCATATTGACATCTTTCCAACCACATTTTTCCAATCTCTTTCTTGACAAGCACAATAAATAAAAAAAAAAAAATAGAAAACTTACCACCACCAATGACAACAACATCATATTCAGAATCTAAATATCAGAAAGAAAAAAAAAGTTTGCATTATTTCCTTTTTATCTGTCGAATATGTCAAAGACAAAATAAATGTGTAGTTTGAGATTGAAATTCTTACCAGCAGGAGCACTGTAGAAACGATAGAATTGGTTGGCAATAGGTGCACGGATAGCCTTGACACCAGTATGACGAGCGGCGATCTATGAAAAGAATAAAGACAAAAAAAAAAAAAAAAAAAAAAAAGTGAATTACAGTTATTCTTCTATTATCACAAAAAAAAAAAAAAAAAAAAAAAAAAAAAACAACCCGGTCTTTCCGTATTAATCCCCAACAACACTTTTGCCCCTCCACCATTGATGAATTATATGATTGTAATATCCTATATATATATATCCATAAAAGAAACATATCATAACTTACATTAGCCAAAGGTTTGGCGGTGACTAATTTGAACATAATAATACAAAAAAAAAAAAGAAAAAAAAAAAGAAATGTGTATGTAAGAAAGAAAAAAGAAAGGTAGTGGAACAAGAAAAAAAAAAAAAAAACAGGGAGAAAATTGGAGAAAAAATTTAAGGGAAGCGGGAAAATATCGTCAAAAAGTTTTTTCGACGTCATGTAGTAAGGTTTCGCACGGGTGATGCTGCGATTGAATTGTGCCTTCCGGTGTCTTCCACTCATCGAATCACTTAACCCAATAAAAAAAAAAAACGGAACTTGTCGGTTGTACCTTTTTTGTTACCCCTTTTCTATAAAAAAAAAAAATAGGAAATCATTACTTTTCACCATTTAAAAAAAAAATCAAAGAAATCACCTAAAAAACAAAGAAAAAAAAAAAGAAAGCCAACATCCTACCACTCTATTTTTTTTATTGTAAAAATAATGTATTCATGCATAAAAGTAAATAATCTTTTTTTTTGTTTCATAATTCTAATGTCAAAATGGCTACATTAAATAATGGGTCGACTACAATAGACTAGAATTTTATATACCATTGGCCATAATATCATCCATACAAAGGTCCTTGGCCAAAAAAAAATCACCTTGGGCATCTTGTAAATAAGTGGCAAGAACATGTCGAGGTAGATGGTGGAAAAAAGCACAAAGATCATCCAAGGATTGTTCAAATGCATTCATGCTAACTTTGCTACGTCTCCTAGATAAAGGTTGAGGTGGTGGTGGTACTTGTTGACAAGAAGAGGACCAACGTCTTGTATTTATTCCATTAGGTGACATTGTATAACCATCTGTACCATCTTGATAGTAATCATCGTATTCCAATTCATCTTCGGTATAGGATGTTCTTCGTCTGTGACTATTATTACTATTCTTTCTTCTTCTTCTACTTTCACCAGATCGTTGGTTTCTTGATATTGATGCAGGATAGGCTGAAGGTGGCATCATGTAAATCGGATCCGTCATTCTTCTACCTGTATTGGCCGCTAAAGGTGGTGGCAACTCATAGTATTCCGTACCATTGTTCGTTGAATGAGAAGATGCATTTGATAATCGGCGATGTCGTCGTGTAGATTTTTGTTGTTCTAATGATGTTGACCTTATTCCAGAGAGTTGACGAGATGGAGACCGATGGCGACCTGATATCTTCATATTTGTTTTGCCATGATGGAGAGTGTCTGCTGAAGTTGATATCACTGCTGGAGGATGTTGTCCACGTGGATAGTGAGTAGATGATGGACAAAGATATTCAGAGGATCTTGTCCGTTTGATCATCCTGGCGCTGTTACTGTCGTCTGAGTATCTATCATCTGGATGGGGCCCTGATGCATCAAGATAGGATTGTCGCATGCTGGTATTGCTGCTACTACGATAAGGTCTTGTATCATGAGCATGTCGTCTAGGCGTAGGATGATGCTCGGGTGATATAAGATAACGAGATGAAGATGGTATCATTCTATCAGGACTAGGTGATCTTTGGTGGAAGTCAGATGACGAACGTTTCTGAAGACGATGATGATGATGATGATGTTGCTGTTGTTGACGAGGACGAGAATCCACATAGCCTGAAAGTGGTGAACTTTTACCAGCCATAGGTGATACGCTTCGACTTCGATTGGGTGATGGTGACCGAGGAGAAGGTGATACACTACGACTACGTTGTTGTTGATGACGTGATGTTGTCATGGCCGTTGGTGGACTTAACAAATATTTCTTCTTGCCGTTGCCGTTGTTGTTGACAGGAGATGTTGATGTCGATGGGTGATGAGATTTCTGAAATTCCATAGAGGGTCTTGGTGATACTGATTTTGTCTTTGGTCTAGATGTATATGGAATATCGTTGAAACTTGGTATTGATGAAGTTTTCTTCAAAGTAGTTACAGGTTCATCTACAAAGCTGGTTGTAGAGGATTTTTTCTTCAAATGTGGTCCAGAGTCATCGGAATTGTTATTCAAATTGGATCTTGGGATGTAGGACGGCTCGTCCATAGTCATAGAAGGATGTTTTTTCAAAATGGATACAGGCTCACCAATGGAAGAGAATGATTTTGACTTTTTCTTTTCAAGCGATCCAACGTTATTACAAGGTTCCTGTTGTGCTTGTTGTATGACGTGATCATCTATTTGTGATCTATTGTTGAAGGATGGTAAATTACATGTCGTTGCATTGTCTGGTGAAACATCTTGCTGTTCATAAAGGGATTCCACTTGATTGTTCTGCATCAGTTGTTGTTGTTGTTGTTGCTGTTGTTCCTGTTGATATAAGGAAGGCATTGACTGTGTTTGTGTTGGCTGAGGAGAAACAGATGGCATTAGTTGGAAGGAGAGAGATGATTTTGATGAGGATACCGAAAGTCTTGATAATTTACTGTTTGCATTGGAAGTCAGAAGGTTACTGGATGTTGTTGTATCACCGGTTTTTGAGTGACGTTTGAAGATACCAAACAGTGACTTGGATGATTTTTTGGGTTTTGGAGTATAATCTAGAATATAAAAAAAAAAAAAAAATGTAAATCAATAAGCATAATGAATGAATTATCAATTACTCGATAACACCTTTTCTTTTATTACTATTATTATTATTATTATTATTATTATTATTTTGACTTACTCATCACCAAATCAGGGGGTCCTTTGCTATATTGTTTTTTGATCCAAGGCACCATATCAGTTCTAGCCATAATACAATGAGAATACGCATTATCTAATAAAATTCATTGAATAATAAATAATAAAAATTAATACTATTACTAAAACGTCAAATGCAAGGTAGATCCTTTTCTTTTTCCACTGACCGTTCCCTTCCTCTTTTTGTTTGTTCTCTTTTTCCTTGGTCACTTACTATAAGCATTAATACGATCTTCATGAGTACCAACTTCTCTAGCCATTTTGGTACGTAATACAATAGAATGCGGTTCACCAATGCGATGGATAGGAGTGAGAAAAGGTAAAGGCGAGAAGTTAGGTATACCAGAGATTTGTTCTTTTTCACCTGGATAGGGATCGACTTTTTGGAGATTTCTAGCCAAAGATTGATTATTGCCATCATAGGAAGAAGAATCGAATTCATTTGTTGTATGCCAATCAGTAGGAGCAAGATTCACAGTATTAGTGTATTGTTGATGATCATCATCATCATTGGTATCATTGTATACTTCATTTTCTTGACGTTCCACATTATTAGATTGAGATATGTTTTCGGTATAATTGTTAGAAGAATGTGTTGATAATAATGGAGGACGGGATTGTTGATCACGTTGAGTACTTTTGTTATAAACTGTATTCACTGGTGATAAAGATGATTTGACAATAGAAGAAAAATTGGTATCCAAAGTTGAATGTCGTCTTTTGTTGTATGCATCAGGACCCAAGTCGCGTGGTGTACTAGTTAATGTTTGTTTGACGAGACCAGCAATGTGAGCAAGTTTAGCACTACTGACTACACCAAAAGAAGTTGTTGATTTAGGTCTTTGTAATAAACGTTGCTTTGATATTGATGGTTGTAATTGATTTTGGATTGAAGTAGTTGCATAATGATTATCGTCTACTTGAGAAGAATCATTTAATTGTTGGGTTTTACATTTGTAACACAAACATACGACTTGATCATCATGATGATGTTCGATCTGTGTTGGGTCAGCAGTATAACTATAATATATAAATAATAATAATAATAAATCAGTATACCAAAAAAAGTTTAAATTATCATTTATTACTTTTGGTCATCATCATCATAAATATCTTCCTTGTCAGATTCTACAAACATGGCAGTCTGTAATGTTGATGGCGAGCTGATTTTTGAGTGATTTGATAGGTCATCTTGAGTATTTGTTTCATCCTCTTGAATTTGTTGATCATCATCATCATCTCCTTCTGTAGACAGATTGAATGGTGATAATATTGATGGTGTCATAGGTTCTTGTTCAGATTTGCCTTGATCTAAAGTAAATAAATAAAATATCTTTTTTCAGTTTCATTTTTGTTCTTTTTTTTTTTTTTTTTTTACTTCTTTTACCTCCAAGATATTCATTGATTTCTTCAAAAAGTTCTTGTATCATATCTTTAATAAAATAAAGTGATTTAGTTCTTGTTGAAAAAAAGAATCATTTCGAATGAGATTAACGACACTTCTTTACCTTGACTGTTATTCAAAACAGGTCTTTGATATGAGTCCATAGTATACAAATAATAGTAATAATAATAAAGAGTTAAAATAAGAAAAATAAATAAATAAGGATATAAAAAGAAGAAAGAGAGGGAAAAAAAAAAAACGAAAGAGAACAAGAATTAAAAAACACTGAAAAAGAAAACATCATCCAAATTTGGAAATGAACCTAAATTTTTTAAAACAACGATATCAGTCAGTGTTATTTGTTTTATTTGTAAACGATGCAACAAGTGCCATAAATGTATACTGTCATTTTAATTATTTTGCCTCATTCCCTAAATGAGACCTTTGTTCTTCCAAAAAGGCTCTTTTTTTTTTTTTATGACAACGGATAATCATCTACATCTTTTTCTTTGAATTATTATCCAAATCAAGATTATTGTTTTTCTTTTTGTACTATGCTTCATCTATCGTATCATTTTTTCTTTTTTTTTTTTTTACTTTTTACTATTAAATAGATAATGAAGAATGTGAGCATATTATATTTGATTAACGTTTTTTTGATTCCATTACAGTAGCTCGGTTCTCTAATTAACGATCATCATTGGATTGATCATAAGTTGAAAATATATCAACTATTGATTCCTAATAAAATTCTCATCCTAAATATATCTTGAATATCATCATCATCATCATCATCATCATTAGTATTGTCACTAATACAGCACTGATGCATCCTTTCACTCCCAATAAAAATGATATTACAGGATTCAGTCGTTTGTGATTTGAAACACCGCGGTAAATCTAGTAGTTGGCTGGAGTCAACCAAAAACATTGAGTGATCTCTTTCTCTTTTTTTTTTTTCTTTCACTAATACGATTATCATGGGCATCTGTGATGTGAGCAAAGTCAATTTACTAAGGTCATATCTAAATTTTAAAGCACGAATTCAAATTACAGATGGAAGAATCTTCATTGGTACTTTTGTATGTGTGGACAAACAAAAGAATATCATATTAGCTCAAGCAGAAGAATTTCGTCAAGGTAAATAATAAGTAGAAAAGTCCACCTTATTTAAATATATATATTCTGATACTAATATCGTTTTCACTTTTAATAGAAGAAAGAAGATTAGTTGGTCTTATTATGATTCCTGGTATTCATCTGGTCAAAGTAGAAACGGAAGATCTTGATCTATACATCTAGTGACACTCTTCTTCCTCTCACCCCCCCCCCCCTTTTACCCCCACTCCTCCTGCCATCCCCCTTTTATTTCTATGTTTGATATTTTTATTTAGTCCTCTTTTTTTTTGTAAAATATATATGTATATCCAATTCAATTTATTATTATTTTATTTTTATATATTGTAAAACTATCAATTCAATAAAAAAAAAAATTACAAAAATTCCACTATGTACCCTTGTTCAAAAATATTTCCAAAGAACTATCTATCTATTTATTCTATGCTATCATATTGATAATCCCATCCATGGATCCTTTATAAAATCAGCGGAATAATACCAGGCATAACGTTGTTCCAAAGTTTGTGGTGAATAATCAACTTGAATATCTGTTTCTTGTTGCTGCCGTTGTTGTCTATGAAATGGTGGTGACTACAAAAGATAAAAATAATAAAAAATGAATGCTCATTTAACATTACCGACGTCGTGGTCATTTATTAGTTTATTACCTTATAACCTTGGCCACGACCACGACCAAGTCCCCGTTGTGGTGCAAATCCGCGTCCAATGGCTGCTCCTCTTCGTAGTCCATGAGCGTGTCCTCGTTGTTGATGATATGCTGACTGGTATCCTTGCTGTTGTTGCTGTGTTACTGGTGGTCCATGACTATAAGTTTGAAATGTACCTCTTCCTCGTTGTGGCCCTTGATTATAGCCTCTAAATGCACCTCTTCCTCGTTGTGGGACTTGTTGATAGCCTCGAAATGCACCTCTTCCTCCACGGTACGGCGGTGCTCCAGAAGGTCGACTTGATGATGATTGATATTGAGGATAAGGTGGTCGATTGGGTTGATCTGACATTATTGTCAAATCTTGAGTTAGGAAATAAAAGGCAGAAGAAAGAAAAAAAAATATCAACTGCCTAACAAAGGAATGGAAAAAAAAAAAAAAAGATATGGAAAAATTAAATCCCGATTTTTTTTTTTTTGATTTTCTTCGGTTTTGATCAAATGGTAAATAAGTATTCAGGGACACATAAATATCTTTCAATATATCGACAGTAGTATAGTAGAAGTAGATAATGATGAAGAGAGATAATAATGATAGATGATATACGATAATGCATAACAAATAATAATGAAAGATATATCATGACGAATAATATATGAGCCAGCGTCGTATTCTCTCAATTATATAAAAACTGATTAATGGCTAAAAGAAATTCAGTTGTTCTTAATCATAAATAAAAGATAGATCATCATTAACTGTTATTACCAAGAGATGAAGAAGGGAAAAAAAATGACGAACTAACGTGAGAACATTAAGGATTCATCATGCAGAGTGAAAGAACAAGGAGAAAGAAGAGGAGAGAAAGGTAGAAGTGAAAAAAAAAAAAGAAGGAGTGATGGCACATCAAAAAAAAAAAAAGTGGGAGGCATTTTATAAAAGAGAATAAAAAAAAGTCTCCTTCAGTATGACAATAGGTCGAAGGAAAGAATAAAAATCTTTGGCAAGAAGTTCACACGCCGCTTAGCCAATCAATATCCAGAGAATGAGGAAGCATAAAAAAAAAAAAGCATTCCAGGTTCCCCTTGCTTTTCTCTCTCTCTTTTCTTCTTTTTTTTTTCTCCTTTTTTTATAAAAGTCCCCTTTTACCCCCCTCTTCTTTCTTTTTTTTCTCTTTTTTCTTTTTCTGTTTCTTTCTTTCTTTAGTTTTACAAAACTAAAAGATACAAAATGTCACCAGGATCTATTGTTGCCATGCCCGTTGCTGTAAGAAAATAAATAAAAAAAAAAAACATAATTAGATGATTAATTTTCCTTTTTTTAATATTAGACATCATTGGAAGGTTATGTTGGATTTGATACAATTACTCAACAAATTGAAAAGAAATTATTAAAAAGAGGATTTCATTTTAACGTTATGGTTGTTGGTAAGTAACGCGTTTTCAATATTAAATAGAATATTAATACTCACTTTTATTATTATTATTGTTGTTATTATATTTTAGGTCAATCTGGTTTAGGAAAATCTACTTTAGTAAATACTATCTTTGCTTCTCATTTGATTGAAAGTAAAGCACGATTGGAAGCTGATGAACCTCATAGACAAACTACTGAAATTGAAACTGTTTCTCACTGTAAAATGAATTAATATATATATATATATATATATTGAATGAATATTTATTTTCTCTTTTTTATATATAGTGATTGAAGAAAATGGTGTTCATTTACGTTTGAATATTGTGGATACTCCTGGTTATGGTGACCAAGTCAACAACGAAAACTGGTAAGAGAAAAAAAAAACACCTCCTTTCTCCTTGCTTATTAGCAGAATCCAAACGAAACCTTAAAAGAGAACATTCTTTTTATTTTTATTTTTGTTATTATTATTTAGTTGGGAACCTATTATCAAGTATATCAAAGATCAACACTCTGCTTATCTTCGCAAGGAATTGACAGCAACTCGTGATCGTTATATTCAAGATAGTCGTATTCATTGCTGTTTATTCTTCATTAGTCCAACTGGTCATGCGTAAGTGGGGTGATATCAAACTCATTCAAACATTTTAACGATGTATGTCCTTTTCTCTTTTTTTTTTTTTTTTATTTTTTTTATTTTTTTTTGTTTGGAGAATACCTTAGATTGAAGCCTATTGATATTGTCGTATTGAAGAAATTATCGGAAGTGGTAAATGTTGTACCTGTGATTGCTAAATCGGATTCCTTGACTATTGAAGAGCGTCAATCTTTCAAGCAAACTGTAAGTTAATGCTGTACATATATATATATCTTGATCTAACTTTGTATTCTTTTATTGTAGATCAAAGCAGAACTGACCTTCCACAACATCAAGTTATATCCATACGAAAGTGATGAAGATGATGAACAAGAACAAGCGTTGAACGAAAGTATTCGTGTAAGTTCAATAATGAGACGATGAGAAGATGACTGACTCTGATTTCCTATTTAGGAACTTTTACCTTTTGCTATCGTTGGATCTGAAAGAAATGTGGTGATTGATGGTCGACCTGTCCGTGGTAGAAAAAATCGATATGGTGTTATCAATGGTAAATGAAAGTAGATCAAAAAGGTAAATTATATTCACTTTTTTTTTTTTTACTTTAATTTATACTAGTTGAAAATGAAGAACATTGTGAATTCATTCATTTGCGTAACTTTTTGACTCGAACACATCTTCAAGATTTAATTGAAACAACAGCCCAAATTCATTATGAAGCATTCCGTGCAAAACAATTACTGGCTATCAAGGAATCCACTCATTCCAACATGAATCAAACTTCAAGTGGTTCTACATCTCAATCGACTATGCCTCTTAGTCCTAATACCATCAACACGATGCCTTCACCCAATTCATTGACTAGTCCTAGTGGTACCAGTCAAGCCATGAATCCCTCTCCTACAATGGAATCATCAAGCCCATTAAACAAGTAAAAACAAAAAAAAAAAAATCAATCAGTAGAAAAATATGACGTTTGCGCCGAGATGATGGATACATTGATGGATTCTTTCTTTTTATAGGTCGGTCCCCACTCTAGCTTAAAAAAAAAAGTGGTTATATCTCTCTCTCTCTCTTTCTCTCTCTTTTTGATCCCAATGGATCTGTTTTAGTTGGTGTCGTAATAGTTACTTGATCTCTCTTATCCTATTTTTACTTTATTCTATCTCCTTTTTTATTATTAGTATTATCTGAAGTAATAAAAATACAGAAATCCTTACCACCTTTTTATTCCTTCTTTTTTGTCACCCATAACCAACTACCATTTATGGAATACCTTTTTCAATTTCCGGTACTTATGTATAAATTTGCGCGGTACATCTCTTTTTTTTTCTTTTTTTTTTTTTTTTTCTTTTTTTTTCGTTGTTGTCTTTCTTCTTAACTTCTAAACTTTTATCAAATATGTCCAATTGGAAAAACGTTAATAACTGGTAATACAATTGAATGCTTCTATATATAAAAATTTAGTAAACTAATCATTTCTCTTCATTTTGTCATTGTAGGCACTGGTAAAGACTTCCCCTACTTACTATACATTTTTCATTAGCCTTATTCGTTGAAAGCAAGTCAGTGTTCAACTTGATCTTGCTTGATCGATCAATCAAAGCAATCGAATATTGAATATTTTGGGATTTCTTTTATTTTACTTGACGTCAAATTTTGGATATTGATACTAATATTGTTCGAACATATTATTTTTTTTTTCTTCTTCTTTATTTTCTTAGGGTGAACAAAAACTGTCTGCCTTGGTCTCAAACATACTTTAGTGAACAACTTGGAGCTATCAAGGTGGAAAACAATGGTCTTGAAGTAGTCATTAAAACTGTGGATACTGAAGGTGATGTTGAATTATGTCAACGCAAAGGCAAACTGATCACTATCTTTGATGTCCGCATTCAACTGGCTTGGAAAGGTACATTTGAGTATATATATGATAATTGGGAAAATACGTTATATTTATTGTATAGAAAGGAGAAAACGTCTATGAATTAATCTATTTGAACTATTATTAACCACACACATTTTATCTCTTTCTTTTTCTTTCTTGATTAGGTACTTCTTCTGATGGAACGGAAGCTTCTGGAAAGATCGTTATCCCCGAAGTGGCTCATGATACTGATGAAGATGAATATGTGGTATGAACTGAAAAAAAAAAAAAAGAATATAAATACACATACTTATATATAATATACAATTCTTCCCCCCCCTTTCATTCTTCTATTGATCTATACATTCACTACAACTTTTATTTTTCTTCTTTTATATAGTTTGATATTTCAGTGGAAAATGAAACAACTGCCAAACAAGGTTTCCGAGATGTGATTAAGAAGAACTTGATTCCTATTTTACGTAAGAAGTTGACCGTCTTCTCTTCTGATTTGATCAAAAGTAAGTACAAAATAAAGAATCATGATACCTTGTTATCGACTGATCTTTATATTATCTTTTTTTTTTCTTTTTCACTAGATCATAGTTCCGATGTGTATATTGAAAATGGAAAAAATGCTATTCAACCTGGCGTCACCAAGGAACGTAGCAATGTTACTCATATCAATAAGTCCACCACTAGTACTACTTCCTCTACAACAGTATCAAATGCTCCTACGAAAAAAGTGAATACGACCTCTATCACTGATGATGTTGAATTCCAAACGTCTGCACATGAAATCTATGAAACTTTATTGGACACTCAACGCCTTCAAGCTTGGACTCGTGGTCCTGTCAAAATGTCACGCGAAGTTGGTAGTACTTTCGAACTTTTCAATGGTAATGTGTCTGGCAAAATTATGGAATTGGTAAGAAAGAAAGAAAGAAAGAAAGAAAAAAAAAGAAAAAAATCATAGAAATAGTGTTAAAGAGTAAAGGGTGACTAAAACACCTTATTTTATCATTATTATTATTATTATTATTATTAGATCCCTGACAAGAAGATTGTTCAATCATGGCGATTGAGTTCATGGCCTGCTGGTCATTATTCTACGGTGACTTTTGATTTTGATCAAGGTAGTGATAGTACTAAGATCAATGTCAATCAAACTGGTGTACCTTTGGGTGAAGAAGAAACCACTCGCAACAACTGGAATGGGTATTACTGGCGTGCTATCAAACAAACCTTTGGCTTTGGTGCGGTGTTCTAGAAGAATTAGCTATAGTTAGATGATTTTTATAAAATTTATACAATGAAAATAAATCAACATTTTTTTTTTCCTCAACAGGTGTTTATCGAATTTTGTCTTGGTATGAGGTGGATGGATTAATAGTTATACGGTTTATTCACTTTAAATTGAGACAGAGAGTAAAAAAATATAGACAAAGAAAAAAAAATAAATTTGGGAGTGAGGGGAAAATCAATATGGGAGTGAAAGAAAATCAAATTAAGAATGAAGGGAAAATCAAATTGAGAGAGAAGGGAAAATCAAATTGGAATACCAAGCGGATAATATATTTAGAAGATAAAATAAAAATATACATCAGTTAGTACATCATCATTATTATAAAAAAAAAAAAAAAAGGATTACTCACAACACGTAACTTAGACCGTTTTAACTACAGTCAGGACGATAAAGCAAAGAGGAAAAAGAAAGGCTGCTGTTGCTGATAGGATGATCGAAGAATTGGTATTGGTTGACGGGAGCTTGTTAAACTAATGCCATTTTGTTTGATGGTAGCTTAGGCCCACGCACATCAACACGAACCATAATGATAATAAGAGGAGGACGGAAGAAAAGGAAAAGCAGACAGACAGACATGATCGATAAAAAACCTCTTGCCTTGAATAAACTGTACAGAGACACCAGACAACCACAGAGATTGGCCCAAGAGGACCTTTTGATTAGATCTACAATGATGATGATTTTATATTAGATGATGAAAATAGTTATCTTATAATATCAATTGTTACTTACTTGTTTTTTTGCCTTTTCTTTGGAGTATTGATAAAAAAAAAAATATAAAGTGAAAAGAAAGAGAGAGAAAAATTCGATTTGAGGGTTTAGAAAAGAAAAAGAGATGTGCTTGAAAGGAAAAAGGATAAATCACAATCATCTCTCTTTTATATTAAATCAATTGAACTGGACAACATTTTCTTTGTTTTGCTTCATTCTTTTTCTTTAGTTCCCCCTTTTTTTTGAAATAGTAATAAATCAACGAATAGATGTACAATGATGTAACCCACAGAACTGTTAAACAATCGAAATGAAAATAAATAGCTTCTTTTCTCTTTGACAACCTTTTTTTTTTTCTCAAATTCTTAATTAACCTTCTCCTTTTTTTCCATATTTATCAAAAAAACAAATGAATCAATGAGTAGATGTGTACTATTAAACAATCAAAAGGATATAGGTTGGACTATTTTTATTCTTTGTTTGGTTCATTAACTTTAGCAACTTTCCTTTCATTCTCATTGGTGGAATCAGTGAATAGATGAATCAATGCAAAAAGGATGATGTGTGATGTTATTGATGGAGTAAATAAGGGAGCAATCCAAGGGAAGGATCCATGATTAAATCAAACAAGACTTTTTGGGAAAGGTGTAGACTGTAATTTTTTTCTGGGAGACGGTTATGAGAAGTGGCGGTAATCATCCATCATCCATTTGTCCTTTTCTCATAATTCATTTCCGCCATACAAAAAAAGGATCATCGCAAATCTAGTCGAGCACTGATACACACAAGTCTCATAATCCAATTTCTATTAGTCATGCTCCCAAGCGGGTCCTCAATCAACTCTAAGAATTCCACATCTTTTTTTTCTATTTCTTCCTTTCTTTCTTTCTTTCTTTATTTCTTTTTCGATATATATTTACATATTTGTTTCAAGAATGACCATCAAGGCAGTTATTTTTGATATTGGTGGTGTATGTGTTGGGTCACCCATAGAGGTAATCATAATTAGTAATATATATATATATATATAAAAGAAAGTTGTTTGGATCATCCTCACGCTTACATTCTCTCTCTTTATATTTATATTAGGGTATTCATCGTTATGAAGAGAAACACAATTTGCCTAGGGATTATATCAATGTAGCAATGTAAGTAATGAGAAAAAAAAAGAAGAAGACTATATCACCCGGGTATAATGTCTTTACTAATGATCTTAATATATTTGTAGTGTCAGTCAAGGGGAAGGTGGTGCATTCCAGGTATTGTCAGATGAAGGCGGGTGGGAGAAAGAGAAAGAAAAAAGGACCTAAGGAATAACAAAAAGTTCCTTTTTCTACCTTTTCCTGTAGCGCTTCGAACGTGGAGAAATCAAATTACATGATTTTTATAAGGCGTTTGGTGAACAATTATCGGATCCCAAGAACAAGCAATATTATCAAAAGTATCTGACCAAGACTGGAAAAGGTAGAAAGAAAAAAGACAAAAAAAAAAAAAAATAGTAGTAGACAAATTATCACTTCCTAATGACCTTTCTGGTATCTTTCTCTGTAGCCAATCACCAACTTATTCCAGATATCTCTGTGAATGGACAAGAACTATTTCATACCATGATGGCTGAAGCAAAACAAATAGATCCTTATATATTTCAAGCCATTCAACAACTCAAAAAGTCAAAACGATTTATTCTTGCAGCATTGACAAACAACTTTGAAGTCCCCAAATCAGATCAACAGGAACTCCAAGCTTTAGGTGATGGCCCTCCAAAAATTTTACGAAATTCTTTTGATCATTATGTTGAATCAACCGTGGTGGGATTAAGGTAAAATAATAATTAATACGATACATAGTTGATGGAAAAAAAACTAAGGGGAACGATGGATCTGATGTCGACATTTTTTTTTTTTTTTTTTTTTTTTTTTTTGGGTAGGAAACCTGATCCACGGTTTTATCTTTATGCTTGCAAGTTACTTGGTATTGAACCTCACGAGGCAGTATTTTTGGATGATATTGGTGGCAACTTGCGGACGGCAAAAGAACTTGGGATGCAAACCATTCGTAAGTAAACAGACGAATAATAATAATAATAAAAAGATGGACGGAGGATTGAAACTCAATGACATTAACATTATTATAGAGGTCAAGGTAGGTCGAACCAAGGAAGCAGTCAAGCAACTGGAAAAGATAGTGCAAATGGATTTATTATTAGATCAGAATAGCGGTGATAGTGGTCCCCGTTTGTAGTTTTAGTACTTGTCATAGTTATTTTTTTTTATATATCTTTCACATTCCCCCATCCTATTATTTTAGTATGATGATATATATATGTATAAAATAAAGTTATATTTTACATAGACATGATGCATTGTCAATCGACAATATAGGTTTAAAGAAAACGGGATGACATTGGGATATTCCAGGGACAATATGAATGGGATGTGCATATGCGTCTAATGCAACGTTCATCATCCATTAGAATATATACATATAAGTTTTTTATTTTCTTTATTGTAACAATAGAATCAAATAAAAATATACAAAAGAAGAAGAAGAAGCAGTAGAATAAATATGTAGAGGATAAAACTATGTTCTAATGGGGTCAAATATAATATAAAGTTTAGTCCCATCACGCATAATATGAGATGCATCAGTTACAGGAGGCTATGAATAAATAAATAAAAAAAAAAAAGATGAGTCCTTTTCTTTTCCTTTTAAGGGGAAGATGAATTACACAATGAGATTTTTTCAACCAAATATCTAGGGCTTCTAAGACCAAAGAATCAGGGATCATGGAATAATAAGAATCTTGTTGAATGGACATGGTAGATAAGGCGGGATTAACAAACTGGATACCAAAAGGAGCCAAAGGATCATCGCTGGAACAAGTAGTTTTAGTAATCAAAAGTTTCAAGACCCACTTTGATTGACCAGATAATAATGATTTGGCTTGATAAAACCTTGGATCTTTGGTTTGACTGGTTCCTACTCTAATCCATTTGTTCAAAGTGACCGATTGGCGTAAAAATGTTCGTAATCGCATTTGATGATTCTATATAAATACTATAACTGTTAGATCAATGGTATCCTTTTTTGGAAGCGATGAATGTTTTAATATTGAAGGGTCATCCTTTTTTTTTTTTTTTATCTCCTTACCTTTTGAATAGGAATCATGGTACGTGCTTGATTATGGGGTTCATCTTTGGAAATGATATGGTAGGCACGTTTAGGAGAGGCTGGTGGGGAGGCAGGTACCGACAGATTGGTAGATGATACGCTTTTATGGATATTGGAGGAAGAGATTTGATCTAACGATGATGATGATGATGATGATGATGATGACGATTTTACTATTGGAAAAGCATTGGATGATGGCGACAAACAAATAGAAGAACTTGGTGGGGATAAAGGAGGCGACACAGGAAGAGATGAATGTAAATTGGTTGTTTTCACTTTGAGAGAAGGATTCTTTAGGTTCGTCACCGTTGTTAATGAAGGAGCTAAAAAAGGAAACCGTTCATTAGCAACAAAAAAAAAAAGAAGAAGATAATAGTATTTACCATTGCTTGTTACCAGTTGAATAACATTACTTCTATATTGTGAGGATAAACGATCTATTTGTTTTGATGACCAGAGATTGGAATCATATTGTTGTAATTGAGGTTGATACATAGATACAGATTTGGATAATAAAAGAGAATAAGAAGACATTGATTGACGAAATGATGATGGCGGCGAATAATAAGAAGAAGAAGATGTCATCAGTGGCAATAATGACATTTCATCATCATCATCTTCTTCTTCTTCTTCTTCTTCATAACGTTTTTGTTGTTGTAAGGAGACTTGTAATGTTTCAAGTTGTGTTTTTAAAAGTTCTTTTTTGAGAATGATTTTAGTATAATTATGTCGATCTTCAGGATTACCAAGTTGTCCAGCCAAGCATAATAATGTTTCATTACTACAAACCATCATGATAGATAGAAAAAAAAAATGATAAAAGAAAATTAAAAAAAAAAATGGAAAAAAAAAATGGAAAAGAAAAATCTAAATTTCATATTTTTTTTTTTGGTAGGAGTGAAAAAAAAAGAACCCCTGATTTCCCTTATAGACAGAAGGGGATTCCTTCAAATGCAGTTCATCAAGCTTTATTAACTTTACGATATTCGCATTGACCTTTTTTTTCTTTTTCTTAACTCCTCAATAAGAAATATTAAAAACAATAAATGCAGTCAAGTCATGCATGATATGACATTCTTATTATATATGACATTGAATGATAATAGTTGATGATGCTTATTTCATCCGATATTCCGAAACTCTATCATCAAAAAAAGAAATCTTAACACAAATAGGAATGATCACAAAATAATAATAAATAGACTTTACTACTTTTAGATGACAATGAATGTGGACTAAAATGGATATATAAAAAAAAGAAGATAGATTGTCTGTGCTCTCCTTGAATTCCCAAAATAAGATTCAGTTGATGTTCATAAAGTTTTTCTTTTTTATTGTCATATATATGTAATTAGATCCATAGAAATATATATAAAAAAAATGGGCATATATAAAAAGGCATAGATATAAAATAAATAATGGGAAAAAAAGATGATCAACATTGGAGAAACAAGTTTATCATCTGGCTTCCAATTATTTTTCATGCATAAAAAGGGAGAGGACATATAAAAGGAGTTCAAAAGGGAAAAAAAATATAAACATAAGGGTACATAAAAACTAATAATAGTATCAATAAGGGGGTAAAGGTAAAGAATATTGAGTAGGATGATATAAAGGTCGAAGAATAGGTTTCATAATACAAGGATTGGAAGAGATACAAGATGTATCAGGAGAAGGATAATAATGATATCGCCAAGAGAATTGAGTTGTCCATTGATTTTCTTCTAATAAAGGAGATGATGTCATGATTGAATCCACAGAAGAAGATGAAGATCGATTATCATCCATATCTTCATCTTCTTTATCCATATCTTCTGTATCGTCATCCATTGAATCATCGTCATCTTCATCGTCATTGGTTGTTGAAGTTGTGGTGGTTGTTGATTGACCATGTTTATGTGATAAGATTTCGTTCAGAGGTCTCCATTGTAAGCAAGCTCTTTTAGTAGTATTATCATGTGCAGCCTTTTGATGTTTAGTTAATACAGTTTTCTTTCCAAAGCTTTTGTTGCAACCATCATGTGGACATCGATAAGGACGTTTTCCCATATGTATTCTTCTATTTAAAATGAAAAAAATGTCAAACCATGTGGATAAAAATGTGAGTTTTGACTTTGAAAAGATCATTCCTATTGCCTTTTTTGGTTTATTTTTTTCTTTCTTTACCGATGTCTTGCCAATGAACTACTGTCACTAAAACTTTTGCCACAATTTTCATAATCACAAGCATGAGGTCTTTCACCCGAATGTGTTCGCATATGAACTTTCAATGCAGATCTCTAAAATAAAATTATATAAATAAAAAAATTAGACATTTTTTTGATTTCCAATTTCAAAAAAAAAATAATTTACTTGTATAAAGCTTTTGCCACAGTTGGGTTCGTGACACACATATGGTCTAAGAAAGGAAAGTAATACAGAACGATCAAGAAAAGAAATCAATATGAAGACAACCAAAAAAAAAAAAAATTGACATCCCCCATTTACCTTTCGTTTGTATGAATTCTTAAATGACGAACAAGATCAGATCTTCGACCTATCAAATAATAAAAAAAAAAGAAAAGAATTAATATTAACAAAAAAAAAAAAAAAGAGGATGATTTATTTAATACCAAAGGCTTTAGAACAATGGCCAATGTCACATTTATGTGGTTTGTTGGTATCAGTTTGAGTTTCTGTATGAATCAATTCCAAGATATCCATTCACAAAGTTTTAATATAAATATATTTTAAATAGATTTGATGTTGAATACTAAATATAATATAAAATAAAAAATAAATAAATATATGTTTATTGATATTGTGCTTTTTTTTTTTTACTTACATCGTATTTGGCATAAACTTTGTGAAAATAAAAAAATAAATTCACAAATGTAAGGAATGAGAAGTCGAGTAATAACGTAAAAAAAAAGAGAGAGAGAGAAAGAAAGATATATAATAAAAAAAGAAGAGTAGTAATTTTGGTGCCTTTTTATAATAAATATAATAATAATAATAATAATAAAAAGGCAAAAAAAGAAAAGAAAAAAGAAAAAAAGAAGGAAAGAAAAGAAAAGAAGAAAAGAAAAAAAGAAATCAACTTCTTTTTTTTTTTTCTTTGCACCCTTTCTTCATCCCTATCAACCCCGCCCAATCGAAAAAAGGCAACCAAATGGAGTAGTAAAATAACATAAAAAGCGCGTGAACGGATTTGGTGATGAAAGAAAGAAAAAAACTGATCGGCAACCGGTGTTTCTTTATATTGAAACAGCGGTTAACAAATTTCATCCCCATGCTTCATCTCTCATATATTCTTTTACACCTTTTTTTTTTTTATTTTAAAAAACAAAAAAACATTGTGCATTATCCTCTTTGAAACACATTATCTTCATTGACATGCTTTTTTTTTTATTTTTATTTTTATTTTTTATTTTTTATCATTCGTGTCTTTATGAAACGGAAGAAACCATCCGTCATTGTGATTTCTTCGCGCGAATTGTATAAAAAAGAAAAAAGCTTATCCCTTTTTTGATAAAGGAGGGCTTTTCTTCTATTGGCTTAAATCATTCGGAGTTCACCGTTAGTCACACCGCATTTCACTACCTTCCCCCCTTCTTTTTCTTTTAAAAAGATCAACTTGTCGATACTTTTACTAAATAATATCATCTCTCCTTCTTTTTCTATTAGAAAGTACAGATGAATATGAAATTATATATGAATAAAATGAATAAAGGGAGGTAATAGTATGAATAATATACTCCTTTCTTTATGATCAATTATCCTTTTTTTTTTCTTATTGATCTGATAATATTAAAAAAGTATGTAAAATAAATAATTTTTTTGATCATGCTCTTGAGTTTTTCATTTACATAGAAAAAGTGCCCTGGGATGCATGATATGGTTACAATGGTTGTAATGGAAAAGTCCAAAAAATCCAAAAAGCGGCATTTGAAATACTCGTACTTTTTTTTTTTGTTTTCTTTGATTTTATCGAATATTTTTTTTTTTCGCGTTCGCGAGTTCTTTGCCTCATTCTCTCTCTCTCTCTTTTTTTTTTTTCTATATATAATTTTACACGTCATGAGTCTTTGGGCTGATAAACATCGACCTCGTCATCTTAGTAACTTGGATTATCATGAAGATTTATCTACACATTTAATGAATTTGGTAAGGTTGACAAATGAAAAGTTAAGAAAAGTAATAACACACGTTAACACTTTCTTTTTTTATTTTTTTTTTTTTAGGCCAATTCTGAAGATTTTCCACATTTATTATTTTATGGACCTTCGGGTGCTGGTAAAAAGACTCGGATCGCAGGATTATTGAAAGAAATCTATGGTGACAATGTTGAAAAAGTAAGTTGTATTTATGTTGAAGATAAAAAGACTAATGCACAATATGATTTATAGATTAAGATTGACGAACGACCATTTGTGACGAGCTCTCAAAAAAAAATTGTATATACAGTAGTAAGCAGCAATTATCATATGGAATTACAACCAAGGTAAGAAAAAAAAGAAAGACTATATAAACATAATATATCTTATCTTATACATATATTCCTTTTTTTTTTCTTCTTCTTTATCTTAGTGAATTAGGAAACAACGATCGAGTTATTGTACAAGAAGTGATTAAAGATGCAGCACAAAATCAACAAGTATTCGCTGGAGCCAAACATTCCTTTAAAGGTAAATGAAAAAATGCTACAAAAAAAAGGAGAACAAGTGTACTTACTTCATCTATAATTATATATATATACTTTATGATTCTAGTGGTGGTGATTGATCAAGCTGACTCACTTACACGGGATGCCCAAGCTGCTCTTCGTCGAACTATGGAAAAATATACTGCTAATATGCGCCTGATATTATGTTGCAACAACTTGAACAAAATTATTTCCCCTGTTCGATCACGATGTCTATTGATTCGTGTAGCAAGACCAAGTTTGGATGATGTAAGACAAATAGTTGGGATAAATATACCCTATTTACTAATTCTTTTTTTTTTTTTTTCAATAGACTGCACGTGTTTTACAAATGGTGGCCAAAAAAGAAAATGTCTTATTACCAACCTCTTTGGCTAAAAGTATAGGCAATCAAGTTCATTGTGATTTACGTGCTGCTCTTCTCTCCTTTGAAAGTACAGCTGTACGACAGTAAGTGAATAAAAAAAAATAAAATAGAATGATATCTTTATAGATCTCATTGTCTTTTATATATAGTGATGATTTGACTCAAATACAGAGAGCCGAAAAGTTGGATTGGGAAATGGTGATTGCTGGAATTGCAAAGGATATATTGGAAGATCAATCACCAGCAAAGTAAGTAAGGTTCATAGATTTAAAATATTTTATACATTTCTTTTTATTTTTATTTTGAATAGATTACTTGTTATTAGAAAGAAACTATATGAATTATTGACCCATTGTATTCCATCATCATTGATTCTCAAGGTAATAATAATAATGCATATGATATTTTTCAAAACTGACTTTTTTATTTATTAAGACATTATCTTTGGAATTATTTGATGAAATTCAAGAAGATCAAATCAGACGTCAAATCATGGATCAAGCAGCTATTCACGTAAGTTATTAGAGAAATAAAGAATTGAATCAAATATTTATTGTTGAACTTGTTAATAGGAATACCGATTACGGATGGGACGAAAAGAAATATTTCATTTGGAATCATTTACTGTTACAATCATGAGCATTTACAAAAGGTAAAACTAATATACTATTATATATATATATATATATATATATTATTCACTTTCTTTTTCTTTTTTCCAATAGATATCGTAACAATCTCTAGTGATAATAGTCTAGTTTTAGAAAGTTTTATTTTTCTATATAAATTACATTTATTACTATTATTATTTTTTATATTGTTACGTGATATTGCATAAATGACGTGTGGGAAATGTTTTTGGCGATGGATAAGAGTCATGTGGTCATAATCGAACGTATATTCAGAATAGATCTGCTTTCACTTGAATACTGCGGTTATACGGTAGAGACGGAATGAGTCAATGTCCCTATCGAATTTACATTCCGCTCCAATGGTTTTTTTTTAAGAAGAAAAAGAACTGTACTATATTCTTTTTAACATCTTTCCTTCTCTTTTTTTTAATTTATTTATTTCTCTATTCCAATTTTATATTATAATGCCATTACCACCTTTAACTGTTCCTGCTAATGTTCCTGAAAAAGTGAAGACTATTTGTATCTTTTGTGGTGCTGGTAATGGTGGTGATCCTATCTATGTACAACATGCTGAAGGTAACCAAAAAAAAAAAAAAAAAAAAAAGAAATGACAAGACTAATAGATGTTTATTGTTACATATATAGAGGTGGGAAAGACACTTGCAAAAAACAAGTTTGATCTTGTTTATGGTGGTGGTTCTGTAGGGATTATGGGGGCTGTGGCAAAAGCAGTTCTATCTGAAGGTGGTCACGTTCGAGGTGTTGTGCCTGACCCCTTGTTCCGTCATGGGTCAAAACAAATTGCTACTACTATTGATTTGGTACCTGATATGCATACTAGAAAGAAAACTATGAATGATCATGTAAGTGTTTACTCATTCCAATATACATATATATATATTTACCCTATTTTTTTTTTATTTTATAATTAGAGTGATGCTTTTGTAGTATTCCCTGGTGGTTTCGGTACTATGGAAGAAATGTTGGAAATGATTACTTGGTCTCAACTCAATGTTCACTCAAAGCCTATAATTTTAGTCAATACTAAGGGGTACTTCAACTTGTTTGTCCAATGGGTACAAATGATGATTGATGGTAAGGATGAAAAGTAAAAAAAAAAAAAAAAAAAAAAAAAAGGAAATGATATTGACTAATATTACTTTATATCTACTACTTTGATGGATGAAAATTAATCATAGAAAAATTCATTGCTGCTGGAAATCGAGATATCTTTGTTGTTTGTGATACAGCTGAACAAGTAATAGAAGCTCTTGGATCTTACAAGGCACCTACTTCTCGATATGGATTAGATTGGATTAAGACAGACCCCATCAAGATGTAGTTTTAGTATTTTTTTTTTTTTGTTTATTATCATTCCTCATTTGTGTAAATAAACTATAGAAGATGATTTTTTTGTTAAACTAGATAATGGAGGAGGTTCTGGCCAGGATATCTTAGTACTTGTGGAATTGTGTATTGTTGTGGAAGAATAGTCTGGATCATCATCTATACGATATGCATGTTGATCTTGTTCAAAATCATTTAATAGTTTCTCTATAGCATTCCCTTTAGCTTCATTTTGCTGTCTTTCTAATTGTCTTTGTAATCTAGCTACTTGGAGATCATGTTGTGTCTGACATGAAGAAATGGCCATTTCTTGTTCTCTAGTCATATGTTGTATCCGTTGAATATGTGCTAACTTCACTTGTTCAATCATCCTTTTTTTTTCTTGAACTAATTGTTCTTTTCTTGATAGAATGGCTTGATGTTCTTTTAATGCTTTTTCATATTGTTCTTGATTGATCTATATACACAGAAAAAAAAAAAGTGGAAGATTAGAATAATTCTCCGCTATGATATATCTTCTTTTTGTTTTTTATCAAACCTTGAGTTGATTTTCAAGTGCCTGAATTTGTTCAATATAACTCTTTTCTTTTGTGGACTAAATAGAAAAGGATTACTTGAATCAATCATGATGATTTCTTTTTTTTTTTTTTAAATATATATATTATACCTTTTCTTCTTTTTCATTTTTTAAAATATATATACAGGAATCAGACTATTGGATAATGAATGATTAGATTTATTCCTAGTAAACTTTATTCATCCTTACATTTTCATTCAATAAATATTCACCAGTGACTGAATCAATAGTCATCTTTTGAATTGAATATAATGAAAATTATTCTTTTTAAAGTAGAACCAAAAAAATAATAATAAAACAAAAGAAAAAAAAGAAAAATAAAACAAAAGAAAAAAAAAAGGTTGTGATAGACGCCACGTTTTAATATTGAAAGAGAAAAAAAAAAGAAAAGAAAAAAGAGAGGGAGAGGAGAAATTCAATTATTAGTTACAATTCTTTTGAGGAAGCAACCTCAAGGAGACACATTCAAAGTGGCAAATAAATAATAATAAAAATAATGATGAAAACGTGCTTTTATATGAACAAAAAAAAAAAAAAAAAAAAAGGGGTAAAATGGATCATCATCATAGAAGTTATTTTTATTTCTAAATGATGATCGTAAAAAGAAAAAAGAGATGAGGGCGGTGTTTGAACAATATGCCTTGCTTCACTTCCAATATGAAAAAAAAAAAAAAAATTGTTTACCTTTTTCTTTTTTTTTTTTTTTTTTTTTGTTCTTATACATCTTAATACTTTACAAAGACATTATGCCTAAACCAGTAACCATTCTAGGCGGTCTTATAGTAGTGTCTGCTATTACTTATAAAATTCGAGAAGATAGGAAGAACGAAACTCGTCTTGGTCAACAACAATTACCTTCATCTATTGATAGTGGTCTTGAAAAAGAAGTGGATATGATTCAACGTTCTTTGGAGAACTCTCAAACTTATATTAAACAACGATTAATTCCTTCAGGTAAAAAAAAAAAAAAAAAAAAAAAAAAAAAAAAAAAAGAAGAATGACACTTGTTTTTAATAGAAATATTCATTCTCTTTATTATTATTATTATTTTTTTAGTCAAAGCAAGTTGGAATGAACATGTTACAAACGCCACTCATGCCATGATCAAGTCTGACCTCCCTACTCAAGCAGGTCGACTTTGGAATAAGCACGTACTTGGTCATTCAGATAGTAAATAGTTTTAAATTGTAGATAGTTTAGAATTCAATAAAGTTAATTGTATGTTTTTTTTTTTTGTATACCATTGAATTTATATATGATAATCGTGAATATTTATTGTACTTTTTTTTTTTTATAATCATGCAAGTCCTGTCTATTTTTTTTTTTTTTAGTATACATGGTTATGCACTTTTTTTAAATTGGATACCACAAAGGAAAAAAGGAAAAAGGAAATACAGTCTCATTATGTAGGTGTATGTATGTCATATAATGTATACATATATATATATAGATAGGGAATGCATTATCTTTGTTAAAAATGATCGGTGACAAGAACGATTCTCATTTTCTATGTTATCTTTCTCTACATATAAAGATAGTATTGATGATGGATTACACGACGGTATATGCTTATCATTTTTTTTTTTTTTTTTGGAAGTAGCGGTATTCCAATTTGGGAGCGTCACAGACAAAAAACATTAGGTTTTTTTTTTTCCTCATTACTGTCATCCTATCCTTTTTTTTTTTTTCTTTTTCTTCTTCTTCTTTTTTCTTTTAACCATAGAACTATGCTTCGTCGATTAAATGCTCTTGGACGAAAGGAATTGATAAAAGGTAAACTATCACGGAAGATAATGTCTAGTTGATCTTTTTCTAATTATTCTTTTTTCAATTAATGAACCCGTATAGGTCGATGCGTTTGTCGAAATAGTCTTGCATACCGTCTATATACCACCAACTCCAAAACCTCTTCCAATGACAAACCAGTATCCTCTGAAGATCTAGTCAATGATGATTACTTTTGGGAAATTCCTACGTCTACTCCTCGCCATGTTACAACCAAGAAAACCAATAACACAACTTCGCCAACATTGGATTTTCGACGACTTTTGGATACTGTACTAGATAAAACAACAAGAGAACACGACCAAGCTATTGTAGATGAGGTGCTTACAAATATAACTAACGGAGACGAACTATATAAACGACCAACAACAACAACAGCAACACAGAAAGCATCCAAACGACGAACTTCATTGATTGAACAACGTTTGTTGGATATGGTAATACACAATAAAAAGGTATTCAAGGAGCGAGCACCTTTACCACGATCAATGATGCCGGCTTTATATGGAAAAACGCAAAATGGGGAAGAAAAAAGAAAACAATCAATATCATTAGGCAAGATACAATTAGAAGCTATTCGAAAGGACAAATCGATTCAAGCACATGATCGAGAAATCAAGACCATCGATGATATCTTATCTACCAATAGTCGACATGCTCTTTTAGATCAATTTAGTTTCTCTGTGATGGAATATCAGCAACAACAAAGTTTCCCAAGTTATTATGCTCGGCTTGTTAAGAATGCCATTCAACATGCTTATACAACATTCCGGGATCCTTATCTGGCTGTGGCTCTATTTGAACAATGCAAATCGATGAGTGTGGAAAGTTATATCAATGGATGTACAGCAGATGTTTATAATCAAGTATTGAATGTGAGATGGGAAGCTTGGAAGGATATCTATGGTATCTTGGATCTCATGGAAGAAATGACATTGAATGGTATCGCTTTTAACGATGTATCAGCAAGTATTGTACAAACTATTACAGAAGAAATGGAACAACAAGAATGGGCTGATGCAGATAACTCTAAACAAGTACAAATGTGGTCTCCTGATGATGTTCGATCGACCGAACTGATGAAGATTCTTGTTGGCAAATGGGTATTCAAATAGATATATAGATATAAATGAGTGTTTGTATAGTTTAGATTAGACGTTAGATTTTTCTGCTTTAATAAATAAATAAAAAAAAAAAAAACTTTTTTATTTTATCCTATTGATCTCTCTGATTTTTTTTTTTTTTATGATAATCAACATTTTGTAGGGGATATTTCGTTTTTATTGTACACAAGAAAGCGTGGATATTATTTATCCCTGCTTAACTCTAATTTTGTTTGACATTTATGATCCAAATTGATGATATTCCTTGAATCGAAATAAAGACTGATATCATTTTATTATATTTTATCAATTTTATTACTATTGTTATTATTAGTGAATAGTAGTGATTCATATATGAAACCAACCCAAACAAATCACTTTTGCACCTGAGCGTTCTTATTGGCATTGATTGAAATTTTGTTGATAAATTTGATTGACAGCCTTTTTTTTTTTTTTTTATCTGTTTTCTTTTCTTTTCCTTTTTTTTTTTTTTTTTTTTTTGGTTCTCTCATTCCCTTTTTCCTTGAAGAATTGATCTTTTATCAACAATGACAGGTATTCGTCGCTCTTCTAGACTCAATCCTTCCAATACCAACAACACCTCTGTTGTCGTTCCTTCCAGTTCTGCCACAAAACGGAAACCCATATCCTCTCAAACAACTAATGATTCACTGGACGATGATCAAGTCTCTACTACTACTACTACTACAGCAAACAATCTTCTAAACATTGAAACAAGCGAAGACGATGACGATGACGACTTTGTTATTTATGTCCCAACTAGACGACGACAAATCACATCCTCCAAAGTTATCAAACCACCAATCACTCGCAGCAAACGCATCAAAATGGAACACAGTATCCCATCCCCAGAAGAATCAAATACTGGTGCTTCTGTATCTTCCTCGTCTTCCTTATCATCCATTGTTAATACACCTATTGAAACATCTATTTCTCACAAGCAAAAAAGTCAACGCGAGTCACCATCCGCAGCAATTATAGACGCCATACACCAATTGAAAACGGAGGATAAGGATACAGAAGATGATGTCAAAAAGGAACTTCTAGCTACTCTCAAACATGATATTGGACTTTTACCTGGTTCGCCAACCTCTCTATCTTCGTCATCAATTCATTATTCACCATCATCTATAGCATCGTCCTCCTCGTCATCGACATATCAGCAAGAAAGAAAACAACAGCATGACTCGGAGTTGGAATCCTTAATACCCACTCCTGTCTCAGGAAGTCCAATGCCACAATCTGATTCTGAAACAGCTAGTGATGATGATCTGTCTTCTTCTGATTTAGATGATGAGCTTGAAGAACTTGCCAATACTGTTAACTATCGTCGTCGTCGTCGTGGTCGTGGTCGTGGTGGCCGTGCTCCTGCCGAAAGATTGAGCTGGGTAAGGAAAAATAAAAAAAAAAAAAAAACATGAAGAAAACAGGATATCTAACTTCTTTTTTTCTTTCTATATATATATGCTTATAGTATAAACGTACCAATCTGAAACTTCTTGTTCATCATCCAGAATTGAAAACTGTGTGGGATTCCTTGGAAAATGCTGAAGCAATTCAAGTCACTCCTATTGAACAACCAGAATATTTGAAATTATCTCTACTTCCCTTCCAAAAATATGGTGTTGCATGGATGATGCAACAGGAAAAGAGAGAAGGTGTAAGTCATCAAGAATAGGATTATTGCGAATATGAAATTTATTAACTCTCTTGTCTTTATTTCTATATTAGTTCAAAGGCGGAATTCTTGCGGTAATTCATTCACAAAAAAGGGATTATCTAGTCCATTTCATTGATTTCCATTTTTTTTTTTTCAATAGGATGAAATGGGGATGGGAAAAACTATTCAAACAATCTCATTATTATTAAGTGACTATGGCAAGAAGCCTAACCTTATAGTGGCTCCTACTGTAGGTTAAACTATTCAAAAAAAAAAAAAAAAGATATCTTCTATTGTTTCAGTTATCAATGTTTACCTTTTTTTTTTATGGAATTAGGTGGCAATCATGCAATGGCAACATGAAATTCAAACTCATACCAAGAACGACATGAAGGTCTACGTTTTTCATGGTAAGATATAAAGAATAAAGTATGTTCTCCTTGTATTATCTACATACTTACTATTTTTTTTTGATGATACCATTATATATGAAATTAGGTAGCAATCGCACAAAAAGTGTGAAAGAACTTGAATCTTATGATGTAGTCATTACCACTTGTAAGTGATCTAAGCATTTATATTTTATTGGTGATACTAATATATTACCTTATCTTTCTTTTTATAGACTCTGTTGCTGAATCGTGCTTTAGAAAACAAGAATATGGTTTCAAACGTCAACAAAATCTGGTCAAGGAAATGTCTATCCTCCATAAGGTCCAATGGCATCGTATAGTACTTGACGAAGCACACAATATCAAAGATCGCTCTAGTAACACTGCAAGATCTGTGGTATGTCTACATGAATTACAAGATCATGGTTATATTATGTTATTTGATCGTTCATCTCACTTTTTTTTTTTTGATGTATTCTTTTTAGTTTGGTTTGAAAAGTGAATTCCGCTGGTCATTATCTGGTACTCCTTTACAAAACAGAGTAGGTGAATTATACTCTTTGATTCGTTTCATGCGTGCTGGTAAGTCATCCAGAAAGAAAAAAAGTGAACATGATGCAATATAGAAACGATGAGATGCTTAACAATTATTCTATTTCTTTTTTTTTTTTTTTTTCATTCATTATTTGTTTAGATCCTTATGGTTATTACTATTGCAAATCCTGTAAATGTAAGAATTTGAACTGGAGATTCTCCGATAAGGCACACTGTGACGAATGCAAACACACTCCTATGGAGTAAGTACTCTTCTTACGAAAAAAGAGAACAAAGTAGAATATGGAGGACTAACTATTTACTTATTTTTTTTAAAAAAACAAAGTCATGTCTGCTGGTGGAACAATGAAATCTTGAAACCTATTCAAGCTCATGGTTATGTTGGTGAAGGACGTCAGGCTTTAGACAAGTTACGATTGTTATTGGATAGAATGATGCTTCGACGTACAAAGGTCCAATGTGCTGATGATCTTGGTCTTCCTCCTCGAACTATTATGGTCCGACGTGATTTATTCAACGAAGCTGAAGAAGAAGTTTATCGTTCTCTATTCTCTGATACCGCCAGAAGGTTCAATGATTATGTTGAAGAAGGTAATCAAATAAAAAAATAAAATCGAACATGGCAGTTACTGATATTACACCTATTCTTTTAGGATCCGTATTGAATAATTACGCCAATATATTCGAATTATTAACCAAGATGAGACAATGTGGTAAGATGGAAACAAAATGATATGGACTGATGACAATAGGTACTTACCCTTGACGATATATATTTATAGCTAATCATCCTGATTTGGTAACCAAGAAGAAAGGCAATGCAGGCTATAAACAACTTGTGTGTATGCTTTGTAATGAAACCCCAGAGGTAAGAAATAAAAAATAAAAGTTCGACCTGTATTGGTATTAATAATAATGTTTTTCTTTTTCTTTTTTTTTTTTTAAACTTAAACTAGGATCCCATTTCATCAGCCTGTCGACATACTTTTTGCCGTGAATGTTGTAAACAATATCTACAAAGCTTTGATGATGTTAGTGGTGGAACAGCAATGTCATCTCCAAAATGTCCTTCATGTTATGCGGAATTCTCTGTGGATTTGAGTCAACCTCCTTTGGAAATCGAACTTGGTGAAGGAGAACATCCAGCATTCTCAAAAGCAAGTATTGTCAATCGAATTGATATGGAAAAATGGCGTAGCTCATCCAAAATCGAAGCTCTTGTGGAAGAATTATCCAAGCTACGAAGTGAAGATCGAACTGTCAAAAGGTAAAAGATTTAAGAACAAACAAAAATATATGATTGAATAATCATACTAATATCAAATTCATTTGTATTTTCTGTATAGCATTGTGTTCTCACAGGCAAGTATAAACAAGGAAGAAGAAAAAAAAAAACAAGCAAATAATTGAAACAACAGCTAACTAATCCTGAATATATATATATATATATATATATAGTTTGTTAGTTTCTTGGATTTGATTTATTGGCGTTTATCTCGTATGGGATTTGCCTGTATTCGACTTGATGGCAGTATGTCTCCAACACAACGTGCAGCAGCTATTGACCAGTAAGTGAAATGGAGGTCAATTGTATCTATCATCATTAATCTTTCTCTCTCTCTCTCTCTCTCTCTCTCTCTCTCTCTCTAGCTTTACTGTCAATCCTACTGTTACCGTCTTCTTAATCAGTCTCAAAGCAGGGGGAGTTGCTTTGAATCTTACTGAAGCCAGTCGTGTTTTTATTTGGTAAATAAAAGAAAATAAAAAAGAGATAGTATCATATATAACTTTTAATTTTTCTTTTTTAGTGATCCTTGGTGGAATCCGGCTGCCGAATGTAAGTAGAAGAAGATAATCAAAAGAGAAAAGATGGATCACTAACTACACTTTATTTTTTTTATCATATGATAATTCATTATCTATTTATATTGTGGTTTCTTAGTACAAGTAAGTAAAGGGAAAAGATGGATGATCATTACGATGAATGAAAAATGTCAACTTAAAAAAAAACGGTTATTTTTTCATAGGCAATGGATCGTATTCATCGACTTGGACAATATCGACCTATTCGAATTACAAGATTAGTTATTGAAAATAGCATCGAAAGCCGTATCATCCAATTACAAGAAAAGAAGACAGCTCTAGTAAACTCGACTATTGATAGGGATCAGGCCGCATTGGAACGTCTTACGGTGGAGGATTTACAATTCTTATTTGCTATGTAATACGAGTACATCACCTCTATTTAGTTATAGTTATAGTAAATATTATTTACCATGATGATAGTACCTTTCTATGATATCTTTTATACATTGTCCTCCCTTCTCTACCATATTTAGTCTCATACTCTACTTCCCGTCTGAAGCGAATAAATTGATTCTTAGTGTACTATTGTATATTACTGGTCAATGATGTAGTAACATGGATGATTGATGCTGATCATGAAGAGATGGATGATGATAGTGATGATGATGATAGCGCCTGTAAGGGATAAGATCACTACTATTCCAATCGACATCATCATGCGTCATATTCGTATGAAGTATCTATCTATTGTAAGCATTCTTATGCAATCATTTTGCCATAATTGGTTGTTGCGGTGATTGAAACCTAAAAAAGAGATGATAATCTTTTTTTTTTCCATATCAAACAAAAGATGAAATCCTCTTCCAAGATCAATAGTTACTTGTTATGTATATACCGTATCAACAAGATTAATATAGTAAAACAGTTTTACTCATGAATGTGTTTTCATCACAGTTGATAGATGAAAGAAAAGAAAAAGATGAAGGATTTATTATAATCTATGGTGTCATTGTGACGGTGATCTAAATTCTTAACTTTTTTTTTTTGATCCATCTTTTATGCTTTCCCAATTTGGCAATCCCGGTCAGATATCAACTCGTTGGTTTTAAAGGTTGAGAGAGGGCTTTTTTCTTTTTTCTCCTTCTTCTTTACTCTTCTTTTCTTTTTATATAGTTTATAGCATAGACATATTTTTTTATTTTATTTTATTTATATATACATACACATATTCAACAATTATGGTGAATGCTACAGAATCATTATCCTCTTCTTCTTCTTCTGACACTCAACTATTGAAAGGTTGGAAGACACGATTGGCAAGTTTAGCTGATTTACAAGTACCAACAGATTATCCTCGACCATTACCTTCTCGTTCAGTGGAAGAAGTACAAACTTGTGAATTACCTGAAAATACATTACTTAGTATTCTTCAACTGTCTATCAATCAAAAGGCTACTCCTTATTCTATTTTATTGGCTGCTTTTGCTGTACTGTTACAACGTTATACTGGCGATGAAGAATTCGCCGTGGGTTCTTCTTCTTCTTCTGGTAATCCTCTTGTACTTCGTTTATCTGTGGATCCTACAAATCCTTTTCAACGTATCGTGGAAATGGTACAAAAGGTAAAATAGATGATATGATATCGACTGAAAAAGGAAAGGTGGTGGAGATTAAAAAAAAAAAAAAAGAGAGATGTATATTTAGGATTGTTTCCTTTTTTTTTTTTTTTAATTTAGGTTGAACAAGAATCTTTGGAAAATGAAGTACCTTTTGAAACATTGGTAAATTATATGCATCAAGGCACTGATCCTGATAGTCGACGACCTCTTTTCCGAGTCTGCTTTTACAATGAAACCGATACACCATCACAAACACAATTATCCTTCACTTCAAGTAATGCAGATATCACTGTTTTTATTACTTCGGATACCTCCAGCTCATTGCGTACTTCTTTCTTACGACCTATTACCATTCGAATTGTCTATAATCAAATCCTATTCTCACCTCGTCGAATTGAATATCTTTTGACTCAAATCAATACTCTCTTACTTGAAGCTGGTACTGGCATAGCAGTAGGCAAGATTCCTTTATCTGATACAAGTAGAGATTCTCCTTTACCTGATCCAACTACTGATCTTCATTGGTCCCTTTGGCGTGGTGCAATTACTGATATTTTTTCTATCAATGCTGAATCTCATCCAGATCGTCCTTGTGTAATTGAATCTTCTGATTCTGGTACTGTTACAACTTTTACTTATCAACATATACATCATGCTTCTAATTTGGTGGCTCATTATCTAATTGATCAAGGTATTCGTCGGGAAGATGTTGTGATGATTTATGCATATCGTGGTGTCGATCTTGTTGTCGCTATCATGGGTGTTCTCAAGTCAGGTGCTACTTTTAGTGTCATTGGTAAGTCAAAAAAAAAAAAAAAAAAAAAAACAGCAATCAAAAGATGGATAAAGGTTTAATATCATTATCTTATATATATATAATGTAGATCCTGCTTATCCTCCTGCAAGACAAGAAATTTATCTATCCGTTGCCAAGCCTCGTGGATTGATTGTGATTTCTGAAGCTGGTCAAATTGCTTCATCTGTGCGTGAATATATTAAAAAGGAACAAGATATTGTTTGTGAAATTCCTGGACTCAAGATTCGTGCTGATGGTCAATTGGATGGTGGTATTTTACCTGATACCCTAACTGATTGTTTGAATGGTGTCCGTTCCAAGGCTTCTGAAAATACTGGTGTAGTTATTGGTCCTGATAGCATTGGTACTCTTAGTTTTACGAGTGGAAGTACTGGTATTCCCAAAGGTAATACATATACCAAAAAGGATTATCTAAAGAAGTTTTCTCATTCTTTTTTTTTTTTTTTTTTTTTTTTATAATCTTTTCCTTAGGTGTTCGTGGTCGTCACTTTTCACTAACTCATTTCTATCCTTGGATGGGTGAAACTTTTGGAATTTCGGAAAAAGATCGATTCACCATGCTCTCTGGTATTGCTCATGATCCCATTCAACGTGATATCTTTACTCCATTATTTTTTGGTGCTGAATTATATATTCCTACTTCTGAAGATATTGGTATCCCTGGTCAACTAGCTGAATGGATGAATCGAACTCAAGTGACCATCACTCATTTAACACCTGCTATGGGTCAGCTATTATCATCTCATGCTCAAAACGAAATCCCAAGCCTACGTAATGCCTTCTTCGTTGGTGATATCTTGACTAAGCGTGATGCTGCTCGTATTCAAAAATATGCTCCCAATGTGGCTGTCATCAATATGTATGGTACAACTGAAACTCAACGATCTGTATCTCATTATGTGGTGCCTCCTCGTTCAACACATCCAGCATTCCTCAGTTCTCAAAAGGAAGTGATCCCAGCTGGTACTGGAATGGTGAATGTACAATTGTTAGTGGTCAACCGTCATGATCGTACTAAAATGTGTGGTGTAGGAGAAATTGGTGAAATTTATGTTCGTGCTCCCGGTTTGGCTGAAGGCTATTTACGTCTACCCGATGCAACGAATGAAAAGTTTATTCCTAATTGGTTTGTGGAAAACCCCTATGACAACGATGATGCCAACAATGATGAAGCTCTAGTGGATGGTAAAGAATGGAAACAACATTGGCAAGGCAAGCGTGATCGTATGTACCGGTCTGGTGATTTGGGGCGTTATCGACCTGATGGTACTGTGGAATGTACAGGTCGTGCTGATGATCAAGTCAAGATTCGTGGATTCCGTATTGAACTTGGTGAAATCGATACTCATCTCTCACAACATCCAATGATTCGTGAAAATACCACTTTAGTGCGTCGAGACAAGAATGAAGAACAAACTCTGGTGGCTTACTTTGTACCTGTGCAAAATATGGATAATGCCTTTGCTAGTCAAGATGATGGTGCTGGATCTGATAATGATTCTCCAACGACCGACGTTCGCTCTCGACATCGTTATAGAAGACTGATCAAGGATGTACGTGATTATCTAAAGAAGAAACTTCCTTCCTATGCCATCCCTTCGGTGTTTGTTCCTTTGGTACGTATGCCATTGACTCCCAATGGTAAGGTAGACAAGAACGCCCTTCCCTTCCCAGATACTGCTCAATTCAAGGATACTGGAAAAGAAATTACTCCATCTGCTGCTATTCCCGAGATGACCCCTGTAGAAAACTTGATTCATTCTATTTGGCAACAACTTTTACCCTCACCTGAACCTGTGATTGGTCTGGATGAAAACTTTTTTGATATTGGTGGTCATTCCCTGATTGCTACTCGATTGATCTTTGAAATCAGACAAAAGTGTCAAGTAGATGCTCCTCTTGGTCTGGTGTTTGCTGAACCTACTATTCGTGGACTTGCCCGTCAAGTTACCAAGTTACAAAATAATGAAGTCTTATTGGCGGAAGAAGTAAAACAACAACAAGAAGAAGAAGGTCAGGAAAAGGAAGTGGTTGATTATGCTGCTGATGTGGAAATATTAGCTGCTGAATATTTGGAAACGACTTATCAACCTCTACTCGTCTCATCAAGAAATAACGCACAAGAAAGAAGGACCATCGTTTTGACTGGGGCTACTGGATTCTTGGGTGCCTTTATTTTGGGCAAGCTATTAGATTATGATCATACTCGTGTGATTTGTGTGGTACGTGCAAAGGATACGGCTGGAGCATTTGATCGTGTCAAAAAGGCCGCCATGTCTCATGGTGTATGGAAGGATGACTGGATAAGCGATGACAACAACAAGCGTGTAGAAGCAGTGTGTGGAGATCTTGCAAGTGATCGATTAGGACTTGATCAAGCGGATTGGGATCGTCTCTGTGGTGAAGCTGATGCAGTGGTTCACAATGGTGCTCTTGTACACTGGGTATACCCTTATCATCAATTACGTGCTCCTAATGTCATTGGTACTCTATGGGCCATGCGTTTGGCATCTACGATCAAGACCAAATCGTTCCATTTCGTTTCATCGACTTCAGTATTGGATACTGCTCATTATGTTAGTTTTGGTAGTGATCGTCTTGTTGCTGAAACAGATGATCTTGAAGGTTCTCGCGTTGGATTGGATGCTGGATATGGACAAAGCAAATGGGTAGCTGAAAAGTTAATTATGGAGGCTCGACGACGTGGTATGGCTGCTACTATCATTCGTCCTGGTTATATTTTGGGTGAATCTCATACTGGTGTCACCAATACGGATGATTTCATCTGGCGTTTATTGAAGGGTTGTGTTGAATTAGGTTTTATTCCTTCTATGGCTAACATTGTCAATCTGTGCTCTGTGGATTATGTGGCATCCGTGGTATCATCTGTTGCATATTATGATGAAGAATCAACCAAGCTTGAAGGTGGTGTCTTCCAAGTGACTCATCCCTCAACATTCACTTTCAACGACTTATTCGGTACACTCCTAACCTATGGATATGATGTCAAGCAAACTGAATATATTGATTGGCGAAATCGATTAATGGACTATACATTACAATCTCAAGATCACTCATTGTTCCCTTTGCTTCACTTTGTCTTGGATGATCTTCCTACTTCTACCAAGAGTGCCTTGTTGGATGATACGCATACCAAGACTATTTTAGCTCACGATAAGGTGATCTGTCCTCTGATGGGTGATGATCTGATGGGATTGTATTATGCTTATCTTATCAAAGCTGGATTCTTACCTGAGCCTACTCTCCCAGCCACCAAGTCCCTACCTGTTTTGGATGCTACTCAAGTGACTTTACTCAAGCGTAGTGGTGCTTCTCATTAATAGTTTTTTTTTTCTTTCTTTCTTTATTTGTTTATCTCTTTATTTTTGTTTCCTTATGAAACTTTGTATATTATTTTTTTATTATTATCATCATCATCATCATTATTAATAAAAAATATACTTTGGTGTTATGCTAGATCAAACTTTTTCTCCCAAGATCAAACAATTGTACATGTTTTCGAATCTCAAATGATGTGGTGAACGAACTTTGACTAGGAATAGGATTTTTTTTTTTTTTTTTTTTTTTTTTTTTTTTTTTTTTTTTTTTTTTTTTTTTAGATTTTACAGGCAGAAGTTTCCAATTCCTGAGCCAAATTTTAGCTGTTAAAATTCGATCGTCAGGGGATTGCCAGGGGATTTTTGGAAAAAATCGATATTGTCAAAATGACTTTTTACCAGGAAAGAACTTTAGTTTTTATTAAATGATTATCTTGATGATGGATCATTATTGCAGGTTTGGATAAACTGAAAAATAACGTTGAGTATTGCCATTTCTAATAGAATCTATCTACTTCAAAAAGAAGTTTGACCTTCAATCGCCAACAAAAAAAAAAAAAAAAAAAAATGAAATGAATTATTTGGAACAAAAAAAAGATATTTTTATTGTGACAAACAAAGGGGAGGGATGATTGTGATAAACTAACAGAGAGAGTAGGGAAATATGACTTGGTACGATGATAAAGTGAGAAAAAAAAAGTATCCTAGATTAATTTAAACGTCGCGATTGATGTTGATCTTGACAGTCTTGACCTAGATAGAAGAGATAAAAAAAAAAAAATGAGTGACACTATCTCTATTACATTTTTTTTTTCTCTTATTAAACTTACTTGAAGATAGTTGTCCAAAGCATATTCACCATTTTCACGACCGATACCACTTTGACGATAACCTCCGAAGGGACTGCTTGTGTCAAGTTGGTTGTAACTAAAGAATAATAAAAAGAACAAATCATATTAATATCAATTAAAATATCTTTTCATCCAGTCTGTTTTTTTTTTTTTTTTTATTACCAGTTGACCCCTAAGATAAAAAAAAAAAAGGAAGAAAAACAGTTGAGTGATCATCCTTTTCATCCTTTGACTACGAACACTTTTTTTTTCAAGTACTTACAGACAGTGCCAGCTTCCAATCGGTTTGAAACTTCCACAGCACGAGTGACATTTTCAGTAAAGACGGCAGCAGCAAGACCATAAGTGGTATCATGAGCAAGTTTGATGACTTCTTCGGTATCCTTGAACTTGGTAATGACGACAACGGGACCAAAGATTTCTTCTTGGACAATCTTCATCTTGGGAGTAGCATCAGTGAAGATAGTAGGTTGAATAAAGTAACCCTTATCACCATGACGAGAACCACCGGCATAGACAGTAGCACCTTCAGTCTTTCCTTGTTCAATATAACCCATGATACGATCATATTGAGTTTGAGAGATTTGAGGACCTTGGAAGGTAGTTTCATCGAAAGGATCACCGACACGAGTTTGTTCAGTTCGTTCCTTGAACTTTTCCAAGAATTTGTCATAGATACCTTCTTGTACATATACGCGAGAACCAGCACAGCAGCATTGACCATGATTGAAGAAGATACCAAAGTGAGCCCATCTGACAGCCTTATCCAAATCAGCATCATCAAAGATAATATTAGGAGACTTGCCACCAAGTTCCAAAGTGACCTTCTTGAGATTGCTTTCAGCAGCAGCCTTCATGATCAAACGACCCACCAAAGTAGAACCAGTGAAAGCAACCTTACCAACCTTTTGATGACGAGCCAAAGCATCACCAGCTTCAGCACCATAACCAGTAATAATGTTGATGACACCAGGAGGGAAGCCAGCTTCCTTGGCCAAAGTAGCCACCTTGAGAGCAGACAATGGAGTCAATTCAGAAGTCTTGACAATGATGACATTACCAGTAGCCAAACAAGGACCCAATTTCCAACCAAGCATCATCAAAGGGAAATTCCAAGGGATAATGGCAGCACAAACACCAATAGCTTCATGACGAGTATAAGAGAAAGCTCCAGGGGTATCAATAGTCTTACCATGAACTTTGTCAGCAAAACCAGCATAATAACGAAGAGATGCTACGATACCAGGAACATCCACATTACGAGACATAGAAATTCCCTTACCATTGTCTAAAAGAGAGAAAAAAAATTATTCATTCATATTTGTTGTCAACCTTTTTTTTTTTTTTTTATTACTAACCCAAAGTTTCAATTTGAGCCAATTCTTCAGTATCACGTTCAATCAAATCAGCCAATTTATTGATCAAACGTTGTCGTTCTTGAGGAGTAGTCTTGCTCCAGACATTGTTAAAGGCATTTTCGGCAGCATCCACAGCATCATCTACTTGCTTTTTTTCAGCTATAATATATATATATATATATGAGAAACCATTCATAACGCGACTTTTTTATAATAACTTACCAGCTTGGACAGATGCAATGACTTCACCAGTGGCAGGGTTAACAGTATCAATTGTCTTGGCACCAGCAACAAATTCATTGTTAATGAAAAGACCAGTTTGTACTATTAGTCATCAAAGTAAAAAAAAAAGGAATGGAATGAGTTATTCTGTATCTAATTGTTATTTCTCTATTCATACTTACAGTTAAGCTTGTAACCTTTGGAAGTAGAAGTATTAACGAGGAAGTCGACACCAGTCATGATTAAAGAAAAAGAGTTTAAATAAAATTGAAAAAAAAAGAAAAGAAAAACGAAAAAAGAAAAAAAGAAAATTTGTTGAGAGTTTTTATGTGTTTGTGGGAGGAGGGAGAAAAATAATAAAGTAAAACTTTACGCATTAAAGTCTCACGCGTGACGCCTAAACTTGGTGCGAGACGAATCAGTTTTTTTCTCAAACTTTAATTTAGTCATTGGCCAATCAAAATCCATATCGACAGAATACAGTACGGCGGAATGTAAAGAAACATTTACTAGTTCTATCATCTTGAAATTTTTTTTTTTTCATCTGTTTAGTGAGTATAAAATAGAGAATGGGAATCTTTTTTTTTTTGTTACATATAAGTTTTGATTTTTTGAAAAAAAAAAAATAAAAATAAAAATAAAAATAAAAAATAAAAAATAAAAATAAAAAAAAAATAGAGTTCGTGCATTCTTCCGAGAGCTGTTTCAAAAATAAAACATAATCAGTAATTAAATCATCATAATAAAAAAGAAAAAAAAAAGATCTTTTTATTTCATTCATGCATTACGATGAGTGTACTTTATCAAAAAAAAGACAAAAAAAAGAAATCATTTATTTTAGTTCTTGATATTTGTCATGCTTTCCCATGAAATATTTGGTTTACTATGTTTGAATTGTTATACTCAATAAGTTTGTTTACAAAAAAAAAAAAACATTTTTTTATATATATATAATATCATCTTTCTTATGATTACGAACTAAGTTTTCTATGATGATCCTTTTTTATTTTAGATTTACACTTTGACCTTTTTTTCTACCAATGTTAATCTGATCCATTTTGATTGGCTGTATTCATTTTCCGTTTTCTTTATTCCAAATATTATTTTGGCTTATACACCGCAGTTGAGGGGTCTTTTTTTTTTTTTTTTTTTTTTTTTTTTTTTTTTTTTTTTTCCTTCTTCGTTTTTCTGCTCTTTGTCATTTTGATCATGGGAAAATCAAAGCAACAACCAAAGACCAAAGGCAATTTGAAACCTGCTAGTAGTAGGTAAGTATCAATATTTATCTGACAATAACCAACACAATGACAACTTCAAAAAAAAAAAAAAAAATTGGTCAACTGACCTTTTTATTTAAAATAGTCGAGCAGCAGAAACAAGTATTGGTCAAACCAATACCTCTCTATCTTTTACTAATTTGGGTGGGTTTGCCCAGTTTGCTAGTCCAGCCACAACTTCTCATATTTTATCACGACCTTCTACACCTGGATCTGATGGTGGTGATATTTCAATTGATATTGATCCTGAATTATCTGTTATCCTGAAAAAGATCAACAAACGCGACTCTATCACCAAACTCAAAGCTCTAGAAGAATTGAATACTTATTTGAATGAACATATCTCAGTAATTCAATCTATTGTATCTACTTGGGTAAGTACTATTATTAAGAAGAAGAAGAAGAAAAAAAAAGAAAACTTTTGTCTTACTATTTATATACATAGGTCTCGATTTACAACAAAGTTGCTTTGGATGTCGATAGACGCGTACGTCTTGCTGGTAATCAAATTCATCAACTAGTGACTCTTCAAGCGAAAAAGAAATTGGCTCCTTATTTGAAAGATTTTATTGGTGTTTGGATGTTAAATATGTATGATCAAAGCAAGGATGTTGCTAAACTGGCGAAATTGACCTTTGAAGTAAAAAAAAAAAAAAGTATTAATGCATGGATGAAAATGATCGAAACCAAACTTATCCTTTTACATTTTCGATCTAGGCCGTATTTGCTGAAGATAAACGACAAGGGGTGATTGTCTTTTGTCAAAAGGATATACTTGATTATACATCTGAAATGTTATTGATAAAGACGGTCGAAACTCTCAGTAAGTTGATCATAAAGAATAGTTAAATCTTATTCACTTATGTTTTTTATGGATAGGTGATGCTAGATATGTGTCTCCTGAAGATATGGCAGCCAAATATGCAAGAGTGATGGCATCAAGTTTGTATACTTTGTCACATCTCATTAGTAAGATTAATAATAAAAGAATATGCAAAAAACTAGATATACTGATGGTTCCTTCTTTTTTTAGCATCTCTTCCTGAAGATGAACGAATCAAGGTCAAAAATGACTATGATGCCTTATTTGATACAACAGCTTTGTGGAAATTTGTTACTCATGAAAGCCCTGTGATTCGACGATCTATATATCATCTCATCAAGAATTTATTAGTACATTGGCCAGGTAAAAAAAAAAAAGAATGAAATCAATGTGTACAGGTCTTTTTTTTTTTTTTTTGGGTGGGACTGTCTGACGATAAAGTGTTATTATATAGCTATTTTGGAATCTCGTCTTGATTTGATATGTCCCGATTTTTTTGGTACTGTCTTTGGTGATAAAGATGCCTCAGTACATTCTGAAATGTGGGATGCTTTATTATTGATGACAAAGAGTAAGTGACGATAGAAAGATGAATATGCTACTTTCTCAAAAAAAAAAAAAAAGAAAAAGAAAAAGAAAAAGAACTAATCACAACTATATACTGCGATTAGAGTATCCTGACTCCTGGATGATTATCAACAAGAAGAAACCTGCATTATCCAAGCTATGCAACTTCCTCCGAAATGGTCTCAATGGATCTCTCAATATTGCCTACCCAAGTATGATCGCTTTACTTGCCAATTTACCGTCTCAAGTAAGAACCTCTTATAATGTATACATATCCTCGTAAAAACTTAGCTTATTCTTTCTTTTGAATTTAGTTAATGAATTCTCCCAATTTTTACAAGGATGTATTTACCAATTTTTGGAAAGGCTTGTCAAGTAGTATCATTGATAAATCCAACTCCCATGTTCTAGTCAATGCTTATTGTGAATGTGTTACCTACTTCGCCATTACAAAAAGGTTAGAAAAAAAAATAATTAATCAGAATGATATTATAACTCACTTGTTGATCATTTTATTATGATTATCATAGTACAACCAATCCCGATGCAACAGCCTATCTTGTGGATTCGGCTCTTTATGATGCACTCAGAGCCTATTTTATACGCGCCAAAGATACAGCAATCGCTTATGACAAATTGAATGAACAATGTGGAATATACTTTGGTAACAACATTATTACTCTTATCAAATCTGAAGCCAATATCCCCATGTCATCTTTATGGTCTAAATTGGATACACTATGTGTACAAATTATCATTGATTGTGATGGTCCTGCTGGTTCAGAAGTCGATATGTCCCTTTTTTGTCAACAAATAGGAATGATCTTGTCTTGTATACATAAACAACTTCAAGGAACTGGATCTTCTTCAATAGATTATAATAATCCAGCTTATACTCCTGTTGGTGATTTGGTCCAAAGACTATTTGTTGCCGCTCTGGACTCGTGCTTTGTACACAAGGGTAATGATATTAATATATTTTGACTATAGACATTTATCATTTCTTTTATATATTTAAATACATTTTTAGATTTCGCTTCGGAATTGATTGCATTGGATAAAGTATTACTACATGACTACGCAACTATCATTCTAAAGTGTCTCGTAAGCACATTATTGTATACTCATTGTCTTTATGAACCTTCTTTCTGACTTTATCTTTGTCTTTTTTTTTTTTTTTTTTTTTTTTTTTTTTTTTTAGGATACAGGTAAAGTCTCAAAGCAACTACTTTCTCTCTTGGACCAAGTGGCGGTTTCCTCCATCCCTACTGTTGTGTCGACGTTTGTTAGCTTGATATCGAATGTAGCAGATGAAAGTATGATGAAGGAATTATGGAACAGTATAACTGGGTATTTGGTTACTTTGAATTCAAAAGATGGAACATTACGACAAATCAATGGATTGGCGTCACTATTGGATGAGGTATGGATAGTGAAAAGAGGAATCAATTCTTGGACAAATTATACTGATCTTCTTTTTCTTTTTCTTTTTCTTTTTTTTTTTTTATCTTTTCTAAATAGATTTACATTCAAAAACCTCAAATAAATTATCAATCTGAAAATCTTGATATTTTGGTGAAACAAGTTTCCAGCGACATCCTGACAAGTTCCCCAGTATTAGTTCAAAATCAAAATGAGCAAGATGCCACGTTGCAACGCACGATCATGGAAAAAGTATTTGTACAAAGCTTATCTTTACAAATGGGTAAGTTGTTCTATAGTAATAAAAATGGAGAACCTTCTTTATTTATCATCCTTTTTTTTTTATGATAGATTATAATTTATTGTCAGAAGAAACTCTACAAGTGGTATTATCTTCTCTTGTGCCTACTCTCAAGTCATTCAATCAATATTACTATTCTACTGAAGGCAATATCAACAAACAAAGTCTTGACTCCAGCTCCAATGAAGATGCAATAAATTATTCAACGCGATCTGTTTTATCCATCATCCTTGCTCTTCTTGAACCCAAGGACGTAATTGCTGTCAAGTTTCTTACTCAATTTTCTCTATCTGATCTACCAAATCAAGTTTTTGATGCTATGTTTGCTAAACCTGTGGAAGCGTTGTCTTCTACCGCCTCCTCTGTTGGGAACGACAATCAATTGGCTACTACTGACGATACTATTGGAGATATTCAATTACTCGCTGGTATTGTATGGACAAAGATGATCGATCTGATGAACAACAACGATTCTACGGATAAAGAAATACAAACCAAATTCAGACATGGCGTCCTCACCCACGTCAAGTCATCTATCACTGATGTTAAATGTATTGCAAGGTATGATGTTATTTTTTTTTAAAAAAAAAAAAGTTATGTAATGTTCATTAATCTTTTCTTTTGTATAGTCCTTTAGAATCCGTGAATCGTTCCAACAAACTTTTATCGGCTCTATACCCTGATACTACGACAACAGAATATCAACAAGCTCTTACTACTCTAGTAGGTGACTCGGCTAAATGGATCGATTTGTATGCTACATTCCAAGAAAAGCGCACTCTTGAATATATGGCATCCTCTGTTACTGATATTTATGCTGGTATGGACTCTCAGACATTATGGGAAGACAAGGACGAATTATATCCTATACAGTACGATATCTATGGTCTTAGTGCTTTGGGACGGCTGGCACTATTCACTTCGGCATTTATTATTCAAAAGCAAGTGGATGTCGTCAGATTTTTTAACGTAGAAGATACCAAAGATATTTATGATCGTGACACGTTATTACGCATTATGCTCTTAGTCTCCATGGAATGCTCACGAGGTTTTGAAATGAATGGACTCTGTCGTATTTGGCAATCATCGACCTTATATACTCCAGCAACTACATCAACAACAATATTATCACCTTCAAAAAATGCACTGAGGTTGGGCATCACTGACTTTATAACACAGACAAACACGATATTTAATGCTTGGTTTGACCACATGGTGAAAAATCAATTGAAATCTTCTCCATCCATGACAACACACTTTTGCACATCCTTATACAATTCTCTCAAAAAGGGCAGCATTACTGACGATGACAATGGTCGCTTATTCAATTTCACCCTAAATAGCTTGCGACATCAGGGACAACAGTATACGGACGCATATTATGCCATTTTTATTCAAACATTAATGGATCAACTACTAGATCAGTATCAATGGACAATCAAGGAAGTAGAACAATGGCTACCAATTTTGAAAGCTGAAGCAACTGAAGGTAAGTTGATGGAAAGGAGACAAGCAAGTCAAAAATAGTGTTAATACGATGTTGAAATACTTTGTTCCTTTTAAAATGCATAGTATCTCCTCTTATCAAAGCTGCATTGATTACATCCTTCAAAAAAGTAATTGGTGAAACATCTGGTTATCAATATCTTTCAAGTGATTTTGCGAATAAATTATCAGGTGCAGATAGTTTACAGATCTTTGCTGACCGTCCAGAAGGTAAGAAAAAAAAATGGTAGCAAAATGATAAAAGTACGTATATATGGTAGTGTTTTGTTGATTGTTATTCTTATTTTTAGCTTGGGAATGGTTAACACTATTGAATGCATCCTCTATCACATTTGGCACCCTTCCTATCCCACCTCAACGATTGATATATCTAGTATCAACTATTAAAGGTTGGTTCAAGCAAGACTTTGATGATCATTTAGAAGTTATTCACCGGAAAAAAATACATATCCAATTGGCACTTCTTTTCTCCAGCATCTCTGAATCTGTGCAAGAAGTATCTGGTAGTCATTGGGATTTGTTTTTGGATTGTGTTTATGAGTGGCTATCGGTAAAGTTGATTGAAAATGAACCATGATGACAAAAAAAAAAAAAAAGAAAAAAAAACATATCGAACTTGATACACTGACATTTACTATTTACATACTAATAGTACAATGATGCTGATGAATATGATGATTTACCCATAATGTACTATGCGCTGCGTCTTTTATCTAGGTTGATAGATTTGGGGACCGAAGGAAACTCAAATATCTTGGAAACTCTTAATGATCATTGGAAAGGCATTGGAAATGCTGTATGGAAATGCTTTACAAAGGAAAAAGGTAATCAGAACAAGACTATTTATGCGACCAAATCATATATACTAATCGATGGATTCTTTTATGACGTTAGGTATATCTCTGCCTATTAGTCAATCTCGAAAACTATATCAAGAACTTTTGGCAGGAATTGTTAACTATATTCCATTCGTTATATTGAAGGAAATTGTGAACTTTGGCGAGGTAAAGGATTATTCCGCAAGTGATGTGGATAATTATTGATTCAATTTTATTATGATTAGGTGATTCAACACTTGGGCTCAACCAACGATGTCTTGCAAAAACAAGCATTCTTTATTCTACAACAACTAGTCAAGGAAGATACCAAAAATTTATCGGTGCAATTGGAATTCTCACAGCACGAAGAAGATAAAGAAGAGAAACTAACAACTCGCCGAATTCATCCTGATCTTTTTAAACGATTAATAACGAACGAACCTATTTTATCGATGTGGGATATTGCAACTGTTGAAGAAAAGGTAATACTTGTAGAAAGTGTCAAAAGGAGACACTCACAAATATATATATATATATATTAATGTTTATATATAGGAATTTCATGAAATTTTTGGTTATATGCTGTCGTGGTTACTCATGTTTGAACATTTTGATGATATTGTAAGTAGATTTCATATTCCATTCAACCAATGTATATATATCTAATACACTTATTTCTATTTTTATATATACACTTAGACATTCAAACTGAAACAACAATACACCGCTGAACTGAAGGATGCCGAAGCTCTTGATAAACTGATACCATTCTTATTCAAGTTTTTGAATCCTGTTACCGGGCAACCAGCATTCGACCTCACTCCTTGGGATTTCTCTATTTATGATTTGGAAGGTAACTGGATAAATTCTTTTTTATTTTTTATTTTATTTTTTTAAGAAAAGAACACTAATATCACTACTCTTGATATGGATAGGATTTGATATTACGATGGATACAAGCTATGCATTATTGGCCGGTCATTTGTATTACCAAACACTTCGACATATTCCATCACTTGCTAGGTAATACAGGAAAAAAAAAGTAGACTTGATGCAGTAGATGACTAATAATATATATTTGATTTCTAATAAACCATTTCATTTAGGCAATGGTGGGTCAATTACAGGCAACGGCAATTGGTGATAGCCGTGGAGCAATACACCGAAAAGTACTTTAGCGGACTTTTGATCGATCATGAAATGGCACTGGTGAACCGAGCTGATATTAAGAAACAATTGGAAGACAATGATAACGAATTCAAGGTTAAAACATTGAAGGCAGGCAATGAAGTCAGTGCTATTTACAACGTGGATGAACAAGAAATGCGAATCTCTATCAAGTTACCAAACAATTATCCTTTACAGCAAATCCAAGTGGAAGGGGTACAGAAAGTAGGCGTTAGTGATAAACAATGGCGTGGATGGATGTTTGCTATTGCAGCTGTCATTGGATCTCAGGTAAGGAAAGGAAAAAAAAAAAAAGAACGGGAATAATATGTATAACTCATATTGTCGATATTTTTTTTTTTTTTTTTTGGTAGAATGGAAATATTGTCGATGCATTGACTGTCTGCAAACGGAATATCAACCTTCATTTTGAGGGTATAGGTGATTGTGTGATTTGTTACTCTATTATCAGTGTCCAAGATCGATCTATTCCAACAAAACAATGTCGTACTTGCAAGAACAAATTCCATGCTAGTTGTTTATATAAGGTAATAAATAAAATTAAAAAAAAAAGGATTCAATTATTAAGTACTACGATTTATCATATAGTGGTTCCGATCATCCAACTCTGCCAGTTGTCCTTTATGTAGAACTGTATTTTAGATTGATATCAGCTTAGTGATATAATTCACTATGTATATGGAAAAATAAAGATTAGGTGTTATGCGGTAGTTCAAAATGGTGAGAATTTGTACCACTAATTTTGCCATTAAGTAGTCCCTTTTTTTTTCTTTGTCTCTCTTTATTTTTTATATAAAACCAACATGTCATAGAAACTAATTTCTTTTTCTTTTTATCTTGTTATCTACATTTATACAATGTCTGATTTCATTGTCAATTACACTACTTCTAAAGGACTCGTTTTAAAACGTAAGTACTTTGGATCCTAAAAAAAAAAAAAAAAAAAAAAAATTCTCTCTTATTCTTTTCTTTTCTTTTTTTTTTTTTTTTTTTTTTAAAAAAAAAAAACCATTTATATACTTTTTGGTTGACCAAGTTCAAACGGGTCTTTTTATCAACAATGAATTTGTTGCTGGAGAAAATACTTTGAATACCATTAACCCTGCTACAGAACAAGTAATTTGTGCCGTGCAAGCTGGTAAGTGACAACTCTTTACAAAAAAAAAAAAAAAGAAATACTAATATAATATATATATATATATTTGTAGCTGAAGGCAAACAAGTAGATGCAGCAGTAGATGCAGCTGAAAAGGCATATGAACAAGTATGGAGCAAGACTACACCACAAGAGCGACAACGACTCATGCTCAAGCTTGCTGAACTGATTGATCGTGATGCTGAAGAACTGGCTTGGATTGAAACTATTGACAATGGCAAAGCAATCACATTCTCTCGTTATGCCGATGTCAAAGGGATTGCTAAAACCTTACGTTACTATGCTGGCTATACTGACAAGATTCATGGCAAAACATTTGGTACACCAGGTGCACTATCATATACACTTCATGAACCTATTGGTGTAACAGCAGGTATTATTCCTTGGAATTTCCCTTTGGTGATGCTTGGTTGGAAATTAGCACCGGCCTTGGCGACTGGCAACGTGGTAATCATCAAAACGTCAGAATTGACACCCTTGTCAGCACTCAAGGTGGCGACCCTGATCAAAGAAGCTGGTTTTCCTCCTGGTGTGGTGAATATCATTACAGGCTATGGTCATTTGGCAGGTGAAGCATTGGCACGTCATCCAAAGGTGGGCAAGATCGCATTCACTGGCTCTACCAACGTTGGTCGATTGATTCTCAAAGCGGCGGCAGAAACCAACCTCAAAAAGGTGACCTTGGAACTCGGTGGCAAGTCACCCAATATTATATTTGATGATGCTGATTTGGACAAGGCCATCAAATGGGCACATCGTGGTATTTTCTTCAATCAAGGACAAATCTGCTGTGCAGGTTCGCGCATCTATGTTCAAGAAGGTATTTACGACACATTTATCCAGAAATTCAAGCAATATACTTCCAAGGGTGTATTGGGTGATCCTCAAAAGGAAACGACATTCCAAGGTCCACAGATCTCGCAACAACAATTGGATCGCATCATCGGCTATGTGAACCAAGGACAAAAAGAAGGCGCAACTCTTTATCATGGTGGCAAACGTATTGGCAACAAGGGATACTTTATTGAACCTACCATCTTTACCGATGTCACTTCCCAAATGAAGATCGTGCAAGAAGAGATTTTTGGTCCTGTGGTGGTGATTGGCAAATTCAAAGATGAGGAAGATGCTATCAAATTGGCTCACGAGACGACTTATGGTTTGGCTGCTGCTGTGTTTACGGAAAATGTTACCCGTGCTGCGAGGATATCCAGTCGATTACAGGCTGGCACTGTTTGTAAGTAAAAAAAAAAAAAAAAAAAAAAAAAAAAAAAAAAAAAAAGCAAAATAGGATCTCTGTTTTTGAAAGATGATTCACTTACTATTATTATTTTTTATTTATTTATTTATTTTATTTATTTTTTTTAGGGGTCAATTGGTAAGATATAATATATATATATCTATGTTGATAATATTTGGGTATCTGTTTATTAGATATTCTAATCCTCTTTTTTTTTTTTCTCTCTTTTTCATCTAGTCTTTTGGAATTGGAAGAAAATACTCCTTTTGGTGGTTACCGTCAAAGTGGTATTGGTCGTGAATTAGGTCCTTATGGATTAGAAAACTATCTTCAGGTAAGTCCAAGAAACATATAGGAAATCCCGTATTGATCTTTTTTTTTAGGTGAAAACTGTCAAGATCAATCTCAATCGCGAAGCTTAATTAGGTATTTTATGGTTTTAATTTAAAGAAAGGTTGTATGATACTTTGATCTTTCTGATTGTCAATAAAGTATTCTTTTTATTTTATATCATCATCTATTTCTTAGGATAATTTTGATAAATTATCTCATCTTTTTCTTTCTTCACCTATGAACACCACTTGATATTGTATCAATGCTTTTACATTATTCATTATCCATTACACATTGTCCCATCATTATCATAACCAGTCATCATCATCTTATTACTATTATTATGATTATGATTATGATTATTATTATTATTACTTATTTATTCATCTTATTCTACTTTATTAAAATAAAAGTGTTTTCCATAAATGGTATAACTTCAAAGTCCGGTCTCAATGTGGGGTGTGTTGGATCAAAAAAAAAAAAAAAAAAAAAAGGATCTGGTGGTCGAGATCAAAAAAAATCTGGAGATTGAAAAAAAAAAAAAATTGTTGGAGACAATTGGAAAAGTTGGACCAAAGCTCTGACAACAGAAAAATTTGGCAAACTTTCACTTTTTTTTTTCCTTTTGCTTTTTTTTTTTTATTTTTACTTCTCTTTTTTTAATCAATGACTCTTTTGAACATTGTAAGTTACCATTATACATTATTTTATTGATCTATATTATATATTTAAAAGTCACTCTTTACATATTATACTCACTCTATACTTTACTATATACTTACTCTTTCTTCTTCTTCCTCTTACTCTTTCATATTATGAACTAATCTATTTTTGTTTTATTTTTTTTTTTTCTGTTTTACTCTTTTTATAAAGATACAGTAGATAGATATATGAATAAAATATACAATAGGATTAATTGGACATATAACAAGTTTTCTATTGGGCAAAAGAATACCAAGTTAGGGGAAAAGTATCTCTCGTATCCAACTCTTTATCATAGAAATTAGTTTATTGAATAGTTTAGTCTTTTAGTTATAGTGTTTTATATTATATTTTCATTTAAATAAAATCATATTTTTATTATCATTTGTTTATTATATTGTCATTTCACTATTACTTATCTATTTGTCCTCGATCATCATCATTATCAAAAGGAGTAATAAGAAAGAATGATATATTATTATTGTATTTTCACTAAATAATAATAATAATAAAAAAAACTATTGTAGAAACAAGATTCATATACACATCAGTATCTACTATTTCATTTCATACGTTACGTTCATCATTTTAAGCATATATATTCTCTTATTATCAACCATCATCACCACTCATGATAATAGCAAGCTGTACCTGTATACTGTTAATTGTACGTCTTCTCTCTTACGAAAATAACGATGTCATTGATGACATCGTAGGATAGACCATGTACTTTATCACATAATACACTCAAAGAAACATTTTTATTAAATCATCACAGCAATAGATAGTAGCAATAGGTACATACACAAAACATCATAGCAGGATAATTTAAATAATCAAACATTTTATTTAAATAAAAGAGTATTTTTACAGAAGAAAAGAAAGGGAATAAAGAAAAAAAAGTAACTAAATACCAACAATATAAAGAATATATACAATACTGGTGATAATAATGACAATGATAATAATAACAATAATAATACTAATGGAGACAGAGATGCCAATCAAGTAGAAAAACAGAATGAGACCATCAAACATGGAAGAGACCAATCAAATAAGAAGAAACAAAAAAAAAAGATAAGGACTAACCACTTAGTAAAGGATTCTGGAAGAAAATACCATGACAACGAGAGACAGATGAAGGAAACGGAAAGAGAAAGACCAACCAAGTAAAAAAAGAGACGAAGAGACCACACGAACATGAGAGAGAACAGCAAAAGAGAGAGAGAAAGAGAGAGAGAGAGACACCATACCATTAGAAAAAATAATCAACCAAGTAGGAAAGAAAAAAAAAAGACCTTCAAAAGTACCTGTACATACAAGTTGACCTGCATTTGCTGTTCAGTCCAGAGTCCAACAGTAAATAAGATAAAAAAAAAAGTAAAACGATTAGTTCCTTAATCTATGTCTTACCATCATAATTGTCATTCCATCCAGCTCCAAACCATTAGAAGAGCCATAACCAGCTAAAGCTAGAGAGAAAAAAAAAAAAAAAAAAAAAAGGAAAGAAAGATGAGAGAAATGAGATAGATAAAATAAGAAAGGAAAAAGAAAAGAAATGAAAACTCAGTTAGATAAAATAAGAAATGAAATTATGAGTTGGCTGAATTAAAGTATCTCTCAAAGCAATCACGTATCTTTTCTTTTCTTTTCTTTTCAATAAAGAAGATTTAGACTATATAGACAATAATATCTAAAAGATCAATAAAATAAAAGAAGAAATATATTAGTATCATTTCCTTTTTTCATCTATTATTTTTTTTAGACTTATCATTTTGCACCATTGACCGTTTTATATCACCGTTTTGTTTGACTAAAGGTTAATATAAAGTAATGATGATCATTCGAGATTTGATCGCATAAACAACAGTCATTGTATCTACAGATAAAATCGACCAAAAAACAATACTCCATCACTGTTATTCTTATATATATATATATATATCCATTGTTACCTTGCGTATATCATCTGACAGCGATACCGTATCAATCCCCATACAATAAAAGGAAGGATCTGAAAAAAAAAAAAAGAGAAAGAAGCAAGTGATTGTATGTAATATTGATTGATCATCTTTTTCTTTCCTGACAACTTACTAATTTGATTGTATAGGCGACAATCATAGTATCTACGAATAAAAATAAACCAAATGAATAGCAATCCGTTACTTTTTTTTATTTTATACATGTTACCTTGTCAACAACAATGGATGTTTTGTATCATATCATAATTGAATGTCATCATCATCATGAGTTCGAAGAGGAAGAAGGGTTGCCACTAGCAGTACATCTGACATTTTAAGACCATCAAGGAAGGTAGCTTGTTCCGGTTTTAATAGATACGCTCCACTGACCAGTTATGATATTATCCCCTAATTCTTTCCAAACCATACCGCAATTGGCAGGACTTCCAAGGACTCCAGCATGAAACAACACGACCTACAGGCGATATACTGTATTCCCTGCATGTTGCCTTCTAGTCTCCACCTACTTGAGCACTAGATCCAGCCTCTAGATTCATAAATGATCCTAGACACCAGTCATCCTCGACCAAGTCCAATGCCTGTCAGATAAACAAAGGCCATCACGCCATGATCTTTGAGTATCACCAAAAGCTAAGTATAAAGTGATGATGACCATTCGACGTTTGATTGTATAGACGACAATCATGATACCTACAAATTAAAAAAAAAACCAAATGAGTAGCAATCTGGTACTCTTTTTTTTCTTTTATACATGTTACCTTGTCAACAACAATGAATGTCTTGCATCATCTTGATTGTATAGGCGACAATTATGGCATCTAAAAATAGAATCAATAAAACGAGTACTAGTTCATCACCGTTATTCTCTCTTTTTTTAATGTATGGATTACCTTAGTTACATGATTCACAAGTGTTGATGTATCAACCATAAAGGTCAAACCAATGGAAGAACCAAGGACAATTTACAAATAGTATAGGCGAAACCGAAGCTATTGATTTTTGTTGAAAGGAATGGAGAGTACCACAAGACGAAGGGATAATAGTCCAAGGTCATGGGAGAAAACAATAAGTGGAAGACATCATACCAAGTGGGAGGGACAAAAAAAAAAGAAAGACAAGGACCAACCAAGTAGAAAAGAGATTTCGAAGGAAACACCATGACAATGAGAGACAAGCGAGAGAAATGGAAAGAGGGAGAGAGAGACCAACCAAGTAAAAAAGAGAAGAAGAGACCACACAAACTCGAGAGATAACAACAAGAGAGTGAGAGACACACTATACCATTAGAGTAATGATCTTGAAGAAACCAACATCATAGGAGAGAATAACCAACCAAGTAGGAAGAAATGAAAAAAGATCTTCAAAAGTACCTGTAACACAAGTTGACTTGCATTTGGTGCTCCGTCCAGAGTCTAATGGTAAAAAAGATAAAAAAAAAAATAAAACGATTAGCTCCTTAATCTATGTCTTACCTTCATAATTGTCATTCCAACCAGTTCCAAACCATTAGAAGAGTCATAACCAGGTAAAGCTAGAGAGAAAAAAAAAAAAAAAAGAAGGAAAGAAAGACGAGAGAAGGAAGGAAAAAGAAAAGAAAAGATACGTGATTGCTTTGAAAGATACCTCAATTCAGCCAACTCATAAACTCATTTCAATAAAGAAGATTTGACATTTATTATTTTTTTTAGACTTATCTTTTTACACCATTGTCTTGTTTTGTATCATCGTTTCGTTTGACCAAAACCGAGAAGAAAAGAGATCTTGACAATTGGAAAAACCAGAAGAGTCATGAATTAACATAAAACAAGTAAGTAATTATATTTTATACTGTCTTTTTGTTATTTTATTTTATTTTATTTATTTTCTAAATTGACAATTGTAGAATAAGACGCCATTACTGTCATTGTATTTTATATGTTACCTGTCATTATTCCAATATGGAGACGCGAACAAAGTGCGGAGAGTGAATAAAAAAAGTGTGGAGAAATGGAAAGAGAAAGAAAGAAAAGAAAAATGTGGGGAAACGAAATAAATAATAAAAAAAAAAGAAAGCAAAAGTCCGAATAGATAAAAGTGATGTACCAAAAGTAGCAAACTAAAGAGAAAGAATATATTGTAATGTGATAATGAATGTACAATTAAAAAGTAGATTAGTTTTTTGACATTGAAAGGAAAATGTCAAAAACTAATCTACTTTTCCTTTCACTGTTGATAATACATTTAGATCGAGTCGAATACAATATATAGCAAAAAAGGGAAAAAAACGACAAAATATATGAAAAAGAGAATTAATATGATTCCATATTGTTTCTTGTTTTTCATATTATTGTTCGAAAGTCTTTAAACTTGATTCTCTTTGCTTGGATTCAGCTGTCATTTAATTTATTTAAGGAACCAGGTACAGAAATGCATTGATGACTGTTCGAGAAAAGTAATAATTATGATTTTATTAAAGAAAAAGAATATAAATACATATAATTGATATACTAAGTACCTTTCTAAACTACAAGTAAAAAGAATCACTAACGATTCATAAGCCAGAATAAAAAAAAAAAAAGGATAAGGAAGATACTTCTAATTGATTGTGTAATCCAATCCAGTTGAATCCTATAATATATCCTGTTCATCCACGTTGTCTACACCTTATGACAATAGCATGTATTCATTTCGTTTCATTCTGTGATCCTATTGTATATATATCTATTCCTCTGATTCAGATGTATAGCCACTTCGCGTAATTATCCTATTGATACTATATTTAAATGATTAAGTTTTAGTGTATATAGATTTCTTTCAGACATATATTCAGTGATGGTGATTGCCAATGATAACAAGTATGAAGTATGAGAAGAAAAAAGAACGGTAATTCTAGATGGATGGATGTTGTAGTAAAAAGATCAAGGTCAGGAGAATGTATATAATATAAAAAAAAGGAAGGAGGTTAGAAAGAAAAAGAAGAAAAGCGCTTGTTTTTGAAACTTACCTTTAATAAGAGTAAATATTTGTAAAAACCACATAGATAACATGAGTAGGATATAGTAATGAAGTTGGAATGTATAAAAAAAAAGAAAGAAAGACAGAAAGAAAGAAAGAAAAAAGAAAAAGAATTATTTTATATCTCTACCTGATCGGAGCCAGTTTAAAAAATCATGCAAATCAAATCTACCAATCATAAGGAATCACATAGGTTCAAGTTTCTTTTTTTTTTGAATTGATTTTTTTTTATTATTGATTATAGTAACATCATAATGATGATGATGATGATGATGATATATTAGAATAAACACTTTCAAATGAATGATTTTATCACTTATTTCTTATTCCTTGTATTCATTGAAAATTGAATAATCATGATAGTGAAGAAAGATCACAAAAGAAAAAGGAATATCAAACATATAGGTTAAATCAATTTGAATAACTTCTTATTAATCTGATGAACATCAATTAATTCATTTAGAATAATAAATCAGTTTAAATACGAGAAATTGATTATCTGATAATAACAAATAATAAGTAATGAATTATAAATTATGAAAAGCGGTAGTTGAAACATCCAAAAAGGAAAGGCCTCAATTCATGAGGATTATATAAAATAGGACCTCCACATTTATTTATTTCTCAACATTCTTCTTCTTCATTCTTCTTCTTCTATATCCACTACTTTTATAACCTTCTTTTTTTTTTATTTTGTATACAAAAGTAAGTAGTAAGATATTAATAACAAAGGTACTTCATATACCTTGTGAACTAAACTCTCTTCCCCCCCTTTTATCCTGTTATAGAAATACCGTCTCTTGCCCTCTTCCGTTGCAAACTGAATCCTCAATATATCTAGCAATAGGACCCTCATGAACGCAATAGCAATGGGGTACCTCCTATAAACTAGTCAAAGGTCACTACTATGACTTCCCAAAAAAAAGAAATAGTAAAGTAGTAAGTGATGTTAGGTATGGTTTGCTGATATCTTTTTTTTTTTCTTTTTTTTATTTCTCAGTAGTTTACCAATATAATGCCAAAGGAAAGG